TTTTAATTTATTAATATAAAAAATAAAAAGAAAAAAAAAAAAAACAAAATGAAGAAACTAAGCATTATAGTTCTTGTAGTCTTTCTTATATTGAACTTATTGCTCCTCACCAAAAACAAACATTTTAACAGATAGTGAGCAGCAATTTTCAGCAGTGCCAGATGAGTCAATAGGAATTAATGTTCAGTCATCCCAAGAGAATTAGTAAATCACCTAGATTTGTGCTCAGAGATACAATCAAGAATAGAAATTTCACAATAAAATCTATAGTTTTTAAGCATAATAAGTATGATAAACGCTTGAATATTATAATAATTTATTTGTTTAAAATTTGAAATCCATGTAACAGTTTGTTTCCATTTCAAAAAAATAAATAAAAAACTTTAATATATCGCTAACCAAGCAGTATGAACAATCAAACTACTTTTTCGACAAAGAGCAATCCTCTTTCTCAAAATTCAACAAAATCTAGGATTAATTATTTTACAACAAAAATTAACTATAATATATAATGGAAATGGTGGAAAAAAAAGGAGGAGAAAATAGTTATAATTATAATTGACAAGAATAACACTAACTAAAACCACGTCAATAAGTAATGATTTTTATTTTTTTAAAATTTCAAATATTTCTATTTTTTTTTAATTTATTTGGTTATTTAATGAAATAAATTTTAATATTCTTTTTATTAATATTTTTACAAAGATTATTTATAGCTATTTTACATTTTAAATTTAAATTTTAAAGTAGATTCTACAACGACGTCATACCACCCTCTACTCCAATGAAACGAGATAATAAATCATATGATATGGATAGATTGTAAGATTAAACATGAATGATGATACACACATGGCATTGAAATCGAATCGAATCGAATAATTAATAATTGTTACTATTCCCATTCATTATAGCAATAGTACAATAAATAAAAATAGATCGAATAGAAATGTATTGGGATTAGATGATCAGAATGACTTTAAATCATCGCCGAATACATTCAACTCTGAACAATTGGTCGAACAAAGAAACGATGAACAAGGTGTAATGTTAAAAGAGAAAACAGAGACATTAAAGAGAGTATGTGTTTTTATTATTATTATTATTATTATTATTATTATTATTATTATTATTATTATTATGTTATATTATGTTATTATATTAAAGTGATTTCAATTTGATTATTAATACAAACATTATATTATCTATCATGGTTGAATAAAATCTACAGATTAGTATAGATATTGAATCACAGGTCAGAGAAAGTAATTCATTGCTGGATGATTTAACAGGCGATCTATCAAATGCACAGGCTTTACTTTCAAACTCTATGAAGAAACTATCGCAGTTGGCACAGACTGCAACCAGTAGACACATGATGTATTTAATATTTTTCGTTGTATTCGTATTCTTTTTGATCTATTATATTATTTCTTGGGGAAAGAAACCATCTTCATAAACAATGCCAAATCCAACAATCACATATCATATTCAATAAGTAAAAACAAAACAAAAACAAAAAACAATATTGTTATTTATTAAATATCATCATTAAATAAACAACTTCTGTAAAATCATCAAAACAAAACAATATCAAATCAAATTAAAATGAAACATTACGATGAATGAGAATATATATACAAAACATTACCAACAATGATTGAATTTATATTACATAGTTGTTTAAACTTTTTGATTCAATAATAGTTCGGTGAGAGTACACTTTGAGATGCAATAAAGAAGACGGAAGAGTTGTGCGAAATCCAGTGATTTAAAGAAACAATCTAGCAGTAATCTTGGTATTGCGAATGGGAGGATGCCACGAGCGTATACGAGCATGGTGCATTGCTGTGGCACGGTGACAGCGAATGAGTTCATCGTTGGTATGAAGAAGTGTTCGAATTGATTACGCTTCAGTGCCAGTGTAGATACATCGGTGCAGGTGAGACACTCGCCCTTCATGATGAACGAATAGGTTTCCTGTGGCAGCGGAGCGCTATAGAGTGAGCTGTTGCCGAATGGGAACTTGACGATCGCCACTAGCTCTGTGAAGGAAGCGTGAACCACCATGATCTTTGAGATCGATCCACCGTAGTTGAACCAAATGAAATCGCCACCGCCACCGCTGTTGCTTGTCTTGACGATGTGACCCGGATACTTTGTGGCTAGAGCAGCCAACACCTTGTCGGTATCGGCAGCATCCTTTACATGTTCACTACTGTTGGTCAGAGTCGGTGTTGAACCAACAATATCATCGCTATCACTACTACCACTCAATGATTGTGGTTGTTGTTGTTGAGATTGAACATTATCTTTTATCAATTTTAACAATGCCTTTATCATCATGATCAACATAAAATGTGTTTTGTTTTTTTTTTTTTGTTAACAATTGTATTTAGCCAACCAATTAGTTATTAATTAATAATTATTATCTTTATCATTGTAAATACATACGATTTCATCGAAAATGAATTTGTTTGATCTAAATTTAAAATGATATAATAAGAAATTCAAAGTTATATAGATAACAAAGTACCAAAACACTAAAAATCCTACAAATATAATTGAAATCATATCTATCTATCTTTCTATTATTCTTATTATTACTATTGTTTTTAATACTATATGAATACAATTTAATCTTTGTACAATTTTCACATAATTATCAATACCACCACTAAACTTCAATTAATTAAAATGAATTCCCCCTCCCCACCCATGAACTTAAAATTTAAAATTCACCATAATTATAATGCAATACATTTGTTAATTGATACAATCTATTAAGTCTTGAATAGTAGATTGATTCTCTTTATTTATAAGTATAATTTCTATTATTGGTCATTTGGTTGTAGGTGTCTGGATCAACCAACCACATTGATTGTTGCAATGTATTCTTTTCCATTATTAGTTTTAATCCAGCATTTGCAATACGCTCGACAAGTTTATTATAATAAAGTTAAGTAATGCTGTGAAAAAGGTGATTCGGTGACTGTGACACGTCGGTCAATATTTATGGTAATCCTAGAACATTTCTAGTATTCCAATCGCGATAAGCAATTTTAAAAGTAATAGTTTTTGTATTTATGTTATCGAATAAAAAAGTATCTAAAGTATCACGCTGGAGTTTATCTTATGAGACTCTATGTTGAAATTAGTATGAAAGATTGTGTGGTTGGTAATATAGAAGAAATACTTACTTAGATGATTTGTTGTTTCGACCTTACTTTCTCATGATTATTTTATTTTTGTATTAAAATCGTCAGGTTCTTCTGAATTTATAGTGATTGAATAATAAAATATAAAAATATGATGAAATTGTAAACACCTATTTGAAGAATAAATGAATTAATATTCTTGATTTGATATATATGCTTGTTGAACTTACTATTTATTGATGAATTGTTTCCCGCGGTCCACTCATCTATAAAAAATTCAACCGCTACAATGTTTTTATCTTTAAAATATGATCCACAATCAGCTGTTGATTTGCTATTGATAAAGTTTGAAAATATAACACGCCTACTCAAAATATGATTTTGGCACTCTGCACTTAGTTTTAGCAATAACTATATTGATGATCCACTTTTGATATTATTAGTCTTTTGCAATATATCCACAATCAGCTGTTGATTTGCTCCTGCAAGAAGTAGAAAAACCACATACAGTTAAAATATCTATACTACATATTGCAAATACTAGATTAAAAAAAAAATTGCTACTGCTGAGAAGAGAACACATAGCACGGTGGTGGTGGTGGATCCAGACACCTACAATGACAATTATGAAGCTACAACTCCATATTATGATTGACCACTATCGGTAATCGTTTTTTTTTTTTTTAGTATACATCAATTTTTTTTTTTTTTTTTTTTTTAACAAATTAAGATTATGATTATTTGTTTTTCTATTATATAATGAGCAGTTCAACTAAATCAAAGAAAAAGAATGATCAAACAGATCAAGTAAAGAAGAAAAGTATTGTTAATAAAGATAAATCCGAAAAAGAAACAGAAAAGAGCGAAAAACAATCGATTGTTAATAAAAAGAGAAAAGATATAATCAATACTGATAATAATACAGAGCATGAACCAAAGAAAATCATTAAAAAACAAAAGAAAGATATAAAATATACTGAATCAATCAAAGTTGTAAAAGAACAACAATCAAAAACAAATGAAAACAACAATATAAATAGTAGTAATAGTAGTAAAAAGAGAAAGAACAATGATGATAGTTCAATAGTAGAGAAATCAAAAGAAAAAGAAGTAAAAGAAGATAAAAAAGATAAAGTAGATAAAGAAAAAAAGAAACAAAAAATAACATCAATAATAATAAATAATGACATAAAAGATGATAATAATAACAATAATAATAGAGATCATAGTGAAAAGAATTGTAATTCAATTTTAGATTCTATAGTTGTAATACCTAGTAGAGATAAGAATCATTTGTTGTCAATCATACCAGAGCTATTAACTAAAACATCACTTCCTGCCAATCCATTCATCGATACATTCAATCATCCTATAAAACCATTGTTATTCAAAACACCAACATCAACAACTTCTTCATCTAAATCGTCATCTAAATCATCATCTAAATCAAATGCAAACAACAACAACAACAACAGTTTCCACATTGATAATATTAAATCATTGTATCAATCACTTTCAAATATCAATAATAAACTATCGATATCATCAGCATTGCAACAAGAATACAATCATTATAAAGATGTAATGAAATCTAAATATAAATTCATTTTGAAACGAACGAAACATATGAAACTATTACAAATGGTATGAATTCAATAAATATGTTCAATACGTTCAACAATTATTAATAATATTCTTTATCCTTATAATAATAATAATAATCAGATTGGACAAAAACTAAAGATACTATTTGGCAATAACAATATACAACAATCAACATTGCTACCATTCATAAACTCTTTGAACAGCTTCATATTGGAACAAAAGAGTGGCAACTATCAAAGTTTACCAAGTGGTGATTTCGCATTGTTGACACTCTACAAGATTTACACTATTTTTATTTTGATAGATTATGTAAGTATACTACTACTATGGATATTGGGTGAAATCGAATTGAAATTGTTTTACTTACTTAATATAATAATAATAATAATACTAATCACTATAAACAAACGTTATAATAATTATTAGTTATCAGAAATGGTATTAGAAGCAGCCAATCTACTAAGTGGTGTTTTAGGACAAGTTCATTATGTTATCTATTCAACCTCTTCGATCGCTTCGCTAGGTGTAATTTATGATTCATTGAAATTGTTCCGCATTGCACTGTGCAACGCTTACAACACATTGTATCCTCAACTCTACCTGTTCGAACTCTACCATGAGAAGAACAAAGATAAACTTTGTAATTCTTTTAAACAGACATTTGGTGATTTACCAAATCTAATAAAATCCATTTAATAAAAATATAATATACATAAGGTGTAAAAAGTAACAACAACAACAACAAACATCAATATATTGACAATCTTTTTTCTTTTAATTATTGTTGGTTAATTTATTAAATTTTATATATATATATAATGTACATCTATTTTATTTTTTATTTTTTTGTTATTATTATTATTATTATTATGTTGTTGTTGTCTGTTGTTGTTATTTTTAGATTTTACTTTATGTGTACCTATTATTGATCAATTATTAACAATGATTGATTGATTATTATGGTAGATTATCTAAAAAGTCCATTCTTTGTAGGATGATATGTTTACTTGGTTCCATTAGTTCACCAGCCAAGAACACTTCATCGAGAATAGCATATACTTTGTAGAAATTGAATACCAAATCCAATTCGCATACATTTCCAAAGTAAGCATCCAATACCTCTACAAACAAATGAATAGCTTCGAGACAGAATAATTCGTTATCGGTTGGATCTACACACATACAAAAGAATAATCCTGCATATCTTCTATATATAATTCTATGTGTTCTAAACTAAATATTTATAAAGATAATCATCATCATTATTATCATCATCATCATCATTGTAGGAGTGTGAAATCATATTAGTATTTTGTATTCAAAGATAGTTACACACCATGTTCATTGATTGATTTCATATATACCTCTACGAAATTTGTGAATTTAGTTTCTCTTGAGTTAACGATCTTATGTATTTCATTGGAGAGCTTTCTCTTTTCGACATCGTCATAGGGTGTATACCATTTCGATAGTCTTGTTTTTCCTTGTCTATTCTGTATTAATATATAATGTATCTAAAATATGAAAGATGAATCTTGGTGTGAGAATCTAATAATCATCAAATACACTACTAAAGTGTAACTACTAAATAAATACCATTGTATTATGTTGTTGTAATTTAAATATGTTATATTACTATGAACATCATAAACTTTATTACAAAAAAAAAAAAAAAAAAAAAGATGGTTATATTTTTTTGCAAAAAAATTTTTACCAAAAAAAATTAATTAAATCATTATTTAAATTAATAGATTAAATTTTAATTTAAAAAGATCATAAGAAATGTGTAGACTGATTTTTTTTATTAAGATAAAATATGTGTATTTTGACTTATTTTTAAATAAATGTAAAACAATATTATAAAATTATAAAATAAATTATTTATTTAGTTGTAAGTAAAGTTTTCTATGACAATCCGGGATTACTTTCTTTAAATATTAAAACATTGTCAGGTGTTTAGATAGGTGGTATGTGCCTTATCTCGAGCTGGTTTCCAAGACTGTGCCTCCTCCTTGGTGGTCGATTCGTAGCCTCTGGAAATTGTAGTCTCTTTACCAACTTGACTTTTCATAGCAGAATATTTGTAGATAGTCATTTTGTCAACTTCATTTCCACCCATGAATTTAATATAATGTTTATTGGCACGCATCTTTTTTTTATAAAAAAATATTGATTAATAATTGTTTTGAATACAAATTATATAATTGATTAACTTACTGATCTATTATCTAAAAACTGGAAACGATGATACTCTGTAAAACCAGGAAAGATCTTTATTTCTTTTTGTTTCAATTCCTTTGGGTTATGAATTTCGACTGTTACTTTGATGGTAACAGCTTCCTTCTCTGATTCAGAAGTCAATTTGTATGTTCTTTGATAGTTGTTGTTGTCAGTGGTACTCTTGATTGCATTGATAACATCTTGATCTGTATAGATTGAATCTTTGAAACTCGACTTGTCTGCTATCGCTCTAGAAACCATTGAAAAATGTTGATCGCATTCACTCTTTCCGTGATAGGGTGCAAAAGTATTCAATTCGACGAGATACTTTCTTTTGGTTTTGTTTGGAGTGTTTGGATCAGCTACTTGCAACTTTGACAATGTATGCATATATGAAAGTATTTCATTTGACTTGAAATGTCTAGCATTATCACACCAAAATGTAATTTTGTTGATATTTAGACTGGTGAATAATGGATCATTGATTAATTTGTCGAGACATGAAGTTGCAAATGTCGAACAGTGATTAAGTACTTGTGAAAGACAGTCATAGTAGTGAGTCTTCAGCTTGTCACCTTGCTTATAGAAGAGGACCATTCCAAAGAAGGTACGAGCAGGTTGTTGGTAAAATTGATGGCTTACTTGCACTTTGGATTTACCTAATGATATATTCTCTTTAAAATCACAGAGAATAATACACTCTCCTACCTTTAACTCATTTTTCTAAATAAAAAAAAAAAAAAAATTTTCATTAATAAATAAATCATTAACTAAATGTATTAATAAAATTATAATTACACATGTCAAATAATCATTCTTTCTTTGCTGAACAAACATCTTGTGAATAGTCAAGATTTCAAACAGTTTATGATCTTGATCTGAAAGTTGCCCAAACTTAATTCGTTTTGACTCGAGAGCCTGATACTGAACACACATTGGACACATGTCGGTTCGATTCTTCATTTCTCTGACATACTCTGGTACGAAACTGTAAAATGCACTTCTACCCATGAGTGGATACTTGACTTGATGTTTTGTACATTTGATTGATTGGTTGTGTTGCTATTACTGCTGCTATTGCTGTTGCTATGTGGTTGTAGTGTCGATGACTTTGGATTTGACATTGTATTTGGACGTGGTACTTGTGAAAGAAAAGGGGGAAGGGTTGTTAATCAATCAATCAATTGATTGACTAGTTGATTATTTGTTTAAATGATTAAATAATTAGATGATTAAGAATATAGTTGATTATTTGATTTTCTTCATTTCGTAAATGAAATAACCAAAGAATTCACCGATTGTAGTAACTTTGATTTCATCCCAGTTCTCACGTGTTATATATTGACGACGGAAATGAGGCTGACCAAATGAAATATAGATAAAGACACCACCGACCTTCAATATACGAACTACTTCATCTACTTCTTGCTTTACGTCAGATAAAACATTCTCTGCTGGACTCCACACATCTGCACCACTAAAAAACGTATCCATAGTAGCCTTATCCAAAACTACCTCGAAAGATTCATTTTCAAATGCTTTCATATCTCTAATATCCATTTCTAACCCTGTATATATATACAATGTATTAATAATAAATAACCATGTTCTTTTATATCACTCTAATAACAAACAATCTATCTATCTATATCCTACTTACATTTCATATTAACTTTATCTTTGGATTTCTCAGACATTGAATTAATTACATTGGCAGAGTAATCTACATTTGTTCTGTGATGATAGCCGTCGTCGTACATGTCATCGCCAAGTGTACTGTTTCCACATCCCAACATCAGAATTGACATATTCTTGTCGGGAATGACTTTACTGAAGTAAGGCTGTAGATCCTTGTATGTTTTTAACCAATCATATGTAGTATCAGACTCTCTGATGATTGATTTGATCAAATAGTCAAAATATTAATATTTATAAAATAAACAAAAAAGAGAGAACCTAAAAGTTAGATAGATTTTAGAGAAAAAGCTATTATAATATTTATTTATAAAGATCTTTTTTCGTTATGTTGTGAGATGTATGTATATTCAAATATTACTTTTGGTAACGCTCCTCCCAACATTCATGTGTTCTATATACTCGTACATCTTTTGGTACGTCTTTAGATGACATCTTTTCTTATAATCCTTACTGAATACAATAATACAAACCACCAAAATAAAATAAAAAAATAGTTAGCACCAAAGATTTTGAAGGACACGACCTTTCGTTCTAAAAAAAAAAACAACTAGTTTGATTATTTTTTATTTACTATTGGTTTAATTTAATATTAATTAAAGAAATGAAAGAAGCAAAGAGTTTAAGGAATAGAGAAAATACCTCAGCCCGGCTTAACAAGACATAAAGGTGCCAAAAAAGGTGATTCAAGTCAATGTTAACTGCGACAGATCACCTTTTTTTTGATAGTGTATCTACCAACTTTTTGGAACAAAATTCGATTAGAATATCTGAATATTGGTCCTTCATTTGGTGATCACTATTGGCTACGCCTGTTAGCAGACCAGGCCGCTGTTTCCGTGGAAAACAGGTCTCATTTTTTGGGGCAAAAGCGCAAAACTGCATCGTTCTAATTCATGCTGATTTCTCACATGGATGAAATACTCACCATACGGATATCTTTTATACATACATAACTGTTGTATATGGATAAAACACGTTGTTCGATATATATAATACATAAATAACTATACACAACTCAGCAACTTTAAACTTTAAGGTAGCTTTTGTAAATGTTATATAAACACTATATATATCGTTCGTAAAATGAAAAAAGATTGCGCGCTAAAGTCTCGATCAAAAAAAAGTCGCGAGTGGTTTTTTAATTTTTAGGTGTAAAGTGGTTTTTTTTTTTTCATGTTTTTTTTTTTTGAATAAATCATTGAAAATTCATTTTTTTGTGTTCTCAAAAAACGTTTACGTAAAAAAAATTTGAATTGGTACTTATGTGCACACAAAAAACAATTTTTTTATTTATTTATATTATTTTTTAGGGCATCATTCACACTAACTTTTGCTTCTCCATATAAAAATTAGACAAAGGTACCTCTTCATTTAAATAAATTGTTACAATCAAACAGGATACCTTTTAATTGAGACACATGATGAGTCTGGCATTCAATATACTTCAACCATTGATTAGAGTGATTTTGGAGAGAAATTCCCATTTTTATCTATGTAGGATTATTTAATAAATATATATAACAATTTTCAATCATAAAATTCACAAATAAAATAAAAATAATAGTCAGGCCATATTGGAGCTACACAATGATATGAGAACCAAAGAAATGTACTTCAATCTCAACAATCAATCGATCTACTAACTATATCATTTAGAACTCGTCAAATGGCCAAGTGTTAATTACACTATGGAATGAATCAAAAAAAACAGCAATTTTGGAATATATATATATCAAACGTTAACATATTAAATAATTGAAAAAGATAAAATTATAAATCAATATGACAGATACAAACTCTATCGATTTTTGTGATAGTTGGGAGTCACAACTTACTCAGTTATCACCTCGTGCGCTAGAGAGACAGAATACCTTAAAGCAAAACAATAATCAAGATAAAAGATTAGAAATATTCGATCAATCAGAACAATTGAATAATATTATTAACGAAAACGATAGCAATAATAACGATAGTGGTAGTAATAGTAATAGTGGTAGTAATAGTAATAACAATAGCAATACCGATAGTAATAGTAATAATAATAGTAATAACTATAACTATAAAGAGGAAATAGATTGTTATGAACAATATGAATCTCCTATCGTATGTATATACACTAGTACCTCAGAAATCGTGAATAACTTTTAAATATGATTTGATCTTTTTCAAGAATACAACATCTGAAGTGGGTGAGTCTCATGAACAATTTGAGAGAGACAACTCATTACATGAGCAACAACAAACGCAATTGGAGAAAGATACAGAAGAAACAAATGAAAAAAGATTTCCTTTGAAATTACAAGAGCAATATATAGTGCAACGAGAATTACAACAACAACAACAATTACAACAATTACAACAACAACAACAATTACAACAATTACAACAATTACAACAACAAAGTAATAGTATTAATAATAGTGATATCAATAATAATAATCCAAAACTAGTCGAAGTAATTAAGTCTATCAATGATACATTTTATAGAGTATGTTCAGCTACGAAAGAAGAGTTTGACAAAGGTTTCAAAGAGTTAGAGGATAGATACTATATAAAAATTGGACGTGCATCTGTTACCAGAGAGAATGAGATTCAAAGAGTGAAAGAATTATACAGTTACTCGACCAACAAGCACCTATAATAGTAATATCAATAATAATATTTTTGATATGATTGTTGTTCATTTACTGTAAATAAATAAAATGTTAATAATTTGATCGTACTCTCTAAGTAATCTCTTCATTTCTTCTATGGAGTTAGGGCCTCATTTACTTAATTGATATGATATTATTATTATCATTATTGTTAGGATTGAGAATGTGATAGAGTAATAGACACCTCTAATTATTTAAAAAAGAAATAAATTATTTTAATTAAAAAATTTGGTGTTGTGAAGTGTAGGTGGTTGTGGAAATGTTATGCTAACAGGGTGTCAAGTGCTGGCAGCAATGGTAGTTGGAAAGAGCTCACACTAAATTTAAAGGTTTGTAGTATTAGTAGGAGTTAGTAGTATTAGTTGTTGTTTTAGTTGTTGTTATTGCTGTTGATTAAAAGTAAAATAGTATGTTGGTGTCGATTCCATTGCCATTTGTGGTTTCTCTTACGATTTCATCGGTCTCTTCCACAACTAATTCCTCTTCTTGTCGGGTTCTACTATAGTGGTATACTACTTGCTGTTTGACTTCTTCCTATACTTGACCAACTACTGTTTCGCGCTTTGATCATCTCATACATAACTGTTGGTCGCTGCTGCTATGGGTAGTTTATGCTATCATTGTTGTTGTTTTGTAGTTGTAGAAGTACTTGTTAATATTCAACTCAATAAATGCAAAAAAAAAAAAAATTTGTATGAAAAAGCATACTACGAATGGGATTCGCTATACACGTTAAATTCGTAGTTATCGCAACAATTTATTTTTTTATATATAAAAAAAATGTTAAATAACTTTAAAAAGAACACTTGCAACGATTTTATAGATAATATATATTATAAATGAGAATATTTATTTTTTTGTTAGTATTTAATCAAGTATCTTCTGAAGATTAAAGATTTTAAATGTAAACATACCAATTGCATTCATAGACATGTCTCATAGTTGAATCTACTATTGCAAAAGATCGTCAATGCATCATCGATCTCTACAATGTCAGTTTCATTTGTCTTTTGTATCTTACTTCACATTCTAAACATCAATTAAATATACACTGGAATGACATACTATTTGATTTAGCAAAGACCTTTTGTCCTTTTTGGAATAACGATGGGTGAACATCAGATGGATCGATAATTCTTCTCTCTCTTTGTGTTGTTTGTCTTTTTTGTATTTCAGAAGTTCGAACGATAGTTGTTGCTGTGGTTGTAGTTGCTGTAATTTGAGTTGTTGCTGCTGTTGATATTGATATTGTTGTTGGTTCGTTGGTCGTATTTGTAGTGTTTGTTGGTTTAGTAGCAATATCTGCTGAGAAAGATATTCGATCTCCATATCTTGACTCTCCAAATAACTAATAAATGGATTGTTTAAATTAAAAAAACTATTGTTATAGTAATTATTGTTATTATTGTTATTATTATTATTATAATTAATATTGTTATTGCTATAAGTGAAGTTATTGTTTTTGTTATTGTTACTGTTACTGTTATTGTTATTGTTACTGTTGACTATCTCAAATTAAATAACTATTGTTTGATCATTTTGTTTGAATACAAAAATTAAAAATTCAATTTCAATTTGTTATTGTTTGAAAATGATCATTTTTTTTTTTTGGAATTTAATTATTCAATAAATTTTTTTTTTAAGTCAATCTTTTTTTTTGATCGAAAAATAGATTTAGATCAAATAGAATTAGTACTTTCATTCTAAATTAAATTTTTAATATATAAAAACAACATTTAATAACTTTAAGACTTTTTATGACAAATAATAGTAAAGCACAGAAAATAAAATTTAATTTAAAATAAATCAAATTTAAATCAAAAATTGTAAAATATGATATAATATCAAAAAAAAAAAAGAACCAACAAAAGAAAGCAGGGTAGTTTTTTTTATTTTATTCGATTTATGGTTACAAGCAAGAGCCAGTTTTGTTTTGAATTTTTACTATGTAAAAGAGCGACCTTTTCTTTCTTTTGTTGGTTCTTTTTTTTTTTTGATATTATATCACTGTTGTTGTTTCAAATATTACCTATCAAATTACTATTAAATACAATCTAGAATCTTTTATTAAATTTATCGATCAATATTCAATTTTATAATGCCAAACCAAACAGTTAAACTGTTAATCATTGTAAACAATTTATTAGAGTTATTATTAAAGAGATATTAGATTTATATACACAAATATTTATTCATCTCTGCAAACAATACACCTACATTTATTATTAATTCCACCAGCAACATGTATTAAATCGATCCATTATTCAATTATTCACTAATTGATTTATCGATTGACACATCTATTTGTTAACTCATTCCCTTTATTCATTAATTTACATTCTTTCAAGATTCATCACCATCAGTTCATGTATTATATATTGTGCTTACACCCCATTCACTCAGTGTTGCTATGCGTTCATAACTGTGTTCCAATCTTTGGTAACAATAAAAATTTACATTAAATAAAAAAATATGATTAAATCTTTATCAAAGGCTCAATGGCTTTAATTAAATTACTTAATTAATTTATAAGTTATAACTTTTTTTTTTTTGTGACTCAAACAAATTCACCAAAGACTCAATATATGTGTAAAAATACAACTTAACACTTAATCACAAGCGTCAGTTCAGCAATTGCAGTCAACAAAGGGATTCAATCACTTTCTTTTTCCTGTAATTTAATTTCAAAACAATTCTTGATATTGTCAACTCCAATCAAAATAGAAAGACGTTTATGATAATGCTGAAATCAAACAAAGAGCAACCTACAAACAACTTCCTTACTTGATCGATGGTGATTTCGTAAATTTATAAGAAACAGATCATCCCACCATCAAAGATCTGGTAGAATTCTAAAAGCAATACTCTTTTGAAAACAAATAACTCTATTAACAATACTCACTTATAGTTGGAGATATTCAATGGTTTCATTCCAATTCGTAGAGTTATCAAAATTTTTATTTAATTTAACCAATAAAGACTAAGAGTTATTTATACAATTTTTTAAAAAGTATTTCTTTTCCAATCTATTTAATTTTTAATTTAAAAAATACAAATTGTTTCCAACAATGAAAACTCTTTCAATACAATCAATCTAGAATGGTAAACTAACAATTGTCATGAAAACCATATTTCTTACAATCACATTTTTCCAATAAAAACATAAAAATTTTAACTCAATTTGAAACTTGTTTCAATCTTTTAAACCTAAATTAACACTTTAGAATTCGATAATGCAAATTCTATAAATAAAATTTGATCTTTTAAAACTTTTCAAAACAATAAAATTAGTGTTGAATTGCTTTTTAAAGATGATTTATGTTATTTATTCACCCTGGTCAGAAATATCATTTTTCTAAAAAGCATTTTGATAGATTGTTCTTTACAAACATTAAAGAACATTTTATTTAAAACTTGTATTCCACTATATTCATTTATTATCTTTTCTCTTTTATTCACAACATATATTCTTTATTTTCACTACTGTATTTCAAATTTAATATTGTCAAAGTTTTTCTTTTTATTTTATCATTTTATTAATTATCTATAAAAAATTAATATTTTTTTATATATTAATCATTATTATTTATCAATTATATTATATTAGTATTGTTTTATTGGTTTTTTCATTTTGATTCACCAAATTGAGGAATAAAGCTCCACCATGGAAACTTTAGTTCTCAATTTGGTGAAACAATTTGAGGATGATGTTGAATATGAATTCATTGTTGATGAATTTTGTAAAAAAAGTTTAATTTTTCGTGATTTATCATATATTGTATCTAATTTTTTATCATTTTTTTATGTAAAATATTTTAATTTATTGGGTAGAGACCCAATCAATCAAAATTTTATAGATATAATAGATAAATTGAATATTAGTAAAAAAGAATCAATAGATATTAATGTTTTTAAACCAAGTAGATTTTTAATATTGGATTTTTCAATAATTTCATACATAGTAAATAGAATATCAGATAAATCAAAGAGAAACAGAATAGATGATATAATTAAATTTATTAGAGAGAATAGTAATAATAAAGATCAATTTTATTATAGAAATTTACAGCATTATATAAATAAAGAAAAATCAAAAGATTTGATAGATAGTGAATTGGAACAGTTTTTGAATTCCAATCAATTTCAGTATATATATAAGGATTTAGAGAAAATTCAAAAATCACAAGATTCAATATTACATTCAACTCATAATCATTTTAAAACACAATTATCAACCAACATAATGAATCACTTGACAAGTAGAATATCAAATAGTATAACTTCAGTTTATAAAATAATAAATATAATATTGAAAAATAAATTAAATAATAAATTAAATAATAATAAGAAACTATCTACAACCAGTTTACTAAAATACTTAGTAAACAATAATATGGTATGTATTATTTTTTTTTAACAATTTTATTATATTTTTGTTTTTTTTTTATTTTTCTAATTTTTTTTTTAAAATCTATTAGATTGGATTTATTTCCAAAAAGCAATATTTGAAAATTATCAAGAGATATAAAGAAACTGTTGATGAGACAACAGAGATCACTAAAGATGTGCGATACAGTTTGCTAATTCGAACATTGTTGGAGCGATCGGATGCTTGGGTTGAGAATCTCGACAACATTAAAATTGATTTGGGTATTTATTTAGAATTATAAATTATTTATTTTAAATTTTTAGTTTATTAATTTTTTTTTAGATTCTCAACAATATTTTAGACATCATGATTTCAACCTGCTTAAAGATGGTATTCTATCGAAAAAGGTGAAAGAGTGTGGGTTGGAGCCTTTCTTTAAAAGATGTATAGAAGTAATTTCCAACCTAAAATCAGCTAATCTTAGTGATTTTTCCGAGGCCTTTTATATACATTTTCTTTTTTTACAATTAAATAATGGTAATTTTATTTTTTAATTTTTATTATTTTATTATATATATATTTTTTTTTTAAATTAACTTTTTTTTATTATAATATTTAGATCTATTAAGAGTTCCAGAAGAAGATGTGATCCAACAATCCGAACACATCATTTTCAGACTGAGGAACATCGATTCTTTTAAGATTTTTCCAGTGAACACATATAATGGTAGTTTCACAATGCATGGCATTGACTGGCTTGAGAAACAAAAGACTACAATAGTTGAATCAAGCTATGATATAACTAACATCATGGATATGGATATCCATGATTCAATCCAAGGTATATTGTTATTTTTTATCTATTTATCTATTATTTATTATCTATTTTATTTTTTACTAAACAAATATTTGTTTTTTTTTTTTAGAAAATCAAAACGATTTTTTTAGTATATTTACAAATACTTTAGATATATTTTTGTCAAAGTATAATAATTTAGATATCAACATTAATGAAAAATTCATCACTATCATCACAAAATTCAAATCATCTTTATTATATTTACCATTTCCACCAGAAGCATCACCTTCTACAATTAATATTATTAAACAAATCAATATTAATATTCATAAATCAATTTTAACTTTAGATGAGTATTTAAAATCAACAAATACAACACACTATACTCATATCATTGATTTAATTAATCATATCTATATGTTATGTACATCTTCTTTAATTAATAACCATTTTATTCAAACTTCATCTCTACAACCTCAACAACCATCAGATAATGATGTAATAATAATTACAACTCATTCACAGTCACAATCTATTACATCGCAACCCTCCAACACTCCAACTTCACCAATGCTTTTTAATTCAACTCTAAAAAGTTCATTTACCATCTTCTTACAATCAATCCACAAAAAGAAAAAGAAGAAACCAGTATCAAGAGCCAAGAAGGTGTCGGTTAAAAAGGCACCAAAGAATCCAGCAAAGAAACCTCAACCGAGAGCCAAGACCAATACTACCACCAATGACAAGTCGCGTCGACGAAAATGTAAACCTTCCATACCAGCTAAATTGACCGACTATGCTGCCAACATTAGACTGTTAACCAAGTATTTCCCTTTGAGTCAGGGCTCCTACAGTTGGAACGTGTTATCCCCCTTCGTTGGTCCATCACCGTCCGATTTTACCTCGAACATGGACTCTATTCTAGAGTATCGTTTCATGGAGTATCTACACATGAAGAATCAATACTTTTGTTTTTCTGGATGGCAACCTCGACTGATTTTCTCAAATCTCGTGAAACAAGAGAAGCTACCCGTTTTGAAATGTATAGTAGAACAAAACTATATGTATATCGAAACAAAGTTGGACTCGAATGTTATTAAAAGGCTCTTGTTTTTTGAAGATTTATCCAATATTTCAATTACAACAATATCAGCTTTTATAGAATACTCGAGGGAGATTAATGGAACTACTGCAACATCCTCATCAACTACAACTACAACAACATCCACAACTACAACAACTACAACAACTACAACTACAACTACAACTTCTTCTTCTTCTTCTTCATCATCTTCATCCTCCTCCTCAAACAATACAACAAAACAAAAAAGAACAAGAATATTTTTTCATATAACTGACCATCCTTGGATTGATTTGCCTCCGTTGGATTCTAATGTTTCCAATCAACCACCTACAAAGGAAAAGTATTCATATACTTTAGCCACTAGACTCTATTATCTGATAGACAAATTCAAATTTACATTATTCCCCCATTTGAAAGGGTAAGTTTATTTATTTAAAAAGTTATTTACCTATTTATTTATTTTTATTAATTTTTTATTCTCAAAAAAAAATCAAATAGGTTGGAGCCAGTATTTTTGCTCTACAGTGAACAGGAAGTTTTGAATCTATTCAAAATTCCTAAATCACTTTCCAATAAGAATATTTCCATCAACCATATCATGACAGACGGTGTCACTTTGTATTTAACTTACTCCAAAGTAGTAAATCAACCTCAAGTTTTAGTTCAGATGCAACCAGTTGAGACGGATACCAACCAACCTATTGACAAAGAGCCAGATCCCGATGAAGAACCAGACCCAGATTCCGAAGATGAGTTACCGCCAAAGATTGTAACTCCAACATTGCCACCAGAATGTAAGTTTTATTGTTTTATTTAATTGTTATTTTCATTGTATTTGCCTTTGCAAAAACTAATTAAAATTTTTATTTTTTTATAGATTATGCTTGTGGAATTGCTTGCGATCCATCGCCGAGAAAGAATTGTTATGTTAATCAGAAAATCAAGTTTGATTTTACATCCAAAGGTAACACTCATAAACTCGATGATAAAGTTCTGAACATCAAGAGTTTAAGTTATAAATTCGATTGCAAAACATCGAAATTCAACAACAAAAGAAATACTTTTATTGGTAAAGAGATGGTAGAATATGAAACTACATTCCCATCGATTGATAGTAAGTAGCTTTAACATTTTTTTCTTTTTATTTAAAATACTAACTGTTGTTTTATCATTTAGGCTCGAGAACTAATGATATCTTAAGTGTACAATGTTATATTAGATCTCTAGGTTTCCGATATGGAAACAAAGACAACTATTTAAAGTTCTCTCAGTATAAGAAGCGAAGAGCTCAAGTACAAGTCAAGAAACTACGCTTCAAACGATTCATCCAGAAGAAAGTAGCCAGAAGCCATCGTTCTAAATTGATTTACACTCACGCCCTCAAGGGAATCGATGCCTACTTGTCGGGTGAAAAAGGTGCCAACAAAAACCATGTTGGTTCTAGTAGTAGTGGTAGAGGAAGTATCAGTGGTAATGGTAAGGATAGAGGTAGTATAAGTATTGGTGGTGGTGGTGGTGGTAGTAACACCAATTTTTTTAGTATATTATCAAATCATGATGAAGATAAAGATGATGATGAATACAACAATAATAACAATAATGTTAACAATAATAATAATAACAATGATAACAACAATAATAATGATAACAATAATAATAATAATAATAAAAAAAAAGAAATGAATTTTCGTCAACGATCACATTATAAACCTAAACAACATCAAATAATTAAATGTAGATTTAGCGAAACCATTCAAAAGATAATTAATAGTAATAATATAAAATTTAATAATAACAAATCATATACAGTAATAACTATGGGATTTCGTAATAGAAACCCAATAAATAATAATATTACAGACGAAGAGGATAAAATTATTAATTATTTCACTCAACACCTCGACAATATCATCAATTCCAGTCAGTTCATCAACAAACAAACAAGACAAATATTTAGATGGTCAATTCCAATCTTGGAATACCATCCACATCCACAACTCATTAAAATTCTCAATCAACTATCACCTCAAATTCAAAACCAAATATTTGGTGAAACACTATCAAAAAAGCTAAACACTATAATCAATCCATCATCATCATTATCATCATCATCTTTATCCATACCATCTTCACCATCATACTCACCACCTCTTTCATCCCAATCATCTTCACCATCGCCATCTTTACAACCTCTATCACCATTATTAATATCATCTTCACCACAATTATCACCATCTTCAATACCATTATCACTTTCACACTCACCACAATTACCATCATCTTCAATACCATTATCACCATCATATTCGCCACTCTCTGAGAGTTCATTATCACTACTATCTTCACCAGCTACATGTAAAAATAAACTTCATATATTTATTTGCGGAGTAAATGACAACCCAAATATTTTAAATAATAGAAAAGTATGTGAAGATTGTAGAAATAATAACAATAATAAAAATAACAATGACATTAACAATAATTCTAATAATAATAATAATAACAATAATAACAATAATAATAACAATAACAATAACAGTAATTCTAATAATAATAATAACAATAATAACAATAATAAAAATAATAAAATAAATAATAAAAAAAACAGTAAGTATTCATTCTCAAAAATTAATATATTCATTTTTTTTTATAAATTTTCTAACACTCTAACTATCTAGAAATCAAATGGGAATGCAATAAATGTGGAGTTATCAACAACTATAACAGAGAAAAAGTATTTGTTGACCAATCCAGAGTTTTTATCGGGCACTGTAAGAATTGCTTACAAGAACACCCAATGTTTTATAACGAAAAAGTAAAAACTGAATATGCCAATCTAATTAATCTATGTAAGTTTATTTTATATAATTTAATTATTTATCATTTATTAACTATAATTATTTTATAAAATTATTTAGTTCCAGGTCATGGAGGTGGTCATATGGGGTTCATTCCTGGAATGAAAGGAATCAACCCAGCTCCATACGTCGAAAAAGAACTAAAAGATGTTTGCCAATACATTTACACTAATACCAAAGTAAATGTTCGTTATAAGATTGTCGATGAGTTCAATACATCTCAAGTATGTAAATCAAATATTTTTTTTATCATTATCTCTTAATTTAATTAATAACTAACGAATTGATTTCCTTGGATTTATTATAGGTGTTCTCGCCACTACTCGAAGAGAACGAACTAGAGGTTCGCAGAGATATTTCAAAGTATGACTCTGCCAAGTGCCTAAAGCATATTCCAGAGGCGCACTGGGATCCACATAACAGAAAGGTGCCTCTATCCGAAAGTACTCTCCGGTACAACAGGAAAGCTTACCTGTTTAACGGAAGTTACTACTATATCAACAGAGACGTGAACGGAGCCAACAATATCTTGTCGGCTGGTTTACGTCTTATCAATCCATCTTTCGAAAAAGATGCGAGACATCAACTTCTTAAGAAGTTTCCACGGCTCCAGGAGGACGACGCTGAAGATTTGATCGATCAACGATAAAAAGTTGGTAAGTTGTCAGAGAAAAAAAATTATTTTTAAAAAAAAGCACACTTTACTAATTTTTTTCTGTTTGAAAAAAGAATTTGACATTTAGTTGTAAGTAAAGTTTTCAATACAAAACAAACTGGCTCTTGCTTGTAACCATAAATCGAATAAAATAAAAAAAACCACTCTGATCACATTAACCCCACAATTTTTAATTTTACTTTTTTTTAAAATAAAGCCCAGGCAAAGTTGTTGGAGCCATTTGTTTGTAAAAAAAAAAGTAAAAAAAAAACATATTTTTGCAATAAACTATTTATTTATTGTTTTTGTTGTACAATAGAAATAACCATCTAATCTAATCTAATCTAATATTAGACATATAATCGACCAATAAATAAATTAAGTCGAATAACTTGATTAATTTACATACAAATGAACGGCAACATGCTGAATGAAGCAAAACTGGTTGATGTTGTAGGTCAACCAACAGCAGCAGCAGCAGATCATACTAATAACATTGTTGAAAATACAAACATCAAAACTACTACCAATGAAAATGATAACAATAAAGATATTGTTGTTGTTGGTGAAAACAATAAAAATTTAAATATTGTTCAACAACTATCAGATATTAATAGTAATGGTAAGAGAACAATGACAAACAACAATAATAGTAGTGGTAGTAATAGTAGTAATAGTAGTCATAGCGGTCTGTTCTGTGAGGAACATGATAAGAAGCTGAAATTGATATGTGTTAGTTGCTGCGCCATGGTTTGCACTCGTTGCACCACTAGCAACCACAAAAATCATGTGTTTGATGATAGCCATTCCATCGGTAAAACGATCACCGATGAAACATTGATGAATCTGTGGAATCGTCTAAAGACATTCAAGCGAATGCATACCAACTACAGACACACAGAGCAACAGATCATTCAGTTCTACGGTGATCTACACGAGCTGCTCATCACACATGAGCTCAAAGCGAAAATACCGATACTCGAGCAATACGACAAGCTCAACACATCACTCAAGAGCGTACTCCATCAAATTAAATTCATCTTTCAACTGAAATACTCACATCATTCACATTCAATCAAACAAATGGAAACAAAATCAACAACAACAACAGCATCATCATCATCAGCAACATCATCATCAACAACAACAACAACAATAACACCTGAAGAAGATAATAATGATAACAATAATAATAACAATAATGATAATAATAATAATGATAATGAATATATGATAAAAAAGTTAATATCATTAATAAATACATTGAATAACGAGGTTGGAAATGGAGATGATTCTGATGGAGATTCCAAACTCAATGATGATGAATATGCAGAGTTGATATCAGAGATGAAAAACTCGATGATTGATGAATTGGATGTTACAAAGATGATAGAGTCTATTGATAACACTAAAACCTTTACAAACTTTCTAAATGATCATCATAGGCTTTTTAGACTGACAACTCCTACACTGACCGACACTTATAAATATGAAAAGAATCTGCTGGAATTCGAGAGTGTTCTACCAAAGAATATAGAGGTGTCGTTCAATCACAACAAACTCGCTAGTATCAAGAGTAAAATTTCGGAACTCTACCACCAGACCGACCACTACTCCAACAAGTCAAAACAATGCATCCTATCGGTGTATCAAGCGGAACAGGACACCAAGATTGCCATTGAGAATCTAAAGAGTAAGACAGGCCAAATCACTGTATACACTTGTCATATTGAGAGTTGTCAATGGACAAACACTCTCTACTCGATGGTTGCGGTCGGATCGAAAGTCTATGTATTCGGCGGAAACAATCGCGCCAAGAACTACTCGACGATCGACCTCGATTCCAACTCTATCTCCATTACGGACCGCGGAGAATTCGATACTGCGCAGGGTGGCGAAGGTATCTCTGCGTGTCACCACCCGAATGGGTTCATCTACATCGTTGGCGGCATGAAGAAACAACCGAACAGGATGTTCACATTGTCGCGTATCGACCAGCTCGACCTGTCCACCAATCATATCCGACGAGTGGGACAACTCGACTATCGCGTGTGCGAAGCATACACATTCATGAGGTGGGGACGACTCTATATTCTGGGTGGCAACGACGGTGACAAAGAACTCTTTAAACTGTCGACGTTCCATCCGACCACCGAGAAGGTATCGACACTCTCGGACAACCTATTTCACGATACTCTAGATGCTAAGGAGCAGGAAACACTCAGGATAGTATCGATGTGTTACGATGAGCACGACTCAGTCTACCTGCTATGCGACAGCGATAGATTCTCGTTCTACCGTCTGAATCTACTAGACATGAAACTGACGAAACTTCCGGTGCCAACTGAACCACCGATGTACTATATGACAAAACACATGATGGTCTACATGAACAATGGATACTCTGAACAACCACCAATCATCTACAACCCAACGCTCAATCAAAACTACCATATAGAGTCTAACCAATGGGAAGAATCCACTCATTACTATAGCCAAGTACCACGACGTTTCTGTATTGGTATACAAGATTTCAAGAATAATAACAACAACAACAATGAAAATGCCAACAATATCAATTCTAAAAAATCAATAAAATAATATCACTCTTGTAAATAGCTATTCTAAATTCATGATCTCGATCAACGCAAACACACAATGTTTAATTAAAACCGAACCTAAAAAAAAAAAAAGTTGCAATTCAATTGAAAAAAAAAATAAAAAAACAAAAAAAATAAAAAATTGAGATCAAATTTTGCTTGTGTGGTGTTTTTGTGCAATTACTATTAATATATATCATATATTTTTTTCATTATTATTATTTGTTTTTTTTTTATTGTTGTGTTGTTGTTATTTAGATATTTTAAGCATAACAAAGTTTAGTTTTCTATTTTTATTTATAAACATAACCTTTATATATTAAAATAGATATAATAGTAGATAGATAATATAGATAGATTTAGAATTACATTGACATTCTTTATTTTTACTCTCTAATCTATCTTTTATATAATATATTGTTTTGTTTTAGATTGATCTTATCTATGTATATTTTAGAATAAAGATCCGTCAAATAATAATAACAATTTAAATTAATAATAATAATAATATAAAATAGTAAAACAGTTTTTTTTTATAATTTTTTTTATATTTAAAGTTAAACAATAATAAATTTTTGTTATTGATTGTAGCCAGTCAGTTCAGGTTAGTTAGAGAGCAGAGAGAGACGATAGTAGATAGATAGATAGATAGATATGAGTCATCAACAAAAAGATAATAAGAATAAAAAGTTTGGAGGTGGTGGAGGTGGAGGATCTGGTGGTGGTGGTGGATACAACAATTCTCCACAACAAAAGCATCAATCACCAAAGCAACATCATCATCATGGTGGTGGTGGTGGTGGTCATCATCATAACAACAGTCCACAACAGCAGTCTCACAGTAATAACAATAACAACAGCAGCAGTGGACAACTAGACGATTCAACAAAGAGAATGAAAGAACGTACTGTTTTTATGTCTATGAACTTAATTGGACACCACGTTGCCGTTCAACTAAAGAATGGCGATTGCTACGAGGGTATCTTGACATCCACCAATACCAGTCAGGTCGGTTGGGGCTGTGCACTGAAGTTTGCACGCAAGCGTGAGGTTTCACCGCCATCGATCATCACCACTGCACCCATTCCACAGTTGGTCATCGATGCCAAGGACTTCTTGGGATTGACCGCCACCGGTATCGTTTTCGACAATATTTCACAATCCGCATTCGGAAAGGAAGCACAGTTTGGATTCCACACCGATACTGACATCAGTGGACACGACGGTGTTATCCGTGAGCGTGAACTCACACCGTGGGTCTCGGAGGACGGCGGTGAGAATCTCGAGTCTGTAAAAATCAACCCGGCCAATGCCAACTGGGATCAGTTTGCGACCAACGAGAAACTCTTTGGTGTTAAAACATCGTACAACGAAGATCTCTACACAACCACATTGAATCGTGATTCCGATCACTATCGTACACGTATTAAAGATGCTGAAAGACTTGCTGCTGAAATTGAATCCGTAAGTTAATACTCTTTTTTTTTTTTTTTTCTTTATCATCGACAATTTATTAACCGTTCAATTCAATTCGTTTAGAAACAATCGAATAATATTCATTTGATGGAGGAAAGAGGTTTGATTAGAGCAGCAGACTATGATGAGGAGGAGAGATACAGTTCTGTCATTAGAAATGGAACATCTAGCAGTTCAACAACTTCACCACCAAACAATAACGATAAATCAAAGAATATGATGCCGACTTCAAATTCAAATGTATATATTCCACCAAGTAAGCGTGGGAGCGTCACCGGAGCAGCTGGAACATCCTCACCCTCGATTCCACCCTTATCAACACAAAAGGTATCGCCAACCACCACAACAGCAGCAGCATCGACCACCTCGCCAACCACCAAACAATCAACAACAACAGCAGCGACCACACCAGTAGCAGCAGCAGCAGCATCAGCTAAACCAACAGCATCAGTCGAAGAAAAGTCGACAACTACAACAACCACTAGCACCACCACTTCTACAGCCGCAGCATCAACTACATCGCCATCAAACAACTCACCATCTCACCAACAACAGCAACAGCATTTCAAGGAATCGACATCAGGTTCAACTGGTTCGCTATTGAAGGATTCACCGGTGACCAAGCTACGATTGAGAGATCGTGCTGGATCGATCGACCATAACGACTCGCTATTGAATTCACCACGTGACGGTCAATCACCAAGAACTCTTCAGAGCTACAATAAGATTCGTGCAGCAATCGTTGCAGAGAAACTACGTAACTCTGCAGAGCCACGTTCACCGCTATTTTCACCGCTCGTCTCTGATCCCGTAGGTTTGTCTGCTTTGTCACTCGATGTATCGAAACCAAACATCAGCGAAGACACCATCAAGGAGTTCAACGAATTCCTTCTCACCAAATCCACCACTGAACAGCCACCCTCTGCCGATCGTAAATCTCAAATCGAGAATCTCAAAAACTTTAGTCGTGATCTTTCACGTTCCAGACCTGGATCACCGCTTATCGGTCCGAATTCACCAAGACCAATGTCCAATCTCTCATCGATTTCATTGTCAGGTGCACTCTCACCACGTACCTCTGCCTCTGATATTCCAGTTATTAGACCAATTGCAACCGCTCCAGGTGCCGCCACAACTACCACCACCACAACTACTACCAGCACCACTACTGATGATAAGGAGAAAGAGAAAGAAACTACCACTGATGCCACTGCTGTCTCATCCTCTGCCGACACTAAAAAGGCTGATCCAGCAACCAAATCAGAAACAACCACAGATAAACCAGCGGATACTGTAGCCAAGCCAATATCTAAATTGAAATTAAACCCCAATGCCAAAGAATTTACACCAGTTTCATTGAATTCCAATGCACCAGTGTTTACACCTAAAAACTTTATACCGGCTACTGTCGCCAAGCAAGGTCTCCTGGGTAGTGGAAATATCGAATTCTACGAAGCCAACAGCAGAGCCAATACCTATCCAAATATTTCAATCAACGATCTCTACTACGAATCGATGAAGAGAAGACAACAGAACCCAGAGCAATCGAATGCTCCATCGACCTACTGGAACGAGAGCTACGGTGTTCGTGGATCCAGTCAGTACGGTGCCGACGATGACTATATGCCACCCGCTCAATACCCACCTGCCATGCGTCCACCCTTTATCCAAATGGGTGTGCCAGCTATCATTCCAACCTACTATCCACCGCCCGTTGCTAATGTCGCACCTGGCGCACCGGGTGTTCCTGTACCAGTAAAGTCGATGAAACCAATCTATAACCCACAACCACGTGGACAACCATACGCACCTCCACCACCATTACTTCAGGCACCGGGTGCAATGGGTCAACCACCTCCCCAATATGTTTTCCCACCTCAATTCCAATACGTACCACAGGTGTATCCTCCACCCGGTGGACCTCACACAATGCCACCAAAGCGTTCATACTACCCCGGTCAGAATCCATCGAACGGTTACCAACCAATCCAACCACACGGTATAATGCTACCACAGAACACATCGCAACCACCATCGCCACAACACCAATCTCCACAAATCCCATCGCCAACATCACCTCCACACCATTCAAGAATGGTACCTTCATCACCACAAATGATAAATCCAATGTACCCTTATCCAATGATTCAAAGATACCCACCACATGGAAACGACCCTAATGCAACTTACCCACCTCCCTATAATTAAGTTAATTGATAACTAAAAAAAAATAAATGACAATTTAGTTTAATAAAATAAATGTTAAGCTAAAAATTTAAAAAAAAAAACAACAAAAAACATTAGATAGATGTAAATTGTTGATTAACTTTATTTAATTTTTTAATTTCTTTTTAGAGTTTTCTTTTGGCTCGAAATCAGGTTTCTCTTCGTGAACAGATCTCTGTTTGAATGTTCTGATGACTTTGTTGTTCTCTTTGTTCTTCTTTGTATTAACACCAGCAATGATCTTTGATTTTTCGACTTGTTCCATGAATTGAACATTCTCCTTTCTTACACGATTCAACTCCAATTGAATCTTCTTGTCTCTTTCTAATCTCTTTTGAACCAATTTATCCATGAGATGATGCCATTTGAACTTTGGTAGATATATAATGTTCCACAAACAATCCTTATGAATATCTCTGTTTTTACCTCCCATCGGTTGATTGTGCAGGAGTAATGCTATCTTTCTTGCGATCTTCTTTTCACTAAATTCAATCCAACCTTCTTTGTACATATCGTTTCTATATGCTTTACGATCGACATTTGCTATAAAGAGTCGTAATAATAAGAATAACATTAGTTTTTACAATGAATTCATTAAATATTATTAATCTAAATATTGGTTTACCTTTGATAAGTTTCATTCTTGTAACAGTTCCATACTTTAATAGCAAATTCTTTAATTTCGAAGGTGTCATCTTCTCTGGTATAGTAGAGAGATAGATGATACCTTTTTCTTGATTCTCTTGTTCTAATTGTTGAACTCTCTCTTTTGACATTGGTTTGATAATATAAGTTGTTTTCTTTTTTCTCTTTAAACCAGTACCTTGACTATCATCCTCCTCTTCTTCTGCGTCTCCTTCCTCTTCTGCTTCTTCTTGTAATTCTTCGACAACCTCATCCTCGTTTTCAACTGAATCATCCAATTGTTCCTCTTCTATATCTTCATCCTCTTCTTCTACTTTTTTATTGATAATTTCTTTCTTTTTTGGTACTTCAACCTCTTTTTTTCTTTTGTTTGACATTTTATCTAATAATGTCAAAATTTAATTAAATAATAATTGATAAAGCACCAACAACTCAATCAAAGAAAAATTAGACAAAAAACGAACGAAAAATGAAATTTAATTTTAAAAATTTATTTTTAAAAACTTTTGATTGACTTATCTAAACACTGATTCCAATTGTTTATATATGTGTAAAAGACTAACAAAGTGAGAAAATGGCTATCCTCTATTGCTATGGTTATTTTATTCAAGAAATCGACTATAAAAAACTATTTTTTTTTTGAATACAATTTTTTTATTGATGTTTTTTTTTTTATAAACTTACTTGTACAAAACCTCTTTAAAAATATTATAAAAAAATAGTCTTTGCCAACATTGGTCATTATAGTACTTCAATTTGAATAAAAATAATTTTGTTTTTATCTAAATATCAAATTATTTTTCTTTGACTTTAGGTAAATGAAGTACTATAATGACCAATGTTGGCAAACAACTTTTACAAGTACTACTGTTGAATGTGTTGGACATGTTGGTTGATCCTTGGGTTCCCAAATCTTCAAATAAATTGAACAAATCCCAGACTAAAGAGAAGAGATGATCCATTGACGGCAATCTGGTTGGTACAAATTTACAATTGTACCTATATGTTTGAATTGCTGTTCGTTCGAAAATAATCTTTCAAAAGCTCCAAAAGATACTGTTGTATTTGGAGGCTGATCATCTAGAGATAATACTATTTTAATACCTCTCAGATGATTTCAAGTAGAAGCTCCTGCCACATCCAAAACTATGAACTCATCAACCATTTCATTTGTAGGTGGATCCATAAACTGTGCCAGATGTGTTGATGGGGTTCAGACTACATACACCATTCCAGCTCTGCTATTATCTATAGGTTGAAGAGGTGTCTTTTTTAAGAGTGTAAGAATACTCATTTCATCTTCTAAATTATTATCATTTAGTTTTGTTTTTGAAGCCATTTACTGTTTTCCTAAGAATAAATAAAAAATTATAATTATTTAAAAAAAAAGTGACATATGTCAATTCATTTTGATGTTCTTACTCAAGTGACTCTTTTTTAATTTTTAATATTTAAATTTGACTGATGAAATTCTAAGCTAGTGCAATTAAATGATCTATAAATTAAACTCACTTTTCTCAAAAAGGTAGTAACGATTAACAGATTTTTGTTTTTAAAAAAAAATTTTTATTAAGATTAGCTAATAAAAGTTTACATTAAAACTGTAAACTTAGGGTTGATTAACTTGGAAAATGAAAGATAGTTTACACTAATTTTAACCTTATGATTTATTGATAGATTGATTGATTACTGATAGTAATTATCCTTATTTTTACAAAAAAAAAGAGAAAAACTCATGAATAAATAATTTAATAAAATTAAAACAGACCAAAAAAATCGAATCATCACATAGAGGAAACTGGAATCTATTTAAAGAATAAGTAGAAAAAAAAAAAATAAAGGCAAATTTATTTACTTCTGTGACTTAAAAAAAACACCATATGTGAAAAAAACTGTATTTACATTTGTATTATTATTTTTTGCCTGATTTTTTTGATTTTGAGTTATTGGTAAAGAGTGTTTTGGAGTTTGGAGAAGTAGGAGATGTTGCAGCATTGGTGGATGATGCAGAAGCTGATGAATTGCTGCTGGTGGTTGAGCTACTCAAATCATTATCAGAGAGTTGCTGTTGTTGTTGCTGTTGTTGTTTCTTTGGGATTGGAATACTTGGAGATGAACTAATGACTGGTAATGGATCGTCCAAATCCAATGTCTTCTTGTAGGTTGGTGGCATCGTGGTTGGGATAGGTGGATAGCTGTTGTTACTATTTCCATTGGCATTGGTAGTGGTGGTTGTAGTGGTGGTAGTAGATGTTACAGAAGAACCAGATGATTTTGGAAGAGGGAGCAAATCGTTGTTCAATTTAGCAGGTTCATAGCTGTAGTCATCATAGGTAAAAGGTGGCTTCATTGGATAGATCGGTGTGTCTGGACTCTGGCTGTATATGTCATTGTAGTTTGCAGAGATGGGCTTTGGAATGCCAATGGGATTGGTAGGAGATCCATTGTGATATCCATTCATGGAGACTCCATTGGTCATACCTCCTCCCACACCTCCCATACCCATGTAAGGAGAACTATCGCTGACATTGCTGTTGGTCAACTGTGGATAGAGCGGTGCACCAGACGACAACGGTGTCTTGATTGCTTGATCCAATTGCTTCATCAATTCCATTTCACTTTCCATTTCCAACTCTTCATTCTTTTTAATATCGGACAAATTTACAATTTCAATATCATCACTGTTAAACATAAAATAGGATACAATATAAAAATGATGGATGAGTAAAGATGGGTTTTGAATTGGTATAATGAATGTTGATAACTTACGACTCTGATCGTGGAGAAGAGATATTTGATTTTTTCTTTTCTATTTTGATAACTTCACCAATCGGGTAGTCCTCATCAAAGAAAGATAATGAATCAGGTGAGGGCTTGTATGATGAGTTTCTAAATGAAAACTGAGTGTTACCCCAGATTGGACGTATCTCTTGACTATGAGTTGTAATCTCAACATTAAACAACCATCTAGCTTCTGAATCCTGTACGATTTCTTCATTATTTTTTTCCTGTAATAATGGTTAATCTCTTGTTGGATAATGGTCGGTAATGATTATAAGTAATACTTACATTATATGGTATGGTTGTACTCTTGAACTCGCTTGATCTTGTTTTTCTACAGACATCCCATTCGTGAATTGGGTTCAAAGACATGCACAAAGTGTTTGGATCGACTTCGAGAGTGGTGGGTGGGTGTGGCCGTAGTTCATAGAGAATCAATTGACCATTCTGATTGACAACAAATAACTTTTCAAGATCTTGATTGGTTGTCTCTAGGAAACAACTGTTTCCGGCAGTGATATTAGATGGAACTTTCAATTGAGTTGATTGATTCGATTCATCTTTTGTATTTCCTAATTTAATTCTATCCATCGCACTTAAAGTCATTAGAGATGGCTATAAAAACAATACAAGCAAGTTAGTATTATTAATAAACAAAACTATACAATATTGTTATGATTCAAACATACATGAGCATTTGGAATTTCGGACATATAATCTCTTGGTTTGGTTTTTGAACTTTTGACAATATGTGAATGAATGTTTACATCACCACCAAGTGGATTAATAGCGTATATATCTATTATTAATATAACATGTTAGTTAATTATATATTGTTATAATATATAAAAATAATAATAATTGAACTTACGTGTTGTTCCTCTTGAGGTGGTAAGAGCAGCCCATTTAGAGGTATCATTAATACTTAATCCTTGAATTGAAGCATTGGTAATTCCTCTTTTCAAGACATAAATATGTCTAAAGGCATGTGAAGGATCAGGGTTACTTTGTGGATTTACAGACAATGAATTGGTGAATGGCATTATTTGATAGACATTGAGTTTAGTTCCTTCAGTTGAAGATGTAAATAACTAATAAAAATATTAAAAAAAAAGATTAATAATGTGGATAAAATTTGATAGAGATCTATCTTGTTAACTTACCAAAGTACCACTTGGATCGAAATTTAAATAAGAAACGGGTTGTGGATGTGGTGGCTTAATTACAGCAACTTGGCGTTGTTTTATAAAGTCATAGATGACAATGACACAGTTGTTTTCCTGAATGTATTCCTGGTGTGGATTCGCAGAAACATGTGAAGAGGGGCTGTCCTCTGGGTAGAGATAACTGGAAACTTTCTTTCTACCGATATCGCCAAAGTAATAGAGTTTCTGTGCAACTTCCTTCGCTAGATCGGTTGCAACATCGACTGCTGTATCGCTAAAGTTCTGGTTGTGCTGTTGATAGGATTTCAGGTGCTGAATGTACGGACCTACTGATGCCAACGACGATGAGTTCGGAGAGGTCGACATGTGACCGGCGCCACCTGCGGAATCGGTATAGGCAAGCCAACGCGGACCGAGTGCGACGACACCAAATGAATTGGCTGCGGACGGGAACGTAGAGAGTGACAACACCTTTGCCATTGTCACCGGGTTGAATCCAACGATACGCTCCTTCAGCACCACCAGGAATATCTTTTCATTGGAGATGACATTGTAAACGGGTGTCTGAAACTTGCTCATATTGAAGAGCTCACACGTCTTCAAACTAAAGATTCTAACCATGTTTCGAGTTACCTTGGAGTTGTCCTCACCACTCACCACTGCTAGCAACGGTCGCTTTCCATAGTAAATAGAGTTGGGTGGTTCTTTTTCGGCCGGTGTCTTTAATACCTTGACAAATCGAATCATTCCTTCACGCAAAGAGAACAACTCCTTTACACCATCTGGATTATCTAAATCCCATATTTGAAATCCATTATTATAACATATATTCAATAGTTTGTGTCTGTTTTTAACAATATTATTATAAGAGTTGGTGGTAAGATAAGAAGATCAATGATTTGTTGTTTTAATGACACACCACTCACTTGAAATAGGTGGTGATGGTGGTGGTGGTTAGAGATGGTTATTACTTACTTTTTTCCCAAAATTTCGCACTCATCAAAATATGTACTGACAATGGTGTCTTTTTCACCTTCGGTAATCGATGGAGATGTATATATTTGCTTTTTGATGGTTGACTTTATACTGGAGGGAATATATGAAGAGATACCTTGAAGATAACCACTCAATGCTGATTGACTATAAGGACTATTTATTTGTAGAAAACAGTTTTGTTAGAATATATTCAAAGATTAATGATAATGACTACAATGATAATAATCATACCTAGGCTTCTCCTCTGCTTTTGCACCACCATAAGACAAATTATACATCATTCTGTTGACTATATCGATTTGTTTATTCTATATCTATATCTATCTTCTATCTATATTATATTCTATTATATTCTATATCTATATCTATTTAAAACTATACAATATCTATCTATTTTAACTATATTTTTTTTTTTTGTTATTATTATCTATTTATTATTTTTTTAGTATTTTATATATTTTATTAAAAATATGTACAATTATATTATATTATTATATTACTATATATTTTATTTTAATGATTTATTAAAATAGCAAGTTTAACTTTTTTGAATTTAAATTAAATTAAAAAAAAAAAAGAAACAATGATATTATGATTATGATTGGATTGGTAAGGTGTAAACAAAAAAAGTAAAACCTTGAAAAAGAAGGGAAAGGAAATTTAAAAAATAAAAAAAAATAACTATTTATTTTAATACAAAAAAAAAAAAAAACAAAAAACCTATATATATACAAATATTTAAAACTATATTATCTATACATTTATATATTAAATAAGTAATATTACTATAATATATATCTATCTATTTATTTACAATGAAAAAACTAAATTAAAATCTATCTATGATTGATTGATTATGAATATGTTTTTGAATTTTATTCTTTTCCTATTGTTTGTTGTTGATTCGATACCTTTTAAACTCTTTTTATTGTTTCTAATTAAAAAAAGAATTAAATCAACAAAAAATAAAATAAATTGGTAATGTATCTATAATTTTTTTATAAAATTAATTAAGTTTTTTTAATTAAATAATAATGAAATTTACAAATTTTTATTGATTTTTTTTTATTTGCAAATGCATTTTCCAATTTTTGGTATTTTAATATTGTTTTAATTAAAAAAAAAAGAATTAAAAATTTGAATATTTATTGTGGGTGGGTGTGTGTTTGTGTGCATATAAATATATTATATTTAATTGATTTTATTACTTTCATTTTCCCTCTTTGAGAGAAGCAGAATTTGATATGTTTTTTGCTAATAAAAAATATTTAAAAAATTATTAATAATTGCAAAAAACAAAACAAAAAAAGTGAATAATTATAGTGGTTGTGGAAAGATTGTATACAATGTTTATTTTAATAATTTCATTTTATAATAATAATAAAGATAATTTATTTATTTACATTTTATTGATATTATATGATATTATATTATATGTTTGTTAGTTATTATATGATTGTGTTTTGATTGATGTTTTTTTTTTGTTGATTTTACATTTCTTGAGTTGCAACGGAAACATTTGCTTCTGAGGGTACATAGTGTATACCAAGGGTATGATAATCTTCGAGTTGTTTCCACTGTGTTTTAAAGTTGGTTGTGTTGAGTAGCTGTGATTGTTTGGTGACTAGTGTTTGTACGATGGTGAACTTCCATTCACGCATGATCTTGGTGTTCTCATTGCTACGCGAGATAAGATACTCAAAGAAACCGGGCTGTGACAGCACCGACTTGGTACCCCACCCGTGGAAGCACAGCGATTGAATGGCGCGTAACGCTGCAGTCTTGACCTCTTCGATCGGTGAAGACAACGATTGGTTCAGTGCATTGGCCAGACCATCCAAGTTGCTTCCTAGTGCACTCTCGAGCAACGCACTCGGATTGTCGGCGGATTGCAGCCAGCTCGACAATTGGTGTCTGCTAGGCGTCGAAATGTTATCGGAGGATCGCACTGCCAGTTCCAGATAGTCGTTGACAAGCGCACGGTTATTCTCGAGGAGGAACTGCAAGCCGGCTGAGTGACTTCCGATGGCGCCGACGGTGTCTATGGCGCGCTCGACACAGCGCGACGCCAGATGTTGGTTGGAAGTACGGTAGTCTTCGAAACAGTAGGCAAGCAGGGCGAAAAGACTGGATCTTAGTTGTTGTTGTTGGCTATTCAGTAAGAGTTGGATGTGATTGTTGTCTACGGAGAACCATTGGCTGAGCATTGTTAGAACACCATTGACAACGAGTGGATCTGACGAGGAAGGATCGCTATGAGAGTTTACCAATAGTCGTGCGAGACTGTCTATAAATTCGGTTTGTTCAATGATCCATTTGAGAACATCGATGTTATCGCCAAGTCTGCTAACCAACTCGACATAGCCAAGTCGAACCAGTGTGTCGGGGTCACTGACTGCCGCCACCACTAAATACTTGAGCGGTTCACCAAGTTGAACGGTCATTGTCAAAGGATGATAGTTGACAAGTAACACTACAATATCCAATACTCTAAGCAGCGCAGACTGTTCTTCATCTCGATTGCTTTTACTTTGTTCAAAGAATTGGTTGATGGTGGTAACCAATTTATTTGATAGTAACTGATTGAGTATTTCTTCTTGATTGTCTTGTTGTTGTTGTTTTTGATTGTTATTGGTTATCTCTTTGAATAGAGCGATTATTGAAGATGCAACAGAGGTGGTAGATTTCAATAGCGGTATCAGAGAAATGAGTAACTCATTGACTGCTAGCCATTTTAATGTTGGTAATCTTTCAGTGTTTAGTGTATCTTGTATCTGTCTAATGGTTGTAAGTTGTACTTGATCACTAGGATGTTGAATACCCAACTTTATAAAAGGTAATAGTTGATCGTTTAACAATAGTGTCTTTTCACCTTTTCTCTTTGCAGTCTCAAATAAACTTCTAATATTCATACATGTCTCATCGATGACATCTTCATCCATTGTATTTAGCTTTGAAAACTCTTTAAATAATAATAAATCTGACATTTTTATAACTCTTTAAATCAAATACTTTAATATATGTTTTATTTTAAAAATGAATGTGTTCTATTGAGAGAAAAAAAATTAATGATTTGTAATTTCAAAAAAAATAAAATCAAAAAAAACTTCTTTGATGAAAGCTGTTCATCAGCCACCATATTACTATCGTCGCATTCCTCAGCCGTATGCTTTCTCTCATCTGATAATCTATTATCTAAATAAATAGTTGGGAGGAATTGGACAGCTCCAAGAGAAACTCAACTGCTCGAAAGTTGTTAAACTCTTTAAAAATTACTGTGCATTTATCGATTCTCAAACTACCATATGCTATTAGGTTATAAGATAGTTATTCATACCGATCACCAAACATGCTCAGATAATAGATTATCAGATGAGAGAAAGGAACTATATAGAAAGCAGTTTGATTGCCATAACCTCTTGTTCAAAGACATGGTAATCCCTTTCAGTTGTGTTAAACTTCTTGGATCCATAAATAACAATTTGTTTGTTATCTTCTTGTTCAATATTGTCTTTGTATTGATAAATGACATGACCTATTCCATCATTGGAGTCGTCACAATCGATGGGAAATGTTAACTTAATAATATATGTATGTTCACTTGATGGTGAAAATCACTTGGTGGTGATATATATTATGCACTTGGAAGTGCTATAGTCAATCGATGCTTTAAAGAGCATGCTACCATGTTATTTTACAATGGTAATAATGTCATATTAAAATATACATATAAACATATAAATATTATACTTACAACTTTGATATAAAATTAGGAATTACTTTTAGGAATAGTTTTGGTACAAGAAATATGGATTTAATAAATGTAATAAAGTTTAGAGATATAATTTACAGTATAAGATTTAAAGATAATCATTTATTTGATTTACAATTTGAAGATAAGAATAATATTTGATAGTGTTGAATAAATGTTGGATTATTGTTTAACAGTTGGATTATTAACTTTAGTTATTTGAAATAACTAAAGTGTCAATAAACTATTTGAATTGTGATGGTTGAATTCTTAATAACTATTGATTTGATTATTATAATTCGAAAATGTTAAACAATTCTCTTGCTTTTTGAAGCAGTTGTCTTCTCGACATTTGTTCACCAATTGGAAGTGTAATCGTTTGTTTGTTGTTCAGCAAAGTTAATCCAATCGATTTGTAAACCATTCTTTGTCTATGACCTATTCTTAGTGATTCCAATAATAGTTGTTGTTTTGTCATTCGAACACCATTATGGAGTGTTATTGTTTCATACCGAGATAGTGTAATTGCAAGGTTATAAAATGAATCGTATTTGCTGGGATCACATTCTATTAATTTTAAGTATAATTGTTGTTTTGTCATTGATTGTCCGTTATTAAGAATGATTGATTCACCTCTTGAAAGTGTAATTAAAAGTTGATAATACAAATCAAAATTGTTTGGATCACATTCTATTGCTTTCAAGTATAATTGTTGTTCTGTCATTGATTGTCCATCATTAAGTGTGATTGATTCACCTCTTGAAAGTAAATTTGCAAGATTATAATATGAATCGTATTTTTTTGGATTGCATTCTATTGATTTCAAGTATAATTGTTGTTTTGTCATTGATTGTCCATCATTAAGTGTGATTGATTCACCATTTGAAAGTGTCGTTGCAAGGTTATAATATGAATCGGAATTGGTTGGATAAAATTCTATTGCTTTCAAGTATAATTGTTGTTCTGTCATTGATTGTCCATTATTAAGTGTGATTGATTCACCATTTGAAAGTGTATTTGCAAGGTTATAATATGACCGATAATATGTTGGTTCATATTCTATAGATTTCAAGTATAATTGTTGTTCTGTCATTGATTGTCCATCATTAAGTGTGATTGATTCACAATCTGAAAGTGTTAATGCAAGTTTAAAATATGAATCGGAATTGGTTGGATCATACTCTATTGATTTCAATAATAGTTGTTGTTTTGTCATTGATTGTCCATTATTAAGTGTGATTGATTCACCATTTGAAAGTGTCGTTGCAAGGTTATGATATGAAAATGAATTTTTTGGATCACATTCTATTGATTTCAATAATAGTTGTTGTTCTGTCATTGTTGTTCCATCATTAAGTGTGATTGATTCACCTCTTGAAAGTGTAATTGCAAGGTTATTATAAGAATAGGAATATGTTGGATAAAATTCTATTGATTTCAAGAATAGTTGTTGTTTTGTCATTAGTTGTCCGTTATTAAGTGTGATTGATTCACCATTTGCAAGTGTATTTGCAAGATTATAATAAGAACTGTGACTGGTTGGATCATACTCTATTGATTTCAAGTATAATTGTTGTTTTGTCATTGATTGTCCATTATTAAGTGTGATTGATTCTCCTCTTGAAAGTGTTCTTCCAAGGTTATTATAATATCGTGAATCGTTTGGATAATGCTCGATTGCTTTTAAGAATAATTGTTGTTCTGTCATAGATAGACCTGATGTAAGAATGATTGATGATCGATTTTCAGCTTTAAGTATTAATGCCAACTGGTAATAAGTATTAGCATAGCTTGGATAAAGATCGATTACTTTTAATAAAAGTTGTTCTTTCGTTGTTGATTCACCTGATGGTAGCACAATTGTTTGTTGATCCCTATTAACATGATCAAATGCCATTACAAGTTGGAGAAGCGCATCATTATTAACATTTGAACTGATATTATTCTGATCATGTTTTCTTTTCATTGTTTTTTAATATATGAATAATCTTTTGATATCAATTGTCTAAATATCGATCAAAGCGTGGTGGCAGGTCTTAAACCACGGAAAGTACATTTAATATATCACCCAAAGATCAAAAAAAGGAGGACCTATTTTTTCAACTCAAAAAAAACATTAACATCTTTTTTTTTTCAAATATTCAAAGAATTAAAATAAAATAAAATAAAAAATTGTATCTCATCAACAGAATTAGAACACAGAATTCTGATCGAAAATCGAAATACCACAGTTTTTCAAATTTTTATCAAGCAAACACCCACACACCTACACATATTTGTGTGCTGAATTAGATGTTGTCATAAAATAAACTAATCTTCGGAATGAAGATCCTTGTCCATCGAATTACTCATCTTTAGTATATAAATGTTAAATTTCGATTTAAAAAGATATCAAATTTTAAATAATATAATCAAATATACCAAATTACCAAACCAAACCAAATCTTTCCTATTAATTATTATCAAATTAAATATGTCTCAACCAATTTTCCATTATGTATGTCTAATTAAAACTCTAAACATTTTGAAATGAAATAATAATACTAATTTTTAATTTGTTGAAAAAAAAAGTTTGATGCCAGAGGTCGTGGTGAAGAAATTAGAATTCTATTAAACTATGCCGGCGTAAAGTACACTGAAGTTAAAATTGGACCACTCACAGATGAGATTCGTTCCAAATTAACATTTGGACAACTTCCATGGTATCAAGATGGTTCACTCAGTATCACTCAATCGATGGCCATTGAAAGTTATATTGCCAGGAAATACAATTTACTTGGTGTCAGTGAAGAAGAGAATGCTGAGATATTTAGTTATGTTCTCTCTGTTGCTGATATGTTGGATGCCATCATTAAGGCATTTACGGGTGGTGATGAACAAAAACAAAACTTTTCCGAAAAGATTGCACCAAGAATCATCAAAGCATGGGAATCTAAAATCAACGACCAAGGTCATCTTTTCGGAAACAAGACAACGTGGGCTGATTTGGCAATTTTTAACAGTATCGATTATTTACTCTGGACTAAGAATGAGAATCTCTTTATTTCTTCACCAAAGTGTATCAAACTACATAAAAGTCTTGCAAATTCATCACAACTAAAACCATACTTGGATTCTAGACCAAAGGATGTTAAATTTTAATAGGAACAATAATAAAACCTTAATCATATAAGAATTAAGATTCTAACAATTTTTTATAATTTTTTGATTTTTTTTTTTATGATCATTAATCAAATTAATTACCAAATGTAAAATTAGCAAAGCCAAAACAAAAGTAGTAAATATAATGAAACAAGATTTACATTTTTAATTGGGATTAATCACTTGTAAACATGTTTTTATTATAATTTTGTTGATTTTTTAAAAACTGTATATCCATAAGATGAGTTTGATAAATATGGAAACAATTAGAATTAAAATAGAAAGTGCTAGAATAACTTCTTTTCTAAAGAATCTACGTGATAGTAAACGAATCTGTTTGTTATCTGTGATTTTGTAGATCATTTTGATTGGTAATCCAATTTCCATCGAGGTGATTGGGAATTTCTCGTCGTCCAACGGATATTTGTAGGTATCGTAGGCGGTACACACTCTGCTGCCATTATATAGTTGTTTTCTTCCTTCATCTGACAGACTTCCATTTGGATTACGATTAGGTGATAGTGTTACTAGAAGATTCTGTCTTTGTTGTCTAACTGGTGATAGCTGGTATTGTTGTTGTAGTTGTAATTGATTTTGTTGTAGTGGTGGATATTGTTGATTTTGTTGTTGTTGTTGTTGTTGACTGTTGTTAATTGATTTCATATTTTGTTGTTGTTGTTGTTGTTGATAAGCATGATGATGATGTTGTTGTTGTTCTACTTTATTCAACTCTACAATCACTTCGAATTGATAGAGTGAAGACAAACGATTCAATACACTCTCTTTAATCTTCAATGCAATCGGTTTCTTTGCAAGATCTTGCACCAAGTTCTTTACACTCATAGACATGTAGTTGGAGAACATCGATAGTTTGTCTTGATTCTCTCTTATTCCATAGAAATTCATTTGCCTATCTAGACTTTGTAATACTTTATAAATAAATTATTATTATTAGTATTTAAAAACGTACGACGAACACACATCAATCATATAATTAATTATATATAAAACTTACTGTCCTTTGATAGATTAACACTGGTATTAGTGAGATTGTAATCTATTGATTTACTATTTAATAGATGTCTGTCATGTTGATCAATCTTTCGAAGTATTTGTAAAATGGTTGGATCTAGTATGGTATCTAACACTTTAGAGAATGATCGATGATGAATATCCAATGAGAAGTCGAATGATATCAATGTCCTCAACATAAACAATGAGAATATATATGAATAGAAATAGTAGTTATCTATAATATATTGTTCACTAATAAAATATAATAAAATATTAATAGAATGTTATTTATAAACATAATACGGTTATTAACCAAACAAAGCTTAGTGTACTTACGATATATTAACAACCTGTTCTTGATGATGATGAAATGATAATAATGATGATTTCTTTTTTAGTGTTCTTTGACGCCATGGTGTTAAGTAAGAAATCCAAAGCTTAATAGTCTGAATTATTATTTATAAAAAAGATATAATGATGATTAGTTATTAAGCTACTTATTATATTATATTTATTTTGGTATTAACTTACTTGTTCTAATGGTAATTGTGTATCGTTTGGATCAAACTTCTCAAAGAATGATATGATGTTTGCAAACAAAGGATATCTCAATGTGTTGAAGAGTTGTGTAATAAAGGTAGATTCCATCGACTGTGACTTTACAAACTCTTGGAAGTGTGCCAATAAAGTATAGGATACATCAGCATAGAATGAGTTTGGTTTATTGTACTGTGCGTTTATTAAATAAGAAGGTGAGTAAATTCAAGTCACCATGTAAAGAGTATATTGTTGCTTTTTCAACTACTTACTGACGATAAATGATTATAGAATTCTTGGGGAAGATGAGATATCATGAGGTTGGTGATATTGTGACCGAGGAAGCATTCACAAAGGATCTTAAAGAAGGTATGTGTTTGAATTTGATTGATTTCAATTGGTTTGGTTGTGTTGCTGTATCTCTTTGATTTACTGGCATCACTGTACAGCGGTAGGAAGTAGTGAAGATAGTCAACAAGCAATCGGGTATATATTGATTTCTGACGATCTAGTGCTACCGATTTCGATGTTCCTGTAGTCGAAGTCGACAATGAAGAGGTCGAACTAGTCGATGATAGCAATCCACTTCTATTACTACTACTTCCACTATTAATATGACTGCTTCCACTACTACTGCTGCTACCTTGATAACTATAGGTTGGTACACCAAAAATATATCTTTGACCCAAAGGTAATGAACTCTATAATAATAATAATAATATTATTATTATTATTAACAAATAAATGAATTAGTTTAAAATAATACACACTTATGATATCTTTAATAAACTTACAGAATAATCACCAAATAATGCGAATGCAAAGAAATACAATTGAAATATATTGACGGTGATGAATCTCTTGTTGTCAGAGATGTCATAGCCATTGATGATGTTTGGTGATGTATATTGCTGTTGTTGTAGTTGCTGCTGTGTTGCAGGTGATTGTTGATCTATTATCTTTGAGAATAACTTGTATATAAATGTTTTCTTTAGAAACGATGAAAAGATAATAAGTATAGCTATTAAAATGATAGTATAATATTTATGATAATGTACATACAGGTACTCTGTCGATTGGAAAGTTATAGAGATTCTGTGTGTTTGAGAAATGTGACATTAAGAAGCGAAAACAAATCGATTGTGAGTTGAGTTGACTGAGTAACTCTGGTATTTCATCTTCATTGCATAGTCTTATGATTCCTTTTGGATCAGAACTATAATATATATATGATATTATTTTATTAGTGATAATGAATATCTAAAGAGTGTTGTTTAAACAGATAGATTGATTCTTTACCCAAATATCTTTCCAAGAAAAATAGGCCAGTCGTGATGTAACGATGTTATCTCTATATGCTTTGCCAACAGCTTTTTGAAATCTCTTAGATTATTAAAGTCATAAGGTGAGCCAACAATAGGTGTTGATTTACTACCAATACTACTACTATTGCTACTGTAATTTGACATCATAATATAAAAGTATAAATAAATAAATGTAAACGATCGATCGTTTTTGATCAAAAACTTCAACTTCAACAATTAAATTAATAGTTTTTTTTTAAATTTCATTTTTTTTTTTTTTTTTTTCAATTTATTAATAGTGCTGCGAAATTAGAGATAGAAAATATTTATTTAAATAATAATAATTTATTTAATACAATTATTTATTTTTAGAATATATTTTTAGTTAATTTTTTTTTTTTTTTTTTTTTTACTAATGATGTACCGTTCATAATCTGAAGAGGTGATTGGGAATTAACACCAAATGGGTCATCATTGTCTATATTTTGAAGATATTGGAAATGCATTTCCATGTTGTACGATGGCACAGAGTAGGAATCTATTATGTTGTTGGTGGTATGGTGGTTGTCAAATGCCATGATCGAAGCTTCGCTCTGTTGGTTGGAGAATCCGATTGCATTGCCGCCGCATCCACCATGGACGATATTCGTAGGTAGAGTATCCAGATAGCCCTCGTCGTTGAAGTAGTCATTCATATTCTTATAGCTATTGATATCGTGTGCGTCATTCATTGGGTAGGCACCATCGTTACTGGAGGTAGTTGGGTCTTCAAGTTTGAGATCTACCACAATATCTTCCATTATATTGCTACTATTATTATTATCATTATTATTGTTGTTGTTGTCATTATTATTAATATTATTATTATTGTTATTTATGTTGTTGGCGAGAGGTGGTGAGATTTGCATATATTCATTTGTGAAAGAAGATGTTGATATTGAAATGGTGTCTGTTTGTTGTTGTTGTTGATTTGATTGATTTGTATGTAGATGTTGCTGTTGTTGTTGTTGTTGTTGGTGTTGATGTTGTTCGACAACTGTTTCATTATTTGAGAAATGGTTGTCATTGGAAAAGAATAGACTTTGACAGTCAGATTGTACAAGATTATTTACATTGGAATCACCATATTGGTTGTCCATAAAGATGTTGTTGTCATTGGGTTCTACTTTGATGTGTATTGGCAAGGAGATATTGGGTACCGACTGAATGAATGGATAGTTTGGATCTGTAGGTGGACTGACATCCATGACCGAACAACTTTCCGTGGAGTTGGAAATAGAAGATACACCCATTTCCAAGAACTTCTCACCAGAGGAGCATATCACCGGTTGAGTTGTAATCGGACTAAGTGTAACCAGTGGGTTGTTTGTGTTGGAAAAGCTGATACCATTCATATTGTTAAGATTCATATCCGTGTCAATAGGTAGATTTGGAACGTATTGAAGGTGGAGTTGTTGGAAACTTGGTTGAAGATTATTTGTTGGTGTTGAAAGAGGTTGTGGTATACTATTGACAGGTGAGATATTACTATTGTTATTGTTGTTGTTGGAGGCGATTTCTTTTTTAATTTGTTTTTTACTCTTGGAGCTCTTGGAACTCTTGGAATTCTTCTTGGATTGACTCTTTATCACACTTCCATTTGGAATATGAGTGGAGGAGGAACCACTGTGGTTGTATTGGTGGAAGGTATGTGTTTTTGATGATTTACTCTTCTTGCCTTTGGGAGGACGAACACATGTGGTATTAGCCAGTGGATTGGCGCTGGACGATGATGGTAACAAACTGCTGCCAGATAACTGTAGGGATGTATCACATACAAATGGTTGAAGTCCACTGAAATCACTGCCGCCACTACCACTGCAGCCACTACTCTCTTGACAATATTGACTGTCAAAGCCATCTATGGGATTAGGCAAGACAATTGGAAATGTAGAAGTATGAATCTGAGCACCTCCATTCTTTAATTTAATCTGTTCCAATTTCATTTTCTTTGCAAATGATAATCCACATGCATTACATAATCTAGATTGGAAAATATTATTAACAAACCGTTTAGTTAGTAAATAATAATTATTTCTATAAAAGCTAATAAATAAACTTACGTTGCCGGACCATCAGGACCTTTTCTCCACTCTGGTGTTGTCTTGGTTTTACATTTATAACAATATAAATTCTCTTTATTCATATTTGAACTTCTTCTTCTGTGTGTCTAAAAATAAATTAAATTTTGAGTATTTGTTTGATTAATTAATTAAAACTTTGTTTTACTTACTCTCTTTAATGGTATATTCTCTAATACGGTACTCAATGATCCACTATTGGTTTGAACGGTGACTGGCACAAGAACATCTTGGAATGGTTTATCTGCTTTGGTTGTTCCATTACCATTGCTAGTGGATAATGGCGAAGGTGTAGATGGAGAGGTTGAATTTGGTGATTCACAGAGGTTGGTAAAATTTCCACTGGTATTTATACTATTTTGTTGTTTGGACAGCACTGTGGCAGGAGAGGCTCCAATAGAAGTTTCATTCGGGAGGCTTGACTGTGGCAAAGTAACCAATATGTTAGAGGCACAAGGATTGGGAGCTAACAAAGTTGGATCCTCAATGGAACATTGAACTTCTCCTTTTTGTTTCTCTGATGAATGTTGTTGAATGGACATTGATGTAGAAAAAAAAAAGAAATAATAATTTTTGAGTTTGATTAATTTGTTATCAAACTTTTTAGATATATATATATTAAATAATAATAATAATTCTTAAGAATCAGATTATATTGATTATAAATAATTACAGATATTATAATAATTTTTTAATCAAAAAAAACCTTTAAAATAATAAATTTCTGGATATAATACTTTATAATAAATATAATAAATTAAAGTAAATCTTTTTGATCTTAAATATTTTAATCTTTGAAAAAAGAAATTAAAAGATTATTAAATAAATTATCATAAAGAAAAAATATAAATAATAATAATTTGAAACTTTTAAAAAATAAATAAACTACTATTTTAACTTAAATAAATATAATATATATATATATTAAATAAATAAATAATATATATAATAAAATATTTATAATAATTAACTAATTAATTAAATTAATTTTGAGTTTTATAATAATATAAATAATAATAATAATAATAGTTTATATATATAAATATTTTTTGTTGAAAATAAAATAATTATGTAGTTTGATAACTTTTAGACTCTTAAGAGTTTTTAAAATGCTTGCAAGCCGAGGATTCTTCTTTTTCTGAATGAAGTTTGTTGGAGTGGTAATAAACTGTATTGACTTGACTTGCAAATGCTCTATAACCAAAACAGATGCTGCGATGGCGACTACTAATCATCAGACGACAATGCTCTACTAATAAAATCTGCTGCTAACTGACGGACTCCAATGGGACATCTATAGTTTGCAGTGGTGCAATTTGGAGATGTATGGTGCAGTGGATGCTGACAATTGGGTTGGAGCTTTTTTTTGTACAATGCAAATATTTGAATTTTATTCAAAAAACAAAAAATGTTGCAACAAACAATGATAATATTTAAATTCAACTTGTGAGACCAGAATTTGAAATATTATTATTTTAGAGATGGCGCGAGACTATTTAAAATATTATTGAGCTTTGGTTGGATAAATAACAACTTAATGTTATGTCGACAATTGCGAAGAGTGAATATATTAAAAGTTTTCGAAAGTATATATATGGTTCGGTTGTGATTAAAGTGTCTGGTTATATAGTGAATGGAAAAGTGGTTTGTTGAAGTGTATGTTGTAAAAAAGTTAAAAGTTGAAATTGAAGGTGGTGTACTTTTTTTGAATGTGTTGAGTGTTGTATTTTTAAAACTTGTAGTAGTGAATGTTAGAGATATTATTCGTATCTTTTTTTTAAAAACAGTTGATTAAAATATGGTATAATCAAAAATAAAAATAATCTACATATATATATTTGATTATTTCCGCAACTACTACTTTCTTTTAAATTATTTAATTATTATTTTTATTTTTATTATTATTATTATTTGTTATGTATTTATATGTTCTTCTATTATATATGTGGTGGTAACAAAAAACAATTGAATGGTTTATTGTTGTTTTACTTGGTTGTTGTCGTCGTGTGTGTTAATGCTGTTGTTGTTTTTTAAGGTTGTTAATATTAAGTTTTTCAAATTAAAACCACACATATATATGCCAGACCTTGGACAATGAATATGACACTTGTCTTGAGTTGAGTCTTAGTAGTTTTTTTTTAAAAAGTGTGTGTGGGTGTGTGTGTGTGTGTTTGAGTAATATAATTGTGTGGGTGAACTACTGGTAGTAAGAGTTGAGAGAGTGAGAGTGTGTGTGTGTTTTTGGATTTAAGGTTTAAGAGTGTGACAAAAATACAGGATTATACAAAAAATAAATTTAAAAAAATAAAAAACTAATTAAATTTTAATGAGTGAGATACTGCTATGGGGTTAATGCGAGACTGACAGGTCATTGGAACCTTTAGAAAAACAAACATGTCAAGTGTTAACAATTATAAATAATAAAAAAAGGAAACTAGCCATAACAACACACTGGTAGCTTTAAAGTCTAGCCTCCCACTCTCACTACTTTCACATTTCAATAAAAACAGTTGTTTGTTAAGAAAAACAATTTAATGTAAAATTTAATTAAAATTATATGTGTGTGTGTGAGCTGCTCTGCTTTATTGTTTTACCCAATGTAGAATGGTTTCGCACTCAACCAAAATGTCAACCAAAAAACTACGAGAGCTTCGCTTTGAAGGTGGTGTTTTTTTTCAAGGTTGTCATGCTATTAAAAAAAATAATTTACACAACACACATAAAAAACAACAATCTTTTTTTTTTGACAATGTTTTTAAGCACTATTATATTACATAGGCTTAATTAAAAAATTGGAATAGACCTTTCTCGAGAATATTACCAACAATGGTAATTCTTGGTTTTTTGCCTTTTTAAAACAAAAAGTGGGAAAAAATTTAAACTGTTTTTTTTGTTTTTTTTTTTTAAAATGAATAAGAGATTTTTTTTCTATTTAAGGAAATTTAAATTATTCGTCATTCCAAATTAGTCCTAATTAAGAATTTTAAATTTTACAAACAGTTTTATTGTTATTGAAAATAAAACAATCAAATAAATTACTTTATACATAAGTTTCAGTAATTGAATCACGATAGCAGCGCAACAAAATAATCCAAATCTGATTTATGTGATAATATTATTATTATTTCTTCTATTTTTGCTATTGCATATGTTTTTAATTCGCACTTGCTGTTTTTGACAAACAAAATATATTAGTGTTTTTATTATCATAATTAATTATTATTTTGATTTGATTTTATTAAGTTTTAGACAATACAATAAAAACTATTGGAATGATTAAAAAAATCAATTCTAACTTAATTTAATTAATGATTGTAAATATATATAAATAGATAATCAAAGTAAGGATGTCAGTTTGACAACTAAAAACTTGACATCAAGTGATTATAGTGTTTGTGAAAATGTTTCGATTGTCGTTGTTGCGAAGAATTCTACAGAATGTTTTTGATATTATATATATAACATATCATAGTTTAAACATATATTGTAGTCTTACAAAAAAAACAATGAACATTTGAAATAAAAAAAAATTGAAAAATCAATAAAGAAAAGTTAAAAAAAAAAAATTTTTTTTTTTAATTCGCAAAGAAAAAAACTAACTTAAATTTAAATAACTTTATTGTTTTTTTCAGATTAATTAAACAATAAATATACATAATTAATAATATAATATAATTATTATAAATCTGATTAAAACGAATAACACAAAAATTGAAATAATATATATAAATTGTTATAACAAATATATAATTAGAATATATTAGATAAAACAAAAACAAAAACAAGTAGATAAATAAAAATATTATAATATGGCAACAAGATACGCAAAGAGATTACAAAAAGAATTGATGGAGTTACAGGTATCACCACCAACTGGTATCAGAGTGGAGGAAGCCAATGACTTGTCAAGATGGGTCATTGGTATTGATGGTACCACTGGTTCGCTCTATCAAGGCGAGAAATTCAGCCTACAATTCAGATTCAATGATGGCTACCCATTAGAGGCACCAGAGGTTATCTTTATCGGTAAACCACCTGTACATCCACATATTTACGGAAACGGTCATATCTGTTTATCAATTTGTATGTAAACCGTCGTCAACGTTAACAACTCTCTTTATAGATTATAATCTAATAATTCATTCAATATCTTAACCACTTTTTATATGTAATAGTATACGATCATTGGAGTCCAGCATTGACAGTTTTATCAATTTGTTTAAGTATTTTAAGTATGTTGAGTAGTTGTACTGAAAAAGTACGACCAGTAGACGATTCTGTATATGTTTCGAGAGCCGTTGGAAAGAGTCCTAAAGATACAAGGTAATCAATCTATCATCATCATCAACAATAATAGAAACAACAATAATCGTGCATACTAATTATACTATCTTACCTCTACTACTACTACTACTACTACTACTACTACTACTATAGATGGATGTTCCACGATGATACTGTATAGCTTTAGATATAATTAGCACGCACTAAAAACAATTTTTTATTTTACAACAAACATCAACATACAAAAGTACCAACAACACATTATTTATAAATCCGAGTATTAAAATCATTAGCTACTTCAATTATCTCTAAAAAAAGATGATAGGTAAAGTAAAGTTAAAGTTAATCTAAATCATAATCTGAAATCATACCAATAACAAAAAAGAAACAATCTATTTGTAAATATAGTACTATATGACATTAGTTATTTATTAAAAAATAATCTTTATTATTATTATTGTTGTTGTAGCTGTGGAATTAGGTTATTTAATTATTTATTTTATTTAAGTGATCTGCTTGTAAACATATTTATATATTCATTGGCCTCTCTAAGGAATATGATATTCGATGTATCCGATATCATTGTCAATCCATTGATTTTGTAGTTAATTGTGTTTTGTACTAATTCTTTGTTTTCATATGGATTTAATTTAATGTTGTTGTTGTTTGTTGTTAATGAAGAAGAGGAAGATGATGATGATGATGATTCTGTTGTATCTAATACCATTGGATCATTAATAGAACTATTGATGTTGCTGTTGCTGTTGGTAACTAAACTATCGATACCTCTCTTTCTCTTGTTGTTGTTGATGGAATGAGCATGTCTATAAGACATCTCAATAAACTCTTGGAGTATGGTTAGACAGAGTTTTCTAATGGTGACATTGGACGATGTCAGTCCCTCGATGATTGACGATAGTCTATCTTTGATGAAACTGTTCAACTTGTCAAATGATTGACTGTCTTTGTCTCTTCGCTCCAGTGCACTGGCAATCAACTGATACTGAAGCAACTGTACTGTATCCGGATACATATAGATGGAATCTATCGACAATGATACGATATCGCCTGACAAATCCGTTAATCCACTTATCTTTTGTAATAGTATTAAAAGATTTGAACTCATATAATTATTGTTATTGTTGTTGTTGTTGTTGTTTTGAATATTATTGTATAAAGAGGAAGTAGAAGAAGAGTTATCAGAGTAACTATTATTATTGTTATTATTAAAAGTTGGTGGTATCTTGTTGAATAAAGAAGATTTAATCATTTTTAATACTTTATCTAGTTGTGATAGGTTGCTTCTAAGTATCTCTTCTATTAAAATGATAGAGTTGTTACAGTTACTGTCAATGTTATTATTGTGAATGATGAGTTGCAGGAACAAAGACTCCAAAATCGATGAAGTCGAAATAATCTTCTCTTTAACGAGGAATCGAATGAATTGAGCTGATGAATCTGATGCAATTGGATCTAACAATGAATTATAAATTAAATTTAATCTAGTTGAATTCCAATATTTATGTTGTTGTTGTTGATTATTTTGTTGCTGTTGTTGTATTGTACCTATTTGTATTAACTCTAATAACCTAATTGCAAGTAGTTTAGATTTACAATCGGATGATGCTGATAATGATAATATACGATCTAATGTTGTATGATTATCGATAAATAAATTTAAAAAGAAATAGTATAGATCTTGTTGACTTGTATTGTTGGTTTGTAATGATGTTGTTGTTGTTGATGATGATGACGATGATGACGATGATGTAGTTGTTTGTAATATTGATATTAACATTTGTAATAGATTATTTACACTGGTTGATGGAATGAATAAACTGGTGAGTGATGTGGTGTTGTTTGTGGATGAGAGATAGGGTGATGAGAACAATTGGTCCAGAACTAATGTACTATCTAACAGCTCGATCAAAGACATCGATATACTCTTGATAATCAATCTGTGATTACTGAATCTTCTAATAATGAAATATATATAATCTAAGAATATATTATTACTATTACTACTAATATCTTCATCATCTCTATCATTTTCCTGTTCCTCTTCTTCCTTTTCAATTTTAGTTATAAAACTATTATTACTATTACTATTATTATTATTATCATTATTAATAGTTTTAATATCACAACTAATATTAAAAAGTATTCTAACTAATTGTTGAAATATAGTTATTGATTTCGAATCGAATTGATTTGGTTGTAGTTCGAGTTGACCGAGATAGGTGAAGAGGAAGATCTTGGTGATATCTTGAAGGTCTTGCGGCATGTGTACATAGAACAAAAGAAGTTGTCGACAACTCCAAAATTGATGAGCAATAGTCGATGTGTTGTTGTTGTTGTTATTGTTATTGTTGCTATTGTTATTGTTGTTATTTAGTGAGAGTGTAGATCTCCAATATTGTCCCCATATCTTGTAGACTTTACTCTGAGTGTCGCTACGGAATGACTCTAATGTCCTAATGAGATTCTCTATGGTTTTGACACCGTCCAGTAACTGACGTGGACTGTAGTAACCATTCAAACCGAATCGGTAGTTGACACCGAATAACAAAACATTGAGATGATTGGCACCGTAGAATATCTTTTTCAACAACAACTCGGTGTTGAATCGAACATTGTCATTCTCCTCACAGCCCACAAACTGGAAGATCGCTGGTAGAAAATGATTTTGTAACGTCACTAAATGATCTGTATTCGATTGATTCCATCTTATAAGTATTTCAATCAATCTAATTATCTATCAAATAAATTACTATTAATATTAGATATTAAATAAAATGTATAGAATATTACTTACTTTATCAATATTATTTGATTCAATTAAACTTTGAAGTAATCTATGTGTATGTGTAACTTTATTAATGTTTAAAAAATAATATTGAATTATTTCATTAAATCCATCTAAACTACAATTACTATTATAACTATTATTATTATTATTATTATTATTACTACTAGTATTTAAGGTAATAACTAATATTGGAACAATAGTTTGTATGAGTAATTGTAATTTCTTTAAAGAGTTATTCTGTTTGACTGGATCGATTGTCTTTTGTGTTATTTGGAATATTTGTATTGTATGTTGTTTTATCATTGTCTTTAATGATACCTCTATTTGTTTATCTTCTTGTTTCTTATTATTATCTTTATCTATTGTTTGTTGTTGTTCTTGTTGTTGCTTTGATTGATTGCTACTACTACTACTAATATATAATTGTTTTAAATTGGGAAATGATTTAAAAGGTGATTGTAACAAACTTTGGAAATAGATATTCAATACCATTTCACTACTATACTTTAATAATGATGTTATCCATTGTGAAAGATGAAACTGATTATTAATATCATTATTATCATTATTGTCATTGTTATTGTTGTTGTTGTTTGACTTGATATAATATGCAAAGTTAACAGTTGTCAAATCAGAGAGTATCTGTAACTTAATGGTATCCGACGTATTACTGTTGGATCTATCATTTATCTTTTGAAACTGTTGTTGTTGTAATTGAAATTGTTGTTGTTGTTGTTGCTGTTGCTGTTGCTGTTGATTATAATTGAATTTCTTATTCTTTTTATCATATTGTTGATACTTTTGTTGTTGATTCTGTTGTTGTTGTTGCTGTTGTTGTTTCTGTTGTAATATTAAATTATAACCTGAACCAGAAGTATCTCTAAATAGATCTTTAAACAAATAGAATGGTGCTGACTTTGAATGATACTGTAATGATTCATTGACTAACATCTCTGCTAATGTGTAGATCACAGTTATGATATACTCTGGTCTATGCATCATAAATGATATCAATACAATATCTAATAATCTTGGTATTATTAATATTTGATTATTACTATTATTATTATTATTATTGCTGCTATTAGTTGTTGTTGTACTAGTAATGTTATTATTAATAGATATATCATAAAATAAATGAATGATCTGTATTAAATTATTCTTAAAATTGATATCAGCAGATGAGCATTTCAACCAATGTTTGATTAGGTCATCGGCTTGATCCACCAAAACAGAGAGTGGCGTAGTTCTCTGTATTTCTTGTCTTAGTTTTTCACTTTTGTAATACAATGAATTATTATTCTCTAAATCTATTGTTGTTATGTTGTTGTTATTGTTTATTATCATTTTTTTAGGTGGTGATTGTTGCTGTTGCTGTTGTTGATCATCATTATCCAACCTCTTCTTTTTCAATATTTTATCATCTTCATCACCACCACTTTTAAAATTACTATTTTTATTACTATTATTATTCATTATATATCCTTATAAAATCATGTAATTAAAATAATTAATACAACTATGTAACTTCAATTTTGTTTTTTTACCCAAAATGCGTAATTTTTTTTTTTTTCGTGTTAACAGTTAACTTTTTCATTATCTTAATTTGTTAGACTAACTTAGAGTTGATCGATTGAAACACATTAAGAATATTTAATTAAAAATTTATAAATGTTACATATTTTATTGATTATATACATTAAAAAAGTCAATCCAACTATGGAGTGACCAAATTGGTTTCACATATCGAATCGTTTAGAATATGAGGTATCTTCACCACTTATTTTAGATATCGTATACTCTATGGATGCGAGAATACAACATTGCCCAACTCACAGTATTCCATCATTGGCAATATCAGATCGTTGTCACTCTCCGACGAAGCCAGATACAGGCGAATACGATCGTTCTTATATCACACGTCAACTCTATGAGGTGCGTGACCTCTCCACTTCCTTTGTGTTTCCATGAGGTAGAGAGAATGGGCTTCGTTGAGGAAATCGAACCGATGGAAGTCGATGAAGATCGATTGTTGACGAAATCACCTTTGGAATCACTCTTTATCACCACTAGGAACTTTTCATTTCCAAAAGACTTCCTCTTGGATGAAGCCTTTGAAAACCTCAAAAATATTGTAATCAGTGTAAGAGATGTCTGGGTTACTGACACAGAGTACTTTAAGATGATCAAACGTATCAAGAAGCATCCTTCAATGATCAGTTTCGCACTTATTAGTGACATCAGTATATTCAGAGACGATAAGAAAATCGACGGATGGTTCGATATACTCTCACAATGTTCTAGAATAGAAAGAGTTAGATTACGATGGGATATTAGTTTTAGATTTAGAAATATGATAAAGTTATTTTCAAGCAATAATAGTAAATTAAGATTAATATCATTCGAATTTATAAAGACATTGGATATAAATGATAATGATGAGAAAGAAATGGAGGAATTTGTAAGAGAGCTTGAAGAAAATTAGAGTGTCATTTAGGATTTCATTCCTCACTATATTGCCAACTTATAAGTTATTAGAATCAAAGATCACATCAAATAGTTCGATTGGACTTGCGCATACTAATAAAATCCCAAGAGACAGAATACCAACCTACACATTAATTAAAGCCCAAAGAACACTCTGTAGTAGCTTGTTATTTATTCAATAAGAAAAAAGACAAAGATTAATCCAAATGAAAATTAAACTTGTAGTAATGAATATATTACACAATTGTATTTTAATAAATAATGAATAAAATTATTATATTGTTATTGTTTAACTTCTGATGATATTATTATTGTCCGTAAAAGTATTGGAATCGGAAGCAGACGTACGAATTGCTTGAGTCAGAAGTTAGAAGTTAACTGTATAGATCTATAAAATGTAGATCTAAAATTCTAAATTCAGAATAAAAATTAAGAGAATGAAGTATTGTATCGAAATTGATATAAATTATATCATAGTATTGTATGAATAAAATATATATTTAATATTTTAAGGGATATCACACTTGTGTATTTATTTTTTTTTATTATTGTTATTCTTTATGGTTTAGAGTTTACGTGTTCTAAATTCTGAGGTTGTAGTACCTATTTACAAATAATATTAATATCATATATTTAAACAATTCTATGAGTTAATTTTAATACATACCGCTACCGCTACCAGAACTGCTTCCTGAACCACTTCCTGAACTACTACCGCTTCCTGAACTGCTACCACTTCCTGAAGTGCTACCTGAGCTGCTACCACTTCCTGAACTGCTACCTGAGCTGCTACCACTACTTCCTGAACTGCTACCACTTCCTGAGCTGCTACCACTTCCTGAACTACCACTACCACTACCTGAACTAGTTCCACTTCCTGAACCACTGGATGTTGAACCGGAACCTAAATATTATAAGAAATGTTTGAATTAATAAAATATTTATAGAAAATTTTAAATATAATTAAAAAATACCTGATCCGGAACCTGAACCTGAACCTGAACCAGAGGTGACTGGAGTTGCTGATGATGCTCCACCTGGGAACCAGTTTTCATCGATACCAATACCACAAACTGAAGCTGATGGTGAAGCAAATTGTTTCATTGATGGACTTGACCAACCACCGAATGGTGAGAAATCAGAGAAAGAAGGATTGCCGTCATAGTCAGCATACCATAATGGATAGTCAGCACCACCAGTGTATCCATCACTCATAATTGGTGACCATTGAGATTCTGAGGTGTAAACACCAATATTAACACCTTCACCCTATTAAAATAAAATATTAATACCATATTCATATCTCATTTTAAAAAATGTTGTTACATACTTGTAAACCTTGAATCAAACCTTCAAAGAATTGTTGGTTGGCACCTTGGTCACCACCCCAATAGGTACCTGGACCTTCGATATCTAACCAAACTGTACCGAATTTGACACCGTTGCTTTGGGTATATTGAACAAGACTTTGAGCTTGACCTTGTGGATTACCACAACTGAAACATGGGAATAAATAGACATCGACTGAGGTCATTCCACCTGCCCAAGCAGCTTGTACAGATGATGCACAATTTGGATCTGGCTCACCAGTTGACATATAACATCTAACAATTGCAAAGCTATTATTTTAAATAAAATATATGATAAATTAATATTGTTTTTTCAAATCCAATCAAATGTGATCCAACCAACTTACGTGAAACCTTCTCCAACTAAACAACTGAAACCTGAACTATCACCACCTTGTGACTATTTATAGAATAAAAAAGGTATTAATAAACTTTTGAATATGCAATTTATTTTATTTGTAACCTACAAGATCAACACCATAGGTAGCAAAAGCTACCTTGATTAAAACAATTAAACAGAATAAAGATAATAGTTTATTCATTGTTTGTGCTATAAATATTTATATATATTTAAGATGATAAAAATGATTTTGTAAAAACTAAAACTTTAATTATGATCTTTTATAAATAAAATTAATCTCTTCCTAAAACCAGATATTTTTTTTTGTGATAGAATATCTTTTTTAGATTTTTTTTTTTTCGTTTGAAACCTCTTTTTATTTTGATGATTTATTTGGCTTGAATTCCCACCCAAAAGAAACAAAATTATCTGTTCAATTATAGATGGGGCTCATTTGCAGAGAATGCTATCATCTTTTTATTTATGAAAGTGTTAATTTATCCCTGGGCATTGATCATTTCTTAATTTTATTCTTGATCAACATTCGGACCTGACTTAATATCTCATAACCCATTGATTTTATTATAGTAAATAATCAGCAAATTTAAAGTTTTAAAAATAATTTTAGTTAAAAGGTGGGCATCATAAAAAATAATCTTATAAAAGAGTGTAAATCAATTGTGTGGGATTTTAATCAAAATTAATTCTTAATTGAATATCTTTTCTTTTTGATAGAAATATCTAACCAACACTAGAGTAAAATTAATTTATAAATTAAATGAAAATCAAACATTTTGAAACTTGCTGCTATAATTCGATAGACTTTTTTAATTTACTAATTATTTTATGGTTTTTTTTAATACAAAAAATAATATTATTTCTTTTTTAAAGCACTACATTTATTAAATATTATTTAATACTATGTTGACCAACTAGCAAGAATTATTTAAAATTATCACATGGAATATAAAAAATTAATATATCTCCTCTTTGATTAAAAAAATGACCTCTATGATACTAAGTTGAGAAATTAAACATATCAAGGCCTTACAATCACGACAAATCTCGAAATCCCTTTGGTGCTCTCTACATCTAATTACTGTTGAATTATTATTATTATTATTATTATTTCCTGTTATCTCTTTTAAATATAAATACCACAAATAATTAAAGAAAGTTATCTCTATTTATTTATTTATGTATCTATAATATTTTAATGACAAACTAGTCCCTTCTTTTCTTTTAAATATATTCAGTATTAATACCTAATTCGATTAACTTATTATTATCATACTCTTAAAAGGTGATTACTACAAAGTGTAGTCAGGGAATAAGAATAGTATTAAAAGAAATCTATAAATGTTTTATGATTCAATATATTAGATTCAATTGAGAGTAAATCCGCAACTTTACAAGTAACTAAATTGAAAATACTATTCTTTTAGGGGTGTCATTTTGTCAGACACTATAGGATTTACCTGACCAAAATAAAACTATAGTCGCAAAATGACACTGAGAGGTGATGACATGGGGAAGAGGCAGAAGAAACATTATCGATATTAAAAATCTAATATTAGTGAATTATAATTATTAAATTTTAGAATCTTTGGTAATGTTTTGGTGGTGGGTATGATCTGTTAGCTCTCACACCCAGTGGAAACCCTAGAGTTGAAAACATTATGGAACTGAACCATCATGGAGTCTCTGAAATGGGTCTCCCATGAATCGGCCAAGTTTTTCATGCTTTCGATATCTGGGAATTGGTCAATGGTTGTCATTTGAGCTCGGTACTCTTTGATTTCTTTACAAAGCTCTTGGTACTCTTTCAAAGTTTCATGAAGTTCACTCTCGATTGTCTTTCCATCGCTCAAATCGATCTGATAGTAGAAGATCGAATTCTTGTAGATTGAAATGAATTCATCGACTGTCGATGATTGACCAATGGAATTGATGATATCGCTATCGCTGTACACAAAAGTTAGATCTTCCCCATCATCTTCGGGCTCCACCTCTTTTAAGTTTCCACAAAACGCCAACAAATTAAATAGTTTTTTCATTTTATTTAATTTCTTGATGGCCTCCACTTCTCTTTGAATACCACCATTCAAAAAATCGATCGTAGTTTCAAAAGGTTCCCTTACTTTGTATTCTTGGTTAAAAATACTTGTAAAGGGAGACGTAGCTAACGATTTTAATTGTCTGATATGATCTAAAATGGAATAATAATTCTTGATTGATCCATAGTTTAATGTTATTTCTCGTTCTAAAGAATCGAAAAAATATTCATAAATTAAACTTATCATGATAGGTTTATCATTATTTTGTATTTATTATTAAATAAATACTGAATTTATATATAAAATAAACTGTTTTTTTTTTTTTATCTATGTTTTGGAAAAATATTAAATTTAACTTTAAAAAAAAAAAAACAACTTAATTTTTAAAAGTTTTGTTGTTCAAACTATTTACAATAATTTAATTTAATTTAAATTAAATTGATGAATCACAACAATTTTAAAAACAAAAGAAAAAAAACAGATAAAAAAAAATATTGTAAATAATCATAAACTATAGTTTGTTTTTTCAGAATTAAATAAATATTTTTTATACACATATTATATATATACATATAGATAGACTTCAGGTTGTACAAATGAGTGGAGATGCTAAATTGTTAGATCATTATAAACTGTCAAAGGTTTTGACAGGTCATAGAAAAGATGTTCGGTCGGTGTGTACTACCTCTGATCATCGTGTGGTAACTGGATCGCGTGATAATACAGTGCGTGTGTGGGATCTATTCAAGACGGGCACAGAGATACCTTCGATCGTGCTGACAGAACACCAACACTTTGTCGGTGCACTCACACCCCTCAAACCAAACGATCAGATCCAGCGAATGTTTGCATCCGGTGCCAACGATAAATGTATCTACGTATGGGATTCACAGTCAATCTCAAGAGATCAAAACCTTGCCAATAAACTTCCATCTCTACTCCTCAGTGGACATACCGACACCATATCATCGCTTGGTTCAACATCAGACGGACTTGTCATCTCTGGTAGTTGGGATAAGTAAGTCAAGTTAACTTCTCTATTCAATATCTAACAAACAATTGTACTAATTCGATCGTTTATAGGACTGTAAAGATATGGAATAATGCAGACTGTGTTCAGACTCTAGAGAAACATGAGGCTGCTGTATGGGGTGTTCTAGGTTTGCCAAATGGTAATATAGTGACTGCTTCTGCCGATAAGAAGATTATCGTTTGGCAGAGAGATCAGACGAACCCAGAGAAAGTAGAGTATAAGAGTTTGAATGTTTTGACGAAACACACCGATTGTGTGAGAGGATTGGCTTTGATTCCGGATTTTGGATTCGTTTCGTGTGGAAACGATGGTTTGATTGCCGTTTGGACGTTCTCCGGTGAGTTGATCGGCGAGATGACCGGTCACAGTGGATTCGTCTACAACGTCGCCGTCGTTCCCAACTTTGGTTATGTCTCTTGCAGTGAAGATCGTTCCGTCAAGATCTGGAAATCCGACGACAACAGCTGCCACCAAACCATCGCTCACCCCTCGGGAGTATGGTGTGTCGCCACTCTTGCCAACGGTGACATTGTCACTGGTTGTGCTGACGGTGTCGCGCGTGTCTTCACACGAAATCCATCGCGTGTCGCCGTCGCCGAACTCATCGAGCAATTCCACCAGTCTGTAGCAGCACAAGAGATTCCAGCTGACAATGTCGGTGACATCAAGCTCAATGAGCTGCCAGAGGTTGGCGTACTCGTTGGCACCGCCGGAAAGAAGGACGGCGAGATGAAAGTGGTGAGAAACGGCAAGGTTGCAGAAGCGCATCAGTGGTCGGAATCGGAGCAGCGTTGGATCAAGATTGGCGATGTCATCGACTCGAATCAATCGAAATCGAAAGCACTACTGAACGGTGCCGAGTACGACTACGTCTTTGACATCGACGTCAACGAAGGAACCATGTACAAAATCGGTTACAACAACGGACAGAACCCATATACCGTCGCCCAAGAATTCCTCTGGAAGAACGACCTCGACCAATCTTGGCTTGAGGAGATCGCGCAGTTCCTCATTAAGAATGCCAACGCACCTGCCAACACTATCGGTCCACAAGAATCCACATTCTCTGACCCGTTCACCGGTGGTAATCGTTACGTTCCAGGTACTACTCCATCTCATCAAATGGACATGTCATTACCATCTGGTAGCGGTGGTGGTAGCGGTCAACAGCAACAACAACAAACAACAGCTACTTCCGATCTATCTAATTTAGCTTCTAAATTTGGTCCGGCACCAACTGCCGATGTACAATCTACCTCTTACATTCCACACGGAACGTTCACATACTTTGATGCAACCAACTCTGCCAATCTCGTACCAAAGCTTCTTGAGTACAACACCGAACTCCTCGCCAACCCAGACACTGCCAAGATTGCACTGAACATCGATGAGAACGAAGACAACATTCTCAAGAGCATATTGAACACCCTCAAAGAAACCTCTAGATATCACTCATCAAACTTCTCAGATGCTCAATACAAAGTAATCATTAAACTATTTAAATGGCCAACCGACAAGTTATTACCATGTAAGTTAAGTTATTAAACTAAACTAGCTAACTATCAAACTTGACATATTTATATATAATATTTAAAACTAACATGCATGTTGTTATATTTTTGTCTAGTGTTGGATATTATAAGAGTTATGGTATATCATCCAAATGCAAATAATACCTTTGAAAAGATGATCACTATGAGACAATTCAATATCTTTGATGCATTATTTAGAATACCGGCAACAGATAATATCAATACCCAGATGATGATCTGCAAGATCTTTTGTAATATGATTAAGCACCACTCTTTGAGAAACTATGTCCAGAACTATATTGAAATCATTATCAACCGATTCCAACCAATCTACATCGCCACAATGAGTGTACAACCAACTTCTTCATTCTTAACAGCCTATTCAACTTTATTATTAAAGTAAGTTAATCTTTATCTTTATATTTATAAATATTTAATATAATATATTAATTAACTTTAATCTTTTTTAGTTTATCTGTATCAAGTGTATATAATAAGGATACAATCAAAGTCGATGTTGTAGATCTTTTAATTCGTTCGTTGGAATCAATGATCTTGAAAGAGATTGATCATGTCGATGTATTGGAGAGAGCAACACTTGCATTAGGTACATTGTTGATTACCTTTAGAGATAGATCTAAAGCAATCAGTGACAAGGAGATCCTTGCACAAATCATTAGAACCAACATTCAAGCTACTCCTAAATTCAATCAAATCGGTGAAACCACTCTCAAGCTCTTACAATAAACAAATCTTTACAATAATAATAATAATAATAATAATAATTCAAATTAACATATAAATAAATAATGATTTCCTTCCCAGATTGTTGACTACCGATCACCATCGTCAATCATGTAACTAGTTTGAAGAACAATAAAATATATTTTTTATTTTTAATAAACTGTTATTATTTTTACAAAATTGTTATTATTTGTAAAGTTGATTGTTATCTTTGCACTTACTGAAACTTACTTCTCCAAATCTAAGTGTTTCGATACCATTTGTAATCTCTCTTGTTTTTTATCAAAATTTAATGAAAAAATAATGACATTGTTCTTTTATATAATAAAAAAAATCCTTTATTGGAAATAACTTAAATTTCTATCATATTTATTACAATGAGTAACAAAAACGATAATAACTCAAATATATTGATTTATTGTTTGTTATAACTCCACTTGAACATGATGAGAAATCTTTGGAAAGATATGTGTGGCCATATAGATAAATGCTACAGCAAAAGCCATTTTGAAGCTACCGCTTATAAGGATATTGCTGTTACCACTCTTTGTGTTGTAGTTGTACTCTTTCTTTGAATATACGGGCGAAGTACCTTTGGTAGATAGCTCCTCAACGGTGAGTGGAGAACGCTCACGCATTGTCATTGAACAATAGAATTGCTCTTTAATGTAGTTATTGAGTGAACACAATTGGTCGGAAGTCAATTCATTCCTGAGAGCATTGACAAAGTAACCGACGACCCAATAGCTGTGATTGACGTACGCCGGGAACACCTTTCGATCGATCTGAAACTGAAGAACGTGAAACTGCCACTTCAAACGTATAGCCTTATCGAGAACCAAGAAGTAGTGGTCTAACTCCTCTTCCTCTGCAGAGGACGGGGCAATACTTCCATCGTCATTCTTGTGTTTCTCCAACTCGAAACTATGGTACTTTTCCAAGTCATCACGTGAACAAAATACACGCCAAGAGTTCTCCTAATAAATATAGAGTATGTTAGTACTAATTACTTATACAAAGAGGTATCTACCTATAATTAGAATATGTATTTTAAGTTTTACCTTGTCAAAGAAACGATAATAATCTTTAGACCAATCTAAATACTTGCATACTTTGTTGTGAATGGTTGTTAGAGAGTCACGTTCAGACTCTGGCATGCCAGCATGTATATAATTAAGGATAAGACGATGAGCATCGGAGTACTCCTCTTTACTATACTTCATCTGGAGATGAGTACAGCTGTCAATCTCACTTCTGTGTGAGTCTTTGAAGCTGATAATCGCAGCAAACACACCTATCAAGATGGTAGCAATCGCACCGAGGATACCAGCAATACAGTTTGCCAAGTCAATTAAGCTTGGATTGACTTCAAAGTCCCTATTAATATGCTTTATAGTTTGAAAAACACTTTCCATTCTCTAAGATATAACATATTTTTCTTCTTTTCCTATTATTACAGGAGTAACCAAGCAAACATCTTTGATTATTTAAGAAAAAAAAAAACAAATGGTATTAAAGTCTCAAACTTTTAAAAGAATTTGTTTTTACTGGTGGTGCACCTTACAACAAATAAATAATGAGAAGTTTTTTAATATTTTTCTTTTTTTTTCATTTATTTTGAAAGCACCTCATACACTTCCATCATAATATATATTACAATGAACAGCAGTAACGATGATAAATCAACTATATTACGTTAATTTACCACATCTTTTATTGGCAAAGATTATTAGTTTAATTCATGAAAATGTAGATAGAATTGTGTTTACTTTGACTTGTAAGAGATGGTTCAATGAAAGACATAAATATCTATCTTTTAATACAGATATCATAAAAGAAATCATCACTAAGAAAGAAATAGACGATTCTTTTTTGAATTCATATAAATCAATATACATCGATTCAATCAATCGAAAGAATAATTATCATTTGTTTGCGTCATATGGTAATTCAACAGGTATGTTTATGTAATTCAATAGCAGTAATAATTAGTAACAATTAATATTATAATTTATTAGATTATTACATAGAGTTGAATAAACTTCCTCTAATTTACAATTCAATTCGAATATCCTTACCTCAAGAACATTCTTATTTTGAAGAAATCTATCGATTGATACCTCTATCCAATATAACCACACTAAAGAAATGTCAAACATTAAGATATAGATTACCAGAGAATCTGACATCTATATCATTCTTTCAGAAGTTTAATGAACCTTTGTTACCAGGATATCTTCCAGCTAATTTGAAGATTCTAAGCTTTAAATACACCATCTTCAATCAACCAATCAAAGTTGGAATTCTCCCAAACATATTAGAGAAATTGATTCTTGATCGTGGATTCAGACAGCCACTTGAACCAGGTGTATTACCAACATCTTTAAAGTATCTGACATACCATGGTATTTTCTTTAAAGTTGAATCATTACCTCCAAATCTTGAAGTATTCAAATATTATGGTCGCAGTTTACTGAAAGAAAATGACGTATTACCAATGACACTTCACACTTTAACAGCACCATCTTCATGGCTTCCAGCAATCAAATCACTTCCAAATCTTAAATCATTGTCACTAACTTTCTCCCACTATGATGATGAAACAATTGATTTAGGTTATCTTCCATCTTCACTCACTCAATTAGAGATCGAAAAAGGACGATACATTTCAACGATGCCACCATCAATCAAACGTCTTGATCTGCTTCATGCAGAATATGATATCGATGAGATATTCAAAGATCGATCACAATATCAATTCGATTATCTATTGGTAGATGGACAGAAAACAATCACTTGAAGGATTGAAGATCAAGGAATTGGATATGAAATTCATCAATGAATCTACTCAGAAATATTCCAAATGGTATCGAAACACTTCGAATTGGAGAAGGAAGTGGTATCTCAATTTCAGTCAGTGATATTCCATCATCAGTTCAAACATTATTTATTCATTCAATGGAATACTTTAAAATTGAAACTGATAAATCTTTTCCAAATTCATTGAAAGAGCTATATATTTGCAATATGGATCAGGTTAATCTTTCAAATAATATATTTCGAATGATTCCTTCATCACTTCAAACCCTTACACTACCAGCACTGACAATTCCACAACCTCGAATACCCAACAATCTTGTTCTCTTCTCAAAAGAGAATAAAATCTGGTTGAGAAGAATTACCGATCATCATTATCTTTTCTTCAGTGAATATCCGATCTATTTTTCAGCTTTTGTTCATGAATCTCAAATCCCAAATATCATTTCTTATTATAAATCAAAATTTCAGAAAATAATAAAAAAAGAATAATTTAAATTATTTATTATTATTCTTCCTCTAATTATAGTCTTAACGAAGAAATTTGAAATTAATTGCAAATATTTATTTAATTAAAAAAAAAAAAGTACCAAGCGAACACATCAAAACTCAATAGAATCTTCGGTAATCATTTAGTTTTTTATTTTTTGTTCTACAGCTTTTACCAAAATTGTATTTTGTGATTACAATTATAATTTAAAATAGAATATGCTTACCGAAGACTATAATATGTAATTAGTATAATAATAGAATAAGCATGGCGAAGTATTGTTTAAAAGTATAAATAGCATTCTAGCAAAATGTTTGTAGATCAAAAACATATATCAAATCAACAATCAATAAACAACAAGTTCTTTTAATAATAAAAAGAAATAAATATTATCTTTTATTTAATAACTAAATATGTCATCAACAACAACAACAATAATTACATCCAACATTCAACAACAACAAAAACAAATTGTTTTAATTACTGGTTCAAACAAGGGTATTGGTAAAGCAACAGCCAAATTATTTGCAAGCAAAGGATTCATTACCTATGTAGCCGCTAGAAATGAAGCTGAGGGTATTAAAACAAAGAATGAGTTGACTGTAGAGTACCCAAACGCTGATGTTAGATTCATACAATTGGAGGTGGGAAATACCGAGAGTGTAAAAGCAGCGGTCGAAAAGATCACTCAAGAGACACACTCAAAGCTCGATATTCTAATAAACAATGCCGGTGTATTCATGAGTGTCAACCAACCATCTACCTACGACAGCGAGTCACTCAGAAAGACATTCGATGTCAACTTCTTTGGAGTTGTCGAGGTCACCCAATTGTTCCTACCGCTACTTAGAAATGGAGCTGCCAAAGTAATATTGAATATCTCTTCGGACTTGGGATCGTTGAATCTATTGAACTACACTGACTACAAGTTTTCACAGATCAACTCACTCTCCTACAATAGTAGCAAGACTGCTCTCAATGCATTCACTGTTATGTTGGCAAAGGAATTGGCTGCCGACGGATTCAAAGTTCATTCGGTTGCACCGGGTTTCGTTAAGACACCAATGAATAACTTTACAGGTGAACTCGAACCTGAAGTTGCTGGCAACATTATCTATGAAGCTGCCATCAAAGACAATGGTACAGGTAGATTCTTGGGTTCATCATTTACTACATATCCATGGTAAATTAAACCAATGATTTTAATACATCGATCAACAACAACAACAACAATATTTGTAATTCATTTCTATTTTAATAACTATTTATTAATAAAAAATATAAATATTAAATTTAAAATCAAAAGTAATAAAGCTAAATATGTATTAACTCTTTCTTATAAAAAATAGTGCAGAATAGAATGCGAATTTCAATGATTCCATAATAACTTTATTTATCTTCCTACTAAAAATACATACGATCTAATATAAAATATCCTTTTCTGTTTAATAAGTAATATTATAGTACTTAGTTGTAAACTGAAAAGGATAAACATGTTTGAACATTTTATTTAAAAATAAGATATATAATGATCAAAGAAATAGTTTGAATGATGCAGCCTTTATTTTCTATCGAACCACCCATTAGACACCGCAATGGATAGGACAAAAAGAAAAACTAGTTGTATTTCAAAATAAAACTACACAAACTAAATCCTATGTAAATATTTATTAATATTATAATATCTCCAAATAAAAAACATGTTTTATTTATTTTTAATTTACATTTAATTAAAATATAATTAATTTTATTTTAATTATATCATAAATGTATTTGCAAATAATCTATTGATCCAGAATGCAAAAGAATAAAATTACATTCTGTTAAATCTGTTATTAGGGAAAATTTCGCAAAAAAACAAAAAAAAACAAATTATTTCATTGTTCCTATTCGATTGTCGTCTTAAGACCATCTTAAAGTGATCTATAAATCTTTTTATTTTATTTATTAAATTAGATAGAAAAAGAGAAGAGAAAAATGTTTAGAGGAACTGTAGATCGTGCTGGTAACAGAGAAGGAAAGAAGACTAGTTTGAGAAAGACTGGTAAAGATAAGAAGGTGGCTTCGGCAACCGTTGCCGATGAAGGACCAAAGAACAGACAGGACATCGTAGTACCAAAACTGATAGAATCGAGCAACCCGATGTCTACCTTTGATGCAGGTGCCAACCTCGTCAACAGACATCTTGAAGCGGATCAATCGAGAGTAATTCAACGTGCTTTACAAGCTGGTGTCGACGGTTGTGCAATCATAACCAACGACTTTGAGAAAACAGAACAATCCGTTCAATCCGCTTCAAATCATCCCGGTGTCATCTACAGTGTCGTCGGTATTCATCCCAACAACATATCCTCCAAGAAGATGTCAGATAAACTATTCCTACAATTAGTTACACAATTAAGAGCTGTAAGTAGTAATACTACTAATTTAAAGATAACAACTCTTAACAACCTTGTTACTTACTAAACATTTGTTGTTTGTTTTGTTAGTTTGCTATTAAACCACAAACAGTTGCTATCTATGTTGGATTAGATTATGAAAGAGACTATGGATTGAAGTTCCCACAGGAGAAGTTTATGAAGGCACAGATCAAGTTGGCCAATGAACTGCGTCTGCCTGTGGTGATGCAGGATTTCGGTGGTGGTGAAGGTCTGCTGGAGGTGATGAAAGAGTGCCGTTCAGAGTTTGAACGTGGTATGATCTATGTGTTCAATGCCGGTTCAAAGATGCTGCAAAAGTATATCGATTTGGATTTCTATATCAGTTTCAACGGTGTCATCTGTGAGGAGTCTGACAAGGGTGATCAAGCACGTGATTTCATTACACAAGTACCAAAGAATCGTTTGATCATCTTGACTGACTCACCGAATGTGACACCACAGAACATTCCAGACTCTCATATTCGTCAGATGCCAAACGAACCATCGAATCTCATCTATATCCTAAATAGAGCGGCAGAGTGTCTAACGATGAAACCCGAAGAATTGGCAACACTCATCAAAGAGAATGCTAAAAGATTCTATGGATTATCTGTTGAACCAAACGAGACAGAGACAACAACAGAGACAACAACAACAACTGCAACAACAACAACAAAGAATGAAGATATAACAACAAAGAAATCAACATCAACTAAAAAACAAACAACAACAACATCGACATCAAAATCAAATAAGAAGAATAGTAAACAAAAACAAGTTGAAAGTGAAGAAGAGGATGAAGAAGACGAAGATGAAGATAGTGATGATGTTGAATACTATTTGGATAGCGATGAAGAGATACCAGAGGAATTGGTTTTCAATAAGGATAGTGACGATGAAGCGTATGAGAACGTCTATGATAGACTCGATAAATCACAGTTGGATAGTTTGTATTTCTCCTGTAAGAAGTGTAGATCAAAGCTGTTTAGATATGGCGATATCTTGGAGCATGAACAGAAACCAGCGATGCTCGATCACAACACCAAGAATACCATTAAGGAGTTGAAAAAGTGCAAGTCATACTTTGTCGAGCCGACAGCTGCCAGCGCCTGGCTGAAGCAGCGTCAAGACAAGCAGGTAATCTGTCCAAAGTGCGCAGCGAAACTCGGTTCGTTCAACGCTGCCGGTGAGCAGTGTTCCTGTGGAGCGGTACAACACAACCAACTTCGTATTCCAAAGAGTAAGGTGGAAGTTGTCATGCTTGGCGAAGACGGTGAGTTGATCGACCTCGCTCTGATGCTGCACCTCGACGAAGACGAGAGCGAAGGTGACCAAGACATCAAACTCAAGAAAAAGAAGAAAATAGTAAAGAAACAAGTAAAGAAGAGTAACAAGAGTAACTTTAGTAACTATCGTAACAAAGATGCTGGTGTCTCTACGAAAAAGTCGAAATCTCAACAACCACCATCCTTAGCCAATACCTTATCGATCGATTCCGACGAAGAAGTAGATAATCAATCAAGTGATTAGATTTAATAAAACAAATAATAATAATAGAATAATAATAAAAAGATATATATAAAATAAAATAAAATAAATTTTTAATGTTAACTATATGATGTATTATTATTACTATTTCTTAAATTATTAGTTGATGTTGTTGTTGTGGTTGTTGTTGTTGTCGATGTAGTATTGTATAATTGTGATGATTGTGAAGATGATGATGGTTGTTGTTGTGATGACTGTGATGTTGATGATACAGATTGTTCGATTTGAGAGATCTTTTGTAGATGATTCAGACCTGAACATATGGTAGGTCGTATCCTATTGATTTCCATCATCGTTATATTGTTGATACGTAAAGGATCGACACTTTGCACTGGTTTCAATGCTTCGATGATAGTATCCGACAGTTTGTTCTGTCTTCTATTAATGATGTCTTCAATTAAACCTCTGATACCATTGGCATTCGGTGTGTCATCGGATGCAACCGACAACAACAAAGTTGCAATCTCTATATAATAAGGTGGCATCGATTCAAAGCTTGTTTCAACATTATTCTCTGCTTCATATTTATCTGTTAATCTCTCTATGAAACAATACAATCACAATTGACAAAGTTAGTATATGAAGACTTGCGCAAATGAAGAAGAAGAAGAAGAAGTAAAGTGTTAACACTTTGCTGACTTTATTGCTGACTTACCTAATGATAACCATTGTGGGAATTGTATTTTACATTTCTTTTTCTTCTTTAGAGTGATTGCTAACCAAAGAGGAACGTTAACTGGAAGTGCAGGAACGAACGGACCGTATGTTCCCGATAGGAAGTGCAGCTCCTCCATTCTAAAGTTTGGTACGATGGTGATCGATTCATCTTCTGCCAAGAACTCTATTTGAAATGGTGTGAATGGCTGTTGAAAATCATCTTTAATATTATTGCTATTTCTTAACATCTTTCTTTCACTGCTATATTATAAAAAAAAAAGGTAGATAAATAAATAATATTATTGTTGTGATCATCACCATCAGATTTGCAATCAACCAAATCAAATTACCACTAAATTTAGTCTTCGCGCCAAAATTTTGAAAAAAAAAAGTTGATATTACATTTTAGAATATCTATATTATTTTTTTATTTATTTCTAATTCTAATTTGATAAATAAGATAGAATAAATATTTTAAATATTTTAGTTAAATCTTCAACTGTTGTTTCATCGACAAATAAATGATCGTCGCACGCTTTATGCCAACAACTTGGGAATGGTACAGTAATTAAATGCAAAATAGGCAGTTTATATTTATGAAATGGTACATCTATTATATTTTTAAAATTTTGTTGAATTAATATTTAATATAATTAGATAACTATGTAATATATACATACGATCATCTTGAATTTCACCTGGTAAAAATTGACCTGTAAAATATTTATTTGGTCTATAACTTATCCTATTATTATTATTTGTTTTTTATTCAATTTCAAATTAGTTAGTTATTTAATCAAGTATTGATTTTGTCTTTTTTTAATAAATAAATATATATTTATATTTACATTCTTTTTGATGATAGTTTTGATTCGATATCCATCATCTTCTTAAAGAGTGGTGCAGTAGGTGGGTGCGCTGAGCTAAATGTTGGATCGGGTCCACCAATGAGATCCAACAACATAAATAACTCAATAGTGTCATAAAATGGTTTCGATTCACCTGTATTTTCATTAACCAATGTTTGATTTGCGAATTTCTTTGCCAGATGTCTTGATCCATAGAGTGAATCGGTTTCAGTCCAATCGATAAATGCTTCTTCACCATCAAAGAAAATCAATTTCAATCTCTCTATAAAATATAAATTAAAAAAACAAAACATTAATCTATCTATCTATCTATCTTCTTGCCATTCCAATTTTAAATCATTATATTTCATACTTGGTGAACCATTCATCAATACATGTTCCATTGATTTTGCAATTTCAATAATCATTGCAATGCTAACAGCAGAGTCGACAGTTGCCAAGAATTTAAATTCCTGAAATATATTATTGGTTTTTTTACAAATAATTAGTTATAAAGTAAATGATATTGAATGGTTTCTACATAATAAATACTTTGAAATATTTTGAATCATAGTGAGCTGCCAATATCAGAGTTGGAGCCAATGGGTCATCCAATGGGTACTTTGAGGTAACGATGATGTTATTGAACTCTTTCTGTCCGAATGGTGTCTTGTCTGTGAAGGTATCGAATTCAACATCCCAATGTTGTTCGGTGTCGAATTGCGATACGATGTATTTTGCAACTTTTTTGATCTCTTCTGAACCAGAGTGTCTCTCTACCGCCAGATTCTTTAGATGCTTATCGAGTCTCGCGTGATTGGTAGCCTCTGTATATTTCTTCATCAGCGAATACTTCACAAGTGAAAAGTTAGGTGATTTAATAACATTGTTTGATCCGTTGTCGCTCTTTGCACTACTAACGATCGCTGATACAATCAATAATATTAAAAAAGAAATACAAATTTTAATATTCATTGTTTTTTTTAATTAAAATGAACATTGGACCAATTAATCTGCAGAATTGATTAAAAAATATTAATTTTTTTTCACAATCTTTTTTGCAATTTGGTTTTATGTTATGAAGTTCTTTCATAACTTAGTGTCCACAAAAGACAAAAAAGATACATTATCAACGGACTAATATTTTATAGAGTTTATGTAAAAAATCTTTCGGGATTTAAAATTAAAACTACCATTAATATTATTTTACTCAGTTCATATATGTAAATATTATCTTTATAAAAATATTATTAATATCTACTTTCATTCGAATGAAATGACACGTCCTCTAAATCTCAACAATCTATTTATCAATTCATACACATCAGCTCCACTATTGCTTCGAAGACTTGCAGACCATCATTTTCTCTTCTTTAATGAAATCCAATATTTTTTCTACTATCATACATGAATCACAAATTAGAAATATATATGGACATTATATTTTATTCTCAAAGTGGAATCGTTCACAATAATAATAATAAAAATAAAAACAAACAATTTTATAGCTATAATGATTATCTCATAAAAAAATATAAAATAAGTAAAGATTGATCAATTAATCGTTTTTTTATTAGAATCTCTGAAAAAAAAAAAAGAATTGAAGATCTCTTTGTTTTTTGCTATTTCATTATCTATATTAATTGAATATGCAAAAGTTACAATGGTTAAATGTTAGAGTTAGACAACTACAACACTCATTTATAGACATCAATAGAGAGAAACAATTCATTCAAAAACATTCGAATCTATTATATAATTTACAATATCATTTATATGTTACTCCTGAAATATCTATACATTTACAATTATTAAAAGATAATCAACAACAACAACAACTAAAACAACAAAAACAAAAACAAAATAATAATGATAATGATAATGATAATTTTAATTTAGATAATTCAATATTGTTTATATTAAAAAACAATATTGATAATAATAATAAAGATGATAATCATCAAATACTATGTATATCAGATGTAATTGTTGAACCAAAGTTGATAGATTTAAATATATCATCGAGTTATTCCTATTTAGATAGCAATAAGAGTAGTACGACAAGCAGTAGTAGTTCAATATGGTTAGCAAAGGATTTAATGACAAAACTATCATTGGAGAATGATAAGTGCATCATGATTGCACCAATCAAGAGAGAATGGATCAAAACAACCGATACAGTCTATCTATCAAATCCAATCTCTTTAATCAACGATAATATTAAACTATCATCGATGTTAATGAAACAAAACTTTAAAGAACTGGTTAGAAGTAATTTAAAACTTGGTTTATCACCAAATACAATCATTAGAATAAATAGCAATAATAATAATAACAATAACAATAGTAATAATAATGAAATAGTTAATTTAATGTTATCAAATGGCTCAATATATCAATTTAATTATCATATTAATATAGAATCAAAAACAACAACAACAACAAACACACAGAGATCATCAAATGATGATTTACATTTACTTGATAATTGGAGAATCATTACCAATAATACCAAGCTAATATATATAGATAGTAATAATAATAATAATAGAATAAAGAGTGATAAAGACGATGAATTTGAATCGTATGATAATCAAAGAAAGAAAATAAGAACATTATATAGTATCTATTTCAATGAGAAATCAGCTAAACAATATGAAAAGTATGGATTGGAGAAACCTAGATCATTGTTGTTATATGGACCTGCTTCATCTGGAAAGAGAACACTCGCAAGAGCATTGGCACATGAACTCGGTGAACAGATCGATGATATCGTAACACTAACATCCAATGACATAATTAAATACAATACAAAATCAAGAGGACTACAACAGAGATTCAATCAAACAAAACAACTTTCAAATTCAATATGTAGGTTTAACATCATTAACATCTAACTATCTAGAATCAATTATTTGATAACTAACTAAATAACATTTTAAATATTAATATTATAGTTTTAATAGAACATATCGAAGAATTGTTTCCAAATTTACAACAAGATGAAGATAGTGATACTATTACTACCACCAATTCTGAACAAGCCTTAGAAACAACATTCATCAATATTCTACAGGATATTAAGAATAATTCAAAGAAGAATAAAGTATTCATTGTAAGTAATTATAATTATGATAATGAATGATGATTTTTGTTGTTGTTGTTTTGAATTGAGCAGCAACTAATTAACACAAACAAATAAAATTATTATTAAATTTGAATAGGTTGGTATTACAAGCAATATAAAGAGATTAGATGTTATGATTAGATCACTTTTCGATGATGAAATCAAATTCGAACCACCAACTTCACAAAAGAGACTAGAGATATTTAAATACTATTTGGGTCAACAAATTGGTGCTAATCACTCTCATTCCAACCTAGAGGTACTAAGAGATATTAATGATGATTGTAGTGGTCTTGTCGGTGGTGATATACAACTACTCTGTAGAGAAGCAATTATAAATTCCCTAAAAAGATTAAATAATAACAACAACAATAACAATAACAATATAAATAGTATTGAAGATAGTAAGTAGAATACACATAGAGAAATAATAATGCATTTAAAAGCTTTATTCTAACTTGTTTTTATTTATGTTTTTACTTTTTTTGTTAGTTAAATTTATAAGAGATGATTTCATTGGTAGCGTTATTCAACACAAGAAATTGGTGGATGCAAGTAGTATGTCGAAATTGGTGCCGTCGATGCCAAAAGTAAGTTGGTCGGATATCGGTGGTTTGGAGCAGGTGAAACAGTCGTTGATGGAGATGGTCGTCTGGGACTACCAGCATGGCGATGCGCTGCGTGCGCTTGGTGTGAAGACACCGCGTGGCGTGCTGCTCTACGGTCCGCCTGGCACCGGCAAGACGCTGCTCTCCAAGGCGGTGGCGTTTGAAGCACGCGCCAATTTCATTGCGGTGAACATCAGCGAGGTGATCCACGGAGAGATCGGAGAGTCTGAGAAGACGATCGCAGAGATCTTCCGGGTGGCACGTGCTACGGCGCCGTCGATCATCTTTATCGACGAGATTCAATCGATCTTTGGTCAGAAGGAAGCGGTTGGACAACACGGAAAGAATGTGATATCGCAGATCTTGGTTGAGCTGGATCAGCTCGCCGAAGATGTCGACAATGCTGGCAAGCGCGTCATGGTGTTGGCAGCGACCAATCTACCACAGGCGATTGACCAATCGTTTATGCAGCCCGGACGGTTTGACCGTGCACTGTACGTCGGGCCACCCGAAGCAGAGGAACGTGCGCACATTCTCACCAACCTTGCCAAGCAGCTAAAGTTGGCGGACGACGTCGATTTACAAGAGCTGGCACGTATCACCACAAACTTTACTGGATCGGACTTGAATGGATTACTCAAGAAATCTGCACTCTACGCAATCGAGAGAGATATCAACGCACAATCAATCACCATGAATGACATTTCAAAAGTATTCTGGGAGACAACACCAACCATTACACACTCACAAATTGAAATGTTTAAAGAATGGGAACAATCAAGGAAGAAACAACAACAGCAACAATAAAAAGATTATAATATTTTATTAATTATTATAGATATGAAAACAATCCAATCAATATTTATAAAAGACAATTAAATTTGAAATCTCCCTCTCTTTTTTTTTGTAAATGTAATTGCTAAAGGAACAACCAACTAACCAAGCAATTTGATTGTCACTTTTCAAAAATAAGAAAAGAGAATGTAAGATATCTATCCCAATAATTAAAATTTAGCTGGTTGTAAATTAATATGATTAAAAAAACACCAGTCCTACCACATCTAGTAGGGAGTGTAAAGATGAGCAGTCAGAATCATTTTTTTGGCACAAGTTTATTAATCCATTGGAATAAGTTTTTTTGGTTTGTCTTATTTTGATTTGTGGTGTTTGGATGATGAGCATTTGCGTTGTGTGGAATGTTGAAAACAACGATTTCACCAAAAGATTATTCAAGGATGAATGAACAATCAATCAATCAGTCAAATCACTTACCAAATCTGAAAATGTTGAAAACAAAACAAAAAACTAAAACTAAAACAAAAAAGATAATTTGTTTTTACATCCCCATAATCAGATATAAAGATGATTATTAAAATAACCAATAAATATGGTCCTTTTTTAAAAAAAAAACTGTTTTTCTATTTTTTTTTTTGTTTTTTGATTTTTTTTTTTTTTAACGAAGTGTTATGTTTGTTTTCAAGAAACCGTTACAAAAAAATTAATGAACTCAAATTTTAAAAAAATTGATCATCAACAAAAAACAAAAAAAAAAAAAAACCTCAATAAATTATAATGACCTTATTCCCGCCACAATTTTTAAAACACAATTGAGAGCACACAAACACACAATCACAAACAAACACACACATAAAACACACAACCAAATCCTTTTTTCTTCTTCACTCACAAATTAAATAATCTCTTTTTTTTTTTATATTAATTATTAGTTTTATAGTTAGTTATTATTATTTTTTATCTATTATAATAAAATAACTCTATTAAAAAAAAATTAAAAAAAAAAAATTAATTTTTAATCAACAAAGAAGTCAAATAATAAAAAGTAGAGAATAATTAATTCAAATTATAATAGCTACTACTAGAAAGATCGATTGTATCATTGAATTTAAATAGAAATAAACAATTTATTTTTATTATTATTATTTGATCATACAAATCAATCAAGAATTCAATTCAGTCAACAACATCTTCACCAAAACACACAATAATCAATCATACACCCCAGAATTAAATTTATTATACATATTTTGGTAGATTCTATAACAAGTAACACCAACAACAACCAAGATATTACAGCAGTGGTAGCGATAAAATAGTTCATTAGAGTGAACAGCAACAACAAACAGTAAAACAACACAGCGAAGTAACAGTAGCAGTAACAAAAGGTACATTATCAACACTACGAAAACAAAAGAAAGAATCCAATCATTATGTTCATTGTCACCGTCACCCACACTTTAAGCTAAACCAAAAACAGTTATCAACTAAAACAAAACATATTGGCAGTATCAAAATGATTACTGTTACTGTAAACAAAAAAAAAAAACTATAAATCTGTTAATACAATATATATATATATATATATATATGTATTTCTCACACACACACACACACACACCACCTTTGCAAATAGAGAAATTATCACTAAATAACTAGTAAACATAGCCAATATATTGATTGATTCACTTCTCATCTTGTGAGATGTAACCATCTGGTCCTTATATATACATATTCAAATTAATAATATTTGTCGAATTGGTGGTCAATCAAACACACACACACAAAAACAAACACATAGAGATAACTATAAATATTATCCTAATAAGTTCATTTTTTACTGAACAACAACAAAAATACCTATTATCATAGAGAGCTGTTACATCTCTCTCATCTTTTCATTCATTTTTTTTTTTGTGTTTTTATGATAACCACAACAACAGTTATCAATACCAATACCAATACTATTACTACACACACACACACACACACAGAACACGATGATCAATAAATGGAAAGTGTATATTTGTAAAAGAGTGGGGTGTTGTGGTACGACACTTCGAGGACGATGATCATCAAACTTTGTTTTTTTTTTTTTTTACCATATTTAAATAATCTATATACACTATCTGAGTCAATTGCTCATGTTTGTTGTTATTGTTATTGTTTTTTTCTCATCGTGTCTCTGACCACAATATATTAGGAGTATCTAGTAACAACAAATATTGTAGTATCCTATCGGAACATATACAAAATTTGTTATCTTTAAATACAACCCGACAAACAACCACCCCACCCCATGACAACACCAACATCAACAACAATATTTATCTTTAAATACAACAAAACTCTTTTTCTTTTTCTTTGTATTGCTTTGTTTGTTTTTTAATTTGGTTTGGTTATGTTGTTACTGTTGTTGTTAAACTACATATATATTTGAATTTGAATTTAAATTTAAATTTTATGATTTCAATATACGGTTGGGATTGGTTTGGTTGTTTGATTGATATCCAATAGGAGTTACTACTATTACAAAAAAAAAAAAAAAAAAAAAAGTAATAAATATTATTTACTACTATCATAATAATATGCCCATCACGCACACACACAACAAATACCCACAACTACTCCTCCAACAAGCATGTGATTTCACTGCCATCAATCATTTTCATCAATCAACACAACCAAACAACAAATGAGTTGTTAAAATATTATTATTTATTTTATTGATTATTTTTTATTGTTCAACAACAGAAATACAGGAATAGAGTTCACTATATTGACAATTTCCAAGTTTTCCCGCCTCATTTCATTTTTCTCTAAAAAAAAAAAAAACAGTTGTTTAAGAAGTGTAGTTATAACTTGTTTCTTAAAATTAATTAATTCTACAAATAGGTTGTCTTAACAACCATCTCTCTTACTCTCCCACTTTCACACTCAACACAACATAAGAAAAAAAACAAACAAAAAACAATAGTTCACATCAACAACATCATAATTATCATCGTATCAATAATTAACAATCAACAGTAGTTTGTTTGTTTGTATGTTTTTTTTTAAGACTTCACTAATAATATTATTTTTATTAATATCAATTTTAATAATAGATTTTTTTAAACATCCGTCAGTCAGTTCATTTCAGTCAGTCAAACAATCTTCAACAACAACAACAACAACAAAACCATCATTTATAAAATCAAAAAGGAGATTAGTTAATTCATTTTTATTTTTCCTCCACATAACAACCAAAGTTTTTTTTTATATAATATTAGTTAACATATATATTTTATTTAATTATTATATTCATCAACTTCACCCACCCAACACTACTATCTGTACATAATCAACTTATATACTATTTATTTATTTATTGTACTTTTCTCCACTTTGTTATATATTTTCAAAAATGTTTCACTCACAATATGAATCAAGACTAAGAAGTCCATCTAGAGGTTCACCCTCAAAGTCTATAAATTGGAACCAGGATCAACCTCCTCTGGGTGTACCCAATTTCGAAAGAGTAATAGATTTAGATTCAAAACAACAAATCAACAACAGCAGTAGTAGTAGTGATACCAACAGTAGTAATTTCAATAATAATAATAATAATAATAACAACAATAATAATAGTTTTGAATCAAAGAATTATAAAAACATAATTAATAATAGCAACAATAATAATAATAACAATAGTTTAAATATAAGTTTCAATGAAAGTACATCATCATATAAGAATAACAAATCACCAATTAAAAATAGTAAATCACCTATCAAATTAAATAATAACAGTAGTAGTAATTATGGGGATAGATTTATTTCGATTCCATTCACAACAGAGTCTCTTGATAAATTTTCGGTTTTGGATGTCAATCCAATTCATTCACCTTCACTCAACTCTAATGCATCGAGTTCGTCATCGTCATTTGACAAGCAAGAGAACCACTTGGCATACAACCTCATTTTGAAGAACGAGATTCTTGGCAACCATTCCATTCTGGAATACAACAATCCACAGTCTATACAATTTTCCAACCAAAACGATCCACTTTCCACCACACCTACCACTAATACGACGACCACATCCAATAATCCAACGACCACAGTCACCAACAACAGTAATAACACCAACACCGCCACATCAAACATTTCCAACCAACAATTTTCACAAACTTTTTCATCGTCAACCTTTTCACAATTGTCTTTGCTTGAAGGTGCTGAGGACATTATCGACAGCTACTCCACCAGCAGGAACATACTCCAATACACTCTGCCAAAGAAAAAGTCCAAAGATTTCACTGATTCACCGTATAGTCTATCGCCTCTTTCTGACAACTCACAAAAACTACTATCGTCACCACGAAAGCCACAAAGAAAGATTTCAAAGATGCCATTCAAAGTGCTGGATGCACCTGCAATCCTCGATGATTTCTATCTTAACCTGATTGACTGGAGCTCACAAAACATTGTGGCAGTTGCACTCGAGTCAAGTGTCTATCTGTGGAATGCCGCCACCAGCAAGGTGTCAAAGCTCTGTGACTACCAGAACGGTGTTGTCACCTCGGTCAGTTGGATACAGCGTGGATCGCACTTGGCAATCGGTGGCGACGATGGTCTCGTCCAGATTTGGGATGTAAATAAATCAAAGAAAATTCGGCAGCTTCAAGGTCACACTGCCCGAGTCAACTCACTCGCCTGGAACAATCATATTCTCTCCTCAGGAAGCAAAGACAAAACCATTCTGCACCATGATGTACGTGACAGCGCTCATTTTACTGCCAAGCTGCTAGGGCACCGCAATGAAGTGTGTGGCTTGAAGTGGTCTCCGGACGGACAGCATCTGGCGAGTGGCGGCAACGACAATCTGCTAGCGGTGTGGGACTCCTCGTCTACCAAACCACTCTATCAATTCAGATCTCACAATGCAGCAATCAAAGCGATCGCCTGGAGTCCGCATCAACGCGGACTGCTAGCATCTGGTGGAGGTACTCAAGACAAGTGCATTCGTTTCTGGAATACATTCACTGGAACACCGCTGCAGGCAATAGATACCGGTTCTCAAGTGTGTAACCTGGCTTGGTCAAAGAACGTCAATGAATTGGTGTCAACTCACGGTTACTCACAAAACCAAATCACACTGTGGAGTTACCCCTCAATGAAACAAGTAACAACACTGACCGGTCACACCTCTCGTGTACTGTATCTAGCTATCTCGCCCGACGGTCAAAACATTGTTACTGGTGCTGGTGATCAAACACTGCGACTCTGGAACGTGTTTCCCAACTCTAAAGAAACCAATTTGTACTCACCTCGCAGTCTAGAGAATCTCTATAATAAGAGTGAATTAGATATACGTTAAGAAAATAACCATAGCTTGTTCAATACAAATCATAATAATAATAATATATATCTAGTTTAAAATAATAAAATATATTAACTATATAATATATATAATCTATATTTCTTTTTTTTTTTTTTTTTTTGTTCTCACTCTTATCTTTCTATCTATGTTTTAAATTACATTATGAAAATGACAACAATGACAAACAGAATAAACAACTGAACAACAACATCAAAAACGTCAATAAACAAAACCAATTAATATTGTATTGACCGATTGTAGTTGTTGCTTTATATATATTAATTGAAATAGTTGTTTAATCTGTTTGTTAAAATTAAACATTATTAAATGCATAATGCAATTATTGAAAATAAGAAGAGAGATTGAAAGTAGAAAAGAGAAATATAAGATATATATAAGTTTTAATTGTTAGTAAATAGTATAATATATATGTACAGACCATGAATATTACTATAAATATAAATATAAATCTATATAAATAAAAAAAATAACAATGATTTTAATGAAAATCATGAGAAACAAAATGTAAAAAGAATGATTAAAACATAAAAAAATGTGTTTTTTTTTTTTTTTTTTGCTGAAACCGAGGTAATGTTGAATTGATTTGCTTTAGTTTGTGTCTGTTCACAATTATATAATATTAGAGTTTACATTATACTTGCCATATTTGATTCAATTTCTTTGATTAACTAAATATTTCAAAGTTGTTTTGTTGTTGAACAACTAACCTAAAATAAATAAAATATATTACAATTATTAATAATTAAAAATTTAAAAATAAAAAAAATAAAATAAAGTTTGGTGATTTATTATTTGTTTAATTTTATATTCTTCAAACATCAACTCAAACTGTCTAAACCATTGTTGTTTGTTTGTGATTATAATAAAAAATGAAATAAAAACAAAAACAAAAACAACAAATTTAAATACAGATTCTTAAGAGTAATAAAACTAACTCTTCCCTCTCTGCCACCACTAATTAAATGGTTTGTGTTTATCTGATGGTGCTTCAACTCATTGAGTTGGTGGTGAATTTTGGTATCAATATTATGTGATACCCATTATGTATCATTTGCTTTTTTGTTTTGTTGTTTTTTTTTTTTTGAATAAAATAATTCAAACCAATTTTGGTATATTATAATGGGAGAGAAACAGAAACCCAGATTTTTAATTAAACTAACTCTTAGCTACTTACCAGATACACTGTATATCTGAATTTAATGTACATTCTCATTACTAATCAACAAAACAAAACAAAACAAAAAACAAACAAAACAAAAAAACAGATTTAGTTTAGTCGTATACAAAAAATATTTTATTTAATATTATTTCAAAACAGTAAAAATAAAATGTACATAATGTTTGTTGATTATTTGATTATTGTGACTTATGCAAATAGTTCATTGAGATCTACCTTCTTTGATTTCATATTGAACAACTTATTGTTGAAAGCATTTGGTTTGGCATTCTGTTTCTCACCAAGCATTGCTTGTACTGCGCCAGAGGCACCGGATCTGTCTTGTACATTAGCAGCCTTACGTAGATTCTGTTGATTGTATTGAGCAACCATGTCACTGAATGCGCATTCTGGTTGTTTTTGAGGTGGTGGTTGCTTTGAACGCAACTGTTGTTGTTGTTGCTGCAAGACATTGGCTGAAAGTTTCTTTTTGGTTGGTTGTTGATGTGGTTGATATGATGCAAGGTATCCACCATATCCTTGTTGTTGTTGCTGTTGTTGCTGTTGCTGTTGTGGTTGCATTTGTTGTTGTTGTTGTTGCATTTGTTGTAATTGTTGAAGTTGCATTTGTTGTTGTTGTACTTGTGGTGGTTGCATTTGATGTTGTTGTAATTGTTGAAGTTGTTGCACTTGTTGTTGTTGAAGTTGTTGTGGATAAGCTGGTGTTGGTTGTGGAAGGTATCCAACCGGTTGAACGATTGTTGGTAATCCAGATCTCATTACATTGCCAATAGAAAGATCGTTGGCATAGTGATGGTTTGCTTTGTAGTTGGCGGGTGGTGGAGGTGGTGGTGGTGGAATATATCCAGGTGGGTGTTGTGGTTTGGTTTGGACAGCTTGTGGTACTGGTGCTGGAGCGGGTGTTGGAGGTGGATTTGATACAAGGAATTTTGGAAGTGGTGGAGGAGGTGGTGGTTTGACAATCTTGGGAGCGGTGACATCCTTGATGATGGCGACAATCTGTTGCACCATCTTGTGGTTGACACCATACTCCTTCTCTCTGATTCCACGTGCTTCGTTCAACACCTGGACAGCCTGCTCCTTCTTCTCCATCGATTGGTAGACGATACCAAGACGCACCAAGATGGCAGCGACCTGCGAGTGAGTTGGTCCGTAGATCTTTCTGCAGATGGCAAGAGCACGAAGTGCGCACTCCTCGGACATCTTGTAGTTCTCTTGCATTTCGTAGAGAGAAATCATGTGTCTGAGAATTTGGGCGACACGAGAATGCTCCAATCCCAAACGTCCTTCGTAGATCTTCAACGCCATCTTGAAACAAGATTCGGCATCGCTGTATTGATCCTTTTCAATGTACAAACTACCAAGACGTGTAATGATTCTGGCATAGGCGACGTCCATGTCACCGAGTTTCAACTCGATGATTTCCAATGCCTTGATAAAGTAGTCTTCAGCGATGTTGAGGTGACGTGCTTCCTCAACAAAGTGTACACTACCCAGACTGTAAGCAATGTCAGAGAGTAGCAATGGATATTGTTCGGAACGTGGCTCCACAATTCTCATGGCTTCGTTCAACATCTGTTTGGCCTCGGCATGTAGATTTCTAGTGCAGGCGAGTGAACCGAGTAAGTTGAGTGTGGCAGCCACCTCAATGTCTTCGGCACCACGCTCTTTGGTGTAGATAGAGAGAGCCTGACGGAACTTGGCATCTGCCATATCGTGGTTGCATTTGGTGTGATACATACGACCCATGGAACGATCGACTTTGGCAGCTTCAATCATTTGTGAATTGGTTACATAGAGATCACGTGCCTTCAAGTAGAGAGCCTCTGCACCTTCATATTGTGATATCTCCTCAAGGAAACTGGCAACGTTATACAAAACATCGGAAATAACCAATCCAGATGCCTGTGGGAATGAACGGGCGATCAACCATTTATACTCCTTGGTGGCGTTGTATGGAATTGGATCGTTACGCTCAGCAGCATTCTTTGGTGGTTTGAACTGCTTCTCGAGGTTGTTCCACAAGTTGATAAGATCACTGCGATGTCTTGGAGCATAGAGCTTATCAAACATGTATAGATTAGTGAGACAAGCACGTAGTTCTTCCCAGTTCTCAGAGTGGAGCAACTGGAATGGCAGCTCCTCAACCTTTCTCTCGTTCAAATCAGTTGATTCCAAGAACATCTGAGCAATATCCGCGTGAATTTCAATCTTAATCTTGTCGGTTGTGATATATTTCTTTTCGACGGCTGCAGCAATGTCGTCGTTGAGGAACGACAATAGACCAGATGAAGAAGAGATATAGGCTTCCATCAAAACCAACAATGAATTCCATTCGAGAGGATCGATTCCTTTCTTGTTGAGGAGAGCAGTGAGTAGCTCAATCTCAATACCTCTACGTCCTCCCCAAATATAACGGAGGAAGTCACGAACCAAACCTTTACCTTTGACATCGTAGTCGGTTTCAATACGATCCAAAATAATCTCATAGAGTTCGGCGGTGTTTCTTGCCTTTAGTAGTCGGAGAATACGTTCATTCAAACGTTCGTGGTCACCAAACACACAGATGTCGTCCAATAGCAACTGGAGGAAACGTGGATTCGATGCAGAGTTGGAATTAGCAATGAGCAGCTCTTGTTGGTCCGATAGCTTCTTGGCGAAACGATTGAGGTAGAGACGAACCATTGCTTTTCTTTCGGCTTCTGGAAGTGGAGTGATATGCAAGAATGAAACTCCACGCTTCTTCATTACCTCAACTGGACGACTGGTGGTTGTCGATGAAATGATAAACTTGGCGTTGTTTGGCAGGTTTCTTGGGAACCAAATCATATCGGCAGAGTTATCACGTGTGTCCAACTTGTTGAGACCGTCCAATACAATCACCAAACGACGTGCAGACATCGATGGATGTGTCATTACAAATGAAATGAACTGGCTAAACTCTTGAGTGATCTTTTCCGAAGTGGAGTTGGCATCTGGAATATCTGGGATCCACGAGCTGCTGGTGTCCTTGAATAGCGAAGACGATGCTTCCTTTGAGGAGCTGGCAGTCTCCTTCTCCAACATAGCTTTAATCTCAATCATGATTCTAATGAGTGAACCAGAGTGTTTGGAAGACGATGGTGTCGCACCGATCCAGTGAGTGGCAATAATATCCTCGGGATGTTGATCTTTGTGTTGTTTCACCCAGTTACAAAGGAGAGCACTCTTTCCGGAACCTACATCACCGTGTACCATGAGGACGTTACTCTTGTTACTGGTGAGGAATGTATCGATCGACATAAAGTTGGCTTCGTTCTTGATGTAGTTCTTACAGAGATTCTTTGAGAACACTGCATGGAGGAAACGCTCCTTGTCATCCGGAGCAAGTTCGTGTCCGGCTGGGAACTTCTTATCGATATACTTTTCGAGATCTTCGTAGAGCACATCGGCCAAGTTAGTTGGACGTCTGTACTCTGCCACACGAATACCATTGGCTCCAGAGAGTTTGTTGAGTTCCAATTTCAACTTGTCTAACTTCTCTTTGGAACGCGGTCCCTCTGATACAAAGTTGTTTCTCTCCTTTTGTGATACCTCTTCGATGTAGTATGGATCACGGAAGTAGAAGAGCGACTGTTGACAACTTGGAACGTGTCCAGAGAGAACTGCACGATACTCAATCTCAGTCATCGAGCAATCACGCAGTTTGTTTACCCATGGGTATTCAGAGGCAGCCTTGTCGAGGGTTGCGGTCAACAGTTGTTGAGTGCGCGGGTCTGCACGCTCCTGAGACGACCAGCCGTAACGCTCTCCATAGAGACCGACCAACAAATTGCACTTGGACATCTCACGCAAACACATCGACAATCCGATCTGTGCTTGCTCAGTGACACCCCAACGCAAATCGACATAGCTAATAATGATATCACGCTCAATACAGATCTTTCTAATCTTTGGAATGACGACCTTAACGATTTGGTCACGATCCAAGTTCATGTCTTTGAATGGCGAGGAGATGAATATTCTAATTTCACGACCTTCAAACTCGTCCGACGAACCGGCGGCACCGTGCTGGTCAGCCTTATCGTCGGATGACGACACCGATGAATCCTCATCGTCCGACTCAAACTCAATCTCCATATTCGAACCGTCGCTAAAGCCAGAGAGTGAGATAGCGCGCGACTTGTCGACCGATGAGGTGGCAGTGGCAGCAGCACCGCTCTCGGGCATCAAGAACAACTGTTGTTGCTTCTCTTCACTGAGTGTAGCGAATCGTTTTAAGAGTAGAGATTCTACGTTTTGAATGTTATGGATGGCACGCTTGATGTTTGCAAGCTGTGACTTGACAATGACAGCTTCTTGTTCGCTTGGACTCGGCACCTTGTAGATGACAGCGTCATAAAACATAAAGGTGACTGGATATCCAAAGGAACGACCGTCATTCGATGCAGAAACTGGTACATTACCTGGAGCACATACAATTCCAGGTGGCACTGTAACTAATATCGCTGAATTCGAATGGAATTCATAGTTGGTTGCAAAGATCGATCCAAACTTTACACGAAACTGTGGATTAGGTGCGAAACCAACTCCAAAAACTGTTACTTGATATCCTCCAATATTATTGCCTATAGGTAATAAATAATTAATTATTAATATTTAAACAATATGTTTAATAATGTCTTTTGATTTGATTACATACCACTTGGAGGAACTAAAAGTGTTACAACGGGATCAGCTTCAACTTGATCTAAAAGTAAACTACTTGGTACAAGTTGTGTTGTGTTGTTATTGTTGCTAGATGTATGTAATTTCGAGGTTGAAGCACTTGATAGACTCAATGAATTATTACTTGTTGTGAGTGTAGTGTTATTGCTACCGCCGCTTGGCAATGGAGGTGAACTAACCTCTCCACCAGAGATTCTAAATGCAATGAAATTTGAATTTATAATCGGTATATTATTTGCAGTTGCAATTGTCAATGGATATTTATTTGCACTGATAGACTCACCAGATGCAATTACATAATCGACCTAAAAAAAAAAAAAAAAAAATTAATTAAGATGATTGTATAAGTGTAAAAAAAAAAATAAAAAAAATAAAAAAAAATTGAAAAAAAAAATTAGTCGATTCGATCATCCATCAAATAACTATAAATAAATCAGTTGGTTGGTACAATACATTTTTAGAGAATCTTTTGGCAATGGTAGCACCATGTTTCTCGAGATACTCTTTGAAAGTCGACTTTTGATCACTGTTTATATCATTTAAATAAAATGTCTTTAATTTAAATGATATTTTCATAGTTTTGTTTTGTTGTTATGCGTATGTAAAAATTATTTATATATTTATATTTAAATTTAAATTATGTGTACAAAGAAGAAGAGAATATATAAAAAAAATACAATAGTATAGTAGTTACAAAAAAAATAATAATCTTCAAAAAAATATATTTGAAAGATTTATAGAAGCAAAAATAAAACTACTTTAAATAGCTTTAAAAAGGTTTTGTGATCATTTTTAAATTAAATTAAAAGATATTTAATTAAATAATTTTCAATAAAATTTAGAGGTGTTTTTTGAAAAATCAATAACAGTAAAATTCGATGAATTTGAGAGAAAAACAACATTTTTTTCTTTTTTTTGTTTTTTTTTTGTTTTTAAAATCATTTTGAGAACTTGAATCTTTCATTGATTTGATTTAACAATGATTCTTTAAAATTTCTATTTATTTATTTAATATCATTTGAATATTTGCTTTTAAATTTATATTTTCAATTAAAATTAATTTAACTTTTGATCATCACCATTTTATTAATTTCGGTATAAATAACATAAATTAAACCAAAAAAAAAAATAAAAAATAAAAACTGGTGACCTGATTGAATAGGTATGATCATTTCATCATCTACTTATGGTATTAATCAAACAAACAAACAAAAAAATAAAAATGCATGCAAAAAAAAAAATCAAAAATAAATAATTATAACACATTTCACCACAGTACCTATTTAATTGACCAATAACACTCTATATATACAACCAATGCAACAACCAAGAGATATAATCGATCATTTTTTTTTTAATTAATCTAATGATAATCTTCTCTACAATATGTTTAGGATGATTTTGTTTATCTCTTGATAACATTTCTTACTAGATTTGATTGAAAGAAATATGTAAATTCGAAATGAAAGACGTGAGAAATGATCAATCATACAATTACAAAGGTATCAGATCTGTTTTATATATTTTCGAATAGTTTAATTTTTTTCCTCTATGTGATGATTCGATTTGTTTTGGTCTGTTTTAATTTTATTATTTATTTATTCTTCCATTTCCTCTTTTTTTTTAAAAATAAGGATAATTACTATCAGTAATCAATCAATCTATCAAAAAATCCAACAATATTATTCATTTTTTTAAATAAAATAAGAATAAGCAATTACTTGTCTTGCTTTATTATTATTATTCCAACAATTTATGATCAACATACAATTTCTACTACAGATGATTTACTACTACTACTAATACTTCTACCTGTGTAAAATTTTATATATATTATTTTTCCTTTTATTATTATTATTATTATTATTATTATTATTATAATTGAATAAATCTAGTTATTAGTTCTAAAATAGAAAAGAAGAGAATAGAATAAACAATAATAATAATATTTTTTGATCATAGTTTAAATATTTAAATTATGAATGGAATAAGGAAATAACATTATGTTGATGTGTAGTAGATTTTTATTATTTCTACTGTTGTTGTATCTGTTTTATAGTATTACTTTTTTGGTTGTTGGTATGTCAAGTTGAACTAAAAATTAAATAATCACGTGTTTGATTATTATAATCTAATTTCCCAATACACACCCCCATTATTCTCACTTTTACCCAATATATTTTTGCAATTCTATTTTATTTTTATCACAATTATCAAAGATATCACTCATACATATATAGATATAGCACTTCATCATTAGATTAAATATTAATATTAGCAAAAAATTGACTATTTATATCTATCTATTTTAGAAGCAAAACCAGAAAAACATAAACATATAGTTAATGATACACTTACATCAATCTATATTTCACCAGATGGAAAAGATGATAGTGATTGTGGCGCAATTGGACGACCTTGCTTCACAATCTTCAAGGGAGATTCTAAAATTCGAATAGGATCCAATTATGTATTTTATCTACTTCCTGGGTATTACGATTATTCCAATACCACACTATACAATCTTTCCGATGTAAATTTCACAATGATTGGTGTAGCAGGTCCAAAACAAACGAAAATCAAGCTATCTAGTGGTGGTAGATTTGTTGTGGTGGTTAGATCGGTTTTCAATTGCATTGGAATCACTTTTTTAAATTCATTTACACCACGCAGCTACAACTCTTTCAATACAGCACCAAACTTTAGAAATGTCTATTCGCGAAGAGCAGGAGTGGAACTCACGGATTTCAAGTTGACAATTGCACCATTCAAAATTCGAAATTCCAATGCAACTTTGATAAATATATATTCTTTTAACAATTCAATCGAAAATTTCTTGGCTTCAAGGAAATGTAAGGATTAATTAAAATTTAAATTTTAGAAAGGAAATTAATAATTTTTTATTTATTATAGCTGAAGTTGCAATTATAAACTCAACATTTCAATTGAATGATCATGATAGTTTATTCGAAGCAAATTATTGCAAATTTACTATTTACCAATCAAAGATATTCAGTAACGATATTAGTGTATTAGTATCATCAAATTTCTCTGAAATTAACATTATATCAACATCCATTTATTATAACAAATGTGAACAAGGATTCTTTTTTAGTAAGATATAATTTTTTATTTTAGATAAAACTAAAATCAAAAAAAAAAATCCAATTTCTAATCTATTATTTTCATAATTAGATACCTCAGCAGTAACCATCTATAATTGTATTATATCTGAAAATGTATCAATATTCGGTCAATTAATATTGTATGTATATAAAAATAAAATAAAAATATCAATGGTATAAAAATTATAATTTAACTTTTATTCTTAAATATCACCTCAGAGCAACCTCATATATGAACATGGCAAATGTTATAATTAAAAAAAATATAGGTCTTGGTGTAACTAGTATATTATTTCATAATTTTGATAGTGCATCAAAGTAAGGAAATATTAATAATTATATCTTTTAAAATATAAAATTTAATTTTTTTTTTAAACAATTTAAATAGTATTAGTGAGACTATTTTTAGTGAAAACATATCCCCTGTTGGTTCTGTAATAGTGAATGAAGCAAGGTCATTTACAATTTTAAACACCCTTTTTACTGGACAAACCCCTATCGATACAACCTCAATTTCGATCTATGGAAATGGTGAACTATTCGCTCTCAACTCTGTTTTTCATAATTTAACTGGAACTTGTGTGACATCCGATTCACAATCTATTATTGTGTTTTCTGATGTTTCTTTTTTAAGTAAGTAGCAATAAGAAATAAGATTATCTATAGTGGTTATTGATTTATATTATAAATAAAAACATATAGAGGTTCAAGGGAAGATTGTTCAATCTTTTGGTAAAGGTGAAGTATTTTTTGGATCATGCATTTTCGAAGAAAATACAGCATTTGACCATTTAATTTATCTTTCGAATAAGGTCTCTGCATATTGCTTTAACTCACGAATAATTTCCAACAAGTGTGCTTCTTTTTTCGAAATTAACTTTGAATCAAGTTTGCGTGGTGTAAACATGATTGCTTTAAACAATTTCTTCCAAGATGCTTTGATTACCGGTTCAAATTCCTTTGGTATATCCCTTCAATATTCTTCTTTTATCAATAACCTAGGAGTATATGTAATATTATTTTATATTTATTTTATATTTTATTCTTATTAACATTTTTAATAACAATCAAATAGAAAGGAGTAATTTTTCAAATCGATCAATCCGGTTCTATAAATATTACAGATTCTCTATTCTATGGGAATAAATCACCGTTTGGTACATTTATCTACTTTAGGAAAATTGCAACTCGAGGATGGACCGAATGTAATAATAATTTCATGAGAAACACTTTCAATACCAATACTGCTTCATCATCTGGCGCACTTGTATACTTTGAATATAATGTCACTTGCCCATTCATTTGTGAGGAATGTTTTGAAAGCCACAATGTTGCAACCTTTGGAGACTTGGTTAACAGTGAATATTGGAACTTCACTGTGTTGGCTCCCAACCACACAAATACTCCGCAAAACTTTCAAGTGGTAATCACGGCATTGGATGCGTTTGGAAATCGTGTATTAGGAAGGAATGACGTTAGTTTTTTGGTTGATGAACAGTGTCCGAATGTCAACCTCACTGGTATAAAGACAACTATACTCAACAGCAATGGTATTTCAATTATGTATAACTTGCAACTCAGTGGCGAACCAGGAACATCTTGTGTTCTCAATTTCACATCAGATCCACCATCGAAAACTGGACCAGTTTATGTTAATTTGACCTTGGACATATGTACAGATGACCATAAAGTGGTATCATATCAATCTCAATTATATTGTTTAAAAAAGGGTGGAATATCTGATATAGTTAAGCTCATTATCACATCGTTGATGGTAGTAGAATTCATAATTGTCATAATAGCTATGATAATAACCATTATCTATAGAAACAATAGATTGATAGTTCACTCCAACATTATATTTCTGTTGACAGTATTGGTTGGATGCCTTTTACTACTTGGATCGATTATAACCTCTGAAATCACTGCTGATATTACTTGTATCTTGAGAAATATTATTATTCCTGCTGGTTTGTTTATCACTTCTCTATCTGTCATTGCCAAACAAATTAGATTATGGAGTATTCGAAGACAACTCAATTTTCAAAAGAAAACATTGGTAAATATATATTGTTTTTAAAATTTTAACTATATCTTACAATCAATTTTTATATACCTTCTAGATGAAAACCAGTTATTTCTTCAAATGTTTTGGAATTTTATCAATTGTACCAGCAGTATGTTTTTAAAATAATATTAATTATATTTATAAAATATTTTAACTAACCAATTTTATTTATTTCAATTAAGATAATAATTTCTCTAAATGCAATTGTCTCGCCATTAAAACCAACTGATATTATAAACTTAAATAACCATTCAGTAACCCATGTTTGTACATCTCAACATGGAGTTATCTATGTAATAATAAATCTCGTTTATTTAGTAAGTTATATTCTCTACTAAGAATAATAGATTAATAAAATATTAATTTTAATTTATTTAGGTTTTATTATTATTGGTTTCTTGTGTATTGATTTTTTTAAGCAGAGACTATAGATCATCACCAGGAACTTTTAATGAACCAACCTATATAGCAATTTTAGTAAGTTTTTTTTTCTATAATAACCAAACCTGATTACTTACATTATTTTTTTTAGATTTACAATTATTTATTATTGTTATTCATTTTAATACCTCTAAGATTTTCATTCTCTAGTAGTCCGAATGCACAATTTCTAATTATCTCGATAACTATTCTTTGCTATGTAATTAGTACTATTTTACTTCTTTACATTCCAAAATTTAATATTATATTTAGAAAACAAGCCGTTGTTTTATCTGTAAGTATAAGTAATTTCAATTTGAATAAAAAAAGCGAATAATTAACTCCTTTTTTCTATAGATGATGAAATTCATAGAGGAACAAGAACAACAACTTGATAGAAATAGAGACATCTTAATGTTTTATGAATTGTATGGAAATGATGAAGGAAAATTGAATTTTGCAAATCACAATATTTTCACTCCTGATACTCCGTCACCATCGATCCAACACGGATCAGGCCATATCAACCCACCGAATGACAACAATAACCTGCACAATAATAATAGTATTATTATTAACCAATACAACAAGAATATATCACACGGTCTACCCAGTCCACCAAACAAATCTACTTCCGATTCTCCCAGTAGTATCCCTTCTGATACAATACAAAGAGTTACCAATAACCATATCAATAATAATAATAATAATAATCATATTAACCATAGAAATAGCATTAAAGATTTAGATGCAATTTATGGATCTATGGCATTTAATAATGAGGAACCTATGGACAGTCCTTTCACAAAATCATTGAAAAGTAAATTCTCCGCATCACCTGACAACTTGAATACCACCAATAACAATAACAACAATAATAACGAAACAATACCCCAAAGAACATCGGTATCCACACCAAATTCACCTGTATCAAATTTTAGGAGAACCTTTGCATTGACGAAAAAGAAAAAGAACAAGAAATAAATTAAAAAAAAAATATATTATTTATGTAAGAATAGTTTTGTTGATTTGATTATCAATGATTACTATTACTGTTGTTTTAGTTGTAGTTGTAATTGTTATCTAAATATATCCTTTCTTATAAGAATAGACCAAAAAAATGAAAGCAAAAGCAATCATTGCTGAGATGATGCCAGAGAACCAACTATAGTTATCGACTGCATCGGCCAAACCAGGCATTTTTATGTTCATACCAAATACACCGGACAACCATGTCATAGGCATAAAGATAGTGGTGAGTGTGGCAATACGAGACATACTGATATTCAAAGTGTGTGACTCTTCGTCCATCACCAACGACACCTTTGAAATATAGATATTTCCTATATTCTCCAGCAATTCCTCAGCCAACTTTATCTTTTGTTGCAATCTATAGAGTCTATCTTTAATATTATTAAGATGTCTAACTGCCTCTGTATCCGATATATTATCTCTTAATAAAGATGACATAACATCACTTAATAATAAAAATAATAAATGTAAATATAAATAGTAGTATATATGGTATCTTATGCTAGCATTCTTACTTACTTTTTAATGAATAACCATGAAAGTAGATTAGTTGCTTTTCTAACAGCCCTACCTAAACGAATGTAGAGTTCGGACTTGGCAATCTCATCACGCATGGTGTACTCGTCGAGAATGTTGACTTCCACCATGAGAGTGTCGGCGAGTGTAGAATAGATTCCGTGGATGGCATCGAGGAAACTGCATAGCACCCAGTGAGATGTTGGGATTTGGTTGTTATCCAGGTAGCGGAATGACTTCATCACCGCTTCGAAGCACTCCACAGGACGACTGTGGAACACCAGTACGAACGACTTGAATATCACCAGATAGATATTCGATGTCTCCAGTACATTGAAGTCGTTGTAGCAGATCTCACTGGTTGAAACAAACAGGTAATGCGAATACTCTTCGGACTTTTCACTGCTGTCTTGCGTAATGATATCCTCATATGTCAAGTGATGAATAGCGAATATCTTACAGATCACCGAGATTTCATCGTCATCTAAACCCTCCATATCCAACCAATAAACATCATTCTTATTATTATTATCATTATTATTATTATTATTAATATCTTCATCTATTAATATTTTTGAATGATTATTATCAATGTTATTGTTATTACTACTATTGTTATTGTTATTAAGTGTTGGTTGTTGATGTTGATGTTGTTGAACAAGAGGTGGTGATAATAAAGTAGAATTACTGAGGTCGTTGAAAAAAGATTGATCTCTCTTGACCAAGACATGAGAAAAGTCAATCAATTCCTGAAAAGTATATTCTTTATCTTGATCTTTTAGTTCATTGATAATATGAATCTATAAACAAAATAACAATAATAATAATAATTAATATCTTTCACTTTTGAGATGATAAAAATAAATAAAACGCACTTTCTTTTCTCTACGTAGAGAACCACTCGAGACAGATGTTGAAATAGATTGATTCATTTCTTTTCTTCAATATTGAATATATTTATCAAATTACAAATAATAATAATAATAATAATAATAACTATTTATCTTTTACTATTCATTTAACTTTTGCTATTTTTGATTCGATATCACTATTTTTAAATTGTTTAATAATTATAATCTTTCTTTGCAACAATGTCAATGGTGGTGGTAGTCATCATACTGTTCTAAGCTAGCTTAATTATATTATACTGTTGTGTTATTAATTTGAAGGAATAACTTAAGAGGGAGTTGGTTTGTTTTTGTTTTGTTTAAAAATAAAAATAAAAATAAAAATAAAAATAAAAATAAAAAAAAACAAAATTATCAGACTTTTTTGGTGTTAAATTTATGAACTTTTTGGTATGAGGGTTTGACAAACATGCAATACCAGAATAATTGCTTTTAATTATTCCTGTTTCTAAATATTTTTATTTTTATTTTTATTTACATTTATTTTATATAAAATGATAATCAAATATCGACCAAAAATATCAGCAAATGCAATAAATAAATAAAAAAACATATTATGTGTGGTGGTTGACAAGACTAATCAAATCCTTTACCAGAAAATAAAAATATATTTAAATATTTAAAAATTAAAAAAATTAAAAAAAAAACTGATCAAAAAAAAAAATTGAGCGAGGGTAACCACAAAGAAAAAAGCAAACCTATTAGGTCGTTTTTTTTGCATGATTTCTTTTCTTTAATAGGATGGGCACCTAAATACCAACAATTGCTATTCCCCAACAAAAATAATGCATAAATATAAAAATATCTTTTGATCTGAAAGCCCCACCAAAAAAGATGCTCTGATGTTGTTAGTTTCACATCACCTGATGTTTTTTCATTTTTCAAGATTTTATGTTTTTTTTATAAAAAATATGAAAATTAAAAACGGTCCACCAGACATCAATTTTTCACATCTATTTTAAAAAAAAGATATATATATCTATCTATCTTAATAATAATAATAATATCTGTAGTATTATTTTTTTCCTTATTTATTTATTTATTTTTTGTTTTTTATTTTTTATTATTATTTTTCTAAAACATACACATTCTTCTTTTTTTTTTTTTTTTTTAAAAAAAATAAAGAAATAAATTATATATATTAATCTTTAAAAAAACACAATTAACAATCAAACATTTCATATAATATATTATAAAATAAATAAAATAAAGAAATACAGATGAAGGGATCACCACTGAGTAGTTATAGTTTTAGTAAAGTAAAATCAATACCACTTTTTTATATATTTTTAATATTAGTACAGTTTATATGTTTAACAAAGGGTATGTTAGTTATGATGGTTATTATTAAATAAAACAACTTGTTGCTAACTTTAAACTGATTCATTTATTGTTATTTATTTAGCGGCTGACGTTGTAGTTATGTGGGATAATCCAATGATTTCAAATATTACGATCTACGTGGGTGATACAGTTCATTGGGTAACATCAGACAATCAACCACATACAGTCACCTCATATCAAGTAGAGCCAACCGTCGGCACACCAGCACCTTTTATCAATTCACCATTGATCACAAGCGATGAAAATGGAATCAGTCAATTTTCAAAGCGTAAATTCTCAAAGATGTTCACACAAGAGGGTTTACACTACTACCATGATCAACATAACCCTGACTCGATGCAAGGCACCGTTCATGTAATCAAACAATCAAGAGGTTTGTATCATAACAATAACATATCATAGCATATCAAATCATTATATCTATAATGTAAATCAACAAAATCAGTTAGCATCATTGATGAACAATCGATCTTCACATACAAAAAAAAAAAAAAAAGAATTTTAGTAACACAACCTAAGTTTTTTTTTTTTTTTTTGGTCGCCACTTGCTTTTTTTTCTGTCTAAAGATCAGTTGTTTGTGAGATGAAGATCAGATCTAGTTGAAAATAGTTTAGTTTATAATAATAATATACATTTTAACAAAAACAATTAACTAATCTTTATTTAATCTTTATTTTTTTTATAGAATCAGGTATTGAAAATTCAAGTTCAAAAGAAACAATTGAAAGCTTTTTATTTGCCAGTTTACTCGCTTTTCTTATCTTTTTCGTATTCTCATAGATTGTGAGAATGGAAATTTAAAATATAGACGAGAATTGTAAACGATTACATTATAATAACCCCCTACCTCCCCTCCCAATTTACTGGTAAACAAATAATTACCCAACGAACCAACAAATCCAGTATTACATAATAATACTAATTAGATTGATAGTATTTAAAATCAAATCACTACAAAAAATTAAAAAAGTTATTACTATACTGTATTTATATTATAAAATTACATTACCTGTGTTCTATATTCTTTATTATTTTTGTTTTAACTCATTGTTGTTGAGTGAGTAAGTGAGTGTTATACCAAGGTAAACCGCACATATAAATTAAATATAACTCTGTTTTTTAAGTTCAATCGAGTCACCACCACAACTAAAAATAAAAATAAATTAAAAAAATAATTTAAAAAAAACAACAAATAAATAAATTAATTTTTTAATTTTCATCTATATTCTTTTTGTTTTGACAATTATTCAATTTATTAATATATTATTATTTTTGTATTATTATCATTATTGTTTATATTAAAAGATTTATTTTATTTCAATAATTATTAATGGAGTTAGACACAATTTATAAAAAATTAAAGAAATACGAGAAGATATTGAACAGAAACGAAGATATAGATTTCGTATTTCAACATGTTAAAGTTAGTCGATCTACCTATAGTCATCATGGACTGAGAGTTGTATTTCCTGATTTAAATGGAATAAGTAGGTTTCTAATTGTAGTAGTTTATTCTTTGAATTAATGATAATAATTTATTTTCTTGAAAAAACCAATAGTTCATTTTTCGACATTGTCAGGACCGAATTCCAGTTTGTGGTCGTTGCCCAGCGAGAAAATGGGTGCCGAGATATTGTGGGCAAAAGATGACGACGAGTTCATTGGAGATGCCAATAGACAACTTGTGGTGGTCGAGAGTACCGAGAATAACAGAGATGCATTCAATAGACTTGTAGAAATCGTGGCGAATGCCGCCAACCAAACCTATCATTTATTAAAGTATAACTGTGAGCACCTGGTGAATTATATAATGAAGGGAATTGCTTCGAGCAAACAGGTTGTAGATGCTGCACAAAAACTATCACTCGGTGCTATGGTGGTGGCAACTGGTATTGCAGCCTACAAAATATATACATCTCGATCTGAATCATCGACAACAACGACAACCATCACCAATGGACAATCAACAACTACAACTTTGACTTCAACCGCAACCACCACTTTTAGCAATCAAGATAAAAGTAAACCAAAGTAATATTATCAAAAAAAAAAAAAATATTATTAATAATAAGTCATAAGATGTACAAATTGTGTAAATAAATAAATATAAGTAAGTTTAGTCAATCTATAGCAAAGATAAAAGTTTGGTTATATAGTTGTTATTTTTTAAAAATAAATAGAATAATGATTGTCATTATTATTTGTTGTTTTTATTCAAATATTATTATCATAAGTTATTTTGTTGTTTTTGATTGTAGTATTACTGATTGGTGATTTCGATATGGAGATGGCGAAAGGATGATTCGGTCCAACTAAACTGTACATAAATTTATGATGAAAAAAAGGATGTCAAAGAGAAGTTAAGTTACTGCTGTGAAAATATAAATATATATGGATAATATTAATGTTGTGGTTGGAAATAGATAGAAGGAGGGAAGTGTATCGGTATTGGTTAATTTGTTTCATCGGAATATATATATATATATAAATATATCTTGGTTGGTTTCGATTCGATTTGTATTTATATTTAGGAAAAACTTATTATTTGTATATTAAAAGTGTTATATAAATATATAAATTAACTAACTAACTAATATTAGTAATATTATCTGTTGTTGTTGATTTTTTATCACTAATATCAGTTTCATTATTACTATTATTATTAGTATTATTATTATTATTATTATTAGTATTAGTATTAGTATTAGTAGTAGTTGTAGTAGTAGTGGTAGTATTATTATTGTCATTATTATTATTATCATCTTTTTCAATCGTTGTACTGTTACTAATATTAATTATACTAATTGTATTGTTGTTATTATTATTTTTATCTTTTTTCTTTTTTGTTTCATTGTTATTGTTGCTATTATTATTATTACTATCGGTGGTATTATTATTTTGGTTTGTAATTGTACGAAGTCTGATCTCGCGTAATTTGAAATCGATGGTCATACGACAACCAATACATTGTTTTGAATTCTGACAATTGTGATTTTCAGAGATGTGAAGTCTCATGTTTTCAAGAGATTCACGGAAATTACAAATAAAATGAGGACATTGGTAATCTTCGGTATCCCAATTCTCATCGCTCTCGTCATATTCACTATCGTCGGTATCGTCCTCACTGTCATTGTAATAGGCAATACTACTGTCGCTGTTGTTGTTGTTGTTGTTGTTGTTCCCCGACATATTGGCTGCATTATTAACAGTGCTTCCACTGAACTCTTCACTATCCTCGAAAGCACCGCTGTTCCAACTGACAGGTGAACTCGTCTCACTATACTGTTGAAACTGCATTTGCTGTTGGAATTGTTGTTTCAATTGTTGTTTGATTGGTTGCTTCACATTGAAAACGTCTTGCTCCTCTTCATCTTCATTGTAGTCATCTGTTCGCAATCTTTTATATTCGAAATCTTCTTCGTACAACTGACTATTATCACTATCATATAGTTCTGGACCTTCATAATTATTATTATTATTATTTATAGTGTAATTATAATTTATATTATTTTTGTTATTATTATTGTTATTATTGTTATTATTATTATTATTATTATTGTTATTGTTACTACTATAATTATTATTACTATTATTATTATTCATGTTATTATAATGTTTTCTCTTTATGGATGAGAATATGTTTGGAGATGGGCTTGGACTTCCGTTGTTACTGCCTCCGGAGTCGCTACCACCACTGACATTGTGGGCGGGATTGACAAGTCGACGTTTCTTCTCACCGAAATGAATCTGAAGTTGGCAACCGTCACAGTTTGGCGGACTTGGACACAGGTGGACGTGTTTCGGATTGCGAATGTGACTCTTCATTCCTTCACGCGATGCATACCAATTGTTGCAAGCGATGTGTGGACATTTGATTCTGCCGTCGGAGATCAACATCTGGATAGAGTCGGAATCGTCGGGAGTGGCCTCGAACTTGGACCGACGGTAGACACGTTCGTTCGGACAGTGAGCATACGATCCATTGCATCCGTGGATCACTTTGCAGTGCTCCTCGACATTGGCGAAATTGCAGCACTCGCCAGAGCAACCTTCGTGCAAACAACGAAATTTGGTTTTTGGCTTTTCCAAATTTTTCTCTTTGAATTTCCGCGAGTATTCACGCTCGTTGGCGCAGTTCTCTGGCGTACCATCGCATCTATGGACACCCATGCAATGCATTTTAACATTGGTGTAATCTTTATTACATCCATCATGGAGACATAACTTCCTGTTTTTTGTCATTGCAAACTGCTCTGCTCTCTGTCTATTCTAAATTTATTATTACTCTTTTCCAATCTATTATTATTTTTTAAAACTATTTTTTTTTTTTTTTTTTGCAAAAATTGAATTAATTGATTGGTTGATCGATTTGATCGATTTGAGAGATCGGACTTTTGATTCTATATGTAATCTGACTATTTAAAACTACAAAAAAAAACAAAAAACAAAAAAACAAAAAAAAAAAAAACAAAAAACTTTCTATTTACAATAATAATCCAACTTATAAACTAATTATATAAATATTTGTTTTGATTTGATTAAAAATAAATAAACTATGAGTAATTATTGATTTATTAATAAATATGTAGATTTTGATTGGTTTTATCTGTGTGGGGGTGAAGTGAATGCAAGAATGAAAATGATGATTGTTTTGTCTTTGAATGTGTGAATCAGATGATTGCGGATTGCATTTACAAAGACTGACTTGGTGATGAGAGTTTGTTTTTTTAATAAAAATAAAAAAATAAAAAACTTTGTTGTTGTGTTAATGATTTTATGCAAATATGTATTCGTTTTTGGACATCCCAAAAATGCCCTCAGACTCTGGTGGTGATCGATAAAATAATTTATTTGACGAAAGTGGTCCAGCCACGCCTAAAAGGGGTGGCTTGTGATTTGTTTTTGGTTTTTTTGTGGTGTCTTTTTTTTTTTTTTTTTGTTTTTTCTATTGCGAACAATTTTAAAGATTTATTTGGCTGATCAAATAATATTCAGCTTTTGTGGTTGGTCTTTTCCTGATTATTTTGTCGACAAAAACAAAAATAAAAAAAAGTTTGTTTTTATTTTATTTTTTTGTGAGAGGTCCTCCGTATTTATGATTTCTTTGATCAAATACCTTTTAGTTTTTTTTTTGCTTTTTTTTTTCTTCCCTCTTTTAAATATTTTTCTTTTGACTTTGTTTGGTCAACCAACCATATAAAAATAATTACTTTTTTATTATAAAGAAGTTATTTATTACAATGGTTATTATTGATAATAGCAATTGGAGTGATGATGATGAAATATTGATGTTGATGAATATAATTAATTGATAGCTGGTGATATGTTTAATGTTTGTATATTAATAATTTGGAGTGAAAAAAACACATTTTATTTATCATGATGGTTGGAAATCAAACAATATTTAGTCAGAGAGTGAAATAAAGTACACACACACGATACACACCAAAAATGAATGAATTAATTTCCTCATGTCAATATCTCTGAGTGTGATAGATGAGCGAGGAACCATCAATCACAATTATATTTAAATCAACAAGAATGTTGAAACCTGTTTTCAGTGGGGTATTTTTGGCATCACTTTCGAAATTCAACAATGAAATTTTTTTTTTCAAAAAGATCAGATCTTTTTGGGTTGAAATTTTTGTTATTTAGTTCTTCTGATTTCGAGTGGCAATATATGGTTTGACCAACCAAAAATACTTTTGGTTTTGTAATTTTCAAATGGGTTCAATACAAATTTGTTTATCACTCATCTATTGGCACACCAAAATTTTAGATATGTTTTTATTTTATTGATTGTGTCGAATCTGGTTTTTTTTACTGAAAATTTTTTTGCAATGATTTAAAAAACCCCCTAAAACCAAAAAAAAAAAAAATTTGTTTGGTGCACTCCACTTCCATGATTGATAAAAATCTGTTGCAATCTGCTTATTCAATTGATTGATTAATATACTTTTTTTGGATATATTACATGTTCTGGTTCCCCTTTTCTAATTATTAATCAATCGCAACCATTTTTGTTAAAATGACAAAAAATCAAAGTTTAGCCCAATAAATTAAACTTAATGTAATATTTGGGAATGAATATTAATAATTCAATAATTAAAAATCCCAAAAAAAATTATAAAAAAAATAAAAATAAAATGAAAAGGAAATAAATTAATGCAATAGAAATTTAAATCTGGTTCCAATTTAAAAAGGAAATAAAAAAATTTTAATTTCAAAAATTTTAAAAATATATTGTTGAAAATTCTTATTAGTATTTTTATCCACACACTTTTTTTTTATTTATTAAATTAATTCCAATTATTGAAGAAATTAATTCATTCTTTCAAAAAGCATAAATTTTGTTATCATTATTTTTATTGTTATAATTTCATTTATTTATATAATAATTATTATTTTTTATTACTTTCAAAGAGAAGAAAAAAAAAAACAACAAATACATACAATGGAGTATAAATGTATGCATGACGATGATTGTAAGAGAACATTCAAACACTTAAGTGATGTGTTGTCTCATTGCTCAAGAGTACATGGTTGTCAAATTTATTGTCATTCCGCTGATTGTCCGAATAATGAATTTTATTGTTCTCAATATTTAGATGACTATGGATATGGATATACCTTTCACACTTTATCATCTCAAACTTCAACACACCATTTACCTGCACCAACAACAACAACAACAACACCAACAACACCAACCAACACTATTTCCTTTGTAAATTTGACAACAACATCCCTTAAAGTTTAGAAACTTGGTATGATATATTTTAGTTAACTCCTGTAACTCTGTTCTTTCCCAGGTAGCTAGTTTTCTTTTTTTTTATTCGATTTTCGATTAGTTTTGCATGATTATTGGACAGCTGTACTTTCGTCTTCTGTTACCGTTTGAACAACAAGCAGAAATCACACCGACCCGAGACTGAATGAAAAATGAATGGTCGGTCGTTTTTAATCAACAAGAATCATCCATGGTACCATCAAGTGGATTGGTGGTGAGCGTATGAGCGGCCGCTAGCCAGTGCCAACACAAATCACCCGCGACGGTCAAGAGTATTTCACATCTTTGGTTAGAATACACTCGATTCATTGATATTCTATTCTATTTATTTCAATCTATTTAATCTTTTTTATTTATTTATTCATTTTTTCTACAGAGACAGCAGAGAGTAACAACTTTAATTCATTTAGACTTTGGTAAGATAATAATAATAACAACCAACCAAGATGTACATAATAAACAACACTATTTTTGCAACAAATTTGTTTGGTTTTTTTTTTTCATCTGCAAACTTCCAAACTTTTTGATTTTTTAAATTTGCTTGACAACTTTGTTTATAAACCATCGGTTTATGCAAACAAAAGAGCAACCAATTCATACATTTATTTAAGTTTTAAACCCAACAACAAAAACGAAAAGTTTATTAATAAACATGTTATCATTAAAAACCAATGCTACACTTTGAGATCGATCATAATTAAAAAAGATTTTCTTTTTTTTATTTTTATTTTATATATAATTAATATATCAAAATATAATATATATTTAATAACAATGATAATTTATCAAAACTTCAAATATATTTCGTTATTGTTAATATTGATAGTATTAACATTGACTGATGGTATGTTGTTAATGTTTATGATTTTAGTTTTGTTAATGTTAAGAGTAGTCGTTTTACTAATACATGTGTTGGATGGTTCGAACAAATTCATTTAGCATTGAATATTACAAGTGCTATCTATGACCAAACTAATTTCGGTGATTACAATGTTGAGATTACTTTGTATGGCGATGGAATTCCTTCTTCCGATTACACTTTGAGTGTCATCATTGATGGTAAAGTCTGTGACAGTGCACAACAATATGTAGTGAGCAACTATATCAAATGCAACGATAAGAGTATCATCCAACCAAACAACTACACTGTTATCATCTACGATATCACTAACAACAACGATAACAAATTGTTATTTAATTCAACTGTATCTTTTATTAGAAGTATGTTTAAAATATTTATTTAGTTATTATGTTTATAACTAATAGATTAATCTGTTATTTATTTATTTATTATATTATCTAGGAGTACCTTTTATTACAAATGTATATGATGACCCAAATGGTTATTATATTACTTATGTTGAAGGTGACTTTGGAATTAAGAATGAACAGACCGTGGTTAATATATTTGCTTGTGAGAACTTCTATGTAGTTCGGCCACAGAATAACACATTGCTAAAGTTTAGTATTACCACACCGATGGCAAAGTGTATTGTCACTGTGAGTCAATCGCAACCTTACCAATACATGCATACCTACACCATGAGTAATACAGCTGAGCCACACAACGAAGGTGAAAGTGCAAATATCAGACGAGTATTGCTAGCGGTCTACATTGTCGCTCCTATTGGTGGTATCGTTCTATTGGTTCTAACTGCATTGGGAGTCTTTTATTCTGTCAAACGTTATAGAAGAAGTAAAATTGAGAACAACGAAGGCAAATATAAAGAAATTAATTAATTAATCGACGACCGACACATCCCAATAACAAACAATAAACAAAACAACAAACTCCTATATATTTTATTTATTAATCATAATACTAATTATAAATAATCATTGTTTATTATTATGATGTAGAAACATTAGGTTTTGACTATCTTTTTCTTTACTATACAATACCGAAAAGAAAGAGTATTCAAAGATTGGTGATGTTTGATAAGGTATTTTACTTGAACAAATTTTTATTTTATAAAAGTGTTGATTGATGTTATTATTATTATAAGTGAAATGCCGATGTTGTTATTGGGTTGGAGTTGTTATTCAAACTCTCAGCCTGGTATCATACCAACAATTGGTTGGAGAGAAGATCAAGGTTGGTTGACCGCGGTGATCATGCAATTTAATTGCGTACAATCGCTCAGCTTATCAGCAATGATGATTCACTACCAAAAACCATCAAATCGAAATTCAATCCCTAACATTTCAAATCTTACTCTGAAATCGGATTCGAAATCATTACTATTCAATGATAAAGTGTTTTGGTGGAAACTTACCAACTCTAAATAGAAACGCTAAATTCTTATTCCCACATTGAAATTTCCAATGACCTCAAAATCATAGTTATCCAGCAACCAAAATTTAATTAAATTCTATTCTTCACACATCTTTTCTCTTACTTAACAAGTGTGTGTGTGTGGTGTATGATAATAATCGCGGTAACCTTTTGTATTAAAATTTTAAAAATAAATCATTTCATCTCTATGTCAAGTTCCATCAAAATGATAATTTTAATTATTCTATCCACAAACATTTTAGTGATTTTGATGTTTGTTTTTTTTTTGTATTAACACACAAACACATTAAATTTAGATATTTTAGTTATTTCACCATTATTCTCAAGAGTCAAAGAAAGTGTTGCATAATATTGATCAAAAACCATTGTGATAGCCATTCCCAAAATTTTATCAAAAATTTTTTAATGGTTGTCAAGCATATTAACCCCACCTTTGCATCAAAAAACCAAAAAATTATTTTTTTAGTTTGTGAAAAGTAAGAGTTTAAGTTTTGCAATTTTTTAAATTAAATTTTGAATTATTTTTTTTTCAATTTTTTACTCTCACAATCTATAACATTAAGTTCACTACAGTGATCAAATTCATCAAATTACCTAAACATACAATTTCTTAATTAAATTAAATATTCAAATATTTATTTTACTATTTTAATAAATTAATTATAATAATTATTATTTTCTTTTTATAAAACAAAACTTGTATAAACAATTTTTCTATAATAATCTTTAAACACTAAGAAACCAAGCAACAACAATGTCAGACATTCAATTCTACGACGATAACATCCAAACTGCACCAGTATTCGGAGATGATCCCTATGCCAATGAGCTGCTTGCAGATAACACTCCACTCAACTACGTATCCAACGCATGCTTACCACTCAACTACGTATCCAACTCGGGCTTACCATCGTCATCGCTATCGGGATCACCATTCTTTGACACTCATCCCGCTGGTCCTGCTCTAGGTAAGCAATTCCCATTGTCGTACATCCATGAGAACCCATTGTGGAATGCTACTCTCTGGGATGACATGAGATACTCTTCCGCACCAAGTCAAATCACCGACCAATTCCTCAGCACCACCACCACCACCGACAACAACTTGGCCAACGATGTCATCCCTGATGCCTGTATGTACCCAAGCGGTGAAGTAATGTCACCAGTCGGATCTGAAAACTCGACACCAGGCAACATGTTCATTGAGAACTCCACTCCAGAGTCAAGCTTCTACTCTGACACTGAGAGCATCCTCTCTTCACCAGCTCAAGTCGTATGTGGATCACCAATCTTAAGTCCAGTCTCCACACCAGCTTCGATCATTGTCAACCAAGAGCCAGAGCCAATCAAGGAGAAGCTTGTCGTACCAAAGACCGAGGAGTTGGATGGCAGAAAGTCAAGAAGACAAACTCCAATGCTTCGTGTCAAGGAGAAGGTCCAAAAGGAAAAGTCAAAGGTCACCAAAAAGGCCCAAAAGGACATCTTAAAGTTGGTCAGTCTCGACCAAATCAACCCATTGTCAGCAGTTCTCACCGAGGTGCCACAATTCCTTGTACAAAACGGTTGTGGAACTTTCAAGTTTAGAGTCAGTGGCCGTGCCAATCCATCGCAATTGATTATCGTTGCTCGTCCGACTGACTCTGCTGATTACTCATTGGAAGGATTTGCTACAAACGTTCCAGCCAGTGGATTGGTCGATATGAACATCAAATTTGTTCGTATCAACAGTGATTCCGTCACTGCTCAAATAGCCTTTTACTTTATGGAAATCACTGAGAACGGTATGACACCGGTCTACCATCTGCTGACAAATCAAATCAGCTTCCTCACCAACACAAAAGACTTGCCAACACCAACCATCACCAGTGTCGAAACCACCGGTATTCAAAACAGACATCTCTTACCAATCGCCAACTTCACTGTCGCCAAGGTTACTGCCGACCGAATGAAATGGGGCACCACCAATGAACTCACCTTCTTTATCGTCGACGAAAACAAGCAGATCAAGCATATCGTTCGTCAAGGATTAATTGCTCCACCAGAAAAGTCCAAGAAGATCGCCTATTTCCGTATTCCAAACGATTGTTTAAATCAAAACTACAAGCTCCATGTCAACTATATCGCTGTTGAGAATCTAAATAAGAAACAATCCGCTTCTGAAAAGAAAGCCGTCAGTCACTCCATCGTGCTTCCAAAAGAAGGTGCATTCTGGACTTGTAACGACACTGGTTTTGCTTTCTAAAGCTTTAACTTGCAAAGACTTTTTTTTTTTAATAAAATAAAATTTATTACATTAAAAATTCATAACTTTTTATTAATTTTAATTTATTAGACCAATGATTGGTAGTTTTATTTTACAGAGGACACGGTGTCATGTGCCAGTGAGGTAGTTTCGCCAGAAGTTGAGCATGTCGTGGTTGGACTTTGCCAATTACGAAGGATTCGCATTTGATTTGGTTTATTTTGGAAGAGGTGGCTTTGCAGAATTTGTCGAGAATGTTTTTGAGTGGGAGAAGTTGCTTGGTATTTGCGCCTACCGACATGCAGTCATCGGCGAATTGTTGGAATTTTAAGTCTTTTGTACCGGTAGGTGTGTGGATTTGAATGCCTTTTATTTCTTTTTTTGCTGTAATGGTGGCTGCGAGAGCTTCTATAACCAGAAATAAGAGGGTTGGTAAGATGTGGTATGAATTTTTTTAACTCACACATCAATGGCTCCATAGTTGAATGGTACAATATTATCTTAGGGTGATAGTGGTCTGGGTTCGATTCCCGGTGGAGCCCCAGTTTTGCACTACCTATCGCTTTTAGGGCAACCACGCATTTAGTACACGAAATTTGAAATCGTGCAAGGTATGTTTGACGTTCCTTTGCTTTGGCCATTTTGCTCGCTGTTTCTGGTTTCGTGTGTGCTATATCCTCCAGTTGATATGATGCAAACCGAAGGGGTAATACCAAAGCTACTTCGGAGTGCAATTTGTTGATCTTTGTCAAATGTTGTTCGAAAAAAAACAAATCAATTTTTGTTAATGTCTACTTTTACCTTCACTATATACCAAAACCTAAAAGGTATAGTGCACTGGCTTAATGTTTTTAAACATCAGAACAAATATTAATTAATGTTTTTATAAACAAATGTACTTCTTTTATATTGTTTATTGACTTTCTGCTTATTATATAATTCTTAATAAACAACACAGTGAAATTTACAGTGTATATCTTATCTTGTATCTTATCTACGCTGTGTCTGTCTGTTATCTTGTTTCGCCTTGTTGTTTGTCCACAGTGTTGCTCTTTATGCATCTTTTCTTTTGTTTCCTTTAAAGATTCTTTCTTCATATCTTTTAAATCTTTGCGTATTAATACGGTATTATTGCAATTCTTTAATTACTTTCTAATTATGAATATAGCTCGATGTTTAGTTTTTATTGTAATTATACATATATCCAAAAAGATACAAAGTTATCTTTGTGATCTTAATGATTACATTTGTTTTTTAAAAATTTAAATAAATATGTTGATTTCCAATCCGATGTTTTTTCTTTTCAATTTAATGATTGATCACAATTATATATATATAACCATCAAATCACAACTCCAGTGATCTGTTTGTTATATTTATTATTGACAGTATCACAGTGTTGTATCCAAACTATGTAATTACCATCGTTGACATTGTTGTAATTAGAAATCATTCTACTGTATTCACTAACAATTGATTACTATCATAGTTGAAGGAATCAAAATATACATACTGATTTATATTAAATATCTATAATTCTCTCGAGATTAAAATATATTTAACTAAAGTTTAAAAATGAAGTGGTTTTATATTTTTCATTCTTTGTTTATCTTGTGTTTTTGGATTAATCCACTCATCTTACAATTAATCTTCCTAATTGTTTTTAACCTGAACAAAAACTAAATTCAAATGGTGCGCTGCAGTAACGCCTATAACTAAATAATTAATTTTTTGTTTCTTTCTTTTTTAGCTCATCGTTCAAATAAATAATCACAAAAATCAGTTTCTTAAATATCTATATTTTATTGTTATTGATTTTATATTATGTTCACTTCTTCTCTTTTGCACGCTTGAGAGCCATCTTACCACTACCCTTCTTGGTTTGAGCTTTACCTCTTCCCTCACGTCTGGTGGTACGTTCGGCTTTAGTGTAGGCTTTATCGTTGTTGTTACCCAACATCTCGAGTGAAAGTGTATTGCTTGGATAGTAGTCAGCAATGTAACCACCGATCAATGGTTTTCTCAAGTACTTGAGACCTAGATTTGGACTACCTTCTGCTCTGAATCCGAAAATCTTTAGACTTGCTTCATAAGCAGTCATCATTGGTCTTGAAACCAATCTTAATGTTGACATTCTCTATTTATCTATCTGTAAAAACAAAATCTAAATTGCAAAAAAATAAAAAGTTAGTTAGTTAACATAAATATCAATCAAATAAATTAAAAGAATATAATTATAATTGAATAGATAAAAATAAAGATATTATTTATTATTATTATTATTAATTTATTTATTTAATAAAATAAAATTATAAATATCTGTGATCACAGACTCTTGATTATTTGAATATTGTTTGTTACTAAAAATAAAAGATTGTTTGTTTTAACAACTGTTAGATCTAGCAACAGACAATCGCATTACGTTGGTACAATAATAGATTGCCCTAGTAGTATGAAAGTAGTGTAACGGTAGAGTGGAATGAGGTGAACCAACCATAGGTTAACACACAACTGCAAAAATAACATCATACACACAGAAGCTAACAATAACAAATTGTATTGAATCCTTAAATCTCTTCTCTCTCTTTAATTACTATTGTTATGAACAACCACCAACACTATGTGAAAGATAGAATAGTGTATCATCATAGATAGATAGATAGAAGATAGATTGGATTGTCAATTCTTGTTTGTCTAGACTTTGTGTTGTGTTTTGTTTTGTGATCGAGTGATGATTGTATTTTCTTCTCCTTCTTCCTCTTAATTTACTATTTTATTGATCACTCAAACTTTATGTCTTTATTCTATTTTGAATTGAATCAAACACTAATCTATTCTATGTTTAGAGTGTTTAATGGTGGTGGTGTTATTGTGTGAATCAATCTGAGAGTGTGTAGAGGAACAAAGGCAATCGTAGTAAGACCAACCAACCAATTCAATTGGTTTGACTAACCAATACTTTTAAATAAATTAATTTAAATTTTAATTAAATGTTGATTCGAGTTGAGATGAGTGTGTCTTGGGCAGAACAAAAGAGAGATATAGAGGTGAACGTTCTAATATTGCTATTATACTTTACTTTGAAAATCCTAGGATGTGAATTAAACTATTCTTAACCAAAAAAGAAATCTCTATTGAAATTATATTTTTGGAGTGAAATAAAAAAAAAGATGATCAAAGGTGTGTGTGTGTGTGTGTTTGGTGATTAAACCTATTGATATAATATTGTTAAAGATTGTCTGGGTGATGATTGTGTCAGGACAAACAAAAGAGAAAGTTTGATAGTAATACAATCGGTCATTGACACTCACACTTTGGTGGTGGTCCTGATCAGAGAAATAACGAAAATTAATTTTTAATTTTTTTCATTTTTTTTATTTTTTCAATGCCATTTTTTAATTAAACACAATCACTCAGAGAATGTATTGTTGTTTTACTAATGATAAGCAATGGAGTTAATAATAAGGAGATTAATCACATGGTTAGGATATTGGAAGGTCTTAACTTAGTGACACACAATGAGTTAATTATACATTCTTTTTGTTTTGGCAACACACACACTAACGCTAAATTAAAATTAGATGATGTGATTTTAAAAGAATAGTAATACTATTGTTCAACTCACACCTGTCATGTTTTATATACCAAACAACCAACATAGTCAGTCGCACACACACCTGTTGAAAGATAATAAAGTATGTATCTTTAATTTTCTGATTTTGACCAATACTTTATATAAGCTTAAACACCACACACACGCACTCTCTCATAAGCACTCAAGTGTTGTTATGAATGTGGTATCGATTTAATTTAAAAACACAGTAGCTAAAATTATAATTATCATGGTATATCTTGCGAGTGTGTATTTATATTTGTAATATTTTTTTATTGTTTTTAGGTTTGTAGGCTGCAGTAGAGTGTTGGATAGTTGGGCAGATAGTAATTCTTCAATTGAGGAACCAACTGGGGTGGTTACCTCTTTCTTTCTTGCCACCACACTGTATTTTTACATTCACCCCAAACAATACATTTTAATAAATACCTCAGCCACCAACCACTCACTCCTCACACTAATAATAATGATTGTAACGTCATGACTTTATTCTATTTCTTTTGTCAATGATCTTCTGAGAGAAAGATAAACCAAAGGATTGTTATTAATTTGTCACCACAGAAATAAATAAAACCAACCAACCAACACTCTGTACATACAATAGTCTCCTTTTTTCAGTATCTCTATTTGTTACAATATTTTTATATTTTAATCAACAAAAGTGGTTGGGTCCGACCTCTGGTTGATCTGATTGGAAATCAAATGAACTTGGATTAAATCTTCAATGAGATCACTTTCAATCATTCGTTTGACAAATTTTCAAACCAATAGAATAGAATCCCCACCTCCAACTAAATACACTAATAATAATATTAGCATTTTATAAATGGATACTTTCACCAAATAACAACATTTCTATGTGGTGATCATAAAGTTTGAATGTGTTAGATTAATGACTTTTAGGTTGTTGTTTAAAAAAGATACCACACCACACAATTTACATTGATTAAACTTCCAAATGTGGTAAAAAAAAGTCTTTTTCAACCCCGATAAACACTAAAAATTTGCACATTTTTTAATAATCAAACACATATTTTTTTTAGTTTTAACTGTTTTTAAAACGTAGTTGAACAGAGTGTGAAGCGGGTGACTATCCTTAGGTTTCAAACTTTTCGTGATGATGAAGTCAAAAAGAATTCACAAAAAAAATTAACAAATGACATCCTCTAATACACATGTAGTATAGTCGGTATCTCTTGATTGTCATGCAACAACTAATATTGGTGTGTGGTTGGTGGTGCGACGATGGATAAGAGGAAGATGTAAAAAAAATAATCAAAAACACCCCCACTTGATTTCTTTTCAAACAAAATACAAAAAAACAACAGCCAGAGAAGCACATGTGCTTGTTGTTTTTTTTAGGTTAATGTGGTGACGGAGTGAACAATAATCCCATTATTAGGCTCACCATAAATGGCTAATTTCCTTTTTAGCTGGATGGTGGTCTTTGGGGTTTTTGATTAGCGGGGCTCTACACTTGTAAGGAATCTAAAAAGAATGTTTTTGAGATTCAACCGTACCAACCAACCTACTAATCTACTACAAATAACCAGAATCTCCACCATGTTTTCATTGACACACCCTAGTATTTTGGTCTCTCTTATATTTAGTATTCATCACTTATCAAACCAATAACTATTAATACATCGTATTTTCATTTCATTTATTTCACTCCATCATCCAACCTCAAGTTATAAATACTATAACATCTGTTTGAATAAATCTATCTTTTTTCGTATCTTTAAACACAGAGAATAAAAGTAAATCCAATAAAAAATTAATTAATAATTAATTAATTCACAATCAACATAACAACTTTCATAGCAATAATTCAATATCGATATTTATTTTAATTTATATATACACATATAATAATAAAGAATGGCACAACTCGAACGTGATTTATCTTCACCATATTATTTTCAATACTTAGCTTTACAATTGGTTGAAAGACGTTCTACCAAGAAAAGAGATGTACAAAGTCGTCGTCGTAAGATAATTACTCAAATGAATAATACTTTGAATCAAGTTGAAGGTTCAGCTGACAATGGTGAGGGTTCTGCATCGACCCAATACCAAGTATTGAGAACCAACTCTGGAAACAGTCGTTCCATCAAAGACTCTATGCTCTCAAAAAACAACAACAATAATAATAGCCACAGAAACCACATGCAAATATACGATGAATTGCTCAGTGAAAGCTCAATCGACGATGAGATTGCTCATGAATATCCAATAGTTCCATCCTCATCGCCATTGAACGGTGTCTCTACCAACAATTCCTACCAACAACAATACTACTATAATAGTTCACCAACTCATAGCCAACAACGTAGTTACAATAGATCGAGTCCATTGCGCTCTAGTCCAACACCGATTATTCACTCGCCATCTGGTGCTGGTAGCAGCTCAGGCCACTCCAGCCCATCATACAAAATGATTTATTCACAGCCGATCCACTCGACAGTGCCACAAGACATTCCAGTACCAAGCTATTGCGTATCTCCAAAACACAACAATGTTCAAATTTTATATTCTTCACCAGCATCCTCACCAAAACATAACTTTTCAGCTCACCAATTTAATAATAACAATCAACAACAATTAAAAATCAACCAACATGAAATTTTAAATTCATACAATGATATTCTGTATAACAGTCCACCATCCAACTATTAGTTAATAATATGATATTTTTTAAAAATAATTATTTATGTAAAATAATGTAAATTAAAATCCTCCCTTTAACAAGATTCCTACATTTTTGGAATCATATTTAATTTTAAATCTTTACTTTTTAACTTTTTTTTTATTTGATTTATTCACAATAACTATTGAACCTGAGTAGATTTTATAAATATTATTTTTATTCATCAAAAATGAATGAATAGTTAATATCTTATATTAATTAAATGTGTGATTTAAGGTTGAGATTTTATATTCTTTTTTTTGTTTAAATCTGTGAACATATTTATTGATTTTTATCTAAAATAATATATTTTAAAGATTATGATTGCAAATAAGTTAAAGATAATTATTTATATACTTTAAAAATGATTAATATATTTTTATTATAGTACAAATAAGTAAATCTTATTATTTTTAGATAAAAAGGTGATAATTTAGAATAAACTAGATTAGGATGTCTGTATAAATTTCTTTGTCTTTTATACTCAACACGATTGTAAGTTTACCAATTATATTCCAACTATATAATTCATTTAAGAATAAAATTGATTGAAACACTATTAATAGGTAAATAATGTGCTATTTTTATAATGTTGCACAAATTTAGATTAAACCACAATTTACTTATACAGTGTTTACTCAAAATTGAACCAATTATCGGGCAAACATCAAGTTAGTAATTTTTTTAAAAGGTGTCTTTTTTTAAAATAAGATTGCTAACATTGTAATTTAAAAATTAATCAGAAAATAATTACACGATTCTCAAAAAATGGAGTTGTGTGATGAATCACCAAAAGTGTTAACTTGTTTGATTTTTTTAATCATAAAAAAAAAATGTAATAATAAAGATATCAGGTGGTAATCAGTATTATTTAAAATAAATATATAAATAAAAAGAAAATGTTTAATAGAATAAAGAAATCATTTGAAAACAGTGTTAAGCGAGTTGCTACATCTGGCAAGGATTCTACATACATAGCATATCTTCAAACAGAAAAGATCGATGAGAAATGGCTTAATCTCAGCCTTTTAGAATCAGTACTCGATAGCTTAAGTGAATCACAAAAGAATGTACTCTATGGAAAGATATGGGAGTTAGCTAAAATGTACCAACCAGATATCCAAGGTCATAACTGGGGCGAATTAAACCTATATACTGACAGAGTTAGATTAGTAAAAGCATTATATAGATTAGGTTATTTAAATAGTAAAAATCAACAACAACAACAAGAACAACAACAACTTTCATCATCTTCTTCTTCACCAAGCCCATCACCTGAAAATCAAAATCCATTAACAGTGGAAGATAGTAAAGTTTTCAAGTTAAAAATATTGAATTTCGTATTTGGTGAAGGTGGTTTGGGTAGTCAATATTTTAGTCTGTCGGAGAAATTGGGACGTGACCCTGCAACCGGGTGGATTGGGTATGTCAATGGAATGGGAATTTGTAACTTCCATCATGCCGGCTGGGACATAAAGCATTTCTCTGACAACCTTGCAGATGGCACAAATATACACGCTGTCTATAACTCGACACATCAGAAGAATCCTAGGAACGATGTAAACGGATTCATTCGTGATGTCTTGAGAATGTCGGCGGTGAACGCTGGCAGCTACACACGTACCTCCTACCTGATAGCGCAGCAATGGATCGACTACCTCGATGCCAACCCCGGTCGATTCTTCCTGCAGATCTGCGTGTCCGAGGGTGGCGCACACACCAACGCAGCGCTACGACTGCTCAGCGAGTGTGGAAGAACCGACCTCTATCAGCGCATTCGAATCATTGGATTGTGTCCGGCCTACTTTATGTTGCCACAGCACTACGACGCTGTCGGTGGTGCAGCGGATTCACAACTGCAGATTCTCAGTTTCGTCAAGATGGAAGACGGTGTTATCAATCCCTGGGGAACAAACACACAGTATATCGGTCGTTCCAACCACATCGTCATAGTTCCACATAACACCACATCGGACAACCCTCACAATCAAACCAGCAATGATTTCACACAAGTAGTAAGACCCTATGTCTACGAATTTATGCTAAACGGTAATATATATCCACCAAACTTTGAACCAGATCCAAAGTAAAAAGAAGAAAACAATAAAAAAAAAAAAACTTTGCTTTTTTAAATATCTAAATCTCTCTCTAATAAATCTATATCTTAATCTTAAATATCTTTTTATTTTCTATTCTATTCTTGATTATCATATGATTCCCATTGGTTATTATTTGCATCCAACATATAATCTTCGTTTAATCCATCCCATTGCTGTCCATTGTTATCTTCATCTGAATCTTCATCTTCTTCTTTCTTAACGGATACACTCGATTTACTAGAATTTGATTTCAATTTATCTAAAAATTGATTCTTTGATACTATATAGTATAGAGGAGAGTATTTAAATGTTATTAATAAATGAATTCACTGAGTCATTCTTATATATAAGGGTCACAGTGTTGGCAATTATATTAAAAAAACATACATTTAGGTTCATCTTCAATGTTGATTGTATTTGATTCTTTTTGATGTTTGGCAACGGCGTTGAATAACTTGATTACACCACGCTTCGCAGTCTTCATGAGGTCTCTCTCTGACGATGTAATGAGTATCTCTATTGGACGATGATCTTTCTCCTCTAGGATGGCTTTCTCTTTCATCTTCTTTTTCAGTTCTTTCTCCTCTTTCAGCTCGGCCTCCAACTGCTGATCTGCTTTTTTGTATTTCGCTAGAATCGGTCCATCTTGCTTGGTAGGTTGTTTATTTAAAATCGATCCCAAAATACTTGAGAATCGCTCTGACTGATCTACACTTTCAACTTTAATCTCTTTCTTTACTTTTTTAATTGGTAGTTCTTCTTCTCTATTCTTATTACTATTATCACCGTCTGACCCTGATTCCGATTCCGACTCTTCATGATATTCTATTTAAATTTTATAAAATCAAAACAGCAGTGTTTAGTATTTGTTTTAACAATATTATAATCATTCATTCTTGATAAACATACCTCTCTTTTCAAGTTTTTTAACTTTTTCACCTTTTTCTTTCTTTATCTTTCTTTCTTTTCTTTTCTTTGATCTATATTTTCTTGTGTCATCTTTTGATTCAAAACTAACAACCGGTAGTTGTTTCTCTAATGTTTCTGACATTTTCTATTTTAATAACTTTTAAATCAATCAGAAAGTTATTTATATAATAATATATTTACAATGAATATAATAAAAAAATTAAAAAAAAGTAATAAAACGAAAAACTCGTCTTTTTATTTTTTATTGATTATTTAAAAATAATTAAAATTTAATTTATTAAAAATTGTTTTTAAAATTTCAAATTGAGAAAAAAAATTGAGTGATGAGTCATGCCTTAAAAAAAATAAAACAATCAATATTTGAGAAACACATGTGAGTTCATTAAAATTTCATTGATTATTATTATTTTTGTAATATATTTAATTCATATTCATATTTATATATATATAGACACTATTCACTATTGTTCGATTAAAGATAGTAAGACAATGAGTGTATTTGAAGCAATTAAAGGATGGTGGTCCACAGTTCCACCCATCACCAGATTTATGTTTGCCAATTGTTTGGTACTTACGATTCTACCAAACACCGGTGCCATTTCATTCTTTTCCTTGACAATGGACTTTGCTCAAATATTCAAAGGCTTTGAGATATGGAGATTCTATACCGCCTCTTTTTGTATGGGTAAATTTGGTATTCATTTCGTTTCACAATTAGCTGTTTTGTAAGTGTTTCCAATCATCCTACTATGATAGTGTTATAGGTTAAATCATTCAAATGATTATTAATAATACATATTCAATTATATATAGATATAATTATTCATCATCACTTGAAAATGGAACTTTTGGAGGTAGACCAGCAGATTATATTTGGATGTTGTTGTTTTGCGATGTATTGGCACTGATTGTTGCCGGTTTCGCTGGATTCTTCTATTTCGTCAGTCACGCTATGGTTATGACCATCATTTACGTGTGGTCCAGATACAACTCTGAAGGTGAGGTTTCACTGTTCTTTGGTATCCGTTGCAAAGCAATCTACGTACCATGGGCAATCATGGCAATCAACTTTTTAATTGGATTCTCCATTTGGTATGATCTTTTGGGTATTGCCGTTGGACATGCCTACTACTTCATTTGCAACGTCTATCCAGTCACCTATCGTAAACCAAACTACTTGGAGACACCACAATGGTTGTAAGTATCAAATCAATCAGTAAAAACAATCAAACAAACAATCAAAAACAAACAATCAATAACTAATTATTATTGCTATTATTATAAACTACAGTATCAACTTATTACCACAAAAGCTAAAAGGTTCATTTGCCTTTGCTGCACCAGCATGGGGTGAAAGAGCACAAGCCAATCAACCACGTGGACACCAATGGGGACAAGGAAGAGCTCTTGGCTAAAATTGTATTTTCAAAAAAAAAAAAAAACAATGTTTAAAATAAAACAAAAGATAAGATAAATATATCTTGATGATGATTGTGATAAATTAATAATAATAACTAATAGGTTTTGATTAATGATTTTATATATTTTTAATGCGTTTCATTTCGTTTTTTATATATCTAGATTTGAATATTAATATTTATTAATTCCAAAGATTCTGACACGATCCATCTTTGGCATTTTAGAAAGAACTACAACAAATGATGAAATTGCATTCAAATAGAATGGTAGTCCTGAAATACCATTTGCATGAAGTGTAATCATAAACCTATAAAATGAATAAATAGATATATAAGTATATATATATATATATATTAGAATGATGATTGCTTAATGTGATTGATAAATGATCGATTTATCAATGATCATGAGCTTAACTTACAATACAATTGGAACCAAAGTGAAAAACTTTCTTGTTGGAGTGTATTGCTTTCCTTTATCGATTTGCTCCCACAAAGTCAGACGAGTGTATTTACCCTGATGCTCAGGGAAGAAGAAAGGTAGACCCTTTTGCCAATGCAGTCCAAAAAATGTGATCAATGCGTGTAAACAAGTGATTGAAAGCCAACCATATTGAAAATCGGGATCCAAGATAGAGATAGTTAGTTTGCCCAGAAGCAAGCCAAGTACATAGACCACCCAGAAACTCTGTGAATGCATCCAAGATTCATTTCTATTGATTTGAAACTCATCCATTACTGCAATCCTTTTTGACCTCTTTGACTCTTTTTATATATTACTATTTACTATTATTACTTTTATTTATTTATATATTACTACTACTACTTTATATTGTGTGTTTATCTATCACATATAACTAACTAACCAACTAACAAACTGAATCTAAACTATATACTAAACTATACTATACTAAATTAAATAATTAACAAACTAAATATCTAAATATGATTAAATAAATTAAATTGAAATGAAAAAAAAAAACAAAACAAAAATAAAACTAAACTAAACTTGACTGATTATGTAATTTTAAATCTACGATTATTATTATTTTTATTATAAGATTATTTGTATATATATTGCTAATCTATATTTTCTAATAATAATAATGATATTATTAATATTTTTAATGAAATTGTTAAAACTACAACAATTATATATATTTCTAAAACAAAAAATAATTTTAATTTATTTTTTAATAAAGATTGAGGTGAATTTTTTCGATTACTTTGAAAAAAAAAAAATCAAAACTTTGACAATGTTGAAGAGAGATAAGATTATTAGATAAATACTAATATGATTGTATATTTATTTAATAAAAACTAATTAATTTAGGTTTATTTAATAGTAATAATAATGGATAAAAAAAAAGATAATAATTTTAAAAATAAAAAAATTAAAAAAAATGAACAAAACAGAGGAAAACAAACCTAAAAAGGAAGAAAAGGTTTTTTTTTTTTTTTATTATCCAACTTTTGGTGTTTTTTTAATTTTTTTAATAAATTAGATACAATTTATATTTATTTATTTAAATCTATTGAAATACCTTTAATAATATATTGTTTTTTTTATTATAATTTTAAAATTTTGATAAGAATAGATTTAAATTACAAAAAAAATAAAAAAGAAAATAAATTGAAAGAAAGGGGCAAAAAAGGAATCATTTCATTAGAATGTTGTTGTTTACTGGTATAATCATTCTATGATTATTATCGCAATAACAATTTTATTTATTTTTTTTTTTGATTTTTATTTGTTCATAAATTGTGTGTGTTTATAAGTGTGGTTGCTCCATTTGCCACAAAATTTAGATATTGATTGGTTGATTTGATTTTATTTTATATTATGTTGGTGTTAGAGATAGAATTCAACTATCAAACATTGTTTAATTTAATCAAGATCAATCATTTAAATTTAAATAAAGTGAATTGCATATAATTGAATCAAACGGAGAATATTTTATAGTACTAACAAAAACAGTCATCATTTTGTTGTACCAATTTTTTTTATTTCATTTTCATTGAAATTGGTAGTACTAATTCAACAAAAAAAGATATCAGAGTTTAATTTAGTTAAAACTATAACGTATTACAGCTAATTTTTAGGTATAGTCAAGATTAAGACCAACCAAAAATGATAGATTCGAATGAAAAAATAAAAAAACACAAAAAATAAAAAATTCTTAAAAAAATTTGTGGTTATCAAAAAATTAATGAAAACGTATGTGAGTCACCCTTTTTTTCTGCAGAACCAAAAAATACAAACAAATCATACTTTATTGTATTAATAAATATCGCAATTTTTTTGTTTATCAAATTAAAAAAAAAACAAAAAGTGAAGATATAATAGATTAGTAGTTTAGTTGTACAAAGTTTATTTGTTTGTTTGTTATTTTATTTATAAATTGGCAACAACGCGACAACAACTTCAAATTAATTAATCAACAACAAAACAATTATTATATATTATTATAATTACTTTGTATTTGTTTTAATTACATAATTTCACTTACTTACTTAATTAATATTAAATAGTAAATCTAAATAATAATAATAGAGTTCAGTAACAATAAATAATAGTTTAAACTTTATAATAGTTTTTTTTTTGTATACATACTAGTATTATGCAATGAATAGACAGAATATAATAACAGTTGTTACTTTGTTGGTAGCGGTTTCACTAGTTACCATAATTGCAACGATTGCTGTGAGTAGTTTTGTAATTATCGTTATCCAATTAATTAATAATGAATTTGTGTTTGTTGTTTTGTTCGTTTGTCTATAGAGTTTAATTGGAAACACAATATTCATTCTTTGAATAACATTTATAAATTAAAAAGAGAGTTTATACTAATTTTAAATTGAATTTCATCACTAAATATTATTTAGAAACAACCAAAAGATACAATTGTAGATGATTGTTGTTGTCAAATATCTATGATTGATACAGCAAATGTTCAATTGAATCAAATATTAAATAAATTAGTTGTATGTATATTTATAGAATATTAAATTAGCTTAATATTTCCTTTACTAAAAATAATCGTCATCTTTATCATTATTTAGAAAACAAGATTCTTTAGATACTTTAGAGTGAATCTTTTTGCAGAGTGTCCGTTTTGGGTGGTTACACAACTGTGTGGACTTGAAGGTTGTGGAGTTTGTGAGTGTGATGACAATGAGATTCCACTTCCATGGAGAATAGAGGATTCTAGTGACAAGGTCGACATGTCACCACCTCCACCAGGTTTCACTCGTTGGAAGGACAAAAAAGAAGATATGTGGGTAATACCCTATGGATCGGATGCCGATACTTCCTATGTAAATCTTGGTGAAACTCCAGAGGCTTACACTGGTTACGACGGTAGTTCCGTATGGAGATCCATTTATAATGAAAATTGTTTTACAAGTAATTACAAATCTTATAATCTTTAAAATGAAATAATCTAATCTAACAATTTATATTATTTAGGACCATTGGAACAGATGTGTTTTGAAGAAAGAGTATTTTATAAATTGATCTCAGGTTTACATGCATCGATTACTACACACATTGCATATTTCTATGAGAAGGATAGATTCTCTGGTGAATGGCAAAAGAATCCAATGCATTTCAAGACCGCTTTTGAAAATCATCCAGATAGAATCGATAATCTTTACTTTACTTTCTTGTTTGTGATGAGAGCCGTCAGTAAGATTGATGGTTTCTTGCACGAGTATCAATTCAACACTGGAAATGAAATAGAAGACAAGCAAACCTATCAAATGGTTCAAACTTTATTGAAGCAACAAGTATCTTGTACACCTTCATTCGATGAATCTTTATTATTTAAAGATACTGATAAAGTAAGTTTGCAAAAGAATCAAACCATTCCTTTTTTGTTAATCAAGATTTTATTAACGTTTCAATTTCGTTTATTTATTTATATTATAGCAAAATTTAATATCACAGTTCAAAGGACATTTCCAAAATATCAGTTCAATTCTCAATTGTGTAACGTGTGAAAAATGTAAATTATATGGAAAGATGCAGACACTTGGTCTTGGTACAGCTTTGAAAATTCTGTTTGATGAGAATCAGAGTTCGCTACAGAGAAATGAAATTATAGCGTTGGTTAACACTCTGAGACAACTGTCCAATTCGATCAAGGCGGTTGGAGAGTTCTCTGACGATATCGATTTCGATCATCATCAGCACCAACACAAGGAGAAAAAAGATAAAACAGCAGCAACAACAAGCAATAACACCAATAATTCAGATTCGTATTCACAATGGTCTTTTTGGGCCATTCTCACAACATTACAATCAACTCTTAAGGAGCAGATCGAAAAGCGTGAAATCACCAACACTCAAATCTTTTTACTCGTCTCTGTAACTATATTAACCTTTTTGTTCATATACAATCCATCTTATAATCCACCAAAGAGAAAGAAGAAGAAATCGAAGAATATTAATAATAATAATAATAATAATAATAATAATAATAATAATAGTTCCAATAATAATAAAAGTAATAATAAGAAACAATAAAAACTTTAAATAATATAGAATCGATTTTAAAATAAAACAAATATAATATACATATATGATAAATAAGAAGTAAAGATAATGATTATTTATTTCGAATTAACTTTTCGTTATTATTATTATTATCATTATTGTTACTATTATTATTTATATTATTTACATTATAGATTGTACCCATTGCATTCACATGTTTATAATTATCAATATTATTATTCATTGTTTTTGAATGTGGTAGATGTTTGTTGTCTTCACATACTTTGGTCCAACCTTCAACATTGTTCTTTAGGTACTCAAAGCAGATTCTAGTCTGAGGAAACATCTCTGATATTAATTCATAAAAAGCGGAACCCAAGTATACCATGAAGTTTAGCGAGTTCTTTTCGACCGATGTCTTAGTTTCATCCATCCAATCGGTAACTGGAATACCCTTCAGATGCTCCATTCTTCCCTGTACAAAACTTTCAACGTTGATTCTGTGACACCATATCTTTGATACATCCCATGGTTTTGAAACGTTGGAGATATCGGCTGCATGCAACATAATCTCCATAAGGAATATTCTATCCTGCAGCGAGTTATCGAGTGATTTCAGATTATTTAGTTTGAGCTCCGTCAGTCTCTGCTTCAATCTGGTGACCAATGGGAAATGGAGTGACATGTCCGTTGAAATGATGCAAGTGATGGCTATCTGTCTAAACTCTTTCAGTTCATCCCTGGACAGAGCCGAAAGAATGTTGAATTGGTCCATGAGCTTCCACATTAAACTTAGATGATGATTCTCCAACACAGATCTATCGTTGTATTGCATGGCAATTGGATCGAAAGTATTGACCATAAATGCATTGTTGAATCCAGGGTGGTTAAGATCATGACAGAGCGCACAAAGAAGTATAGTAATAATATCCATATGCGTTAGATAGTGACTCAATCCGAATGTCGTCAGGTAACTAAAACAAGTTTGAGTCACATCGAACGCATGGTAAAAGTTGTGATATGGATGATCATGATACATTGATCTCACTTGATATAGAAAATGATTAAGTTTGAATTCTGGTATTCTTAGTTTTTCTGGTAATCTTTAATAATAATAAAGAAATATTAAATTAATAATTGTTTTTAAAATTTGAGCATATCTATTTTAATACAAACTGATAATATGTAAAAATTCTATGTAACATTCCGATCAATTGTTCATGTGTATATAAATATGGATTGAAACCCCATACTTTTAATGGTTCAATATCAATAACTTCAGTTTCAACTACTTTGCTTCTAATTGCTGGAGAAACACTATCTGAAATATTCGAAGCAGAGTATGTTTTTAAAATGGATTTGGCAATCTATTTTTTGGGTTATAGTTAGTAAAAAATATATAAAAGAAAATAATTAACTAATAATAATTACTTACTGGATTGATATCTTGGTTCATTAGTTTTTCAACAGCTGGACCATAAAGATCGGTATTGGTTGTAATTTGATATAAAATGTTTTCCAATTCTCTTTTGATTGGGGAGTTTGAAAGTGAAGTGTCCATTAGAATTTCATTGAGAGAGTTGGTGATGGCTTCGATTGGTGGTTCCATTGCTTTGTGAATCTTGGCATTATCCAGCTTCAATTGACCAACCTTTGATTTAAGTGTTTCTATCTCCTCTTCCTTCTCTTTGACTAGTTGTTCGTATTCCTTCAGTTTGTAGCTTTTCAATCTGTTTTCCAAGACGTAGGTGATGTGTGAAAGTAGATTTCCTTTGGACACTGGTTTCGACTGGAACTCCAGTTTATTATTTGACTTTTGTTGGAACTGTGAGAATTCCATTTTGTTGACGATATAAAATATTTGTGAATTGGTGAGAGTTTCGATGTTTTCAATTTTCGAGTCGGTATCATAGATGACCAAGTCGTAGCTATTGTTTTCCAAGAGTGAGAGTGAATCTACAACATTCTTTGAGGAAAAAACATTGAAACCCTCGGTTCTCAGCCAAATTTCCAGCAGCTCTCTCGATTTGTTGTCAAAATCTATGATTAGAAATTTAGTTTCTTTGTTGATTATTAAATTTTTGATTGGTGGACTGTTTTGGTTTAGTGATATTTTTGATGATTTTAATTTCAAAGTAGAGGAGATGGAGTGTTTGTTTGGCTCTGTAGGTGTCTTTTCCAGTTTTCTAGAAGTGCTTTTTGGTTTGTTGTTTTGTTGAGAGTTTGGAATTTGCTGTTGACTAGATGTACTGTTGGTACTACTATTCAAAGAGAAAGCTAATGGTCTTATATCTTCATGCTGTGTGATATAGCTGTTGAGCGATGGTGAAGTTTGGATTGCTGTTTTCATTTGGGATTCCAAAATAAAATATTATTTGTATTTCCCAAGAAAGTGTAGACTATTTTTTCAGGTTGTTTGGAGTTGTTGTTATTTTAATAATTATTATTAATAATATTACTGTTGTTGTTATTGTTTTTCTATATTATTTTAATATAATTACTATTTTACTTGAATAATAAAAATATTGGTAAATAAAAGGGTAGAAATGTGTTTAACAATTTTAGAGATATTAATACAATGGAGTGATTGAGAACTATCCAACCAAGTATTATCGAGAGACAAATCAATGAAATTTGATAGTAAATAACAGTATGACTATTACAATGAAGAGTTTACAAATATTACATATATGGCTAATGTGTGTGGTTTAAGGTTATGTGTTTTACCTATTAGGATAAAAATAATAAGAGATGAACTCTAGAGACGTGGTAACAAAAATTAAAGATGTTGAAAAGTCGTAGATTCGTGGAATTGGCTAGTTACCAAACCAGAAAATCCTAATTGGATTGGTAATAATATTTATTTTTGTAAGATGAAAATGAGTAAATAGAAAAAATGCACTGGTAATAATAAAAAAAAAGCTTTGCACCAAAACAATCCACAAATTAACAATACAAAAAAGGAAAAGATACACAATTTTCCTAATTTTTTTAAAAAATGGTAATAATATTAATTTAGATTTTGTGATACAAAATGTCAGAAATTATTATAGTATAATTAAAAAAAAAATCAATAAAAAAATAATTAAATTTAATTATTATTAATTTATTTAATAAATAAATAGATTTATACTACTATTATTATATTTATATAGTAAACACACAATAATACCTATATCTAATGGAAAAATAATATCTATACAAATTGGAATGATACAATCAGTCAGTCTGAAAAAAAAAAACAAAAAAAAACAATAATATCACGGTATTATTTAATTAAAATATTTACTAAATAGGATAGTTAGTTTTTCCCTAATATTTTGAAAATGGTAGATTGTGGATAAAATTTAATATTAACATAAAAATCAAAATATCAAAAAAAAAAAAACCAAAAATACAAGCATCACCTACACACCATTAGTTGTAATAATTATATTAAAAATTTAATTCATTTTACACAAACAAAAAAAAATCAAAATAAAGAAACACAACATTATTTATCTTGCTTTTTAATGTTTTACTTACAGTAATAACAATTCTGTTTTTCACAGACCAGGTTGTACAAATATTTTTGTATTTTATTGATTGTGTGTGGGAAAGAGGTGTTTGTTTTTTAATTTTATATTAATTAAATTATTTTGTCTTGAAAAATACAATAAAAAAATTGTAAGTTTGAAATAAATGAAATACAATTGAAGTATTAAATACTACTAAGTGAATGAGTGAGTGTGTGTTGAGTTGAGTTGAAATAGTGATGAATCAAATGATTGGGTGACGTTGGTGAGCAATCGAATGATATAGATAGAAATCAAAAAGGTATTATTAATAATAATAAAAAAACCTATTATTATATATTTTGTAATAAATATGATTATAACTAATAATAATAATATAAAAACTATATGATTTGATTTGATTGATTGATTGATTAATAATGATCAGTATCAATTATACCACATCCAGTTATTTTTTTTTTTAATATTGGTTTGTTTTGTTTTGTATTGTTTTGGAATCAAGTAGTTATAATTATTATTCTGCTGTTTAATTTATCAGTATGATTTCACATTCAATCAAGATGATGAGAAGTGAGTTTGAGCGAACCGACCACCCACCTCCCAATCTTAACACTGACCGAAGCAGTAGGTGTGTATGAGTTTAGTTTTAGTTATATAAAAATGAAAGAATATACTAGTGTTTTTTATAGAACTCTACATTTACAAACAGAATTAGCGTGAGAAGAACTCTCTCTACCACAACCAACACAACCACAAACCTTTTCATTCTTTCATCATACACATAAATATAAATGATATATGAGTGTATTAAAAACAGCAATACAATCACAATATATCACTCTAAAAAATAAAATAAAATTAAAAAAGATTTATGACAAAAAAAATAACCTAAATCAGTATTTACTATTTTTTACTATTAGAGCTTATCAATCTCTTTTTCTATCTCAATGTGATTGTGTGTGGTGGTGGTATACTGTTGTTTATTGTTTTTTTTAAAACAATAACTTGATGAATTTTTAAAAAAAAAAAAAAAGCTTTTTCAAAATAATTTTGCTTATTTGCTTAAAAACATAGTATGGTGACAGTTTATAATAAAAAAAGTTTGAACTAAAAGAACGATAAATTGTGTTACATATTCTTATTTGTGTTAAACTTTATATCTTACCTATGTTATATAATAATAACATTATGCCCAGATACAAGAAAATAGTATTAGTATCAACAGTTGTTATTTGTATTTCTTTTTTTCAATAAACAAAAATTAATTGTTAACAATTCTTTGGTTGCAGATATCCTTTTATTAATTTTGAGACACCATCTTTATTTAAAAGTGTCTTTTCTATTTTTAAATAATTATTGTTATTCCAGTCATATAAATTTAAAAAAAATAAATAATGAATTGATTATTCGATCAATCATTTCCCCCTCAGGTGAGCTATGGCAGAATATGATCTAAGTTTCGATTGGGAGATCTACAAACATACTGGTTGCAGTTATTGGAGTAAACTGATTACCAATTGGGTTTAATAGTTATAATTTTGGATTATTTGTTTTATATCAATAGAAAAGTTTGTGGATATTATAGTAAATCAATTTTTATTTGGTTATTATTTTTGATTTCAAAGAATTAAATTGGACTATTTTTAAAACTGTCAGACTATATATATATATCAACTGTCTTAAGTCTCTATTTCAATTTAGATGTTTTTTATAACATTTAATTTTTTATTTAAAAAGATGTGATATCATCTTGGGTAGTCAAAAAACTATTAAATTTCAAATTAGAGCAGTTGTTTCCAACTATTTGAATTAAGCAGAGACTTGTTTCTTTACTTTCTTTGCAAGAAGACCTTCATCTTGTAAAACCTTCTTAAGACCAGCATATGTGTAGTCAGTGTTTGGTGTGAACTTATCAATCTTGTTTTGATCGTTTAAGAAGTCAAAGTATTCATAATGAATTCTGAAAAAAAGAAAATACCAATTAAATATAGATATTTTAATTAGTGACTTTTATAATAGTTTTAAAATAAATAAATCTACTTGCCTGTCATCACTGGAATATCTGTAACATTGAATAGTTGCACAAAAATCTTGGGAGATATTCTTGAGCATATGTGTTTGGTAGAGATATGGAGTGAGATATGTAACCTGTTTTTCACTGAAATCAGTTTCTAAAAAAACCAAACAGTTAGATTTAAAAGTTAATGAATAAAAAAATTAAAAACAATATACCCAAATATGGAACATGAATCTTTGGATTCAGGTCAGAATAGTAGTTACAATGAATGGTACCATGGAGAACCTTGATGATAGCAAAGGCATCAGAGTGTTGATGGATTGGTGAATTGTGTCCCTTTGGCCAGAGCTCTAAAACGAAAGGTATACCAGGCGAATATCCAGAATCCATACCCAAAGTAACACGTAGATATGTTTCCTCTAATTTAGAGTGGTGTTCTTGAGCTTTTTCAACACATTTCTTGTAAAGTGCACCTTTATTGTCAAGTGATTTACGGATGGCTATTGTTACTGCATCTGGAAGAACAACACTGTTTCCAGCAACAACAGAATACAATTGTTGGCATTCCTTTGGTAGATTTCCAATGGCAGTGATATGTCCGGCTTCAATATCATCGAGTGTGATGACATCGTTGTTGATGACATATGGGGGTAGTTGGAAGGTAACTGGTAGCTCGTAAAACTTAACCTTGGAGATGAATGATTGTTCCAACGAGGTACCTATGTAGGCGAGATCCTGGAGGAATGCAATGTTTGGTGGGAACTTGTAAGCAAGTAGAGTAAGTTGTTCAGTTGCTTCACCCTTTCCATATTTCAATACTTTATTCTTCTTGTCAAGTGAGAACCAGTAGTTGACAGTGTTGTCAGTCTCGAGGAGAGCTCGTGAATCCAGGGTGGTAGCCAAAATGCTGGATGCATTGTTATTGTTGTAGTTGAGGAATGTAGCGGCACTGGCAGATACCTCCAAAACATAGATAGAATATGCACCCTTGGAATCTTCCTTCTTCGAATTAAAGAAGATGCGGAATGTTCCGGTTGGATTGACAATCTTGAAACGGATGGCTCCTTGACTCTTTACATAGCATTCTTGGTTCAAATAGTGCTCTGGGAAGACTGTGGCACCAGATCCACTAGCTACACCATGGAGAGTAGTGTTTACGGCAGCGACCATAGCACCTGCCTTTTGAGCAATGTTCTGAGCTAATGGTGACTTGGTAAAGCAATCCTTGAAGAGCGCATCATCAGCGGCAATTCTAAAATAAGAATTCTTCTTGACTGAAGTAATTGTCATTTTATATAATAAATATATATTTAACAAAAAGAATAAGAACAAAATTTGAAATGAATGTGATGAGCTATCATTTCAAATATTTATATTTGATTTAAATCAATCAAAATAATCATCAAGTTCCTTTCAGATCCCGATTTGATAAAAGGCCCACAATTCAATAAAACATTGCACAAAAGATATGAAAAGACACTAATTTTTTTTGCAAAGATTTTATTTTTGCCAATCAAGCAAAATTAAACTTTAACAAATTGGTTACTTTGGGGTAATTTTATTCACCAACCTTCAAAATATTTGTAAGTAGGAATTTTATAATAATATCAATAATTTAATTTAGGGTCTGATTTATTGAGGAGTTAAAATTAAACGGATTTGATTTATTTGTTGATGTAAAGTTACAAATAACCTTTATTGGCTAATATTTAATTTGGCACTATGGTAATAATTAAATTGTTTCATTATTTGAATTAAATTGTTCCCAAATAACAAAATAAAGAATTTTAAATAAACATATAGATATTTTTATCAATGAATTTAATTTAATCAAATAAGTAACAATGAATCATCGAAAGTTTGGAGAAATTCATCCACTTAGCACATCATTCCTTGATCACTCCTGGAACCTGGTCGGGATTGAGAAATATATTGAATCTTTCAATCTGGACTAGCGAATACCAATTTGGTTATTGATGAAAATCCTTTCTTTCCTCTGTAGATGTTAATCTTTTCTTGTTCATTCAAAGTCATGTTTTAAAGATTATGGATGTGATTACTGACTTGATATAGAGTTTTAAATAAACGAGAGTGATAAACAGTTTCCCTTTTAAATTATAGAGTACATTTATAGGTACAAAAGTGGATATAGGATTCGGCAACAGGATGCATACATGACTCATATTAATGTATGTACGTACAGTAAAATTTTTTCGACTTTTTCTACTTTTTCGACTTTTGTCTCCACTTTTTTACTTCAATTTCGACTTTATTTTTGCAACACTTTTTTTAATTTTTTGACCTTATTATTATGATAAAATTCAGAGAAAATTAAATGTTAATATTGTGATCATTTAAAATTAAAAAATCAGAGAATCAGAGAATTTCCAACAATATTTTCATTTAATCAGATGAATAATAACGAATCAAATATATTTGTAAATCTATCACATTTACTTTTAAATAGAATTTTCAGTCAACTAGATAGTAATATAGATCGTATCTGTTTCACTTTAGTCTGTAAGAGATGGTATAATGAAAAGAATAAATATTTTACATTCAATGCAAAATCATTGGTAAAACCACTTTATGCAGATCAGAAAGATGGTGATTATCCATTATTCTTTTTAAATTCATTCAAAGATGAATTCCTCAAATCATTAGTTTTTAACAATTCTCACCAGAAAGATTGTGCGCTCTTTATTAATCAAGCTAATGATAATGCTTTCAACCCTACTTTTAATCCTGAAGTTGATTATTCTATGACAAAAGGTAAGAGATAGAGTTGTAAAATAAGTAATCTATCTTTCATATTTACTTTTTTTTTTTTAATTTTCTCTAGAGACGCTTGATACATTAGGTCTAATAATTAGACCTAATATTAAAACACTTGTAATTACCGAGGTTGACCTGAATGAAAAAGAACTGGAAAAGTATATGACACTCAACAACAATATCACTCATATCTATGGTTGTTCATCGATTCCAGTAGGAGGATGGCCTCAGAACATCAAGTTTATTAGATTCTCGAAATTTAGTGGAACTCTGATACCTGGTTGTTTCCCAGAAGGCATCGAAACCATTGAGTTCAAATCAGCAGATTACTGCACGATCAACGAGCCGATAGAATGTGGCGTATTTCCAAGTTCGTTGACCTCGCTAACTTTTTTTGACATTCTTCATGAACCAATTGCTCCAGGAGTTCTACCGAAATCACTAGAGTCACTCGAGTTTGGATTCTATTCGAATGATATCGACGACCAACTGCTTCCAAACACTCTGAAACATCTGAAAATCCACGGGTATTCAAGCTGTAAAATATCACTGCCAACAGCCAATCTGGTTTCATTGGATATGAATCACAATTTCTTCTCGGATTCGATACTCCAACAAATCAAAAGGTGTCCAAACCTAAGGAAATTGTCTGTCATCGGTAAATGGGAGAATATCACTGCACACTCCATCAGAGAAGGTGATATACCAAATACAGTGACCACCTTGATCGTTCGGTATTGTCGAATGGAGAGAGGTTCAATTCCGAGTTCTATCAAATATTTAGATTTTGCCAATTGTAAACTCGATGAAGATCTATTTCCGGTAGCAGCAGCAGCGGCAGAACCATCGCATCGCTTCGATGAACTGAAGCTTACAATATTGTTAAAACCAGCCAACCTAGTAATAGTAAAATCACTGCTTTCCAGCAATATTAAGATCAAAACACTAACAATAGTAGATACATTTTTTGATCAAGGCACTCTATCTATTCAAGACAGAAAGGATGGAGTCGAAATACCAGAGGAACTTGGCGTAGAACTATTGAAACTAAATGTATACATTGGAAATACCAAGCGCTTACTGGGAATTCCAAACACAGTGAAAACAATCGATTTTGGTGATGGATATGGAGATGTTTCTGAATTGAACTTACCGGAATCGGTTCACACCATATCAATTCAAAATGGTCAGGTCGATATCGATGAATTGTCACACAAATCAACGTTGGTCAATATTAATTTCACTGAAATTAAATTGGATGATCAAGTTGTCGTACAAGTTCGAAGAATAAGCGATGACTATTATTTAATATTTGGACAAACCGAAGAATATGGTTATATTGCTTTGATATTACATAAATCAAAACAGATATCTTCTTTAATAAATAAAGTTATACAATAATTTAAATTTAATTGTTTTTATTATCCATGTTACTGTTGCTATCAATTTTCAACTTTTCAACTAAATCTGGTAAATGGTGAGATGAAAGCGATAGGAGCAGTGGAGTGGATCCAAAGTCATAATGTGATTCTTTGTGATAAAATAATATGAATTCTATTGGGTATTGTTTGTCGTTGATTGGCGTTGTTGTTGTTGTTGTTGGTTCTGGTGTTTGATGTGATTGTATTCTCAGTTGATTGAGTTGATCGAGTGACTCCAAGTCGCAGCCGTAGGAAGGTAGCGATATGAATGGATGTGGATTGTAGTTGGATCTGGTGGATGCCGTTGTCTCTGCCAGCTTTGTTTGTTTCCAAAAGAATCGAAACTCAGTGTCACAATCACACAGCATATTGCCTTTCCAACAGAGGATGTCGAGGATGTAGTACACCGATTTAAATGGTTCGTAGAGACAATCGAGAATGCAATAGCGATTAGCAACATTTCCAGTGGATTCACGTGATGCTGGTGAACCAAAGGGTAGTGTCGAGTGAAACGTCGACATGACATGACCATCAGGTGAACGTGCCACCGTAATTTCACGCTGTGATATCACAAGACATCGCTTACCTTGAGAAACGGGCACAGCAAACCACTCATCACTGAAATACATTGGAATATCAGTCATCGATTCCGCAAGCATCAAATGATTAGAATAATGTGAAATCTCTTTCATTTGTTTCTTTTCTTTTTGTTTCTTTCTTTTATCTCTATTTTTTTGTGTATTATTATTATTACTATTACTATCAATATTTGAAACTTCCATACTATCATTTAAATCTAAACTATCATTTATACTATTATCATTGTTTTGTTCATCTATTGCTATATCATTATTATTATCTTGTTGTTGTTGTTGCTGTTTAATAGTATAATTTTGAGAATCAGAAACTACAGATCTTAGTTGATTAACTAGATCACGTCTCTTTAACTTTTGTTTCTCTAAATAGTATTCTCTTCTCTTTTGAGATTCAGGTGTACTTATTGTAGATTTAAATGACTGTTGTCTATGACTAAACTCATGATCTACATCTTTAAACTGTGTTGCACCAAACAAAGCAGACAACAATACACCATCTTCATTACTCTTCTTTGAAGACCCCATAGGTTGTAATTCTTGTCCACCATCCATTATCTATTTATCTATCTTTTTCAAAATATATATATTAATATAAAATTAACAACTATAATAATAAAGAATGAAATAGTATTTATTGCAGATCTGCTTCTTTCGTTCGTTTCGTTTGGTTGTGAGAATTAAAAAACATTCAAGATGAATCAGTCAGTCAAGTTCACATTGAAAAAAATTCATAAGTAATTATTTATTTATTTATTTTTATTTCTTTTTCTTTTTAAATAAAGATATTCCACTATCTTCATCATCGTTATTGTGTCTATTTACTTTTGTCTTATTTTCTAAAGTTTCGTTTGTTCTCTTCTTTGAAATATCTGTTGTTGTTGTTGGTTTTGAAGATGATGCTGTTGTTGCTGCTGCTGCTGTTTTAGTTGTTATAGATTCTTTTTGTACAGTTTTAATATCTTTTTTCTTATTATTCTTTTTACTACTATCATTATTATCATTACTATTAGTTGTTTTTGATTCTTTATTATTATTTGTATTTCTTTCTTTCTCATCTAACATTTGTCTTGTTAATTCATTTCTTTCATCTCTTCTTTCTTTTTCTTTAACTCCAAATTCTATTTCATCCAAATACTTTAATTTTAATTTAATTAATAATAATAATATGATTGATTAAAGAAAATGATTAATAAATGGACGATGACTTGATAATAATACTTGAGATATTATTGATTGATAGTTACAATTTCAACTAGCTTTCTGGCGGTCGATGCTTCACCGAGATGACGGTAGACAGCTTCATCTTCGGTGGTGTACAACTCCAGTTGCTTACCGATTGCAGCCTCTACGTTCTTGACTAGTTCGACGTCGTGTGGTGTGACGAACGATATAGCACGACCCGATCGACCGAAACGTGCGGTTCTACCGACACGATGAATATAGTCCTTCGATGAATTCGACAGTTTGTAGTTGATGACCATTTGGACGTCGGGAATATCGAGACCACGACTCGCCACATCCGTTGCAATCAACACACGAATCTTACCAGACTTGAACTGTTTCAATGCATTCAATCGATCCTTCTGACTGAGAAAAGAGTGCAACGACACCGATTTGATATCCAATTTATTGAGCATTCCTTTCACTGCCTCCACGGTTCTACAGTTATTGATGAAAACAATCACCGAGCTACTATCGTGCTTCTTCAACAGGTATACCAAATGACAATCTTTTGCTTGTGCTGGCATAAATACATAATATTGTGATAATGTTTCTACTGTATCATATCTAAAATAGGAATGAGATGAGTTACATACAAATTAGTTTTTGTACAAGATAGATTAATAACATCTTAGTCTTTATCTTTACAACTACCTACTTATTATTATCTTCGAAAATATATGGATTCTTAATTGGGATCGACTCTAATTTCTTATTACTATTTGTCATTGTTGCTGAATATAACAATGTTTGTATCTTTGGTGGTAAATGTTCAACTATTTTCTAAAGTGAAAAAGAAAAACGAGTGGAATGGAATGTTTAGTTAGAATGCATGTTGATAGGTGCATTTATGCAAATAGATCGATAGATAGATAGATAAACTTACTTGTACTTCTAATTCAAAGTCAGGACCTAACATACGATCTGCTTCATCCAGTACCAAGAATCTACAGAATTGCAATGCCAGTTTCATTCCGTTGTTGAGATGTGCTGCAAGACGACCTGGTGTGGCAACGATGATGTGTGGTCGTTTGTCGAGGATGAGTGATTGCTGAACATTGTCGATTCCACCGATGACCACACAACAGTTGACGTTGATAGCACTACCGAGTGCTCTAAATTGCTCGCCAATCTGCACGGCCAACTCTCTGGTCGGTGTCAATACCACCGCAAAAATACCGTAGGGATCCTCTGAGAGTGCCGAGAGTATCGGCAATGCAAAGGCAGCTGTCTTACCCTGACCGGTCTTGGCACTCGCTAGAATATCACGACCCGACAAGATTGCTGGAATTGTATTGTACTGAATGTTCGAAGGTGCTTTGAAACCGAGTTGTTTACAACAAGCGAGTAGCCATGGTGCTAATCCTAAATCTTCGAATCTTCTTTCTTTTGTAACAGTTGTTGCTGTCGATGTCGATGTCACTGATGTAGTCTCTAAATCAACATCATCATCATCTTCAATAATTCTATTCTCCATTATTAGAAATTCAATCTATAATCAAATAATCTTTGTGTAAAAATAAATAATTAATTATTAAAAAAAGAAATAAAAAAAAAAAAAAACGAACGAAAGTTTTTTAATTTTTGATCAAATAAATAAATTAAAATCAAATATTATTTTAATTGATTATTTGTTTTTTATAGAATTTAGAATACAATTATTCATTATTTAATTCAATATTTAAAACATACACTCAATATTGTAATTTTTAGATATTATATTTAACAAACATCTATTCTTAAATTAATAACTAAAAATTTACATATAAATCTAACTAAAACTACAAATTTCTTTATTTTTATTATATTTACTTCTACTAAATTGCTAAAGATACAATTGATGATCCACAATCATTTCTAAGTTGTATGTCATCGCTAAAGATTGAAACCCAAATATTTTGTTCGATAGAGTATCGATGATTCTTGTGTTCACCACCACCAAGTAGGAATACGTAGTTTTCTGTTTTTGACACCTGGTGGTAGAGCATCGATAGGTAGTGTCCAGATTTAGCGGTGGAACTCAGCATTATTATGGATCGGTCGTCAATATTGAATCTTAGGAATCGACCGTCGATACCCAGAATAAAGATATTACCGTTGGAGTCGTGACAGGCCGCCACTGGATGTTCAAAGAGCAATCTCGAGGTGAACGATTCCACTTTGCGATTGTTGGTGTCGATTCCGAGAATCTTTTGTGAACTCTCTGGGATTGAGTATAACATTCCCTTGTAGAAGAGACTGAGAATCTTCTTGCTCTCATCACTAATGATAAGATATCGTTCAAACTCCATTGATTTCGTATTGAAGCGGTCCAGTCTATTGCCACCGAGCACATAGATATACTCCTTTTGGTCATAGCAAACCGAGATGTATTCTGTCATCTTTGGTATGTCACTCGCGATATCGATACTCTTTGACTTTATAGAGTATCTGTGGTACTTGTGTGGTTGACCTCTTCCACCAAATATATAGATATACTCACCGATAGTCACCATTGCGCTGAATGTTCCATAAAATCCAATCTTGAATTTCATTTCTTCAACTGGTGTAATATTATTATTATTATTGTTATTGTTTAATAAATCTGATAAACTAATTAAAGTTGCACCTTTATTTGTATGTGTAGTGAATAAGTATTGTTTTTGAACAGGATTTGTTGTGGTTGAAGTTGTTGTTGTTGTTGGTGATGTGGATGAAGATGATTTCGGTGATGTTAATCCAATAGATTGATTTATCAATGTACTTAATAGATTATTATTAATTGGATTGGTGATCAATCTATAATCAAATTTCGATGATTGATTTGGTTGGTTGTTATTATTATTTGTATTATTATCTGTATTATCATTATAAACTGTTAAACTACAGTTATTATTATTGTTGTTGTTGCTGCTATTGCTGTCATTTGCTATTACTTTGAATTGATCGTTGAACTTAAACAGTAAATCCAATATCATAAAGTCAGTGTTACTTCCATACTGTGATTGTAAATCATTTAGATTGAACTGACTATTATTTTCATGATTGAACAGAGTATCGATATTTGATTGTATAAACGATTGTAGTGATTCACTGTCAACGAGTGATTTTATGATTTCCTTTGTTGAATATACCTCTGAATATATATCTAGTATTGCTTTGGTTGTTGTTGTTGATGATGACGAAGTTGCTGATGAATTACTATTATTATTACTATTATTAATCTTTTGATTTAGCGTAATTAGATTACTTAAATATTTAAGTTCATCTATGTTGGTCTCTATTTGCTGTGTTAATGAAAGTAGATCGCTGACAATCGGTTTCTTTAGCTTGTGCTCTTCAACCACCAGAAATTCGTGAAGTTTCGCAAAGTGTGCGGATATCTCAGCCTCGGTTGTCTCTAGTGATTTGCAATTGGTAGTTGCATCTTTCAACTTTGACCATATATCAGATATTCTTGTTTTTATACAACAATTTGATTCTTCATCTTGATTATCATTATCATCTGCACCATTATTATTACTATTACTAAAACTATAATTTGATAAAGATTGTTTAATGTATTCTATATGATCACACGAATCGGTGTGATCTTTAAATTGTTTATTATGAATAATCAAACATGCAGAACACATCAGTTTATTACACTGATAACATATTATTTCAATTGATCTCTTGTGAGTTGTACATTTTTGATTATTATTATTATTTGATATCTCCATCATTTATTATTAGAATGGTTAATCAAAAAAATAAATAAAATAAAAATGCTTGATGCTATTCAAAATTAAAACTTTAAGTTTCCAAAAAATCAATTAAAATATCTATTGAAATTACAATCACGATCATCTTTTTTTTACATTGCTATGAGCGTAAGCGTACTCACTGAAAAAATGTTTTATTAAATTAATAATAGAAAAATAGAAGTATTTTTGTTATATTAATATTCATAACATAGATATGATGCTAAACCTTTTTTTTTAAATTAATTAAATTTACAAAAATAATAAATAAATAATAAAAACAAGAAATTTTAAAACAAAATTGTTTTTTTATTTAATAAATTTTCAAAAAGAAACAGGTGAGACACAATTTCTGGATCACCCACCAGTATCTATTGTTCGGTTGATCTAGTGGCATTCCACTTGCTTGTCAGTGGTGGTAGTCTTAGTTGGAACACATCATTAGCTAGACTTTGTAAGTCTGTCTCTGAAATTCTTTTTTTTTTGATTTTTTTCTTTGTTTATGTTCTATATAGAAAGATAGAATATATTTAAATATATATATTTTTAATCATTAACTTTTAGATATAAATGTATTTCACAATACAATATTTCAAGAGTTTCCATTGAGTATCTGAGAGATCGTAGAATTCCTCCGTAATTAAAACCATGTCTCACCAGTCCTAGAAAAAAAAATGATTAAAATTACAAAAAAAAAAAAAAAACAAATAATCTTAAAATTTATTTATATTTATAACATTTTGAATTTTTAAAAAAAGGGGGGTGATTTAAATTCAACTGTAGTTGTTCAATTGAACATTCACCCTTTAAAAATAAATTTAAACACACTCATATTTTTTCTAAATATTTTTATTGTGACAACTAACCATATAGTATATATATATACATATACTATTTTAGATGATAATTTGATTGGGAGTATAGAAAGTATAAACACTTAAACGATGTGGTAAACACAGCTATTAGTTTTAAAAATAATCTAAATTTGATTTTAATTGATATATTAAAGGAATTTTGTATATTTTTAATGGTCTGAATCTTTTAGCGGAACACTATTATTTATAGGTGTCATTCTTTCTAACTATCTTTCAAACAAAATGAACATGTGTTAAAAAACAATAAAAACAACACAATTCAATCATTTTATAACAATTTTTTATCTATCTTTCTTGCAGGATCTACTATTCTTTCTTTTTTTTTTTAATTCACATTCACATTTAACAAAAGTTGACATTGCGACACATGTGATTATCATACACCAAATAAATCACCTTTCACAGTTTAAATTTCTATTAAAATTAAATAATTTTAATAATTATACTTAATTCCATTAAAACTATAAATAATCAAACTTTTCATGATAACATATATGTCATTTTCAAAATAATATATATTTATAAATTTATAAATAATATATAAAAAACAATGAAATATTCAATATTTTTAATTTCCATGATAATTGTGGTTGCAAGCTCAACCAGTTGTCAAGTAGACTATCAGTGTGGTAATGTGCCATACTCTCTGTGCTTCAAGAACTTCAATATGCTTCCGGGTATCGGTAGAGATACCTCTGGTAATATCGTACTGCTTGGTAACTTTAATTCGTCGAGTCAAGGTCTCAATTATATTGCTACTCTACCGGCAGCTGGTGGATCGATCACACCTGGCTATGCCATTACCACCGACGCCAACTCTGGTTCTGGCTACAGCAAGTCCACTCAACTCTACACCTTTGTCACATCATTGAATCAACCATACATTGCCGTCCAGAAGAACAACGCTCCATATACTGGACCCTACTTCCAGAACGGTACATTCAATGGTGTATGGGCATTGAAGGGCTACACTCTCGGTCTTGGTTTCGACGATATCAACAAGCGAACCTACTACTGCGATGGAAACGTTCATCGTATCGACAAGATCGTCTTGACCGAGCAAGAGCGTTTCCAAGGTGCAATGGATCTCTACGCCGGCCAGAACTGTAACTTTATCGGTGCTGTCGGCAACGATCTCTATATGGCCTTGATAAACTACAACGACAACGGTACCACCACTACAGTCTACAAGGGTAGCATTTCATGCGCCAATTGTCCAGCTAGTTCACTCACCAAGGTAGCAACACTCAACTTCCAAGCCAGTGGATTCTCTTTGTCTGCCACTCATATGTACTTCAGTGCTGCACCAGGTTATCTTACTCCGAATGCCGGTCTTATTCAGCTGCCTTTGAGTGGTGATATGATTGCCTTGAGATACATTGTCAGTGAGCCAGTCGGTAGATTCGTATTCGATCAATCCGGTGATTGGATCTACTACCAAACCGCTGATCTCGCAACCATCAAAAAGGTAGGTCCAATCTCTGCCAATCATCCACAAGTATCTGTTCTGTATGACCGTTCAAACCCAGGTTCCAGTGGTAACTGTGGTTGTACCGGTGGAATGCAAGGTGCTCAATGTCAAACCTGTTCAGGTCAAATTCAATGGGTCAATTCATTCCCTCAATGTATCGCTGTATCCAACGGAAATCCAGCTACTTGTCAAGCTGACTATCAATGTGCGAACCTTCCATACACTTCCTGCCAATACGCAACATGTCAATGTGTAAATGGATTCACCGGTGCCCAATGTCAAACTTGCACTGGAACAGTAACCTGGAATAATGGAGTTCCAACTTGCAAATATAATTAAGAAATATCATATATATATAATTTAAAATTAATTAATTCACATATCTAATTAAAAAAAATATTTATTTATTTAATTTATTTAACAATTAATACAATTGAGATTGATGGGAACCAACACAATTTTGTAAATCTTTGAATTCTTGAAAAAATTAAAAAAAAAAACTGAAATTTTTGAATTAATCAGATCCAATCCAAAATTCTGACCATTCGTTGAATTTGCTTATAATCAAAAAACGAGCACGTGGGTTAATTTGTTTTAATTAATTGATTAATTAAACAATACCCAATAAGAAAGATGATCTATCTATGGATCAATTTTCGAATCAAAACAATTATATGTCAAAAAAACTAAAGGGATGGTTTTTTTTTTTTCTTCACTTTTGAAAAAAACGGTTTCTTTATCTGAATGGTGGTTGGAAGGAATCTTAATAAAATGAAAGATCAGCTATTATTTTATTTATTGATCAAAATTTTAATTATAAATAGCCTTAAAAAAACATAAATAGATTTTATTTTGGTTAAAAACATATTATATAATTATTATTTAACGATAAATAAATAAAAAACTCGAAAAAATGCAATTAAATATTCATAAACCAAATTTATTATCTTTTGTTTTGATTGGTTTAACTTGGATATGTTGTATTATAGGATTTGCATGTAAGTTTTTAATAGAATCTGATTCATAAAATTATAAAATAACTTAATATTAATTTCTTTTTTTTTACAAAAACAAAGCGTATTGGTGGTCAATTACAGTGGAAATGACTGAAAACTCTGAACCAACAACCACTACAATGTTGTTAAAATATAATGAGGTAAATAAATTATAATTATAAAGTAAAAAATTAATAATTATACAAATATTAACAGTTTTTTTTAGCAAAAAGTTTCTTTTAAAAGTGGAAATCAAGATATTGAAGGAACCCAATCTGTTAAAGAAACTGATGCCAATAAAAACCAACTTGCAATTCTAAAAGTTTGTTTGGCATTCTCAGTGTTAGCATTCGTAGTTCTAACTGGATGTATGGTATTGATCGTTGCTCATTTCCTAAATGCTTTGAAATCAACTAGATTCCCATTTTCCATACTTGGAAGAGTACTTCCATTTGTTGCGCTATTATTCTGTTTGGTTTCTATGTTGGTCTTCCTTGCATTCCCCAATGCCATGAAGAGAGATTGTGAAAATCAAAGCTCCAATAACAATAACAATAGTGGTGATATCAATTTCGGATGTGAAAGTGACATGACCAAGAAATTCATTGGCTCAATATCGGCAGCCGGTACAGAAATCAAATGGGCACCCACTACTTCTTGGGCTGCGATGGTAGTAGCTTGTGGTTTAATATTTGGAGGTTCAATTTTCAATTTTATTTTTGGAAACTATGAAGAATCAACTCCTCATTAAAATCTTTAAAGCTCCAAAAGTTATTGTATAATAAAAAATAAAATGTAATCTTCCCAACAATATTTTATCATTTTTATTTATTAACAAAGATTATTTATTGTGGATTGCAAATAATAATGAATATAATGTTTTTAATCAAATAATTCATTTATTGATCGAGACTCAAAAGTATTACAATAATTATATATTTAAAATATTTATTACTCTGCTATTCAATCTATATTAAGATTGATTAACTTATTATTGTTATATTTTTATTATTACTATTATATGATACTATAAATATACGTTTTAAGGTGAAATTGAAAAGAAAAATGAATAGGAATTGGATAAAATACCAAGATTGTTTTGTGTTTTGTGTGAAAGTTGGTTGGTTGGTTGATCGATTAAATATTGGTTGGTTGGTTTGTTAATTATATATAATTTACGTTGTTGTTGTAGTCGTTTCTTGTTTGTCGTTTTGTTATAATTTGGTTTGTCGGTCGTTCGTATCGATTAATTATCTTGACCAAAATAAGTACCTTTAATAAAATCGTAGTAATAGAATAATATCTCATCCAATGGATCCAATATGCTTTCGCGATCGAGTGTTACTTTCTGGTTGTGACGAATCTCTAGTGATTGATTGGAGGATAGCGCGATGTGTTTGAGTGTGTTGATCGATGACTTGACGAATGAATGTAGTTGACTGGATTCCGCTTGTTTCTCGAGGATTCTGTTCAATACCAAGACGAGTGCACGTGCCTTCTTTGAGAGCTCCTGCAGGTTCTGTGGTTTGTCGTTGAGCTCACTGGTGACGACGTCCTCGATTTCGATGTCGCAATCCACTTCCAAGTCGGGGAATGAATTGACTTGCTTGACGTATCCGATGAGCAGGTTGTGCAGTAGCATGACACGAGTGTTTGCTTCCTCGGGCAAGTCACGCTCCAACATGTTGGCCAACACCAGGGTGTAGTAGTGGATCGATTCGTCGGTTCGCTCCAAGTCAAACAGGCAATCGGCGAGCGCCATCTTGACGATCTCCGATTCCGGGTCGATGTCCATTGCGCTTTTCAAGAGGACGAGAGCTTGCTCCGGTTGTTTCTGACGGAGGAGATAGGTGCCTTTGAGTCCGATTGCATAGGCGCTCTGTGGGTGCTCTTCAATGGCGAAATCGACCCACTTCATCTGTGCGGCTACGTCACCTTGGATCTCGGCGATCGATGCCAAGCAGACTGCAGCACCATAGATTGGATTGTAATCGTTGGATTTCTTTAGTTTTGGACCGTCGGTGTTAATGCTGTGCACCTGCAACAGAGTGTCACGATCCACCGATCTTCCAATATCGATGGCACGCTTATACAACTTTATGGCGTGATCGAACGATTGCTGTTTGAAAGCAACGTGTCCCAACATCAGATATCCATTAATGTTTTCGGGTTCTATCTCCAACAATCTCTTACAATAATCCAATGCTTTATTCAAATTTCCAAGTTTTATGTACATCTCTGAAATTAGTCCAAGTACTGGTGCATACTATTTATAACAATACAAATTCTGAAATCAATATATTGCTGTGGTGATATATATATGTTGTATAGAATAGCAAAACAAAACAACAACTTACTCTTGGTTCAATTGTTAAAACTTGTTCAAATACTTTGATTGCACGATCAAAATCTTTGAGACCGATATAACATTCGGCCATTGAAGACAAGCATGGAATCGACTCTGGAATTAATTCGAGTACTCTCTTGTAGTCGGCAAGTGCCTCTTGGAATCGACCTTTGTGTTCGTAGAGATCGGCACGCAATCCCAATGCTCTCGTTTCATTGCCATCCATCTTGATAACATCTGTCAAGTCAGCAATAGCTTCATCGATTTTATCTGCATTAACAAGATCGGTTGCTCTCACCAAAAGATCCTCTATACCATATGATAATACTACTTGTTGTGTTGTTGCTGATGTTGATGTTGATGTTGATGATACTGTTGTTGCTGTAGATACAACTGTATTACTATTGTTGCTGCTGTTGTTGTTTGTTCTGGGACTTGCAACAGTCTTTGAAGATGATGATGATGATGATGATTTCTTTGATGACTTTTTCTTTTGAGGCATTGGTTGCTGCTGATTCGTTGTTGTTGTTGCTGCTATCATCCTCATCGATGTTGTCGGCCGAAGAGGAGGAAGTAGTAGCGCTATTTGTCTCTGTGTCTTTTCCATGACGAGGGAACAGTTTTGCACCGGTGCTAGTGAGGAACGATCGGTTATTGAGACCTGCACCGAACGACTTGAATTGATTCTGACGATTGGCCGGTGTTATATTGTTGACATTGATCTGAGTATTGAGTGCAATCACCGATTGATGGTACTGCTTGCACACTTGAAATAAATTTGGAACTCTTTTCATTTCTATCTATTTATCTATCTGATATCCAACAAACAACAAACAAACAAACAAATAATTCAAGGAACAACTAGTTGATATTTAAACACCTGTTTTTTTATTTCGAAAAAAAAAAAAATCAAACTAAATAAATCATAGTATCATTGCTGCAAAACTACCCATTTTTAATTGTCAATCGAAATTTTATAAAAAAATGACATAATTTTGTCGATTATAGTTTTTTTTTTAAAAAATTATTCAACCGTTGAGAAAAGTAAAATTTAAAAAAATTAAATAAATAAAATGAAAAGTTATTATAATAAGTGGTTAGTTAGATTGTGTAAGGCAAATTTGATTTAAGTAAATTTTTTAGTACGAATTAGTCAATCAATATTAGATGTGAATCTACCTATTATTAATTATTATTATTTTTGATTTTTTTCTCTAACAGATATTTGCTTTACATTAGTGTAAATTTTATAACCAAATTGATATATATCGGTCCTCCTCTTTTGTATTGCAAAGCTCAAGTTTTTTGTCAACTTTTTTTAATAACATACATATTTTTATTTTTAGTGTACTCACTAATTTCTTTTTTTCTTTATTGGTAAATGATAGTAATTATCTAAAATGGTAATAATTTATTGGTGTTACTGCTTGGCATTGAATACGTTAACCACTACTGCGATCTAATTTACTATTAGATGCTACTCTTTAGCTAACTACATATTGGTACATTATAATAACCTTTTTTGAATAAGATTAAAGTGAGTGGTGGAAGCTTACAAAGTTACATATATATAAGAGGAAATCAAACACAAACAAACAAACAAATAAACAAAAAAAAATCAAAAACAAAGTAATACGTAAATGAATTATTCGTCTCCGTATTGCATTATTACTTCACATCACCACACACCGATACAAAATAAATTGGTTGAAATAATAATAACACCATCACATTCATATTTTGTTCATGAACAGTTGGTTTCCATTACAGTTACACATCAAACTTCAAACAAAATTTAATTAATTCAAATTTATTGGTTTTTTTTTAAAAAAAAAAAAACAAAACCAACAAAAAAAAACAAACAAACAAAAAAACCTTACCACCACCACCAATTAGTTGTCTTTCATCTTATTTTTAAATCAAATTATTTATTTCACTTTATAAAATTTTAATGTTGTTGTTGATATATTATATTATAATTTAATGTATTTTTATTTTATTGTAAATTATAATATAAAATATAGAGAGACTATCATAATTATATAAAGACAAAAAGATATTATCACTTTTTTTTTATTTTGTATTATTTTTTTTTACTCACAAGCGATGAGTAGTGGTAATAATAGCATAACGGGGAGTGTGACCGATAGCATAAGCCCTGGCAGTGGTCATGGTCGGAAATCGCTACCATATCTATCGTCGGTTTTGTTGCCCAGTACAATGGTTGGGCCAAATTCTTCAAATAAACAACAACAACAGCAACAGCAACAACAGCAGCAACAACAACAACATAGTTCATCATCCAACTCATCGTCTCCCAGTCAATCTAGATATAGTAATAGTAGTAGCAGTAGTAGTAATAGTAATGGTGGTCATAACGAAGAATGGGAAAGAGATCGAGATCGGGAAAGAGATCGAGATCGTGAACGTGAAAGAGATAGGGATCGAGAAAGAGAAAGAGAAAGAGAAAGAGAATGGGAAAGCAATAGTTATCATAGTAATCTAAGCGCAACAGCAAGTATGAGCACAAACAGCAACTTAAGTAACCATAGTAGCTTTAGCAACAACAGCAATATGAGCAATAGCAGTGGCGGTAGTAGCAAGCTGCCTTCGGTCAATCAAATAATTCACGATCCTTTCTCAAAGAATGAGTATAAGATATCACACAATTCACCTTTGATACCATCAAGAATGATGCAGCAACAACAGCAGTTACAACAGCAGCAACAGCAACATCAACATCAACCACTATCACCAACACAACAACAAAATGTAAATAATAATAATACTTCACAAGGAGTGAATAGATTAACTCCAAATACAAATTCATCAAGTTTCAACGGAAAAGATAGAGATAGAGATAGAGAAAGAGAAAGAGAACAGAGCAGCAGTAAAGAAAGAGATAGAGATAATTGGGAAAGAGAAAAAGACTATGGATTTAATATTATTACAAGTGGCAATGGTGGACATGTAAATCATATGATTACAAAGCCCGCTGCATCATCGTTGTTAGACAACGAAGCTTTGATGAGATCAACAAAGTTACATCATCAAAACGTTATTGAGTTTCATCAACAACAACAACAACAACAACTTAATCATCAACAACATTTGCAACAACAATTATTACAGCAACAACAACAGCAACAACACGACCATAAAAAACAACAACAACAATTAGGTGGAGGTATGTAATTCAATTTAATTTTTTTTCTTTTAATTTGTGTGAGTGTGATGTGTGAGGGTGTTATTTTTTTTGATTTTTTTCTATTCCAAACATCTGTCGACATGTTTATTGCCAAAAATATATTATGTATACATAATATATTTTACTTTGTTTAATTTTTTTCATTTTCATTCTTCCAGATTTTGTTTTATTTTGAAATTTAATTTAAACAAACAACATCATAAATATTTATCACTTTTTGTTTTACTTTTTTAATTGATTAATTTTATTAATAATATTCTATTTTATTTTAAATATTGAAAAAATAATAAAGGTATGCCATCAATTGATAATAAGAAAAGAAAACATTTTACTACAGATGTCTCAGAGATAAATATGTATCACTCCAATGATTCCTCACCATACAACAACAATAATAATAATCACAATGGAAATGAGGATACCGAAGATGATATGAAGATAATTGTACATTCAAATAAGCAACAGCAACAACCAATCACAGAATCATCATCTGATGATATAGATAGCACCGATGATTTTGCTCGAATTGAACTACAGCAAAATACCAATATAGCAAATGGTTTAGTGATCTTCCAAGATGCGCTCGAACCCGAGGATCTACTCGATATTTACAATAGATTTAAGACTCCACAGTCCAACAGAAACAAGTTTAACAACATCAATAGTGCACCCAGCAATCCCAACATTTCAAACACCAATGCCAACATAACACCCAACAGAGCACCAAATTATGGAAATGTAGTGGGTAATATTACAACTGGAACAAATATATCGACCAACAAGTATTATTATAATTAGTTGTATAATTTGACCAAACTAACTACATCGATTGACCTCGATCAGGCTGATCACAAACTCATTGCCAACTGTTATTTGACGCCGAACCTTACTATATCATTCCATCACTCTTTCTTTCCTCCATTCACATGAAAGAATCATTTGTCAAATTATGATAAACCACAAATTAATTAATACTTTAATTAAATAATTCATTGTTTAGCAGTTGTCTTGTTAACAATATATTAAATGAAAACAAATATTTGTTTTTAATTGTGTACAATTTTTTTTTTTTTTTGATTAATTTTTAATTTAAACAAATATTGAAAATGTCTTGATTTTAAGGAATGATCCAAAAGAATATTCTTCTGAATTTATTTAAATGATAATGATTGGTTCAAATCAATTTATTCGTTACATATAGAATGAATAAACTTATCCAGACTTTAGGAAAGTTATAACTATCAAACTTTCCCAATAAACATATGTCCAATCAAACCTTGGTTGTAAATTTTTTAAAAATTACAAAGATTTTTATTTTTGTTGCAGTTATTTTTTTAAAGTATTAATAATCTGATTAATATAATAAGTAAAATTACTTTAACTACTTTTCATAATGATCTGATAATAAATCTAACTACAAACTGAAAAAGTCTTTAGAATTTTTAAAAAAGGTAAAGTATTACGATCAAGATTCTATGGAAATATACTTATTAGGAGTAGTTGTAATATAATTTAATTATATGAATAGAAAATAATTTATATGATATTTAAAAAATTATAGATCTTATATTAGATTTAAAAAAAAACTTTTTAATTTATTTGTTTTTTTTTAGATATTTTTTAAAAAATTGAATGGATAAAATAATGGATTGATAAATATATAATGAGATGTGCTGTGAGTGTGTATTTATAAATAAATTCAAATTCATTACCCCACATATATATATATAAGCACAATCTTAAAAAAATCAATGTTTTTCAAGTATAATCATTTTTTTTGAAAACATCACCATGTATTCCATTAAAAGGTGGGTTGAATTGAAATGAGAAGAGTTGAGAATGTCTGTGTATAAGTGAATGTGTAGTGTTTTTATTTATGAATTCAACTGACCACCCTCCTCTATTATTAATATTATCATGTTCATATGAATTCAGAGTTTTGAGCAGCACTGATGTTTCTGTTGTTGACTGGAGTGAATAGTTATAGTAGTATTAATAGTTATATATAAACCAAATCATCTCTAGTCATATAATAATACTATCATAAAAAAACAATTATTTTTTTAAAAAATACTCTTACCTATTTAAATATAGAATGAATTTTCAAATTTTCAAATAGTCACAAGAGGTAGGAGTTGGAGAATGAGTGAGTGAGGAAGTGAAAAACAAAGATTCTTTTTTTCTTTTGTGGTTTGTTTTTCAAGTCAATTGAATTGTAGTGAGAGTGGTAGTGGGTAGAATTAAGTTGATTGATTTAATCAGTGCTATATCATACCATTTCATACATGTATGATTCAATTTTGAAATTTTATAAGTTACAAAAGTACTGTTTTTTTAAAAAATTATTATAACTTATAAATTGGTAATACTAACTATACTATACTATATAGATATAAATATTAAATATTTATAAAATTGATTGTTGATATTAAATTCAGTTGAAAACAATTTAATATTTTTAATTATCTATTTTGGATAAATAAACAAATCAAAAAATAAAAAACTTTAACAACATAGAACAAACCAGTACAATATCAGTTAATAATAGGTTGGATTGGACCAATCCTTTGTGAATTGAACTTACTCGTTTGAATATCTTTTATACCAAAAAGATATTAATAAATATATTTAAAGACGAAACCTCAACTTAAATAAATTCAATTCATTTCATATTCATTCTATTTATTCGATTAAGTTTTTATTTCCTTTACATTTATAAATTTATTATAAATAATTTATTCCAAAAAAATAAATAATAATTAACTAAACTTTCTTTTGAAAGGAATAATAAAATAGTACCAGTATTGGAATTAATAAATTAATAAAGATATGAAGGAATCAACTCATAAAGTATTGAAGAGAAAACAAAAATTTAGGTTCAAAGAGATCAAAGAAGCTTTATATAATCATGAGTACTCGACCTATTTGATCAGTGTCAACGAACGATGCTGTCTGTGTGGTGAAAACAGTAACAACCACGATACCTACTACCTCTTGAAATGCCACATACTTTGCAATCGATGCTTTATGGCAAAACAAAGAGATATCCGTAAGAAAGAAGTTCAAGAAAGAATTCAATACAACGCACGTGAACGTATCCGTCAAATGAATGCTAGACTCTTTTTTCAACGTTACCCTCAATTTAATACTATTCATCAATAGTTATTAAAGAGTCTATTAATCAATCAACCAGTCAGTCGTTTTTTTTTCCAAATCAACACAATACAATCTAATTTGTTAAACAAACATTTTTGTCCTTTTCGAAAAGAACATTAATCTAATCTGTAAATAATATAATAATAATACAATAATATAATATTACAAATTTTCACATAAATTGTTTTTAATCAATAAAAATATTAATATTTTTTTAAAAAAAAAAAAAGTAAATTGTTTTGAGATCACTCGATTGTGATTTAAATTAATTAATAATATTGATGTTCAAAAAAACAATTTAATTAAATTTAAAATTATTTTTTATTAATATATATGTTTAAAAGAACACAGTTTTTACAAAGAGTAGTAGCACAAAATTTTAATAAATCTTACAGTTTATTTAATAATCATAAAATGACATTAAATTATCCAAAGATCAGACGTGATGATAGTGTTTCAGACACATTCAAAAGAACAAATGGTTCTGAACAAATTGTAAAGGATCCATATCGTTGGTTAGAAGATCAAAACTCTGAAGAAACAAAGGTTAGTAGTAACAAGTACAACTACAAAATAATATAATATCTATATAATATTAATTAACACACAAATGATTCGCGCCATATAGAAATTTGTAAAAGAACAGAATCAAGTAACAAGATCATACATTGGCTCTGGTGAGGACAATATATCGGTGGAGTTAGAGAAGGAATTGCTGGAGAAGATCAACTATCCAAAGACTAGTTTCTATCGTAGAAGAGGCGATCGTTTATTCTTTGATAGAAATCCAGGACTCTTGAATCAAGCGATCATCTACATGGCAGATGCCAACCAGCCCGACAAAGAGTATGTACTGCTCGATCCAAATCAATTCTCACCGGATGGAACTTGGTCGTTGAGCACTATGACCATCTCTGACTCTGGTCGTCTTCTTGCCTATGGTTACAGCAAGTCCGGATCGGATTGGGTGACATTGAAAATCGTGCGTATTCCAGAGAAAATCGACGATCCCGTAGTGATCCTTGAAGACCAGCTGGAGTGGATCAAATTCTCTTCGCCAGTGTTCAACAAAGATGAATCGGGATTCATCTACAGTCGATTCCCTCAGCCTGCAGATGACACTCACGATAAGGGTACTGAGACCGACCAGAACATCAACAACAAATGCTACTTCCACAAGATTGGCGATCCCCAAGAGAAAGACCTTTTGGTGTACTCTGACGAAGCGAATCCACAGTATATGTTTGGCTGTGAGTTCACCGATGACTTTGAAACACTGATGGTTTGCATTAGCAAAGATTGCAATCCCGAGATCAACATGACACTCATCACCAACTTTGACGAGGTGATCAACGGCAAAGAACAGCATTTCAAAAAAGTCAAATTGATCACTGATTTCTCAGCAAGCTACAGCTATATCACTAGCGTTGGCGATCGTTTCTGGTTCCACACCAATTTGCACTCACCAAACAACCAAATTATTTCGATACAGGTGCCAAAGAGTGAAGGTGTAGCACTCGATGTAAAGACTATCATTCCTGAGCGTGACTATCTTTGTCAGTATGCCGGAAGTGCATTGAATAAGATCTATGTTAGCTATCTCAAAGATGTCCAGGAATCGATTCACGTTTTCGATATGGAAGGTAAATTCCTACATCAAATCGAACTCCCAGGTCCCGGTTCACTCGCCGGCTTCGGACCATCCAAACTTCATAACCACATCTATTTTGTTTTCCATTCTTTCATCTACCCAGATACCATCTTCTACGTCGATGCCAACCAAGATAAAGCTGTATTATTTAAGGAACCACAAATCAGTATGTAATTACATTAATCTTTACATTCGAAATGATATTAAACTAATATATTTTTCAAAAAGAAAATTTCAATAGCGCAGATTATGTTTGTAAACAAGAATTCTTCAATTCAAAAGATGGAACTAGAATACCAATGTTTATCGTTCACCGTAAGGATTTGGTGTTGAATGGCGATGCTCCAACTTTCCTGACTGCCTATGGTGGATTCGAATATTCCTATGAACCATACTTCTCGCCAAGCTTCATTTTCTTTGTCGATAAATTCAAGGGTGTGTTTGTGGTGGCCAACATCAGAGGTGGTGGTGAATACGGTAAGAAATGGCACGAAGGTGGATCGCTACTCAATAAACAAAACTGTTTCGACGACTTTGCTGCAGCCGCTCAATTCCTGTTCGACAAGAACTACACCAAGACCTCGAAACTAACGGTCAACGGTGGTTCGAATGGTGGTCTGCTCGTTGGTGCCTCGGTAAACCAACGTCCGGATCTCTTTGGTTGCTGTATTGCCGATGTCGGTGTTATGGACATGCTTCGTTTCCACAAGTTCACCATTGGCAGTCACTGGTGTAGCGACTACGGTTGCAGTGAGGATCCAAAGTATTTCGATACACTCTATGGCTACTCGCCGCTGCATAACGTCGCCGGCGACAAACCTTATCCAGCCACTCTCTTGCTAACGGGTGATCATGACGATCGTGTCATTCCAGCACACTCTTACAAATACATCTCTGAACTTCAACATCAACGTGGTGGCAAACCAGACCAATCCAAACCACTGTTGATCTTGATCGATGAGAAAGCTGGACACGGTGCTGGCAAACCACTTACTAAACGTGTCAAAGAGTTCGTTACCAAACTCAACTTTATTGCTAAATCAACTAATTCCAATCCAATTCTTTAAGAGCAATCAACCAACTGACACATTATAATATGAATTACATTTTAAATGTTACACTTTTAAAATTGTAGAAAATAAACCTACTCACTTTTTTTTTTTAATTTTAAATTAACTAATCTATGAGTATTATTATAATCATTATTATTGTTATTATTATTGTTGTCGTTGTTGTTCATCTTTTATACACTTTAGTTGAATATTTGTTTGATCAACAACCAAATTATAATTTTTATTATACCAATCAACGTTGCCAAATACAATACAAGAGTTTTCTATATCTGAAGATGATAAAGAAGAGATAAAAGTTGGTCTGGAAAAGCTATTTAAAAGTGATATTCTTCATCACATCAAAAATTGACATTATATGCAACGAAACTTCCACAAACTCGAATGCCCAACAATGTTGAGCTCGATCTACAGACTGGAGGTGATTGTGCTATCTGGTTACGAAGAGTTGACAAACATCATTTTCTCTTCTTCAGAGAAGAACCAAACTTCTATCAGCTATCATCGACGAATCACAAATTCCTAAAATCCTTTCATTTTACAAATCAAAACTCTTGGCTTACCCTCTATTCACCTCCATAACTGTATACAAACATTAATGTAGATAAACCAACAAACTATTATCAATAAACATAAACTTTTATTACTTTTGTTTGATTCCATTGAAAAAGAGAAAAATTAAAAAATTTGGATCAATGAATAGAATTAATCACTTTAATTCTATGTATTCTTTTATTCATAAAAGATCTAGATTTATTAACACTCATCCTCATGATACTAATAGTTCTAATAAATCACATTGAAATAAATTGTTTTTTTCAAAAATTGGCGCAAACTTTTTAACATTCAGTCTTTAAACCTTATAAAAGATGAACAAGAATAATGACTATCATAACTCTCATAGATTAGTTAATTTATCACACTTGCTCTTATCAAAGATTATTAATTATTTAGATGACAATGTAGATAGAATCTGTTTCACTTTGGTGTGCAAAAGATGGTTCAATGAAAAACATGGTTACATATCTTTTAGAAATGATCATATTCATAGAATAATCAGTGATAAAGATAAGAATAAAATATTTTTAAACTCATTTAAATCAATTTACATCGATTCAATCAACAGAAAGAATGATCTCGAACTTGTAGTTGGTAATGATCAATCACCTCATAATTATCATATGACCTCAGGTAAGATAAATATATATCTCAAAAAAAATAGTAAAACTAAATAAAAATGATGATCACTAATCATATTCAATCAAAATCAATCATTCTTAGAAAAACTTTTAGAAATGAACGAGATTCCTTCAAATGTTTGTTCAATTTCATTTTCATTTCGCTCTGATTATCCCTATTTGGAAGAACTATATCGATTGATATCTCAATCCAATGTTACTATTCTATCAGGGTGTCAAACATTAAGATATAGATTCCCAGAGAATCTTATATCTCTGTCACTCAAAGGCGAGTTTGATGAACTATTACCAGGATATCTTCCACCACATTTGAAATGTCTGAACCTTCAGAAAACAATAATCAACAAACCAATCAAAGTGGGTGTACTTCCAAACACATTGGAGAAACTTTCTTTTCCTCATTCATATCAACATCCACTTGAACCAGGTGTATTGCCATTATCTTTAAAATCACTGGAATATTTTGGCAATCGAATTCTAGAAGTTGGATCATTACCACCAAATCTCGAAGAATTCGAATACTATGGTAGCAATGATCATCAAATCCTTGATGGTACTTTACCATTGACACTTCGCAAATTGACAGGATCGTTATCATGGATTCCACAAATCAAGTTGCTTTCCAATCTTCAATCTTTAAAATTTTGTAGTGGAATGTTTGACAATCAAATACTTTATTTACATTATCTTCCATCTTCTCTCACCGATTTGGTGGTAACATTAGGAGTATTAAGATCAACGATGCCACCAACAATCAAACGACTCGACATTGTCAATGCATTGTATGATATCGATGAGATATTCAAGGATCGATCACAATATCAATTCGATTATCTGCGAATCAATGCATACAAAAGATATGAATTACTCGATCATTTGAAAATCAAAGAATTGGAACTTGATGTGAGATATGGACTGTCGAATGGAACAGATTCATACAGAGAAGTTCCCAATGGTATTGAAACACTTCGATTTGGATGTGGAGCAATTAAAATCATCCATGAAGTTCCGGCATCAGTTCAAACATTACATTTGGATTCAATTGAATGTCTACCAATCGATCACAGTGTTATCCTGCCAAATACAATACAAGAGTTGGCTATTTACGAAGATGAAATCGATGAATACAATGAAGATGGTGAAGAGATAGATGTTGTTCTGGAAAAGCAATTAAACAGTGATATTCTTCCTTCATCACTTCAAAAGTTGACTTTATATGCACTGAGACTTCCCCAACCTCGAATACCCAACAATGTTGTATTCGATCTACAATCGGGAGGTTATGGCGGTACTGCTTGGCTACGAAGACTTGACGAACATCACTATCTCTTCTTCAGTGAAGAACCAAACTTTGTATCAGCGATCGTTCATGAATCTCAGATTCCTAAACTCTTTGCTTTTTACGAATCAAATCTCTTGGATTACACTCCTCGTTGGAGTTAATTAAAATCAAAACATAATAAATAAATAAATATTTTAATTAACTTAAAGATAACTTATCTAAATTAAACATTAATTTATTCCATTAAAGAAATGACTCCATTATGATATAATCATATCCATTTTTGTTCCATGAAGAACCAGTAGTTTTGAATCCAAAGTTGTTGTAAAAAGGTGATTTGGCAGACCTAGCATTACACCATAGTCTTTTACAACCCATCTGCTTCGCTTGTTCCACTGTAAAAAACATCAATTTAGAGCCATAACCTTTTCTTTGGTATTGCTCTAGTGTTGCAAACTATAGTTATAATAATATTAGGAACATATTAATATATTTTTTAATTATTATTAGAAAACTATAATAACAACTAAATTTATTTACTTTTCTAAATTGAACATCACCATCTTTTAAATTTGTTAAAACTAAAGAAATGACGGAAATCAATATCTTATTATCACCGGATTTAAGGTGTAGACCAAAGTGTATCGAATCTGGATCGGTATCCATCTTTATGAAATCGAATGGCATTTCTGGATACATTACAATGTGTCTTATATTCCATGCTCTGTTGTTTGATGTATCAAATCAAAATGAATATTACCAAACTTATAAGCTATCAATTCACTAGTCTATAGATGCTTACTGATCCTCATTTATTCTTTCGATTACTATTTCCTCATTACTACTACTTGTGGTACTCAGTTGATCGATTGTGGATTCTACCACTTTCTCTTGTTCAAATGATGTTGTTGATATCATGATATGATAATTGACACTAAATATTACTTATTTTACTATTTTTACAAATATTATACTATTAAAAGGTTTGTTGTTATAAGATATAATAAATAAATAAATATATATATATATCTAAATGTTTGTATTGAATGACAATTTAAAGTTTTTTCTAAAAAAAAAATAAAAATAAAAATAAAAAGAATTGATTATAAGGTGGTGTGGTTATAAGATAGATTGTTTGACGTCATACTTATATACATATTTATGATTTCAATATCATATCATATTTAATAATAATGTTTATTTGTATTTCTACCTGTTAAATCGTCAGTCTTATTCTTTACCCAACCAATCATTGCTTTAAGACTGCTTGTTGTATTCTTCTTTCTAGAGTATTCGTTGTCTACACCAATAATACGATCTATTCAAATATGATAATAATCATTTATTAGTATTTTATATTCACAATGTTATGCTCTTGATTGCTATTTAATTGATTGTATACTTACTTCCTGATGAGAATGGTAGAGCACTGTCGTTTGCTGATAATGATACAAAGAAAATGAATGGAACTAACCATACGAAAAATACAAATACTGAGATGATCTCTGAGAAGGGGAACCAATTCGATCTGAAAAACATAAACCACCAACAATGACTAACAATCATTGTAACTTTGTTTTGTTTTTAAAGAAAAAAAAGAAGAACACGTTAATAAACAAATGAACCAATGAATGATAAAGACAATGATATGTATTATTTATAAGTACATACTTATACTAATGATAAACTTAACACTTGTTAGAGTTACAAATGGAAACTCTGAGAGTAAGGTAAAGTATGAACCATGACTGATCAACGATAGCAATATACAGATGAAATCGACATTTTCAAATATTCCAAACAATATTAACATGCTCATAATAGACTATATAATTTTATTTTATTTTTAGATAGAATAATATTAGAATACCAAAGATTTGATTTTATATCATGATATACATACAATTATAGTATATCTAATGATTCTCTTTGCGATTGAAGCATGTTCTTCCACCAACTCTGCAAAATAATATAATCCACATGCTAAACATATTATACCAAACAAAAAGCCTAATATATAAAGCATAAACACTAATAGTGATAAAAACATGTTTCTTTTTAACTATCTATATATACTATTGATAGTATTATATATCTATACTATCAATCTAAATCTTTAATCTTGGTTTAGTTTTTCTCTTTTTTTTTTGTATTTTTTATTTTTTTTTGAAAAAAAAAAACAAATATAAATAAAATAATAAATTATTATAATAATATGTATATATTTATGTTTTATTGTTTATTATATATTGATTGATTGATAAGTCAGTAGATGTAAATTAATGATGATTCATTATACTTTGGCTTTAAAAAAAGATCTGTCTCAGGCACTTCATGAAGTTCAATGAAAAAAGTGAAAAACTTGAAACTCACACACCCACGAGATATCTTCTCATAGTAAGCATATCTGTTTGTATCCTTTATCTCTATCTATATTTGATTTGCTGATAATCGATAGAATAACAGTAATCCATACATATATCGATAAGTCATGTCTCAGATGATTGTAGGTTCATCAAATTTATACATCACCACTCTATCTCATAGATTTGATTTTTTTAATATGGGCGTTCATAGTAATTTTGATAATAAGCAAAACACAAACATTAAATAATAATAGAATAGACAACAACAACACAGAAGCAATAGAACAACAATAATAGAATAATAATAGTAGAAAAGTTAATAATACTAGTTAGTTATATCAAGAAATATTCAATTAAATAATTTAGAAATTAAAGATTAAACAAAAACATCAACAACAACAACAACAACAGCACAGAAATACAATTTGGATAAATGTTAATGGAATGATAAACGAATGATTAAGATGATATGAAACAAAGTTTAATAGATTAGATTAGATTCAATTTGATTCGATATTCTTTAGAGAACAAATAAACATATTAGAATCAAAAATGTGAACATACTTATAATAACGACAATAATAATAATACGATAATAACGATAATAATAGTATTCATAGATAATAGATATAGAATTGATAATGAAGAGTTTATAGATAAACAGATTAATAAGAATCATATTGTTTGACAGATAAGAGTGGTGATGACTAAACAAAAACAACAAAACATTATCAATAAGTTTAAAATATTCAAAATAATATATATATTAATATAAATCATTATGTGTTGAATTGTTATTATTATTATTATTATAGAAACCACCTATTATCCTCTTGAAAGAGGGAACAGATACATCACAAGGTGTACCACAATTGATTAGTAATATAAATGCATGTTGTGCGATCGTAGATACAGTCAGAACAACATTAGGACCACGTGGTATGGACAAGTTGGTTTATCAATCAGAGAAGAATGTCACCATCTCTAATGACGGTGCAACAGTGATGAAGTTGTTGGATATCGTTCATCCAGCCGCCAGAACACTGGTCGACATTGCAAAGTCACAGGACAGCGAAGTCGGTGACGGAACTACCTCTGTCGTCGTCATGGCTGGCGAGTTCCTCAAGGCGGCCAAGCCATTCATCGAAGAGGGAATTCACCCACAGATCATCATCAGAGCATATAGATCGGCATGCGAACTCGCCAAACAAAAGATTCGTGAGCTCTCTGTCGACATCAAGTCGGAGGACATGCGTGAGTTCCTCGAGAAGTGCGCATCGACCGCAATGAACTCCAAGCTCATCTCTTCACACAAGGACTTCTTCTCAAAGATGGTTGTCGACGCCGTTCAACTGCTCGACGACTCTATCGATTTGGACATGATTGGAATCAAGAAGGAGTCTGGTGGTGGTATGGAAGATACCATCTTTGTCGCCGGTGCCGCCTTCAAGCGTACCTTTTTCTATGCCGGTTTCGAGCAACAACCAAAGCACATTGAGAATCCAAAGATTCTTTGTTTGAACAACGAGCTTGAGCTCAAGGCAGAGAAGGACAACGCCGAGATCCGTATCTCTGATCCAACTAAATATCAGGCGTTGGTCAACGCCGAGTGGAAGTTGTTCTACGACAAGCTCGAGTCGATCCACGCTTCCGGTGCCAATGTCATCTTGTCGCGTCTCGCCATCGGTGATTTGGCCACTCAGTATTTCGCCGACAAGAAGATGTTCTGCGCTGGACGTGTCCCAGAGGACGACATCAAGCGTGTCTGTCGTGCCACCGGTGCTGTCATCCAAACCACCGTTTCCAATATCATTCCAACTGTAATCGGAAGTTGCGATTTGTTCGAGGAGCGTCAAGTCGGTGGAAATCGTTACAATATGTTTACAGGCTGCAAGAAGACACAGACCGCCACTATCATTCTCAGAGGTGGAGGAGAGCAATTCATCGATGAAGCCGAGCGTTCGTTGCACGATTCCATTATGATTGTGCGTCGTGCTCGTAAGCATCGTTCTGTCGTGGCCGGTGGTGGTGCCACCGAGATGGAACTCAGCAAATACCTCAGAGATCACGCTCTCACCATCGAGGGTAAGCGTCAATTGTTGATTACAGCCTACGCCAAGGCAATGGAGGTGATTCCACGTCAGATCTCTGACAATGCCGGTTTCGACTCGACCGACATTCTCAACCAACTTCGTCAGAAACACTCTCAGGGTGAAAAGTGGTACGGTGTCGACATTGTAAATGAAGGAATCTGTGACACCTACAAATCCGCAGTCTGGGAGCCAACCATTGTTAAATTGAATTCGATCACCGCCGCCACTGAAGCCGCCTGTTTGATTCTCTCTGTAGATGAAACCGTTTCCAACAACCAAAGTGAACAAGCTCAAGCCGGTCCAAATATAGATCCAAGAACCCGTGCTGCTCTCGGTCGTGGTGGTGGAGTCAGTGCCATGAGAGGTAGAAGATAAATTTATTTAAAGAACAAAACCAAAAAAAAACAAAACAAAACCCAAAAATAGCAAAATAAAACAATCCAGCCCATATAAAACCAAACAAACTAACCTGATATATCCCCACTGAAAAAAATAATCAAAAGACTTTATTTTAGATCTTTTAAATGATAAAATAACTGTAAAGTAAATAAATAATACAAAAGATTTTAAATATATTTGATTTCAATACCCTTTTATTTTTTATCCAAAAACCTTTCCAGCCAGCGTTTTCAAATTTGATACTTCCACTTCAATAATTATGAAATGTTTCTTTTCTACGATTGAATAAAAATCATAATTTATAATAATAGTATTTACAAGATTTTATTTATTACTTTTGTTTTTATATATCTTCAATGATTTACAAGTTAAATAATAGTGAAAGTGTGAGGTTTGTTTGTTTGTTGATGATGATTTTGTTTGTCGTAGTTGATTTATGTCGTTACATGATAATATGGAATGTGATAAGATTAACCCATATGCATTTCATTTGTATCTTGTTGTGCTACTATGTAGAATTCAACTAGATGAGGAAACTTTTTCTCTTCGGTCATTATGAAATGTTGGAAATTCAGTAGACCTGCTGCATTCATTGTGATTCTTGTTTTATTGGTGACTGCCAATGCTTTGATGGCAGGCTGTATCAAAGCCAAAGGGAAGCTATAGGTTATAGTCGGTTTGTTACACTCTTTGTATTCAAACAGCTCCTCACCATACTCCACCTGAAACGATCCTGCCGATCCATTGGTTGTCAATCTAAACATCGGTGGATTCGGTGCCTGTTGTGTTGGAACTGGATTTGAAATCCAAATATTAACAGATTGTGATGAATAATCGATTTCTCCAAATGCTTCCAATAAGTTTTCAGCCTATAACAAAAAAAATAATCATTAATGAATGTGTCTTACGTGAAGATCTTCTTACGTTATTTACTACTACTACTTACTGAAACTAATAAACGATTGAAAGGTGCACAGTCAATGTCGAACTCAAGTGGTGCATCACAATTCATGGTTTTAAGTGAGCAACTGGTTTGTGTTGCGTTCTCCTCGAGGAGTACGGTGAATGGTTGGCCTGAACGTTGGATGATGGTGATCGCTGTGTAGGCAGAGCTGTTGTTCCCACTGAATATATTGAGACAATCCATGAGAATCGACAAATTGATCTTAAAGATGATCGATTCTTCATTGGGTGGTGGGTTAAACATATAGGTTGCAAAAAGACTCGCTTTCAACTGTGCGGTAGCTTGAAATTGTTTACCACACTCCACCGTAAATGTTATACCCGAATGTGATAGTGTTACAATTGCTAATTGCTGTAATTCGAACAACAACAAATTTTGATTAGTTTGTTTGTTAATAATAGACTCTTTCTTTTTTTAATAATCAATCTTATCTATATATTATTATGACATACTTGAGTATCTTTCTTTTTAAATTCATCACTCTTATTCTTTAGTAATATAGTTTGTAAAACCGATGCAATCACTCTTGCATTATCGTATTTCGCTACCAAGTTTGCATCTTCCACCTGTGAAGTTGTGCCTGTACCACTATAGTTTGTTGATGACATATTTACACCAGATGTAGCTGAATGATCTGACATTTTAACTATTATATATTAGTTATTGATAAAATAAATAAAAATAAAACTAAAATCATTCCCAAATTAAAAATTTATAACAGATCATTTTTTGAATTCAAAAATTTTCTAAGAAAAAAAAAAATATTTATTTCTCATTAAATATATATTTTTTTTTTTTGGGAAATGTTTATAACAATAATAAACAAGTAAATGCTTTGAAAAAGAGAATATGTATTATTTAATTTATTAAAAATTCTTTTTACTTATTACTTTATTTTTTTTTTTGTTTTTCATTGAAATTATTAAAACAAACATTTTTTTTTAATGATTACTATTAAATTTTTGTGTTTTTTGTAATAAATTCGAATATCAATTAGTTGTAGATGATCTAGTAGATCAAATTAAATGGAAAACAGATCTATTACTAGTAAAGTAAGATCTAATAATAATTATAATAATAATACAGGAAATATATTTTTAGTTATTAGTTTGTTTCTACTTTTAAATGTGTGGTCTGTAGATGCAGGTGCACACAATGCGCCGGTGCTTCGATTCTCAAAGAATCTGATGACTCTGCCAAATGCAGAGCGATTACAACTCGGTTGTGTTGGTGGCACTGCAAAATCAACCAATGAAGAGCCAAACTATATATTCTGTGTATCTACCGAAGATGATATATTCAGTCCTAAAGGTAATCCTATGTACACATAAATCTAAATCTAAATCTAAATCTAAGCTATAATAGCTAACACTATTTTATTTGTAGCCAAGTACAAATGTCAAAATCCTAACCCATCAGGTTCATCTACTACATCACACTTTAATGTTGTTTGTAAAAGAGATAAGTATGTTCTTTGCTATAAAATAGCACTGGAATTAATGAACTAATCTTACCTCTAACCTTATTACCTATAGAAACGATTTTAAAGAATATACATTTGGAGATGAGTATGTTATCTCCTCTATTTTGTTTAACAACTAATTACTAACAACATAAAAAAACTATTAATCATTTAAATAGTCATCCTTGTTATCTTGAATATCATGTTGATTGGATTCAATGGAATCAAAGTATGTATACTATATTATAAAATGATATTAGATAGTTTGATGATTAAAGGTTTACGTTAACATATTCACTAAACATTTCACTATATATATATATATAGTTAGGGTTATAGGTTGGGGAATATTAGGAATGATTTTCTTTTATTTATTCTTAAAGAGAGCCAATAATTCTTTCTACCAATCGTAATGTATCATAAAATCATTTTATAATTAATTATCGTAACTAATATTTTCATCTATATAATATTGAATGATATGAATATTAAATTATAGCATGAACAATCCAATGTCATTCCCAAGAGAACCAACCAATCCAAAAGTATTTCTCATCTGTGGAGTAGTGATATCTCTAACTATTTTAGTATCGACCATTGTATTCATACTGCTTTGTCTTTTTATGTTTTCCGCGCAATTGTAAATTTAAATAAAACTGATTCGACTAATTATCTAACATTTATAAATATAAACTTTAAATCAAACATGTTGCCGATGTTGTTGTTTTGATATAATTTAAAGATAAAAAAATGCATATTGCTCTGGGAGAAAGACAAAGAGATAATTAATCGTAATAATTGATCAAATTTAAAGATTTGCTTTGAAAATTTATTATAATACTCTATATTTATTTCGCATCAGTATGAATATATATACAATATGATGCAAATGATTCTTGTCGGAGAAAATCCTCAACTGTTTGCCAATTCTCATCACTGGATTTACTTGATTTGAAGATGTGGATAATATTTGTATTTTGAATTTTCGAGAGTGAATCTACGAATCCCTTTCGAAAAGATTCCACCGAAAATTTGTTATCTTTATCTAAGCACACAATCGAGACAATCGAATGTTTTTTATCAAAGATATCTTTTTCCGTAATAAAATGGTTTCCAAGTTGTAACGATTCACCTTTTACAGAATCTTCATACATCGTTAGAATGCTGAGAAGAGAATAATTGTATGCTACAACATTGCACCGATCTTTGCAATACCATTGTTTACTACAGTCGACATAGTTAATCATTATTATTGGATCTAGACATCGTTGGTCACTCGTTATTTTATATCCCAATCTATGAAATATCTCTTTGTCGACGTTGTTTGTTCTTATGATATTGTTGGTGGTGACCATCTTGAGATATAGCTTTGATTCATAGATTCTCTGTGTATCGTAGATGTCTTCGAGTTGATATGGTTGTGTAGCTGAACTGATATCTTGAACTTCTCCAAATGATTTCACTCGACTGACTCCAACAGTATATCCACTGCTTTGTTTCTCTGATAGAATTAAAGATACAATTTGTAACTCTACTACTGGTAATGGTTGGTTAAATCGAGTAAGATTCGCTTTAACATTTGAATAATCTACTATTTTAGCATTTGTCGCCGGTGCAGATGAAGATTCGCTATTGCCATTAAGATATTTATCTACATTCACACTGCTGGGTGTTGGTATACTGGCTACCGTTAAATATTCTTCATTATCTGGTATGCCTAAAAGAATATTGTTTGTATCCTTATAGTATCCAATCGCTAGTAAATTGATTGTACTGTAATCGTTATATTCAAACCTATCAAAATGAAACATTTAGAAACACAAAGGAAACGAGGTATTAATTCGAAATCGTTAGGACCTATCTCGGTTACAAAGTAGTGTTTATACTTACCAACCCTTTTTCTTTGATTTTGAACTATTATTAATGATTATATTGGATGAAGACCTGATTAGAACGCCTCCAGCACCACTAGAAAACGATTTAACAAAGAATCGTTTTATATCGTCGACGGTGGCACCTTTGTTGTAATCGATTCGCGCTGACTCTACAACCTTGATTCTCTCTTTCGTTTCATTGATGTTGTTCTGCAGAATATTCAGTCTCTCGTAAAGCGGTGTATCTAATAGTGTTTCTTCGCAAAGCTGATAGATATCAAAGAGAAAAACCATCAATTGTAAACCATCTTTACGTTTTTTCACTAGATTCTCCGGTCCCAAAACTCTTGAATCCGAACCTCTTGTATCGACGACAACTACGACACCATCCACTATACAGCTATCGACCAGACAACTTTTGATGTGCGGTGTGATCTCTTCGACGATCCACGCTTTCGTTGGTTTATTTGGTTTTCCATAGCAATTGACTGAATCTTGCTCTTTGTTGAAATCAATTATTATTCTTTCTCCATCATACTTTGATTGCACGGTCATATCGACAAATGTATCCTCGTCCAAATTTCTAATCTCCAGTGGAATAGTTGGGTTTACTGAGAAGAAAAAAACAAACAATGTTAACAAAATATAATAGAAAGTATTCCAATAATATAAATACATACTAATAAGTTTATTTTGTGACATTTTAAACGTATTCCTTAAAGGTAGTGTATTTCTTTAAGTGTACCTTTTAATATTATACAGCATCTTCTACATAAGTTGACAACCATGAATTTTTTCAAAAACCAATTTCTTTATGATTTATTTCTGCAAATAAAAAAAAATCGAAAGGTACACAATAATATCTCTCCTTTATTAAGAAATTTGAAAGAGGTGCACCAGTTTCAATAATATTTCCAGAACTCTTGGATTTGTATTCCTTTTTGTTTAATACAATTATTTAAAGACTAAATTACCTTTATCTTGATATACTTTTATTTTCACCTATCTCAATACAAAATTATTACTATTATAAATTCAAATCACTTCTTTCTTAAGGCACGAAATTTGATTGATGGGAAACTGGTTTAATTGATATTTTTCTAGAGCTCTCTCCAGATTTATATTCACTTTTTGATTAATTCAATAAAAAGATTTCAATATCTAGCAAAGTTGTATAGTTTTATCTCTATCTACTATTTCAATAATACACTTTATTATATTCTGTCACGATGTTGAAAATAATAAGTGATGATGATCATCGATGTATGTCTGATTTTATTTTTTTATTTTTTGTGAATGACACAACGATTTGCGTGAACAATGAATGATCAAAAAAAATAAAATAAAAACGAAACATTTGTAATTCATTTAATTGAAAGAGTTTATTTATTTATATAAAATGGTAATTAATTAAATTGTGAATCATTATTTAAATACTATTTAGAGATTATTTTATTAATTATGATTGTTATTGTTAACTTAACACAAACACACAATAAAACAACAGTCAGCAATCAAATCATTTAAACCATTGTTTGATCGTGTTTTGGTTCAAAGACTCAACAAGTCAGAGTTGAAGACATTGGGAGGTATCTACTTGCCAGAGAAGGTATCAAACAAAGTAAACGAAGGTGTAGTCATCGAAGTCGGAACTGGAAGAAGAACTGCTAGCGGTGGATTTGTACAACCATTTTTGAAGAAGGGTGATCGTATCTTACTCAACGATGTCTTTGGTGAGAAGATCAACGTAGACGGTATCGATTGTGAAGTCATCAACGAAAATGAAATCTTGGGTTTCGTCGAAAAGTAAACTATATATAAAATAATAAATAATAATAAACATTTAGATAAAAGAAAAAGAATAGCAATCTTCTTATTTTAAGAATACAATACCACACAGTTCAGTTTATTATCACTTGATAAAGAGGATAATATCATTCATAAGTTTCAAGAACTTTAGCGTGATTGACTGTTTTTAATCAACGCCAAAACAACATAACTTTAGATTCAGATATACCAAAATAATATGAAATATAAGTAGGTTAATGTATCTGTATCAAACTTTCTGTGAACAAAAGTTGCAAGAGAATCTTGATAACAACCATCTAAAGTTTTTTGAAACAATCGACAATTATTATGTACAGAATTCACTAAATATAAGGTCGACCCTCTTGAACAGTTGTTTGAACAGGAGAAGAGATCTAGTGATCCAAATTACTCTGGTGGTGGTGGTGGTGGTAGTGGAGGTGGAGGTGTTGGTAATGGCGGTGTTGGCGGTGTTAATGGTTCAAACAATGGATAATAATTGGATTCTTCAGGTACTAATTACTATAATTAAAAGTATAATAATATTTAATGTTTTGTTTTTTTTTTTATTGTATTTAATGAAGATTCATCTTTTTCAATTCTTCCAACTCTGGGGTGTTTTCTGGGGTCAAGTTGGCCATGAATTCGACTTGTGTTGACATGGCGGTCTTGAGTTTCTCCTCTTCGGTACGTGTGTCGGTCTCGACGATTCCGTACTCGTCTCCGAGAACCTTCATCTTATCTTTGTACCAACGGAGAACCTTGAAAAAGTCAGAGTGCATCTCCAACATCTTCTTACGCTTGTTGATGGCAGCTGGATCTTCGACCATGTTCTTCTTGACGTAGTCGAGATCGGCTTCCAACTCTGAGATGACGTGTTGTTGACGTGGCAACTCTGTGTTGAACTTGGACATCACTTCGATTTGTGCCTCGATCAAATCCTTCTCGATGTTGTGGTACTGACGGAGACGACCGTCGAGCGATGCGCTGAAAAAGTCTTGTGACTCCTGGAGGTTGTAGGTGATCTCGTCCAAACCGGATTTGTAATAGGTGTATTGCTCACGGGTCAGTTGTTCGGGTGGAACGACGGTGATCTTGAGATCCATCTTGAGGTGATTGACGCAGTAATCGTCGAGACCGGCTTCGAGCCACTTGGTGACGTCGACGATACCGTTGGACCACACGTAGAGATCACGGTACTCTTTGGATTTGGCGGCGAATTTGGTCTTCATTCCGACGAGTTTCTCACGCTCTTCGTTCAACTCGATCTCGTATTCACGACGCTTTGGATGCAATGGGAATTTGGCGAGCGATTCCAATTGCGCTTTGATCATGTCTTCGTCGTCGGTAACCTTTTTCAACTCGGCCTCAAAGAACTCGGCTTGTTGCAACTTGGTAGCGGAACCACCTTCGTAGAACTTGGTCATGATCTTCATGACTCTCTTTAATTTCTTATACTCTTGAACTGTTGGAGTATCATTAATATAATCTATATCATCTGGTACGTTTCCGTGCATCTTTTAATTATTATATATATATTATATTAAACAAAAAAAAAAAAGTAAATAAAATATTATTATTGGTGAAAATGAAATGAAAAGTTCTTCAGATTTTTGAATAATAACAATCGAGGTATTTTGCTAACATGCAATAACCAATAGGGTCGCCCACCTAATTTGGTCGAAATCATAAAAGTTTCGTTTTTTTTTTTAACAATTTTTTAATTTTTTAATTTTTTTTATCCAAAGTTTTTTTGTCGACAATCTATTGAATCTATCGTTTTTTTTGCTATTACTCAAAAAAATTGGAATGTTTAAGTTTGATTTGATTTGATTAGTTATCTCCATAATTATTTCCCTCTATTTATTTATCTATTTCGATAATTGATCAATGATTGATACACAATAACCTTTCAAGTAGATATAGAAAAAACAAAAAAAAAAATATTGAAAAACAAAAAGTAAAATCGTTTTTTTTTTATTTTAATCCAAATTCATTCATTCGTTTTAGTTTGAATTTATTTTATTTTATTTATTTTATTTAGTTCAATTTCATTTCAGATTTAATACAAGTATCAACAAATCTAAGCAAAGATAAAGAGAGAGTGATAATGTCATCAGCAGTATCATCACTGAGAGGATTGAGCCGTCAACTATTAAGAAATGAAAACAGTCATCATCATAGAGCAGTACTGCCTTTAATTAGACAGTATAATCACAATCACAAAATATATACAACCAACCAAAGCATAGCTATCAGATCATACAGTACCAATAATAGCGATATAGAGAAAACATCAAATCCAAGAAAGATTTCTTTTAAAAAGAAATCAGAATCACCAGAATCACCAGAATCATCGAACAACGATTCAAATGAATTATTATTTGAAACAAGTAGAAATAATAATAATAAAAAAAGTAGAAGAAACAATAAAAAAGAAGAAGAAATAATTTTAAATGATAATGAATATATTGAAAATAGTAATAGCAATAATAATAGTAGTAGTAGTAACAATAGTAATAATAATAATTTAATAGAAACAAATAACAATAGAAATAAAATAGTTTTTCAGAAAAAAGATAGTGAAAGTTTTATGGTCGACGCAAGTAGTATTAGAAAAAGCAATGAAGTAACATTGACAGAGGAAGAGAGAGAGGCTGCTAGATTGTTGCCTTCAACCACATCACCACTGTCTGACATTACAAAGAGTGCTGCCTATGACACAATGATGGAGTATCAGAAACAATTCCCAATCCTTGGTAAAGGAAAACAACATCTTTACAGCTTCAACACCAGTCCAGTTCCAGTCAAACAATATTTCACTGCCAACGAACTCAATTTTAAAAATGTCATTCGTTATATCAGTCGTATGGGTATTTCTGGACATCCTCAATTAGTACTTGATTGCGTTGATTATTTAGATGTATGTTCATATTCTTATTAACAATAGCCATATTGTTATTATTGTTTTTTTCTAATCTTACTAATTTTGGAAAAACAAATTTATTTTATTATTTTTTTTTTTAGAAAGAAGACATTGTTATCAATCCATATATTTATTCATTGATTTTGAGAGCATTGGGAATTGCTGGAGATGTAGAGAACAGTTTGAAGATATTCGAGCGATTGATGAGCGAAGGAATCAAGCCAACAGTACATATGTTTGATGGTGTGATCAATGCCTATATGAATGCATCAAAGGTGGACGATGCTCTTCAGATTCTAAAGTCGATGGAGGAGAAATACAGTTTGGTTCCCGATCATGTCAATTACACAACGTTGATACACGGTCTCGTTAGAAACGAAAAGGTCGATATGGCAATAGAGATGTTCTCCGACGCCAGAACCAAAGGAATGGATCCAGACACTGTCACACTCTCTGTAATGATCGATGCATGTGCCAAAGACGACCGTGTAGAGAAAGCATTCAACTATTTCGACGAATTTAGATATCTTAATCTTCCACCCACCGAAGTAACATTTAATTCACTCATAAGTGCATGTTCAAAAAGAGCTGATAATTGTATGTAGAGAAAACAACAACATATCAATAATAGCTTAACTAACTATTTTTTTTTAAACCAGATTATTATTTAAAGGCATTTGAATTGTTCCAAGAGATGACATTATATAATTTCCAACCGGATATCATTACCTATACATCGTTGATGCGTGCAGCTGCATATAGAGGTGAGATTCGTGTCGTGGAGAAACTGTATAAAGATATTCTCGAGAGAAAAGATCTTTTCCCACACAAACCTGACGAGCATGTTTTCTCGTTGATTCTCGGTGCCTATGCCAACAACATCAGAGACGATGTCAATCCCACTAAATTCAGAGCGAACCTCAAGCCAAACTTGGAGCGAGTCGAACAGATTTTCAAGGATGCACAACAGCTGATGGCAGGTCCCATCACTAAATATATAATCGATCAATACCTCAAGGCCTATGCATTCTCCAACAAGATTACTACCACCGAGAAGATATTCAATGAGGTATACGCAGAACACAAAGTCGAACAAGATATCATTTCCTACAGTATCATGCTCAGTCTCTATTGCCACACACGTCGTTTCGAAAAGGCACAGAAACTCTTCCAAGATATGAGAGAAAAAGGAATAAAACCAGATTATAAATTATACAAGTAAGTAAAAATGATTATAGGATATCAATAGAATTAAAGAAACTAATAAATCGATATCATTCGATTATTAATTTTAGGATCTTGTTATTTGGAACAACAAAAGTTGGTTATGCAAATACATGTTTGAAATTGGCAAAGGAAATGGTTGGATTTGGTTTCCCACCGGAATCAAAAGATATGGATAAGATAGTAAAGAGATTTGCCGAGTACCCTGAAATAGTAACTCAACTTCAATCATTGACTGTTTCAAGTAAAGCCGATGATTCTTATAACGCCAAACATCTATTTTATCAATAAAATATATTAAGAAATAGAAAAAGAAAAAGAAATGGAAAAGGAAACAATCGAATTTGAATAAGAAGAAATTGAAAACTTTGTTGTTAATTATTATCTTTAATTAATTACCAAAGTTTCAATATTAATTTATTTGGAGGGGAGGTGTATTGATTTTTCTATTGTTTTAGATGGTATGGGTGGGAGCTGTTATTTCCATATACATCAAATACTTATAGTTTTGGATAACTTTGTCAATTTCTTGAATAAGTTGTTTATGGAGGACAAGTGACTCTTGTGTAGCCATACGAATGGTAGATTCTCTGAGTGTTATGTACTCATTGAGTAATCTTTGATAGAGCATGATTTGGATGTGTGAGTTGGTTCCAATCAATGGATGAATTTCATGGTCACAATGTAAAAGATTGACACACTTGAAACAAATGGAAATCTCCAGGCAATCCATACAGAAAAATAGTATTTCATTGGAATAGCTTTTCTTACAACCATCATAACAAATAGTTTTATTTCTATTAAATCTATCTATTTGTTTATAGAAATTATTATCTATTTTATAAATGATTGTATCTTTTGATTTCATTGTTTTCAATAAGATTATTGATTTTGATCGGATTGGTTTTGATTGAAAGATACATCAATAAAATAAATAAAGAAAATAAATAAAAATAATAATCAACACTCACAATCGACACTTACATTTTTATTAATTCTTTTCTGATTTCGTATCCATAATGACAATAGAGAAAATGAATACAACATAACTTGTGACAAGAATTCTTGTAAATTAACTTTATCAAGATATCCAATCACCTCTCTCTTGTTATAAACTATTCTACTCTTGTTGTGTTTTGACAAGTCGTGTCAACTTTAATCATTGTAAACAAAATGTATGGTAATGAGGATCACAATCCAATTTTAGTAATTTTTTTTATTTCCAACAAGTGGTTATATATTATTTAATATTTTTATTTTATTAGTTACCACATTTAATAAGAATTAAATTATTTTAATTTTTAGTTTTTTTTTTTTTTTGATTTATTGAAGTTACTCATTGAGATGTTGAAAAATAGAAAAAAAAAACAAATAATTTTTTTATTTATGTTAATAAATATGTGTGTTTGTGTGTGATCATAAAGCTACTCCTAAATAAATTGATCAAAATAAATGTGTGTGTGTTTAAATAAAAGTAAAACTCTCCGGAGCTATAAATATGTTTATTTTGACTTTCTTCTTAATATTGAAAATAATGTATTGAGTATTTATGAAGTTTTAAATATATATTAATATTTTTTAAAAAGATATATATATATAAATATATTTATATATATTTGTAAAAAAAAATGAAAAAAAAAAACTCTAATTATTTATTTTTTAATTTAATTTTTATCTATTTATTTTTAAATATAATAAGTTACAATTCAATAGTAGATGCAGCAACAGGAGTTCCACTACGAGGAGTGGTATTGAAAAAACCTGAGGAGATGGATTATGAAAGGGATGAAGTAAAGGTTGTAATGTTCACTGGCAATGGATGGTCAAGTATGGGTAAAGATCTAGAAACACCAAACTACAACGGTGAAACAAAAGTAAAAGATAAATGTCCTGTTAAATGTACATTTCTTGGTATGTTTTAAATTAATCATAAAAATTAACAATTTGTTTCAATTTAATAAAAATAATAACAAACAATTTATATTGATTTTTTAAAAAAAGATGATAAACAATCACATACTTTTGTTGATGTTGTTATATTCGAAGCACAACCATTAGGAAGTTGGGGATATGATTACCTATCGAAACCACCGAAATTCCCTATGAAGGAACCTGGACAAGCATACGCCGCTTTTTCTTTCGAGCATTCGATCTACTTTCCAATTCAAACAGAACCAGAGTATCTCAAATATATAGATATGAATATGACATTGTTTGAAGATGCCAACATACCTATCACCAGTACATGCAGCTGGGGAGTTATGACAAATGGATCGATCGACAACTTCAGAGATGCTCCTGTTAAACCATTCAAAAAGAAACAAAAACACTGTGTCTTTTTCGCTTCAAATTGTTTTGGTGGTGGAGCAATCTACCGTACTGAGTATATTAAAGTAAATATATACCTCTGTTAACAATAAATGAATAGCAACAACAAAATTAACTTGAAAAAAACTAACAATTTATAAAATTGAATAGGATTTACAAAAATATATACCGGTAGATGCATATGGATCATGCTTACACAATAAGGATTTGGAAAAAGAAGATAAGGATGGAAATATCTTTGATAATCTAGGTAAATCAATGAATATCAAATCTAGAATAACCGGTGGATATCTTTTTGGTTTGGCATTTGAGAATAATAATATTACAAACTATGTAACTGAGAAGGTTTATACTGTAATGTTGTAAGTGTTGTAAATGATAAAGCAAAAAAAAAACAGTAAAGATAACAAACGATATACCACCTAACTAACAAATTTGTTATTAATAAATTAATGAAATATTTATAGAAGTGGAGCAGTTCCTATTTATATGGGTGCACCTAACATTGATAGCTATGTACCTAGAAAGAGTATAATAAAGACCGATGATTTTGAATCGCCAGAGGCACTGGCAAACTACTTGAAATACTTGGCAAAGAATGAAAGTGCATACAACGAGTATTTCGAATGGAAGAAGGAACCGTATCCTCAATCAGTGATCGATAATTACAAAAACTGTGTATTCTACTCTGCCGACTGTAGATTATGTCAGACTGTTCATGCATTTAGAGAAATGGTGAGTTGTTGATATTAACAAAAAAAAAACAATATTCTTACAAACATGTAACCATCTTATGTTTTTTTTATATTAAATATTATAGAAAAAGAAACAATTGGGTGATGGATTCAGAGTTAACTATGGTGAACCCGATAATGTAAAACATGAAAAGAGGGTTGTCTCATTCACAGAGAAATCATGTGTAATTGCAAAACCAACACCAGAAACAGAGAGTAAATTCACCAATAATATTGATGGTGTTTCAATGGGTGCATGGATATTCGTAACAAAAAAAGTAGACGATATGTAGGTATTAACTAATTGTTAAACAACAATAGTAGTGTATGTGATCACAAACAACAATATTAATCTTGATTAAAAATATCGTATTCTATAGAATATTTGAGGTTTCTCAAGATATAACCTTAAAACTAATGAGCATTTGGAATAGAGAGTATTTTAGTGTTTGTATCTTAGATGAATGTCTAACCGGAGAATCTCCAATCCCTATAAATGAATGGTAATACATAAACATAACAATTGATTTTATAACTATATATAACTACTAACTAACCGGTTGTTTTATCAAAAAAGGAATCACGTTGGTTTCACTTTTGGTAATAATGTATTGAAACTGTTTGTTAATGGACTATTGGATGTCGAAATGGATTTACAACATCAATTGGATATACATCATAAGTTATTAATGAGAATTGGATGTAGAGGTAGGTAAAATATACCATAAAGTTATGATATTCGTATACTAATATAAATATATATAGGTACATTTAATGGTATGATGGATGATATTTCAATTTGGGCAAGAGAGTTAACAACCAGTGAGATATCAAAAACAATGTTTGAAAAGATGAGTGGTAATGAAGAAAAGCTATTGATGTACTTTACCTTCAACTCTGGTGAAGTACAAGATTACTCTGAAAACAAAGTGATGATAATCAACACTGAGACAACAATAGTAGATCATGACTATCAAGAATTAAGATTAGATTGTTGTTCAAAAAAAGGAAGATAATAATAACAAACATAACAACATAATAATAATAATATGATGATATAAAAAAAGAAAAACAAATAATAAACATGATTTAAATAATTTATATGTAAAAATATTGTCTATAATTATTATTTATTATTGTTGTTGTTGGTTTTGTTGCTATTGTTATTGCTGTTGTTGTTGTCATTTAAAACAATATTTTGTTGATTATTAGGTATTGGTGATTGTGATTGTGGCGGTGGTGGTGGTGGTGGCAGTAATGTACTATTAAAACTAAAATTATTTGATAACATTCTTTCTAACTCCAAGATATCCTCTTGATCGATATCCAACTCACCGGTTCTCTTGTTTTTAAATATCATTTTAATCAGTTGTTCAAACTTCATTCCAGCGAGATCTTCAAAATTCTTTTCATTCAAATCGACTGTGCTGTTTGCCGTTGAAACATCTTCCTCTTCATCATCATTCTCCTCCATTATATTTCTATATACAATTGGTTTATTTGGTATATCATTTTCTTTACTATTAATTTTAGGATATTGGTCAATATTCAATTCGATTAGATACATTCTTAAGGAATATTTAATTAAACATACATAAAATCGATATCCTCTTTAGTAAAAACTGGTTTAACCATTGTTTTGTGTGGCTTTCTAAGACGACCACTTCTTGTAACTATATATCTATCGTTGGCACTGCTCTTACTACTACTACCACTACTATTTCTTCTTCCTCTACTGAATGCATCATTTGAAACTTCATCTTCTTCTTCAAAAATATTTCTAACTTTTTTTACATTATTATTACTATTAATATTATTACTAAACTCTTTAACTTTATCTTCTATTATACTTTTATTTGTACTACTACTACTAGGTGATTTATTATCATCTTTATCATCATCATCTTCTTCTTCAAATATATTTCTATTACTACTAAAACATCTTTGATAGTTACAATTAATAATACTTCTACTCTTTATATGATTACTAATAATATTACTAATATAATAATAACTATTACTATTAGTCAATAGAATCGACCGACATTTATAAATCATATTAAGTTATGTCTAATGATATGATGTTGATGATTAATGATTTTTTTTTGGTAAATCAAATCTGATCGTTTTCTTTTAAAATCAGATATGCATGAAATTTAAAGATCATTTTAACTTTGTTGTTTACTTTATTTTGTTGACATAATATAACTATATTTATAATGAGTAATACAACAACTACCTCTACAACTAAAAGTAATAAAAATAATGAATATACTATAACTTCCAAACCAACCTATTGTATGAGTTCTCTGTTCCTCGGTACATCTGCATACTTTTACAGCAGGAATAAACCACTGATGACAAGAATATCATTGGTATCATCACTTCTATTTGGTATATCTGGGTAATATATAACTATATTGTAAAACAAAATAACTATAGTAGTACTATTTTATTAACAAAACAAAACAACAAGTGCATTGATCGATTATAACTATGTAAATCAAGGTACTCTGATTGCAGGTGGTTTATCAGCTGCATTGGCAGCATCAACAACAGCCAATGCTCTCTCACAAAGAAGACTATTCCCATTGGTTTTGGGAACATTGTCATTCTCATCGATGGCATATCATGCTTTCTTCCCACTGTATAACAATGTTCACGAAGTCAGAGATCTCATAGACGATTTCAATGCAAAAGTTAAAGAGAAATCAAACAACAATGATGATAAATAATACAATCAATTCAATTCAATGTATATAGATAGCAATTCAATAAATAATCAATAAAATAAATTCAAATCATAATTAATTAAGTTATGGATAAATCAATAAAGAAGGAAAGGCGATTTTGAAATCATTATTATTTTAAAATGATATTTTATTCGTTGTGAAAACAAAGAGTTTAGCGTTTTTCCGGTATACAAAGTTTAAGGTGTATTGATGTTGAGAAAGTGAGTGAATTGGTGGTTGGTTTGTTGTGTATTGGTAATTGGCGATGGTGATGGTTGGTATTATTCCAACTTGGAATTTGACTTTTAGAACATGTTACATTTTTGTAGTTGTTGATGTTGTGTAGGGTGGGTGGTGTGAATTATATATATATATCTATGCTAATTGTGTGATTATTATTATTATTATTTATTTATTTATACAGCTAGCACCTATTTGTTTACCTATAATTATTTAAGAGATCTCTTTCTTTCTTTGTTCTTTTTTTTTTTTTTTTTAATATATTTTTTTTTTGTTTTTTTTTTTTTTTTTTTTTATAAAAATGCAAGCAATACTCTTATAAGATTATATAAATATAAATAAATATAAAGTAGTAAAGTATTGTAGTAATGTATATATGAAGTTGTTTCTTTTTTTTTTTTTGTTTTGTTTAGTTGTTTAGTTGTTTTGTTTTTTTTTTTAAAGAATGATACATGATTTCTTTTTGGGTGGTGCAGCCTCTTCATTCTCTGGGTTGGTAGACCACTTCTTAATTTCACGTACTAAAGTAAAGAATGCCTCCTCTACGTTGACACGAGACTTGGCACTGCTCTCTAAAAATGGAGCACCGAAGCTCTTTGATAGCTCTTTACCTTCGAGGTTGGAAACCTTACGCTCCTTCTCGGGCAAATCGACCTTGTTTCCGACGATGACCATTGGGTATGTTGAGAGATCCTTGACACGCAAGATCTGATCTCTGAAAGAAGTGACCGCTTCGAACGATGGTCTCGATCCTATACTGTATACAATGAGGAATCCACGTCCCGATCTAATATATTGATCTCTCATTGCAGAGTATTCTTCCTGACCAGCAGTATCTAAAATATCCAACATATATACTTCTTCATCGATAATAACTTGTTTACGATATGAATTCTCTGTGTTTTTTTATGTTTCAATTTTAAATTATTATTATGTTAGCACCACACCGATGAAATCTTAAAAAATTAAGATTAAATTAATATATATTCATTCATTCATACCTATAGTTGGATCGTATTCTGCAATGAATTGATTCTGTGTCAATTGAATGGTCAATGCAGATTTACCTACACCACCATCACCTACAATAACCAATTTCAATAACTTTGACATTGTATATTATATTGTTGTTGTTGTTTTAATTATATATATTAGGTATGTGTGTTGTTTTGTTTTGTTTCGAAAAAAAAAGACTGTTTGCTGCTGTGCTGTTGTTGTTTGATTTTTAAAATTAATTTTAAAATCCGATCTTGTCTTGTCTTGATGATGTTTTTATGATACAACTTTTAATTATCTATACTACAGTAAATTATTAAAAAATAATAATGAATGATTAGTTTTTTTTTTTTTCCAAATTTTCAAATTTTTTTTTTTTTTTTTTCAAAAATTTTAGTTGGGCAGAGTTGTTGGTGAATGAATCTAATAAGTAAAAGAAAAATGGTTCGAAAATATTTTCAAAAAAAGATAGATTTGGTGCTTTTTTAAAAAAATAAAATAAAATAAAATAAAAAATAAAAATAACCTTTGTTTGCTGGTTGGTTGGTTGTTTGAATTTGCAAAAGGCAAGAGTAGAGTAAACACACAAAGCGCAACAACAATTGTAATTAGCCGGGATGATGTCGTTTTCCTGCAAACTAAATCGAAAATGCGATTGATTTGATTTGATATTTGATTTGTTGTTGTTGTGTTGTTCTTAAGATAGATATATTTTTGAAGTTGTTGGCAAAAAAATTAAAAAAAAAAATACAAAAATAAAATAGAATCATAAACTATTTCGTTGAATCAATTTGATTTAGTCTAGATTAGATGATCAAGATTCTATTATATTTATAAATATCTTTATATAGTATAAAAGTTTTTCTGATCTGAATGAATGAGGGAAGGGTATGAAATGAATTGTTGTTGAATTAAAAGATTGATTGAATTATTATTTTGATTGACTGATTGATTCGATGTTGGTTGGTCTACAACTACTACTAACTACTATTCTATTTACACTAATTACTATTAAAGTTTATAATTCATTACTTTTTTTGAGAGTATGATATATAAATGATTTGATTATCTTTGATATTTTAAAATATATAATTTATATCTTTTTTAAAAATAAAATAATAAAAAGAAACGAAGAAGATGTTGAAAAGAGGAAGGTATAATTGATGTTTTTATATGATTGTGAGTATATTTGTTATATTTATTATTATTATTATTATTATGAGATAAAGTTACTGATAATATTGGATGGAAAGATGAATAGTAACGGAATTGATTATTTGATTGTTGTGTAAGTTTATATATTTGTTATTTTAAACATTAAATGTTTTTTGTTTTGTTTTGTTTTGTTTTGTTTAGTTTAGTTTAGTTAGTTTGGTTTGAAGGCAATTTTGTAAGAATAGATGATTGTGTTGATATATCGATATACATGCGGTGTAGTGCATGCAAGGAGATCAATATGACAATAACACCCTTCCTTACTATTACCACAACACCCACACAATGCCTCAACTAATCAAACCAACCAATCATTCATAAATCAACAAAAACAAAACATAACAATTAACCACAAAAAATAAATAAATATAACATGCATGCATGTTTGAGAGAGAAGAAGCAGTAGCAGTAGTAGTTGAGTTGAGTTATCACATTATTATTTAATTATACCAACCACACACACTAGTGTAACTAAAGTTAAAGGTGAAGGTGAAGTTATGTGTTGATCCATCATCCCAAAAAGACATAATTAAAATAATAATTATCAGATATCACTTATGAATTATATGATTAATGAAGAGGATGATGAGTTTAATGTTGATGCTTGTTATATGTGTGGGTGTTTATATGTGTGTGTGTGTGTGAGTGTGTGTTTTGAGTGGTGATTGTGGTGTAGTAATGGTGATGTGTGTTGTGTGTTTGTGATAAATTGGGAAGAAAATTGAGGAGTGCGGGCAGTAGATCTCATTTGAAATCACATTCAAAGCAAAGAGTATTATTGTTTATTGGGTTAAAGTACAAGTATTATTCTACTTCTTTTCTATTCTTTCTAATCGTTGGTTACGATAACCAATTAAACTATAAGAATCGAGTCAGTCAGTAGATCGGTAAGTCAGTCAGTCTAATTTCTAAAGGTCTCAGACAATCTAAGCCTTACACCATAAATTAAAGCTAACGAATGTTTAAAACTAACTGACTGACTGACCGGCTGATTGACCTGACAACCAAACTAATTTTATCTTAAAACTTGAAAAGCTGACCAACAACACCAATAGAATAGATTTATATCAAAACACTTTTAAATCGCAACACACAAGCAAAACATTGAACAAGCAATAACAACAACAATTCCACTTTTAAAATTGAGATCTAAAGAAGATGTGTGCTTATTATTCTGATTAGGGTGTAGTTTGATGATGATGATGATGTTGTTGTTGTTGTTGTTGTTTATATTAAAGAGTTGTTATTTGATTGTTTGTGATCCAAAAACTGTATATTGGTCTATTACTTTCATTAAAATGTCCACTTTTCGCATTAAGATGGTAGTGATGATGGTAAACCCAAATTAATTAATAAACAACGAAACTGTTTTAATTTATTACCAAAATTGGTCAGTTTCTTTAATTCTTTCTTAAAATATCTATCTGAACTAATTCTACTTCTACTTCTAATTAATTAAACTCTGATTGTGATTGATAATGGATAAAACATAATCAAATAAATCACTTTAATTAAGCACAACAACTTCACCCAAAAACAAATTAATTAGGTACACTTTGGAAATGAGGGATACAAAAGGTGGTGGAAATACAAAAAAGGAGATGAAGTTGCTGCAATTTGTCAATTAATATAATCTAATAAGCTTGCAAGGAATGGATGAGTCTTATCCCAATGCATTCATGACGACCCATTTTAAATTTTACAGGAAAATACAAATTGACCATAAAAAGTGTGTGATGTGGTTTATTTAGATGAATAGATGATGACCACAATTTGATTCGATTCATTATTATTGTTATTTTTATTATTATTATTATTATTACTATTACTATTATAAATATTTTATTTCTTTTTATTATTACTTACAAATAATGATATAGATAAATAAATTATAAATTTATGTAATTTTACAAATATTATTATTATTATTATTAAAGTGATAAAAGATAATTCTTATTCTATATTTCTATTTCAATATATATATATCTGATTTAAGAAAAGCAATGATTGATTGTTTTTGATTTGTAAGGGGCAGTTTAGTTTTTGATTAAGGCACTTCAAGACTGTTAGATGGGAGGTGTTACATGATGCAAACTTCTTTCAATAAAACAATTTTTTGAAATAAATAATGGTAAAATCAAAAAATCAATTGTGTGAAAAATATTTGCTATAAAGTGCACCCCTATCTTTCATTAATTAGTGTTGAAATGATGAGGTGCTAATTTAAGATCCTATTTTTTTTTTGTTTTTGAGTTGTTTTAAGTTTCGACAGATCAAAATTTTTTTGAATGAGCCAAGCTTTTTTAAATAGACGCCAGATTAATGAAACCATACACAACACAATGGAAATTATTCTTAAAACCAGCGTTGTTGTTTTTTTTATCATCCACAAATTATTGTACTTATAGTTACTACAAGCAAAAATAGAATTAGCTTTTTTTTTTTTTTTTGATCAACTCAAATAAAAAAACTATTTTATTTTATAAAATTAATTAAAAATTAATCAATTTAATATGGTTTTGAAAAAGAAAACCGTTTTAGTGCAAATTAATAATTTAAGCTTCGCCTTTTGGATCATGATCATCACGATAATCTGATGTGAGAATAATAGTTGGTTTACCCTTCTTCTTCTTTTACAACTTGACAGATTTTAAGGGGATGTTGTGATGTTGGGCTGATTCAAGATTCTACCATATTATTTTATTTTAAAAACACTATAAATCATAACTATTTTTAAATGTTATTTATTATTAAATCTTTTTCGTTGTCTTCTTTTGTTTCGTATATCATCCACCAACATGATAAACAAACAAAATTTGGTTGATATTGCTCACCATCAAACCTCTCCACATTTTTAGTTCAGACAAAAAATTGGTTTGTCGGTTGTGGGTTGTTAAAATTTAAGAAGTGTATAAATTTAGAATAAAAATGATTTTTGATTTATTTCTTTATTGATGTGAAGTTAAGTTAATTTGGTTGGTTAAATTTGTTGGTCTATCTATTTGATGATCGTCAATCCGTTTTCAAATATTTTCTGATCAATCTTGGTTTCAAACAGAATTTATAGAGAATCGATCCAAGTATGATAGAGAGTAGCAGTGTGAAGAGACAGTAGATGATGATGGGAATGTAGTTTGATTTCTTGATGAGTGGCATCAGCATCTCTTGAGAGTCGGCATCGGGTGCCGTCATTGCAAGCTCCTCGAACGACGCACCTTTGAACCACTTGGTGTGTCCGTGCATGAGGAACACTGACTTTGGACGAACACTGACGTGACGATCCTGCACCGGATAGATAGAGACACCGGTGATCAATCCTTCGTCGGCGTGCAACAAAAAGTTGATATGCTCCGCAATGTCGATGTGATCCGATTGCTGTATTCCCCAAATGGGAATCTGAAGTGGATAGTAGATCTTTAGGGTCTCGTCGGGACTGACCAACACTCTACACTGCCAAGCATCGTTCTGACTGGCATATTCCACCAGCTTATTGTAAAATTCCTCTGTATCCACCAAGATATTGCAATGCATGAATACATCTCTACCATAAAAGAACTTCAATTCTGACTTTGTCTAAAATATAACATAATATGTTAGTTGTATTCGTAGAATTGATTAGAAGAGTGTAGATATATTTACATCTATACAAGTTGGAGCAGGTCCCCAATTTCCTTTTAAATCTTTACATTCTATATTAATTTCTTGACCAAATTCATATCCTTTATAAATATTATGATTATAATAATAAAGTAATAAGTCAGTAAATGTATTTTGCTTATTTCTAACGGTCATTTATTTAGAGTTTTTTTTTCAATTACTTTTTAATTCATGTGATTCAACTATATTAAAATTTAATAATATAACCAATATCGATATAAATAAATATATATTATATTGTTGTGATATAGATGACTTCAGTATCATATCTAATTAACCACCTTTCTATATATATATATGTATAATTTAAATTAGTTTTAACTAGTTACCCACAATTGCTTGCTTTTCATTTTAATTAATTTTTGACTTCGTTGTGTGTGAACTTTAACATTTCTGAACTTCTTGTTTTTTCAACACAATTTTCGAAATGATTTGGCTAAATTTCAAGGCGGGAAAACTGTTGTGTGTTTGATTTAAAACATCATGATGATAGGAATAATTATAGATTTTAAAAGATTAGATTTATTTAATTGATATATATATATATATAAATGTATTAGAATTATTATTTTTATTTAATATATAAATATAAATATAATATGGGTGTAGCAACAAAATCGAAATCTAAAAAAGTAAGAGGAGGAGGATGGAAAGGGGTCAGTAGTAGTGAAAAAAATAAGATCAACAAAGAAAGTTATTAGTGTTGGTGAAAGTAATGATAGAAATACAATTAAAGATGATATTAGAAAAAGAATATTTTCGATATTCAACGATTGCCAAAATACGATGACAGTGCACAGACGAGCAGTCGGTATGATGACTACTTTGTTGCATCGTTGTGACGTCAGTGGCCAATCCGATCAATTCAACTCTACTGTATTGTCGGTAGTCGACAGGGTATTGGTTCATTACAACAAGGATTTGCCAGTGGAGAGAATCTGTAGATTCATCAGTCAGTGGATTGCTGCAATCTCTGTAAGAAATTTAAATGGCAACAATGAGCAACAGGAGGTGGAGGAAGATGATGAGAGAGAGCAAGATAGCAGCCAAACCAATGGAAATAGTAGTAAATCAAAGGATTCTATTTCACCGGAAATGATTCAGTGCCAGGAGAATTTCATTGTGACACTGCTCAAGTTCTTGGTTGGAAGATCGTCGTCACATGAAAAGTCCGTTCGTTTCAGGTCGACTTTGCTAATTGCCGATACGCTCAATGCACTCTGTGAAGACTACGAGTTTGATAACCAGCTATGGGCACAGCTTACCAACTCGATCATGATGAAATCATTCGATCGTCTAGGAGGAATACGTCGTCAGTCCATCCATTGTCTGGCGCGACTTCAAGATCATTCCGATCCAGATGACCAAGTTACCAACAGATTAATTGAAATGATATATCATGATCCCATACCGTATGTATCATTATTGTTATCCCATCCATCTTTACCAAATAATATCTGAAGTATTAATTAATTTCTTTTTCCCCCAACTTTTTACACATAGTGAAATAAGACAGACTGCAGTAACACATTTAGTGATTACAAAAAGAACATTGAAAATAATATTAGAGAGGACATTGGATCAGAATGTACAGGTTAGAAAAGAAGCATTCAACAGTATAGCTACAAAGATCGATATGAAGGTGATTCCATTGACTTTAAGAATGGGACTGTTAAAGAATGGACTTCAAGAGTCAGATCCAACCGTCAAAGAGATTTGTTCATCAATGTTGATAAATCATTGGTTAAAATCATTGGATGATAATTTATTTAAAGTAATAATAACATTATAACTATTTATTAAATATTTACTAATAATATATATACATTTTCTAAAATTATAGTTATTACATTATTTTAAAGTTGAAATGTTTGAAAAAGAAACGGAATTAGCATTACTCAATATTTTCCAACATGGAATGTTTTTGGATCACTATCATCAGTTTGAGTGGCAAGCGATGAACAATAACCATGCTATCTATCTGCATGTACTTTGTAAATACCTCAAGTCAAAGAACACTCTCGACCAAATCGATATTATGTTTCCATCGGTTCTGCATTACAACCAACTTTTGATCCACTACTTGAATCGAGTGGAGGACGACGAAGAGCAACTGGAAATCGATAGTAGCAACGATATCGACTACTTCTTCATTGGATCACAGATGATTCAGTGTGGAATGTATTTAGATACCTCGGGTGATGAAGCGGGATGCATCCAGTTGGCAATGTTGATACAGCAGCTGCTGTTATCACTTGCGCTGCCCGATGGTCACATCCTTCCGCTTCTCGACCTGCTTCTCACCGCTAGTAAACAGCACTATAGCCGTACTGTAAATGATTTGCTTGCTGCTTTGGAGCCAGACGTACATACCGACACGATTATCGACATCAAGCTCCTTCATTTGTTGAGCCATCTTCTGCAGAGTGTAAATCGTCTACCACAAGGAGTATTGAGCAACCGAGTAGATCAACTAACGGAGAAGCTAACAGATGGCAATACAGATGAAATATTACAACATTTGGTTATCAAGCTGATAGAATTGACGATACTGATGAGACCGGAGAAAGTCGAGAAATACTGGCCTATCTTGTGGGAGAGTTGTGTTGCCAACGGATTAGCTGGTGAAGAGTGTCTGCCCACTTTGGAGTCGGCAATGGATATTCTAGCGTGGCACGGAAATACCATTGAAACATACGAAGAGAATATCGATTATATACTAGAGTTGTTGGAGAATATCAATGTTCAATCGACACCATTCATTGTTAGGCAGCGTCTCGTTGAGGGATTGGCAAAGATTTCGATCTCAGGGCTGGCCGACCAACCCACCGATGTAGCTATTCTGAGCGCATTGATTAAACTCTACTTTGGAAGAGTGGAGGGTGTAAGCGGTGAGCTAAAGACTACGCTGCTCTCCTATTTCAATCAGTTTGCCAAGCGACGACAAAACACTGGCGGACTCGACATTTTGAAACAATCGTTTGCGTTGGCACTGACTTTGGCCGACACCGACTTGATGTTGATGATTCAGTTTTATCAGTGGATGTTCAAGTTGATGCAGGGCAACAGCGATCGTTGGGTGTTGATTCGTAGATTGGCGGTCGAGCTACTGGCGAACAACAAGCGAGCGATGCAGTTATGCCGATTGTTTACTGCGATTCGATTCGACAACAAAGCAGACTTGCAAGCACCATATATTTCAGAGTTGGTTTACCTCTTTGATAAGCTGCTACTGGCAATCAAAACAAAGGTGGCAAATGGACAGATCAAGAGATACAAAGAGTACTTGATATCATTACTACCAGCTGATCTACTGGATAGTTACCAACTCGACCAAGAGAAACAAGATGAAATAGATGAAGAGATAGAGAGTTATATAGCTGAACTGGAAGGTGAACCAAAGAAGAAGACGAAGAAGAATGACAGCAAAAAGAAGAAGACAACGAACAGTGTAGTTGTGAAAGCTGAAACACCAAAGAAAAAGAAAAGAGATATAGATGAGGAAGAAGAAGATGATAGTGATGAGAGTGAAGAAGAGATATCAGATAAAGACAGTGAGAGCGAGACTTCAGAATCGGTGGAAGATGAATCATCTGAAGAAGAAGAAGAGTCAGAGACCGATCCTAAAGAAATAGTAAAATCAATAGCTCGACTATCAATATCAAAGAAAGTACAGCAACCAAAGAAAGAGGATAGCGATTCAGAAGAAGAGGAAGACAGTGATACCGAAGTTGTTGATAGAACTCCGACAAAATTTAGAAGAGTAGTATCAAGTGAAGAAGAGTCTGAGGAAGAAGAAGAAGAAGAAGAAGACGATGAAGATGATGTGGAAGATAGTCAAGATAGTGACGAAGGTGTTGTAGTTGTTAAAAGAAAGATACCTATTAAGAACAACTCTAACACTGTAGAGATATCAGACGATGAATCAGAATCAGAGGTAGAAAAAAGTGATAGTGAGGATAAAGATGAAGATGATAATACAGATAATAGTGAGGGTGAGGAGGAAGAAAAAGAAGAAGAGAGTGAAGATGAACAAATTGAAAACTTTAAGAGATTATCAATCAACAACAACAAAAACAACAACAATAATAATAATAATAATAGAAATGATCAAAGTAATAGCAGGAGGAAGAGTACAAGTAAAAATCAATCCGATGAAGAATCAGAGGAGGATGATGACGAAGATGGTGTAGAAGACCTTTCAGAGGAAGAAGTTGATAGTGATATCACATCTGACGATATGCAAGATTTAGATGACGATAGCTCATACCTAACCGAAGATTCAGATTCAGATTCAGATGATATCTCTGATGACTGAACAAACAAACAAACAAACATATAATAAATAAAAGTTAATTCTTTTTATTATTTTATTTTTGAAAAAAACTAGCTAGAATTCGAATGTTTTTTTAAAGAAATAAAATGTTAATTAATTTATTAAATAAATAAATTATTTAGCGATCTGATCTTTAAGTCTACTTTCATTGATAATTTTTTGATTTGGAATGAAACCCCAACATGTTTATAAAAAAAAGTTTTAGCAATTTTCTTTCAAAATTAGGTTACAACCCTCAAAAAAATCGGGACTCATGTTTTCTGAAACACTAAATTATTTATTATAATTACTTTTATCATATTTTCTTCATTATTGTAACACCCATTCTTTTTTCTGTGTTTATGTGTATGTGTTGTGTGTGAACAAATAAGTTTGAATTCACCATGATACAATATCAACTATAAAGGTTTTTTTTGTTTTTTGGTCAATATAATGAAATCATACTAAATATAGTAACAAATAAATAATAGCACAAATATAGTTAACATATTTGTTTGTTTGTAAACTTGTAATATTATTTATTTATAGTAGTAGTAAATATCAATCAATCATAGCATTGTTAAAAATAGAACTAAAAATATCTTTTTTTTTTTTTTTAATCATATTTAAATATCTTTTTATTTATTTATTTATTAATTCAAAATTGTCTTAAATATATACATTTATATTTTGTATTATATAATATTAAGATTTTTATAAATGTCAGCTTCAGTAGTTAATAGTACTGCAGGACAAGCAGTATTGAGAGGTGATGGTATCAGAGTGTACGGTATGGATGCAGAGTTGGAGTTGAAGGCGCAGTCAAAGCGTGATCCAGCGTTTGAAAAGGAGTTGTCGCAGTGGATCGAACAGGCAACCGGCTTGACAATGGAGTTCCCAAACGATTTGATTGAATCGCTGCGTAGTGGCATTGTGTTGTGCACTCTCATCAACGTTCTCATTCCCGACACCATCAAGAAGATCAATATGCGACCGATCGCGCTGATGCAAGTGGAGAACATCGGTCTCTACCTCAAGGCGTGTTGGAAGGTTGGAGTGCCGTCGTCCGATCTGTTCGTAGTGAGTGATCTCTATTCGAGAAAAGGTGTGCCTGCAGTCCTGCAGAATTTGGCATCGATTGCGCGACACTCCCACAATTGCCCGGCGTATAAGGGACCGACCTTTGGCGCCAAACCAAGTGGCGCCGCGCCCGCCAAGAAATGGGATGAAATCAAATTCAACGCACCCATCATGGTGTCCGACCTCGAGCGACAACAGAATATACCGGAGCCAGACAGCGGACTCTGTGGAAACTGTGGAACCAAAAAAGATTGTTTCAGATGTGATCACAAGAGTGCTGGCGGTCCTGCTTCATCAGCTTCGACAGCAACCACAACAACAACAGTTTCATCTGTTAATAATGGTAAGTTGTGTATAACCATTAAATATATGCTTAAGTTCAAGTTGGATTACTAATGTAAATTGTAATGGAATAGATAAATTAATGAAAGAGAAACAAGATTTACAAAATAGATTCGATAAATTGAGTGGATTGTTGAAGGAACAAGAAGATAAGGTTGTACAGTTGAATGGAAAGGTAGATCAACAGAGAAGACAGCAGGAGCAAAAAGAAAAAGAGTTAAATGATTTAATTGAAAATCAAAAGATTCAGTTGGATCAAAAGCAAAGACAAATTCTTACGATGGAGGCACAAAAGACATTGAATACTACTGCTACACCACCGACTGCTACCACACCACCAGCATCGAAAACACCAAACTTTATTGCGTCACCACCACTAAACTCTGTTAGCAAACCAAGAAACAGTGGTCATTTCAACCAACCTCTATCGTTACCATCGACATCGAGCAAGCCATCTCCAAACTGCTCGAAATGCAACTTCCAAAATGCTAGCACCTCTAAATATTGTATTTCATGTGGATTTGAGCTGGCTAAACAAGTTGTACAACAACAACCAACACCTGTTGTTGTTGTTCAACAACCAACAACAACAGTGCAACCACCAATTGGATCAACTAATATCAGTACCAATCCAGAGTATCGTAGCTTGTTGAAAGACAAAGAGGATTTATCCGAGAAAGTCAAGTCAATGTTGTCATCCATTAAGCAACAGGACGATACTATTGTGCGTTTGAATCGTTCACTCAATGAGGAGAGACAACAACACGAAATGAGACTACGTGAACAAAAACAACAACTCGAACAACAACAACGACAACTACTCGACCAAAAGGAAAAGGAATTCAAATCGAAATTCGCAAGCAATCCAGTACAAAATCAACAACCACCACGTTCGGTCTCGCCCACCAACATCAATACAACACCAACCGTTTCAGCCGGATTAACAACCAATTCCAACAGATTCACTGTTCAAATGAACACTGGACTGAGATCTACTCAAGTCGGACCAGGAACCTATAGAGAACGTTCCGACTCCAATCCCAACTCTACATCACCAACAATACAATCAACTAAAGTTGGTACAACTATTTGGCCACCAATTAACATCAATAACAATAATAATAATAATAGTAATAATGTTAATACCAATAATAATAATAATCAACAACAATCTTCTCGTAAGGATCAAATGGAGATTGAAAGATTGTTGCAGTTGGTAGATCAGTTGGAGAAGAAGCTGGTTGAAGAATCTGCTCGTTCCAAAGTCAAAGATTCTACAATTAAGCTGCTCGAAGACAAAGTATCGACACTCCAATCGAGACCAAGAAAGCAAACTGCACCGAGCAGTGCTGCTGCTCACCAGAATCATATTGTCGTTGGAAGAAAGAGATTCAATACACTCACACCAGACACTCTCGACAATCGTTTGGTCGAAGACACCTTCAAGTGTCTCTCCAACATTCTCTTCTCGAAACCGATCGAGTTCCACGAGGTTTCGTCATTGAATGCACTGTTCAAGACTGAACCAGGTAGACGTAGATTCACTCAGATGCTAAGAATGACATTGAAACAGGTGCCAAACATCGTGCTCTCTGAGAACTCCTTTGAGTTCCTCTTGTATCTCATTAACACTACACTCCAAGAGATGGACTTTAGTAAGGAGCACGACTTGATTACAGCCAAGGTCATATTGAATGCATCGTCATCGCTCTACCGTCTCACTCAGAACAACCAGCAAGAGTACATCAAGGACTACATCCGTAGCTCGCCCGTGTGGAAGAGCATCAAGTTCTGGGAAGATTACTTCTGGACTGAGTTGGCCAAGCGTCATCGTAAGAGATTCGAAAGTTCAATTGAGGGTGTCGACAAGGAGATCGTGTCGAATCTACTCAGCTATTTTGGTGTCAATATGATTCATTTCTCATTGCCCAATCAAGAGATTCACAACTTCCTCGTAGATATGGCTCAATCCAACGGACTCACTACCAAGGAAGTCAACTTGGTATTGGATTTCCTCAAATCAAATCCAAAGAAATCCAATGACACCACACCATCATCCACCTCCACCAGAGGAACAGGAGCTGACCACGTACTCTCTCCAACCAATAAAAAAGAAAAGAAATCCTTATCTTTTCTTGGAAGGAAGTAAAAATAACAAATCAAATAAAATATATAACAATATTTATTATTTATTAAATGTTTACAACAACATTTTTTATTAATAATTGTTATATCTAATAATTTATTACTATAGATCCACACCAATGTCTTTCTAAATTATCATTTTTTAAGAATGGTTCACATTGATTGTCTTCAATTGAATATTTAAAATTACCATATCTGACACCACCAAAAGAATAGATAAAGCTTGATGTTGGTGATTCACGATAGTACCTCAAATAAGCACGTCCATCTAAGGCAGGGATATAATAGAGATGGACAGTTTGTTTGTCTTCAACATTGTATTTAATGAACCGAGCGTTTGTTCGATCGAAAATGAAGAAATTTCCGTTGTTATCATGACAGGCTGTGTATGGAATCGTGTCGATTTGTTGTTCTGTTACGGTTCGATTTGCCAAATCTAATTTAAATATGAGATTTTGATCTTGTGATACTGAATATAATGCGCCTTTGAAGATCATTGTTGATACTTGACTATAGTATTCTTTGGGTAATTTATGATAATGATCGAATTTCATTGTTTTGATATTAAATCGATCAATTCTATTTGTTTTGCCACCGCTCACCAAATAGATATGATCTAGACCATCGTAACAAACTGAAATATTAAAATCATCATTTATTCCTTCTAAATAGCCAATTTTTTCAATTGATTTCGATTTTATTGAGAATTTCATCCATTTACCAAGATTGTGGTGTCCACCGAACAAATAGATATATTCGCCTATTGAAATAATTGATTGGAATGTACCGTAAAAATTATAATCAATATAGATTTCATCTATAGAGTTATTGTTTGATATGTCAATCAGTGTCGCTCCTTTGTCACGATGTGTTGTAAATATATATGTTCCTTTTTTCGAAAGTTTGATTGATTGGTCGATCAATAAATTCAGCTGATTAAAGTCATGTTGTTTGATTGTTACTTGATACGATGAAGCAGAGTTTGTAATTGTCGATGATTTGAATTGATTGTTGTATTTATAAATGAGGTCCAGTAGCAATAATGACCTATCATTGTTATGTTGTTTGATTAGTTCACTAGCATTGAAAGGATCATACTGATCACTGAACAAAGTCTGATTATTATCAATGATGAATGATTTTAATGATGAACTTGATGTGATTGATTCCATTATAGTTGCTGTTGAATACTGTGATGATGTATCTTCAATTATTGACATACCATCATTACTATTATCTTTATCACTATTATCATCATCATCGTTACTTTTATTATTCTCAATATCATTGTTCAGTTTATTATTTATCTTTAAAATATTGACTATATATTTCAATTTATTAATATTATTATCTATATAATTAATGATTGTTTCTTTATCGTTGATGATTGATTTCTTTAATTTATGTTCCTCAGTTATCAGATATTGGTGTAGTTGTTCAAAGTGTTGTGTAATCTCATTCTCTGATACTGATAATGAATGGTAGCATAACGATGATGACTTTAATGAATCCCATATCGATTTGATTGATTTCGAGAATTCAGAATCTTCATTATTACTATTGGTATTATCGACGCTACTATCTGTTTCCATGACATTGCTACTGACCAATATATTGTCTAATGACTTTTTAATTATATTAATATGTTCGCAATACCTAGAATGATTTAGTTGTTGTTTGTAATGATCAAGAATACATATGGAACACATTAGGATATTGCATTTGTGGCATATAAATTTAAATGTTTTATTATGTCTCGTGCAATTTGTTGTCATTTTTGTGCTAATAATATAATCTAAATCGTTACCAAACAAACAAGATCAAGAAAAAATAGAAAAAGAAAAATTTTAAAACAAAAGAACAAACTTTTTGATCTGAAACTTATGTAAGAATAATTAATTATAATAATAGTTGTACAAAATAATAGGTTTATTCAATTTCTTCGATTTAAAATTGATGTTAATTTCTCTTTGGTGTGTAGTGATTGATGATATAGCTTGTTGAAGATCTCTCGGTGATTTCGATCTAATCTTAACAAAGTGGCTTCAAAGTAGATGTTTAACTGGTTATATTGATCTTTAAAAGGACTCTCTGATCTCTTAAGAAGTATATATGATAGATTCCTCTCGAGAAAACCATGTAGCCAAATTATTTCACTGACAGTTTCGACAGGGTGCAGGAGGAAATGGATATGATCGGATGCTATCATGTCACTCAGATACTGTTCTGACACTATCTGAGCAATCCATCGGATATTGGAGAGAGAGTACTGAACCACCGATGTCAATCCTTTACCGAGAATATTGGTAGTATAGATCTCCTTGAGATAAAGCAATGCATCGTAGTTTGAAGATTTAAGAGCATTGAAAACCGCTATTTTCCTAAAACGCTCTATTATGCTTGAATATTCTTTCGATTCGTCGACCATCGATTGTAAAACTTTGAATCTGCCAGTTGCATTTCTATGTTGATCGATATCGGTAACATAGAGTGACATCGGTGGAATATTAATACCCAAATTGAAATCCTTTTTCAACTCTCTCATTGTTTGAAGATGTTGAATGATCCAATCACTTATTGTATAATTGTTTGATTCAAGTGATTTCTGAAGATCACCGGTAAATAAATTCCACACATCTTGATTGAATTCTTGCTGGATTTTACCTCTGTTATCAATGAAATAGAGATACATTCCCAAATGCATATGTTCAGATATCTTTGGCAGTTCTTTTTTATTATAAAATGGTTGGAAGTCAGGATAAGCTCGTTGCCGAACCAACTGGATATAATAACTGGCAATATCTCTGTTTCCATCTGTTGTATTCTCCATGATACTTGAAATCCATTGATTACTAAGTAATAGCTTGACAGGAAGAGTTTCCATGATTATTTTAAAATGTTTGAGTGTTCCATTGATTGCAACTTCACAGAACAAGTTGATCGACATGTATTCACAACATTTCTCAAAGATTCTAAACATCTTTTCAGATGACATTCTAACAAGAGGAGAGATATTGTCTTTTGAAATATCTGTGAACCAATGGCAGTCTATCAATAGGTAATTCCAACAGATCTTCATCACCGAGATTGAAATGCATAGTTTATTGCTTGATTCCTTTGTTTATCGCTTAGATATGACATGTTGGCTTGCTGAGAGGAGTCGACCATACTCTTAAACCATTCGCATCCAAATCTAGCCTGATATGGTATTATATCATGTGATGCTGTAAAAAGTGATGTGATATCCAATTCTTTCATTATCGATTTCAACTGATCTAAATTCACAACTTTGCTTGCAATAATCATGGCGTCATCCACAATTAAATCTGTTGTTGGTAAATACTTTGAGAAATAGATCAAAGATGATATATAGTTATTTCTAATGATCCATGAAAGTGATTTGACTTGATTAAATTTATAAATGATTGATGTACAAGTTGCATGATATAAACTGATTGATGAGATATGATCACAAATAATATTTAAAAGTATCTTATTTCTTATTATTCTTTGAAATAAAATAGTTGTAACATCATTTTTATTCATTGTCTTTAAATAAATATATTAAATTTTTGAGAGGAGTGTAACAAGTTAAACAACACTTAATCACTAAGAAGAAATAAATAAAAAAAAAAACTTCAGATATTTTATCAATAAAAATATTAAAGTTGGCTGTTAGTTGTTGTTCTTTGTTTTTTTTTTCTATCAAGAATTTTACATGCCAGTTTAAAACATTAGATAGATATGGTTTATTCATTTTCTTCGATTTAAAATTGATGTTAATTTCTCTTTGGTGTGTAGTGATTGTAGATATAACCTGTTGAAGATCTCTGGGTGATATCTATGTAATCTAAATAAAGTAGTTTCAAAGAAGATGTTTATCTGATTATGTTTATCGTTAAGAGGATTCTCTGGTTGCTTGATTAAGTATGGTAGATTCCTCTCGAGAAAACCATGGAACCAAATTACATCATTGATAGATTCGAACGGGAACACGATGAAATTGATATGATTAGACGCTATAAAATCACACACATATTGCTCCGACACCAATTGTGCAATCGATCGGGCATGAGAGAGCGAGTATTGCACAACCGATGTCAATGCTTTACCGATAGCATCGGTTGAATAGACGTCCTGCAGATAAAACAATGCTTCGGCGTTGTAGGAACTCGAACACAAAATATTTTTATCACTGCACATCTCCTTGACATAAAGGAATGCTTCGTAGTTTGAAGATTTAAGAGCGTTTAGAATAGCTTTCTTCTTGAAACGCTCTATTACCTCCGCTTGGCTGGGTGATTCATCAATCATTGATTGTAAAAGTTTGAATCTGCCAGTTGCATTTCTATGTTGATCGATATCGGTAACATTTAGTGACATCGGTGGAATACTAACACGCAAATGAAAATCCAGTTTATGCTGCTCTTTCATTGTTTGAAGATGTTGAATGATCCAATCACTTATTGTATAATTGTTTGATTCAAGTGATTTCTGAATATCATTCACGAATAAATTCCACACATCTTGATTGAACTCCACCTCGTTTCTACCTCTTTTATCAATGAAATAAAGATACATATCTAAGTGCATATGTTCAGATATCTTTGGTAGTGCTTTTTCATTGTAAAATGGGTTGAAGTTAGGATCAGCTTGTTGTGTGACCAACTGGATATAATAACTGGCAATATCTCTGTTTTCATCTGTTGTATTCTCCATAATACTCGAAATCCATTGATTACTAAGCAGGAAATTGTTGGGAAGTGTGTCTATGATCGCTTTAAAATATTTGAGTGTTCCATTGATTGCAACTTCGTAGAGCAGTTTGATCGACATGTATTCACAACATTTCTCAAAGATTCTAAACATCTTTTCAGATGACATTCTAACAAGAGGAGAGATATTGTCTTTTGAAATATCTGTGAACCAATGGCCAGTCTATCAATAGGTATTCCAACAGATCTTCATCACCAGATTGAAATGCATAGTTTATTGCTTGATTCTTTTGTTTATCACTTAGATTTGGCAGGTTTGCTTGTTGAGAGGAGTTGGCAATACTCTTAAACCATTCACATCCAAATCTGGCATGATACGGCAGTATATCACGTGATTCTGTAAATAGAGAAGTGATATCCAATTCTTTCATTATCGATTTCAACTGATCTAAATTCACAACTTTACTCGCAATAAACAACGCATCATCTACTGTTATATTTTTTATAGGTAAATACTTTGAGAAATAGATCAACGATGATATATAGTTATTTCTAATGATCCAACAAAGTGACTTGACTTGTTTAAATTTATAAATGATTGATGTACAAGTTGCATGATATAAACTGATTGATGGGATATGATCACATATATTATTTAAAAGAATCTTATTTCTTATTATTCTTTGAAATAAAATAGTTGTATCATTATTTCTATTCATTGTCTTTAAAAATAATAAATAGATATTTCAGAGTTAGGACAAACATCCAACCAAAAATTCGAAAAGAATAACTTTCAAACAAAATTCAAAGAAATTCAAGAAAAAAAGCATAAATAAAAAGGAAAAATAAAATGGGAATTAATCAAAAGATAAAATAATAGATGTTATCTTGATTTAGATCTATTATTAGATAATAAACACACCCTTTAGAGGATATTCATAAAGCAAATTGGTTGTGACAGTTAACTTTGGTTAAACTTGAAGATTGTTTTTATTGATGTTTTTTCAACAACCACACATTTCAAATTTTCAAAAAAAAAAATGAACTTAAAATTAATCATATTTTTTTTTTTGATCGATTAGATTACAATAGAATAGAATATAGATAGATATATAGTAATTAAGATATATATAGAGATAGATAGTTAAAGATGTATCTATATAATCTTACTATACAAAAGCCAACATCTATATATCATTCAATTGTTGGTAATTTCTCTGGTACCAAACAGATCGAGATATTGGTTTCACATGGCAGATCTCTAGAGTTGCTCAGACCCGATGAGACCAATGGTAAGATCACATCGGTACTCTACACAGAGGTCTTTGGTTTGATTCGTTCGATTGCGCCATTCAGATTGACATCTGGCACCAAAGACTATATCATCATCGGTTCGGAATCGGGTCGTGTCGTCATTCTCGAGTACAACCCAAACAAGAATCGCTTCGAAAAAGTACATCAAGAGACATTCGGTCGTACCGGTTGTCGTCGTATCGTACCAGGTCAATATCTAGCTACTGATCCACGTGGTCGTGCATTCATGATAGGTAACTAAAACAATATAACATCATTCATGTCATATCAAAACTAATAATACTTATTGTTATTAATTAATTTAATTGTAGGTGCAATTGAAAAACAGAAATTAGTATATATTTTAAATAGAGATTCAGCTGCTCGTTTGACTATATCTTCACCGTTGGAAGCACACAAGTCACACACTATTTTGTTTGCAATGTGTGGTGTCGATGTCGGATTTGAAAATCCAATTTTCGCCACACTTTCGGTAGACTATAGCGATGATACCGATCTCGAGGAGATGGAAGACAATCACAGTAAGATGATGTTGACTTTCTACGAGTTGGACCTGGGATTGAACAACGTAGTCAGAAAATGGAGTGAGGAGGTCGAGTCGAGTTCGAACTTGCTGATGACGGTGCCAGGTGGAAGCGACGGTCCCGGTGGTATCTTGGTTTGCTCCGAGGGCTACATCACCTATCGAAACATCGGACATCCGCTGTTGCGCGTACAGATTCCGCGACGTACCGGAACACCCTACGACAGCAAGGGTGTCATCATCGTGTCGCACTCGTCACACAAGCAGCGCGATATGTTTTTCTTCTTGGTGCAATCGGAGCTGGGCGATCTCTACAAGATCTCGCTGCAATACGAAGGCGAGACTGTCTCGGCGATAAAGATTAGCTATTTCGACACGATACCGACAGCCAATTGTATCTCGGTGTTGCGTAATGGATTCTTGTTTATGGCGGCAGAGTTTGGTGACCATTCACTCTATCATATTCAATCGCTGGGAGACGACAGCGCCTCTGACATCCGTGAGATCGACGGTGTCAGCTACTTCAACGTGCGAAAGAACCTGGTGAATCTGCTACAGACAACCACAATGAACTCACTATCGCCAATCCTAGACTTCAAAGTGATGGATCTCGTCAACGAGGAGCAACCTCAGATTTACGCTCTCACCGGTGTCGCTGACCGCTCGGCTATGCGCGTTCTCCGCTATGGTTTGCCCATTGCCCAGATTGCGGGAACACCACTACCAGGTATCCCCTCTGGTTTATGGACTATTCCTCGTTCACAAGAGGATTCTATCGATAAGTATATTGTTGTTTCCTTCATTGGATCGACTTTGGTACTCTCCGTCGGTGAGACTGTAGAGGAGGTAGTCGATTCCGGTATTTTGGCAACGACTACATCGATTCTCGTCAGACCGATCGGTGCCGATTCAATCATTCAGGTATTCCCACATGGAATTAGACATATCAAGGGTGATCGTAGAATCAACGAGTGGCGTGCACCCGGAAGAAAGACTATCTCTCTGGCAACTTCGAATGCCACCCAAGTCGTTATCGCACTCGGTGGTGGTGAAGTCATCTATTTCGAGTTGGACGCAGCTGGTAATCTCTCAGAGGTTGCCAAGAAGGAGTTCCGTCGTGAGATCTCTGCATTGGAGATTGCTCCAGTGCGAAAGGGAAGACAAATGGCGAGATTCGTGGCGATCGGCGATTGGGAAGGACCTGTGCGTGTTCTCTCGCTGGACAAAGACAATCTTCTCAACCAAGTATCGGTTTTAGACACTGAAAGAATGCATATTGAATCGCTCATGATGAATGAGATGACCATCGGCGTGGAGATGCCAGAGGGAACCGCAAGCAGCAGCAGCGCCATTGCCAAACAACAGCAACTACAAAATCAAAGTAATCAAGTTCTCTTTTTAAATGTCGGTTTGAAGAATGGTGTTATGAAACGTGCGGTTGTCGATCCGATCACAGGAGAGTTGTCCGACACCAGAACCAGACTGCTCGGAAGAAAACCAGTCAAGTTCTCACGTGTCAAATTAAAGAGTGGCAATGCTGTGCTTGCGTTGTCCAGTCGTGTCTGGTTGTGCTATGTCAACCAAGGACGATACGATATGGTTCCAGTTTCAGTGGAACCGCTTGACAATGCCTCTGGTTTCAGTTCGGAACACTGTCCCGACGGTATTGTTGCCACCAGTGAAAACAACCTAAAGATCTTTGTCATTGAGAAACTCAGTGAGAAATTCAATCAAGTCAACGTGCCCTATAAGTGCACACCAAGAAGATTCGTAGTGCATCCACAGACACACTATATTGTATCAATAGAGACAGAACACAACTATTTAAATGAATTGCCAACACCCAAAGAGAATGGTAGTAATAAAATGGCAGAGGACAAAGATCCAGAGGTGAAACGTGAAGGTGACGATATGGACTATGAAGTCGATCAGTTTAGTTTGAATCAAAACGATAAACCACCGAAAGCTGGCGATGGCAAGTGGTTGTCCTATATTAGAGTACTCGAGCCAGTCAGCTATAGAACTTTGGATTTGGTGAAATTGGATCAAGACGAAGCTGCCTACTCGCTGGCAACATGCATCTTCCACGACCGTGAAGGTGAGGTATTCTTGGCGGTCGGTTGCGGCAAAGGCGTACAACTGAATCCTCGCAAGGTTGAATCGGCATCGATCCATCTCTATCGTTTCACAAACAACGGACAAACACTGCAACTCGTCTACAAGACCGAAGTAGAGGAAGTTCCCTATGCCATTTCTCACTTCCAAGGTCGTCTGTTGGTCGGTATCGCCAACCAGCTGAGAATCTACGAGATGGGTAAGAAGAAACTGCTCAGAAAATGCGAGAACAAAACACTGCCCAATAGAATCATCACTATGCATACTCAGGGTGATAGAATCATCGTTGGTGACGTGCAAGAGTCGTTCCACTATGCGAAATACAAAAAGTCAGAGAATCAACTCTATGTGTTTGCCGACGATACATCGCCACGCTTTGTCACGGCGTCGGCCATGCTCGACTACGACACGGTCGCCGGTGCCGACAAGTTTGGAAACATCTTTATCAATCGTCTTCCCGCGTCGGTTTCCGACGAGGTCGAAGAAGATCCCACCGGATCCAAGCTCAAGTTTGAATCGGGCTACCTGAATGGCGCACCGCACAAACTGGAGAACATCATCAACTTTTATGTTGGTGAGACAGTCAATCATATCTCAAAGACATCGCTCTCCGTTGGTGGACCGGAAGTTCTTGTCTATGCAACGCTGAACGGCACGATCGGTGCGCTGGTGCCATTCGTATCGAGAGAGGACGTCGATTTCTACACCTCGCTGGAACTTCAGATGCGTCAAGAGAACCCACCACTCTGTGGACGTGATCATCTCGCCTATCGTTCCTACTACTTCCCAGTGAAGAATGTCATCGATGGTGATCTCTGTGAACAATACATCAGCTTGGATCCAACCAAACAACAATCGATCGCCGAAGAACTCTCCAGGTCACCATCAGAGATTTTAAAGAAACTCGAAGATTTAAGATCATCTAAATTATATTAAAATAAATCAAAAACAAAAAATATAACATAATTATATATATATGAATATTCTCACCATCACTTTTATGTCATCATTAAATGCATCATTCGTCTTCGTTTTTTTTTCATTTGAATTTAAATTTATTAAATTTGTGGGGTGAAACACAATGAAATAAAAAAAAGTCATGATTGATAGAAGATTTTTAGATATATATTAGATCAGTACAAAGATAATATATATACTATATATATAATTATAAAGATGTCGGATCAAAGATTTGCAGAATTAAAGAATGATTTAATTTTAAGAGTTTGTAGAGGTGAAAAAGTAGAGCGTACACCAGTCTGGATTATGAGACAGGCAGGTCGTTATCTCCCAGAGTTCAAAGAGGTTCGTGCAGATGTAGACTTTTTCACAGTTTGTCGTAATCCAGAGTTGGCTTGTAAGGTTACTTTGCAACCGATCGATAGATTCCCAGGTTTGGATGCTGCCATCATCTTCAGTGATATCTTGGTGATTCCACAAGCGATGGGTTTGGAGGTGCAGATGATCCCGGGCAAAGGACCACACTTCCCAGATCCAGTACGTGAACCATCGGAGATGTCTCGCGTCAAATACCCTGTAGATATAAAGAAAGAGTTGCAATATGTGTTCGATGCAATCACTCTGACTCGTCAGCGTCTCGAGGGTCGTGTCCCACTGATTGGATTCTCCGGTGCACCGTGGACACTGCTCTCCTACTGTATCGAGGGTGGCGGAATCAGCGGTTCCGGAATGAACCACGCCAAACTCTGGCTGTACAAATACAAGGAGGAATCACATCGCTTCCTCAAGATGCTGACTGACACCGTAGTTGGCTATCTCATTGGTCAGGTCGATGCCGGTGCCCAGCTTCTCCAGGTGTTTGACTCGTGGTCTGGCGATCTCTCGCCCGATCTCTTCGATGAGTACTGTCTTCCCTATCTGGTGGATATTGCCAAGCGTGTCAAAGAGGTGCATCCAACGATCCCTATGATCTGCTTTGCCAAGGGATCAAACTTTGGTTTGACGAAACTCGCTCAACTCTCTCAATACGATGTTTTGGGTATCGATTGGACTATTGAGCCAAAGGTTGCACGTGAGTTTGTTGCCGGTACCAACAAGGTACTCCAAGGTAACATGGATCCAGCCGTTATGTTTGCCGGCCAAGAGGTTATCGATCGTGAAGTCGAGCGTATGATCAACTCATTCGGAACACAACGTTACATTGCCAATCTCGGTCATGGTATGCAACCATCGATGACCATCGATTCCGCCGCCAATTTCATTAGCTCAGTTCACAACATTTCAACAAGATTAGCAAGTGAAAAAGTAAATAAACAAGAATAAACAATAAAATATAAACAATTTTAAAATAAACTAATATATATATTATAAATAGTAATAATAATAATAATAATAATAATAATGTGTTTTATTCTTCATCTTCTGTTATATCTTTTAAAAACTTTGGACCTTTTACAATCTCTAAACCTCTAACTTGATGATATTTCTCGAATGACAGTAATTCACTTTGTTTCGAGAGTTCATCGGTTTCAAATGGTTCAACTATAATTATATATCCACTTGTTGAATACTTTTAAAATAATAATGATGATTGTTAAATTATAATCAATGTAATTTAAAATTTGGTAATGTATATAATGAGACTTACATTATTTTTTAAAATATCAATGTTTTGTGTGATTGTTTTGTTTGTTTCTAACAGTTTACCTTTTACGCAACTGTATATTGGGTAGGTGGAGTTGTCGTCGCATGTTATATAGGCAACGATTGTATCTCTATGTAATTTGAATGCACCTTTCTTCTGAGTGCCTTGAGTCTGATTGTTTTCAAGGTCACCGGTATATTCGATTTTCACCATACTCTTGGTTAACGCTGGATGTGTCGGTGCTAAACCAACTACACATACACCATTAGAATGTTTATTTATATACTGATCATTATTCTCTTTACCTGCAATATCAATTGCATAATATTGATCATAATATCTTTCAATTACAGTTCTCATTCTTTCTTTGCAAACCAAAATATAATATAAATATAAAACAAAACAAAATTTATAATGATATTAATAATAATTATAAAATTAATTTAAACACAAATATATTGTAAATTCAACTTAATATATATTTTTTAATTATATTTCCTTTAATTTAACATTATTTATGTTATAAATGATCAACGCTTTATCACACAAAGTTCATTACAGTGTAACGTTTTAGATCAATCGGTTTTTTGACAAAAAAATAATTCAAAAAAAAATCGAATAAATTAATATTTTGTAACAACACTCGACTCGATTGTTAATATTTATAAATTATTCGGTCATTTTTTCAAAAATTTGTTTTGTTTTTATTTTATTTATTTTTTATTCAATATATTAGTATTTTTTTATATAATATAGTTGTTGAATGAAAAATGGATAAGAAAGCAACTAAATCAACAACAGCAACAACAACCAAGGGTAAAGTTGCGACTTCAAAGAAACAACCAGTTGAAAGTATCGTTGCTAAACCAACTGCATCAGTCAAGAAAGTTGCAACCACAACAGAGAACAAACAACAACAACCAGTAGCAAACAAAACTAATGGTGCAGAAAAGAAGAATAATAACAAGAAAGTTGAAACTGTTGTTGCTCAACCAACTGCAGTGCCAGTAAAGAAAGTAGTAGAATCAAATACTGCTGCTGCTGATGCTTCTGGTAAATCATTGGGAAAGAGAAAGGATACTCAATCAAAGCCAAAGGCTGTTATCCAAGAGGAGAAAGAAGACAAAGAGAATACCTTTAATTTCACTAAGGAAATAGAGGAGGAAGAAGAGGAAGATCAAGTTGCTCCAGAGCAAGAGAGTGGAGACGAAGATGATTTGGCTGATTTCGATAGTGATGCCGAAGACGACGACGAAGATAAGGAATTGGATGATGAATATAAAAAGTTGTTAGAGTTTAAAAAGGCTTTGGCCAACGTAGAAGATGGAGATGACGAAGACGACGATGACGAAGATTCAGATGATGATTCAGAGGAAGGATTGATGTCTTTGGAATCAGACGATCTCGAATCCGATGAGGAAGACGACATTGAAAGTGACGGTGTCTCCACCACAACCAACGGTACAGCCACCTCGAAAACAGACGCATCATCAGAGGACGAATACAACGACGATCCAAATCAATTCTATGAAACAGATGATTCTGAGGAAGACGAAGTAAGTATTAACAACTTAATCGAGTATATGAAAAGTTACTAACTTTTTTATTACTTTAGAGTGTTGTAAATAGAGTTGGTAATATTCCAATGCATTGGTATGACGATGAAGATCACATTGGTTATGATGTCAATGGTAATAAGATTATGAAGGGTGAGAAGAGGGACGCTCTCGATAAATTCTTGGATCAAGCCGATCCAAAGTTCTGGAGAACTGTATACGATAAAGTCAATGATAAGAAGGTCGAGTTGACCGACGAGGATCTCGAACTCATCAAGAGTATCAGACAACGTCGTTTCCCAGGTGGTTACAATCCCTACGAAGATTGGTACGATCCAGGTCCCAACCCAGACAGCATCCATCCTCTCTCGAATGCACCGACTCCCAAGCGTTCGTTCCTTCCACACAAGGCTGACGAGCTGAGAGAGGTGCGTCGTCTCGCCATTGCAATTCGTGCCGGTTGGATCAAACTCGATGACACCAAGGAGGAGAAGGAAAGCAAGGCAAACTACGATCTCTGGGCACCCAAGTCAGAGGCGGAGCGTCAGGAAGACGAACTTTTGGAGCGTACCGAAAAGAGAATCTCTCGTATTCCTGCACCAAAGCAAAAGCTGCCTGGTCATGTCGAGTCGTTCAATCCACCCGAGGAGTATTTGCTCACTCAGAACGAGTTGAAGGCATGGCATTTGATGGATCCATCGCGTCGTCCACACAACTTTGTGCCACAAAAGTACGAACACATGCGTCGTATCCCAACCTATAACAATATTATCAAGGAGCGTTTCGAGCGTTGTTTGGATCTCTATCTTTGTCCACGTAAGCAGCGTTTAAAGAAGCTCGACAAGGACGGTACCCATTTGCTACCGAAACTTCCAAAACCACAAGATCTCAGACCATTCCCATCCTACGAGGAGTTGCAATACAAGGGACACACCAGTCGTGTACGTTCCATCTCTGTTTCACCAAGCGGACAATGGTTGGCATCTGGATCGGACGACGGTACCATTAAAATCTGGGAAGTTTCAACCACTCGTTGTGTTCAAACTTACAATGTTGAACATACCGTATTCTGTGTACAATGGAATCCAAATAAGAATTTAAATATTTTAGCTGCATCATAGTAAGTTCATATAAACTTTATTAACAATATTGTTTACTTTGACATTCAAATTTACTAATTAATTAATTTCATTATCATCTTTTTTATAGTGATACTAAAATTATTATTATTACACCAAAACTTTATGGTGAAGAACCAAATCCAGAATTGGAATCAATTTTCGCAAAATCATCAAATGATGGACAATCAGGTGCAACCAAATGGTATTTGTTAAACAAAGAGAATGGAATTAGAATTGAAATCGAAAATGAATTTGTAAATATCAGCAGAAAAAAGATTTATTGGTTTATTTTGTATTTATTAGTTCTAATTTATTTATATTTTTATTACTACTTTACTTATCAATATTATAGAAAGTTAAAACTATTAATTGGCATCATAAAGGTGAATACTTTAGTACAGTGGCATCTGAGGATCAAGCTAAAGCAGTAAAGATTCATCATTTAAGCAAGAGAAAAACACAAGCACCATTCAAGAAATCAAAATCCGCCTATCAAGTATCAAAGTTCCATCCATCGAAACCAATCTTTTTCTTGGCCGACCAAAATGTAATTCGTGTCTACGACTTGATGAAGCAAAAGCTCATCAAGAAGGTCATGACAGGAAGTCGTTATATCTCATCGATCGATGTCCATCCAAGTGGTGACCATTTGATTCTCGGTGGTTACGACAAGCGTGTATCTTGGTTCGATCTCGACATGTCACAACCATACAAGGTTATGCGTTATCACAAGGAGGCTGTCCGTCGTGTAGTCTACCATCCATCGCTACCACTGTTTGCTTCGTGTTCCGACGATCTTTCGATCCACGTGTTCCACGGTATGACCTACGACGACTACATTCAGAATGCCTTGATCGTGCCACTGAAGATTCTTCGTCGTCACAGATCTGATGATGGTCTTGGTGTTTTGGACATTGTTTTCCACCCAACTCAACCTTGGATTTTCAGTGCCGGTGCTGATTCAACCATTAGATTATTCAATTAAAAAATAATTTAATAAATAAAAATATATATAAATATTTAAAAACTATAAAATCAAATCATTTTTCAAACAATTTGTTTATGCTCAAACATGAAGATCTTCCAATTTGTGATATCGAATCTCAGGAGTAAACATCTTTTCAACCTTTTTGTAAAAACAACTGATTATTGGGCAAAATTTTTAATGGTTTCTTTTATCATAGAATATTGATTCGATTTGGAGATTTATTTTATTGGGTATTACTTTAAGCTATATTGCAAACCTCTTATAACGACTAGATCTATTTGATTGAATTCAATGAATTCAATCATTATATAATATCGATCATGATTGATTAAACTGTTATTATGCTGAATATTAAAAATATAAATAAGAGTAATAATCGGATGAACTAGTTTTATTCCTTAAAATGTTTAAACTTATTGTAATTTTATCTATATTTGTTGCTTGTGTAATTGCACAACCAGCAGGAACTCTTCCTGGTATTCAAAATGGTTACTTAATTTTATCATCGACTACAGATTATAATGCTGATCATGGAGTTCAGAATTCAAAATTAAACAGACCAAGTAAATATTCATCTTAACTTTTGCAAAAATATAATATACTTTTTTTACATTTTTGGATGGAAATTCTTTAGTAGAAAGAATAACTAATATTATTTATTTGTAAACTTAGTTCGTGCCTGGATTCCTACAACTACTGCTATAAATAATGTAAATCAATGGATAATGGCCAGTTCAAGTGTACCTTTTGATGTATATGGAATTTCTGTCCAAGGACGTTATGACGCAAATGATTGGATCATCGAGTTCACTATTCAAGTCTCTCTTGATGGTGTAAACTGGCAACAAATTGGTAAGTTTTTTTTAACTTTTCTTTGTTTGTTTTTAAATATTTTATTCTAATTAGAATAAAATTTAAAAGGATACTTCTATTCTAATTTGAATGATAGAAATACTGTAAAGTATATCGATTTCGGAGGTGCAAGAAGAGTCAGAAATGTTATGTTAGTGCCAAAGAACTTCATGGGCACAGCTTATGCACTCAGATGGGATGTCCTTATGAAAATCGTTTAAAGATTGTGAATATTTGATCGTGTGATCTATCAATCATGTTATCATTAAATCATTAAATAATATATGTTTTTCTATTTATAATAAATAATATTAAAATCTATCTATTTTTATCGATAAAAATTCATGGTTTTTTATTTGTCAAACGCATCTCATAGCAATGTTGATTACAATTATGAATCTTAAAGAAACGATCTATTCCCTCCTGACCCAAATTGGTTGAACCATATTTTTTAAGGTGTGTTGAATGAATTGTAGGATTAGACAAAATTAGACCACGATCAGTAATGACACCTTGTAAGTCTACCACCAATATTTTCCTATCGCTAACTACATAGGTCCAATGTGAAAATGTTTGTAAAATATTTTCCAAATCTGGATCATTATTACCACTATTATTATACTAATAAATATTATCAAAAAATAAATGTTATATTAATAACTTGATAGATTTAAAACTCTATAAAAATAAATATTGATTACTTACTTTAATATAATCACCTTTATAGAGCATCTCCATTCCATAGTATTTCTCTGTTTCAACCACTTTTATAACCTTTGCAATTCCAAATGTAACTATATCCTTACCCTAAATAAGAATTGTAATAATATTATAAATATTTGGCTTTAAGAATAATACTATGTATTTAAAAATGTTGTACATACAAATCTTTTGTTAAAATCAAATCCCAATTTTGCAGCTGTTGTTTGAGTCTCCATAACATCATAATACTTTCTACGCATCTCTCTTTGACTGCTACTCTGTTTTATAAATTCTTTAAGAATTACTTCCTTTTTTAAGGTTTGATTGAACGCATAGAATGCATATCGTCTAAAATTAATGAAAGTATTGGATGATAGATTAATATCAAGATGTAATGGAAGTAAAGTTAAATTTGATTAGACATACTGTGATCCTTTAGCAAATGGTCTTGGTGCAATCTTTACTTGACATGTAATCTCTTGAGTTTGATAATTGAAATTTGGATCGAGAGCATCCTCTAGTAAACGAGGCAGGTGATACTTTCTTTGGAATACACATTCCTCTTTTAAATGAAAATAGTTTGGTTTCACTGTATCGATTGTATAGGAAACTGTTTTCGTTGTTTTAGAATCATCCTTTGAGTCACTAGCTGGTTGTTGTTGATGTTGTTGATGTTGCTGTTGATGTTGTTGTTGATGTTGTTGATGTTGTGCAGCAGTTGCCAATATGCTATCAGATACCAATTTAATTATTTTATCACCGAGATGACGAGTTTCTTTGGCATCGAATGTAGTTATCTGGCACTGTCCGTTTGTCAAAAGATTCAGTGTCTGATTGAATATGTGTATCATTGTGGATGTATTGTCGACATTGACGGCACCAAAGCAATAGTTGATACCATATTGCACGATGTTTTTCATGACATCCAAATGAGTGATTCCGTAGGGATCGCCATTAGGGAAATTATCAAGGAATCTATGATATTGATTACCGTGACATGGCGAATCTGTTATATGCATCAAAACTCTAAAAATTTGGTTAATTTAAAATAAAGGTTAAAAAAAAAAAATCAATAAAATAATTTCATTCTATTCTTTGTTGTATGTATCTTTCATTTCTCTTTATGTTGTCATAATCGTTTGATACAATTAACTATCTATTTCTAATTCAAATTCATTTTTCATATATATATTTAATTGATTGATTGTTTTGTTTGTTTGTTTGTTTGTTTGTTTGTTTGTTTGTTTGATATTACTTTGTACTTTCTTTTCTCCAGTTATGTTGAAATACTACATTAAATCCACCGAATACATCCTCAGGTCCGTCGTCGCCTCCAAATGCAATTATATTTGATAGAAACATTGTAAATTCCTCTGTTGATCTAAATGAAGATATGAATTTTATTTTTGTTTGCATGTTAGTAAGTCTTAAAAGTAAGAAAGTAGAATGATGGCTCTTAAATATTTACTTGGTAAATGGAAGAGATAAAGATCTGTTGTCAGCTCTATCAAAGTCAGAGTAACAAACAATCGCACATTGCATATCCAAATTTCCAAAGGTAGATCCCAATTTATTGTAAAGTATAGAGATATCATTTTTTAGTTGTTCAATATATGGCTGCATAGATGCCGTACAATCTACCAAGAAACATAGATCAACCTTGTTTTGTTATGTTTAAATGATAATAAATTTATATATACATATTTTTTTGTTTGTTTTTTTTTTTTTTTGTTTAAACAAATATTTTATAGTCCAATTTCCAATTATTTAATTTGTTTATATTTATATTGTTGTAATGTATTTTTGATTTTTGTATCAGTTTTATTTTTATTTAATAAATCTAGGTTGTATAATAGCTAACAAAATAGTTTTGTTTTCAATTTTAATATACGTACAATTGGAGTGTCATTCTCTTTTTCGCGCAATTCAAACAGTTCGTCTAAAATATCTCGAATTCGATTATTTTCGTCATCGACTTTTGGTTGTTGAGTTTCAATCATCTGTAATGTTAATGGTTCATCGATTTTCTTTTTAATATCAAAAAAATTATTATCATCTTTATATTTTTCGTTGTTATTGTTGTTGCTGCTACTGTTATAAATATTATCACGGTATGAAGAAGATGAAGAAGATTCATTATATCTTTGAATATTATTATTATTACGATCTTGATCATTGTTATCATTGTCATGTTGATCATGACGATGATGTCTGTTTGGTAAATGTCCACCACCGCCGCCACGTCCAAATGGATAAGGTTGATATCTTCCTCTTTCAGATCTCCAATTTCCACCACCGTTATTATCGTCATGATGATTATCATAATCCTTTCTATTATTATTGTTGTTGTTATTGAAATCTCTATTCATTTTTTATTTGTTTGGTTTTTCAAAACATATAAAACATTTATTTTTTATTCAATGGTTCAAGAATGATTCTTTTTTTTACTATTTTATTATTGGTCATCAAAAAAATCTTTTGTCAAAGCAAAATAAATGCTTTCAAAAATAAAATTAAAACGAATGAAAGTTGTGTGATCTCGCGGTGGTGGGTGAAAATATTTTCACACTAATTAGTGTGTTTAATACGAGTTGAACTCATGAAAAAACACCAATTTTGCTTTATTCATTAAAAATTTGGCAAAGATCTGATGAAAAAAAGTTAATTTTGTTTGTTTGTTTTTTTTTTTGTGTGATGATTTTGATATCGCAGTAAATCCAATAATGAATTTGATTTGTAATAATTATTACAAATTATTCATTGTTGTTTGTTGTTGTTGGTTGTTGTTAGTTCTTGTTGGGTGATGGATGTATTACTTGTTGGACCCGATAGATTGAAGTGTATCTTTCTTCTTTGACTCGGCACGTGATTTAACAACGGTTTTTAAAAGTAGGAAATCACAAGAGACACCACCAGCCACCATCAGAAACGCAGTCTTGGGATATTGTCTTGCAAAGTTCATTAATTTGATTTGGATTTGCTTTAAAGTGTCATAAGTAATAAACATAGTTGTTTTAAATTTAATTAAGCAATTGTAAAAAGAAAAAAAAAAACTGAAATGAAAAATCGGAAATGATCTTTCTTTAAATAAAAAAAAAGTTGTGACATAATTGTGATCATTTCTAGATACACATTAGAATTATTTATTAATTACAATTATTTATTGTTTTGACTAATAGTTTTGGGGTAGTATAAGTATGATATGGTATGCTCATTTGATATTATAGATCCAATATTTAATATCATCTATATCTTGGAATCTGATTGAAAGTAACGTTTTAAGAATAGGTAATCACAAGTGGCTCCACCAGCAACCAGAGTGAATGTTGTCTTTGGATTTTGTCTTGCAAATGAGAGAACTTTAACTTGGAGTTGTCTTAAACTATTTGAAGCTAACATCTTTTTGTTTTTATAAATTTTGAGTTGGGAGTTATATATTTTATTGTTTAATGTATTATTTGATTATTTATATCTTCATTGTTTATTCAGATAATAGTATAAATACTTTGGTATTGCCTCTTTTAGTTCTTCTTTTTGACCTGGTAAAAACATTCTTTTTTTGCAAAACACCAAAAAAAATGAATTTTTAGATCGAAAAAAATATGTGGTTATATTGTTTTTTGTGGTAATCATTTTCAAACCAGGTGTAAGTTCAAATAATATTGATTCCGATTGTACACATTTACTGATTTGGGAAAAGTTCCACTTTAATTAATTTAAAATGATATAAAATTTAAATGTTATTTTACCAGGAATATGAAATCTATAGATTAATAATATAAATAAGATAGGTTTACATTGTAATTTCATCTAAAAAAAAAACAAATAAAATCCATTACAAATAAAATTATAAAACAATATATATTTATATTTATTTATTAATATCCCTCTTAATTTAAAATGCTTGCTTCCAATAGTTTAAGACATCTCCAAGTTAAAGTTCTCTCATTTGTAAGACAAAATCCAAAGACAACATTCACTCTGGTTGCTGGTGGAGCCACTTGTGATTACCTATTCTTAAAACGTTACTTTCAACAAAACACAGGTTCCAAGATATAGATAATTTCAACTCCAAATAATTATAGATCTACAATTAAATCAAAACAACTTTTTTTGTAATCATTTAAAAAATTCTTTAAACCAATAAATATTCTTTATTATCCTATGCATTGGGGTTGTGTATCTACCAAAATTTGTAAACTCTTGATCGATTCTTCAAATCCAGACTATAAATCTAAAACATATCTGAAAACCAAAAATAGAAAATCATACCCGTCAATAATGATCATCAATGACAGCAGATAGAGAATATTCTCGTCGATCAATATTGAACAATATTGAAGAAAATGAAAGAAAAAAAGAAAAAAATAAAGTAATATATATACTAATATAAAAAAAAAAACAATTTGTCACATTTATATAAATGTATATGTGTATCAACCATTACTTTGATTGTTAATAATAGTTTTTGTCAAACAATGGGAATGAGATATTGGATTGTGAACTTGAGAGAGGTCCTATCACGTCGGTTAGTGTTCTTACCAGTCCAACAGATGCACCACCAAGACATACATCACTCTCTGGTTCATATATACATAGAATTTGACCTGGTGCCACTGCTCTCTCTGGTTGCTCCAATTGCACAGAGTAAACACTCTCCTGAGGATTCTCAGCCAAATGCTCCAACGAAATCTCACCATTCACCAAACTGGATCGATATCTAACTTGACATCTAATTTTCATTGGTACACCTGCGGTCAACAGTCTCTCTGGAATTCCGTTGATCCAATTGATACGATGCACCTGCAGCGATTGCGACATCAAATACTTCTTTGAGAGTGACTCTGGACACACGAAAACACAATTGTTATCCTTGTCGATCTTGTAGACGATGTAGCGCTCTTCCAACCCAGAGATATTTGCTTTCTGTCCGATGGTGTAGCAGATTGCACCTTTGTGTTGTCCAACCTGCTGATCTAGCGGATTGAGGAATGCACCGGGTTGAAGGTTGATGTAGGTTCCGAGGAACTCGTCGAGTGGTCGCTTACCAACGAAACAGATACCGCGACTCGAAGTCTTGGCGGTGATGTTGGTGTATCCCAGTTGATTGGCGAGTGCTTTGATATCGGTTTTCACATAGTCACCAATCGGGAAGAGTGATCGATACAGCTGTCTGCCCTCGGTCATACAGAGAAAGTACGATTGATCTTTGTTGGGATCGACACCGCGCAGCAAACGAGCACTTTCAAGCTCATCGTCGTACTGCAGTCTCGAGTAGTGACCGGTAGCAATCATATCGGCACCAATACTCTTTGCATACTCATAGAAAACATTGAATTTGATCTCACGATTGCAGAAAACATCAGGATTCGGTGTATAACCCTGACTATATTCCTCTAGAAATGAATTGAAAACTCTATTCCAATATTCCTTTACAAAATCAGCCTGTTTTGTTTGTTTGTTTGTTTTTAAAAAACGTTTTATTATTAGATTTCTTGTTTTTTTTGATTGATTTTTACTAACTAACTAACTAACTAACTAACAAACTAATAAATAAAACAACTTACATGATATATTGGTAATTGTAATCTATTAGCAACGTCTTGTGCATCGCTATAATCTTTCTCACCGGTGCAGTAGCCGAGTTCATCTTTTTCATCCCAACTCTTTATGTAGACACATTGAACTTTGAAACCTTGCTTCTTTAAGAGGTATGCTGTGACAGCTGAATCAACACCACCCGATAAACCAACACATATCTCTGGTTTTTTATTGATCAATGAAAAAGATGATTGTTTTGGATATATAATTGTTTTTGATAGTTTTGTTTCGATTGCATCTGAAGAAGATGAAGAAGATATAGAAGTAGATGAAGAAGTAGCAGTAGTTGTTGTACAACTATAACATCTCTTTATAATGCTACTACCACTATTATTGCTATTGAATTTACATAAATTAATGATTGATTTTAACATTGTATGATAATCATCATTAATATATTGCAGTTAACACAGTAGTTTTTAAACAATCGTTTTTTCATTGTCATAGTTAAATTTCTTATTTTTTTTTATTTTTTGTTTTTTAGATTTATTTTTTTCATTTTTAGTGTTGAACTAATGATGATGTGAGTGATTGATTAAAGCAGTAGATACTGATTGATGTTTATTTATATATTAATATACTTTAAATATTATTTAATATAAATATATAAATATAGATATCATTTAAATATATAGATTTTATAAAAGAATGTCATCAAATAATAATTCCTTTGAAAAAGGAGGTCTTGTAGGATATTTTAAATCATATTTCACACCAGAACAGAAAAAAGATGATAAATCATCAACAAATATTAAAGAATCACCAAATTTACAAGAAAGCTCAACAGAAACAACAACAACAACAGATTTAAATAGTGGTACAGATAAACCAACATTGACCGATGCACAGGCAGAGAAGAAAAAGAAGGCGTTGGAACAATATGCAATTCTGAAGCGTTACGAAGAGTTGGAAAATAGAAAAGGTATGATGATGCAGGTTGCCCAAGAGGTACCGAGTGTCATCGATAACAATATAGATAGAGAGCGTTACTCGAGGATGTACTTGGGTGAGCAACACACAGAGAATCCCGACAAGTCGTTGTGGTTGGCAGGCGCACTCTCTGGTGGCACCGGTTTTCTCATTGCAAATTCCTTCATGAAATCGAATCCCATTCGTGGACTGCGAGTGTTTGTTATCTTTTCATCTTCTTTCGCAGCCGGCTACTACGGAGCACAGACATATTACAACGCAAGAAAAACAGAGATCGAAGACTATCGTGAGCGTAACGAAGACATCATCGACGAACAAAACTTTATCAAACAAGCTGCAACCAAACAAATGTACGAAACAATATTATCAAGAAACATGAAACTCATAGATAGTGAAATAGAAAAACTTAATCATCCTCATAAGAATACTGATTTATCAGAATAAAAAACAAAACAAAACATATATAAATATATTCGATTTTAAACACATTATTTAGTTTAGTTAATTAGTTTCTTTTGTTTTCAACATATATATATTTTATTAAATTATTATTTAATTATTTTCATTTGTTGTTGTGATGATTTCGTTTGTTGTTATATTTGTTTTTGATGGGGAATTATCGTTAGCTGTTGTTGATGATGATGATGATGTTGTTGTTGTTGGTGGAATGTTGATTGAATTGGTTGGTGTAATTGTATTGTTGTTGTTTGGTTGTTGTTGTTCGTTTATCCATAGAACGGAATCCCAGAGTTTTTGTTTGAAGAACTCCCAGCGTTCCTTGCCGAGTTTCAGACGTTCTTTAGAGTGTTGCGGTATCGATTTCGATTTGGCGATGTATTGGGCGATCATCTTGTTGGCGCAGGCACGACGTTTCTCTTCGACCTCTTGCAGTAGTTTCTGAATGGTCGAGTGTTGTTTGAGTAGCTTGTCTTTACGTTGTTTGATTCGCTTCTCCTTGAGCTTCACCAGCTTCTCTTGCTGACTGTTGAACTTTGTCTCGACGGGCTGCATCAGCTTGGCGATACGAGTTTCAATCTCAATACGCTTCGGTGTGAAATCGTCTCGGTAGTAGGTATCGATGAAACACCCGATCGGATCGTTGAGATCGTCGTGCTGTTGCTGTTGCATTTCGACTTCGCCGGAATCGTGGTCTGCGTTGTTGCTATTGTCAAAGAACATCTGAATCACAGATTGATCTTCAAAGATGTTACTGATGATCTTTCGGCTTTCTTCACTGCCGCCAAACACATTCTTCAGAACCGAGCATATTTCATACTGCAATTGTGGGTCACTCACTGAAATATGGAAGAAATACAAAAGATACAACAATCCATTGTTTGTCTCTCTGAATGCTTTCTGGTCGACAACACATTCGAAATCAAATGTCATAATTGCTCCTTTAATATCACCTATTATATATGGAAAGGATTAAGAATGGATTAATATCATTAGAGAACAATCTATATATATATTCAAGTTGAAAATGATAAACTTACATCTTAATAATTGAATGATTAACATATCTCTATGATCAAATAGACCATTGGATTTCATGGTTGCTCTGATGACAGAGGTGTTGTGAACGGCTAGTTGATTGATGGTATTGAGTATTCTCATTGAGATATCGGGTGGAACTGCAATGTCTTCGAGTGTCTTGAAGTATAGTACAAGGTTTTTAACGATGATGTCGGCAGACTCGTTGGTTGGAAGTACATATTCTTTCTCAAAGTAATCCAGTACACTATCCATGATATGTACGTAGAGTTCTTCGAGATCGATGCAAACCTCTTTGATTCTTATGATCTTCGATGCCTTCTTAAAGATATCGTGGATGATCATACGCTTGCAGATAGCCAGTGCTTGCATATAGACTTTGTTTTCCTTTGTCAATTGGAATCCTTGGTGCTCGATGAACTGGTAGAGCCACTCGAACCACGGTTGATTCCATAGGACATCCATATTGGTGGAATCGAGAACCTTTTCGATCTCAACCAAGCATTGGTATTGAACTTGGATGATCGAGTCGTCCTGTGGATGATTTGGCAAGCTGTAGAGCAGGAGGAATATGGTATGCAATGCCTCTGGATAGACAATGGTTCTGCCGTCACTCTTGCCGCTGTGGTGTCCGTGATGGTCGTGGTCGTCAAAGGAGTCACTCTCGACCGATCCCGTTTCACCTGGAATCGTAGGAGATTGAGTGAGAGTCGACAGTGAATCGGAACTCTTGTCTCTGGTGAAGAAGTCGAGTGATATCCAACTGGAAGAACGTTGTTTGGTTTCCGGTACGCATTTCGGATCGAATCGGTAGCCGTCAACCATGAGCACAGTCAGTGCTTTGCAGACGGGCAGTGTAGGTGGATATCTAGCCAGTAGAATGGCCAACAAATCGAATCCACTGTTTCTTCTGAAGAGCGATGCTGCCTTCGAGTTTGAATGTATCAGCAGACCAATCAGTTTGATAGCGGTCACTCTAATATCTTCATTGGGTATCTCAATCAATGAGAATACAATATTGAATCCACCCAACGAACGTAGATTCTCCAGTAAGCTTGGACATTTTCTCATTTCCTCGTAGACGATATCCAATACCTTTGATTTGGCATGGATTTTCTCGTACACTCCATTGGTATCTTTGAATAGAATGTACTCAAAGATCGATTCCACGTCATCTATTGAGATATGGGGCAGTATCTTTTTGATGATATTCAACAGGAACATCGACTCTGACTCCAACTTGAGTGACAGCGCCAAAAGATAGTTTATCTTTGAAGCGCCTTCACCACCGGTGTTGGTAATCCAAAGCTTCAGTGTATCGTAGGCAGAGTTGTTGAGCAAGTTGTTGAAATACTTTAGAACGTGTAGTTGAAGTTCTTCGGTACACGATGGCAACAGGTCAAGAATCAACGTCATACAATCGTGACTCCAAAGTTGTTTGGTATCGGACAGGTTATTCATACCGTCCAACAGCAAGTCAAAGAGAATCTCGAACGATTCCATTGTAAGCTCGGCATTGAGAGAGGGATGTGGGTTGGCAGTCGACGGTGAGAATCTTAGGAGCAGGTGATAGAGAATTGCAAAACCATTCAGCTCACGGAATTGTGCCTTGTTGGAATCACTCTTGTGAAGCAGTCCCGCAAGAATACGTAGACCGGCAACTTGTTGAGCTGGCGCCATATCCAAGAATGGCAAACACAAATGAATACCACCGACTTCCTTGATTACATCCTTCAAGCAACGAGTTTGATGGACATTTACACCAATGAACTCAATGAGTGCACCTTGTGTCTCATTAGGCACCAAGTTGGACATTGATTTCTTGAGGAGCGATTCATCTTTTGGAACTTGTAGAATTTGATCGCTTGAATTTACCAACGGATTCAAACCGCTGCTCTCCTTGTCTTTGGAGATTGGCGATGTTGTAATAAGATCTGGGTTATTGAAAATAAGGAATGGACTATCACGTGATGGTGAGATATTGCTTGTTGCGCTGTTGACACTGTTACCGGCACTCGATCCACTTCCTCCAGAAGCGATAGGACCAACAGCATTGTTGTTATTATTACTATTGCCACTGAGTGAAGACAATGGTAGTTGTCCTTGGAATGAAAGATTTCTTGGTATCGATGGTGAGGATGGTGGCGAGTGAATTGGTATTGGTGGCATGAAAACTTCACCAGACATGGAGAGTGTGGTGTTGATTGGCTCGATGATGTTCGACGGCGAAGAAGCAGGCTTGATGACGAGGAACTCTTTATTCTCGATTCCTAGTGTCTTGTAGGTATTGTTATAGAGGTTACCTCTACTGTATACCTTGTAGCAGGAAGGAGCTTCCCAGATACCTTCGAAAAAGTGAATCGTTCCCATTTGACCGCAGAAGAATCCTTTCTCGTAGCCATTGCCGTTCATCTCGCGGAGTGAGCTCGAAAGAGTTTCTTGGTCCATCGAGCTGAGAGAGTTAAAACTGGTTTGCGATGCCTGGCTAATCAGCTGACTGAGATTGCTGCTGCTATTGTTGTTGCTGTTGTTGTTGTTGTTGGCGGCGACGGTGCTATAGAGACGACGACCGATGCAACCTTGGATAGGCTTATCCTTGGTGATGGTCTTTGGGTAGTTGGCGGTGCTGTAGTTCTGAATGAATTTGCCGTCGACGTACAACGAGATCTTTTGTTTGTTGTGAGTGATCACGATGTGATGCCAGCCGCCACACTCGACGAATCCAAACTTGTCGAAATAGAATGTCTCTGGAGGCGAAGGGTAGTTTCTCGTTTGGATGCAGAGATAACGTTTGTTTTCGGGATGCTTGCCGAGTGCCTTGAAGTAGACATCGAATATATTGTTCTCGTTGGTGTCTTGCCAGCTGAACAGACCGGCCTCATCACTGAGGAAGTAATTGGTTCGCAGCCAACAACTGAATGTGTAACCACTTCTCTGACTTGGGAATTTATCGATCGTTCCAACAGAGATATAGCTATCGAATCCATCAAAGTTAAAGTATAAAGGTGGTGCCTTTCTCTCTGTCAGCGTACCGATAACATAGAGAACCTGCATTTGTAACTCTTGTTTTCTGTTTCGTTCTCTTCGTTGAACGGAATGAGTAGAAGATGGAGTGTTTACAAAATTACTGTTGTTGCTGTTGTTGTTGTTGTTGTTGGCAGCTTGTTGCAATGCAGACGATAGGTTATTGTTGTGATGGTGTAACAATTGTGGATGTGATTCAAACGATGGGAAGCATGCTAGATCAAAGAGAAGACGTACCTCAGATGGACTGATATCGTAGAGACCGAGGATGACAATGAGACGACTGTAGTAGGATTGTGTTTCCTCTGGTGACTGGTGAGAGAGGTACAGCAGGAATTTCAATCCTTGTGCAGCGCATAACATCTTTTTGTTTTGTGGGTTGGATTCGAGTATCTTCATGAGCAGGATCAAGTTGTGTTGCTGGACGTGTGTAGGTGACTGTGGGAGCAGGTCGACGAGCATCAGGGCGGCATCTGGAGAACGTAGTTTCGATCTGCCCAACAAAGTGTAGGAATAGAGTGTTTCTTTGTCGTCTTCCTGTACAGAGAGTTGTGAACGATAGTATTTGATTTGTGATGCTTCCGTAAGGAGCACGTTGTTGCTGTTAAAGTTTGACATGTTGTCAGAGTTGACTGTGGCCTGACAGACACCGTAGAGATCATCGAAAGAACCTGCCCACGAACCAATACTGTTTCTTCTGGTTCCGCTGAAGAGATTACGGAAGCTTGGAACACGAACAATACCGGTCTTTGCTTGGAGCACATGCGAGATGTTCATCGATGCCGGCATCGACGGCAAACTGAGATGCGAAGAACTATGATTGGTCATCTGCTGCATCGCTTGAAGATGTCCGTTTTGTGAGCTGGACAAAGAGTGAACCGGTGTCGTCGATGGACTTGACACTGGCGAGGTATCAATAGCCAGATCCTCACCCAAGTTAATCTCATCGCCATACAGCTGTTGCTCCTGTTGTTGAACTTCACCTTGAATATTGATAGATGGTTTACCACCTGCCAATAATGTCATCTGTTGTTGTTGTTGTTGCTGCTTTTGTTTCTTGAGATTGTTGGTTGCCGATGCAACTTCGACAAGTTGACGCTTCGAGTATGGTAGGATCGAAGTGTATTGAGGTTGCGGTTGTATGATGTTTTGTATGACATGATTGACGCGCGGCGAGAAGATCTGCTCGAGATAGTCAATGTCGTAGCGAATGACGACGTCGTTGTTCATCGCCAGCTCAACAAACATCTGGAAGAGATACTGATCGATTACGACATGCGATGACTTTACCACTGACGACAACGCCATGTAGCCGCTGCTGTCCAGTACACACTTGTTCTCTTCGCAGCCATGACAAGCCTCACAGAGTGCAACGAGCGATGCATACACCAGCCCTTGTGTGGCGTTGGCGTTGCGTGCACAGGCGACCAGCGAATTGAGACCACCGCACTCTTGGAATTTAATCTTGAGTGACATCTTATCGGGCGGAACCAATCGCATTACGTCGGCAATGCAATAGCAAAGCTTCTCCTTTTTGTCCATCGAGAACGACTGGTCGTCGAGCATGGCAATCAACACACCGATACTGCTATTACTACTGCCCGTTGCAAAGCTGTAGGAGTTGGCATCCATCGACATCATCGTAACAACAATCCAAAGACACAGATCAGACACATCACTACCGCCAAGATAATGATTGTCCTCCATCGCCAATCTAACAAACAACTTTATAGATTCTGGTTTCGAAATAAATTCAATAGTTGTTTCATCGTCTACATCTAAAAAAAAAATATCAAATTAGTATATCTATCTATCTATCTATTAAAACATCTTCTAAAAAACAACAACAACATACATTTAATATACATAAAAATTAATTCTAAAATCAATAGTAATTTCTCTGATAAAGTTTGTATCTTCTCATCGTATTCACTATCAATATCATCCTCCTCCAATTGCTCTCTATCAATATTATTCTTTAACTCTTTCAACTCTCGCTGATATCTTTGTATGATATCTATAAAAACTGATAATAAATTCTTTTCTATTAATGTCTATAGATGATGATGATGATGATGATAAGTTAATATTTTGAACTACATAATATGTTTAATTAGTTTTTTGTCTTCATTTTTTTTTACCTTATGATAGATGGTATCTGATAATAATGTAATGGATGAAGATAGCATCAATGATTGTAATGTATCTGTTAATGGTGGATCTGATTTATGCATAAGATCAACATATTTTCTGAATACCTCTGTATTATGTTTACTAAATAACACACCCAAATACAATATCAATTCACTTGTTGCCAATAGCAATTTCGTTGATTCCTTTTCATCATTTAAATCTTCATTTTCATTCTCTTTGTTCTGTTGTTGATAATTATAAATTGCAAAACATTAGTTAACTAATCTATCTAACTAACTTTTGTATGTATGCATTAATTCTACTACTACTACTACTTACACCATGTATATCTAAAACAAGTTGAAATAGCTTATCGATTGCACCGACATGTCTGATGCTGATGATGTTCAACGGGTTGATAGATATTAGATCTTGTATGCATGTCATCGTTTGCAATCGAACTTCGGTCTGTATGGAGTTTGAAAGGATTCTAAAGAGGAAATCGAGTGCGTCGATGTTCATGACTCGTTTCGATTTGTTGCCATCGAGAATGATTGCAAAGATCAAACAGAAGCAATCGTTCAAGAAGTCTTTGCCTTCTGGTGTGTTAAAGTCATGTACATTGTCAAAGAGGTGAATCAATATCGAGTAGCCATTCATCGCACGAAACTCCTGCTGATTCTTCTGATTGTTGTAGAGTAGTTTGCTGATGGTCTCCAGTAGATCCAGCTGTACTACGAGTGCAGCCTCCTGAATCGAATCGGCAAGCAGCGTCAGTGCACCCTGCACACGCATGAACTCCTTGAGAATCTCTTCCTCTGTTGGATCGATTGAGTTTCGCTTCGATTCATCAGCTACCACCGACACCGCCACAGTAGAATCATCATCCTCTCCATCATTACTATTATTATTACTATTGTTATTATTGCTATTGCTACTATTATTAACATCATTATTATTATTATTATTATTCATAATGTTGCTATTACCAGTTCCAGTTACACTTCTATTGCCACTATTACTCAAACCACCATTTTCAATAATTCCATTGATCATATTATTCAATGATTTGATCTCCTGTTCGATAACTTCAAAACTTGGAATAAACGAATCATCCAATGCCATATCATTGCCATTGTAACTATATTCATAACATTAACATATTAATATGCAATTATACAAACTAGATAACTAATAATTAATATACATACATATTTGATTTCTCTAATGATAATTTTCTTGGAGTTGTCTCAAAGTCATGCGGTGAAAATACCTTTTGGAATTCACCTACAATCACTTTGAATCCTTCTGAAACAACAGTACCTATTTTATGTCTTGCAAATTCTATTTATAGAATAGGAAAAAAGAATGATAATATATATTAGATTTGCTGTATTGTTGTATTGTTATTGCTATTGTTATTGTTGCTTGTTACATACCACTAATGGATGACATTGATAATGACTTTCTCATGTTGATAAGTTTCAATAGATCGTCTTCGGTGTGTTCAGAGACCGATATCTGTTTGACGTCTAGAAAGTGTTTGATGGTCTGTAGGATGTCACGTGTCAGTTCTTTATCGTTGTGCATCAACACCAGTAGTTTCTTGAATCCCTGCAGTCTGCCAATCTCCAGCTTGTTCTCTGTGTTCTCACCGATGGCACTGATAATCCTAAGTAGTACCTTCTTATTCTCACTGGTATTCAGTGTATCCAACAACATCAATATTCTAAATATTAAATTCGGTGTCTCTTTTACAACTAATTTATATTTTTCATCCTGTTATTTAATTACATACAAAACAAACAAACAATATTAGTTAGTAATTAAAACATAATATGATAATGATGATGATGATTAAAGAAAATAGATATTTACATGTAATATTAATTCAGCAACACCTAATGATTTATTGATTAGTTCCACTACATATTTCAAACTATCTTGATCTTCGTCGGATTCAGCGGATTGACCTCTCTTAATGGTTCTATTTGATTCTCTCTCTACCAAGTCAAGCAGTGACACGAGAATATCTGAACAATCACCGAATATCTTGTCTAGATCTATCGTTTTAATCTGTCCTGAATCCAACAGTTCTTTATAACTCTCTTGGAATGAATCTAAAAAGTTATTTAGTTTCAATGTAACTAAATTTGGATCCCTAATAATAATAATAATAATGATAACACTATTAATATCTTATTATATATATATATATAATGTGAACTAAAAATTTATAAACATTACTTTATTTCAGCAACTTTTGTATATTCATTCCAAAGATTTCTTATTCTTCTTGCTGTAACATGTTTAGTCCATTTATTCCTTAATGTATTTCTAAATGATTCCATTATATACTACTATATAATATATATAATAATATATATTATATTAATTTGAACTATCAAATTAATTATATATAAATCTGATCTATATTATATCTATTTATGCTGTATCTATTTCTATCTATATATTATATATAACTATTAAATTTATTAATCATTTATAAAAATATCTTATAATTATATAATTAATGATTATTTTTGACTCTTTATCGATTTGTTGTAGTTTAATGATTACTGCTATTATTATTATTATTATTTATTTTTATACTACTACTACTGCTAAGATGATTTTTAAAAGATAAAACAACAGTAAATTTATTAAAAAAAAAAAAAAAAAAAAAAAATAGTTATATTTGAATGAATTGAATGTGTGTTGTTTTATGTTTTTATATTTGTTAAAATTGTTGTTGTTGTTATTTTTGATATCTCTTTTAGATTACTATTATTATTACTGATACTAATACTTATACTACTATCTAAAAACAATTTGTTGTTACTGATTGTTGTCTTTTACTATTGTTGTTGTTTGTTATTGTTGTTTATTTTTAAAAATAATGATAAAAATTAAAAAGAAAAAAATCTTTCTTTATAATTTTTATTAATAAAAAAAAGGATGAGACAAAATAAATAACTGTTATTACTGTTACTAATACTATTTATATATATTTATATTTTATTTATTTATAATAAAATCTATAAAAATAAAAACACATTTAAAAAAAAATAAAAAAACCTCAAATAGGTCATCGATATTTTTTTGGCACAAACTCTGTTCTCAATTGCCCAATAAATCTAAAAAAAAAAAAACTAACCACATGTTTGAACATTGAAATTTTTTTCATTGATCGTTTTTTGACTTCTTCCCCGCATTAATCAAATCTCAAGTTCTGAAGATCAACAGCAAATATCTTAACAAAAAAAACAGTTTTATATTAATATTTGTAAACTAAACAATTTTTGTTATTATATTTGTTTGTTTTTTTTAAAAATTCAATATAAATATAAATAATAAATAATATAATAACAAACAAAATTTATTTCTTTCAAAAAAAAAAAAAAAAAAACAAATTATAAACAAATGAATTAGAATACTAGCTTTAAAACTGTACAATACTGTTTTGTTTTTGGAATTATTGATGATGATGAATCATTTAACATCAAAAAAGATGATAAAGAGAATTATCAAAATCTAATCTACTACAATAGGTAAAAGATATTATTATAATCTATAAAGATCAGATATTACAATAATAATGAACTTTAATAATAATAGTAGGTTTGTTATTCAAAAATTTATTCTTATTTCTGTTATTTTCAAAAAATCAAACAAAATAGTATTTGAATTTAAATTTGTTTATTTTAACCATTAATCAATCATATATAATGTTATAATGAATGGTACAAAGGTAGATAACAGTCATGATATATTTGTTTGTTTGTTTTTTATAAGAAGTAGAGTATTTAGTAGTTAGTAGTAAAGTGTAGAGCAAACCAGCATGTTCAATTTACAATGTTGCTTGATCAAGCATTCTATTAAATCAAAAATACTCACATTTGTTTAACCCAACAATAATAAATGATTGTTTGTGTTTCACACCACAAATTAATTATTGTGGTTTATATAAAGATATTTTATTGTTCATAAACTTGTCATGTCGTCTGCCGATTCAAATTTATAAACAACAACAATATATTATACTGATCAATAAATATAATTGACAAGATAAACAAATAAATATATCGTCAGATAAAATGAAAAATAATAATAAAACACACCACCACACTCTTCAAATAAACATTTAAATCAATATATGTGTGTTTGTGGATATACAGAAAATTGTTTAAAAAAATAAACCACAACACAACACAACACATCAGTCAGACATTTATAACAACAATTAAGTAGATGAGTTTTAACAAGTTATGTAGTGTGAGTAAGATATTAGAATTGATTGTTGGTTGACTTTTCAATATTTGACGTGTTCACATACAATCATGTCATATTGTTAATATCTTTTCCCTTATGGAATTTACCTTAATCTCTATATTAGATAAACGGGTTGTTGTTGTCTATTTTGATTAGTCAATCGACAGAATATTCATTCATTCTCTTTTATTAAATATCATCTAATAAATAGTTTGTTGAATAAACATATGTTGCATATTAACGATCATTACGCTAAATTATTTACCTATTCAGGTTATTATTTAGGTTGTTATAAATATTGATCGATCTCTCTCACTCTCTTTCTCCCCCAAACTGACAAAACAATCAAACCAAATATGTTATTAAAAGAAGTTAGTATTTATTATTTATATTAATGGATGATTGATTGATTTGTTTGTTTGATCATATGATACATATAATCAAACAACAACAACAACAACAATCATCCACTACTGTTTAAATTCAAACAGTATCATTAAATCAATTAATCAATCAAACACCAACTCCACAGTTTGAAAAGATATATAAAATCATAACATCACTGGAATAATTGTAAGATATCAAACCAAAGATGTCTTTATTTTAAAAACTCTATGTTGGTTGGTTGTTTTAGTCTGAAGTTGATGGAGTACACTTACAAATTTAAATGAAGCAGTAGAATTAACACAGCATGATGTTGAGTTATCTATATTTTAAAATTGGTGATGATAATAAACAAACTAAAAACAATTGAGTGTATTGATAAATACAAATCTATTCAACAAATACATTTCCTATTCCAATTATAATGTGGATGTTTGTTACTACATACCAACCACTCTACCACTACGCTCCAACAACAATTAATTTAATTAAAAAATATCAAAATCCAGACTCCATTTACATCAACTATAAAAAGACTGGTTTCAATCAATGTATGTTCCATAAGTGGTATTTGTTTAAATAAATATACCTAAAAACAAATCTAAAACTTTAATTTACATTCTTTCTATTTATAAAAATATATAATCAAACAAACAATATATTTATTAAAATACTTTTACTATTTTTATTTCTTAAAAATGACATTTAAAATTCTAACTTTAATATTTATTTTCTTATCCTTGTCTTATTTCACTGAAGCTAAAACTGAAGATTATATTACAGGTAATTATTAAATTATTATTATTGTTTCCATTAAATCTATTATTAACAAACTTATTTTTCCGAATATCCATCACTTATTAGAATGTTCAAATTTACCAATCGAGACATGTGGTAAAGTAGCCAATTGTTGGCCATCCATAGGAAAAGATTGTTGCGGATCCACTGAATTCGAATGTATTAAGATGGCTCGTGATATTTGTAACTATACTTCGAATACAGTTACTTGGTGTTCAGAAGGTTCAAAGGGACGTTACTTTGAATACCAAACCAACAATATAAATTGTTTACCTGATGGAAATAAATATTTCCTTCCAAATAGTAAGAAAAAAATAATTATACTATTTTTTTTTCAAAAAACTTGTACTAATATTATCAATATAATATTATAGATAAGAAATGTTCAGATATTAAATGTCCAAGTGGATTCCAATGTAAAGATGTAAAACATAAGAGCAAGTGTCAATCTAAAACTTCATGTTGTAGTTTCAAGTCGAGATGTGTCTTGACAAACTTGATTGAGATATCCAATGATTTACAGACAGCCATCAACGGAACAGTCGCACCAACCACCACAAACAAACCAAGATTCAGTATTGAGCCAATTCAGAAAAAGAATGATACCAAAGTCGATAATAGCACTGTAGTTGCTACACCAACACCAACAGCAGCTCCAGTTAATGTTACTGCTGCTCCAACAAACTCAACCACAGATTCATCGGTTGCACCAACTACACCATCTCCTCTTTCTACCTCTGGTGTTTACCCAACCACTACAACAGGAAAGCCAGTCGGATCGACTACAGAGACAAGTCCAGCAGTTGTAACCACTGCCAAGCCAACAGTGGCACCTCTAACAACTGGATCAGCCGCACCCATCCCAGCAACTACTGGATCTTCAGCACCTATCCCAGCAACTACTGGATCTTCAGCACCCATCCCAGCAACTACTGGATCCTCAGTACCAGTAACAACCACTGGAACAACAGGTTCATCTGCACCGATCCCAGCAACTACAGGATCAACAGTTCCTACTCCTTTAACAACCACTGCAGCAGCAACAACAACTGCAACAACAACAACAACTGCAGCTGAACCAATTACCTCTACCACAGGAAGTGATGTTCCATATCCAACTACAGGATCTACAGTTCCCACTCCAGCCACCACTGGATCAGCAACCACAGGAAGTGAAGTCCCTTATCCAACAACAGGACCAGTTGAACCAGTTTCAACTACACTAAGTGTCACCACAGGAACAACCACATCAAAACCATCTGAACCAGAAGTACCACAAGAAGATACTCTACAATCTTGGTTTACTTCACCATCCGCTCATACTCCACAATTTGAAGATGTCGAATAAAGTAATAATAAAATAATTTAACAAATAAATAGATAAACATACATATATATTGATGATAGTTATAAATAAACTAAAATAATTCGAAACATAAAACAATAAAAATTAATATATCTTGAAAAAAAAGAAAACAATTTATTTTTTTATTAAAACATTATTTTATTAATATTAATCTTCAACATTTACATCATCATCTTCATCCATTTCATCTTCTCTTTTGAGCTTCTTTCTTCCTCTTTTGTTTGGAGTTGGGGTGACTACGTTTGGAGTTGGGATTGATCTTCTTTTTCTTCCTGGTGGGTCTGGTTTTCTGTCGTCTTCGTCTTCTTCATCGTCTTCATCGATCAGTGGCTTTGGTGTTGTTTTTGGATGTCCGTTTCTGCAAGCTTGACACTTGTATTGGTGGTTGGGATTGTCTTTGAACTTCTCGAGATTCGACACTGACATTCCGTCGCACTGAGAGTGTGTCCAACGGTCACAGTATCCGCATTGAATGGTTGGACTTTTCTCGTGTGGTTTGATCACCTTGCGACACACCGAGCAGTACTTGCGTTCGGCAACAAGCACGTTGCATTGCTCGCACTCTGTGTAGTGTCCGCGCCAAGCACTGTTGGCTTGTGGTCCAGGTGTGCGAGTTCCACAATGGATACAGAAAACACAGGTACTACAACGCCAGCCACCTGTTGGTGGACGCTCCAACGGTGGATTCAAACAGAACGTATGATAACCACGGTCACAAACATCGCAAAACAACATCTTGTCTTCATTGGTGGTATCTTTACAGGCTTCACATACTTTACAGTCGGTACACTTCCAGGTGTTTAGCTTCTTGATGGTTTCAATCGCAAGTGTCTGCAAGTTGATGCACTTACCGTGGAAACTACGGAGACAGCCAACACACTGGAGTAGTTGGTCACGATTGTCAGTGTGAGAGCAAACCTCACAGGTGGAAATAGTTGTTGATTTCTTGAGTTCTGCTGGTACGACAACGCCGCCGGCAGCTGTTGGCTGTAGTGCTGGCGTTGGCTGTATCTGTGCGGCGGCGACTGTTGGCGGCTGCAGCAGAGTGGCGCCTGTAACGACAGCGGGTTCTTCTGGGTCGGGAATAGTGCTGATATCAATAGGTGGGAAATTCTCGGCGACCTCTTTGATCTTCCTGTTGTACTCGACGATCTCGACTTCGTAACGTCGCTTGTCGTCTTGCGACTTTTCAAAGTATGGTGCTTTCTCCTCTTCGTTCATCGCTTTCCACTTGTTACCGAGCAACTTTGATATCTCTGACAACGACATATCCGGTTGATTCTTCTTTTCGATCTCACGATTCTCGTTGAGATAGTGGAAGAACGGTGTAACCGCCGATTTGATCTTTGGAATCTCTGCTTTCTTCTCTTCGATCAATCTATCACGTTCCCTACGTGCAATCTCATACTTTGCTGCTTCTTTCTGTTGATTCTGCTGTATCTTTGCCAGTTGAACCTGTAACGCTTGAATATCATGTTGTTTCTGAAGAAACAGTGATCTTGTAGTAGCCAACTTTTGAGCGTGATTTGTCAATGACTTTTTCTCCTGTGGAGTCATAGTGCTCCATGTATCCGATACATTAATATACCAACTTCCAATAACCTGTATTGTCTTTGTATGTGGATCAAACTAATAACAAACAACAAAAACAACAACAACAACAAAAATAGTTAGTTAAAGTAACTAAAACAACAATCTAATAAACACTTACATAATATGGGAAACGTTCTTGTCGCTCCAAGAGGAACCAAAGGTTGAAATCGGAAGCTTCTTTCTCACGTTGTCTCTTTTGCTCTGGTGTAAGTGGTCCACTTTGCATCGGTAGTGGACCGGTTAAGATTGGTTGTGGACCAGTAACCATTGGTTGTTGTTGTTGTTGTGGTTGATGTGTCATAACACCATTGTTGTTGTTTGTTACATTGGTTGTCGATGACGTAGATGTTGTAGAACCAGATGATTGTTGTTGTGCTTGTTGCTGTTGCTGCTGTTGAATCTGTGATTGAATTTGTTGTTGTATGATATGTTGTTGATGTTGTTGTTGCATCTTTTGTATCTGTTGCATCTGCTGCATCTGTTGTAGTCCCTGTTGGTATGCACGTCTCGTCGTCATAGAGGTGGGCATCATCATCGGCAGATTCTCAACGACCATCTGCTTGGTTGCGACAACAGGACATGTGTGACCCTTCTTTAGTTGACCGCATTTCGAACAAAAGTAAGTTCCACTAACAACATCGTTGTCCGCCATCATTGAAAATAAATGTCGGTTTTCTTTAGCTCTTACAAAACTTTTAATTTATTACTATATTCACTCTATTAGAAATGTATGTATATAATATTATTGAACTATGACAAATCGAAACGTCTTAAGAAAGGATATTCTTTTAATTAATTTAAAAGATATATTTTTAAAAAATAAAATGAAAAAAAAAAAAAAACAGAATTCTTCCAAAAATTTAAATTTTTAAAAATTATTCCGTTAAGAATTTTTTTTTTTTTAAAATATAAAAAATTTTTTCTTTGCAAATAATTCTATTCTTAAATGCGAGTCAGTAAGAGAAATAATACTATGTAAATCTGTCATAGTATTATTTCTCATAGTTTTTTTATTCACAATTAGTTTCATTCTTAAGATTTTTAGAAAGAATCAACAAACCCCTTCCACCACTTAATCAACCACCACTCCAACTTTCCCTCCACATCTATACCAGCCAGTGCTGGTGAATCAAATGAATTAAATTCAGGAAGGTGATGACTTGAATGCAATTATAATAAATATACACATAAATCCAAAAAAATAATAAAATATTTTGTATCAAATCATGACATAAAAAGTTATAATATTAATAACAATTTATTAAAAATAGTATCAAATATGCATAAAACGTTAAAATGTTTTCGAATTGGATTTGGTGAAAGGAAGTTGAAGAAAATGATGCTGCAGAGAACACTGTCTCGGTTAATCTAGTCACCGAGGATAGTTCGTGGCCTCGAAGAAAAAAAAATCAAATGGGTTATCAGTACAAACCTCTGCTTCCAGGGTATTTACTACCCTCATACATATCTATCATTGGACATCATTATTTGTATGGTTGACAGTTCCAGCGAACATCTATCAATAGTTCAAAAGAACCTTGATAAATCGATAACGGAATCTACACATATGTTTTTACAAATTTTGAAGAGTTGTATTTAGATGTATTTTTCTAGTCACTCGAAATATATCCAAAGTGTGTAGATTCCGTTATCGATTTATCAAGGTTCTTTTGAACTATTGATAGATGTGTGTTGTCGAATTCAAAGTAAAAGTTGTTCTATCAACTAGAAAATAATCAAATATTATTTCACTGTTCTTACCGTTGGGTGTTGACTAAAAATTAGATAAAAAGATAAGAATAAAATTTAATTAAAGTAATAGTATAATTTTATACTATTGTTTTTATTATGTTTTTTTTTAAATCAATTTCTTTTGTTTTAATCTTGTTAGGGCAGCTTGTCTAGTCTCTTTAATACGAACAATGTCATCGATAATATTGTTCTTTGTGAGACATCTATTGAATGCAGTGTCGGTTGGATTCAATATTAAACAAAAAGTTGGTGAAATGTCGGCTTCGTAACTACTTGTTCTATAGATGTCAAAGATTGCATAAAGATAACGATTCAAATTCAAGTAATCTACTAAATTACGTAATGTTGAACCATCTACATATGGATCCTATATTTATAAATAATAATAATAATAATGATGATGATATTGTTAGAAACAATGGTTGTTCAATAAAGATTGAAAAATGGTAATGAAACTCTTACAGAAATATCATAGAGCTCGGCAAAACTATACTCCAAAGTCCAATTGGTAAAACTAAAGAGATTGGAAATATAGATATCGGTATAATAGGTGTCGTATGATACAATGTTTTGATTGTCATCGAAATAGAATTGCTTGAACGATGGATTGTTTTCGTACAATGGTGAAATAGCTGATCCAATGAACAATGGGAAGTATGGATTACTCGAGTTGTACGAAGATATGTTTGATTGATCCAATGAATCTGATGTCGATGACGATGAAGATGAATCCGAAGTATTTGTATTCTGAACGTATTGTGGGGATCTGAATTCATCTCTATGAATATGACCAAAGAATCCACCTTTAATAACATCATTATACTAGAATATTTAAAGAGTAAAAAGTTAATAAATATTGTGTTGTTGAAATGTGTAGATCTAGTAATAAAAATAACGGTGGTGGTGATCTAATTACATTTGACATTAAATTATAGAAATTAACAATATAACTGTTACTCCATTGCTCTTGTTGATAGAACGGATCCAATCCTGGGTAGATGTGACCGATGATGTAGACGGATTGGTTGTTCTCCTGTGCCATGGCGAGTTGTGTTTCCAGCCATTGGAATTGACCGCATGGATCTTGGTAGAGTGTCTTTTGCTTGGTCGAGTAGAGTACGGTGTTCAATGAGAGTACGACAAGACCGGGTGTCGGTGAGATTGCGAATGCTCCCATCTTCAAAAAGGTTGGCATCTGTTCGACTGGGATCCACTGATTCCACACCTGCGAGAGGAATTGAAGGTTGTTATCACTGCAGGTTACATTGTAGTCTGGGAAGACATCGTTGTTACCGATCGATGGAATGATAGTTGTTCCTGGGTAGGTCGCTGCCATGTACTTGGCAAATGTAATTTGCGATTCCTCCCAAAAGTTGTATGGCAACGAATGACCTGCACTATCACCCGTATAAATGATAAAAGTTGGATCTGGATTCACTGATAACATAGCATTTAATCTGAACCAAAAGCAATGATGAGTAATGAATTGAACTAACTAGTTAGTCTCCACATTGAATCAACCAAATCTCTCTAAATATTATCATCATCATGATATTATTACTTACGTTGAGTTGAATAGTTCCATATTGGTATCACATCCGTATCTACCAAATAAACCATCGTGTGGAATTGTTTCAATGTATGGTTCACCATGATCATCTCCTTCATGATGTATGATTGCCTGAACAGCCGGAGAATTATATCTATAGATAGTAGATATGCTATTAATTGCCTGTTTCTCTCTATTGGTGTTGTTTTTGAAACATTTTTAATAATAAATATCTGTACTTACAAATCTAAACTAAGACAACGAGTAGTCGAATTATTATCGATACTGTTCACCAATGAACTGTAATGAACATCGGAGAGGTGTATAAATGTAAGTGGCTGTGCTGTGGTTACCAGCGATACATTATCTAGACTACCACTAAATATAAAAAATAGAATCGATAGTAAAAACAATATATGATTATACATGATTTTGTACTATTACAACAACCACCACTAAATAAACTTTTTTTTTTTTATATCTAATTTAAAAAAATCTAACTAGTTTTAAAACAAAAATAAAGAAAAAAAATAAATAAAATAAAGAAGTCGATTTGCTTGATCGATAAAAATAATTATAATTAAAAATAATTAAAAAAAAAAACAACAAAACAAAACGAAAATACATGTGTATCCAAACCAGTCTATAAGACACTTGGTAAAAAAAATCTATCACACCCACCTCATCTTAACAAATTTGTTTTTGACTTTTCTTTTTGCTGGTATTGTGCTAAAAAATCAAAAATGACGTCAAGTTTTAAAATCCAGGCATGGAAAAGCAAGAAAAAACCCTTACAAACTGAAAATGTTTCTGGCAATTTGAATGTTTGTTTTTCAAAAAAAAAGATCTAAATGTTGGATTAATTGATCGCCGACCACCTAACAAATTAATTTACAAACATTCCAATCAATTTCATCAAATTGAATTGTAAAAATTTCAACCTAACAATTGTTAAATTTATTTTAGTATATTATAATGTTTTTTTATTTTTATTTTTTTATTTTTAAGTTTTTATGAATATTTATTGAAATAACCTTGATTGTTACGATCACCATAGAGTGCTTTGAGACGAGCGGATCGCTTGTTCTCATAGTTGATCTGGGTGTTGAGTTTGGCGGCGAGTGCATCGATACCCTGTGTGATGGTTTCGTATTTCTGTTTGATGGCAGCGAGTAGTTTACGCTCGCGAACGCCACGGTTGTCGAGGAATTTCACTAGGTCGTCCACCTCCTGTCGGCTGTTGTAGTAGCACCATTCGCCTTGCGCTGCCAACTCAATATACAGTCGGCCGGGCAGCTGTGACCAATACCAATATTTATTGTAATCGCGATCGGTTCCCAGCCATTCTAGACGCGTCGAACACTTGTCCAGCTGTTGGTCGAGGTTTGCCTCTTGCTTGTGAATCTTGCCCAGTTCCGCTTCCTTCACCTTGGCTTTGGTGGCGGCGGCATTTGCTGCCTTTCGGTTGGTGGCGGCAGTATTGGCAGCGCTAGCACTAGAGGAATCGTCGTCCTTCTTGATCTTTCTTTCCTCGAGCAACAAACCTCTCTTCTCTTGACGGATCTCTCCGGCCAGCCCAGAGATTTCATCGATATACTTTCTGATCTTTTCAGAGCTGATTGCCTGATTGACAATGTACGCCAAGATATGTATTCTCTCATCGATTGACAATCTATAGTAATATCTCTTTTTCAAAACCTTTGAAATCTGCTCTGGACTCTTACTTGTAATAATAAAGTCTGATTCATCTTCATAGTCTTCGTCACTTCCTTCTTCTTCATCATCTCCTTCTTCCTCCTCTTCATCACCGTTTTGTTCTTCTTGATCACCTTCACCTTCTTCTTCTTCTCCCTCACCTTCTTCATTCTCCTCATTGTTGTTTTTATCTGTCATTTCTGTATCTTTACTTGCTGCTGCTGCTGCTGCTGTTGTTGTAGTAGTTGTTGTTATAGTTGTAGTTGTTGGACTTGTCTTATTCTTATTATTGTTATTGTTATCATCTTCATTATCTTCTTCAACTTCATTCGCAAGAAACATCATCTTGTTGTTTTGTTCCTCGAGTTGTTTCTTTCGATCTTCTTTCCTGAGTTGCTCTTCCTCCAGTCTGATTATCTCATTCGAGAAATAAGCTTTCATTACGGTGAGCCAGTTGCGCTCGTTGAGCATCTTGTTGTTGAATGTCTTCTTGGCGGCGTTGCTGTAGATCGGCAAGTCAAAGACTACACGCATCACACGAATGTGTGTTTCCACAATGAGTCGGTTGTCACTGGTGCTCTGCAACGCCTGTTCAAACTCGTTCATCGTGTAGGGCGACAGTTGCAACACCTTTTCAAACTGCGTAACAAAGTGCCAGATCATCAGGAGATCACCAAACAACTTGGTCGAACAAATGAAATGGCAAGACGGCACCGGTTTCTCCACCTTTTCCTCCGGTTTGTCCTGTGAACGATCGACCTCTGTATCCTCCATCGGGTACTTTGGTTTGGCACGCTGACGCTTCACCACTTCATCGCCAGAGCTATCGTCGTTGCCCTCGGCATCGCTACCTTCAATCCTATCGGCTTTTCTCTTCAAACTCAGATCCTGTTTGATGTGTGACGGAATCGGAACAACAATGTTATTCTTTGCCTCAACGGCTTCATCCAACAACCAATATCCTTGCTTTGTTTTCTTTGAAACCAATTTAATTGTATCTTTAATCATAGGTTTATAAATAGGTGGTATTCTCCTTCTACATTAAACATAACAATACATTAACATTCAAACACTGAATTAGTATCGCAAAACAACAATAGCAATAACAATTGTATTATTAAACAACTTACATAATATCTTTAATATGAACAGTTAACTTTTTAGTTCCTTTTCCTTCGACTAGAATCAAGTATTTCGTCTTTGATTCATCTATTGATGAACTACTTGTATATGATGAATCACTATCGCTTTCACTATCACTATATTTCGATGATGATGATGATGTTGTCGATGTTCCATTTTCTTTCTTTGTATTTCCATTTGTTGTCGATGATGATGATGAAGTAGTAGTAGTTGTTGTAGTGGTAGTTGTTGTATTATTATTTTTATCCTTTGATTCTTTATCTTTACTCTTCTCTTTCTCTTTCTCTTTCTCTTTCTCATTATCCTTATTACTGTCTTTATCTTTCTCTTTATCTGTAGATTTATCTTTATGTTTGTTGTCGGTATTATTATCTTTATTATCTTTATCATTTTTCTTTTTATCTTTATGTTCAGTGTCACTGCTTGAATCTGAATAGGATGACGATGAAGTGTATGAAGATGACGATGAATAGGATGATGAAGAGGTATCACTATCTTCATCTGTGATGACCTCCAATATTCTTCCAGTGTATTTAGTATTCTCTGCTTTGAATGTTACTTGCTCACCAACAAAGTAATGCTCATTCAAATAATCATAAATCGAATCTCTTAGATCATCTAATGTTGATTCCTCTATACAAATATAAAAATGATATTAGTTATTTCATTATATTCATCATCATCACCATCATCATCATTATCTAATATCCATATATATACATACTATATTGAATTAACTTTAAGAAATGTGGGTATAGGACATCAGAGAATTTAGCAACCTTGTCAAATGCTTTCTTCTCAGAGAGCAACGCTTCCTCATAGGTAAGATTAGATTTATTTGTAATTGAACATGTCCATTTTCTTTGTCTGTATGATTCTAAACAATCGATATAATCTCTAAACAAATAATAATAATAATAATTGTAATTGTAATTGATAAATATATATTAATAATTAAATCAAAATGATATAAATTCTAAAAAAATAGATAATATCATACGGATATGTCTTAAAGAGTTCACCAGTGAATCTAATCATAAAATACTCTCTATTTGGCTTTCCTTTGGTTTTACCCAATTCATGGTGTTCTTTACCTAGCAATGGCATATCTCTCTATCTCTTTTATAGCTGTTTATCTTTTATCTATCTGTTTATCTATCTTTCTATCTATCTTTTAAATTATTTAATTTAATGAAATTTTATTTTTGACTATTTTAAAGATATTGTTTATATTAAAGTTGAGTAATAAACGATGATCAGTGAACAAACAAAAAATAAACAATTGTTAGACAGTAGTTGTTGTTGTTGTTTGTTATTGGAAAAAAAAACAAAAAAATTCCACACTACACTGTATTTGGCTGTTGTATGTAAAAGGTTGTGGTTGTCGAACAAAAGCCAGGTGGATCCGTGGTTGCTGCCGATCATTTTCAAATTCAGCAGTCCCAACAACAGAGAAGAAATACTTCACCATTTTCAATTTTTGAATTTCCAAAAAAACTTTGTTTTTAGGAGGGAATTAATTTTGTTTTCATCATCATTTCATTGCCTATTGTAATAAAACATTTAAAGATGCTATTTATTTGTATTTTTACATTATATATATACACAACATAAAATGACTCATTCACTTTTTTTAATATTATAATTTGTCTTATAATAGTAATAATTGCAAACAAAAGTGTTGTTATCATTTCATTCATTATTTTGAAAGATGAACAACATCTTTTATAAAACAATTATCGATAACATAGATAATAATAAAAAACATTTGTTTGCTGATGTGGTTTTAAAAACACCATAACTAAATTTACTCTAGAGTGTTAAAATTATAATCTCTTTCTTAAAACATGTATGTTGATTCAACACCTGATTTTTTTTTGTTTGTTTGTTTTGACCAAACCAAACCACACATGTGATATTGTTTATAAACTTTCTTTATATTATATTAAGTATAATGGTCCAACATCATCATTATGATAATGATTTTTTTTTTTCTAATCTAATTAAATAATAATAATGTTTATCTGGTAAAATAAGTAAAGAGTAACAAAAACAAAAAAAAAAGTCAAAGTATTTTAATCTTTGTTGATTAACACTCACGTCACAATTAATTAATGATCTTAAGGTACAAAAAAAAACAAAATTTTTGCAAAATAATAACCGCACAATTTACTTGTTGTAAGATTTGAATGTTGTGTGTTTTTCATAACAAACAAATCCAATAGAAAAAGGAAAAAGAAAATTAAGTTTTAGTTTTAGGTTTTTAGATTTTTTTTTTTGGGTCAAACATAATAATGATTTATATAAATTAATAAAAAGAAAAGCAACAACAAACATAAAGAGACATTCATTATAATAATATTGTTTATTATCTATTTTAAAATATATATCCTTTAAAGAAGAAGAAAGAAGTTTAAAATCAAAAAAAAAAAACAATTTCAAAAGAAAAAGAGAAAAACATCTAACAATATTGTAACAAACTATTGTTTTGTTACAGACAAAGAGAGAGAGACACAGAGAATGATTGATATAAATACTCAACTAAAAGGTAAATAATAATAATAATACTGTCTTAATATCATTTTTTAAAAGAAAGAAAGAAAGTTTTTAATGTTTAAATCGTTTCAATAGATATTTATATATTTGAAAGGGCAATGAATGAAACCATAGACTATCTGACGAAGCAGAGGAGGCGATATTCTAGGCTATGTTGGTTGTTTTTCATGACTACTATGTTTTCACTGCTTTGGTCAATGTCAAAGAGCAAACTACCTACGGTATGATATAGATGATGATGGTGTTTACTTGACATCAAGTTAGATTAGATGTTACTTAACTATATAGACTGACAACTAACAATATGACATTCATAATTAATAGATACCATTATATAAACTTTATTTATTTATTTTTATTCCACCATTAATATCAATCGTTTTCTTAATATGGTCAGCCATTATGTATTTCAGTTTGGATGATCCTTCAATGTAAATTATCACAAAACAAACCAATATCATTCAAAACATTGCTAACAAGATATTAATGTTCAATCAATATTATGTAGTTTTACAAAAAGATGTAATCAAACTCTATCGATATTCAATATTTATTTTTGTGTCAACAAGAAGAAGATCATGTTACTTCCCAAGTTGGTACCAACCGTCATTCCAAAGTCGACAAACAACAACAATCAAGTCTCATTACCAAAGACAACAATCAATAACATCGGTGTAGATACACCCAATCCATCAAATAATCATAATAATTATAATAATAATAACAACAGCAGCAGTAATCATAATAATCATAATCATAATAATAATTACTATCAAAAAGAAATAAGCCAATCACCGGCATCAAAATATATTACACAGATATCGTCGAGTGCAACAACAGCATCGACAACAACACCGATTCATTGTACGAACAATGATAATCATCACTTCAGTGGTAGCAACAATCTCTTTAGTAGTAACAACAACTACCAAAATGTAAATCTACCAAGGCAGAGAAAGAGTCTATCATCCACTGTATCACAGTCATCCACACCCATTTTATCATCATCATAATGAACAGCAACAAAAACTAAACAGTGTAATAATAACTAAATATATAATATCTTTCTAACAAAACACATCATTACGCAATAAATAATTGCTAATTAATAGTTGTTTTTTTTTTTTTTTTTATGATCATAATGGTGAACCAAAAGTCAAAAGAATACAATAAATTAAATGACTTTCATAATGATTATCATAAAAAAACGGTCATAAAAGTGGTTTTTATTTTGGGTTTTTGTAAATTTGGACATTTTTTTTTAATGTTTATCAAGATTTTTTTTAAAAAACTTAACTGACATTTTAGTACAATTTAAAAATAAATTGATTATTTTAGATTGTTGTATTTTAATATATAAGATCAATTAAATAAGAGATATAAATAGAAAGTAGAAATGGATTCAACTGATTATAATTTAATTGTAAAGATTAATTAAGAATATCCAAGATATATTTAGATCAAAAAATGAACTGACACTTTAAATATTGTTTTTTTTAATTTCTTATCATATAAAAAAGTTAGTTTTACCAAATGGAAATAGAGTAAAAGTAGAGATTAGTGATCAGATTACATTCCAACAATTAAAGACATTGGTTAGCCAATCTTATAAGGCGGGTGCATTCACAGTTTCAATGTCGGCTGACAAGAACGATCAATCAAAGCAATTGAAGGCAGTCAACTGGACAAAGGTTCTCACTATCGATGCCTTCAAAAAGATGCATCCATTAGGTTTGGTTTCAAACAGTGAAGTGGAGTTCAATGATGGTACTGACGGACTCATTGTTAAATTCTATGTTCATGCCGCTTAAATTAAACATATTAAGAAGAATATAACCAACATAATTGTAATAGTAGTAAAGAAACATTCAATCAATCAATCACTAACCAACCAACCAATCATATTTGGCTACCAAAATTAAAATAAAATTTATAAACTTTGTAATAATATAATAAACTTAAATCACAAAAGGGACTATAAACCTATGATTCTATTTTTCAAATTTTCACAACATATATACAAAAAAATTGTGTTTGGTTAGTCAAACTCAAATTGTTTCTAACTATTGCCCGAGAAGAATATGGTAACTAGCAACTCATACTATACTGACAATATCGCTCCATCTATAACAGTGAATTCGCATCCATTATCAATCATTGTGGATCAAAATGAAATCCAACTTAATTCAACCTCTGGGTTAATAATCATTGATGACCATAAAGAATATTCTGGAGATATTATTTCAACGACCAACTATGATATTGGAAATGATTCTAAAGCAATTGGTCGTATGATTAAAGATATTCTAGAGGTTCCTAATGGTAGATTTGTAGTTGTTTCACTGGTGTCAGATATGATTCATTATCAATGCCTGATGAACTCTCACATAGTCTTTCAACAATTGGTGCTCAGAAATCATATGATATCACCATTACCAATTCATATGGAATCATTGGAAGAAAAGGTAGTAATCCTGGTGCCGTACCTGAAATGCTCACCAGAAAAGGACCATTCTCTTGTTTTCAAGCTATTGTTCTTATTACTCACAATGACCCAGAATCCATAAATAAAGAAATATTTATTATCTATAACTCTATATAACTATTAACTATATATAAATTATAATTATTAAACCTTTTTTTTCAATTGTTCTTTAATAATATATAAACATTAAGAAATGATGCTAAATGAATATATGAATAGAATATGAATGAGTTGTTTATTATCTTTTACGATGGATGTAGTGTACTTAAATGATTTTTATGTGATCATTAATGTGTGTGAATGACCACCTTCATATGATGTGAATATTACAATTTTTTTAATTGATCTTTTTTGTTCAAAAATTTTAATTATTTTAATATCTATCTTTTATTAGGTTTTTGAAAAGAATAGATTTGTAAACAATAATAGTAATAATAATAATTCAAAAGTAATGAGTAATAAGATGGATGGAAATAAGAGGATGTCATCACCATCACCTCTTAGACATTCGATCATATTGGATCAAGAGTTTGATGAGGAAGACGATGACTACTATGCATTGCAAAACATACCGGGTGCATCTTCGATTCTCGATAGCACTGGCAAGACGAAATCAAACACATCGACACCACTCATAGTTACACCTAGCGGATCACGATCAAACTCAACTCAAAGTACACCGAAACTATCGAGAAATAACAGCGGTGGTAACAACAACAGTATTGATTTAGATAGTAAATTCGATGATATCAATGGCAATGGTAATGATAGTGACGACGAACTGGAGTCACTGCTTCAGAACTACTTGTCGTCAGAGACAGATGTCGATTTGCTCACGGAGAAACTCTCTAGACAGCTGGCGACATTCGAAACGGAGATGGTTGTCGGTATTCTCGATAGCGCTATGGATGTGCGTACCGTCGTCAACCAGCTGTCCGACCGTGAGGAGACGCATCTCACCGGTGTGACGGCGTGGATCGACTACTACAACAAGCAGCTGCAGGACATGAAGAAATACATCGAGCACATCGAGTCAAAGAACAACAAGATGAACGTCGTCTCCAACAACCAGAAGGAACTGATGAAATCACTCGAGTATCTACTGACACTGCTGACACTCGACGAGAAAACCATCAAGAGTTTGAACAACCCAGACTTTGCAAGTGCGGACGGTCTTGCCTCTGCGATAAAAGCGGCATCGAACCTAAAGAAAGCACTGAAAACCAAGTTGAAATCGGGCATGGAGAATATGGTCGCCGTCAAAGACCAACGAAAGGCTTTCGAGACGTACAAGCTTGCCTTTTCGAAAAAGGTGGCCACGCTCATCGAGAAGGAATTCAAGTTGACCGACGCCAACAAAGACTATCAGAATGTCGAAGACGATCTACCTGAACACACCGGTTACTTTGAATCGCTAAATCGATTCAAACCGCTGGTTCACTGGCTCAAGCAGATGGACATTGAGAAGTTCCACCCACTCATTCCACTCTACATCAAAGCCTATCGTTCCACCTATAAACATGAAATCAAACCATTCTTTTCGACAATACAACATTCAATATTAAAAGAAACAAAAGATCAAAATGGTAAGCAAGTAAAGCAAGCTGTTATAACATATAATCAAAACAAACTAAATATAGATTTAACTTATTAACACTTTGATAATCTATCTACCTATAGACTTTTTCTCTTCACATGTAAAGAAATCAGTAGAGTTGGCATCATCGAATACAACAGCCTCTAGTACACCTGTAAAGCAAACAAAGAAACGAACCATAGATAAAGCATTCCGTTTCGGATTGTCTTGTGTGGAGAATGCAATCATGTCGGAACAACAGTTCCTGATGGAGTATTTCTTGTTTACCGATCCACCCACTGCACCAAAGCCAAGTCATTCTCATAGTCATAGCAGTGGTGGTGGTAGTAGTGCTTCTAGTCATGGTCATCAAAGATCAGGTTCAGTTTCATCAAAAGACAAAGACGGTAAGCTGGGTGTTGGTGCACCAACACTCGGTGGTGTTTCTCTCGACGGTGGACTGGAAAATCCGTTGGATCATATACTATCAGAGATGTTTGATTGTGTTGCACCGGAGCTCAAAGAAATGGTAGAGAAAGCCGATCAAATCAATCCATTCTACCTACTTACAATGTTGATCGACACCGAGCAATTCATCTCTTCACACACAACACTCGGTCCAACCTACAGTTCATTCATAATCAAAACACTCTCTGAAGTTCAAAAGACAATGAAATCATTATTTAACAAGTTCATTGTATGTGTTAGTTATATATATATATATATATATTCAATAAGTCAACAAACATAACAAACATAACAAACTAATCAAACTTACTTTTTCTTACATCCTAGGATTTACAATCGGATTCAATTAAATCAGCACAACCTTCATTAAAGAAATGTGGTGTGTTGTCACATTTCAAACATTTCCCAATATTCGTTAATTCTTTGGAGAAGTATCGATCGAATGTAGAGATGGAATCGGTGTCATCGCTGATCAATTCCAGCTACTATAAGATTGTGGTGGCGCTGAACAATTGGATCGACGGACTGGTCGAGAAGCAACCACCCGATGACAAGTACAGATTCATCGCATTGGTTGAAAACTACTATTTCATCACAATCAAGATGGCAGAGATCGGCATACCCTGTCTCAAAACCTATTTGGATACAGCGACACAGCGTTATCAAGCGAGTCTACAGACCTATATCACCTACCTGATGGACTTGAAATTCAAGCCACTGATGGACTTTTTCCAAAAGATGGACGACCTACTCCTCACATTGCCTGCAACCGACATTCAATTCCAACAGTCCCACTCGAAACAACAATATAAAAAGATGGTTGAGAAATATAAAACTGAAAATGTAAGTGTTTAACACAACACAACACAACACCTAATTATTAATAATTTATTATTATAATTTCATATGAAATAATATTAACATTTTTTATTATTATTTATTTATAGATTGAGAAAGGTTTAATTAAAGCATTACATAATATCTATAAACATATTACAAAAGATTCAACATTGATTTTGGTTATTTGGGAGAGATTAGAGGAGGTTTTCATTGAAAAGTATGATCATTACCAAGATTTGGCACACCAATGTTATCAACAATCAATGCCTGTATCATCAGATCAAATCAAGGGAATATTTGCAACTGTAATAAAAAAGAATCCTAATAAATAATTAATAGTAATAATCATAGTAAATAAATAAATATTAAATTGTAATGATATAATTAATTAGTTTTAAAGAACATTGATCATCAAGCATTCAATTCATGAAGGTTCAATAATAATGAAATTTTCATTTTTTAAATTTGGGAGGGAATTGTTGGTCAACAACCAAATTTCAAGTTCAATCAATAACATATTTGTATTCAAAAAGATATCTCATATTTATAGTATATTTTAATATATATAATATATATAAATGAATATACAAATAGATGATGTACAAGTTAATTCAATTGTAGAACAATTGGAGTATTATTTCTCTGATTCCAATCTTTTAAAAGATAAATATATGAACAAGCAGGTTCATCATTCGAATGATGGTTGTAAGTATTTAAGATAGACTGATCATAGATTACATGATGAAGAATAGAGATTTAACGAATTCGTTATTCATTATATAGGGATAGGAATAGATATTTTGTTAACTTTTAACAAGTTACATTTAATGCTTGAAAAGGTGTTGAACGAACATATCAAAGCAAAGCAAAATGACATCTCTGTAAAAGATGTTTTAATTACCATTCTTTTACACAATAGATTTAAAGAGAGTCAATTGTTAGTTGCCAATGATGAAGCAAACGAAATCAAAAGAAGACACCCATTTATTGCATCAGATGATTTGATAAGAACAGTCGATGAGAAAACTATATATATTGTAAGTGCACTTATTTTATCATTACTATATCATCAATAAATTATTAATTAAACTTTATTAACTTTACAATGTATTGTTAACAGGAACCTGTACCCGAAAATATGACAAATGAAGAGTTGATAGCTTTGTTTTCAGAGTTGGGAAGTATTGAAAATGTATCAATACCTAGATTCCCTGATAAAAGAGCTAAGGGATTTGCATTCATAGAGTTTAAAGAGAAGGAGAATGCTATAAATGCAATCACATCTATAAGATCAAACAAAGAAAAATACAAATTAAGAACATTATCAAAGTAAATATAGATGTCGATATAGATTTCATTAACAATTTAAATATAACTAACCTTTTTTAATATTATTAATATTACTAATAACCTACAGGATCGATTGGTTAAATAAAAAGAAACAAATTGTAGATGCTTATCAACATCAACATCACGAACAACACCATGAAGTTGTTGATCAGGGTGGATATCATTATAATAATAATAGGAGAAATAATGATAATTTTAAGAATAGTAATAATAATAATAATAGTGGAGAAAATAATAATGAGAGTATTGGTAAAAGAATATTAAAGATTGATAATATACCTTTGACTACCAATAAACCATTCTTATGGAAACAACTAGATCAATTCTTTCATACGGTATTCTTGGACTATCATCTGGGTGGTGGATATGCAGTTTTACGATTCAAGTCGATGCAAGAAAGAGATTCGGCACAGGAGATGGTAAAGAGTGGCAAGGTTATTATTGATGAACAAGTGGTGACAACATCACTGCTTACCGATCATGAATTCAAAACACACATGAACAAATCAAGTAGATATCAACATCAGAAACAACAAGAACACGACAATGAAGTGAGAATGCAACAATACGAAGAGGATCAACGTAAATTGAAAAGTCAGAAGAATAAAGAAAAGAAGAAACGCAAGAAAGAGAAGCAAAAGAATAAAATACAACAAAATAATAATAATAATAATGATAACACAACAGATAATAAGAAGGATAACAGTATTGTAAACTTTGATAGTGATAATGAAGATGAAGAAATGACTGACTGTACAACCAAAGACAATAGTAATAATCATAAAAGATCATTTACAGAGACTTTGGACGAGAAAGATATTGTCTCAAATGATATAAATAAAAGTCAAAGAATATAATTTATAAATGTTGTATTATATTGTTACTAATATTGCAATTATGATTTATTTTATCTGTCTATTATTATCATTTATGTTATAATTATTATTACTATTAAGATGACTATTTGTTTTGTTATCAATGATATCCATTTTGAAGCATGCTTGTATTGATATTGGAGCTACTGTTACTCATGTTATGAGTACCATTGTTCATGTTATTCATTTTCGATTGTTGATTCTGGAAGCAAACATAATGAACAGCAATACCATTGGGTTGTGCAGCAAATGCGTTGGTACCAACAAATCTCTTATTACAGAATGGACAAATTAGATCATCAGTTATCTTTATAACTCCAGATCTTAAATTAATTAATTCTTCTTTAATCTGGATATATATATATATATATTTTTTTTTTTATATAAAAATGTTAGTTTAATACTATAATTTGCGATTGAATTGTCAAACTTACTTTTACATGTTCTGCTTTTAATAAATTCTTTATAATTTGATTGTCTCTCTTGGTCTTTGTGTTGTCACGAATGACAGCTTCAAAGAAAGGATAGAGCTGGTTGATTGGAATGCTGAGTGGCAGTAAACTAAGTGCCTTTGGTGTGTTGATCGATCTGTAATGCTTGTTCAAAAGGCTGAGTGCAGGTTCAATCAATGGTTGGATATTACCCTCTGGTTTTAAATATACATTCAATAGCGATAGATAGACATCCTTTGAGTCTTCATTATCTCTATTATAGTTTCTATCGCAATAGTCTTCGGCCATCTTGAAATTCTTTAACTTGTGTGCATAGATTGCCAAAGCTTGTTCATGTCTACCAATTCTACTTAATAATATAGCTCTTTCTTCATATAAATCTATATAAATTATAATAAGTATTATGTTTAGTAATCTCATATAATTATTATCATAATAGTACTTCATTATGTAATTATCAAATATCAAACATACCAGTAAAAGGGAATCTACTTAATAACATCTCTGGTATATAGTATTTTGAAGTCTGTAAAAAGTTTATCAATTTCGAACGTAGTACACCCAATAGACCTGGTTCGGTACCGGCAACAGTTTCACCCGGTATTCTTGGTGTCAATGAATCTTGAGTGAGTGTTGTGATCTTGTTGAGATATTCTAAAATTAAATCATTGTGGAACTTTGGTGTGGTATCAGGTCTCATTGGATTATTAATGATATACTCTAGATACTCCATTAAAAAGGTTGGTGCGTATTTCTCTAAATGATGTATAATTTGATCTGGTGGCAATTCATCTTTTCTCTCGGTTGTGAATATCTATTTAATATTTAATAAACTACAATGTTAATATTCTATAAACTACTATAGTAGTTTTTTGATCTTTTTCAAATATTTTACAATATCTTACAGTCATTGCATCTTTTGTTGATTTCTGTAATACCCATCTTGAATTCTCCAAGATAATAGGTAGGTATTGTGCACCCAATTGACAAAGATATGAAATAGTGTCTTTTGGTGGATTGTTCTTTGCTAGCAATGTCAATGCTTCTCTATGCATCGATTTAGATTGATAGAATGATACCAACTCTGTGAATTTCTGAGAAAAGATTTGTATACAAATTAGTATTTTATATAAAGATTTGAATGATTAAACAACTGTGTTTAAAGTATAGCTACCTTTTCCTCTATTAAAACTCTTTGTGATTCTTCAATATGTAGACAATTCTTTAGATTAAAGAAAATCGTTATTAAACTCGGTTTCAATTTGATGTAGACTTTGAGCAGTGTTGTATCGATGAGTGTCGGCAGATCGTAGCCAGAGTTGAGTAGCTCCATTGGGTTGAGATTGTAAGGTGGTTTGTCAGACTTTTGTAGTTCCTTACGCACACCCACCAAGAACGTTTCCAACGCGGACAGTGCATTCTCGTTCTTCTCGATGTCCTTGGTGTGGACGGCCACCGACAGCTTCTCCTGCAGCAGAGGTGGTAGGAATCCCGGGTACTGGGAGATCACTCTTATCGGATCGATATAGCTGCTCAAGTAGAGTTCCATCGCACTCTGATATTGCTCACGTGCAAACAGCGAGTGTGCAGCGATCATCTTGATCTTTGAGAGTTTCTCGCGCTTGCCTGGAAGTGTGTCGGGCGCGATCGAGAGCACATTGATAGCGGTCTCATGCTCGTTGTTGCTGGTTAGCTGTTCGACCAAGTCCATTGTTGGCACGGGATTCAAACGCCACACCGTATAGTTCGAAGCGACGTAGATGTCCTTCTTCGAGGTGATCGACTTTCCACCCGACAAGAACATCGTCTGCAAGATGGTCTTGGAGTTTGTCTTTGACTCTGGAACGATCTGAATCTCAATCTGCTTCGATTCAATCGAAATCACAAAAGGATAACTCACAGTAAGACTAACCGGTACATCATTCCATGTCAGTGCATACTTTCTATTTGGTGTACCTTCCGAATTGATAAAGAATGACATATCTAATGTTTGAAACATAACAGTTAGTTAGCATGTATGTTTGTATTCTCAACAACAAAGAGTAAATAGTGCAAGTTAACTTACTATTCTTAACGATTAGAAACTCTTTATCTTGGAAGAAGGTAACGTATGATATCTTGTCGGTGTCAATGTTGATGACACTACCGTCGTGAGCGTTGATGATGTTGTATGCTTTCTTAAAGTTTACGACGATGAGATTCTCGCGGTAATCGATGGTTTTGGTGACGTCGGGTATGTTGAATTCTTTGCCTTCGATAAAGTCGGTTCCGTCCCAGCTGTAGAGAACCAACTTCTTCTTGACTGCAGCACACAACGATAGATTCGAACCGTTCTGACTGATCGCATAGATATTGCATCCCTTTGCTTTGTTTAGCATTCCACGCTGCGAGAAACCCGACAGCAAATCGAAAACCTTTATCTCACCATCCGTTAGAATCACCAATATATTATAGGGTTCCAATACTGTCATTTGTGTAATCGGTTTTCTAGACAATTGTTTTGTATCAAAGATAACCAATGAACCTTTTTAACAATAATAGAAATAACAATATCATTAATTAATATCCTATCTATTTTACTCTTTTTTTTTTCATTTCTTTAATTAAAAATAATAGCTAGCATGCATACAATTTGTACCAACAGAAGTTTGTTTCTCTACTACATCATATACTAATACTAGACCTTCGTATGTACCCAAGAATAACTTTTTGCTACCTCTATACTCCCATGTATCGATACACTCTATCTTTTGATTAATCTTATCAATCACCGTTGATTGTGTAAACGAATTCATTCTCTATCTATCAATCTAATAAATAAATCAAATCTATGAATCTATTTCTCTGTCTGTCTATGAATCTATCTATCTATCTATTCAATTGAACTAAGTTTGTTTCTCTAAAATCTAACTGAATCCAACTAAATTAATAAAATTACTTCTAATATAATGAATGAATGAATGATAATTATAAAGTCATATATTATTTATTTAATTATATTATTGTTGTTTAATTATTCTTATTATTATTATGTAATGTAAATAAAGATTGAACAACAACAATAATATAATAATGATATTAATATTTATTGATAATAATAATAATGATAATAAAAAAAGATGAAAATATCTTTAGCAATTTTGTATCTCATAAATTTTTGTAACGTTTTTTTTTTTCAAAGGAAATTTCTTTAAGTCAGTGTTTATTTAGTATGATCACCTTCATTTCAACTTAATATCACTCATAACATACTTGAATCAATAATCTTAACAAAAAATTTAATTAAAAAATCAGATATAAATAACCAAACAAGCTAAACTAAAACTATTTCGACAGTAATACACGAACTATAAGCCCAATATACAAACTAAACTACATATTTTCAATGGTAAAACATAATTAGATGTAAAAAAATGAAACCACAATGAATTTTACATGATAAGCTTGTTGATTTTCCAATTCTTGTGATTTTCTCAAAATAAATATAAATAGATTGATTGTTTTTTAGGGTTAATCAAAACAATTTCCTTATTGAGAATTTTGTTTATGCATTAAATCAATCAAATAATATTTAACTTGATGATCATAAGTTCATATTACTATTTTGCAACATTAATTTTTATCAAAAATAAAATAAACTAAACTCTATTCTTTTTTTATTTTTTTGATTATCTTTTATTTTATTTTTTTAATTATTTTACTCATTTTTTTTTAAATTTATAAAAAATCTTTTTTGCTTGTCTGTCTCTTTGTATGGTTGGATGTCTCAACAAAAATAATTTGAAATTTTTTCAAAATATTATTAAAAGTAAAAAATCCTTATCAATTTAAACAAAAACAACAGACAAAACAGTTGCCATACATCATCACCGCACACAGCATCAGCAAATCAAATCAAACCAAATCAAATCAGTTAAAATCACAAATCAAATATAATATTATTAATTAATTTACTTTTACTATTTTTATTATCTTATTATCGAATAAGAAGTAACATCGAAACTATCTAGTAATAATAGTAATAGTAAATTATATATATAACTTAATTTATCCAACTTTCGTTTTGTTTTTGTTTTTTTTATTTTTTTTGATTTTTTTTTAAGTTTTAGTTTTTTTTTTGTTTCTCTCTTTTTATTTGTATTGTAACAACAACAACAACAAGTTTTTTTTTATATAAATAATATATATATTAATATTAATTACAATTATTGATGAACTCTTCTTATTGGTCATAGTATTTTGATTGAAATCAAATCAAATCAAATCAAACAAAACAATCATGAATCATTTTAATAATAATAAAAACAATAGTAATAATAATAGTAATGGTAACGGTAATAGTCCACCTCCGTTAACTACCAATGGAATAGATAGTATTAATAGTCAACTACAATCACTCAATTTCACAACTACATTGAATCAATCGTTCGATTTAACAAGTTCGACTGGTTCACTGTCGGATTCATTCGGATCGAGTAGCGGTGGTAGTGGCGGTAGCGGTGGTCTATCAACTTCAACTGGTTCAAATAGTGGGAATAGCAATAATAACAATAACAATAATAATAATAATAATAGTAATAATAATAATAGTAATGTTGCAAATTTTACATCATTAAGTATGTGTTTATTTTGAATAGTAATACCACTATTCATAAAGTTTGAAACTAACATAACATTAACATTATTGTTATTATAAAAAAACAGGAACAAGTAAAGAATCAACCAATCCATTATCAAATAGTAATAACAATAACGATGAAAACTACTCAATGGCAAAGATCTACTTGAATAACAAGCCAAACCTCTCTAATCAACAAAGTCTCGGTAGAGTAGACTTTAACATGAAATCAGAGGATTTAGATCAATGTTGGTTTCACAAAGAAGCAACAAGAGATGTTTCAATTGCTTTATTAGATTCAAAACCATCTGTAAGTTTAGTAATATAGCACTGTTATTTTATTTATATATATATATGTAGATAGGATAGAGTTGAGATGAGATGAGATTAGATGAAGTGAAATGAATGTAATAAGAGTAAAATGAACATAATGATGTTAAGAAAACAAACAAAACAAAACAAAACAAACAAAAGTAATGTAATACTTACAAATAATTATTGTAATTGCTGTTGTTATTATTATTATTATTATTGCTATTATTATTATTATTATTATTAGGGATCATTTTTAATTAGACCAAGTTCACAACCAGGCAGCTATGCAATGTCTTGGGTCAAGGGTCAAGGCGAGATCGGACACAATCTGATATACGGTTTGTGTCCGGGATACTCGTTGAAGCAGAACCCTACGAATCCGACCGATCGATTTTGGTCGTTGCAAGCGTTGGTCGAGGGATGCGACTACCTCAACCAGCCCATCACAGTGTCGTCGGCGACTGCATCGATTGCCAAGTCGTCGAATGCCAAAACCAACAGCGAAGTAATTGGTCGTATCATTGAGAAACTTGTCTCTAACGATCAGAACCTATTAGAGTTGATGTGGAGTTTACATATTATCGAAAATCCAAACGAAAACGTTAATCGTTCTGAAAAGAGAACTTGTGTAAAGTAAGTAATGATCATCATTCATACATTTAACAAAACAAAACCTATACAAACAACATGAAAAGTACAACCAACAATATCAAACAAACATCAACAAACAAAAATAGAATGAATTGATGAAATATGTATGATGATGATGATATTTGTAGTAGTTTCAGATTTATATAGAATAGTATAGTATTGGTGGATTATGAAATAGAACAAACAAAACAAAAACAAACAAAAGCAGATATGATGAAAATGAAACAACAACAACAACAGAAACAACAAAAGAAATCACCTATATTTTAAATTTACTGGAAATTTGGAATACAATATAATTACATTATATCATAGTTTATCGAATTGAAATTGGAACCCAACAATTCATCATATTTTCTCATAAATAATCATCTTTAACAACCTGAGAAAAACAGTAGAATTAATGTTGTTGGATTCAAGTGAATTAAGCTAAGCTTTAGAATGAAAAAGTCAACAACAACAATAATAATATTCAATAGAATAATGATGTGTTGTTTATGTTACTGTTGTTGTTGATGTTGTTTTGTTGTTATTATTTACAAATGAAAAAAAAATGAATCAAATGATAATAATAATAATGATGATGTCATCATAACATTGAATATTCAATCAAAACATACTAACCTATAATTGATTTATTTTTATATTATTTTTAATAATAATAATTGTTATAGATATTGTGATGAAGAATATACAGCACCTGAAATATTACCTTTGAATGGCAATGCACTTTCACTGATAGCACAGAGTCTACATAATAATACAGTAACACAATCACTTCACATCAATGGATACGAAGGATATCTACGTATGAGCTTTCAACCGAATATAGGTGATGGTGAAGCTGCTCATCTCGCCAACATGTTGAGTAAGAACAAATCAATAACACTACTGAATTTAAATATAAATGAAATCTCTGATACAGGTGCAAAAGCAATTGCATTTGCATTGAAAACCAATACGTAAGTATATACAAATCAAATCAAATCAAACAAAACAACACTTTGAACAACAATCTAACTAATAGCTTTTATTATATTATATATATATATATAGTACACTTAAATATCTATCATTGTCAAATAATTTTATTGGTAAAGAAGGATTGGTTGCGCTGTCCGATGCAATTGAGGAGAATAGAACGTTGGATTTCATCGACGTTTCGAACCAACTGTATAAAAGTAGAAATATAATCAATCTTGTACATACAAATATCGAGAGAACACTGATAGGTCTGTTGGAAGACACTCTCAGACGTAAATGTGAGTTGATCGGTATCTCTACACCGCTCGACATCGATCGTTCGATGTCGTATCTCTCCTCGGGAAACATCCACTATATATCACTGCAACGACTAGCCTATTTCCACGGATTCCTCACACGCGAGCGTGCAGAGAAGCGACTGCGCGCCTCTGGCACACCGGGCTCGTTCCTCTTCTACCTCAACCACTACATTCCCAACTCGATTTTCCTCGCCTACATTGTCCAGTCGCCCGTGGACAACTCGTTCGATATCATTCACCGTATGATCCACCGTGTCCATTTCGGATACCGGTTCGTCTCTGGCAACGGACTGTCGGACCGCGAGTACGACGCGCGCGACGAAGCCAACGAAGAGGAGGTGCTCTACAACTTCCAGTCGAATCCGCGCGCACTCAAATCACATAGCAACAGCTATGACTACGCGTATCGCTATCGTCCCAAGCGAAAGGGTTGCGGTGTCGTCGTGCCCACACTCTTTGAGTACTGCTCGTGGGTGCTGGCGTCGTCCTCCGAGTACAAAGAGATCTCGCGCGAACTCAACGAGATCAGTACCGACATTGAGGAGCGTTTCCAAGCGATTCACGACCTCGTGCCATTGTGGGGTGCCAGAAATGTCAGACCGGTAGTCGCCACACTTCAAAACACCAAACAAAGTATCTCCAGAAAAGGTGTCTACTCGACACTCTCACAGCTTTACAAACACAACAAATCCAAACTTTCAAAACCAGTCACCACCGAACAATACCACTACATCAAAAGTCAGAAAAAAGATAACAATGATTGATCAAATCAAAAACCATATACATAAAATTTATATAATTTTTTTAAAACCCAATGTAAAAATAACAACTACTAGTAGTTTTGTATAACTTCTTATTATAATTAGTTGATTCAAAAAGAAGTGATATTAAGATACCTTAAATAACAATGAAACTGACTGACTTTAACTAAAGTAATTGTGAAGAATAAGAAATAAAAATAATGTTTTTTTTTTTGTAGTAATAGTTATTTTATTTATAGTTTTGGGAAATTCAATCATATCAACTCGGTTTATGCCTTTATAATCAGTAAATCTATAGAATTGAATAAAAAAAATAAGTTAGAAGCAAATTTCAATAACAAATAGGGACAAATAAAAAGAATAAATAATCATTAATTTATGATTCGTCAGATAAAATCGAATACTTTCTAATCAGAGACCATTCATGTTAAAGGAATTGACTTAAATATTGTTTTGTCATCATGATAAATTAAATGATATATTGATTCTTTTAAATAAATAATGCTTTACTTACTGTCAAAATTGAACAAATGTAAAGAAAATGTTGTTGCTCGTCTTCTTTTTATCAAACATTATTTTCAAATTCAATCTAAATTTTAAGTAAAAAAAAAAAAAGAAAAAAAAAAAACGACGAAAAAGAAAGCGACACGTTACTTTTTTAAAGATATTTCAAAAAAAAAAAATAAGATTTTAAACTTTAAGTTTATAGTTTACAGCGGTACTCAAAGATTATATATTCCTTGAGCTTTTTTAGTTTATTAGTTGAACCAATAGATCGATTTATACAGGAGGGAATTCAGGAATAAATCCCACTGAAAATTCAGCTTGTAAAAATATATCGTTATTTGTTTTAGTCAGACCTAAAATAGGAATGGGTTGTTGATTGCTTGTTGTTGATGATGATGATGATGTTGTTGTTGTTGTCATATTGGCAAATGGTGAAGTTGATGTTTTTGGGGTAAATGGACTGTATACTGCTGTTGAATCCGACGCTGGATTATTATTATTACTATTTCCAGATGCCCAAGTTGGCACGTTGAATACTGAAGGTGTTGTAGGTGATGTTGTTGTTGTTGTTGTTGTTGTATTGAATGGGCTGTTACTATTAGGTGTTCCAAATACTGTATTATTATTATTAATATTTATAGGACTAGTATTATTATTGACAGTTTGAAATACACTACCGCCACCACCAGTTGGCGTATTGGTTGCAGCGTTACTTCCAAAAACAGTGGTGTTGTTAGGTGTACCGAATACACCACCGCCACCACCTCCCGACAATGTTGCAGCGTTACTACCAAAAACAGAGTTGTTAGGTGTACCGAATACACCGCCACCACCAGTTGGCGTATTGGTTGCAGCGTTACCTCCAAAGACAGTGGTGTTAGGTGTACCGAATACACCGCCACCTCCAGACAATGTTGGAGTATTACTTCCGAAAACAGTGGTATTAGGTGTACCGAATACACCACCTCCACCCCCCGACATTGTTGCAGCATTACTTCCAAAGACAGTGGTGTTAGGTGTACCGAATACACCGCCACCACCACCTCCAATTCCAGGAGCAGTAGCAGGAGGATTACCAAATACCATATTATTATTATTACTATTGTTAGTTGCACTAGTACCAATGCCAAATACACTGTTGTTAGTCGAACCAAATACACTTCCACTACCAGAACCACCACCACCAGCACTAGTACCAAATACACTTCCACCACCTCCGCCACCACCGAATACACTTCCACTACCAATAGTATTTCCACTCATCATCGAATTGTTGTTGTTTCCATCTGTATAGTTATCGAAATCGAAATGTACTTGAGTTGGACCGTTTTGAGTATAGTTTTTTAGAAATGCTGGTCTGGTGTTATCGCTTCTTATCTGATGTAGGAGTTGGTTGACTTCATCTTGCTTCTTCTTAATGTAAGCCATTAGCCTTTGTTTCTCCGAGTTGTCAGTCTTTTTCATCATCTCATATCGCAGCTCTTCTGGAGATACATCGGCAATTACCAAACTATTTTTTTTCTCTGCTCCATATGATGAAAGTACCCAACCGACACTGTCAACCACCAACTTATCTGGATAAACCTACATACATATAAATGATATCATTCATTATTATTAGTCGATAGCACTATCTTTCAAGGGAAAACAAATTATATTACTATACAGGAGAAGGTGACATTGTATTTATGTTTTGATTTTAAATAATAATAAATATGAAAATTACTAAATATGGAAATAAATAAATCTAAGAATTAAGATAATATCATATATATTTAATATCTATTTATATAGCTGTTTTGTTTGTTGAGTGAATTAATTGAATGAATAAAATGTAGTTCGACTTTTTTGGGTTTTTTAATTTTCATTGTTTTTTTTTTTTTTATCACTCGACTTTTTTTAGTGTGTGATCAATTTTTTTTTTGACGATCATATGATTCAATTTGTGTGTCTGTTTTTTGTACAATATTAATTAGATTAGTTTAGTTTTGGTAACAAGATCGCTGGTTTAGTTAGGATTTAGAAGATAAATTGATCAATCATGTTATCAAGAGTTAGCTATCAGCAATCATTGTTGAGAAAGTTGGTTAACTCAACAGCAGCATCTACATTAAGTGTCAGAAACTACAGTGGTTCAGCTACTTCGTCAGCTGAAGAATCAACATCAAAGACTGCACAACCAACACAATCTACTGGTTTCGGAAAGAAAAAGAGAATCAATTATAAAGGATTGCCAGTGGTACCACCCATCAGCGCAAAGCAATTTCAGTCGAGCGCAGTAGATATCAGCGATGCCCAAAAGATAGAGAATCTAAATACACACATCACAGAGCAAGCCGAAGAGAACAACTTTAGATACACTCCAAACTTTTCGAAACTAGGTATTCTCACCAACGTCAATGAGCTACCCGAAGATTGGAATAATGTAAATAGAAAATCAATTTTGATATTTGAAATTAAATATCAAAAACTAGTTTTGGAATAATAATTATTAATATATATCAATTCAATTCAATTCAATTCAATTACTACTATTCATTTGTGCAGATTAAATATAACGCAAAGTCAAGAAAAGAGAAGCAAGCATTGAATGATACATCAAAGTTATTCGATATTAAAGACAGTGAAGAAGCCAATATTCAATTTAACAGATTCGGAAAAACACAGACTCCATTCCCACGTTTACCAAATAACAATGTATGATAGATATTCTCTTTTGTTTTTGGAAGATATTTTCAATATGATATAGGTCAAACTAATCAAATTTCTATTTGTTTATTCAGCCAAAATTAATTTTCGTTCCACCAATTAATGGAGGTAGTTACGCAAGAGCATTTTTAAATAACAGAAAGACTTTGAATGCAATCGATATTTCAACCATTGATTTACTTGAAGAGTTTGTAAAAGTAAGTAAATGAATTAATCAAATTTAATTTAGCAATATTTCGAAAATAATAATATTAATTGATTGATTGATTGACACGATTATTTTCTTTTCAGGATAAAATTAAAGATGATACAATCACATCATTTTCAATTCATACATCAACACCAGGTGTAATTCATAGTGCAGGTACAGACTTTGTTACATTGTTTGAAAAGAGAAATACAGAGCTACCAGAGCAATACTTTAGAAAGTTGTACAAGTTCTTTTATTTGTTGGCAGCATCACCGAAACCACATGTTTCAATTTTAGATGGTTTGGCAGTTGGTTCTGGTGCCGCCTTTACAGCAAACAGTGCAGTTCGTGTTGCCACTGAGAATTCAATCTTCTCGGTGCCAGACTGCGCCATCGGATTCTTCCCGGATGCCGGTATGGCCCGTTTCCTCGGCAAGCTGCCAGGCAGTCTCGGACGTTACCTCGCCATGACTGGCGGTCGTTTGCGTGGATCGGACATCATGGAGAGCGGAATCGGTAATTTCTACATCCGTACCAACCAGATCCAGTACATCGAAGAGTGGCTCGGTCGTGTGCCAATCAACCGTTCCGACCGTCTCTTTGCCAACTTGGATATCCACACCGAGAACTGGGACAACAAGCAATCGATCCAGAAAACACACTACGAACAATACAAAGAGGCGATCGACCGTTGTTTCTCAAAGGCCAGCGTCGAGGAGATTATGGATGCATTGCGCGCCGAAACTCAACATCCGGCATGGGCCAAGCGTTGTCTCGACAACATGAACCGTATGTCGCCACTCAGCTTGAAGTTGACTCTAGTATTCATGGACTACGCTTTGCAACCGAATCCATTGTTAGACCAGCCACTCTCGCTCAAGGAGCACTTTGAGATGGAGTACCGTATTACCAGCTCGCTCCTCGAGGAGGGTTCCGACTTCTGGGAGGGCATTCGTGCGAATCTCGTGTATAAACGTGCTCCACAATGGAAGTACAAGACACTCGCCGATGTCACCGACGAGGTTATCGAACACCACTTGAACTTCCAACCAAAGAATCCGCTGTATCTACGTGAATTGCCAACCAACCACGAGGAATTCGAAGACATGTTGAATGAGTATTACGCCGAGAACTACCAAGCCATCTCTGAACAAGATCAAAAATTGTTTACCACCTACGAGGGTGATCCCATCTCAAAGAAATACGAAGAGTTTATCGAAGAATATTACAAGGGCGCTGACCAAGATGAGTACTTTGAAAGAAATCTCGCTGAAACATTGTCTTCAATGGCTCCAGAAGATACTTATTAAAAAGATTAATAATAATAATAATAATATCATCAATAATATAATAATTATAATATCATATATATTTTTACACACAATCACAATCTAACAAACCAGCCAGCCAGCCAGCCAGTCACAACCAACCAAACAACAAATCAATCACAACAAACAAACATAATAAAACTTTTAAAAAAACAATAAAAATAAATTATTAAACATTAATAATAATCTATCTAATTACTATTATTAATTATTATAATAATAATAATAATACTGTTTTGTTTATTTATTTAGTTATTTACTTAGTTATTTGATCAAATTCTTCCTTTGAGACTTGTTGATTTCCGTGAAAAACTCTGTACTTGATGCATTGTTATTCTCGACGAATACATCTGCCAAAACACCGAGTTCATAGTAATTCTTCTGAGCTGTTGCTGATCCACCTACATTCAACATGTTTGGTTGTTGTTGTTGTTGTTGCTGTTGCTGTTGCTGTTGCTGTTGATTCAATGATGATGATACTTCTGAAATACCGGTGGATGGCTCCAACAATTTAATTGCTAATCCAACAATCTGTTGCATTCCAGGTTTAATTGGGAACATCTCAATGTCGATATCCAGTGAGTTGTTTGGTGGTAGTGCACCGATCTTTGGTAGATGACCATTCACAAGAATACCATCCATCTTATTTCGCACCAACACAAACAGTGGATAGAGAATACGATTGGTCTTATTGACGAGCTTAGCAGTGACAACGAACGGCTTCTCCAACTCTACCTTTGGAATGTGTGTAAGAATACATTCGACTTCATCGATATTGATCTTTCTCTGAATGTATGCTGTCTTTAGTCGACCGATCTCACCTAAATACGATCTCCATGTAATATCTAATTTTCCTAATGATGCTGAATTCTAAAATAATAATAAAAGTAATTTGATTGTTATTAATGTTGTTGAACCATGGTTATGTTTGTTTGTTTGTTTGTTTGCTTACCTTTGTATCGAAATCATTTGGATCTTTTGGTGTAATCTTGAATAAATATTGTCTGCTTCCAGATTCCTTTAAAAATACAACATTTGAAGTTGATTTTATCTCTGATAAAATAGAATTCGAACTACAATTGTTATATAATGTTTGTTGGTTAGAGATATGTATGATTAATGATAGGTAGTTGTAAATGAATATCTACTTACTCAACACTAGATTTAAAATTTACATTTGAAGTTGGTGAGGAAGTGGTGGAAGGAGATGTCAATGGTGGTGAGGAAATCGGTGTTGCATTGACATTATGACTGTTTTCACTTAGATTTACAAAGTTAAAGAGCTCGCTAGGCTCGAAAAGTATAGACTCTAAGAATAGTGATCCTTGTGTTGCATTCTCTAGACAAGCTTCTAAAAATATTTGATTCTTTATATATATATATATTTATAATTTAGAACATTAAAAATTAGATATTTTAATTGAATAAACAAACCAACAAATATGAAAATGTGATGGTTACACATACAGGTATATGATGTATCTTTGTCTTTATAATTAATGGATTCATAACTTGAAACTTAAAGAACTTTTTAAACTTTTTGATTTCACCTTCTGGTGTAACATAGTTTACTGCACAACATAATCTTAAAGAAAGTATAGTATGTTAGTTATCATAGTTAGATGATTATTATAATATTGCTATATAAAAGTAAAACACTACACATACATATTAACACCAGATTCTTTAACTTCACGTTGTACTACGAAATCAGAATTGAAACCTGGACCAAACTTTGCAATTGGACTTTGTTCAGAATCTAATAATAATATTCTTTGTGTAGATGTTTGTAATTCAACCTTTTTATGAATTTATTTAGTTAGTTAGTTAGTTTGATAGAACAACTGTTAACAGAAACGAACTAAACTATATTATTTATAGCATATGATCATATCATACCTTTAGGAATACATTTGTTACATCATGTGTAGAATGATTGTTTAGACTGATGTAAGAAGTGAATATTTCACCGAGATATATTGTACCGGATTGAAGTTGTAACATTGGCGAGATACCGAGTGCTTCAATACCACCACCGTATGTATCGTTATTACCGAATTGTATTAAAGGTGGAAACAGTATGTCACTGGCTATATCATCTCTTTCACATAAAATCGAATTATTAACTGGTATATGAGGTTTGCTAAGTCTCATAACCTTTAAATTTAACAGTTGATTATCTTTATTCTCCATTTCTATATTAATATAAATATACTAAAAATATCTATATATATATTACAATTATAGACAAACATATGATCATCTATTATCACACAATCAAATTTTACCAAATTGTTGTTGATTTTTTATTTTTAATTTTTTTCAGATTTTTTTATTAAAAGTTAAAACAGTGTCAAACAAAGAAACTAATACAATGTAATTCATTTTTTTATATTTATTAATTAATATGGATTATATTTACATTTAATATTAAAAGTTCTCAATTGATCAATCTGATTATTATATATTGTGATCCATCAATCATTAATCTATTTTGATTTATGAAAAAAAATTCCCAAAAAAAAAAAAAAAAATAAACGAAAATTGCTTTTGTGTAATCTGACTGATCTCATCTCCTTATCTGTTTGTTTTATTTTTGTTCTCAAATAACAATGATAAATGTTATTTTTAAAAATAGTTGTTTATCATTGAACAACTATCTTTGTTTAAATAGATCATCAACTAATGCTCTTTTATCATTAGCATCATATCGTCAATACAATCAAATCAGTAGTAGTAGTAGTAATCTACATTATAGATATAATTGTACTTTATCATCACCAACAATACAACCAACATCAACAACAACATTAATAAATAATAACAATAGCAGCAGCAATAATAATAATAATTCAAGTGATAATAATAATAGTCAAGTTTTAAATTTAAAAAACAAAAATGGAAAATCATCATCAACAACAACATCGACAGTAACATCATCATCATCGTCATCACCTCAACAAAAACCTAAAAAGTATAATAATAATAATAATAGTAATGCAAGTCATCAAAATGAAAAGAAAGAAAGGAAACAATTTGTAAAACTACCAGGATCTTCATCGACAAATGTATGGGATAAGAAAGAATCAAATCCATTCGTACGAGAAACTGAGATTCCAAAAGTACCTTTTGACCAATCCATTTTCGATTTATATTCAAATCTATATAAATCCGAAAGGTAATTACATCGCTAATGTGAATCACACATATGATTTTTAGATATTAATTGTTAGTTTATCTTAGTTTACCGAAATATTTTAAAGATAATATAAATAATAAGAATATAGATAAGTTGGTTAGTGAAATTCAATCGCTATCGAATCAACCGAAATATTGGCTTGCCGTGTCGATTATCAGTACGTTGGTAGATCTGAGACCAAAGCTATCGCAACCACTCCCACCGAAGAACTCCGATGTAAAGAACAGGGGTTCTGTTGAGGAGCGCGAAAAGACACTCGGTGAGGATGTCTTGCAGTTCCGAAAGCTGGTGTTGGCCGCCACCCGCTACACACTGGCAATAGACGACAGCGCGCCAATCAAACACGATCAGCTCGTAAAGCTCTACTTTAACTTTAATCATATCGCCTATCTCCAATCGCAACACGAAATTCTCATGGAGCAAGTCCGTTTGAAATCGAACCAACCAACCTCCGGTGACGAACACCTCCAATCGATGATGAACTCCATCAAGATGCTGTCGATGGACACCTCATTCCTCTATGACTACCTCTCTTGCAACGAATCCAGCAATTTCATCCGGCCTTTCTTTGACAATGCACACCTCCAGTGGACATCAAGCGTGATCCAAGTCGGTTTAAAGAATCGTAGTGAACGCATTCAAAAAAGAATACAAAGCAACAACAGCAACAGCAACAGCAACAACAACAACTCTCAAGAAACTACATCAACTGTTTCTTTCGATGAATTGGAAAAGATCATTAATAATCCATTGGATAAGGACCACTTGGAGTTACCGTCGTTCGTTGTAAACTCTGAACTCAATGGACAGTATGATATTGTCGACTTTATCGAGGGACAACTTCCAGGCCAGCTGGAGATCGCTTCAAAGTTGATAAACTCTGTCATTATGTTTTATCTTCTTGTCGATCGTTATGAGATGGCGCTGCACTGGTACTCTCGTCGTCTTAAAATCGGGTTGTCCCCAAATCACTTCACCATCTTCCCATTCATTGTGTATCATGAGTTCCGTGGCGACAACCTCCTCGAGCACTGGGAGTCGGTGCTCGACCAGTATCCAGTGGACAAACGTAGACGTTCCAATTTTAGACGTGAATTCAAGTTCAATTTCATTATGACGGCGCGTCGTGTCTTGGTCAACCCAGGTGTGCGTGCCGAAGCAAAGGACACTGAACGCGAAGCTCTCGAAAAGATTATTAAGCTCGGACACACTGGAAAGATGATCTATTTGCTCAACCAGTATTTCGAACGTGGATTGCTGCCCAGTGGCACAACCTTGATACGCGCAGCACAAAATTCAGCTGGTCTGCCCACCTGGCAGCAGTATGTCCCGACAACACCCGACTTTGTACGTTGTCTCTTGTTCTCACCGCGCGCTTACGAAGCGGATTTGCGCGAGAAGAATATGCTTGGCGGTTGGAACCGTCTCAAGAGTGAACGTCCGATAATGGTGTATACCAACATCATGATTCTCAACTCGATTCTCTGTGGTCTTCTCAATCACAACGAGATTGAAGCGGCCGTGCGTATCACCATTGAAATGACCAAGCGAAAGATGAAGGTTTTCGAGTGGATTCACCGAAAGTTCAGTGAAAAGTTCATCGAAATCGGTTACTTTGACGAAGATTACTACAAATATATGCCCTCCATTCTCCAAGAGTACGGTGCACTCTTCCGTTTCAACCAGATGGCTTCGTGCGACGTCAAAGTTGCCTACTCTTACCTGTGTGCCGTCAACATGCAGACCAAGACCAAACCGTTTTTGACGATCGCTGTCAATCTCTACGACCGAATCTACACAATGAATGACGACATCAACTTTGCTCATCTCATGAAGTTCTTTGGCGAGGTCAACCTATTCTATTTGTACTCGGTGTTGTTTGAGTTGTTTGCCCAGCGTGGGTATGCCAAACTCGGTTTGCAATTGCTCAATTCGAATCTCGCATTTTTCCTCAACCAAAAGCATCTGTTGAACCACCAGATGGTCTCTGACATTTTAAGGACACTCTGCTATACTGCTTCGTCAGAGGCACGCGAATTACAGGTCAAAATATTCAAAGCATTCATGAGTGCTAATCCACCAGCAGCTAACAAACACCTCAGTGAGATACACAATATCATGTCGCACGTCAACAAAGAATTAAACGATCCACAAATTACAGAATTACTAAATTCAATCGATCTCAACTATACAGTGGCACCCAAACTACCAAAAGCACTTGTCGATGATATTCAACAATCTTTATTGGCTGCCTTTTCAAGGTTATAATAAATAAATTGAGAAATAAACTAGTTTGGTAATATCATTATAATGCTAATCAATATTTTTTGTAAAAATCTGATCAATTTGATTCAAATCTATTTAATCAGGGAGAGAGTTCAATAACTGTGATACAAAATTCAGAATTCACTTCTCTTGAAATTTAAAATAATGAATATATATAAGTAATATTAACAATTTTATTTTTTAGATGTTTGTATATGAATATGGTCATACAGAAGAAATATTTTTATTTGATAAAAATTATTTATCATATTTATTATATTGGTTGTTCATAAATGCAGCTTCTTTGAAACAGGTAATTGTTCTTGCTTTGTGAGTATTATTGAATGGATTCCATTTGGTTTGAGCAAGTAACCATTCAACACATTCAATTTGACCTGATCGAATTGAATTCGTATAACATTCTAACATAATCTGATGATTTGCAATGTTTCTATCGTACTTTCGATTGTTTGGTTCTGGTATTATTGCATATTCTGTTAACTTTAAGAATATTTCATAATTCTTTGACAAAGGAGATCTTGAAAGTGCTTTTAAATAGTCTTGATCACTTAGATCTATTCTTCTCGTATAATTATGTGCTCTAATAATGTAGTTTACAATCTCTAAACTATTAAACTCTGCAGCCAATGCCAAAAGTTCACCGAAATCAAAATGACTTCTTTTGATTGTAATATAATGGAAACTGAGAAAAGAAAGTATTTCAACCACATAATCAAAGAATTCGACATCATTAAGCTTTACTATATGTTTGAAATATAGATCTGAATGATTAAAGTATGTTTGAAGTACTTATTTTCAATAGAGAAATCGGTACGATATTGACAAGGAGCTCGCCAATACAAGCTACTTCTAAACATCAGGTAGAATCGTTTCAATTCTATAATATCGATGATTAACCAATTGAATTGGATTACTAATCATATCTTTCCATCAATATAAAACTAACTCTTTTGCCTTTGAATTTAACTTCCTCTCTTGATTCCACTGATTTCTTACTTTATCTCTATTTATTATATAAACATGATTAAATATGGGATTTCTAATATAAACATTTTTAAAACAAAATAAATATTTATCCATTTATGTATATCTATCTGTATGTATTTATCTTAAAAGGTGGATGATAAATCAAATTTGTTTTTTTTTTTTTATTTATTTTTTTCAAAGAAAAAATATGTTTTATGCTTTTTGAGTTGATCGTTCAACTTTTTTGTTGTATTTGTCAGCAATTCTTCTCTTTCTGATGAGGAGTGCAGATCCAGCTACAAGAGCAACACCGACAGTACCACCAACAACACTACCAACAATGACTCGCCAATTATCATCTTTCTTTGTTGTTGGGTTACAAGTATTTCTATTGTCGGTTTGGGCATTTGGTGCAAGGATTAAACCGAAATCAGGGTCAACCATTGCAAACTCTTCGAATTGCGGTACGACAGTGTCGATTTCAACATGTCCTTCTCTTTGGATGTATGTATGAACAGCTACCATCGGTATGGTATCGACAATGAGTGTATTCAACATTGAACCGACAATATAGTTACCGTTTCCATCACCAATATTGAATGAGGTGACTTCGGAGGTCGACAATACAATAGTGTCATTGGAAGACGGTGCCTTCAAGTTTCCACATTGATCCTTAACACCAACGGGATTGGTAACTCTCATTGAGAAAACGAGGTTGTTCAATCTCGATTGGAATGGCCATTTTTCGACTCTCATAGTAAACTTGTGAGATCCAATGTTGATTTGGAAATCCTTTCCTGCAAAGCTGACTGGAATCGTTTTGGCTAGCAGTGCGGAATTCTTTGGTGCTTGGTATTGAATGAATGAAATCTCCATTGACTCGGCATATTTGAGAGATGTAGAGTTGGCAGAGTAACTCCACTGTTTGAGCGCTATGATCTCGCCTGTGATCGCGTGACTAATATTTTGATTGGAAGATGATTCCAACATCCATTTCGCTTCGGAGACATTGAAATATTTAACTTGGTCACCGGTATCAGTGATCTCAGTGATTGAGAATACTTCAAACTTGTAGCTGATTCCATTGTTCTCGACTTCGATCTCTGGAATCTGTGGATTTGGTGTGATTGTATCGTTTCCGTTGTGATTATCTTTGCCGTCGATCTGACAATAAATACCACTCCATCCTTCTTTACATTGGCATACTCCCTCGAGGCATTCACCATTCTCTGAACAAACTGGAGCTGTTTCATTCTTTTTACACGATGAATCGTCAAGAGCGCTGATGGTTGAAATGGAAACAGATTGTTCAACCGGTTGGTAATAAGAGTTGTAAACAATTACTTTAATAATATATCTTGTTTTCGGTGCCAATTTGGTGATATCACAATAGAGTTGTTTGGATTTCGAACAAATGGTTGTCCAGTTTTGTGAGTTGTAAGAGATAATGGTTGAATAGGTAGTTTCATTAGGTTGACCATTCTCTGATGCATTCCATGAAACATATATCGATGAAACCGATGCATCTGCACTAAGATTTAAACCGGTTGGTTCGGAATAGGTTTGAATGGAACCGATTTCCATCTTTGACATATCATCATTGTATGCAATCACCTTGACTTGATATAACGATCCAAGCTCCAAATCATCATAAATACATGATAGCTGAGTTGTGTTTGGACAAATGACTGCTTCATTCACTAATACATCGTAGGTTGTTGAACTTGGAACACCATTGACTGTTGAATATGTGATATCGAAATTCTCAGTTGAGGTCTGTGAAATTTGGATCGATGGATTGCTGATTTCAGAGTATGTCTGATAGCTTCTGGATAATGTCAATTGTGTTTGGTCGCTAACTGCAATAATTGAAATTTCCTGAGAACTTCCTGGAACCAAATCACTAATTACACAACTTGTCTCTTGAGTTTTGATACAAGATGTCGGTTGTCCATTTAGAGAAACATTGAAATAGGTCAACTCTGGAATACCATTTTCAACTGAATATTTCAATGAGATCTCTTTGGTTGTAATGTATACCAAATCAAGCAGGAGATTCGATAACTCTGCATAGGTTTCGACAATCAACTCGGAGCTAAGATGTCTATCAACATTGTTGGATGTGACAATGAAAGAATAGGTTGTTCCCGGTAAAAGATCGGTAAGGAAACACTCTCCATTGGCATCGGGTTTAGATTCTTGACAAACACTATTTCCAGCTTGATTGATGGTGGTCGAGTTCATAATGACAACGAATGAAGTTTGAAGGGGATCACCTCCTGGTGCTTCGTAGTTGAGATGAATTGATTTTGTCAGTGCAGTTGCTGTGAGAATTGGTTCACTCATCAAATCCCAGAGTGTAACATTTTGAACTGGCGATTGGGTGATATCACCATCGTTGGTTGCTGTGACTTGAACAGAGTATTCTGACAAGGTTGTCAATCCAGTGATGGTACATGTAGTGGCAGTTCCAGTACATTGCGAATAAACTACACCATCCAGGAGAACGTGATAAATGGTTGATGGAGATGGTACTCCAAAAGTTGATGAATATCTGGTGAAGATTGAAGTTGGTTTTCCAATCAAAGTTAATGTTGGATTGCTAACCTTGGTGTAGGTGGTAAGTTTCTTTGAGAATGAAAGTGATTTACCATCATTGACTGCAGTCACTTGGATATTGTAGTTGGTGGTATGAGTCAGACCACTCAGAGTACATGTGTTGGAGGAGATATCAATACAACCGATTACATCGACACCATTGTTGTTTACAGTATATTTAGTTGCACTGGGAACACCTCCATTCACTGTGAAGTTTAGTGAAATCAATTTGGTGGTAACGAGTGACGAACTGAAAATACCTTCAGAGATTTGTGAGTATGTTGGTGCAACAATGGATTTCGAAAGGTTAAGTCCTGCGTTGGTAGCGAAAACAGCAAAGGTATAGGATGTACTTGGTGTTAGGGATGCAACATTACATGTGGTGGAGGCAATCGATTGACATGGTGCATATGGAACATTATTGACGCTGATAGAATAGAGGGTGAGCGCTGGATTTCCACCCTTGGCCGAAAAAGTTAAACTGGAGGATTTGGTCAACATTGCCACTGAGAGTGTTGGTGCAGTCAATAAATCCCAAAGCTTAACGGTTTGGATCAAGGATGAAGTTGTAGTTCCATCGTTGATAGCTTTGACTTGAACGGAATAGGTTGAGAGTGTTGTCAATCCACTGAGAGTACATGGAGAGGTGGTACAAGTTTGAGAAACATCATTCAAAAGAACTTGATAGGTTGTGGCTGGTGATGGCACACCTCCAGTTGATGCGAACGAAATTGAAATTGAAACGGGTGTATTGGATAATGTAAAGGTTGGAACACTGACAACTGGGTAGAGTTGTTGAGTGATGGTTTTGGTTGGTGATGAATTTCCATAATTGATCGATTTTCCAACGATTGTCAATTGAACACCTGGATTCGATGGTGTGAATCCAGAGACTGTGCATTGTGCAAAGTCATTACAAGTGGCTGCAGCACCATTGATTGTAAAGGCAAATGTTGTGACTCCTTGAACTCCATAGGTCGATGAGTAACTGAATGTCACTGAGCTGGTTGTATAACTAATAATTTGCAATGTCTTCATTGTATCTGCAAAGGTTTGGTATGAAGAAACACCTGTTTTCGATAAACCATCATTGGTAACCTTAACCTGGACATCATATTTGGTTCCGAGAACAACTGAATTGAATGTACATTGTAGAGCGGTTGTTGCTGCACAAATAGTTGCACCATTGACAACAACATCATAAACAGATGTTTGATATCCATTTTGTGTTGAATAAGTGATTGTTAGTGTGAGTGCTGATTGTTTGATTGTGACAGTTGGTGTTGTGACTTCAGCTAACGTTGTGAATGTCTTTGATGTACTTTGTTTCTTTCCATCGTTTACTGCATCTACTTGGATAACATAATCAGTGGCTTGGGTCAAGGTATTGATTGTGCAAGTAGTAGTGGAGATACCAACACATCCTGGAACATTTACACCTTTGTTGGAAACTGTGTAAAGAGTTGAACTTGGAACACCTTGAGTTGTTGAGAAACTAACAATCATTGATTTGGTTGTGATTGTTGTTGCTGTCAAAGTTGGGAGTGTGATCTCTGGATATGTAGATTGTGTAACTGTATTGCTCAGAGTTGTGACTGAATTGACTGCAATTACCGTAAACCTGTAGGAAGTACCAGGTGTCAGAGATGAAACAGTGCATGTTGTTGTGGCGATACCTTTGCAATTGGCAACGTCAACACCATTTGATTGGATGGTATAGCTTGTCAAAGCTGGATTACCACCTGTTGCAGAGAATGATAGAACAGCACGATTGGTGAACATGTTGGCAGAGATAGTTGGTGTAGACATCAAATCCCATAGTTTAACGGATTGGACTGTTGACAAAGTGGTAGTTCCATCGTTGGTTGCTTTGACTTGAACGGAATAGGTTGAGAGTGTTGTCAATCCACTGAGAGTACATGGAGAGGTGGTACAAGTTTGAACAGCACTATTCAATAGAACTTGATAGGAGGTGGCTGGTGATGGCACACCATTAATCGAAGAGAATGTAACGGTAATGGAAACTGGGGTGTTGGTTAATGTAAAGGTTGGAACACTGACAACTGGGTAGAGTTGTTGAGTGATGGTTTTGGTTGGTGATGAATTTCCATAGTTGATCGATTTTCCAACGATTGTCAATTGAACACCTGGATTCGATGGTGTGAATCCAGAGACTGTGCATTGTGCAAAGTCATTACAAGTGGCTGCAGCACCATTGATCGTAAAGGCAAATGTTGTGACTCCTTGAACTCCATAGGTCGATGAGTAACTGAATGTCACTGAGCTGGTTGTATAACTAACAATTTGTAACTTTTGAATGGAATCTGAGTAGGTTTGGTATGAAGAGGTACCGATTTTAGTTAGACCATCATTGGTAACCTTTACTTGAACATCATATTTGGTTCCGAGAACAACCGAATTGAATGTACATTGTAAAGCGGTTGTTGCTGCACAAATAGTTGCACCATTGACAACAACATCATAAACAGATGTTTGATATCCATTTTGTGTTGAATAAGTGATTGTTAGTGTGAGTGCTGATTGTTTGATTGTGACAGTTGGTGTTGTGACTTCAGCTAAAGTTGTGAATGTCTTTGATGTACTTTGTTTCTTTCCATCGTTTACTGCATCTACTTGGATATTATAGCCAGTGGCTTGGGTCAAGGTATTGATTGCGCAAGTAGTAGTGGAGATACCAACACATCCTGGAACATTTACACCATTATTAATGATTGTGTAAAGAGTTGAACTTGGAACACCTTGAGTTGTTGAGAAACTAACAATCATTGATTTGGTTGTGATTGTTGTTGCTGTCAACGTTGGGAGTGTGATCTCTGAATAGGTAGATTGTGTAACTGTGCTACTGAGGGTGGTTGGTGCATTGACTGCAGTCACAACAAACTTGTAAGAAGTACCAGGTGTCAGAGACGAAACAGTGCATGTTGTTGTGGCGATACCTTTGCAATTGGCAACATCAACACCATTTGATTGGATGGTGTATCTTGTCAACGCTGGATTACCACCGGCAGCAGAGAATGACAGAACGGCACGATTCGTAAACATGTTAGCAGAGAGTGTCGGTGTTTTCATCAGATCCCATAGTTTAATCGATAAAACGCCAGATTGAGTGGTTGTACCATCGTTGGTTGCTTTGACCTGGAGTGTATAGGTTGCAAGAGTAGTCAATCCACTGAGAGTACATGGAGAGGCAGTGCAGGATTGAACGGCACCATTCAAGAGAACTTGGTAGGTGGTGGCTGGCGATGGTACACCGCCAGTAGCAGAGAAAGTTGCAACAATAGAGTTTGGTGTGTTTGTAGAGGAAAGAGATGGAGTGGTAACTGCGGTATAGGTAGTTCCACTGGTAGTCATAGCAGCAGAGCTTACACCATAGTTTACGGCATTAACGGCAATCGAGACTGTTTGGCCTGGAGTCAAACCGGTAATGGTACAAGATGTAAAAGAACATCCTCCAACTTGAACATTATTCGATTTAACAACAAAAGATGTAACTCCATTGACACCTTGATTCGACTTGTAGCTAACAGTGATAGTCTTTGTAGTTCTAGCAGTCACTGTTACCGAGTTCATAGTATCAGCTGATAGTTAGTATCAAAAGAATAGAAAAGAAATTGATAAATATTAAATTAGTATATACATTGGATATCTTTGAATAACATGATTACAACTTACCGGATGGCATTTGGATATAAGCGGAAGTACCGGAATTCGCTCCACCAAATGGAGATTCTCCGTTCAATGTCGCTTTGATGTTGGTTCTTAAACCGGTTGGAATACCAGAGATTGTACACGATTGTCCACCGGTTAGAGAATTACAGGAGGTTGCAACGTATGAATTTCCGTTGAGGTATTCAACTCTCATTGTTTGGGTGGCTGGCCAATTGCTATTCACTTGGATGGTAAGTGAATTGTAACCGTTGAACTTGGCGGCACCGAAAGTAATGGAGAGCGAAACCGCACTGAACACATTCATCATGAATCTTATATCGTCTCGTGAGCAAGATGTCGATGTCCAAGCAAAGTTTGTTAGACCTCCACAGCTTCCCGAGCTATCATAAGAGTAACCAATGGTTGCCGATGTAAGAGTACCCATTGTTCCTCTCTGGAAACCAGAAACGGAATCTGTATAACTACATACATTTGGACGCAATACATTTCTAATACTATTAACCGGTCCACAAACGCTATTTGGACTATTTACATAACATAATAATAATTTGATGGAAAAAGAGTTTCAGGTGGTGTTAATAAATATTTTTGTGTGATCAATCAATTAATCAAATGTGTGATTTTTATCTGAGGAAAAAAAAAATGAAAAGTTGAAATTTAAAAAAAAAAAAATATATATTATTTTAAATTAAAACTTACGGATATCTTTCATAGTAAATCTATATTTAGATTAAAGGATAAATTTTTATTTTTTTTAATTAGTTCTAATTATTTAATATATTTTTTTAATTTATAATAAATTTATTATAAAATACTTACAAATCCTACTGATGGAGTGACAAAAGTAGATTTTACTTCAGTTTTAAATACTCCAGCAATACAATTTCCAGAAGTTGCTGCTAGTCCAATAAAACTGGATTGTGCACATGCTTTATCTTTGAAATTCTCTATTTTATAGGTATTTCCAGAGATAAGGTATTTAAAGCTAGCAATTCCATCACTGTAACATTGTCCATTGACAAATGATGAAATTAAATTGGGTTGAACATCACAACTTTTAGTACCAAAAGGATAGGATGTTAACCAAATATAAGATTGCCCCTCTACAAAAGACAATAGAAATGATACATATATTAAAAATACAATAAATAAATAATTATATTTGAAAAACATTATTTATTTATTTAATTGAAAATAAAAACAAACAATTTTGAAAAAGAATCTAAAGATTAAATAAATGAATCTAGATCAACAATTGCTCTTTCGATTTGGAACAACCGGTTAAAAAAGATTTTAATTTAAAATTTTTTATTGATAAAATAAGAATCAAAGGTTCCAAGACAAACAAGCTCGTAAAACATAATTGAAATTTTCGTAAAATCTAACAATGATCGAGAGATATTTTGTTGTTCGGGTCTCATGGTTTCCATCCTTCACTTTGATGGTTTTGCGTACTATTTTTACCTTAAAAAAGGAAAAAACTCACTCTAAAAAATCAGTTTTTTGGTTTTTTTTTTTGAAATTGACCAGGATCCTCCTCTTGTTAATCTAAAAAGGTGTGGGTAAGGTTATCAAAAATCTTTAGAAGATTTTTATCTGGTTCTCAAATGGTAAACAAAATAATCAATTAACAAATAGTTAAAAACAAAAATTTTATTTACCAATTTTTTTTTAAAGAATGTTGATTTTTCTGATTAAAAAAATTATTCTATGATAGTTTATCAGATTTATTTCTTTCAAATTTTTTCTAAAATATTAAAATAAAGTCATATTTAAATGATTTGTTATCTATCTTATTTCAATAAAAACAGTCAGAGTTTTATTTAATTTTTTAAAAAAATGAATCAAAAAATAACAAAAAAAAAAGAACCATTTTAAAAACGGTACTCAAATCGCAGAATCATTCTCTCAAACTGAGAAATTAAGTTCCAAAAACTCACGTCAAATTTAAATCTATTTGTTTAGATATTGAACAAATTAACATAAGTACATTAGCAAAGAAATTAAAACTTACAATGATCATAAGAATCATATTTGCTTTTTTAGTCTAAAAATATTTATTTACTTTGCTTTGAAAATTTAAAAATCTGAGGTAAGATAACCAATATCTTTGACAAAAGACACTCATATTTAAAATTAGAAATCTAAATAAACATTTTAATTTTTTTTCTTAATTATATCTGATTTTTCATTTTTATTTTTACTTTTTTTTTGTTTTTATTCTTTGGAGATGATCTAAGTGATCAAAAATCAACAATATAAACAACATTAAATAAAACCATAAAATGAATATCAAAGAAAGATTGTGATAAGAATGTGTTGATTATACTTACAAGATAGTTACAAAAAAATCATTTCAAAATTTTATTATTAAGGTTAACAATAAATTTAAATGTAAATACTCAAAGAGGTTCCGCAATCATACGAAATGTATGCATATGGAGTTCTCTTACTTCGAAATCAATTTTTCTCCTACAACCGTTGTATTCAGATGCAACCGGAGAGACGGTCACTGTCCTTTCTCCTGTTTTCAACTGATTCAACACCACCCCCAATTAAATAAAGATAAAAAATAGAAAAAAAAAAGAATTATAATTTATTGAAGTATTAAATTGATTATTTATTAAATAAATAAAGATAATTCTACACAATTGTGTGACACTTGAAGCTTGCAAAAAAAATTGTCAAGAGGCGGGCAATTCATTAAAAAAAAATGGTTGTGCAAATTTTCAATGAATAACCATTCGACATGATTCCCAATAACAGATTTTTTTTTTTCGAAAAAAAAAGAAAAAAAAAACGGTCATATCTTGATAATAATAATTGTAAAAATAAAATAAATATTAATTATACAAACACACACACTATCAAATATTATCAATCATATCTTACTTTCATAATTAATTAATTAAAAACATATCTTTTATTTTTATTTTTTTTTTAATAGCGAAATTTAATTGTAAAAAAAATAAAATAAAAGATTAGTAGTTATAAATAATTAAATAATTGATTATGGATAATAATAATAATAATAATAATAATGGAAGTGATACGATGTCAAGTGCTGGTTCTGTTATGATGGGTGGTGATTTGATATTCGATGATGGTAGAAGTGATACGAATTCAACTTCTTCTCTTATTGAAACGCAACAGCAACAGCAGCAACAGTCACCACCTATGGGAACATCATTAGATTCAATACAGATATTGGTTAATAGTAGTAACACAATCACTCTAGAGGATGACGATGGCAATCAAAGTGATGCGAGTAGTACCAGTTCTATCTCCAATGAATATACCAATTCCATTGCCAATACATTGGATCTTGCTTCTCCAATTTCTTCTTTACCAACAACAACATCTCCAACCACATCATCTTCACCACCTATTAAACCAACCCCAACAACACCACCAACAGCAACAACAACGACAGCAATAACTATTACGCCAACAACGACAACTATAACAAGTCCAAACAATACCAGTCCAACTAACAACAACAACAACAACAACACAAATAGTAATAACAATACACTTCAGGCAGACAAACAAAGACAAAGAAGAATAGAACACTCTAAATCACATTCATTAGATAGAATCAATCCGAATGCAAAGGAATCCGCTGCTATTAGTAATAATAATAATAATAAAGTAAATGCTATTAGTGGTAATGGACAAAAGAGTGATGCACCACCAAAGAGATCTCGCTTGGATGAAATGATATTGGCTACAGAGGCAGGAAATACAATGTTCCTAACGAAATCACTACAATCGAAACCAAAGATTCCACTGACACAGCAACTTTCGAACCGATCTACCTTCCTGCATGTGGCATGCGCATCATTCAAGATATCATCGGTGATGTTTGTGTTTGAGCAAGCACCGACACTCACCAACGAACAAGACTTCCAATTGAAAACACCGCTCTACATTTGCTGTGAGAAAGGATTCTTCCACGCCGCCAACTTTCTCTTGAACTGCGGTGCATCACCCATACTACCGGACATCAACAAATGGACACCACTTCACAAACTAGCAAGTCAAGTACCTGATCCTGCATCTGCTGCACTCTCACAAAGTACAACTAACAACAACAACAATAATAACAACAACAACAACAGTAATAGCAACAGTAGTAGTAGTAGTAGTACAAGTATAAGTGGATCTTCATCGAAATCACAACAGAATATGAATAGTAGTAGTAATAGTGTAAATGTAAATGGAATCAATAACAATAGTAGTAATAGTAGTAATAACAATGTATCAAATAATAATGTATCAAAAGATTCACAATCAACAAGTCAATCATCATCTAACCAAAGATCTTCACCACTAACTTTACCAAATACACCATCCACATCACCATCAACAACGCAATCTTCTACTTCTTCGTCCTCTTCTTCTTCTTCTCCAACAGCTTCAGCTTCAGTTTCACAACCAACAACACCACTGAATGTACAACAAATGACAACAAAAGAAAGACAAAAAGTTGGATTCACCAATGATTTACAATATGAAGTGGCAGCAAAGATATTAACATCAAAAACACAAATTATATCTATGAGAGTATGTTAGCTAATAGATATCTATAATTCATTCAACTAATTAGTTGTTTATCTATCTTTAATTTAGACATCTAATCATCAAACACCATTACATGTAGCATTGGCCAGTGGTGCTCAGCATCTCTATAAATTATTTATTAGTCACTCAACAGAGGAGTCACTACTGATAAAAGACAACGAAGGAAATACACCATTACATTTAGTAGCAAACTTGAGTCGTGCAAATGTAAATAACAAACAAACTAAACAACAAACTAATTTTAATATGATATACTTACTATTGTTGTTTTTTTTTTTTGGATTTATAGGCAAGTGGATTTGCACAGTTAATCTTTGATAAGCTAAATAATCTAAGTGGAGATAAACTACAGGAGTATATAGACGATGTCAATAATTCAATGGCGTCGGCATTGCAAATCTCAATGAGAAAGAACAACAAACAACTCACTCGACTCATTATAAAGTATCGTGCGAAAGCAGAATCCAAGATATTGGATAACTACTTTGAGAATCTCAATGCACTAAAGTCAACGGAAGCCACAAAGCTACAATTACAGCAGATCAGCTATACCGATTCAACATTCAGAGCTACACCATTCGGTCATCTCTTTAGAAAGTTAATAGTAATCATTAAACAACACTATTCGATCAATATGACTCATCAGAACGCCAACATTCTATTGGCAAGAGCAAAAGATACAATTAAAAAGTTTTTCAGTAAGTACACTATTATTATTATTAACTTTGACATAAAATAATAATAATTGCTTATTAATATGATTTCAATTACTTTTAATATATATATAGATTGGTTAGATACAAATATACCAGATACTCACCATGAATATATAACAAACTATAAAGAGATTCTATTTTCACAAACCTATGATGTTATCATACATTTATATCATGAAGTTGTATGTATATTATTAATATATATATATATGAATCTATTAGATTGACTTATCTTATTAATATCAATATTATTATTATCTTATTTCATTTCATTTTAGTATAAATCAAGAGATCTATTTTTCCAACAAAGAGTTTCTAGATATCAAGATATTATTCACAGTGAAATCGATATTACAGAGGATAGTTGGGAACAAAATGTAATTATCTCAATCAAATATATATTTTAAAATAATAGTAGTAGATTATTTGTTAACAAACTCTTTTTTTATTTGTAGGTTGAAGCATTCCCTAAAGCATTGGAGATTATGAAGAGACTACCAGAAAAGAGAACACCCTCTGAGAAGATCAACAATCTCAATGAAGCTACAAGTCAAATCGTTAGAATGGATGCCAACGATCTGACGCCAATGTTTATGTTCTTGCTGATAAAATCCGACCTGAAGAACATTGCCTCGGAATTCAACTTTATGGACGACTTTAAGGATACGCCCGAGCAGGAGCAGTACTTGGTGTTGCTACAAGGTTCGTTCGACTACCTCGAGACGTTGAACTACACACTGAGAAATGCACAGAATCAGGTGATGTCGTTGAGTGGTCTCGTCGATAGAACCATCGACAATGCACTGTCGCTCTGTGACGAATTCCGTAATAGCGGTGTCGGTGCCGATCTCGTAGAGGATCTAGACGAGGGTTTGAAGATTCAAGACGAGATGGTCTTGCTGCTGATGATGATCTCCAAGCTGGCCAATCGTATCAACAACGACACCATCTATCTGCCACTGACTTGGTCGCCAGTGGTGATGGCGTCCTACCACTTTAGAGCGATCATCGAAAGACTCGGTGTGAGACTAGATCAATCGCTACCGATGTTGATTCATCAACCAACAACACCCACCACCATAACCGAACAAACAATACCAACACTACTATCTTTTGGCGCATCAGCAACATCATCATCATCATCATCATCGATGGAAGATGACAACAAAGTTTTAATCAAAAAGAAAGGTGAAATTTGTATTATATTAGAACATCCATATCCTCAAATGGTTTACCAGGTTATTGAAGAAAAAGTAAACGAAGCAGTCATCAAAAGTAACCATATCGATAAATAAATAATTAAAGATTAGATTAGATTATTGTAATCATTGAATGTTGTTGATAAATATATTTAGAGAGAATTTATAGTTTTATTATTATTATTATTATTATTATTATTTACTTTTCTATAATCGATTATTTAAATAAATATTAATCACCTATTTCATAATTATTAAAAACAAAATGTTAGTTAATCATCTGATGATCACCAATGTGAATATTGTAACTAATTCATAATATGTTTGTCAAAGTTTATGTAATGTAATTAAACAAATAAACTAGAACATATCACTCTATAATTACATCACATCACAACATGAAAGATAAATCACAATTAAGTACCATCTATATATATAGATTATTATTGTAAATAAAATTGTTAATTAACAAGTAATTCTATTTTCTAAAAAAAAAAAAAAACACAGGTAATAATTTAAGGTAACTTACCATTATCTAAAAATACAGTAAGCATCTCTATTAAACCAAAACTAGAACTAATTTTTATATTGTTTGTTGTTGCAAAATTAATTAGTATTTGATGACTGACTGACTGATTGATTGTATACAATATCTTACCCTCTTATATTACGAATGATTCCATTGCTATTATTGTTATTATTTAAATTGGTGCTGATTTGATTGGATTGTTTGGTAGATGAAACTGGTGAAGTAGTTGTAGTATTTGCGCTTGAGCTATTTAAAACAAAGTTATTTACTGATATATATGATTTTAAAGTTGATGTCGATTGTGTTGCAGTTTTAAAGGTTGTTGCGCTTATATTTGATAATTTACTGCTACCTCTATTTAGTATAATATTACTGCTGTTACTGAGGCATTTGCCACTTCTGATCATTGATTTTAACATGTTTGATTTATATTATATATTAATTATCTCAAAAAAAAAAAAACAATAATAACAATACAATATCTTATCGTTTTTTTTTTTTTCTGATTGTTTGATCAAACTATGAGTGAAAAAAAAATTGAAAAACCCAAAAAAAAAAAAAATTGCAATTCAAAAAAAAAAACAGGGCAACTTTAATGTATTATTTATTTGTTCTTCACTACTAAATATTTTTATTCAATTTATATATTCAATCGTGTATCATTAAATAAAATAACACATTCAAAATATTAAATAAATTTAATATATTTAAAGTTAAGTGATCAATTTCCAGAGTACAAATACTTACAGTATTTTATTAAGATAAATGATTATTTTATTGATTTGAATTTGTAAGAAAATTAATTCCGAAATATATAATTATATAAATATCTTGCCCTCAGCTAAAATAAAATCAATACAAAAACATCACTCCGAATCTCTACATTAAAAGGCATTGTAATTCCGAAAAATATCTTTCAAATGGATTTTATATTTGTTTCAAATCCTGCAAATTTTTATGTTTTTTGTGTAAAAAAATATCAGAAAGAAAGTCATGTTTTGCCCAGCAGAAAAATGAAATCGATTTCTTTTGAAGTTTGTGGTTAGATAATAGTTATTACCATTTATGTAAAATGTTTGCGAATTCAAATAGTTAAAAACTGATCATTCATTGGACTTGTTTACTCAATCAATAATTATTTATTATAAAAAAAAAAAAAAAAGTAAAAAATAAAAATTTACAAGATATTTTTAATTTTTAGATACTTATTTTAAAATTTTATATATTTTTTACAAAAAACCATGAACATCAGAGGACTTGTTTGATGTCTGGATAAGTAAGAGGAATGATCTAAAAAAAAAAAAAAACAAAAAAAAACAATAAGAGAAAAGTTTACCCCTTTGATGAGTGATTATCCACCTGTTTTGACAGTAACACCAAACTAAATTGCCGAAGATGTACCCCCAAAACTGTATTTTTAAAATTTTCATTTATTTAAATTAATTTTTATTTTCAAAAAAAATTTTAAGGTTAATTTGTTGCTGTTAAAGATAAAAGGAGGTGTTTAAACATCAATCACATATTACACTTTTTTTCAATTTTATTCAATTTACTTTTTACTTTTAATTCATTGTTTATTTGTAAGTTGGAAATTTAAATATATGATCCAAAAAAATAAAAATAAAATTAAAGTTAATTTACAATTTTTTTATTTTTATTTTTAATAGTTGGTTTATAAACAAATTTACTAATCTGTAAATTTTTATTCATATTTTTATTTATTTTTGGAAATTCTAGAAAATGAAGGTTATCTTATCATTTGTTGTATTATTTTTGATTGCCAGTTCAACTGCTATCCAAGTCCGTGAACAAAAACCAGTCAGTTCTGGACCATCACCTGCTCAGTTTGGTGACTTTGTTTTGGGTTTCGTTGCCGGTATGGAGATCGCCATGAACGGAAACTCCACCGAATGTGTTGTAGAATCAAACGCCACCTTTGATGACTTCGCCAACGGTATTTATCGACCTTAAATACCCCATTAATGATTTTTAAAGACAAAACACTAACAGCATCATCTATTTATTATTTTCTAGGTTTCACTTTGATTGGTGAAGGTTTCGATCATCTCTCAGCTTCTGATGTTGAGCAAGGTATTGAATTGGTTGGTGAGGGTCTTGCCCAAATCCCACAAATCCTCTCACTCTGCGGTGTTACTGAATTCATTGGAGACATTGTCAACGTTGCCAAGGAATTGTCCTCAGGTACCGGTGGAATCATTGAAGTCATCTTGAAGGAAGCCTTGAACATCTTCCACAATCGGTAAGTTATATTATTAATCAATATTTAAATAATTGAATATATTTATTAATTAATATGTTTTTTTTAATATTAATTTAGTGAGGATATCACTGAAGATTGGAAGAACATGGTTAACGACTGGAAGTCTGGTGACTACCAATCATCTGGTCAAAACCTCGGTTTGGTTGTTGGTATCATCTTGAACTAAATCAAAATGTAATTTCATCGATCCGATTTACATGTAAACAATATTGCTTCAATTCTATTGCAATAAAAAAAAAAACATACAACTTTAAATTTTTAAAACAATATAATTAAGTAAATATTCAAACGAAGAATTTCAAACTTTAATTTCTTTTATTTGTTGTCGTTAGAATTTAATTAATCTATATTTATTCAACATTAAAAATTCCAAAGACGGTTGGATAATAAAAAAAGGGTTGAGAATTTTTGCTCCGAAATTAGCATCCAAAAAAGGAATTTTGGCAAGTTTTTAAAAACCTTTTATTTTTTTTTTAAATTTTTGATTATTATTGAATTTGTTTTAAATTGCTTCAAATTTGAGAGGTGTCACTCATTTTATTCAGATAATGAATTTTCAACATATAATAACTAGATTACCATCAAAGTCACTGGTTGATGGTCTCACAAGCAGTGATCTCGGTAAACCCGATTATAAAAAAGCAGTAGAACAGCATCAGAAGTATATTGAAGCATTACTAAGTTGTGGAGTGGACGATGTGCTAATTCTTCCACCAAATATCGATTATCCAGACTCTGTTTTTGTGGAAGACCCAGTTCTGTGCACCCCTCACTGTGCGATTATTACTAGGCCAGGCGCCACCACACGTCGTGAAGAAACAAAGATCATAGAGCCAGCAATTCATAGATACTACTCGAATGTAGAGCGTATTCAAGCACCTGGAACACTGGAGGCGGGTGATGTAATGATGGTTGGCAACCACTACTACATTGGAGTCTCGGCGAGAACCAACGAGGAAGGTGCCAATCAACTTATTGCTATTCTCAAAAAGTACAAAATGACAGGCTCGATCGTTCCTTTGAAAAAGGTTTTACATCTAAAGACAGGTCTATCCTATATTGAAAATAACAACTTACTGGCATGCGGAGAGTTTCTAACGTTAGAAGAGTTCCAAAAGTACAATATCATTGAAGTCGATGAGTCAGAGTCATACGCTGCCAATTGCATCTGGGTCAACTCAAACGTTATCATGCCTGCTGGCTTCCCAAAGACAGCAAAGAAAGTGGCTGATCTAGGCTACAATGTAATCACTGTCGACGTTTCAGAGTTTCAAAAGATTGATGGTGGTGTAAGTTGCATGTCATTACGATTCTCGCCACCTCAAAAGATTTTGCAACGTTCTGAATAAACTCTTTAGAGATTTCCAAATATATACTATTTATATTAATAAACAAACTGTTACTATTTATTGAGTCATCTCGCTTGACATTTATTTTATTTTAATAGTCAAAAACAATGATTCTTACAATTTTACAAATTTCTTAAAAAACTTTTAAAATGAAAAATAAGTACTTATTTTTTCAAGAGATGGGTTGGATGGAATCAATCGATAAGATGAATGGAATCCAGCAGAAAAAGAAAATCTGTTTTCTGCATTGCGTCAAAACAAAAAATTGTTTAAATCATCGAATTCGTTGAATTTTTTTTAAAACTTGGTCTTGAATGTGATTTAAATTGGAAAAAATCTGTAACAAAGGTCGTCATTTTGTTTGATTGTAAATTAATGATCAGTGTACCGTGTCATATTTAAAGATTGAAATATTTATTTCTTAAAAATGATACAAATAAATTATTAATAAATAAGTTAAATAGATATCAGTAACGAAATAAAAGAAATGGGTGAAAGTGTACCTGAACCAAAAAGATTCCACCAAAAAGTAAGATCGATAATCATCTTCATACTTTATGATTGTTATATCTAACATTAACTCTTTTATAGCCAGGAACTGGAAGATCATATGTTCCTCCAAACCCAGAGCCAAAGACAGCATTTAATTTTGCAAACTATGCGTTCAGACCTTGAGACTCAAAGATAGATTTATATTATTTCAAAACTATCATCTTCACATAAACATATAAAGATGATCCTATTTCATAAATAAATATAGTTATATTTAAAAAATATATATGGTTACAAAATCTCCTTTATTTAGGAACACACATCTTATTGTACGCAGAGCTCTTTCAAATTCCCATGAACCATCAATGTTCACAAATGCCCAAATTTTTTAAAAAACTTCTTTTTCTAAATTTAATCTTTATATTTTGTTTAATTTTATTTCTCGGCTAAAACAGAACACAAATTACCTTTTTAAATCAAATGGGGTTATAAACCTTGAAGAAACATGGAATTCTCTTTTGAAAAAGTAAAAAATATTTAAAATTTAAAAAAAATTTCACCAGACTTCAAAGATTTTTTTAAAAAAATCAGAAAAAAAAAAAAACCTGATCTTGGAATTATGTGGGTTATATATTGGGTATGTGCAAATTTTATAAATGGGTTTAAATATTTAAAAAAAGGGAGGTATTTTTAAAATCAAACACACATTTAAATTTATTAAATTAAAAAAGAAGAAATAAATAGTAATAGAGAATAGAATTATTATATATTTATTATCATTTTACATAGAAGTAAAACATTCAAGTAGAAGATCATTTAAAAAACAAAATAAAAACAAACAAACAAACAAATAAAATATAATTATATATTTATATATAAATATCATAAATCCAACCAATCCATTTTTAAGAACTTTCAGTATTGTAATTATAATAATTGTAAAAGTTTGAATTATAAGTTGGTTGTTTAAGACAGTTATCAAAGAAGGAAATCAATTGAGCTAAAGCGTCAGTTACTACTTAATTATTTGAAATCTCCAAGATTTTAAACAATCCTTTGCTTGCAATAAATATTATTGTCGGTTTTGTTTGGCTTTGTTGAAACAAACAGAAAAGTTGACATCCAGATACCAATTAAACAACATCAGTAAGTATATGTCAAATTTCATTTTACCAATCAAATATATATCACAATTCTACCAAGTAATTACACCCAACTCCAAATCAGTCATCGTCTAAACATGAAAAATAACAGTTGTCGAAACACACGTACCTCACTTACCTCCTAATACCACACACACCACACACCAGAACAAAACATTAATCTTTAGATGATAAGAAATGAGTGGATTGATTGTTAGTTTGTTGTTTGACTTTTTAATCAAAAAAAAAAAAAAACACACATCAAATCCGTCAACTTAATTCTAAATCATAATCACTTGGTATAAAAAGTTAATGAATTTGATCATGATAACACAGATGATGATGATGTTTAGTTGAAGCATCATACTTACATGTTTGTACTTATTCAAGCTATTGTTTGATGAACAGTGACAAGTAGTTGTAGAAATGGTGCTGTTATTGGTGACGATGGTCGTTTTTTGTTGTTAAAAATTAATAATTCTATCCATCCACCCTTTCACTCTCACTTTTTTTTATACTGTTTTTTCTTTCCTATTACTCACACTCACTCTGTCTTGTGTTTTGATGTGTTTTTCTTTTTTTTTTTTTTTTTTGCGAGGTATGTGTGTGCTAGGTATAAGTGTAAGGGTGATAGTGTTGTGTTTTGGTTATAACAATCAATCGAAAAGATAGATTGTTACACCAACCAAACAGAAAATGAACAATACTATTTTTCCAAAACAACACACACAATCTTAATAATAATAATATTGTTTTCAACCCAACCAACTGCATACTACCATTTTTTTAAATTATTGTTTTTTCGCAATAGTAGTAGTCTTTCAAAACACACACAAAAGTAAATTTTACATTTATTTTTATGTAATTCCAATATTATTAATTATCAAAATATTATCGATCTTATTTATTTATTTACATTGTTCCAAAAACAAAAATAATAAATCATTATTACTGTTTTCTCAAATATATATATTTATAACAAACAAATAATACTAAATAATAAATAATACTATTATAGTCAATTTCTATTTTTATTTATAAACATTATTTGTTTTTCCATTTTTTACCAAAAATATTAATTATTATATTCTAATTTTACCAAAATTTTCCTTTTTTTTTTTTCATATAATTGTCCTATCAAATAGAATATTAAAATGACAGACTCAAAGAGTGATATTTATTTCAATAAGAAATACTCCAGACCCGAGAGTATGAAAAAAGTGATAGATATTCTCGGTGACTATAATCCCTCAGAGTCCAAAGTAAAAAGAACTCTTGGAATGAATGAAGAAGAGCTTAAGGCTTTCCAACAACAGCTATTGGAGAATTCATTCAAATCCTGCCGAGAGAGAATCTCCATCAATAAAAGAGACACACAAAAGGCTTTAGATATCCTAGGTATCGATTACTCCAAACAAAAGGTAAATAATATAACTTATCCAATTCAATTTTTATTTATAATCTAATTATTAATTTTTAATACAGTTAATGAGTTTGTTAGGATGTGATGAAGAGGCTTTTCAATATCTCGATCAACCAAACGAGGCAACTAAAATTAAAATTACGCAGAGAACAGTGGTATAGATTATTACTTTACTATTTTAATTAGTTGTAACATTAGATGGATTAAGTCTCGCTTGTTGGTGCTGCATTATTGGTTCGAGGGACCAACACTCCAGAGACCCATTTTTTTTTCTGAAAATGGAAAATAACAAGACTACGAATTTTGAAAGAGTCTGGATTTACGTACCCAGACTCTCAATTGATAAAAGTTGTATAGTTTCCATTATTTTTATCAAATTTAATTTAAAATAAAGTTTTAAATACGATATATATTTTAAAAATGAAATAGCAAATATACTTTTATTTATTGTTATTTAGTATTAATAATACAAATAGGTTTAGACAATTGGTTTTAGAATAATGAAATACAAATATCTAATGATAATCCAAATAAATTTAAATGAAGTTTGATTTCAATGAGGTGTTCTAAACTTATTTGACCTTGTCCGTATGATACCATCGAGTTTTGAGAAGCAACAATAGCATTTTGAATAGATTTAGATTTTGAATGGTTAAATTGACCTAGTTTACTTAAGGAATCTATAGAAAAAAAATAATAATAAATAAATAGGAATTTGATTTTGTTTTAATTAGAAAGTATTGATTATCATACTTATTAAAGTCATTTTGTTTGTAGTTTTGATTTTGATTTTGTAGGAATGATACTAAATTCATGAAATTGGTCCTTTATATAGGTTTGACTTTGGTATATTATTTGATTATCAAAGATCTAGATTGAATCTTTGTTACACAATATGGTGAACATTTGAGAAAGATATGGTTTAATCATTTTTAATCTAATATCTGATGATCCAAAATAATTAAGATATAAAATGAAAAAAAGTGGTTAGATCATTCTAAAAAGGATAATTTTATCAATAACCACAATAGTTTAAAAATTAATCAAAATCAAATAAATAAAAGGAATTAAAATAAAATAAAGTTGTTTAATAAATAAATTTAAATTTGAGAGTTTTATTTAATTATAATTTCTTAATTATATAATAGTTTTTTAATCGGTAAACTTGTTTTTTTGAAGAATTTAATTGGAGTTTTTATACATGGCTTGGAAGATAAAAGATACACTCTTTCTCTTTCTCTGGTTTGTAGGGTAAAGTATTTAAAGGCATTGGTATTTGGTATTATAACAAATATGGAATATTTGAATATATATAATGAGAGGTAATTGTACAATGATTATTATAGTTTATAAATTCAGTGTCGGGCACTACTGGAATATTGTATACTATATAATAGTTATTACTCTGACAAATTAAAAGAATAATAAAACTAATAAATAATAATATATCTAACATTTTGTACATTTTTGATTTATAGGATAATCTTGTCTATAGGTATTTCGTTTAAAATTTTATATTTTTTTAATACAATATTGGCTGATGAATTTATAGTTTTGATTTATTTTATTCAACTAGAACAATACATATGGTTTGATTTAAATATGATCCTTATCTTCGGTTGTACAAAAATCGGGTAAATTAATTGGAAACCAACAACACCAGATTAATTGATTAGAAACTTGTTCATTAGTATGAGAGTACTTTTATGTCTGTTTCTTTAATGAATTGAGCGGTTTATAATCAAATTTGGTTAGGTGTGTGTAAAAGTGTTGGTGATTTTGTGAGTATTTTATGTTGGTCAAGTATTACATCACAACCCACACCCCTCGAAAAATCAAATAATATTGGATTCAATCATAAAACTTACTATATTAGCATATGTCGTATGTATTTTCATTTTTTGAAAAAATTGTAACCATATTGTGATAGTGAAAACATATATATTTTTTAATGATCATGATCGTTAGTTGTAGACTTTAAAAATGATATCACTAGTAGGTACTGAGTTTAATCAAAAGAAACACTAAAAAAGTTTTGATATCATTATATCAATAACCTTTTTTAACAACTAGATGATTCAGATAGAGAATGTGTACAGCTGGTGACCTATTTTTTAAAGGAGGGCATATTTCTATTTTAATCCAAACTGGAACATACTCATATCCACTATTATTAAAACCATCTAGGTTGACCAATTGCATATTCACAAATGAATATATAGTATTTCATAATGTAATTTTTTTCTTTTTTATTGTTTTTTTTTGTCTGTCTATTCCAAAGGATTTGATTGACCATTTCATTGTACACACCAAATTTAGGGAATACACAAATTCTTTTGGACTAACTTTTTTCTGAACCGATTATCACAATTAAATCAATGATTGATCAAGTGATAAATCAATATATAGCATGAATTTGAACAATGTTTATTTTATAATAAAATAATGGTTTTTTTCTTAATAGATTTTTTTATTTTTATTTTAGAAATTAAAAATACAATAGTTTTATTTAATGGTAATTAATTAAATATGACCTGTTATATATATTGAGTGTAAAACATTGTTTATCTGAATCATAAATTAAAAATGATTCTGTGCGTATGAAAACTTTGGTGTTTCCATTGTACACAACAATGGCTTTATCCAAAGGTATTTTTTCGTTCATCCAATTGTCTTCGAAAGTAGTTACAGAATTTCTATTAAATTCATAAACCTGTACCGCTGGAAATATATCTAGAGTATAATGAGTGGCATTTCCTTTTATTGAGCCTATAGAGTGAATGGTATCTGATTTCAGTGGTTTCAATGTAATATTATAAATATTATTTTCACTTGTTGTAATTCCAAATTTTATTATACTTGAAAAAAGAAATAGTTGTACTAATACTAAATAAATATTCATTTCTTTTTATCAATCTATTTTGTAGATTATTGTAATATTATAGTTAAATTTAATATAATTATATATTATTGATTGATTTTAATTTTAAATTAAAATATTTTTTATTTTTACTAAAACGAAATAACATTGATACAACAATCAATTTAACAGGTTTATAAAAACAAACACAATAGTATTCAGATGATGAATTTTATTAAAACAAAATATATATAAAATTGAATCTTTTCATTTCTCAGTTATTATTTGAACCAATTTTTGATACAATTGTTGTCAATAACAGTTGTTTTACTTTTCCTGTGGGTTGGTGTGCTTGCTGAATGTCAAGTGGGTGTTAGTGACAACAATTGTGTTGTTGATCATTTGAAAAAGTTTGTTTTTTTTTTCTGATTAGTTTGATAGGTTATCGTTGTTTTACATAAGTTTGCTAATTCTGTCAGAAGAAATTGTTATTTATTCCTATCTATATTCTGAAATCTATCTAATAACAGTTGAAGCTCAGATCCATCGTTTGGTACGAGGTAATATAATTTTTATTAGGGTTATATCTTTTGATGTTAACTAAATTTATTCAAGGTTTTGATTTATTCTATTTATAAATAAACTAATTTTTTGTAAATATTAAAAAAAATAAAATAAATCATTGTATTATAATATTGTTTACAAAATTTATCAGATAGAAATCCAATTGCAAACTTTAGTATTTAGTTGGGTTTACAATTTAAATTACAACTTTAAACAAATATTAATGTTTTTGAATTTATTTAAAGTTAAGGTGGATTTATAACTTTCTTTTCCTACATTACATCTTTTGGGAAAAAACAAAAAAAAAAAATTGGTGATGCTATTTTTTGCTAATTTTGTTTTAATGGCATCACAGCTTCGACAAAATTTTAATTAATTTTTAAATTAACTGACAGAATTAGATGACTGACTCTCTTAGCTTATAGTTTGAACTATAGCAAATAAACTTTAGTTTAGTAACTATCTTAATCTTATTTGTTTGTTATTTTTGTTATTAGTATTACTAGCTAGTTATAGTAATGAAATCACCAATCAATTTATATTTTAATAAAGAAAATACTGAAAATCTTAAAATACTAGAAAAGTGTCCAACTCTCTATCGTAAACCAAAGGTAGATGCTATAAACAGTAAATCGAATGATAATAACACTACAGCTAGCAGTGATGAACCATCGGTTGTGAATGATGCAACCTTTGAAACATCATTACTGTTGGCCAACACACATTTTCACTCTTACTACGCATCCTATCATAGAAACCCTCTGAATCTACCAACGAGAAGAGAGGTACTGATAGCAGAGGACGGTGGAACTGTCTCACTCGATTGGTTCACATTCGACAACGATAAGAATTTCAATGAGGAGACACCGACCATTCTGATGCTTCACGGTCTCACCGGTGGATCACACGAAGTATACGTACAATACTGTGCAAAAGATGCATACACAAAGAAAGGATTCAGAACCGTTGTATTTAACTATCGTGGTTGTGCAGAGAATATTGTAACCGTAAGTAATAAATTTCCAGTTTGGAAGAATATTCTTCTTTTCGAAATGTGTATAGAAAAAAATTAATATTAATGTTTTTTTTCAATCATTGAAATAATAATGATAATGATAATAATAATAAGGCGGATCAAACATATAGTGCAGCATTTACAGGTGATCTTAAAATGGTTGTAAAACACTTGGTAAAGACGTTGCCAAAGGCAAAGTTATTTGCTATCGGATTTTCTCTGGGATCGGCAATCCTCGCAAAGTATCTCAGTCAAGTCGGAACCGACACACCTTTCATTGCGAATTGCAGTGCTTCCAATCCGATGGATATGAACAAGTCGTCGATCAATCTGAAATCGACGTACATAAACAACAAGTTCTACAATGAGATGTTGGCAAACAACCTAAAGAATCTCTTCACCAAGTGGGGTGACCGTTTGGAGCAGTTTGCAAAGCGCGAAGACGTATTGAAAGCAATGACCATCAAGGAGATCGATGAGTTGATCACCAGCAAGGTGTTTGGTTACGCATCGGCCGAGGATTACTACAAGGATGGCAGTGCGTGCAATCATCTCGAGAAAATAGAGAAACCGATTCTCTTTTTGACATCGACGGACGATCCGATTGCTCCAACCTGCGGAATTCCTTTCGATAAGTTCAAAGCTAACCCCAACACAATTTTAGCAACCACCTCCTATGGTGGTCATCTCGGATTCCTCTACGATCTTACATCCAATCAATCATGGTTAGACAATGTAGTAGTAGAATATTTTTCAAGTTTTTTGTAATAATAATAATAATAATAAAAATAATATCTAATAATTCAAGATTTATCAAACTAATAATAATTAGAAAAATAATCGGAAAAAGAAAAAAAAAAAAAAAAAAGGTAAATCAAGAAACGTTGTTTGTAAAAATAATTTACTAATAATAAATTGGTGAATCATCATTATCATCATCATTTTCATCATCATTATGATTCATAAGAATATAATTAATTAAATTTGATATAAGGTTAGTTAACTTAACTTCTTAACATAAGTTAATCACTCTTTTAAATATAACTTCACCATCAATGATGTATCGATCACCAATTGATCACACATCACCAAAAAAAAAAATATATATATATTTGTATTAAAATCAAACTAACTTATTTATAAATAAGTAGTAGCTGATTTTATATTTTAAAGATTTGATGTTTATTTTTGTACTGATTGTTTTGTGTTTGTCTCTTTGAGTATCATCATTGGAATCGAAACATGTCATTACTGATGACACTGATCAGGTGTCTTGTCTAGTTGTGTGTGTGTTTTTTAAAAATATCAAAAATTTGCAAAAAATATGGAATTTTTCAAAAATGTTTTGCATCGAAAAACAAAAAAGAGTAATCGTTGTATGCAACATTCATGATGCAGTACCGATTTTCAATATAATTGTTTTAAAAACAGCAAATATTTGTCCACACCACATGTAAATTTAAATGGTGAAGACAGTGATTACAACAACAATAACAACAACAACACATTTATTAACACTTATGATTTAAAGAGTGTTTGTTGACCATTCTCTCTCTTGCTGCAGAATCTGAATTAAAAACAAAATAAATTTAAATTTAATTATATCTCTCCTCCTTAGCATATACATTTCTTTTACTTTTCATTTCATTCCTAAAACAAAAACCAACTTTTCATTTTGGTATTGCTTTATGTTTATTTTATATTTATATTTATATATTTTTAATTAGCTTAACACGTAATTTATTAGTTTTTAATTTATAAACTACTACTTTACACAATTGTGCTTTTAAAAAGTCATATTTCAAAAACACTTTTAATTAATTAAATATCACCACCACACTTTCTTTCTTAATTGATTACATTTTTACAAATTTAGCATTGTTTTTTATGTTTTTATTTATATAAATATCATATAATTTATAGTAATTACTATAATAATCATAGTTGTATTTTATATTAGTTTGTTTATATTATTTTATTTCTTGTTAATATATATATATATTAAAATATAAATGGTAGATTCATCGGAAACTACCAAAAGAAAAGAAACTAGAGACGAGCGGTTTCAGCGAAAGAGAGCAGAGAGAAAAGATGTAGAAGGCTTTGGAGGTCAAGAAAGTCCAGAGGAGAATTCATTCTTTCTCTTTAAATTAACATGGGATTGGGCAAATAGGTAATGTATTACTATTTTAAAATAATATAATAATAATAATCATCATTAAATAATAATATCAGCTATTATTCCGATAAGAAAAAGAAATTTCAACAATGAAAAATGTTTGCAGATTTCTTTTTTTTTTTTTTTTTTTTTTATAGATCAAAAAGTTCATGACTTTTTTAGGAAAAATTAAAATATATTAATTTTTTATTTATATATTTACTATTTATTAGATTTGTTTGGTTTTGTTTTAGAAATGTTTTGGAACAAAAACATATTTGGAATCTTGCCAGTTTCGATAGGGCAGAGATGATCAGTGAGAAGATGAGAAAGCAATGGGAGTTGGAAATCAAAAAGGAAAAACCATCGTATACCAGAGCGGGTATTAGAGCGTTCGGTCCTATCTATGGTATAGCGAGTATCTACTATCTCATCTATATTGCATCACAGTTTGTCGGACCAGAGATGCTTTCAAAGATGGTCATTTTCGTCACCAAAGCAAAGATGCACGATCCCAATCTAAATCTAGATTTGAATTGGGGTTACTACTATGCATTGATCATCTTTATCTCTGCGATGATCGGTTCCGTTTGTCTATATCAATCGAATATGATGACTGCAAGAGTTGGTGATTATGTAAGTATTTATAACTATATATATTAATATTGTTGTTGTTTGTTTGCTTGTTCTTAAGTCATACTAATTCTGTTTTTGCTTTGTTTTTATTTTTTTGCAGATGAGATCAGCGATTGTTTGTGATGTCTATAGAAAAGCATTGAAATTAAGTAATTCAGCAAGAGCAAAGACTTCTACTGGTGAGATTGTCAATCTGATGAGTAATGACGCTCAGAGAATGATTGAAGTGTTTATCATGGTGAACAACGGTATATTCGCACCGGTACAGATTGTCGTTTGTGTTGTGTTGCTCTACTTGAAGATCAAATGGATCACATTCGTTGCACTCGGTTTCATGTTGTTGATCGTTCCAATCAATGGTGTTGCCGCCAAGAGTTTGATGGCTGTGCGTCGTTCTCTCGTCAGATTCACAGATATCCGTGTGAAAACAACCAACGAGATACTTCAATCGATCAAAGTAATTAAACTCTACGCCTGGGAAGATTCTTTCGCCAAGCGTGTATTCGATAAGCGTGCCAATGAAATTAAACATCTCTTTAAATTTACCTATATCGTAAGTTATAAATTTATCAACAACAACAACAAACAAATTAATTATTAACATACTTTTAACAAAACAGAGAACTGGTTTGGTAATTGTTGTTGTATCAGTACCAACAATGGTATCAATGTTGGTATTCAGTATTTATTATGAAGTAAATGGTCGTATGGATGCAGGTGATATTTTCGCAGCCGTTGCTTATCTCAATATTCTGAGAGGACCATTGACTTTCTTGCCATTGATTATTGCTCTGGTAGCACAGCTTCAAGTGGCCACAAAGAGAGTCACTGACTTTTTGTTGCTTGATGAGTGCGAGACTGTCAAGGAGCCAGAAGATCCAACTCTGCCAAACGGTATCTATATGGACGGTGCTCAGTTGGTTTGGAATCCAGAGAAGGAGGATTCCTTCCACTTGGACGATATCTCGATGCGTTGCGACGGTGCCTCGTTGACAATGATCGTTGGATCTGTCGGAAGTGGAAAGTCGACATTGTGTCAATCGATGTTGGGTGAGCTAAGCTTACAGAAGGGATCGCTCGGTGTAAGAGGTTCGATTGCTTACGCTGCTCAACAGCCTTGCATTACCAATGCTAGTCTGCGAGATAATATTCTCTTTGGAAAGGAGATGAACGAAGAGCGTTATCTTGAGGTGATCGAGTGCTGTGCACTCGAGCGTGACTTGGAGATGTTTCCACAGGGCGATCTCGTTGAGATTGGTGAGCGTGGAGTCAATCTCTCCGGTGGTCAGAAACAGCGTGTCTCCATTGCCAGAGCGGTCTACAGCGATGCCGACATCTATATTTTTGACGATCCACTCTCGGCTGTCGATGCACACGTCGGTAAACATCTTTTCCACAAATGTATCAACGGTGTTCTAAAGAACAAAACAGTGATTCTCTCATCGAATCAATTGCAATATCTACCGTATGCCAGTCATGTCGTTGTGTTGGCACACAACGGTATTTCAGAGCGTGGTACCTACCAAGAGATTCTCGATTCCAAACAGGAGTTCTCCAAGCAGATCATCGAGTATGGTATCGAGGAAACCAACGAAGCTGTCGACACAGAGATGGAAGTGGAAATCAAGGAGAAAACAAAATCCGATAAGATAGTATTGAAGAATAAGGATGGTAAACTCATCCAACAGGAGGAGCGTGAAGAAGGTTCCGTTAGTCTCCGTGTCTACCTCAAATATTTCACAGCTGGTGGAGCATTACATTTCATAGTGGCAATGATTTTGTACCTTCTCGATGTAGGTTCATCTATTTTCACCAATTGGTGGTTGTCTCACTGGTCGAATTCTCAGCCAGAGATCACAGCTAAAGGAACAGCCGATGGTCTTACCAACAGACAATTCCTCTTCTGTTTCATCGGTATCGGTTTCGGATCGATCTTGATCACCTGTTTCAGAACTATTACATTCTTCTCCTATTGTGTCAAGGTCGGTCGTTATCTTCACAACAAATTGTTCAGCGCAATCTTGCGTGCACCAATGTGGTTCTTTGATACCACACCACTCGGTCGTATCATCAATCGTTTCACTCGTGATTTGGATAGTGTTGACAATTTGATTTCGTCTTCGATCGCCCAATATATAAATTTCTTCTTGACTGTCATCGGTACCATTATTATCATGGCCACCGTCATTCCAAAGCTTCTCATTGTTTTGGCACCGTTAGTCATATTGTTCTATATCCTACAGTCATTCTATCGTCATACCTCCAGAGAGCTTCAACGTCTGGAGGCTATCAGTCGTTCACCTATTTTCGCTCATTTCACAGAGACTTTGAATGGTGTGGCAACTCTTCGTGCCTACAAGAGCATCGATGCAAACATTAAGCTCAACATGAAATATCTGAATAACAACAACTCTGCCTATCTTACTCTACAGGCTTGTATGCAGTGGTTGGGTCTTCGTTTGGATCTCATTGGTAACATTGTTATTTTCTTTACTTTCATCTTTATCAATTTGTCGCGTGACAGCATTGAGCTTGGTTCCATCGGTCTTGCACTGTCCTACTCATTGTCATTGACACAATCACTAAATCGTGCAACCCTCCAGGCAGCAGATACCGAAACAAAGATGAACAGTGTAGAGAGAATTCTTCATTATATCAATGGTCCAACTGAAGCCAAACAAATCATTGAGGAGTGTCGTCCAGATCCACAATGGCCACAACAAGGTGGTATCGTATTCGATAATCTCGTCATGAGATATCGTGAAGGACTCGACCCAGTTTTGAAGGGTATCAGTTGTGAAATCAAACCAAAGGAGAAAGTTGGTATTGTTGGTCGTACAGGTGCCGGTAAATCATCGATTGTTTTGGCATTGTTCCGTCTTGTCGAGGCATCGGAAGGTCGTATCCTTATCGACGGAGAAGATATCTCCAAATTCGGTCTCAAAGACTTGCGTAAGAACCTCTCGATTATCCCACAGGACCCAGTTTTGTTCTCTGGAACTTTGAGAGAGAATTTGGATCCATTCAACGAGAAATCAGATGCCGATCTCTGGGATCTTCTTGAAAACATTCAGTTGGCAGCAGTGGTTCGTGGTAATGAAGGAGGACTGCTATGTAAAGTAACAGATAACGGTGACAATTGGTCGGTTGGACAGAAACAACTTATTTGTTTGGGTAGAGCTTTGTTGCGTAAACCAAAGGTTCTCGTATTGGATGAGGCCACTGCCAGTGTTGACTCCAAGACTGATCAATTAATTCAGCTCACCGTCAGATCTAAATTCTCAGACTGCACAATTTTGACAATTGCTCATCGTCTCAATACAATCATGGACAGTGATCGTATTATTGTTTTGGACGCTGGAAAGGTTTCAGAATTCGATTCACCACACAACCTTCTTCAAAATCCAAATGGTTTACTGACTTGGTTAGTTGAGGAGACTGGTCCACAAAATGCTAAGCTTCTAAGAAAGATCGCCAAGGCTGGTAAATACATTACATCCTTGGATGAGGAAGTGGAAACTGATTCCAATAGTATTGAAACACCACAAGTGGAAACTCCACCAACCCAAAACGTAGAAGAAACGATAAAAGTTGAAGATTTAGATGAAGAAAGTAGTTCATCATCTTCATCATCCAACGAAAATAATAATCAAAATGAATAATCGAATCATATTTAAATAAAATATATTAAAAACTATTTATTAAAGTCAACTGATGTGCCCATCCTCAATTTAAGTAGCATTAGTTTATGTTAATAATTGATGTTTGATAGTGGGCGGTTGAAACTATAAGTGATTTTTATTTGATGTATTTTACTATTTATAACATTTTTGTTTGTCGATTGTTTGAAGCACTTCTTCCGTAATTCGCAGTGGCTATTCTATCACTGCCCCACTTTTTCTGGCACTCTTTATTAAGGAAAACCCCACATGACGCAAATTCCAACATTTAATTTGCTTCTTTTTTTTTTTTTTAAATTAATGTTTTTTTTTTTAATAAATTTATTTATGTCAATTTTAATATTATTGTTTAATTTAGAAACCACCATATTGGTTATAATTGTTGTTGTAAGATTGAGTGTTAAATTGTTGTTGTTGCTGTTGGTTATACATTCCTGTTGCTGGTGGCAATGCTAACATACCTCCAGTGGCAGCATATCCGTATGAAAGATTGTTGAAATCTGGTTGATAAGTGGTGGCTTCGATGTGTTGTTGTTCCTTTTCTTCTTCGGATTTCTTTTGACGGGCCTTCAAATCGTCCATGAGGGTACTTACGTTGGTATTAATTTCCTTTACATATTGAATGATATATGGGAAGGCGTGGTTGATAATATTGTTTCTCCAAGCCAACTCCAAAACGACGTCTGGCTTGACGAAATCGTAACATGTGTACAAACAGGCAGCAAAAGCAGCGTGATTACTCTCTTCGACAAAGAAGTTGAGCAACTCCTCGGTCAAAGCTGGATTCTTTGAGTCGGCAGCCGATTGAATGGCGTCCTTGTATAAACGATCCTTCTTGGACAACTCTACGGATTGAGCCCAACGGTTGTTCTTCTTGTAGAGGTAGGCGGCGATACGACGGAACTCCAAGAGTTCGTGCTTCTCCAACTTTTGGGCGAGAGCGATGGTACCAAAGTTGGCATTGGCGTCGATCGAGGCACGGAGAGATTCATAGTCCTCCTCTTCGACGTAGAGCTCATTGAGAGCTTCGTTGATGGCAGCGACGTTGTGTTGCTCGGCAGCAGATACCAAGTATGGCTTGACCAATGGGAGGTGACCCAATGAACGGATCAAGTTAACGGCACGGGCATGTTCAATTCTTGGTGACATGACAGTGAGGAGGTCATTGATCAACAATGGTTGTTCTTCGAGGTAGAATTGGATAGCAGTGTAGTAGAGATCGAGTTTGGCAACCTTTGGAATGGTTTCCTTGAACAAAGTGTGATCCCATGCCTCGATAGAGTGGTTGATCATTGTGTTGACGGCATTGTCGTGCTCGTCGTAGTGAATGTAGAGATAGGTCAACTCTGGCCATTGTTGATTGGCTTGACATGCCTTGATAACCTTTGGAACATTCAAACGAGAGTAGTAAAGCTTCAAGTGTTCCATGAGCTTCTCTTCCTTGTACTTGGAGTACAAAGTGGCCAACTCGGTGAACATACCGACGTGAGCACGCTCACTAGCCAAACCAGATTCCAACAACGAGATCAACTCGTTGAAATAACCACGATCCTCATATTGCTTGATCAACTCCTCCAACTCGTCACCATGGACAATAATGAAAAGACCACAGACTTGAGCCAAACGGAACTCCTTGGCGTCAATACAGGCGGCACTTACTTCCTTCCAGGTCTTGGTGCTGTTGGCTTTACGGGCAGAGTCAACGGCTTGTTGGAATTGACCCAACTTGACGAGACAGGATGTGAGTCTCGAGAAATTAGAGATATTGGTAAACAAGATCTTGGCGGCTTCAAAGAGACCGGCATCGAAACAACGGTCACCAACGACTTGGATGTGAGCAGAGTTTGGTGAGTTGATAAAGTCTTCCATTTCGGCGAGCTTGTCAATCTTGGCGTACGAGTAGATCAACTCGGATTCAATGACTGGCTCCTTGATCTTCTTACGACACATCTGGAGGAACTTGACTAACTCCTCGTAGCAGTTGGCACGCTCGGCAGCAGTGATAACCTCTTGGTACTTGTCGATTTCATTGGCTTTGATGAATGATTCGATCGACTCTTTGACCATGTCGGCACGGAGTTGAGCGGAACCGAGCTTGGAGTAGACTTCGATCTGGTTGACACGATCGGCAAAGTCGTAGGCTCTCTCGATAGAGTTTATGTTGTTGAGCAAGACATCGATGGCTTCAACATTGAATCCAAACTTCTTGTAGATAAAGAATGCCTCTTCAAACAATCCACCTTCGATGGCAACGGTTGCGATACGGCTACCGTCAAAGTTCTCGAGTTTGTTGATGTAGTCCATGACACGTGATTTGTCGGCACGGATCGCTGTGAGAACCAAGAGATTCTGGAGTTCAGTGGCAGTTCTGAATTCCTTTCCTTCGATGACAATCTTTTCGAGCAACTCAATCAACTCGTTTGGCAAATCGGCATCCATGAAAGCTTGCACTGTGGAGGCAACCTCTTGAGCGTTGGTGGTCTCTGGCAGGGCGGTCTGGACGACTTGATCGATGAGCGATCTCTTGTATTCGTTTTGGTCAGAGAGGACGTATGCCCACAAGTCTTGATCTTGTCTTTCGACCAAGTATCTGGCTTGATTCTTAAAGAGAGCGTTCTTGTTGGTGACTTCGATCAACTCGTAGTCGCAAAGTCCACGCTTGTAGGCGACAAACGACAAGTATGGATCACGCTTCTCGCAGTATTTACCGACGACCTTGCTGTCATAGAATTGATCGTGAATCAAGAATGCCTCTGGATTCTTGTTGCTGTCGATGTATACCTTGGCGAGGGCGTTGTGTACGGCTGGCTCAATGTTGCTCTCGCTCACTCTGGCCTCTAGCCATGGAAGCAACAACTTCAAACGGTTACGCTTCTCGACTTGCTCGACGAGGGTGTCGGCTGGACACATGTTTCTGACACTGGCAATCAAGTTACGCAAGTAGTCCTCTTGACAATCGAGATCCAACAATGCACCAACGACCATTGGTGTGTTGGCTGGGTTGATCTTTTGGACGTAGACTTCGATGTACTTGTTCAAATTGTTCTTGTACAAATAGCTGGTGAGATCCGAGATGAATTGGTAACGGTCACAAACGATAATCAATGGCAATTGGTCAGAGAGCTTAGCTTCCTTGAGGAAATCACGTGTCTTCTCTGGATCGTAGTAGTTCGAGTCACGGCACATACGCTCGACCTCCTTGATTTGTCCAGACTTGGCGGCTGCTTCGATGTACTTAAAGTGGACCTCCGGTGATTGCGAGGTGACAACGATCTGAGTCAAATATAAATAGAGTCCTTCAAAGAGACGGAAGTTCTCAAACATCTGGATGATTGATTCCGGTGTGAAGTCGTCGGTGTAACGGATGGCGACGGCAACGACCAGTTGCAAGTACTGTCTTGGATTGGTACGCAAAAAGTCACGCATGCACTCCATACGATCCTCTGGGTTGATGGTTCCAAAGTAGCTGACCAAGAACTCTTGGTTGACCATAGAACCGGCGACGGTCAAGACACGCTTGATGTCGGTGAGGTCGGTGTAGTGCTCCAAAGCACGCTGGTAGAGACCGGCCTTCTCACAGAGATTACCGATTCGGACACGGTTGTAGTGAGTGAATTTCTGGCTACCCATGATTTGGTCGGCGGTTTGTGGTGCGTGGATCAAGTTCAACTCGAGCAACTTGGTCTGGAGGTTGGCGTCTTGTGGACGATTCTCAGTGAGAATGGAGAAGAGGAAACTCGATGTCTCACCAATCAAATTTCTGGAGCTGAACAACTCGACCACTTGCAATGGATCGACCAATGGACCGTTCTCATCCTTGACCAACTTGATGGCAAACTCGGTGGCACCGGCTGGATTGATTGGTGCCAAACGGGTCAACAAGAACATGTAGTCTGGAGTGTAGTTGATCTTCTTGGAGTACGCGATGATCTTGTCGTACTCACCGGCCTCGGCGTACAAAGCGATGGCCTTGTCGGAGGAACCGGAACGGTAGTAGATGGAGAGTGCCAACTTACGGTCGTGTTGACGAACTTCATCACCGAGTTGCTCGGAACACTCGAGCTTGTCGTCGGTGAGCCACTTCTCGAGGAATTGCTTCTTACCCTGTTGGAGTACTGGACGTACCAACTCGAGCGATTCAACCTTGTTGAGCTTACCCTTCTCCAAGAGCATACCGAAATATTGTAAGAGTGGCGATGGCTGGCCGTTGGGTGGTGCCTGTACAGCTTGGAAACGTTGGATGGTTTGGAGATTACGCAAGATGGTGCCTGGCGAGTCGGCGGCGACCTTGGCGGCCTCCTTGTATTGTCCTTGGGCAAAGAGACGCTCGAACTGACCTTGGAGTAGTCCCTCTGCGCCTGGCAAGTTGTTCTTGCTGGCCATCGAGATGGCGAGATCATAGTTGTTGAGCACGTTGCAGATATATGGAATGATGTTGTTGTCATCGATGGACACCGACAACACTTGACCCTTACGATTGACGCAGACGATTCCGTTGGTGGTCTCTTGGAACGAGGTGACAAAGATGCTCTCCGAACTGATACGGTTACGGTAGATGAGCGAAGCGGTCGAGAGGTCGAACAAGTGAATGTATCCGAGCTTGGTAATCATGTAGATCACTTCGTATTTATCAGAGATTTGCATGGCCACTGGGAAGTCGTTGGCTCCGACATCGGGTGGATAGAAGACATCCGACGATTTCTTTACAAAGTTGGGACCGTCGCCCTTGCTCACTTCGAGTACCAACACCTTGGAGGCGGCTGGAGTACGCGAGGAAATGGCAAAGAGGATCGATGGACGGGTGGCACCCGGTGCCATGTAGTTGGCGAAGCATGCAGCGTGACCCTCGATCGATTGTGAGATCGACTTTTCGACAGAGTACAACTGGATACGACCGGCGACGTGACCGTCGACCTGGTGGATGGCAACCAACACCAACCATTGCTGGGTAGAGTCGGAACGATAGTTGATGATCTGTGTATTCTGGAGGTGTGGATGACGATCGAACATCTTTACTGGTTCGCTAGTACCCTCTTTTGCCCAGTGATAGACTGCAGTCGGTGTGACCAACGCCAAAATATTTGGTGAAATCCATTTCCAAAACTCGAGATTCTCTGCCATTTGGTATGATTTCAATTTCATCTTTTGTTCAATACTAATCAATTGAATTAATGATCCAACTATATAGTTATCATTATATTAGATTTGTTAATAAAAAAAAGTTTGTTTTTGACGATAAACATTATACGATTAGACTATTTACCTTTCAAAGCAAGAATTGGCTCTTTTGGATTCATGATGGCGGCATCTGCTTTAATTTGTTTTCTGAGGATTTGTGAAGGATTATCGGTATCGATGATGACTACATTATTATTTTCGTCTGGTGTAGTTTCTCTAATACAAATATACTTTTCACTCTCCATAGTCAATGTGGCAAAACCAATTGATTGTTGTCCAATACCAAGATTGGTCAACTGAATATTTATAATAACATTTTAATGTTTATTAGTAATCATCCTTTTTTAAAGTGAACCAACTAATCTAATCAAACTGATCGAACCAAATCAATTTTAATCAATTCCTTAATCACTGTTAGAATCTGCTATATAGTTCGATTGATTATTGATTGATTGATTATATTGATTGATTGATTATATTGATTATTAATAATATAATGTTGAATTGAACGTACCTGTAAGACTTCTTTAAAAACAATTGGAAGATTCGACATTTTGTTTCGCTTCTATATAATGATGATTAATTATTATTTAAAAAGAGTCGGGTGATAATATATTGTATGTATGTTGGTTGGTTGGTTTTCAGTGACTGACTGTGCTATATTGGATGATTAATGAAAAAACTAAAATAATTAAATATGGGTATAAGAAATGTTCAAAAGAAAAATTAATTAGTTTATCTTATAGTTCACAATTGAAGTGAAAAATAAAAAAAATTTTAAAAAAAAAAAAAAATCAACCAGCAAGCACTTCACTTCACCAATGAAAATAATATATTACTAGACATATTTGACAACTTATCAAATCTTTTCATTACTATTTTTTTTTTTTTTTTTTCATCTAAACTATCTTGTAATTGGCATCTTCTACTTATTATTATTATTATTGATTTATTTGTTTATTTTCATTGATGAAGTATTATACGTACTTTGAGGGGTATATATAATATATGACAACAAAAAAACTAGTTTTGTTTTATATTTTTAAAATTACAACAACAAGATATCTTTTTTTAGGATTTGAAAAAAAAAAAGATATTAGATTTTATTTTAATAGTGTGATTGTTGATTGTGATTTCTATTACTCTTCTTTAATTAATTAATTATATAATAGATAATTAGTTAGTTAGGGTTGCAGTAATAAAACTTTGAAAGAAAATATAAAACAAAATAAAGTAAAAACAAAAAAAAAATGATGATTTTTTTTTTTTGAATGAACAAGCAACAAAAAAGTTTTTTTTCTTTTTTATTTTATTTGATTGAAAAAGGTCAGCTTTGGTGGTAATTTTTGTTGTTCAAGAATATGTTTTTTTTTAATTTTTAACATTTTTTTTAAAATTTTTTTATTTTTGATTTTTTTTTTTTTTAATTAATTTTTTCGATAGCAAAGAAGGTAATAACTACATTGACTATCTTTGCTGGTCATTTTATTTAATTGTTCTCACCCTAAATAGAGTTTTTTTTTGTTGTTAAAAGTTAATAAATCAATAATGGTAATAATAATTATTATAATAAATAAATATGAATATTATTTTTGTGAAAATATTATAAATTGTATGATTAGCACATTGCAATCTTTCTACATAACTCTGTATATAGTTCGACCGTTGGCTTCTTTTCTGAGATTGATTGAATAAATTCCATTTTATGTGGTTCGAATATTTCGCACTAATAGATCGATTTTAAATAATAGTGTTAATATTTGTTTTGATCATAGCTATTTCAGACATAGAGAATGTTTAAAAATATGTAGAAACTTAATTAATACTTACAGGACCAAATGGAAAATATTGAGTCAGCTGGTTAACCAATTGAATTTGAGTCACTTTTTCACATAGTGTTGATAGTTGTCTTTCCAGCCATGGAACAGGATTACTTAGTGGAGCGAAATGGTATATGGAAATCAAGCCATTCAAACAGGTTTTACATTTATCGTCTACCACTTCCAGTGACTCGGCCATCACTGGTGCAACATCAACAACAACAACAACAAATGTAATCACTATCATCATCATTGCCAATAATGAAATTCTCATTCTCTCTCTTTTTTTCTCTCTTTATCTCTAACTTTCGCTCTCTTTATTTGATATTTTCAATTTAATAAATAAATAAATTATATGTTAACTATTATTATTATATTATTATATTATTATTATTATATTATTATTAATTTAAATATTGTAATAAGTAAAATAGATAGATAAATAGATAGATAGTTAGAAAAACAAAAAGACAAAAAAAAACAAAAACAGAAAGACAGAGACAGACAGATAGATAAAGTAAAGTATTTATTTATGTAAAAAACAAACAATTGTATTTAAATTGTTTAATGGATATTTCATAAATTGTTGAAAGATTTAAATATTTATATAAATTAAAGTAAAGTAATGTAAAAGATGATTGCTAAACTCTACTTTAATTCTCTTTATCATTTATTCTTACTTTTTTTTAATTCTTTTTATAGTGGATTCATTTATATTTGATTCATGCACTCATCACTGGCGGATCATTCAATTCAAAGATCTACATTCAATATAATAATAACCAGTTTTGTGGTGGGTGTTGATTGATTGATTGATTGATTGTTTGATTGATTCAGGTGAGTTGAATTGAGAATAGAGCTGCGAAACGTCATTAACTCACACATGCTTGCTTATCCATCTCCTCTATATTTCCTGTCCTAAATATTCTTGTTGTTGAAACATATAATGTATATATGTTTAAATTATCTTTGCATGATAATAAATAATACGGTTTTAAAATTATTATTTTGATAAGCATTGGCAATGTATGATATCACTACACAACTATAATCAACACACACACTCTCTTAATAGTGATGATGTGTGTTCGTTGGTGTTTAAAAGATTTCCAATAACTTTATAAAGATAATAACAAACACATTGTTAACATTCACTCAGTGTCTATATATATATATCAAATATGATTTTTTGTGTTTGGTTGTGTGTTTTTTACTTATATAATCTGTGGTGTTAATATTAAAAATGTTTATGTTAATGTTAATGCTAATGTTTTAGTGAATTGTTAACTTTATTGTTAAAATCTCTTTTTAAAATAGCTATAAAAATATAAAAAATTTATAATGTATTTTAATTGTGTTTGCTTAATATGATATATATGATTCTACATTATGTAGTTCTTGACAAAGATGAAAAAGTGATAAAGCAGTCCATCTTTTTACACTGGCATTGCTAAATAATAAAAATTGTATATTTGTTTGCTACATTTTGCTGTAGAAACAATCTTTACACTCTCTTAAGAGATATGAAGTTTGTAGTTTAGCGTCTTTTTCTTCAATAAAAAACAGTTGACACACTACTGACCTGATCACCAAAACTTTTAATTATTCAACCATCAACCAACTGCCAATCATTTAAAGGTTACAAATTATAATTATATTAAGTTCTTATTTTGAATTCATTGATTTGTTATATGATTTGATTGTTATAATAACAAGTTTGTTTTATTCATATTTTAATATAAATGATAATTATAATAAACTAACTGTGATTATTATGCTATTCTATTTCTATTCTATTTCTATTGTTTTCTATTTCTATTCTATGAGTTGATATTTTCTGTATTCTCTTGTTCTTACTCTGTGATAAACGATACCAACTATGATACAAACGAAAACAATAAATGCACCGACGATAGTTATCATCTTCCAGGTTGCAAAACGATGTGAAGAAGGCGAAGAGGTTGGCTTGAACGATAAGATGTATTGATTGTCACCGTCGATGTAGATGACGTATTTGCTCTGGTCTACTACCTGCCCGTCAGAGTAAATGTAGATCTGCCCGAACGATCCATTGATATCGTAGTCACTGTCGAATATAACATATTGATTGTTGTTGTCTGCCAAGTTACCCGAGATGAACGACAACGATAGCGTCGAGTCAGTGTTATCGACCTGAACCTCCAATCCACTGGTGGTTAGAGGTGGGTCGTTTGGATCGTAGATGAATAAATCGATAGACGATTGACTGTCGATACTGAAATTGCCCGCGATATACAGAGAACTACCGACGTCTCTCACCGTTAGAGATCCGCCCGCCTCCACAGTCAACGACTTGGTGATGGTGACATCCTGTCCGTAGGCTATCAGGAGCTGTCCACTACCGCTTACCACCACATTACCCATGAGATTGCATGAGTTTTTAATATCCAGAGTGGTGCTACTCCACTCTTGATTGGCAGCATTGCCAATGATGATTGTGTCGGCTCCTATGCTTGTGGATAACGGGTACCGGTAGTTCCCGAGGAAGTAGATTGTTGATTGATAATAGTCAAAAGTGGAATCAATGGTAGTTTGACCATCGATTACTACGGTAAAGTTGTCTCTGTCGATATGGAGAGTGTCGATCTCAGTGTTATTGATGTGGATGTTTTGGACGTTTTTGAGGTAGAGTTGCTCGATTGTGTTGAGTTGTGTTTGATCGGTTTGGTTTATGATGATGTTGGGTGAGGCGATAGTGACTCTACCCTCAGAGTTGATCACTTGAATAAATACATTTTGTTGGCTTGTAAAGTAGCTGCCGGTTGTGCTACCTTCACAGACAAGCTGTTCAATTAAAATGCCATTATTGGCGACATCGTTGATAATCAACGTGGATTGTTGATTCTGTTGGACTAGACTGTAGTTTCCGTTGAGATAGCTATTGGTGATATTCAGTGTTGCATTGCTTCCAACTGTCAGTTCTGACGCTTGGATTAAGTTGGCAACTGTCAATTGGTTGTAAATTGTAGTTGGTTGATAGATGTAGAGTGAAGATTGTTGAGATAGAGTAGTTTGCTTGCTGCTATGGAACGATCCACCTATGTTGATGAAGGAACGTTCACTCGCTTGAATCGACGAGGTTGGATCGATGTTGGTCGAATCGGTGACCGTCATCAGACCCTGTGAGTTCAAGACGACCGATGAGTGGTCACTGATATTCAGTGACGACGTCATCAGCGTGGCATTCCCGCCAATGGTGAGAGTGGATTGCTCGGAAAGCATCAGTTGATCAACCACTCGCAATGAACCACTGTCATTCAGGTGCAGCGAGAATCCAGGTGCGTTGACAATCAAAGATCCAATCGAAAGTGAATTGGTTCCATTGATATACAACGATTGATAACCCGCCGCATAGCTAACAATAACCGTGTCTTCTATAGTGGGAATTTTCGATCCATTCCAAACCTGTGGTGATAAGAAACTACATCCATTCAGTGCTTCACATAAAATATTAAATTCATAATATATAACTATAATTTCATTAGAGATATATAACAATTTTGAGAAATAATAAAAGTAATTAGAAATTTCAGACTAAAAATAATTTTTGTTACTTTTTTTTTTTTTTTTTTTTGTATTTTCTAGTTTTGATTTCTATTTCAATAACTACAAACAACATACCATCTGATTTAATTAAATCTACATTATTTAATGTAATCAATAATAGAAATAATAAAATTAATTTCATTATTTACAGTAATGTGAAATACATAGTAAATAAAATCTTTGAGAGTTTGTAAATGATAAAGCTACTGTACAGAAATGTTTATTATTAAATAAATAAAGACAAGAAATTATTCAAATTTGAAAATTGAATATTTAAGTAATATTATTTAGATATATAAATAAATAATGAATGTGTGATGAAGAACAAAAAAGTAGTGATCAATTTTATTTAAAATTAGAACTTGTCAATGGGGTTATAAAATGAGAAAAATCACCTGTTTTTTTTTGTTATTTTTTTTTTTTTTTGAGTATTTTTGCTCAGTTCTCTGAGTAATCGACCTAAGTACAATGATTCAGTCTTTGCCTTTTTCCAAAACTCACTACATTTAAAATGGTTTCCGATTTTTCTTGATAAAAATTTTCGAAAACAATTTCTCGATTTTGTTTATTTTGAAGATACTTGATGAATGAAGAGAGAAAAAGATTTCTGTGCAACCTATGGTTATCGTGTAGGACGGTATCATTGCGATTTTTTATTCAACTAAATTTGAATGATTTGAAATGAATGAATAAGGGAATGGGATAATAATAAAAATATTGGAACATTTTTATTTTCTATTAAAAAAAAACAAAAAAAAAAAACAATTGTATTTGATGATAATAGGTTTTATCAATTGAGAACACATATTTTTGGATATATAAATTACAATAAGATAGGAATTAATAATTAAATTGATGGATCACAACCAAATAATCGGAATAGGTTGATATTATTTGTTTATGTTTATAATTTGTTTTGTTTTGTTTTGTTTTTTTTTTTTGTTTTGATGATTGATTTTAAAATCTCAAAACCTTTGAAATATCCCAATCATGGTCGAATGCAATACGTTTTCTAGTTTCATTCCAGGCGAATAGTAGGAATACCATTGGGAGTGGATAGGCCCAGTAGATTCCACTGACGTTGGCAGAAGAAATGATGGTGTGAACGAATGGGGTGTAGATAATGAAACAACAGATACCAGCTTCAATGATGAGACCGATGTTAACGTACATGTTGGCCATACCGTGTCTCCAGAGTGGAACGACACGAGTCTTGTTTGTGATGAGATTGAAGAATTGACACATTACCAATGTCATAAAGTAGGCGGTCTGTGCTTCTTCGAGTGCAGCGACTTGGTGTGATGCGGTGTAGAATTTACCGTCGACTTCAAAAGGTTGTGCACCTTCCTGGAAGTAGTCTTTGGCAGAGTAGAGCAAACTGGATGGTGGATAACCATACGATGCCATCACCAAGAAGAAGCTCATAAGCGAGGTGATTGCTTCCATTGGACCGGCTTGCAAGTAACTGTAGGATAGCAGATTGGTGGTTACAAGATGGTCGACTCCAAGTATACGTGGCTTACGTGTCATGATGTCTTTCTCACCCTTTTCGTAGGCGAGCGAAATGGCTGGTGCCAACTCTGTTCCCAAATCGATACAGAGCACCAAGAACGATGTGATAGCCAATGGGATACCGAGGATAATGTTCAGGACGAATGGAATAACCTCTGGGAATGCGTGTGTCAAAGTGTAGGCAATCGATTTCTTGAGATTGTCAAAGATAATTCTACCCTCTTCGACACCGGCGACAATACTGGCAAAGTTATCGTCCAGCAAAATGATGTCGGCTGTTTCCTTGGCGACGTCACTACCGACGATACCCATAGCCACACCGATATCTGCCTTTTTGAGAGCTGGCGAATCGTTGACACCATCACCAGTGACAGCGACTACTTCCTTTCTACGTTGAGCTTGTTCGACAATCTGTGATTTCTGTTGAGGTGAAGTACGGGCAAATACAATCTCACTCTTGGAGAGAACACGATCCCAATCGGTTTCGGTGAGCTCACGAATCTGGCTACCATGCAATACGACAGCTTTGACTTCGGATTCGTCGACTTCCTCGAGTGGAATACCCTTGGCGGCGGCAATGTCTTCGGCAGTTGGTGATGAAATGATACCGACCTTCTTGGCAATGGCTTTGGCAGTGATTGGATGGTCACCTGTAACCATGATAACTTTGATACCGGCGGTCTTGCATTGGTGGACAGCGAACGGTACATTTTCTCTGGGTGGATCGAGTAGTGAGCAGAGACCGACGAATGTGAGTTGACTGGTTGGGAAGTTGAGTTGTTGTGCGTCGTAGAGGTTGTCGTGCATTGGACCGTATTCCTTCTCGTCGAGAACGATCTGAGCGAAACCAAGGCAACGCTCACCCATCGAACCTAGTTCTTCGTAGGCCTGTTGGAAGTCGTAACGCATCTTGTCGTCAATGTCAATGTCTTTGCCGTTCATCATAATCTTTGAGCACTTGGCAAAGATAATCTCTGGAGCACCCTTCATCATGAGCACACGAGTCGATTTATCGTTTGGATCGCTACTACGACGATGAATAGACAACTGCCATTTGTTGGTAGAGTTGAATGGAATTTCAAAGATCTTTGGATTGTTGGCACGTGTAATCTCGATCTCCTCGAGTTTGTGACACAAACGAATAAGCGCGGATTCAGAAGCGTCACCGAGAATCAAACGTTGATCGATTGGTTTCTCCATGTTACCTTCGGCGAGCTTATCGAAATCGGAACGATTACAACATGCGCCGATTCTCAAGAGATCGGAGCAGGTCGGTGAATTCTCGTCAAACATTGCACGTCCAATAGTCATACCGTCGTTGATCGCCTTGACAATGGTGTTGTCGTACCACATGTGACTGACAGTCATACGATTCTGAGTGAGTGTACCGGTCTTGTCGGAAGCGATCAAAGTGATCGATCCCAGTGTCTCAATGGATTCGAGCTTCTTGGCGTAGACATTACGACGACTGAGACGACGCGCAGTCACGGTAAGACAAGCAGTGATAGTCGATGGCAAACCCTCTGGTACGTTAGCTACAATCAAACCGAGTACATTGATCAAATTTGGAATTGGTTTCAGACCGACACCGAATCCGACAATAAAGAAGATCAAACCCATAGTGATACCGAGGGCACTGATGAAACGAACGAATCTCTTTGTCTCGATTTGCAATGTAGTCTCGGCGGTCTGTGTGTTCGATGCCATATCGGCAATCTTACCGATCAGTGTATTTCCACCGGTTCTAATGACGACGCCACGCGCCGATCCGTCCATCACCAGAGTACCGTAGAATGCAAGATTGTGAGTTTCCAACGGATTCTCATCGGTGCAGGTTACCGTACAGGATTGTGGTTCACTCTCACCGGTCAACGAGGAGTTGTCCACTTTCATACCGTTACAGGTGATCACTCTTATGTCGGCGGGAATCTTGTCACCGGCGCTGACAACGACGACGTCACCAATGACAATATCGGCGACGGGTATCCTTGTCTCCATACCGTCACGAACGACACGTGTCGCCTGTGGAAGCAGCTTCTTGAAGGAATTCATAATGTTGCTACTCTGCCATTCCTGTGCAAACGTCAAGAGACATGTGAAAATAACGATGGCCCACAACACACATCCAAGATACAAATTGACTCTCTGATCAGTATCCAAAGCGAATGCAATAAAACACAAAACACCTGCAACCTCCAATAGAATCATAAAGAAGTTTACAAAGCACAATGCCAGCTTGACATACCACGGACTCTCCTTTGGTGGTTTCAAAATATTTGGACCGTATCTCTCTAACAATAATTTAGCTGATTCACTTGTCAAACCCTTTTTTGAAAATTTAATTAGTTAGTTATTGTCAAAACAATTTTAAAATCAATATCAATATTGTTACATACTTGACTTTGTGATGGATCAGTAAAATGAATATTTGTTCCAAACTTTTCACTTAATTGTTCAAGTGTTGATTCATGATCAACAACATCGTATTCAGCTGCCTTTTGTTTGGCTTTTGCCTTGTCTTTGATGTTGAGAGTGGTATCGGGTGGTACGGCTGTTACACCTTTAGGTTGATTGGCACCTGGTGATGTGGTTGGCGAAGTGGTGGCGGTGGTGGTGGTAGTGGTTGTTGTGGTAGTGGCGGTTGGACCTGGCGAAGTGGTACCGGTGGTTGTCGCGGCTGGCTCAAACGATGGAATTGCCATACGGGCATCGGGATGTACACCCTTTGGCATTGGAACGGGCAGTGTGACGGCATTCATCGATTTCAGTGGGATATCGATGAATTGACCACGCTGGATCGTTGTGCTGGACGATGCGCTTGGCGATGCGGCATTGCTGTTGAGACGCATTCCGATTTGATGCTTGATTTCGTGGTAGAACTGTGGAATCTCTTTACTGGTGCCAAAGAGTTCTATCGATAGCTTTGGATAGGCGCCAGTCTTGACGTCATGCTGGTCGTAGACCTGGAAGGTGTGAGCGTTGTGATTTGCAGTCTTTGGTAGAATCTGTTGGAGTGTTTCCATTGATAATCTTTTCTTTTTTGTTTCATCGACTGTATATTGATTATTTTTAATATTATCAAATATAATATTATTACCTGCATTATTATTATTATTATTATTGTTGTTGTTATTATTATTATTATTATTATTATTGTTGTTATTATTGTTTTCATCATTTTTAATATTATTATTTGGAACTGACTGTGGTTGGACTATTTGAACTTCCAGTATCTATATCAATTTCTGTACTATCATTAATGTTGTTGTTGTTGTTGTTATTACTATTATTATTTAAAGGAGTATCATTTTCTTGTTCCTGTTTGTTTTCAATATTCTGACTATTATTGTCATTATTATTATCGTCGTCTTGACCCATTTTTTTTTATGGACTATATGTTTGATTTATAATTAATTTCTTTTAGATTCTTCTTCTTCTGTTTTCCTTTCCTGTTAATTGGCTCTTGTGGCTATTAGAATTGTAACAAACTGGAAGCTTGGCTACTGGATGGTCACAATTCGTGGTTTTGGCAAAAAAAAAGAAATAGAAAAAAGGAGAAAGAAAATTGGTTGTTTTTATAGATATATACACCAATCAGATCAATGATACAGATAACAGTTAAGTTATAGAGTTAAAAAGAAGAAGTAGAGAAGAGAAAAGAAAAGAAAAAAGAAAGAAAAAAGAAAGAAAAAGAAATAAAAAAAAAAAGAAAGAATAAAAGAAAATAGAAATTTAAAATTTTAATATATAAATATAGATAAATATGAAAATAGAAGATTTATCTATTTAAGTGAAAAAAATAAAATATTATATGATATTTTATAATATAAAATGAAATGAAAAATAAAAGGTATATATTGAGAGTGTTATATTGAAAATAAATAAAAGAAACAGTAGTATTCTAATACGACTAACTAAAAAAAAAAAAAAAAAAAAACAAAATTAATCTGTTGAATAATAAGAAGATAATAATTCTCTCTTTTGTATAAGAAAATAAAATAAATATAATATAATATATGTAATGATAGTATCTATTAAAAAACTACTAAATCATCATTATAGCATTATTAATACAAATTAAAAAGATATATACTTGTTGTTATTGTTGTTGAGTTACTGTAACTGAATATATAATAACTGAGAAGAGGAATGAATTTATGAAGAGAATATATATTATTCAATTCAATGAAGAGGAGTAGAGGTCGAGTTAACCAATCAATTATTATCAACAATAAATACTTATTGTTGCTATTATTATGATGGTGGTGGTGGTCTCTATTATTTGTTTTTCTTATTATTCTTCTTGGCCACTTCTTTCCTTTCCTTTCTTTCGTTTTTGTTTTTCTTTTCTACAAATATATATAATGTTATGTTTTGTTGAATAAATAAACAATTTATTTAATTAAACTGTGTATTAGTATTATCCAAGTTATTGAGTTGAGTTGAGTTGTGATGAGGGTATTGAGGGCAGAGAGTGATGAATGAAGGGATCTAAACAGTCAGTTCTAAAAATAAATATAAATAAAAAAAATAAAAAAACAAAAAAAGTTACCAACAAAAGCTTTTTTTTTAAAAAAACACTAACAACATCAATAAAATGAACAAAATTGAGCAAAGGTGTGAAAGTCTAAACCAATAATGAATTTGGTCTAAAATGAATGAAAATGTTTTGTGGTAATATTTTGATTGTGTCTTTTCTTCAGATAATTACTTTTATTTTAATTAATAAAGGTTTGTTTTTTTTTTTTTGGATATATACTTTTATCTTAAAATTTGTTTCTTAAAGAATTATAAATAATAATACACATTTATAAATTATATTTGTAATAGTAAATGTATTTGTGAATGAATTTGATTGTAATTGATTGAATGAATAATGAATGTAATATATAAATAGTTTAGTTACACTTTTGATTTGTTGATTTGATTTGTTTGATTTGACACCTATCTGATAAAACAGACAGACAAAGAGACAAGAATAAGTAAATATTTATTTTGAAAATAAAATAAAATTAAATTATTAATTTAATTATAATACAATAAGATAAGAAAGATAAACTTTTAATTTAAATTTTATGCAATCATCATCTTATTCTTTTCCTCTTCCTTATCTTCCAGGTGAGTGCATTGCATTGCATTATTAATATTATTATTGTTGTCTTTAATTAAAATAGACACAAAGTTGTCCAGTGGAGTGAGTGTCATTCGTTTTTTTTTTACGACGGCACACTATTTCACACACCAAAGTGTGAATGTTGGTGTAATGTTGTGGGTGTGGTTATCAAAAACAAAGAAAAAAAAAAGAGAAAAGTTATAAAGATACCAGTGAGTGATGTTAAAGATTTATTGATTGAATATGATATGATATGAATGACAAGAAAATTAATATATCTCTATTCTATCTATCTATCTCTTTATTTGTCTGTCTTATTTTCTTTCTTTTCAATCAATCACAACCAATGTTATCTGTAGTCTTAAAAACGTTGATATATTAAGTGGTATTGAGTAGAGTATGGAATGAAAAGCTTGTTTTTTATTATTAATAAAAGTGAATAATTAAAAGGTTATATACAACATGTTTTTAAGGTATATTTTAGCTTTGTTTTTTTTTCTTAATTTTCATTCCGAAACTGTTTGTTTGTTGGAGATTAGATTAAGAATAAACAATTAAATGTATAAAGTTATAATGATAATGATTAATCTAGATGATTTTTTAATGAACCATTCAAATAAAACACACAATAAACAAACAATATAATATGTCCAAAGAAAGAGTGAGAGAGTAATGCTTGAAATAGTATGTAGTTGTTTAGAGATTGATGATATTGTGTATGAATAGAATAGGTGATTAATATTATAAAACTTACAATAATTAACTAAAAAAAATGATTAAATAGATATAATGAAAATATAGATATTATTATTTTATTTATAACTAGAGAACAAAAAATGATGACACTTTGAAATAAGAGATCTCAAAAACTAAAATAATGAGACAAAAATAAAATTATCTCAAATTCGTTCGTTTTTTTAAATCCGATGGGATTATTAATTATTTGGGACATCACCACCCACAATTTTCAACGTTTGGAAGTGTGTGCAATGAAATTCACACTTTTTTTTTTTTTTTTTTTTTTTTTTGAATTTTTCACTTTGGTTGTCAGTTGTTGGTCAATAATAATAATAAAGTTATAAAAGTGTGATTTATTTGTTAGTTGCTAAGTTTGCTTTTAAATCTTATAACCAAGTTTCAATGATCTTCAATGTTTGTTGACGAACTTGGTCAAGATTGTTTGGTGTTGAACATCCACCTGGACACTCTCTTAAATCGACACAATGTCCGCAATTATTGCAGGTTACCATCAGTGATGGTTCGGTTGGGTATTCCTGTACTGTGATACTAGCTCTTGACCATGGATCTTGACTTCCCTATTTTGTTTGGAAAAAAATGATAATTAGTATAAGTTGATTGGTCATAATTATACAATAGGTGATTGATTGTTTTCTCTGATTTCTAGCTTTCTACTTACATTGGTGACTATTATTATTATTATTTCAATGGTTGGTTTTAATTTTGAAATTGAATTGATATTAATATTTAGACATCTAATAATTAACTAATTATTACTTACAAACAATGTTGGTACCAGCGGTATGATTACCTCCGTAGTAGTCGTTGGTAGCTTCAGTGTTTGGCCAGAGTGGTTTACCGAAAACGTTGGCGCAATGGGTTCTGTGGTAGGTCATGTTTACCATCTGAGAACGGATCGAACCTTGAGCAGGTGCGTTTTGGAAGTATCCGAATTCGGTGCATGTCTGGAACCACCATTGACGATCGGCCTTGTTGATATCGTGGGTTGTGTTCTGTTGGAACAAGGTGGCGTATTCGCCTGGTGTTCCGAGAGTGGTTCCCCAGACGTTGATGGTGTAGTTCGAGTAGGTCTCCAACATGTCGCCCTTGTTGTTCATGGCGTTGATCAGTGGAGTGCAGAGTTGGTCGTGATATCCATATTGAATTCCCTCGGCCATAGAGTCGGCCAACCAGTAGAAAAAGTCACCGTCGTCAGTGAGTGTTTCCGCTTGGAAGAGCTGTTTGACGGCGGCGGCGTTTCCACCAAAGATCTGTTGTTCGGCGGTCGATGTCACCAGACGGAGAGCGTCGGCACACTGCTCGCCGGCGGCATAGGCAACCCACTCGTCGAAAGCAGTGAAATCGAGAATGGCGTTGACGACACCGGACGATGCGACACTACCGACGGTGACGTGTGGGTATTTGACACGGAACCAAGCGGACAGTGCACCACTGTAGCTTCCACCGATGGTGATGATATCGCCAGCGTTCTGGATTGTTGAACGATAGTCCAAAATAAAGATAGCCAAATCATTGAGTGCCTGTCTTGACGACAAGAACTTCAAGTTCTCAGTGGAGAGATCAGCGAATGGCGATGAATCACCATAGTAACGGTGTTCCAAAGTGACAATCAAAGCACCCAATGCCTGAGCATAAATGACTGTTCCATCAGTTGGTTTATTAGGTGGTGATGATACTGGTCCTTCTCCATTACTTTATAATGATTATTATTATTATTATTATTATCATTATCATTACAATTATAGTTATTGTTAATATTTCTATATTTTAGTTTTCTGAATTAAACCAAAAAAAAAAAAAAAAAAAAGGTGTGTCTGACAATTACAAACTACTACTTACATGTATAAAATGATTGGACCACCCTTTTTGTAATCGTAATATTGATCATTGACGTAGTAACGTTGAAGGAATGTACGAGTATCCTCTGCGTCAAAGTGATTCAAGGTCTGATTGTACCATTGATATTCCCATTTAACATTTGCTTCAGTTGCAAAAGTTGATGCATTTGCTAGAGCAACAACCAATAACAATGTTGTGAACAACACTGTTTTCATCATCATCATGTACTTTACTACTACTAAATCTATTCTGATATAGTTTAAAATAGATAATGATATATATAAATAATAATCAAAACAATCAAAAAAAAGTGCAGATCAATTTCCTGATTGAAAATAAAAAAATAGATAAAAATTTAAAAAAAATAAAATATTACTAATTATGTTATTGGGGTGAATCCCAAATTATTTCACACTCCCACATTAAAACCAATCATGACAAGCAAATCAATTAACAAAACATAACACCCTTTAAACAATCAAATAAATTTCGATCGGTAAAAACAAAAATTTATAATTATTTCTATATTTATACAAGTTATTTTCAAATATTAAATAGTATAGTATTGTATATAATATATATATATATATATATTGACAATATATATAAAATAAACAATGTAACATGTGTTTGATAATTCATGTAAGATAGTGTAATGATTGATTATAAATTATTAATCATATTTTTTGTTTTGACTAATTTGACTATGACATGTGACATGACCTATGAATTATGTTTTAAAATCAAACAATTGTTTTATTTCTTTTGTTAATATTATATATTTGCTTCAATTTAATCGACGCGTCGATTTTATCACATACTCTATACTTCTCTCTCTATCTCTATCTTTCTCTTTGCAAATTGAATTGAATAAACATCAAAATAAAATAAAAATTAATTAATTTGGTAATAGATAGATATTATGACACTTTTAAAATCAAATCAATTTTTAATAAAATACACAATCTTAAGAATGATGAAAGGTTTATTTAATATTAAAATAGCAATCAATCAATATTTGGCACCATAGCATTTTATTTTATTTTTCCAAATTCTCTATTTTTTTTTTCTTTCTATCTTTATAGAATCAATTTATTTATTCTTTATTATTTTATTATAATTTTTTTATTAGATTTATAATTTTTTTAGTATATTTGATGATTCTATATAAATCTAATCATGTTCCAACTAAATAAATTATTTATTTGTATTTTTAGAAAACAATCACAAATTGTTAATTTTAATATTTCTATATTTTTAATATTATTATTCTTATTTTTTCCAGTAGGAGTTAAATCCAATATTTCACAAATAGAATGTATGAATGAACATATTATTATTTACTTTTTTTAATAAAAACTAATAAACAATCAACTATTATAGTAAAATCATTAAGATGGATAATAAAACAATATGGATTAAATTGGAACTTAAATGGTGAAACCTGTAGCAGTATATTGCCAATAGATAGTAGTTTTGGTACATTAACATGTAATTCAACAGATTCTATATTATCAATGTAAATATAACATAATTAATCATTTTTTAATTAAAATACTAACAATGCTTAAATCTTTCAAAGAAATATAGTAAATAATACATTTATTGATCATGGGGAGCCTGATTCTCTAAATAAATTAATATTTCCTAGTTTACAACAACTATCTTTTATAGCCAATAGTAGTACTTGGCGTGTAAAGAATAATTCTTACAATCTCTTCACTATGTTGGATCAGCCCGAAAACAAAAAACTTCAATCTTTAGAGATACATTACTATCCAATTAACATACCAACCAATTTTCCTATTTATTTACAAACATTTGATACGTTGTAAGTTTATACCACTTAGAATTATCAATATGCGATTTACTAATAGTTAATTAATTAATCTATTTTATTTATAGATATCTTAACAATAATACTGTAACATCCAATATATCGAGAGCATTGTTAGAATCATGTGTTAGAGTTAATTTTACCAATATCAATATGAAATCTGATTTGAAAATAGAATTTTCAACCAATTATGTTTATCAAAATCTTGTATTTATGTAAGTTATTTATAGTACCAGTGTATATTAATACAATGCTAAACTATCTCTATATCCTTTTTATAGTAATTTCGATTTCCCAATGAGTTATTTATTACAAATGAATAGTTTCATTTTTAATAATAAAAACTTTCCAAGTTTAAGAATAATGTAATATTTAAAATTCTAACTAAATTTATAAATTTTATTCTAACATGTTTAAAAATTTACCTTTTTAGTGAATTTGGAGATAATCAACGACAATATGATATTTCCTTTACAATAGATTCTGTTCAAAAAATGTATTTATACTAACAAATAAATTTATTTTAATTCATTATTAACTTTTAAATATTATATTTTTTAGATCATTATTTAATGCAAATGTAAACATTGTATCTTTACCAATTCTAGAAACATTGTAAGTTAATATAATACATTTAATTTTAAATTAAAATAAATATTAATATTAAAATTCCTTTTTTAAAGACTTTTAACAAATTCTACATTAAATACACCTGATTTATCAATTTTCCCAACATTAAGAACTGTGTAAGATTATTTAAGACTTTTAAAAAGAGTATAATTCAAATTGATTAACTAATTTTTATTTAAATTAAATAGAATTTTGAGAAAATGTAATTATACATTGATGAAAGTATCAAATTTAATATTATTGTAAGTACTTACCTTTTTTGGTAACCAAAAAATATTAATATTTCAAAAGAAATAATCAAGTTAATACTAACTCACTCCAAAAGGCAAATGGATGATACCAATTTAGGTAGTATACCACAAGTTTCTTGGTTTAGCTATGGTGCGTCAGCATTCTTTACGAATACCAATGTAAAGGGTGAATTGGGTGATCTTGGTGGCGCAGACCTTCGAGAACTTTCATTTATTGGATCTCAAGAGTTGTCAACACGTCTCTATGATTCTTACTGTGAGACTTATTTCCTACTAAAGAATATCAAGTTGATCGACAACTATGTACCTTCATGTATCTATTGTTATTGGTCAATCATGAGTTACTATCTACCCGACGATACAATTCCACCTTCTCCCGATTACAAATGTAACATCACTGTTGATAAGAATATATTTTATGTTGATAAGATAAATGGTTGGTAATCTTAATATACTTAGGAGTAAGAAACAAATATAGATATTAATATTAATATTTTTTATATAGAATCAATTGTAATTAGTGGAAATAATCTTGGCTTTGGAATGAAGAATGATATCTCATCTAATATCTATCCAATAACACCAAATCAAAAGTTTAAGTAAGTTTAAGTTTAACATTTTAAATATGTTTAAGAATAACAACAATTTATTCAAATTAATATTTTATTTATAGTTTTGTTGCTAATCCAATTGAAGGTAAAGCAACATTAATGCTATCAAAGACTTTGAAATATTCAGTTGATATTGTTTGGGGACAGCCTCGTAAGTTAAATTTATATTCCAATCAAGATTAATTTATATTAATTTTTATATTTATATTCATATTTGTATAGCTCAAGCAAATTCAGCAATGATACAAAATATTGATAGATATTCAAAAATAAATATATATGGAAGATTCAACATGTATTCAACTTTTACAATCATGGTTGGAAATCAAACATGTAATAATATAAAAGTGGAATCTACAATGATTACCTGTACAATCTATAGAATTCTATTGGAGACTGCATATAGTATAACAATTGATGATACTTTGTCAAGGAGAAATGTTGTTGGTTTGTTGGAGACCTCTACACCTGTTCCGCTGAAATGTGGAGCCAATGCAAAGTGTAATGGAAATGGCGAGTGCATAACTGGAATATGTCATTGTGACGATGGCTACGGTGGATACTATTGTGAATCAAAGATCAAATCGGATATAGTAATCACACCGAATACAACTGCACCATCACCCACCATCTTGGTCGATAACAAACTGCGCTTCACTTTCAATATTATCTGTCTTCAAGAGATAGATCAAACCGATTCTATTGTCAACGAGATATTCACGAGGAGTTGGAATTATACCTTCTACATCAACGATACACTCACTACCTATAACTATTTAATCAATACTTCAACTAGCTCCTCTATCAATGCGGTGATTGAACACTCTACAATTCAGAGAACAATTGAATTCGGTGGATATAATACTATCTACTCTGCTGGTTCACTTAAACTATTGATTAAAGTCGGTAATTGGAGATACAAAGATCGGTTGAATCATCTTAGAATCATCATGGTGACGAAACTCGAGAATCTAGAAGAGCATTGCTATCCCAATACCATAGTAGATCAACAATCGGACTCCAGTAATATCAACTTTATCAAGGCGACAATGAACGATCGTTCGTTCTACGGTAGATTCTTACCGTATGCAATGATAGACAATGGAATAGTTGTCAATATCAACAATCAGATAATCAATTCATCGGAGAGCAACGGTGAATCTTACATTGGAATATCGATACCGTATTGCGAGGAGTGTATAATCGACCCTGATTTCTCAGTGTTGGTAAACACCGATTCATCAATCAACGGCCATTGCCTGGCAAAGAGCAAAGCATGGTTGATTGCCACCATTGTTTGTGTAGGAGGTGCAGTTGCCATTGCATTCATTATCGGACTGATATTCTATATCAAGAGAAAACAGAAATTCAAAAAAGAAAATGAAAAGCTACAAAACAGATTAAGTAGAATGAATGAAAATCATTGATAATAAATATTAATAAACAGAATATATTTCTTTTTTTTTTTTCTATTTATTTTTAACTGATTGAAATTGATGTGGTGTTGGTTGTTGTTGAATTTGATGCAGTGGTGTTGGTGTTATTTGATTTCACCGGAATGATGGGTGGATTTTTAACAAACTTTTCGTCGACTCTCGACTTTGGAATCTGGAAAGACGGTGAAATCCAAGAGCCACACGAACATTGAGCACCACTCCACGACCAAGATCCAAGCTTTTCACCACACTTTGGATTGTCACAAATGATTTTACCGTCGTAGGTCTCTGGTGAAGTGGTAATCCACTCTACCCATTCGTTCTCCTTGAGGAAGTAGCTTGTGCACTCCTCCGATCCACTCATTGTTTTCTCACGACGTCCCCACTTGAATGAATTTTGTCCGTCTCCACGATCGTGTTTCGATATATCTTTGGGATAGAACAAAGCTTTTCCACATTTCCTACAACAATATTTAATTTCACCTTCATCTTCTTCCTCTTCCTCCTCTTCTTCATCTGCTACTAATGATTCAACTTGTAATTGCGATAATTTCTCGCCTGTTTCTGTCACTAGCTGTTCAGCTTCCTGTTGTAATTGTTGTTGTTGTTTCAATTCCAGTTTAGCTTGTCTTTTTGCCTCTTTCTCTGCTTGTTTCTTTCGTTCTATCAATTCCTCTTCGTATTCCATCAGCTGTTTGACAAATCCTCTGTTTGGATAGATGATACGACGGGCATCGAGCAGCAGACCGTGCGCATCACTATAGTCAATGTTCAACTTTCTCATCATATAGGCAATACATATCGAAGCAGACCTCGACATTCCAGCGAAACAATGTACTAAAACCGCACCCTCTCTTCTTCCCTCCTCTATAAACTCGAATGTCTGATCGAAATACTGTTTTATATCTACACCTTCCATATCGAATATATCTATAACATGACATTTATACATCTATTTATTGTTTGTTTCTTTTAATAAGTACTCTTATTTGCGCATCAATTTTACATAATTAATTATTTCCTTACCTTTGGCCATTTTGCTTTATAACCATTCATTATACTTAAAACATGAGTGATTTGATACTCATCAAGAATATCACGTTTCACTGCTGCCAGTGATCCAATATAGAATCCTGGAAATATTTTATTGATTTCTTCGTTTGACATCTTTCTCTATATATAATATAATAATTAAAAAATAAAAAATAAAAAGGTATTTATATATTTGCGTATAACTGATCTAAATAAAATATTTATTAAATATAAAAATAATTCAAAAAGTTTTCTCGAAATTTTCATAAAAAAATTTTTGTTGGCTGCTCTGATTTGATTCGCTTTTTATCTTGGATATCTCTTTGATTTAATATCGATTCATTTTGTCTTAATTTATTCTCAGTGTTATGTTACCAAACCCTAATTTTCAATCACAATTTGAATTAGTTGGTGATTTAAAACAATTCTCAACAATTATTCGCATAGATGATACCCAGTGGTTGAACAGCCTATCTTCACAGGTAAGTTCTCCGTTTACTGGCTTTTTGACTGGTGGAATGAATTCAAATTATTTTTAAGTTAGTTTTTTAAGGTGATATATTTAATATACATACTGGTATTTCTGAATCATAGTTTTCAAATGAAGACTTTAAACGTATACGTAGGCAATCTTGTTTCCAAGATTTTGAAATATCATAAAATGATACACTGTCCTCCAATGAAGTATATTTAAGTAAATAATCGAATGTCCAGAACAACCATTCTTCTTTTATGCGGTAGTCTCTTAGGTTTTTCACCATTTGATCCACAACGATTTTGTGAACTCCATATTGCCGATGGAATGATTAATTATTATCATCAGTGTCGAAGGACGTAGTTAGTGAAATGGTTCATTCGTGGGCCTTCATTACTTCGACCTGGGTTCGAGGTAATGACTAAGTTTCCCTGCTACAGGAACGTATATAAAAAACTGATGTCCTAAGAGCCCATGGGCAATACATTGACACCAACTCGCGAGGAGGTGATAAAAACACCTCCTTAGTGCGATGGATCTAAAAAAAAAATCTTCTTTTTTGCTTTTTTCTTTTTTTAAAAGCCATATTTGTAATTTATAATAATCAAGATATCATTGAGAATACATAGTATTCTCACAGACAATAATATATTTCTTCATATTCAATATATATAATCTTTTTCGTGGTGTGGTGGGTAGACTATAATTGAAACAAAAAAATATTGTCTCAGAGCAAAAGCATACCTCTTACTCACTATTTTTTATATTCTTTCTTACTAATTGTTTGTATAAACCACAGAAGTAAATAATATTAATCTTTTCATCATCATATCTATCTCTTTTTTTTGAATATCTTTTACCTATTTTTAACAGTTGATTGTTATAAATTAATAATTATTTAGTTTATTATATAGAAATTGTTTAAATTAAGATTATGTAAAAATAAGCACAAGTGTAAATGAGAGAGCAGAAGAAAAGTTTAAAAAGTATTACTGTTGCAGTCAATGCCGAATTTGATACGGATAGAATAGTAGAAGCGATTGAAAGAAAAATAAATGAATTGGAAACAGTTGTCAGAAAAGTTCATGAACTGCGATACGATAAACATCACCGACGAGAAATGGAAGAAGATCCGGAGAGCTACAGTACCAGCACGTATGCCAGACACCGCGGTGGATCAGAATAAGAATGAACAAACTGGTAAGTTCACTGTGGTTTAAACTTTAAATGATTTAAAAAAAATGGTATTAATAATACCTCACTTCAATATACTATATAGATCAAATCCATAGTGATGATAAGGATCAGGATTTTCATGCATGTAGTAACGCCGAGTATTACCCCTCAACTTAGAGGGCTAACATTCGTATCTCCATCTATGCAGTAACGCAGTTAATCATAGTTCTGGATTTGTCGCACCACAACACTTACCAAATGGGAACACACAATGATACTGGTACATGCATCTGATCTTTCAAAGAAAACTAAACATGTTTATCACCAAGAAATTATTGTGGTTGATGGGATCCCATTCATTAGTAGTGAGATGGATTTCATGTTTGGTAATCTTATATTTGATATCGTATTCAACTGATCCACTCAAACTTTATTTTGTATATCAATTTAAAGATTGTATAGTTGCCTTTGGATCACCAACATGTTTAGTTTTCTTTGAAAGACCCGATGCATGTACCAAGCCCATAGTATATATACTATTCAACATGATTGTGTATTAGTTGCCTTTCCAAGGATTATGCACGATAATCAGGAAATAAAATTGGTATAAAATTTAAATATTATTTGATGATGATAGTGATGATGATAACTCATCATTTTAAATCCAATGTCAATGATCTGAACAAGCTAAAACTGATATTTTATTCGTGTGTTTTAGTATAAGAAACAAAGCATTTTTTTATTTAAAAAAACCCGTTGCTTGCTTTGCCCAAACGGGTTTTTTTTTAAATAAAAAAATAAAAATAAATAATTTCCGATTTAAAAATTCCCATTGTTAAGTTTTTTTTTCAACAAAAATCTGGTTGTCATGTTTTAATTAGGTAGTTGATGTTGACAATTACCAATTGGTTAGTTGTCAGGGGGAGTAAACTATTACATTAACAATAAGAATTGCAAATCAAATGTTTTAAAATCTACATTTATATATTTTATTTATATAATATTTTCACTTTAATATTGTTGTATCGATATCAAAAACTATATTGAATCGATATAAACATATTTAGTGAGTGCAATTAAAACAAAAGAGAGAGTGTGTGAGATGACTTGTAATTCTCATTCACAATCACAATCTCACAACAACAATAACAATAATAATAGCAATAATAATAATAATAATAGTAATAATATTATTGTAAATTATATAAGTGTAGTTGATAAAAAAGAGGAAGAATTAAAAGAAAAAGAAGAAGAACTTCAAGATAGTAACTATATTGATAATGAATTAGATATGCATATACCAAATATATTTGATTTACCTACAGAGATACTACTGTTGATATTCACACCAAATACGAACGATATCACAATAGAAAACAGTAGTAATAGTAATAAAAAGACATCGAATAATTATGAATATTATCTAGGTGGTTCTCAATCATCTTTACCAACAACTTCTAGTAATAATAATAATAATGATAACAATAGCAACAATAGTAATAAAGATGACAATTCAAATCAACAACTACAACAACAATTAGATAGATATGATTTCGAAAAAGAAAGAATCGATAGTATAAATAGTATATTGAATTTCTCTATCACCTGTAAATACTTTTATAGTTTGTTTGACGATAATATGTTTTGGGAGAAGCTATATAGGCGACACTTTTCATTCTACTCAACGGTTGACATGGATAGGAGGTGTCTGTCATTGCTACTGAACAACTTTAGGAAGTTGTCACTGAGAGATTCCAGCGATATGAATAATAGCAGCTATGATGATGTCGATTCTAAAGATGGAAAGAGCAATGCAAGTGTTATTCTCGAGGCGAAAGAACATACTTTGGTGTTGTGGAAACAGCGATATCAGATGCGTGTGCATCCCTGGAACATCGGAAGAATCGCCTGCCAGAAAGAGTTGAGTGGCGAACACAATCTGGGCGTGACCTCACTCGAGGTCGACAATAACTACTTGTTTAGTGGCTCGCATGACTCTACGATAAAGATGTATAGTCTCGACGGCCTGACTCCGGTGCACACCTTCCAAGGACACCGCTTCACTATCTGGGCGTTGAAGTCGGACGGCAAGCGACTGTACAGCGGCTCCAACGACAACACCATTCGGGTGTGGGATCTAGAGAGGAAACACTGCAAGTCGATCCTCACTCAACATCAAACCAAGATATTCTCACTGGCGATAAAAGATTCCGTTATTCTGAGTTCTGGCGACGACACCATCAAGGTTTGGAACAAAAAGCGAATGGTTCCGATTCACGACTTGAAAGAGCATACGCGTGGCGTCAACACAATGTCGATTCACAATCATCATCTGGTGAGTGGATCGTCGGACAAGACCATCAAGATATGGGATTTGAATACGATGCAATGCGTCTCGACGAAATCGAACCAGTCGACAGGCAAAGTATTGTCAATGGCACTGGTTGACTCCAACACCATAGCGACGGGAACAGACTATGTCCATATAAACCTGTGGGACATCAGAGAGAACGATCAAGTTAGAATCATAAAGAATGCACATAAATGGGAGGTTTGGCAACTCAATATGTGCGGCGGCTATCTATTCAGTGGTTCATTCGACCACACCATAAAGACATGGGATTTAAGAACATTCCAAAATCAACGCACCATTACAGGTCACCGTAGTTATATTCACGCACTCACCAGTTCTTCTTTCCATCTTTTCAGTGGTTCAGCTGATAAATTTATCAAAGTAAATATACCGTTAGTTTTCTATGTTATTTTTTGTAATATTAACATTTTAATTTATTGTTATTTTTTTTTTATTTTAGGTTTGGTCACCTCGATAAAAGTAATGACCATTAAATAATTATTTTTATTTATTAATAAAATAACCTTTTTATCATCGGTTTTGTTTTGTTAATAAAATTATATAAATTCGATTCTGTGGATTGAGTTGGATGAGAAAAAAAAATAGTTATTGTTTTGTTTGTTTTGTTTTTTAGGTTGGAAATTCAAGTTTGTAATTATAGTTTTAAAGTTTATGGATTGCTCCCGGTGAAGGATAATCAGTTTTTGATTTCTTGGTGAATTTGGAGGTTACAGATCTCCAGAGCGATGGACTACTGCTGGTTCCAGAACTGTTGGTCTCAGAGTTGATCGACCCGTTCAGTGGTGAACTGGATTCGTGGAGTTTTGGTGAACTCGATCCGGAACCACTGTGGGTGTCAATGGCAATGACACAGCTGTCTTCACCAATCGTTGGCAACTCCAAATCGGACGACGAAGAAGTTGACTTTCCTCCGAGTGTTGGAGTTTGAGTTTGTGGTAGACCACCACCGCCGTGCAAGTCATCCTCCTCATCCTCTTCCTCCTCTGGAATCTCGTAGTGTTGTCCTTTGCACTTGGCAATTACGTATCTGAAAATGTGAATCCAATTCTCTCGCAGCAGTTGGTACAAGATGATTGCGGAAAGAGTGGCAGCACCGATGGCATCTATTTTAACAACACCCCAAGTGATAACAGTACCGTTGGCCATACCGATACCCAATACAAGCGAGATACCAGCTGTCAACATATTACGTGGTTTCGAAAAGTTGATTTTATTACTAATCCAAATACGTGCACCAGTAGCAGCGACCATACCAAACAAAACAATAGATAAACCACCGAATACACCCGATGGAATAGTTTGAATAATACCTCCGAAAATTGGAAGTAAACCAAGGAAGATAGCAACAAGACCAGCAATAACGAAATTCAATGTTGAAAATACTCTTGTAATACTCATTACACCAATGTTTTCGGCTACATAAAAAAGAAGATGTTTAATAATTAAGTCAACGCTTGGTTATTTTCAATTGATATTTACCATATGTTGTTGTTCCAATACTTCCAAAAGATACAGCAAAGATTGTTGCCAATGAATCACCAAGGAATGCACGACCAATATATTGATCGATTGGTTTTCCAGTGATTGAACCTACAGCTTTAACATGACCAATGTTTTCAGCGACCAAAATAATTGCAACCGGTGCAATCAGTGTAATGGCTCCAGTTTCAAATACTGGATAGTGAATGGGTGGAGCACCGATCCACTTGGCTTCATGCACTGGTTTGAAATCAATTCCTGGACCAATACCACCCAATCCAAAGAAGAGGTAGAGAAGATATGCGAATAAACCACCTATTAAAATTGGCAATCTTTTGAGTGGACCAGGTGCATACATTGTCACCAAAGCAACAGACATCACAGTACAAAAAGAAAACCATGCATCAAATCCAGATACCGCTGCCTGTGTAATGGCAGAACCGGCAAGATTCAGGCCGATTGCAAGCACTACTGCACCAGTGACTACAGGTGGCATAAGAATCTCCAACCAACGGTATCCCAAGAAAATGACTATCAGCGAAATCGCCAGATAGATAAGTCCACAGACAAACATTCCTCCTAGTGCAACGGGAATATGTTGGTTGGTTGGACCACCTGGAATATAATGAAAATTGGTGGCGGCATTCACGACACCAATGAAAGCAAATGAATTTCCCACATAAGATGGGACTCTACCTCCTGTACAGACATAGAAAATCAGAGTACCGATTCCAGAGAACAGCAATCCAGTGTTGGCATTGAAACCCATGAGCAGCGGACAAACAACACTGGAACCAAACATTGCCAGCACATGCTGAAACGAAAGAAACAAGGTTGGCCCGAGTGGCAGACGCTGCTCTGGTGTTACAATATTGGTGGTACTTAATTCATACTTTGGAAAGTACTCTATAATTTTAATAAGAACGGATTTTATAATTGCATCGACTCTCTTCAAATCTATCATCTTGTTCATTTCAAACAACAACAACAATTTTCTTTTAAATTTTAAATTTTCTGATAAAATCTACTTTTAAATAAAATCAGCTTCTTTTAACAAATATAAATATACAAATTCTTGTAATTTTAATTTCAAGAAAATTAATTTAAATAATTAAATAATTAAATATATATATAAATACAATTAGAGATTGATACCACACCAATTTAAAATTAGTTTGACTGGTTGACAAGATAGTGGTAGATATATAATATGACAATATTTTGGATAAAGGAAATAGTAATAATTTGTTGTGGTATCTGTCTTTTTTCTGCGTTAGATAATTAATGAAGAAATGAAGTGAATATAAAATATTGGATAATCTAGTGTTTAAAAGTAGTTTGGTATCGAAACCTATTATCAATCAACAACCAAACGAATTTAATATATTAAAAGTAAAATCGTGTGATTTGATAATGTTGAATAAAAAAAATATATAATTGGGGTGTGTAGTGTGGTTATCAAGTCGTCATCATTAATTTATGTGTTTAGCTGATCTATGTTAAAATAAAGTATTATTGGTGATGATTGGTACTGTGAGATGATTTGAATTCTGATAGGGTGGGTAGTGGTAGAATTGTATGAAAGAAAGATACATCTAAAAAAAACTTTGACTAAAAACTGGGATACTTTTTTCATTGTATAAGTGCAAATGAGAATGAATCTGATGACGAAAATATCAAATAAAGAATGGAAAAAGATCTTCATCAAAGTCATTTTTTGCAAAATATCTTGGTAATGGTATCGAAGAGGTAGATTTTTTCCTACATAAATAAATTTTTTGACAAAATCAAGCTTGGAAAAAAAAATGATTTTTAATTTTCTGTTTTGGGATCAAAAAATACAAAAAAAGGAGTAGAAAATATTTACTCGGCCAGAACAAATATTACCACTTACATGGCCATCACACCAACCTTCATTTAACCAGATTGCCGAATCATCAACCAACCTTGTAATTACAAAGAAAATTATATTTCTATTTATTAAAATAACTTTAAAAAAACATTAATTTCAATTAATATTTATCCTTACACACAGGATATCATTAAGTTATTATCATATGGTGTTAAAAAGATAAATTTAATTAGGATTTTTAAATATATCTTTAATAACAGGTGGCATATGACATAGGCAATTTTTAAATTAATATTAAATAACTTTTATTTATAAAGTATTAATACAATATTATGTTATGTTATGTTTTTTTTTACTAAAATAATAATTTTTTTGATTGATATATTATATATATATTTTATTTAAATTATAATTTAAAAGCAATTTGTTTGTTTGTGTTTGTTATATATTTTTGTTCTTTTCATTTTTTTTTTATAGTTGGAAAGTTTTGTTTGTTAGGTTGGTTTTTATATTTGATAGATTATTATTAATATTTGATTATTTGATTATTTGTACAATGCTTGTGGATCACCTAAAAATACAAGTGTTTTAGCGAGTTGACCTATGATTTCTTTTTGTTTGTAGAGTGCAAGTTGCTTGAGTACTTTGGATAAATTCTTTACAATTAAGAGATGAATGTTTCTAATATCTTTTTGAACTTCGTCTCTAGTCGATATTGGGATGTAGTCACCACGGTAGTCTGGCACGTCAGTGAGTTTGTCAAAGTACTCGTTGAGACGACTGAGATTACCGATGATGAAACGATTCACTGGGATCATAAACGATTCTTTCTGACCAAACTCGATACCGTTGGCAAGATTCTGAAGAACCTTACCGATGAGAACGAGTGCACGAGTTGCCTCTGGTCCGGGTGCCTCGTCGACCAAACCGGCGGTGTATGGGGCAATGATGGCTGGACACAAGAATCTGAGGAATACGAAACCACCGACCGACGAGTGTTTGTTGTCTGGGAACTTCTTGACGACCTGCTGTTGAAGATACTTGCTGATCTCACGCAATGAAACAGGCAGTTGGTGTAGCGAGTCGATGATGGCATCGGTGAACTTCTCGGACATCTGAATGAGATTCATCATGTTGGTCATGAGCTCCTCGCTACCTTCGTTGATCTTTGAGGGATCGACTTCATAGCCGTTGGGACTCTCGATGATTTCTCTCACCAGAGGAGTGATAATCTTTGTGAGATAGGGCATACCTTTCATCTTGGTGAAAGCGGTCATCAACTTGGTGGCGGTGGTATTCGAACGGAACAGAGTTGAGGGATTGGCAGTGGATTGCACCTCAACTTCGATACCGGTTTGAATGATGGGACGAATCTTGTTGAAGCTGTCAAAGATACGCGAGATCGACTCGATCGTTCTGATTTGATCTTCTTGGGAGCATGGGGAAACAACACATTGAACGACTTGCAGCGATGGCGATGCAAGTAGTTCGACCATCTGATCGTATTGCTCCTCGATAAAGGTGTCGGTAAACTCGTTGGCAGTGGGTGGATCCAGCAGGTATGACCAATCGGTTGACTCCAACTCGGCCAGAATCACTTGTGGGTCGATTGTGGCTGAGGAGGCAGCGGCTGCCTTTGGATTTGGCGATGAGCTGCTGCTACTCTCGCCTTCGACAGCGATAAACGATGAGCTTGCACTTGGCGAACCTTCGACGATGATGGCTGCTTCCTTCTCCTTCTCCTTCTCGACAACTTCTTTGGGTTTCGACGATTTGTCAGAGAATGTCGAGGTGAGTGTCTCGTGGATCGATTTCGACCAGGTGGCGCGACTCTGCTGACGGAAGTGCGAGTCGAGAGCATCGAACGACGGTTTCATCGATTGGAATCTCTGAAGTCCACGCTCAAAGTACTCTTGCTGTGCTTTCATGCAGGCGTAGAACAACTTGAGTGAACGCGACTGTATTTGGATACCCTCCTTGAAGATGGCGTCGAATTCATATACAGTTCTATCGAGTGCTTTCTTCAGGTTGCTCACCTCTTTCTCGGCTTCCATCATCTTCTTGTCGGTTGGCTGAAGATTCTTGGCGAGTGAATAGAGTTTGTTGACGGCACTGTCGTACTCTTGGTGTGCGTCAAACACACGCTTACGCATCTCAACGATCAGCGGGATGAAAGCGTCTAGTTCGTCGGCAACCTGACTCAGTGGCTGTGAGAAAGCAGAGTTGGTACGGGTCGACAACTCGCTACGAAGATATCCAATCTTCTTGATCGACTGTGAGAAGTGGTCGAGCGATGCTGCCAACTGTGTATCCACCAGTCCGTCCAACGAACTCTTGGCAAGCAGTAGATTCTCAGAGAAGTGTCCTTGCTCTTTGAATGCCTCTGGTTCCACTTCGTAGTATTTCTTGCTGGATTTGATGAGTTTGAGACAGGTCTTCTTGAAATTCTGGAGTGATTCGATCTTGGCGTCGTACTCCTTGAGGAAACTAGAGGAGTCGTCACTGGCCGATGGTGGATTCACTTGCGATGCGATATACGATGCCAACATCTGTTGTGAATTGACCAATCCGAGGATTGTCTGAACCTTTCCTTGCTTCTCTTCCAGCATCGCTTCGAGATCGACCAGACCTTGATAGTCGATGTGTGTATTCTTGGTGTATTTCACCATGCCAGAGATGTTCTTTTGGTATCTGGAGATGATATTCAATGGCTCCAGCAGGAACGATCTGAAAGTAAAGTCTTTGATGTCGTCGTCGGTCTCCACCTTCTTACGCTCGACCGCCAGCTTCTCACACTCCTTTAGGTAATTTACAAACGGTGAGTTCGATTTCTTCAGCAGATTCTCCAGTGAGTGAATGGCGAATGGCATATGGTCAATGTATTGATTGAAAACGACATCCGAAGACTTGAAATGGTTCAGCAGAATGTCACCGATCTTCTTTTTGTTGGACCATGAGTGCAGACGATTGTTCATCAAGTGCAGGGTGTTGCTGTTGACCTGGTAGATTTTGTCGATGGCACCAAACAGTGTTTTGATCTCCTCCTCCGACAAGAAGATATATGGCAGATGCTTCATGTTCTCAGGCAGTTGCTCACGGTCACGAATCAACAGTGGACTCAAGAAGATCGAACGAATGATATTGAGTGAACGAACCAGTGTTCTCTGAGTCTCGAGCAACTTCCAACAGAATTTGTCACGGAACGATCTTGTGGTGTCAAAGAGAGCGGCATTGTGATTCTCACCGCAACTTATAGACATAAAAGTGGTCTTCAATAGTGAATCTATTTTCTTTGGACGATTTTGGTCGCCTGCTGCATGACCGAGTTGACCGAACGGATCCTTTCCACTGGTATAGATTTTTCCGCTGTCGGTCAAGAACGCCATGTGTCTTCCACCACAAGAGATCTGACGAATCGATTGGTTGCGGAGTGTCTCCACGAGTTTTGGATGTGCCTCTGAGGTTCCGTGACCGTGTCCAAGCTCCTGACCCGATCCCCAGGTATAGACATCGCCACACTCTGTCAGCGCAGCAGTAGAGTAATGACCACAACTCAAACGCTCGATATTCATGATCTTGAGAGATGGCACCATGATTGGAATCGAAATGATATTGGCACTTCCCATGGCAGCACCATTTCCAAAAACGAGAACCTCACGATTGTTTGTGAGTACAGCGTTGTGAGTGGCACCACAAGCAATCTGGATAATATGATACTTATCGAGTGAAGTGACCAACATTGGTGTACAATTCTTTTGAGTATCACCAAGTCCCAACTGTCCATATTCTGAAGTACCCCAAGTAAATACTTTTCCATTCTCTATAATAATTTAATAATAATGATAAATAGAATTCGTTGATTAGTTTAGTTTATGAGTTTAATTTGTATTCCAAATCCAAAATAATAATAATAATAATAACTTACTTGTTAAACAAATAGTATGTTTCTCACCACATTGAACTTGAGTTACCCAATGAGATGTGATGGATTGGACAACCTTTGGAATAGGTTGGTTAAACACGTCACCGTGTCCCAATTGTCCATCCTCACCGCAACCCCAAGTTAAAAGTTCACCATTTGACTTTACAGCTGCAGAATGGTAGAAACCAATTGAAATAACTACAATCTCTTGTAATGATTCCACTTTTTGTGGTAATAATTGATCTATAAATATAAAGATTTTAGAAATGGATGAATGAATAGAATATTAATATCTAGTATCTTTTTTTGTTTGAAATAATTCTTTGATAGTTGATTAAATTTAGTTTGACGACATACCATCGAATGTACCATTTCCTAATGTTGCAATTGGTGGATTCTTGACGGATCCACGTCCCCACATATATACATCACCATTCTCTGTGAGTGCAGCAGAATAGTAGCTACCACAGGATATCGAACAGATATCAGAGATATTAAAGTTTGGAAGTCTCTCTGGTGTTGGCTGGCTGTCCTTCTCGACCGACTTGAATCCCAGCTTGCAATAGCTGCCCGATCCCCAAGTCATCAGTCCACGACTGGTATCGAGTTGTGTTGCCGATCGCATCGAGAGTGAACTCTCTGCAGAGTTGACGGCGTTCAGTGGTGGCGACGATCCCGGAGTGAATGAACCGCCGGTCGATGTTGTGTGGTGAGGTGAGTCCAATCCATTGCCTTGGTTTGGCGATGACGACAGTATCGAAGATGAACTGTTGCTGTTGAACGAGAGTGCAGAACCGCCACTCGATCCAATAATCGGGGAAGTGTTGTTATTGTTGTTCATCGATGGATAGTCGTCGTGATCGAGACGTCCATTTCTGGTGAGAGTTGCATTCTTGAGTTTGGAAGCGATCGAGCTGGAAGTACGCGAGAGTATACGATCCTTGATGTCCTTGACGTCCTTCTCACCCTTTTCTTTCTCCTTCTCCTTCTCCTTCTTCTCGAGTTTCTCACGCTCCTTACGTTCCTTCTTCTCTGCCTTTTCCTTCTCTTTCTCACGCTCCTTACGCTCCTTCTCTTCTTTACGCTCGATTTCCTTGCGCTCCTTCTCCTCCTTCTTGATCTCCTTCTGGCTGGACTCCTTCTCGAGCTTACCGATGGCCCATTGATGAGGGAATTTCTTAAAGATTGATTTACGCTCGTCTGCTCCGACCGATGCGCCCGAGCCGTGGTCACGATCGGCGTCTGGACTTTCATCCTGGCCGTAGGAACTGATGCTGCCGCTGCTTATGCTCTGGCCAATTCCGCCGCCAGTGCCAGTACCACTATGAGATGATAATGAATGATTCGATTCATCACGTGAAATTGTATGTTTTTCAAATGTAAGTGTGTTACTACTGCTGTTGTTGCTGTTGCTGCCGCTATTCTCAACGTTTCTTTTTTCTGGTGAAGTTGGAGTGAAGCTGTTTGGTGACGATGATCCTAATGTTACATAATTATTTGGTGGTGGACTGCTTATTGGAGCGGTCTTTGGTGACGATGATGATAATGGAGTGATATTACTGCTGCTGCTATTCAAATGACTTGGTTTGATTTGTTGTGGTGGTGAAGATGGTGGTTGTACAGAAGTTGATCCACTTCCTGACAATGTAGGTGATGATGTTGTTGTTGTTGTTGATGTTGATGTTGATGATGTTTCATTCCCAGATGATGATGATGATGTTTTTGTTGATGATGAAGAGGGTGATGATGATGATGATGTAGATGTGGTGTTGGTTGTGGTGGTTGCAAAATCACGTTTTGGTAAAGTTGGGGGTGCTGATGTTGGTTTTGATGGTGGTACTACATTTGCACTACCACTATTTCCAGTGACACCTGCATTGGCACTGGTGTTTGGTGAGATTGGTGTGATTGAGGGCGAGCTGGATGGTTGTGTAGGATTCAATGGCAGTGGCTTGCTGGTGAATCTCGGTTTGATTGGAGGTGGTGGTGATTTCGGTGCACTGCCACTGCTCTGTGTATTGCTATTATTGCCACTGCTATTTATTGGAATTGCTGTTGTCGATATATTACCACCACTTGCACTCAAAGGTGTCGATGGCAATGGTCTAGAGACCGACTTTAATTGTCCACTACTATTATTACTTCCATTGCTACTATTTACTGGTGTGTGTTGTGACATATCTAACTAAATTTATCTTTTATTAAATATTATATTATATATGTATATTTGGTACTAATTATTTATATTCTCTAGAAAAAAAATAAAAACAAACTGGCGATTTGGAAACTAACTGGATTTATTTTTATTTTTATTCTAAATATTTCTATTCTACAACAAAATTTTGAATAAGTTAAATATTTCTAATAAATATCTAAATTTATAAATAATATATAATTAACTAATAGAATACCAAATTGGTGATTTGGTATTCTATAAATAAGCTTTATAAGATCCTATCAAATTGTAATAAAATGTAATGATATAATAACTTAATATATATAAGTATGTGTGTTGTTACAAAATCAAATATCAATCTCTAAATCAAATCGATACACTTTGATTTGGCAAAGTTGTTGAGCTTTTGATATTTTTTTTTTTTTTTGCGAGGAAACTAAAAAAAAAAAATCTTGATTATGAGAAATAATTTGTTTTGTTTGTGGGTGATGATGTTTTTGGTTATTGTTTTGTTTTTTTTTTTGTTTTTTCTTTTATGGATGTGTGTGAATGGATATTGAAATAAATTAATATGGATGATTGATTTGATTGAGCAATCAAATTTATTCTATTGTTATTATTATTATTAATAGATATGTTATGATTGATTGATTGTCACACAACACAAACACTGTTGTTGTTTTTTTGTTATAATTAAAAAGTTTATCTTATGATAAAAAATAAGTTGGTTGGTGGACCAGAGAAAGCAAAAAAAAAAACACAAAATAAAATGTTGGTTATTTTTTTTTTTTTTTGGTTTTGATTAAAAATTTTTTTCAAAAAATGACCAAGATTTTTTTGGTTTTGGTTTTTTTTTGGCGTTTGTTTTTTTTTTTGGTTTTTCAATGATTTATTTATTTTTTTTGGAACTTTTTTTTATTTTTTGTCGATTTGAGTTGGAATTGACAATAAAAAAATAATTTAAAGATATGATGTATTCAAGGTGATAGGTGGTCTCTTCACCTTGATTATTGGTTGTAGTTGGCAACAACAATGTTTTATTAAGGGATAGATATTAAATACAAATAAGCATAACACATACAAAATTATCTATTTGTTCTACTGTAGACTGATCTGATTATTAAACTTTTTCTTTAAATTTTATTCACAAACTTTTTACCAACAAATTCTCAGTTGAAATATTAATATAAATATCTATCAAAGAAATAAATTATAAAATAGAATTGATGTAATTAACAAAAAAATTATTAACAATGGAAACAAAGAGGTATCAAAATGATATCATTTTACTTTAAAAAAAAAAAATTGAAAAAAAAAAAAAAACAAAAAACAATCGGACCGCTGCAGGAGATTGAAATCAAAAAGCACGTCAGGCACTGGTTTGTTGTTTAATGTTTTCAGAGAGGACGGACTCGAATAAAATAATAACAATACAACAATAAATATTAAATAAAGCAGGCAAAGACAGGTATAATTCAACCTCTTTGAATCAGCTTTCCTTTTTATAATAAAATCAATACCTGATAAATACTTTGAAATCAACACACATTGCAATATCGTTCTGTCATGAAATTTCTTTCGATCCCGACAAAAAAAAAAAAAACTTGCCCATTTTGTTAAATCATGATTGCTTGATGATGTCAATACAATAACAATAGAATACAGATTATCTATCATCTCACCAATGATGTTTTAAATAATTTTATTTAAATAAATAAATTTAAAATGAATATATTAATAAAAACAAATAAAAAAATAAAAAATGTTTTATAATTAATTAACATTAACAGACAGATATAATATTAATTTTTTTATTTATTACAAATTTTAAACCTGTTACACTGTTTCATTCAAATTTTGTCATAAAAGGAAAAAAATACTTCAAAATAACGTTATACACGACTGACGTGGGAACACATCAACATAACCATTTTTTTGAAAAAAACTAAATTTTTTTTTTTTTTTTCCAATTTTTTTTCCATATTTTGATTTCACAAATTGTTGAACAAATTAATTCTTTAATTTTATATTTTCCTATCAATAGTTATTATTTATATTTTTTTTGAATCAATCAAAATCAATTATAATATAACATATTTTTAATATCGATAGTTTATATACAAATACTATTTTTTTTTTAATAAAAATATTCAAACAAACAAACTTAATTTTTTTTTTTTTTAATTGCAATATTATAATTATATAAAAACAACCACAACAAAATGGCTGAACCAGAAGATATTAACATTAACGAATTAGCTGAATACGAGGATTCCGATGATGAAACCGTACAAGAAACCAATGGAGATAAGAAGATTGTTTCTGCAAAGTGAGTGTTTTCCTCTAATTCAACAACAACAACAATCGATAAGCGATAAAACAACAAACAACAAACAACAGTTTCAAAAGCAAATGATGCTTAAACTCGACTAGACTAGACTAGTTCCTTGGATTAACACGATGGTGTTGGCTATCTGGTGGAGCACAGTCGAAAGGAGTTACAAGATCAGACGGTGTGGTTGTCCCGAGGGACCACCACCCCTGATTTCTTGCCTTTCAACAGTGTTCTCTGACAGCACAACCGTTGTTAATTGTGTGTTGTGTTCTCTCCAATTGACCAAACGTATCAAGATGAAATTGACCTCCTTTATCTCTTAACCAAAAATATTATAATACATTCATTGGTCAATCAATTAATTAATTAATTGAAATGTTCAATTCAACCATATCTATATTTATATATACATATAATAATCATATATATATAAACAACATTATAATCAACAACAACAGTAATAATAATCATAACAATAATAATAATAGCAATAAAAATAATAACTATAAAAACAATAATAGTGCAATACAACAACAACCAATTATTATATAATAATAATAATAATAATAATAATAATGGTTATCTGTATTAGTAAATAGTATTTACTTTTATCAGTAAAAAGAAAATAAAAGGGAATGGTTAGGAATATTTCAAAGATAGTATGGTGGATAGTAACTCAAAAGTGGTTCATCCTAATGGTACATGAGAGTGAGAGCACATTGGCAGATACACATAAACGCTAATTACTCAACACAACATTCACATCACAACACTTAATTTACCAATCTAATAATAGATATAAAATCACTGGGATTCACATAATCATAATCATTATATTAATATAAAGAAATCAATTACCACTACGCTTCTTTCTATTCATTTCGTTTCATCTCTCTATCATACAAATCACTTGTATCTCCTCTTTCTATTTTCTCTTTCTCTTTGTTTTTTTTTTTGCTTCCTTTTTAAATTGAAAATAAAAATAGGGATACCCATGTCGCTATGCATAGCAGTGGTTTCAGAGAGTTCCTCTTGAAGCCAGAGCTCGACAAAGTCATTGGTGACTGTGGTTTCGAACATCCATCCGAAGTCCAAAACGAGTGTATTCCACAAGCCATCTTGGGTCACGACATCATCTGCCAAGCCAAGTCTGGTATGGGTAAGACTGCCGTCTTTGTCTTGTCCGTCTTACAACAAATCGATATCAATCCAACTGGTGTAAGTTAATATACATTTAATCTCTTTATTATTATTATTATTATACTTAACTTGTTTAATTTTTGAATTAATATATATAGGTTGTTGCTTTGATCCTTTGTCACACTAGAGAGCTTGCCTATCAAATCTGTGATGAGTTTGATCGTTTCACCAAGTATATGAGCACTGTCAAGACCGCTGTTATCTATGGTGGTATGCCAGTACAGACCCAGAAGGACATGCTCAGAGACAGACAACCAAACATTGTCATTGGTACACCAGGTCGTGTCTTGCAATTGGCCTCTGAACACAGCCTCAACCTCAAGTCCATCAAGCACTTTATCCTCGACGAGTGCGACTCACTCTTGGAGTCACTCGACATGCGTAAAGACATCCAAAAGATCTACAAGTTGACATCGCCAACCAAGCAAGTTATGATGTTCTCTGCCACTCTCTCCGATCAAATCAGAGGTGTCTGCAAGAAATTCATGCATGTTGTAAGTACTTAAAAAAAATCATAACCATTATCAAATAATTGGAACATTTCACTAATATTCTCTACTTGTTGTTGTTGTTGTTCTTAATGTTAGCCATTTGAAATCTATATCAATGATGGTTCAAAGCTTACTCTCCACGGTTTGCAACAATACTATGTTAAGTTGACCGAGGACCAAAAGAACAGAAAGTTGGTCGATTTGCTCGACTCTTTGGACTTTAACCAAGTGGTTATCTTTGTCAAGTCGGTCGAGCGTGCCAAGGCATTGAATAGCATCTTGTCGGAGGTCGGTTTCGCCTCGATCTGTATCCATCGTGATCTCAAACAACCAGAGAGAATCGAACAGTACCGTAAGTTCAAGAACTTCCAATCGAGAGTCATGGTTGCCACCAACATTTTCGGTCGTGGTATCGATATCGAGCGTGTCAACGTAGTCATCAACTACGATATGGCCGAGTCACCAGATACCTACCTTCATCGTGTAGGTCGTGCCGGTCGTTTCGGTACCAAGGGTCTCGCCATCTCATTCATCACCGCCGCCGAAGACCTTACCACACTCGACCAAGTCCAATCCAAGTTTGTCGTTTCCGTCAAAGACTTGCCAGAGAAGATCGATCCATCAACCTACATGAGTGGTTAAATCAAAATCAAATCAAAATCACCCAACCAACCAACATTCAGTAACAATACAAAAAAAAAAAAAAAAAACAAACTTCTAAAACTCTATTACACTTTATAGAGAAAGATAAAAATAACTATAACAAAAGCAAGCAAGTTTATTACTTTTTCAAAGTATATGTATTATTTATTACTTGTTTTGGCTATAATCTATAAATAAATAAAAACAAAAACAAAAACAAAAAAAAGAATAAGAAAAAGAAAGAAAACAAGAAGCAGTTCCCTTAATTATTCACTAATTTCAATATTTATCAATGAATAACTATATAAAAATTAAAGATAATTTGGATCAGTAACTTTCTAAATATCTTTATTAAATTTAACTCATCATCATTTCAAATAATTAATTAATTAATTTATTAAATTTGTTGTTGCTTAAAATAAAAATGGAAATTTTAATTAAATCAATTTTTTGTTTATGACCAAAAAACCTGAGTAGAGATGTGGAAAAAAAATTGAGAAGTTAACTTTTTCATTCTTCTTATTTTTTTGGTAATTTTTTTTATTTTCTTTTTATTTTTATTTTTGATTTTTGAACTCTTCTTTATTTTTTCTCACACAAATCTCGTTTTGGAATTTGGCGACGCTCTTCTCCAGGACCAACATATATATTTATATTCTATTCTTTTAATTTATATCGATTTCATTCAATTCAATTTTAAAAACTCAATAAAATAAAAAAATAAATTAAAAATAAAAATTAGAAAACTATAAAAGAACAAAAAAAAAAAGAAGCAAACAACATATTTTAATTTAATTAAAATTAAAAGAATAACTAATAATAATAAACAACAATAATAATAAAAATAAACAATATTTATTTTAAAATAATAGTAATTGTATAATCGATATCGATTCAAATAAAGAAAGAGTAAAGTAGAGAATGACAAGTGCAGTTGAAGATGTTGTTTTGTTTGCAAGTTTGGGTTATGGAGAGTTGAGATTGGCAAAGAAATACGCCACCAGGGACAGATTGGAAAGGTTGTTTCAGACACAGGGTGGACTGATTATGGTCGATTCCAACGGTGAAGAGGTGTTCCCTAAGGACTCGGAGGCTGGCGATCAGTACTACGATATCGACAGCAACAAGACTTACACAATCGTTTCTGAGGTCGACTTGCTCTCTGACACCGAAGACGATCAAGATGAAATCGGTGATGACAACGTCATCAGTGAGGAAGACTATTTGGAGGAGGACGACGAAGATGATGAATCCGTAGAGTTGGTCGATGACGAAACAACAACCAATCTCGATAGTCTGTCTATTGATGATAGTGTACAACTTGAACAACAAGTTGAACAACAACAACAACAACAAGTGGAGCAACAGGAACAACATCAACATACTACTCAATGTGGACATGGACATGGACATTCACACGCACACGCTCATGATAATGCACATGCACATGCACAGACAGAGGTGATACCAACAATTGTTGGTAATGAATCACAAGCTGCTGGTGTTGGACATCACCACAATCATGATGATGCATGCTCTGATTGTTCATACAAGCAAAGACAAGCAATGGATGGTAAGTTATAACTTATACTATTTATATATATTTAATGATGCAATTAAAAGAAGTAAACTAATAGTTATTCATTATCTATCAAAATATATATTATAGCACACCAAAAACTGTTGAGAATGAGAGAAGAAAGAATTAATATGATTAAAGAACTGTATCAACCATTACATAAAGAGATTTTTAAATTTAGTGAAGATTTCCTATGCGATAACCTTGTAAATGCCATCAAACAATATAAAATTACAAACAACCCTGACGATTTGCTGAAGCCATTGACCAAGCTGACTGATACAAGAATTTATTCACTTCAAATATTTAAAACTGATTTTTGTCAGTAAGTATATCATCCATCCACCCACCCATCTATTTAATGATAACATAACAAACAAACATTGTTTACTAATTAATTATTAATTAATAATCTTATAGAAAACTACTTGAAGAAATTGATCAATTTAAAAATAGTGGATTACCAACTGCCAGACCAAACTCAATGAACAACTATGGTGTTATTCTGGACGAAATGGGATTCACTGGATTTTTTACAGAGTTGAGAGAGAATTATTTGAAGCCTTTTACCTCGGTGTTATATGCTGACTACAATGGTGCGCAACTGGATAGTCATCACGCATTCGTTGTTCAATATAAGATCGATAAGGAGAAGGAGTTGGGATTCCACTATGATGAATCCGATGTCACTCTGAATCTCTGTCTTGGCAAGCAATTCACTGGTGGTTCTTTGTATTTCCGCGGTATCCTGGATAAACCAGAGACTCACCAAGAATATTTTGAAGTTAAACACACTCCAGGAACAGCTCTTTTACATATTGGAGTTCACAGACACGGTGCTCTTGGAATTACCAGTGGTGAAAGAACCAACCTGATTATGTGGCTCAGAAATACCGGTGGAAAATCCGATGTCTTGTGAGAAAAAAAAATATTAAAAATAACGAATCAATTAAAATCCAATCATTTTGTGTACAGCAAACCAATCATAAATCAATCAATCATCAATCAAATCAAAAAAAAAACAATCTCTCTCTTATTTATTATAAATAGTTTATTTGTTGTTCTGTGTTTTTATTTTATTTTACAAAGTTTTTGATTGAATATTTGTTTAAATTAAAGTATTAATAATAATGAAGAAAATGAACAATGCAGTTGGATAAAGAATCGAGTTGGCATCACTTGGAACTTCTCCACCTGTGGTAGAGGAAGTAGTAGTTGTTGAAGAATCACCGGTTGTGCTACTGGTCGAATCTGAGGTAGTAGAAGTTGTCGATGTAGTTGGTGCATCTGTAGTGGTGGTTGGAGTACTTGTTGTACCGCTAGTAGAAGTCGGGGTTCTAGTTGTACTGGTGGTAGTAGTTGGAGTTTTGGTTGTACCTGTAGTGGTGGCTGGAGTGGTAGTTGTACCGGTAGTAGTTGTTGGCTTTCCAGTGGTGGAGGTTGGTTTGCTAGTTGTAGAAGTTGGACTGCTTGTTGTAGAAGTTGGACTGCTTGTTGTACCAGAAGTAGTTGATGTTGGAGTTGGATTAATCATTTTCATGAAGGTGGATATGGCATTACTATAGATTAAAGGGGTAAATTATTAGCTTTTAATTAATATATAGATTCTTTATAAAACATACGAATAGGTTCCGGCTGTGGCATTGACGATGTTTGCCTCTGCAATTGAAGCATCCCAAAGCATTACACCACCAAACGATTGCTTTGACATCAATGGTTGAATCAATATCTCTAGTTGTCTTTCCGAGATATATCCACTACCAGCACCATAGGTGTCAGCAGGGGCTCCAACAAAGATCTTGGTTTTTGGTGAGTTGGAAAGGATCCAGTTTTCCCAAGTGTTGTAATTGAAAGCAGAGCCAGAGTTAAGACCACAGGCATTGTTGTAGAATTGGATACTGATAAAATCTAATAGACCAGTGGAAAGAGCACTGCCAGCTGATGGTCCAATCGAAGCATCTGGGAAAACGCACTATGAAAGGAATGTTAAGATTATATCTGAAAAAATAATTAAATTGTTATGTTTAACTAACTTACTTGAGGATCAGCAGTAATATAGTATTTCTTGGTACCAGAAAGGGCAAGTTGGTTGAACTTTGTTACGAAGGCACCATAGTATTGGGTACCGATTCGATTTTCAAGGTCCAAGTCTACACCATCCAAAATTGCACTACCGAAGGGTCTTGGGTAGTTTGTATCGGTACCTTCAAAAAACATATTCCAAAGAGTATTTGCAAATTGCTCAGCTTCAGCATTGGAGGCGAATCCATAACCTGCTGAATCACCTCCTAGTGAAAGAATAACAATCTTGTTCTTTGATTGACATGAAGTTACACCAGTGCCAACTTCTGGGCAGGTCATAAGGTGTGGATACTTTTAAAAGCAATAAAAAGTTAATCAAAGGAAAAAATATTTTTAAAAAATAAAAAATATTTACATCTGGAAAGAAATTCCAACATAAATTTGCAAGATTAAGGGCAGGAAGCTTAATGCTGCTGTTGGATTTCAATGTATCGTCACCAAAAAACTTTACTAAAAAAGCAATGTTTAAAACATCATATTTATCACAATAATCGATAAGTTGTGTTTGATATGGTTTACCTCCAGCAGATGCTGAGTTCTATTTTTTTGTTTATTGAAAATGTTAGTTTTCAAACTATAAAAGATAAATTTTATTTTAAAAAAAATATATTTACCTGACCCCAAAATCCAACCAAATTGTTTCTGGAATTAATATTGAAAGCACTTGATATAGTGATAGAGAAAAGAAAACAAGATAAAAGTAACAAATTTTTATACATTTTTGAAGAGTATCGAGTATTTTTTAAATGTTTTATTTTGAGAATCAAGTACTCATTTTATAGTTCCCGTATTGTTAATTAATAGATAGATATTATTAATGGGTGGTAACCATATCATCCATGAAACATTAACAAATGGGTTCCAACAGTTTTTTCACATAACAATTTGCGAAATTGGTTTTTTTTGATGCTATCAATAGTTCAGATATTTTTTGTTGGGTGACAAAAAACAAAAACCCAATTCCTTTTCTGAAAGTCTTTACTTAATCATTAAGTAATGAGAGTTTCGATTTTATTTGTTTATTCTTTTATCCATTTATTAATCGGAATTCCCAATAAGACTATGAGTTTCTAGGCCAAGTCGGATTAAATTCTATTAAAAAAAAAAAAAAAAAAAAGTGTTTGATAATGGATATCAAGAACAGTTCTTTGTTTTATGATCATAAATTCGAAACATTTTGTTTGTTTATTTATTTTAGGCATCACCCAAATCCTCTGCCTCGACCAAAAAGGACTGAACGGCAGCATTTCTCTTTTGTAGCTTTTGCATAAGTTCAGTGGTCTCCTTGGAGTTTGTTACTGGGATTTGACCGTTGGCAGTAGGACGTAGTTTTACAGATTTCAATACAAGTTCTTGAGATTCATCAAACTTGGCATCTTCTTTTTCATCTTTCTTTGTTGGTTGTTGTGTCGCTTTCAATTTACTAGTAATTTGTAAAAAGAATTGAATATCTTTGATTAATACAATTTGATTTTCTTCTCATTCTTTTTCTAATATTAAATAATAATAAATACCCTCTCATATTTAGAATTTGGTTCATATCCAAAACGTTGGCCATATTTGAATTACCACCACCGACACGTGTTGATTGTTTTTCTTGGATGGGTGGAGTGACTGTATCCAAACGCTTTTTGAAATTCTGGAAGCCTAGAATTGGTGGAGGTGGAGGAGGTGGAACACGTACTTGAAGAGAAGGCGCCTCCTGTTGATTCTCGAGGTTGATGAATGCCGATGGACCACTGAGATGCATTAGACCGTGGATGAGATCTTTAGCGTCGTCAGCAGCGCGTTTCTGTCCGGCAATCTTGTAGTGGTTGATATCCTCTTGCTCTTTGACCACCAAAAACTTGTACATTGCAGCTCTGCTGATGGAGCTGAGCGATGCCATTCTAACAGTAAGTGTAGAAGCACGAACACACTCCTCGACAGCGATATCAATCATCCAATCCATGATCTCCTTACAAACCATCTTCTTTTTCAACTCACTTCTCTCCGCCATCTCGTGATATGCATTCTCAATAATATCATCCATAATTGATTTCGTTATATTATAATCTGGATAATTGAATAATTTGAGAATTAGTATAGAAATATCTAAATGGATGGATTCATTTTGAATATTATTATTATATATATTCTACACATACTTTGTTGTCTGTTGGAAGATGCCTTTGGGAATTTCTTGGGAATTAATTTTAATTTACATTTACGGAATTTCGAACCCAAACCATATTTAGTGAGGAATTCATGGTCTTGAGGATATTGGACACCGGATGGTGTCTCGAGTTTGATGGAAAAGAGATGTGGTTTTCCAATCTCCATCTCCTTGCCCAAATTCTTTACTACAACCTCTGCAGGTTGGTAACCATCGACCACTGTAATACGATGGAATCTACCGGCAAACTCTGGTATCTCTGGATAGTGTACTTCGAGTTCAAACAAACCTGCTTTTCTCACCTTGCCTCTCTCAGTCAAACACAACTGCCAATTGTCAAACAACGAACCCAATCCATAGTCCAACAGCGTATCCTCTGGATCCACCTCTCTACCTTTAATAGTACACAACGTATAGTCATTTGAATTTTGTATTTGAATCTTTGTACATAGGAAATTTGTAATCTAACACAACGACGATCAGGGTGGTTAATTATTATTATTATTACTATTAAACCTATAAGGTATAAAGTGACATGACAATTGTACATACTTCTTTTATAGATATATTATTTGGTACTCTAAATACTTTCTTACAGACACCTGAGGTGTCATATGCAGAGTCAGGCAATACAAATTCAACAACAAATCTCTCATCATTATCTATATTTTATTGTTGATAAAGAGTAGTTTGAAATATTAATAAGAATTTTGTTGGTTTAACTTTTGATTAAATATTCAAAACAACATACTTGGTTTAATAAGGTGACGTATTTTATCAACCCATAGCTTGAGATCGACATCACCATCCCATAGATCCTGTCCAGTGAATCCCATCAATGAAAGCTCATCAAGTACCAATAGCACTGCATCTTTCAATTCCTTCTTTTGCTCTGTTTGCTCTCCACTCAACATATTACATCTTCTAACTACAAATCCACCTTTATGTTCCTAATTATTAAAATAAAAAATAGATTAATAACATGATGAAACATTAACATTATATCTTTCTTTTTTTCTCTTTCTTCTCACATACATGTAAGAAATATTCTTTTGTTACTTCTTCCAATGCAGCAACGATTTGATCTTGATATTCACGCTTCTCCGATCCAGTGGAGAAGTAGAGTGTTGATGGCAATGGATGATTGTGTTGTTTATCAAATTGTTCCTTATTCAACTGTATCGAGAATAGACCGACATCGGAGCTATCAATGAGCATCTCCTTCAAGTCTGAAATAGGCAACCGACGTTGCAATGTCAGTGGTTGTGTCGATGCATCTATAACCAACAGGAATCGCGAACAAACCAACAAAAACGCTGCATTCGAATTCTTTTTGCTAAAGGGTTGCCATGACTTACTAATCTTTTTACCCGTTGATATTGAATGTACTAAGAAACAACATCTTAAAATATCTGATTCCTAATAATTAGATAATAACAATTAGATCTAAAGATTTTAGAAAACATAAAAATAATAACAATTTTTTTTCACATACAGTTAAGAATTGTAAAAATAATTGATCGAAATCGATGAGTGGTAATTTTTGATATGATGAAAATGAGGTGCTTGCTGATGATGATATACTGGCTGAAGATCCACTGCTACTGCCTCCACTGTTTGCTAGTGATGAGAGTAGATTCGGTGATGATACCGATGATGTTAAATGTCCACCACCACCACCATGATTTTGAAGTGTTGATAGCGATGATGATGAAGATGTCAAAGGTGGACTTCCCTGTAATTGCTGTTGTTGTTGTGGTGTCAACTGAACTGATTTTCTAAATAATTTATTGAATTTATTCATATCTTGACTGAATAGATCTATCTCGTTATATCTTATCTCCTAAATCTTATATCCTATATCTTTATCTCTTATCTTTTCTTAAAACTAATAATACAATTTCTTTTTATCTTATCTTTGATAACTAACTAATAATACAAATATATATATATATATGTTGATTTTATGATTAAGATTATATGATATTTCTTTTTCTATTTTGGATTTAAACTCATTTACTATTTTGAATAACAAACAACAAACAAACAAACAAAAAACAAAAATAGGTCGATATTGGCTAAAATCAATACGACAGGAATGGGGAAGAGTACTTTTTAATAGATAACAATAATTTGATTTGCTAAAATGCTTTTTTTTTTTTTTTTTTTTTTTTTTGTTTCAGTTTTTTTACAAAAAAATTATTTGAAAAATATCTGTTGAATTGATATTTATTTTCAAATTCAAAGATTGTGTTTGCTAATAATAATGGGTTTACAAACAGATAAAAAATAATCTAATCAAATCAATACAATGTTTTTGTGTTTTTTTTTGGTTAAATAAATAATTTTTTTTTTTTTTTTTATTAAATAATGAGTTTTGTTTGTATACAATTTATTTCTTATGCTTTTTGAAATAAAAATAAAATAAATAAAATATATGTTAATATGATATTCTTTGGTTGATTGATTGTTTGTTTTGGTCGGACATCCTTGTTTTTTTTTTTTTTTTTCAATCTAGAAGCATTTAATTGGAGAAGTGGCCCTAGGTGATTCAGGAGGATTACTACCATTGTTATTATTGTTGTTATTTTGTTGTTGCTGTGAATCAGTCACTTCATGATCTTGATTTCCACCGTTTCTGTTGTTGTTACTATTGTTGTTATTACTATTACTGTTACTACTGTTATCGGATGCTGAGGTACTACTACTGCTGCTGTTACTGCCGCTGTTGTTGTTCAGTTGAGGCATTTGTTTGTAATTACCTCCTCCGTTGTCATCGTTGTTGTTCTGAAAATTGTATTGAAAACTCATATTACAGTTACCACCGCTGTTGTTATTATTATTTGATTTTTGGTTATTTTCGTTGGTGTTTGAGGGTTGAGCGTTATTATTATTATTTTGGTAGATTAAAAAACTATGATTTCCAAAACTACCGAAATGATTTAAACTCTCTAAATTACTGCTGTGACTACTGTTGTTGGTGTTGTTGTTGTTTTGAAATAAGTGATGTGATGATAAACTTGAAAAGTTGCTACTACTTGGTATATGTGTAGTCGAACTACTACGTTGATGGTGATGATTAAAATGAGTATTGTTATTATTGATGTTGTTGTTGTTGTTGTTTTCGTTGAGTTGTGAACTTAGAGAGGTGGGTGGAACTGTTAAAATATTTGAAGATGATACATTCAAAGGTGAAGGGATTTTGATTTTTGATTTGGAGAAGGGGTTACTATTGCTGTCAAATTGTGTGGATTGTGGGAATTTCAGTGTTTGAGTCATCTGTGTGATGATTGAGAGCGAAGCGGCGGTCTCTGCGGAAGAGGTGATCGATTGGATGTCCTTGGGATTGAAGGTGGGTGGTGGCTGGTGCGAGTTGATGTCGAGTCGTGGCATGGCGGGCTGGCGAACCATCTCGCACGAACGTCTCTTGGTGGGTGACGCCAGTGAGCGTCCCATGTCGTTGAGGACATCGTTGATCACCTTGTAGATGTAGACGTACTGCTCAAAGGTCTGCACCATTCCACGACGCTGACGACGCAGCTCGACAACAGTGTCTTTGATCTGAATGTTGACGTTTGGTTCGTTGTTGGCAGTGGAGCGTTCGATCTTGGCCATGTTGATATTGATGGCGATGAACGTTCCCGAACGACCGATACCAGCCGAGCAATGAACTATAACTGGTCCGTTGCAGTTTTTCATGTTTCCACGCTGCTTGAAAGTGTTGGTCAAAACAGAGAGTGTGCGAATGTGAGTGCTGGTGTTGGGAGCACCAGAGTCTGGCCACTGGGTGTAGTGAAACAAGACGACTTCACGTGGGAACTCCTCACCCTTGCGGTACAAATGCAACGAACTGACGCCAATATCTTTGAACATCACTTTCTTGTGTAGATGTACCCAGAATGGTCCACACTCCTGTGGTTCACTCGATGACTCTGGCCAATAAATGTCTGCTTTTTTCTTACCATCCTCTTCCAATCTTGTCAGACAAACGATAACAGCAGATTTTTCTGTAGATAGATGAATAGATAGAATAAGTATATGTTTGCTTTTAATAATAATAATAATAGATTGATTGATATTGATATTTACCTTCCCAAACCATTCTCCAGAAATCTTTGATGGTGGATTGTAATGGAGCTTGACAAGCGATATAGTAGCGATAGGAGTTTGGAACTTCACCATTGATGTAGTTGGCGTTGATGTAGTCACCGTCACCCGATTCGATTGGGGTGAGACGAACACGAGTCGATTCATTGGGTAGTACATCGTGGTATCTGTTCTTTGAGTAGTTGTTTGGCTGTAGCGAGCTGAAGAACTTCTCTTCGTCGTGTTTACGCGAGTCAAGATCGTTGTGACTGTAGTGACGGTGGTGAGATTTCACAGCTTTGCGGTGGTGTTGTTCGGGCTTCTTGATCGATTCGAATTCGTAACGCATGCGTTCTCTGTCGTCGTCGATCAGACTCGACGCTGGAAACGATGAGGTTGGCGACGACGAGAATCCTATTGAGCTGCCGCAGTTGCCGCCGCTGCCGGTGTTGTTGAAGCAGCTGCTCGATGTCGAGGGATTCTGGAAGACTGCCGACGAGCTGTATGAAAACGGACTGGTCATTCCAATGGGTGGACTTGAATCGGGTAGCGTCGACAGCTTCAAGAGTGGATTGCTGTTGGCCGATGTTTGATTGGGAGAAGACGATAACGATGAGAATGAACTACTATTATTACTATTGGATGCAGCTGACATAATTGCCTCATTGAAACTTGAGAGTGAAAGTGAAGATGATGATGGTGATGTATTTATATTATTAAGATTGTTATTATTGTTATTGCTATTATTATTATCATTTACAAAATTGGTAGGTGGAAGAATAGATTGTGAAAATTTAAGATTGTTTGAAGAGTTTGGTGTTGGTACGTGTGAAGATGATGACTTTAACGATGAATGTTGATTGCTGCTACTGCTGTTGCTACTACTATTATTATTACTATTATTACTTTCAATGGTAAAACTATTTAGATTGATACTGATATTGGATTTTGGTATGGTTGATGGTAAGTCCTCATCCATTTTATCCTCGAGTTGAGCGGCTGTACTCACCACTGAAGTTGTAGTGGTGGAAGCTGTTGGTGGTTGTATTGTTTGACAAAAACTCATTTTTGATTTACTACTATTATTATTATTATTACTATTGTTATTGCTATTGCAATTGTTTGTATTACTATTATTATTATTAATGTTGTTGGTGGTGTTGCTGCTGCTGCTGCTGCTATTGGGTGGATTTTGAAAGTGATAGGCGGATGATGGTATAGTTGTTGACGAGGATATAGGAATCTGAATGTGTGGATTCAGAGTCCCATATACACTGTTGGTAGAATGACGATAGGAGTTCATGAATGGATCAGAACTACTTGTAATACTCATTCAGGTTATTGATTTACACTGTTTGTTCTTCTGTTGGAAAGAAGAAACAAAATTATATTGATATTTGTTTGTTTTCCTTTTTTTTTTTTTTGATTTTTTTTTTTTTTGCTGTTGAGCTTTGTACTTTTTCTCCCTTCTAAATCTATCTACTTTTTTTTTTTTTTATAAAAAACTGATATCACAATATTACTTTAATTTAACTATTGTATATATTAATATGGTTATTCTATAAAAAATAAATTTATAAAATAAAATTTATAAAAAAAAATCTATCTAAAAATCTATCTACTATACAAATTAATTGAAAAAGAGAAAGAAAGAAAAAATTATCTATATATTATCTATCTCCTATATTATAAGTTATTTAATTGAAAATGAATATATATAAATAAATATATAATTTTACTATTAAAATATAAATATAACCGCTATATTATTATTAAATTTAAAGGTATGAATATGTAAGGTATATATATATTATTATATAAATATTACAATCTATCTATCTATCTATTTAAAAACTTTTAACTATTGTTTGTTTTTTTTCTTTTTGATTTTCTGATAACTAACCAAGTTATATGTATAAATTATAATAATAATAAAATTAAAAACTAACTAAGTTATATCTATATATATAATAAATAAATAATAATTTGAAAAAATTAAAAAATTAAAAAATTCGAATTAGTAATTAAGTAAATTATATAGAAAAAAAAAAAAAAAAAAAAAAAGAAGAAAAACGGTCATCGATGATAATGAAAAATCAACACAACCCAACCAGTGAATAAAATTATTATTTTTTTTCTTGATTTTTTGTTTGAAAATAAATAAACAAAGAAATTGCTTGGTTTTTTGCGTTTCGTTGATGGTGAAAATGTGAGATCGGTGGGTGAAAATGGCAAAACAAAAACAACAAATTGATAAGTGTTGTGTCACAGAGTTAGGCAAGTCTGTTTTTGGAAGGTCAATTTTTTTTTTTTGTTTTTGTTTTTATGGTGTGTGGTGTGTGTTTGTGTGTGTTGTGAAATTAAGTGAAAACTTGAATTCTTTGATAATTAATATAAAACAATCGAACATAACAAGAACAATAAAATATTATCGGATGATGGTGTTGTTGTTTTAATCCATTGTTGTCTGTTTGAATCTATCTAAAACATATGTATGTGTGCTATTTTTCAACTAATTGAACTGGAATTTTTAAAATTCATCATAAATCACACGCAACCATCATTCCAAACTAGATTGTCGTTTGGAATTACTAGTCTAGTACTTTCTGATCTTGTTCTAGTTGTTTAATTTGAAAATCGAATTGTTTTAATTTCAACTTCTGAAACAATAATAATATATGTGTTTTATTATTATTATTATTATTTGAAAATATAAAACAACTGAAACAAGTAATTATAATATTATTAGAAGTAATTATTATATTATAAGTAGAGGTAGTTATTAAAGACTAGAATAATACTCTTTTTGTTGAATGTAAATCTATATCTTTTTGTGTATATATTAACCAATAGAAGTAGAGAAAAAAACTCTTATTGTTATTTTTATAATAATTATTATGAATGATTATTATTATTATTAATAGCAAGTAAGTATTATTGTTGTTATTAAAAGACAGTAAATATTTATTGTCAGGATATTAATTGATATTTATAAATTGAAATTTCAGATTGATTAGGTTATTTGTATTTATTTTTTTATATTAAAAGATGTGATTATCGATATTACATTAATTAGTTTGAAAATTGACAATTTACAAAGAAATGATATTGATAAACTATTTTGTCAAAGAAATAGAATGATTATTATTTTAATAAAATATATAGTTTGAATGTGTACCGACAAATAAATTTATATTAAAAATAACAATAATAATAGGAATAATAATAACATTATTTCAATGTTGGAATTGAAAAGCAATTAATTGTAATAATATTATGATTATTGTCATTATTCTTTTCAATTTTTTTCTTTTCTTTTCTTTTTTTTTTTTTTTTTTTTTTTATATTAAATCACTAAATTAGATGCACTATCTGGGGAATTTATTGATATTATTACTATTTATTTGTTTATTAATGTACCAGAGGATAGAGGTGTGAAGTGGGTGTGGATCAACACTCGTAGATAAAGATGTAAAATTTGGATTATTGATGAATGAAAGGTGGTAATTAATTGTTCTTGTTTGTGATCGCTTTGTTTACTGATAACATGTGGAAATTAGGATTACTCATTAAAATAAAGAGAGGGAGAAAATGATTACTTTTTTGTTTGGTATTAAAACAGTGTAAGTCGTACCATTACCAATTATTATTATTTTATTATTTTTATTGATAGATTGATTAATTGATTGATTGATTTATTTATTTATTGATTGATGATAATTTGACTCTAAATTTCACTCTAACATAATTAGTTTTTGTCAAATCCACTTTTATTTTTGTATATAGTAATTTTTGATAAAAATATGGTATAGTATAAAATGGATTGATCGATGACAACAGCTTATCGATTGGTTTGGAATTAAATTATTATTATTTTAATTTTTTTTTTTTTTTTACTTTTATTATTGTTATTGATATTGATATAAAACTACCACTGATAACAACACTAACAATACTACTAGTTCTAATCATCACCAATAGATAATCAATACACTCACACTATCAAAAATTTATTTGAAATTGTTTTTCATGAAGATTAGAATAGAGGTGAATATATATATATTTATTATATTATATTAAAATAGAGAGAGAGAAGAAGAAACACTATTATATGAAATTAAATTAAATTAAATATAAACAAACAGATATACAGATGTGATTATAATATTGATCTATAGTGTGTGATTTTATTCAATTTTTTTGTTAAATTGTTTTGTTTTTTTCGTTTAATATAATAGCATATTAACATAAAAACAATAAATTAAAAAAGTGGTGTTGGTGTTGAAGAAGAAAACTCTTCCACATTAGTGGTGGTGAAGAAAGGGGTGTTTAGAGATGGGTAAGACAGTGAGATGGCTTCCTATTTTTATAGTTTGCCCCTTTTAAATGTTAGTGAGTGTGTGTGGTTAACTCTCAAATTAATTTAATTGGTGAAATTCGAATTTAATTTGAGAGAATATTTTTAATTTTTTTTTGTTTTGTGGTTCCACATATTTTAAAATATTAATAAATGTGGATGAGGTGATATGACCAGTTTTAATGTCACATTGTTTAAAGCAATTGCTTCTTAAGGATTGGAGGTCCTTTCAAAAGAAAATTCCAAATATTTATACTTTACCGATCAATCAATTGATTTCGTGTGTTGCTAAAAATACTTCTAGGCTACGGGTTCTCTTTACTATAATTTCACTGTGCGTCAATGTTGATTGTGACTAATGTTGAACTTTTAATGTTTAATATTATTATTGTTGTTGATTATTGATATTTTTCTTGTTTTAAAACGCAATGGAGGAGTATGATTGAATTATTATTATTTGGAAATGTAATAAATAAATAAATATTTAAATAAATAAATAAATAGGTGTTATTTTAAAATGATTACTGATAAATTTTACAATATTATTATTAAGAATGTCTTAAATTGCGTTTACTAATAAATTATTTTTTGTGTTATTATAATAATCTGTGAATATAATATACTGAAGTGGATTGACTAAAATAAAAATGTTATCATTACTCGAAATTCAAGTATGGAGTTCGAGTGACCACGAGTAGTAATAGCAATTTACTACTAGTTTAACAAATTATTAATGATTATTATTGTTATTATTATTAATTTACTGATTCTATATAAAAAAAAAAAATTAATATAAAGTTTGTAATATTTTCAGAAATATAGGTTTAGGATGCCAGTAACAAAGAGTTGGTAGATGAAAATAGATGATAATAAGATAAATTTGATTTGTTGAGAAAGTTTATAGCTATTATTAAGATTATTATATGGTGGATTCAATTATTGTTTATATTTCGTGTAAGTATGTATTTGTTACAATATTGAGATTTCCAATGTCTCACTTGTTATAGTAATATTAAATAGTGTGTTGTAAAGTAATTAATGATGTGTGTGTGTCGAGTGAATATTACTCTAAACAAAAAAATTGATGTTAGAGTAAAAGATAAGATTAAAGTGATAAAATTGTTTTGTTTGCTTTTTTTAATTATTTGTTTGTGAAACTGAGTGGCAAGAGGTAAATTTCACAATAAAAAGAGAATTGGTAGTGTTTATTGTTTGTTGTGTTGTGTGTTGACTCTGTGTGAATGGTTTATTTGACCAGATGATATATATGTATGTCGATAATGATATTAATCTGAAAAGATAGACGGTTATAGTAAAATTCAGTTAACTACTATAACAATTTTATGATACAGATTTTAATAATAATACCAATATTATAATATTACAGTGATGAGATATTGTTATTATGCAATGTATAGTTTTGTTTTTTTTTTATTGCACTTAAAATATTACTTATTATAATATGGTGCGAGCTCTTTCTCACTCTACACTATAAAGCAAAAATAGTTTGCCAAGATATTGACACTGCGCTTTAGTAGAGGAATTCTTCCACTCTATAAAAAAAAAAAGAATGTGTGATTGTGGTGATATTATATTAATTAAGATAAATGTCTGATTCGAGTGGTTTGATGAAAAATAATATAAAAGAAATCTCTGATTATGTTGTATAATTTTAATGTTTGTTTTTCAGACCAAATTAAAAAACAAAATAAAGAATAAAGAATGAATATTATTGATTTATTACCATTATATTAAATAGATGATAAAATAAAATGTTTTTTGATTATTATTTTCTTTACAAATTTAGATGATTAAAAAAAAATGGTCACAACAATACAGGAATAACAATTTATTTTGTCTTTTATTAATTTGACGATGAAAACAAATTGGTTGATTGGATTCTTTTAAATATTAGATTTTATCATAAAAAGATGAAAAATTTTTTTTGATTGGACTAAAAACAAAAATGGACTTATGAGACAAAATCTAGATTCATGAATATTAAGATTGTTGTTTCAATTTATACTAACTAATTATTGATTATTTGATATTGCTATGAAGAAAGAATAATGATTGTGTTTGATTGATTGATAATTTACTGAATGTCTTTGGTATAAATATTTAACTGTTGATGTGTGGATGGGTGGTTACGTGTGAACAGAAAGAGTAGGATGAGTGGTGGTGAGAAGAGGAAATGGCTGTAGAGCAACCAACCCAAATCGAATCACTTACCACTTCTTATATCTTTTAAAACTGTTTGTTGCGTATCGATAAAATAGATGTGATGGTATGTATAATAAATATAACAGACCAACTAAAACCTATTACAAGCTAAAAAGATACACTTTCACTATTATTATTATTATGAGGGTTGAAAAAGTAAAGCAATTTTTTTTCTAGTAATCAAATTAAATCCAAAAAGTGATCACCTTTTTTTACTGTTTCTTTGGTTTTGTCAAGCAGCAATACTGTAAAATACTGAATAATACGATAATGTAGCACTTAAACAGGTCCACCACCACCAAAATTTTATTGTATTTAGAAGGTATATACTAATTAATATTATTGATATTATTTTTATTTTATTTTTTTCAATGATAATAATAAAAAATAAAAAATTCTTCACTTTGCTTTGGTTGCTTTGTGATTGAACCAAGAGCTCTTCTTGTTTCCTGCAAAAATTGTAAAAAAAAATATATTCATTTAAATAAATTACTAGTTGCCACCCACACTATGATGTTTGTTTTTGGGGGTTTTCAGATGAAAAAAAAAACACCATCACCACCACTGAAAAATTCATTATCGTAAAAGTCAACATTTCACTGAAATAAAGATGAGATCTATTTTTTTTAATTTTTCATTGTTTTTTTTTGCTGAAAAAATAGGGTGATCCACCCAAAAGCGATTTGATTTGGTGCAAAAAAAAATTGGGTCCAATACAATTACTGAGTTGAATCCGATGACCTTGACAATCAATCGATTAGATATCAATTTATAAGGTGTTAAACCTCTACTGTTTCGCAACTCTCTTATTTTCAATAAATAGATAAATTAGAAAAATAAAATTTTTTGTTGTTTATTTGCAGACTTTAAACATTTTGAATAGATTTTTATTGATATGATGCGAATCAGATTGAGATTACAACAAATTTTATTTAACTGATTGTGTGATAAATTAGATTCAAGATATCATTACAATTTAATCTATTGAGACAGAAAGTTTTTTTTTTTTTTAAAGATTTAAAATATAAAATAAAGAAAACTGTATTTTGAAAGTTATAAATATTTAAAATTTAATTAAATATCAGTATTATCTGTTAAGAGATTTAATTATACATTTGACTGGAGTGGATTTGATAGATCTATAAATATATATCATTATTTTTTTTTTTTTTGAAATGACTTGAATTATATATGTATTGTGTTGAATTCAACTAATTTTAATTAAATCTTGGAGAGTGAGTTTCTTTTAGACCCAGGAGTAAATTTACATAAACTTCTGTTTCTTGATCCACAGATTGGTGTGATGAGTTGTTACTATTATTATTGTTATTGTTATTACTGTCAATGTTCATAGCGTTGCTATGATCTAGTACTACAAGTGGATTGTTATTGGTTGTGAATGAGTTTGAGTGCGAGATGGCGATAGAAGGAGAACCTGGTGATGTTGAGAGTGCCGTTTGACCAAGAGAAGACTGTAATGCAGCACCTTTTTGGTAGTTGGGTGGCTGGATGTAAGTCTTCTTTGGCTTCCTCTTTTTAGGTGGTTTCTCCTCTTTGCTGGTGCCAGGTGAAGATGTTTTCCTTGGGCTTGGAAGAGCTTGATTGAGTTCGATATTGCTCGATATCGCCGAAAGATTGATCGATGGCTGATTTATGAGAAGAGGAGATTTAGCATCGCTGGTCGACAGCGACTGAAGCTGAGGAGTGAGCGATGTTTTCGGTGTCACAATCGGTGAGAGTTGTGAGGGTGGTGTCATAAATTTTGAATGCTGTGATGGACTATTTACATGAATATTGTTACTATTACTATCTACAGATAAATTGTTGATGTTGTTGTTACTATTGTTATTTACATAGAGTGTTGTTGTTGTCGTTTGGTTGTTATTTACAAAGGAGTTTGGAGATTGTTTTGTGATTTCGTATACATTATTGCTAGAGTTGATAGTGGGTGTCGAGATGATTGGTGTGGAGATCGATGAGGATGGAGCTGAATTGCTTGTTCGAGTTGGTCTTGATGTCCATTGTATTTCAAAACCATTGTCCACCGTGTGAGAGTGGGAGTGAGAGTGAGTCATACTACCATTGCTTGAAGGTAGCTGATAGTGTGACGATGAAGTGATGATTGTTTCACTACTGCTTGACAAGTCGTCAGATTCATTCATCAACGCTGTATAGAGCGATGCTGTTGACGATTGTTGCTGTGCAGATGGCAACGGTATGGATATGGGTGCAGATGCTGACGTGGCAGTAGATATTGGTATTGTATAAGTTGTGAAACCTGTTGTATTTGTATTGCTATTATTATTATTGTTACTATTGTTATTATTGTTATTATTTGTTGCGGAAGCTGTCTTTAGTAGGAAATCAAAACCCATTTTGGTGGTATTGCCAACACCTCCATTTAAATTTGAGGTGTTTGTTGGATTGACTGTAGTAGTCATTTTTGATGATAGAAAAAAAAATACAATAAAATAAAGATTGGATGGTGATGATGAATGATGATGATTATGATGATCAGCAATCAATCTATCTATCTATCAAAAATAACTCTTTAACTTTTGTTGTTGTTGTAACACAACTTTTCTTTTAGATACAATTGATTTCAAAGATTGGTTTGAATGAATGTTGTTTTGTACAGAAAATAATTAAATAAATAAGAATAAATAAATAATATATATATATATTAATAATTGTACAGAATTGTTGTAAAATGAATGTTTAAAATTATTAAACAATTTGAGATGAATATAAGCAATACACAGAACTAATCAATATTATATATATTAAAAAAACATAGAGATTTTAAGAGATTGACAGATAAACTATAGATTGAGATGTTTGGTTTATAAACAGACAACTGTTTCTAATGACCTTAATAATAATACAATAAATATTTATATTTGGTGTACAAAATGATACTATAAATTTAAGAATAATAAATAAAATATATAAATGTTGTTGTTTTTATTTTTACTAAAAAAAAAAAGAAGTAGGTAGTATTGTTTTAGGTAAGCAATAGTAATAGAATAGTAAAGGTAGTAGTATTATCAGTAGCAAGTAATAATTGTAGAAAAATTATTAGAATTTTAGTACAGTCATAAAAAATAAAGCTAAAAAGAAAAGATTGTGCAGTGAAAAGGCAAAAATAAAATAGATAAAAAAAACAAAAACAAAAAAAAAGTGAATAGAAAATGAACAATAATTATATTATATCTAATTAATTTTGTTGTTGGTTAACACTTGATGTGTGTGTGTGTTTGTGTTGTTGAATGTTGTTACAACAAAATTACAGTGACAACTATCATCTTTATTTTTGTTTCATTTTTTTTTTTTAAAAATTATATTTTAAATTTAATATTTTAAATATTTTTTGAGTTCACCCCACCCCATTTTCATTATTTCAATAAATTAATACAAAAAAAAAAAAAAAAGATATCTTTAAAGAAATAATTAAAAATCACTTTTAATTTTAATTTTGGATAAATAGCAAACAAACACACAACACACAGAGACATTCAACCCACCCACCCGTATTCAAATACATACGACAAACAGGTAATTTTTACCCTTTTTAAACAAAAAAAGAAATAAAATAAAAATAAAAATAAAGAGTCGCAAAAACAAAAAATTTAATAAATAGTAATTAATTAAAGACGATAGAAGATTTTCTATTTGTTTGTGTTAATTTATTTATTTATTTAATATCATATATTTATATTTTAATAAAATTGAATTCACACACACACACACCACTCTACCCAACACAACATAACACAACACAACATCCATCCATTCTTTGTCTTTTTTTCCTGTCACTCATTCTTTTATTTTATGCGTTTTACAATACTTATACCGACCTACTACTTTACTTTTTATCAAATCCAAGCAAAACAATACAAAACGAAATAAAAATAAAATAAAATAGAAATATAATAATAATAGGATTGTTTATAATATCGTTTTTTAATTGTTACAACACCAGCTACAACAACAACAACAAAGACAAAGACAACTAACAATTGTTTGATTTGCTTTGCTTTTATAAGCTTTTCTTTCACTTTTGCTCAATATACATGTATGTAGTAGAATAGGACGACTGACAAAGAGTATGCGCACATAAATACATCACTATTGCCCACACCACTCTACAACAAATTAAACAATAGTAGTAAAATAATAATAAGAATAATATTAACAATAATATTTATTCTAAAAATACAAAAAAAATAAAAAAAATAAATTGTTAATTACATAGATAATAGAGCATTCAATCGATTGAATAATTGAATTAGATTTAAAACATACATCTAAATTAAAAGTATTATTGGATGGTATAGTTTATTCCAATTGCTCAAAGATATTTTATCACATTGTTTTCATTTTTATATAGTTTCTTAAAGATATTTTGGTAGGAATTTAGTCCGATCTCAAAAATCATTTAATAATAACACAACAATTATAACTATTATTATTATTATTATTATTATTATTGTTTTTTAAAAGTTCAACTTTCAATCATTAACCATATGTTTTTTTTTAAAAATTAGTAGATTTAAAAGTTAGTTAGTCAGACATTCAGTCAGTTATAAAATTGAATTTAGTTCAGCAAAGTAAAACAACCGAAAAAATAAAACACATATATTTATATATAACAAAACAATAATTAGTATATATATATAAAACAAAATAACAAGTAACATTCAATCTAAAAATACAAAATTAATAATAATAATACTTTTATATATATAATATAATTTTAATCAATGTTTTTATCGCCTGTATGAAGGCTCATGTTACTTTTCAATTTCTATAAAGTATCTTAAAGGTATCAGACATCATAGCGATGTCTCAATTCAGTAAAAGCAACAACAACAACAATAATAATAATAGCACAAATAACAACTATAATGTAGCTGTTAATCAGAGTCAGAGTGAGAATATTGATAATGATGCGGTTGTAGGTGAGCTTAGTGGAAGTGGCGGATTAGTTGATGCCAACACATTACAACAGCAACAACAACAACAATCAATATCAGAAGACGATTCACTGAATCCACAAGTAACCGACGAAGATTCGTTTGATTTACAAAATGGATTGAACAACAGTGGTGGTTCAAGTAATATCACTCACCATGTATACTATAATGGTGCTGCCACTACCTCAACTGGTAGTGGCACTCCTTCGTTTGGTAACTTCCGACGAAGACACAGCAGCACCTATGAAAAGAGCAGCATTCGCAAGTCAATCATTCCAATCACCAATCTGACAATGTCATCATCGTCGTCATCATCGTCGTCTAGTCGATCTCCTTCACCCTCACTCTACTCCTCAATGCCAAACGATATCAATGGTTTCGAACTTGGCACAATGTCGCCAAGCCTATCATCCACACATCCACAGACCAACAGTCAACAAAACTATCTTAAACACAAACACTATACAGTGCCCTCACTCTCTATTCCAACGTCGTCCTATTCGGCGCCAGCATCAAGCACCTCCACACCAACACCAATCTCGCCAAACACCTCCACTTCATTCTCACTCAACAATTCCAATACGAACAGTTCGATCAAGTACAGCAATAGTCACAGTAGTAACAAGTCAAATCTGACATCTTCACTCAATTCACAAAATTACAACAACAATAGTAGTAATATATATAATAATAGTCAGCAGTATTCATATACAAATACACCCATATCACCTTTACAACAGCAACAACAACAACATCAACAACAACAGCAGCTACAACAACAACCAAAACAAAGTGTCTATGAAAAAGTACTACATATATTTCATTTTATATTATCAGCCATATTGGCGTTCAACATCTTCATATTGATATCAAAACACTTTTTCTCGAAAATCTATCAATGGAGTGGCGATGGAAGTTCACTCAACAACCTTTTGATTTTTATATATCCACTACATCTGGTTTTTGCAGCGATGCTTTTCTTTATTTTAATTCTACAGTCAAAGGTACGATCGTTGTTTCTCGACAGTAAATCTCTTCGGCTCAATATACATGGTGACATTATACAGAAGCTAGAGGTGCTGAACAACAAAGCCAATTCGAAACAACCGAGACACCAGACTTCGCCATCTCCATCAACACCATCCTCACCTAAATCATTCCCACAACTCCCAGAGATAATACAGCTCTTGGAATTGATAAAAGTTCCAAACTCTGCCTCTTTTTCACAAACCCTCGACTTTATATTGTTGGGTGTAGCCAGCTCAGGACTAATCAACATAACCATGATTCAAACCTATTTCAACCCAAGTGATGAGCAAGTTTATCAAGATTCAATATTTAATGTAAGTCATTATCAATATAAAAAATTTATAGATTATTAATAAACAATAATTGTATAGATTTGTTCAGCTATAGAATTTCTGGTTGCAGGTATTATATTCAATTTTGGAAATTGGGATGAGTCAAAACAACAACAAACAAAAAACAATAATTTATCATCGAAAAAATCTGGAAATGAATATGGAAGCGGCACATCTAGTAGCCAACATTCGAAACAACAGCAACAAAAGCAACAACAGAGATCTACCAAGAGTTCATCGACACTCGGTGTTCTGAGGTCGTTTATTGCCAAAATGTATTTATGTCTTTCGTTTGTATTTATTCTCTTGGTGGCTCGTACCTTTTATGAGCCACTCGGCAAAATCATACCGAGTTCAATCAACAATGGTTTCGGTGATATTTCGTTCTACTCGTTTCAATCACCGGTGTTGGTGATCATCTACTTTTTGCAAATCGTTCTCCTCGTTCTCGAGTACTACGAGCGAAGCTCTTACCGGCTGGCCACATTCATATTGGCAACGATATTCGTTTGGCTCACCACCTTCAACTCCTACCATCTCACCGTCAAACTATTTGAAACGTTCAATCTCGAGAAGCTCATTCTACGACGTTGGATCAAATGTATCTCCACTGGATTCCCTTGCGTTGGACTGGCACTCGATTACTATCTCGATCTGAAGCAGATCAACTCCCGATATAACCAGGTGCTCATCTACGTCGACAAGATACTCCAATCGGATCTACATTTACACGACAGAATAGATTCATATAAGCACAAGCTGTATAATAATAATCAATTCCTGACAAGTACTATCAACCAATATAAAAGAGTTATTTCATCAGGTAAGACAAAGTTATGATTAATCACTTTCAATAGTAAATTGATATTAACTGACAAACAATATTGCTTTTGTTTTCTTTCTAGCCAATCCGATGATGGGATTCCTAAATGATACGGATATTCAACCACAACAAGCACCATATCTTCACAAAATATCTAAATCTTTTGAGCTACTTGCACAAATGTCAAAAGAATGTCTATTCTATTCTGAATTAAAGGCTTTGAAACCAAGTGATTGCGAGAGTATGTATATAATTAAAAGGAATATACATTTATAAAATTTATTAACATCATGATGTTAATATTATTTAGGAGCAGCATTTAATATGGAGACTCTACTTGAAGAAGTAATTTCCAATCCAACGATTCGTAATTATTTCGAAGAGAAAGAGTTGGATCTTTGTTATTTACTATCACCAAACATTCCTCTACATTTGATTGGTGATTCTCACAAGCTAAAGAACATCCTGTTGAGATTGCTAAACAATTCTCTAAAGGCAACCTATCAAGGTGAGATAGTTATTCGTGTCACTATGCTAACCGAACCGAAACCAAATGAAGAGATCATCATTTCATTCTCTGTTACTGATACCGGTTGTGGTATCGATGCTGAAAATGTTCCGTTCCTATTTCAACCGTATGCAATGTCACAGTATGGATACGATAGCGAGAGTCTAGGACTGGGATTGGCCATCTGTAAACAACTGTCGACACTGATGGGCGGATCTATCCGGTACTCCAGCAACACACCGGAGGGCGCTGTGTTTACACTGTGCCTGCCGTTCGTAACACAGCATCTCTTCAAACCACATCCCTCATTCAAATGGGGAACCTCTCACAAAGTTCTCATCATCGATGACAACAGTAACATTACATCGGCCATAGAAATGCATTTGGATCCACTCGGTTTCAACGTTATCAAAGCTCACAATATCAGTCAAGGTATATCAATCATCAAAAGTTCAAAAGATTTAAGTATTATTTTCTTGGATTCAATGGTATGTTGTTTATTTCTCAGCAATCAAATTTGTCATTAAGTACTTCCTTTTTCCTAACACCTAACTTTCTTTCTTTCTTTTGTTTATTATTTACTTTTTAGTTACCTGGTTTGAATATAGATGAAATCAAACAATTAAAATTTGATCCAACAAAGACCATAAAGAATCCACCATTGGTTTTGATGTGTACTAATAAGCAAAGAAAATCATATTCCAATCAAGGATTACATTTTCTTTTTAAACCAGTAAGTTTATTTTTATTTTTAACATAGAATCTGTGATAGTTTACTTATAAAAATTTATTTAAATTAATCTAGATTAAAAAAGAACAACTTCTTACAATTACACATTCAATTGCTACATCACCTTCAAACAATGTACATATACCAAATACACACCAATCAAGCAGCTATCCAGCCAATTCTTCGCCAAATGCGATGTCTTCCTCTTCGATTTTCCCACCATCAACTTCAAAGAGCAGTTCAACGCCAGGTACACCTCTTACAAAGCAGACTAGTCTGCCAAACAAAATGTTTTACTCCAAGAATAGCTCTTCAGGATCACAAGTACCGAACCGAATCAGCCAGGGTCTGTCTTCGTCGTCATCGTCATCCACATCGAATCCACCATCGCCTCAGACCAAGATAACACTCTCGGGTGTTGCTCCCCTAAATGGTGGCTCGATACTCAACACTAGCGGATCCTTCTTTAGTCCTATCACACCTTCACAGTCTCCGAGTTGCTCACCCTTGACCTCACCAATACTGAGACCCAACGGTGGACTTCAAAATCCATCGTCTTCAAACAGTGGATCCTCTCACTTGATGGTTCTCTCTCCACAACAGGAGCGTACCAGCCCGTTGGATAACAGTATATTCAACAGCAGCTACGATCAACAGAGTTTGGGTCTGGTGCCAAACGGTATGTCTTCGAGTGGCGGTTGTGGCGGTGAGGACGAGATATTGTCTGACCCGTTGGAATGCTCACCAAACTCTGTGTCACCAACACAAAGTCCAAAATTAGATTCCACTTTGCGTCAGCTAAACAGTGTTTCCGAGACAGAATCAGAGAGTGAACAACTAGCTGCAGCTCAACAAGCAGCAGCACCACCAGCAGCATCAGCAGCACCAACTCAAAAGGTAACTCCAGAAACTCTAACACCAGTGATCACCCACAAACAAGAATTCATTGAACAAAAACAGAACCAATCTCAACAGTCGACCGGTAATAATCCACAGCAGCAGCAACAACAACAGACTAGCACCAATGTAAATAATATCAATATACTCTTAGTTGAGGACAACCCAGTCAATGCAAGAATTGCAACCACTGTACTACAGAAATATAGTTTCAAGGTTGAACTGACAAGCAATGGTCAAATAGCATTGGAGAGAATCAAGCAATCGCACGGCTCATTCGATTTGATTCTAATGGATATTCACATGCCAGTGATGGATGGAATCACCTGTGCTAGAATGATCAGAAAGTTTGAAGGTGAACACTCACTCAAACAGATTCCAATTATTGCGCTGACTGCCGACACTTCTGCTGGCCACAAGAATGTGTGTCTAGAGGCTGGTTGTAACGAATTCATGCCTAAACCACTTGACTACCCAATACTGATCAGTGTACTAAAGAAACTGTTGGACAACACCGAGGAAATAGTCGATACAAACAGTAATCAGACAACCAACAACTCAAATAGTATTATCTCAACATCCGTATAAATATTTAAAATAAAATTAAAAAAAATTTATAAAAAAAAAAGAAAAGAATTATATTAATATTAATGATTTTGTTAGTTTCTGATACTGCTGACGTTGTCAATTCCGTCGAAATTCTCAAGAGTCATTATGATTATGATTATGATTTTTACTCTTTATCGGACATTTTTATGAATTTTTTAAAGATAATCATATGTACATATATACATTTTTATATATAAACAGATAGACAATGGATAAACAATTATTATGTTCTCTATTTAAGAATGTTTTTGTTCGAAATCAAATATTTAATCAGGTTTATATGATAAATAGAGATCAAGTCAGAAATCAATGGAAGCAAGAGAGGAAATCATATCCAAAGGCAAAAGAGTTAGTTTTATATAGATGGGAAGATATGATTCGAAATCCAATTCAATTAGTTAAGCATCTATATTATACAGAATTGAAACGTTTCTACTTGACGATTAAAAGTAGCTTGTATTGGCGAGCTGATGGTCAATATCCTACTGATTTCTCTTTTGAGAATCAGTACTTCAAACATTCAGATCTATATTTCATACTCAAACATATTGTAAAGCTTAATGATGTCAAATTCTTTGATTATGTGGTCGAAATACTTTCATTTCTTAGTTTCGACTACATTACGATCAAAAGATGTCATTTTGATTTCGGTGAACTTTTGGCATTGGCTGCACAGTCTAATAGTTTAGAGATTGTAAACTACATTATTAGAGCACATAATTATACGAGAAGAATAGATCTAAGTGATCAAGACTATTTATATGCACTTTCAAGATCGCCATTTTCAAAGAATTATGAAATATTCTCAAAGTTAACAGAATATGCAATAATACCAGAACCAAACAATCGAAAGTACGAGAAAAACATCGCAAATCAACAGATTATGTTAGAATGTTTTATGAATTCAATTAGATCAGGTCAGGTTGAATGTGTTGAATGGTTACTTTCTCAAACAAAATGGAATCCATTCACCTCTGTCAAAGATAGTGAAACACTTTTAACATACGCAGCAGAATCTGGTTCATTAGAGATGATGAAGTGGCTAAAAGAATCTTTCAACTTTACATTCTTTGATCGAAGCTCCCTAGCTCATAGTGTTAGGATGAAAAGATTGGATATTTTCGAATGGATATGTAGATGTGAAGTCGAAAAGTTAGGAAACGATTCTAAATTACTTGGTAGTAATATGTTTAACAGAATTGGTTTTTATTTGGCCTCTGTTGTTCGGTATAGATATCTAGAGGGTTTAGTGTTTCTTTTTGAAAAAGGAGTTCCTCTTGGATCCAGGATATGGGTGGAAGTTGCCAAAAGTGGTGATTGGGAAACAGCTAATTGGCTGATTGGAATTGAACCAATCAATATTTCATATCCTATTGATTTCGCTGCATCAAACGGTAATTTAGAAATGGTAAAATGGCTGAATCAGGTCAAACCGAATGGTTGTGAGGATGCAATTGAAAAGGCAATCTATGGTGGCCACTTGGAATCATTACAGTGGTTATATGAAAATAGAACGGAACGATATTTAAAGGCGATCGATGATGCTGTCACTTACAATAGAATGGACATAATCGAATGGTTGAAATTGAACGATCGAGACTTGTTTGACCAACGACCAACAAATAATGCTGTCAAGATTGCGATGATCAACCACAAATTCGAAATGGTAAAATTCGTTCATTCCAACTATCCGGAATATATAAACGGATTGTCGGATGATGAAATGAATGATGCATTGGCAATACTGTTAAGACATGACGAATTGGAATTGTTTTTGATTTACAAAGACAAACTTGGTGACAAAGCCGAGATAGCACAAGCCATCATAAGTTCCAGATACTCTGAAGCCTATAGAGTGGCTATCCATTGTTTGGATTCTTTAGATGCAAGTGAAATGCCACCAGAATTTCTTTGGAGAAAAGCCATCCAAAATAGCGATCTGCATACAATTAACAAGTTGTTGGCCCATAAACTAAGTCCACAGTTATCTGTTTACTTGATCCGTTATATCAGCGATATCAAAGTATTGGAGTGTATCATCGAAAACTATTATTCAATATTTTGTACAATGATAGCTTTTCCCGGTGAAATTCTCTTTAGACTCTTTGAAGGTAGACAATATCACATGGTTGTTCATTATTTACAGAGACCCAGATATGATTCCTATGTCAGTGAAACACATTTTGGCGGGAAATATAAATTGGGCAAACATCATCTTCCAATATTCGAACTATATGATACCCATAGAACAAGAGCAATTACCCGCCTAAAAGAAGCTGCATTTATGAACGACCAAATTTAATAATAAATAAGATAAATAACCCTCAAATTAAAAATATTTCTTTTTGAATTCACTCTAATTCTTAAATTGTCTGGGTAGGGAATCTTGAATCTCATATATAGACTTTCTAAACAAAAAACAGAATCGTGTACTTTTAAATATTTTATTTACATATATATTAGATATTCCTAAAATTCCAAATCCTCTTGATTCAACCACTGTTGGAAATATACACATTTCTTTGGTGTTATCTCACCTTCATCCGCACACAAACTGAAAACAGGACATACGCCACATGGCATCTTTGTAAAATGATTCTCTGGAATGATTGTTTTTGTTGGTTTATAAATTACTCCCATTCTTCTCTTTAAATATTAATTAATAGATATAATTTGAAATAATTAGAAATCGGTTTGAACCTGGTAGAACAGATTTGTTTTCGTTGTAGATAGATTAGATATTAACTTACACCATACATATTTGTTGATCTGGTATCTCTCATCTCCTCAATCAAACCGTCATAGATTAAACTGTTGACCAATGTTTGAATATCCTCCATCGTTAGATCTTGCTCACCTGTTTTCTTCATGTAGTTCATGATCTCTGTGAGATCGGCCGCACCCTTATTTGAAATGAATGAATTACACGACAGCTTCATTGCTGAAATCAACTCTTCGTCCAACGACTGACTTCCGCCATACAACGAACCACCTGTAACCTCTCTACTAGGTTCAACATTGTATGCCATATATACTTTCTTTCTTCCCGCCTGTAAACAAGTATTTAAAAGAAAGTTAGTTATCTCTTACTATAGCTTTACGATCGTTAATGATGTTTATATCCATCTATCTATCAATTCACATTACATTTATAGTTTTTACAGCTTTAATTAGATTTCTAGTTTCAAGTACTTTAAGAATCTTTGTTACTTGAGTCTGTTGAAGATTGGTTTGTGTTCTAATTTCTTTGGTCCATGTTCCTTTGTCGTTCGATTGCTCAATGAGCTGATACACCAACATATCATCAGCAGTCAGACCTCTAATCTTTGACTGCTCTTCGAGATTGGTAACCTCTTTATATGAGGTCGAGCCATCAGAGTTTTGTATAAATTTGATTCTACCCTATAATCATAATAGATTTAACAGCAAGACGTGTTAGTATATTGACAAATGAGTACTAATAGTAATAGAAACTAGATAACTTACTTCTTTTACAAGTTTATTAATAACAAGCAATGCTTCATTGATTGGATATCCTAAATCACTCTCCAATCTAGCTTGTGATAGACCCTAAAAAATGAAATGATAGTTATAAAGAGATAACTCGTGTTAATTACAAACGACAAGTATTGATTGAACACATCGAATTGATCATGTAACACTCACAGTAGGATGCTTTGAACATAGCTCTAAGAATTTATCTTCAACCTCTGCAGACATCTTCTATATCATCTATGTACATAAATAAATAAAACGAATGTTACTTGAATCAACAAATTCATAGGTGACCGTTAAAAATTGATTTGAATTTTTTTGAAAAAAAAAAAAAAACTCACACATTTCTCTTTTTATTTAAAAAAAAATACAAGAAATCTTGGCTTTTAATTAATATCCTTTTTTGGATATTACTAATCGTTTTATTAGTTTAGAACAGATAATCTTAAATTTTAAATAATCTATATCGATTTGTAATCAATGATTAATAAAATAGTTTCTCAAATGTAACCAAAGATATTGTTGATAAACATTTTGGTGACAGATCTGATAGATTGTGAGAAATTTTGAGAGTCTAACTAATCATAATTGTAATAAGAATTAAATAAAAATGTATTGTTAACATTTCAAAAAAAAAAAAAAAGACATTTTGATGTGATAACAATGTTATTTTATTTAAGAGTTTTTAAAAGAAACAGAATTTCGTATAATTTACTTACCTTATTACTACAGCTCATATTCATTTTGTTTAATATATTTTGTTTGCTACAAAACAAAAAAATGGAAATCATATTAATAATAAAAATATAATAAGGAAGAGGATGGATGACATTATTAGTCAAAATGAAGAGGAATCATGATTATCATTAGACAGAGAGGAAGAGGAAATGAAGGGGAAGCGGGGAGGATTCATTATTATGGTTGAATTTTATTCCAATTTGTTGTTGATGTGATCGTTGTTGCCAACCTCTTTATTTTGGAGAGAGGTGAGGTGGATTTCGATGGATGAGATTAGAAGAAGGATGAAGGATGGCGCAGAAGAGGATAATTATTGAAGTTCTTTTGGTATTATTATTATTTATGTTATTGTTGTTGTTGTTGTATTATGACTACTACAAATTAATTAATTAATTAATTAATGACAAAGTTCTTCTTCGGCAATGTTATCGGCTACTCTTTTTTTACCAAATATAAAATAACCGGTTGCAATTCCACCTAGGATGGCAAGTGCTAGACCGGCATTGAATGTCATGACAACGAGCATAATGAAATAGTTTACTACATATTGAACGATGTGACAGAATGTCTTCCAATAATGAGTTGCACTAAACTTGTTCCAATTCTTTCTGAGATCCGATGTCTTCTTTGATACCTCCTCTGTATCATTTATCAAAGGTGTTGTTTCCGGATTGTCTGTTGCATTATCTAGAGATAAATTAAAATTAATAAATAAAAATACAATTAGAAAAAATAAAAAATAAAAAACAAATAACAAACCACTTTCTCTTCTCTTGTTCCTCTAAACAGTTTTATTATTATTTTTCAATGATAAAAGAGTGCAATTTGATTTTGATGTGAAAGTTATACATACAATTTAGAGAATGTCTGTAAGACGTAAAGAACTCTGAGAATACAGCCATACCAAACATAACGAACAAGGTCAATACGTAGATACCAACATTGTTGGTAACCCATCCCTTAAAGAGAATGGCTTGACCTAGAAAATCCCAATGAAAAAAGCTATACATTGCTATTAATATATAAAGTGTTTGAAAGTGAATATATATAGTAGTTATATACAATAAGATATTTTATTACAATAACAATTTACAATTTATATAAATATATAAACAAATAAATATAGATAAATAAAGATATATAAAATGAATCAATTTTTTGATACCAAAAACACCTCTTGCTTTTTTATTAGATGTTATTTTGGTTTGGACCAAAAATACACAAATTATTTTCGAAAAAAATATCTTCCTTTCAAAAAAAACCCAAGCTTTTTCAAAGGAGAATTCTTTTTCTAAAGATTTATTCATATTACTGGTACCACTAAGATGGTTAATCACATTCAACTTTAGAACTAACATGTTAATTTTCTTTAACCAATTATAGTGTCTAGTTAAAGATATAAAATGAAACTATTTTATCCAATTTTTTGATTAGGTTATTTTTTTTTGGCTCATAGACAGATATCTGTAATATTGTTTTGTTCTGAACAAACAATGCACCAATTTAACAAGTTTAGATACATAAACATTTACTTTAAATAATAGTAAAGTAGCAACAAGAACTGGGGTGGAAGTGTAGTGTTACTAATAACTCCAATTTGATTAGCATTGTTTTGTTTAATCAATTACATATTTTTTTTTTTAAAAATTATTTTAATATTTTATATGCAACACAATCAATGAAAGAATAAATGATCTTCTAGAAGTTTGATGTATTTGAAAATTACTTGTTTAGTTATTTATTCTATTCTTCTTCTTTTTTGAATATCGATTGTCGAAAAAATAAAAATTAAAAAAAAAAACCGTTAGATTAATATGATTTAATAAAACAATAATATTCATTTTATTATTGAATTTCAAATTAATATATAGAGAGAGAGAGATCATTTAATTATATATATTTTAATTATGTATACTAGTAAATTAAAAGGTTTACCTCAAGTTGAGGAACAAAAACAACAAGAATTCCCAATTGCATGTGAAAGTTGCTTTGGTGAGAGTCCATATATGACAATGGTATGTTTGTTTGTTTATTTGTTTTGTTAGAAATACTATTAATATACTATAAGTGATCTGACTTAATACATATTCATTATTGAATTTTAGTTTAATTTTGTACTAATCAATCTTTATTCATTTAAATACAATACTATATATAGACAAAAGAAGAGTTTGGTAAAGAATGTAAGATTTGTGCTAAACCATTCTGTGTGTTTAGATGGAAGCCTGGTTCAGGATCTAGATTCAAAAAGACAGAGATTTGCAAAACATGTGCACTAGTAAAGAATGTCTGTCAAGTATGTATACACGATCTAGAGTTTGGACTGCCTGTCCAAGTTAGAGATGCTGCACTCCAGAGTTTCGAGAAAGCACCTGTAACCGATCTAAATAGAACTTATGTATCACAACAAAATGAAATAATGGTATGTATATATATATAATATAATACAATATATTTGTTAAATATACAAATCTAAACTTGTAGATTAACAAACATGTTTTACATTTATTGTTTTAACAAGATCGAAAACGGTGAGATAAACTATGATAACTTTCAACCAACGGAGATCATTGAGAAACTAGCTAGATCTACACCGTACTACAAGAAGAACAATCCACATATCTGTTCGTTCTTCTTGAGAGGCGAGTGTAATAGAGGCGATGCCTGTCCGTACAGTCACGACAAGGAGTCGGCAACGGGCATCGGTAAGTTCCCGAAACAGAATATCAAGGATCGATACTATGGAAACAACGACCCCGTCGCTATGAAGATGTTGAAGCAGGTGACACCGGTGCCACCCGAGGACCGCTCGATCACCACGCTCTACCTCGGCAACGTCGATCCCGAGCGAATCACAGAGAACGACTTGCGAACTGCGTTCTTCTCGTTCGGTGTCATCAAGACACTGCGCATCGTAGCGGCATCAAAGTGCGCATTCCTCACATTCGAGAGCAGAGACGCCGCAGAGACAGCGATGAACCAACTTTTCAACAAACTGATATTCGATGACATTCCAGTGCAAATGAATTGGAGTAAATTTAATAAGCCACAACCAAATACCAATCAAAATCAACATCATAAAAAGAAACAACCTTTTAATAATAATAATAAAACCAATAATAATAATAATAATAATAATAATAATAATAATAATATTAATATTAATAATAATAATAATAATGTAGATCAACAAACTAGTAATAATAATAATAGTGAAGAGAATGGAGATGACGACGACGATAATGCAGAACTACCATCATTTTTATCAGCACCTAAACCAGTGGCACCGGTAGCCAAACCCATTGGAATCAAGTCACTACCAAGTTTTAAAATTAATCCAACACCACAAGGTCAAACAACCAACAAACCATACTATTCAGCAATGGATTCGAATACTTATGGTGGAAGAATATAATTTTATTTATATAATTTAATAGTAATTAAAATATATATTCATACACGAAATACTACTATTATTATTACTGCCAATTGGAGTTAATTTATCAAATAGATTAGATTTGAATAATTACCCAATTAATAGTAATAGCCTGTGTGTTTGCAAAATTAGTTCTTAATTTTTATTTTTATTTTTATTTTTTACATTTTTTTTTTATTGAAAACACTGTTTTGTTTTAAGTTTATCATGTTTCATAAAGTTGTACAACTATCATTCAATTCAAGAACTAGCTTATTTCTATTCAACCAAAAAAAGGTTAATTACATTGCTTCACTAAATAAATCGAGCATTGCTACCTTTTCTACTTTTAGAAATTCGTTAGATAATAATAATAGCATTAATAAGAACATTAATAATAGTAGTAATATTGTTGATCAACATCATTATAAAAGTAATAATTTAAGTTTTAATATTAAAAGAACAATGTCTACCGCTTCTAATAGTACAGCTGGTGTTGTTGCCGAAGGAACAACTATTTTCAAGGGACACGATCAAATTCAAATCGATTTGATGAAGGAGGAATGTATTGTTGTCGATAGAGACGATAAACCATTGCGTCCCGGCAGCAAGAAGGAGTGTCACTTGATGGAGAACATCAGCAAGGGATTGTTGCATCGTGCATTCTCAATCTTTTTGTTCAACGAAGAGGGCAAGTTGCTCTTGCAACGTCGTGCACTCGAGAAGATTACATTCCCAGGTTACTGGACCAACACTGTCTGCTCACATCCGCTGTGGCTCGAGAACGAGTTGATCGAAGAGGATGCCAAAGGTGTTCGTATCGCTGCACAACGTAAACTCAAACACGAACTCGGTGTTCCATTCGAACAAGCACCAATCGACGCATTCACCTTTATGACCAAGATCATCTACGTCTCACCATCAGTTGAAGACGCACAATGGGGAGAACATGAAAGTAAGTGATATCTAGATCAATCAAAATATAAACATAACAGAAATATATATAATATAACTAACCAATTAATTAACTAATTTTATATAACTTAGTTGATCATATTGTTGTTATAAAGAGAAAGATTGATGTTACACCGGAACCAAATGAAGTTATGGATTATAAATATGTTTCATGGGAGGAGTTGCAGGAGATGTTTGCTGCAGCCGATAGAAAAGAGATTAAACTTACACCATGGTTTAGATTGATCGCTGAAAATCATCTCGAGAAATGGTGGAAAGATTTGGACAACGTAAAACAACATGTTGAACCATCTGATAAGATTCATAGATACTGTGAATGTTAATATTTCATTTTGTTTTTTTTTTGATAAATAAACATATTATCAAATCATCTTATTATTCATTCATTCTTATATCATCAATCAATAAGTTTTCAGAAATGAAAATCATTTCTTTATAAAAACAACAATTTTTATTTCTAATTTTATTTTAATGTTGTGTTGTTGGTAGGTAATAAATAATAATAATAATAAAAGAGTAGTCTATCTGATTCTCTTCTTTTGATTTAAAGTACAATTTGTATTTGCTTTTCCCAAATTAGCTAATTTGTCGTTGTTGTTAAAATAATAACTATTATTAGTTGTTCATTGATGATGTTGTTGTTGTTGATGTTCTATACAAGTGAAAAATTGAAATTATAATATAATATGAGTTATATAAAGTTATTACTATGCTAAAGTTTGTGCTAAATTATTTTGACCTAACATCCAACATATTTCTTTGTTCTAAAAAATAATAATAAAAGTTAATATTATGATAAACTATTTAATAAAAATATCTTTTTTTTTTTTTTTTATGTTTTTCGATATTTACTTGTTCAACTGTTAGGTGTTTACCGAATCTTTCATAAATTTGTCTGCCAGCAGTGATACCATAACGATAGTAGGTCGATTTAATCTTTTCATATGGATCGGTATCTTGTGACGATATGTTCTCAATTGTGATAACATTGAAAGGTTCGTACATTGGTCCTTCTAAAACAACGCTTGACTGTGGTGGAAATAGAAATGAATAAGTAATTTGAAATAAGATGAGTGAATTGATTTGAAACTTACTTTTTCTAATGGGGTCGATGTCGGTAGAGGAGATGAAGGTGAGAGTAAATCGGCTTCCTCTTCGGTTTTGGTCTTTGGTTTGGCAGCCATCGCCAGTGACATTGTGATGAACAAGACACATAGCAGTATCAATATGAAAACTGAACAGACCAGAATGATGTGTAGTTGCTGATGAATCGATTGCACCGTTTGAATCAGTGTTGAATCTTCATCTTTGTTGATGAGTGACTCGAGTCGCTCCAACTCAAATTCATTTTTCGTCTCCAAGATGAGAGACATCAAATTCAACAAAAAGATAACGGCTATTGAGGTGTACAGTGCCACATGAATATACGAGAGTTTAGAGCAACCCTGAAAACCAGACTTTCTACCTCTATCATTATAACTGTTTCTATTATTATTTCTTGCCATTCTATCTATATATCTATTTATCTATTTATCTATCTAATCTAATCTATACTGTGAATGAATTAAAAAATGATAATTGAATTTAAAAAAAAATAGAGTACCACAATAGATAGATGAAAGAGATATGTTGGAAAAATAATAACCTATTAAAAACCAGTATTTGCATAATGACAAAAAAAATTAAAAAAATATTTTGAAAATTCACCTGGTTTTTGAAAAAACAAGAAAGAAGTGAGGGGTAAATATCATGTGAGGGTAAGCAATTTAAGTGCAAGCACACAAAACAATGATCTGTGTTTATCTTTAAATCAAACCAAAACAAAAAAAACAAAAGACTGTCATCATTTCCGAAAAATAAATAACAAGTGATTAATGATATGGTGTCTTATCTTGATCGATTGATTTTATAATATATTTAATAATAATTGAACAACTATCTATTTTCTTAAGATAATAATAATGTTAACCAAGAAACAATGGACAGTAAACTCCTTCTCATTGATAAGATGAAAACAAGGATAAATTTGGTTGTGAACTTGATACCTTAAAGCGCTTTTGTATGAATAATCATTTACGATCTACATATTCTATTACTTTTTAGTTTTTGAGATAAAGTATTTAAATAAGAAGACAAAGTAAGTAAATTGATAGACAACCTCCAACTGACTTTGAAAGGTATTTAATTTGTGATCTGAAATGACCGAAAAGAAACAAATTTAACCATCTCTCTATACCTAAAGCATCTCTCTTAAGATTTTATCAAACTTTTTTCAATCTTTTGTAAGTCATTCCAAAATATCCTTTCATATAGGTAGTGACTGATTTTGCTCGATATAACTAAAATCGACTTGTAAACAGACAATGCTACCTGAAGAAGGTCCGATGTTAATGACAAACCTTTTTTGCACATGATATGCACTTAACCTTAAACAGAAACTTAAAATTACTGTAGTTATTATCTTTATTTTGACATCAATCTTATAAAAACGGTGTCGGTTAACTAAGATTAATAAGTGTTTTTTTTTTCGTTTGGTTTGACAAACAAAAGATCAGTGACCATGAGTTGGATGTACATTGTGATCGAGTCCAAACGAAAGAAGTAAATGGGGTGCATGACACTTAATGAGACCTCAAAAAAAAGTGTAAAAAACCATGAATAAAATCAGTAGAAACTTGAAACTTAAAACTTGCAAAATCTATCTATCTTTGGGTGGTAGACACCCGTTGACAGTCTTTATGATCGAAATCTAACTAATTCTTACAATTTGTGACCACCATACATTGGTTTTTTTTTTTTTGTTTTTCGATTTTTGAAAAATTCCAGTTTTTTTTTTGCAAGTTTATTTTTGTGTGAGATCAGATGAATTTTGTTGAGTTTTTGTATTTTTGATTTGTCACTGATTCTTTGAAGTTGGAGTTTGGCAAAAAAAAATTTTCCTAAAATGAAAGGCAATTGTATGACAAAGATGGGGTATTTAGTGTTGAAGGTTTTTCACGATTGAAAGAAGAAAAAAAAAAAAAAACTATTTTGAATCTAATTTTTTTGTTTTAATCAGAAATTTTATTTTTAAAAATTTTCAAAGATTTTTTTCCACACAGCGCCTTGAAATTTATTTTTAATCTTTAATCATTGTTCAACACACCATATTTGAGAGTCAGTTTCAAAAAAAAAAAAAAGATTTGTTTATTGTTTTAAAACATTCCCCTACAAATATTTATAAATATATAATCTAGATAAAATGAAATTATTTGTTTCATTAGTTGTTTTATTGGTCGCTATCAGTACCGCCAACGCCTCATGTGCTATGGGACAAAAGTGTGTCAAGCTCGGAGAACAATGTCCACCATCTTCGTAAGTATCCATATCAGAATTTATAAATCATTAACAACAAATCATCTCAATATAATTTTAATTAACAAACAATTGTTATCTTTTTTTTTTTTTTTTCAAACTATTCTCAGAGTCGATCCATGGACTTCGTGTGAAGCTGGTTCATGGTGTTGGTTCGGTGACAATCCAAAGCCAAATGCCTGGGGTAACTGTACTGCTTACGCAAAGCTAGGTGAATTCTGTGATGGTGATTACTGGTCTTGTGCCGATGGTTTGACTTGTTATGGAAGCACAAGACAACCAAAGACCTGTCAATACACCAATTACGCCAATGTCGGTGAAGATTGTGATTCAGCTGTTGACTGCACCAACGGTAATCAATGTATCTATGGAAAGTGTCAAGTCAAAGCTTCAACTCAAACTGTAGGTCAATGTGCAGGTAGATGGACTGATTGCCCATTCGGATTCTCTTGTAACATGACCAGCAATATGTGTATCCCAACCCTCACCAACGGTGCCGCCTGTAATCTCCCAGACGTTCCACAAGCCAGATGTTCAGTTGGTTTGGTTTGCTCACCATTAACCACCGATCTCGGTACCGAACTACACCTGTGTCCCAGTCAACAGCAAGGGTTCAGGTGCTGCATGTGCCACTCAAATCCCAAGCTTCGGTCTCGACGGTGCCTTCCCAAGTTTGGAGTGTGACGTCTCGCAATCGTTGCTCTGTCTCCGTGACAACAACGCCAAATTGACTTGCCAAACTCCACCAGCTTTGACCACAGGTAACTGAGGATACCGACTCTGCTACCCCATGCCAAAGCAACAGCGAGTTCTGCGCCTGTCCAGTTGACTCCAACACTGGTACCTGTACTGTCAGCACTCGTTTGGGTGCCGATTGCTCCAAGGCCATCAACGACCTCGTCAAGTGTACCATCGACAACAAATGTCAAATCTACGCTTCAGGTACCACCTCATACAAATCATGTATTTATCAAAACTGTCGTGACATTATGTGTCAAAACAAATGTGACCCAATTCTTACCAATGACAAGTCATGCACTGCCTACCAATACACTGGATGTTACGCAAACAACGACTCTTCCTTTGTTCGTCCAACCATTTTCTTGGTCGTCATTGCTTTGGTTGCTCTTTTATTCTAAAATTAAAATAAAAAACATTAATATTTAAACCAAAAATTATTATTTTTTTTCTTAGCTAAATAAAATTTTATAATAGATAAATATAATATTATATTTTGTTGGAGCATTGCAGAAATATTATTAAATATTATAAAATTAGGATTATAAAAAAGAAAAATAAATCCATTTAAAAAAAAATTATAATATGTCAGATAAGAAACAATAAATATTGTTTTTTTTTTTTTTTGGCTTACCATTATTTATATATTCACAAGAATATTAAAGAGAAACAATATTGTGAATAAATAAAAGTATTATTTTTGGAAAAGTAACCTCTTTGTTAGCAATGCTGTTGAAAGGGTTTTTTTTTTTTTTTTTTTTTTTAATTTTTTGATGATTCGGTTCTCGATCAACCCTTTGAAAAATTCATGAATTGTTGGACCAAATATGGGGTTGACACCCTGCTGACATCTGTTCATTTTATCGATAGACAAAAAAATATTTTGGTACAATTTAAAAATAACTTTGAAAAATATTAGATTCTTTTTCAACTAAAAAAACAGAATTACCTTGTACCAATCTAAAAATCTTATGAGTAAATTGGAGTAATGTTTGATCAACCGCAGATCAACCTATTTTCTAATATTTTTTTATTTTAGATTATTTTTTATTTTTTTTTGAATTTCTTCTCAGATAGGCAATTGAAGGGTCGATAAATTACCGCCTTAAAAACTCTAGTTTTACTTTTTCTTTTAATTATATTTTCTAAATATACAAATAATATATATACACACAAGGATAAAATGAAATTATTTATTTCATTAGTTATTTTATTGGCTGCCATCGGAGCTGCCAGCGCAGATTGTTCATACGGACAAAGATGTGTTCATGTTGGAGAGTCTTGCCCACATCCAGCGTATGTATAAAATAAAATAAAATTATTTAGAAAATAAAATAATAGAATAATTATTAATAAATATTTCTTTAAAAAATTAAATTTTTTTCAAGTGTTGACCCATGGACTACATGTGATCGTGATTCATGGTGTTTCTTCTCAAATAATCCAGCCACTCCCTACGAGTCAGGAAACTGTACCGCCTACGCCAAGCGTGGTGAATATTGTGACAATGATTACTGGAGTTGTGCTCCAGGTTTAGAGTGTTTCTCCAACGAAGGACCAGCATCCTGCCAATACCTTTACTTTGCCACCATCGGTGAGGACTGTGCCTCCGCTTTCGAGTGTACCAACGGAAACGATTGTATTGACGGAAAGTGTCAATTGAGAGCATCCCAAGAAGGAAGCTGCAGTCAAACTTGGGAAGATTGTCCATACGGATTCTCATGTAACAGAACCAGCGACTTGTGTATTCCAACTCTCACCGTCGGAGCTTCATGCTCTGGTACTAGAGCCCAATGCGGTGTCGGTCTTATTTGCTCACCAACCAACACCACCATGACCGATTACACCTGTGTTGCCATCAACTCCAAGGGATTGGGTGCTGCATGTAGTCAAAATACCTTTTCATTCAATTTGGACGGTCGAATCCCAGATATCGAATGTGACGTTTCACAATCTTTGCTCTGTTTGGAGAACAACAATGGTGAATTAACCTGTCAAGCTCCACCAGCCATCACCACCGGTAATTGTTCTACCGACGGATGTAAAGAGAACAACGAATATTGTGGTTGTCCAGTTGACTCTTACAATGGTGTCTGTGCTCTTTACAATACCCTCGGTGCTGCTTGCTCCGAATCCATCAACGAACTCATCAAGTGTGCCGTTGACAACGAGTGTCAATATAAAGCTTCTGGAAGTTCAAGTTATAAGAGCTGTCTCTACCAAAACTGTGGTTCCATCATGTGTGACAACAAATGTGGTGGTCAATCATTCTCTGATGCCAAATCCTGTGGAGATTATAAATACGACGGTTGTTACGCTCAAAACTCATCATCTTTTGTACGTCCAACTATTTTCCTTGCCATCATTGCTTTGGTTGCTCTCTTGTTCTAAAAATAATCAAAACAATAATATAAAATAAAATAAAATAAAAATTTAATATTTAAAAAAAATAAAAAAAAATCCCAATTATTATTATTATTTAAATATTATTCAAATAAATTTATAAATATTTTGAGAAAAAAAAACAAATACAACAAATCTATTGGATTTTTTTTTTTTTTTTTGAAAAATTGAATAAAATAAAGTTGAATTGTAATAAAATATATATATATATATATAATTTTGGGAAGGTTATAAAGATTAACTCTTTTTGCAAGATCTTATTGCTCATAAAAGGATGTTTTCAAATAATTTAATTGTGTTTTTTTTACGATTCAACTAAAATTTTTTAATGTGTGTAAAAAATTCCAAGATATTTGTGGCAAAAAAAAAAAAAAAAAAACTGTTTTAATTCCAGGTGTCATCTATTTAGGTTTTTAATTTTGGTGGTTCGATTCAAACTTCAACTTCAAATTTTAGTTAGATAAAATGAAATTACTTATTTCTTTAGTTGTTTTATTGGTTGTTATTGGCTCAACCAACGCTTGCGATACCTACGGTCAAAAATGTGTTAAAGTAGGATCACCTTGTCCAAATCCATCGTATGTAAAATAATATTAATATTAATTTATAGATACACTTTTGAAATATTTAATATTAATGGATATTGACAATATTATTTTATCTGTAAATAATAATATAACATAGAGTCGACCCATTTACAACATGTGAAGAAGGTTCCTTCTGTTATTATGGAAAGAGTCCAACTTCTACTTCATCAGGAAACTGCACTGCTTTTGCTGTGGTCGGTGAGTACTGTGATGGATCACAAACAAGCAATACTATTTGTGCACCGGGATTGAGTTGTTACACTGGTAGCGACAGTCCAAATACCTGCCAGTTTGGTGATTACGCCGCCATTGGAGAGTCGTGTGACTCCTCCTTCTCCTGCATCAACAACAACGATTGCGTCAATGGAAAGTGTCAACTCAGAGCCGCTGCCAATGGAAAGTGTAACGATGCTTGGAGCGACTGTGCTTTCGGATACTCATGTAACACCACCAGTAATGCTTGTATCCCAACCCTCACCAGCGGTGCCGCCTGTAATGTCCCAGGTTTAACACAAGCCAGATGCGCCGTTGGTTTAGTCTGTTCGCCAGTGACCACCGAGCGTCTCAACTACACTTGTGTTCCAGTCAACAGCAAAGGTCCAGGTGCTGCATGTGCCTCTCAAGTCGCAAGTTTCAGTCTCGACGGATCCTTCCCAAGTTTGGAGTGTGACGTCTCCCAATCGTTGCTCTGCTTGTTGAACAACGGTAACTACACCTGTCAAACACCACCAGCTGTCTCCACCGGAAACTGCTCGGCTACAGCATGTCAAAGTGGATCTACAGAGTTCTGTAGCTGTCCAGTCGATTCCTGGACTGGAACATGCACTCAATACAACACTTTGGGTGCCGATTGCTCCAAGGCTTTCAATGCTCTCGCCAAGTGTGCCGTCGACAACAAGTGTCAAATCTATGCCGGTTCACCAAACTACAAATCGTGTATCTATCAACACTGTTCCTCAGATATGTGTGGTGGTGATGCATGTGTCCCAACTTCCAGCAACCAAGGTTGTGGTGAATCTCAATATGCCGGATGTCATTCCTACAGTTCCTCATCATTTGTTCGTCCAACAACTATTTTCATTGCTTTAATTGCTCTTCTCCTTTCACTCATTTAAAATACTCGATTCCCGTTCAAATTAAATAAATTAAAAATAAAAGTAGTTTAATTAAATAAATATCATATTTTGTCAAAGCTTTTTATAAAAAAAAAAAAAAAAAATCATAATGATTGCAGAAGTTGCAATCAAATGTATAAAAAACTGTTTTCCGACTTAAAATTTTGGTTGACTCAGAATTGTTAGATAAAATGAAATTATTTATTTCTTTAGTTGTTTTATTGGTTGTTATTGGCTCAACCAACGCTTGCGATCACTACGATCAAAAATGTCTTAAAGTAGGATCACCTTGTCCAAGTTCATCGTATGTAAAATAATATTAATTTATAGATACACTTTTGAAATATTTAATAATTTTGTCAATATTATTTTATCTGTGTAAATAATAATATAACGTAGAGTTGACCCATTTACAACATGTGAAGATGGTTCCTTCTGTTATTATGGAAAGTATCCAACAGCTACTTCATCAGGAAACTGCACTGCTTTTGCTGTGATCGGTGAGTACTGTGAAGGATCACAAGATCACTTTACTGATAGCAATGCTTATTGTGCACCGGGATTGAGTTGTTACTTTGGTAGCGACAATCCAAATACCTGCCAGTTTCTTGATTACGCCACCACCGGAGAGGCGTGTGACTCCACCTCCTCGTGCATCAACAACAACGATTGCGTCAATGGAACGTGTCAACTCACAGCCAATGCACAGTGTATCGATGTTTGGACCGGTTGTCCTTTCGGATACTCATGTAACACCACCAGTAATGCTTGTATCCCAACCCTCACCAGCGGTGCCGCCTGTAATGTCCCAGGTTCCACAGATGCCAGATGCGCCGTTGGTTTAGTCTGTTCGCCAGTGACCACCGAGCGTCTCAACTACACTTGTGTTCCAGTCAACAGCAAAGGTCCAGGTGCTGCCTGTGCCTCTGAAGTCGCAAGTTTCAATCTCGACGGATCCTTCCCAAGTTTGGAGTGTGACGTCTCCCAATCGTTGCTTTGCTTGTCGAACAACAAAGGTAACTACACCTGTCAAACTCCACCAGCTCTCACCACCGGAAACTGATCGGCTACAGCATGTCAAGGTGGATCTACAGAGTTCTGTAGCTGTCCAGTCGATTCCTGGACTGGAACATGCACTCAATTCAACAGTCTCGGTTCCGATTGCTCCAAGGCTTTCAGTGGTCTCGCCCAGTGTGCCGTCGAGAACAAGTGTCAAATCTATTCTAACGGTATGAAAAACTACAAATCGTGTATCTTTCAACACTGTTCCAAATATATGTGTGGTGGTGATGCATGTGTACCAACTTCCAACTACGAAGGTTTTTGTAGTAGAACTCAATATGCTGGATGTTATTCCTACAGTTCCTCATCATTTGTTCGTCCAACAACTATTTTCATTGCTTTAATCGCTCTTCTCCTTTCACTCATTTAAAATACTCGATTCCCGTTCAAATTAAATAAATTAAAAATAAAAGTTTAATTAAATAAATATCATATTTCTAAATAAAAAATAAAATAAAATCAAAATGTGAAAAAAAACAAAAAAAAACTGTTTTTTTTTTTTTTGCAATGAATGGTTTTTCCTTTTTTGAGTTATTTAGAAATTTAAATGTGGTGTCATTGAATTACAATGACGAGTAAGCAACCACTAATTCCAACCACTATCAAACAAGCAGATGTCGAAATATATACATCTATCATATATCACGACAATAATGATTTATATTAATTTCGAACTGAATCGAATCAATTTCAAATGAAATTTGAATAGTTTTGTTTTTTTTTTTAATTTAATTTCAGTTAAATAATATAAACTCTTCTCTTTTGATTTTTTAATGTAAGCAAACTACACACACATAAAATACACACTACTTCTTTTTTCAAAACTATCACAATTCAACACACATAAATATCAAGATTTATTACAAAATAATTGAAAAAAAAATACAAAACAGAAAAAATTAATTAATTCATTGCTAGATTAAAAATAGCTTTTTTTTTAAACTACAACAAATAAATTAAATAGTATTAGATTAGAGAATGATCAAAGTAGAGAACTTTGAATTAAATTCAGATAAATATTTTTATTCTACATTTCCAGAGATCTCGATTCCAGATCAATCATTGACATCCTATCTCTTACCCTATCTTCAAAGACATGGTAAGAAAACTATTACTATTGATGGTGTAACCGGTAGAGAATATAGTGGTCTTGAAATAAAGTCAAATATTGAAAAGGTAACAATTAATTTACACACAATTGAATCATATATATAATATTAATCTTATATTTATTATTTTTTAAAAGGTTGCTAGTTTCTTAACTAAATTAGGATTGAAAAAAGGAGATGTAGTTGGTGTTATCCTACAGAATGTACCAGAGTATTTGATGATTTTTCATGGTATCCTTTTGATCGGATGCGTTGCTTCGACCATCACTGGTGACTACCAGATCGAAGAGATCAAAAAAACCATTGGTACCGTCAATCCAAAACTATTAATTACACAATCAATCTTTCAAGATAAGATTGCCGGTATCACAAAGGAGATTCCATCCATCCAGAATGTCGTTGTAGTAGGCGATGTCATTCCAAATACAATTCCATTTCAAACCGCTTTAGATACACCAATAAATGTAAGTATAACTATTAATGAATATACATCTGATTAGTATTGTTTTATTTACTAATAAAAACATGCACAAAACAAAAACCAGTATCCAAATGTAAAGATTAATAGTTATGAAGATTTGGCAGTTTTACCTTTTAGTAGTGGAACTACTGGACTACCAAAAGGTGTGATGTTGACTCATCGCAATCTGCTCTCGAATATGCTGCAGATCCAAGCGGTCGAGTCACCGACTTACACTTATAATGAGGTGGTTATTGGTGTCATTCCATATTTCCATATCTATGGAATGATCTTCTTTTTGTGTGTTTGTGTCAAGGCTGGAATCAGCAGTGTCTCACTACCGCGATTCGATGCACTCTCCTTTCTAAAGTTGATCGAAAAGTATAAGGTAACGATCACTTTCATTGCACCACCCGTAGCCATTCTCTTTGCCAAGTCACCAGTGGTCGACAAGTTCGATATCAGTTCACTGCGTGTACTGTTCAGCGGTGCCGCTCCACTCTCTGTCAGCGTTGAGAACGCTATCAAGCAGCGATTCGGTGGAAGAATACACATTAAGCAAGCATACGGACTGAGCGAAGCTTCACCAGCGATTGTCATCACTCCGTATGGCGCGAACAAGCCCGGAACCAGTGGAATGCTTCTGCCCAACCAAGTGCTGAAGATCCAGGATATCGCCACCGGTGAAATCAAAGGTGCTGGCGAACTCGGAGAGATTTGTGTTCGCGGACCCAACATTATGAAGGGATACTTTAACAACCCCAAGGCAACGGCCGAGATGATCGACGCCGACCGATTCCTGCATACCGGTGATGTTGGCCGTATCGACAAAGACGGCTATCTCTACATTGAGGATCGTGTCAAGGAGTTGATCAAGTACAAAGGATTCCAAGTGGCGCCAGCCGAGCTCGAAGGTCTGCTGCTGAAACACGAAAAGATCTCCGATGTCGGAGTGATTGGAATTGCGGACGAGGTATCCGGTGAGCTGCCACGTGCCTACGTAGTCAAACAAGCCAACCAACAGGTCACTGTTGAGGAGATTCAAACATGGTTAAACGGTCAAATCGCACACTACAAGAGACTGAGAGGTGGTATCATTTTCATCGATCAAATTCCGAGATCTTCCTCCGGTAAGATTCTTCGTAGAGAATTAAAAGCTAAAGTATTAAGTTTAGAACAATCAAAATTATAATTTATAAAAACAAAACAAAAAACATATAAAACAAATAAAAAATAATAATAATTGTACAACTAATAATATAAATTAGAATTAGAATTTCATTCGTCTTTTCATTTTCATTTTTTTTCTTTTGTTTCGTTCGTTTTTGTTTTTATTTTTTATTTTATTTTTTCATTTTTCATTTAAATTTATCTTGATCTATCAAATCAAGATATATATATTTATATATAAAGATATTTATCAAATATGTCTATTAGAAAACAATCGAAAGTTAATTACTTTCGTTTAAATGTAAGTAATTCATTATTAATATTTATTGTTATTATTGATTCACACAAATATTAATATAAATGTTTAAATCAGTGGTCAGAGAGACCTGAAGATTTCAAATTAAAAGATGACAGTGGTGAAAGTTCAAAGACACAATCTTTTAAGAAGCAGAGGAATCAATATTACGGAGAGGAAGATCAGTATAAGAAGAGACAACAAGAGCTATTAGAGGATGAGTTGAGTGAAGGATTGACTCTTGACTTGTTTGTTAAATTGTTGACTTCAAAGAGACCGACCGACAATGAAATCGCTTTGAAGCGAATGATCTCATTGATTAAAGAGGAGAAAGAAAAGGACGGTGGTAGTAGTAGCGCTTCGTTGAACTACAACAACCAGGTACTGTCACCGCTCTTCAAATACCTCAGACAATCTCAGTTGACAGTGGAGCTATTCCATCTCTGGGATCAATATACAGATAAGCCCGATATGTATCGTGATGTCTTTGTTGTGCTGCTAGAGTTGTTCTCTATGATCTTGGTGGTGAACGACGATCCATCGCTGACAAAGGTCAACAAGCACATCAGTGAAACAATAACAGAGAAGAAACTGGCTACTCTCATAGAGAACGTCAACAACTACACTACCAACCAACAAGATACACTTCAACTATCTATCAACACCTATCGTATCTTTACAGCATTGACACAATCCTCATTGAAACTAGCGAAATACATTCAATCTAAATTCCCATTTTCATCACCTGTAAGTAGCAGTTAGTTAGTTAGTTAACAATCATTTTTCTTATTATTAATATGTTCAATACTATTGATATTTAAATTTATTTAGGCATTTGAAAAAGCAATGACAGATATATCATCGTTGGGTGCCTATCATGGTACACGTCCATTTACTTTGAGATTTATCTTGGCGTTTTTGAAACACCGTAGTTTTAAGCTGACAAAGTTTGTTGTCGATAGTAAACATCTGCTGGTTAGATTCTTTGGAAAGATAAACTATGATCATCATTATGTATTGTTGGATCTCGTTGAGTCACTCGACCAGCATATTCTACAGCCACAAATCCTTACACACCACGAGCGTCTGAAGTTCTTCAATAAGAAGTTCCTTTCGCGTATAGCGCTTGCTTTCTCAAAGGACGATATGCCAGAGGATGCTCGTGATGCAATCGCGCGGTTCCTTACGGTGTTGTGCACGTCTAACGCCGTTGGAATTGCACCGCTCGATCCCCGATGGCACTATTCCCGTGGCGACCAAGAGTTGTCGGCCGAGTCGACACTGATCCACAACATCATAGTCTCGCTGAATCCCGCCAAGTTCCAGCAGCACCACGCACTCTACACCAAGATTATCCACTCTTGTCCCGATCTCTTTTTCAAGGTGGACTACGCGCTGCCTTCGCTCTCGATGTACTGGTTCAACCGGACAACAATGCTGGTCAAGACGTTGATGTCAACGATCCCACGCCCACCGAAACGCAGTCAATTGCTACTGAGTGGCGGCATCCCCGACTCTCCACACACACTGATCGCAATGCTCATTCCATCGCACATGTCAAATTTCGAATTCGAACATAAACTGTCGCCTTTCGTCGCTTATAATCAAGCGATTCTCTATCAGTTGTGTTTGCGTCGTGTCAATACCGTATTGATGGAATTGTCACATTGGGCATCGACACAACAACAACAACAGGTTGGATCAATCGATCGATTCATACAAGATCTCAAACAAGGTTTGAAAGAGAGAATGTTATCGATCAACTACTTCAAAGAGAAAAACAAAGAATTCAAATCCAATGTATTACTCTACGGTCAATACATTGGTATCCTCTCTGAATATACAAAGTTAATTGGAAGTCAAGAGTATCTACCGATCAGAATATTCGATCTTCCACTCCTTATGAAATCGGATGCAATGATTCAAAAACAATTCATTCAAATCATCTCAAATTCCAAGACATTCCAAATACCATCTCAATTATTTTCCAATTTAAATGAATCAAATGGTAAAGTAGTAGTTAAACAAATATTTTCATAACCAACTAACTTTATTTATTTCTTTTTAGAATCAATATTGGTAATGATTTTGAATTTATATTTAAATAATGATAATTGTAATGAATTGAAATCACTCTATCAAAATCTATTGTTCAAGTTATTATCGATTAACAATTTCTTTGCTGGTCTGGAGCAGGAGATCGATATCTGGATTGAAAATGTAGATATCAACTCAATGAAATTCCTCGTAAAGATTTTGATTGATACCAATGCATTGAAGTTCCAATTCATTGATGTTTGTCAGCGTGTCTCAACCAGTCTTTTCGGTAGTAATAAGAACTTGGTTAGTCCAGTGATGGTAGCAGCCATTTCCAACTGGTTGTCAGACAGCGCCACTCAATCAAATCAAGACATCTCCAGTTACCTATCAAAGGTTATTCTCTCGGTTGGCTCAAACCAAAACTCTGCCAAAGTAGTCCTCTCTTTCTTCCATCTTGCACACCTCAAGAAAGAACAACCGCAATCCAACATTCAAGAGCTGGTCAATGCCAATCTCTATCAAACACTTCCGGCAATTCTCTCAGCGCAAATGTCAAAACAATTGGCATCTCACCATCAACTTGTTGCGCACTCGTCGCTCTCCTCTGATAAAACTATCAAGCAAATCGATCTGCAACAACACGGTATATTGGAATCATTGTCACTCCTCTCCATTGCCAGTCCAACACTACAGATTGAACTACTTAATAGTTTCGAATGGCAAATGACATTGACCAATCAAATTAAACAACTTCCACCAAGACGTATTGCCTCGATCATTCCAATAGTTCTACATCTCATCGAGTCGATTAAAGATGAACAGGCGCAGCAGTATCTCTTTGATATAGTATCATTGATTTTCGACCAACTACTCTCAACGAAATCACCTAAAGCCATCCAATTGGCAGGTGAATTCCTTCAGTCACAGTATATCCTCAAGAACTGGTTAGCTAGTCACCAAGTTTCTCAACTGCTTTTGCAACTCTTCCAATGTCAGGATGCAGCTGCTCTAGAGTTGTGTAGGCAACCAGTGATCCTTCTCATTGAAAAATTCACCAACGATGTAAAATCCAATCAATTGGAAACCAACTCTTACAAATCGATAGAATTGCTAATTCCATTCTTTGACTTGACCGTTTGTCTTGATATCGCCACCCTTTTGCAACCGCATCCAACATCCGCATTGTTTATCAATACCATTCACATGATTGCACAGAGTAAACCATATGACACCAACCAACAACTAGTCAAACTATTGAAAGAGGATCTCCAAGTTGATTTACAAACAATAGATTCACTAGTGATAAAGTCACCACCTTTAATGAAGTTGAAGTTATCCGATAACAGTCAACAACAACAATCTATTAGAAATCAATTATTTAAACTCTATCAATTTTTATTGGAGTATTCAAAGCAGTCGGATCATTCTGGTTTAGAGATTGCAATCTATCATCTATTGCTATCAACTTTGTCCAACCCATCAGTATTCCATAATGCAAGTTTCTACAGTTGTTTCAATGAAGATGTTTTAGTATCCTTTGTCCAAAATCCAAACAAGATCCGCTTGTCCATTGTCAGTATATTGGGAATGACCAGTATTATCAGTGAAAAGACAATCCAAAAGATAATCTCAATGGCCAACATTGAGAAGATTTCAAATGTCAAAGGAATCAATTGGATTCAAGTTCTTTACTCTCTCTATTGCCAAAGCAGATCGGATCAAGAAACAACCAAGATGATTAGAGACAGTCTGTATCATACCATTGACAATCAATCTATCTTTAAGAATAATTCCGACTCGAGTCTACGTGTTTTGAAGATGGCATTTGAAATGGTTCTATTCATCGCCAGAATCAAGGAATTAAATAGCGAGGATTTCATTAAGCAGCAATCAGAGCATTTGCAAATGATATTGTTAACAACTGTCAAGATGGAACAACAGACCACCAAAGTAAAGAGTGTTTTTGCATCTTCACTCGTCCGAGCATTGAAGCAATCGGAGCACTCACTTTTAGAGTCGTTCCACTTGGAGCTACTTCCATTCTATGCTCACATGTTGAAATCCGATGAGAAAGAGAACATCATCAACTTGACAGTGGGAGGTGAATCGTCGTTGACAAAGAATTCACTATCGTTGGCACTTGCAATTGCAGAGACATCTAGAGACACTGCCAAGTTGATCCATTCAACACTGCTCTCAGCGGCAAATCAACGATTTGTTTGGTCACATCTGAAACTCTTGAATGACAATGATATCGCAATGCGAAACAATCCAATTAGATATATTCTGGCACGTATTATCTATTTGGTATTCCTCAAGGACAAGAAACTTTGCAACAATGCAGTGTTCTTGGATCACATTTTTGAATCGTATCAAGCAACCACTCATCCAGTCGATCAACTTCTCTATCGTGTCATCTACCTTCACCAGATCAACAATCCATCGTTGACCGAAGAGCGTATTGGAAGATGGGGATACAACTATAAGGAGAGTATGAGTTTCAATGGTTTGCTCATTGCCAACACACTCTTTAGCGAGAAGCTACTGGAGCATTCCATTCAAAACTACCCAGTCAATGCTAAATCAGAGATGAACACCGAGTTGCGACCAATCAACGCGAATGAATATGACCAGGTTGTCTCTGCGAATGCTACCTATGCCTATGACCCTGCTTTCTTCCTTCGTTTGTTCAAACAACTCTTGTCGACAGCAACACAAGACTCTCTCAACAGAAGTGCATTCTACACTAATGGTCCGTTGTCCTTTACTCTTTGTTCTCTCTCGTCCAATGAGAAATCGATTCGAAAGTTGGCCTACAATGTTTTGTTCAAGTTTATCGAGTTGATCGAGCCATGGAAGACAACCAGCAGAACCGCCAAAGATCAATTGCGTGTCCTCAAGCTACTCAAGAGTAGTGTCAAAGGCAATGAGCAACACATTCCAGCAGTCTATGTAAACTTTTTGAACAATGCCATCAAGATATTCACCAGAGATACAACAATCCATCCGACTCTACGTCACGAAATACTCAACTATTTCCACAATACTCAAAAGATTGATTTCCACACCATTCCATTTATGGGTAATCTATCAATTGAGTTGGCTACCAAGTATAAATCAATTCTATGGATATTTGATATTGTTAATCAGTCTTTACCAAATCAAAATGTAAGCAGTTTAACAAGTCGAGTTTTTTATTGTTGTAAACAAACAACAGTTTATTAATTATTATTATTTTTTTATTTAGACAACTGATATAATTAAAAAGACTGTAAAATTCCCAGAGTTATTATCTATTTTTGATAATCAATCTGTTAAACTTAAACTAAAGTTGAGAATAATAGAGCTTTTGAAAGGATTCTCAAAGTCTGGTGGTGTTTTGGTTCTCTCACAATATGGTATCATTCCTTGGATATCAAATGTTCTCTCCAACGGTAGTTTACCAAAGAAACTATTTGATACCGTTTTGGAGTTGCTAAATACAATCCTTTCTTCACTTCCAAGCAATATCAAGGATTTCCAAGAATCTACTTTCATTTCAAACTATCTTTTAAATTATATTTGTAAGTAACTTTTTAATTTTTTAGCACTATACTCGATGATTAATCCTTTTTACATTTCATATTTATTATTAGTATCAATCGAGTGGACAAACGAAATTATTACTATCGTTGTCAATAGTTTACATTGTATAGGATATACTTTATCAAGCTTACAATCTAACCTTTCGATTTCCATTGATAAGATTCAAAGTCTTTACGCAAAGATTAAAACGATTCGTGATCACGAGCAATCGAATACAGTGAAAGAGTTGGTCGTCAAATTGATCTCATCTAACCATGTCAATTCACTCAATATTAATTCCAAACTCAACAGTATTGAAACCTTAAAGTCAGTTACAAACGTAGTTGCACAGTCAATTGACTATGCTTCCGGTTACCTGTCAGCTCCAAAGCTCCAAGTTGGAAAGAAGCTGTCTTTGATTAACAATCTTTTAGAATGGATTCAACAATTGTTGTTATCCAACTTTGGATTGGTTAAACATACTAGTGATATCACATACCAAGCAAAATCATTGGTCCCTTTTATTCGTATGAATGATCGAAAACAAGATTCGACAATCATAATTAGGTTAGCAAATGTATTGTTAATGTCAACTTACTTCTCAATGTCAAACAATAAGCAATTTATGGAGATAATTAATCGACTGCCTCATCCAACAACAGACGTCAATATTTCCAACACCAACATCAATGAATATTGTTTAGCAATAGAAACAATTTTAAAACATTAATAAAATTATAAATAAAAAAAACTGAACATAATCATAATTAAAAATAAATATGATATATCCAGGTTCTTAAATACATTTGAAATTGATTATTATATTAACGGTTTTTTGTCCTTCAGAATCATCATTAGCTCCCTTTTGGTCTAGTGGTGAGGATTTTCGCCTGTCACGCGAAAGGCCCGGGTTCAATTCCCGGAAGGGGAGAAATAAAATTTTACCACTAAATTTTACCGCATGCGGTAAGTATTAAAATTTAAAAATTCTGGATGTTTGGCTGACCACCATCTCTGTGACTCTTCAAGATGAAAGTGATCTTTTCACTGGAGAGGAAAGTTTAAGCCCAAGACTCTTTGGCCAAGTTGGTCCATTAGTAAGCCTTAGAGAACTTGGGTCGTGGGATCGATCCCGGGTTTTTACAAAAATTTTCCCGACTTGAAAGGAGCGCGCCACGTACTAATCTAGTATCAAATACTATCTTGGACCCCACGAAGTTGACACCAACAGTAACTAGCAGGCTTATCACAGGTGAACACCGAGTGGTTTACACACGTACCCGCTTAGAATTCTAAGTGGCTTAATCCCTCTAACAATACTCCTAAATATAATAAATAAATACTCAACTCAAATATTAAATTTGAATATTTAATATTTATTATAAATATATATCAAATATATTTTAATATAAATATTAAATAAATATAAACTTTATTAAATTTATAGATCTATAAATTAAATAATTTTCTAAACCTCGATCGGTTATATCAATAAAATTATTATTAAATGTTAATATAACAACACTATGTGAATGAATTGAAGTACGATATAATTGAATTGAATTATTTAATTTTATAATAACACTAATTAACACATTTTTCACTTTGACATACAAAAATACATATGTATATATTCATATTTGTATGATTTTTTTGAAAAATACAAATAAAACAAATTATTTTTTTTTCATATATATATAGTTCATTGACTGTTTATACCATTATAAAAGGATCAAGATATTAAATGAATGTTTAGGAGTTGAATTGATTCGTGGTGCGTTGTACTTGTACGGAATTTAATTGGTTAACTTAATCTATTTGAAAAACATACCAGTGTGTAGAAATTTCAAACTACATATGTCATACTATATGTCATACAGTCATTGACTAATTACATATATAATAAAATAGTTATATCACAGTCTGTGAGACTATATAGTAGTCGGTGTATAGTATTTAAATTGCTAATACACCAAAAAATACATAAAGTCAAGTGATTAAAATCAAAAAACGTTTTATAAACTATATATGATATATGACATACATATTCACATGTGAAATGTAGTATAAATTTTTTAATTTCAATAGTATTACTGATATTATTTGATTTATTATTTAACTCTTGTAACTATTTGAATAATATGTTTTCAAACACTAACTTTGATCATAAATTTGGTATATGTGCGATGGGGAGGTAAATTCAAGATTTTGAAAAATATTTATCAAATATTTAACAATATTTATGAATTTTTTTTAAATTTATTTTTTGATTTCACATTTATTACAATTATAAATTTTTGATTGATTCAGTGTTAGAGTTTTAGAATTTATTAATAATAATTAATTTTATAATAGTTATAAAATGAGTGAAAAATATCACCCTTATAGTTCATCTGATAAAGAAATAAAAAAAAGATCCAATAAATATAATAGTTCTATTTATGAACACTTTTTTAAATTTATAGATTCGAATGATAAGAATTTAATTAAAATGAAGTGTAAATACTGTCAAGTATTTTCTTTTAAATACGATAAGGTAGACAAAAAATCAGTGTCTAGTGGTTTAGGATGGGCACATCTTGAGAGTAAGATTTTTAAATTTAACAAAATAATAACAATTTCAAGTGATCTGATTGTCCTATTATATTTCTTTCTCTTTAATTTTTTTATAGATGTGAGATTATCTTGCCACAAAGAAAGTGAAATAGATTGGTCGTATGTCGCAGAACAAAAAAGGAAAAAAGCAGAAACACTTGCACTTGCTATATCAAAACCTTTTAGTCAAGGTGTATCAGAGTATGTATATATGATCTTAAATTGAATATTCAATTATTAACTATATTAAAATAGGGAATTATTAATAGATTTAGTAATCAAAAAAAATCTTCCCTTCAACTTAACAGAGGATGAGAGATTTAAAAATTTTATTTCATCGTTAAGACCAGAGTTCAATTTAGTTGGTGGAGATACTATTAAAAATAGAATAATAAAAAGATATGATGATCAAGTTGTACAACTCAGAGAGTATTTCAAGACTATGGATTCCAAAATCAGTTTCTGTTTCGATATCTGGAGTGTCAAGGATATCTCTTTTTTGGGTGTAACTGGTCATTGGATCGATAGTCAATTTAAAGCTAGAAAGTGTTTGTTAGGAATGGAGAGCCTAAAAAGCGATAAAACAGGTAGGTATTGTAAAATGAATTTTTAATTTACAATTTATTAATTCAATCAAATATTATTTTATTAACATGATTCAGGTATAACTCTATCAAAACTTTTTTTTGATGTTATAGAAAAGTTTGATATCTCCAAAAAGATAATGTGCACCACTTCTGACAACTGCTCGAACAACCACACTACAGTGGAGAACATTGTCAAAAACCAAGATCCTTCCAATGATTACAAAGGATTCCAGGGTGGACATATTTTATGTTTAAACCATGTGATTAATTTAGGTAAGTGAATATAATAAAAATAATACATTAGCTATTCAAGTTGTATAAAAATAAAAAAAATATTAAAATATTAATATTTTGTTTTAAACAAACAATTTGTTCCTATACATCATTAAATTTATTAACCCTTCTTTTTCAGCAATAAAAGCATTTATAGGAGATAAATCAACGAAATATCTTTTCGATAAAATTCACTCCTATGGTTCAAATTTAAGAAACTCCAGTAACCAAACAGATGCTTTTTTTGGGTAAGAAACACAATTATAATTTTTTTTTTTACATAATTAATAAAAAATTTTAAAATTTTAGAATTTTCGAAATTCTAAAAACTGAAAAGAAGGACAGGTTAAAGCCAAAAGTATTGAACCCAATCCGTTGGTCATCTGCTTTTCAGATGACTAGTAGATTCATCAGGATCAAAGATGCAGTTGATTACGACATTAAATATAAGATTACGAAACATGATATCCATCTCACTACCGATGAATGGGATATCATCAAACAAATCAATAAATTCTTGGATGGTGTGGATTTTATTACTTTGGCATTACAAGGAGCTGATGTTAATCTGTCTTGCAGTTTACCTGTGTATGGTCGGCTCTTGGACATTGGAGAGGAATGGAAAACCAATAAGATTCTCAAGACTGCTGCTGAAGCCTTTTGGAAAGAAATAGATGTATGTAATCATATTTTATTAACATTTGCATTTTCAAATTTGAAGGTTTTTTAAAAAAACTTTTTTTTTTGAAAACTATTAATCATATAAACATTCATAAACTTTTTAGGGTTACTATACAACACTTGATTATGGAATAGAACCATTTTATATCTCAACTTTTCTTGCACCATTCACCAAATTAGAGGTATTTAAAAGTGAATTTTGGAAAGATTATTGGAATAACATAAACAATTCAATTGAATCAATTTATACTAAATATGGAGGTACTAAGGGAAATAAAACCAGTATAGAATCAGTCAAACCAGAGATGGATAGAATGAAGTTTATTTTATCCACTCAAAAGATAGTAAGTTAAATTAATTTTTATATCTACACTATCAATACTCTTATTATATTTATTAATTTTTATTTTTATTTCAACAAGATTATTGTTGAACAAAATGAGAATGAATTGTCAAAATATAAAAATCTACCAACTACATTCTCAAATGACTCATTGCAGTATTGGAAAGAGAATCAAATTGAGTTCCCAGTTCTATCTAGGATTGCTAGAGACTATCTCGCCATTCAATGCACATCTACACCTGCAGAGATTGAATTCCGTTACAGCTCTGACATGCTCACTAAAAATAGGTGGTCTCTTGGGAAAACAGTTATCAAATCACAAGTCTGTTCTAACAGCATTTCTAAATTAGATTTTATCAAATAATCAATTAAATAAATCAATTAAATTTAATAATATTCATCTATTAATAGTACTGAGGAGTGTTGAATAATCCAAATCACAGCACTGTGATATAACACTTAAAATATCATTCACTGTTGTATCTGTATTTATTTATTTTCTGTTTTATCATAAATATAATTGTAAATTGAGAATTATTGATTTATTTAAATTTATTTACTCACCTATTTCAACCATATATATATATATATATTCTCTCTCTTCTTTTCAATTTTTTTTTCTCAGTGTTTATAAACATTACTCACACTTCTTGTTTATTTTATATGATTTGCTTGAGTATTTGTTCACAATTTAATGTGGATATATACTTGTTTACAAAACTATTTAGAACTCTATCTCATGTTAACTTACAGAATTTTCAAAAATAACTATTTTCTGATCATTTTAATTATCTTTTGTTGTAAAACTTTATTTTTTGAATAATATATTTTGTAATCTTTTTAACTTTTTTAACTTTTTATATAATATTGTAAAATATTATTTTTTACTGTAAACTCATTCATTACTTTGATAGTATAGAATTTAATATAAATAGCAAATCATATTTTCATTTTTGTATAGAAAAAACAATTTATATTAAGAATGAAGATTATAATTGATTTAACAAAGGAAAACAAGTATACAGAAGAAATCATTGATCTCACATATGAAATCAATAACAACAGCAATAACAACAACATAAACAACAACATCATCCATATAAATCAATTCCAACTTAATTTAAAGAGGAATCTTATGATTTATATCACTGATTTGGAAGATTATATTTTCAACAAAATATTAGAAAATAAAAAAAATAAATTTTCAACATTAATTACATATTTTACTTTTTCGCGTCTCACCAGCAGATTCGAATGTAATTTATGTGAATGTTTCACAATTTCATTATCAAACAAAAAGGTTGGACATTGTGCAACCTCTCATATTAATGGTATGTTAATTCTTTTTTTAATAAATATTTAAGCTAATTCGAATCTATTTTCTGTTTTTCTTTTTTCCATATTTAGCATGTTGCCAACAATACCCAAATATAAACCTTTGAGTATATTGACAACACCACAGATGTGCATGCACTGCCACTGAAAATAAACATTAAAATAAATAAATTTAGATTATTTAACAATTATTCTTTATAACTGTGTTTAAACATTTTATTTATTATTGAATTTTCTTTATTATTTATTTGATAAATGTTTTATTTATTATATTTGTTTGTAAATATTAATTAAATATTAAATATTTTTAAATTAAATATTTTAAAATTTATTATTTATATTTGAGAGAATTTGTCATATTTAGGAGTATTGGTACGAAGTGAACTCGCCCATCGACATATTCGCACGAAAATACGTTGGACGTTGGTTTGCAGTGTTGATCGACATTGCCGGAATCAGTACCACCTTCAATGTCGCCACCGTTTCATTCAACAATATGTACAGAATTCTCTACTCCATTGGAAAAGCAAACTTGCATCCCTCCTTTAATATTCTGGCACGAACCAATCCTCGCTTCAAAACACCGGTGGTTTCCATCATTTTCTTTACTTTGACACAATTCATTTTCATGGCGATTATCGGTGCTATCTTTGGATTTGTAAAGACGAAAGGATCTTGGGAAGCATATGGTTATCTCTCGTACATCGGAACACTGCCATTGATCATTGTGTTTATCATTACCAATATCGCTGTGATTCCCTACATGAAGAACAAACACCCTGAGGACTACAGTGTACTCTATCATATGGCACTGCCGATATTCTCAGCGGTGTTGTTCATCATTGTGTTGTTTGGAAACTTCTATCCAACCTATCCGGAACCACCTTACACCTACCTCTTGATTTTCTTGGCAGCTGCAATGGGATTCGGTATCGTTTTAGGATTGGCACTAAAAACAAAGAGAGGATTGTTCGAAAACATGCTTTACATGATTCAGAGTGGTGGCGAAGAATCGATTACCGAAAAGAATAATAACATTCAATAACTGTGAAAAATAACAATCATCAAATCAACTTTTAATAAATTAAAATATATATATTCGATTAAAGTTAATATATAACTTTAAAATATATATAATTTGATATCCAACAAAAAAAAAAAAAAAGTATATTGTTTATTATATTATATATTCTATCATTTTATTTATGAATGACCGACTGACTGACTGATTTGCTGAATGATTTATTGATTGGTTGGTTGTTTTATTGTACAACAATAAAATAAATTATTATTATATATGAACAATCTATATTTGAATGAAAGTGTGAAAAAAAGAGAGAGAGAGAGAGAGAGAAGTTTATATTTCTAAAATATTAAGTATATATATATATGATAACTAATGAATAAGATCAACGATAAAAATTAAAATTCCAGTTGTTTTGATTGTTGTAATATCGTCTAAGGTGATGTTTGAAGTGCTGACCATTGCACCGAATTTCATTTCATGACGGTCCAAATTCCAACGTAAACCAGTGGTCGTAACCTCTTTGACAGTTTCAATGGGTACTACTGAGCAGTGAACTCCTCCTCTAAGATGAATTGTGTGTGTAAAGTTGGGGTGACAGAGCCAAGCGATGTTTCCAGGTGACAGCAATATCATTCTGGAGTTTTGATTCATCACGAGATTGTTGATATTCGCAATCTCATGTGAGATATTACCACCAAGTCCACCACTTACAAAGATATTATTAAACTAGTTTTAATTAAGTTAGTTTATAATCAATCAATAAATCAATAGATCGATCAAACAATGATTCTAACTTACAGTGATTTCATGTTGTTGTTCCATATCTCTTACAATTTCAATTGCTTTCATCAAGTCAGTAGAGTCTTGCGATGGATCGGTGATGATAGGAACACCTTTCTTTGTGTAGTACTCGTGTACTGCCTGATCGACAGAGTCACAATCACCCTTGATAAAGTCGGGAATAAAGTAATCCAATGTATCTCTTTGTTCACAGAATTTATATAATCTATTTGCACCTCCATCTGCACAAATAACTAAAGATGCTATAGTAGTGTGTAATAGCAAATAGCAATAAAAATATATTGTTGTAATCAAATTTGGTAAGTTTAAGCTCATATCATTTTCGGTGATCATCATTTCTAAAAAAAATACAAACATTTCTTCCACAAATATTCAAAAGTATCCGCTGGTATATCATAGTTACAAAGAATCAAGCAATTGATTTCAAGATTCTTACTCTTGTTGCTTGAAATCGAAGGTCTCTGTAAAACTTCAGTGATTCTTGTTGAACCAGCTTCAAAGTGTTCATCTTGAAGATATGGTGATATTTCATGACATTTCCATTCCATTTATTCTTAAATTTATTCTTATATTTATTTTAAAAAACTATATATATATTATATACGTATTATTTATATATCTGTAATGAACTATTAATTTAAAACTAAAAAAAAATGATTAAATTGATAGCGTTAATTAGATAGATAGTTTTGTACTACAGTATTGTATGTTGTTTTGGTGGGTGTTGTGTGTTGTGTGTGTGTGTGTGTTGTTAAGGTGTGAGCTATTGATATTGGTATTGACAATGTGTATGGAGTCAATAATGAGTGATGCAAATGTTAATGCTAATGATGATGTTTTTAAATATAATATTATAGTCAAAATAGCTAAAAAGAGAAGGAGTGACAATGACAATGAACAAATGAAATAGAAAATAAAACAAAAAAAAAAACAAACAAAACAAAAAACAATATAATTATATTTATAATTTCCCAAAAAAAAAAGATTTATTTTTATATAAAAAAAAATCTCGGGTATCGGTGGTAATTTTATTGGTTTTTGACTTTTAAAAAATTGTGGGTACTTTATTATTTATTTTTGATTTTGAAAAATATTTAAAGGTTACAAGTTATTGTGAATAAAATAAATATATAATATAAATATAAATCTATTTATTTGATAAAAGGTAAATTCTTTCTTTTGATTTAAATGAATCAATCATTGATCTGAAATTCAAGTCTTTGATAATGATTTGTCGTTTTGAATTTGAAAGTTTTCGAGTTGATTTTCGAAGTTGTTGATGTTCATTTTGCTGACGTTGTTGTTGCTGTTGCTGTTGCTTTTGCTCTGATATTAATAAATAAGATGCCCAGTACTGACCTAAGAATATTTTTAAAATATCTATTGGTATATATTGTTGCTGTTGTTGTTGTTCTTCTCGACCTGACAATGTTGTCGAGCTGTCGCTTGGTAGTTTAGGTGTTTTCAATATGCATAATGTCCAAGATAATAATGACGTATTATTACTATTATTATTATTAATATTAATATTATTGTTGTTGTTGTTGTTAGTTGCAACAGCTGACGTCTTCATAGGTGATATATAATTAATGATATCTAATTTAAACCATCCTTGTTTCTCTAATATTGAAGTATAGTAGATTGGTTTTAAACTATTACTATTATTATTATTATTAATACTATTGTTGATATCAATATTGTTATTAACTTTGTTTGGTACTTCAAAGAATATAGCATTGGGTCCAATGATGTGTGTTCTTGAGTGCGAATTTCTATTTAGCGTGTCTACTGCTTGTTCTAATAACTCTTTAGCAATATCCCATCCTTTATATTGACTAATCGATTGGTTATTATTATTTATATCGTTGTTGCTATCATTGTTATTGTTATCTATTGACTCTTTAGTATATAGATTATGAATGACACCACAATTACCATTGTGAAGATATGAGAATGAAACACCACCAACTATCTCTGATTTTCTTGTTTCTTGGTTATAGCTAGTTGCCAATACCAAATGAAAATCTTCAAGTGACATTGCTGATCTACCTCTAACCAATTGATACTTCCAATGACTGAAGTAATCTTGACTTTGTTGTTGCTGTTGTTGTTGCGATAAATTACAATACTCTTGTAGAAGATCTTCATGATAATCGGTCGATAAGTCGATGAATGTAAATGGTCTTGACCAAGGTATATGTAACAGTGGTATCTTCTCTCGTCTCGAGAGATTCTCAATCATATGTTGATAGTCTACATCGTCATCCATAGCATAGCCATTTGCACTACAATTGAATCTCCAATAGTTTGTTGTAAACTCTAACAAAAGAGAAGCAGGTAGATAATGGCAATCTGGTCTAGACTGTGGAATTCTCTTTGTTACCAACACTGCAAGCGATAGCTTTCCACTTGGTTTCTTATCAACCGATAACGGTGGTTGTACATATGAAAAGTCTACTTTTCTCCAACCCATTCTATCGAGAAACTCATGACAGTATGATGTCTCCATTATCCTATTGTCAGTGTTATTCTTTGTTGTTGTTGTTGTTGACGTCGTCGTACTATTATTACTGAAATGTGCAGTCTCTAAAAAGATAGCGTTACAACCAGCCAAGTTACCACGCTCCACAGCGTTGCGATCGAGTATATCAACAGCTCTCTGTATTAGTGAACGTGCCATATGTTCATCACCTACCAATATATAGCTAAGTAATCCACAGTTTACGTCTGAATGATATTCAAATACCAATCCACCACATATCATTGGTTGCTGAGTGATATCGTCATCCAAATATCTAAGTGATACTAACAAGTGGAAATCTTGTTTGGTAACACCACCACTACTACTATTACTATTGTTATTATTGCCATTGTTATTACTACCTCCATTTCCTGGTAGCATAGATATCCAACTTTCAAGTGAATCCAACTCGTTCTCACCACTGAAATTAGGGACGAGAACTTCATGATAGAATCTAGTTGCCAGTTGTTCACATATTGGATTGGGTGTTGAGTGTAAATCAATGATTGTCCATGGTCTACTCCATGGTAGATCCATTAATGGTATCTTTTCACTTTGATTGAGCTGATCCATCATTCGACGATAGTCGATATCGTTTCGCCAGTTTTCCATTTCCAAACGCTCACAACAACTTCCCCAGAACACTTCAAGGAATTTGCGTATCAATGCCGACGGTAAGTAATATCTCTGCTCACTACCGAATACATCCGAGGGAATATTATTGGTCAATACACAAGTCAATAGTAGATCTCTACATTTTCCATGTTCGAGTGCGAGTGGCGGTTGTACATAGTCGAAATCGAGCAGACGTATTCCCAGCTTGTGGAAAATAATATGTCGCTGTGCCGGTGCCATTACATCGTCTTCCGGTGCAACTTTGTCGGCAGAGTTTGTCTCCAAGAAGATCGCGTTGATTCCACCGAGATGTCCATGTGACTTGGCATCGTTATCCAGCGAGCTGACAGCGTGCTTCATCAACAATCCAGCAATACCTTGTCCACGATATTCATTATTCACCAAGAGATAGGTAATACAACCAAAGTTACCGTTTGGATAGTATTCAAATACTACACCGCCCATAATATCAGAGTATCCATTCATTTCGATTTCCAATTTCTTGTCATCTGGACACATAGCAATAACTACATGGAAATCAACTTGATACTCATCGCCATCGTTATCTCGTTGATAAAACAATACTTTATAACCATCTTCATTCGCTGTCGATGCCGAGCTATTTGAAACACTTCCAATATCTGCTCCATTCTCCTCATTTTCATCATTATCTTGAAACATTTCTATCCAATTTTCCAGTGGTTCCAATTCTAATTAATATAAAAAAAATAACAATATTATTAATAAATATTATTAATAACAATTTATTTATTTATTAAAATAATAAAGTATTCATACCTTCTTCTTTTGGAAAATTCTTTCTCATTAATTCATTATAGAATCTCTCTAATAAATTTAAATTGAATTCATCTTTTAAATCTTTATAAATAGGTATTATTTTTTTTGGTGTTGTAGATATTGATGATTTCTCGCTCGTTTTAAAATCAAGATTAATGTTACTATTAATAATATTTTGATTATTCATTTTAATATTTAAAGATTCGAAATGATCATCATCTCAATAAATAATTTAGATATAAATAGAATGTGACTTATTCTAATTAATTGATTGAAGTTGTTATATGTGTGTAATATATAAATATGTGAGTATGTGGTAAAAAAAAAATTACCAAAGCTAAATCAACAAACACTGTTGATAACACTGTGGAAGTATGTTTATTGGGTGTTCATCTAATCTAATAATTAAAAAAAAAACGAACTTTTAAAATATAAAAACAAAATCTTACAAAGATTTTTTAAAAAGATCCTTCATACGTGCCCCGAAAAAATAAGAAGGGTTTTTTTGTTTTTTATTGTTCCATTTTGCAAATTTGCAAATTTGTTTTATGAGAATTATTATTATTGATAATCAAAAAACAAATAGACAAATAATTTTAAAAAATAATAAAAAGAATTAATATGAATAAATATGTATTCTTTAAATCATTATTTATTAATTTTGATAGCTCAACTATTATAACTAGACTACAATTAATGTGATTGGTGTTTGGTCATTTAAATTCAAAAAACCACACACAATCTACGAAATTGGCTTTCGGTCGTCCTCCACCACCCACTTTTCTTATTTTTTATTTTATTTTTAATTTTTTTTTAACGACAAAATTTTTGAAAATATTGATTTAACTTTATTCATATTTTATTTTAATATTACTACTATTATTGGATATTGGATACCTTTTTTTTGCTAATTGTTTAATATATTATATTTTTTTTATATTAAAAGATTATATGTATAGATTTTCATATTTACTTAGCAGTGAAGGATCAAAATTTCTCAATAGATTCAATAACATACATCAAGCTCAGCAGCCGCAACAGCTCTTCAGTCACAGCCTGGAACACATGGCAAAGAAATCCGCCAAAGGAGCAAAAGATAATCGCACTACTGCTAATGGTGTATTACGTACAAGTAAGGATAGTAATAAAAGCAAGTTAAACAACAACAACAACAACAGCAACAACAACAACAGTCACAATAGCAAGAACCATAAAGGTATAAAATCTAAAAGGATATTACAAAAAATGGATCAACATAGACAACCTTATCATAATCAACAAAACAATGGACAACTACAACAACAACAACAACAGGTAGCCAACCAATTCCAAAACAATAACAATAACAATAATAATCAATTTTATCAGCAACAACAACAGCTGATACAACAGCAACAACAACACCATCAGCAACAACAGTTGATACAACAACAACAGCATCAACCACAACAGCCACAACAACACTATTTTGACAATCATCAAATTAACCATGGATATAACAATAACAACAATAACTATCAACAACATAATAGAAATGGAAATGGTGGTTTTAATCGTTATAATAACAATGTAAATGTTTTTGGAAATGACAATGGAAATGAAAATATAAATGGATTTGGATATAATAATAATCAACAACAACAACAACAACAACAACAACAACATCAGCAACAGTATCAACCACAACAACAATATCAAGCATCATAATAATCAACAAAATGTACAAATATAGAGAAAATCGTTATCATAATCAACAACAACAACAACAACAACAATACCAACAACAGCAACAGTATCAACCACAACAACAACAACAACAACAACAGCAACAACAACCTTTTGTCCAGAATAACTATCACAATAATAATCATCATTCACAAAGAGCCAACCACAACAACAATATCTTCCAACAGCAACAACAGTTCCTCGCAAAGAGTCAACCACATAACTCTCATAGAAAGAATAAACAAACAGAACTGAATCAATCATATCAACCATATCAACAAAACCAAGTTAACAACAGATATTTTAATAATAACAATGATAATTTTAATAATTACAATAATAATAATAGTCAAATGAACTTCTACCAACAACAACAACAACAAAGATACCAACAAGTTCAACCAAATCAACAGAACAGATATGGACAACAACCAGCCCATGCTAGCCATTCAACACAACCAGCACCACCCATGAAAAAGAAACCAAAGAAACCAAAGAAAAAGAATCTACATCTAGATAACCAGACCGATCTTGACCCAAAGAGAAGTGAGATTATATTTACTCTGCCAAACCAACATAAACATCAATTCAAGGTATATAGTTAACTGAACTGTTAGATCGACAGATTACCATCGTTGTTCTTGACACATACACACACTGAAAGATGAAAGAAAAAAGACTAAACAACTGTTGTGTGGTAAAAAATAACTACTAAATATAATATATAGGCAGCAGGTATCTTATTGTATAGTGAAGCAGAGGATGGCACCATTAGAGTGCTACTGGGTTGTGAGGACAGAAGTGCCAAGAAGAAGTATCGCCCATCGGTGACACCCAACGTCTACCTGCCGTTCGGAGGAAAAGTAGAGCCGGGCGAGACTGCCTATTCCACGGCTATCAGAGAGTTCAACGAGGAGACTGCATTCATATTCGATGCACACAAAGAGGAATACAAGGAGCGATTAAAGTCGAGTGAGACTGCAAAGCTTTGGTTCCCGTTCTCCAAGTACATTCTCTTTTTGCTCAAGATCAAACACGACGACTCGCTACCACAGCAATTCTTGGATGTCGATAAGTCGGGATTCGAACATACCGACCAGCTCTACCTCGAGTGGATCGACATCGACGCGATCTACGCCACCAGAGACAACTTTTTTGTGCGTCCAAACGGTGAGCAAGGTGAAATCTCTTCATTCTTCACTTCGATGATTCATCTGATAAGACGATATTTTAGCTCAAGAGATACTCTAAATCAACAATATCTAACAAAGCTAACAATGCGCAAAGCAGAATCATCAACAACAGCAACAACAACAACCACTACCAATAACCATATAGTTAATCTAGATGAAATTGACGTTGATGAAAATGAAGAAGAAGAAGAAGATAATGAACAAGACAACCAAGATGAAAATGAAGATGAAGATGATGATGAAAATGACGAAAAATAAGATGGATATGTTTTGTTGTTAGATTTAATATCTTATTTTTTTTTGATTCAAAAATCAATAAACACCAGATATTTTAGTGATCACATTAGTTAGTGTGCACATAAAAAAATCAATTCGAATCTATTTCTTTAATTTATGATATCGATTGCAGTTTGAGATTCTTTCAAATAAACTTCAAGTTATTCCAAATTATCAATCGAATTGATTAATTCATTACCGAGGTAATTAAACACCAAACTGGTTCTTAAGAATGAATATTCATACTTTCATTTTTGGTTTGGGTTTGTTTGTTGCGATTACATAGATTAAATTGGAAAAATTTATAACAATATTGGAACGACTATGACTGACCTGTCATCGATGTAAAGTCAATTATTATATTACAATAGGCTAACTAGTTATATTATTTCTTTCTATAAGGTGATATCATCCCATTGGTTTTATTTTTTTTTTTGTTTTGTAAACAACCTTTTTAACTAACAATAACAAAACAAACCAAACAAACAAAACTAAACTTTGAAAGTTAAACAACAACACAACACCACAACAGCATCTTTGCAAATAAGGTATTGATGAAACAAACCATCAAACTAACTTCCACTTCAGACTTTTTTTTTTTTTTGTTTGCAATGAAAAAAAAAACAATAAATATAGAAAAAATAATTAACGTTAACCTTTGTAATTACATTATTCATTAGGAGGATATTGAAGCTGTACAAAACCTTGCATAAATTAAAGATGAATTAAGTTTTTTTTATTCTTTTTTATTTGGTTGGTGCCTGTTTCTAAAATAAGGTTGGTTTTTTTTTTTTTTTTTTTTTACAAATTTTTACACTCGTCATCACGATCGAACCATCGAAACAACAAAATTGAATGTGATTCACATTCGTTTTGTAACCCACTTACACACATAACACCAGTATCAAAAACTCTGGATCGTCTATCTAGTGTTTTTGTTTTTTTTTTTAAGATTAATTTAATTTATTTTATTTTTATTTTATCTTTTTTTGTTATTTTTTTGTTTTTAATTTAGATCAATCGAGATTTGATAAAGGTCTACCCCAGAGTCAATCATGATCCTTTTTAATTTTACTAATACTATTAAGTGACAAAAATTTTAATAAACGTTGAAATTTTCTCATCATCTTTGGAGCAAGTGACGATAGTGTACTACCAACAGAAATACAATTAATTCAAATCATAGTCATCCTCCTAAATCCTCAATTAATTGTGTGTGTGTTGTTATTCTATTGGATTTCTTCATCCATCTTTTTTAGTTTCTATAAATATAATTCACAGTATTAATAATAATAAATATTAAAAAATCAATCTCACAATTAGAGTCGAACAACCCCTCAGTCAAGAAAGTAAAATCATTCAACAATCATCCAAACAATCGGTCAATCACTCTTACTTTGTAAATTTAACAAATACGAATCAAAAAAGAGATTATTTAGTTAGTTACTTCTTCAATCAACCAAACCCCCTCATTCAACATTACTATCTATCTGTAAATAAATAAGTAAATAAGTAATAATAATAATATAAAGTAAACTGTATATTATATATTTTAATTTAAAAGTTAATTAAACTAAAACCCAAAGGTAATTATTATTATATTTTAAATTTATATAAACAATAATAAATCTATCTATCTTAAAAAAAAGTGTTTTAAGAAAGATTGCAAAAATAGTAATAGTAACTTGTTTTGAACATTGTCAATGAAACCAAAATCATCAAAATCATTATCTGTTTTGTTTGTTTATAATAGCGATAAACTTCCCACCACTTTTCACCAACTCCATAATTTTATCCAATAACAACAACCATAAAATTTTAAAACCAATATTGGTTATTCTTTCTCTTTAAGAATTAAGAATGACAAAAATGAAATTAAGTTAAAATTATAACAACACCCCGCCAATTTATCAATTTTTTTAAATATTATTTGTATATATGTACATTCAACATCATCAATGATCATCAAATAACTGAAACTCCTTAAATATCATAAATCCCTCTAAATCTCAACATAAAGTGAATGAATGTTATTTGTTCACACTTGATACATTTATTTTAGTGGTATGTGTTGTTGTTGTTGTGATTTTAGACTTTAAAAAACACAAGCACAGCACATCCATTCATTATTTCATCCAAACCAACAATAACAACACCATTCAAAACAAAAACACTTAAAAAAAAAAAAAACAAAACAAATCACAATAACAACCATATATATTGAAACTCTTCAAATAATAATGATAATAGTTTCATATGTATGGTTACATTGATTGATATCAGTCCATAATTATTAATTAATGGTATAGTGAGTAACCAACCTACTTCCTATTTCATCAACAATAACAATTTGACACCAGCAACACAAACCAAACAAAATTGGAATTTGAAATTCATTCATATTCACAATAATAAAAAGAGTTACTTTAGCTTTTTGTTTTTTCTCTTTTACTCTTTTATACTATCAGTCATACAACATAAGAATAAGATAGAATCACCAGTGTACCCAAATATTTAACTTACTTCTTCTAATAATAATAATACAAAGTTACATATTTACAAGTAGTACTATTATTTTTATTCAAAAACAAAAGATAAAAATAAAATTCTAAAATCATTGAATAATAATACGAAAACAAAAATAAACAATTTAATCACTCTGTAATATTAGATTTATATTTCAACCATAAAAGTTGTTGTAATTGTTTAAATTCATAAATAAGCACAAACCAGTTCTCCAACAGAAATTTACAAATACTTGTTATTTACAAATAGGCTTCTGAAATTTTAAACCAAAAATTATTAAATCTTTTGGATAAAAGATCCAAATAGTTGAAATTTCAATAGGTACATATTGATATTAGGATCAATCAATAATTATCCAACGTTAATCATTATTATCATCATCATCACACTTATAAAATTATATCATTATATTCTAAACTCCAAAACACAAAGATCATAAATAAATAAAAATTGAACCCTATCATATCTCTATCAGCCGATTGTTAATAAAGTAATAGAGTGTAAATTATGAAATCAATCAATCAATCCACAATTAGCCAACAACAAAACATATACCGTTTTACACATCTTCAAAATTCAACTCATCCAATAAAAATAAGTGATGTATAAATTTCAACTCACACGCTCACACAACACATTCTCACTCACCAAACAATTGTCAGATTCGAATTAAGTGTGTTGTCGGTTGTTTTCTTTTTAGTATTGATATGTTATCTCATCTGGAAATCATAAATAAAAAATTTTCAACGTGAACAATAACTCACATTTCAAACACAAGCGTGAGTCACACCAATCAAAAGGAATTAACAATGATAAGGTTATTGTTTTTCCACTCTCCTTTTTGTCTCCAATTTTATCACCCATCTGTATAAATATAGATATATTCAATAACATTGATTTGATATTTTAGTATTACAATTTCGAAAAAAGCTTAGATTGTGATTCATATTGATAAGAATCATACTATTATTAACATCTCAATAATCATAAGCTTATCACCAACCCAAAAACAAACTAAAATCAATTGTAATTAAACAAAACACTCTGGAAAAGATGAAGTAGAGTAGTCTTCCTTTCTAATTTCCAATACATCCAAAACACAAACAATTTTAAATATGATATTAATATACAGTCTAATACATTAAAATATACAAATAACAAAATCCTATCTTTCTTTATTATAATTTAAATAATAATAACATCATTTGACAAACAACACTTCATTATTATAATATAATAACTTTTTTTTCCTTTATTTATTTAAAAATATATATATTAACTTAATTTATTAAAATTTATGTAGGAATAATTAAAAATAAAATAAAAATAATTAAATAGATTAAAAAAAAAAGAACTCCGATTATTTCAAATAATAGTAGTAGTAGTATAATAATAATATATAAAAAAAAATCAATAGTAAAATAATGACCGACATTGATTTTAAAACACAATTGGCAGATCGTTTGAAAAAAAGAACATCGGGTGAAAACTATGTCCAAACTACACCAACAAACACTACACCACAAAAACAGCAACCACCTCCACCCAACCCAAGAAATAGTGTAATCTCACCATCATTCCTTTCGCCACCACAATCACCAAGACAACCACCACCTATCAACATAAGCAGCGGCAGCAACAGTAACAATGGACCAGCCTCACCTCTATTAAAACCACCCATTCCAGACCGAAAGAATCTAACACAGAAATCCTCTTCACTTGGTGCGCTTCCAACTCCACCGAAAATCAATAGTTTTACTCCACCACCACCACCACCCTCTGCTGTCTCGATGAACAGTCTCGCAATGCCAGCGAACAATGCCCAACTGCCATTGCCACCTCCACCACCCTCCTATTTATCAACTCCACCACCTCCCATCGCACCAAGGGAGCCAGTCGCCAATCCACCTCCACCCTCGACATCGCCACAATATAAGAAATCACCTCCACAAATACGTCATCATATTAACCATCCACCACCTCCACCCATTCCAAATCAACCGCCACCACATTCGCCAAATTCGAACAACCAATTTGTATCAAAACCAGCACCATCCTCACCACACAACGCAAATCTCCCACCAACTCTTCCACCCATCACCATTTCCTCGCCAACAATGACACCGCCACCACCAATCAGCTCCAATGCACCATTCATGCCAAACAGACCAAGACAATCGGTACACCACGCACGTTCTTCATCGTTGGATCCAAAGATGATGGCACAAGTACAAAACATGAGCGCAAACAACAACAACAATTCACCGGGACATGCCAACTTTGCCAACCACGCTCCACAACCCCAAGCATCGATCCAAAAACGTATGAGCAGCGAACTCCAACAAAAGAGACTGAGCCAAGACGCACTCAAGCTCAACACAATGCTAAACAACAGATTATCAGGTGGTCTATCACCTCCCATTGTCAAGCCATTCTTCGATGACAAGGTTTTAAATAACAACACAAAGACAATCGAACTCAACAGTAAACGCGAACAAGAAGAATTGGAAAGAAAGGAACGCGAACAAAAGAAGAAGGAAAAGAAAGAACAAGAAAAGAAAGAAAAGAAAGAAAAGAAAGAACAAGAAAAGAAAGATAAAAAGGATAAAAAAGATAAGAAATCATCGTCATCATCATCATCAACTTCCGATTCACATAATAATAATAATAATCATTGTACAATTTTCAGTAACAGTTTAAGTCAAGTTATGGAAATTCAACGTGAAAGACTCTTGGAGTACAGCAATTTGAATATTCCAGTAATTTTGAAGATTTTGACAGAGAGTATCATTTCACTCGATGGATGTTCGACTGAAGGTATTTTCAGAGTGCCAGGTACAAGCTCTGAAGTAATGAGAATTCGTCAGAAAATCAACGAGTTGGATTTCAGCTTGGACACTAACGACGTACATGTGTTGGCAGGACTCCTCAAGCTCTGGCTGAGAGAATTGACCGACCCTATCATTCCAAGTGCACTCTACGACGACTGCATCAAATCGTGGAATTCAAAGAACGACAGTTTGAAACTTTTGAATTCCATTCCAACTCCCAACAAAGACGTTCTCTTCTTCATTTTGAACTTCTTGAAAACCGTTTCCGATCCGATCTATTTCAGTAAATCAAAGATGGATATCGATAATATTGCCATGGTATTCGCTCCTGGTCTTCTAAGATGTCCATCATCCGATCCAAACAGTCTCCTACTAAACTCACAATACGAAAAGGATTTCATCAAGAATTTGATTGAAATCGTTTAAAATCCAAATAAATTATTTTTATATAGCAAGAAACACAAAAAAAAAAACAATCAATCCAACCAAAGTCAAATCACAATTTGAAAAAAATAATTTTACTTCTTTGTCTAGTACCACTCTGTCTGTTTGTCTGTTTGTGCTTTAATTTTTAATTTAATCTACAAGGAATATAATAATTTATTTTTATTTTCATGGATTTCGAAACATATCTCGTCGGTAATTTGAACTTCCCGAGACCAAAAATACTCTGTTTGGACCTCCTTCCCAATAAACAAGCTCACCAGTTTCATAATGAGAGATAAAATATTTATATTCAATTCGCCCAGCTTGACCGAGAAGTACTTCTCCTTCCCAGGTATCTCCTTGAGAAAATTTCAGTGGGAATGCTCTTTGAGGGTCCCAATTGCCCAGTTGTTCGCAATTTCCAGTTACTCTAATTTGCTGTCCAAATGGAACGTGATATTTCAACCAAAATCTAACTTTAGGCAGTGCTGCCTGGCATTGCCTCAAATGACAACTCAGCGATGACCATTTCCCTATCCTATAAAAAACAATAATGATGATTTGGTTAGATTAGATTTATAATCATTATTAAAAATGGAAATGGAAATAGAAAAAGAAGTGATAATCATATCCAACATTATTATTATTATTATTATTATTATCGTCGTTTTCATACCATTGACATCCTTGTGCATGATGATCACATTTCACCATAAGATCTGCTAATATATTTAAAACTAAACAATTTGGTATCAGTTGTTTGTGTGTTACAGGTAGTCTATCTGTCGGGCATTGTCTTCTTGTATTCAACCAATTCTGAAGGCATGGATTACAAAATGTATGACCACAAGGCGTTACTATTGGATCTTCTATTACTCCTTTTCCTATTTGATTATTATTAAAGTCCAAGTTAATATATTGATGATTCTTTGATTATTATTTTTTGAATCGATTCAGTAATCCGCCGATTTGCCAAATAAACCAATCGTTCTGCAGAATCATGATTGAAGACCTACCAATTGGACAAATAAAATGTTGACTAACTTTATCCACAAATAAATCTTCTGATCGACACATCAAGAGATTAACTAAGTATTGTGATTAATAATAAGCACCAGTCAGTAAGTATGAAATGAATTGAATCTAACCTATATATTATTATCAAAGTGTTCACTATAGTACTTACAGAATATATATATATATATTTATATAAACAATATGTAAGATAATAATTTATAAATACAAAGAGAAAGATGTATATTAAATATACTACTAAATCAATATTTATAACTATCAATTAGTTTGAGTGAATGGTTCATATGTAACTTTTGATTTGACGTGTATAGAAGAACGACCTCTTTATCATATATTTCGTCTAAAAGAAAATAAAGATAGAATGCAAAGTTAGTTGACTGACTTGAAGTAGTTGTAGTATTATATATTATTAAAACAAAAGCTCTGCTGTTAGTGTAGAAAAGCGATGAAAAGCGTAGTGATTATTTATAAAGTTTTGTTAATGTTTAGATTATTAACTGATTTATGCGATCTGATTATATGTTGTAGCACTGCAAAAAAAAAGGTGTATACAATTCCAGAAGTAAATGCAGAGAGAAAAAAAAAGCAAAAATTAAACTAAAAAAACAAAATTAAAGTTCTCTTGTTTTGCATACGAATGTTTTGATTACTACAGCTGCTGCTACTGTTATGTTGTCGCCACTATATTATCAAGTGTTCTAGTTTGATGTTCTTTAGTTGTTTTATATTATATATTATTTTTTATGTTCAAATTATATGGTTATCAAGTAGAGTTGATTTGTTTTATTATTTTTATTGTTTTTGTTATGTTTTTTTTTTTTTTTTTTTTTTTTTGGTGTATGCCAGAGTAGAATGACTGACTGATTGACTGAATGAATGAGTGAGTGAGTGAGTGAAGAGGATAGTAGTAGAAATAGTAGTAGTGTAGTAGTAGTAGTAGACTTGATAAGTTGAACAATTTAATAATATTATTATTTGTTTATTTAATTTTTCATTACTATAAATGTAATAGTTACTATTTATTATTATTATTATTTTGAATGATTAACAGTATAGTATATTTTTTTTTCAACAACAACAAAAATATAATCATCAGACCAATATATTATATTATAGGTTTGATTGTTGATGTTTTTTGTTGTTAAATGATATTTGGTGTTGTTATTGTTGTTGTTGATGATGACCTTTTCTTTTTCTTTTTTTTTCTTTTTTTTAATGTTTTTGTTGTTTAATTATAGCAAATGAATATAGTTCATTCAGTGGATGGATGCATTTACTTAGCTTACCCCTTTTGTTATAAGCTAAAACTATAGTTATACTTATAGGAGTGTTGCTGCTGAGTGACTGAGTGACTACCACACTGTGGTCTAGAATGAGTGAGTTGTGTCAAGATGAAAGATAATGTGTTGATGGTATTGGAAGGAAAGGAAGAGTGGTGTGTTAGTGTGTGTGTGTGTTAGTGTGTTAGTGTGTGTGTCAGTGGTGTGAGTGTGAGCTCATTATCCTATACAATATTTAAATTGTACGTCGAAATACAATTTAATTCACCACTAGATTTCTGTATTCTTCTATATATTAATTTGATTGTTTTGACTATTACACAACTATTACTGCTAATGTTAATGTTTATGTTTTCGAACTTTTGCTATACTGTCTAATACTATATATATATTTTTAAAAACTATAGACCAGTTTAAAATCTTTAAATAAGTGTGAGTGAGTGAGTGAGTGAGTGAATGAAGGATTTTTATTACAATTCTTTTTAAATGAAATAATGTTATAACTATATATATTGTGTGTGTGTGTGGGTGTGTGAGTGTGTGGTGCTTTAAATAAATATTAAAATGATTGTGTGTGGTTAATGACATTAACTCAACTAATAAAGTCTGCAGACCAGAGGTTTTTTTTTTTAGATTTGTTCGCTTTTTTTTTGGTTTTTTTTTGCCTAGATTTGATAAATTTATTATTTCTTTTTATGTGCAGTTATTTTGTTGATTAAGATTTATCAGTGCTTTTCCTATTCTTTCTGTTTTTGTTTATTTTGATAAAATATTGATCGAAGAAATCTAAATAAGTCTAAATCTTAGATCTAATAAATGCAGAATTAAATAGATATATTATAATAGAACTCTTTAAATAATATATGAGATAATGTTAATAACGGAAAAAGGAGTAGAGCAGAAGGGATTGATAGTTTCAATTCTTGTTTTTCTTCTCAATTAATTATTGATTTTTAATAATATTATTAAATATGTGTGTTTTTTGTTTGGGATTCAATCATTTCCAAGATAAAGGTATATTAATATCAATCATTTAATAAACTATGATGATGAAAAAAAAACAAAAGAGTGTGTGCCTTGCTATTTATATATCCTTAGTATTAAAAAAAAAAAAAAAGTGTTGTGTTTATTTTATTGATGTGTTTGATTGGTGTGGTATAGTCAAGATTGGTTGGTTGGGCAAAGGTGAGAGATATCAAGTGGAGTCGAAAGTAATTAAGAGCTCTCCTTTGCACCAAAAAAGATACAAAAGTTGGTTGTGATCTTTGTGGGTGTTTATTTTTTTTGATTTTTTTTAATTAATTTATTGTTTGCCAATATGTTGTTGATGAAATGCAAAGAATAAAAAAAAGGGTTTAAAAATTGTTGATGATGTTGACTGTTGACACATTAACAATGATTTTTAAAGTCATTTCATTCATAAGTGTATAAACTACCCAACATTAAAAGGGTTTGATCTGGGTGCCTTTATGATTGAGCTATTCTAATCAATCCACACTTTTTATTAAAGTAAAAAAAAAAAAAAAAAAAAAAAAAAGATATTAAGTTTGGTTTGTTACTGTTGATGATGGTGATGTTCAAGGACCATTCATTGATTTACTCTTACTTTATTCCACCACAGAGAAATGAGTAGCTAACTGTGATGATGATGATGATTATAATTATAATTATTATTATATAATGCGGTGTGTTCGTGTGTGTGTGTGTGCCCACTAATATAATATTATTGGTGTTGGGTGGTATTGTAGAATCTTCCAATTATGGTCAGAATCAGAGTTCACTAACTCTTGCATGCCACTAGTGGTTGCCACACCACACTTTCCACAATTAATAAAAAAGCGGAAACGAAACTAAACAAAGAGCATCCATATAGTTGCATTACCACCCATTATCGAGTTCTAACTACTACTTTGGTTATTCTATTGTTGCTTATGTTGTTTTTGTTGTTTTGTTTTTGTTATTGTTATTATTATGATTGTTGTTGTTGATTGTAAACTGAACATAAATTTGTTATAACTAATGATTGTATTTACAAAAATCTTCATATGGAATATCTGTAATTGTGATAATCTGTTGTTGTTGTTGGTGTTGTCGTGTGTTGTTATTATTTGATGTTGTATTTAATTGAACGGTTCCACAAAACTTATCAATGTTGATCTCTAATAATGTTGCTACTCTTCCTCTGTATCTTCCACGAAGTATCAAAACAGGATTGGAGATGGCAGGTACCACTGTTTCCAAGAAAGACTGATCGATCTTCAGTACGGTGTTATCTTCGAGTGTCTTTACCTTTGCCACGTACTCAGAGTCTAACTCTTCGATCAACGCTTTCTGTTTGTAGAATTTACCATTGCCAATACTCTTCTCCATGATCTTTACAACTATATTTCTTGCAATCCAACTCTCCACCTTATCAGTCTCATGCTTTACAATCAATTCTTTCGGTTTCTTCTCTGCCTGTTGTTTCATATTCATCTCCATAATCTCATCCAATGCTGAATGTTTCTTATTAATACTACTACTACTACTATTTCCAACAATTGGTTGTTGTTGTAGTTTTTGTTGTTCTGTATTGTTTGTTGTAGTAGTAGTAGTAGTAGTCGTCGTAGTTGTAGTTGTTGCTATTGATTGATTAAACAATGAAGTTGATAGTAAAATAGGTGTTGTTAACTTTGTTTCTATTGGTTTCACTTGTAGTACTAGTTTGGTGTCTGTCGGTGTCATTTCTGTTGGTTTTACAGTTGAATCGATAATAGCTTGTTGTTCACCTGTTGTTGTTGTTTTTGTGTTTGATGCAGCTGCAGCTGCTATGATATTCATTTGTTTCAATCTTTTTTCAATGTCTAAACGATGTCTTTCTTCCTCTGTCAGTTCATTTCGCTCTTTCTTTGCTTCACGTTCCTTTCTCGCCACTGCTTCAGGGTCGCGATTGATATAAGTGATAAACCAACCTTTTGGTGTGTCCTCGACGATACATTTACTCTCTCTACCTAGATACTTGACAAACTCTGACAAACTCGACCACGTAGTAGAGTTCATGTGTATGTGACTACGGTCTTTGATGAACTCATTGTACACCTGATTCGCCGATACCTTTCCAGTTGGATAACGTCTAGATAGTAACTTTAGGAAATCAGCTTCGAATTCTTTCGAAAAGTTATCGACAAACATCGAGGTATTCGCAGATACAATTTCCATTTGTCTTAGATGACCTTCTGATGATTGATGACACTATATACATATTCGATAAAAATAATATTATTATTAAAAAGTTGATACTTATTTATTTAGTTTGTTTATTGTTAACATTTTATTACATACTTTAAAACCATTTTCATCTCTACATTGTTTCTGACAGAATTGACAATACCATCTTAATCTCTGTAAACCTTTTGCCTTTATCATCTTGGCAATTGCTTTAGGTGTCATATCTTTACCCATTTTCTATATCTTTAGCTTAATCTAAAATATAAATATATATGTCTATCTGTATTTATATATATATCTTTATGAATATAAATAAATAAAAAAAATGATAGTTTACTTTTGACACAATAAATAATTCTTTCGCTCTTTGTTGAAATTTCATAAAAAAAAAAAAAAAAAAAGGGGTTTAAAAATAGAAACAGAGTAGTAGATTATTAGGTTAACTACTGATAATTAATTAATGAATTAACTGATAGCAGTAGGGTTTGAACACTTTGGATCAATTTTATTTATATTTAAAAATACAAGAACTATTTATAATTATAATACTCTCATCTCATCCAAGCTCTAATTAATTTATGATTTGTAAATTGATTGGTTTCAAGTAGTTTTTGGTGGGGAACTAAGTAGCCTTCTACCATTTTGTTGAGAACTAGCGTTGTTTCATTGTCAAGTCTTCGAATGGTGTAGGTGGATTCTGTGTCGGTGATTGTAATGACCGACAGGTTTTTCTGTCTGAGGTATAACTGAATAAACTGTTCGTTTCTAAACTCATTATCGAATACAAAGTGGATAGTCTTGATTTGTGGTGGTGGTGGCTTGAATGTTTCGGGATTCTCTTTAATATCGTCGGTCATTTCTATATATTGCAAGGTGTCGAGTGATGCTGGCACCTTCCCCAGTGCCACTCCAGGTTTGTACAGTTTCACCAGAGTCTTTAGATTGGGTGGAAGAAATTCCGGTAGAACGTTGGCCTTTGAAATCTTGAGTTTGGTAATAGTGTCGGGAAGTTCAGAGTTTCTCTGATGTTGAAAGTTTCCACCAACGACCAATGTTTTCAATGCCGGTGGAAAGATTGATTTAACCAATGGAATGTTATAGCTTTCACCCAAACTAAGAAATTCAACAGTGTCTGGAATCGATCCAATCTGAAGTGCTTTGCGTCCAGAGAGTTTCAGCTTTCTAATTCCGCGAGGAATAGCGCCAGGTGTGAGTGGACAAAGTGGATGAATTTGCAGCTTAACAATAGTATTGGGAATATCGCCAGGTTCCAAAGGGAATCTGTACTCTCCTAGAATTGTCAATCGTCTGAGTGTTGGTGGTAACATTCCCGGTTTGAGAGGTATTGGTATGCCATCGACGAAGCACAACTCGACCAGCGAAGTCGGTAGAGTCTCCAAGGAGAATGGAATATAACTGATCAACAATGTTTCTATTGAATTTGGAAGTGTATAGTTTTGTAAAGGTTGTTTATAGCACATAGAGATCATCAGTGTTTTCAGCCTTGGAGGTAAGCTATTCGGTTCCAAAGGTTTATTGAATTTGTAGCCAAGATTCAGAGTGTCGACACTCTCTGGTATGGAATGAGGTTCAATCACCGAATCAAAAAATGGTTGAAAAGAAAGGTTTGTAGTGCCATCTGGTATCGATCCAACTTTGCAAATTTGATTTTCTTCAAAACGAAATAAATCTAAAAAGTAATGATTATTTAATGGTTTAGTTAAATAGATAATGAGAAATTCAAAATCTATGAACGTTTTTACTTACTAGTAATAGGTATTTGACCAAATTGATTTCTAATTATATTTCTAAATGAAGGTAGCACATATTTTTCATCTATAATATAAGGATCCAATGTTTCACCTAATTTAAACTGTATAAACTTGTCTCTATCTTGAAATAATGATTTACAAATCAAACTTAAACAAATCCTATCGATATTATCTAAATAACTAATTATATGTTTAAGTATTACATGTGAAAATTTATCTAAATTTATCATTATATATAACTGTTTAGAGTATAAATAAATAAATAAATAAAACAAACAAAATTATGATTATATTGTTTTTCAAAGATGATGTTAAACCCAATGTAAAACTTTTATCAGGTGTGGTTAAGATTGAATTGTTTGAGTCAATTGATGATCAGAAAAACGAAAAAAAAAACAATTTAAAATTAAAAAATAGATTCGAGTTTATAATATTTAAATGTTAAAGACAACAGAAAATGATTGATTACAATAAATTTATTATTAAATTAAAGATTATTAGTTTTTAGTTTAAGTTTGTTTGTTTAGTTGTTTGATGGCCAGCTTGGACAATCGCTTGGGATATCAAAGACTGAGTCGCTGACAATGTAGTTCAAAGTGTTGTAGTAGGTGAACTGCATGTAGGAGTAGACATAGTTGAATAAAACTGGAAGACAATTCTCATCGGTGGAGACAGAGATTCCGTTTTGGCTGTTGCCAAAGTGTTGGAGGTTACCTTGCTTTCCGATGTATGGCAATCCGTAGCTCTCTCCAAAGCATTGGTCGTTCCAGTAGTCTGGTCCGGTGATGTAACATCCTTGTACAGAGTCTACGACCCACTCTTTACCGGTACCGTTACCTTGGAAGAAGGTGTACGATGTCTGGTTGAAGCTCTCTGAGATAATATCGATTCTGACACGTTTACCGATCGAGTCGTAATAGACGTTTTTGTATTGGACATGGCCGTCTCCAATAACACCAGCGGCTTGACCTTGCCATTGAGGTGGTACACAACAATCGTAAGCATAGCTCACAGATAACATAAAACACAAAGCAAATGCTACATATATTACTGATTTATACATCTTATACTAGTATATTATAAATAAATAAATAAAATATTATTTCTATTTCGATGATTTGGAAAAATGAAAAAAAAAAAACTGGCAATTTAAAAATGATTTGGGGATGATTGAAGAATGAAATGCTCTGAAAAGACTACACTCCTAAATAAACAAAAAAAAAAAACAAAAAAGATCTGGTAAAGTTTGATCTTTCCTGTTCAAAAATAGGTAAAATTAGATTGGTTGTATAAATGATTTGTAGAACAAAAGAATTATCAAAAGAATATTCAAAAAATGTTGAAAAATACTATGGTTTTTGAAATAGAATGAATATTCTTAAAGATTTTTAATTATTAAAAAAATTGGAACTAAGATTTTTATAAAATATCCATTGAATTTTCGTGAGCAATTTTGATCTTTGCCCCCTTTTAGCTAAAAATTTGATGAAAAATCAATCACCGGATAGCCTACAATCATATCAATAATTTCTTGAAATTTTTTGTAAAACATAAAAAAAAACCAGTTGTCAAATCAAATCTGTTTTATGCAAAATAATCAAATCTAACTATTTGGCCACTTTGTTTCGTTGCATTGATTTCATACATCATCAAAATCAATCTTTCATTTTCCATTTTCATTTCATTCAACTTCTTCAATTTTATTTATATTATATTTATCTTAAAACAAATTATGATGAGATCATCAATCATTGCCATCTCTTTATTATTAATCGTGACAATTGCAAAGATCAATGGTCATCTTTGTATTTTAGATCCACCACAAAGAGGAGCTAAACTTCCATCACCATTGTACGCTGGTGACAACAATTGTTACAAGATCGCATCAAACTGTGGTGGTGTAGCTGCCGGTAGTCCAGTTGCTTCATACCGTGCTGGTTCCTATCAAACCATCACTTTCCAACAAAACTATAACCATTGGTTCCCAAGTAACATTGGATACATGGATGTTGCCATTTCCTACGCAGGTGACAACGGTCAATACCAAACTTTGTACAGCATGCAAGATTTCAACGCTTGGGATATGGTTTCTCAAACAAACCTTTCAGTTCCAGTAAATATCACAAACCTATAGATCAGAATTGTCATAATAATAATATACAAAACTCTAACAATCAACGATTCGTTTTTTTCAAACTTCACTATAGGTTACATTCCCAAAGACCAAATGTACAAGCTGTGTATTAAGAGTCAGATACATTTCCAACAACTCTGGTGAACCAAACCCAGATTTCTACCAATGCTCTGATATTACATTACATTAAATTAATTACATTGTTAATAAATTAATTTCAAAAAGAATATTTAACAAATCAATAAAAAAAAAGAAGAGATTTTTTTTTTTTGTAATATGTATTTCGTTTCCTGGAGTTTGCAATCGATTAGACCAGTTTTTAAAAAAAAAGATCTGGTATACCAGTTTAATTAATTTTTATTTATAAATACTAATGTTTAATATTAGTTTTTCGCAGTTTTCTTTGTTTGTTTGTTTTTAGGTTGTATTGATATATATTTTTTGTTTATATATTATTAATTTTTTCGTTATTTATTTGAGTGAAGTTCCAAAATAACGGTCAGAATAATTACCTACACCTGGTAAGATGAAACCTTTCTCTGACAATCCATCGTCCAAAGCACCAGTGACAATCTTTAACTCTGGGAAACAATAGCTGAGTGTAAGAGCACCCTTTAGTGAGGAAACGACAGTAACAAAAATAATCTTATTCTCTGGAACACCGTGATCCAAGAGAATTCTAATGGCCATTTGCGACGATGCACCAGATGCAATGGTTGGATCCAACACCAATACATGTGAATCTGTTAAATCTGGTAATCTTTCATAGAACAACTAAATACATAAATAATGAATTAATTAATTATGCTGCTGTTTGAACATTTCCAATTATTATTATTATTATTATTTAGATTTAAATTTACTTACATGTGGTTGTTTGTTTTCATCTGATTGAATTAATACTTTTCCAGTTTTGATACCCTTGCAGATCGATCTTAATGGTTGTTCCATGCAACTTCCAGCACGGAGTACACTGAGTGCGCATAGATTGTAGTCGGGTTCGACACCTTTATATTCGGTTCCTACTGGTGTGACCACGGTCTTCTCCTTGAATGGCAAATGAGTGAGTGCCTCTTCGATGATCATATTGACCAAACGATCAGAGTAGAAAACAAAGTTACCGACATCGGTATTCTTGTTTCTCAAGATCGAGAGTAATGCACGAACCTGGTTGGTAGGTGGCAAGATATGAATATTCTTTGGCAAATTGTCTTTGGTAACACCCTCGACAATATTGATTGGCTTTTGTGGAGTGTAACCTCTGTCTTTCAATTTCAATCTAATATGTTGAGTCAACAAATCGATGGCAACAATATTATCTGAACCTCTTGGAATAATAACATCTGCATGTTTCTTGGTCTGCCATATTGAAATAAACAAAACAAACAAAAAATTAACTATTTATATTCTCTAGAGAAATCTATTCCAAACATAACATTTAATTTTACTTACTGGTAAAATATAATCATCAAATGAAGGTTTAACAAATTTAGTATATTGTAAAATGACACTGTCTACTGTTCTTCCACGTTCAGCAATATCTCTTCTCACTTTTGAAATAATAAAGAAGAAACAAAAAAAAATAAAGTTAATACGTTTCTCTGGAAAAAAAAAACAATTTTATATTTACATCTTCTTGCTAAACGAACATCATCATCGGTATCGATAAAGATTTTGATGTCCATAAGATCTCTTAGTTCCTTGGAGTAGAGTGTGAGGATACCTTCGAGAATGATGACATCAGCACCGTAGACAGTCTCCTGACGTTGCAGACGACTGTGAGTCTTGAAGTCATAGATTGGAATATGTACACGCTTGCCTTGACGCATGTCAGAGATGGTCTTTACCATCAGGTCGTAGTCAAAGGCATTGGGGTGATCAAAGTTGTAGCCGGAGGGATCGACATCCTTTCCGATGGGCTTGTAGAACGAGTCCATCGAGAGCAGCACCACCCAACGTACATTGAGTGACTCGATGACACGGTGACACACACTGGTCTTACCGGAGGCACTACCACCACAAACACCGATCACCAATGGACATCTTGGCTTACCGGTGGTATCGTACCAAGGTGGTCTACCGAGTGTATATGTTTTCTTGCTATTGCTACTCTCAATGATTTGAACATCATTGTTTGGTTGTTGTTGATTCAATTCATTATTATTATTACTAACACTATTACTACTGCTAGACATTTTCTATTATAATATTATTTTCTTCTTTTTTTTTTTGATTGAAAAAGAATGTATAATTTTTCGTTAACACTCAATTCATCATCAATTCAATCTTAATTTTTTATTTTTAATTTTTTAAACAATTTTTTTTTTTAACCAATTGAACTTTTGATTCGCATCTTTTCACTTTAGATTATTTTCGTGAATCTCATTATCGAAGATTTAAGAACGAAATTTCGTATACTGATTATCATCATTAATTTATCGCTTGTTGGAAAAATTTACATTCTTGAAGGCAAAAAAAAAAAAAAAAAAAAAGAAACATTTTAATTGTTTTTGTTAACAAGTATAACTAACTCTATTAAAGTTTGATTAGTAATTCAATCAATACCAGTCCCCGGACTTTCCAAGAAGGGCTTCCTACCTCCACATTTTTTTTTATATGATGAAAATACAATTTTTTTTTTTTTTTTTTGAAGATAATGCTCGGAAAATTAATGTTTTATTTCTGTATAAGTAATGGAGATGATTCCAGTTGTTCTTCTTCATGTAGATCGTCTTCGTTGTTTAATAGAGAACTGCTACCTTCACCATCGATACATTCTTCTTCGTCGCTGTAGATACCGAGTAGTCTTTCTTTTTCGTAGGTCGGTTTGTTGTCGGCTGTAGATTCGTGATCGTAGTCGTGATCGTCGTCGACAACCACCAGCTCAATGACTTCTTTGTTGCCTTCGATCTTGCGAGCAAAATGCTTGGCAATGGGGTGCGTCAATGTTCGGTAGAGAAGGAACTTTAGAATCTTTGGTTCGTCGTTGTAGCTGTGCACCTTGACTGTGGTGACACTGTTCAATACCTGTGGTTTGATTTGTGTAAGCTGTCCGCTCGATAGCTTTCTGATTTGATTGACCATTTGCACCAGTGTCGGATTCTGCATCTGAAGAATATACTCGATCGAGATGACCGGAATGATACAGGTGACCAACATCAAGAACAGCGAGCCCCAGAACGAATCGGATTGCACGAGATGCGTCATCACCGTGTAGAAATCACTGGTGGAGATGGCATTCAATATCAACACACAGAACACATACACTGGAATCGTTCCCCATATCAATATGTGATTGATCCAAGAGATTGAGTGTGACTCAAAGAAAAGCGTTAGCGATTGTAGAATGATGATTCCGGTGAATGAGATCATCGAGAACGAGTTGTAGTCAATGGTGGACCCGGTTGCGGTGCATGCGTAGTAGCCTGCATTCATAGTGAAAACGAGAATCGCCTGGAATGCAGCTCGCACTGCCCACTGTCCAAAGGTGGAGAGATTGAACGCCTTACCTTCTTGGCTCTGTGTATAGAGGAATGGATTCCTTCTGAGAATGGACTCTGGCAGATCCTTATCCAGGATGAATCCGACAATGGGCAGACCGGTGAATACAATGTTGTAGGTGGTGAGCGAGAACGTGTTGAAGAACGATGTACCGGCAAAGTCAGAGAACAGCTGATACAATATCTGAATGAAGCAAATGAATAGCGATTTGTAGAAACTGTAGTTGGCAACGAAACTGGTTCTCAAGTAGGAGTAACGTCCGTGTATAAAGATGAGATCTCTCAGGAATTTGAAACGCGCCACTGAGTAGTCGGCAGCACGCGACGCTTGCAGACCTTCGCGTCCAGCAATACCGACACCGACATTCGCTTCTTGGATCATCGACACATCGTTTCCACCATCACCAATCGACAGACATATCTTGCCAGTGTTCTTCACCATTCGTACAACCATTGCCTTTTGATTGGGTGTCACACGGCAACAGATAACAGAAGACACCAACTTTGTCAATTCCAACAAATGATTCTCTGCATGTGTCATTGCCAATCCCAACACATGACCTTCAATAACAACTGTGACATCTGATTTATTATTATTATTATTATTACTATTGTTATTATTATTATTAATTATTATTATTATTATTGTTACTATTATATATTTGTTGTTGATGTTGTTCTGTTGATGATTTTATAATATCATGTATTTCTATTATGGAATCTAAAACGTCACGTGCAGACAGCTTAGTGTCAGCACCGGTTTTACCGTCGTCGTTCTGGGCGACCGGCTTTCCAACGGTGAATATCTTGCATTCCTTTCCGATGAGGTGGCAAGAGTGAGCGATTTGAATGGCAGTGGAGTACTTGTCACCTGTCAACATCCAAACTTTGATATTGGCCTGTCGCAAATCGTAGATAGTCTCTGGCACTTCATCCTGTAACTTATCTTCGATAGCGGTGATACCAAGCAATCTTAGATTACACTCCAACACATTGTAGGTATCAAACAGCTGTTGTTGTCTATTCTGTATGGCTACACTTGCAGGTTGATAATATCTAGTGAACCACTGGTTGTATTCTTCCTCCTTGATGATTCTCTCTGATATACATAGAGTTCTCAAACCAATAGATGCGAAATCTTCAATATGTACAATTGAATTACGATAATCATCTATAATTATTATAATTATTATTGTTGTTGTTAATAAAACACCAAAATAAACAGATTATCTTTACACCACATATATATATATATTTACCTTTAACCAATCTTTGGAAAATAACATCATCTGCACCTTTTGTAATGATTTTAATGATGTTTGTTTTTGTATCTCTAATGACAACACTCATACGCTTACGATCAGAGTTGAATTCGAATGAATGAAGTAGTTGATATTCTCTTGGTTCGCCTTTAACCTGTATCTTTAGAGATGTAGATGTTTTACCTATAAACTTTATATCTAAAATCGATGCTGCTTTGACTAATGCTTCTTCATCTGGTGAAGATGCTTTATAATGTATATCACCATTACTAAATATATATCATATAATATTTAGTTAGTTGTTCTAAACAAAAGTAGCAAACTTTGACTAGTGTACTTACGGTTGATTCGATGTTAATACAGTGTGACAAAGTGATAGCGCCGTAAAGAATTCAATTACTGAATGATTGTTGTCTGCTATTTGCTGTTGTAGTGAGCTGTCGGTGAGTGCACTACCGTTTCTTCCGTAGATTTGGTTGTCTATCGAACATTTCGAGAAGAGCATTACGTTCTCTGTCAACGTTCCGGTCTTGTCGGTGAAGATGTATTCGATCTGACCGAGATCTTCGCTGAGTGCAGTGCTGTTGGCCACCGCATACGAGTCGGTCGCCTTGTTGTACATCCTCTGATCCCAGCCGATGAACAGTGCATACGAGTACTTGACGACGTCGATCGTCACCTTCAACGAGATCGGAATCATCATGGAATTCAACAGCAGGAAACGCAGAGGAATAATAATGAACTCGTACCACGGCGAATGATAGTCTTTCGAGTATCCGAGATACCAGAGCGTGTCGAGTTCGCGCCGTCTAATCGACTCACCGATCGCACCGAATATCACGACCAAGAGCAACTGCAAACAGAAAATGAATATCGTTATCATGTTGATAGCTTTATCGAGCTTCGTTATCTTGGTCGGTGGAATCTTCTTGTTCTTGCCGACCTTTGTTTCGTTGCCGGTGTAGACGACGATGCCGTAGATGTAGTCGGTGTTGCGCAGGTGTGTCGCCTGCAGAAGTAGATTGGAGGTGTCGAGATTGACCCAATCGGCCTGTGTGTAGGTGTTGACGCGACTACTGGTGACCATCGACATACGCGCATCAAACTTGTAGATATCGGCACTGGGTCGCGGACACTCAATGACGCCACGGAACTTGTTCAGCTCGGCGACGCTATTCAGCTTGGCAGTGGCAGCCGGTGCACTTCTCGTCTTCAAATCGGTCTCACCATCCAAATTGGCAGTCTGAACATAACAAACACCATCGGCATCGGAAGTAGACAACACCACTAAATCCGCCGGTATCTCAGAGTCATTCTCCAAATAAATGATATCACCAACAGCTATCTCTGAACTTTTTATCGATATTAAACTATTATTATTATTACTATTATTTCTTATAACTTTATATATTCTATTGTTTGCTTGATGATCTCTTCTACGTCTGTTGATATCGTCATACGCTTCTTTTATGGCGGAGATTGCGAAAATGAAAATGAGTGCACCCCACGTCGAGATGGGGTCGACCGGTGTGATCGCAGGAAACAACTGGAGAACACCAATCATAAGAAAATATATATTCATAGGTCGACCAAATTGCTCGATAATATTCTTTGGCAGGAAACTGAGTGCCGTGTACTTTGTATTGCTAATAACATTGGTCGGATAGTTTAGATTTCTCTCTGGATCATTGGCATATACATTTCTAGTTATAGGTTCATCGGAATCATCTTTTCTCCCCAGTATCCTTTTTACCTTTATAATATATATAAGATATTAAGATATTTAAGATATTAATATTAATATCATCATTATCATCATCATCATTGTCAACGATAATATATATAATATCACTCAATCATGATGATAATTACCGTTTTCAAAACTTTTTTTATAGTAGAATTCATTATTCCTCTAAATTGACTAAAGTTGCCGCTTCTATCTTTTCTCTCCTCTGGTAGTTTGATTGATACAGAAGATGAAGATGCTATATCTATATCGATGTCACTGTCACTGTTACAGTTACTATTATTAATGCTACCTCTAGTGTTGTTATTGTTGTTCCTGTTAGCAATCGATAATCTCTTTCTATACTTCTTATCGACTACACCACAACTTCCACTATTACTACTACTACTCTTATCGCTATTGTTGTTGCTATTATTTTCCACCTTTGAAATATATTTTTCAAAATTGTAAAATTGTGAGAATCACACTAATATTATTATTACTACTACTTCTACCTCTACTATTTAGTCTGATTGCTAATATCTAGATACGCTGTATGTCTATGACTAAAAAGTGGTGATGGTGGTGGTGCACTATTTGATTATAATTGAGTTTAGTTCGAAACGTTCTTTTAAAATGAATAATAAATAAATATAATAAATAATAAATAAATAAAAACTTTTAAAAATACTAATGATTGATTGTATTGCTATTAATTAATTAATTTGTTAATAATTTATATTTTATGCCAACCAAATAAATAATAATCAAGTAAAGTTGTTGTTTGTGAGAGTTGTTATGAGTGAATGTGGGGGGGTGTGATGTGGATTATGGTGTATTTTGGTGAAAGGTTATTTTATTTATCTATTTTTTTGATTAATTTTGTAATACTCGTAGTTATTGAAATAATTACTTTATTATCTTTAAAAAAAACTTCTTCTTTTTTGAAACTAAACTACTTTATGATCTTTTGTTGTGGTGATGAATGATCAAAAGTCACAACAATCAACAATAATAATAATAAAAAAGATCTTTTTTGTATAATATTACCAGCTTATTTTTCAAGTTTTTGTGTGTTTTATCATTTGCTGTAAAAAAAATTAAAAAAATAAAAACAAAAATCAACAAAAATTAATTTTTTCTTAAAAATTAGAGTGATTGGTTATTCAAAATACTCATATTTTTTGCCAAATGACGTCAAAAAATTATCGTCATTGAGAAAAACTGTAATGTAGTTTTTCGAATGATTGAAGTGCAAACGTTGATGATGTAATTATTTAACTCTAAAAACAGAAATATCTTAATATTAAATCAAATCAATGATTTAGAATCTATAAACAATTTAATTCATTCATTTGTATTTTATTTCAAATTAAAATGTGACACTGATCTTGTTGGTAGTGATCTAGGTGTATTTACAGGACTTGGATTATTATTATTATTATTATTACTGTTATTATTGTTATTATTATTATTATTATTGTTGTTATTATTATTACTTTGGAAATTAAATAATTTTCTTGATAAAAGTGGACGTTTCTGTGGTGTACGTAGTCTTGAAAGTTTCTCTTGGAGTGCTTTCAAAAATATTTTACGCGTGGTGACTTTGTCGAGAATCAACTGCCATTCCTCCTCGGTGATAGTGGCGGCGATCTCAAAGTTGACGATACGATGCTCCAGTAGGTGGTCTTTGATGTAGTGCTTGTGACGCTCGTCCAGCTTGACGGAACTGCTGTCGAGCCACAGCAGGAAGTCCTCGTTGAACATTGGCTTTGGTTGCTGCTGTTGTGGTTTTCCATCGTTGTTGCTGCTGCCGTCAAAGTTGGCGTTGTCGTCATTGACGGTACCGGTACCAGATCGCTGCACTATCGGCTCAGAGTAATCGGGATCGTGGTAGAGTATCTTGAGAAACGAGTACGAAGAACGGTCCCATTCATCTAATATTACAAAATAGTACAGCAGAAACATCTCAAAGTTGATCTGATCAAATATTACAATATTGAATCGTTCAAGTGAGTTTAACACTTGATATTCTGGAATGCCGAGAATCTTGGCAAACTTGGTGAAACTATGAAAATTAATAGTTAATTCTTCTAATAAACTTGTATTTATATTATTACTATTATTATTATTATTATTTTGTAAACTATTATTATTATTGTTATTTATACTATTATTATTATTATTTATATTACTATTATTATTTAAATTACTATTATTTTTCATATTATTATTATTACTATAGTTATTATTGTTATCAAAATTGTTATTGTTATTATTATTTAAACCTCTATCACCACCAGCAGCCATAATTTCAAACATTACACGACTGTGCTGGTAGAGGAATTTGGTGGTTTGTCCACACTCGCGCGAGGCGTACAGTGCTACCAGAAGGAAGAATTCCTCAAATCCAACGACACCAATGTCATCACGGTCCAATGCATCAAACATATCCAGAACATGAAAGGTAGAGAAATCAGTGAGATGGCGTAGTAGTATGACAAATTGAGATTCACCCATAGTAAAGTCTGTCAGCTGTGTATTGCGTTCGTACCATGCCTTCGCCGATGCAAATCCTGACTCTGTATAGAGTTTCTCAAACAATGTTCGTTGTTTCAGCCTGTTATGGTTTGGTGGTTTATACGTATTATTACTATTATTATTATTAGAATTAGTGTTGTTGTTATTGTTGTTTGAATTACTATTGTTATTGTTATTGTTTGAATTACTTCTATTTGTGGATGGTGGTGATATCTGGTTGTTTTGACTATTTTGGTTATTTTGACTATTTTGGTTATTTATTACTGCACTGTTGTTTAGACTGTTTGTGTGTTGTTGTTGTTGTTGGTTGTGTGGTGAGCGGGGTGACATGTAGCCTGTTGGTGTAGAGGTGACACTTGAGGTGGGCGGCGACGACACGTTGTAGTGTTGCGAGTCATAGTCTATGCTGTTTGCTAGCGGTGAGAAAGCAATCGGTGAACACGACGACAGAATCGAAGAGCCAACCGGTGACGGTGAGAACGAACTCGACAGTGGTACCAGAGTGGACGTCAGTACAAACGGTATATGTGGTTTTTGTGGTGTTGTTAAACTATCTTCATCATCTTTATTATTATTTACATTAAATTTAATAGTTGTTGTGGTAGTACTTGTTGTTGTACTATTACTATTACTACCACTTGTTGATGTTACATTATTATTATTACTATGATTTTCTTTATCTTTATCTTTTACATCTTTATCTTTATCTTTTTCTTTATCTTTATCTTTTAAATCTTTATCTTTTACATCTTTATCTTTTTCTTTATCTTTATCTTTTTCTTTATCTTTATCCTTATCCTTATCTTTATCTCTATCTTTATGAGTGGTTTTAGGTGATTGTTGTGCTGCTGTTGTTGTTGTTGAATCTGGTGGAGTTGTTGTTGTTGTAGTTAGATCATTATGGTTTGTTCCAAGTATAATTGTTTTAAGTAGATCAATATTGATCTTCATCTTGATTGTTTAGTTTCATCCAAATCTCTGACACACTGCACTGATACTACTACTATTATGATTGATTAAATTTATAAATGCTTTCAAATACTTCAACATAAAAATAACATATTTTTATTGTATTCTATTATTTACTGGTGTAGAACTATGAATAGTTAATGATATAGCTATAAAACTGACGATTAATGTACAATCAAATGATAGTAATAGAATGTTTTATTTTAATTATTACGAATTTTTTTTTATTGGGCAATCAGTTTTTTTTTATTTTTTATTTTTTATTTTTTTTTATATTTATTTATTTTTAGACTTTACTTGCAATATATAAGAACAGATTTCCTCATATCTTATTAAATAATTATAAATATAAATATTTATTTAATTTTTTGAAAACTAAAAAATTGATATACTTTTTTTTTTCTTTTTTACTTTTTTGTCACTCAAATTTAATGAATCTTGTATTTAAATAAAGATAGGTAACCTATTTATATTAAATTAAATTGATTTGTTTTTCATTCTTTTTAATCTATTTTTCAATTTCAATAGTAAAAAGAAACAAATAAATTTGAATAATAAAAAAACGGTATATTTAAAAACTCTTAATATTTTTGATTTTTAGTAAAAGAAATTTCAAATGAACTTCTTGAAGTAGGTTTGTATAAATTATAAGAAAATAAATTGATATGAACAACCAAAAAAGGTAAACTCTGATCTTTGTTCTTGAAATTTTAGAAATTTCAACAGAAATTTAAATCAATCAAAATTCATCGATTTGAGTGCATTTTTTGCAAAAAAAAACAAAACCCTTTGATCTTAATCTTATGATCAGCAAATTTAATAAAAATTATTCTAATTCGGTATTTTTAAGATGAAATATCTATTTGAAAAAACAATACATCCAAAAGCCTCTTAGGACCCTTTATTTACTCTACAAATTGTAAAGGGAAAACAATGCAAATTCTAAAAAAGATATTTTCAATAAGATCTTAAACTTTCGGTAATCAAATAATAAACTTTATTTTATTTTAAATTATTTAAAAATCAAGAGACTTTATTTAATCCTTAACAAAGATAGGTTGTATTTTTTTAATAATAATAATTGTTTCATTAAACAAATATCCAATTCTATAAATAAATTTAATTATTTAAAAACAATTAAAAAATATTTAGTGAAGATGAAATCTACAACAATTTTATTAGTTTCAGCAATTGTACTTTGCTTTGCTTTAGCAAGTTTGTCACAATCCACAGTTCAATATTGTGAATACTGCACTGAAGAGGATCAATGTGATACCAGTGTCCCTTTGAAATGTGTAAACCTCAATACAACAGAGTGCACCTTGTTCACCGACCCATGCGGCTTCATACCCGAACCATACTACGTCTATATCCACCCAGCCATTCCCGAAGTCAAGATTACCTTATTCTTAGATCAAGTTTGCCGCGAACCAATTTCCGAACCAACCAAGTACACTTGTGGAGATTGTGTATCAGGTGGATTCTTTAATTGTTCATCCAAGTTTGAATAGAATCTCATTGTCAAAGTAATAATAATATAATAAAGCATTAAACACACTCCAATATTGTTTTTAAATATCTTTTTATTCTTTTTTAATTTATTAAAATTCTATTTATTTTAAATAGATAGATAATTTATTTACCATTTTGATGTAAATTGTGATAATTTTAAGGATTGATTAAACTAATAGAAATCCTATTTGTTTTTTTTGTTTTTTTTTCTAGATTTTAGAAGATATTTAAAATATAATTTGTGAAGCTTTGTACTCTTTTAGTATTTACTCATATCAGAAACACTTACAACTGGATCTTGATAGGATGTCTTTGAAAATAAAGAAAAGAATAATAATTAGTATTTTTTTGAATAGTTTCATGATTAAAGGTTTCTTTAGAACTTACAAGGAATTCATTACCAAAGAAATCACCTTCTGGAGAGAGATGTAATGGTAGGACGGATGATGCCTTCTTGTAGTCCTGTACGGTGATCCACCAAACGAATAGTGTGATGAATGGAAGCGGGAAACTAATGATAATACCTGGAATGAATGCTTTCAAAAGGAAAATACCGACTGCTGTCAACTGGTAGATGATCAATCCAACACATAATCTATTGAATACCAATGGCCATATTGTTCCACCCGATTGATACTTGGGACAGAAAGAATAGATATGGTTGTACTTGGAGACATAGAAATCGATCAAGAAATACATCAATCCAAATGGTAAAATGAAAGGTGACAATGTACTATATGATAGAGTAATAACTAAAATAAGTAATTCTCTTGCATACTATAATAATATTAATTGAAAATAAATAAAAGTTAGTTAAAACAATAAACATTATTTGAATTGTATTTGGTTAGTCATATATTTAACACTTACTTTGATACTTGTCAGAGCTGTTGGATCATTACGTGACATTGCGTCAACTTTGTCACCTGGCGAGGTGACTCTAGTGGAACGAATGATTCCGGCAATCAATTCGATTGGTCTGATAATGTCGAATGGAACAGAGGTCAGCGATTGTACAAGAATATAATTGATAAAGAATGACGATTGTGTTGGAAGCGATGAACCAAAGAGTGTGATGATTTGCTTCAATGTCAGATTTTCAATGACTCTGAAGAGTACAGAGAGCACCGATCCAGAGATCGTTACGACAATGAAAACATTGACAACCAAGAATGCCCAATACGTAGTGAACACCTTGTGATAGAACATAGTCTTGGTGTTCTCTTTGTTGACGTGAACGAGTAACTTGATAAACAGTGGCAGCAGACCCATGAATGCAACCAAAGCCAACGAAGGAAGATAACCCTCAACCAGACCCTGAAGATATGGATTCAACTCGACAACCTTCACCATCCAATTCAAAATTGGCACCTTGGCAAGATTCTCCAACTTGGATATGGCACTGATAGCAGTGACTGGAATCATATAAAAACAAAACAAAACAAAGAAAGCAATCGATATAACTATTCTTCTAAACATTCTTTCGTTACCTGAAATAACAAGATTTCCCCATTTTATATTTTTCTAAAAAGAGGAAGAAGAAAAAGAAGAAGAAGATATTCAAAAAAAGTTATTAATATTATAATTCATCATCTTTTACTTTTTCTACGTTTTGATACTTACGAATTCTGGAGCGGGTGTTACAATAAATTTATTTGGTTTCTCTGAGAATATACATGTGGAGCAAATGGATGCATTTGCCATACGATCGAATGTGATGAATCCAGCATTGGCGGTGTTGCTAGTCCAGTGGCGAATATTGCTCGGTGTCAAATCTGACAGTTTCCACTCCATTGCCGCAACACCTTCTTTAGGTAGCGATGCTTCTATTTGTGCTTCTTTCAGTTTTTCGTCGATCATCACCAGTTTCTTCTCGTAGTACGACAGCGAATCCTCTACTTCACCGCCGAGTGTACCTGGACGCCATCCTTTGGCACGAGTCGGTCTGAGATGTGTAATCTCTGTTTTCGATATGATACGATCAAGCTTTCGCTTGGTTGATCGATATTGACTCCAGAGATCTCGCAGCTTTGGTTCCTTGTAGACAATGTGACACGCCAATATCTCTTTGGGATCAAAGAAATTCTGGAAATAGTTTCTCATATCGCTTTCATTCTTGATTGACTTGCTCATTTCCCTCACCATAACAGAGTAGTTTCTTGGATGATGTTTTGACATCCATCTAATTCTTTTTTCGACATACTAATAATAATCAAATGTTAATGTTGGATATTTTTGTTTGTTTGTCACTTGACTTGTCATGATGAATACTTACAATTAAATAAGTTCTTCTAAATAAAAATAATGATACACCAGTGAATAGTGGAATGGAAAGTGAATGTGCCCAGAGTCGCTTCGAACCTTCGGGGATTGATGCGATCGATACGGAATCGAGGTTGTTGATGGTGACTCCTTGTTCGTGGAGGTAGCTGTTGCTGCTTGTAAAGTTGAGTGGCAGTAGTACACCGATGCCAAACACCAAGATAATCGAGAGTAGTTGTATACAGAGAATGAGGAATCGCAAATGCATGTATGCGTCGATTCCACGCGATTCAAAAACCGACTCCACTGGAAAACTCCATGTGTAGCGCAGCCATGCTATCGGACTGGTGATGAGATGTGAAGTGGCGCCATTACTCTTGATGAGTCGCGCATTATAGAAACTTCTGTAGAAAAACCGCAGAAAATAAAAAAGAGTAAAGAGAATCGTTGCAATGATGATATTCGTGAAAAAATTCGATGAGAAACCCTTCCAACCAGTCGTTAGACTGACCGTAGAGTTACTTGAACTACTATCGTTTTGTGGTGATAGAAAATCTGTTACTGCCATCACTATCAATATATTATATAACTATATAAATAAATATAACAACAAAAAAAAAAAAACTATATATCTATCTATAAATATATATAAATTATATTATTTACTAAACATTTATCTTTACAAATTAATATAATCTATAGATTTGTGTTACGAAATGATGATTGATTACTACTACTACTATTAATTATTATTATTAATTGTAATCTTTAACTTTTCTATTATTTTCTCTCTCTGACTGTCTAATGAATAAATTAAAATTAGTATATCAAAATATAATGTAGTTGTCTTGTCAAATTGAAAATTTAGTTTGTTATAATAAAACAAGAAAAAATAAACTATTGTAATTAATATTATAATTGGATAATTGTCAATTGTGTGTTGGCACCGCTTTTCTTTTCTATTCTTTTTGGGTGATGAATGCTAGGGTATGAAAATAAAAGCTAAACAAATGTCAATTCTTATTTTATTATATTATTATGTTTGTTGGTAAAGTAATTACTTTTATTGGGTGACAGACAAACAGACTAGAATGATTTAAAAATGTTCATTCTAAATAGACACTCCCCACAATTAAAAATGAAAATAATAATAATAATAAATAATAATAATTGACACTGTTGTTGTTGCAATATATTCAATTACTTTCTCATTGAATCAGATATCTTATCTTGTGTTTTTTGTGTGTGCTGTTTGTTGTCGTAGTCAATCTTCGCTGAGACATCAGACTTTTTTAATGTTATAAAATTTAAGAAAGTGTGTGGTGTGTGTGTTTAGAATGAACATTTATTTTCAAAACGACAATTGTGTTATTCCCATATAAAACAAAACAGAATAGTTTTGAATGTTGGTGTTTGATAAAAATTATTAAATCTTCTTTACTTCTTTTTTTTTTAATCAAATCCATTTGTAATCTACAAAATATAATTTGAGTGTATAAAGTGCAGTGAAGTAATATAAAAATTATAAACTTTACTTACTTTTTTTATTTATTTACTTAAATATTAAATGAATATTAACAAAAGGGAATGGTGATAAAATCTAAAATCTAATTCTACACTTTATTTGTTGTAATAATAATGATAATAATTAAAATTTAATGAAAATCATTTCTGACTATTTTTAAATAAACCGTAAAATTAATTAAAAAAAAAATAAAAAACAATTTTTATTTTGATTTGCATGAATCAAGATTGAGCGGTTTAAAAAAAGGTTCAGAGATCTTTTAGAACACGTTTTATCTATTGCACAAATTCAAATAAATAAAGATTTGAACACTACACACACTCGCAAGAACAATTATGATATTTTTAGATAAATCATATTTTATTATAATAATATTTTATTTTGATATTTATTTTATTTAATAAATAAGTCTGAAACCATCTAGTTTAATTTTTAGTGATAGTGCCAGTTGTTTTCTCTTTATCAGTATGAGTAACAAAATAATAGTTACCACCAAGAAGATCAATATAAAAGACACGCTGTTTGAAATTCGTTGTAAGACATTGCAACTAGGATGACCATCTACCCACAAATGCGAACCACTTAAAAACCTCGCTGTTCCGCCATCAGTGGCTTTGCACTTTCCATCTTTGTTAATTTCACCAGAGTCTTTTTTCTTGCAGCTTTCACACTTTTCGTCACAAACATAAGCGGTAAATTCAGTATCGGTACAATACATCATGACATAACCTGTTTCCAAGTCTGATCTAAAACATTGATTCATTGTAGCTTGGTAGATGAAGAAATTCTTTCTACACGACTGATCGGCATAAAACATAGCTGTACAAGTGTTTATTTTAGCAGGATCGACCGGATTCAATTTGAAATTTGATCGCCTAGCCATCTTTGATACTCCTGAGTTATGATTCATACAGGTATCGAAATAATAGATCCCATATATTGTTGTGTTGAGATCGGAGTGGTCGACCAAATCACAATCAATCCGTTGTCTTCTGTGAGATGTGGTATTATATAGAATGAAATGATCGTCATACACTGATACCACTCCTTTAAGCGAACAAGTATCGTAGTATTCTACAAGATGTGGTGAGCCATTACAATTCTTATTCGGATAATATTCTACAGTAACTTGATTTGTGTAATCTGTAGGTACTGTTAAAGAAGTTACAATTTCCAAAACTAATAATAATAATGCAAATAATTTATAAAGATTGAACATCTTTGTTCCCTCTTTGGTTGTCCTATAGATTAGCTCTAATTGTTCATCTGTGTGTGACAAAGAGAAAAAAATATCCATTTCCAAGCCCAATAATAAAAAAAAAGAACTAATTCAAAATATCTCCCAACAAAATAAAATTTTTCTTCCATTCCTTGACCAATTATTATTATTTACCTTTCAAAAGTGTTTCTTCAAATTTAAGAATTTGATTCTGTTTGTTTGAGAGGAAAGAAAATTCTTAAAAACCAATGTTCACTATAGAAATTATGGAGCCCAGTATTGAATTTAAATGCTTTGGATCCTTTCTTATATATTTATTTACAACAACTCTATTCTATTGTATTAATATCTTAATTAATATAATATTGAAAACATTTTTTTGAATATTTTTAAATCATATGCATGTTAAACCTTTTTTTTTGTTTTTGTTCATGAGTATTTTATTTAATAAATAAGTCTGAAACCATCTAGTTTAATTTTTAGTGATAGTGCCAGTTGTTTTCTCTTTATCAGTATGAGTAACAAAATAATAGTTACCACCAAGAAGACCAATATAAAAGACACGCTGTTTGATATTTGTTGTAAGACATTGCAACTTGGATGACCATCGACCCACAAATGTGCACCACTTAAAAACCTTGATGATCCACCACTTTCGGCTTTGCACTTTCCATCTTTGTTGATTTTAACATTGTCATTTTTCTTGCATCTTTCACATTTTTCGTCACAAGAATAAAAGGTAAATTCAGTATCGGTACAATACATCATGACATAACTTGTTTCCATGTCTGATCTAAAACATTGATTCATTGTAGCTTGGTAGATGAAGAAATTCTTTCTACACAACTGATCGGAATAAAACATAGCTGTACAAGTGTTTATTTTAGCAGGATCGACCGGATTCGTTTTAAAATTTGATCGCTTAGACATCTTTGATACTCCTGAGTTATGATTCATACAGGTATCGAGATAATAGATTCCATATACTGTTGTGTTGAGATCGGAGTGGTCGACCAAATCACAATCAATCGGTTCTCTATTGAATGTTGTATTATATAGAATGAAATGATCGTCATACACTAATACCACTCCTTTTAGCGAACAGGTATCGTAGTATTCTACAAGATGTGGTGGGCCATTACAATTCTTATTCGGATAATATTCTACAGTAACCTGATTTGTGTACTCTGTAGGTACTGTTAAAGAAGTTACAATCTCCACAACTATTAATAATACTGCAAGAAATTTATAAAACCTGAACATATCTTTTGTTTTGCTCTTTGTGTTATAATTCTATAGATTAGAGCTTTTATCGTGCACAACTGTGTTGTGCTACAACTGGTGAAAATTTTTGTTTTTTCAAGCCCGTTAATCACCCCATTATTTGGTTATCTCTAATACAGAAAAGATAATACTTTTTATCTATAATTATTATTGAAAACAAATATTTGGCAGCCAATTTTCTTTTCCTACACCTTTCTTCAGATAAGTCTCCAAATTTAAGAATATGATTATTTTTGTCTTGAAAATAAGATTTGTAAAACTTGTTGCTCTGTATATTTAACTTGATTGAACAAATTTAAATCCATTTATTGAATCTATTTATTTTTGAAACTAATAATAAAAATTGTTGTTATTTAAAGTTGAACCTAAATAAATAATTGCAAAGCAAAAAAAGAAAGGGTAGTGTTTAATTACTGTAAAGTAAAAAATATAATTTGATTATGACCATTTTCTTAATTATTTAAATCGTAAGAGAAAATTCTTTTCAAACATAAAGGGTATTTATTAAGGACCTAATAAATTATTATTTGTTATTTATTTATCTATTTAGTCGGCTTTTTCAGCTTTGGTTGGGTGTGGTTGAGCGTAGCTATTTACTTGTTGTGCAGAGTCAGCGGTGGGTGGGAATATTGCAGATGGTGCAAAGAATGCGTAACCCAATGCTAGACCCAAAAGGAAGGCGACACCAAGGAACAAGTAGACAAACTCGAGGATAGCGGCATGAACCATTCTAAAGATTGGGTGCCATGGTCTTGACTTGAGTTGTTGTTGGCTATATCCTGATTGAAGATACTGTACAATGTTATTCTCCGATGGTTCAACTGCGAAATCACGATATCCATCTGATTCGAAACTATTATAAATAACAAATTAGTTTTGATTAATATACATCTATATCTATTTATGTTTGTTTGTTGGTCGGAATACTTACTATTTGAAAGTTGGATAACCTGGAATGTTGTAGAGTTCACAGATACTCTTGTGTTCATCACAATTGATCTTTCCAAATCTGACGTTTCCGGCGAATTGTGAAGAGACCTTTTCGAAACCTGGCATGTACTTCTTACAGAATCCACACCATGGAGCGTAGAAGACGATGAACCACTTTTGTCCGTTGTTGACCTCAGCAAAGTTGACAGAGTCCAACTCTAAAACAGATGAATCACCTGTCTTTCCACCTGGGAATGGTGTTTTCTTTGCCGATTGATATCCTCCATCCAAGAACTTTTCGAAATCTTCAACCTCTCTTGCTCCTTGATATTCATATACTTGACCTTGTGATACACTATTGTTTTGTTTTATATTGTTAAATTAAATTTAAAACTAAAATATATAAATGATAGATAAATTTAAATAGCTACATACTATTTGATAGTTGGATAACCTGCAACTTGGAATTGTTGACAGATATCTTGGTCTGTAGTACAATCTACTTTGGCAATATTATGTTTACCTTTTACTTTGGTAGCCAATTCCTCATAGATTGGTGCCAACTTCTTACCTAAAATTAAGAATCATAATGAATAATATTAGATTAGAATGTTACAAATAATTAACTTTAAACTAAAGTAAAGTAAAGAAACGATATAATACAGAATCCACACCATGGAGTAAAGAACTCTACCAAGTAGTTGTTATCTTTTAGTAATTGAACATTAGAGGCTGTTATAGTGATGACATCCGATGTTCCTTCTGAGTGTACGAAACTAACTAATACCAAAGCTGATACTAATAATATAATAATAGATTTCATTTTATATAACTATATAACTTATAAAAAACAAAAAATAAACTAATAAAACAACAACAAAATGGAATGGGTTTAAATTAAATGAAGATCATGATTGTGTGGTCTCTGACTCACACCAAAAATTGTAAAAAAAAAAACCATCTTTTTTTGGTTGACTCATTATTATTTTCCTGTTTAAACAATTTTTATTTATTATATTATAAATTAATGTGAATGTACGCATACTTGATTATTATTATTACTATTATTAAATTATTGAATAATCTTTGTATCTGTCTTTGGTCTCATTGTTAAAATCTTTTCAGAGAAAGCTTTTACTTTTTGTTTGATTTGATTCTCGTCAATTTCAGTGAGTTTTGATTCTTTCAAGAGTTGTTTGCCGTCTACCCAGACATCACAGACACGGTTGGTTCCAACGTATACCAAATGTGAGATTGGATCGTAGATGGGTGGCGATGTAACTTTGACGGCGACAATGTCGGCCTTCTTACCGATCTCGAGACTACCGAGTTGTCGATCGACACCCAACGCTTTGGCACCGTTGATTGTTGCCATCTCCAATATCTGAGCGGCGTTGGTAACGCTTTGTCCTGGCGCGGGTTGTTGCTCCTTCATGGCGACGTTGAAGCAGAGCTTATCGACGTAGGCAGCGCATCTCAGTTCACCTAGCATATCAAGATCGTCGTTGCTAGCGGCAGAGTCTGTTCCAATGCCAACGTTGACACCGTTCTCCATCAGCTGATGAACCGGACATATTCCGGCAACACCAAGCTTCAAATTGGATTCTGGACAGTGGACAACGTTCACTTGCTTCTCTTTGAGCAGAGAGATTTCACCGGTGTTTAGGTGTGTCATGTGCACGGCGACCAAACGCTTCGAGAGAATGCCGAGACGTTCGAGACGCGCAATCGGTCGGACACCGTTGGTGGCGACTTCATCGTCGACCTCACGATGTGTCTCGTGGAGATGTGTATGAATGACGAGATTGTGTTGTTCCGAGAGCTCTTTAACTCTGGTGTATGCCTCGTCGGTGATGGTGTAGACGGCGTGTGGACCGAGTGAAACCTTGATGTGGTCGTGTCCGTGGTAGTGAGCGATCAACTTCTCACCCTTTTCGATGTAGTCCGACTCGTCCTTGGCGTAGGACGACGGGAATTTGATAATGGGAACGGCAACGGTTCCACGCATTCCGGAGCGAGCGATAACCTCGGCGGCAACCTCGGGGAAGAAGTACATCTCATTGCAATAGGTGGTTCCAGTGCGAATCATCTCGGCACAAGCCAACTCGGTTCCGAGTCGAACGAATTCCTCGGAGAGATGTGCCGATTCCGCTGGCCAGATGAACTTGGTGAGCCAATCGTGTAGCGAGACATCGTCGGCGTAACCACGCAGCAACGACAATGCAGAGTGTGCATGCATATTGAACAAACCGGGAATGAGAATGTGCTCGTCAGCTGAATCTGGTGCGTCACCGAGATGATTGACCTGCCTGACGTTGTACTTTTCTTTCAAGTCTGCTGCTCTGACGATATCGAGAATCAAGCCATCTTTAATCACCAAACAATGATCTCTGTATACAGTTTGTCTTGGCACGACAGGAATGATCCATTTTGCAACAATCGCTAAATCTGCCTCAATTAAAGTCATAACTTTTTAAAAACAAACAAATTATCTATATCTGTATGATAATGTAAATATAATAATATTAATAATCAAATCAATTTAATATTATGACAATTAATTGTTTGATTGACTTTTGAAAAAAAATCTCGTTCATGTGTGAATTCATTCGTTTGTAGATTCATTCGATTACCCCCACCACCTAAAAAATTCCAAACAATTAAAAAGAATGATTGTTTCCATAAGAATGCAAATATGAGATTTAATTGAAATTACTACTTTTAATCTGTTCTTCGAACTATATAAATAATTCTTAAAAAGTAAAGTGGTATCTAAAAAATGAAAAGAATCAATATATTACTAACCTATTTTGATTTGGTGTATCAATAATAATTAAAATGGTATAGTTATTATGTGGTTCTTCACTATATTTATTTATAATGTGATATGCATGTTTATGTCTTGAGCCAATTCGTAAAGAAAACTCCGATGACATTTTTCTTTATTCTTTGATAACTATTTTATCTTTTTACAAACTGAATAATTAAATACCAATTAATGATAAATATCATTTAGATCACCTAAAAGTGTTCCATTGATTGACATTTTATTATACATTAAATTCAACCAGTATTGATATCTATTTTGAAAAAGTACCAAAGGAAATCGATACATCATGAAGAAGATCTTGGATTGCAACTAATAAATATCTAACTGATTGCATTCCATTCTTTTTTAATGTTAAAGATACTTTAAAGATGTAACAACAAATTCAAACTTTCATCTACTTTATCTTCATATGATAGTCCTCAACAAAAATTCAAATAATATTTTAAAGAAGCAATAAAACTTGAAGTGATTGTTTATATTACAATCAAAAATATAATAATTATTAAAAATAATTTAAAATTTTGAACTATTAATAAATTTTAACACTTATTTTAAAAGGTTGGTTGATCAAAAACAACAATCTAAAAATAAATACACACTCATCAATCTGTGGGAGTGTGATCAATTTTGTTTTTTTATTATGTTTTTTTATTTATTTATTTTTTTACTATTAAAGTTTTTACTTCTCCCTGTATGATCAATCAAATAAATAATAATATCATTAACTATCTATCTATCTATCTATCTTTGTTTAGATATTAATAATTTTGTTTGTCGACAAACTTTACAAAAAAAAATAAAAAAACTGCGACTTTTAGTTTAAGAGGTCACTTTGATTCCACTTACTCCTTTTAGTAATATATTTGTAAACTTTAACTAAAAAAAAAAAAAAAAAAAAAAGAATAAAAAGAAAAGAAAAGATAGATAGATATAAAAATAAAAAACAAAAAAAAAAAGATAGTAAATGTTTGTAATGAATGGGTATCATTCATAATAAAACACTTGGTTATTTCATAAATAGTAGTAGTAGTAATAGTAGTAACAAACATAATAATAATAGTAATCAACATTATCATCATCATCATCATCATCATCATAACAATACAGGCTGTATCATCAACGCTATAAACAATAGTCAATCTATACTCTTAACACTTCCGCGCATACTTATCTTCACTATCACATCGTATCTAAGTACCATTGACAAACTATGCTTTGCTCTCACCTGTAAGCAATGGTTCCAATTCCGCAGAAAGATCCTGCAGAATCTATCAAAGATCAAAATCACACACATACCCATAACCAACACCAAATTCCAATTGACAGACACACCCGAACACAAAGGAATAACAAAGACAATCGATGGTAAGTGTTAATTTCATCTCTGATCATCATCATCACACTATTTGTCAACAACAAACTAATCAACAATCCAATCTATTATTAGATATAAGTTATTTACAACAAATCAACAATGAGCCGATCAGAAAGATAATATTCTCTTCGCATTTCTATCATTTGTTGCATGCAGGCGACATTCCCTCGACTGTGAAGAAAATAAAATTTCTCAGTCCACAGTACAAACATAAAATAGCGGTTGGCGTGCTGCCACCCAATCTCGAGAGTCTGGAGATATCGTTTCCGGTCACTGAGAGTCTGGAACCGGATTCACTGCCGCGCAACCTCCGCAAGCTGACGTTCACCAACCAGGGCGTCTGCAACATCCTCTCCAAGTCGCTCTTCCAATCGGATCGACTGCGCTCACTCAACTTGGGACTCTTTTTCAACAGTCCTATCACTGCCAACCTGCTGCCACGTAGCTTGACACACCTCGACTTGGGGTCGGCGTTCCGACAGCCACTGGAAGTCGGCTCCATTCCGTCTGGCGTGCGGAAACTCGTATTTAGCTACCAATACACAATGGAAATGTCGATTCCCACTGGCATTATTCCGAGCTCGGTGGTTTCACTCGCTGTCACCTACCACGGCAACGCCATAAGCATTCCACCCACGGTAACAGATCTGCGGCTGGATTGTCAACAAACCATTCCGGAAGGTCTGATCCCAGCGACTGTCGAGAAACTCTGGCTCTCTGGAACCTACTATTATGCGCGCACCAAGAGCGCACTGCCATCGCAACTGCGCGCACTCGTCCTCGACTACGAACACTACCCAAACACACTGCTCCCGTACATTCCAAAGACGGTGACCGACCTCACTTTTGGCTGGCTCTACAACGTCAAACTCGACTTTAAACAACTCCCGCCAAACCTGACGAAACTTTCATTCTCCGAGTACTTTGACCAGCCCATCAACAATCTGCCGTCGACTCTGCGACACCTCAAGATTGGCAAAGACTACTGCGAGTTTTCTCACCCGCTACCACCATTCTCGCCGACACTGACGCGAATGTCAATCGGCTCAAACTACCCAACGAAAATTGGCACACCGTTGCCACCGATCAAACAACTCTCACTTCGCGGCTTCTTCTATCGCGACTCCTCTGACATCGTACTCAACACGCCACCCATCAACATCAAACTCTCGAAATCAAAGCGAATCAGAATTATAGATTCCACCAATTGCATCATCTACACAAAATCGACCATTCAATTCATTAAGCTAAGTCAGCTGGAGTTGTTCCAGAAATAACACTTGTATCATATATGATTATAACAATCCAACTTGTAGCAATAGTAGTAGTATTAGTAGTAGTAGTCCAGTAAAAATATCGCCAATCTTTTTGTTTTTTTTTTTCCCAATCCAAACCAACAACAACAATCCAAACACCCACACACACATATGGTGCTTTGCTTTGCCTCAAAAAATCAATCAATCAATCAATCAATCAACTAAAATCAAATCCAATTTCACATAGGAATTCATTATTATTAACTAAAAACAAATACTAATTTAAATTCTTTCCCATTCATAACATTAAAATAAAAAAGAAAACTTTTTTTCATTTATCTATCTTTATGTTTTTTTATTTTTTTTTTTGACCACTCGCTTCGCTTCATAAATTAATTAAATTGAATTTTATTTTGTTTTTTGTTTATTTTTTGTTAAAATTATTTTTGCATAGCGAAAAAAAAACTACGATCAACAATCGTTTCTTTCGACAAAAAAACTTTTATTTTATTTTATTTTTATTTTCTCATCTTCTTATATATATAAATATTTTGGTGTGCTTGAAGAGTTATCTTTTTTTAACTTCTTGCCTAAACTTTTATTTTATTATATAATAGTAATAATAATAATAATAAATCACAACATTCAATATTAGTTAACTATTTCAATAGCTCTATTAATTTTTATTTTATAAAAATAATAATAAAACAGTTTTTCGTTTTATTTTTATAAAAAACAAAAAAATTAGCATTTGGAATTGATTTTTATATCACTATTTGTTATTTTTCGAAACTTTATCTTTTTTAACAACATACTTTAGTATACGTATTATTATTTAATAATCAAAAAAAAAAAAAGATTATTATTTAAAAAAACCGACTTTTTCAAATCGATCAAAGTAAACAGAGATTACTTCGTTTTTTTTCACATACACACAATATAAACAAAACACAACAACACAATGGTATTATATAATTTCAAAAAGATTCAAGTTGTACCAACTTCAAAAGATTTCGTCGATATCGTTTTGTCCAAGACACAGAGAAAGACACCCACAGAAATTCACAAGCAATATGCAATCTCTAGAATCCGTAGTTTCTACATGCGTAAAGTTAAATACACTCAACAATCATATCACGATAAGTTATCTCAAATCATTCAAGATTTCCCATTGTTAGACGTAAGTTTTCAAATACACAAACACACACTCGAGTGTTTTTTATCTCTTTTAAAAAACAAAAAATATTAATTTTTTTTTTACAATTATTATTTTATTTTTTTAAAAAAATTAGGATATACATCCATTTTATTCGGATTTAATTAATGTTCTTTACGATAAAGATCATTACAAGTTGGCTTTGGGTCAGTTGAATACCGCTAGAAATTTAATTGATAATTTGTCAAAGGACTATTTGAGATTGTTGAAATATGGTGATTCTTTGTATCGTTGCAAACAGTTGAAGCGTGCGGCACTCGGTCGTATGTGTACATTGATGTTGAAGCAGAACAGCAGTTTGCTCTATCTCGAACAGGTCCGTCAGCATCTTGCACGTCTGCCATCGATCGATCCAAACACACGTACTCTCTTGCTGTGCGGTTACCCCAACGTCGGAAAGTCGTCGTTCATGAACAAGCTCACTCGTGCCAACGTCGACGTACAGCCATACGCTTTCACCACCAAGTCACTGTTTGTCGGTCACACCGACTACAAGTACTCGGTGTGGCAGGTCATCGATACCCCGGGAATCTTGGACCATCCACTCGAGGAGCGTAACACCATCGAAATGCAGTCGGTCACTGCACTGGCACATCTCCACTCTGCCGTCTTGTATATCATCGATATTTCCGAGCGTTGCGGTTACACCATCAAGCAGCAGGTCGACCTTTTCTTCTCGATTAAAGCACTGTTTTTGAACAAACCACTGCTCATTCTCATCAACAAGATCGACGTACGCAAGCCAGAGGAAGTGCCAGCCGATGACTGGGCATTGATTCAATCGCTGGCCGATCCAGCTCGTGGTGGAATCGGTGGAACCAAAATCCTACCGATGTCGACTCTCACCGAGGAGGGTGTCGCCAACGTCAAGGACGTCGCCTGCACCACCCTGCTAGAGGAGCGTGTCGAGAAGAAGATGAAGAGCGCCAAAATCCAGAAGGATATGCACTTGCTCCATCTCGCCATGCCCGTGGCCAGAGACAACAAGAAGCGTCCATCTTTTATTCCACCAAGCGTGTTGGCTGCACGTGCCGCCGCCGAAGCCAACCAAGACGAAGACGAAAAGAAGTTCAAACTCACACCCGCACAAATGGAGTCATTGCAAGAGGAGGAAGACGACATCAAATATCAACAGGGTATTCTTCCAATCTACGATGTCAACGAATGGAAGCGTAAGTACTTGCTCAGAGACGACTCGTGGAAGTTCGACATCATCCCCGAAATCATGGACGGCAAGAATATCGCCGATTTCGTCGACCCCGACATCCTTGAGCGTCTCGAAGAGTTGGAGCGTGAGGAAGACGCACTTCTCGAGCAACTCAAGAACAATATGGAGGAGGACGAGTCCGACTTGGACGAAGAGAATCTCGAACTCTACGACGAAATTCAAGAGCAAAAGCACGCCAATCGTGTCAACCACGAGATCAACGACTCCAGCAAGCCAAAACTGCCCAAACACCATCTCGGAATCAACACTACCGACATGTCCAGAAACCTCAGAAGAATGGGTGTCGACCAAGAGGAAGCCGACGACATTATCGACGACGTCCGTTCGCGTTCCCGTTCCAAGTCGCGTACCGGTAGAAAGAGAGATCGTTCCGAGGAGCGTGAAGCATCGCAATCCGGAGAGCGTGGTATCTCACTCAATCGTTCACAATCACGTTCACGTTCCAAGACTCCTGCACCAGTGCCCGGAGAAGGTTACCGTGATTTGGCTCACAAACTGCTGGCTGAGAAACTGAATAAAGATTCCAGAAGAAAACGTAACAAACTCGGATACAAGGGTGAAGGTGATCATCATATTCCAAATGAAATGCCTAAACATTTGTTTGCCGGAAAGAGAAAGGCTGGTAAGACCGATAGAAGATAATATTATTATTGTTATTTTTATATAATTTAAATAAACCCTTTTTTAAAAAAAAATAAAAAATAAAATATATTTATAAACAAAAAACAGAAAAAGATCTATATATTTGAAATACCTTTATAAGTTAATGCAATAAAACTACTAAGGGATCATAGTTGTTTAATCAGGTTAATGATAATATGCTTATTGGTGAATATTCACCAATCAATCAATTCATAATTATTATTTGCTTATAAAGTAAATATAGCGAAAAGTATGCTTTGATAGGTGTTATCTGTAGCCAAGATTATTGAACATGTAAGAAATTTATGAATAAAAAATTTTCGACACTACTTTGAATGTTAACATTGACATATCACTTATTTCAGGAATGATTAATAATAATAAATTTGATTGTGTATTTGACACCAAAAAATAATCAAACCAAGAAATCTTTTATGCATGGTCTGGTGAATCAGCAAAAAACAAAAAAAACAAATTTTATCTCGTGAAGGAAAAGTGAATGGGGATGTCATTCTTAACTAATGAGGAGAAGTATTTTTTTATTTTTGTTTTTTTTAATAAAATTTTCACACTAACCTCAACTCCTTTTTCTCCATTTTTTTTATTTTTTATTATTTTTTTCAAACAAAAACAACGATTGAAATTTATTTATTTATTTAAACTATTTTTTTTCCAATTATATAATATATAATAATACTATATGAAGTAATTCATATTCTCTGAGTGCACTGCCTGATTAAAAATAGCAAAAAAAACAAACAACAGTTGCAAGTTTGATTTTGATTATTACCCAAACCAAAAATCAGTTTCAAAATCTTAAAAAAAAAAAGGCAAAAGACAAAACATAATCAAATACCATTTGCATAAAAGAAAGAAAGAACAATTAGATTAGTTAGCTGCAAACTAAATAGAATCAGTCAGAGTCAATAATAATAATAATAATAATAATAATAATCATAACTTAATTATATATAATACATATATCATTGTAATACTACTTAAAGACAATAATAATAATAATAATTATAACAGTATATAGCATAGTTTCATAGTGTTTTGTTTTAAGTTTTTTATTTATTTTATTTATATATTATTAAGTATCTATATTTTATATCAACTCGAGGAAAGAATGATTGATTAGAATTATAACAAAGTAGTACAACAACAACATCAACAACAACAACAACAACCAACAATAACACACTGAACAGTAATACACTCAGCAACACTCATCACCTTCAACAATTACATTTATTTTTTATATTACACACTTCACTTTCTTTTCCCACTTGATATATAATTAATTTATTCCCAGGCAAATTTAAAAAACACACACTCTACGTTTACACACAATATATACTTTTTATCTCAACCACACACTCTCTCTCATTACACACTAAAAAGTCAACAAATCAAAACAAAACAAATCAACAAATCAATTCCTAAAATTAAATAAAAAAGTTAATTTAATTATTTTCTTTTTTACTTTTTTCTTTTATCTTTATTTTCATTACTCTTTTTTTCCCTTTTTGGACGACCCCAAAAGATAGATAGATCATTGTTTGGAGCATTTTTGGCGACAGCAACATCAACTCTCACAATGTCAAACAGTACGGGTTGTGATGGTGGATGTTCATTCTGTCAGTCGATTCTCACAAAGAGTTTCAGTTTTGTCGACGATGGAACCTCCATTGTCTTTAATGTTGTGATCGATGCGATTGCCGTCGGATACATATTCTCAGCACTCTACCTGCTCTTTAGAATACAGCGATCCTACACCTATCTACAGCAATCGTCGACACAACTCAACAGCAGTGGATCGACCATTCCAATGCGCACAATGAATGGTGACAAGAAACAACTTCAACAGTCTGGCGACGGCAACAACCAATATGTAGCAATCAACATGTCGAGCGAATCGCAGCTGCTCTTTGACAAAAACATGCGAATCACCATCAATCAACCGAAAATCATTGGATCCACCTATTTCCGACATCTCCTCTTTGTCATTATCTGGCTGTCGGTGATGGGACTCATTCTGATGTTGATGCCACCATGGTCCGGCATTCTATATCCCACGCTCATCATTGTCGTTGGCAGCGGACAGATCATCACTGACAACTGGATACTCGTTTTCCTAAGTGGCAAAGGCGACGATAAGTTTGCCTCGAGATGTGCGTTCTTCCTGTGCACCCTGTTGTATTTGATCATCACCTCGACATCACTGGCATCGACTCTGGACAGTCCGTTATGTACTTCGCCACAGCAGTGTCAGTTGTTCCTCTTCCAGGATCCCTACACCCGACTTGGAATGCATGCAGTCTATACAGTCGTCTACGGAGTATTACTGTTCCTCTCGGTAAGAGGAAAAATGATACGTCCCACCGCCAGAATATGGATTACATTCCTACTCATTGAATATTTTATTTCATCACTCGGATCCTTCTTGAAGATTTTACACGTCGATTTTTCAGATTGGTAAATAATATTCATTTATAACCACACAACAAATTAAGTAAACTAAACTAATCAATTCTATATCAAATTATAGTTTACTAAGTTTATCATCGATTACATATGCATTCCTTTATGGACCATTATTGTTTAGAACCTGTGGAAATGATACAAATCTATTAAGAGCAAGAAGTGAATTTGAACCACTTTTAAATAATTTCCGTATGTTGTCCTTTGTTTTTGTTTTTGTTTTGTTGAAAATCTAATTATTAATATATTTGATTTATTTAAATGTGATAACAGAGGAATATCAGAATTTGTTTGGAGGAGAATCAATTACATCTAGCGATGGAACCAATGCATTACAATTGGCTGCATTCAATATCAAATATTCAGAGTTTAAATTTGGCGAGGTTATTGGAGGTGGATATTTTGGTGAGGTTAAAAAGGCAATTTGGAAAGGTGCATTGGTTGCCGTAAAGGTACTGCATCGAAACTCCTATAGGAATACCGACAATATCGAGGACAATGTATTCTTCAAGGAGGTGGCGATCCTCAGTATCCTCCGTCATCCAAATGTCTTGCAGTTCCTCGGTGTCTGTGCCGAGCAAGATAAAAACTGTATAGTAACAGAGTACATGGGTGGTGGAAGTTTGGATCGACTGATATCCGATCGTTACTTCCTCTTTTTGAATCATCCAGAGTTTGCCTGGCGTATCGCTCTCGACATTGCCAAAGGAATGTTTTATCTACACGACTGGAAACCCAATCCTATCTTGCATCGTGATCTTTCCACCAAGAATATTTTGCTGGACGAGACTTTTTCGCTGGCGAAAGTTGCCGACTTTGGTTTGTCGCGTGAACAAGGTTTCGAGATGACTGCATCCGTCGGCTACCTGCCTTTCCAAGCACCGGAAGTCTTTATAGGCGAGCTCTACACTCCCAAAGCCGATGTCTATTCCTTTGGTATTTTGCTGTGGTGTATTGTTTCGGGTGAGCAGCCAACCGGCGAATTGCCACCTTTGAAAATGGCACATATGGCTGCCTACGAGAATTATCGTCCGCCACTACCTGATCTCAAGATTCAGATGTGGCAACCACTGGTCAATTTGATACAGATGTGTTGGAAGCCAAATCCAGAGGAGCGTCCAACCTTTGCATTCGTACTGGATTTCCTCGAGGCCAACATGCCAGCGGAAGCCAGCACATTCTTCCAGCGAACAACTCTCACCACGACCAATGGAAACTCCACCAGATCGGCATCACTCGCCATGAGCGTTGCTCTAGACACCACCTCATCGTCCGACGACGATGACATATTTAACAGAAACGAATTCCACTATATAGGTGACTAAATTCTCACGACCACCCGCTAAATTTAAAACCAATCAAAAAGGAATTGGAATCTTTTTTTAGTCAAATTCAAACTTAATAGAAAAAAAAACAAAAGACAAATCGATTTTGTTTTGTTTTATATATTATATACATTTACACATAAACAACATATATATATTTTTTTTGTTTATACTCCCCCTTTTTCTTTTTTTCCAGCCAACCAACCAACCTATCAATCTATCAAATCTCAATATATTACCCAATCTGTAAAAATAATGTAAGTAAATTACAATCATTGATTAACTTTTCTCACATATAATCTAACCAAATTTCTATAGAAATATTTTATAAAATATTTAGAATTATTAAAAGAAATGTTTAATTCAGTTATTACTTATTAGCCAGTTTGAAAAAAAACATTGGAAACCACACCTAGGTGACCATTTCTTTGAAAAACAAAACTCATCCATCTTTGTGTTGTTCGGGTGAAATCAAACACACAACAAATTTTTTCAATAAACAATCATTTATTTAAATATCTTCAATGTTATGTTTTAATTAATTTTTATAATTTTTAATATTTGTGTGACCTTAATCAATAAAATCTTTTTTTTTTATCTTTTTTTTTTTTGGTTTTTTTTTTGACCATCATCGAAAATTTCCTCTTCTTTTTCAGATCTAAATTTCAGATTTTGTCAAAAATAAAAAAACTTTAGTAAACGAACAAACATCAGAAAACTTTACTTTTAATATAAATAATAAAATACTAATTAATTGTACTAAAATATATTAGATATACCAATTATAATATCTTAATATGAAAATGATCTGATAAAGTAAGATTTGTAGTGGTTTTGAATTAATCAAATTTAATTTTTTAATATTCAACCAATTTTGTTTGTTTGAATTTTCTATCTTTTTAATATCATCAATTTCGATTCTCATACCCAATGTCAACTTTTGTTTCTCTAAACCATCTGTTCACTACCACTTCTGGTATTACCCACCCCTTCCATATGGAATCAGTCAAGTCAATCCAATTTTAATTATTTATAAAAAAAATAATAATAATTTTGACACACACGATTTTTGTTTTTATAAATTATTATTATTTTGTGTGAAAAAAATGAAAAAACCCAACCCACTTAATATGGGAATGGGTAATTATGTAAAGAATTTTTCAAATTTTTACATGAATCTTCTTGTTCATATCATCTACTCACTCAACCCACACAGCCGAAAGCCATATTCACCCAATTTTTTGTCGATTATAAATAACAAAAAAAAATGAAAAAAAAAAACAAACATTATTCAAAATAATAAAAAAATCAATTTTCTAACAAGCCAGCTATTTTATTCAAAAAGATTGAATATTCATATCATTTTCACTCAAACCAAACAAGAAATTATCTTTTTTCTTAATATATTTATACATATAAATCTAATATAAAATGGTAATATATTCCCACTCTTTTTCTCTAGCAAATAACAAACCATCATCAACAACACCAACAACGACAATAATTGACAAACGAACGACAAAGAAAAACGACCACAACAACTAAGAGTTCAATAAGTAGTCTTAACCAGTACTTGTACAAAAGTTTATAGTGTTGTTGTGGTATTTTCAAAACATTGGTCGGCGGGTGACGAAAAACATTGTGTTGAGAAGATGAATAATTGTTATTGCTATTTTGTTTTTACCAATCAATATACATATATTAACATAATTATAATTATCATTTTTTTTTTCAAACAATTTTCTAGTCATCCGGTGTACAAACAGATCAAGAATGCGTCAGCAAGTTCAACGAATTGAAGTTGGGTCGTAAATACACTGCTATTTTCTACAAGATGAACGACACCAACACACAAATCGTCGTCGAGAAGACCCTCCCAGCCGGAACTCCATTCTCTGAGATCTTGACTGGTTTCCCACCAAAGGAATGCAGATACGTCGTTGTCGATTACGGTTACAATGAAGAAGGAGCCAACAAGAATAGAATTTGCTTCGTTGTTTGGTGTCCAGATACCGCCCCAATCAAGGGTAAGATGCTTTACACCTCCTCAAAGGACTCCCTCCGTAAGGCTTTGGTCGGTATCCAAGTTGAAATCCAAGGTACTGATGCTTCTGAAGTTCAAGAGTCTGAATTCTTGGCCAAGTGCACCAAGATCTAAAAAAATAAGAAAATCAAAAAAATCTCTAGTATATTTCTTAAACTAATGTTAATATAGTTCTCCTCCACTTTTTTTAAAATATATTAGTATAATAAATACTTTTTAATAAAAGTTTGTTATGTAACAATAATATAAACAAAAATCAAATATATTTATCTTAGTATCCTATTCAATCTCCTCAAAACCCAGTTGAGTTCTCCCCGCTCTGATTCTGCAGATACAGAGAGATGGAGAGATCAGAGAAAAACTGATGCTGCTGGAAGAGACAGAGAGATTGAGAAAGACCAGATAGAGATCAAATTAGATAGATCTAATGTCTAATGAAACTATTCACAATCAAAAAAATATTAATCAAAATTATTCTTTATTTGTATTATTTAAAGTTGATCTTCTCAGTCTTCTCATTCTATATTCTGCTACGTGCATGATACATCTTGAAGTACTGTCGGAATATTCTAAGATCAATGAATTACATTTCATATTACCTTCTTGATGAATACATCTTTCAGATTTAAAAAGATCAGACTCTGGATCTTCACCAGCTTCCAATGCACACTCTGCACTGCAATAGTCACCCCACTTCTTGGATGGACAGCTACTCATATAGACAAGTTTCTTTGTGCATATCACACAGTTCTTACTCTGAGGTGGCAGTCTTCTAGCAGGTTCACTCATACTGATTTCATCTGGATTTGGTGCTGCAAAGTCATCATCGTATTCTTTGGTAGGATCGAATCTCTCAATACGATGTAGAGCTTGAATTCTATAATAAATAAATTAAATCAATAAAATAAATTAAATAAAATAAAATAAATAAAATAAATAAATTAATACATACTCATTTACAAGCTTCTTATGCTCTGGCTTTGTAGTTGAACTTGAAGTTGGATTCAGAGTTTCGTTGTGAAAAACCGTTGTAAGACACGCCATCCCAACAGATTTCCGATGAGGTTCATAGCAGGAGCAACATTTCCAGCAGTTATCCAGTTGTTAATTTCGATACCATAGAGTTGCTTCAGTTGAATGATGATACTAGACTTTGATATGATGGCATTCTCTTGAACTTGGTTCTCTTCTTGATCATCGTGAGCATCATACTCATCGACATCCATATCATTGTCATCTTCTTGATCTTCATTACTGATATCAGTTTCCATACCAATTCCATCCTCTTCTTGATCTTCATTACTGCTATCAGTTTCCATGCCAATCCCATCGTCTTCTTGATCATCATGAACATCAGACTCATCATACTCATCGGCAGAAAGCAGAGTTTGTTCAATGCAAGATTGTTCTGCTATTCCCTCCTTACAAGTACATTGTAGAGAATAAAGACCATTTGGGTGACACTCTGATGCAGAACAATCTTGCATTGAACAAACTCTGCTTTCTCAAGAATACCTGGAATAAGTCTTTCATCTCGTATCATACGATCCATACCAGTTGCAACCAATATCCAATTCTTGAGTTTTCTACGACCAGTTCCTTGATTGTTATTGTTATTTGTATCAATTTCTTCTTCCTCCACCTCCTCTTCTTTAATATCATCATTGAAATCTTGCAAAATAATTGGTTGATTTGTATCATCATCATCCAGTGATGCAAAATACTTAGAGAACTTGGTGAGAGATTTCATAATAATAGTATCATCTAAAATAAATAAATAATTAATATTTGATAAATTAATATACAAATTATTCCTTTAACTTACTATTCGCATTCCGACAAACTACATTTGTTGGTCTGGAACGTCCATTCAATTGGTAGTTGGTTTGAGGAGGTACCTCTTGAGTATCATCTTCTTCATCTATCACTTCTTCCAGTTGTTCAATGGTTTCTTGATTTGATGGTCGGAGAGGATTGGCTGACTGGCAAAAACAAACGCAGGAATGTGGAGCGTCAGGAAAACAACTCTGACCAATGGAAACCTGACAATTGATTGATTCACCTTTGACTCGGTCATCATATGGAGGTGAGGTTCTAGAGAAGCATACTACATTATTGATCGTTCCAAAACTCTCTGAAATAAACTGCATCATATTGTAGTTGGGGTGAACCGTAGATTTCCAGTGGTGCATAGTATGATCTCTCTTTGAATAGACACCATGGGCGTTTGAGAATTGATAATAGAGATCTGCTGTATCTCTAATATCTTCCAAGAAATCGTTGAATAGAATATTCTCTTGGAAACCATAGGTAGGAAGTCCTTTATCATTTTCTTGACCGGTTGGTTTCATTTCAAATACTCTTTGAAGACCAAAATCAATGATAAATGATCCACCTTGAACTCTTCTATTTGATAGTTTCTCAATATACAATATGATGCCAAGAGATTCGAAATGATTGAACAGATAATGTATTTCATGATAGTGTCTTGAAAGCCTGTCTAATCCAGAAATGATTACCAAATCTCTGAATTCCAATTCAGCTATCATAATTTCCATCTGCTGTCTGAATGCTATTGGATACCAATAGGTTGAAATGATTTCAATTATCCAATGTAATTGATAATCTTCAATCATCAAGGTTGAGGTTGGTAAGTTGTTGGCAGAGTTGTTATCAGTCAACTTGATAGTTGAAGCCAATAGATAGTTTATGTGTGCCAAAAGGGTTTGATACGATTGAATGCCAGTACCTGAGCTTTCTCTTGCAAAAATCCAAATGTTCTCGGTTGGGTGGACGATATCAAGCTGAGATCTGATATCATCTGGACTAGTGAGATTATCAAAGATTTGAACATTCTTGGCTTTCTTTCGTATTTTCTGAATCTGAAGTATACTTTTTTCCTTCTTGATTTCATCGAGCAATCCACTAAAAATGGTGTTCAATTTAGTTATATTTGAGAGAGTCTTGTGTGCATAAACACGTTGATTAAAGTTCTTCATGTGAGCAGATATATCCATAAAAAGAACTTTATAAAGTTCTATCTAATAAATCTATTAAACTTGTATAATTATACTTCAATTGTTTGGAAGTCATCTTCCCAAAGTTAAAATTGATTAATTTCTTAGTTATATCTATAATTAATCTAGAGTTTAACATTTTCAATTATAATAATAAAGTAATAAAAAATATAATTAAAAGAAAAGTAAATAATAATTAACAAGGTAGGAATCATAAAATCATTTAAAATGTTGACATATATTTATTTAAATTAAAAATATTAAAAAAATTAAAATCCTCTAAATCATTCTTTAGAAATCAATCACCTAGGTGGTTAAAATATCAGAAATTAATTAAATAAATAAATAATTAATAGTATTTCCAAAAAGAATTTTCATATACAAAAAGAAATACATCGTTTCAAAATCGAGTAAAAAATAAAAAATAAAATTATATCAAAATGTGAAGAAAGGTTCATGATGATGTATTCTAAATAAATATAGACAAAAATAACAAAAAATCACATTAAAATGAAACAACAACCCTCAGTCAAAAGAAGATCAAATTCTAGATGATTAAATATTCGGATAAATATTAATAAAAAAGAGAATTAAATCAATAAATTAAAACTGAGAAAATTTGTTTAAAGATTAACAGATTTAGTTGATTAGTATTCTTCAGAATTGTGTTTCAAAATGATTATGATGGTTGTTTGTTATTCGTGTTAGCAATAAATTCATCAAATACAATGTTGAAAACAATCGAAAAACAAATCTCAAACCTCAAACCTCTCGATTTGAAAAATAGATATGTATATTTGATGTATCCTCTAGAATCATTGACATCAACATTTTCTTCGATTTTCTAAACCACTGAATACATAGATATATTCACCAACTGTGGCCATTGATTGGTAGGTACAATTAAAATGATTATCAAATTAAGTTGTTCGGTTGAATTGTTTGATGTGTTGAAAAGTGTTGCTTCTTGATCTGTGTGTTGTGACAACATGATGATTTATTATAATAGAAGGGTATTCTTATTAATGTGATTGTGATGATTCAACAATTCTATCAAGTTTGATTGATTGTTTGATCATCAATTTCAATAAACTTAAATCAGGTATTACTAATTATGATTGATATGACGAATGTATTGATGGTGATGTTTGACTGCTATTATTATTATTATCATTGATCTCAGTTGTCATATTGAATTGATTGTTGTATTTATAAATGATATCCAATAATAATGATGATGAATAATTGTTGTGTTGTTTGATAAGTTCATCAACATTGAATGGATCATCATCATTGACAATGTTTGATTATTATCTATCGAGATGTTGATGTCATTAATGATTTACATATCGATTTAAGTGTCTGTGATAATTCAGACTCTTCTTCAAGATCATCAATAATGTTGTTAAATTTAACAACAGTATTGATAATTATCACTAATATATTATTTATTGATTGTTTAATTTGATTGATATGTTGACAATGAGCAGTATTATCTATTTGTTGTTTATGAGCACATAATTATTATGATGTTTGCAATCTAATGTCATTCTCTATACTGATAAATAGAATAGTGTTGGAGGTATCGAATCGTTTCATTAAAAAAATAATCTATTCACAATGTTATAGGATGGAAAAGGATTGGTTGGTGCATCTGACTTGAGACATATTTTGACAAATTTAGGTGAAAGATTGAATGAGGATCAAGTTGAGGAGATGTTGAAACAAGCAGTAGGATCGGGTGATGGCGCAATCAACTATGAACCATTCGTACGAAATATGTTAAAGAAATAAAAGTAAATCTTATTTATTTTCTTCAATTATATCGTCTCAGTTGAAACCTGTGGGAGCTGGATATTTGAGGTGAAGGAATTCTCCGTTTTGACATTTAATATGGTTGTTGATAACAGAAGAAGATAGTTCACGTCCCAAACACCAACATGGTCAAAAAGACTGGTATTTTTCTATGGCAACCTTTCTTTGATTTTATATCTTCCAAATCATCTCCACGATATTACTAAATTGAAAAATCTTGTCTCAAATTATATTTAGGATAGATAGGATATGAAAATGAGTGTTCATCACTTCTTTAAAAATAAATATTTTAAAGCAAATGGTATTCGAATAATCATCACAGCAATATGTTACGATGGTAAAGATTATATCTATTTGGATAATGGGTATGAATCGACATCTTATAATATAGAAGATAGACTTAATATAGATAGATTCAATTTCAATACAATGAAATTCGAGAGATATCATTTATATTTCTTAAACTAATGTTAATATAGTTCTCCTCCACTTTTTTTAAAATATATTAGTATAATAAATACTTTTTAATAAAAGTTTGTTATGTAAACAATAATAATAAAAACAAAAATACAAATATATCTCATTTTTTTTTTTTCATTCAGAGATTTAAATGATTATTTAGGTTTGATTAACTAATATTGCAATAGTCCATACGAGATTGTGGAGTTGCTTGTGGAACTAATAAAATAAAATAAAATAAAAGTTAAAATCAATATTCTTTTCTTTCAGTTATTTCAATAAAAGATATTACCAGCACTGGTATGTTTATAGTTAATTCAATTCATTTTAAAATGTTGAATTAAAGAAAATGGAACTATTATTTTAATAATTTTTAATATCGATTCGAATTATAGTCTTTCTCAGTGATTACCATTGTCCTCTTCCAATTACAACTGAATCTAAGACGGTGTCAGTTTTGTCTTGAATGAATTGCCATTGCATGTGATAGGAATCCAAGAAGCTAACTTTGGCATAACCAGTTTCGAGTAAACGAACACCGGATGAATATACTGGTAGTGGTTGGAAACCAGTATTCAAACCTTCTTGACAACCAGCAGTACCAATAACAACATAGACAGTTGCTTGTGGATTGGCATTGCTACCATAGACTTGTGATTTGTAGACAGGTAACATTCTTTCGTATTCGTGTGAGTGACCTCCAATAAAGAAGTTAACATTATATTTATAAAACAAATCTTCTAGAGAATTAATTAAACTTACTAATAGATTTTAAATAATCTGTTAATAACTAAATGATTTAAATGTTGTCTATATCTATCTTTATTCAACTTACTTCTGTTTGTATCGTTCATACACCAGTCAAGATTTGAAGTACAGTAGAGTGGACGATGAGCGAAAACAATCAACCATCCATCGGGGTTCGAATTACGGTAGGTTTGGAGTTCGTTGGTGAGCCAAATCACTTGCTCAGATGATGGTGAATAGTCAGTCTCTGAGGAAATTCCAACAAAGTGAACACCATTGAAATCGAATGAGTACCAGTCTCCATTGTCAGATCCCGTGGGCATCATGAAGGTGTTTTGGTAGTTTGAATTGTTACCATTGAAGATATCGTGGTTGCCTGGACAAGTCATATATGGAATGGTGGCAGAGATTGGTGTTATCTCTTCCAAGAATTCATTCCAAATAGTTTGGTTACCATATATACCCTCATCACCATCTTGGAGATCAGCATAAGCCTAAAACAATGATAAGTAAATGGAATTCCAAAAATAATAATAACAATTAAACCTACAATATCACCAACATGTAAGGCAAATTGGAATTGATCCAAAGTCTTAACAATATTGCGGACAGTTGAGTTGTCCACAACTGCACCCATATCCCCATAAGTTACGAAACTGAATGGAGTAACTTGTGAGTTAGTATTTGGGAAAGTTGAGGTAGTAAAGTTGTATAATACACTCCATACACCGGTCTCCTTATTACCGACTGCATAGTAGTAGGTTTGTTGGGCTGCTAATGGTGAAATGACAGCAATGGAAGTGTATCCAGACCAGAGTTTCTGGGTGAATTCGACAATTCTACCGGTAATGATGTTGCCAGTAACTTCTGATGGGTTGAATCCCTTGTTGTCGAATTGGACACATGGAGAGGATGGAAAATCCAAAGTAAACCAGGTGACTTGCATCTCACCTTCAGTGTCAGTAAGTGAGAGTTTAATCGAAAGTGGGGTTACATTCGAGGCATTTGCAATGGCTACTAAAACCAAAAGGATCGTAGTAATTATCATTAAGATTGAAGCGGACATATCGTTTTTTGGTCAGATAATATATAAATATAAGATCGGAAAGCTGAGTCCGGACTTGAACTTGAGTCGGACTTTTGTTGTTGTAAGTATTATTACAAAACAAGTAAAGGTATGAATATTTAAAAATATTGAAAAGATAGATATGAGTGAAAGAACAAAAAACAAAATATATTATAATACCATAAAAAAAAATAATGAAAAAGAATTATTTAAATTACACAAAAAGGTATTAAAATTGTACTTTTCTAAAATACTTTTGGCTCTGAGAGAATTATTAAAAATAGAGTTGTTATGCCAACAACAGTAGTAATACAATAATGAACATTATCATCAGCTAGCTTTATTATATACTTCTTTTGTTGGTTGAATAATTATTTTATAGATATTTTTGAATGAGGCACGAAATTTCTTTTGAAAAAATTGGTTGTGAAAAACAAATAAAATCTTGAATTTTTGATCAACAATCCAACAATCTTTCCTAAAAAATTAATATTTATTATAAAATAACATAAAAAGATTGAATAAGGATTTTCTTATATTTCTTTATATATATATTGTAAGAAAAAATCTATTCACATTATAGGACGGAAAAGTTTTGGTTAGTGGGTCTGATACTTATCTGAACATATACTATTCAACTCAAAATATATAGGAAATCAATAAAAACATTCATTTTATTCATTCTATTATTATTTTTAAACCCAATTTAATTCATCTAAATATTACTAATATTAAAATAATTACTATTATTTATGTATTTATTATCAGATGAACACTAACATATTGTTTAAACAAAATAATGATTCAAAAAAAAAGAAATAGAAAAATTATTTACTATAAAAAAACATAACTATTTTTAACTTTATTGATCTTTGCCAATTCAAATTCATGATCTAAATATGAGACAAAAAGAATGTTGTGATTACAGATTGATTGGGTGATATAGAAATTATTTTTACTTTGAAAGAGGTTTCAATAAATCAGAACTGGTACAACAAATCAAAATATTCTTTTTTAGTGATACAACTATTATTTTTTTTGGATATTTTTTAGACATGAAATTTCTGTTGAAAAATTGGTTTATTTAAATAAAAAAAAATTTATATAAATTTCAGTATTTTTTGATCATTCCTGAAAAATGATATTTATTGAAAATTTAATATTTATAACTTTTATCTCACTTTTATCATTTCAAATTGTGAGTGGTATTGTAAGTATTAAATATTTTAAAGAAAAAAGTTTCCTTCAAAAATTAATTCAATTGAAAGAGACAACCACCTACAATGATGAGTGGCACCAACAAAGATGGTGCGTTTTTCACCTTAAATATCACTGCTAGTAGTTTATTAGTTTCGAATACTATGCCTCTCAATGGAACTTTTATGTTTGGAATGCTGGCAGGTGATGGAAATGATTTTAATTTTCTTGCACTCAGCCCAAAAGATTTTCCTAAACAACCAGATCCTTTTGCACCTGGTGAAATAATTGTTTATGATTCATTGGTATATACTCAGTTGATATGATAATTTTGAAATTATTTTTCAACTAATATTCAATTTTTAAAAGGAAAATACTATTGTTGTTAAAGAACAAACTGCCATTGTCAATTGGGACTTTTATTACGATTATATCAGAAATATGTGTTGGGATCAAAAAAACAATATTATCTATTATATGACAACAGCTGGAGATTCCTATACAGTTGTAATTATTATTGACACACCAAATCAAAATAGGTTTGTATTTGTAGATTATTTAAATTATTTTTGTTTTAACAATAACATTTGACAAAAATTAGTACTAGAAAATTAGTTTCAAAGAAACTTTCTCCTGTTATGGATGGATATTATGATTCAGAGAATAATATATATTATGCTGGATACCTTGTATTCGGATCAGTAGATACTTATTTTAAGATATTCTATCTTTCTAATAATACTGAATCTGAAACTTATATATTCCAACCGTACATCTCTGGAGGAGAATTTTGGAAATTATTTATTTATCAATCCAAGGTTTATGTCGGTGTGTTCGGTCCACGAAATAGCAATATCGTATATATATGCATGGTCGATTTTGAAGCCCGGACCTTGATTGAAATCGTAAAGAATCCTGTGGAACCTAAATCTACAATTGATTTAGTATTTGATCCAAATGGATATATTATCTTTTTTGAATGGAACTATTCAAATGGTTTAATGGTATTAAATACTTTTGACCTAGAAACACAATTATTTGTCACCAATAGTACCATACAAGGTCCTCTTGGAAATGGAGACTATTTCCTTTTAGCTCAATAATAATTCCAATAATAAATAAAGGAATAAATAAAACTAGTTGTGATGATTATTTGATTACCATTTGCTTTAAAATATTTATTTTTAAAGAAGTGATGAACACTCATTTTCATATCCTATCTATCCTATATATATAATTTGAGACAAGATTTTTCAATTTCGTAATATCGCGGAGATGATTTGGAAGATATAAAATCAAAGAAAGGTTGCCATAGAAAAATACCAGTCTTTTTGACCATGTTGGTGTTTGGGAGTGAACTATCTTCTTCTGTTATCAACAACCATATTAAATGTCAAAACGGAGAATTCCTTCACCTCAAATATCCAGCTCCCACAGGTTTCAACTGAGACGATATAATTGAAGAAAATAAATAAGATTTACTTTTATTTCTTTAACATATTTCGTACGAATGGTTCATAGTTGATTGCGCCATCACCCGATCCTACTGCTTGTTTCAACATCTCCTCAACTTGATCTTCATTCAATCTTTCACCTAAATTTGTCAAAATATGTCTCAAGTCAGATGCACCAACCAATCCTTTTCCATCCTATAACATTGTGAATAGATTATTTTTTATTGTTTTAGTTTAGTTTCTCTATTTTTATATTATGATTCCCTCTCTCTTTCTCTTTTTTTTTTTATTTACCTTGTCAAAAACCTTGAATGCATCAATAATCTCTTTCTCATCGAAATCATCAACTACTTTCTTTCCAAGATAGTTAAATAGTCCTTCGACTGTCATCTGTCCATTTGCTATTTAATATGTAAATATATATGTTAATTAGTATTGAAGCTATGAACAAATTCTAAATTTATATATATCTTCTACATACAACCAAACTCTCTAAGAATTTCAGAAATATCAGCTTGTGTTGGGTTTTGACCAAGCCATCTTAGAGCACCTGCCAACTCTGCAGACTCTAATCTTCCATCTTTATTGGAATCGTGCATAGTGAATGCTTCTCTAAACTCTGATTGTGCTTCTTCATTCAATTTTGCTGACTATTTTCAAATTATTACTATTTATTAGATGAATTTTTAAACTATCGCTATTGTGTAGTATATATATACACTACTAACATACCATTTTTATGTATTTATAATGAGATTATACTTGATTAGATTTGAATTGGACCGTTAATTTGATTGATTTTTTTTAACTTTACACTACTACTAAAATTACAACTATTTTTGTTTTAAGATTGAATTTAATAAATAAATAAATATAGATACAATGAATGATGAACTGATTAATCTTGAAAGTTGAATGTCAAAACAATACTTTATAAAAAAAAAAAAAAAGTAAAATTAAAAAAATAAACTATCCAAAAATAAAAAAATAAAAAACCCAACCAAATTTTATTTGAAAAAAATAATGATCTTTTTTTTGATGAAGCCCAAATTTCATTTCATAATCATTAGTTTTATCAGAAGACGAGTAATCTTTATTATTAAATTAAATTTGCATTAAAATTAAATTAATTAAGATATTTAATATATTGAATAAATTAATATTTATTCATAAATAGTATTCAAATTCACAGACAATCAAACATTTTTGATTGAAACAAAATAAATAGTTAGATCTAATCGATTAGAAAAATAGTGAAAAATAGATATAAATATATCATGTCACTAAAGATATATTGGGAAAGAATTAACAATGAAAAACAATCGAATAAAGCAAAAGATTATTTGAATCGTATATTTGCTTCGATTGATAAGCCCGATATCATAGGTAAATTCGAGATTACAAGTCTATCGCTTGGCTCGAAGCCACCCACTTTCGAAATCATCAGTATAGCAGACCCAGACGTCAATATCCTGACACCTGCACCCAACTCCAATTCGATAGAGGCAAGAGTTAAGTTCTCCTATGACGGTGACGCTCACTTTATGTTGGAGGCCGAACTACTCGTCAATGCACCCACACCAAAGTTTATTATATTCCCTATTTCCATTAAAGTTTCAAGTCCACATATATCAGGTAACTAGCAATCTATCTGTCTATCTATCTATTTAAAGAACTTAAACAATAACATTGTGTTAACTTATCATTTATTATTATTATTAGGTATTGCATCAGTTATTTACGATGAAAAGAATGTTTGTTTTTGTTTGTTACCGTCGGGTAATGTAGAAGATGATCTAAAAGGACCAATGAAAGATTTGAAAGTGGAAGCGCAAGTCGGTGATACAGCGCAGCATGTACTGATGGATTTAGATAAATTGATCAATTTTGTTAAGGATGAGCTAAGAGAGATCATAGCAAAGCGCATGGTTTACCCAAATCGTATTACACTTTCACTCAAAGATGCATTGTAAATAAAAACAAATACAAAAACAAAACAAAACAATATATAATAATATATTCTTAATCAAAACTGCTCAATCATATTTACATTTAATTAATTAAACAAAAAAAGTAATATATCGTTGCTAACAACATCTAAAGTTACTATATATATCACCTATTTATTTGTAAAATGAAAAATAACCAACTAAAGTTAACCACACATATATATATACATATATTAAAACAACATTTAAACTAACCACATATGTGAGATTTAAGAAAATGGTTAAAGTTTAATTGTCGCCCACCTCAAAACAATTCACACACAGCAATACACAATACACTACACACACAACAGTTCCTCTTCTTTTATTTTATCTCTTTTATGTCATTTTTTGTTTTTTTTTTTTAACTTTTTCATTATTTTGCAATATCGAGGATGTATTGGTAGGTGTGATGTAGCTTTAAAATATTAAAACAAATATTATGTGTCAATTGTTACACCTCCACAACACCAAAAAAAGATAAAAAAAGAAACATTAACAAAATTAATAAATGATAACTCAGTCACTTAAAATTAAATATATATAGGATAAAATAAAATGTGAATTCTTTAAATACATTTTAATATAAAATAAACCTTTAAATTATATATATAAAAATATATTTATTATAAATATTGGAAAGAAAATTTTATTAATGGATTCAATAGAAGAAATACATAATAATACAAAAATACCAATAATTGATATCGGTGGATTGAGTGATGAGAACAATATTGAAGAGTGGAAGAGAATCTCCAATCAAATTGATGCTGCATCTATTGAATACGGATTCTTTTATGTGAAGAATCATGGAATTCCAATGGAGAGATTGGATCAAATTACCGGTGGATGCAAGGATCTCTTCAATATGCCTTTGGAGGAGAAAATGAAAATCGATATCTCCAAGAGTATCAATCACCGTGGATATGGATGTGTCTACTCGGAGCAATTGGATCCCGATATGAAGCCAGACCTAAAGGAAACATTCTCTATGGGAATAAACATGACTGAAGATGATCCACTCTACTACGATGGCTTGAACGGACCGAATCAGTATCCTGAATACCTTGGAGCGAAATGGTCAGGGATGATGGAATCGTACTTCTATGAAATCATGGATGTCTCCCTAAGAATCCTGAGAGCCATATCATTTAAATTGGGTGCCCCATTAGATTATTTCGATACGAAATATGACAAAACTGTCAGCTCCTTAAGATTAATACATTACCCACCGGTCCTGAAAAGACAAGCTAATATCTATGATAAGGATGTATCGCCAGGCTGTGGTTCGCACACTGACTATGGTTGCATTAGTTTGCTCTACCAAGATATAGCTGGATTGCAGATTGAAAGCAAATCGAAATGGATCGATGCTCCTCCCATTCCTGGAACATTTGTTGTGAATATTGGTGATATGCTCGAGAGATGGAGTAACAATAGATACAAATCAACCCTCCATAGAGTGCTCAGCCCAATTAATCAAGATCGATATGTTTTCGCACTTTTCTCGGAACCAGCATCCGATGTGATGATTGGATGTCTCCCTGGTTGCACTTCACCATCAAATCCTTGGAAATATTCAGAAATTACAACCGGTGACTATTTACACTCTAGATTTAATGATACATATGCCTATAGAAGAAATGAAGAAGATCCTAAAAATTAAGAACAAAAAAAATAATAATAATAAAGCTAATCTTTCAATCCATTTAAAAAACAAAATAAATGAATAATATAAATATTCTAATTGTAATTTCCAATGATCATTTTATCTGATTTAAGAGAATGAAAGAAAAGTGTTAATACCCACAAATTTTTAAAATGTAAGGATGAATGTAGAATGGTTTTTTTTTTTTTTTCATGATGATGCATTGTAGATCTTGGGCATTAACACTTTTCTTTCTTTCACTTGAAACAATGATTAATCACTGTAACTTTCTTTCATAGGATAACCAAAATAAATATTGTAACAAAAATCCAAATTAAGAATTAATGTTAAACATAACTGTTTGAAAAGGTTAATTATTAATTTCCTAACCGTTCAACATGATGTTTAAACAAGAATATTTTGTTTGATTCTAAAGTTAGAAGTTGAATGATGTTGATGTTAGAATTCAAAGTATACCCATTATTTTTTGGAGGTGGTAAATAATATATTTTGACAATTAATTTATTTGAATTTGCGTTTTAAAAGTAGGAGATAAAGATATTGAAGGCATGGTTTCACACAACAGCAATGGGCGCATATTATGAACATATGATATTAGTTTTCGAAAAAAATCTAATGAGGTTTTAGGAGATAAAAAAATCGATGATGATCGCAAATCTTCGTGAGTAAAAAAAACAACAAACAAAAAAAAAACCAAAAGGTTCAAAACCAACTCTTTGGTTCCTATGAAAATTTGATCAACAAAAAAAACTCTTTTGTTTCTTTTTTTTTGGTAACTCCTGCAAAAATCAGTAAAAAATTTAATTTTCATCACGATTTTTTTTGAAAAGTTAAATGATACCTTTTTGATGGCGGGTAGCCTCTTTGATTTGCGATCAAATTTCAAAAGGTTTTCGATAAATTGTTGAAAATTTAAATTAATTTTTTTACTCTCTTTTTTTTTTAATTTTTGATGATTTTGGATATTTTTATTTTCTTTTTTTTTTTCTTCTGCCTATCCTTATTAAAATTCCAACTGTATCGTCAATCAAAAAACACCAACAAATATTAAAGTTGTCTCCTAAAACACCAAACCAAATCATTTAATAACTTTACACTTTTCAAACCAAAGCAAAGCAAAGCAAACTCTACTTTTTCCCAATTACCTTATCTTATACTTTTTTTTTCTTTTGTTTATATCAACTATATTTTATATATGTTTTTATATAGTTAACTACTAAAAATTTAATATATATCCTATCGTATTTATTATTATAGTTTATTTCTTTTTCCTTTTATTGGGAAAATTGATAAAAACCACATAACTTTTTTTAAAAAAATATATAATATAATATAATATATTAATCTAAAAAAACAAAATCATGGATTTCTATGATAGTGATGCAACCATCACAGAGATAGAAGATGATAATACAGTTCCTGTTATAAATAGTAAAATAAATGGATATTCAAATAATGTCAACAGTAGCAATAGCAATAATAATAATAATAATAATACATTTGTAAATAGAACATCTTTAAATAATATAAATCTAGAAGCAGGCGATATCCAAAACGATCCACCTTTAATACTTCATTTCTGTAAAATGCACGGCTGTGGCAATGATTTCGTTATATTCCATGTTGACTCACTGCGAAGCGAGCTGACGGGTCAATCGATCATGCCTTCGCTGGCGGATCTACAGCTGATTGCCCGGTACTTGTGCGATCGCACCAGTGGCGTCGGTGGAAACCAGCTGTTGGTCATCACACCGCCACCTCCCCAGAGCGAAGCACAATACCAAATGCTGATATTCAACTCTGACGGCAGCATGGCAGAGAACAGTGGCAATGGAATCCGTTGTCTCTCGAAATTCATTATCGACTACCAGATCCCGCCATACAACAACGGCGCCAGAAATCACATTATTTGTCCAACGCCTCTGAGTTCGTCGCCTTCGCACGGACAGCAGCAATCGACACATCACTGCTTCTCCGCCGCCAATCCACTCGTGCCGTTCTTCACACGCTGCGAAGGCAGCAATCCATACCAACGCCTGGTTTCCGGCCAGCCACTTTTCCTCTCTATCAACACGATCGCCGGAATCATGCAGTGTTGTCCACTGCCAGCGCATCCACAAAACAACTCACGAACTCTCTGGGTCAAAGTGTGTATGGGACGACCAAAAGTTGTCAATACAATCGAACCTGCCCAGAACAATCCAGTCATCCCAAAGCATGTAAATATCTCCTCACTCAGTCCCGCCGAACAATGCCAGTTGTTGATCGAGCAACAACAACAGCAAGAGAGTCGCCAACAGCCAAAACTCCTCTCAATAAAATCAAAGCAAGAAGACTTTTGCAAGATGTTGCCATTCAAAGGTCACTTTATCAATGCCACTCTCGTGAGCATGGGTAATCCTCACTGCGTTGTCCACCTCGAGAATGTCCAGGACTTCCCAATGGACTACTACGGTGAGGTCATCGAAACACATCCAATCTTCCCAGACAAAACCAACGTTGAATTCGTTGAGGTGATCTCAAGCAATCAAGTGAGAGCACGTGTCTGGCAGCGTGGATGTGGTACCACCAATGCATGCGGTACTGGCGCCTGTGCCATTGTCGTCGCCGGTGTTCTCCGTGGCAAAACCGACAGAAAATGTACCGTTCACATGGATGGTGGCAGTCTTGAAGTGGAATGGAGAAACGAAGACGAGTATGTCTATCACAGTGGTCCTTCTACAACCACTTTCCAAGGTACAGTCAGATTCTTCCTTTCTGAACTCCATTAATAACTTTTTTTTCCCTCCACATCTCTCTCCTAAATCAATCAATCAATCAACCAATCAACCCCATTAGAATTTTGTTTATAATTTTAACCAAAACGTCAAATATTCATTTCAACTTTTTTCTTTTTTCCTACCTACCTATTCTTAACTAATAATAATAATTGTCTATATATTTTTAATTAATTTCTCATTAGTAATAATAATAATAATAATAATCATCCATCATCATCATCAACACAATAATAATAATTTTAAAACCTGAAATCACAATACCTCTCAAATTTGAGGTTATCATGAACGAATCAGTCATTCCAAACCAGTCGACCAAACAAATCAACTTATTTATTTTATCCCCCAGTTTGTTTTTCCCTCTACAAAATAATATATAACCAAAAAAAAAAATCTAACAACTTTTAGTTTCCCCTCCAATCCATAATAATTCTTCAATGTACCTTTTTTTTCGAAATCCAAATCCAACAACTATTCAACCAAACTATTCGGTCATAATAAATTGTATTTATTCTAATCAACTTTAAATAAATATTTTAAATGTTAACATTGTTTATTGCCTTTCGAAAGGTCTTCAACAAAACATTTATTCATAAAATTTAAATAAAAAAAAGATTTATTTCTTTAATTATATAAAATAAAATATATTAAACAAAAAAGTATTAATTATGTAAGTTGTTTAGTACTAATCACTTAATTCAATATAGATTATCTAAAGTAATAAAAATATTATTATTAAACATATAAAAATCTTTGAAAATAGAAAAAAAAATAAAAAGTATTTAATCAATTTGTACAGAGAGAAGAATTAGTAATAGTGCACCTATTCGCAAAAGGCCAGCCTAAAGAAAAGTTAATTTGGAAAGTAAACTATGTCGCAAATTGGTGTTTTAGATATTCATAATTCATATAACACAATTTAAAGTGTAATCCGCCAAATTCAATCTAATAAAATGAAATGCATTGGAAGTGCAATACATTATAAAAACAAGTTCTTAACCAAAAAAGTTAAATTATATTTTTAAATTTCTTTATTTTATTCAAGAATAGAAATATGCTTTGCAATATTATATTATAAATCGATATGATTTTGGTTGCTTTTTGAATTTGATTGAACATTTACTTGGTTGGTTGGTTGATAAGTCGACTTGATGAATTATTTGATTTTAGGGAAGGTGTGATAAATATTATATATATTTAAATCTAGATTTGAATGAAATGTTGAATAGTGTTGCATTGTTGCATAGCATACAAATTGAATAGTGTTTTAGAGAGGGTGAAAGTAAAGGGGGCGGTTGGTGTAAGTCATTTGATTGTTTGGTTAGGCTTGTATTTTATCTATATATATAACTGTACAGTTATTGAGATACAGGAGCAGGTTGAGCTTGTTGCTTTTCATAGTTTAATCTTCTGTATGTGTTGTAACCATGACAGCATGCCATAGCAAAGTTGCAAGCCGCCAGTGCTCTGGTTCCAGAGTTTTGTGGTTGAATCAAAGTCGAATAGTAAGTCCAAATGGTACCTGTCGCACAGAGTGACATCGATTGTGTGAGGTCAATCTTTTCGGGTGGCTTAGTTCCAGAGATAATCTGTGTAATTGGTACAATTGAGAGTGACCATTTCATCATCTAAAAAGTTGCAGCAACTTATGAATTAGTATTTAATCAAATCAAATCAAATCATATTATTCACTATCTAACTTACAGGTGCCAAATTAGTAACTATTCATTTTATCATAATTCATTTAAGTTTTTATTAGTATAAGCTATTGTTTTTAACAAAAATAGAAACACATTGCAATGTAACATACCATCATTTAAGAAAGCAATCTTTGGATACTTCTCGCAAATACCTTGGACGAATGAGTTACTAAAGACAACTCTGTTACCAACATATTTATTAAGAATAGTTGATACGTATTGCATTGTTTTTTTTTGTTTTATCTTATTTACTTATTGTTTGATTGATTTAAAAAAAAAAAAAAAAGAAAATGTTTTTTTTTTTTTGGTCTGAAGAATAGTATTTTTGTTTTAAAATTAAATTACAAAAAAAAAAATGTTGATTCATCATCATGTTGGTGAAACAGTATTGGTACCGAAGTTTTTTTTTGCACCACATGTAGTGAAGACATTTCTTTTAATTTTTTAAGTTTTTGTTTTGTTTTTTTTTTTTTTTTACTTTGTTCGATTCAAATCATTCATATTTATTCAATTCAATCTAACAAATTTTATTAATTATTTTCTCAAAATAACCATTTTTGTTAATAATTTGGTTCTCGTTCCAATATCAAACAACTTTAATTTAAAACACTTTATTTATTTATTAATAAATCTCATTTAATATTATTGTTCAAATCATTATTTAACATACATTTTAGTAGAAATTTATAGAAATAATAATAATGGCATCAGGTAATATTAAAAAAATATATAAGATGAAGATTGTGATTGTTGTTTATACATTCTTATTAATGTTTAAACATTGAAATCTTGTATATGTGAATATATATATATAGGTGAAAAGTGGGTAAAGTTTATAGGATTTTTAGGTGCAGCTGCAAATTGGACCATTCCAATTGCTGTATGTATATATGATTATTAGCTTTTATCAAAATGATAGGTTCTGTAGTATTAATATTGAAGGAATGTTGATTCTATTTAGTCGATGATGAATTTAAAGAATCCACCAGAATCAATTGATCCAATTATGACAGGAAGTAAGTTATCAGAATCAGAGATGAATGACCTTTTCTGACTAAAGTAAAACGAATCATCATTGTGCTCACTGATTTACTAATTTTTGTTTGACTTTGCTCTTTTTACTCATACATATATTAGCATTGGCAAGTTACAGTTTAGTATTTATGAGATGGTCGATCGCAATCAAACCACCCAACTACTGGTTACTTGGTTGTCACGCAGCCAATGAAGTCGCTCAATTAACTCAATTAACAAGATGGGGATTGTATGTATTCATATTATGATCATTAACAACATAACAGTATCGTTATACAGCACAACAGTTTAACATAGCATAGCATAGCATTCATTCATTTACCAAAGATCAATCAAATCAATCAAAGCATGCTTGCAATTTAGAAAACAGGAATCAATCAATAATTTTATTACTCTATTCAATAAGTCTGTTTAAATCAATTGATTTAAGCACACACCACAAATTTCATGATTCATAAAAACAAAAACAACAACAACAAAGACAGAATACTACTTTTTTACCACAAGTGGTGACACTTCATCATTATGATTGTTGATTCGCAAAACACATCAAATCAAACCACCTTTTTATCAAAACAACACCATATATATATATAATTAATTAGTTATTTTATATTAACTGTTTATTATTTAACCAGACATAGTGTTACAGGTAGTAAGAACAAGAATCTCGCAATCGACAACAGCAACAGCAGCAATAACAGCAGCAGTAGTTAATGAATCAAAAAAATAAACAATATATAAACAACAAAACAATACAATACAAAACTGTCTTAATAATAATATTATATAATTATACAAAAACTGTAAAAAAGATATTTATACTAAATATGAATATAGGATTGATTACAGAAACAAACAACTAAACTAAATGAAACCAAAGTCAGAGGATAAAATCTAAGATTCTACAATGATAGTTTATATATATAATCAAAATTATTCATAACAAATAAAAGTTTGAAAAAAGTAAGTAAATAATATTATTTTCATTTTAATTATAATATGGTACAAATCAACAATAACATAATTATTTGAAGTCGCTTGTTTATCACATATATAAATATTATTTATGTAATTAGTTATTTTGTTTAACCAACTGCTGAACAGCAAAGCACCACAATTATTATTAATTATCTTTCACTTTCGTGTTACCTCGCAATTAATTAAAATGAAAATTAGCACACTTCCTGGGAAGATGGGAATTTTGTTTTGGTTTTCAAAGATTTTCATAATTTGCCGTCGTCCTCTTTATCTGACCATCCAAATCCAATTATTATTTTTTTAAATCTGTCTTGTTTTTTTTTTTGTTTTTTTTTTTTTGTTTATTGATTAAATCTTCGGTTTTCGAGTGATGATTGGTTCAAAGAAGTTTCAATTTCATCTACGTTGACTTTGTGGTTCCAACAATAAAATTCTTATGAATTTGCAACAAAAAAAACTAAAATAACCAACTAAATTAATATTTTAAAAAAAAAAATCTAAGAATTAAATATAGTACATAAAGATAAATCTTATTAATAAAAATTAATTATCTTTATAAATAAATAAAATTCATTAAAACTTATTCTTAGAAAAAAAGTTTTAAAAATTCAACTTTCTAAAAAGTTATTTTTAAAAAAAATAAATATAGTAATAAATTTATTTATCATTTCAGTAGGTAATTTTTAATTAAAAATAGTAAAATAAACCCCCCACAAAACACCTTTTTCAGAGTAATCATTCATTTCATTTACAAATTTTGTAAATTATTGTTTAAATTCAACAAAAAACAACAACAACATATGTTCTTGAAGACAGAATCTGAAAAGCATATCCTCAATTCCAAACAATATAGCATTATTATTGAAGATGAAATGTTGGCCATGCAACTTTAGATCGATCTACATAATATAATAATAGACACCAATTTCAACAACAATGTTGTTGTGTTATTGCATTGAACATTTAATTTAATCCTATAATCTCACAAATTTGTCAAGCCCGAAACTCTAATTACATTGACACCTTATAATTTTTTTTAGTTACAACAATTAAGACCAATATTTATTTTTATATTTATTTTATTTATTTATTTATTTTAATAGTTTACTTTTTAGACATAAAACGGTAATATTTATATATTAATTTTAATATTATAAAAAAATAAATAACTACCTACCACAACCACTAAAAGCACATATATAATAATAATTTTCAATTAAATGATTATCTGAATATATTATTATCATTTTTTTTTATAAATTTTTTTTATTTATTTTATTTTGTGAATCGCCACCAATCTTCATCAGCATCACCGATAACAATACCACCATTAAATACCAACACCCAACACCTCTGAACACATTTATATTTATTAAATTAGGATAGAATCCCTTCATCCAAATAAAACAAAACGTGATAATATATATTGGATACCACAATAGTAAACAAGTTGTAGCAACAAAATCAAATTCAATATAAATAAAAAAACAACCATTGACAGGTAGGTTAGAGAGCGCCATATATATATATATTGTTGATTTTGGATATATTATAAATAAAATAAAAAAACACAAACTAGAGTACTATAATATTATATTTTAAAAACAACAGCAGCAACCAACAATAAAGAATCTTTTTAGTTTTATAAGTACATACAATTGTCTTTTTGTTTGGATTAGTTTTTTTTGCTTTTAAAATTTAATTAAGAATAAAAAAATTGAATCACCAACAAAAACTAGAGATATGCTTTTACTATAAGATAATAGATATAAGATAAGATATATTTAAAGATAGAATTAAGAGTAATTGATTGTCTAATTTAAATAAATATTACCACCCTTCTTTTTTTTTTTTTTTTTTTGGAAATTAAATAATTAAATTTAAAAACATCACTCCATCATATAATAATTCAAAATCGAAACAACAACATTAATTAAAAATAGATAAAAACATATGAATGATAATTAATTATATATGTATTTAGTGGATCAAATATTTTAATTTAAAAAATGGATAATGAATAACTATAAATGTTAATATTTATTACTTTGTTTGTTCCCCCAGTCTCTAATTAAAAAATACTTTAACCAATCCTTTTTGGAATCAAACGACAATAATAACAATAACAATAATACCACAGTTTGACAGTCTAGACTATTGAGTAAAAAGGCTATTTGCATATTTTGTTTGTAAATGTAATAAATAAGTTCTACCTCCCTCCTTTTTAGAGTTTGTTTATTTTCAAACCTCTTCATCGTTTTGTCTGTCTGACTTTAACACCTCAAATATAACATTCACATACTCAAACACCACTACCACTACCACTACCAACACACTGCAAGCAATAATACATCTAAAAAACTATACCTTTTTTGACCTTCCTAAACCAAGTTACTTACAACTCTTTCTTGCCTTTCCTTTCTTTTCCTTTCATATTCCTATCTTATCATATCATTATTTTATATTATTTCATATTCATAGGATAGGTTGTTTTAAAAACAGACATTAGCTGCTGCTTGTATAGTGTAATACCATAGTACTATTATCATTTCATTTCATTTCATATCATTTCATTTCTATCAGTTTTAATTTAATAATTTGAATTTATTTTCTTATTATTATTATTACTTTTGTTATCACCAACCCTTTTTACAAATATTTATATCTTTTAACATTTTACTAATTATTATAATAATCTTTAATTCTTAATTTTAAAAAGAATAACATTTTTAAATCAAACATTAGTTTGTTATTTTATTTTTATTAATAAATATCGTTATATTTTATAATAATATCTATCTATATTTAGTTATCATATATATTTATCGTATATACATATCTTATTATTATAAAATCTTACTATTTCAAATCCAAATGAGATGATTCATTCAAATAGTTGTTATATCTTTTATATGTGGTTGTCTTTGTTGGCCCTGATAGTGCTGAGTCAGAGCCAATCGGTCTACGCCATCAAGAATATAGATAATTCACCTTCCATTATTGTACCGTCACTCTCTCGTATCAGAGTAATCAATACAGTTTTGGATTTACAAGATAATAGCAATCAATTGGCAGTCGAACATCTTCAACAACATAATCAACATCAAAGCCGTCATCAACGTCATCACAATCACAATAAACAACAGAAACAACAACAACATTTCCACGGTTATGAATTCGATATCATTTTCAACTCTAGTGAGAGTATGCGTGTAAAAGGACTTAGTTATCTCTCAATGACAGACTATATAACAGTTCCAATCGGTTTGCTTTCAATTTCTATAGTCGACCAGAACAATCCGGTAGTCATTGACAATGGTCGCGATAGTTTTACACTTGAGAATGACACTGACTATACACTCATTATTACTGGAATCCGTCACAACTCTACATCACTCACATTCCTCTCTGATAAAGACAACAACTTTGGAATGGATCCACTGCAACAGCAACAACAACAACAAACACTTCAAAGACGTACTTCTCTTCGTTTCTTGCACTGTGCCCCACAGGCTGGAACCGTAGATTTCAGTATTGTTGGCGGTGCCACCCTCTTTTCAAACATTGGATATCTTGGCGGCTCAAGCGGTGGCGGTGGTTCGCACCAGAGACAACTGTCGAGTAGCACCAACTACATCTCGATACCGTCGAATCCATATATTTTCTTTGTTCACCAACCTGAAAATACTAGCAACATATATATACCGGGTGGCGACAACTCACTGATGCCACACCAATCCAGCATCGTTAGTATTCTTATGGTAGGAGTGCCAGGCAACGAGAAGCTGCCTCTGCAACTCATCCCAATACTCTATCCTTTCGGTCAAAGCGATCACTCCATCTATCAAAAGCAACTGCCATACTCACAGATCAACACACAACTTCCACCCTATCCAGCCAGTCCTAACACCAGTGCTAGTTCATCTACACTATTTAAATTTTCAATAGCAATTCTTATGTTTTTACTTTTAGCTGGAATAAGTGTAATATAAATAATATTATATTATTCCATCACACACATATATATATAATTACATTCAATCTTAAAAGTATCATAAACATAAACTTGACCGAATTCGATTATTTATTTACATCATGATTTAATAATAATAATAATGTAAATAAAATGTAAAATCTAACAAACTACAAAAACAACAACAACAATTGCACTATTCTTTGTTTTGAATATCTCATCACAATTTAATTAAACTGTGATGTTAGAATGAATGATTTTATTATTTGTTTGTTATTTGGGTGATCTAATTATTATGGTTGTTATCACTTGATATATATATTTGTATTTCTTTATACAGGGGTTGTACAATTTAGATGATAATATACTATTATAATGGTTTGAGATATCAATTTATAAATTGGATTGATATCTCTTTAGATGTTATGATCCTCCATTCGTTGGGCAAACACTTATTTGATTATTAACTGACATCTCTAAATCTTTATCTTGTTCATGCTGTTGTAGTTGAACTTCATATTGTTGCTGTATGTTTTCATTATTATTAATATTACTATTACTGTTTATATTTATATTTATACTATATTGCTCTGTTGCTTGTAACTGATGGTCAATCATCTTATTTGAATCTATATAATGCATTGACGATGCATCAGCGGAATCTGGAACATTAGCACCACTACCCATTTGACTCTGATAGTATTGATCCTGTATATTATTGTCGATTGCAACGTCACTACCGAAATAAGCATCGAGAGCATCGCTGCTCAGTCCTTGACCAACAAGATTCGCACCAGCACTCACTCTCTCCGAACTAACTGTATTGTAAGCACGACGGAACATAAAGAACGGTATGAACTTTCCACCGCTTACCGCCATCATCACTGCAACCATTTGTCCTACCTCTATCAGAAATGCAAATAAATCACCTACCTGTGACATTGCAAAACCTTCATCCACAGCAAATGTAAAAACAAAACTACGCGCTATCGCAATAACTGTCAAACCAGCAAGAATCTTTACAAGAAAATCAGTCTACCAAAAAAAGAAGAAGAAAGAAAATGCATTAATACCTTTTATATTTCCAAACAATGTTACTATTATAATAATAATAATCATTATAATTACTTTTTTAGCTGATAAAATCATTGTAGGTGAACTACTTAATCCTGGATTTGTCATCATTTCCTTTTTGAATGCTCTTGACAATCCAATACCATGAATTGTAAAGAGTCCACCGAGATACAAGATGACGAGTAAGTAGATGATATTGTAGGTGTTGATGATGCTTATGGTGGTGGCCGCGTTGATAACTATGATTGCAATGACCCACAGCGTCAGTAACACCACCGATATTCCCAAGATATAGTTCAACCTCCGCGACACCTTCCTATTGAGCACCGACTGTTTGTTACTGAAAAATAAATAGAAAATACTGATCCAAAAACTTCCGATTGCGCACCATTCCATCAGAATGAAATAGGTACCGATGATAATAAGTGTGTAATAGATGATTCCAATGGCCGTGTTGTTTCGCGTTAGATTATCGTTGACTTTGATCACCTTCAATATGAATGCTACCGCTCTGGTGATCGACATGATTCCACAAGAGAAATAGACGACCTTTCGAGTGTAGAACGGCAGCTTCGTTCCAGTTCGTGCTGTTGTCGCTGCATTAAAATCGTGTGCCCGCAGCTCGAAAAAGAATTGCACCATATTTACAATGCCAAAATAAAAGAAAACTATAATACGGAAAATCGCAAATGTCCAAAATACTTTTTTCCACTCCGGTGATACATCATTATATGTATAAGGTAGACCTGTATCATGAGGTTTCATTTCTTTATCTATATATATATATTATTATTATTTATTATTTATTATTTATTATTTATTATTGTTATTATATTATATTATTCTAAAAATAGTTTGATATTAAAGTATATTTGTTGTATTGATGCTATTATCATTTGTTTTTTAATAAATATTTCTTGCTAAATGGATAGACAAATCAATTTGATTAATGATTTTATTCCAATTCCAAAATGAAGCAAATGTGTAATTTAAATTGTGATTGATTGTGTTGATTGAATTAAATAATATTACTGTCACTGAAACTATCAATAAAATTAGTTTTTTGTTCAATAAAAAAAAATGTTTTAAATATTTCCAAACTGGATTGTATTTTATCAACTGATAAAAGTCGTAGATACATACATACATGAGCGGTGTGGTGTGGTTCAATGAGTGGGTGGTCGTATTGTTACTGTCTTTTTTTTTTTTTTTTTTTATTCTGATGCTAATCTATCTGTGATCGAATTTCAAGATGATAAGTTTTTTTAACTTAACTCCGCCTCTTGTTTTCTTAATTTAGCTCTTTTCCATAGAAAAAAAAAATAATTGTATTGTCAAATAAAAAAACAACAAACACAATGAACACCACTCTAAAATTGATATCAATTTGGGTTATTTGGTGGTGGTGACGATAGGAGGAGGTATTTTGAAAGAGGACCGATGACTGAAAAACAAAAAATAAACTGCTTGCTCCAACACAAAACACAATTCAATCTCTTAATTAGTTTTTATGATGATGATATTTATTTGTATGACAGATAGTTTGGTTTGGGTTAGGTTGTGTGCTTTTGATAGTAGTTTTGTGAATAATGGGGCAGATATGAAATGAATGGATGTTTATGAAATGGTTTTCAAAAAAAAAAAAGAAAATAATGGTTTGTTGATATTTTTGTCAAACGCTGAGAGATGAAAATTAAAAATTAATATCTTATGAAATATTTTGATTAAAAAAAGTCCTCAATTTTAGTGCCTCTGAAAAAATAAAAAACAAAAACCTCATAGGATTTAAATTTGCCAAAAAAAAAAAAAAAAAAAAAACAAAATTAATTTTTTGTGTAAAGGTTATGGAAAAACACAAAAAAAAAAAAAAATTGAAAAACAGGGATCTACTGTCATTGTTCGATACTGGGTAATGAAGTGGCGGGTGCCAGATTGATAGGATAGTGTGCAAAAAAAAACACCAAAACGAAATAATTGTTATTTTTTTTTTTAGTTTTTGAAACGCAACAACTCTTTTGCCATTGGCGAAAATAATTAAAAGGTGTTTGCAAACAACAAAAATGAAAGTGATTTTGTTTTTTACATAGTTTGTTAGATCTATCATTAACTTAACACGTTTGCGTTGTTGGTATTTGCAAAACCATGATTGATTTTATTTAAGCTCTATCTCAACCACGAATCTTTTTAGGAAATATATGATCGGTTCACCAAGTAACACCACAATCCACATCCTTGAGTTGAGGAGCACCGGCCTAATCACAAAAGTTGAAGGTAGAATCGAATATAATTTTTCTAGAAGAAGGAAGGTCAATCAATCTTCTTCAAATGACCTTTTGCTTCCATAAAATGTTGCATTTCAATCTATTTGATTTAAAATAAAGATAATATGATTAGTTTGGTTTAAATGAATAAATAATTCATTATTAGTTATTATATTTAATTGTTGTACCTTTGTTGAGTTTAAATCTTGTCTTAATGCAATTAATGCTGATTCTTTACAGAGGTTGGCCAAGTCGGCACCACAACAACCATTGGTCAAGTCGGCCAATTTGAAGAGGTTGACGTCGTCTGCCAGCGGCATATTCTTTGTCAGTTTCGTTAGAATATCTATTCTACCGTTGTGATCGGGATTGGGTATTTCAATGTGGTAGTCAAATCTGCCGGGTCGCAGAATCGTTGGATCCAACATATCGATTCTAGTGGTAGCTCCAAGTACAATACTACCTATGCTATTGTTAGTAGATGCAGCTGCACCTTTAGTCTTGCTTCTATGTTGTTGCGATGTTGCAAATCCATCCATTTCAATGAGTAGACATGATAGAAGACGGTCGGCCGACTGCTCTGTGCTACTGTCGAATCCACGGTGTCGCGCCAACACTTCGATCTGGTCGAGAAACAAGATGCACGGTGCCGACTCGCGAACCACCTTGAAGAGCGCACTCAACTTCTTCTCACTCTCACCCACGACCGGACTGATAATATCGGTGGATTGCACGGCGATAAAGTTGATATTCGGCGAGCTCGTGGCGATGGCACGCGCTATCAGCGACTTTCCATTGCCCGGCGGTCCGAATAGCAGCAGTCCCGACGGCTGACTGACACCGATGCGTGCCAGCGGCTCAGGGTTGAGAATCGGTAGCAACACCGCAGTCTTTATCCTCTGTATCACTTGATCGAGCGCACCTATCTCCTCGAAAGCGATACTCTCCAGTCGAATCTGATATTGATTCAATATCGATGGCTTCACACGGTGAAACATCTCATTGAAATCCTCACGACTGACCAACAAACGCTGAGATTGTTGTTGTCGACTCTCTTTTTGTTGTTTTTCACTTTTTACAATGGCATGGGTAGCAGCTTCATTACATAGGAATTGAAGATCGGCACCTACATATCCATGTGTACAATTGGCAAGATAATCTATTAATTCATCATAATATTGTTTATTATCATAATAGCCAGAGTACTCTTTTATATTTATTATTAAAGAAAATGTTAATATATACATACTTAACAACTACTTTAAAGTTATAAATTAACTTACTCTTTATTAAAATTGATAGTATATCCTTACGATCTTGTGGAGATGGTATTGGTATGTTGATTACTGAATCGAATCTACCACATTGAAACATTTCACTATCGATTGAATCAACTCTATTCGTTATACCAATTATAAAAATACAACTGTTTACATTGCTTGGTTCACTGTTACCATCTAACAGATCCAACAAAAATGTTGTTACTCCTCTCTCAATTTCTATAAAAATAATAATAATAAAAGTAAAGTAAAGTAAAGTAAAGTAAAGTAAAGTAAAGTAAAGTACGGTAAGTTAATAATTGTCAATTTAACATTAATAATAATAATAATACATACTACCAACTCTACCACTTTCTCTCTTTACAGATATTGAATCAAACTCTTCTAATACCAATATAAAAGGTTTTGTACTACTATTGTTATTATTTCTCTTGATTAGAGATGTTAGATATCTCTCTGTATCACCATCATCTATATAATCGATATTCAATTAGTAGTATTAGTATTAAAATAATATAAGATGACATGTATTTAGTTAACCGCTTACTCTCTTGATAAAGATAAGTTGAATTTATAATTTGATAATCTAAATCATGTTTATAAAGTGATTTAAATTCATTCAGTATCGTATTGATTAGCAATGATTTACCAAGACCTGTTCTAGATTGTATTAATAAATGAACTGGTAATCTTATATCTAATGTTTTAAATATATTATTTATATTATCATTGCTACGACTATTATGATGATTATTAATAGTATTATAAGAATCTATATATAATTGTATTCTATCAATGATCGATCTCGATATTTCATTTAAAAGCACCAACTTTATTTATAACATTATTAAATATTATATCATTTACATTGTTGTTGTTGTTGTTGTTATTATTGTTGTTGTTGTTCATTGTATATATCGAAAATGAAATGTCGATCGACAGATCAGTCTATTAAATTCAATTCACATTTCAAACTATCAAAAACAATCAATCTTTTTTAAAAATAAAATCAATGTTATTGGTTCCCAAATTCAATCAAAACTATTGGTTATCATAACATTTATATGATGGTGAATCAATCAATTAAAATAATATAAAAATGTAAATGCAATACAATCTCAAAAATGAAAAAAAATAATCTATCAAATAAAAAGATCACAGTTTGTTTTTTTTTGTCAACAGAAAAACGGTATCTCTCGAATTTAGATTGTGACCGTTGAAAACATTTTCACTTCATTTAGTTAAATTTTTGAATTTTTTCAAAAATATTTGCAAAAAAAATTGGTTTGATGTTATTCTATTGGTAATAATAGGTTGCTTTCGAGCGGGAACAAAAATAATTATTAAATCTCACATTGTGTTTGTTATATTTTTATTATTATATATATATATTTATAGTTTTATTTATTTATTTATATTTATTGCATTATTATTATTATCAAATGTACATTAAAATATAATCGCTGCTCATATTATTTTATTATTCTACATTTTACACTTAAAATATTTATTATATTTATATATTTTTTTTCAGTTGCTATTATTAGATCTAATTATACTCAAGCAGTAGTTGCAGTTACGATCGTTTAGATTTTGATTAGTTATTTGTTTTGTTGTTGAATAGATTACATACAGGTTGTCGAAGAAAATGAAAGATTCGTCTTCACCAGTTTCAACAGAGTCTATTGGCGGCGATGTCGTAATGACTGTTGCAACTGAATTAGCAACAGCGACGACAGAAACAAAGGAAACAACACCGACAACAATAGCAACAGTAACAACACCGACACAAAGTGAAAACGATGAGGCAGAAGAAGAGTTATTCTTTAAACAACTAAAAGATTTCTATATTGCAAATGGGTAAGCAAAAACAAACTAAACATTAATTTTATAAAATGAATATAAATAGTAATTTTAATCATTCATTAATTCATATATATAGATCATTTCTAATGACAACTAAAAGACCACAGAACAAAGGAAAGTTTATCAAACTGTTTGCCATTTACAACAAGGTGGTGGAATTGGGTGGATACACTCAACTCAATACAACTCTGTGGAATGACATTGCGAGTCAACTAGAGATTTCAGGCTCAGTCAAAAAGATCTACTTAAAATATTTAATTGATTTTGAAAGGTATCTATCTATAATTATTATCATGACGTGTCATTTCCACCAACTAACACACCACACACAAATCAATCATCTAAACTCTTGGAAACGACATTTGTCAATTTCATTTTCAAAAAAAAAAAAAAAAAATTAATTTTAATTTAAAAATTTTTAGAACATTTTTTAAACAAAATGAAAATACAAGACAATCTGCATCATCAACAGCATCAATCAGTGATATCGTTGTGGAAGCAATCGATCCAAGCGCTGGCGGCACTCTAGGAAACATGTTGAGGAATTCATTTTTAGTGGATAATGTCACCGGCTCGCAGAAACGAAAGCAAATAACACCGTCTGCTGCCGCTGCTGCATCGGCTGCTGCCAATCAATCAAACACAGATAGATCCAATAAGAAATTAAAAGAAGAGAGTAAGTAGAGAATAAATATATCTATAAAAGTAAAATATATTAATATAAGTTAATGTTGAATTATAATAATTCAATTCAATTCAATTCAATTCAATTTTAGATTTTAGTAGATTTGAAAAAGATTTCAAGAGTGCAAAGACTTTAACTATATTTTCAAAGCATTTGTTTAAGAGTGCGCTGGAATCACATGTGATCAATCTGAAGAATCAGTTGTCACCAAAGTCCAATACGACTTCGACATCTCCACTCACCCTTACGATCGCTACCAACAGCAGTGGAAAAGCAACCGCTGTCGTACAGAATCTAGGTTCACCGGTAGGCGGACAATTATCACCTTCATCCAACGGTTCTGGTTCAACGTCAAGCTCGAGTGGAAGACTAATTAAATTGATAAAAACACCACCTCTTTCTTCCAAGATAAGAGTACCATCACCAACAACAACAACAACAACAACGACAACTACAACCACAACAACAACAGTTAATAGCAATCCACAAACACCACCATCAGGTGAGGAAATCGATGTAGTTACAACACCACCTGAATACAGAAAGCATAGAGATAAAGTAAAAGAGAAAGAGAAAGAGAAAGAAAAGGAAAAAGAAAAAGAGAAAGAAAAAGAAAAAAGCAAAACAACAGTATCAAATGAGAATAATAATGATAAGAGTAGTAATAAGAAGAAGTTGAGGAAGACGGATAATGTTGACCTTCAATCTGATGAAGATGTTTCTACTACTCAACCATCAACATCTTCAAAGTCAAGTAGCATTAGTAGAAAATCTGTAAATATTTCAAGTAGATCGCAAAATAAATCTAAATCAAAAGATGATAATGAGGTGATACAGGAGGATATAGGAGATGAGAAAGAGGGATCCATGGATAACAGGAAGCAAGAGAAACAAGATGAAGATGCCACTGAAGAGTTTGTAACCATGGTTGTCGATAAGCGAAGAAGAAAAGTGATCGATGATACAACACCAGAACTAGAAGAATCAAAGCTACCATTAGATAGTAATATTAATAGTAGTAGTAGTAGTAGTACAAAATCAGAAACAGTTACAGTAACAACAACAACATCGAAAGAAACCACAGAGAAGTCAACAACAAATGAGGAGAAAGAAACCAAACACTTTAGACTAAAGGAAAAGAAAAAGAAAGACTATGCATCCTACGAGAAGGAGAAAGAAGAAAAGAAGAATAAAGAGGAGAAACAACATCAGGAGGAGAAGAATAAAGATAGTGATAAAGTGATAGAGAAAGATGAATCTAATACTGTAGATAAAATGGAAATTGATCAAAAACAAAATAATAATACAACACCATCTAAAGATAAAACATCAACCTCAACTTCAACAATGACATCACCTTTAAAACTAAATTTAACATCGCATACCTCACTTTCACAATTTCCAGGTTGTTACACACCCCTCTTTGCTGAATCAGTCATACAAAACAACAATTTCACTGACGGTGACTACTCTGTGATGCAAAAGAGAATAGAGGAACTGAAACAACTAGACAAACTTGTCATCGATTATATATCAAAAATCAACGAGGAACGAAATATCTTATTGGAAATTTTATTACAAAAACCAAATAAATCGCACTCCTAATTCTTTATTTCAGGATTAAGATAAAGTATTTTTTAGGAAATTAAGTACTTTGTGCATTTTTTGAACAATATCACAAAATGATTGATCTTTGCATTCCAATCTTCACTGTATCAAAGTAGATACCAATACTGGTATTAATTAATTGTCAATCATTGGAACTGATAAGTATTGAACACTTTTAGGTGATGGAAATGATATTTAATTTCATAACTCATAGGATCAACCAACACCATCAAATCCTGTTGCACCTGGTGAAATATTTGTTTATGATTCATTTAGTTAAAACCAAAATGGTTGATATTGATGTGATTTTGTCAAAAAAAATAACAAATTCAAATGAATTTAAGATATCAAAATTAATTTTTATTCTTTAGTAATGGATTGAGCAAATTATATTAATCTAAGCCTGATTGGCACTGTTATCTTCATAGTCATCACCAGCTTCATAATCATTGTCTTCGAATGGATCGGCTGTTTCATCGGCCAATAGATCATCAATGTTCTCAACCAGTTCCTCGACTTCGAGCTCTCTCTTGAGTTGACGGAGATGTTGTTTCGATCGCCAAGCTCTCTGCATTGCAGATGCAGCTTGACTGTGTCTGTCTGAGTAGGGACCGTACTGAGTTGGTGATGTTTCATACGATGGCATCGAAGTGGTTGGACTGTTCTCGGTGGTCGCTGTTCCATCGGTGGCGGTCAACGGTGACAACGGTATCTTCTTAGAGGCTGCACTCTCCAACTCACGCTTCTTAACGACTTCGTAGATCTCTTTGAATTCATTCAAAATGAATTCATTGTCATTCTCGTCACCAAACGATTGTTCTATTCTTTCCTTCTTCTTGGAGCCATCGACCACTGGAACATTGAGAGTGTCAGTTTTTTCTTCAGCTGCTTCTTTCTTGCCGAGTTTCTTCTTTTTCTTTGATTTTGAGGTTGATGATGAAGATTGTCCTTTATCTCCACTTTCTTCTCCTTCAGCTTCTCCACTTTGCTTGGCGGTTGAATCATCTTTTTCCTTTCCTTTCTTCTTTTGGTCTTCTTTCTTTTTCTTTTGATCTTTGGCTTTGTCTTTGGTGGTACGCTTCTTGGCAGCTCTTCTTCGACGGACAACTACAAACATACCAACTAGGAGACCTGCTACAAGTGCGGCACCAACAACAGAGCCAACAATAACTGCAACTCTGGTCCAGTCCGATACAGATTTACCACGTCCAATAACAGCAAACTGAGTCAAATGGCTGCACTTACAAAATACATTGGTATCACGTTTGATAGTAACACAACCTTCGTCACTCCATCGCTGTTTGTTCTTATCCCACCAGACACATTCGTGATTGTCATCGGGATCAAATGTATTTCCACAGTCGATTCCGATTGGTTCCAGCAGTCCTTTGACTCCAATCTCCTTCATTTCATCACTGACCAAATCCAACGAGAACGTATTCTTACTTAGGAACTTCTTGTCACTCTCCAACTTGGTATTGAAGTGTGGATTTCCAGGGAATGTAATATACTTTACACCAATCTCCTGATGTGATGTGTACTGAGCAATTACCTTGGAAAGAGCATCGGGTTGAATAGTAAAAGTAGGATCTCCAGTGATACCAGCTGCAACGGCACCGTTCTTTTTGAAATGCAAAGGATCTTGTTTGAAAGTGGAGATGGTAACACCCTGTTTGGAAATGATTGTCGCTTCTTCACCACTGGATGCACGGAACAATAGAGCATTGGCAATCTGATGAGCAACCAAATCCAAGTCCAGACTAATCGTTTTAACCGAGACCTTCATTGCCGGATCGATATTGTGAAGTTGACGATTCACCTGATGATTGATATTACCAACTACGGAGATCGAAGAGTTGATGCCGGTTGGCAGTACCGGATTCTCAAGGAATCCTTTAGATAGTGATTTCATCACACCCATTGCACTGGCCAATATATTGGGACGAAGAATCTGACGTGTTTCCGTTGCGGTATTCAGGATATCTATCATTGATGTGACACGTTCCGTTGTGATACGTGAGTCATTGGAGACAACTTGCTCGTTGAGGATATCGATTGCAGTGGTTTTGAATCCAGACACCTTCTCGGCAACCTGAGCATTCGATACAGCTTTTCCATTTTTGTTGGAGACAGCCGGCAGTAAGACATTACCCAAACGCAGCGAGAATGAGATTTCATAGAGTGTAAGTGTTGGACTTTCCATTATAGTTGAAATGAACTCAATGATTCTCTCGGTGTCGTCGTTGGAAGGTGCATCCACATGGATTAAACACGAAGAGGAAGCAGCCACACCGTTTCCACTCAGTGCGTATCCCATCACCTTAATTTTGCCAGGTGGCAAGAACGTAGTGATTTGACTCACCATTGAACGATCGCCAAGTGGGAACTCTTCGGGATCGTTGTCAACACGATAGGTGAAACTATATCCAATGATTCCGGCAGCGGCACCCCAGCTACGACCCATATCGATAGTGTATTTATCGAAAATGGATCCTTTCTGAGTGTAGCAATTGATTTTTCCACCTGAAGGTCTGGCTTCAGTTCTGAAAGTAATCGATGCTTCACCAGTGATATTGGTAAGTGAGTCGACAACATGAACGGTGTAGGTATACAGTGTTCCACCTGCCAACGCTCCCGATTTGAATGCCAAATTCCGCATGTTGGTAGGTGTTGAATAGGCATCGGATTCGTCGACTGCCAACGTTCCACTATCCAAAGTCCAAGACCAAACCAGTTGCTCCAGCGGAATGTGATTGTTGATGAGGATGGAACGCAACACAATCTTTTGACCGGGATCTATAAACACTGGGAGCGCTGTCTTGTTGATTTCCACCTCAATGAAACCACCGCTAGTGATAACGATTGACGTGATGGCAGAAGATGCCCGAGAGGAATCATCATCTGGCGATACATCCACTTGAAAAATATACTTTCCAGGCTTCAAATCGGTTGCATTGAAAGTGATAACCGATTCATCGGGTATTTCAATACCACAATGCTTATCGAATTGCACTGGACTACACTGCCATTTAAACGAGAGAGTAGTATCATTGCCGTCGGGATCTCTTGAATTCGATGCATCGAGGGTCACCAATTGATTCTGTCCATATGTCTTATCACCACCAGTGATAACGGCATAGATCGGTCCTTTGGAAACATATACTTCAATGGAGGCGAACGACGATTTTCTTCCGATGGTAGCGGTCAAAGTGAATACATAAGTGGTTCCAGCAATCCAAGAGTCGGAGCTAACATAGAGATTTCTAGAGGTGGCGGTTCCCTGGTCTAGTGGGAACTGTGGCGATACACTCCATTGGTAGTCGACAATGCTATCGGCGTTGTTCTTGGCTTCACAACCAGTGTAGGTCGCCAAACCTTCGATTGCAAGATTCCTCGCTGGCACGGTGAGTTTGTTCGGACCAAAGATCTTGACAATGACAACGTCCACTGCTTTTTTGTAGACGGTGGTAGTGGTGCTGTGCGATTTTCCTTGGATGTTTGTTACTTTCAGTTGGAAGGAATACGATGCCCCAATATCAAGAGTTCGATTGCTAATTCTCACTTTGGCGCCGTGTGAATTCTGTAGGAGTTCAATCAACTCGTTGACGTGTGATGCAGCTTGATAGACACTCCATTCATAGGTAAGTCCACGAGTTGATCCTGCGCCATTCTCAGAGTAGGAACCGTCCAGAAGCAGCTCGTCACAAGGACCAATGTCTTCTGGTGCTTTAATGGTTGCAACCGGGATGAGAGTACCCAACGATGTAAGCTGAATCGATTCACGGTTATTTGGTTCACCACCGACCGACTCAATCGATCCTGCATTGAATTCAATGATATCACCGATTTCAGTGGTGGAGGCATGTCCGAGTGTGATAGTCAGTGTCTTTGGATCTGTCCAGCTACAGGTTGGATCTTCTCCCAATCTTCTGAGGGTGGAAGCAGTCAGATATTGTTCACAAGTTCTTGGTTTTACATTGGTTTCCGGTGTGAATGTACATTGGATAGTCGTTCCCACGGCGTTGATCGTACAGGTTTGGACTTGTGGAGCAGACAGCGAGACGTACGTGTAACCACTGTGTAGTGTGTAGTTTCTACCTTGTGAAGACATGACATTTACATCGGTGGGAAGCGGTGTGTTACCTCTTGGAACATTGCAAGTGATTCGGTTGGTGTTGGCATCGACGTTCATCGCCTGACATTGCTGTCCACCTATAAAGACCGCCTGGATGGGACAGTTGAATCCGGTACCTTCAATGGTGATCTGGTTGCCACCTGTCATTGGACCAGAAGGTGGACTAATGCCTGTCAACGTTATATTACATGTCTCCATTGTTTTCTCAACCATTTTGTTACGAGCCAACAGCTTCATGACGGGTTTGGCATCGGACAGGAACTTTTGGTAGGGACGGATGTATCTCATTTGATTCAACTTGTGATCGGTGTTGTACACCATCTGACCTTGACGATCGTGTATTCTATAGTACAAAAGTGGATCGGTTGCAATTGCCAGTTTGTAGCCGTGGATAACCAACTTGGCGAGAAGCTCGTGGTCTTCGAGACCGACTCCATACTCTTCGGTGAATCCACCGATTGCATTGAAGGTGGCGCGACGAATAAAGAAGTTGGCATCACCGAAACAATTCTTAAACAGACCGACTGACAGTGAAGAACCGAGAGGAATCCATTGGCGTTGAATTGGTGTGTGATCCGTTGGTGTGTTGGTGGTGGTGATGATGGAATGTGGCGAAGTAACTACATCGGCATTGGTGTGCATTGCCACCTTCACATAGGTAGCCAAAGCATTGGGATAAGCGGCATTATCATCATCCAAGAAATAGATATATTCACCGGATGCCTCACGAACAGCTGTGTTTCTGGCAGCACCAAGATACCGGTTGGCAGTTCTTATCAACTTCCAATGACGTTTCTTGAATTGCGACTCGAGTGATTTGAGATAGCTGAGTGCTTCAGTTGTATTACTTCCATCATCAACAAGAATCACTTCGTAATTTCCATAGTTTTGTTTATCAATCGATTGTAGTGCTTGTTTCAAAAGAGTAGGACGATTGAAATGTACAATACAAACTGATACCAAAGGTTGATTGGATGTTGATTGAGTATTGGTCGTTGTTGAATGATTTAAAACAATATTTAATTGCGATTGTTTTAGTTGTTGTTGTTGTTCAAGCTCAGTATAGAAAGATGACCATGTATCCAAAGAATGTGATGCAGAAAAAGTTGGTCTTGCAATAACTACACCCTTTTTGATGGAACTCAACAACTTTCTAAAGAGAAGATGTGGTTTGGTGTCAAACAATACAGAGTCACGGTCTCGTTTGTCCACCAATGGAATCATAGATGCAGTGGAACTTGCAATCACTGGAATCGATTTATATAAACATTCATATAATGTATATGGAGCATTATCTTCAAGTGATGGGATAATCTATAATTATAGATGAAAAGAAAATGTAATTAATTAGTTTCATTTCAAATACATTTAATTTGTTATTGTTTTAACTTACAGCTAAACGAGCTGGAGATTTCACTAGATAATCTAATGCTTCATTAGATGTCTTGTCAGAGATGAATGAGACTGCGAATGGCCATTGGAGAGCACGCTTTCTGATGTAACCGATTGAGGATTCACCTTTGATGGTTGAGGTTCTTCCCAGGAAAGTAACTTTGTAGTTTTTTCAATTCGAAAGTTGATCCTTGTTTTGCCAATAGATCCAGTGCATCACACAACAGAATAACACCTTTTCTTTGTTCCAATCTACCAAAGAATACAAACTCTTCAATTGGAGAAGAAAAAGATTGGTGTTGTTGAATTTGACTATCTACTTCATCTTCCTTGTTCTTGTTGTTTACGTTATCTCCACTTATAACACTTGGGGACAAGAAAGAAAGCAGTGCCAATTTATCGGGTGAAATGGTCCAACCTTGTTTTCTCAGCCAATTGACAATGTAGGTGGATGGCGTCCAAACGACATCGGCCAGCTCAACACTCTTTCTCTCCATGTAGTCGAGTTCAAACTCGGATTCGAGCGTTGGTTTATTCTGAGTGTTTGACTGGATTACCCATGAGGACGGTCCGTGCAATCCAACGACAATTTTCGAGCGTTGGAAGTGTTGTCCACTCGCTTTGGCCAGCGAAGTATAGTATGCCATACCCTCAAAGTCTGGGAAGTGAATGATGTCATACTGTTGAGACTTGAGGTATTGGTAGACCTGGTAGGAACGCTTCACCAGATACGGATTGTCAAGAGGGACGGGCGATGCTGGTAACGCAACCAAATTAATGTTGCGCTTCTCACGCAGCAGCAGTTTCCACTCGGAAAAACTCATTCGCTCGGTTGCCTCATCACGCGCATACAACAGTGTAACATCGTGTCCTCGAGCAACAAGAAAATCCGCTAGAATAGAATACACCGTACCAATACCAGATGTTGAATACATTCCTTCAAAACTACTAACGACCAACACTATTTTTAATTTCTTTTTACTCATTTCATTTTCCAAATTAAGTAGTTGTTGTTTATCATTTTCAAAATTATTATTACTACTATTATTATCATTTTTAATATTAATATTATTATTACTATCTACTATATTTGATTCAATACTTGAATACCAATCTTAAATTCAAATTAAAATTAATAAATTTTGTTTTTCCAGTTTTTCCAGTTTTTCTGGAAATATTATATTATAACATTGACATACCTAATGTAATTGAATTATTTGTTGATTTATATTGTAAATTATTTAATCTGTTTACAATGTCCCAGAGATTCTGTTGATAAAGATAGTCATTGAGATTATAACTATTTAATTGACTAAGAATATTGTCATATTCTTCTCGCAGTGAATTGATATCGTTTGTAACGATTGGTCTATTATGATCGAAACTATATGTATTGACTTGTAGTGAAAAAGGTACTACCAATAAAACTATGAATAAAATAAGATAAACATTTTTATAAAATCGATTATAATTATTATCTATTATATTTATTATTTTCATTATATAAATAAAATAAAATAAATAAATACAAAACTAATTATATATTATTACTATATTATTATTATTATTTTATTTAAATATAATCAATAATCAATAATTAAACAAATAAAACTAATTAAAATCTAACCTATCTATCTAATTATTATTTAACTATTGCTATAATTCTATTATTTTGTTGTTTATGATTTAAAAATAAATAATTAATGAAGAATGGAAGAAAAATAATTATAATATGCTTTGGAAAGTAAAGATTGTTTGTCTGTCGTCTGAATTTGATTATTCTTTTTTTGTCGATATTCTCTATCCACACACATTCACACACTCTCTCAAAGTACAATACGATACACCTATGGACTATATGTGGGTTGATTTAGTTTCAGTGCACTGAGTTGAAACCTTAATGAACAAATATGTGTATAGATGATACTGATGCTGATGCTGATGATGATGGTTGATATAAGGGGGAATAATTCATTACAATGAATGAAATAGGATAGAATTGGATTAATAGGATGTGTTGTTTGACTTGTTGTTTGTTGCACTCATTATTAACTTCTTCCTCTGACTACTCATCTACTCTTCTACGCTTTTACTCTTATACTACTAATAGTAGTACTAATTCGAAAATTTGTAAGTTGTGGTTATTTTTCTATTGATTTCCTTTGTCAACACTCACGCAAATTGTCTCTACACATATTACCAAACCACAACCAACACACATCTCATAATAACCAACATCATCATTGTTATTAAATAACAATTGCTATATAAATCAACCACTACTATTTCTATCTATCTATCTATCTATTTATTCCTACATTATTCGATAATATATTAATTAATTGTTGTTATTTGTTTTTTTCGAAGTGTGAACACTGACACAACCACCCACACACTGCATCAAACAAAACAATCAAATAAAAAATAAAATAAAATAAAAAAGAAAATAATCATTTAATGAGTCAACACTCATAAACACACACAATTGATTATCATAATCAATCAAAATATATATTAATTTATATATAATCATATTGTGTAAAAAAGTAATTATAATTGCTCACTTTTTTTTCATTGATCAAATTAATGAATATTCTTGATTTATACAAATAGTTTAATTAGTTATCATTAATAAGATATGATTTTGATTGATCTATGATCTTAATAGATATGTGTATTTACATGTTTTTTTATTTGTGTTTTATTGATTTTATATTATTTTTTTTTTTGATTGATTTGATCTTTATGAGACTGATTGATTAGCTAATCGATTTACTTTGATTTCTTCAAAGCCTCGGCAACCAAATTCTTTTCGAAATCAGACTTGGCATCCATCTTTGATACTTTGACATACCATTCTTTGGCACTGGCGTTGTCCTTCAATGCTGCGTAGGTGTCGGCAATGGAGAGTGAATTACGGATCAAAGTGGGATCGGCCTTGTCAGCACGGATATAGTAGTCCAAAGCCTCTTGGAAGGTGGCAGTTGGTGGAGTACCAAAGAGAGCAGAGGCAGCGGCACGCTCTACCCAACCGATGTTGGCAACGCTGAAACACCAACGACCGAGCAAATGGAGAGTGGTTGGATCTTCGGGCTTCAACTCGAGCGAACGGAGAGCGTGCTCCTTGATCTTGTAGGCGTTGGCAATCTTCTCCTTGGCCGAGAGATGGTCACCGAGACCACTGGTGATGATAGACCACCACTTGTGGAGAGCCCAGTGTTGTTCGTTCTTGGCGAGCGACTCGTTGATGAGTGCCATTGCTTTGTTGAGCAACTCCAACTTTTGTGCCTTGTCGGCGACCTCTTCGTTCTTGTCGTAGTAGGAACGAGCTAGACGCCATGAAATTTCAACGTTATCTGGGTAGGTTTGGTGTGCCTCCTCCAACAATGTATAGATTGTAGCGTATTCACGATTCAAATGCAAAGCATCTGCACGACTAATAATTTCTTCTGCCATTATTTATTACTTAAATATATTTGTATTTAACAAGATTCAAAAAACAAATGAAAAACTTTGACATAAATCACAACAAACATTAATTAATTTCTTCCCACACTCCTTGAACTGAAAAATTCAAAAAATATCTGAACTATTGTTGAAATTTTCATATTTTGGCAATTCATTTCCTTTTTTGATCCCTGCCCTGCTGGTCATCATGATGAGTGGTGTGGCTAAAATATTATAATATTTTTCTTTTTAAAACAATTCAAATTAAATTTCAAATATAAATTCAATTTTATTTATAATAATAAACAATAAAATAGATTATTTAAAATATTACTATATTTATTCAAAGTGCTGAATATTTATGTAGGTGTTGGATTAAAAGATGGATCAAAGCTTGTTACTCTATTGCCTTATCAAATTCATGATTCGATAAACGGAATAGTCAGAGAATCGATTGTTATCGTCGTATCGTTGGGTGTTCATCAAAGTTGACATTATTTGAACTGACTGACAAACTTTGGATGTAATCTTAAAATACAAACAAAAGACAAAGGATATTCGGAAGCATCGTGGCATTGTAGTTGAATCTACAAATATCTTCATTCCTTCTTTTTTGAGAACGTTCTCAAAAAAAGCAAACATTACAGAATATGCTCAGCCTCATAGATTGGTGACTTGTATTATTTAAATAATCTATTTTATTATCATAGTATTAATATTATTATTAAATTTAAAAAAAAACTAAACAACAATCAATAGAATCAATAAAACTCTTGTTCTATCGATAATAATGTTGTTGTATTCGATTGTTGTACATTTGTTTTCTTTTCTTTCCATTGATTTAGTAATTTAATTTCTTGATCTATTGATGATGTTGATGAAGATGGAGTTGGTTTTGATGTTGAATTTGTTGTTTTTGTTGGTTCTTTAATTGAGGTTATTGAAAATAGTGAATTTTCACCTGGACCTTGTAGACGAGCCAAGAATGTATCGCTTTGTCTTGGAATCTTTTGTATCCAGAGATCCAATACGTTTTGGAATGACGATAGAACTCCAGAGTTGGAGGAACGGAATTCAAAGCGCGTCTGGATGACCTTTCCGTGATACTCATCCATGGTGACGCGATCCATTCCCGTGACGATGAAGCAAATCTGGTCGTTGAACCAGGTCGACGATGAAAATGCCAGTTGGAAAGAACTGGCGTCAAAGTACGACGATTGCACATTGTGGAATGGGTAGTTTAGGAGACATTGATTGATGAGTTCACGACTCACCGAATCGCCTTCGAATACAACGTCCACTTGGAACGACGCTTCGAAACGTGGCCATTGCTGGAGGAATTGATGCTTATTGTATTTCAGAGGTATCAAGAATTGATTCCAATCGAATTGGTAGTCTTGTAGACGTGTCTCGATCGGTACCATGGTGACGGGTGGCGGCTTGGTTGACTGCGCCGACTCGATTTCACACATGCCCGAAGGATGACAATAGGCAATAGAGAATGTTACATAGTTGTGGTCGAGTCCGGTTACCGATAGAGGAACCTCAAATTGATAGGATTTCTCTGGGAGAAGCTTGGGAATTTGGTGGCGCGACTGTGTGAGTGGATGTGGAAACTCGAGATGTCCAGAGAGTCCGAGGGTGACGGTGATATTCTTCAGGGCGAATGGGAGCAAGTTGGTGACGCTGATATTCAAGCTGATCGTGTGGAGCGTTGGGTGAGCAGTGTGACTGACTTCCAGCCAGACGGGGTCGCCGCATCCCGAGAGTAGAGTGGTGTCGCGCGATGGACGGTCGCGAATCGACGAACCATAATGCTCGCCAGCCAGCCCGGTGATCGCTTTCTTGCATTCATATGCAAAGATATCGCTTGCCGTTCTCAGAGTGTTGGAACTCTCGAGGAATTCAATGGGAATGCAATAGGAGAAGTCGATATTCGATGGCGCGAACGAAGGGGTGGCGCGAACCGACGGGTTGGCGATTGCTTTCTTGATGAAGCGAGCCCGACTCACCACCTCCTTGTTGGAGGAGTACCCCTCGATGAGATCGTCGAGCGTACGTTGGACAGCGCTGTCCGCAGAGGGAATATTCAATCCCATCAAGTAGAGACACTCCAACGCACCGAGCCAGAAAGCACTGAGAGATTTCAGCTGAGCTGGAACGGCGCGGCCATACTGTGATACTCCCATCACCATGTTTCGGATGCTGCCATTGAATTGTGTGAATTTCGGTTGGTTATCGAGATAGAGGAAACGCGCACGCAGTGTATTTATCAGTAGGATAGAATCGCTCTGTTCATAGACTTTGTTGGCTGATGACTTTAAGAGATGCAACGCCAACAAGAAGATCGATTGCAGACAGATGTAATCCGATGGAATCTTTGGTATTTGTTCTAAAAGATCCGAACGTAAAAGTGATACTAATTTCTGTGCGTTTGTAGCTGTTGCTGTTGTTGTTGGATCCGATGCTGCTGCTGATGAAGAAGACGACGTTGTTGTTGTTGTTGTTGGCAAGGTGACGCGACATAACCAATCGACGAAACGAATACAATATTCATGTGCAGAAAGACGTTCTCCTGCCCATAATACACATTTCAAACATATTTCTGAAATACTGAGTGCAATCTGGTGTAGATGGAACAATGCAGTTGCATTGGATAATGATGATCCAGATGTTGAAAGTGATGTCGATGATGATGATAATGATGAACTATTGTTGTTGCTGCTGCTGTTGCTGTTGCTGTTACTGTTGACATTCTCTTCTTGTAAATATTTTGATAGAATATTATGATGACTTGCAACCATTGACACAACTATTTCCTCACGGAAACTGCTGCTGTCATCTTGGAACGTGGAAATTAATACATTGTCTGTCATCAGTGGTGTGAAGAGGTTGCTCTTTCCACTGGTGATAACGTGTCTGTCGATGAGAAGCTCGAATGTACGAATTAGATAGCTCACACGCTGGTTGGAATCGGTTATGGTTTTGATCGATGGGAAAATGCGTATTAAGGTCGCCAGTAGCAGGTCATCGTTCAACATGGGCAGCACTCCCATGATGGCAAGCAGAATCGGTAGTGGATTGAGTGTCATTCCTTCGCGTCGCAATAGTCCAACGAATGCGGTGAGTACCGGCTGTATCCAGGTGTCGTTGTGCTGGTTGGCCTGTGTCAGGAGCAAGTCAAGCACCGCCTTGCCAACGGCGAAAACGAGCGCGTCGTTCGTTGATCCGAGCAGTCCGAGAAAGTGTTCGACGAGATTGGCGACGATGTTTTGCGGTGTCGAGAGTCGGGGTTTGGCGACACTGAGTTTGGGCACGTCGGACGACGGCCACATCGGGGTGCCGGCAGCGCGCGAAATGGTGTCGGCGAGGTAAGCGAGTGTATTTACGGCGACGTGACGCATCGATATATCGATGTGATCGGCGCGACTCAGTAGCGTGTCAAAGTGGTCGACCAGCTTGGCGGCGACGACTTCGCCGTGGACGGCGAGTGCCTGGCGACGCGCCGGACTATTGTCAAACTCGTCGGTGTGCGATACCGATCTGGAAATCTCGCTGAATAGCGTTGAAACGGCGTTGAATGCCGCTTGGTAGACTTGCGGGAGTGACTCGTCGAGTAGCCGATCCACCACCAGGTCCCAGCCTGTGGAGACGAACGAGCGGTACTGTTGGAGCACCGACTTGCGGTAGAACAGCAGCGTTGTCAGCGAATCGAGTGCAACTCGACGCACGCTCTGACTGGAGTGACGAACCAACGGGCCAAAGTCGGCGTTTCCAACCATCAACAACTCTGTCAGCACCGGCGAGATGTGCGGTAGCGATTTCAACAGACTGATGACCACTTCGATATCGTCGCTATTTAAATCCTTTACAATGATTGGAATGGCTTGTGACCATTCTTGTTTACTACATTTACAGCTTTTCAATATATTATATGAGAGTATTCTTGATGTTTTATTATCACCATCTGTTATACACTTTATTATTGATGTTTATGTTGTGTTTGTAAGTATTAAAATATTCGAATGATAAACCTCCAATTAAATTTGTACTACTATTATTATTCATTCATAGTAGAAGTAATAGTAATATCTATCTTACTTTTAATAAAGAAGGAAAGAATAGAGTGGGATCTCTACCTTGATTGATCCAAAATTGATTCAATTTTTGTAAACCACTCATTTGTTTGAGTGGATCACTACTATTTAAATCTTCATGTATCTCTACTTCCATTTTTTATTTAATACTTTCTATATATTTATAACTACTACTATATCTATATCTATTTCTATATCTTTATATATGTTATGTATATTATTTTAAATCTAAGATCTTTTAACTAATCTTTACTCTATTTATCTATTATCCTTTTCTTTTTTTCCTTTTCTTTTCTTTTTATATAATACAACAAAATTTAGATGATAATAATATTAACTTGATGATAAAGATAGATAAATAGGTTGATTTTATCACTCACTGACTATTTTGGTTATGATCAATCAAACTATTTTTCATCAAAAAAATTTAAAAAATTTAAAAAAAATTATTAACCATTTTCATTCATTGAAAATAGACACACAACCAATTTATTGGATGATGATCATCGAATTAATTAACTTTAATAGATATAAGAATAATAATAATAATAATAATTAATAATAGTTAATAGATATATATATTAATGAGTTCGAAATCGAATAATAAGAAAGCTGTCTTTGGTGGATTATATGATGTTCAAGGTGCAGATAGTATAGTCAGTTCATCGAATGACAATGATGTTGTTGGTGCTGCCAATAACAATAGAAATGTTTCACCCAGTGGTAGTGGTGGTGTAGATTCAAAGTCAACGGTATCTACATCACAACCGTCAGAGAAGAAATCTATAATGCCAGAGGGTTTCAAACTACCTCCAAAACTATACCAAGCTGCTGCCAAAAGAAATCAACAACAACAACAATCATCTAAACAAACATCAACTTCAACATCATCATCATCATCATCATCTACATCAAGCCAAACGAAAACAATAACTAAAAAAGATATCATCAATAATAATAATAATAGCGATAAAATCATTAATAAGGACCACAATAATAGTAATAACAACAACAATATCGAAATTAGTAATAATAATAATAATAATAATAATAGTAATAATAATTCACCTCAATTTCAAAATCAACATCAACATCAACACCAAAATCAACATTATCAACAACATCAACATCAACACTCATTTATGGAAGAGGAAGAAGTTATTGATGAATACAATCCATTTAAACCGAATGACTATGAAGATTATCTAAAGGAGAAAGAATACAATGAGAGAATGAGAATGAAGAGAATTGAAGAGGAAAGATTGTATCATCAACAACAAGAACAACTATATCATCAACAACAGCAGCAACAGCAGCAACAACAACATAATTATAATAATCATAATGAAAATAGTAGTAGGTTTATGGATATGATGGATGAAGATATTACAACTGGTGATGAAGCATATTTAAGAAGAGCAAAACTTACAAAGATGGCTGCAGCAGCTGCTGCAGCTACTACCGGAGGCAACTCGATAAACACCAATGGCAAAGAAAAGATCAGTCAACAGGCCACTAAAATACTTTTATTAACTGTAACTTTAAACCAACCAAACACTATAATTATACCAATCTAAAGCTTTTCTATTTTATTTTGACCATCGATTCAAAAACAAAATGATCTTTCATACTAATATATATCAATCTACTACTTCTCTATTCTATCTCTCTCTTTTAAAAACAAATCAATTTTATCAATACCATCATCTTATTGGTTTGGTTGGATTTCAAAACATTACATACATTTCACTTCTGGGATGAAATATATCAACAAACAAATAATAATAATAATTAAACAAGAATATTGTATCTACAAGAGAGGAGATCGATGATGATCTAATAGAGGATATAGAGAAGGAGTGTTCAAAGTATGGGCAGGTCTTGAATGTTGTGGTTGGCAATGAACCGATCGAAGAAACAGGCATACTTGCGGCAGACGATATCATTGGAATATACGTTCAGTTTGAAACCATTGATCAATGCAATCATGCATTCACACAACTCAACGATAGATACTTTGCAAAACGAAGAGTTAAAACTTATTTTTACAATGAACATACATTTAAACAAGGTAATCTATAATAAGATAACAAACCACAATAGCAATAAACATCATATCATATCATTTTTTGTACAAATATCAATATTTAAAGTTAAATAATATATTTTAAAGGGGTTTATTGGTTTTTTTTTTAAAAGAAAGAAGAAGTATTAATTTAAGGAAGAAAGATATTACAATTTTTTGAAATTCGAATACTGTTTTGTTTTGTTTTGTTATTTGTTGTTTTGTTGTTGTTGTTTCTGATTATTGTTGTTTTAATGATTGTTTGTGTTTATAGATGACCACCACATCTTACACAATATCTTGTGTTGCCTGCATTCTCACGGTTACAAGATGGACATGTTTTACCATCGCCAGAGAGTTGTCCGGATGGATACAGTGGTTTTGATATTGGTGATTTAATGGGTGATGCAGATGGTGATTCAACGTTGACTTTGAATGGCGATGGTGGTGCACTACCTCCACTGCTTGACAATCCATTGGTGCCAGTGCTGCTGGCTGTCTTGTACGACAGTAGGAACGAGGTGATCACCGACGACAGATCACGTACTCTAATACGACCGTTGGCAACGGTATGATCGATTCCCTCGCGTCCCAAACACACACGTGCAACGACCATCAGTGGATACGGTACCTGTTGCTCCTGAATCGCTTTGTTGGCGTTCTGGTAGAAGACAATGTCGGCGGCGCTCTCAAAGGTGGCGAGCCAGCCGTTGATGATCAGCTTGCGCAGCTGACCCTCGGACGACGGCACAAAGAAGCAATTGAGAGTCTCCAGACGCTTGCCGGCTGGCATCGAACGCTCGAGCTCGTTTCGACGCAGCTCGAAACGCTCAACTATGGCACGTGGTGGTGCATATTGCTGTACCAGTGTCACTGTATATGGATGTGTTGGGTTGTCCGATTGTTGAGCGCCGTCTTGCTCGATCGATTTCGCCCAGATTCCACTGGCTACTTTTGCAACCGATGGTGATACTTCTTTTAATAATTCAGCTGACATGATTTGATGATTTTGATGACTAATTTGTTTGATTGACTTGATGACTATCTATCTTCTTTTTTGACTGCGCGATTGCTAAGATTTCCAAATTTAATTTCTAAATTTTAAACTTGTTTGCTATAAACTTTTAAATTGATATCAATATTATCTTCAAATATTGATTTGAAACAGAGTGTTTTGTTTGAATTGAATATGAGTATAATATTATTATATTGAATGCTGCTTCTTTTGAAAAATAATGAAAATGTAATTGTTGCTGATTTGATTGATCATTCAAGCCACAAAAAAATTTTGGGTTTTGAAACCCCCATTTTTATGATAAATTACAAAAAAATTTAGATTCAATTTTAAACATAAATTTTACCACAAAAGTGAGAATTAAAATTAGATATATTATAAATACCAATATTGTTCATATGATTTAATTATTTCATTTTTAATTAAATCTATTAATATTTCCCCCATAATAAAATAAAATAAAATATTATTGTTGTAACTTCACAAAAATAAACACATTTATTTTAGATGATGTAAAGTTTTTAATTTATTAAATTAATAATTTCTTCTGCAGGTGAGGACAGTAGTAAATCATCAATGATTTAAAATAAATATATCACTAATTTATGATTGAATGTTTTTTTGAGTTCAACACTCTTATTTTTTGGAAACCATTACATCTTGATATATAGTTCGATATTCTGTTCTTACTCGAGATCTCGTTAATCTAAAAACAATATTGTATTAATAATAAAGTTAAAAATAAATATTTATTAAAATAATTACCATTATCGATTTCGCACTACAAGTAGATTGATATTCTTTACATTGATACCACGAAGTTACCAAGTGACTAGGTGTTGTAGATGCAATACTGCTTATTAACTCTTTAGGGTCCAGCTAAGAAATATTGTGTTGCAAGATATCTAGTTGTTTCCTTTTTCACTGATAAGTTGTTCACATTGAAATCCTCTGAGGATAGAACCTGCATCTAAAAAGTTTTTATATGACGAAATAACAATTATCATTATTTGATATACCATACATTTGTCTCCTGGAACCATTCTTCACTTAAATATGTTGTCAGGATATCTTCATTTTAGTACTCTTTCACTTGAATGTAATATTTGAAATTTGATGTGGGTGGATTTGTTTCTTCACCATACAAAGAATAACGAGTAAGAACAGAATAGAATCAACCATTTGTCTGTTTTTATTTTTATGAAATTTGATTGTTCACAACAGTTTTTTAATTTTTTTTTCATATGCATCATTAAATTATTATATAGATTAGAAAATAAGAGAGAGATTATAAAAGTAAAATAAGATGTTAAAATCAACTTGTAAATCGATTAGTAATAGTGTTGTTAAAAGTTATAGTAGTAGTTTGTTTAGATATACATTTTGTCAATATAATAATGATAGATTTTACAGTAGTGGAAATAAAAAGAGTGAATCTATATTTACAAGATTACCAGATGATCATCAGATGAAAGTAAAGAAACAACAACAGCTGTTGAAACAGCAGGAGGAGATAGAACAGCAACACAGGATACTAGAGAGTGGAAACGCACCAAAAGATATATTCGAAGAGAAACATCTAGATTTCTTTAAGAATGTATTAAAGAAGAGAAAACCTGTGAAACCATCGGCATTCGATAATCACGATGAAGAGAATCATCTATATCAACAAAAACATAATAGCAATAATCAAAGACATCAACAACGTCAACACCAATCAAATTTAGATTATAATATGGATGATGATTTCGATGAAGAACATGAATCAAATCAGGCAGAAGATGATCAGATTTATAATAAATTGAATTTGGATAGACCGGAAAATCCAGAGGAATTGTTGCGATCGATATTGAGTAGAGTCGTTGTGAGTGAGGAGTTTATCGATTTGCCAGAGGAGCGTGACGATATCAATGCTATTCGTGACGTGTTACTCTCGAAAGATGTCATTCAACAGGTGAACAAAGATAACGAGAAGAAATTCAGTGAGGCAAGAGCACTCTATGTCTCTGGATTCCACAAACGTGCATTCGATATGTTCACCAATGAAGTGGATCAGCGTCACGGAATGGCCAATGTCTTCCTGGGAAATATGTATTTCAACGGTGTCGGAGTGGAGCAAGATATGTCGGCTGCCTATCGCCATTTTGTTGTGGCGTCGGTCGCGCGTATCCCAGTGGCGTTTGGAATGCTCGGTGAGATGAATCTCAAGGGCATGGGAGTGTCGATGGTCAACGAACGATTGGCACGTACCTACTTTGACATTGCCGCTTCGATGAACCTAAAGTCGTCGATGGAGCAAGTCGTCTATATGATTATCAACGGTGTCGGTGGAGAGTTCAACCTGAAAAAGGCATCGTTCTACTTGAAGTTGTTGGCGGAGAAAGGTGACGTGCAGGCTGTCGTCACTCTCGGTGGACTACTGTATGAACACGAAAAGAAGGTCGCTTTGGCGTTGTGGAACTATGCCGCACAGATGGGATCGGCCGATGCCATGTACTATCTCGGCAGACATTACTACTCACGTGACAATCCAGACTATAACCATGCATTTGTACTGTGGATGCGTGCTGCCGAGCTTGGAAATGTTAATTCACAGTTTTGTCTCGGTGGAATGTACGATATCGGATTGATCTGCGAGCGAAACACCCAAACTGCTATGGAACTCTACGAAGTCGCAGCGAATGCTGGACACGTCGACGCGCAATTCCTCCTTGGAAAATACTATTACTACGGTGTTGGCATTGAAGCTGACCGTGAAACTGGAATTAAATATCTCCAGATGGCTGCTAAACAAGGTGATCTCTCAGCAATTGAACTTATTCAAGAGATTAGTAAAAAAGTAGAAGAATAAATAAATAAATAAATGATAATTATAAACCAATTAATTAATTTAACATAACATTTAGTTTAGATTAGTTTTTCTAATTTTTTTATTTATTTAAATAATATATGTGTAATTAATTAATAATTTAGTTTTATAAATACATATTCTATATAAAATTATATGTATATATATAATAATATTGATATTGGATGATGAATTCCTCTTGTTTTGTTTGGTTTGGTTTGGTTTGGTTTTAATAAATAATACATTTGATTGGTGGTGTTGTTGTGATGATAAACATTTTTAGAATAGACCAACGCTCTTCTTTCTTTCGGATTTCTTCCAGCCAGGCAGCACTTCCCATTCGGTCTTCTGCATTCCCAACACTTTTTGGAATTCCTCGTCCGAAAGATACATCTCAAGAACGGAACGGTCAATCTCTGGTGGTGTATTCTTCTGAGTCAACATCTCCAAAGGCAATGTTTGATAGTATTTCTTTAATAAAGTGGAAGCTGACTCTACCTTTGGTGATTCCTCTGTATCAGCTCCATTTGCATTCTATTAAAATAAAATTAAAAGAAAAAAGAAAGAGAAATATTAATATCAAATAATTTATGAAATATATTTATGTTTGTTGGTTGTTGCTTACCAAAAATCTAAATGAATCCCAAGCATGGAATTGACAGGTAAATTCAACGGGTTCATCTTTTTCTTTAATAAATAATACATCTTCCTCTGCTCTACCGTCATTGAGTAACTTGATATACTCAATGGCAATTTCCATTCCACGTTTCTTTTCCTTTTCAGTTGCTCTTGATCCAGACCAAACGTACATCTTTACTTTATTATCCAATATAAATACACGATTTGCTTGAAGTTCATATTGATTAAAATTGAATACTTCATCAGACTAGAGAAATAATTAATATAATTGGAAAGAAAATTATTAATATTTTGTCAAAAAGAATTAAAAGTATATACATATTGTTAACATACTCTAATAATAGTACCAGTATTTACAATTGCAAATAATTTAACTGATTTTGGATGTTTCAAAAGTTGGTCGTTCGCATATTTAGCTTTTCCTCCCAACATCTTCCAGAATTCCTCTGGTTCTTGACCTTCTTGAATGGTAGCTGCCGACTTACTCGGTGAATTTACGATGAGGGTTGCCAGCTTGGCTGCTTGCTCCTTGAGTACTTTGGATGCTCCGCTACCCTCCCACATATAAGTGGTATTGGAATCGGTGAGAACAAAGATATCACGGCTGTTGAGACAACTGGCTGACAGCTTGGTAGTCTGGACCGCTGTGATAGTGTTATCACGCTTGCCATAGAGATGATAGAGCTGTTTGGATTTGCTATCAAAGTCGCCACGCACTCCACGGTGTACAACCATACGGCCATTGAAAACCATGTAGAATTGAACATTCTCACGACCTTGACGCACACAGTCCTGGATGCAATCACCACGATTGCATGTTTCAATGTACATGTCTTTGGAGAGCAGCGATGAACTACCGACATCTTGGCGGGTGGCGTCTGCACCTTGCCAAATGTAGATGATATATTTCAAGGCATTCCAACGAGTGTAAGTGTATCTGATGAGGTAACAATTTCCACTGTAGAAATGTCCGTACTCCTCTTCGGGGATCGGTAGAATCTTCATGTTGTCGACGTACCACATCTCGTAGGTTCCAGTTCCGTCGCTGCGGTGTGGCGCCTCTTCGGGTGGCTCGGAATAGATCATCTCCTGCACGTCAAACTGCGACATTTTCAATGGCGATTTCTTCTCGTAGGGAATGCTGACGTCAAAGACACGCTTCTTTCCGAATCCCATACGTGAAAGCGATACTTCGTGACTGAGATCTGGCCAATCGAAATACTTTTCACGGAACATGACTGGCTCTCCACCCTCCGACGTAACAATCATCTCTACCCATGCTGGACGTTGATTGTTTCCTGTGAGACGCTCCTTTGCCTTCTCCAAAAACTTGTCTTTGTAGGCGGGAATGTCAGCGTTTCTTCCGGACCATGCATAGTACTCTGAGCCAGTGTCCAGAACAAAGAATGAATCCGAAGCCAACAGCTCCATGCTCAGTGCTTTACTATCAACGGAAATCAACTGTCCATTGTCCTGGTTGTATTTCAACAGATTGAAAGACTGTGGCCATGTTTGTTCCGCCTCCATATCATCACCGCCATCCGGCATGATGTAGTCGTCGGCTTTGCCATGCATACGTCTGTAGAACTCGGTGGCGTCGGCATCACGATCCGACTCGTCCAGTTTGATAATGGTGGCATGTCCACCTCTCTCATGACTCTTGATAATCTCAGCGATGGCAACTGCCTTTGACTTTTTGGCGGCGTTCGACTTGGATCCGTACCAAACATAGATATTGGTGTGGGCACTGGAATCACTCGATTCTCCACCGACTCCACTTCCCTCAATACCGCAATCCAGTACAAAAGTATCGGTTTTATTGAGTGAACGAGTAGTCACTTCGACTTCACGTGTTAGAATACGCTTCTTTCCCTTGCAATGGATGAGACGTGTTCTCAGACCGCTGTAGGTGTCAACCACCTTTTTGTGAACCAAGAATTTGCCAGTGGTATCACCCTTCAAAGTGGAGGTCACAGAGACACTCTGTGAACGACCTTTTACAAAGACTGGTGCCTCTGGCTCCTCAACTTTTAAACGGTTCAGAGCGGCGTTATTCTTGTTGTTGTCTTTCTCCAGTTTCTTTTTCTGGGCTTCGGCGGCGAGCGCTGCCATGCCACCCATGAGACCGGCTGCACCCGGCGGTAAGACAATCTTCTTCTTGGGTGTCGGCGACGATTCCGAATCAGAGTTGGATTTACTCTCCAGAGCTTGAGCCAAGAGCGATGCTCCGGTGGGTGGAGCGGTGGATTCTCCAGTTGCCGGTCTGGCAAGAGGTGGTTTGTGACTCTTACTTGGCAACTTACGACCGCTGACTTTTGCTCTGTCCAGAGTTAGATTAGCTAGTTTCTGTGGGACATATTCACCGCCACTCGATGATGATTCTGATTCTACTGTTGTTGGTGTCTTGTTCTCCATCTTTTCTTTCAATTGTTTCTCAATGGTGAGTTTGAAAGCATCGGTGATCTTTGTGGTTGGTTGTCTTTCGGCCTTTCTTTCTCAAGACGATCGGCTTCTTCCTTGGCTTTAGCAGCAGCTTGTTCCTTTTCAAGTCTATCTGCTTCTGCCTTGGCTTTGGTTGCTGCTTCCTTTTCTTTCTCCAAACGTTCCTTCTCCAATCTGTCGGCTTCTGCCTTGGCTTTGGCTGTTGCTGCTGCTGCGGCTGCGGCTGCTTCCTTCTCTTTCTTCTCTTTCTCAAGACGATCGGCTTCCTCTTTGGCTTCCTTCTCTTTTGCCAAACGTTCTTTCTCGAGACGATCAGCTTCTTCTTTGGCTGCCTTCTCCTTTTCCAAACGTTCCTTCTCAAGTCTATCTGCTTCTGCTTTGGCTGCTAATGCTGCGGCTGCTTCCTTCTCTTTCTTCTCTTTCTCAAGACGATCAGCTTCTTCTTTATCTGCTTTCTCTTTTGCCAAACGCTCTTTCTCCAATCTGTCAACCTCAGCTTTAGCTGCTGCTACCTTCTCTCTCTCAAGTCTGGCTTCTTCTTCTTTGGCTTTGGCTGCCGCTGCTTCTTTCTCTTTCTCCAAACGTTCTTTCTCAAGACGATCTGCTTCTACTTTAGCTGCTTCTGCTTTTTCTTTATCCAAACGCTCCTTCTCCAATCTGTCAGCTTCCTCCTTGGCTTTGGCTGCTGCGGCTGTGGCTGCTTCTTTCTCAAGACGATCGGCTTCTTCTTTATCTGCTTTCTCCTTTGCCAGACGTTCTTTCTCCAATCTGTCAGCTTCTTCTTTGGCAGCCTTCTCCTTTTCCAAACGCTCTTTCTCAAGTCTGTCTGCTTCTGCTTTGGCTGTTGCTGCTGCGGCTGCTTCCTTTTCTTTCTCCAATCTATCAGCCTCTTCTTTTGCCAATTTCTCTTTCTCGAGTCTATCTGTTTCTGCTTTGGCTGCTGCTGCTGCGGCTTCCTTCTCTTTCTCAAGACGATCAGCTTCTTCTTTGGCTGCCTTTTCTTTGTCCAAACGTTCTTTCTCAAGTCTATCTGCTTCTGCTTTGGCTGCTGCTGCGGCTTCCTTCTCTTTCTCAAGTCTATCAGCTTCTTCTTTGGCTGCCTTTTCTTTGTCCAAACGTTCTTTCTCAAGACTATCTGCTTCTTCTTTGGCTGCCTTCTCTTTTTCCAAACGTTCTTTCTCGAGTCTGTCTGCTTCTGCTTTAGCAGCGGCTTCCTTCTCTTTCTCTAAACGTTCTTTCTCGAGTCTGTCTGCTTCTGCCTTGGCTGATGCTGCTGCTGCTTCTGCTTCCTTCTCTTTCTCCAAACGCTCTTTCTCAAGACGATCGGCTTCTTCTTTGGCTGCTTCTGTTGCTTGTTTTTCTTTTTCCAAACGTTCTTTCTCTAATCGATCAGCTTCCTCTTTAGCTTTGGCTGCAGCTGCTTCTTCCTCTTCTTTCTGTTTGACAGCAGCAGCAGCAGCTTTCTCTTCTTCTTTTCTCTTTAGTTCATTGTCTAACTTTGACTTTTCCTCCTCGAGTTGTTTGTTTCTCTCCTCTCTGCGTTTCTCACGCTCCTCTGCTATCTTCTTCTCCTCGAGTTCAATCAATTTCTGAGCTTCCTCACGTTGTTTTCTCTTCTCTTCCAATCGCTTCTCTCTTTCCTCACGGATCTTCTTTAACTCGGGATCGTCTTCATCGACAGCACCAGCGGGAATGGCAGGCGAAGTTGCACCGTCTTTGTTCTCACGTTGCAACTGTCGCTGTTTTCTCTCTTCCTCCAATCGCAGCATGTCTTCCTTTAGCTTCTTGTCTTCCTCTTCTCTCAGACGTCTACGTTCATCTCTCTTTCTCTGTCGTTCCTCCTCGTCTTTCTTCTCTTGTTCTTGCAGCAGTCTCAATTCCTCCTCTCTCTTTTTTCTTCGCTCCTCTGCACGTTTCTCTCTCTCTTGTGCCTCACGCTCCATATCGAGACTCTGTTGTTTCAACTCCTCGAGTCTCTTCTTACGAGCTTCACTATCATCCATATTGATTGATTTTCAATTTATATATATATATTCTACTCTATAATCTAATCTACAAAGAAAGAAAGAAAGAAAAAAACAATTAATATCTTTACAATTTTTATTTCAAATTTTCCCAAAAATTTAAACAAACAAAGAACAAACAAACATACAATAAAGTTAACTATGTTGTTCAACAATAACAATAACAAAGTTGATTATATTATATTTGATATTATAATTTGATTTTATTGATTGATTGATTGAACTATACTAAAGTAAATAGTAAATTAGTTGTTACACTTCTCTCTTTTCTTTCTTTTCTTTTCTTATCTTATGTTATCCTATCCTTTCCTTTCGCTATCCCATTAATTAATGAAATAAAAATAAAACAAACCAAAATAAATAATGATAAGATAATAATACCAATAGTAATTTAGTGATAATTGATTCGTTGATTGGTTGATTGATTGATATGAATTTATAACCACCACTATTTTATAATATTGATTGTTTTTTAATAATGGCTACCACCTCTCTACTACTACTATTACTTTTACTTAAAAATAACAAAACAAAACAAAACAAAACAAAACAATTTGATTTTGATTTGTTTGACATCAAACACCAACACTAACTAACATGTTGATAATTAATGTATATTCCCACAATATCCACTTCCACTTCCACTTCTTCCTCTTTCTCTTAATCTTTATCTGCTTTCCATCTTTGTTTTTCAAACACATTTGATATCGCGCACTCCCATTTATATCCAATATTTATCCTCCATTTTTCGGTCGATAACTACCCCACCTGTCACTGTTATAATATACATAAAAATAAAAACCAAACAACCACAATGTAAAAACAAAACAAAAATAAAACAAAAGCAAACCATATCAAATCAATTCAAATCAAACTAACACACACACACGCACAGCAGACATAGACATAAACAGAGTAACTTCATTTAGAATTTCGAAATTCTCTTTTTTAATTTTTTAGATTATAATTAATGATAAATTTGAATGAAATCCATACCTTTAATGTTACAATTGTATTGTAGTTATCAATGAAATATGATTAATTGGTAGGTTGATGTTGATATTGATTGATATATATCTAATTTTAAAAAACAAAATCCTGTTGTTTAAATTAACAAAAAAATTAGCGGCTATTACCAACTATAAATATATTATATTATCATTTTGTGGCAATACATACCTACTTAAAATATTAACGATATGATGATATAATATTATTGGACTTAACAGTTCCTTATTGTGTTTCTATTTTACTAATATTACAAATACATTAAATAAATAAATATAATTATTCAAATAAATTCCGAAGAAATGATAATAATACAATTTAACAATATTGTTATTTTATGAGAAAAAATATCAATAACTATGATTTCAGTATTTTTGAATTGGATCAACACAAAAACAATGCCAAAATTAATTTTTTATTTTTATTTTTTTATTTTATTTTTTGTTTTTTTTTTTGCTCGTTGCCACTCTTTGGCAAAACACCTAATGGTTAGGAAAAGAATTTGAAAAACTTTGAAAAAAATGTTTTGTTTTTTTGTTTTTCTTTGCTGTTTTGTGAACCTTGAAAACCAACAACAATTTTTCAAATAAATTGACCAATTGCTGCATTTTGGGTGAAGTTGTAGAAATAAAAAACAAATAGTTGCAAAAAAAAGTTAATTAAAAAACAACCTTTTTAATCTTCACTCGATCGATGCCCTATTGAATTCTTTGTTCTATTTAAAAGAACTATATCATGCTAAATTGACACTCATTGACATAGATACTACAACTAAAAACTGGATTGGCAGTTGACTAATTAGTTGTAGTAAATTATAATAAAATAGTAAATGTATAATTTTTTTGGATGGATAAAGTATACAACTTTATTGTGAATATAAATAAATAAAAGTTCAAATGATAGATAGATTTGAACAATCAATCAAATAAACTACTTTTGTTAGTTTGATTTTTTTTTTTTTTTCTTTCTTTTCTTTTCTTTTCTTTTTCGGTCATGGTGATGATGTTGATGATATCGCAATTTAAATACAAGTTGTGAAGTGGTTCATTGATTAATTGATTATTGATTGATTGGTATCATTAATGGTTGAAACGCTCATTGTTTGTGACTACTACTTTTACTACTTTTACTGGTGTGACTACTGCTGTTGCTTTGGTTGGAGTTACTGCGTTGACTACGACCAGATTCATTGCTGCTGTTTAAATAGTGGTTATGTGGGATTTGATCGCTATTGTTCAAATCAATCGATGAATTGATACCGAATGATGATACAGTTCCATAGCCAATCTGTTGGTTTGGATGATTGGCCCAGCCAGCTCCATTTACAAACTTGTCCAGACTACCACTCGATGCATGTAAAATATTCTTTGGTTGTCTCACCGGTGTTGTATTAGTAGTAATAATACCCATTTCAATGCTATTACTCATATTACTATTACTATTATTATTATTATTATTGTTAGTATTATTATTATTATCATCACCAAGTTGAATTGACATTAAACTTCTTCTTGGTGCATTGCTATTATTATTATTATTATTATTAGGTTACTTAGCTTCGAATTCATTATTATTATTATTATTATTATTATTATTATTACTATCATTATAAATAGCTAAATCACCACTACTTTCATTGATAATCGATGGATTGAAATTCTTGTTGGATGGTACGGGTGAACCGTGAACTAAATCATTGACAATCTTTTTGATTTCTTTTTCGTTGTGATATTTTCGGTTGTTGTAGATTCGAGCCAGTTGGAGAACGGTCAGTGAGAAGAAAGTCCAGAGTGCACCCCACGATCCTATCAGTTGGAGAAGTGCTGGACTTTGACGGTACTCTTGGTTGTCATATTCATCCAGACGGATATACGCTTTGAACAGGGTGGTTTGGTTGGGATCGTAGTCGTAGGCACGTCCAACGAATCCACCGACGCCATAGAAGTTACCGACGTGATAGTCAAACACGAATCTCGGTCCATTGTAAATGGTTTTTCTCTGAATTGAGATGTCTACCTTTTGATATTGATACTTGGAGTTGTACCAAAACTTGGAGAATGTGTAATTCTTTTGGGTGGGTGGCTTGGCAAAGTCGGGATCACGTGGAATAATGCTGAATTCACGCGCGAACACCGAGTACGATGGATTCTTTTCGACGACCAAAACATTGAGTGTCGAGTCAGTAAAGAAACGTGAGTTGAACTCGGTGTCGTTGGCGCAACCGCAGTTTGGTGTGGCCGGTGGACAAGTGCATCGATAAACACCGATGTCGAGATACTGGTAGACCTCCATCTCGTAGGTTCCCATCATGGTGACGGTTTCATTCGGACAGAGTGTGGCGTTGGTGTAGATCTCCGGTAGAACGTTGTCGTCCGATCCTGGAGGTGGATTCTGGTAGAATGTACATGGAACTGTGGCAATTGGTACTTTGGTTCTTGGTTTTTTGTCTTGGCCATAGATTGTCACTTTATTGAACTTTACTGTGAACAGCGAAGGATCGTTGGTGATTCCTCTGTTCCCAGAACTGAATCCCACACCCACGAATGGAGTATCCATTGGTGCATACTGTGATGGTATATTTGCATTATAAATAATTGAAGGTACACCTAAAAAAATGAATTTAATTAAATTGAGAAATTAGACAAAATGAATGTTCTTCTTCTTCTTGAAATTACAAAAAGAAAGAAATAATTACCTTTTGAGAATTGTGCTGTTGTCATAATAATAAAAAAGATTACAATAACTAATACAACAACGCTTGCCAAAATACCACATTTCGAACGATGATACTTTGGGTGGTAGTTGATATCAGCAGCACCCAAATCTAAATAGTATAGTTTCTCAGCGTTTTTTCTCACTGAACCTCTAAAGGACATGCCTCTTTGAAGTACTTTAAATCTATCCATTTTTATCAAATAATATACAACTAAATCTATTGATATTGATATATATGTATAAAATAGAAATAAGAAATACAAAAAAAAAAAAAAAAGGCTTCCTAGGTAGTAGGTGTTTGGTACAAATCTAAATTAATTAGAGTTGTTGAATTCTTTTAACCAATAGTTGATTGATTTAAAAATAAACTAATATAGAGTTACTTCGTTAGTTGATGAATTGCAAATGGTGAGTTGTGGTGGTGGTTGATGATCTGCAGTGGTGGGTGTTGGACCTCTTTAGATTTTGTAGTAAAAGATTATCAGATTTGGTGTTTTTTTTTTTTTTTTTTTACTTTGGTTTTGAGTTTGGTGGTGTGTGGCTGTGGAGTGAGTTGGATTGTGTTTGTGATTGCGAACAGTTATGGGGATACAGAAATAAAAGCATAGAGTGAGAATTGCGCTGAACTAAACAAAAACTCTTTCCGCAAAGAGTTTTTTTATAAATGGTGAAGTCTGGACTAGGCTATCACAAACATGCTACTTTTCTTTTTTCTGTTTATTTTGTTATTTTATTTTATTGTTGAAGTCGATTCCTTTACTTTCCACTTTGAATTTGAATTGTTTGTTTTGTTCTTGATTGCACCAATAGAATTCTAAGTTGTATGTATGGTGTACCCAAACATAGAACAAAAAAAAAAAGTGATTTGAAAAGTGAAATCAAAAAAAAAAAAAAAAGAACAAAAAAATAATTTTTATTTTTAAATATCTGATCTTTTGCAATGTTTTTTATTTTTGATGATAAATTTGATGATATCAGTGGTTTGGGGGTAGGTGACTTTTCATGATAAAAAACAACTGAGTGATGTGTTTTGCAAAATCTGATCCGATTAATCTTTGAATCAGTGAAATTTTTTTTTTCAACTTCAAAAAAAATTTTTTTTGGGGTGACTTTCATTTTTTTTTTTTTTGATGGTCAATTTTCTGTTTGATCGAGTTAGAATTTTTGTAGACTTTCAGACTCTATTTTTGGAAATAATTAAATATAATTTAATTGATTAATAAAGATTGTTATTTTCAAAATAAAATCTAAAAAAGATTTAATAAAGAAAAAGAAAAAAAAAAAAAACAAATCTAGATTTGTTTTGGATTTATTATTTATCTTTTTAATATATATTAGTAAGAACAAGAAAAACAAACGAATTGGGATTTGATTTGCAGCTGAGTGCGATGTCAAAAAAAAAAACCAAAAAAAACTAAATATGGTTTTTTTAAGGACGAAAAAGTTAAAAAAAGCTGCAGACAAGGTTCCTGGTGATCATGAGATATGTCTTAAGGAGAATAATGTGTTGGTGGCATTTGCTGTTGTTGATGATCGTCGAATTCATGTTTTTGTTCTTTGGGATAGTAAGAGTTGTCTTGTGACAGTGGTTGTTGTGCATATTGTTGTGATTGTTGTGGTTGCTGTTGCTGAGGTGGTTGTTGTTGTTGCGATCCACTATAAGAATATGGATATTGTTGTTGGTGTTGAGGTTGTAGTGGTTGTGATTGTTGAGGTTGTTGTTGCTGTTGTTGTTGTGCATAAGGTTGCATTGGTGGTTGTTGAGTTTGTTGTTGTTGAGGATATTGTTGAGATAACTGTGCTTGTTGAGAAGATGCCTGGTTATGTTGAGGGAATTCCAATTCAAATCCATAGGGATACAAATAGTTGATGTGCAATTTCAAACCATCCAGGAAATTGGTGCCGATTACATTGACATCTCTGAAATGGCCTGTGGAAATGAATGCTCTCGTTGGTTTCTGATTGATTTCCAGGTAGACACCAGACGAAGGAATTTTATGTTCCACACCGAGTTTGGTCATGACTTCGTCTGTCAAGAAGGTATACGGTGAGTTTGGATCGACGAGATAGAAGATATTCTTGTGGTATCTCTTGTAGTTGGTCGGTAGCGAAATCATCAAACGATGGTGTGGTCCATACATCTTTCCATGGACACTGTCAGATCGTTCATCTCGGCAGTCAGAGAGATACGTCTGTTTGAGGAGTTCTGAAATCTCAATGGCGAGATTATCCTTTGATATATCCAATAGTTTTATATCATAGGTACCTGGATTATTCTCAAACTTGAAAGGTAAATTAAACATATTTTTCATTGTTTTTTTAGATTTCTATTGCTTTATAATTATTATATAATTCTAAGTTGTTATTGTTTTTATATATAATATAATGTTATAATATATGATTTGACTATATATTAATAGCAAGTTCATTTTTTATTAACAATTTATAGATCTATATTTTATGATAATAATTTTTTCAAATTATTTGAATAGAACAAATCTGGAATAACACTTTTGGCTTTATTATAATTAATACATGATTATAAAAAAAAAACAAATATAATAAATTTAAAAGATTTTATAAATCTGTTAGCCATAAGAAAATATATTTATTTATATTATTGTGGTTTGTTTTCTCAAGTTGTGCATGATCATTGAACTTTAATTTTTGCTTATTTTAAAATTGTCATATGTTTTATAGTTGTTATATAAATGTCTTTGTTTAATATTTACTAAATGAATTAAAGCTTTCTTTCTTTTTTTGATTTTGAACACGCTTTAAGAACCTTGGTAATTAATTAAAAAAAAATCTTTAAAAAAAAATTAGTTTAAAAAAAAAAATTAATGAAAGTTCAGATTGGTCAAGTTACCAATTTAAATTAAGATTAGTGGTAATTAGCTGATCAAACAGTGAGTTCACATCGATATAATATATACATATTAATAAATTGTATAGGATATCCAAAATTGGGTGTTAAAGGTGAAAGAAAAGAAAAGAAATAGAAATGTATATATTTGACTTATTAGTTGAGGGTGACTATATGTCATTGATCAATCGATTGGTTGAAATCGATCATATCAATCAGATACAATCAAAAACTATAACAAACAGTAATAATAACAGTAATAATCATGTAAAGAATAACAATAGTAATAATAATAATAATGATAATAAAGTTAATATTTATGAAGAATATGAAATGTGTTTATCATATTTAGTTAATTTAACAGTTAATAATCAATCACTAACAGAGATAAAAGAGATTCTACATTGTTACTCATCAAAGATGTCTATCCACATGGCAATGTCACTCACTAGAATCACACAATATCAATATATAGATACTAAATCATATCATTCATTCATACAAGAGGAAATACAATTCAGAAAGAAACTATCACATGTATGTATCTATTGATTGGATAAACATAAAAAGAAAGAGAGAGATAATAGAGATTGAGAGAAAGAACTTTAACTAACATAACATATATATATATATCTATTTTAAATGGAATGTTTATTAAAAACATGTTAGTTGGAGAAGAAAACAACATTAATAGATATAACAGAGAATATTGGTGATTTATTTGAGAATGGTGATATAACTATCAAGTTAAGATTGGTATTGAGTGATCTCATCGGTTTGTTGGACTACTCTGACAGACAGCAAGAGCTGAATCTACTAAAGAAGCAGCAACAGCAACCACAACAACATCAACTCGATATACACAAGTATGAATGTTCAATATTAGATATACCAATATACCAAGAAGAATTATGTTTTATATTACCTTTTATTACTTTTAAATTTAATGATATTATCAATTTTAATGTAAGTACTTACTACTACTATTATTATTAACTAATTGGTTAATAATATAATAATCTTTAACTTGTAGTTACTAATTAAACAACAATTTAATTAATCTATAGAATATGTTGATATCATTGCTATATTTGAATCAAGCACCAAAGCTGATGCATCTATTGATATTGAATCATCCTTTGGAGTTCAAGGAGATCGTGGAGGATATCATATTGAAGTCGATAGAGTTGGTCGGTTTCGAGAGGATCAAGAGAATATTGCTAGAGTTGTGTAAACTCTCAAAGTTTGTCGCTACCTTTATCCGCGCGAAACTGATAGAACAAACATTGATGCCAGAGTTAATCTTTATGATAACAACACAGTTTATCAAAGACGACATCAACTTTCTCAGTAATATCATTGTAAATAGACAGGAGTATCAATGGATCAAAGATTATATTTCGCAAAGAGAATCACCTTCATTCAATGAGATAAGAGATAATCTATTATCAATTGTATGTATGACCTTATATATATATATTATATGTTGTAATGATTTATTTAATTATACATGTATAATTAACATTTGTTTTTTTTTGTTTATCTAGTTGGATAAATCTAATAATAATCAAATGAATACATCAACATCTGAATTGAATTCACCTACAGCTACAACAACTACTACAAACACTACAACTAATGGTAGTATTCAATCGATAATAACTATACAATCAATTGTTAGAATATATTGTGGTATGGCAGGTGTGCTTGGTATCAAGTTGAGTGGTGCAGAGATAACAGCAACTTTACAACTCATCGATAAATACAAGAGTAAATCATTCTCAAGAATCTATCTATGCTTTCTATTGGTAATAGAAGGTTTATTACGTATAATTCAACCTGTAACTATCAAATCTTTCTTACCAATTCCACAACATTAACATAGTATTATCATTTTTATTAACATATTAATATATTGTTATTATTATTATTATTATTATTATAGAAAAGAATATCAGAATGTTTTAATAATATATTAAAAACAAATAGCTGTGATGATCTATTACTGTTAATATCAATCTATTTCCATACAAGACAGTTACCGAATATCGTTGTCATTGTAAAGAATATTCTTGGATTCAGACCGTCTATTCACACTGAGAGTCTGAATCAAATCGGTGAGTTGTTGACCAAGGATATATTCCCAGAGGCATTGGTAGCTTTAAAGGCATCGTTATTACCAACTACCGATAATCTATCGAATGGTAACACATCAAATATCTCTGGTAGTGGTGGTGGTAGTAGTGGTAGTAGTAGTGGTGGTGCTGATAATCACAATACATCGATGATGTGCATCTATCATCTACTGAGTGAACGTATCTTTGAAAAGTATGAAACCGACATGGGTCAATGGATATGGACACAAACACTGAAAGCATCTACACCCATACATTATCTACTACCTTCATGTTTAGATAAACTTATTAAAAAGTAAGTAAATAACCAACTGATATATATATATATATCAATACAATATTGTAATGTCATAAGCTAACTTAAACTTTATTTAATTAGTATTATAGAACCGTCGATTCTAACGAATACACCATTGTTCTATATGAAGAGGATATCAGAGTGGACGATATCATCGTTGTTTGTGCCGTCAAAACAGACACCTATGGTCGTACAGGTGTTGGTTGTCTACTTTGTACTAAGGTATAACGATAGTGTTATGAAGTTCAAAACTGAACAATCTTTAAAACAAAAGACATCTTCTATTCTAATAGAAACAACACAATGTAAGTAAATAATATTACACAATGTAAACTTATTGATTGATTTAACAAAGTATTAATTATAATTCTTAACTATTATATATACTAGTAAAAGAGTATTCAGATGAATTCCTTTCAAAGCTACCAATACAAAGTTGTTTGAATACAATACAATCGAATGCTAAGGATTACTTTTATATTATTCCACCGTTTTTCTACTTGGTTAGCTCGCAATTTCCACAGTTGTTCAACGTTGCTCTGTTGCTCGAAGAAGAGGAGCGTCACTACAATTCTATCGCCACACTAAACTACATACCGCAATACTTTAAGCAATCAATCTATCCAAAGAGTGCAGATACTAAATATACAGTGTCGGTATTCCAAAAGACAACCAGCAATCCAACAACCACCTATCTTATTCTTAGCTACTTGAATACACTACCGGATGCTTCTCTCACTGCACTGGTCATTCCTCTCGTCCAACATCTCCTGCCTATACTCATCGATAACTTCCAGCAACCACAGATCGACGGTATCATTCCGCTATTTACCGATTTGTGGAGTCGATTGTTTCCTCTCGACCAAACGAACGTCGCACTAAAGACAATAAATGTATTTACCAGTCTTGAAAGTGGAGGAACGACTGGTTCCACTACCACTGCTTCAGGCAGTGTTGGCTCTGCTCAATATACACACACAGACGTCGTCAACGATCCACTCCTGGTATTCCGCTCTCACCCAACTGTGTTCCACTGTCCACCGCTCTTTAAGATACTCCTCAATGTACTGTACTTCTACATGATGTCATCGAAGAAGTATCTACAGAATTGCATCTCTGTAGCACCGATTGGCAGTGGCAAGCAAGAAGAAATCACCACCCTGATTCTCACTCAGGAGAGCTCTATCATTCAGCTGCTACTCGAGTTGTGCATCGTCGACACCATACCGCTGGAGCCAATACAGTCGTTTACCGCAGCAGACATTGAAGAGATTCGTTGTAACATCTGTAACTTTATACACCAGCTCTTCATTGAGAAGCCGCTACTTATCAAACTCGTACACTTCCAGGGTTACTCACCGCGACTACTGCCTATCACCGTCACACACATCCCTTCGATGCACATCTGCTTTGACTTTATTCCGGAGCTACTCAGTCAGCCACACCTCGACAAACAGATCTTCTCGATACAGCTATCGGCATTCCTGGCGGAGCGCTATCCAATACCCAAGAGTCTACGTATTTGTAGATATGCACTTGGTCGTATTGCTCATAATCTTGGTGTAAATCTTACCTCTACACACAACAATAATAGTAGTAATAGCACTAGTAACATAGTTATCAATGTCCGTTCCGACTTTGAAAAAGATAACTTTATCAAACAAATATTACCGTCGCTAACCAGATTTGCCAAGACCTACCCGATATTGGCAGAAGATTGTCTACAAATCTTAACTGAACAACTACCCAACAAACAATTATTTAATAATAATAGTAATAATAATGGAGCTCAACCAAATAATAATGCAGACAAATCACAACATCAACAGTTTTATAATGGATTTTCAACACCAACACTAGAGCAACAAACCAATACAACACCGTGGATAAAAGTAAACGATAAAACAACCATTCATACAGATATATATCAAGCGATTCAGATACTCGTTAAGAATATAACGAATTAAATAATTGATATATATATAAAAACAAATAAAAGATAATTGAATATCACAAGTTTAAAACAACTACAAGATTTATAAATCTAATTAGTTTGTGTGTGGTGTGTTGTGTTTATAACCTAATAAAAGCTACCAATAAAAATATTTAAAGATTTTGTGTTGTGTTATTGCATTTTAAAATGTATATGCAAAAAAAAAATATTTTGATTAATAACTGATGAAAGAGATATAAAACAAACCAATTTTTAAATATATTAAAGTTTAAAACAAATATACAATTAAAGAATTTATTGTTAACACAACTTCTACTATTATAAGTTTACATAAATTGATTTGCATTGATTAAAGTAATTTTAATTTTTATATTCTAAATAATTTCACATATATATATATATATATATAAATATATAAACTTTTTTTGTTTTATAAATATGGAAGAATTATCAGTACCAACAACATCTTTATTTGTATGCTCATTAAGGCTTTACATTACAAATCAATTTGTGAAATATGTTTTAGAAAAAGAAAATGGTGATCAACAGTCAAAAGAATTAGTAAAATCCTTCTTCAAAAAATATGATCCTGATCTACCAAACATTGTTTCAAGGTATTCAAATATTTTGGTATATGATCCGTAAGTTTTGTTTTTTTTGATAATAATTATTATTATGACTAACATATTAAAATTATAAAAAGATATTCTTATTATTTTTGTAAGACAAATGAATCATTATTGTATATTTCAGACTCATTAAATAAAATTAATGATACTTTTCCTGGAAACCTAGAGTCAAAGACTTTCGAGAAGGAAGTGCTAGAGGAGATCCAATTTCCAACGAACTTACGATTCCCAGAGTTAAAGAATTATATTCTAAATTCAAAAAATCCAATGATGTCTTGGACTTTGTTAAATTCCAAAGGATTACTCCTGGCATTACTCTTCAGAACCAGGTACATCGATGATTTCATTGTCGAGAAAATCAACGAAGGTTATGATCAATTTGTTTTGTTGGGTGCTGGTCTAGATTCAAGAGGATATCGTTTGCCATTCAAATCTGGAACAACCGTTTGGGAAGTTGATTTCCCAGAGGTGTTGAACTACAAACAATTCGTTCTCGAGAGTGTTAAAGATGTCATTCCAAAAGTATCTCAAGCCAACAATGTATATATTACCAGTGACCTTTTAAAACCCCAAGATTGGACATCTCAATTGCAATCTACAGGATTCGATAGTAACAAAAAGACAATTTGGATTATGGAGGGACTTCTCTTTTACATTGAGAGGTCAGGTATCTCATTGATTCTAAATTCAGTTTCCAAATTATCTTCATCTGGATCTGGTGCATGTATGCAAAATATGTCAGCTGATTTAACAGAAAAAGAAACATTCAATCCAATGGTTTTGCTTTGTAGAAAGGAAATGCGTTCATTGAGCAACGACCCATATGAGTATCAATTGGAAATGGGATTTACAAAAGATGTCAAAATATATCATGAGAGTCAGATAGAAATTCTCTATAAAATAAGTGAAGAGAAAATAGAGAATACAAATAATCATATTATAATTGCATATAAGCCTTAAATAATAATATTTCTCAATCATAAATAAAAATCATTTTTTTTTATCAGTTTTTAACTCAACCCCAATCTTTTCTCAAAATTCTTAACCAGTACTCTAATTTTCTCTTCTTCTCACAAACATTTCCTTTTACAAATTTGATATCTCATAAAGAAGAACAGTAACAAGTAATAGGGAAGATGAAATAATTATTTTTATCATTATTCACCCACTCAACATATTCACACTCTTAATTTTGTTTTTTTTACAGTTTTATGGTATATAACTAACTAGGAAAAAATAAACCCTATATCATCATATTATATATATCAATTTTTATAATTTATTTATTTGATGCTTGAATATTTAATAAAATATTATTTTATTATGTTCTAAAATAATAATGAAAGTATTTCAAGTTATTATTAAAAATTCAATCATAAATTTTATTATTTTGTAAAGTTATTTAAATGGAAAAAATAACAGTTCCTACTACTTCTCTATTTGTTTGTTCTTCTAGATTATTTGTTACTAACGAATATGTCGGAAAAGTATTAAATAATCCAAACAGTACTGATGATGAAATGAAATCTATCCAAGAATTTCGAAGGAGATATAATTCATCTTTACCAAACCTATTAGATCATTATTCTAAAATTTTAGTATATGATCCGTAAGTAATTTTAAGATTAAATAAGCCAATATTTATTATAAACTATTAATTTATTTTTTAGATATTCATATTATTTTTGTAATACAGATGAATCTACGTTAATTGTATCAAATGTTATGGACAAATTTCATTCTATGTACCCTTGTTTCTTTGAGACGGAGCTATTCAAGAAAGAGGTATTGGAGGTGATCAAATTTCCTACTGATTTGGCATACAAAGAGCTAAAGAACTATGTGCTAAACTCACCATCACCAATGATGTCATGGACCATGCTCAACAGCCAAGGTTTATTAATACACATGCTACTGAGAACCAAGTATATCGATGATTTCGTTCAAGAGAAAATCAATGAAGGTTTCGAGCAATTCGTCATACTTGGTGCCGGTCTAGATTCAAGAGGATATCGCTTGCCATTCAAATCTGGAACAACCGTTTGGGAAGTTGATTTCCCAGAGGTATTGAACTACAAACAATTCGTGATTGGCAACGCAGAGATTCCTAAGGTATCGCAAGCCAACAACGTTTTTATTACCAGTGATCTACTGCAATCCAAAGAATGGACATCGCGAATGGACTCAACTGGATTCAACCGTGCCAAGAAAACCATTTGGATATTAGAGGGTCTGGTCTTTTACATCGACAGAGAAGGTACTTCGCTAATACTGAAAACTGTCAATTCGATGTCTGCATCGGGATCCGGTATTCTCTATGAAACCATATCCAAACGTTATTCATATCATGAGAAGCTCAATCCGATGATAACACTCTTCAGAGTTGATATGATCACTACAACCGAGACACCAACAGACCTACTGGAAGATCTTTGCTTTACCAAAGATGTCAAATCACTCTCTGAAATCGATACACAAATACTCTACAATGTAAAGAAAGAGGATGATAATGAACCACACGTACCCACTAGTTTCACAATTGCATACAAACAATAATATTATTAAAAAAAGGAACACTAGTATTATTTATCAGTAGACTATTATAATTAATATTTTTATTATTATACAAATTGAATAATGATGTGAAGAAAAAGCAAGATATTTGTAAGATAGAACGCCTCTGAAAAATCAGAGAGATTTTTTGCAATTACAAAGTTTACATTATTGTGCATGTGTTAAATTTTTGAATCTGTGATATCCCCAAAATTGAAAAAACTTTGTAATTGGTTTATGTATCACCAATCTGAAGAGTTTGCAACCAATCTTAATCAAGGGTTGCTCTATTTTTAGGTTTAAAAAAACTGTAAAAAAAAATATTCTTTAATTTTTTACCCTTTTAGTGAAGGGGGCGGGCTGAGATTTTAAAAAAAAAAATACGACGCGATGTTTTGTTATAAACCTCCGAAAAAAAAAAATAGTTTAATCTGATACTTTTCACACAATACACAAAAAAAGATATTGTTTATTTAAAATTTTTTTTCCTAATTTTTTTTTTTTTTTTTTGATTTAAAGGAAAGAAAGTCAAACTGAATATCATTCTTCAAAATACTTTAGTCTTAACTCATTCTATAAAAAAAAAAAAAATAATGGAAGTAATTTCAATTCCAAGCACATCACTATTTGTGTGTTCATCAAGACTCTTCATCACCAACTCATTTATAGAACGTGTCTTGAACAATCCAAACAGTGATGATCAAACTAAAGAGTTGGTAAAACCTTTACTAGGAGTATATGATTCTTCACTTCCAAATCTCTTGGAGAAATATTTAAGTATTTTAGTTTATGATCCGTATGTTTTTTTTTTTTTTTATTTTATTTATTTGTATATTAATTAAATAGGTGGAATGTTTATTTAATTTATTTTATTTAGATATTCATATTATTTTTGTCAAACAGCTGAATCATCGTTGATTGTTTCGAATGCTATGGATAAAGCTAACCTTCAGTATCCAGGTTGCTATGAATCAGAGTCATTCAGAAAGGAGGTTTTGGAGGAAATCAAATTCCCAACTAATTTGTCATTCAAAGAGTTGAAGCAGTATATCATGAGTTCTAAATCTCCAATGATGTCTTGGACCATGTTAAACTCCAAAGGTTTAATCATCCACATGCTCCTAAGAACCAAGTATATCGATGATTTCGTTCAAGAGAAAATCAACGAAGGCTACGAACAATTTGTTATCCTTGGTGCCGGTTTCGATACCAGAGGATATCGTATGCCTTTCAAATCTGGAACAACCGTTTGGGAAGTAGATTTCCCAGAGGTGTTGAACTACAAACGTTATGTTATCGAGGGTGTCAAAGATGTTCCAAAAGTATCACAGGCCGACAACGTTTATATTATCAGCGATCTACTGGCAACCAAAGACTGGACAGAGCAATTGGAGGCAACTGGATTCAATCGTAACAAAAAGACTATTTGGATCATGGAAGGACTTCTCCCATACATTGAAAGAAGTGGTGTATCTTCAGTTTTGAAGACCATAAACTCACTTTCCACTAGCGGATCCGGTGTTTGCTTTGAAAATATTCTAGCGGATGAATCCAAATACGACAAACACAATCCAATTGTAATCTTTATGTACTCGACAATGAGATCGCATACCCATCTTCCATTTGAATTCATACCAGAACTTGGATTCACAAAAGATGTTAAGGTTCTCTATGAGAATCAAACTCAAAAACATTTTAAGATCTCCGACGAGGAAGACGATTGTCATGTTAGATCCTATTTGACTATTGCTTACAAATAAATATTTATAAATTTTGTAATGGAAAAGAATTAATAATATTTTACTCTTAATATAATTCCAATCAATATTTTCATTATTCTGAGATGTGGATTCGGAAATGAATGACACAATCTTGTTTCCTAAAGGTAGTAGCACTGAAAGTATGTAGAAATCTTTTAACTCCACTTGGATTGCTGCTATTAATAAATTTGAGGTACGGATATTGATTTTATTTTGATATGAAATAGAAGCATTTTTAATGCCTGCAGTGGAACCAAAAGCTGTAGTATGAAAAAGTACATCAACTTGATCTTGAGGAATTGTTGATAATAGTGATTCTAAATTTGTTATATCATTTGACAAGATTTAATTGATCACAAAAATATATCATTGTAACTTTTGAGTTAAAATGGAAATTTTATTATTTTTTGTTTACATTTTTCATCCAAGTTATACAATTTTGCACCATTTGTTCTAATGGAATTTTATTATTGAATCCAAGTTCATTCACTGCTTTAGTATCGTCGACTTTAAATGATTCGATTACACCTTCCGCCACAACAAAGAGATCGGGTTTTCTTCCAGTTACTCTGGCATAGAATCTTAACATTGACATGGAGAAATTAAATTCAAAATTTGAAATAGTCCTAATATTCTCTGGATTGTCTTTACCAAACACTCGATTGCAAACTACCATAAAGTTTTTCCAATTGCTCTCTGCTCCACCTAATACATAGATTGATCCATTTGGTGAGGTTTCGCCAGCCACTACATGAACTCTTGCACATTCTTCAACGTCGATGAAAACAGCATTTCTATTTGGTGCTTTATTTAAAGTCCCGGCTTCGACCATTTTAATAGACAGGCTAATGTTTGATTCGTCGAATCTTCCAATGATATAGGGTGGGCATAGTACCACTGTTTCCAAAGTTGGACAATTACAATTTCTAATCAATTGCTCAGCTTGATATTTACAGTTTACATAATTCCAATTATGATTACTCATTATTTGAGGCGTTGACTCTGAGATGACTACATCACCTGGTGTTCCAGCCGCACCTATAAATGTGGAAATAGACGAAGTATATACTAGTCTCTTAACTCCACGTTGAATGGCAGCTTGAAGTATATTGGAAGTGCCACCCAAATTGGTATTGTTTTGTCGGGTGATGGCAGCAGGTCCTGCTTGCTCACTAAAAACTAAAGCTGCTGTATGGAAGAGGATATCAACTTGTGGATCATGTGGAATTGTATTGATAAGTGATTCCAAGTCAGTGATATCACCTTTTACCATGTGTAACTGATCACAAGAATATCCATCACCTTCGATATTCTTCTTTAATCTTTCCGCTTTTTCATTTGAACGATATAGAGCGTAAACAATATAATCTTTTTTAATTAATTGTTCTACAATATGAGTTCCTAAAAACCCCGTTGCACCTGTTACATATGCTATTTTTTTATTACTACTTGATATCATTTATTTCTAAATATTAATAATATAATACCAAAACTATGCCAAAAGAAATATATATACTATTGAAATAATAAAATTTAGGAAATTGTATAAATTATTAATATTTATAACACACTTTTTTAAAATAAAGTCATAAATTCTTAATATATATACATGTAGAGGATTATTGTTTGTTGTTCTTTAAACATTTTAAAATGTTATGTGACACACACTACTACAACATTCAAATGCATAATTAAAAATAAAGAATGGGCACCCACTTATAAATTACACATTTTGATTAAATAAAATAAAGTGTGCACTAAAATTGATCATTTTTGCAGGCTTTCATTAAAATGTAGTGTGAAAAAACAAAACAAAAATTTTATTGTTATGTTACTTTTTAAGTTACATTCATCTCATACAGAATATCAATGTTAAGATTTAAGAATACCTATAATATATTTAAAAATATTCAATCCAAGTCATATAATAATAATAATGGAAGTTTAAAAATATCTTTATTTAGTAAATCAATATTACTATCTTCATCATCAAACTATAATAATAATAATAATAATAACAATAGATATATAAAAAGATGTTATACGAGTACGAAACAATTGGATAGTAATAATCTATTCGATAGAGGTGGTGGTGGTACTGATATTATTACGATCGATGGCTACAGTCAACAAGGATTCTCTGTGAACTCGGTTTTGATACCTGGCTCGGTGGTTGCGATTCCCAATCTTTGTTTGCTGTGGGATGTTCACGAGCCCGCAGAGATCACCGTCGAGAGTATGGCGGCACTGGCTATTGTCGATCCACCCATCGAGTTTGTCATTGTCGGAACGGGTGAAGCGCGTGTCCCACTCGATGCGGAGCTACTCGACCAACTGAAACGACGCTATCATATCAACATCGAGGTGATGTCCACCGTCAATGCACTCGGAACCTACAATATCTTGGCAGAGGAAGGTAGACGTGTCGCTGCTTTTCTCATTTGCAACGAGGCGTGTCGCGAAGCTAAAGATCCATATTATGTATCGAAACGTGATTACAAACCACTTACCAATGAAAATACACTTGCCGGTAAACAACAATCATCAACATCAACAACAACAACATCTTCCAAACAAAAGAAATACGACTACAGCGATAATCATAGTCAACCATTCGAACGAGAATACAGAGCTACCAAGAACAAAGAAGAACCTGTACCACAACAACTTTCATTCTCTGATAAACTATTGATTTGGATTGCCGAAAGATTCAGGAAGAAATAAATAATAAAATAAAAGTAGATACACAAGCTTTTTGTTTGTTTTATTACATCATGATACATCATAAAATGGTTGTTGGTTGGTTGGTTGGTTGGTTTGTTTACTTGAAGAAATCTACTGATTCATCTTTTACCAACATCGATGTAAGACGACGTTTGATCTCTGCATCTGTATTGACCAATTGGAGGAACTCATCTTTTGAAACTTGTTTATCGTTGTTCTTGTCGAGTAGATCAAAGAGTTCGTCTGCCTCTTGATTGATCTTTGAGACTTCGATCGGTAACAATTGAATCTTATCAATTGGTGTCTCTCTATTGTATACTTTAACATACTTCTCCATCTTTTTATTCATCATAACAACAGCTCTCATCTCTATGAAAAGAAAAGAAAGATTTAAATTAGAAAAAAAAAAAAAACATTGTTTTTTGTTTTTGTTTGATTGATTGATTGATAGATCGATCGATCGACTGATCGACTGATCGATTTACCTATTGATCGACACAATGACAATAATGAGCACTAATACATACCTGATCTAGAGATGAAACCATCATTATTCAAATCTAAACATCTAAATGAAACATCGATAACATCATCCAAAGATCTATTAACAAGATATCCATAGGCCAAACAGAATTCACTGAAATTAACAGTTCTAATTAATTAATAAATAAATTAGTTTAATTAATATTTTTTAATTCAAACAGTAATATAATAAATATAATTTTACATACTTATCATTGTTTCTATCGAATAGATTAAATAGAATATTTGAAAAAGTTGGATCTATTCCACCATATTTCTTTTCGATGACTGCTTTCAACTCAGCTTTGTCCAACAAACCATCGGATCCAGCAATCTTTTGGAATGTTTTCAAGAGTTCTTTCAAATCTTTTTCATCCACTGTTGTTGTTTTTGTTGTAATAATATATTATGAATGAATACTAATTATTATTTATGTAGTTTGTTTGTTATATATAAAAAACACATACATCTTGAATTAGCAGCAATCGAAGCAAAATCTTTACTACCTTTATTTCCCATTTTATTTTATTTTATTTTATTTTAGTTTATCAAATATAATATATTAAAATTAAAGTCGTGGATCTTTATATTTATCCTTTTTTTTTTATCAAAAACACAAAAGATTTTCTGCAAAATTTTTGGTATTTTTTTAGGTTACAAAGCTATAATATCAGTAAATCTATTCATCAACACATAACTTCAAAACAATCAAAATTCAGAAATGTGGAGTCAATTTGTATATGTTTTTTTATAAACAAACTTTCCAAAATAAATAATTATATTTATATTTTTACAACAGTGAATCCAAATGAATAATGGAACTCTTGGAAGCATTCCAAAAGATTTTGAAGTTGAAAATTCATCTTTTGGAATATTTTTATCTTTGTTCTAGTTTTGTTATTCACCATAATTCTTTTATTTTAGTTAAAATATTAATTATTTGTTTCAATTTGAGAGTGTTGTTCGAATTTTCTATTTTTTTTTATGCCTTTAATTTTTTTGAAAATAGATGTAAAGGTTCAATTTAAAAATAGAAGTTAATTCTAATTGATAATCAGTTTTTTAACCTCTAGAAATAAATTAAATATTATAAATGATTTTCGATTTTTTTAAGGTGCCAACCAATTATAACCCTCCAAAAAAAAACTCAAAAATAATGAATCTTGATAAATATTCTGTTTTTTTTCATTAAAAAAAACTTTTGGGTCCATTTTAAGATTTTAAATTCCCCAATTTAATTTAAAACATTCCCTCTTTTTTTAGTGTACACAACACAAAGTGAAGAAATAAAGTGTTGTCTATAATATTTTTATTTATTTTTTATTTAATTCCACCCTCCCCTCAGACATCACAGTCACAAATAAATAAATAACAAACAATTTTTGTTAGCTTTTATTTTATTTTTTCATATGATCATCAGTCAGATCTATTTTTTTTAGTTAGTTTACTTTGTAGTTGATTCGATTGTTATTTATTTTTCCAAGTTATGAATAAAGAATCACAGTTGTTATTACAGTTACATTTTGACAACAACAATAACAATAGTAATCATAGTCATATAGGTGACAACAACAACAACAGCGGAACTAACAAACTACTATCACCTCGAAGAAACAACAATAGAAGTGGATGTAGTAATATATTACTGTCCAATCAGTTTTTGACATCGAGTTACTCATCTTATACATCACCTCTACCATCGCCTGCACCTTCACCAAAACAATATTATTCAAATACAATGTTTAGTTTAAATAGTAATAATAACAATGGCAATAATGAATGCTACTCATCATCATCTTCATCTGACGACAACGATAATGAAGTTTACAATTTCAATAACTATAGCAAAAATAATAATAATAACAACAATCATAACAATGGCAATATAATAAATAGAAGATATAGTTTACCTTCTAAACAGAATAAACAACAACCACACCCTACCCTTTCACCTATAATTCAATATAACAATAGTCAAACCTTAAAGAAAAAGCAACAACAACAACAACAACAACAACAAACATATCAACAAAATCAACAACAATATAAAAGAAAAAATAAAAAACATCAACAACAACAACAACAAAAAATTATAATGAAAATGATAGTGGTGGTGATGACGAAGAATTCTATGATACCAATTCGGATTTCAGTAAACTGTCGGTTGCAAATAAAGATGATCTCGAAGTGTGTCTCGGTGTTCTAAAGAATGAAATCCACCAATTCAAGAATCTCTCTGATAACTTGCATCAGCGAATCGTACAGTTGGAGAAAGGTGTCGGTGACCAACGTATCACTATGAATCAGTCACCACCACCTCCACTACCACTGCAACAACAACAACCACCACTCACATCTCTTGACTATGTTCAAAACATAGTAGTAGATTCCAACGAAACCAAAGAGCTACTTGCCAATTGCTTCCAGGAGATAAGCAGACTGCTCGAGCGTCAACACCAATACGAATCGCTGCTGGCACAACGCGAGCAGACCTGGGAGATGGAAATCGATTCCATACGTATGAAACTACTCGACCAGAACCCGAATTCGTCGTCGTCGTCGCTGCCCTCGTCGTCACTCTCGATGTTGCGTGACGACTTTTACGACGAGACGGACGACGTCGGATCTGGCGGTTCTTCGCGCTCACCATCGCCCTCATCCTCTGCAGGCTCTTCATCTTCAATAAACTATCGATACTCTAATAGCAGTAAAAGACAACTATCAAAACAACAACAACAACAACCACAACAACCACAACAGCTATCTATCATTAGAAGAGTGTATCTCTATGTGTTTGGACCACAATCAAACATATGGAGAAAGATCATTGTTATATCGCTGGTTGTTATTGTCTGGCCTATTGTTTCACACTTTTTGTGGCGAGCGTTCAGTACTTGGCTCGCCAAGAGAAGAGCTAGAAAAGCCGCGCTACTCCTGCAAGCCAGCCAACCACTCTCCAACGCAGCCGCACAGTTCCAATCTACCATTGCCAACGTTGGTAAGAACATCAGCAGCGGCAACAACAAGAACAACAGCAGCAACAACGGTAACAAGAAGAAGAAGAATATAAGTGCACCCGACATCGTTAAGGCATTCATCCAAGGTGTCTCTACGGGTGACGGCGGTTCCAACAACAATATCACCAACAATGCAATCACCTCACTCTCGAATACACTCAATAGTCTTACACCAACTTCACTCATAAACAACAACAATAGCAACAGTCTTAATAGCAATATTGTTAATAGTATCAATAACAATATTGGCAGTAGCAATACAAATAATCTTGTTTCCAATATTGGTAACAGTATTAGCAGTTCATCATCGTCGATGGTCGGTGGAACAGGTAGTTCCATCGCGTCGCATCTCAACCACTCCTCACCCTCGCCATCGTCGGTCGCCACACTCTCGCCAACCGTAACCACCACTTCACTCCTAAGCAACTCAAAAGACAGAGTTAGAGATTCAAGTCAAAGATTCATGGTTAAACTTGTTAAAAACATTTTAAAAGGTGATAGCAATAACGATTAAATAATAATAATAATAATAATAACAATAATGAATAATGAATCATGATAATAACAATATCACCAATATTAACGATCATTACACAAATTGTGTACATAAATAACTACTACTACTACTATTTTCTTTTAATTTCTTTTTTTTAATAAATGTATATCTACAAAAAAAAAAGGTTGATAGAAAGAGGTAATAACCTTTTTTTTTCTACCCTTTACCCAATTAACATGTTAACTGCATATATTAAGTGATTTTAATGTATTTCATATTTTTGATTATTTTTCTTTTTCAAACAATGTTTATAATCTGTTTATTCTACAAGTATTGGAGCTATAATCTAATAGATATCTATATAATCAACAAAGTATCTATTATTCATCTAATTCTATTCAATTTAACATATAGTATTATGTTATGTTTTGTTGTCTTGTTTATGATTATGGTGTATATATATCTCTGTTGTTGTGTATTATTATTGTTTGTTTTAAAGACTTATTTATTTAATTTAATTCATTCGATTATTATTATTATGTATATGATGTTATAGTTGTTGTTGTTGTTCTCTTTTATATTTTTCTAGGAGTTCTATTGATTGGTTCTGTAATTTTCTGTTGATTTGTTTTTTGTGTAAAAATAAACTAAGTATTAGCATGTGCAATGAAGATGAACTATTCATCTACTATATTATCATAAGATAAATATATATATTATTATCATATATTTACATCTTGAGCAGCAGTTGACCAAACCCAGAATGCAGGGATTGCAGCACCGAAAACAAGCAAAGTCTTTACAACCTTTGGAGTGAACTTGAACCAAACTTGGGTGTTCTCTCTGTAGTAAGCAATCTTTTGAAGATTGTATGGGATTTCCATTCCCTTTCTATCTGGTGGTGGCATAAAAGACATTTTTATATCTAAATTAAATGATTGAAATATTTATTTAAATAATCTAAATGTGTATGTCTTTTGCACACCAACTTCTTGCACAAATTTCAAAATTTTTTTTTTGAATGAAATATTTATTGGTTTTTTTTTCGTCCCGCTTGCCAATCCACATCTCCAGAAGAATTTGGCCAAACTCTTGGAGAAGTCTTCAACTTTGATTTTGGTGAAGTTATACTCCCATCGTCAATGGATTACTATATCAAGGTAAAAAGATACATTGAAGAGGCTGCTAGAACATTCACTGGAACCAATGGTCGTCCCCCTGTATTAGTCATTGATGGTATCTGCCAAACAGAATAAACCAATGCTTCTAACACTTCAAAACTTGGTTAAGCGTCATGCAGACATGTCATACCTCATCATCATATTCGTTTCGAGCGATGGGAGTGGTCCAAGATTCCTATCAGACGGAATTCTCTAGATGCTTGAATTTGGAAATTGGCGATATCTTTGATGAAGCTGCCATTGACTACTTGTCTAGAGTCAAGGATAGATATGGCAACCCAATTGAGATCTCTTGCCCAGAAAGTGGTACTACAACTCACAGGCGGTCGATTCCAACTCATTAACGAAGTTATTTGTAAGATGAAATTTGGATTAGGATTTGAAGAGATTAAACAACAGTTCACGGATGTAGTGGAGGCTTACCGATGCCAAAATTGACATCCTTACTGAGCCTTTCAAGACTATCTTTCGAAATCTTTGTCAAAAACAACGTGAAATCGGGTCAGTTACCAGTCGACGTACGAAAGTATTCTAAGAATATTTTTACTTCAAAGTTTGGTACGAAATCACATTACAATCACGAAGAGTGGAGACATATATGAGAGAGATACTAGAAAAAAAAAGTAAATCTCTGTGATCACTCTCACTCCATTATTATATATATATATATAGTTTTTTAAAGTTTTAAAAATTAGGGTTATTAAATAAAATAAAAAGATTTATTTGAAAATATCTTGAATTTTGATGTTTGTGACATGTTAATCAAACAACTCAACCAGGTTATAACAAACAACGATTGTTTTTGTTTTTTTTTCTATTCCTAAAATTGTGTGCTTTGTTTAAATTAATATGAATTGTTTTTTTTTTGATGACCTGGTCAATCAAAACAAAAAAAAAAATAGTTGGGTTGTTTAGTTTTTTTTTTTTGCAATTTAAAAATAATTTTTCTTTTTTTTTTTTGTCTTGTGTTTTTATTTTTCACCAACCACCACACACTCCCCTATTCGCACCAAACATTTTTTCCCACTCACATAATTTTTTTCAATCGTACCACTACTACAACAACTATTAGTATAAACATATCTATTTATTAAAAGAAAGGACTAAAGAGATAAAACTAAAATAAAAAAAAAATAATCAAAAAGTTCTAAAAACTCATAGTTTTTTTAGAAAACAAAAAAAAAAAGTATAAAAGTCGTAATAAAATAATTGCTGACCCCACTGTCACCAACCAATTAACCACAATTATCATTAATTTACACCAACTGATTGAATCAAACAATAATAGCATTGATAATTCAAATAGACATACCTAATTAATTGATCTCTATAGTAATATTAATAATAATAATAATAATAATAATAATAATAATTAGTGATAACAAATAATAAAGTTGATTTTCACTTCACCACAGCACAGCACACAACTTAACACAACAACACTCAGCTATAACTTCAAAATCTAAATAAAAAAAAAAATATTAATTTGTTTATTTCTTTAGAATATATTTATAGATTAGAATAATTTAAAAATTTTTAAAAAATAATTTAAAAATGTATAGATTCACTACATTATTACTATTATCATCGATTTTATTTATTTCACTGATATCTGCTCAGTCGACACCTACTAACCCTAGTTGTGGTAAGTTAGCTTCAAGTTCAAATCTATTGCAATCAGAGGAAATATTAATAATAAAATTGATTTGAACTATTCTAGTATTTTGGGTATCTTCATTATCAAAAGACGATACAAATTGCACAATTTCAAAGTATGTACATTGCAATCTTGTGGATTGAAAGATATCTTATTATCGTTGTTGGGAATCTGTATCTAATTTTACTTTATCTTGCTCTTGATCTTTCTAGTCCATGTTCGAATTTAAAGGCAGCCATTATTCTTGCTAATGATGTAACAGCTAATTGTACTACCACAGATACCAGATATATTTATATGATTCCAGATGGTGATTACAAAGGAAAGGGAAACGTTGAGTTTTCAGTCGATATCATCACCTCTGGCATTGAGGAGATCAATATTGTCGTTAGTTCTGCCGACTTGCCAGCAGATATCAACAACGTTGTCTACCCACTCGCCAATCAATCCTCAAAGAACGTCGTAATCAACGGTGAATACAATGCTTTCCTCATCAGATTCTACCCCAACAAGGCGTTGTACACCTTCATCGGTATCGACTTTATTAATGGTAACGCTCGTGGTAACGTCGGTTATCCACTCTACGTCAACGAAGCACCATCCGTCAGTTTCAAATCATGTACCTTCCAAAAGTAAGTGTTTGTTTGTTTCTTTATTTGTTTATTTGTTTGTTTTGTTTTGTTAGTTAGTGTTGGTTGTTTCTATTTACTAACAAACTATTTCATAATAATATTTTTCAATCATTGTAGTAATAGAGGTAATAAAGGTGGAATGTTATTCATTAGTTCGGTATTCTCCACTTCGAATATCACAGATTGTCAATTCATCAATAATACTGGTACTCTTGAGAGTGGTGCCGTCTATATCAGACAATCGTTTGGTATCAACATTTTGAACACTACATTCCAATCGAATACCGCTTCACAGGGTGGTGCTCTCTATGTTTTGAATTCAAACATCGTTGTCAACAACTGTCAATTCACCAATAATAATGCTACCAACAATGGTGTAAGTAGTATTGATATATTATCAAAACAAAACAAAACAAAACAAATCGAATCGAATCGAAATATCTAACCAAGTTGTTGTTATTTATTTAGGGTGCTATTTATGTTAGTGGTTCAAATGTAGCTGCAAATCTTGGTTGGAGAATGAATACATTCAGCAAGAATACAGCTGTGCTTGGTGGTGCTATTTACGATACAGTTTCAACCATTCGTTATTACAACCTCAACTTGACAGGAAATATCGCTTCGGGCAAGGGTGGAGCCACCTACTTTTTGGATTCGTCGTCCGGTATCTTCAAATCGGTTTTCGCTAATAACAGTGCCGCTCAAGGTGGTGCTGTCTTCACCGTCGATTCGTTCCCAAAGGGCAACCAACTGTTGATCAGTGAGAGCAACTTCACCATGAATATGGCCAGTGTCGGTGGTGCACTCTATTGTAACTCGAGTACCGCACGTATGAACTTCCAGAACACGTTTGAGAAGAACTCGGCAGAGAATGCCGATACCGCAGTGGAGTACTGTTCGATCACCTGTTTGACCACCAACAAAGAGTGTGGTTGCACCAAGGGTTGTGGACTTCCACCACCTCCAGTCACAGTCGTCACCAACTCTACCGAAACAAAGATCGCCATCGCTATTTTCGTTCCAGTGACAGCCATTCTTTTGGGTCTCGTTGGTTATCTGATTTGGAAGACAAACAAAAACAAGAGTAAAATGCAACAAAGAGCATTCGATGAAATTAGATTAACACCAAACAATGATAATGAACAATTATAAATTAATTTAAACAATAAATAAATAAATAATATATATCGTAAATTAAAAGTAAAAAAGAATGACAACAATAAAACTATTGTAAATTTGAATAAATTACTATTTTTATTAAGATATTGATTTATTAGTTGATTATTTGAAAGAACTCCACCAACAAATATTTGTTCCACTCTGAATGTAATTTACAATGTTGTTTGAGTTATTTGTTGTTTGTGGTTAGCATTAGTGTACTATTCAGATCAACCATGAACAAAATTCTATAAAATATTGTGCTGAACGCTGTCGACTTTAAAGTGTTGGTTTTCCAACCTTGATCCAACTGAAATCACAGTCAAATCAAAGATCCATTAGTTCGCAAGGCGATGTTTCAAGGGAAACCAAACTTCTGGCTGGAAGAGCACAAAAGCTACTTATCTATCTGCTTTGCAACCAAAATGAATCCACATCGTCCTTCGTATCTGACTCTAATGATGTATGTAAGGTATATAGGAGAAATTATAACAGCAATAATAAATATTATATTTAATCATTCCACCAGACTTCGAATGTATAAAACTAAAACTCTCTAGTTTTTCTAAAATCTAATGGTTATTAGTTATTAAAATATAATAAAGTCAAACAGATATTGTACATACTTCAATTAATTGTTCTTTAGAAATTCTAAATTTTTCTGGTAATCTTTACACCTGTTGGTTAACTAAGTATAATGGTAACACTGGCGATTGATTGGCGATTGGTTGGTAACACTGGCGATTGATTGGTAACACTGGCGAATTTCAAAACTTTGTGTGACAGAGATCATAAAACATGCATTTTTTTTTGACTGATTCCTTTATTGATGTCACTCGAAATCTTTACTATTGATGGTTTTTGGTGGAGTTTTCGTAGTTGCTGTGTAATGCGCCTCAGTAATTGAAGATCTATATAGCGTTGCTTTTTTATGTATAACTTTGAGTTTTGTTCATGGTTGATCTGAATAGTTATTATTAATGAATATTTCTTCTGTTGTAAGTTTAGACTAAACTATATAATCAATCAAATCTGATCATGTGGCAAAAAAAAAAAATTGGGGGAAAAAGTTTATGAAAAAAAATGATGATCAGATATTTATTTTTTCATTCTTCAATCAACCATTTGTATTTATATATCTATTTATTTAATTAATTATTTTCAATGTGTACATTAAGAGGTATATGGATATTGAAAGAACATTCAACAGGTGCAGATGTTGTCTTTTCAAAGAGAATCAATACTGTTGAGGTGAGAGTGCGTCTGATGTCAGGCTCAAACTACCAGCCTATTCCCTCTGACAACGATCTACTCCGATTGTTCTACTTTGATGTGATATTCCCACAGCAACAGCTGCTGCACCAGCAATCCGCACAGAATATGGCAGGTTCCATTGCAGCGCAGCAACAAGCGAAAGCAGCTGCCGCAACACTGCAACCCGGTCAACCGAAACCAGTGCCACCACCCGCCACTCAACAGCAACAACAACCTCATAACAATATATCGACAGCGTCACTCAAGCTCTATGACTCTACACCCAATACACACGTGATATCACTCAATCAAGATAGAATATGGCCACTCATCTACATCAAAAAGAAAAACTTTTACTTCCTGACGATTCCGGTGATCAACGAGTATCTCACCAACAATGTAAAGCCAAGTTTCATCGAATTACCACAGATTACAGCATCCGTTACCTTCCTAGAGGAAGTAGCATTCTTTACTCAATCGTTTCTAGCAAAGCCAGTATGTAGAGATTATGTTGTTGTTGTTATCTTTCTTATACAATTCTTGCGGTTATTAATATGTTTTCCACATAGCCACCATATCCAGAGTTACAAGTTTATTTTGCAAATATAATACCGTTTGGACAACCAACGGATTCCAATTTCAATAATATAAAGACGATGATTAAATCTGGATTTCCCTCGAATGAGGTGTTCACTCCTCGCAGACCTGCGTGGCGTCCATTCTTACACAAGGGAAAGCAGCAGTTGGATTTCATTATCTCAGAGACTGTACAAGTGATACAATACGATAGTCAAACAGTACCAGATCAAATCAAAGTATTTGGTTCACTCTTTTGTAAAGCAGAGTTGGAAGGACAACCTGAAGTATCTGCTTATATAACAACTCCACAACCAACAACATCAACACAACAACCAACAACAGTATCATCATCATCATCATCTACCCAAAGCAATAATAATGATATTTCAATAACACATATGTCTATAGATTCCACTGTTCAAACTACATCGGATGTCGCTATTACCAACAAGATTACATTCACTCCACCACTTGACAACTTCCGTGTTTTGACGTACGGTGTCAGTGGTGTCAAGACTATTCCGATTCGTGGATTCTATCAGATGAAAGAGATTACACCGACACTGGTAAAGATTCTCGTTCAACTAAAGCTGAACGATCAAATGCAGAATAGTTTCGATTATTGTTTGATGAGAATTCCTCTTAGTGGTCGTGGCAACATCGTGACGGTGAACGCCAGTCCAACGACAGGATCGATTCACATCGATATGAACCTGCGTGCAATCATCTGGAATATCGGACAGAAGTTCTCCGGTCGTAATCTCGAGGTTGCTCTGCCGGCAGAGATTGCATTCGGCCCAATAACGAACCCACCCATAACCCCGACACTCTCGGTCACCGGCTCCAGCGGCAACCAATCGAATACCGCCTATCCCAATCAATCGTTCCCAATCACCGAGCAATCGCAAGGCGACGACGACGACCGCGATCCATTCTGCTACAATTCCAACACCTTTGTAAAGCTGTTCTTCAAACTACAACACTGCACTCTGAGTGGATTCAACATCGACCCAAAGAAGGTATCGATCTATCCGGCATCGAAATCAAAGATCAATGTCGATCGTGAGATTGTCAGTTCCGAGTATATCATTTGGAATTCACTATCAGAGAATGTAAAATCATCATATCAACCACCAAATGTTTCAAATATTCAATCAACATTATCGTCATCAACAACAACAGGATTTACAACAACAACAAATTCATCATTATCATCATCTTCAATAATTTCAAATGAATAATAAAATACTATTGTTTTATTATTGTTAACATATCTTAATCATCCATTTTATCATCTTTAAAATAATTTTCTTGTACTTCTTGATTCTTTTCGAATTGCCATTTCATTTCTCTTTCTTTTAGATCCATGATAGTTGAATTGTTGGTATTGAGTGAATTATAGATGAAACCGTTGCTCTTGTCAATCTTTTTGAGAAGATCTGCCATACTCTCTTTATCCATGATATTCAATGGGTGAAACGATACCAAACTGAAATCCTCTACCAAACCTGCAACTGCTTTATTCAACGCATTATACTGTGGATGTTTAACATCGTGATCCAAGAAACTATTTAAATATGCCAAATCTAAAACCTCCGTATAATATTCTAAACTAAAATCTATAGAGAACAAAAAAAAACATTAATAAATGTATTAAATATATAATAAAACTATAATAATCGATCAACAAAATGTAATATAATCAATCGATATTAATACATACCTAAGGGACCATTCTTTTCTATTAAATCTATTTTTGATAATACGTTTATATGTGGAAGAGGTAGACGTAACATCGATGAAAGTGAAACGAGTAAAACCGATATAAAGTTGGCTGCTTGTTTACAATAGAATGAATCAAATACTTGTATTACTGTTAACTATTATTAATTGTTTAGTTAATACATACATATGTATTTAGATTTAAGATTATTATTATTATAAGTACTACTACTTACTCTATATGATAGTTTTGTAATTTCATCTAAAATGTTTGAAACGGATTTATAATGAGTGTATAGCTCGACTTGACCAGGACAATCGAAAATTATGTAATGATTTCTATATTGATCTAGTTTCTCTTTTAGCCAATCAAAGTTCTTCTCTAGATACTCCATGCAGTAAATGAGTGCACCATTCGGACCGAGTTCCTCATCCAACATCAATGTCTCGAAATCAATGAGTTCTCTGATATCTATTGCAGCTTCATAGGGTATATTCTCATTAGCAGGATCTAAATTTACAATTGCTACCTTTCTACCCAATGATTCCATAAATTGTGACATTCCATTACAAAATACTGTTTTACCTATTATTTATGTTTAAACGAATTATATATATTAATTTAATATTATTTTCAAAAAAATAACAAACAACAGATATAACAACAACAACTAAATAATTCAATACATACCTGAACCTGGTGGTCCAATTACAACCATACCAAAAGGCATTCTTTAATTATTCTTATATGTATGTTAGTTCACACACTGCGCAGTATGAAGATAATTACAGTTTTCTAAGAACTTTTTAATTTTTTTTTTTTTTAATCGAATTTTGAAACAATTTAGACAACAAAGATTTTTGAGGGGAAAAGAATCTATTGTAACAACCATTTTTAAGTAATAACAACACACTTTTATCTAAATCTCTATTTATTTATATTTGTTCAGTTAATAATAATAAGATAGTTTGATCTTGTTGAAATTATTTTTAATAAAAATAAATAAAATATATAATGCCACCAAAGAAGAAACCAGCAGCTTCAGTACCAGCGACTGCTACTATTACTACACCAACAACAACTTCAAGTTCAACTTCAACAACAACTACTACAACGACAACTAATGGAAGTGGCGGAAGTAGTAGTCCATCATCGAATGTAAAAGTAATCAAGTGGTATTGGGCTGGTGATAGTGCAACAGGAACACAAGATACTTTGGTTGAATATACAAAGGCATTGAATGATCAGATAGAAGATGCCTATCAAACCTATCTCACCGACAAAAAAGACAAGAAAGCCAAAAAGTTTGATGTTGACAAAGATCGTTACATCGACTTCCCAACAATGACACAATGCCGAAAAGATGATAAATCAAAGAAAAGAACAATCGAGAGAAAAGAAGAGTAAGTTTACATACAATGAATATTGAAATATAACTAACTAACTGACTGACTAACTAACAATGATTATGTTTGTTTTGAATTAGACTTGTCACTGCGACTTCCTCTGGAAGTGCACCGGCAACACTACCAAAGAGAGAATTGAAAAATTCAAAGGTGACAGCCAGCAAAAAGAGACAGATCGATAGTAGTAGCAGTGAAAGTGACAGTAGTGATAGTAGCGATAGCGATAGCGATGACGACGAGGATGAAGACTACTATCCGAGTTGGTATTGGGCTGGCGATAGTAATGGTGGTCCAGCCAACGGTGGTGGACATCAAGATGTCTGGGTCAAATACGATTTAAAATTCGCAAAGAAACTCGAGGAATCCTACCAGAAGGGTGATATCAAGTTGAAGGTAGACAAAGACCGTTTCATCGATATACAAAACATGTTGCAACGTCGTTACGACGACGAATCGAAGCGACGTTCGATCAAGCGTGAAGACGCTGCCAAACTTCGTCCCACCAAGAAGAAATCAAAGACAACAACAACTACCACCACTACTGTTGGCGGTACAACCACAACATCGTCGTCGTCGGCAGGAGCATCAGCAATCTCTTCCACAGCAAGTGCAATTGCTGCCGTCCTCAAGTGTCCGTCGTCATGGATCGACATCTCCATGGACTACAAGGAGATCGACGTCTATCCAAACACCAAGGAATTCATGTGGATGTCCGATTTGTTCACTTCGACAATCTCACATCTTCACAAGGGTAAATCGACGTTGTCTCCGATCGTCTTTAACAATCTCAAGGTGTCGCGTGTCGTCCGAATACAAAACCCGATCGTCTGGATGCGTTATCACCATCGTCGACAAAAGATCCTCGACGACAACGGTGGAAAGTGTAAACCGGTGCCACTCGTCATCACAGACATCCCCAACGGACCGGAAGTCGAACGGCTGGCCAACGAAATCTACCTGTTCCACGGTCTCAATGTAAGCTCGATCCCGGGTATCGCCAAGTTTGGATTCGATCCACGATTCTGCTCACTCGAGGGTATGTTTGGTGCCGGACTCTACTTTGCCGAGAATTCATCAAAGTCCAACCAATATTGTCACGCTGGTGCATGCACCGCCAGTGGATTCCAATCGATGTCCTGTAAATGTACTGCAAATGATGAAGTTTGTTTACTTGTTTGTCGTGTAACATTAGGTGATTGTTTAGTTGGTAAGTTATCATCATGAAATCAATCGATTTCCATTTTCATTTTATTCATTAAATTCTAATTGTCAATTCATTATATTTTATCAATCCAATAGAAAATGTATTTAGAGGTAATACACCAGGTAAATTCTGGTATGGTAGAAGAACCGAGCCAAAGAAACCTGATGGTGTAAATATTTATAACAGTGTAATCGGAGAGTCAAAAGCAAACTATGGTCCAAAAGCAGAGCTGCAGCTCAGAGAATATATTGTCTATGAATCAAGTCAGGTATATCCTGAATATAAAGTGTATTTCAAACGTGTAAAGTGATAAAGCAAATAGCTTTTTCCAAACAACCAAACATTCTATCATTAAAATTAAAGCCATTAAAATTTAAAACAAAACAAAAAAGTTTAAACTAATCTTTAATTAAACAACTTATTGGTTTATGCTTCTTCCCATGTTTTATCTATTCCATCTTTTTTTAATCTTTCTTTAACAATCAAAAATATTTGGATGCTGAGCATTTTTGTTAAAATCAGACCAACCAAATATATCAAAATGATTGATTGGATGGGGACCTTCTATCTATTAATCTTTTAAAAGGTTAAACACCACTCCACAAAAGATTTATAACCTTTCACTGACAAAATTATTTTTAAAATTTATTTTCTGTTATATATATATTTTTTTTATATTAACCAATCTATTTTTTAATAAAAAAAGATACCAAATTGAAAGTGAATTTTCAAACCATTCCACAATAGATGTGGTATCCAAACATACCAACACATTTTTTTAATTTAATTTTATTATGTTTTATTGGGTAAGGTGGTGTGATTTTTTTTATTTGTAAGTGTGGGAGTGGTTTATATTAGATTTTGTTGATCATCAATACCTCTCATATGAGTATCTATTATCTATATTCAATGGTGGTATTTATTCATTCTAGCAGAAACTTAACTTCCAATTGATCAATGTGTTAATTTTTGACATTTGGGAATAATTTTAATAAATTGTTTTGTTTGATTGACATTAATGATGCTTGATATTAACTATTGTTAACCAATAGAATTTAAAATTTTCATAATATATTGATCATTATTAAATTTTACCATTTTTGTATATTTTTTTATTTAAATTTATATTACTGATCTTAACTTAATATTAAGTTGTAAGTAAGTGCTGGTTAAAGAGAACCTTATTAAATCTCATCAATTGTTTGCTTTTTATTTTATTTAAACTATCTACTCCTTTATATAAATATCCAAAAATTGTGTGTGTGAATGTAAGTAATACTATTTGTTTGTTTTATGTAACTCAAATATTCAATCTTCTATCTATCTATCTATCTATCTTATCAAATTAATTAAAAATTACTCCTATTATTTTTATTTAAAACCTATTTTAAATTATTCCAAATATTAATTCTATTTTCCAGATATATAGATTTATTAAAAAAATTAAATAATAATAACTATGAAGACTATAGTTATTTTATACCTGGTGGTATCATTAATATTTGTTAATGGTAAATAAATAACAACAATTAATTAATAAAGCATACTAATTATATTATTATTTTTAAACAAAATAAATAGGTTGCCCAGATTATCCAACTCCTGTACCAATTGATCAGAATGATCCAACCATTCAAAAAGCCTATGCAGAGGTAGACTCTCTCATCCAACAGAGAATGGAAGAGAATGGAATCAAGAGTTTTATGGCCACTATTGTCTATGGTGATAATATGGTCTGGTCAAAAGCATACGGTCAAGTAAATCCATTGGATGAAAACTCACCACCTCTTACCATTGATAACACGTAAGTTTTAAACAAATATAATAATATATGTTACCAATATATATTAATGTTAAATTAAATACCGATAGTGTAAGAATTGCAAGTATTACAAAATCATTTACTGATTTAATGATGTTCCAATTACGTGATCATGGTGTCATTGCTTTGGATGATCCAATCTCGAGATACTATCCGGATTTCACTATTATGAATCCATATAATACCAAGAGAGATATCACATTCCGTGAGTTGGCTTCTCATCAATCTGGTTTGCCACGTGAAGTTCCATGTGACTTTGACATGCTGCCAAATTCCACTATCTGTTCAGAGGAGATCATCTTGGAGCGTCTTGGTAAGACCTTCTTGATTCTCCCACAATACACAATGACCCACTATTCCAATTTGGGAATGGCTCTGCTCGGTCGTACCTGTGGAAAGGCCGCCAAAGTCGAGTATGAAACCTACGTTGAAGAGAAGATTCTCCATCCCCTCGGAATGAAGAATTCATCGTTCGAGTATGATGCTATCAAGGACCGTATGGCCATCGGTTTACAGCTCTACAACGGTACCTACTCTGAAGCACCAATCCTTGGACTCGGCTGGGGAACTCCAATGGGTGGATTGTACGCCACCGGACGTGACATGGCGCGTTACGCCAGCTTCTGGTTGTCCGATGAAAACGACATTCTCGACAGTTCCACAGTGAGAGAAGCCATTGGAACCACTGTATCGTTGGTCAACGACGGTTCCAGCGCTTACGGAACTCCATGGGAAACATTCTACAACGAAGATAACAATGTCTGGGTTAGAATGAAAGCCGGTGCTCTCGATGGTTACCGTTCACAGCTCGCCATGATCCGTGAGTACAAGATCGGTGTCTTCTTCTCGGCAATGATGTACATCTCGTCGGTCGATCTCTTTGTACAGGATGCTCTGAATATCTTGTTGCCAGCATACAACGCTGTTCTCCTCAGCCAGAACGCACCACCCGAACTCCCCAAGCCAATGTTGTTCAAGTCACATCGTCCTGCACCAATTCCAATGGGTACATTCATCGGTCTCTACGAGTACGAGGGTGGTTACTTCCGTGTGCGTGAGATGGACAATGCTTTGGTCGCCGATTTCGGAGACACCAATCTCTTCAACGTCACCGATTTCAGTGCCGACTATCCAGAGATCAAGCGTATCCAAATCGCTCAACCACAACAGTACAACTGCATCTACTGTGATGACGGATCAAACTATGAACTCGTATACTTTAGAGTAAAGAGCAACGATGTTTCCGCTGTACAAGTCATGGGTCAAGAATACCAATTGGTATCAAAGAATCCAAACGTGCCACTCAGCGAAAAACGAAGAAGAATAGGATTGTATTTCTAGAAAAATAAATGTGTTATTTCATTTTACAGGTTGGGTTTTTTTTTTTGCTCTGCTTTTTTTGTATTATTTATTTTTGAGTCACAAAAGTCCAAAAAATCAACTATTTTTTATTCATTTACCAATATTAAAAAATAGTTCATTTGCCAATATTAAAAAATAGTTGATTTTTTGGACTTTTGTCAATTATATCTAAAAAGAGAGAAAAACAATATCAACTATTCCAAACTACACCAAAATCAATATTCAAAACAATTATTACAAATGTTAATGTTAATCAACAAATGTATTCAACTCTGATCAGAATAACAAACAAAAAAAATCAAGATTAGATTAATTTATCTAAAATTGTTTTTATCCCTTTTTTAAGTGTAACTTCTTATAAATCAATAAATTCATTCAAGAGTTAAATATATATCTGATTCCAAATGGAATGTTAACTCAATAAAATTTGTACTAAGACAAAATACAAAAAGGATTGGGATTGGGATTATTTTGTCCAACTTGTAATTCTTCAAAATAAGAAGTGATTAATTTTTAAATTAAATAGGGAATCTTCCCTCCTAAGGAGTACAACAATAGATAAGTTAGTCAACAAAATTGAAGAACAAATTTAGAATATTATTCTATTGATTGGATACTCTAGAAGATGATACATCGCTGTATTTAAACTTTAAAATTAAAAATATCAACCAAATTTTTTTTTTTTTTTAAAGTGGAAAGGTATAATTATCTTTGATTGAACATCAACTCTCTTACCGATTTTTAAAAAAATCCGACCCAACTTTGATTTGTTTTTTTTATTTTTAAATTTTTACTATAAAAGTAAAAATTATCATTAGAATAAAATTTGTATTATCTAAAAGAAGGAATTGAAATAATTGTTTGCACTTGCTTGAATACTAGAAAGAAATAGAGATCTATTTTTAATGGATATTTTTTAATTTTTTTTTTTTTCTAAATAAAAAAATAACCAATAAAGTTAGTTTCTTTTAATTTAAAATTTTTTTAATTTTTAAAAAATTTTTGATTGATCAAAATTACCAAATGTGGTTAAATTTTTGTTTTCAAAAAAAAAAAAACTCAACCTTTCGATCTGGTTTTATACCACAAACCAACACTATGCTCAGCGTTGGGCGCACAAGAAGATACCACTTTTGGTTCTCTTAAAATACATCACATTATCTATTAAATATTGTTGTATTGTTTTCTCATTTCAACACACACAGGAGCTGCAAAGAATGTACACCAAAAACAAACATCACCAACCATATCTCTACCATACAAGATGTTAAAAAATTATAAATAAATCAAACCAAAGATATTTTTATATTTAGTTTAACTATATATGGTTGGATAGTTGGTTGTTTGGCTGATAGGGTGATGTTTGTTGTTTTTGTGCCTCTTCCAATAATTTCAAACAAAATTACAAGATAAAGAAAGAAACAACAATTGGTAGCAATACAATACAATAAAAAAAGAAAACTCTTTCCTTCTTTTTATTATAATTTAAGATGAATCATATACACCTTCTATAGAATATCTATATATCAAAATAAACATCTTTATAAGAATAGATAGATAGTCAAGTTAATCATAATTAAACAAAGTTCAACTCAAATTAACAAGTCAGTTGTTAACAAGGCTTGAAAGTGACAGGCAGACAAACAGATTGATGTGATAATTTCATTTCCTACAATAAGATTTGATCTATAACCATTATTATTTGATAAATATGGTATAATCAACATAGATATTAAGAGAAAAGAAACAATTTTACCAATAATTATAATTATTATTATTACTTTCGAGTTTTATTTATTTTATTTATTTATTATTTAATTAGTTGGCACCACTACAGAGTGTAGTAGTATTAAAGGTTATTCGTTGCAGAACTATTGTACAATAGTTCACCAACTGTTTACATATCAAACATAATTGTTTGTCTCCAATTGGATAAAATAATTTATCAGTAGTTAGTCAGTCGTTCTTCATTAATAATAGTCATTGTTTACACAATCTACAACTTGAAGTCATCTTCACCTTAACAATCACCAGTACAATCACTTGGATAAAACAATCAGTATACATTTCGATATTGAATAAATTTTCAAACCCAAATTAAGTATAATAGATCGAAACCATCAGATCGAACCAATTACAGTTAAACATAACATAGAGAGAGAGAGAATACCACATCAGCAGCAGCAGCAACAGCATCATCTACTAAATAAGAGAGAGAAAACAGTAAGTTATCAGAATACTAACAAACGAATCATACAAACGTTTTTTCCTCTTTTGAGAACCTTTTATGATAAACTCTTCACAACTTTGTTCGATATCACAATCTCAAATCTCTCTATCTAATAGTAAAATCGGAATGGCACTCAGAGTAGCTACTCTCTTGTTGTTTCTTTCCTTTTTTTAGAATGCTAACGTATTTCAATCGAATTAAACACGCCATTCATCCATAAATGATGAAAGCACCATAGTTGATTGGAAATACCAATAAATAAAACAATGATTAATTAATTAAATAGAAAGAGATTCTATATCATATATGTACAATACACTTTGTTTTGGTTTTGGTTTTATTAATAGACACACACTCACACACATGTTCAACAACAATCATCACACACTTACCATATCTGGAAATTTCCTTATTAAGAATATCCTGTTTTATTTTAATAATCGGTTACTACTACTATTACTACTTACTACCCATCCCATTTCATTTTCCTTTAATATAAAATAATTAGTAATGATGGAGCTAACAATAGACTCACACTTTTTCACACCCACTCACTCTATCATATTCTTGTGGATGTTGTTTGTAGAATGGATCGTCACATTGACTATTCTTTTACCATAAAAATCTTTATTGACAATATACCATCACTCCACCATATTTTGTCTCTGATTTCCATGTAGTTCATCCAAAATTTAATTTGTTACATAAAATAATGTGAGAAAAACCAACAAGCAATACAATCAAAATTATAATAACACACACCACAACACAAAAATGCATAATACTGTACATTGAAAAACAAACCGTCACAACCACAGGCGCAAAACTGAATCTATTATCCATCAGTCATATGTCTCATGTACCATTAATTAGTTTGGCAACCAAATTTTTTTATTAATGTACTACAATAACATACACTTTGATATAATAATGATTTAAGCAATTATATATAATTATGTTATTTAATTGAGATCATCATCATCATTATGTTGTTTGGTTAGCCAACTGACACTGTGTGTGCTGTGTGTTGGTTAATAATTATTTTTTGATAAAATAATGGTTGGTGTGCGAACTGTCATGGCAATGCTAGGCCACATGAAACAATAGTTTCTCCCTCCAAAAACAATATAACCTTGTTATTTTAGCTAATTACTTAAAGAGGTAATTAATAACTATAGATAATCAGGAACACTACTCACTCAAGTATTCTCATTCTCACTTACTCTCTCAGTGTTGTTGTTTCTTGTCAAGACAACCCGATTATCCGGATAACAAATGATAGTTCGATATCTTGATAAATAGATCAGAAAATTAACACTGTTTCACTCTTTAATCAAAATTCCAAAACAATATAGTCCTATTTATAACAACAACGGCTACTGTATTTTTTAAAATAATTACACATTTACCTTTGTTTTTTTTTATTCTCCCTCTTTTTTTTAATGACTGATCCTTTTTATTTACAACAATCAAAAATTTACCACAATACCACTGGAATTGGTGTTTCCCACGCCACTCACTCACTCATCACACTCACACAACACAGTTATTGCAAACAATTTACCACAACTACTTCTCATATTATCAAACACTGAGCACCGACCCACACCATCAAAACACAACACATAACAATCACATAAAATATACAAATATGTATAATTAAATTAAAATTAATTTAATTTTATTTGTCTATGCAGTCATCCCATCTGAAACTGAAAGACAGCAGTCCAACCAGCAATCCAATCCAACAATATTAATACAATGTTTCACCAACAACAATTGATTTTGATATCCATAAATCAATAATTGTTTTCATTACGATATTCTAGTATTATCTTTTCATATCTCAAACAATTTCTCATAGTCCAAACTATATAATTCAAGTGAATTCTTTTTTTTTTTTGTTTCAGTGTTTGCAATTGTAGAAATAGATAAAATAATTAATTTTATTCATAAAGAAGAACAATAGACAACAACTATAGAATTATAAATTTCATTTTCAAGATAAACAACAAAAAAATAATAATAATAATAATTACCCCGTACATCTGGTATGCATCCATAATTAAAAATTTTTATATAGACCCAACACCTTTTATTTTTTTTATTTTTGTTATTTGTTTTTTTGTTGTATTTACATTTATTAATTATGGTATAATTTTTGTTTCTTTGTTGCCCCTCACCAAAATTGGTTTCTATTATTCAACACCCATCCATTCACCCCACCCTACCATCTCTTGATTATTTTCTTGGATGACCATCCAATCTATCTTTCAAAAATCTCTACTTTCCTTCCATATCCAAATCTGAAACTATTTACTCATTCCCTAGATTTCCATTTCCTATCAACTCATTCCATTCTCCTTACTAATTATTTTTTCTTAAAAACGAATCACCTTTCAAATATATTTCCATTAATAAATAATAAGAAATAATAATAATTATTAATAACTAAACTATAACAATCCCAATATTTTAATTTATATTCGAATACTAATTTCTTAATATTTATTTAATTTTTATTTAAATAATAATTTAGAAATTAAAAATGTTTAGTAATAATCCATATGTACAATCACCAAAGAACCTTGTAAAACTCCCATCAGTCAGTGATATCATCAAAGATGGTATTGAAACCGTCAAGCATACTGAATGGAAAGAGGACCAAACACCATTATTCTGGAGTTTATCACATATCCTAAGTGAATTACCATTAATTGGTGATAAAGTAAGTTTAAAAAAAAATAATTTATTTAAAAAAATAAAAAATAATTTATAAACTAATAAAATTATTTATTTATTTATTTTAGATCATTCAAAATAAGGGATATGTTAATATTACACATACAAATTTATTTGTTTCACCAACTGGAGAAATACCAAGAATTGGAATTCCAGATTATTTAGTTAGACTTGTTAAATTCTCGCCATGCTCCAAGGAGTGTTTCATCATGATCATCGTTTATATTGACCGTTTGATTGCCAAATCAAATTTCATTGTCAATAGTTTCAATATTCATAGATTATTAATCACAGCAATTATGGTTGCTTCCAAATATATAGATGGTAATTATTAACAATAATTCAAAACAATTCATTAAAAATATTATCAATTATTAACTTTAATAATCTTTATTTATTTAGATATTTTTATAACAATGAATATTATAGTCATATTGGAGGTGTTTCAAGAGATGAACTTAATAAGTTGGAAATGGATTTTTTGACTTTGTTGGAATTCGATGTTTCTTGTCCATTGAATGAGTATCTTGATTACTTTGGATTGTTGGATACATTCGTTAACCACATCAGACAACAAAGACAAAAGCAACAGATGATGATGATCAACAATCAACCATTCCACTACTCATGTTCAACTGCCGCACCATCTATTTCCACCAGTTCCAACAACGGTTCCAGTAAATCGTCGTCGCTTCTCATTTCGAGATCAAACAACAACAAAAACCAAATGCCAACATCAACCTACAATACCATAGTTCATCATCATCATCCCCAAAACACCAATACCAATGTCACAGTAAATCAACATAACAATCATCATTACCAATCAACATCATCAACATCAAATATTAATAATCTCATCAATAATAATAGTAATTCAATTGAATTGCCAACTAATGTAGTTCCACCAACTACAAATTCAATCATTTCAACAAGAAGGAAATCTCTTAGAGATCAACAACCAATTTTCCAATTTCCAAATGGAGTACCAACTTGTATCTCATAATAATAATATTTAACAACAAAAAAGAAAAACAAAAACAAAAAAAAACAAAAATATATACAAAAGATTTAAATATTTATTTGTTCAATTAACATTAACAACCAATTATCATTATTTCACTAATATTATATACCAACGATACAAACTGTAGTAATACTACAACCCTTTAGATTATTATTATAATAAAAACCAAGAAATTTAAATACTTTATAAAAAAAATTGTTTATTTCGTTTGAATTTTAAAATCGATTATTATTATTATTATTTCTTGTTGGTGGTGTTCATTGTCTGGTATTTTGGCTTCTTACGAGCACGATTTCTATTCTTTACATTATGTGTCTCATAAAAATGTACTCCAACCTTTTGTTTATTAGTTGTTCTTCTTTTATCTTTTGGTGTAGAGTCTTCATCGGATGATACTTCTGGAACTATAAAATAGATAGATTGTTAGTTTATGTTTATGTCTATCTTAAATTAAATTAAATTAGTGATAATTACTATTTTCTTTGTATTGATTTCTTGGAACAATAACTTGTTTAGCTTTCTTTTCAGCGGCTGCTTTGGCGTTGGCCAACAATGGTAAATGCAAAGATACTTCTTTCTTTTGTTTCTTTTGTTTCTTTGGTTTAACTTCATCCTCTGAGTCTGTAAAAGTTTCATCTTGTTGAGCTTGTTGTTGTTTCTTATTGGATTTCTTAGTTGCTGTTGTTGGTTGAGTTGGCTGCTTTGATGCCTTTCTCTTATTCTTATTCTTCTTTGAAACTTGCTCTTCCTCTTCGCTTTCACTATCACTTTGTAAATCGTTATTTGCCAACTCTGCCTCTTCGTCAAACTCTGAATCCAAATCATCCAAGTCTGAGAGATCGTCGTCATCGCCATTACCTTCTTCGTCTTCCTCACCGCTAACCTCTTCGTCATCATCATCAACCTCATCATCATCACTCATCTGATTCTGATACAATTCATCCCAGTCTGGTTCATCCTCGAATGGATCTGCATATTCGTCACCCTTTTGATCCTCCTCTGTAAACTCTGATTTAACCTTGACAAGTTTCAAACTTTGATTCACTTTGATATCTCCAAACAACTTTTCCTTCTTAATAGCAGCAGTAGTAGCTGGATTAGTATCTGTTGTAGTAGTTGTTGTTGTAGTAGTAGTTGTTGTTGTTCCATCTTCATTCTTAACTTCAGTCTCCTCAGTTTTGGTAGCAACTTCAGTCTTGATTCCGGCTCTTTCATTCTTCAACTTTTCATACTCCTCCTTTGGTAACTCGGGGGGTGGTGTAAAGTATGGGATTTGTCCACGTTGGAAGTCATAGAGTATCAGCTTGGCGACGGCATTGAGATCGGGCTTGTTCTTCTTCAAGAGCTTACCCTTGCGCTCGGCCAACTTGGTCAAGAAGTCTTCGTGGTCGGTCCACTCGGCAATGTTGTAGGTCTTGATGAGATATTCACGCTTGATACGACGCAACACCTCTGGAATATACTCGGTGGCATCCTCGAGATTCTCGACACGAACGACACCCTTGAGAACGAGGTCCGCCTCCGCTTGGCCAGTGGCAGGCACGACACCCGGACAATCGATCAAAAAGATACGCTTCATCAGAGTGACGTACTGCCAGACTTTAGTCTCACCGGGAATCGGTGCAGCCTTGCAGACACGCTTCGACTTTAGCGTATTGATAATCGACGACTTTCCAACGTTGGGATAACCGATGAAACCAACGGAGATCTCCTTCTTGTCAGAGTGCAACTTGCTGAACTGACGGAGCAACTGGATGAGTGCTCCCTTTCCGAACGGGTTGGTAATCGACGAGTGGAAAGCGAGCGTTGGATACTCCTTGGAGAGAACGGCTACCCATTTGGCGGTGGCCCATGTCGGCACGAGATCGCACTTGTTCAACACGAAAACCAAGTGTTTGTGACGCGAGTTCTTTCGGAGCGATGCTTCCAACACCTTGGAACGCGTTCCCATTGGGTCACGAGCGTCGAGCACCTGAATGAGCACATCGGACGAATCGATCACCTTGTAGAGCTCACCCCAAATACGCTTACTGGTACCCTTGTCAAAGATGTCGAGACGACGCGAATCACGCATGTCCAGCTCCACCTTGATGTTGGAATCCTTGGTTTCGTCGTACTCGCCCGTTCCACTGGCCGCCTTGTTCACCATGGTGTCGTAGTCGACGAGACCATTCAAGTTGGGACGACGACGTTGTTTGTTGGGACCGAACGTTGTCTCGAACGACTCGGTGGTCAACAGGTTCATCTGTGTCTTCTTGGTGGAATCCTTGAGCAGACCCATCGGAAGAGTCGACGCTTTCAACAGCACTTTGTAGGGATTGTCGATGGTCGAAGACATCTCCTCACGGAAGGTATCGAGCTGCTCTTGACTGACGGATCGAACGTTACCAAAGAGACGGGCATCCGGTGCAATACGGGTGTCGTGCGAGGTGTCCTTCGACATGTAGGCGCCACTCACAAACTTACCCTCACGCGTACGAATCGGACGTGCACTGTACATCTGCAGACGACGAATAGTGGATCGCGAACGCAGATGTGTAGCACCCTTGGGCACTACACGATCTGGATTGGTCTGAGTGTTCGCCTTGGAAACTCTATTCGTAAAGCTATTTGCTTGATGTTTTTTTGGTGGTGCCATTATTATTATATTATTATTATTATTATTATTCGTTTAGTTTATTATTCTTTCTCTATAATTTTTCAAAAAAAAAAAAAAGTAATAAATAAATAAATAAATAAAAAAGTAATAATAAATAAAAATAAAAAAATATTATTAATAATAATTTAACAAAATAAAAACGACCGAACAACTTTTTTGATTAATTCGACAAAAAAATAATTTTGAAAAAAATAAAAATAAATAACAAGTTTAAACTTTCATGTAAATTTTTATTTTTTATTCATTGTACAATGATCGATTGAATTCAAGTTGGATAGTCAAACTCAATTCGAACTTAAGGTTATGAATCATTGTATACAATTAATTTGTGTTATTATTATTCTTGTTCTTCCTTTTTTTTTTTTGATTTCTATAAATATTTAAAATTTAACCAATAATTTATTATTTGAATAAAGACACCTGAGCATCTGAGTCGACTCGTTTGTTGTTTCCATTTTTTACTAGTTCCAAGAATTTTAAAGAGTGAGGTGAAGCTTGTTAGAAGTGAGCATTCATTCACTTACAAATTTTTATTTGATTTGTTGTTTTTTTTTTTTTAATTAGTTTTATCGTAATAGTAACTAGATAGTATATTTATAGTACTATGGATGCTGAATTTAATAAACAATTAGATGAACTAGAGAAAGAAGATGATCAAAAATTAGCATCATTTGAATATTGTCAAGATAAGAAACAGTTTGTATTATTTTTACTTACATCATAGCATTATTGTTGTTGTTGTTGTTACTAACTTACAATCGATGTTACCTTACACATTATTCACTCAAATCAAAACAAAACAAAATAAAGTGCATGGTGTAAATATACAGAGTATATGAAACTATTCTACTTTAATTATTTAGAAAGTCCACTTGTGTTTGAACCAGATGGATCAGGTAAATTCAGAAATTCAATGGATGAGCAACTGTCAGAGTGTTTCGATTGGTATGTATTGTATTCTGTTTTCACCAACATTGGAATGAAGAGAAAGAGACCAAGAAATTAATTATTATTAATATTCTATTTACCTTATCAAAACTAAACAAAACAAAACAAACAATACAAAACAAAACAAATCTAGCATTATCAAATATCATAGAGAAAAGAAATTACTTAGAGATAAATCTCTGGCAGACTACACACCAGAGAGTGTAATGCAGTTGTTCTCGATATTCAACAAGCTCGATCAAGAACGTCTTATCGGTCGACTGCAACGCCACACAACCACCAACGAGCCAAGAGATCGCATATTAGTTACACTTCATGAGATATTTCACTATCCTGATGTACTAGAGAATAAAACATTATATAATCTATTTGCAATGGTAATGCTTATTATCATCATCATCATCACCAACAACATCATTAATATAACAATAATAATGACTAATAATATGTTTGTTTTTGTTTGTTTTTTTAGGCATTATCATCAATTGTAGAAGATTTTCAATTGAAATTTCAAAATGGATCAAAAGTACCTGGATTATATATAATGTTGTTGTCAAACTATGCTAATCTGAGAGAATGGGCATTGGAGTCGTTGGACAGTGTCGGAAAGATTGCTGGTATGGATCAGATGGGTATCATACAACCGATATTAGAGAGAATCACACTACGCATTGAAAGCTACCTGCTTGGCAAATCCTATCAAACATACTTTACAGAGGATCCAATCGAATTTTGGATCGGTTTAGAATTATTAATAAGACAATTCGATTCAAATATATTTAAGGTATTATTAAACTAACTAATCACTGTCATAATAATAATATCTAATATTTCTATTTCTATTTCTTAAATTAAACAGTTTGGAATTGTTGAATATAGAAAGAATTTCGTTGATATTATGTTAAATGTTTTAAAGATACAGGCGAAACCATCGATTTCACAGAATTATCTAAAGTGTTTGTCGGCGGTGATCGATGCATTACAATACGATTTCTGGAACTATACCAATTGGAAACCGATTCTACTGATACAGGATCTCTGTGAATTAATTATGAATTCGAAAATTGAAAAAGTACAACAAGAGTAAGTAGAAAAGAGAGAGAAGCAAATATAAAATGTTTATTAATATTATTGTTACAGGGCATTGTTATTGATGGGAAAGATATCTAAACACGATAACAATACAACAGATTCTTCACTCAGACAATTTGTAATTGAATTCTGTTTCAATCGATGTGCATATCCATCTACACACTTCTCGTCGGTAACCAAAAACAAAGCATTCCTATTGGTATTGAGAATAATGATGTATTGGTAAGTTGTTATGAAGAAGTAGTACTACCTCAAACATTAATATAATGTTAATGGGCAAACAAACTGATTGATTTTGGTTGGTTGATTGATGATTCTTTTTTCTTTTCTTTTCTTTGTTTATTTTAATGATATTCGTTTCGTTTGGTTTGGTTTGGTTTGGTTGGTTTGGTTTGGTTCAACAAAGTTTTGAAGCAGGACTGCCTATTCCCAGTCTTGAGGGTTGGGGTGAGAGACTGGTATACTATTGTATCATGAAGAATCATATGTCGTTGGAACCGCAGATTGCTGATGTTCAAAAGTGTATCGATCTGTTGGTGAAGCTCATGCATGACAGTGTGCACAAGATGCGTCTGCAATTCCAGACGATCTATCACGGTCTGCAAGATTCTCGACAGGCAGCAATCACTGCACCGATCAACTCATTTTGGTACTCACAGTTGTGGCATATACTGTTTACGAGTGATCCACGAAAGATACCGTATCAAATACACGAAACCATCTATCAAACATATCGTGTCATCTCACTCCTCTCGATTCCACGCAGTTCTCAAGAGAGTGCTTCCGGCTCGCCAATCTTTGTCGCTCTGCTAAAGTACCAGGAAGGCATGGCCAAGTACATCAAGGAGATGACCTATCTGACGCCGTTCATCATTGACAAACAACCAGGGGTAAACCTCGTACAGCTCGATGTGTTGGAGAGCGAGGATTTCCTCAAGTGTACATTTGCATACACCATCAGCGCGTCACAGAAGATTCGCGATGAATTCAAGAGTTTGTTGATGAAGAAATACAAGGACACACGTGCCGACAAGCAGACTGTCACCAACTCACTGAAATACTCGATCAAGACAAATCCCGATGTCAGTTTGAAGGGTATCATCGGTATTTGTCGTGACATGCTCATGGCACTTGGAGTTCATCATGTCGACCCCGTGACGATGTCCACTTTCTTTTACTATATGAATCACATCATCTTCCATCTAAAAGTGCAACTGAATGACACTTACACACGTCGTTTCGTTCCGCTACTGACCGACACGGTTTGGCCAATCTTTGAAATCGTTTTGCGCGAGACCAACATCTATACGCTGAGAGAGGTCAAGCCTATATTCTCGCTGTTTAAAGACTCACTTAGCATTGTCTCACTGGTTAGATACACTTCGTTTCAGTCTCCACCTACATTCATCGTCAACTTCAAGTCGCAATCGAAACATCTCTTTGAATCGATGGCACAATACCCTTCGTACGTAAGAGATCAACTGGACGACATGATAGAGATGAGCGACAATCCAAACTTTACCGATTCATTCTACCAGGTTTACAACTCGTTGTCCGAAGACCTACAATACGAGTACGGCGCAGAAGTAGAGTTTGGATTCGAACCAACACAAGAGCAGATCGACGAAACTCTATTCAGCTCAATCATTGCAAATCATGTGCGTTGGATCGACATGTTTTTAATATGGGGACAAACTCAAATCGATTCGGAATGGTTTGATGCTTTCTCCATGATATTAAGAGGTAACAAACAATTGAAACAACAAATGTTAATAGTTAACTAACTAACTATCAACATCTATCTCTAGAGATAATAAAGAATAAATTGAAAATTGCAACTCCTTTGATGAAGTACTGTCAGTCGGTTATCGATACGAATACTCCAACTTTGACGGATACCCAGATGGCATCGTTGAAGAAATATTACTATATGTTGGTGCCACCTACGGATAAGCAACAACAGCAATTGTTGAATGCATCGAAACCGTCACCGGCACTTTCAATGGTGCCTCTCAGCACTCAGTCTTCCTATAGCACCATTCAGAAGGAGGACTGTCCACTCGGTCTCAATTGTACAAAGATAAGAAATCCCGATCATATTCTCCGATATCGTCACGTTCAACTTGAGAAAGGATACAGTGGTCCCACTCCAAATCTGCCGTCAAAGAGCATGATGGTAGGTGGATCTTTTAGCATGGGTAGACCATCGGCCGCACAGGGAGCAAGCGCAATTGACTTCAATACTCCATTCGACCCATTCGACCAACCACTTGCCAAACCAATTCCAGCGGCCGACAAGAAAAAGACTAAACTCTTGGACAACTTTGGTAGCTCCAACTCTTCCTTCCACCAAAGAAGAGAGAAAGCACGAATTGCACAAATGGAAGCACATCTACCAAAAGTTGAAGATCTACACAAAATCATTTTATCGTGGAATGTTGAAATGTTAAATCAAGTTGTATGTTAAATATATTGATTAATTAATTATTATTTTTGAATTGAGAATTAATTGACTAAACAAATACATTTAAATTAGGACGCCAATCTAAAAGTTTTACCAACTTCATTTGAAAATCTATCGGAATATATCCAGATTTTCCAACCATTGTTACTCCAAGAGTTTAAAGGTCAATTGTTAAAGGCGGTGGAAGAACTTGAACCAAGTGGTACACAATATGTTTTGGATGATGTGGCGAGAGAAGGTGAATTCCATGTCGTTCTATTTTTCTTGGATGGTGACGAAGAGTTTTCACTTGAGGATTTGGTTTTGCTGCAAAAAGAGATTCTCGGTGTCAAGTTTGAAGTGTTTGGTAAGATTGAGAATAAAGGCAAAAAAGAAAGAAAAGATAAGAACTCGGCTCGTTGTGCCTACATTAGTGTTAAGTTCCATCAGTTGGAGAAGATCGGTCTTTTGAAACACATGAAGATCAAAACACAATGGAACATTCAGAAACTCACGAGTCTTTCCACCGTCAACAGAGAGTATCTAGCTTTACACCTGGTTGGTAAAATCCCATTGGGTAGCTATATTATCTCACCGGCGCTGGCCATCACCAACCAAGAACGTACTAACAATGTCGTCATCCCACCGGCACTGCACAACAAGCTGCTAAGTGAGCTGAACTCCTCACAGATGGAGGCGATCTATCATTCGCTGATTCCACATGGATTCACCTTACTTCAAGGACCTCCTGGTACTGGTAAGACAAAGACCATCATGGCCCTTCTTTCGGTGTTGCTCAGTACGCCACTGGACTCAAAGATCAACTCGACGGCGCCACCAAAGATCCTGGTATGTGCTCCCTCCAACGCAGCAGTCGATGAAATTGCATCGAGAATTATCGATGGTGATATGTTTGACAAAGATGGTAACTCATATGTACCAAGTGCCATTAGAATTGGACAACCAAGTGCAATCTCTAGAAAAGTTCAACAGATTTCACTTGAATATCTTTTGGAAAAGAATTCAAATGATCCATCGACTTCATTAAATTTTGAACAATCCAAGATTATATCTGTTAGAGAAAGTATGTAAACATATTATTTTATTTTTATTAATATATATCATAAGTTGTATTAACAAACATTTCGCTTTTTATAAATTAATAGAACTTGCAGAAATAAATAGTTCACTGGAAAGTGTTAAACAAAAAATCTCTACTTTACAAAGATCGCTTGGAACATCACTTGGAACGGCCACTGACTCTACAAGAGATCTTACCACTCTTTATCATGAAAAGGATAGACTCTTTAAGGAAATTCAAGCTACCAAAGATAGTGAAAAAAAAGTATCTGATGTTTTGGAGTCGGCAAGAAAGAATATGGCTCACTCTTTGCTCAACAAATGCAATATCATCCTCTCAACTCTCTCGGGTAGTGGTCACCAAGAAACGTTTTCCGCCATCAAAAAGTTTGATGTTGTTATCATTGACGAAGCTGCACAGGCAGTGGAACCATCGACACTCATTCCTCTCAAGCACAACGTAATGAAGTGTATCTTGGTAGGTGATCCCAATCAGCTGCCACCCACCATTATTTCGAGAATGGCATCGCAATACCAATACGAGACAAGTCTTTTCCAGCGACTCTCTAGCTGTGGTATACCACAACAGGTCCTTAAAGTTCAGTATCGTATGCATCCTAGCATCTCAAGGTTCCCTTCACGTCATTTCTATATGAATGTTCTCGAGGATGGTCCCAATGTGAAAAACTATACTGAGGAATTCTATAAAGATCCTAGATTTGGACCATTCATTTTCTACGATATCTACGACAGTAACGAAGAATCTGGACCTGGTCATTCGCTCAAGAACGTCACCGAAGCCAAGCTGGTCGCTCTCCTCATTACAAATCTTGAAAACTCATTCCCAAATATCAAGAAATCTATTGGTGTCATCACTCCTTACAAGCAACAGGTACACGAAATAAAGAGGCGTATCAGTCCTGTCAATCAAGATATAGATGTAAGCTCAGTCGATGGTTTCCAAGGTCGTGAGAAGGATATCATTATATTCTCGTGTGTGAGAGCTCATAGAGGTGGAACCATTGGTTTCCTTTCTGATGTGCGTAGAATGAATGTAGGTCTAACAAGAGCACGTTCCTCTCTAATTGTCATCGGTAATTCCAACCTATTGAAACTCAATCCAGATTGGGAAGCATTGGTAATGCATTCAATAAATGTACTGAATGGATGTAAGTATAAAATCAAAGGAGCACTGTTTATATTTTAAAATCACCTCGTGCTAATATATTTTCAACATAGATTTCCCGATATCTTCAAAGCACATCGAATCAAATTTCTTACCTATGAAACCAGCATCAAACAATGTTAATTTCACCAATCCAAATCAAGCAAAACCAATTCTCAAAGTAAAGATAAAAGAAATGGAGGAGTTGACCAAGAATGACCGACCAAAAGAGAACGCAAATCGAAATGGAAATGGAAATGGAGATGTCAAAGCAGAGAAAAAGATTACATTGGAGAGTCAACATTTTGAGAAATATAAAAACCCAGACGAAAATGAAATAGATAAGGATAAAGAAAAAGATAAAGATAAGAAGAGAAAGCATGAGATCGATGAAACAATTGCTGTAAAGAAGGAAAAGATTTAATATAAATTTAAATATTATATTATATTCAATTTTTTTTTATAATATAAAAACCAATACTTAAATTCGTTGTTATTATTATTTTAAATACATATTTGTTTTCTTTTGTTTATATATTCTTTCTCTAAAACAAAAAATACAAAAAAAAAAATAAATGTTGGTAAATCTTATTGACTGATAGCAACTGGAACTTTACTCTCTGAAGAGTCATAGAGCATTTCAGTTTCCTCGGCGTCGTGATCACCATCTCCAGAATGTACAAGTCCCTCCAAACTTCTGTGGTTGGACAAAGCTGCAATTGTCGATGGATCAACGGGCAGCAGTGATTTTCTTCTAATCATTGAAATTGGTTTCTCACCATTCTCTGGTAATGCTGAAATATTTGATGTGATTGGTCTTGGTTGTTGAGGTTTCTTTTCTTCTGTAATCTTATTTGTTTTTCTGTATAATAAATTAATTAGTATAAAATTTATTGGTTCATTTCATATTAAATTTACCTTTCTTTATATTGATCTGATATTCTATTAAATGTTTCTACATCAATATCCATAAATAATTTTAATGAACTAAATGATAAACTTCTGATGGACCTTTTATTTAAAAAGATAAAGTAAAAATTAGTTAAGCTTTTTTTCTCTAGATCTAAAATGTATTATTATATTATATTTACTTATTCCAATGATTATTTGAATTTTCATATAAAACCTGGTAAAACAATTTAAGTACATTTGGTAAACATGTCTTGGAAGATACAAGAGAAACCACATGGTCATTACTCCATAACAACAATGCTCTTTCTGCTACTTGGAAATGCTCACTATTGAAACATTTAGTGATCTGTTTGAATAATGGGATATAGATTCTCATGAACTGCTCTTCACCAATGGAATTCAAAAGGTCTTCAATTTCATACAAGAATAAAACTTCTTTCTGGCTATTTCCAACTGGCCACATTCTAAGAACCGTTTTGAATACCACATCAGAGAGTGTTGGATCCTTTTCGATGAACTGAGTGATACAGTATCCCAAATGTGAGCAATATACAGAGTATGACTTTGGTTTGTGTAGTGGTAATAAAACTTTAACTAAAAACTGTTTATGTTCATCTTTCAAAGGGACTGCAAAACCATTAATAATACTAAGATAATAACTAATTAGTTCAAATTTTCTTTAAAGAATAGATAATAATAATAATAATAAATATTAACACAAACCTTCCAAGAACTTCTAAAATCTCTGAAACACCATTATGTTGATATGACTCATAAACAAATGTACAAAATAAATCCTTGATAGCTGTTCTAATAAATCCTCTCAGTGCTATAAACTTTCCATATATTCTATGAAGTGTTGTTTTGAGATAATCTCTTTCTCTTGGATCCTCACTATCAAAAAGATCCAATAACTGATTATTTAAAATGCAATTGTTTAGTACAAATATATTAAATCATTAGCACCATTAGATATTTGATAATTTACCTGTAATACAAATTTTTGGTCAACAAATGCTTTGGCAATATGGGTATTAAATATAGGTGAATCAATAAATCTTAAAAGAATTTCATATACAATCTGAATGTGAAGCCATGCTGGTTCGAGAATCGGTTCATCCTCCTCGGGATCGTACATCACACCATATGGATTCATTCTAGGTGGTAGAGGTCTGAAAAGATTGATCGATATCATTTCAAAGAGTGCCTCATATACAGCCTCTGTATATGCATCTTTTGAACTTGAAAGATAATCGACACATTGTAAAAGAGCCTCTCTCTTTATACTCTTTGACTTGCTATCAGCTTCACTATCTGAAAAATCAAACAAAGCACAACACTGTTTTAATTTTAATAATAAGAGATTTGGTCTTTCCTCTGGTGGTACAACTATAGAATGACATTATTAATTATTATTAATATTATTTTTCTTAATTAAAAAACTATTAATAGTTTCTAAAAATAAATTACCATTAAAAGCTGGAATTTGTTGTAATTCACTGGAGGATTTTTCATGAAATCTACTGGATGCACTTCTCCTTAGATTAATGGTATTCTTAATTGGTATCTCTGATTTTGGTGTGAGGGAAATACCTTTTCCTGAAGGTGAGGTAGGAGAACCTGCAACTCCCGAAGCTGATTCCTAATTTTATATTTAACATTTCAATTGAATATTAATTTTAGTTGTTGCTCATTTTTTTCAAAGATTTCCAATATTTACTTTTGGACTTTTCATGACTATAATATTGTAAACAGTTATCGATGTTTATGCTTCACCTATCTATGCAATTTATTTTATTATCTATCTATCTATCTACAAAATATAATATGAAATATATGAATCTAAAATATTATTTAAAAAACCAGAGTTTACTGTATAAATAATTGAAAATAAAGATATTGATGACTTATTAAGTAATGTTAATTCGCTTTTTTGATATTATTTTTTCTGATGGAATTAAAATAAATTAAATTGGTTGATTTAATCTTTTACTTTTAAAAAAAAAGAGCAAGAATTTCTTTTAATAGTAGATAAACAAATGTTATGTTATGAATAACAAAAAAAAAATTTTTAAAGAGGAGAGGTGAAACAGAACAGAACAAAACAAGAGGAAGGGAAGAGAAGATTTAATAGCGACAATTAAATATATATATAAATAAATTTATTTTTTATTGACAAAAATATATAAATTCAATAGTTGAGTTATAATTGTTGTTATTGTTGTTGTTGTTTGTTGTTGTTGTGGTTGTAGCAGTATAGTTCACCCTTCTCATTTACATAAATATTTAAATAAAATAATAAAAAAAAACACAAATTTCAAATTTGAATGAGTGTATGTGTGTTGGTTTGTTGGTAGTAAGATTTATGTGTTGTACTTAAATATGTATATTTATTTAGTATAAAGAAAAGTTATTATTATTAAAACAAACTAACCAACTAGCTAGCTTGTGAATATTTAAAAAGAAAGAAAGAAAGACAGATTGATAAAGAAAACAACTTAAAGTCTAACATTTAAAAACAAAAAACAAAAAAAGATAAAGTTTTTTTAATTATAATAAATTGAAGTCATTTTTTTTAATTTTTTTTATCTCGCTTAAAAGATTCCTTTTTTGGAATATTAAATCATTTAGGAATGTGGGTTGTTTTCCCCAATAAAATAAATTTATCTTTGAAATTTTAAAAAGTTGTAGTGCAGATCGTTCATTTGAATAATGAATCTGATCAATCTGAAAATCAATCTTGCAAGAAAATAAAATAAAAAGTAAATTCAATTGGAATGTGATAAATAATAATATTTGTTTATTGTTTTGTTGTTTGTTTTTATTTTAAAAATTATATATATTATATTTAAATTTATTTAACTTGAACTAAATATCTCATTCTGACTTGAGCTACATCATATACAATGTATTCATTCATGTTCAATGATGGACGTGGAGCGTCGGGGACAGTAGAATCTACTTGGTATTGAACGGGTGTTGCCAATGGGATGGTAACACCGTTGTTGAGAACGATGCTGTTTGCAAAGTCGGGACCTCTATTTCCGATACCTTTGGTACTGTTGGAACCGGTCTGAGCGGCCTCCATGTAGGTTGCTTCGAAGAATTCTTGCATCTTACCGAGTGCGACCTCCGAGAGCAAGAGGAACTCATCGCCAGAAACATTGGAGTGACAATAGTTGATGGATTTCTCAAACATGTCGGCAAAGTAGATACCCTTGCCAAACATGTAGCCAGTGGCTGGTGCCTCTGCCGGTGCCACCTTGAGTCCCTGTGAGAGAATCGAGAGGTAGTTGGTGGTCTTACTTCCGTGCCACAAGAGGAAGTGGTTGTCGAGGTTCTTGCAACGTGCGGTGAAACGCTCGGCTTCATCCTTACGCTGCAGACGGAATATATTTACAATAGTCTTGTGGCTGGCGCCAGTGTTGACGGCGTAGCTGCGGAGTGCATCAAACTCGGGGGTGTTGTGCTCGATCTTCTCAAGTGAACAACCGACCGCTTTCAGACAGTAGTCGAATGGATGCAGCTTCTTGTTGGAGTGAGCGGCCAGCAAGATCTTTGAGACAATCTCAAGCTCATCGAGGTTCTGGAGCAACTGGATCTTTGCTCCAATCAAACGGATGTCAGAGAGCACCTCCATCTTGTAAGTGGCAAACTCGGTATGTGGAATGAGTTCGTAGAATTGGTTGGACAAGTCGACTTGTTCCTCTCCATTCTGAGTGATTGCTTTGAAGTCTTTCTCTTTCTCTTCGCTCAACTTCTTTTCGCTCTCGACGAGATCCTTGAGTTTTCCGAGGATCACGAGTGCCTTGTGGATGGTGTCGTGTGACAAACGACCGAGTGGCATGATGTCGGTGTTGATTCTCAAATTCTTGAGTTGCTTCTCAATGGCGACGACATCGCAGAACTGACGCATCACTTCTTGGAGTGGGATTGGCAGCTTCGATGCTGGATACTTGTCGTATTTGAAGGGCTTGAGAACCTCACGCTTCTTACGGTCGTAACGGTCGATCTCAATGAGATTGTACTTCTCTGGAACACGGACGAATGGGTTGGTCTCATTGAACTTGTCAAAGACGACACCGGACTTCATCTTGAAGATCTTTTGGAATTCGGCAATACCTTCTTCTTTGCTGTAGGCGGTCTTTTGATAGTTTCCGGAATGACCGATTCTACCGTAACGATTGAAGAGAATAAAGTTCTGGTTGTTCTTGTTAAAGAGCAGTTGGAGAATGTAAAAGTTGTTCTTTCCATACATTCCGGCCTTGGCGTCGACCTTGGTCATGAGAACATCGTAGATGACACCATTGTCGTCGACGTAGACTTCGCAGTTTGCTGCCATGTCTGAGAAACGATCGACCACTGCTGGCAAGAGCTTGGGTGGCTCTTCGGCATTCTTGGCTTTGATCTTGGCCAAGTACTTCTCGACGTCCTCTTCGTAGTTGACAGAGGTGTCCCAGTTGGTAATAACCGAGGTTTCACGAGTTGGAAGTGTGTTCTGTGGAATTGGCTTGGCACCGAGTGAGAGAAGTGCGGCATACATCTTTCCAGAGTCTTGGAGCGATGCGTAGTAGCTGGGAGTACGCTTGGCAATGTCTTGGACGTCGACTGGTGCGCCACTCTTGGCGAGCAAGTTGAGCAACTTGACATTCTCAAAGGAACCGTACGAGGTTGGATTGACAATGTGATGGATGACGTTCTTCTTGTCAGTGTCTTGCGCAGTGAGACTTGGTTTGCGGGCGAGTAGCAAGTCGACATACTTCTCACTGTTGATACGGACGGCGTGCATCAATGGAGTCATTCCAAGGGCGTCGGGAGTGTTGATCTTGACAATGGGGATGAGTCGTTTAATGAGAGTATCGTTCTTGGTCATGATGGCGTAGATGAGCGGAGTCACCTTGTTGTCATCTTTGTATGGGAAGAGCAACTCCAAGTTTGGTGAGTTGTTGAGGAGTAGCGTTACCTCTGGCAACAGGTGTTCAGAGGTTGGGTTGGACTCCAAAAGCGCCAAAGACAGTGGAGTGTAACCTGCCTTGTCTTGGAGATTGATATCCAGTTTGTTGTCCAAGAGGAATTGGGTGAATTGGGTGTTCTGTTTCTTGGCGGCGTAGTGAAGTGGAGTGCGACCTTCGTTGTCCTTGACATTTGGATTCAATCCGAGATTGAGAAGTTTCTGTTGGATTCTTACGGACCAGTTGGTGACGGAACTTGGATAGAGACCGATCATGTGGAAGAGATTCTGGTGGTGAGTTGTCGATTGTACTTCTTTGAGCTCACGAACCTTTGACAAGAGGGTGAGAGCGAGTTGGTACTTGTCGGCCTTGAATGCGTCGTGGAGTGCAGTAAAAGTGTCAAGTCCACTGTCCAACATGATAAAGGCGACACCCTGGTAGTTGTTCTGAACTACATGGTAGAAGAGACCGACTGTTTCGATGTTCTCCTTCTTGACGGCAGTGTAGTATTTAACTTCGTCGGCATCTTGCACCTCAGAGTGTAAGGCATGTCCACCAAACAAACTAGCAGCATGTGATCTACCACGGTGATTGAAATGTGGTTGATGTTGATGTTGGCTACTGGTTTGCTTCTCGAGTAGACTCTTTTCATATTCCTCGAGTGACTGTCCAACTGGAACCTTGATAACTTTGAGTGTATACTTGGTCAAAGAACTGGAGACATTTGCATTCTTTTGGATCAAAGTGATAGCGCAATCTGGGTGTTTGAAAAAGAGAGCGAATCCCAGTGGAGAATTGTTATCTTTGTCCAAACGATTGATTTCCGCTTTACGTTGGAGCAAGTGGAGTGCAGATACTGTGGATCCATGCTGAGCGGCGTAGAACAATGGTGTACGTCCAAAGTTGTCGGCAACATCCACCTTAATGGTTGGGTGAGAGCAGAGTGACGAGACTGTCTGGATTGGATCGTAGGTAGCACCGTTACTCATGTTTCCAGTACCCATCTTTATGAAGCAGTAGTGGAGTGGAGTACGTCCGAGATTGTCAATGGCATTCAATGGTGCACCACTACGGATGAGAAGATCTTCGATTTCAAACGAGGTGTTGGCGTCGGATGTCGAAAAGTTGATGCAGTAGTGAAGTGCGTTTCTGTTCTTGTTGTCACAGATGGTGGCATCGGCCTTGTTCTTGAGGAGCAGAGAGATTGGATTCTCTTCACCCTCCATAGCGGCGTCACCAATGGAGTGCTTGTTCTTGCATGCCATGATGAGAGCGGTTGCACCGTTGGAATCTTTGAGGTTGACGTTGGCACCCTTCTGGATGAGACGCTTCAACAATGGGAAGTGCATGGAGTTGCATGCCAAGTGGAGTGGTGACTGCTTGTGTTTGTTGACCAGCGACAAGTTGGCACCGCTGTCAACGAGGAGAATTGCGCAGTCAAATTTCAGACCCTCGATGGCCAGTACGAGTGGAGTCATATGACGCGAGTCGAGTGAATCCAATACTGTTGGCTTGGTGTCGAGCACCGCTTGGATAATGGCAGTGGAACCGGTCAAGACAGCATAGTGGACAACGGAACGTAGCGTTTCCTTGGCAGAGGTCTTCTTGTTTTGGTTGGCATTAAAGTTGAATCCACTGTCGTCATCCTCATCGGAATCCATATCGTCATCAGAGTTAAATGCTTCTTCATCTTCATCATTTTCCTCATCTTCATCCTGATGTTCATTATCTTCGTCCTCATCGTCAGAATCGTGTTCAGCTGACTTGTTATTCTCAGCTGATGGACCGTCGATTTGCATCTTATCGCCACTTGCCTCTGGTGCTTTGGGAATGTGGTTGATAATCGAAGTGTTTGGCTTGGCTTTCTTCAAGAAGTTCTGGAGGAATTCGACAAAGATGGTGTCGAGCTGCTCGGCTGTGCATGCTCTCTCACCGTTCTCCTTCATCATGTTACGGTTTGGCTTGCTGTTGGTGTAGGTATCGAGCAATGTGAGGAGTGGAGTCATTCCATCCTTGTTGAGCTGGTCGACAATGGTTCCAATTTGTGGCGCGGCCAAAATGAGATTGGTGAGATCAGCGAAAATACACCAGAAATTCTTGTAGAATCGTGGGATGTGGTGGAGAATGGTCGATTTGTCTTCGTAGACTCCAGAGATAGATGCTCCACGCTTTAACAGGAATTGGATGGCAGAGACATTCTCATTTTCGACGGCGAGCATCAGTGGAGTGCGACCCTTCTTGTCGGTGAGGTCGAGGTTGGCACCCTTGGAGATGAGAATATCTCCGACCAGGCTGATGGACTGAGTACGCTCCTCGATGGACTTGATAAACGATTCGTAGTTCTTTGTTTGGAAGGCGACACGCTTGGCCAGATAGTGGATCGATGACATGCCGTCCTTATCTTGGTGGTTGACTGACGAACCGCAGTTGTCAACGAGATAACGCACATTATTTACAATGGATTCGTTGATGTCTACGTTGAGCGATTGGAGGAGGATGTCACGTCCGTCCTCGTCGACGACATTGGCATCGGCTTTGTGCTCCATGAGATATTCAGTGATACGGAAGTGACCTTTCATGAGCGAGACAGAGAGTGGTGTCACTTTCCAGTCGTTGAGATCGTCCAACGGGAGCTTGAATTCCTCAATGAGATACTTGGTGATTTCAAACCAACCGTAAGCGCAAGAGTAGTGCAGTGAGTTGTTCTTGGTAGAGTCGACAACCTTGAGCATTGCATTCATGTGGAGCAGATAAGAGACAATGGTGAGATGTCCATTCTTGACGGCGAGCATCAACGGTGTCTTCTTGTATTTGTCCTTCTTTTCGATGTTGGCCTTGCCCTCCTCAACGAGAATCTTGACAGCATCGAGATGTCCTTGCATACAAGCCTTCATTAGCGGTGTATACTTGGTGATCTTCTCGGCCATTTCAACGTCGGCACCATCATTCAACAGAGTACGGATCGAACCAAGCTGGTTGTGCTCGACGGCAACAAGTAAAGCGCTCTGCTTCTTCTTGTTGAAGGTATTGACGATCTCGTTGTCTTTGGACTTGGCAGCCTTGATCAATGCCTTGATATTCTGTACACGACCATACTGTGCGGCGATCATCAAAGGCGACATTCCAGTGGCGGTAAAGTCGTTGAGCTCGACACCCTTGGCGATCAAGAGGTTCAAGCAGTTTGGTGTAGATGCAGCGGCGGCATAGTGAATTGGACGGAATTGGTTCTGATCAGGTCTGCTTGGCTCCGAACAAGACTCGAGTAGTTGCTTGAGATACTTCTCCTTCGGGTTGGCAGCAGCGCAATGCAGTGGAGTGATATAGGCATTGCCAATTGGCTTCTTGGTGACTGATGGCGACTTGAAACTGGCAGAGAAATCTGCACCGCTGGTTCTCAACGACTCGAAATGCAAGTTGTTGAATCCGAAACCGGATCGCTTGACGAGTGTCTGAATCAGTTTCTCGGCAATCTCAATATTGGCAGCACGAACTGCCAGATGGATTCTATTGTTGACCATATCCTCCAAATTTGGAATCAACTTGATCAACTCTTCCAAGGTGGAGTATTGCAAATTAGTCAAACCAAGTGCATAAGATGCAATATCTTCCAACAGACTATCATTCAAATCATACTAAAAAATAACCAATTGGTGTTAGTAAATAAAAATAAGAATTCTCCTAGTACTATGTAATAATAATAATACATACCTCAGCTTCATAACTTTCACGATCATGAAGGAATGATTCCTTTCCTTCACGGTTACCTCTTGATGAGTTGACTTGACGGATGTGATGTCCGTAGGTGTAACGGTCGTAGGAACCGACAGACTCTGACTCGAAGCTTGGCATGTTTGGACGCTTCTTCTTGTCGTTCTTGGAGTCACTGAAAATGATTTGGATTGCTTTGACGTTGTTTTTGGCGATGGCATAGTGAAGTGCGGTCAAAGGAATATCGGTGGATCGGTTTACAAAGAGTGAGCGGTAGTCACTGCGCTTGACAAGCTCCTCAAGGAGAATCATATTGTCGGTCTCGACTGCACGGATAGCTTCACGGGCAGTGCACATAGAACAGCAGACGACGATGGTGTTGCTGGTCGACTCGAAAGTTGGATCGGTAGTTACCACTTGGATGGTGGGATTGGGTTTTCCTTTCTTGGTACGATCTCTGATCTCTGCCTTGGTTGGCTGCTTCTTCTTGTCGTCGGCTGCGGCTGCTGGCTTGGATTCGCCAGTCTTTGCTTTGGTTTTCTTCTTGGTTGGCTTCTCGTCACTAGAGGATTCGTTCGATGACTCGGATTCCTTCTTTCTCTTCTTGACGGTCTCCTTCTTCTTGGTGGCAGTTGTCTTCTTTGGAGTGGCTTTCTTCTTGCTACTCTTCTTCTCTGACTCTGACTCGGACGAAGATGAATCGGATGATGAGTCTGAAGATTCCTCCTTCTGTTTCTTTGACTTGCCGGTTGTCTTCTTTGTCACCTTCTTCTTTCCATTGGCAGCGCTGCTCTTCTTCTTCTTTGATGACTTTTCATCCTCTGACGACGAAGAATCAGAGTCGGAAGATTCCGATTCCGAGGAAGAGGAATCATCCTTCTTTTTCTTGGATGATGATTTCTTCTTTGAAGATTTTTCTTTTTCCTTCTCCTTTTCTTTTTCTTTCTTTGATTTACTACTTGATTTCTCCTTTTCCTTCTCTTTCTCTTTCTCTTTTTCCTTCTCTTTCTTGGTGGTTTTCTTCTTGTCATCAGATGTTTCTTTTCCATTCGATTTCTTTTCCTCCTTTTCTTTATCTTTCTTTGTAGTCTTCTTCTTGCTCTCTTTCTCCTTTTCTTTTTCCTTCTCCTTCTCCTTCTCTTTTTCTTTTTCTTTCTCTTTCTCTTTGGTTTCCTTTGCTTTCTTTTCTTTGGCTGTCTCTTTCTTGGGAGTGGAAGTTGTGCTGCTGGTGGTAGTTGTTGTCTCTTTCTTTTTCTTTGGAGATGCAGGTGGTTTCTTCTTTGGAGACTTTGGTTCCTTTGGAACAACAGTTTTCTTTGGTTGCTCCTCTTCCTCTGACTCCTCCTCTTCCTCTGACTCTTCAGCAGCTTCTTTCTCTGCACCAGTCTCGGCACCCTCTTCTTCCTCGTCGTCAGACTCGTCAGATTCTCTGTCCTCCTCGGCGACAAGCTTGGCTCTGTTCAGCTCGGCTTTCGAGATCTTATATACCTTTTTGTCCTCGTCAGTGACATCCTTGTCACGCAGCGTCAGCTTTGTAGATATCAAAATCGAGTCGATCGGAATCTTACAGGACTGTGCAGTCGATGCCAAACTGTACTCCAACTCATTGCCTTCGATTTGATTTAACCATCTTACATATATTTCTGTATTCCTATAGGAAGCATCTGTTTGTTTTTTTAAAAATAATAATGTTAGTTTTTTTTTTTTTTTTTGGAAATTTTAATATTTTTTTTTTGTGGAAAACCAAAAATTTCTGGTTAACCAACAACAATAATAGAGAACTTACCTTCCAAGGCCAAAGCTAACCAAAATAACTCTTTATCGGTATCTGGTCTGACCACCAAAAAGGAACCTTTAATATATCTTGTCTATAGTTATGTTTTTAAAAACAAAAATATTAATATTAGAAAAATATATATATATATATATATTTTAAAATCAAAAGATTATCATTTTTTTTATTATAATTACCTTTTCAAGTGTAGATGTACTTCTTCTCAACATGGTTGATTGTATTTAATATAAAAATTAATATTGTAACAAAAAAAAAATAGAAAAATAAAAAAAAGTGAAATTTGAAAAAAAATTGTGTTTTTTGATGTTTTCAAAATTGATTTTTTTTGTTTTTCTTAAAGATTTACAATGAAGCTAAAAAATTAATGTGAGGTGTAAAAAAAAAAAAAGAATATACAAAAAAAATAGTTTTATTATTATGACTAGATGTTCTCTATTATGAATGTTTGTATTTGATGATCTAGAAATTACTATAGTTTGCTATATTATAATATCTATTTACTATAGCAAAAACAACGACAACACTACTCTATAGAGTGGAATGGATAATAATAACTGTAATAAAAAAACAACACAATGATAATAATCAAAATGAAGATCGTTGAAACTTCACAACAGCTAAAAAACCAAAAAATTTGAAAAAACAAATTGTCAAAAAATTAATAATTTATTAATTTTATTCAATTTTTGTTGTTTTTTGAATTTTTCTTATGTGGTGATAGAGGAAATGAGCAATATAAATGTTTAACGGCATTTTTTTAGATTTTTCAAAATTTTGAAATAATGGAGGGATGAACAACCTTTATTATTATGATAAAAATTAAAAATAAAAATAGTAAAAAATACTTGATTCTTGTAAAATGCAGGTGTTTTTTTTTTTGTTTTTTATATTTTTTTATTAAAGTGATCATCAAAATCATTCATCACAACCTCCTAAAAATGTTTAAAAACAGTCAAATTAAAGGTTTTTGACCTCAACAAAGCCCAAAGTGTCAGAGTCCTTTTTTTTGAAGTCTTAATTGATTTTTTGATTGTATTTTGACGTGTCATTTATATTTTTGGACATAATGTTGATAGTCGACTAAACATGGTAATAAGTGGAATATGTTTGATATGTGCATGTATTTATTTTATTGTATTTGTAAACTTTGTTTATTTTGGTCGAATCCAAAGATACAGAGAATAGATTAGATGATAAACCAAATAAAATCAATAATCTAAAGATTTACTTATTTGTTATTAATACATTGTTTTGTTGCCTCGACTGGGGACAACCATCTTTCAAAATTGAAAAATTAAAAAAAAAAAAAAAAAAAACAAAAAAAGATATTAGATTTATTGTGTGAAAAAGATATTTGAGATTTTTATTTACAATAAAAATTTTATTCTCTTTTTTTGCTGTTTGGGATTTTATTGTGGTCCATTGACAATCCATCCTATGATATTGAATTGATATCATAATTAACCTTAACAACAATAAGCAAAATTGAGATATTAAAATTGAAGCAACTACTTTTTTTTGTTTGTTTTTTTGATATTTTATTTTATTCTTATTTAATTTAATTTTAAAATTCAATTGTTCACAGCGTTTTCTACACTATTTAATTTAAAAGGTTTCATTTTACAATTTTTTATCATCAATCGTCGACTACACTCGTCTAAATTTCACCACCTTTCTTTCTAAACACACCATCTTAAAGAAAAGACATCATTCATTTTTTTTATTTTTTTTAAGACTCAATATTTATTTATTCATTTCAATATTGTTCAAACAGAATATAATATAATATAGTTAGTTATTTAGATTAAGAGAGAAAATGACTACTTCTTCTACTACTGCTACTACTATTACCAAAGAATATATGAGAGGTCAACCAATGGTTGAACATTTCGATGTTTTAGTTGTTGGTGCAGGTATGTTATGTTATGTCAATTTTTAAATTGCAAGAAAAAAAACTGCAGTTTGCAAAAAAAAAACAAAACTCTTGCAAATTCATGAGAATTCTAATTTGTTTTTGTCACCCTTAAAATGGAAATGAATTATTATTATTATAGGTCATAATGGATTGGTAAATTCAACATTTTTATCTAGAGCGGGATTGAAAGTTTTACAAGTGGAGGACAAAGACCTTATTGGTGGATGCACAAAGACAGAGCATCCATTCAAGAAGGTTCCAGGTATGGGTGCTTCGACCGGTGCCTACCTGCTCGGTTTGATGCCACCCGAACTCGTAAAGAAGCTCGGCATCGAAATCACTCCGATGCGTCGTGATCCACATTACTTTATGCCAACGACAGACGGTCGTTACCTGTTGTTCGGTTCCGACAAGGTCGAGATGAAGCGTCAGTTCCTCCAGTTCTTCAGTGAGCAAGACTGGGATGCCAACGAGCGCATGAATGCCGAGCTCGATTTGATGCGTGAGGACGTCGCACCAGCCTGGCTACAGGAGCCACTCTCTGTCGAGGAGACAGCCGAGCGCTTCGTAAGACCTGCGCTGAGAACAGCGTTTGTCAATCTCTGTCGTGGAACTGCACGTCAATACGTTGAGCGTTTCGGTTTCAAGTCGGAGCTGCTCGTCGGAATGTATGTGACTACCGATGGTTGCTCGGGATTGTCGTCGGTTCGTGAAGGAACCGGAATGAACTTCCTAGTTCATAACATGTGTCGTTTGCCTGGATCGGATGGCACCTGGATGATTATCAAGGGTGGAATGGGTTCGGTGTCGAACGCCATTGCCGACGTGTCAAAGCGCGCCGGAACACGAATTGACACCAGCCGTGGAGTGTCGCGTCTTATCATCCAGAATGAGCGCGTCTACGGTGCCGAGCTCAAAGACGGAACCAAAGTGTTCGCACCGATTGTCGTTATCAATGCCGATCCATTCCGTATGCTCGACCTCATCGGCAAGCAAAACTTGTCGCGCGACTACCTCACTCGTATCGATCGTTACCGTCGCGACGGTATGACCATGAAAGTCAACCTCTGTCTCAAAGCACTACCGAAATTCACATGTCTACCAGAGAATCGTGGACAATACGGAACTACCACTCACATCTTACCGCCAGGTGACAACGTCGTCGAGAAGATCGAGAAGTCCTACGCTCAGGCGTGTGCCGGTATCTTGCCAGAGTTCCCAACGATCGAGTGGTACACTCACACCCCGATCGATCCAAGTATCCAAGATCGTGAAGGTCACCACAATGCAGCATTGTTTGTACAGTGGGTGCCCTACGAGATTAAGGGATCGTCGTGGGAAGCCGAGGAAGAGCGTTACGTCAAGCATTTGCTCTCCCTCGTCGACATCTATGCACCGGGTACCAGTGAGTTGGTAGTCGACACCTTTGCTTTGCCACCACCCAAGTTAGAGAGACACTTTGGTATTACACGTGGTCACATTCACCATGTCGACAACGGTATTCCATTCGATGAGCGTCTACCATACAACACACCAATTCGTGGATTGTACTCGTGTAGTGCAGGTACACATCCAGCTGGTTCCGTCATTGGTTGTGCAGGTCACAATTCCGCCATGAAAATACTCAAAGACTTGAAAGATAATATCATCACAACTGAGAAACCATCAAAACTTTAAACAAAACAAAACAAAACAAATAAAACAAAAGATATATATATATATGTGTAATTACTTTATACAATATTGTTTATTAACTATTTTTCATTTATTAATTGATCTTTAGATTGTTGTTGTTGTTGTTGTTGAAGTATTTCAAGTGTGTTTGGTGTTGTTATGATGATTTGGTCGAGTGAAGTTGGAGGAGAAGGTATTTTATCGAGTGTGAAGTTACCGAATTTGCCTTCACGGAATAGGTTTATCAGGTAGCGTGATGCTTGTTCAGTGTCGTTGGTTTTGTTTGAGTTTAGTCGATCGTTGTTCAGTTTTATCTGTTGGAATTGCTGTTGATTCGTCAGGTACATTCCTTTCAGTTGACAGATATGCTCGAGTAGCCGATTGATATCGTCGGTCGGTGCATCCAACTTCAACACGGTGACATAGGTGGTGATTCGCATTTGATTCATCTTGAACAACAGGTAGTCGGCGACTACGGTGTGGTCGACGATCTTCTCACTGATGGCGCCGACCAGCGACAGAGTCAGAGCTCTCTCGACGTCCTCGAGAACACCCGGAATCATAATACCGGGGGTGTCCACCAGGAAAGCAGGAGGATCATCGGATACACGGAATCCCGTGATATTTCTAGTGACACCCGGGAGTGCACCAGTCTTTGCCGACTTTGTCATCCTACAGGCATTCCTGATCGAATTGATCAGCGAACTCTTTCCAACGTTTGGCACGCCAATCACCAACATATTGATTTCCTTTTTCATTTGTTTTCTATCTATTATCGTTGTATCAATTATCTTATTGTTATTATTATTATTTTCTTGTTGTTGTTGTTGTTGCTGTAGTTTGTCTTGTTGTTGCCTGTGTAATTCAACTGCATTTTTTATTACTTGATAGGGATGACGTGGATGAGATTGATGTGTTGTGGCGGCAGAGTTTGTTTTCGATGCGGATTGAGTGAATGCAATGTGTTTGTTATAAGCACGATCTTCAGTTAGTCGATTGTATTGATCGTAGTACAATTTGATCTTTGATTGCAGATTGTGATTTGACATGTCGGCTTTGTTAAAGACAACGATGTGTGTCTTTTTCGCACCGTCTTTGAAGGTCTGCCTCAGTATATCCTGTAGCAGTGGATTCTCAGTGGAGAGAGGTGCTCTCGAGTCTCGTATCTCGAGAACAACATCGACATTCTTGATATTCTCTTTCAGTTGTTTGGTCGCTTTGATCATATGACCTGGGAACCAATTGATCTTTCCACCATAAGTAAAACTACTTCTAAAAGATTGATTCGTCGTGCCAACAGCAGCAGTGGCAGCAGTGGCAGCAGCACTACCACCACCACTACTTAAAAAAAAATGATTACAACGATACATTTACAAAATTATAATCACCAAAGTTGAATTTCTGAAGTGAATGAAATGAAAAGAATAATACTGTAGATGCTTCCTAACAACTGTCTGTTTTACTTCCTGTTTTGAAGCGACAATACTTAGAAAAAAAAAACAAAAAAAGTAACATCTTTAAATTTTAAATTTTATCAATTTTCTTGATCTTTGTTTTTAAAACACTTATCTAATCTATGATATCATAGATAATCTTAAAATAGAAAGAGTCAAGCAAACTTGATATAGGAATGAGTAGTAGTCAAAGTAGTGATTCTTCTCAGAAGAAAAAGAAAGATCTATTCTTTATTCCTGATTCAGATGAAGAGTTAGATGATGTTGTAGATGAAGAGCCAAAGTCACAGTCTGACTTTGCAATTATCAAGCCTGCTTCAATCAAAGAGATATTGGCTGCTGAGGAAAGAGATAGAAAATTGAATCCAACCAACTATATTTCAACCGAAACAACAGCAACAACAACAACAGCATCAACAGTTTCATCTTCATCTTCATCTTCATCATTATCATTAGATAAAAGTGTTAATTCTTCATTTAGATCATCTATTTTACAAAAGAGAGATGATGTCATTAACAATCGCATTAGTAGTAATAGAAATAATGATGATATCATTAATGATGACAATAATAATGAAAGTAACAATATATATAATACAAACCTTGATGATTTTTCATCTTTTTCAACGATAACTTTAATACCTAAAAATAAGGTGACAGACACAACAACAACAACAACAACAACTACAACATCAACTTCTTCAACTATATTACAACCTAATAATATACCAAAACCTCTACCTAAACTACTTAAACTATTACCTCTTAAACCACTACCACTTAATAGACCTGTAAATAATAATAATAATAATAATAATAATAATAATAATAATAACACTAATAGTTTATCGACATCTCCAACTTCAATTTCACCTTTAACATTACCTTTACCTAATAATAATTCAAGTAATAGTACTAGTAATAATACAGTAGTTCAAACAAATTATTTAAATATATACAAGACATTGGTTGCTAATGAAAAGTTAAAGGGTAATCCAATCTTTAGATTCTTCCTACAGTCAACTACCTTTGAATTTCAAGGCGGTATCAAACCAGATTTCGTAATGAGTTCGACTAGTTGTTGTTTGTACACCACTCTTAAAGACTATCGTCTGAAACCGACCGAACTAATCGATCGTTCAAAACAACTACCGAGTCGATTCGAACTACGTGTACTCGTAGTCGTTGTAAACATTGACGATTGTATATCACTACTAGAGGAACTATCATTCGTTTGTACTCAAATAAATTTAGTGTTAATAGTTGCATGGAAGTATGTATACATTAACAATAGCTAAAAAGAAATCATTAGTTAGTTAACTAACAGTTATTATTATTATTATTAGTGTTCCAGAGGCAGCAAGATATATCGAGGGATTCAAGATATTGGATACAGTTTCACCCGATATCATAAAGACAAAACAATCAAACCTCGACAAGACATTGGTTCAAGACGCACTTACAACCATTAAGGGTATAAACAAAACCGATGCTACAACATTAATCTCTACTTTTGGTGTATGTTAAAAGTTCATTAAAACAATTAAAAAAAAAAAATAATATTTTAACTAAAATTTTTTAAATAACAACAATGAAACTACAGACAGTAAAGAGAATATTTGATGGATCTAAAGAAAGTTTTGGATTATGTCCTGGTATGGGACAGAAAAAAGTGAATAGTCTTTACAATGTATTACATCAGCCGTTTAAGGCAACCAAAAAATCAACCACAACAACAACACCATCATCAATGACAACCACAACAAATACCAATGGTAAAAATAAAAAAAATAATAAAAATAATAATAATAATAATGAAGAGGATGAAATTTCAACCAAAAAAACAACAAAAAAACCGCTGTTTCAACCAAAACAACACCAACGAAATTCACAAAAAATGCAATATCCGACGATGATTTTCAAGATGATGAAAATACCCCCGACACCTTATTGGAGCTTGCAATTTTCGAGGACAAAACAGACAGTCACAATGAGAATTCGAGATTTCAGCAAGAATATAGTGTTACCAACGATTCTGATAACGATGTTGACGGCAACGATACTTTAGTGCTACCATTGCCCGAACGAGATTAGATTAGCAAATAATAAAATATAAAATACTTTTGTAAATCTACCTTTATTTATTTAAGAGAAGAATTTTTTCATTTTTTTTTCATTATTAACAGTTATAGAGTTTTTTATCTATTTTAATACTATTTATTTGTATTTATTTTTTTTAAAAAAAAAAAAAAATGATTGGTATAAATAATATAAATCTTAGTTCAGTTGGAAAGACATCGTTGGTTGTCTCAATGTTTAGAACATTGATTTCCAACAAACATGTTAAAAACATTTTATTAAAGGTTGAAGATGGAGCAGAACCTAATAGTTCGAATCTAGAGCAAATTCAATCGTATTTACCTTTTTATACTTTAAATCCATATATTTCCGATATACCAAATGAAATTACTATATTTGATCCGTATGTATAGAATTAGTTTTTGAATTAAAGAAATATTTGATTAATTAATAGAAAAAATTATTAGTTATGCTTATTTTTTTTCAACAAGTAAAGAGTGTCAAGCAATTTTGTGGGAGTCACTAGATTTAGTTTATTTTTTGGCACCAGATTTATTTAAATCTAAAAATTTTGTTAATTTACTTCAAAAGCATTGGTCAGAGTATGATCGTAGTAAAACTAATGTTGATGAAGTTCGACAGTATATCAAGAATTGTCCTCCTCTGAAAGCATGGTCATTGGTTGCAATCGAGAACATATCGGCAAGAATAGCTCTTAGAACCATGTTGATTGATGACCTGATCCAGAGTTCGATTGTCGGTCAATTCAAACAAGTTGTAATTCTAGGTTCTGGTTTGGATAGTAGACTGCTTCGAATGCCACTTGGACCAGATGTGGTTGGATATGAAGTCGACTTACCCGAGATTATAGAGTTAAAAAAGAAACTACTACCTTTAATAACCAAAGAATGTCCTCCAACTTCCAAATCTACAAATCATTATATAGGAGCAGATCTTAAAGGTGACAGTTGGATTGAGCTGTTAAAATCAGCTGGATCTTCAGATTTCGACTCGACAAAGCCAACTCTTTGGATAATGGAAGGACTTCTTATGTATCTATCTGAGGATGAAACGAACAATCTCATATCAAATTGTAGCCATCTATCATCTAGTGGTTCAACAATGGTCATTCAGATCATTGGTCATGTTGACGGCGAAAAAGATCCACAATTTAGGAAACTAGTAAAAACTCTTCTTCATGAGGATGTCAGATTTGATTTCAAGAAAGCAGCTGGTTCATATTTAAAAGACAATTCTTTCATCTCGAATGTTCAAGTCTACAATGACAATGATATATTTTTCAAGTATACTGGCTTGAACGATCCGAAGTTGGATGATGGATGGTCACAGTTTGCAATTGGTTATAAACCATGAATAAAATTATAATAATAATACTTTTAAATATGCTACTTTAAAAATCCGTTTAAATAACTTTTATTTTAATAATAGTTGATTTTTAAAATCTAACCGATACAGATGGTGTCCAGTTTCTGCCCAATTTATCATATTGAAGGAATGGTTCCCAATTATTAGATTCTATTGAATATCTGTAGTTACCAAAGTCGACACCACCAAATGAATAGATAAAACTAGAAGTTGATGATTCTTGATGATACATCAAAAAAACTCCTACACTTTTGGTAGTAATGGGTTCAAGATTGATTGATTGTCTGCTTTCAACATTGTATTTGGTAAGTCTGTTTATTGAATATATGAAGAAATTTCCATTGTTATCATGACATGCTGTGTAAGGTACAATGTTAATTTGATGATCTATTATGGTTCCATTTGCCAAATCCAATTGGAAGAGCTTTTTTTGTGTGTATGATACTGAATATAATGAACCTTTATAGATCATTGTAGATACCTGCTGTTTATATCCATCTGGTATTAGTTGATATCTTTCAAATTTCATTGTTTTGATATTGAATCGATCAATTCTATTAGTATAATCCACCAAATAGATATGATCAAGACCGTCATAACAAACTGATGTATGAAGACCACAGTTGATTACTTCGATATCACCAATATGTGCAATAGATTTCGATTTTACTGAGAATTTCAGCCATTTGTTACTACTACCACCGAATATATAGATATATTCGCCAATAGAAACAATAGATTGGTATGTATTATTGAAATTAAAATCGATATTTAATTCTTGAACTGATTTGTCTGTTGTGTTGATCAGTGTTGCTCCTTTTGCTAGATGTGTTGAAAATATGTATGATGATTTATTCGTGTTGTTATCTTTTATCAAAGATGATGGTGTTGATGAGTCTAGCTTTAAAAGTTTGATTGATTGTTCAATCATCGAATTCAATTTATTGAAATCAAATGGTTTGATTGATAACTCGTATGAGCATGCAGGTGTTGTTAAATTGTTATTATTATTTGTTGTTTTGTTGAATTTATTGTTGTATTTATGAATGATATCCAATAATAATGTAGATGAATCATTGTCATTCTGTTTAAGGAGTTCATCAGTATTTAGTGCGTGATGATCATTGAACAATGTTTGATTATTATCTTTGATGAATGATGCTAATGATGAACTCGATAATACTGATTTCATAATAGTTGTTGATGAATACTGAGATGTTTTATCTTCAATGATTGACATACTATCATCATTATTATCACAATTATTATCATTATTATTATTATGAAACATATTATTTATATTTATAATATTTATTAAGTGCTTCAAATGATCTATATTTTTATCTATTTGGTTTATGATTGTATCTTTATCGTTGATGATTGATTTCTTAAGTTTGTGCTCTTCTTTTATTAGATATTGATGTAATTGTTCAAAGTGTTGTGATATCTCATTCTCTGTTGCTGATAATGATCGATATCTTGTTGTCGATGATTTTAACGATTCCCATATCGACGTAATTGTTTTCGAGAATATTGAGTCTTGATTTTTATCATTAATATCATTATTACTACTATTATCTTCTTTTACATTATTAACTAATATATTCTTTAATGAATGCTTAATTTGATCTATATGTTCACATTGAGAGTAATGATCTGATTGCTGCTTCCAATGTTCAAGAATGCATAACGAACACATAAGATCATTGCATTGATGGCAAATGCACTCTAATATTTTTTTATGTTTTGTGCAATTTGTCATTTATTTATATATAAATAATGATTTGTTTATTATTGATCTATTAAATAATTCTCAAAGATCTATTGCAACAGTATTTTATTTTTGTTTGGATTCGAAAAAATGTTGCAATAAGTTTTTTCTTGTTTTGACTTTATTTAATATTAATACCAGATGTTAAAATGAAAGAAGTGATTAAGTCCTTAATATTTGATGTGTTTAGTGATTTTAGTTAATTTTTTGCACCCCCCAACCATATGTTGTAAATCCATTTTTGGGACAGTTGTCAGGATTGTAAATTCCGAAATGACAGTGTAGGAATGAATATCCACAATATAATGATGCTTGGAAATTTGATACGATATTTCCACCTACAACGACACCATCACTGTCAATTCCTTCATATCTTGGATCGTTGAGAATTGGCGAGACATTGAATTTGCCAAACTTGTCTTGAGTTTCTTTGATGTTGATAGAACAAGAGTATTGTTTTCCTGGAAGCACTGAGAAACAATATCTTCCATCTTTGTCTGAGTATAAATAGGAGATTGGGCAGGTTGGATTATCTTGAGAGAACAGATAGATTTTAATATTTGGGATTCCTGGTTCATTACAATCCTGAATTCCATTTCCATTGATGTCATTCCAGACTCTTCCACAATCAAATACTTCAAGAGATGGTGGGAATATCGATGTAATAGATCCAAGACCATTCGATTTGCTGAATGTTCCTGGTGAAGCAGTTGCATTGTAAATAGAGTAGGCACGAATAGTTTTACCAGTTGTGGTATCAAACCATCTCACTGAACCTTCATACCAGAAACTATTGTCCATTCCGGTTGCGACCACTTGATTTGGACCACCTCTTGTCAAACCATATGCAACATTGTAATCGTGTCCACCAGCACCTTGATTCACTTGGAAATAGTAACCTCCACCGATACCCATTGAATTTCCAGCATTGGATTTGGCATTGGGAAGTGCACCAGTCTTTCCTCCACACTTTCCGTTACTTTCAAGTTGGAAAGTTCCAGATGGAGTTTGACAGGCAACCAGCATGTCTGGTGAGGACATCCAAACAGTGATATCATTGGATCTATCTTTGAATCCCATGATTAATCGACCGGCATCGTCAAAGTAGAGTGCTGCAATTTGAGGTTGAGCCATGGTGTAGTCACCACCCCATTTGTGCCATTGTGATTGTGGACACTGGTCATATCTTCTACAACCTCTGTTGTAATTCAATGGGAATTCCAAGACATTTGTCCATGAATTTGATAGCTCATTGAATCTAACTACTTATCCAGTCAACGATGAACCAGATTCACCAGTGCAAACACCAGCAACATAGAGTTGACCTTGGTAAATTTCCAGTGCAAATATTCTCCAGTCGGATGCATAAGTACATCCAGGATTTGGAACACTTTTCTTTAGAACATTCGAGGTGGTAGGTGTTACAGTGATAGGGATCTGAACAACTTCGTTTGTATACAAATTGGTAACATAAAGATATCTATTGGTACTTTTAAGATCACCAAGTGATACTTTACAGGTGGAACGTCCTGCTTCTTGTCCTTCTTTCAAGGCGTCATTGAAATAGTGTGTTGTAGATCCCGGGTTAATTCCAAACTTTGTGAGATCAATAAAAGTAGATACTTGAAATCCTTTGGTAATCTTGTAGATGGCAGCCATTCCAGATGGTCCGAAATCACTACTTCCTTTGTAGAAAGCAGATACATAAGTATCTTCGGTTTCAGGTCGATAGGTAATTCCAAAACATGAACCAACTTGATTGTGATATGCCAGCTTTTGAGCATATTTCATTCCATCTCCTTTGAAGGCGTATCCAGTTGCATTGGCTGAGAATCTGACAACTGCTGGATCATTCTGATAGGTTCCAGCTCTACTTCCTTTGACGAAACATGTTGTGGCGAAAGCAGATGGATTATTGGAATTTTGATTACCTTGATTTAAGATTTTTTGAGAAACACCGACTTGAATATTATCACTTCCATTAATAAAGTTAAAAGGATCTGGTCCTGTTGAGATAATATTCTGACCAACGAATTCAATACGATACTTGATGGTTGATACCAATCCATTGCAACTCCATCTTCCATCGGATCCAGTTGTGGTAGTCCAAACAAGATATCCATAGATTGGTGAATAAATATTGACTTTGATTCCGTCAGCTGGCTTATCAGTGGCATCGAAATAACCATCGAAATCGAGATCGATATAAATCATTCCAGAACAAGTGGAAGTTCCAATCGGTGTCAATCCATAGTTTCCAAGATAGTTGATTGTTGGTGACTTGACTTGATCATTGGAGGTGGATGCAACAGAATCTTTGTTGGCAATGGCGAAAGGACCGATGGTACCTGGATTATAAACTCCATTGATTCCACTGATGATCTTAATTGTATAGAATCCTTCACGAATGTTTTCAAAAACAAATCGACCATTTGCATCTGTTGTGGAGTAGGGCACTGGATTTCCATTGGCATCAGTCAAAGTATTACCATTTCGATCTAAAAGTGCAATGGTGAGACCTGCATACCAATTCTCGTTGGAATCTTTCAATCCATTACCAGAGGAATCGATAAACATGTTTCCAACAACAGCGATTCCTTTGTATGCGGGTGGTGGTGTTGGCATTGGACCGAGATCAACATTGATCTTCAAACAAAGTGTACTGATACCGGCAGCAATTCCTTTTTTGTATAACATTGGTACTTGAAAAGCAGTGAGATTTTCAATGACAGTTGTTCCTCTGTATCCTTCGTTGGGATTGGCATCTCTGACACACACCTTTCCTTGTGGACAAGTCAATGAGATATCATAAGATCCAAAGAGATAATCTGCAGGATTGGTGAGATTGAATCGATAGAGAGTTCTCTCCATCAAACCATCCCAGAAGAAAGCACCATTTGATTGAGTGTACTGATTTTGTAAAATCGTTCCTTGGTAGTCAACAGCGTTATCCAAAGGCACGATATAGACACCACCAACTCCATACTCTCCATTGTTCACACTATTTACGTTGGTGTCATTGAAACACATTCCTCTCAGAACAAGAACCCTTCCTTGATACTGCTGGCATCTTACAACCGACAAGAAAAGTAATACCAAAAATATTAACTTCATCTGATTTTAATAATAATTTCAGATAATATATTAGTTTCAAATAAAAATTATCTTTTTAATTTTATTATTTACTTACCTTACTTGTTAATTATTGATGAATTAAATCAATCTTTTACTATTGAAATATAATATATAAACATAATAATCCAAGCATATCAGAATAAAGTTCTGATACAAACCAGTGGTGTCACTTTTAATTTATCTATATAATATTGATATCATTATATATACTATGAACATTGAATTAAGTGTGAATGTATTGTTGCAGTTTGTAAATTATTGGTAAGTGTGAGTTTTTTCATGTTCTCACGCATAAGAAACAATCATGATTTATTACTGCATAATGAAGATGATTGCAGATTTATAAATATTATCAAATGAATTATTTCACCACCTTTTTATCTCATCCAATTTCGTAAAACTACGATTATGAATTAATTAATATGGATGGTACTATGATTCTTCTTTAGTTGTTACTTTACTATATGAGTTGATGTTATTAGCACTTACTTCTTTCATTGTAGTGTGTGTGACTATTATTGAATAGGTTTTGGTTTGATAGTTTGTTTATATCATGATTTTACATATCGTTAATGTCGAGTACTCAGATGGTGAAGAAACTATAGCAATAGACATCACCAACACAAAAAAATCTAGTCTCTTTGATCACTCTTTAAAATATCCACAATACAAACAACCAATGTGAGGGTACTGATGTTTTCTTTCTATTATTAACTATAGTAGTAGTAGTAGTATGTTGTATTTTGTGTTAATATAAATATCACTTTTGCTATCTTAATAGTAATGATTGGCATGATATTTATTTATTTATTTTTTTGTACAATAATATATTTTTTTAAATAAATAGTAATTAGAAAGCATCGAAAGCTGCAAAAGCACTCTGTTATTTTTTTAAAACAAAAAAAATAAAGTTAATAAATGGTTGTAGATCAGTTAAAAAAGGTGTAGTAGCATTAATAACAAACCTCTATTGTATCTTTTCTAATTGCAGTCATAAAGAGATTCAGTTGAATCTTTTCAGCAATTCCAAAAAGTAAAATTGGCATCAGACTCAAAAGGTAAATTCATAAATGATTTCAGTATCTTTTGATAATTCAATCCTCCATTTGCACTGTCAATTTGAAATCATATCGCAATATTTGAATTAGATTCAGATTATTTTTGAGTAGAATATAGTATCTTAACTAAATACATACGTTGATTGAATAAAAGAATGTGCCAGCGATGCCTTTCTCATTAGTAATCGCATATAATATACAAGGTAGAGCTCTCTATAGCATATGGGAAGATTGAACACCTCTGTGAGCATTTGTTTGATGAACGACGATGGTTGTATGAATGGTGATAGTATTTTAGTATCTTTTACACTAGATGATGTGATGAGTTGAAAAGATAAAGTTATAGTTATTTGGTTAGTTAAATATAGTTGATTAATCTATAATTCTTCGATACATTACTTTTTCTGATAAATATAAATGCTTATGAGGAAATCCTCACGAAAGCTGGTGTATTGATGCAAGATATCGGTGTGATACACCTCTTTCTTGTCGATATCAATGACAGTTGTAGGTCTGAGTGAGAAAGGCAGTTTCTCTTCGATCTGCTTCTGATTGACATTCAATAGACCCTGTATCATTAGATCGGGTATCATTTCATGAGAGTTTACCTGTCTCGACGAGATATAACGTTCATTCGGTGTCAAAAACATATAGAGTGTATCCAACCATTTCAGTATCTCGTTGTGCTTACTTCCAACAACAACGGTTGATCCCGATGTAATAATATGTGATGATATAGCTCTGTTATATTAATAATAAAGAATAGAATCATTTGAACTTAATTAATTTTACAAACTACAATTTAAAAACAAATAAATAACAAACAAATCAACATACCTAATAAGAAAATCTAGATCTTGAGGTGAAGGAATAGTACTTTCCATAAAGAACGTCTGTGATATCTCTACGTGTGGATAACCAGCACTGAAAACATTCTCAAAGTTTGTACAAACATTGATTAACTCTGAAGTGAACGATGCTAAATCATATTCCTTGAAAGTAGTAGTAGTAGTTGTAGTAGTAGATAACAACAATCATCAGATTAATATTGATTGATTATAATGATTATAATGATTATAATGATTATACATACATTCTTACTGTAGTTTCTTAGAATGAAAGATGCCAATATAGATAGTCTGTCAGAGACAAAGTCATGACAGTGTTGGTAGATGCTCAGCTTTGTGAGATCCAGATAGATCGAGAGCGACAGCTTTGTCAGTTTATCGTGGTATTTCGCGTTGAAGATGATCGATGGTATCATTACATTCTGCTCTGGATAGATGTTGAATCTCATCTCTTCCGATTCCATCGATATGTCATATCCACACAGCGTTTGTCTAGCGATGAAAGTCAGGAAATCCGGTGCAAGATTCATCGAATTCTCATTGCCAGTCGACCAAAACTGCTCGATACCAGGTCCTGCAGTGTCATGCCAAATCGATAGTTGCGCACCACAAACCACCTGAGGTGGATGACCATCCATCAAATTCAATTTTATAGGTGCTGTATTCTGTTTTGACAATGGGAATTCTATATATATATATAATATATATAAGTTAACTCGATTGTTATGGCATGATTATGCTCTTTTTTTTTTTTAATATATATTTTTATACATTACTCTTGCCTTTACCAGGAGGGATTGGATGTGTTGGTTTGGGTGTCTGTTTCAATTCATCGTAGACACGCTTGAAGATGTTAGGATTCTTGAGGAATTCATTTGGGTTGTTGTTGGTATGAGTGATCGGTTGTAATTGAAAGTATTGTTGTTGAAGTTGTTGCTGTTGCAGTTGTTGTTGATGATGATTATCACGTCCCGATGCAGATCCGAAACTAGTTGTAAGTGTACCACCGCTATTATGATTGTTATGATGTGTATTACTATTGCCACTACTCTGAAGATTACCATGATTATAGTTCATACTGCCACCGTTCTGCGATGAACCACTTCCACCCAAACTATTATCATTCATCATTGTGTATTCTATTAGATCTATTTTTCACATTAACTCTCTTTCTTTACTTTTAAAAAAAAAAAGAGTGAGAGTTAGCTTCTATATTAATATACTATTAATTTCTAATCTAAAAGATGAGTGTTTGGTGTGTGTGTGTGTGTTGTGTGTTGTTATGAATCAATAATAATAAAATAAATAAACTTAAAAAAACAAAATAAAACTAAAACAAAACAAAAATAAAAAATGAATAATGAATGAATGAATGAATGAATGGGTTACAAATTATTAGGCAAGAATGAAAATAAATTTATCAAATTTCAATTAATTTCAAGATATTTATTAATTTTTTTTGTTTTGGCTTATCTTAGCTTATCTTCTTGCCTTTTTGGTTAAGTAAACAAATGCAAGGATAAAGAGAATGGATGATGCCCAATAAGCAGCGAGAATACCAAAGTTTCTCCAACGATTTTCGTAATGCCAGTCCAAAGTTTCATAGTATTCTTCACCGTTTTTGTAGATGCAATATCCACATTCGGTTTGATTGTTATTGATTGCTACTACGTAACCTGGTGCATTCTGGGTGAATTGCTCGGTGTATTGCTCACAGGTTTGTCCGTCTGGTGATGTGAATCTAATGAGATCCTCTGGTTTACAGATGACTTCCACTGGCTTTAAGATGGTAGTGACAATACCTTCCAATAGGTATTTTGCTGGGTTGAGATTGTACATAAAACGGAAGAACGACGGTAGCAATGAATATGGAATTTGCACACCACAGAACAAGAAGATGTAGAATAAAAGAATTGGCAGTGCTGCAATGGAGATTGCAATGTCAAAACAAGCTGCTCCCAATGCCTGACTGAACGAGACAATGTAGAGTCCAAACATCGAGTGAATCAGCCAGAAGTAGAATCCGGTGATCGCATCGAATTGGAGACCGGCAGTCCAGTAGGATGCAAAGAAGAAAAGCGTTGTTGAGATGATGACATACGGCATTTCAACGGCGACGATCGCCAATGAGAAACTGTGCCATGAGTAATATTTGCTGGCGTAATCACGCTTGAAGAAACTCTTTTGAATAAAGAATTGCGGTAATACCAAGTAAATCAACAATACGCCGAGAACCATACCTTCCCACAAGAAGAATATTCTCTGGTTCATATCGGACGATGAGTTTTCCAATTGATAAAAGGTGAATCCAATAATCAGACCGGAAACCAACGATTGTGCAAACGATCCAATCGTATATTGTGGATCTCTCCACCAGATTAAATTGAAACGTTTGTAGACTTCAATGAATTGTGTGAGGAATCCAGTGGCGAATTCTCTGGGTGGCTTGGAATTGTTTGGATCTTCGTCGACATGACTAATATACTTGACGAGTTCCTCTCTGGTTTTCAAGAGTTGAAGTTCCAATTTCACTTGGTTGTACTCGGTGGAACTCTTCCAGATTGCACTCCAATCGAAATCGGTCTTTCCATGTACACCGGCACCAATAACATCGAGAATATATTCAGCTGGGTTTTCAGTTGAATCATATGCACGTCCACCATTCTTTGTGAAATAATTGACAAGAGTTTGAGAGTTTTCACCGATATCACCGAAATAAACGGTTTTTCCACCTTTGGCCAACAAGAGAATACGGTCGAAATGCTCGAATAATACTGGCGATGGTTGATGAATTGTACAGACCAATGGCATTCCAGCATCGGCAAGCTTACGAATGAATTTAATGATGTTGTATGACGATTGTGCATCGAGACCAGAAGTTGGCTCGTCCAAGAAAAGAATATGTGGTTTGGCAACTAGCTCCAATCCAATGGTGAGACGCTTTCTCTCCTCGACAGAGATACCAACTCCATTTTCCAAACTTCCAACCAGTGCATCACCCAAATGCTTCATTTCCATCATTTCAAGAACACGCTCGACATATTCGTATTTCTCTGAGAGTGGTACCTCTGGCTCTTGTCTGAGCTTTGCTGAGAATTGCAATGCCTCACGAACAGTCAAGCCTGGATTATGAACATCCATTTGCTCGACATATCCAGTGATACGCTCAAAGTCAATGGCGAGTGGTTTACCATTTAAGGGCAGAGTCACCTTTGACTATTCCAATGGTTTTACGCTTGGCCAAAACGTCCAACAGGGTTGTCTTACCGGCACCTGATGATCCCATTAAAGCAGTCATTTGTCCAGGTTTAATCCAACCGAGAACATCATCGAGTAACAACTTTTCACCGGCACCTGGAATGGGGACTGTATAATTGATATTCTCCCAAGTGAAGATTCCACCTTGAATCTTGAGATTGTCTTTCATGTTGGTGGTAGCTTGTTCAACGATTTTATTTTGATTACGCTCCTCTTCGACATCGTTCAACTTTGGTGCTTTTCCTTTTTTGTAGACTTTCTGAGTGTATCCACCGGCAGTCCAATCAAAGAATTCAACAGCGAAAACATTCAACAAGATATAGAACAACCAGAGAAGATAGACAACTACGACATAGAGTGCTCTTTGTTCAACTTTGAAATCGAACGAGTCGAGAATATAAGATTCACCATTGACACTCAAATGACCTTCAACAGCACCTGGAACTGGACAAATACGATGTGCAGAGTCAGTGTAGCTTAGACCGGAAGGAATTGCTGATTGTTCGCATGAGAAATCGATTGATTTGAATTCATTTGTCATTAGAGCACGGAATGCATAGGACAATGGTGAGACGTGGTAAAACCATTTGAACCATGGATGCATTTTAGTAACTGCTTGGGTATAACCAAAATAATTTACCATGAAGATGAAAACGAAATTCATTACATTCTGACCGGCAAACAAAGTTGGAGTGAAATTTCCAAAGGCACGGTACAACGAACCACAAGCCAGAGTGACACCGACCAGAGTAAATGCGAAAATAAAGAACTTTCCAGCATTGTAATCAAGACCATACATAAAATAGGCAATGATTGCATGAAGAAAAGATTGAGCGAAAGCGAATGGAATGTCAACGAGCACCTGGGAAATAAGGAATGCCGACGGTCTGTAGAGAGCATAGGATTTGTGTTTCTGAAGGATACGACGACCATTGAATGTCGCATGAAGATTACCACTGGTCAAAATACACATGAATATGATTGAGGAGAAAATGGCACCTCCTCTTGTGAAAAGTCCATCGGTTGTTCTGTCCATCTGGAAATAGACACCACCGAGAATAAATGAATTAATGAAAACAGTGAGGAAAAGCGATACGATAGTGAATTTATCACCGTAACTCAATTGCATCTGACGTTTGGTGAGTGCAATACATTGAGTTATGAAACTGGCACTGTATGGAGAACGCTTACCTGCGGTCTTACTCTTTTCATTACGAATCTGCTGGATAAAGTCAGAGGATGGCTGCTCCTTCTCAACGGTTGCTTCGTAGATCTGTTGCGATTCCATCTGTTGTTTGAAGAGAAAAGAGTTTTTCCAGGCGGTTTCTAAGTCTCCCGATGTCTCTGGAACACGACCTTCGAAACCGGGACGAACAATTCGCTCCTGTGGATTGGAGATTCCAGTGAGGAAATCAGCGATCGATTTTCTTGGTTCACAATCGAATCCGAGATCCAAGAAATATTGTTTGGCAAGTCCGATTGGACCAAAATATATACAACGACCTTTGTCCAAAACCATTACCTTATCGAAAAGATTGTAAATCGAGTCAGATGCCTGATAGAATGAAGCGATGGTTGTCTTGTGAAGAGTATCAGACATGATACGCAATGATTTGGCATAGTCCAATGCAGATGCAGCGTCCAATCCACGAGTTGAACTATCCCAACAGGTAATACTTGAACCTGAAACCATTGCTTCGGCAATAGTCATTCTCTTTCTTTCACCACCAGATAAACCTCTAACAAATTCATTTCCAACAACCTGACAATGAATAAAATTAGTCAAATTTGTCAACTTTTTAAAATTTAATAGTATTTACTTACTGTATTTCTTTGATTTACTAAACCATACATTCCAACTAAAAGATCATATATTTTCGATCTGAAATTTGCCTTTGTTTCTTCTGGTAGACGTTGGCTTGGTGTTTTAAGTTTCAATGTGAAATCGAGTGTCTCGAAAACTGTGAGTGTCGGGAAATGGATATCTTCTTCCGGTGTATAGATGGCTTCACCTCTATATCTTCCAAATTCATCGGCTGGAATATTTCCATATTTAAGTTCACCTGATACGTCGATATATGATTCGGTTTGATTGGATATCACTCTCAGTAGAGTAGAACAACCAGACCCTGGACGACCCAAAACCAATAACATTTTTCCATCTTCAATAAAACCATTTACACTATTTAAAATATTAAATGTATTTATTTCTCTATTTTTAAAACTAATATAATTATTTTTGTTAGATTGATTTGATATAGCTAATTTAGTTAAATTATTAATAATTTTACACATACAAATTAAATGGATTTAAGGCAGATAATAAAAATTTGAATGGTGTGAAATTGTCGGCTATAACAGAACTATCGGCACCCTGGCCAACTACAGTTAGATTCTTGAATGAAACTCCCATTTTCTTTGGTTTTCCACCGATTTCCAAGTTCATTCTCTGAGAGTTTTCAAAGTATTTACGGAGTTTGAAGTCATCTTCATTCTCTTTATATTTTTCACCAAGTTCAATATCTACTTCACCACCAAAATCAGTTACAATCTCTCTAAATAACTTTGATCGGCTAAGTTCTCTGACTTGATTTTCCAACTCTTGAAACAATTTATTTCCATCTTCAACAGATGGTGATTCATCGATCGCGATATTAATATCTTGATTAGACATTATTATATATATATGTATTAAAAAAATAAAAATAAATAAAAAATTAATTATATTTTAATAAAAAATATATGTGGAGAGAGATTTAAAACTTATAGATATCTTTAAATATTATATTATTTATATACAGATTCTAATAATTATTATATATATTATTAAAATTATTATTATTATTAATATTAAAGTAAAATATATTTGTAGAATTATATTTACAAATGTATTGATGATTTTATCAATTGATCCATTTTATATTTATAGTTAAATTGCGAAAAGCAATGCAAATCTGAAGATTGGTCAATCGAATGAGCGAGGTTACATATTTACAAGAAATAAGTGATCGCTTTAACTAGAATGGTAATGATTCATCGTTCATTGGTGGTTTGCGGGGTAATTCGTTGCTTCTTATCTAAAGGTTTCGTTAAAGAGCGATAATCAAAGCTTCATGAAGGATATGAATAGAAATAAAGTAGTTTTTTTTAATTAAATTTTTGATGACGATCATCATAAAAACAATTTTTGTTCTATTTTTTTTTTTGAAAACAAAAACCTTCCATTTTTTTTTCGTTCTAGAAGTTAGCAAAAAGACATTTTGCTCATCGAGTTTCAATGTCTTCTTTTATTTAGTTTTATCATCATCCAACTATTGTTTCTTTTTCTAAGTTTAGTTTTCTTTCTACAATTATTTTTTTTAATTTATTTTTAATTGTATTTTTTTGTTTAATCTTTTTTTTTTTTTTCATCAAACAACAATTAACTCTCAAACTAGGTTTATAATCAATTTCATCATTCTCTTTAAGTTAACTCTATATAAATAGATATAGATTTTATCTTTCACTTTAAATTTTTCTCAAGATACATAACTACAACTCTGATAACCATGATGATTAACAAAAAACTTTGTGAGTGATGTCACCTTTTCAGTCACTTTCCAATAGGTTTATTCAAAAAAATAAAATTAAAAATAAACCATTTGGTGTCATTTCAAAAAATAAAATTAAAAATAAACCTCTCCCCATTGGAAAGTGATGTGGTGTCATTTCAAAAAATAAAAAATATAAAGATCCCTGCACTTTAGATCATCTATTAACTTTTTCTTTACACAGCTTTGCTTGAAAACAAAAACAAAAATAAAATAAAAAACTAAGTTTGGGAATTTGCAATGTTTTTTAAATAAACTTCCCCAATAAAAGGTGAATTTTTAATAAATTGCATCACCATACCTCTTTGATCTAGAATTTACTTTTCCCTCACTTGAAGATCGATCTTGACTGGACCACCTAAGCAAGTTTTTATTTTCGTTTTTCCCAATTTTTTTTCCTTTTTTGATAGGTTATATTGGGTGAACACTGTGAACTTAATATCATCTTTGATCAATCAAACACAGATTAAAAGAAAATTTTATTTACTTTTCAAAAGTGGCCCTTAAACTTCGTTTAAAAAAATTGTCTCATTTTTTTGATTTTATTTACTTGGACAAATTTAAAATGGAATAATCAATCAATAATATACTTTGAAAAAAAACTCTATTTAAACGATCGGATCTTCCTTGGTTGGGTTCATAATAGTTTTATTCCTCTTTTTGAATAAACTATCTATCTTTAGATAATCATATTCGAATGTATGTATAATAAATAATTATTTGATTTCTAAAATAAAATAAAAAGAAACTAATAACAAAAAAAATTCTTATATTTTAATTTAATTTATTTAAAAAGAAATAAATAAATTTCTTTATGTTAGGTTAAAAGATAGTAATTCTTTTAACAATTTTAATATTCTTCTTTTTTTAAACAAAATCTAAGATTCACTTTTAATCCATTCGGATTAAATATGTTCAACAGAATATTAAAATTGTTAATCCTATTATAGTCAACTAGTTAACCTTTGTTTTATTAAGTTTCAAAAGGATCGATACTAAAAAACGTTATCACAGTCCGGAATACTTTAATAAAACATCTATAGAAAATATAGAAATAAACTTTAACAACAATTTTATTTTATAATTGTTAAATCATAAACTCCAATGATATATTTCAATAATTAGTAATTTATTTTATTTTTTGTTATATAGTTTCTACAGATTTAAATTTGTAGTTGTTGTTGTTGTTGGTGTCTCATTATTATCATTATTATCATTATTATTATTATTACTATCATTATTTTCGTTATTGTTATTTAGATTATTTTTATGATGATTATTTTTGTTTTGTCCATTTGCAATATTATTCTTTCTTTCTAGTTTAAGCAGTTCAAATGCTTCCTTCTTTCTCTCTTTCTTTAGTTGCTTCTTTGATTTCTCTTTCTCGCCAGTTGCCTTGTGATATACCTTGGTTCTTAGATCACCATGTTGTGGTTCGATTTGACCCAAATCCCATTTCTAAAAAAAAATTAAAAAAAAAAAAAAACAATGATATTAGAAATAAGTTATATATATTTGTTAAAAAAGTGTTGCTAATAATAAATACAGTAAGCTTTGATTTATCATGATCGATTGGGTTGAACTCTAGTGTTTTCTCCATAGTGATCAATCTTCTACCCCATCTCATTGTCAAGGTTTGTAAACAGTTTGAAATTAATGTTAAACAAGGATGCTTTGGTAAATCAGTTTCCTTAAAACTATTCATTCATATTCGTTAGTAATGTTATTCTATATCGTAATTATCTAAACACAATATATCAATATTTATACATACTCTGGTGTTGTTGGTAACCAATAAACTAAACGACCACCAATAACCAACTTCTTTGCTGCCAACTCTAATAAATCAGCCATTACATCCGGTACCTTATATTCGGTTGTTTGTGCCATATGTGACCATTTACTATAAATAATTGATTGGTTGTTAATAAATATGATTAAAAAATAATGTATAATAAGTTAAACATACAATCCTTCTGGTGGTGCTTTGTGTCTTCTGTTTTTATTGTATCCAACTCTTTTGGCACCAGCTCTTATTCCGTAGGGTGGATCGGTAATGATACAATCGAAAATAGGTCCGTCTCTCCATGGTGCACTTGAATTATCACAGATTACGACACCCACGAGATTGTCAAGCAGACCCAGTTGTTCAAAGTTGGTTTCCAAATTACAGGTCTGAGTCTTACGCATCGCTGCAACATCGATATCGCAACCAACGGTCTGTGCACCAAAGTATGAGCTAATCAACACGAACGATCCAGTTCCAACGAATGGATCCAACATGAACGAACCCGGACGAACATGTCCCATGTTGGCACTGATGATCGATAACTCTGGATCCATCGATGTAGTTCCAAGATACTTTCTATCCTGCAAATTGAACTGTGAAATCGATTCACGATTACCCTTTGCCACTAAAATACCTAAATACATATTCTGTGGTCCCTTCTCTACTTGATTGTCTGTTGTTGTAGTTGTTGTTGTTGTCATTTCATTTTCTTTTTCCTTTTCCTTTTCTTTTTCTTGTGCTCTTTCAGCCATGAGTTCTGGTGTGTCTCTTGACAATCCGTAGTCTTCAGTTAGTCGCCATACAACGTGCTCATTGACACCGTTGGGATTCATTGACACCTTTCCAGACGACCACAAAGGACTTGGTTTCAAACGATGCATTCTTTCTAGTTGATCTTCCTTGGAGAATCTTCTTCCAAATGAATCGAATTCAATCTTCCAAATTTTATCTTTGTGGAATGTTGACTACAGATTATGTGTATATATATTTGTTAGAGAATGTTGTAATAAAAGTAAAAGCTATAGATATCTATAACAGATACATACAATGAATTCAGGGTCATAGTTATTAGCAAGTTGATCGAGTAAACCTTGATAGGTGTTGGACTCTGCCCAGACTCTGTAGAATCCACGAACCAAGACAGTTCTTGAACATATCTTTTTGACGTCTTCATCCGACTCTAAATCCATATATAAAAATGGTGACTGTATAATAGACGATGATGGGAATTAGCATTTCAATTGATTAGCTTAACTCTGATATGATCATTAACTACTACTAGTAAAAGAGTAAACTAAAATATTTTACTTACAGAGATCTCCAAAACATCGGATTCAATGATTGGCAATAACGATTCATCTATACCCCATATTTTAATATTAAACATTGAGGCAACTGCGAGCAGTTCTCTATATCTAAAAGTAGGATATTGTTGTACGAAAATACAAAGATATCTAACCATTTCTTTATTATTATCTTATCTTTTTAATAAATAATAAAAATAAAATATAAATAAAGAAAACAAAAAAACGATTGAATTGAGACGATCGTTTTTTTTTTTTGTTGTTTTGCATTTTGGGAAATAATGGTATTAATAATGTTGTTATTTTTTTGAGAAAGTTTGCATCTTTGATTATTTATTCTTTATTTTCTTTTTATTTATATTTAGCCATAATTGATTTAGCAATCACTTGAAGTTGAATATTTGTTGTTCCTTCATAGATTTGTCCAACTAAAAATAATAAAATTAATTTGATAGTGTTTTGTTGTTGGTTAGTTAGTTAGTTAGTTAAGATGATATTCTTGTTAAATTTTGATTTATCGAAAACATTGTAGTTTAGTTAGTTACCTTTGCAATCACGGAAATATTTTTCAGCGTCAAACTCTTTGGTGATACCGACTCCACCGAGCATTGTGATGCATGCAGATGATACTTTTTCGGCGATTCTCGAACAGTAGAGCTTTGCCATCGATGCCTCTGTGACGAATGGCTTACCGGCTTCTTGGAGACGTGCTGCGTTGTATGTCAGTAGCTTACCGGCCTCGATGTCAACGGCAAGATCGGCGTAGGTGAATTGCATTCCTTGGAACTCGGCAATTGGCTTTCCGAATTGCTTGCGTTGCATCAAGTAGGGAAGAGTCGACTCGAATGCACCCTCGGCCAATCCGAGCATCTGCGCGGCAATACCGATACGACCTTCGTTCAATCCCTCGATAGCTATCTTGTAGCCCTTTCCGACCTGTCCCAACACGTTGGAAGCGGGCACCTTGACGTCGTTGAAGATCACCTCGCAGGTGGAACTCGAACGAATACCGAGTTTGTCCTCCTTCTTGCCAACCTCCAAACCCGGGGTGTTTCTGTCGACGAGGAATGCAGTGATTCCTCTGTAGCCGGCCGACGGATCGACATTGGCCATGACGATGAAGACGCCTGCCTCCTTGGCGTTGGTAATCCACGCCTTTCCACCGTTGATAACGTAGTAGTCACCTTGTTTGTCGGCACGTGTCTTCAAGGCGAATGCATCGGAACCCGAGCTGCTCTCGGACAAACAGAAACTACCGACCATTTCAGTGGCCAACTTTGGTAGATACTGTTGCTTTTGTGCGTCGTTTCCGTAACGCTTGATGCAGTTGTTGATCAGAGTGTTCTGAACGTCGACAATCACAGAGATACCTGGGTCGACTTTGGCCAACTCTTCGATGATGATGATCGACGACATGAAATTCAATCCGGTACCGTTGTATTCCTCTGGGATCTCGATACCCATCAAACCATTGGCAAAGCAATCCGCCAGCAATTCCTTGTCCAACTCACCCTTTTCATCCATCTTCTTAACCAACGGTCTAATTCTTTCATTTGAAAACTTTGCAACTGTATCTTTCAACATCAATTCATCCGCTGTCAATGTTGTAATTGGTGGTATTTTCTATTGTTATTATCATATTATTCATCGATTAGCGCTCTCTCTCTCTCTTATGATAATTGTACATTCATTCATTTACTAATTACCTCAAAAGATGAAGATGAAAAATTTAATCTATTTAAACATCTCTGACTACTACTACTATTGTTGCTATTTTTAATTAATTGTGTAAAGTTTTTAGCTAATTTTAATTTATTCATATTTGGTTATTAAATAAATAATAAGAGTAATAAAAAAATATTAATTTTTGTAACTATTCTGATCATACACACACACATAGCAAAAACTAATTTTGATTTTATTTTTTTTTGAAATTTCCTGTGGTTTTTTGGGTGTTAACACAACCCGATGATATCGGAATACATAATACGTATGTGATATATTTATTTTATTTATTTGTTTTGTTCTAAACTTATTATTATTTCTATTAAAGTATTATTAAACAAGTTAGCAATGACACACCTGTTAAAATACATTGGTAGTTATTAATGTGATTCCATTTCTTTAATAATGATTCTAGTACTTTTTGTGTTGTTGACGTAGCATGGATATCGATGTTATTGTTGTTAGAGTTTGATGTTTCTTCTTTTTCACCACCACTTCTTTCACTATTGGTCATTATTATTACTATCATTAAATGATTCAATTGTTTGTTGATATTTATAATTACTAGGAATGAAATGATAGATGCTGCTAAACTAAATATACCACTAACAATCCACTTGATATCACTTGTTGTATACCAGTTAATGAATAGCAATATACAATTGAGCATAGTAACATAGATTTCAATAGCACGGTACCTATTGTATTCTGACTTGGCAATATTTAAACAAGTGACAACTACATTATCATCTACCTTGTGACTCTCAAGCTTACTTTGCATCAGAGGTATAGAAAAGAATTGAAGATTAGAGAACAATGTAAAATGTATACCAGAACAAACTATACAACAGAGTTTTATGATGAATTCTACCAACCCATTCATATTTATATAAAACTTTAATATAACAAATAAACAAAAAGTTTAACTCTAACATTATTTTAATAAACATTGTTTAAATTAATATTTGTTTATAAGATTTATTAAGAGATAAAAATAGTACAAATTTAAAAAGTTAATAAATTTTTAATAAAATAATATATTTAACTTGAAGTTCTACCTCTTTTAAGGTTGATCTTTATTGAGTAATTTTACTATTGCTCTAGTTATAACTTTACAGTAGTTTTAATAAATATATATTACAATTATTTAGTTGTTGTTTTTTTTTATGTAAAAAATGTAAAAGAAATAAATCCTATTACACTGGATAAACATCTAATTTGATGAGCTGCTTTCCAATCGACTATACTTTCCCAAAGTTCCTCTTTTGCGTCGCTTGAAGGTTTATCTTTATTGCGTACTTCCTTTTCGTATAGTTTGTCAAATTTTAGATATATTCTTCTTTGTATATATGTTGAAACGATACTTTGAGACAATTGAATCAAACCAGAAACAATAAACATTCGGTACAAAGTGAAACAATATCCTATTATCCAAAAAACAAGGTTGATATATCCAACCACCAATAAGAAAGACTTGAAATTGCGACGTATTGAACGGTTGATCATCAAGACCTCAAGTACTGCGCTATCGCTATCACTCCTGATTAGCTTTGTCATCAAAGGAAATCGATCTAGCAACACATATCCAAATATAACTACATACAATGATGATGTTACAATACATATTGAATTGCATAGATATCCTAAATCAGTAATCATGATTATGACTAATCTATCTAACTCTAAAAATGAATAATATTAATTGAATGGATTGATTGATCGTTAAATTAAATTAAATTAAACACCCAGGGATCTTCATATAATTAATGATCAAAAAAAAAAAATCAAATTAATTTTAATTATATAACCACACACTCTTTAATTACAAATATAAATAAAAATAGATAATTGACAGTGTTTACCAAAATAGAATAGAATCCAATCCCATCATTAATGGTTTGTTTTAAAATAATAAAAAAATATCACACCAGATTGATTATAATTATCTGTTTTTGGTGAGTAATTGTTTAAGATAATTTAAACACCCCCTACCCCCCCTTTATTTTCTTGATGTTCATTCCAATATATAGTTGAAAGAATAAATGATAGATCATTTCGTTTATCAAATATATTTATATTGAAGATTCAACATTTATACAAAATATTCTTTGTAAAAAATCTATCTTTTTTTTTTTTTCTTTTCAATTTAAGAATCAACATATAACTATACAAATTAAATATATATAATAAATGGATAATAATTTTGATGAAATATTTAAAAAATTATCACAAATAGAAGTAGTTGTGGTTCCTCCAGTTTTTTTACCTATTGGAGTGGATAGTTTAGTATCACCATTGTACTCTCCTTATGGTCACATTTTCGAAAGATCAAAAATAGAAAGTTGGTTAGAAAAACACTCGATTTGTCCAATAACAAGAGAACCTCTTAGTTTAGAAATGTTGAAACCTGTTATCTTTGTATCAGAAGATGAAAATATATTGGAAAAAGAGAATGAATCTCCAAAACATGAATTAATTCAATCCAACCAAACTCAACCAAATCAAGCTTAATTTAATAAAACAATAAAATATGTATTTATTTATTTATTTATTTTTTTTGCATCAAGTTCAAAGACTTAAAAGTGAAAACTATTATTAAAGTTGATATATGTGGAGGAATATAATAACAAATAATTAAATTAGTTATTTAATATTAGTAATTGCATCTATAATCTATCTATGAGGAAAAACAAAATCATTGAATAAATTTAGAGAGTTAAATTTAGCGAGATTTTGTAAATAAATAAAATAGTGCAACTAGAATTATTTTTTAATATTATTATTAATATAAATAAAATAATGGAATAATAATTATAATTATTATTTATATCGATTCGAATGAGGTATAGGTGTTGGTGTTGGTGTTGGTTGGTTAGTTAGTTGGTTGATCGGTTTGGTGGAGTTTTATCCTATTAATGAAGATTGACAGGGCTTTCTGGGTGATTACCATTGTCCTCTACCAATTACAACTGAATCCAAGACAGTGTCGGTTTGGTCTTGAATGAATTGCCATTGCATGTGATCGGAATCCAAGAAGCTAACTTTGGCGTAACCAGTTTCGAGTAAACGAACACCAGATGAGTAGACTGGTTGTGGTTGGAAACCAGAGTTCAAACCTTCTTGACAACCACCAGTTCCAATTACAACATAGACGGTTGCTTGTGGATTGGCATTGCTACCATAGACTTGTGATTTGTAGACTGGTAACATTCTTTCGTATTCGTGTGAGTGACCTCCAATGAAGAAGTTAACATTGTATTTGTAGAACAAATCTTCGAGAGAAGCAATGAATTTCACTAAATTTAAAAAAAAAGAATTGATTAATAACCCAACAATGATTTAAATGGTATCAATATCTATATTCTTTAACTTACTTCTGTCCTTATCGTTACTCTTGCACCATCCAAAGGTTGAAGTGCAGTAGAGTGGACGATGAGCGAAAACAATCAACCAACCATCTGGGTTTGATTTACGGTAGGTTTGGAGTTCGTTGGTGAGCCAAGTAATTTGGTCTGATGATGGTGAATAGTCAGTCTCTGAGGAAATTCCAACAAAGTGAACACCATTGTAGTCGAATGAGTACCAGTCTCCATCGTCGGATCCCTTTGGCATCATGAAGGTGTTTTGGTAGTTTGAATTGTCACCATCGAAAATATCGTGGTTACCTGGGCAAGTCATGTATGGAATAGTGGCAGAGATTGGAGTGATCTCTTCCAAGAATTCATTCCAAACAGTTTGGTTACCATATTTACCTTCATCACCATCTTGGAGATCAGCATAAGCCTATGAAAAATTAATTACTATTAGAAAATGGAAAATTTAGAAAGTTTAAAAAAAACTACTTACAATATCACCAACATGCAAGACAAATTGGAATTGGTCCAAAGATCTAACGATGTTACGGACGGTTGAGTTGTCGACAACTGCACCCATATCACCATATGTTACGAAACTGAATGGAGTAACTTGTGAGTTGGTATTTGGGAAAGTTGAGGTGGTGAAGTTGTATAATTCACTCCATACACCGGTCTCCTTGTTACCGACTGCATAGTAGTAGGTTTGTTGCGAAGCCAATGGTGAAATGGTGGCGACGGAGGTGTATCCAGACCAGAGTTTCTCGTTGAATTCCACGGTGCTACCGGTGATGATGTTACCGGTGACGTCGGATGGGTTGAATCCCTTGTTGTCGAATTGGACACATGGTGAGGATGGTGAATCCAAAGTGAACCAGGTGACTTGCATCTCTCCTTCAGTGTCGGTAAGTGAGAGCTTAATCGAAAGTGGAGTAACATTCGATGCATTTACAATGGCTACAGCCAAAAGGACGGTAGCCATTATTTTCATGATTGAAGCTGACATATTGTTATTTTTATTGGGTCGGAAATAAATATATAAATATAAGGTCGGAAAGCGGGGTTTGTCTAGTTTTCGGAAACTTGAACTTGATCCTGAGTTTGACTTTTTAAAAGTAATAAATTTGTTGTTTAAAAAAATATAATTCTATTTATACTCTTAAACTTAAAACAAGCAATAGTATTATTACAAAAGAGGTAATGGTATGAAAATTGAAACTAAAGATAGATAAGAGTGAGTGAAAGAGCAGAACAAACAAACTGGAAAAACAATATATTTATAATTACTTAAAAAAATAAAATATGTGAAAAAGTAGTAATTATAATACACAAAGGTAATATATATGTTGTATTATTATAAAAATAACTTTGGCTCTGAGAGAGTGAGGGTTATTATATCTTTGATAACAATAGATATGTGTTTGTTGTGTGTGTGAGAGTGTTGTCAACAACAGTGGTAATACAATAATGAACTCTTTTGATATTGCTTTTATAATAAACTTCTTTTGGTCAATAAGATATAGCTATAAATGTTTTTGAATATTGAGCACACAACCTTGACACTACAAAAAAACAACAACAACAACAAGCAAAGCTAACCGATCACCAATGAAAACAGGTTTCTGTCTTACTTTTCAGTATCACTCAATTATGTTTTTTTTTTTTTTTTTGGAAATGTTTTGGGTTAAGTGTCTAAATCATATGTTTGTTGTTTTATTTTAAAAAAACTATGAAAAAGGGGTAACCTGCTTTAGTGGGGTATCACCAAAAAATAAAAATAAAACAAAAATCAAAACACATTTTTTTTTAAGAATCAAAAATAAGGATATTTATTTAGAAAAAAAAGAAATGAGAAAAAAATAAGGGCATGTTTTTTCATTTTTTTTCGTTTGTTTTTAGAAAGAATCTTGTTTTTGTGTGTGTGGTATCATTTCAAATCTCTAAACTCCGAACCCCCTCATTATATACTATGGGCTCGTGTAAAGATGTCGCAAAACTGTAACTCTAGAGTGTGCCCATGTGTGTATCACCAGGTTGTTTTAATTAAAAATCTTTTTTTTTTTTTTTTTTTTTTTTGCAATAGCGGTGTTGGTATCTGCCACTAATTACACCGAGCTTACAATGAAAACTAAACAAGATCATATCATTGACGTCAAAAAGTCGATTAATATTTAATAAAACACATGGGCACAGGCAAATATAGATAATTTGTCAATTCATATTAATATTCAAGTGGGTTGTCAAAAGCTCATCAACATGTCGATGTACAGATGACTCTTTGTCTGATACTTAATATCTTACAAAAAAACGATGAAAAGAAATATAGGGAAGAAAAGAGAAGGGAATAATAAGTCATCTCCCACGGAGATGTTGGTGATGTAGTTGGTGGTGTGCGTTGCAAGTTGTTTCTTTAAAAGTAGTGAATATCACATATTTTATTATAATTCAATAAGTTATTTGTTTGCTGCTATCTGCTTGTATGAAATTAAACATGTGTGTATATTGGTGCAAAAGTTGATAAAAATATTATTATTCCTTTTTAACTTTGCAGTATACTTTAAATGATTTTTGCAAATAATTCAAATCATCAGATTTATATTATACCACACACACACAATAAATACACATTCATTCATCATTAATCAAACGTGAGTGAGAGTGTGTTGTGTGTGTGATTCAAATAGCTTAAAACAAAAAATAAAATAAAAAAACAAATATGTAAAAAAAATAAATATTATAATAATTATTTTTTTTAATACCTATACACATTAAACTAATTATTATTGTTGTTGAATGTTGGAGATTGCGTTACACTATAGTAATGAAGAGTCGTTGTAATAGCAACTGTTATTAGTTGTGAACTTTAATTATGAGTTTTGTTTCCTTTTTTGGTATTATTACAAAGATGGAGATTTTACAGGTAAATCAATGTCGATATATTGTATAAAGATATCTCTATTTGTTGTTGTTTTTTGGTTTATTAATGTTTTTTGTTTTTGGTTTATTAATACTAAATATAAATCTTATAATTATTTGTGAAAAGTGGGGAATTGGTTATTTGTGAAGGGAAGGGAAAGTAAAGTAATGGGAGAGAAAGGGGAATGAGAATACGATGTAATAAATTATTGTTATTGTTTTTTTTCATTTTTCATTTTTCATTTTTGATTCAAATATAATTTGTTAAACTTTAACACATAATTATTGTCTAAAAGTAAATGTTTTGTACTTGTTGTGTCTTTTGTTGTTGTTGTTGTTGTTGCTGATAGTTATTCATTCCCATACCACCCATTCCTGGCTGTTGCATCATCATCATGTTGCCACCTTGTTGTTGCATTCCCATGTTTGGTTGGCCCATCATTGGCTGCATTCCCATTGGTGAGTTCATTTGCATTCCCATGTTTGGTTGCATCATGCCGTTGTTCATCATTGGTGGACGGTTCATTTGATTCATTTGTGGCTGTAGAACACCGTTATTGTTGTTGTTATTGTTGAATCCACCGTTGTTCATTGGCGAGCCATTCATTCCCATTGGTTGACCCATCATTGGCTGTGATTGGAATCCACCGCCACTGTTCATCTTCATCTGGTTGTTGTTGAAACCACCATTATTCATTGGTTGTGGTTGTTGTTGTTGCTGTCCGAATCCATTGTTATTAATTGGTTGCATTGGCATCTTATTCATCTGATTGAAGTTGTTATTGTTATTAAAGTTGTTTTGGTTCATCTGATTCATTTGATTCATCTGATTGAAGTTGTTGTTATTCAATGTCATTGGCGACATCTGGTTCATTGGCATGATAGGTTGACTGGTCTTGAGACTGTTCATCGAGTTGTTGTTGTTACTGTTAATTGGCACCAATGGAGCAGAGTTGGACGAAGATGACGACTCGAATGCAGCTTTGATCTGTAGTGCTTTCTCGTTATAGGCAGGTTCATTGAATGGGTTATAGTTTTGTTGACTCGACATCGATGAGGTCAACGGTGTACCTGTGCTTCTAACACCATTACCAAGTTGCTGTTGTTGTTGCTGATACTGTTGCTGTTGTTGTTGTTGTGGCTGAGCCATCATTGGTGAGAGTGGTTGGTTAGTGGTGATAGCGAACGGATCCAAAGGATCGAACGATTGACTTGGCTTCTTTGCCAACGACTGTTGTTGCTGTTGTTGTTGTTGTGTCTGTTGTTGTTGTTGATATTGTTGATGTTGTTGATGGAATGATGGTTGAGTTTGGTTTGAATACATTGTTGGTGTTGGTGCTGAACTAAATAAATCATCCTAAAATGTTATATAATAAGCATATTAATATTTACTACAATATATTTTTTTTTTTCATAATGATTTGATTTGATACATACATCAAAGTTGATTAAAGATGCGTCGTCCATCATCTTCTTTTGTTGTTCAAGCTGATTGTTTGCTCTAAATTGTGAACCCAAGCTGTTCTTTCTGTTGCTATTGTTATTGTTGTTATGGTTGTTTGGTCTACCATCGTCGTCTTCGAGATCTCTAAGGTACTCTTCGAGACCCTTTACAACGGTGGAGGGTGCCGGTGAGAGTTGTGGCAAGTCAATGTGGAATTTTCTTCTCGAAGAATCAAAGAAATGGATGATATCGTTGGTTTCTCTCATAAATACTTTATAGATATCCAGTGCTGTTGTTGCATCTCTCTTTGTCATCTGGAAGTAAAGTTCTACAATTTGATTTGTTAGTTGGCGGTGTGATTATTTTTACAAACACAAACTATAAAGCAAACACAAACATACCTAAAACATTGAGTACAGCATCATTTAAATTACAATACATCTTAAAGCTATCCTTTAGAAGCAGTTCGAATGCATTGATTGTGATGATGTTATCACAAACCTCTTCGACGTGAGTCGCCAACAAAGCATCAAACTGTCTTTGCATCTTTGGTATTCTATATAGGAGTTGATCGATTGATAATCCTTTTGAACTATATGATTCCTTATCAAATTCACACTGTTTGTTTGTTTGTTTGATTGATTGTTTTAATTTTTATTTTAGTATAAACATATTAAGTTTTAATTAATTGTATAGATATAGTTTGTTTGTTTATTTACCTTCATTTCACGATATGTGAAGATCTTTTCTTCAAGATAACTAGAATACTTTCTAATAAATACAGATTGTTGATGAGCTATTTAAAATATAGTGTTAGTAACTATAAAATCATTTTTTAATAACCAATCAATATGGTTATAAATAACAATAACAATAATAATAATAATAATAATAATAATAATAATAATAATACCTTGTGTAGAAGCCATATCAGTGAATCTATTCAATGGGAATACAACACCACGATGTGATAGATCTTCCAAGAATCTGATATTGCCTGATCCAAATACACGATGAAATACAATCAAGCCTTTCAATACAATCTATTTTTAGATTCACCAATATTAAATGATCGCCGATATACAGTTAATAATAATTATCATTTAAAATCTATCAAAACAAAAGTAAAGTACTTACAATCCAATCAGGTTGTTCCAATCTCTTTAGTAGATTCAAATAGAGATCACCAATTGGTCCTAATCTTTCATGTGTATAAATAACTAATTCTATTTATTTTATTAATTAATTTAAATAAATGTATAACAATTAATTATCATATCATATTAGTAAATGTTATTTATAAATGTTGTTGATATCTGTAATAATGTTTGTGATGATGATTATGATGATGATAGTAATTGATATTGTATAATGTAAAATCAATTTAATCAAACAATCAGTCAATCAATCAATCAACATGTTATTATTTTTATTTGATTATTTATTAGCTGGTATTATTATTATTTAATATTAAACCTACTTCTAACATGTTTCTCTTTTGGTACTCTCATTTTGTGTCTTGTTGCTTTGATACAAGTACGCTCGAGATCATTGAAGCTAGCTTTGACAATACTAGCTTGATCTAGTGCTTTTCCCCATGCATTCGACATCTTTCTACTTCTTCTTTTAGTTCTTTTGTTATTGTTGTTGTTCCTGTAGTTGTTTTAGTTGTAGTTGTAGTTCTTTGTTTCTACTTAATATATAAAAATCAATTATTTTAATCGGTTTTTTCTGATTGATTCAAACTATCTATCCAATATAAATATATTGTGTGTTATATTAAATTTTCTTTGTCAGACAAAAAAAAAAAAAAAAAAAAAAAAACTAAAAAAAAAAAAAATTAAACAAAATTAATTTGGGGGTTGAAAAACCAATTTTAACAGATTTTTTTTTGTTGAATTTTCAAAAAAAACGGTTCATCATAGTTTTTTTTTTATTTTGTTATAAATATTTTTCATTTTAAAAAAAAAAGGTCATTAGTTATTTAGTATTTCAGAATTCCCGAATTAAAAATCTATCTAGTTTATTTAATATTTTTATAATTTAATAATTTATAATTCTCTATTTTAGGTAAAAGAAATTTGAATGATATCTGATTCTTTTTTTTTTTTACAAGAACATCACATTTGGGGTTTTTCAGTTTTGTCAATAAAATCATAAAAATTTGTTGATAAATTGATAAAAAATATTTATTTGATATTAAAAGGTTGTATGGGGTATAGATATACTTGTTTTTATTCCATTCATATCAAGATTTACTGAAAAAACCAATCAATTGATTTTGTTTATCTCAAAAATATTTTTTCAACCTAAAATACAAAGATATATATCATTTATTGATGGTTTATAGATTCTAATATGTTTTTAAGATTTTTTATTTTATTTATAATTTTTATTTTCCAAATTGTTAAAGCAGAATTAAATTTGGAAAATAATTTCCAAAATTCAACTTTTATAATAGAACAAGGAGGTATTACTAGGCTAGAGATGAATTTTAGTAATTCCTCGATTGTGTTTATTAATAATATTACTTTAGATTCGAATATATATAGTAATAATATAGAAATAGAGAACCAAGAAAATTTATTTATAAAATGTTTTTTCAAAGAAAATTAAAAAACAAAAATTATAACATCCAAATTTCAGACAATAATACTATTTTATTTAATAAAACAATAAATCTATCAAGAAGTAAGTTAAAAAATTATTAATATTGTAAATTAACAATTTTAACCGTTTTTTTAAAATAATTAAAAATTAGAAATACCCTATATTACAAATGTCACAAACAATTCGGAGGAAAGGATAACTTATATTTATGGAAACTTCTCAAATATCAATCCATTCAATCGAACAAAAGATAAATATTTAACTTGTCGAGAAAGTGATCTACTTGACTTTAATTCCTCTTTAATTAGTCTTAGAATCTTTTATTTTCCAGATAATTGTTCAATTATAGTTGGAGACTCAGACCCTTTTTATTTCAATATGAGTTATTTCTATTTTGGAGTGAATAGTTATAAATCTGAAGAAAGAGAAGGTGAACATTTTGGAAGGCATCTTATTCTTACTCTGCTTCCGGTAATATTTATTTTAGGAATTCCATACTGTGCGGTTTTTATTCTTGTAATTGTCAAATGTTATAAAAGAAAGAAATCCAAAGAAATAGTTTAATAATATTGTAATAAAATTTTATTAATAAATTTAAATTCCTAATATAAGAAATAAATCCTTTATTTTTTTTTTTTGGTTTAATCTAATCTTGAATCTGGAGATTTGAGTATTTGTGGAATCTTTTTGGGAGTTGGTGGATGTGGATAAGTGTAGGAGTGTGTAGGATGGTTTGGTGGAATGTCAGACGCTGGTAAAAGACAAACAAATTTATCTGCAGGCCATTCTGGTAATATGAAATCACTAAAATATACCAGCCCAAGTTTTTCCAAGATGTGTCTGGATACCGGATTCCTTTCCATAGTTGTTCCAACAATGTAGATGCCTCTCGATAGTGCATAGTCAACACAGGCTCTGGCAGCTTCGTAGATATATCCTTTTCTTGAGTATTCAAGGAGGATTGAGTATCCAATATTCACTTCATCCTCCTTGAATATCTTAACGGGTCTATCAACCAAACCTACTGTTCCAATGGGTGTACCACATTGTTTTAATCTGAGTATGAATAGTCCCCAACCATTCTTTTCATAAGACATATGGATCATTCTTACATACTTCTTAGCACTTTCAATATCTACAATACCAGCAGTACCAAGATATTCTAGAATCACAGGATCTTGACGCATCTTTACTAAAAATTCAGCATCATCTTCTGTCATTTTATTTAAAATACATCTTTCTGATACAACAACTGCTGTTTTGATTAATTCTTCTAAATTCATTCTTATTATTTGATTATAAAGATAAAGGAGAAATAATAAATAGTTGGTGGTAAAGCCATCATCACTAAAGACTTTTTACAACTTTTTAATTAAAAAAACCTCAAAAAAAAATCTTCAAAAAAAAAGAAAAAAATATCTTAATGTCAAAAAAAAACCATTTGGGAAAAGATAGTTAAAATGATTCAAATCCAAAGATATTTTAAAGTAAAATATCTGAATGAAGTCCTAAAACATCTTAATCTTAAATGATGTTATTAAAATCAAACAAAAAATCATAACAAAAATGATCATATTGTTTGAAAAACTATTTATTTAAATAAATTGTTGGGATGGCAATACTGTTACCTCGCATAAAAACTAGACATCAAGATGAGTGAATAGTTCAAGTCGTTGGATGTTTTCTTTAAACTTTCAATGAGTTGTTCAACCTTTCCTTTTGCTTCTGGCCGTTTGTTCTCGGTGGCCAAGTAGTAAACTGAAATGAGGGTGAAGCATTCCTTTAGCAATGCTGTAGCATTGTGATACTGTGTTTGTTCTTTGGTGGTACCTTGATAGTTGTTCCATTGCTTGCTGGCTTGCTCCACCAAAGGGTTGGGATTGGTGTTGGGTTGTACACGATTAGCTTTACGGTGTCCACCGTTGATAGCGTGATCCGCACGCTTCAAAAAATCGGCAACCACAACCTTTACAAAATCCAACGGACTCAGTAACTCTCCGAATATATTTCTTTGCTTGTTACATGCATTTTGTAAAAAGAACTCGATATTGAATTGATTTATATGTTGATAGTGTAATGAAATACATTCTAAAAATAAAAAAAAAATAAAATAGTTAATATTAAATAAATAATTAAATAATTAATAATAATTTTACCATCTTCTAAAATTGTAGATTGGAAATACCATCCAGCTGGAATTATTAAAGTTTCTTCCTTATTTAAAAATACTACTCTGCCACTAAACTTTGAAATTAAATCCAAATCGTCTTGAGAAAGCTGTGGTTCGAAATAAATGTATCTTGTTTTGTTATTATCTTTGTTCAAAAGATGTTTATTGTATTCTCCCATTTCGATTATCTTGTTTGGTGGGAAAAGTATTACCTATTATATATAAATAAATTAATTGATAAATATTTTTAAAAAAAGAATGAAATTTAGCATGTTATTTTTTTTTTTTGACTTACTCTAATCATTCCTTGTAAATTTGTAATTGAATAATCCAAAAATTGTCTATGTAATGAAATAATCGATCCAGATCCACCAATAAATAAGAAAGATTTATTATATTGACTCTGTTTTCAAATAAAATAAATGATTGAAAAAAAAGTAAGTACTAATCTATAAAATAAAAATAATATTCAAACTCATTCTTACTTCTTTAACATGATTTAAATAATTGGTGTTGAAATATGGTAATTGTTCCCAGCTTGTCGGTACTTCATATTCCATTTTGACACAACAGCTGTTTCTCATGCTACGATTGGTGCTATCTGTAAACTTGCTGAACGATCCAATCCATTGGTAGTTTCTTCCAGAGTCATCGACATAGTTCCACATTGTTTTAGCTTTTGGATGTTTCTGTTGAAGATAGTTCACAGAGAACTCTGATGTTTCCGCCCACGACTTGGGTAGACCGACCATCAAGAGTGGCGTGGAGCTGGCAGCACAACGATGTAACAAAGAGTTGTCAGACACCTCGTCGTACCCGACGATATCGACTCCACGCCTATCGAGTCTGTTGGTCGCCTGCAATCGATTCGGATGAATCAATTGGCAGTGAATCTCAATGTCTTTGTACTTTTGGAAGATCTGGGTGCATCCCCATACCGGACAGGAGTACACCTCAGTCTGAATCGGAATGGTGGTAAAAGTTGGACGATCGAAATGTTTAAAGTGTTCCATTGTTAGATTCTGAGTGTTGTTGTTGCTATTAGTGTTGTTTTTGTTTGTTGATCTGAGGTTGGCAAAACTTCGGGAAATATCGAGACTGTTGTAAAGTAGTGAGTTGGATGAATGACCATTGTATGAATGGGAGAGAGGGTTGGTGGTTGCAGTGGTTGTGGTGGTGTTGGTGATACTGCTGCTTGTGTTTGCTAGTGGATTTCTGTGTGATGAGAAGTTGCTGTTGTTGTTATTCAAGTCAGACACTAAATCTTCGTCTGTCTTTGAAATTGATTTGATAATATCGAAAATCGATATTTTTGGAACGAATGAAACGGGTGGAATCACTTTTTCGGTTTCGTTTGGTGGTGTGCGATTTTTAATTACATCGGAATATGATAAATATGGGTTGTGTCTTTGTTTATTATGTGAATTGTCACTTTTATTTAAATTATTATTATTATTATTATTACTATTACTACTATTATTATTACTATTATTTAAATGACCATTTTCATGATTATTATTATTATTATTATGATTATGATTATTATTATTGAGGTTGATTATATGATGATTACTACTACTATTGTTGATATTATTATTGTTATGATTATTATTATTGTTAATATTTGGTGAATTATTTATATGAATATTATTAGGTTTATTAATATTAATGTTATTATTATTGTTGTTATTCGGTTTATTGATATTATTCTCCCATATGACCATTATTAATTGTAATAGGAGGGTTTAAATTTCCATCTAGAAACATTGCTTGTATAGATGGAATTGAAGGCGATTGTTTGTGTTGATTGGAATTGCTAATGCTATTATTTAATTGTTTGTTGTTTGGACTACCTGGAGGAAATTGTATTTTTAGATTGTTATTTATACTATTTATATTATTGTTATTATTATTAATAAAGATAGGATCACTCGCTTTGCTACCAGGTGCTGAATCCATTTTCATTCTCTGATTGATTTGTTGAATGGCTGAATGATTTCTGTGTTGTTGTTGCTGTTGTTGTTGTTGTTGTTCGTATGTTTTGTTATTAGGTGTCTGTGGGTAACTAGTTGTATTTGAAGCTGGATAGGTTGTTGTCGATTGCTGATGTTGAAGGTGTTGCTGCTGCTGCTGATGATGATGTTGCTGCTGGTGTTGCTGGTGTTGTAGCTGTTGATGTTGTTGCTGTAGCTGTTGATGTTGTAACTGTTGCTGTTGATGTTTCAACATTTGAATTTGATGCTGATTCAATTGCTGTGGAGATAATGGTTGATGAGGTTGAGGTGACACTCTATTATTACTAATATTATTATTATTATTATTCACAAAAGATACACTTGTTGGTTTGCCATTGGATGATTGAATATTACTCATTTTTTCGATAACTACAAATACTACTACTATTTACTTATTGATCATCAATTAATTGAAACTAATCTGTTTATAAATATTTTTTTCAATGATAATAGATAATAATAAAAATAATTAATTAATTAATTAATATAATAAACTAATTTAATAAATAGAAATAATATTATTGTTATGTATTTTATTATGATTTAAGTAATTTAAATATTTTAAAAGAAACAAAGTTGTAGATTTTAATTTAGATTAGAATTGAATTGACAAAAATAAAAAAAACTTAAAGATAAAAATTATTTTATGTCTGTAATTATTATTATTATTATTCTTGTATTATTATTATTAATACTATTAATATTAATATATGCAATGTAATCAAATCATAATTTCACATATAACATTATTGATAATAATTATTTTTTTCTTATTATTATTTGTTGTTGCCTTTTAATAATTAATTGTTTTCTATTCTAAAATGTAGTTTTAATTTATTTATACTTACAGCTTTATAAAATATTAAATTAATATTTATTTTATTGTTATTCAAGATAAATTAGATATTTAAATTGAAAGAGTACAATTTTATAAGTAAATAATTAAGAACAAACTAGAATACGTTTTAATTAATAGAAATTCAAAAAAAAAAATATTAAAACGAAATATAATTAAACTATGTAAATTGAAGATTGATATTCTAAATTATTTAATATTTATTACTGATGTAAATAGATGAACAAATAATAATATTTAGCTTGAGCAATAAAACTAAAAAAATAAGGAATATTTTTTGATGCACAATGACAAGGAAAGTTGTGCCCAAAATTTTTTTAAAAAATCAACCAAGAATTTTAAATAAAAAATTTGTTTTTTTTTTTTTCAAAGGGAATTAATATCCAATGGTACTTGGCTTAATAAGTAATAATAATAGAAGACAACAAAATTTAAAGAAATTGATTGATTTATTAAATCAAAAATATATAGATGTGATTGTGATTAAAACCAAAAGTTGAATAGATAATAATTGATTTGAAAAATAATAATAATTTATCAATCTGGTTTATAAAATATAATTTGAAATTATTTTAATCCTTTTATAAATTTATGAAAATTAATTATACTAATATTTTAAAAATATTATTTACAATAAATAAATACTGTTATAATTAATTTTTTAAAATTTTACATTCAAAATTTATTAGAATTTCTAATCTTTGGAGAAACAATATTCTATTGTTTGGTTTGAATAATTAATATTTAGTGATCTAAATATATTGTATATTTGATTTTAAAATTTAAATTTTGTATAATCTTTTTCCGGTGTATTAAAATTATAATTCATAAAGAAATTATAATACAATTAAAAATTATTCTTCGAAAAAAAATTAACGTAATAAATAACTTTGACTAAAATAGTTATTATATATTATGAACAAATGAATCAATATTGATGTATTAAAATAAATATTGAATAAAATAAAATAGAAAAAGTAATTTAAGAAATACAAAGTAGTAAAGTAAATAACAAAAACAAAATCTAATTCTAATAAAAAAAAATCTACACTACTAAATATTTTTTATCGATATTATCAATTATTGATGGTTATAAAATAGTCACTAATTAATACATACCCTTTGAATAATAATGGTTGTGTAAATTATTTATTTCTCTATCTATAAAATAATAATTATTTATTTACTAAATTAATGATCACAAAAAAGTTATTTTGAAAATTTTTTTTTGTTTTTTGATTTTTTTTTTTTTGTATTTTTTCTTTCATCAGCAAAACTTGCAAAGTTTATATTTAAAATAAATAAAGGAAATATTATTTGATGTACTACTACAATTGTTATATTATTATTACTATCATATTGATATATTAAATCTAGATTGTTTTATTATTAGAGTATAAATTCAAAATTATTCATATTTAATGAAGTAAGTGTTTATAAAGTTTTGTTTTCTACTATTATTTTCAACTCGAAGCTCTTCGAGTAAATAAGGATATAATCATCCCATTTCTATAGAATTACACTTAATACTTAATACTACACACTACATAAATAATAATGAAGAAAACAAATTAATCGAGATATAAAAAGAAAACTTGTGAAGTTTGTTAAAATAAAAAAATAAACACACAAAATTTGAACAACAAATGTGGTGGGGTCACAATTTTTCCATTGCAAATATTCATAAATTTGGAGTTTTTTAATTAATTATTTCATCCACGTGATTAAAAAGAAAAACTCTCTATAAAGCTTATTAGCTAATAAAAATAAAAGAAATTAGTTTTATAATGAATAACAATAGCAATAATCATTTTTATTTTATAAACAATAACAATAATAATGATAATGTTGGACAATATCATGAAAATAATCATAATAACAATGCCTCAAAGAATAATGAAAACAACGGTGTCTATATAATTCATAGTGACGGTTTAAGTTCATCTGCAGATGCATTGAATATTCAAAATATATTACATAGTCATAGTTATAGTCAAAATAATATTAATAATAATAATAATAATAATCATTTTTATCAACAACAACAACAACCACAACTACAACAACAACAACAATTTCAAGATATTAATCAAAATGTTAATGTTGGTGGTACTAGTAATTATTTTAGAACATTAGTTTCGGGTAAAAAGAAAAGATTCATTCAAGATGGATTCAATCTTGATCTATCGTATATAACAGAGAGAATTATTGCCATGGGCTATCCAGCTGATAGCTCTGTTCACAAGATGTTTAGAAATGACATCAGCCATGTTTATAACTTTTTGAAACCTACCATAAAAATCATTGGAAAGTATGTTATTTATTTTATTTAGATTAGTGAGATACACTTGCACACAAAGAAATAATAATATTAACAATAATAATAATTTATCAATAATCTTATTAGATTGTAAATGTTGCTCAGGAAATTTCATACAGCCATACGAAATTAGGTGGCAATGTAATAATAGAGGCATTCGAAGATCATACTCCACCACCATTTTTGCAACTACTGAAAATTATAGATATCATTGACAAGTGGCTGTCGGAGCATCCAGAGAATGTTGTTGCCATCCACTGTAAGGCGGGAAAGGGTAGAACTGGAACTGTTATATCCTCCTATCTAGTACATATGTTGAAAAATAATGTTCCAGAGGTGTTTGCCACCTCTGATGCTATTCTGAGTACGACTCTAGGATTCTTTAATTCGATGAGAAGCAAAAGCGGTGAATGTGTGACCGTTCCATCGCAGAAGCGGTACGTTGGATACTATATTTCCTACCTCAGAAACGAAATTTCCTACCAGTCTCTATTAAATCCTCCTATCTATCGTGTTGCCAACATCGAACTCCTATTCCTCCCATCATCGATTCACCTGACCTCCATTGAGATTCACAATAGATATAATCCAAACATAAAGAGTTTACCAATTATTTTACATAAAAAAAATAGCACACTCTATGTAAGTATTTTGTTAATTATAATTATCCATCTATTTATTAAATCTTTTTTTTTTTTCAAATAACCAATCCAATCACAATCCAAAGTTCAAATAATTGTTATATAAGATTTGAACCTGTAAATTTAAAGATAGATGGTGATGTTATGATTAAATTTAATCAGATGGATTCAACTCAATCGATATTTAGAATTGTTGTACATACTTCATTTATAAAAGAACCATTGCCAACTGACAATGGAATTACTACACTTTCATTTGGTCGTTCGATTCTCGATGGTGCCACACATGGTGCGCTGGACGACAATCGATTTTCCAATGATTTCCAACTGAAAATTGCACTAGAATCAGTGACCCAGCAACACTATCCAATTACAGTGGCGAGATCACGATCGTTGTCAGAATCTCCAGCTATGCAAAACCTCACAGTACCTCTGGAACTCTGTCCACCTCCAATACCAGACCGATCTAAAAAACCATTGCTTTTGTATCAACACAATAATAATAATAATAATAATAATAACCAAACACAACAACACAATATTGGTAACATTCCATATTCTCTGTCGGAAAGTGAGATTTCAAAAAACAGATATTCCACATCGTCTTCTTCATCTTCCTCGTCCTCAACAAATACACACTTATCATCATCATATGATAATGAATATATTTTATAATAAACAAAAGAAAATTAATATTTTTAAATTCAATAAATAAAAATAAATGAAATTTATTAATTTGTTAATTGTTTACTATATATACAAATATTATTATTATTAGGATTTCACCAAAATATTATAATATTTTCTTAGGATTTTCAATTTTGTATTGGTTTTTGTTTGTTTTTTTTTAATTATTAATTTAGATATTCCATTTTCTAGAACTCTGAATTATAACCCTGTGATCTATTATTTCTAATTAAACCATCTAAAATGTGATCAGTAGCCATATGAAGTTCGAAAGCATTGTCACACTTGAAATATAATCTTCTTCTATCTTTTAGTACTATTTCCCATTCGGTCCATGATTCTTTCAAGTTGAATTGGTGGATTGTAGACCAGGCGATTTCTTGGAGTAGATCTGCTTCATTCATTGAAATTACTTTGATTCCCTCTTCGCAAACTCCAAGTATTCTTGGCTGAGACCATTTTCCCTTTGTAAATTCATCCTCGCCAAGTAGTTGAGTGACTTGGAATCTTGTTTCAGCCAACTCGTTGAGTGGCGATTTATCCATTTCCTTCTTTGGCGACTTTTTGAATAAATTTGATAATGGTCTGGCTATCTTCATTTTTGTTTATTTTATATTTTAGAAAAATAAGAAATAGGTGAATGGAATAAAAATAAAAAAGATATAAAAAATAAAATATCAAAGTTTAATATATTTGATATTATAAATAAATAAAAAAGTAAAAAAATAAATAAATAGAGATAGATTTGATGAATGTCTGTGACTTTTAAAAAAATAAAAGGTATGACTAACTTGCAGCAGATTTGATATCTCTTAAAACTTTATAGGTTATTTTTTATTGAGGTAATAGAAAATGGAAAAAATAAAAAAAAGTAGATATTCGAATTCGAAAATTAATATTATATACAAAAATAATGGTGATGAACAAAGTCAAGACAATAGAAAAATAGAAAAATATACAATAACTATTGGAATGTAAAAATAAGTAGGTGTTAATCAGTTTGATGTTGGTTGGGAAGATGGGTTGTTCGGTACTGATTAGAATTACTATTTAACAAAATATATTTATAAATATATATAATTGAATGATAGATTTAAATTGAATATATACAGGATTGTAATAGTAGTAATAATATATATATATATATGGAGACTTTGTTGTTATAAATAAAAATTTAATTTGATAAATAAAATGATGAGTGAGTGAATGAATGAATTGTGGTCTGTGAGATGGTGTGAATGATGAAAAAAGAAGTATAGTAGTTTTGAAAATATTGGAAAGTGGAATAAATATGAAATATTGTTATTCAATTGAATTCGATATTGTTGGTTAGTGAGGAAGTTTGATGATGAGTGATGTTTGATTGTTGTTTCTGTTGTTGTTTTAACTATATAAATATAAATTATATATATGTGAAATAAATTTGGTGTTAATTTTATTTGATGTTAATTTAATTGAGTGATGTTTAATATATATAGATTCCCAGAGAGAGAAAAAAATTTTTTTTTTTAATTTAATTTATTTGAGAATTGCTATTATATTTCTTCTTTTCTCTCTAATTGTGTATTTGTGTGAGATTGATTGATCGTGTGTGTGTATGTGTTTATAAAGGTGTGTCGTGGGGGTGGTCTCCATCCAATCATGATCATATATTCTATTTTAAATACCCACACACGCTTAGTGTGGGGTTTAATTAAGAAAAAATGAATGATTCAAATATAGTAGTGGAATAAATAAAGATTGGTGGTTGTTTTGTTATTTTTATTATTTATTCAAATTTTTTCTTTTTATATTAATATAAAAACAACAAAATTTGCAATTTTTGTTTTGTTGGGTGAAGAGAAAAAAATTATTTGATTTCAATCACAAATTAAACGAGATATTAAAATAACAACAAAAGATTGAACACCCTATGATAGCTTTATTAATCATTCATGTGATCAGGCAAATTGTAGCTGATTACTGACAATCATTACTACCTATGATTATTGGTTTTAAAAATACATTACTTTATTATTTTTTTTTAAAAAGAAAACAACTTTATGCTGAGAATGAGAATAGAAAGTCAATCTCAGGGTTAATTCAAAGAAACTCAAGTAAGTTTCACTCAAATTATGGTCATCCTCAATCTCATTAATAATAATACTCTACAACAAACTATTAGTATTAATATTACAATATTTGCTTATCACGTGAATGTTTATTATTAAACTGATACAAACATATTTTTAATATCACTAACACAAAAATAAAACTTTTCTTTTTTTTTTATTTTATTTTATTTGCAAATAATTCTTTATATTGCAAAACAAATACTTTAAATAATAATCATTTGCATGCCAAAAATAAATAAATATAAAAACACCATCACTCACTTAATTTAATATTAAAAAAAAATGGGTTGAGTTTCAAAGAAATAAAAAGGGAATTACCCTTTTTTGTACTTACGAAAAGAAAAAAAAAACAAACACCCAGATCAAATAATTTTAACCAACAATTGAAATATGTGCTGGTTAATACAGTTAATGAAACCATGTTGGGTTTGTATAACATTACTTTTTATTTGTGCACTATTTTTTGTTTCAAAAGAAATTGATATTTTTGGCATTGGAAACAGGACTACCACATCACATTGATTATCATCCCACCATTCAACATCAAAGTTGATTAATATAAAAATAATTAACACTTTTTATGTTGTTATTTTTATAACATTAAGTAATTTTAAATGATTTTTACTTTAAATCAAAACCAAAAAAATAGATTTATGATATTTAAATTATCTAATCAGAATGTAACATCATGGATTAATATAATAATGGTATAAACTCTTAAAGGCATCTCAAAATTCAAATGATCTACAACAACACAATGTTAGTTGGATGGTAATTAAAAAAACAGAAACAGCAACAACAACATTCTTTTTATTATGTAGAATGCGTATTACCGACAATATATGATTTATTTTTATTATATTGATTATTAAATGTTAAAATTTCATTTTTATTATTTATTACTAAATTTGAAATCTTTATTTATAATTATTATATAAAAACTAAATTAAAAAGTTACATATTAAAATAATATTAATAAGTTAAATAAAAAGGTAAACTATGATAACAGATTTGTAGATTAGTGCAACAACTTTAAGACCCTTCATTTCATTATTAAAAAAACCATAAAAAAGTCATCGGTTGAAAGTTTTTTTTTTTTTAATAAAATCAAACTTTATCATTTTTTTGATATTTTTTTTCTTCAAAAAATCTACCATTTTTTGATTTTGATTTTTTTTATATTTATTTTTTTTGTTTATACAATTCATTCAGCATCAATAAATTATATATAATTTACTCAGTAGTCAAGAGCCGATAATAGATCGGATAGATAAAAATATTTACATGCACTAATATAGATTAGAATTTTTAAATCACACCATTAATCAATCAATCGATAGTTAGTTATACAATTACCTCATTGAGTAGTGTAAATAAAACAACCCACCAAACTGAACATCTCTCAACATAACAACACAATCACAATTAGAAACAGATAAAATTCAATTTAGCACAAAACCAAAAAAAAAAAAAAAACAAAAAACAAGTTTTTTTTTACATAAACTACACCACCAACAACAACAATAAAACCTAAACTAAAAATAATTATTAATAAATCAGTGAACCAAAAATAAGTTGATTGATCTGATTTCATTACACAATTTAGTAGTAGAGTAGTAGTTTATGTATTGTTTGTTATTGTATCAATATTAATATCTATATCACCAGTATCTAAGCAATCAATTAAATCAAATCACATCCAATCAATTTTGTATATAATCAATCTATTTATTTATTTTATTTATTTTATATTTAAATATAATTGTACCAATCTTTAGTTAGTTAGTTAGTTAGTTAGTTTATATCAAATATAAACTTTCAATCGATATCTATGATTCCAAATTCCTCTCATTCACCAAAAAGTAAGTATTCCAAAAAAAAATTAGTGTTGGAAATTTCAAAACAAAAAAGATAAATCTGGAAATAATGTGTTAATATTTGATGATGATGATCATTGATTGTAGTGACAGGAATAATAGGAAATCAACAGCAACAACAGCAACAACAACAGAATCAACAACAACAGCAACAGCAGATTTATGACGGTGTTTTATATTGCTGGGGTGAGAAGTACTCTAGTAAACCATCGTTCAATGCAGTGGTGCCAAATATAGTTTCTTTACAATCGGGATTCACTCACTCTTTGGCGTTGACACAGGAGGGCGAGGTCTACGCCTGGGGCGACAACAGATCGTCGCAGCTCGGTGTGACAAACGATGTACTGAATCGCGTCAATGTAGGTCGACCAAGAACAGTGACAGCAAGCGGATCTTCATCGCCATTCACACATTCACCCGTTCCAATCTTGTTGTCGATGTCGACTTTCGGTGGACAGCGCGTCAGGATGATTGCAGCCGGTGGATGTTACTCTGCTGCAGTCCTCGAGAATGGACTTTTATATACTTGGGGAACGCTCGACGATACTCAATCGAGCAAATCACTGGCCACCCCAACCAAAGTAGATTTACTAAAGGGTGTTATTTGTGTTGCGCTCGGTCTCAATCATGTGGCGGTGGTGGCCGAGACCAACACACCAGAGAAGCGTGCTGTCTACACTTGGGGATCGAATCGTAAAGGACAACTGGGTGTGGTTGGTGACTCTATTACTAGCGCGCCTAGAAAGGTGACGCTCGGAGCACGTGCACTCACTGTTTCGTGTGGTGATGAATTCACCGCGGCAATTGTCGAGGGTAACGAAGTATTTGTATGGGGAAACAATCGTGGCAGACAAATTGCATCTAATAACACTGACGATGTTTTAACGATTCCCGTTAAACCGTTCTTGGGACGCGATATCGTTGAGCTGAGTTGTTCGCGAAACTATATTGCCGCGCGTTCCGGTGGCGGCGCCGTTTATATCTGGGGAAACAATGAGCACGTTTGTCGTGCTGGAGACAATGACAAGACGCACACCATTCCAAGTGGTTGTCGCGTCAAGCAGATATCGGCTGGTTTGACACATCTCTTGGCACTCACAGAGAAGGGCGAAGTCTATGTTTTGGGTTCGGGCGACGACGGCCAACTCGGCGCACTCGAAGACAAAAAGTCGACTTCCACATTCAAAAAGATCGCAGCACTCGAGGGAAGAACAGCGCACTTTGTTCACGCATGGGCACGTTGCAGCTCCGCCGTGTTGGAACCTGGCAATTTCCGAGTGGAGATATCAGAGACTATGCGAAGACAAGAGAATCGCACGTCAATCGCACCCTACTTCCTGCGAAGATTGGTTCACTACATAAGAGGCGATAACTCCAAACAGGAAGGTATATTCCGTTTGTCAGGATCGAAAGCAAGAGTCGACGAGTTGGAGCGACGTCTCGATTTGAACGAGCAGTTTTCAATCAGTGCTAAATACGAGATTTACGATGCCGCCGACAATATGAAGCGATACTTTAAGAGTTTGCCAGAGCCAATCTGCACGAATTCGTTGTGTGCGCGTTTCGAGCGTCAGATTATCAACACCGACGACCTCCAAGAAAAGAAGACGATGATTAAAGAATGGATCTCACTGCTACCCAAAGAAAACAGAGTGTTGTTGATCTATTTGCTTTCGTTCTTGGGTGAGGTGGTCGAGACACAGACCAAACACATGGGTACCAATGCGATGGGTGCCAAGAATCTGGCGCTGGTTTTCGCTCCAAACTTACTCACAAAAGGAGAGATTGGAAATGACGATGTCATCGAAGTTATGATCAACATGTTTGATGAAATCATTGCCGACTATCCCGAGCTTGAAAGCAGCTTGATCATCGACCAAGCAGAGGATGGATTGGCGTATCAATCCGTTGCAAAAGTTCCCTATATAATAGAGCTGTGGAGTCGCACAATGGCTGCGCGTGAGTCAGCGAAACGTGCATTCTTTGAGCCAGCGGTGTTGACGTTCATTATCGATGCAATCGTTGAAGGATCTATTGAGTCACGCGGTGGCAACGCCAATAGATCGCGATCGTCTAGCTTCAATCTTGGCAACGGCAACGGCGCCCCCGCCAACGGTTCTCTTAGCGCCTCAGGAAACACACCACCTTCACAGTCACCTATGCACTCACCAAAGCGAGTGTCATCCTCGCAATACAAACCGATCAATGGAAACACCAGTCCTATTCTCTACGGCTCACACTCGAGTCCACAACTCATCTCAACTACACCACTTGTACAATTTTCAACATCACTCAACAGCTCAACATCCGGTATCTATCACAGCAGCAACAGCAACAACCAACATATTTCACAGGCTGAATTGCAGAGAAATTATGAACAGATTCTCTCACTCGTATTATCACCCATTATATCCATCAAGAATTTACTTAGAGTACTTCCATCAATCGTCGAAATCGATGTAAACTCACTTCTTATTAAACTTTTATTAGCCAACAAAGTATGTATCCAGTAGATTAAATTATCAGTCAATGGTGGGATTTGTTTTAACACATACTAATTATAACAACTCTCTCTTTTAGTTTGTTAGATGTATTACAAATAATCTTTCGAATACCATGAATGACTCGATCAATCAAATCAAAGATATCGTTGATATCTCTCAGTACAACGAGAAGATCAAACAACTCAATTCGACATTTGAATCACTTACCTCCGATGTAATGTTCATCGAAGAGAGTTTGTCTTACTGGAGGAAACAGTCGCAATCGATTACAATGTATGCCAACAGCATATTGGAATATTTCAAATGGTGGAACACCATGCAGTTGAAACAGCTTTCCGACGTCGAGGAGAAGGTTTTGCGTTGGAAAAAGGATTACGACAAGAGCGAAACCGAAAAGTTGAAACTTGAGAAACAGTTGGGACAGCTCGAGACCAAGCTCAAAGATTGTTCCAACAACAACAGCGCTCAGCAGAGCGCGACCGACTACGAATCGCCAAAGATCAAGTTGGAGTTTGAGATGTGGTGTATCAACAACCAGATACTCACCGTCATCGACAAGATGGACTACAACTCGACGCAGATGCACAGATTCATGCAAGACAAGACAGCACTGCAGTCGTGCGTCGACCAATTCAAACCGCACTACCTGGTGGTCGAGGATTTCGTGAATTCGACAAACACCAATCTCGCCAACCACCTGAAATCACTGGAGACCTACCTCGTCGATGCACAACAACACTTCCCAACACTTTCGAATCAATATTTCGATCTCGTATTCAAATTCCACACTGCCAGCCAAAACAACTCGAAAGACACAATCAACAAGCTTGCAGCATACTTTAACAAACCATCACCTCTTATTTCACTGGAATTAGAAACCAAATATAATTCCATTAAAAAATTATAATAATAATAATAACCCCCACATCCTCAAAATATAATATAATAAAATTTTATTAATAATATAATACTTATTTTAATTAATAATTATTTATTTTTATTTTGTTTAATTAATTAACAAAAAAGAAATTATAAAAATAAAGTTCAAACAACTTTTATTTTGGGAAATGTAAATATTCAAAATTTTTTAATCCTGGTATCGAAAAAAACCTGTTTTTGTAGTTTTCGTTTTTTTTTTAGTTTAGTTGTTCTGGTATCAAACAGTGTGGTTGCAAAAAAATAAATAATTTTAATTTAAAAAAATTAAAATATGAATACCAGTTTGCAAAGATTCAGTGTTTATCAAGATGATTGTGTCTGTTTAAATAGACCAGAGGTTTAATTTTTTTCGAAATTTCAAATCACTAAATAAAACAACACTTTCACCAATATTTATTTGTAAATAATATTATTTTTTTTTTAAACCTGTTTTTAAGAAACACCACCACTAGTATACTATTACCATTTTTTTAATAATACAATTTTTCATACAACTTCAAATCAGAAAACACCACCCATTTTTAAAAGTAACAATTAATTTTTCATAGATATATATAAATCAATCAATCAAAATACACAGTAGAAATATTTCAATTTTAGTAACAACAAAATATTTTATATAGTAGAAATTAAATATTAAAGATTAAAAATTATATAAATAATTTATAGAAAAGATTATTAATAATATTATTTTTCTATCTTAAAAGATAATATAATAATTATTTTTTAATAATTTTATTACAATGGAAATTAAATTTATTTTAATTTTTTCATTGTTAATTTTTGGATTGACGGTATCAATTCAAATTCAAGAACAAACCACTCATATCAATGTGAACTCGAGAGATTCACTTGATAAATCAGACCAAGAGGTTTTGGATACTGACTCTTACAAATCAATGGTAGAATACCTCAATAAATTACCAATTGAAGAGATTGCCGATTTCTGTGAAGGTTTGGCCAAGTCCATGTTCTCGCCATTCAAGTGTACCACCAAAGAAGAGAAAAACGAATTGAAATTGTTGACAAAACAGTTGATCGAGGAGGATGAGTCAATGGGATTGAAGAGCCACCCCAAGAAACCAATGGTTTTAGTACCTGGAATTGCAGGAAGTGGATTGGAGGGTCGTTTCAATAAAACAAGATCACCCGCTTGGTATTGCAAGAAGAATGTAGATTGGCATCGTGTTTGGCTCTCGGTCGCCCAAATTGCCGTCCAAGAATGTTGGTTCGATAATCTTGCTGTCTTCTATGATACCAATACCCAAACTTATTCCAACACAGAGGGTGTCGAACTACAAACCATTGAATTCGGAGGAATCAAAGGTGTAAGCTATCTGGACTATATTGGAAACCTTCCAATATCATTGACCAATGTCTATGGTGATCTTATTAAATTCTTTGAAGATCTTGGATATGTTGCTGGAAAGAATATTAGAGGTGCGCCAGTAAGTAAATTAATTATAATTTGTTGTTAATTACTTTTTTTAACTCTTTTATTTTACAAATTAGTATGATTGGAGAGTTTCAATTAAACAACTTGAAAAAGATGGATATTTCAGACAAATGAAATCTTTAATTGAAAATACCTATGATATCAATTCAAAGCAAAAAGTTGTTTTGATCTCTCATTCAATGGGTGGAATGATCTCTTTGTATTTCTTAAATACAGTGTCCCAAGCCTGGAGAGATAAATACATTGACACTTTCATCCCTATTGCAGCACCATGGTCAGGATCACCAAAGGCAATTCGTACTCTTATCTCTGGTGACAACTTGGGTATACCATTGGTATCAGGTGATAGAGTACAAAACTTTGCCAAAGAATCCGGTGGAATTATCCAACTAGTGCCAGATCCTCTTGTTTGGAGTAAAGAAACCGTTTTTGTATCAACACCATACAAGAACTTCACCATCGCCCAAACCAGTTCATTGTTTTCAACCATTGGATTACCAGTAATTATTATTATTCAAACAAAAACATACATTTTAAAATTTTACTAATTAATTGATTCTTTTTCTTTTACAAACAGATAACATCAAAGATTTATGATGGAATTCAATCGGTAATCAGTGGATTGAAACCACACGTACCAACTCATTGTATTTATGGTTATGGTGTTCCAACTGAAATCTATTATAAATATAACAAAGGATTTGGTGATCAACCAATTATTTGTAAGTTGTTTATATTTTATATGTTTGCTAAACTAATATTTAAAAATGATGATGATTATTAATATGTTTATTATTATTATCTATAGTTGAAACTGATTTAGGAGATGGTACTGTCCCATTATCATCGTTGAAAGTCTGTGAGAAATGGCATGGTCATTCCTTCCCATTGGATGTAAAGAACTTCCACTTGGAAGATCATTTGGGTATTCTCTCCTCCAAAGATGTTTTAAAGTATATCCACAAACTTGTTACTAAACATTAAAATATATATTCTCCAAAGAAGTCACACGAGTGATCTTTGACAAAAATACCATCATTATCGAATAATGATCAAACAATTATTTTTTTTTTATAAAAAAACAAAAAAATAAAAATAAAAATAAAAAAATAAAAGTTTTATGTACATTTACATTTTAGTAATTTAAAATCAAATATTTATCTTTTAACGTTAAAAAAATTAAACAATCAGATAAGATACTTCATTTTAAAATATTTCAAAATTAATCAAAAAGAAAAAAAAAAAGTCAAAATAAAATAAAAGGTGGTTATGTTTTTTTTGCTAAAGTTAGTAAATTAATATAATATATTTTTATATTATTATTATTCATATTATTTTTTTATTTTTATTTTTTTATATTTTATATTTTATATTTATTTTTATTTTTATTTATTTATATTTTGCAAAATAAATATATATATAATTTATTAGATTATGAAAGGTAGTGAACTGTATTTGGCAGTGGATGAAATGACGAGTGGCAGTAAACTTCAACAACAAGATAATATTGCATACTCACCGCTTGCTAATGTATCATCACTCAGCGGCATTAACAATAGCAATGGTAATGGTAACGGTGGTAAGGTAAGCAATCATGGTAACAATGGTTTTGGTTCAATGTCACAATTCCCAAATAGAAAGTTACTCCAATCGTCTATCAAGATCATGGGTATGCTAGGACTTGTAAACTTGGCATTCTCTCTCTACCTTGCATTTGGAAACATCGAGAGTGGAACCTGTGATGTATCCGCTACCATTTCATGTACCACCGTCATCAAGAGTGCATTCGGTGAGATTGCCGGTGTGCCAGTATCCATCTTTGGTATCACATGGAACATCGTATTCCTCATGGCAATCTATCACATAATGTCCGACGATAGACTGCCACATTTCATCACTGCCATCTATATTTGGTGTTCATTCGGTGTTGGTTTTGTAATTTACTTTGTATGTAAACAATTTGTTAATTATTATTATCATTTCTTTGAGTTTGTTGTTTGTTTTGTTTTCGTGTTTTAGTGTTTGTTTCTTTTTTAATGAAATTTCATTTATTATTTACATTCATCTTATCATTATTATTACTTTGTAGGTTGCAGCAGAATATATAATTGGTGCACTATGTCCTTTTTGTACTGTTGTTCATATAATTAATGTTACATTGATGTATTTCGCATTGAAACTCTATAATGAGTTAAGAGTTCCACCAAGTCTTGGCAGCCTGCTATCGACTCTCAAGAATCAATTGATTTTCATATTCGTTTTGCATTTGGTTGCAACAGTCGCTTTCCAAAAGACGGTAGAGGTTCACGACGAACCGGCAATGACCAAGTTTGCAAAGTGCTTGACCGATAGTAACATGGTTTTCTATGGATCATCAGGTTGTGGTGCCTGTATCAATCAGAAGCAGTTGTTCATCACTCCCGACAGCAAAGACGAAACGGAATCACCGCTGCAGTATATTAAATTCGTAGAGTGTCGTGACGACTCACTCTGCAAGAAATATGAAATCAGACGTTACCCTACTTGGATCAAGCACGACGATAACGGCGTAGAATTGGAGCGACACGAAGGTGTTATGAACTCTTTCGAACTTTCAAAGATGTCTGGATGTGAACCTCCCGCCGAAAAGAAAGATGATAAAGATAAAAAATAATACTTTTTTTTTAATTATATGTAGTAGTAAATATTTACAAATAATAATAAATAATATTATCTAATTTTTTTTGCCACATCCCAAGATGAACTATTATTGTTGCTTGTTCAAAAGACAAAATAATTATAACGTTTTATTTTTCAGTTGATTTTTTCATTTTTTTTTTTTACTATTTTCGTCGTCTTTAAATAAAAACGACAACATATCAGGGATTCATCCCATAAAGATGATATTTCATTGATTTCAAGAAAAACGAGTGGCGATACAAATGATAGGATAAGACACACACCAGCACGCTTGGCAGTAACATCAATTTTCTGTCAGTACTTAACCGTGTGCTATTCGCAAGTGTCAGATCAATCCATTTATATAAAAAAAATATAAAGCTATTAAATCGATGACTGGTTAATATTACCTTTTAACATCTTCATGCGTAGCAAACAGCATATCTAAATAAATAACTAAAAAAAAAAAATAAAAAAAAAAAATTTGAATTGATTACAAAAAGATGTCTATTGATATTAATGACTCTCAAAATTAGATTAATACATTGATTCTGTTTACCTTACTTATGCTTTTGGTATACAATTACAATCTAAAAAAAAAACGAGAAAAATTAAAATGTCCTCTTTGAAAAATTTTTTTGACAGATTTCAATATATTGTTTAACTTAAACAATATCTCGAAATAACATTCTTAAAGATTAGTTTCATCGTTTTATTTGTTATTATTCTTAAAAAAAAACTTCCAAACTATTTAGTTGTTTTAAAAGAGAGAAATAGATTAGGAATAATAAATCATATTACAAACTAATAATAAAATTGAAATTAACAGTAATCAAAAAAAAAAACGTAAAAATGTCGGGAAACCTTAAATCATATAAAAAAAATTATAATATTATTTGTCAATGTTGCAACAGAATCTGTTATTATTTAAACATGTTCTTTCGGTTCTGAATTAAATAATAAGAATATCGATATTTTATTAAGATTGCAATTTTTTAACATTTTAATTTAAATAACAGTATATTTAATGATTTAAGAGTTTCCCTCCAATCTGGGTATTATTTGCATACATGTACACAGATAAATATCATTAGAAATCTTCAATTCATTTTTGTTTTTTTTTCAATTTTAGTTATTTATTTAGATATGCTGTTTGCTACGCATGAAGATGTTAAAAGGTAATATTAACCAGTCATCGATTTAATAGCTTTATATTTTTTTTATATAAATGGATTGATCTGACACTTGCGAATAGCACACGGTTAAGTACTGACAGAAAATTGATGTTACTGCCAAGCGTGCTGGTGTGTGTCTTATCCTATCATTTGTATCGCCACTCGTTTTTCTTGAAATCAATGAAATATCATCTTTATGGGATGAATCAACAGACCGGTAAATATTAAAAAACAGGAAAATTAATCCCAGGATGTCTTCTTAGTTTATGAAAAACAAAATATTATCTTTTATTATTTATGTACAAAAATAATTGTTAAAAAAAATATAACTTTTTTTTTGTTAAAAAGTTATTTAAAATATTGGTTAAAAAAAATGGTTGATTGATTGGTTATCCAAAAAGTTAAATTGTTACATTATCTTTTTTAGATTGTTAAAATAAAAATAAAAATAAAAAAGTTGGGTTGTTGTTGATGTTTACATAATTGAACAATTATCTTTCTTTCCATTGAATTTAGCCATTTGATCTTCATATTCACCACATGCCTGGATGTACCATACTGGTGGCCATTGGTTCTCTTCCAAATATTTCTGTGTGTCCTTGTCGAGTTTGGTGAATTCTGGTCTCTTTTTCATTGGTTGGTAGTTGGTAGAGATAAAGTGAAGACAGAACTTGGTGAGTTGTTCGGCATTGTGTGACTTGGCACACAACAAGAGTCCGATGATATCCAACTCTGACTTGAAGATTCCGACGGTCGTTGCCTTTTCAATCTCCTTTGAGATGTAGAGTTCACAGAGTGTGATGAGACGTGTCAATCCAAAACGATTGGCCAACACCATGATTCCGACTGGATCACCTTCCTCAATGGGCGAGTGTGCGGTATAGAGATATTCCAGAACCGCTTTGAAGTTGTCGTGTGAGACGTCCTGGAGTTCAACAGTTGCGTCTTGACTCTCGGCGTAGTCTTTGGTGGCGTGCACGTAGGCATTGACAACGGCGGAACGCGAGTAAATGAATGCCTTGTGAGCGTAGATTGTCTTTCCCTCGACACGGAACTGAATGTCCGAGAATATCTTCTTTCCAAAGAAGAGTTCCTTGCATTTATCACCCATTTCGTCATTCAAGAATGTACCGATCGATGGATTCAAATCCTCTGAGCCATTGGAGAGATTCTTGCTGGCCGATGCCAAGTATTTGCAGTCAAAGACATCGGCAATCTCAATGGTTTCCTTGATTTGGTCGGTACGATCGACACAGTTCAACAAACCAGTATAGATAAACTCGATGTAACGATAAAAGATACGTCTTGTGAACTTTGGATCCACCTCGATCTCGATCATCTCACCGTTGGAAATCGATCCGTCCTCGTAGTGTTTCATTGGTGTGGCAGTCATCGACTTGATTCCCTTGACACGTCCCGCTTCAATATCCTCAGGTGCAAAAGGTGAGTGATCTGTATTCAATGTGACGGAGAACAGACGTCTGAACACCTGTGAAGCCGAGCAGAGAATGACACGGTGTGCAAAGATCGGTTTGTCATTGCCGAATGTGAATTTGACATCGGCGAAACCCTGGTGTTCAAGAGTGCTCTTCAGCTCCTTCTCGTAGGTCGATGTTACAATGTTGATCCATGGAGCCTTTCCAGCGGGTGGCATGGCAGGTGGAATTGGAACTGGCTTCTCACCCTTCTTCTTTTTGGCGGCCGGTGCATTGACTGCCGACTTTATCGCTTGGTTGAAGAGCTGTGTCAAATTGGTCTGCACGAGAGCACTGGTCTCGACGTATCCAATGAAACCTAGTTCTTTGGCCAAGTCGTGTGCCTCCTTTGTTGAGATTTCCGGACGTCCACTACCACGCAGATCCGACTTGGTACCGACCAAAATCTTTGGAGTCGATGGACAATGGTGATCCAACTCTGCATTCCATTTATATTTAACGTTTTCAAACGATGCTCTTGAGATTACACAGAAACACACAAAGAATACATCGGTCTGTGGATAGGACAACGGACGTAGACGATCGTAATCCTCTTGACCTGCGGTATCAAACAATGCTACATTGAATGGTTTTCCTTCAACCATAATATTTGCTGAATAATTATCAAATACAGTTGGCTAAATATAATTTAACAAATAATATTATTATTAGTTATTAGTATTGATAATATTTTTTATTATTTGATATCAAAAGTGAAATACTTACGACATATTCACCTGGGAATGCATTTGTTGTATAACTTATAAGTAAACAACTTTTTCCAACAGCACCATCACCTACAACTACTACTTTAATATTTTGCATAGTTTTAGTTTATAACTTATGGAAATAATATATATATTTAGAATAATGTAAAAATAAAATAAAGATAAATAAATATTTGTTAATACAAGAAATAATAATCAATAAAAAGATGATATTTTTTGATGATGGTTTAGATCAACCTTTTAAACTTAAAATCAAATCTAAAAAAAGCACACATTTTTGCATCAAAAAATAATCAGAATTGGATTCAGTGAAATATTTTTTACAATTTTTTTTTCACTTTATTGTTTTGTAAACAAAAAAAACTATTTTGAGTGCTTTTTAACTTTTAGACACTATTACCAAAAAAAGAATAAGACTATTGCATATATATTTTAATCGATTTTTCAATATATATTATTAAATTAATATTTTATCAATTAATTTAATAAAATGGAAATAATTTTTGTAGCACGATAATAATAGTACATTTTATATTTCAAATTAATATTTCTCGTTTTTTTCATTTTTTTGGCATTTCCAATATTTTGAATGCATATCAATTTGGCTCTGACGATGGAGGTCGTTCAGTGTTTTTTTAATTAATATTTTGATTTAAATATGCTATCTCTCAATCGTTTAACAACAACGATTCAGAGAAATAGTCATTTTATTAGACAATCATCAACATGTTTAGTTGATCATTTAAAATATCATAATATCACTTCAATATACAATGAAAATGGTTTGAGATCATATTCATCGTCAACATCATCGTCGACCAAGAAGAAATATTCAAGTGAATTAAATAAATATAGAAATATTGGTATTATTGCACATGTAGATGCTGGTAAAGTAGGTTTTATAAACAACAACTACTACATCTTTTACTTTAGGTTATTATTATCATATTGACTCTTTAGAATATACTTATTTAGACAACAACATGTGAAAGAATGTTATATTATTCAGGTATGATAAAGAGAATTGGTGAAGTTCATAAAGGTGATACTGTTATGGATCATCTAAAGATGGAGAGGGAGCGTGGTATCACTATTACCGCTGCCACCATTACTTTTCCTTGGAAGGAGAATCGTATCAATCTCGTCGATACACCGGGTCATGTTGATTTCACTGTTGAGGTGGAGCGTAGTGTTCGTGTGATGGACGGTGCCGTCGCTATTTTCGATGCTGTCGCCGGTGTACAGGCACAGTCGATCACCGTGTGGAATCAAGCGGAACGCTATCGAGTGCCGCGTGTCGCTTTCGTCAATAAGATGGATCGTGAGGGTGCCACAGCCGATAAGACACTCAAGATGCTCAAGTCCAGACTGAATGCGCTGCCGTTGCCACTGCAAATGCCAATCGATGTCGGTCCTATGTTTGGATCGGTCGTCGACCTGATAAAGATGAACGTCATCGGCTGGAGCGGCGAGAAAGGTGAACTGGTGGAAACGACCGAGTTGCGAGACTATCCCGAGGAGATTGTCAGTCGCGCTCAACAGGAGCGAGAACATCTAATTACAACGCTTGCCGATATCGATGAGGATGCTATGCAAGAGTTTCTCGAGACCGATGGACAGCTCTCGGATGAATCGATTCGCGCGGCCATCAGGAGAGTTACCATTGGCATGAAAGCAATTCCCATACTCTATGGTTCATCGCTGAAGAACAAAGGAGTACAGCAATTGCTAGATAGTATTGTTGAGTATCTTCCCTCGCCCATCGATAGAGAGCCACCCTCAGCAACCGATATGAGCACTCAGAAGCCAATGACCATAACACCGTCGACAAAAGAACCGTTGTGTGCTCTGGCGTTCAAAGTGGTACATGATAAGCGTCGTGGATTAATTGTATTCACACGTGTCTATTCCGGTGTTTTGAAAGCTGGAACGGTTGTATATAATTCGCGAAAGGCAGGCGAGAAGGAGCGTGTACAAAAGTTGTTGCAAGTCGCTGCCGACGACATGGAGGAGATTCAAGAATTGAGAGCAGGAGATATCGGCGCTGTTCTCGGACTGAAGGGTGTGTGCACCGGTGATACGCTGGTGTATGAAGCGCCGTCCGACAAAGGATTGAAGCCTGTGCTCAAGGGTATTGTCAACCCACCGCCAGTGTTCTTCTGCGCGCTGGAACCCGACACCGAGAAGGACTACCAGCCACTCATAGAAGCGTTGGAAACCATCCAGAAGGAGGATCCTTCGTTTTTGTATCAAATCACAGAGTCACAACAGATCCTCATTAGTGGAATGGGTGAGCTGCATCTCGAGATTATCAAAGACCGACTCGATAACCACTTCAAGGTCGGTTGTCGAATGGGAAGAATGCAAGTTTCCTACAAGGGAACTATCGATGAGAGTATTCGCGAGGATGATATATTCGAGAGTTTCGATGTCCAGACATCGACCGGACCAAAGACCTATTGCGCAGGTCTGTCACTCACGTTGGAACCAACGGAGCCGGGCACCGGCACCGAAGTCAAGTTTGATCTCGACGATCAGACTTTGAATTCCATCGATAAGTCGGTGTTGGACAAGTTGAAACTAGCGATTGTCGAAGGTGGTGAGTCAGCATTCCAACGTGGACTTCCACTGGGTTTCCCAGCGACCGACCTAAGACTGACTGTGCATCGTATCGACTACCGATCGGACAACGATTCACCACCATTGGCATTTAGAAATTGTGTTATCCGTTCCGTTATGAAGATGGGTGACCAGGCTGGATCGGTCATTCTCGAGCCAATGATGAATCTCGAAATCTCTGTCGACGAGAAATACCTCGGTAGTGTACTGTCGGACCTTTCACGTCAGAGAAGAGGTACCATCAAGGAGGTAGGAATGGAAAAGAATACACATATCATATCGGCTTTGGTGCCACTCAAAGAAATGATTGGTTATTCAACTCAACTGCGCTCGGTTACACATGGAAACGCATCATTCACAATGGAATACAGTCACAATGGTCGTGTCAATTCCAATGAAGTTGAAAAGATTCTAAAAGAGATAAGAGGTTATTAATTAATTAAAGAATAAATAAATTTAATTATTAAATTGGTCTTAAAAACATTGAATATATATATATATGTATTTATGTATCATCATTTAAATCCATTTTCAAGATTTAAAGATAAAAAAACAAAGATTAGATTTATTCATTACTATTATAATAATTATAACTTCTAATATTTTATAGTTGTTTTGCAATAATATAATCGTCTAATGAAAGATATTGATGTTTTTGTTTGATTTCCTTGTCTTTGTACATTTTTGGTAACATATCGGTTGGGTGCCACTTGGTCTTCAACACATCAACATCGTTTGAAACTTGATACTTTCCACTGCTTTCATAGGATGGTCCAACAATTCCTTCAGTATCAAAGAATATAATTTGTGCAATTCTTCTAAATACAACCTATAACATAACATTATATTAATATTTTGATCATTGGTGTTGATTTAATAGTATAAAGTAAAAAAACCACTTACCAATGGAATCGAATAACTTAGAGAATTGTTTGTTATTTCCATTGTCCATCTTGAGGTGTAACCGACGTCACCCCAACCAGCACACTTGCAAACCTCAATGAAATTTCTACCGAGAGATGATCTTGCTTTCATCATTGTAGTGACAGTGGTGTTACCTCCGATGAACTCGTTGGTGTGACCCAAGATGGTTTCACCCGGTTTTATCCAAATAATATAATCATCGTCATCGATATTCTCTAGCTTTTGACCGGATCGCAACGACCAATCTTTTACCTTCTCCGCTACTTGATATTCACCCCAAACCTTCTTTACCATTGATTCACTATATGGATTGTAAATACCTAAAATGATCATTAACAATATGTTAAGTTTAATAATAATTATTATAATTAAAAATATACATATTTATTTACCTTGACCTGGTTCAGGTACTTTCTCTCTATAAAAATATGGACCTAGAGTAACATCATAACTACTTGTAGAAAGATTCTCTCTGATGAATGGTGAGATTACGACAGTTCCTTTCTCCATATGTTTAAGAATTGCTTTATCACTCAGCAAACTCTGACTCTTATTAATATCATTATTTGTATTATCCATATTTGTTGTTTTTATATTATTATTTATATATATATACAATTAAGATTTATTTAATATTACAAAACTATAGGGTAGAAAAGTTAGATTTCTTTTGCTCCTCTGATCTGAATAATAAATGTTTGGCGCGCTTATTTTTTTTTTTTAAACTTTTTTTTAAAAATTTAAATTTAAAAACTTTTTAATTTTATTTATTACTTTTTCTTTTTACTTGGCAGTTGTTGTTACTACTGGAATGAGTAAGATACTTTGAATGTAGATTTCATCGGTAGTGGCTGTGAATTGAATAAGACTACCGGTTTTGCCAATATCAATCTTGAAAACATCGGTTGCCGGTAATGTGGAAGTTGCCAGAGTCTTATTGACTGCTCTTGGGATGTAGAATTCCTGTTCGGCTGTGTTGGTGGTCTTGTTTTGGACTTTGAGCGATGTTTGTTTCTTGACATCACAACGAATCTTTACTTGGTAGACGGTCTGGGTTTCATCCTCTGGAATCAGTTTGATTTGAATCATACCTTCGGCTGGTACTCTCATTGCATGAACACCAGGATAGAAGTAGTCGTATGCCAGCTTGGCAGTATCGGTCGTAGTGTATTTCTGCGCGTCAAGCAATGTGTTACCGACCTTGGGAATGATGTTCTGGTGGAACACTTGCTCTGGCAAGAAAGCAAAGATGAAACAATCGCATGCGCCACCCATGAATCGAAGCTTGTTGGTAAAGTCCGAGTATGAGTTGACACTGAGCGAGAAAATGTTACCGATCTTGTGACCTTCGAACGAGAGTTTAACGTTTTCAAACGGTTGTCCTACAGCTTCTGGATCGCTCCAAGTGCCGGGCGTTCTCCATCTCAATTCACACTCTACCATTCTGGTGGTGCAGAACGTGTTGAACTCGGTCCATGGGAAAGCATTGACGTCCCTGGCTGCATTGGCATTTGGTGGTGCAGTCAACTTGCAATTCATCATAAAGTATCCATTCTTGATAGTAGCAACCGAATAGTCATTTGTAATGGGTAGGTTAACAGCGACGATAGGGTTTAGTTTTGGATCACGTGTACCAGATACCAATATTCCTGGACGGAAACCATCGGCCGAGTTCTCAGAGTGGAAGAATGGTTGGAACGATCGGAATCTTCTGTCCTCGATAGAGTACTCCACCTTTTTCAATTCATTTTGATAGAGATGATAGTTGTTGGCTGCGATCTTCTCATTGATCTTGGCTGGTGTCATCTGATGGTTATCATCAACCGAGTTGTATGGAGTTCCCATAATATCAGAGAAGAGATAACGCACAGGAGTATGGCAGACACCTTGTTCGTTGACCTTTGGATCCATTGCAAACCAAAGATTAACAAAATCAAAAACACAAATAATATTGTAATTTCTCCATCTATTTAAACGATCTACATTTTTTTAAAAACAAATGTTAGATTTATCATAAAAATTCTTTTGTTGATATATATTTATATCAAACTTACTCCATCTCATTTTCATATTGGCTTCAGGTCTCTTGGAAATAGTAGTAATACCTTGATTGTAAGTTGTTACACAATACTCTGCATAGTCTACAATTAGCTTGTTGAACTTATCTGAATACTAATTCATTTTTAGAATAAATAAATTATTATAGGTTTATTTGGATAAATATGCCATTTTTCAAAAAATTAATTAACTTACAATTTTAACTGAATCTGGATGCATTCCCCATTCTTTGTTACCACTATAAATACACTTTTTGTAGATTATTGTTAATAAGGTGATTAAAATTGTTAAGAAAATTAAATTGTAAACTTACATCACGAAGAATGATTAAGTGGTCAGTAGCAAACATTGAGAATAAAACCAATTCGTTGACTTCAAATCCTCCTTTTCTACATTGATAAATATATTTGGTGGCAATTTCATTTTCCAAATTTTGGAAACTCACTCTCATGACTTCTTTGAGAGCTTCATTCTTTGGGTCCGCCTGTAACTCTTTCCAGTGTTGTCTATAGTCTTTGAAAGCCAGTGAACAAGCTTTGAAGATTGCTTTGGTCTGATTATCGTCATACTGATAAAGACTATTCTGTATCAAATCGTTACATAGTGTTTGATACCGAATAATTGATTTATCTTCATTGAATGTCTCTATTAAATACGTTAGGAAGACATCTGCAATACCTGACACAACAGGACCGTAAGGAACCATAGTCAATGCTGTGACTATACCTGTTTTGTAAACAGTGAGTTCGTCAACACCTGGTGATGTCATGAATGGATTACCATCAAAGATCATAGGCTTGATTTTATCTTGTTGTAGTTTATTCCATTGTGATAATGTTGTAAATGTTGATGTCATATTTAAATATAAAGAATGATAGAAAAATACTAATTTTAAAAAAAATAAATTTAATGAGCAAATTTTTTAATTGTCAAAGAGAAAACAAAATGATTTTTAGTTTTTTTTTATTTTAATTTTATTATTAAATTGATTATAAAAGAGATCGTTTGGTGGAGGGTAACGTAAACACTGTCCCATTTATTGGAAACAAGATTTGGAACAGGATATAATCTGAAGAACTACCCTACACCAAATTGTTCACAGAATGATGCGATCAAAAAAATATTCAGTCTAACCATTCAGATATTTTAATATATTCAATACTTTTATTTATTTTATTTTATTAAAAATTAAAATATGTTAATTATACAAATAATTAATAACCTGGAAAAAACTGGATTTAAATTAGAAAAAAAGTTCAGAAATGGTAGTTTGCAATATTTATTTTTTTTTTAACCTGGAACTTGATAGTTTTCATTTCTTTGTTTTGCACCTCTTGATACGTTTGTACGAGTAAATGGAGTTAAATGTCCAGGGGTGAAAAGTAGAGATACAATGTGACAGTCTCCAGATTGAAGTTCCAATTGGACACCTGCATTAATAGCATTGCCAAACTTACATTTATAATTGTTGTCCATAGGAATAATGACATGTTTATCACCTGGTTTGAGTGTAAAGGTGCCAAGTAAGGTGTCGTTGTTCTTAGGGCTTATTACTTTGATGGTGGTGGCTTCAGTACCGTAGTAACTTTCGATATAAATGGCAAAGTAGTATTCAGAGGATTGGTCCGATTCCTTGTTGAAATAGTAGGAGCATTTACTACGAGTATAGAAGTGCATTGCATGGTTACCAAACATGACCTGATTGACCGACATAAATGGATTCTTGTAGTATGAGTCGTTGTCAATGGTGGCAAATTTCTGGGCATCGACAACACTTACAATATCTTTCATAAGCATATTCTCAGTGAATGTGTCATTCAGCGAGAAACCAATGGTAATGGCATCAACTACTTCCTTCTCGGTAAAATCTTTCATTGTGCCCATCTTGTTTACACCGACACCGACAATAGTGGCAATCTTATGATTGGAGTAAGAGATATCTTTCAATTTGGTAATTCCATCGACAGAAATATATTGATTTTCAATATCAGTGGCACCTGATGGTGGAGTCTCAGGTCTCATTGTTGCAGGTTGCATAATCTGACCATTTTCAAAAGTAATGGATCTTGGTACCAAATCAGAGACTGCAGAGAATTTGGTATTCTTGACGGCCGGATTACAACTATCGATGATAACGGTTTTCTTCTCAGTGGTACCATTTAAAGTTTGTCCACCAAACTTTGAACCCGGTTTATTTGAACTGGATTCCCAACTCCAGTAATTTGGTTGAATATTTATAATACGAGTTCCGGTTGTACTTCTATAATAGTCAATAGATTGTAATTCCTAAAATATAATGTAAATTAATAAATGTTTCTAAAATAAATTAATCTTATCTTTTCATTTAAAACTTACACCTAAATATCTCTTATTGTTATTCATTACTTTAATAATTTCTTCGACAGGTCTATCTAAAGCAGTTCCACTGGATGTACATGGGATACCCATAATATCAGAGAATATATATCTTACACGCTCAACATTTACACCATTTGGGAATAAATCTATAAAATAATTAGATTCTAATTTAATTTGAAAAAGTTATTTTAAATTTTTTCTTACCTATATTATAATACCAAAAGTTTGAAACATAATCGAAAACAAAACGATTCATATTTCTTTTGTATTCGTTTATCTTGTTCCAGCGAGTGACTTGGTATTTTGGTGGGTTGGCAGCAATTTGATCTAAGACCTTATTATATCCTTTCTCATAGATATCACAGGCATATGCTTCATAATCAACAATGCATGTCTTTAATTTATTTTTATAAAGATTTACAGTATCTATTCAAAGTTAAATAATTGAATGAGTTTTTTTATGTTTTGTTTTTGATTTTCTAATATAATAGAATTACTTACTATCTTTGAAACCCCATTGAGTACCATAGATACAGACATCACGAAGCACAATCAAATGGAAATTGGCAATGGCAGCAAATTCATCTAATTCATCTACCTCATATCCTGGCTTGGTACACATAGACATATAATAGGTGGCAAGATCAGTTTCGAAATGGTTGAATGTAATACGCATGGCCTCCTTCAGAGCTTCGCTAGTCTTATTGTTTTGCCATATCTTGAGATGTGATGTATAGTTTTGGAATGACAAAGCACAACCTCTCATTATTGCATCAACGACATTGGCATCATAAATAGGTAGAGCATCTCCGATAAGTTGAATAATAGAATCTTGGTAATGATAGTTAGATATCTATGATTCTATTAATTAAAATACTTCGATCATCATCATCTTACCTTTATATTCTTTATCAGTTGTTTTCCAGTCGTTTGCAGAATATGTTAAGAAACCACTCGCTGCAAAAGCCAACGAAGATCCATTCTTTGGACTCTGAGAGAGAGCAGCTACAACCTGAGACTTGAATGCTTCGCTTGATGAAAGATTTTCAGGTGTCCATTGATTCGTAGTAAATCTAACAAGCTTAAAGGTAAAGCAATTAGTAAGATTAGAATGCTTATTATTGAAAAATATAACATACCTTATCAACCTGAGCACTTAAAAAAGTTGATCTAGTATGAGCAGTTGGAGCTGTAGTTGTCATTACAGAGATATATATAAATTATCTATTCTCTTTTTTTGTTAAAAAAAAAACAGAAAATAAATCAAAACTAAACTATAATGAAACGAGTAGAGTAACAATCTCTTCTTTCTTGTGTGTTTGTTTGTGATCACACCATCACTATCAATATCTTTCCATACTGATGACCCATATCTATTGCAAAGATAAAATATTCATCGAATATCTTGTTTTGATTCTCACCCAATCGATGAAGGATTCATCAACCTGATAAATATCGATTAATGGGCTGGATCTCTCTTCAAAACCTTTCAATTGAATATTTTATCTTTGCAATAGATATAGGTATCAGTAATTTTTTTATGTTTTGATCAAAAATTCAATCAACAACTTTAAATCTGTCAAAAAAAAATTTGTGTTCACGAACTATTTATTAATATCGTGTTTTTTTAAACATGATAAACAGCGAATTACTAGATTCGTTGAAGTTGTGGGGTCACCACCCGTGTAGATTCACGATTCATATCCACAAAAAAATTGCATAAAACGAAAAGTCACAATTAAATTAATTAATCCTTTTCCAAGCCCTTGGAAGTTTAAAAATAGATATCTTATATATCTCCCTTCAAAATGAGCAACTTGTTCGGTTCCCAAATTTTGTGTAAGGTTGGTTTATAATATCATTTTATCTATGAATCGAATATGCTTGAGTGTTAATGGGTAAGCATGCACGAAAAGAAAAGAAAAGAAAAGATATCTAAAGAAACAACAAAAATAGTTAGATTAGATACTTTGATTTATTCCCTCTTTTTGTTGTTTACAACAAACTAAACTAAAATATAGACTTTACAATCATTGTATCAAGTAAGAAGAGAAGAAGATGGCTACATCACCAGTCTTTATAAAACCATCAATTCCTGATGAGTTGACATTCGATAGTAGATGGAAGCAATTAGAGAATATGTTGGCACAGCGTACTTTGAAGAGTCCTGACCAAGGTTCTGTCATCGATACTTTCAAAACTACACTTACAACAGCACTTGGTTTCATCCCTAAAGTCGGTATGTTTCTTTATTGTTTATTTAAACAAAACAATCTATTTGTTATGATTGAGACTTTAATAACTAATAATAGTTCAAATAAAGGTGGATATATTTCGGGTGTAACTGATATCTTCTTTACCTACTTGATTGAGAATGACAAGGCCATCAATAACTCTGTCAAATCTTACCGATCAATGTTGATTGCAATCGTTGACAAAAATATCACCCAATATGACGACGCAGCTTTAAAGGCATCGATCTATGGTTGTGCTCTTTCTCTTAAGGATTTTCAATCGCATGTTCTCAATCTAAGAGGTCACCCAAACAATGCATCCCTGAAACAAATGGTTAGAATTGCTTTCATGAATTTAGAGAATGACATTGAATGTAAATAGTAAGTATATCTTTACATATCTACTTTAATTGTAGTTATTAATCAAATCATATTACAATAGTATCTTTGACTGTACCAAACAAAAATATTTAATTGAAGAACTTCCAATGTACACTTATTTTGCTACTGCACATTTAAGTTTGGTATGTAAATGTTTATTATTCATTAAAGTTTATCTAAAAGTTACTAATTTTTTTGATAATTATAGTTAAGAGAAGCAGCTATTTATGGAAAGGATTGGGGATTTGATGATGCAACTATTAAATATTATATTGATAAATTTGCTGCCAGACATAACGACTATGTAGATCATTGTCAAGCCGCGTATGACGATGGATATGCCAAAATTACCAAAAGTACAGCTAATAATAAATATACCTATGATCAATGGAGTAAGTATTTAAAATAATTATTATTCCTTAAATTAAATTAATACTAATTTTTATTTAATTAAAACAGATGCTCTAAATAAGTATAGAAACTTTATGATTACAACTGTTTTTGATTTCGTAAACATTTGGTGGTTATTTGGTATGTCTATAATGATTTATAAATATTAAAGTTTACTTGTTTTTTTTAACACCTCTCTCATAATTTTATTTTAGATCCAAGATTTGAAAATAAATTTGGTGCCTATGTTGAATATTGTAGAACTCTTCATTCTGATTTGTTTGGTGCTACCATTTATAATAACAATTACGATCATACACTTGACAAGATCACCAATGCTTTTGATAACCAGAAACTCTATCAATACAAGAACGAGCTATACAAGATTAAGACTAGTTCCAATGAGTTCAGAATCAATTCATTCCAGCCATTCTACAATGTCTCTGATACCACCTATGGTGTTAGCCTGCAAAGTGGTAATCAAATCAAAGGAACTCTCAAAGACACCGATGTCACCGTAGAGAATGTTTGGACTCAGAACCAAAACACTACCAAAGTCAAGGTGTGTCATGATCTGTTGCCAAGATACTTTGAGTTTCTAGATGGAGGTGTCACACCAAAGAAATTTGGTATGGACGTAGATGTCTATGCAGACTATCCACATGAGCCGGAAGAAGACACCTGGTACGATACTCACACCGGAAATAAATCGATTGGAGGTCGTGTAGAAACCGTCCAATTCGATGGACATAGACTATGCAATATCTATGCTCTTTGCAATAATAGCAATGAATTCTATACCTATCTTCCAATTAATCCAACTGGAGGCACCGGTGTTCCAATTGGAAACAGTGAAGGAGCCACCACCGGAATAGGTTTTTCTTTCATAAATCAGTTGGTTTGTGAGCGTAACATCATCTACGACGGTGCCTACACTGTGATTGACCCACAGAAATATTTGTATTCACCAGCGCCAACGGGAATCGATTTCAAAGCCGACGGTGCTTTCCCAGGTGGTCACCAAATCTGGTTGAAGAAAGGTGGTTCCATTTCGTACAACTTTGATCCTTACGACTCGAGATACACCACATTCGCCATTCATGTAAAACTCTCTGCCAAAGCCAGTGGTAAGCTTACTATCACCAACAAAAATAATACCACAGAGGATTACAGTTGGACAAACGAAGTAAAGAGAACTATTATTCTAGGAGATGTTGTATTTTCACTAAATCAAACACCAGGATCAAATATTTTCACTTTTACAACAGATGCCAATTTATGGTTGGAAGCATTCATCTTTAAACCAACGTCAATCAGTAAATAAATAAATAAGTAATCAAGATCTTATAAAAAAAAACAAATATTCATGATTTCTTTTTATTTAAATTTCCATCAGTTCCTCTGAATCTTCAGGTAAAGTTTCCAAGTATTGTGGGATAGGATCTGTAGTTGTTGATGTTTGAATTTGTATTGAATTGGTTGATTCAATACTCTCTTTTATGATATTGGTTGGTGGATCTAATTTTAACAATTGATAGATTCTATTAAGTATCGTTATATTCTTATTTAAGTCTTGATCCCTATTTTATAATTTAAATTTAAATACAAATTAATAAAATGAAAAATAAGAATATTGGGTATCTTCTAACATACCAAGGATAACCTTCGTGAAGTAATTTTAAAAGTGGTTCATTTAAAATATATTCATTCAAACTATATCTATTGGTCAACTCATCATATGCCACTATACGAACTTTAGGATACTTGTTGCCAAGTAACATCAATAACATTTCATTGGAATTCATTTTAATTTCATCATTAAATATATCTTTACTAAAATATGAATACCTATGATAATATTATTTATAAATTGAAATGAATAAATACGATGAACTGTATTTGTCTTGATCGTAATATACTTACATTGGTATGGATTGTAATAGCAATCGAATATCTTTCAAATTTGCTAAAACTTTCTCTTTTGTCAATTTACATATATCAATAATGATTTCAGGACTGAGAATAGAATTAGTAATTCAATATCATATTATTTTAATGAGGTTAACTTGTTGTTAACTTACTTTGTTTTTGATAATGAATCAAATTCATTTGTTTCAAATAGCTTTGTGATGGTTCTGAATGTCGATGCCAAAGATCTCTCACGATATGTATTTTGAATGATTTGCTTAAAGGTTGAAGCTACTCTTGTCACTTGGTGTTGTTTCTCTGCTAGGTTTTCGTTGTATCCGCTTAAGTACAATTGTATCGAGTAGAGAGAGTCGTCGACCAAGTATTTCGATGGTCCACCAATAGATGAGAACAGTCCAAAAACGAGGTAGTAGAGATAACAATCGATAGCTAAAACACGACATATAATTGGGAATGCCTCATTACTTCTCGACCAAGTGATTTGATTGTTCTTTGTAAATATTTCTTGCAGTTCCGACCTGTTTGTGATGCACTGCGAAAGCTCTTCAATCCATATGATTTTCGATATAATCAAACAGGATGTCAATCGTAGTTTATCTAATTTCTCACCTGATATCTGAATCAATTTACTTATATATCGCAACAATATTTCCTTAGATACAAACAATTCATTGTTTTCTATAAATATATATGTAGATTTAAACGATTAGTTGATATGACGATAACATAAGCCAGTAATTAAATATCTACTTACGATCTAATTTATATTTGTTAACATCTAATTCAATCAGAGTTGATATAACCTTACAAGCTAATTCTCTTACCCAAGAACCTACATCACCTCTTTTATCAACTGTGTAGTCTTCTGTGGCTAATAACAGCGTTTGGAATAACCGACAAAAGATATCTTTTGTCATCAAACCATTCTCAAAGAATGAAATGATTATCATCTCTAGTGAATTCAACGAGTTTACTCTTGTTTCTATATCTTTATACATTGGTTTCTATTAGATTTAAAGATTGAAATATGAAAAACAACGATTAGTTTAGATTTATAAAGAGAATTGAAATAACTATTTTACCTCTTCAAATACTGATAGTATAAGTGAATCGATGATTTTTGTTGATTGTTCGGGATGGTCTTTATGCAGTTGGAATGGAATGACACCTAGGAACAGTGCAGCACCTCTTCTCGATGGTGGGTTTGCATCTTGTAAGAGCATTCGTTCATATCGGTGAACGAGGTGCTGTAGTTCTTGATACTTGTCTGGAATCATATAGTTGTTAAAAAGAACTTTCAGAGCGAGAGATGACTCTTTCTGAACCTCTGCAATTGGATGTTGAATACTCTCTTCCAAATACTTTAAGAGAGTATCGAATGCATTTTCATTCGATGTTTGTGTACCGGCTGTATCAGTTGCTTGTGACGATTGCGCTTCACTCTTGCTTTTGACTGCCGAGGTCTTTGCACGAAGAGCACTGATTCTCTGTCTCAGTGCAAGCGATGCATTCGCCGACTTTGTAGAATCATCCAACTTGATCTCGCTTGACAAAGTAAAGTTACACATACAGATAGATCCAATCAATTTACATATACCAGTTCTAATATAAACTCCACCTTTTCCTTTATACAACTTTTCCAATCTTTTATCTTTAATAACAACTAATATACTCTGAAAAAATAAATAGCATATTATATTAATAAAGAAAAACTTGTTTAAACAAACCATTTATAATAATCAACTTACATTAATAATATCATCTGTTAGTAGAATAGATTGACCAATAGATTTCAAACTTATTAGAATCTCATGAAGTGCAAGTAGTGATCCATGTTTGATCGATATCTGATCGGATTTAGTATTTTTAATGATAGTCGGGATGTGTTGTACAAAGTACTGTGGATTCAGTGGTAGTACAAGTGCAATAGACTTGGTGGCTAGCTCTCTGACCTCGTTGTCCCAGTGATAGATCTTTGAGAGTATCAGGTTCTCCATAAGTAGCTGCTGGTAGTCTACGTAGGTTGCGATAGTAGGTGTCAACTCCAGGTAAGAGTTTCTCTTGTTTCCAACTGCAAAGTAGTCGGCAAGCTGAACGATATCGATGCCATGTGGGATGGCAGCACCTTGTCTTCCTACATTCTCTTGGTAGGCGGCAGACGCTGACTTCCTACAGTTGATCTCGCGGTCTAACAGTGCTGTCACCACTAGATTCTTGGCCAGTAAGAACGAGTAGGACTGCATAATCGATGGATGATAGGTACGTGCCAACGCCCACGAGATATAGCAGGCTGCGTCTCTGACGTGTGCGCCGACAGAGGTTGTACCGCGTATCACCTCGAATTGCAAAGCACGAACAACCATTTGAATCAACTGGTCTAGACGCTCTGGGAGAATCAGACCACGTCGACACAGTTCTGCCAGAGCCAAACAAGCACCGTGCCACTGGGAGTCAGATTGTTCGTCATCAAACAAGCTGAATATCAATGAAATGACTTGATCACCCATTTCCTTAGGGAGAAGATTGACCACCCTACCTGCTGCCTTGGCAGCAGACCATCTTACAATGGTATCACGATCACTCAGACCTTGAGTAATTAAAACATCGATAATCTCTTCAATTTCATCCGGTATTTCCTGTTCCTCTTCTTCTTCGTCATCTGCTTTTTTAAAATCTATTTGACTATTGTTGTTGTTATTACTATTCCTTTGTTCCAGTGTGGAAAGAAGTGGTTTGATAACACGTTGATATCGCCAACTTGCATTGATTGGTGGTAGTATTATTATTGCCATTCGTTGTATGAGTTTTACCAATAGTTTCTTACACATTCTCTCAATGTCAGTTTGTTGTTGAAGTGACGATATTATTTGTTGATAGAGTTGAGCATTCAACGGTAAGAGAGAATCTCTCGACGCCTTCTTGAAGATCGATGTCAGACAAGTCAGAAGACCTCTGAAGAGCAGTGCATCACTCGAATTTGTAATACTCTCGCTTCTTCGCTTTCGAATCGCTTCAATCTGCTCCGCAGCATATTGGATGAATTCAACGAGCTCATCATTCATATCGGGTCTTGTCAATAGTTTTGACAACAACTCTGCAAAGGAGTCAGAGATTTTCGATGGGTGAGAGAGCGATCGTTTCGACAACCGGATGACTCGACTTGCAATGCTGCCATAGTCATCGACGTTGTATCCATCGATCGACGGGAATTTGAATGGCGTGATAATCAGCAGTGACAGCCAGAGCGAGAGAATGTAGATCTCCTCCCAGCTGACAATCTCCTCGGTGTCTCTGTCTTTGTCGTCGTCGTCGCCGGCGCAGTCGGATACGTCATACGCCAGCGGACTATCATAGTTGATACAGACACCTCTGCTGTCAATGGTAGGACTGCTTATTGGCGAGGTAGCAAACCGGTCGTTCTCACTGTAGAATCGATCTTTAAGTTCGCGACGTTCCGCCTGTTGGTAGTAGAGATTCGTCTTGTACTCCACAAGTGAAACAACCGGCAGCAAGTCACTCACGCTATGTGGTAGCAACTTTACGATCGTCTTGAAACCTCTTACCTTGGTAAGCACATAAAGTATCCTATAGGTGTATTTGATGTACTCTTTATTCTGCACGACCTGATTATCGACTATACTCACGATGATATGTCTGTTGATGGTAGTTGTCAACGCTCTTATCGATTCGATAAGAGGTACTACCAAATCACCAAGATGTACATCCAATAGACTTGATTGTTCTTGATATTGTTCCAACTAATTTAATTATCAAATAAGTATATACTAATTAAACTAAACCACTGTTGTTTACTTACGATTTGAGTAACTCTATTTGTAGATATTTCAAGACCCTCTGTTGATAACGATTGATGTGATATTATTTTATTTATCAATTGTTTAAGTTCGTCTGCTTCTTTGATGAATGTTTTCGTTTGTTGATTCGACTCATCTGCAGCATCTTCAGGTATATCATAAGTTGCATTAGATGATTGTCTACCATTTGTAATATTAACAGGCACAGCAGCAGCAGCAGCAGCAGTGTTTAATATAGCAACATCATTGGTTATATTATCTATACTATCATCGTAGTCATACATAACTATAAATAAACTAAACTAAACAATTAAAATATGATTATTATTATTAAATTTAAATTTGGATTGTGTTTAAACAAAAAATGAAATAAAATTTATATTAAATGCAAACCACTGCAATGAAGTTGTAAAATAATAATATTATTTATTTTATTTTTATTTTTATTTTATATATATTTTAATTTAAATTAAATGTTTTGTTTTATATTGTTTTTTTTTATAAACAACGATTGAATGCATAATCTTTACCATAGGATAAGATTTTCTGTGATTCACCTTTTTCACCTTTGTTGCAATAGGCGTGATTTCCATATGGTGATTTATCAAAGACAAGCTTGCGATCGTTGCTTCTGGTCTGTACAGAGTTGTCGAAATCTAAAAATAGCATCAATGATTTATCATCGTGATTAGGTTTTGTCCACATTGCTTTCTGAATATCTTGGGCATTGAGTGATCTATTATATACTGCAATGTTATCTATTAAACCATGATATGTACCTGATTCTACTATATATATATATATATATATATAAAGTTTGTTATTAGTTTGCTGTTGATTCTATTTTGATTTTTAAATATTTGTATGAATCCAACTTACACAGCACCCATTCCATGACTTTTAGCGATACACAATGGAATATCGTTGGCATCCGTTGGGTTAAAGAATTCATTTGGTATATCTTGTACTCCATTGATGTAGAAATTGATAGCGTTGTCGTGTGGATTTGGATTATTTACAGAAAAGACAACTGCTACGTGTGACCAGACATCGCTAGAGATCGTTACGTGTGATGTGAAACATGCGCCAGCCGCACACAGTCTGAGTGCACCTCTAGTGCCAGACGATGTCTTTTGAATGTCGAAATCGAAACCATCGACCTTACCGGGTGTACCTTTATCGATGAGTCGCTGGTCACCGAACGAGCTCGGTTTTACCCATGCCATCAGAGTGTAGTGATTGGTGAGATCGAAACAGCGCGGACAGCTCTTGGATGGCTTCACCTCGATGTAATCACCCTTGCCCTCGAACTGCAGATGATACGGTTGGTAGTGTGCACCCTGACCGAATATGACCTCTTTGTATTTGTACTGCTCGCTCGACAGCTGCTTATAGGCCATCTTGCAAATGTCACACTTTGAACTGAAACCAGACATACACTTTGAGAACTTTTGCATCACTTTGTCGAACGGTGACTTTTTCCACTCGAAATAGAGATCCATCATGTTGGGATTGGTCAACATCTGATTCAAGTAAGATGCCAATTCCTTGGGTGATACGAAATCCGATACCTTTATAATCGACTTGGGTGGTACGTATTCATCGATATTCGATGCACCCATATATACCGGGATTGCACCAGCAAACAATGCACTGTAGACCTTCTCGGTGACATAGTCGGTAGTGTTTTCATTCTCAAAGGTAAGAACAAACTTGTAGTCCTTGAATACCTTGATGTTACTCTTCATTCTACTGAAGATATCTTGATTCTCTGGTGGTGTTATTCTTGTATTACTTGGAATGCAATCACCAACAGATTCAACCGCTATATGTTTCTTTAAATCTGCTACATATGACTGAAAGTTTAGTTAGTTAATTAGTTATGTTTGTTTTCGAAATCAAATCAACTCTAATCATTCTCAATCAGTTAATCAACTTACAGTTCTTGCTTTTGCAAATGCATTCACACAATTGGAAGACATGAAAACAATGTCTTTGGTTCTTTGTTTGGCGTTGGATGGCTCCGATAGCTGTTGTTTAATGTCGGCGTCTTTCATTGAGGGATCGGGTGGACATGCCATCGATAGTTGTTTTGGCGACTTTTCTGTGTAGTTTAGGTGTATGTCCATTAGACTCTTATAGCGCTGGTCATTTACAATGGGATACTGGCTCGGTGAGTTGTAGTCGAGTAACACAAACTTTTGATGAATATGCTTCTCTGGCAAGTGAACTGGCATTCTTCGCCAATTATCTGGATGCATTTGCGATGGATCGAATACAATGTAATCGGCATACGGCAAGTCATCGGAATGATGTGAATACAAACATGAAACCTCACATTCCTCTTCCTCCGGAACGGCAATACGCTTCCTCAGAGGAATTCTCTTTCTAACACTTCTATTTGGTAGCTCATGTGTTTTTCTTAGATTGTTACTGTTACTACCTGTAGTTGTCGCTGATCTCTTGTCAAATTGTTTGAATATATTATTGTTACTCTCTTCTTCCTCTTCTTCTTCTTCTTCCTCCTCCTCGTTATTGTTGTTTTCGCTATCTAGTGTCTCTGCATAGTCTGAAGGACCTTTAAGAGTTGGTTGTGTGAGCATACCGGTTCTATCTTGTTCGGCTGAAGGTGTATCCCAGAAATAGATAATGATATCTTGACGCCATTGAACTTCTCTGAATGGTGGTGCAGTTACATACTCGACCTTGGCCAACGCTTCTTCCTTTACGTTGAAAAAAATAAAACTAAACACAACAACCAAAGCAAGACCACCAATCAATGCCATATACTTCATTCTGAACGACATATTCTTTAGAAAACCAGAAGATGGACTCGGTGATGAAGACATTGATTTTGGTGATGACGAAGATCCATTTGAATTCGATTCAACATCTCCACTCAACAGTGGATCTCTATGACCCATTTATATCTATATCTATATCTATCTAATCTATATCTAATATCTATCTACTAAAGTATATCTTCACTATTTCTATTCTTCTTTCTTTCTTTCTCCTTCTTTTTTTTGCTATTTATTATCAAACATAAAAAAGTTTTTGTTATCTGTATCTGTAAATAAATTATATTTCAATTATGTTATAATATTTATAGTACTCTTTATAAAAAGATAAGAGATTCTAATAGTATTCAAATAAATAATATAATGTAATATATTGCTGTTGTACTGTGAAGGTTTGTTTTATTGGTTTGCTAAAAAAAAACAATATTGTTTAAAAATAATTATTTTTATTTTTAATTTTTTTGTAGAGTCAATTATATAACATCCCTCTTTTTTTTTAATGAATATTCATTTTTTCTTTAGGATAATGTAATAAAGTGTGTTGTAATACAATGTGGTTAAGCACACACACACACACATAAATAAAATAAAAATTTAGTCAAAAAGAAGTCAATTTTGATCTTTCTTTATGATTAAAATTCCATTGATCTTAATTAAATCATATTTTACAATGAATATTTAATTTTAATTATCTTTATAACCTATTGTTTTATATATTTAAAATCAAAACTTGTTATTTTTAAAGAATTGAATTTATCCATTTTCAAACTCTTCAATTTTAAAATAGTGAAGTATAAACTAAAGTGACGAAACAAATAATATCTAAATCTGAGTATAAATTTAAATAATTGTTGATGCAGATATGGAAAGTAAAAAAAAAATATTGTAATTTATAATATTTTGAATTTTACTATAAATTTGGTTAACATTGTATATTTTTATAACTATATTCAAAAATAATAATAAAAATGAATTTTGTAAAGATTTTTATATCTCTTCTAATACTTTCTATGGTTTTTGTTATAACACTATCATCTGATCCTAGATGTAAGTAGATATAAAAGTAAAAAAACAATTCTAAATTTTATTAATTAATAATAACAATATTTTCCAGGTTCCAAATGTTATCCCCAGAAAGATATTCATGTTTGTAATACTACACCTTTTTGTTATAGCACTAATATTGGATGTCATTGTACCCTTGATAGAAAAATAAGCTTATAATAAAAAGTTCTTAGGTACAACTAAAGTATTCTATTTTCTACATTTTAATTACATAAAAATTAATCAATCTTTTCTAGATCATAGACATCATATTTTTAAATAATAATATGTATCTTTTTGGTAATGAATAATATTTCTTTTATATTTATTTAAAATAAATAAATTTGTAGAATTTTTCTTTAGGTTGATGACTATTACCTCAATCAACACATCAAGATTGGCAAATGTAATTTTTCTTTTTATAAATAAATAAAATATTACTTTTGACTAATCATCTTTTGATGCAAGATGTATTTTTACAAAGTTTATTCTAATGACAAAAATTAGATTTGTCAAAAAAGCGTTATCTTTGAATGAGAGGGTCTATATCGCTATTTGTATTATTGACAATATTCGATTGCTCCTCCAACATGATGACTTGATTCTTTTTCTTTCGGTACTCGATGAAAAACACAATCAATCCCCACAACGATACGATTCCCGAGAACACTCCAAACAGGAAGAATGGGAATCCGTTCCATCGATCAAAGTAAACGCCACCCACTTTTGATGCAATTAAAATACCGATCGCTCCGCAAAAAGAAAAGAATCCACCAACGCTTCCACGACACTCTTTTGGCGCCTCTTGGGCGACCAACGCCGTCGACGAAACAACCATTCCAGTCTCTGCACATCCGATGATACAAGTGCTCACAATGAACGTCATCGAGAGTGGATCGCTACTGAAAGCAATCAAGAAATAACCGAGACATCCAAGCAGCGCAATGGTTACGGTCGCCAGCAGACGATTCATCTTGTCACAGAGAAATCCTGCGACCGGCGCGAAAAACAATCCAAAGGTCTGCGCGATACCAGTGATAGTTCCACTCTTTGAGAGTGCATCGGTTTTGTTTCCACCGTTGTGCGCCAGTGAATATTGATAGATCCAGAGCGATAGGAACGTCGTAGCCAACGCCGAGTCACCTCTTGCCAAGAATCCAGACAAATAGGAGAGCGAGAGCACCGGATTCTTTCCGGCGATCAGTCCCTCCTTTGCGATTTTCAAGACGCTCGAGTGTTCCTGATGTATTTTGGCTTCGTCGCGACGCTGCAGCGAGAACCACAAGTAGATGGCGCCAGCCAGCGCCAGACCCGCTGTCAGACAGTAGGTGAGTTGCGCGGACATCGTGATCCCCACGCTCGAGTGCTGGTCTATCAGATTTGGTATCTTGAGGAGGACGAGCGAGCCGAGCACAGCACCGCCACCGGCACACAGACCGAGCAGTCCACTCGCCTTTCCACGATCGTCAAACAAAACATAGTCGGCGAGCACTGCACTCAACATCGACGAGGCAGCAGCTGCACCCACCGCAAAAACAGCACGGAAAATCATCAACACATAAATATGATTGGCAAACGGGTAGATGCCAAGTCCCACCGACATAATCAGCATCGAAAGCACATATACAATTCTTCTTCCAACTTTATCACTCAACAAACCCCAGAAATGGGATGTACAAAGTACTACTATTTCATTATAAAATGTTAAATCTCCACTAACATTACCTGTTGATTTTTAGAATAAATAAGAAAAAGCTATTAAAAATACAAATTCTGTGATGATCATCATTTTAAAAAGTAATAATAATAATAATAGTTATTCTTTACCTTGTTTATCGTCGGGTATGTTTAAAGAGTTTGTTAAAATAATGGGTTGTGCTACATTTATGAAAACAAAAAAACATATACTAAGAAATGAAGCGATATAGCTTCCAACTATATTCTTATAAGATACACCTTGATTCAATCGATGTAATTTTAAAAATGATTTATGTTGTGGTGTTGTATTTGATTCTTCAATCGAATCTGATTCTATATTACGATTATGATTGTTACTACTACTATTCAATATACTATTATTATGATTATTATCATCATCATCTATATCTAAATCATTATTATTTATATAGAAATTATTATTTGTATCCATTTTTAAATAGTCTATCTATACTATACTATATATATAATTATATATCTTATTTAGATGTATAAGAATGTGAACAGCAGTCAGTATAATTCTAATTCTAAAATAGAATTTACTAGATTTGAAGTTATAAAATAACAATGTCAATGATTAATTATGATGTTGGTTTTTTGTTGGAAGTACTGGTGTGATTATTCATGTGACCCAAAAATTTACACATATTTATGAGTTGTGTGTGTTAATACTAAGACTGTTATTACAATTTTTATTTTTCTAAATTCGTCATAGATGTTTCCGAAATGTAATCAGTTTTTTTATTTTTGTTTTTTGATTTTATTAATAATGATTCATGCAAACATGCCCAATAATATTTATTATATTTAGAGATTTATATCAAAATATCGATTTTTAGTTATTCGTCATTATTATTATAATTCGATAAATTTATTTTATTAAATAGTCAATTGTGATAATATCTTTTGAAGATTTGATTTGGTAGTGGCATTGGTCTGTGGAAGTTTCGATAGTTCTTTCAAAGTTGCGACTGCACCCAATGATTTCAATTCCTTACATTTATCATCTATAAATTGAGTATTGAAGAAGAAGAACTTGTTAATAAAATGTTGATCTAGATTCTGATTTTGTTCTAATAGTTAGTGATCTTACCATTTTTAATCAATTCCATTAAGATTTCATAAATATTTAATTGTATATCTTGATTGAATTGTTTATCGGTGGCTGTTTCGGGTGCGATGATACTGGCTTTGAGTGTTTCCGAGAGATCGGTCCACCAATTTACATTTTTGCTTAGTGTTTCAATGTTGATCTTAACGAGTTGGAGTAATGCTTTGATTCCCTCTGCCCTCAAGATGGAGAATGGCGAATGTACAAGTTCAAAGAATGGGAGTGTGCACTCTTGAACCAACGATTGCTTTTGGTCTTCATCCTTCAGGAGATCTCTCATCGTTAGGAAACGCACCAGAATTCTGCTAGACTCGTAGGCAACTCTCTTGTCTTTCTTTTGTGAGGCAGCCTTCTCACGTTGCTCCTGTTCCAGTCTTTCTTTTTCCAATCTTTGTTTTCTTGTTTCTTCATCTTCATTCTCGTCGATATCTCTAATCTTTTGACTATTTTCCTCGGCTGCTTCTTCGTCGTCATCGTCCATACCAGCTTTGGTAACACCATTGGCCAAGTTGGCAAGCGGTAGCAATCCACCCTCTTTAATAAAGTTTACAAAATTGACATCGTTGCAGAGAATCAGGTGTTTCAGTACATTGATGGCAGTGAATTGAATGACTTGGTTCGGTACGATCATGTTGGCAATGACAACATCGATGAGATCGTTCGGTGCGACCTGTCCTTTGTATGGACCTTTCATCGAAGTAATGTTATGAGTGGCAGTCAATACCAAGTGCTGGATTGGCTGATGATTTGGATAGGTCTTCATAATCTTTGTAAACAACTCGATAACATTCAAAGAGAGTAACTTCTGAGTGTTCTCACTCGAGTTGGCAACGTTTCCAATCACCATAGCTGCGGAAACCAGCTGCTCTGTATCCTCGCCATTCAACATCTCAATGAATACATTGATATCTTTAATGAATCTTGGAATAGTAGAATCTATAGATCATATATATATTTTGTAAGTATAATGATTACTACTTATCTATCTTTTGCCGCTTTACTTACCTTCGATTGATATGTATGCAATCGATCTTGTTAAGTTTCTTTTTGCTTTGGAGGCGTCCAATACTTTTAGTTGTGTCTTCTTGTTGTTCTCTGAATATACTGGTGGTTTGGAGGTGATGATCTTCATCATTCTATCTACAATCTTAGACTTATCACTTAGGAAGTATGGTCTAAGTTTATCTTTACTTGCAAGTTTCAATATGACACCCGAAACCACTGGTGCAATCGAGAGTTCACCATCGGCTGGCAACTCATCGTCCTCATCGATTTCATCAACCATATCTCTCTGAGAATCTGCACTCTCAATGAAACCGATCAATCCATTCAATATTGAACCATCCTTTATTAAACTCTCTTGCATATCATCTGAAATAATAATAATAATAATAATTAGAAACAAGCTAACAAACTAACAAATAAACTAACAAACTTACTATTATCTTCAAGTGAAATAAGAATGGCAGAGATATCTTTGGCGAATTCATTTTCGATCCAACCGTCGTTGTGAACTGTTGCTTGCAGCTTGTGATAGAGTGAGAGAGCGTCTCTGGATGTGAGTTGCTCACGTACCTCTTCGTTGTCCTCCACCAATATACGAAGTGCTTTCGATGCAATGTCAGAGTAATCAGAGTAGTCACTGCTGCCCACTTCTTGCTCCACTATCAATTTCAGTAGTGTCGGTATGACAGACTTGTTGGCTTGGTTGGCGAACGCCTCTTGCATCGGTTCGTCATTGGAACACAAGTTTATCATGGTGGTGATCGATGTCCGCTTTAGCGATGCGAATCTGCTCTGCTTGATCCAGGCTATCAGTGGGAGTACCAGGTTGGCAACACCGCCGCCATTCTCGTCGCTGAGCAACACTGCTCTGTTCGACTCGTGGTCGAATGTCAAATTGCCTAGAACTCTACAGATCTGTTCGTAGCGTGCAACGTCGAGAGCAGTGACACTCTCTCGCAGCACCACTTGCTTCTCCTCCGATTCGCTGTTGGCAACGACAACATCGGTTGAACTCTTCATAAAGCCAAACAAGATATTCAATAGCTTGTCACTCTTTATAACGATATCTCTATTCTCTGCTTTTCTCAGCCAATCGCCGAACGTCTTTAATATCAAAGTATTATCTTTTACCACATTTTCATTGCCGATCTCTGATGCATCGACATTGATCTTATCTACAAGTTTTTCTACAATATCTATATTACAAACATCATCTGTACAGTAAAGAAGATCAATGATTGATTAATCAATAAGTAAAACCAATTCAATTCATCAACCGATTCAATCCAATTATGATATTTACCAACTAAAGTTAAACCTTTAATAAATGACTCCATCTTTTTTATTATTACTATATATATATATTAATGATCCTTTGTCTTTCTTTACAATAAATTAAAATAAAAAATAAATTCAAAACGGTCCTTTAATCTTTAAAGTAACTTAATAAAAATAAAAAAAAAAAAATTTTGGATGTTCATATTATTCAAAGAAGTTTTTGATTTGAATTATTTTTTTTTTAAACAATATATCTATCTATTATTAGTTTGTTTCACTTTCTTTCATTTTTCATATTAAAGATTGTATTTTTTTTTATTACTCAAAAAAAAGTAACAATAAGTTTACTTCTTTTAAATGATTTAATTAAAATTTAAATTCTCAATAGGTTTATTTATAAAAATAAATTTAAAAAAAATAAAACTAATTTATTATGATTTATTTCAAAAATTAAAAAAATAATAATTTTTTAAATTGTTACAATAAATTAAATAAATATATATAAACAAACACCAACCACAATAATAAAGTCGATTTTTTTTTATTTTCCCACTTACATAAATAGAAATTTATTTAAGTATTCATTGCACACATTCGTTTTTGATACGATTTTAAAATAATAATAATACTACTACTTCAATTATTGTACTACATCAGATTAAATGCATTGTGTTAGAAAAGAGATTGACGATTAAAAAATGAATGAACATGAAAAAAAATATGCAATTGGTCAATAATTCAATAGTGATGTTTCACTTTCAAAAACAATGATGATGATTAAAAATTTATTGTTATTTGGATCATTTTTATTTCATTCTACTCTCCGCTCAGTGTATGTTTTATAGGGGGATCGGGATTGGATCTAGTTGGATCTGACTTTTGAATTTTATCTCTCAATTAAATTCTAAATTAAAACTAAATAAAAAGGTAACATGTTTTGTATATTTTTACTATTGAGTTGTCATCGATGTTTGTTTGTTGTCATTGTGAGTGAATTTATGTTTTTTAAAATATGAAGGTAACAGTAATACTATTTAAATTCTGGAATAAAATCATACACATTAAAAATTTTAATTATTTTCATAAAGAGGGGGGACTGCTTTAATATTTAGGCAACTGGCAAATTATTATATTTAATAAAGGGTAGAATCCCAGTTTAAAATTATAAAAATTATAATTTTCTAATTTCCTAGTGGGTGGTATTTGTTTCATCATCAAATTATTATTCTCGGTCTCAAACACGGCAATGTGACTAATCTGAGATTAATTTGTTGTCTTTAGTTGTTGCTGTTTTCTTTTTTGAATCTCCTCTTACTAGTCAGACTTCCTATTAGGTTAGAGTTGTAAATTTCGATCCTATTCCAGATCCTTTTTTCTATAATTTAACTAATTATTTATTTCTATTCAAAAACCTATTTATTTGTTACACTATAAAAACATTTTGTTTATCAAACAACAGTTGTTTATTGCAGAATCCGGTAAATAATAATAGAATCATTTTTATTTTTAGAATCGTTATAATTTCAAGCCAGCCTATTTATTATTAGTAAATCTATTTTGTTTAAATATATATATAAAGAATAGTGTGTCGAACTATTTTACATAAATTCACAAGAGATTATCTATCTTTTCGAACAACTTAACATTAAATTTAAATCGAGATTGTCATTGTTTTTTTATTCTAAAGATCTTTCTATTAATAAATAAATTGTTTCGTTGGTATCTGTGTCAAAAAATAATAAATCTATTTATATATATCTATTAAATAATATAACAATACCATGAATGACTCTAATTATTTTCAATCGAATTTCGACAACGCTTCCTCCAGTAAAAAATTACATTTCAATCAGTCACCTACATCATCGTTTGGAGGAAGTAGTAGTGGAAGTGTGAACAGTGGTTATGGATATAGTGGTCACATACCTTCATCACCAAATCTATCATCATCTTCATCACCTATAGTTGATAATAACTTATTCTTACATCACCAGTCTAGTATTAACCAAAACTATCATCAACACCAACAACTACTTAATTCTATCCAACAATACTCCAGCTCGAACAACTCAATTCCGCCCAACAGCAATTTAGATACTGATAGATTTTTAACGATCGAAAACTTTTGGAAGTGGATCAATAAAGAAATTTTACAGATTCAAACACCCATCCGAGATCATATACTACCACTGGCCAGAATTAAAAAGATTATGAAAATGGACGAATGTGTTAAGGTATTTAATTGATTCTTTTAAAAAGAAAAAAATTTATTAGTACTAATCGATATAATTTAAAAAAGATGATAAGTGCAGATGCACCTGTTATTTTTGCAAAAGCTTGCGAATTATTTATTTTGGAACTTACAATTAGATCTTGGTTCCATACAGAAAGTCATAAGAGAAGGACACTACAGAAAACAGATATATCTCTCGCTATTGCTACAAATGAAACTTTTGATTTCCTAGTTGACATTGTACCAAGAGAAATGAGAGAAATACCTCGAAGAGTAAATATTACAAAAAAATTAAAAGATATTTTAAAAATTGTTTATTAACTAATTTTTTTTTTGTAGATTTATCATGGAGATAATTATAATTTATTATCAAACCAAATCTATTCAGTAGATAATAACAATCAGACAGTACCTTCGAATAATGATCAATTTAATTTATTAAGTCCTAATAGTAGTAATAGTAATCATAGTTTATCATATTTTTATCAACCAACACCATCACCACTTTCTTATATGGAAAATAATTCCAGCGAAGCTGGATATAGTCACCACCATTCCGCCGGTGAAAAATATAGTCAAGATGAACATACCAATAAATGAATGTTACAGTTATTATCTATTTAAAAATACAAGATTCAAACACTTTTGAATGATGATGTGATCATCTTTATTGATGATAAATGTTGTTGTTGATGTTGTCGATTTAAGATCGAGTAGCTCTATCCAGAAAATGGTGGAAAGACGTAACCTCCCTTATTTACATTACCATTGGTATTCGATGGAATACTATAGGCATTTAAACCTGAAGAGCCTCCTGCTGCTGGACGATTGAATGTACCTGGCTGTAAATTTTAAAATTAATTAATTACTTTTAAAAAAAAAAAAAAACTTAAATATTTGAAAAAAAAAAACTATACCTTAAAAGTACCATTATTTCCTCTGTTTGACATTATTTGTATTATTATATAAACGTATTTTTAAAGTGATTTGTTTTTACATTCGATCAAAATAAAGTTTCATATAGATGACCAAATAAATCGGATTAAATTTTTGCCAAAAAAAAAAAATTAAAAAAAAAAAATAAAAGAGCATTTAACAAAAAAATAGATAGAAACCACTGAACCAAAGAAAGATCTTTTCAAAAAAAAAGTATCTAGTTTAAATTTAAAGTTGCGGGCTTTAACAAAAAAAAAAAAAAATTAGAAAGATTTCAGAAATCTGCATAAACCTATCATTTATTGGAATTATAAACAACATGTTAGGGAGAGGTAAAATTCTTTTATTGTACAAATGGCGAAGGAACTGACTGATCATAGTTGGAATCATTCAAAATTTCACTTCTTAATCTTGCGTAATGTGGCAAAACATCGTGATAATCAACAAATAAACCAAATGACACCTGTGAGTAGATATGGAATTCATTACTCAGTAATTCTTTCTTTGTAATTGAAAATTTCTTTTCCAAATTCTAAATTAAATAATAATGAAAAAAAAACAAGTGAATGTGAATTAATATAAGAAATTATGAACACTGTAAATAATTGATAGTAAAATATATACCTCTATAAGTGGTACTAGAGATTCTAGTGCTTTTGGATCATTGAATTTGGCAGCCAACAAAAGACAACCGGCAGCATACAGTTTAAAGTTTGCCTTTGTCATTTGATTTCTGATGATGAGTTTCTCAATGAGAACGTACGACAGAGCAACGGTGGACATTTCAATATCGGCAATAAGTGCAACCTTTTTCAGTTGTCGTTTAAGTTTTCTAATTTTGTACAGAGTCACACCGGTTTGTACCCACTCGTGCTTCTGTCTGAATTGTTCGTTCAACTCCTCTTTGATTGCACCCTTCTTGATGTAAGGGAAGATCGAGATCTTGTAGCCTGTCAAATTCATCACCGTACGATGCTTTCCTGTTTTCAACTCTGAATTATCCAAAAACAACGGATCGTATTTGATCATGTTGGAAGCACCGGCATCAATGTCGGACGTTGGTGATATATAGTTGGACGGCAGCAAGTGTGCATAAGATGTCTCCTTTAGTTTGAAAAAGTTTGATTCTTTCGATAGAACACTCATCAATGTATCTCCAGCAGGTCTAAAATAAACAAACAAATAAATATGTTAATAATCAAATTATCAATAAACAAAAATAAGATTGGCAACTTACGAAATAGGGTCAGGTTCTTTTAAGTTCTTTCCTTTAGGCTTAAACTTTCTGGTTTCTCCACGTATCATTGAAAAAACCGATATCGGATAGCCAGACGTCGTAGTAAAGTAAATTCTTTGTGGTATGGAAACATTATAGCTTGCATTAAAATCCTCACTGGAAAAATAAAAGTTAGGTTAGTTATAATATAAATAAAGATATGATTCAAAACAACTTACATTGTATTTCTTTTCCGATATGGTTGTGAAATAATTTGTTGCGATGATTGTTGCGATTGCTGTTGCTGTTGTTGCTGTTGTAGTGCTTGCTGTGATTGTTGTTGGGAAGGAATCTGTTGTTGAGCGAGTGGTATATTCGAAGAAACCATTGAACTTTCAGCGATAGCATTCAATTGATTGTTGTTGTTGTTGTTGTTGTTTTGTGTGTTTGCATTTACATTATCGTTTGGTTGATTATTGTTATTATTGGTAGTTATAGAAGGTCCTAATGAAATACCAGATAAAAAGTTTTGTGCTTCTTTAATTGGTCTGCAAAAATAGATTATTATTAGAAAATGTCATTTAAATGTTAATTGATTGGTTGATTATTGTAATACATACTTTTTTCTTACGAAATAAGAATTTAAGAGATTGGTAAATACAGGTAGTTGACTGTCCGATATATTGGTGAAGGTCGACTTTGATTGGACAATGTCAGAGAGTTGCTGCGACGACGAGAAAAAGTCACGCGGAATTGGTTCTTGGAAGAGCTTGTCAAACGTCAGTATTATCTTGGTGCCATTTTGGTCGGCTGTTGGCTCCTGTGAGACGGTGGCCAGCGCAACGATTCTGTCTATCTTGGTTGGTATGATCATTGAGAAATAGAATTGATCGCCACGCTTCAAGAGTACATTCTTTTGCTTGCAATTCAGTGCCACTGTTGTACCGACACTTGCGTTGATTGATCTGTAGATGGTCGATGCAATGCTGTAGATCCAAGTCTGTTTGGTTGACACTGAATTGCTGCGACCTGTTGTTCCACCTCCACTGACGTCTCTCGACGATGATGATGTATCCTTTACATTTGTTATTGGTTTAGAAGTGTAGTTTGTCAAGAAGATTTGCTGTTGCTGCGGCGGTGGTGGTGGTTGCTGTTGTTGCTGCTGCGTGCTTGCTTCACTTGATAAAGACTTTCTACTCTTTGAACTAGATTTCGATGATGACGATGATGATGATGATGACTTGCTACCTATTTGTGTCGGCGGAGCAGCAGCTTTTGGATTTAAAGATATATTTGACAAAAAAGAGAATGCCTTTTCATTCATTTTCGAGGCCATCTTTTGAATTTGATTGATTTGATATAATATGATAAAAAGATAGAGATAATATGTTTTGTTTTGTTATGTTATATAATATGTCGATTTAGAAGTTGATAGAGAATAGAAATGAAGATAGATAGATAGATAAAAGAAGAATGTGTGTATATATATATATTTTAGCAAATAATAGATAAATAATAGATTAGCCGATAATTTAATTAAAGATCTAATTATAATGCCCGCTTGCACTATTACCTCTACTACTACTACTACTACTACTACCACTTAAATTATTACTACTACTATTTGATCTGAGAAACATTACTTTGATTAATTTTTTAAACTATTCTTTGTTTTTGTTTTTGATTATTGATTATCTTAAAACTACTTTGTTATTATTGTTGTTGTTGTTGTTGATGTCGCTACCACTTCGAAATTAAGTTCTACCTGAATCAAAGAAGTAAACAAACAATCAAACAAAACAAACTTTAAAAATAAATAAATAAAAATAAAAATAACAATATTAACTGCGCTTAAGATTTGTTGATATTTTAATTTATAAAAAATAAAAAATAAATATAAAAAAATAGATTTAATTAATGCTTTAAGATGAATGTTATATTATTGTTTATTATTATAGCTATACACTATAGCTATAACAACAATTTATTACTATTAATTATCTATTTTTTTTTTTAATTAATTAATAATAAAAAAACCACTAACAATAAAAACACACACCCCAGAGTACATTTTTTTCAAAATTGAATTCACAATAATTTAAAAAAAAAAAACAAAATAAATAAAACACGAAAAAATTATGATGATAAAAATCACCTTAATTTGATTTTTGATTTTTTTTTTTTTAAATTTTGTAAAGTGTTTGTTTGTTGTGTTAAAAATCACTTATTTCATTGTTGAGATTATTATCATCGAAATAGAGAGAACGTTTTCTTTTGCCAGAGAAATAGGGTGATTGTTGATTGACCCATTGCACGCCGTAGCAATCGCCTTGCATTGCAGTCGATGTCGTCTTCCAGCTGAATCGCACGATGTCTGGATAGCCAAATACTTTGTCACGATTGTTGCGTAGCCACGACTTGGTGGCGGGGTCACTTGGATAGCCGGAACCAATGTTTGTGTTTATCGGGGCGTTCTGTCCGCTGGCATTGCTGCCATACTTTTCGAAATCCGTTGCCTTGATGATACGATCACGAATAACCTTTGCACAGATACTGGCGGCCGACACAATAGGGTACAAACTATCGGCTTTCTTTGAAACCACTACATTCTTGATCGACGGGAATGCCACTCTTATCTTTGCCTCGTACTTTGCCGGTGGGCCGACAGTATCCACATATAAAGATTCAATATTATATCCCTTATCCAAAACCTGTTGAATTAAATTGAATGCAGATCCATGTGATATACTATCGAGTGAAACTTGTTGTCTATTTCGTAATAACGTTATACCGATTGTTAATATGAAAACTTCAGAAAACTTTAATATTAATATATTAATATCGATATTAATATCAATCAAGTTGAATAACATACTTTGAAAGCATCTTTTCCGATAGCATAGATGGTTCGTTTACATCACTTACGAAACCAAGCAACTCATAGTTACCCAAAATAGTTTTAAATAAAGTTTCTCTTTGTGCTTCCGTAAGTTTCTTTGAGTCTTAAAGTGAGGTGGATGCATTTATATGAGTAACATGATAATGTGATCAAACAAGTGTTTCTATTAGATAGGATACTCACCATCAAATCTTAGCTTTCTCATTCTTTCTAAATTACAATCCGGTACGTAACACGCAGCATATACAAGTGGGCCTAGCACAGGACCACGACCTGCTTCGTCTATACCCATCGTGACAACACCATACTCTGATTTATCGAGTTCCATATCCATATATAATGGTATATCTTCATTATCATTATAGTATTTCGTTTTTTGATCTGTCATCGTCTCAATTTACTTTATTATTGTTATCTATTATATATATGTACAAGCGAAAAATAAAAATAAGTAAATTACAAACAAATATTTATGGCGGGAAGTTGACAAAAAATAAAATTTTTTGAAATCGTTGTGGTAAAATTGCACCGTTGACTGAGAATTTCGTAATTCTATCTATGACTAAAAATGATAACGAGTATGATTGTTACAAACAAGAGGAATGAAAAAAAAAAGTAAAATGTAGGTAGAGAGAGAGAAAGAGAAAGAGAGAATGAAAAGAGGAATTAAATACAAATTAGAGGAAATATGTGGTATGTAAAAGAGTTGAATAGATTTAAGTAGTGAAAGAGAGAGAGAGATGAAGAGAGAGAGAGTGAAAGATAAAAAGAAAAAAAGAGAATGAAAAGGTAGAAAAAGAAGTGATAGAAGGTAATATGTTAGTTAGAGAGTTCGGAAGGATATTTAGGTTGAAGGGTAATAGTGTTTTATGATGTAGATGTATAACATACCTGGTGCTGTTTCGTTCTTGAAGTATTCAATGAGACTTGTGATGTCTGCAGGGAGGAATGGAATCGGTTGAAGAATAAGAAGCATTGGGTATGCAATTGGATTGTTGACGGCAGCCTTGAGAGAATCAAGATTCTTATAGCCATTCCGAAGTAATGAAGCTGCTGTGATTGACGTACAACCAGCCTTGGAGAGCACCAAAGCAAGGGACTGCTCTGTTTGCTCCTCTGAGTGACATTAAAATAGATTTTATTTTTAGATAGTTTTTATCAATTTGAATTATTTATTTCTTTTTAATAAAAAATTTCTTAATTTTAAGAAAAGTAATACTATCAATTAGTACTACTTTATGATAAATGGCTGTAGATTTGTGCATTTGTGATAATTGTTTTGTAACAAGTTATGGAATTGAGTTAGCAATAAGAATCTCCTAAGTTTCTGTTCAAAATAGAACTCTAAATATCTTAGACGTTAACACTAAATGAGTCCCCTACATTGATAGTAGATGCCCGACTTTAATAACCATACCTTCAATCTAGATAAATATATCATAAAGCCTGTACTATAGTCGGTTTCACTTGGTATTAACTAGAATGATGGTGATGTAGAAATAATGCTCTGAAAACAATATTTTAGGTCAAGAAGAGAGATGTACAAATAAAAATCTATAAGAATTTATTTATTAAATAAGAACCATTAATTTATATAGTAAATTGTTTAAGTAAATCAAACATTCTGCTATTTGCTAATTCTGGAATGGTAATAAAGTATTGATCAATAAAGTGTTTCTGTTTATAGTCAAAATCATTCTTCACAATCCAAACAAAAATATCTTTAGTAAAGTGACAAGAGTTTTGGAATTGGGTTCTGAGACCGGATTCAGCCCATTTGCTAGCGTGTTTTGAACCAATAGTAACCTGGAAAGCAGACAGAGTCTTTGAAGAAGGATTCCAGAAGAACCAATCAGCCACCTTGTAGTTAGAGGCACGAGGAATGATAAGTGAGGGCTTAGACCAATCGATTTGTGATAAATCATTTTGAGCCACGATATATTGGACTATGTCCCATGCAAAGACGACTTGTGAACAAAGGGTATATTTATAGCAGGTAACACCTTTTCTGTCATCTGCTCCTGTCACCAGTGAGGGCTGCACTTGTAAGAGGTTGTGTTCCAACAATGTATCAATAAGATATTTCTCTAGGATTCTTCCAACAGCATCTTTGGTCAACGAGATCTTATTGGAAAAGACAGATTGATAAAACTCTTGTACAACGAGATGGGTGGGTGTCATATAACGCATAATTAGAATATCTCTGACCAATGGGAAAAGAGGCAATATGAGGTCTTCCTGACTTTTGTACAATAGTTGTTTGTTGAGAAATATTGATTCGTCTGTTACAGGTACATTGTGTTGCATAAATACAATTGCTCTTCTATAATCTTTGTGAAGAATGTCGGTTGTAAGGAACTCTTTAGAAAAGTAATTGTCTTGTTGAGTGATCAGTGATTTTCGCCACGACTTATACGATGTGAGAACATTATTGAAAGTGGAGCCTTGTGTTTGTTCTTGTGATTGTGATTGTGATTGTGATTGTGATTGTGATTGTGATTGTGATTGTGATTGTGATTGTGATTGTGATTGTGATTGTGATTGTTGATCCTGTTGTTTCTTTTGTTCGTCTAATATATATTTGAGTTCAATTCTAATATTTAGATTGATTAGTAATCTACTCTAATTTTTGGATTGAACTAAACTTACGGAATAAAATTGGTGAGATCTTTGATGGTCTGTATATCACTACTTGTGAGGTTGCCGAGATCTTGTTTGTGAATTTCTACCCATTCCTTGAATTCATTGTCACAGAAACCATCAAAAAAGTAAAACACAGGCCATTCATTGTCCTTGGCAACTTTGAGATAGTAATTGTTGTTTGCAGAACCAGATACAACTACGAGATTGTTACACCAACCAATATTGTTGACAAGATAACTCTCTACTATTGAAAAGGGAGAACTTGTTCTTTGAGAGTTGGTGAGAGAGTTGTGTTGATCAAAGATAAAATATACACAGAGATCTTGAAACTTGCAATAAACTGATAATTTATCCATAAACAAGTATAACTGTTCTTCATTTATGATTGAATTGTAAGTGTCTCTAATAAATGAATCTCCTGCCAGACCAAATCCAGTTTCCAGAGCCTGTACGAAAAAAAGATAGGGATCACCAGCTGTCCAATTTGCACAGTCTTGGATGTATATGACACGATTGTTTGGTGCTTCAACTCGGAGTTTGACAACTATTTGATAAATGGAATGTGATTTACCTACTCCCTGTGGTCCTTGAATGTAAACTCCTCTTGAGTTGCGATAATTTGATTTGATGAACGTGTGTAATTTGTTTGTAATATCTCTGTTCACCAACTTTAGAGTGTTATCGGTAAACTCAAACCTTTTACGAGATGATATCAGTGCACTGAGAGGATCACGTGGTAGAGATACAATAGGACCATCAAACTTGGACTTTTTCATAGATTCCATGACTTTCTCAATCTCAGACCCTAAACGTTTCCTTTCAACTTAAGAAAAAAAAAGGAATATTAGCTAACCAGAGTGTTCTTTTTGTATGATGATGATGATGATGATGATGATGATGATGATGATGATGATGATGATGATGATGATGATGATGATGATTTAGTTTAAATTTTTCATGAAATACCTTATGATTCACAATGTATGTGTGATATTGTAAAGGATAAAGTGTTGTAGGTGATTGGTGTGCTTTCAGATGTGGATTTAATCAAGCACAATATACAACCAAAAGATATGAGATTACAAAGTGTAACAACTAAAAGAGAAAGTAGATAAATAAGTGTTTGTTGTAATTACGAATTTTGAAATAACAATAGGTGAATGATGTTGTGGGATGTGACAATGATGTAAAAAAAGAGGCGAGACTATGCATAATAATGATGATGATGATTGACAAACAAATAGTGATAATAATAATAGTATATACAATTGCAATTGTACATGGAAAATTTCAAGTTAGATTTAAGGCATGTCAAGAGAGTGAGAGACTTTATATGGATGTGTAATTATTAAATAATGTGTATCAGTGTAGCATCTTGCTATTTATGTATGGTGTTGTATAGCTTTAAAATATGTATTTGTTTATAAGTGTTTGTTGGTGTAGATGTATACATACCTTGTGCTGTTGGATGTGCATTCTCGGCATCCGTGAGAGCATCAGCTGGGCCGTATGAATATGTGGAGGGAAGAGTGAAGTAAAGGCAGAAGAAGAAAGTAAATATTTGTAAGAATATGTAGTGGATAAGCGTGAGAGGGTGTGTATGAATAGGTTGTAAGAAACGATTGAAGTAATATCATTGGTAGAGAGTAATGAGAGGTGTGAGAGTTGTGAACAAGGAGAGGGAGAAGAAAAAGAGAGAGGTGTAAAGACAAGAACATGAGAAATAGCGGTAATGTAGGAGCGGTGTGAGAGGAGAGAAGAAAGAGAAGGAGAAGAAGAAAGTGTAAATATAATACAAGACAAGATAAGAAGAGAGTAAAGTAATAGGTTAGTAAGCCGTTCTTAAGATAGTTTGATTGTGATAATGCGATTTGTAGATTACCTTTATTTTTGTCTTTAATTCGTTCTTGAAGATCGGTCCACAAAATTTTGCCAAATCGTTTGTCACTGCAATAGTCTGCGAAGTCGTCCTTGTCCTTGGCAATGTACAGGAGTTGTTGTCCTGTTCTAATCTCATATTCTGATGTATTGGCAGTCTTTTCATTGGGAGATGGAGTATATGCTTTATTGAAAGCTATCCACTCGATGGAATGCTTGGTTGACCATGCGGTGACTACGTAAAGTAAATAGGTTAGTCATTGTATGCAAATGCATTATAATGATGTTCATGCTGATATTACCTTTAACTTGGTCAAAAGGCTTTGAATCGTTGGTTGAAGTAGTGGTAGAGGAAGATGCTTCATTGCCAGACATGGTTTCACACTAAAGAAATATTGATTGATGTGATGAATAATAGAATAATGAGAAATAGAAAATGTTGAAGAAATGAATAAAGAGATAGTATGTAATTGAAAGAACAAAGAATTGTTACTTGTTGTAGAAGAGTTGTTGTTGAGGAGAGCTTATATACGTTTGTGTGTTTTGTGAAGTACAAAACAAAACTATCTCTTGCTTGTATTTACATTAACCCCACTAATTTTTAATTTTAACTTTTTTTTTAAAATTAATGTCAATTTTCATTTGAAATTTAAATTTAAATTATTAAACTATGAATTTTAAACATATTATAACTATTTTATTACTTTTTGTATTAGTATCATGAGGTATCTTGGAATGATAATTTATTGGTTGTATCAATATATTCTTCTCCAATTTATACGAGAAGAATATGTAATAAACGGTTGTAAGTCTTTCAATTTGGATAATATAGTGATAAAAAATGATACTAATTGGATAGTATGTTTATTGTCTGATTGGTTGTTATAGGAAGGGCTGCGAGAGTCATTCTCTGAATTAGGTGTACAATTGGAATTTTATAAAGTGATCCTGGTTGGATAGAAAATTTATTGTTGTTGTAAAATGAGCTGCGAGAAGTGAGTTATTTAGCTGAGTGGGAGCTGCGAGGGCAATGGTGCTGGCAACTCAATCAACAACGCATACTGGGTGACCTGAAACAGCTGGTTGGGTTTGATCAAACTATAGATCGCAGGAAAGTTGTCAAAGTTAGGGAGTAGATATTTTTAAAATTAATGTCAATTTTCATTTGGAATCAGACAATGGACCTACTTACCTGTGTGACATTTGGGTATAAAATTGGTCTTACGTGATCAAGTTCGGATTTACACCAAGGTGACATATACCTGCGGGTAGTGCCAACGTTCTTCAGAAACTCTTTGTAGATCCTCGGATCAGGCGATGAAACAATGATCGTTTTAGCTGCGACATTTGTCTCCTCTTTGCTGTCTACCAAAAAGAAAGTTGATCTGAGACCAAGGAGAGTGATAAAATCACTCTTGGGCTTCAATTGATTGGCATTCCGTAGGCATCCCAGGCGTTCATTTGAAGGAGATCACTGTCGGATATACCAAACAGCACTAAGAAGGTATCGTTCATTGGTGTCAAGAAATCAAAGGTGACATTCGATGGTGATTGGCTGCACGATTGGTGGAGAAGAACGTTGATGTCTTGTCTTCCAGTGAAATCAAAGTACTTGTGGTTGTTGTAGAGTGACAACTGGAATGCCACCAACGTAAGTGTAGAGATAGTATGAATCGGCAATCTGGGCGTGAATCGAGTGAACAACCATAGTTTCCTTGACCCGTGAGATGAGAGCCATAATGTAGAAGAGGAAACAGGACTTACCAGTTCCTGGATTGCCAGTGATAACGAATGCATTCTTAGAGGCTGTGGTTGGGGTTGAAGTTGAATTAACTTCATATTGATCAAATTCTGCATAGATTTGATCTTTCAGCTCAACATAGCAATCTCTCACGTAGATAGATGATCTCTTGACACTATTCCCCATGAAGTGCACGCCCACTGGAGGGAAAGGATATTGACTGCGGGATCAATCGAGGCACTGTGCAACGTCCTCCAAAACTCTAGCTCTGAAGCAACTGTATTGACAATTAAGAAGTGGAATAAGTTTGTCAGTATCATTAAGGTTGTTGGTTTGTGTAGATGTACATACCTTCTGGTGTTGGTGTTTGAGGAGCTGTTGAGTATGAAGTATGATGAGAAGAAGAGGTGTAAAGAACATGAGAAATAGCGGTAAGCTATAGTATAAATTATATTATAGATATATAAAAATTTTTATATACTTATTATTGATAGGTGTAGTAGTGTGTGTGCATGCTAATTGTGGACTCCAATATAACCACTCTTCCAGTAGATCAAGACATTATAAGAAAGATCACAAGCAACCCTGCCAACAATCTTGTGATTACTGTTCCAACACGGCAACCAAAGTATCAGTTTGTAGACATCGCAGCTGTACCAGTGGAAAGAAATATAGTGAATCAAATTTGTCAAAACATGAGAAAAGAAAAAAATACCATTCTAATTGTGGTATTTCATCTGGATGCTTACCATGTATTGAGTTAGAGGAAATGCGAAACGCAAGAGATGATATTCCAATTGCAAAGCTGGCACAATTGAAAGATGAGTTACTGATTCCAGATGGCTGGTGGTCTCATCTGCGCCAAACCTAATGAATGATCCAAGCATTACCAATGCGGTTGCTACCACTACTTACGATCACTGCTGCTACTACCACTGCCTCTGTTACTACAACTGATTGATCATTGTAAAAATTTGGTGAGCACCTTTTTTTTTTTATATGTAAAAATTAAAATTTGAAAAATTAATGTGTGGTTAATATGAGGATGCTAATTTTACGATTAATTCGGTTAATTGAAAATGAAGAAATGAAGGAGTAATAAAGAAAAATAAAATTTTTATTTTTTTTTTTTTTAGTATTTTTAATATTTTCTTCAGTTTGACCTGTAGCAATCCTAACCAAAGCACTGAGAACCAAAAAATTAAATTCAAATATTAAACTGGCTACTCATAGATTTTAATAATTTAAAATGAATTTAAATTGAAGGTAAAATCATAGAATGATATAAACTTAGTCAGAATCATTTTTTGTAATATATCAACAACATGCTTTTCATTTTCAATAGAAGAATAATCAACTTCCAATTCTTTATCTTTATCACTGTCACCTCGATACATCACTGTATAATTCAATAACATTTCCCCACGCATACTATCGAGGAAAACTATTTCATTTTTATTTATACCCCTATCATAATGTTTAGCGATTAACATATTTTTACAAGTATAAGATAATAAATTTTTTAAATTCATTTAAATTCCTTTCCTTCAACAAATTGTTTTTGAACATTGATATATATGTTTACGAATTTAATATATTTTTGTCATAACGATTAGATTTTTAATCAAATAATTTCTCTTTAATTAATTCTTGTTTGTAACAGAGCTGGAAAACATAATAATCTGCATTATGTTTTCCAGATAATAATTAAATTAAATCTGTTTTTCTAAATTAAGCTATTAATTACTCAGTTGTCAAGCTTCTCAATATTCTAGTACAATCAATACTTTGAGTTTAACGAGACGTAGAAGATTCATTCAATTTATCAAGCAACAAAGATAACAAATAAAATTAATAAATATACTATAATAATTTCAGAAACTTAAATACTTAATTACCACCTATTAATAATATAATAAAAATGCAGCAACCAACTGAACCCATAACCGATACCACAACAACCACAACCACAACAACTGTTTACTATCCGGTTGACCTGGGGTAATGGCAGAGGAGATCGGTATCTTCGAAGCGGCCAAAGTTGATTGGAACAGATCGGATCAGATCGGATGGAAGTGGATCTGGATGCGTGTTGATAGGAGTTATATCTGGGAATAGAGTGGAAGTTGATTGGATTGAATCGTTATTGTTGTTACTCTCAAGGTCACTCATGCTGAGGTCACCTGCCCTAGTTGTTGGATCTGTAGGAGCTGTTGAACTAGTTGTTGTGGTTGTGGTTGTTGTTGTTGTATCTGATGACTGATCAGTTGGATCTACCATTTTCTTATTTGATAGTTCGTTCGCGATGGTTGGATTTGTATCATTAGTTGTTGTGGTTGTGGTTGTTGTAGTTGTTTCGGTATCTATTTCTTTGCAACCGGGCTTGTCATCTGTTGATTGGTGGATATTTGACCGACCTCATAATTGAAGTTCTGTATTAGTTTATCATAACCGTATTATAAATTAAATCCATTCAATAAAAATAAACATTATTATTAAATTCCAAATAACTTGTATTCAATAACTATCAATTTATCTTAACATATCTTTACACCTGTACTAAGTAATATCATAATAGATAACAATATTATTATTATTTAGTCGCCAAACTTTAAACATATAAAATAAATAATTAAAAAAAATAAGTTCCAGTCTATAAATTTGTTATCAGATATGAGAGGTTGGATGTAAAAAAGATAAATCCAAACTTTCCAAGTATTCATAAAAACCATCCAAATTTCAAAAAAAAAAAAATGGTAAAATTTTTAAAAAATCAGATTTTTTAAGATTTTCTAGATAATTTTTTATTTATTTATAAATAAGCAACATTAAAAAAACGAATCAGTTATTTGTAAAATTTCATTTTAATTTAATTAACAGCATGTATGAAATAGAAGATGTCAGTAAGTATATTGTTATTATTAGTAAATGCAAAAACAAACAACAACTAATATAATATTAAGTTGAAAGAAGTATACTCTATAAATATACATTTACAGTGCCATCACAACAACAGATTCATTCACTGAAAGTAGGCAATCTAGTGAAACTCATCTTTAGAGAATATGAAGATGATGAATTCGATAATCAATCGGTTATTCAAGTAGATACGAGAAAAGGAGGATCGCCTTTGCCATCGCCAACCAGCGGAACCACCTCCACCAGTGGCAGCGTTAGCAATAACACATCGCCAAGCATAAAGAATGGAATCGATAATGTAGGTGGCTCGACATCACCAGCAGCCGCAACAGCAGCGCCAGTCACACCACAGGAAACTCAATATCATGCCGAGAGAATGTGGGTAAAGATAACGTCGGTCGATGACCAACATCAACACTTTGAGGGAACACTCGACAATCAACCATTCTCGTTGAAATCCATCATGTCAGGCGACCCAGTGGTGTTTCGTGCCAATCAGATCCTGATGATCTACGGCCAAACCAATCAGATAAGCTATCTCTCGGACGAACAGAGAATACTGACATCGCAGTTCTGTCTTATATCTCGTATGGCGCTCGACCAGAAAAACGGTGTTGGCTACATCTTTAGAGAGGATCCAAGCAAGGCTATCGCCAACGACAGTGGCTGGCGAATCTTCCAGGGCGACGAAAGCGATGAATACATGGAAAACAAATCAAACTATCAAACGACAACGATTGCCGCCGTCTTGAACCAAGACGATACATTCCTTCATCTCTTACAATACCCAGTTGATACTTGTTTCGAAAAAGATTCCAATGGTGTTTGGAAAGAAATTGTATAATTAAATTAAAATTGCAAATAAAAACAACAATACCTCAAAAAAAAAACATAGATGTAGTGTTAATTCATTAGTTAAAAACAAATAACTAATAGTTTTTTAGTTTTCTAGTTTTTTTTTATATATAAATATATTTTTTTTATATTTTTTTTTTTTTATTATATTAAAACATAAAGACTTTTTTTTAAAGGGATTCATCATCGCCCATAAAATCTTCATCGAGTAAAAGAACATCAGACTTTAGAGGTTGAATTGGGCCTTTGGCGACGACACCAACGATGACGGTGATGTCATCCAATTTTCCTCCACTGTAAATATATCCGTTGAGACCAGCGTTTTTGGCGAACGGTGTGAAAATGGTTGTTGAGTTTCCGACTTCATATGCGCGTTTGGCGATCATTCTAGCGATCATTTGTGGTTCGCTACGATGTTTACAGGTGATACGACAGATTTCGTCGTCGAAAAGGTTGTCAAAGACACCGTCGGTACCGAGCACGATGATGTCACCCTCCTCCACTTCGAATGCCGAGGTGATCGAGTGGATTGGACGGTCGATCGATTGAGTACCCAATTGGAACGGCATGTTGAAAGCGTGTTGTTGTTCACGGGTTCTAAAGTGGACTTCGTTGCGACGAATCACCAGGAAGCCACTGTCACCGAGGTTTGCCGAGAGCAACTGTGAGTTTTCGTTGAGCACGACGATGCAGCAGGTGCTGCTACCCTTGATGTCTTGCGAGTAGTTGTAACCCTTCTCCATGATGTCCACTGGGTGACGACTCTCGTTGTCGTTGGTGGCAAGCTTGGAACCCTCCATCAGGGTGTTGGAGTAGAGACTTGGGTCGATACCGACGTCACCCCAGCCACCGACACCGTCGGCAACACCGAGGACACGTCTGTCGTTGCTAATAAAGTGAGCGTCTTCACCACCCTTGTGTCTCTTGTTTGGATGTGGAATGACGCAGATGCCAGAGTGGAAATGTAAATCAGCGTTGTTGATTTTGTTTTCATCGTCGTCAGCGTTGTTGTTTGTGAGTTCGGCAGCGGATTCGCTGGAGTGATTCGAGGTTGGGTGTTGGATGGCTGCGGCCATCAGTATTTGCTTTGCATTCTCAGAGCTGGCGTCGTCAACAGCTGTCTCGTGGAACTGGTCGAGAACGTCGGCAGCAGTCTCTTCGCTCTGGATGTCAACCTGGCGCACATCTTCGATGGCGACGGCCAACGACTCTTGCTGATCGTCCTCGGTTGTGTTGAGTGTTGCTTGGTCTCCCATTGAATCAGAGGTGCTATTTAAAGACTCTGAACTGGCAGAGGTATTATTATTGTTGAAAAGTCCCTTTAGGATGTTGTTTGATGAGGATGTAGTGGTTTCGGTAGCGGTGGTGGATGGCTCAACGTCTGGTGCGACGGTTGGTAAATTGGTCGAATTGGAGGAAAGTAAAAATGTTGGTGATAATAAAACTCCAAGTGTTTTCAATTTGGTTTTGTCGTTAGTACTATTGCTATTATTCTGTTGTCTCTCGTATTTATTTTGGTTGGTTCTATAATAATAGTTGTTATTCTGTTGTTGTTGGTGTTGTTGTTGTTGGTGTTGTTGATGGTATCTCGATGAAAAAGATGAAGAGAAAAATCTGTGACCCTTGAAATGTTGGTGTTGATGTCTATATGTATTATTGAAAATATTGCTGTTGTTGCTGTAGCTGTTGTTGCTAGCTGTGTATGTAGTGTTACTATTTCTAATGGTACTGGCAGTGTTACTAGAGCATTTCTGTCTGCATTGCTGTAGCTTGTGATAGTTGGAGAGCTTGAGAGAATTGAGGACGGCGATGTTGTGTTGGTGGATATGAGAAGACTTTACTTCTTTGAAGACAGAGTGAATGAGTTTGAATTGTTTATTCATTGATGAACGAATGATGATCGACTCGCAACAATTACACTGGACAACTGATTCACACACTCGATTTATAAAATTTTAAATTCGAATCAAAAAAAAAAAAAAAAATAAGAAATAAAAAAAAGGTAACTTGATTTAGCGTTTCTTTTTTTATTTTCGATCGTGTATTCGAGTTGGTTTTTTTTTTTTTTGTTTTGACTGATTAGCTTTAGCAATGAAATTTTAAATTATAGATCTTTTGAGATTGTTTTTTTTTTTTTCGAAAATAAATAGTTATTTATATGATAGAGATATAGATAATAATTTAAATATCAAAAAAAAAAGTTAGAGATATATAATTTGATTGAAGCGGTGTTTAAAATTTTAAAATTGCGAATGATGTTAATAAAAGAGTGAGTGATGTTTTTGTGGGATGTTGTAGCTGAACGAGTGATGGAAAAAAAATAACAAAAATAATTTTACAAAATCAAAAAAATTCCTTGGAGTACTTTTTTTGGATTGGGGCGATTTTTTTAATTTTGCAAAATTGTTTTTTTTAACAAAAAAAAAGCGAATGACAATGCTGTGAGTTGTAGTTGGATTGGTATGATGATGAAAGTGGTTGTGTGCTGATTTTTAGTGGTTGACCTATATATCGCTCAGAAGTCTTCTCTCACAATTAATATTAATATTAATTATATTTTCTTTGTTATAACAAACTAGTCTAGTTTATCAAATAATAATATTATTTTGGTTCTTTCTCAACTTTAATGAAATATTTCGATGATAAAATAAATATTTCTAATAAATTATAGATGACACGTTGCGTAAAAATAATATTTATAATTTAGTGATACTGATATGCACACTGCTAATAATATATAAAAGTAATATTATAAAATGTAATGGTATTTATATTTAATGTAATGTTTGTAAATATTGAATTTATAAAAAAAATATTAGGCTTTTCTTTTGAAGATCTAAAAGACTAATTTAAATATATATAAATATATGTTATAAATAATAATAAGATGAAAGAAAGAATGATTGAATTATGAAAGAAAAATAAAACTAATTTACTTTGAATTTTTAAGTCGTTGGGATTGATTGTGTTGTTTTTATTTTGTGTTTTTTTTTCAGAGTAGTAGTAGTGATGTAGATATAACACAGCAGTAGTACAGCAACAAAAGATAAAAAAAATGAAAACAAATAAGTGATAAAAAAAAACAAATAGAAAAAGTTCAAATTTAAGTGTTTATAAAGAGGCGGGTGCAATATAAAATTTCAAAATTAATTAAATTTATTCCCCAACGAATCAAACAACCGGTTAATTGCAAACATATTTTACAAACGTATTTTTTTGAATTTATTTAATTTAATTTTTTATGATTGATTTTTATTTTTATTTTTTGTTTTTTTCTTGCAAAGTTCGGATCTGGTTTTTTGGGCAAAACTTTTGCCAAATTAAATCAAAAAAAAAAAATCTCAAAAAAAAACAAAAATAAAAATTCCTTTTAGCGAAAGTAAGATGTTGGTCACAAATGCAATATTTTTTGCATCATTTTTTTTTTTTTGATTAAATTGATGTATTGTTTTTTTTTGCAGTACTTTTTAATAGTATTTTATTGTTGATTCTGTCTGCCTATGATGGAAATTAGTTCATCCAAATCTTTTCGTAGTCGACTCCTTGATACTCTATCTATACTGTTACTATCGATAGCATCAAAGAATTGTTGCGCATCTTTTTTCATACATTCAATACTGTCTGCGCAAATACGCTGCTGGTTGATAAATGATGATTTCGGTGACATCAAATCCATTTGTGATTTTACATTTCCATTATTCTTATTATTATTGTAATAGAAATTCTTTTGGTTGTTGTTGTTGTTGTTATTATTCATTTGTTGTTGTTTTTGATTTTGATTTCCGTTGTAATTATCAGGTGTTATTATAAATTTACTAAGATCTTTCTCGAAACTATTGATATATCGATTTAGACATTCTTGGTGGAGGTTGTTAAGATCGTCGTCCGGTAATGGTATCGTTGGAATTGGGAATATCTTTCTGTCGGTCAGCCTTAGTTCCGACGGTACAGGTGATGGTAGTGATCTCATCATGAAATGTTTTGAATATGCGTCTAATGTACTATTAATAGATAAAGATTATTGATGTGTTAATAATAAACAATATATCAAAGTCTTTATTTCAATCTAAAAGAAGAAGAAGAAGAAGAAGAAGAACAACAACTTACATTGTAGTAAATGATAAAATAATGAATTGTTAACGAGAGGTGCTTGTTTAGAGAATATTCTTTGTAGTGACGACACTGTAGGTTCTATAGAGTGCTTATCAAGTTGCTCGTATAGACCTGCTTTTAACAGTGACAACAATAGGTAGTTAAGTTCTATTGCATTAAAGATAATATCACCCATATTTGATATTGAGAATATTAACTATATATAATTTCGATATTAGTATATTGATTATTAAGGTTAGGCTATTCGAAATTAACAGTGTTTTGTATATACATACATTAGGTAGTTGTGATGGTAGAATAGATGTTGCCAATGAGCTTAGTTTCGAAAGTAACAATGATTCGATAGTATTCGGTTTGTTGTTTGGTTTGGTGAGTGATAATGAGTTAAGTTGATTCATGTACTCTGTGATGATTTGTGTCTTTACATGTAAAGGATATTTAAAATGAATTGAATCTAAAAGTAACAGTATGTTTTCCTATATATATAATATAATATTTAATGTTAGAATGATTCATTTAATAGTTAGATAATGGAGTATAGTATAATAATAGTTACCAGACAATCAAAAGATTGTGATTCGAGATTCTGTGAAATTAGTTTTAGTAACTGAGGTATCAGTTTATCTTCGACCAGACTCTTGACCGTCGTTGAAAGAGATACATCGTTGGATTTCTCAAATGATTCAAAGAAGAGCATCGGTAGAATAGGTCGAATCAAATAGTTATTCTTTTCTAGATATTCATTCACCAATTTATTATACAACATATCCTGAGTAGATTTAATATCAATAATAAAGGTTAGTTAAGTTTTAGTTATATAGTTAGAGTTAATACAAACTTGATAAGAAGTATTTGATAGATATATTGATAGTATAATATTATAGCAATCTAATATATCTTCGATATTCTCAAGATATTTAGTTGCTAATGACTTGAGTTGCTCTATTATGTATTGACATGTCCAATCGATCATGGATGTGTAGTTGCTGAAGTGTATGATAATGTTTCGCCAGAGAAGTGCCACCGATTTCTTTACGACCGGGTGATTCGACTGTATGATGAAGTTTGAGAGGTGAATGAAGAGTTGTGTTGTGAGAAGCTCTGGATGTGTTGCAATAAAGTTGAGTTGTGCCACCAGAATGTCATGTTTGTAGTGACTGTTCTTTATCTCAGGCATACAGAACGACAGTATATCAAAGCTAACCAACAGCAGATTCATATTGGTCGATAGTGATAGGTTATTAGAGTATTTCAATCCACCGTTGAACAACATCAATAATAACTTTAGTTTACCAAATAAAAGTGGTGACGATGATGATGATGACGTTGTTGTCGTTGTTGTTGTTGTTGAATTTGATAATGAAATGATTTGATTCTTTGATGCTACAGAAATGGGTTGATCCTGATAGAGTTTATCAATCCATGGAAACATATGATTTATCACAGATTCACCATGACTTTGCATCAGCAACTGAAAAGCTTCTTCATAGTTTGGCATTAGCTTCTTTACATTCTCAACATCGTCTGGTTTCAACTGAGATAGCGGTGGTAAGTGACTGAATACAAATGAAGATCTATGAGTAAGTATAATTCATCTATGTTTAATAATTCAATTAGTTATGTTTGTTGATACATACTGAAGGGTTTTAACTAAAAACTGTACATAGACACCAAGAGATAGAAAATTAATTGAAAATATCTTATAGAATGTAGTTTGACATTTAAGATTGAACGCTGCAAGTTTGAGGAATTTCAATTTATCTTGTTGATTACTTTGTTCCTAAGATACACATTAACAATATTAGTTAGTTAGTTAGTTATGAATCTATCAAAAAATCAACAATATCATCATTATCTCATCATCATCATCATCACTTCATACCTTTGATAATACCAATAATATAAATTCATTTAGATTATGTTGTGCATAGGTCGATATCTTTTCAAAGAGTGATCGATATTCGATATGCTCGATGATTATCCTATGGTTATTCAAGTAGGTCTCTGCAGTCTTGTAAAGATTCATCAACAATGGTTTGTTTGTTTCAATACCAATTTCAAATAACTTGAATAACTCTGAACAATCTATATATAAATACATGTAGTTGTAGTATGTTAGTTGTTTGTTTGTTTGTTTTCTATACTTCAAGTAGTATTGTATAGTATAGTATAGTATATTACTTACAATAAGTTAAATCATCAATAGATGTTGTATTCTCATTGAAATAATCTTTGTTTTCAAAGATTGAGCGGAGTGTCGCTATGATTTGTTCTATCTTCTTGAAGAGTTTCTCCATGATTTTCGATGGTGAATCTAGATTGTCGTTGGTGGTGTTGTAGAGCTGATTGGTGAGCATGCTCGTTGCCAAATCTCTGTAGGTGTTCATGTGCTTCAGTAGGTAGATAGAGCTGCTCAGCAGCGGTTTGACGTGTCCAGAGTTAACGGGACAGAACTGGCTGAATCCAACGAGCAGACCACTCAGTAGATCTATATATACATCTTGAGTCATCAACACCAGCGTCAGATCATTCGAACTACATCCACTCTCTATCAATCGCGAAACACGACCGCCAAACGACTCTATCGAGGCAGCGGCATTATCCAACAGCAGATTCCTAAACTTTAGATATTCCTCTAGTGAATCCAAACACTTTAGATATTGAATCGATAGTTTCCATGCTAGAAATGATGTTTCATTCGTCGATTCAATGATATATTTCTAGAGATTTTAAACGATAATTGTTGTGCATTAGTAGTAGTAGATATGACAATGAAATAAATAGTAAAACAAATAATTACATACAGTTATAATATTGTAAAGCAATGGTTTTAGAGATACACAATCCAAGTTTTTAGCTATGTTGATCGCTTTATCGAAATAGGTATATGAGTCAGATGAATCAGACTTCAAACGTTGTAGATGACCTAATATTTGACCGAGTCTATCTAGCTTTTGTTGTGGAGTGATCTGCACCTGTTGTTGTTGTGTTGACTGTGTATGCATTTCACTCTCTTCTGCTTCTACTGTCTCTTAAATTAATTGTTTTTGTGTGTGTTTTTTGAACAACATGTTTCAAAATCTGATAAATAAATTTTATTTTTTACAACAATTTCTAAGAATTATTTAAAATCTATCTTCAAAAATTTTTTTTTTTGTACAATTGGTCAACATTATCCATTATTAGTTATCAGCTTAATCAAATTAATAATTTTAATCAAAACAAACAAATAAATAAAGATAAAAATAAAAACTATAAGTTGAAAAAGTGGATTGATTGTGAGGTTTGTTATATTTTTCAAGATGAATTAGTTTGTTTAGGAAGTATTCTAAACAAGTGGAAACCAATTAGATTCATCTAAGTCTTCATCGGGGAAATAATAATATTATTGATGAAAAAATTTGGAATAGAAATGAAAACAGTATACAATTGATGGGACAGCGAAAGTATAGTGGTTCTATTACTATTAATCACTTATACTATTTCAATTTCAAATCAAATACTACCATGTTTTTTCATGGAATTTTAAATGAATTTGTTTTTTTTTTTTGTTCATGATCAGTTTCAATAAGATCTTAAACAATAAACTATAGTGCAATGTTAACAAAGATAATATCACCAATATTGACAATTAGATTCTTTTCAAGACCAACATGTTCATTGTGTATCGATGCTAAAGAGATATTGTATCCACTTGTTGATGAAGTAATTATCACCAAACTGTTAGTTAGTTAGATAGTTAGATACAATTATTAATAATTGTGATCTACAAAAACATTACCACACATTACATTTCATATCAATAATCTAGGTAGTGTATAACTTGAAACAAGAAAAAAAGAACTTTGATAGTTCTTTGATCAAAGTCGAGGAGATAGACATTGACCAACCACAAAACAAAGAGTATTACGACCTTTATAAAAACGATGTTCCTGTGTGTATGGTCGATAAGAAATTGATATTCAAACATCGTCTTTTAGATGAAGATAAATTCATTTTCGATATAGATAATCTATTTAAACAGAAACAAAATCAACAACAAACAAACAAACAAAATAAATAAAAACAATTTGTATATTTAACTTTCTAAGCTAATTTATATGTATTTATATATATATATCGTTTTATTATTATTTACAAATTTTATGAAATGTCTTCTTTGCACTTGATTGTAATACAGTTTCTACATCTTTTTCCATTGTAAGTAGATTCAATTTGTGTCGAAGTTGACGAAGTTCATCTTTATTCTGTGGTGTTAATTGACTTATTTCATTCTCTGTCGTACCTATACAATTATCTATCAGCTGTAGTCTTAAATTCGATACTGTATTCAAACGATCCCATACATCTTGACATTCATTAAAACTCTTTATCTTATTAATTTCATACAAAAAGTAATCTATATAAACGAAATTAATTAATAATCAATAACCAAATCAATAGCTATTACATCATATGTAATACCAACCATTTGCTTTTCTAGAATAAACAAGGTAATCTTTCAGATCTACGTAATCGCATCTGAACTTGGTATTTGGTGGATTTAAAGGTAACACATTCGGTGACCATGATGCAGACATTGTTGAAGGATTAAATGACATCTTCTCTCTATCTTTATATATATTTATAATATCTTATTAATGTTTAAATCTATACCAAATATTACAAACTATAGTTATCTTTAAAATATTATTAAAAGATGTTTTAAAACTTTTAAAAAACTAAAAATTATTAAAATAAGGAAAAACTTTATATTAAAAAAACAAAAAAACATATAGGTTTACAGATATATATTAAATTAACATTCAATTTATTACATGAATTTGAAATCATTTACAAAATCATTGACATCTCTTCTCTCTGCTTTTGTTACGAGATCATCTCTTGACATCAACCTGAATACCATCTTTAGATTATCCCAAATGTGTACTGCCTCTGGATGTATCGCCAGAGCACCCAAAAACGTTTGTGCGGCCTCTCCATACATGTTCAATGCGAGATAACTGATTCCAAGATTGGATCTGGCACGCACATAACTTGGTTTCTGTTCGAGCGCTTGGAAATAGGCGCCGAGTGCTTCTTGACTACGATTGCTGTTGGCCAGGGTGGCACCGAGTTTGTTCCACAGCTGGTAGTCGGTAGAGTTGTTTTGAAGTGCCGCCTTGAAACAGTCGACTGCCTTCTCGTACTCGTATGACATGTTGTAGAGAAGACCGAGTGCGGTTTGCACCTCGGGATCCGGTTCGTTTGGACGCTGACGTGCCGCCTCCAAGAACCACTCTGACGTGTGACGATGACGCTTCCAAGTGTCTTGGAAGGTGGACAACTCCTCTTCCTCTTTGCCGATCGCAGAGAAATTGATGTGACTGTAGGCGGGATTGCCGACGAGCCACTCCTCGAGAGTTTCGAGTGCGCGCTCCTTCTGGTAGTCGTTGGTGTAGCTCACCGAGAGTGCCATTCTCGCTTTCAGGTTGGTTGGATCGAGGTCGATTGCCTTCAGCAGACAAGAGATTGCCTGTTGATCCTTATCGTTCTCGGCATGAGCGATTCCCAGATACATCCAGGCTTCCGAGTTCTCTGGATTTCTCATGACTTCGCTCTCCAACGTGATAATGGCATCGGTGATCAATCCCTGATTGAACAGATCCATTCCAGCCTCGAAAGTGTCCTCTGGTCGCGATTCGTTGATGGTGAATTGATACATTCTAAGACGCTCGTCAGACACTGTGTCTGTGAATCCCGAGTAGTCATTCACCCATGAATCACCAATGTCTTCCAGGTGCGGTTCCGAAGTATGTTGCTGCTGTTCATTGTTGTGTACCAATGTGTTTCCAACGATTTGTGCATCTCCACTGTGTAGTTGATTCATCAACTTCATAAAGTTTGATCGTTTCAGTTTGGGATCGTTGATTCTGGTGATCGATTCCGTAATCTCTGTGAGTGATTTCCTTGCTGTTTCGTCCCATGCCGCGTCAACCGAACGATCCTCGCCATTGATCCAAGCATCTTCAAATGGATCATCTTCACCAGTGATCTTATCCCATTCATCGTCGTAAACATCTTCCTCAATAGCATTCTCATAGGCTTCATCGTAATCTTGTTCCACTTCGTCATAGTCTGGATACTCTTGTTTGTATTGATGTTCCTCTCCAAACTGTTGTGGTGGATTAAACATACCATTGTTCACAGTGGATCCCCAATGTTCTTCCAAATCATCGAAATTATCTTCTTCAATATGAAGAGCATCAATTAATCTATGTAGCTGGTCACTTTCATATCCTGGATCCTTAACTATTGTTTACAAAAGTAAAGTAATCGAATATTAGTTATCTAAACATTTGTTTGTCACAATTATATATATATATATATTGAATAGTTAACATACCTTCATTCAATTGTCTAAATAATACTTCACTTCTACTTTTAATTATATTTTTCTCAAGCTTTGATAAACCTAAATCACCAAGATTAATTGATGGTAATAAATGCTATTTGTAACGATAGTAAGTATATAAAATATATTGTTATTAATATGATAGATAGATATATAACATACATGTGACTGTGAAGATGAAATGAAATCTTTAAAGAAATGTTGTAGTTCACTGTGTTTCTCTTTTGGTATTGAGCTTTGGTGTTCACCAATACCATGCATAAACAACTCTTCGTCACCGTGATACATCATGTGTTGTGGGTGGTCTCTCATCATATTTCTATTGAGCATGGCATCGAGATCGTCATGATGCAAATGATCACCACCTGCATTGAAATACTCATCGAACTGACTCTCATCGAATTCCTCACCATGTTGTTGATAGAATCTTTCTCTACCATCTCTTTCCCATTGATCCTATTATTAATAATCAAATATATACATAAATATTAACATGTTAATAAACAACAATAATAACATTTAGAGATATTCAATTAATCTCCACAACATACATGATATAATCCTGTATTTTTTGATGTAAATTGTTGTACAAAACCTCCTAAAGCATTAGGTTCAGCGCATTCAGGTTCAACCAAATCTCTAAGTAATGACATTCTTTTGCTTTGATTCTGTTTTCTTATATTTACTACTTTTATATTTATATCTTATATCTTATATTACTTTAGTATTAAATGTATGAATTTTATATATCTATATACTTTATCTTAATATATAATTTATCGAAAATCTGAGTAAAACAAAATTAATATGAATAATAAAAAAAATAAAAACATTGTTTTTTGAATTTTCAAAATTAATGAATCAGCATTGGCAGTACAATAAAAATTGTTTTTTTTTAATCTTCTTTGTTTAATTTAAATTGATATTTATTTATTTTTCGTGTTGTTCTATTTACATTTAGGTCGAGCAAGAACTATACTTTTTATTGTGTCATTCGGTACTTTTTATAAACAACATAATTATTTGTTTAAATTTTAGTGAAGGAATGTCAATCTTTAAAAAAAAAAGTTAATTAACCATACAAATTGCAATGCACAAAAGATTGATAATCACGATATGTTAGATAGAACTAACAACAATTGAATAAAATGCTTAAAAAAGGTCAACCACCACGAAAGCTAAGAAAAAATATTATAATTTTTGATAAAAAAGAACATTATTTTATTTATTGTTATAATGCTTCTTTTTTTTATTCCTGTCTTTATTGTGTCTTTGCATATAAATTACTGATTAATATTAATATTAATGTTTAATAGATATCATTGAATTGGATCAATGAAAGAACCAAACCACCCTTTTATAATTTTTTTTTTTTTTAGTAGTGCGCCATTTTTTAAAAAATTTAAATTATCAACCGTTAGAAGTCATTATTTTAAAATAAAATGGATCTCAATTGTGATTGTTTTAACTGTTTTTGTTGCAACAATCAATAATAACAATAATCAAAATAATAAACATAGTTTAGTTTTACATAGTAGTTAGTATTTTATTAAACTGACTAATATCAAATCATATCTAATTATTAATATTAAACATACATACAAAAGGAAAGAGGATATAAAAACTTATTATTGTTTATTTATATAATAATGTATTTTATTTATCATTGAAAACAAACAAAAAAAAAACAATCATAATAACATTTAATTGAAGAAGTTAAAAGTAAAACAGTTAACTTACTTCCTCCTCTTTTCTTTTATCTAATCTATTTATTTTTTTCTATCTATATATATATCTAATCAAATATTACTATATTCACATACAAAATGATGGCAACAACATCTTCTGCTAAAAAAAATGATATTTTAATGTCACCTGCTTTGACTTCAAGAAGGTATAATAAACAACTGAAATATTTTTAATAAATAATATTTTTTTATTAACCTACCTTATATTTATAATTATTATTGATTTGATTATTATAGTCCACTTACAAATAATATAAATAGAATATCAACCATTTCAACACCATACTCTGTGAAAAAGAAGATTACCACCATCACTGCTGGAAATGGAAACATCAATCATTTGAATAGATCACCGATTACATCGCCACGTGTATCGACTATCAATAACACTACACTGAATACCACTGCAATTCTCAATACTACTGCCACCAATATGATGAGTGCACGCGTTAAGCTCAACGATGACTCTGTCGAGCCAATGAAGGTCTATCTTCGTATCAGACCACTGTCAACCGACGAAGTCAAGGCCAAAGAATCGAATTGTTTCCACAACTTGACACTGACCTCTGCCAACATCAAGTCTGGAAGTGGCAGCAATACCACCAGCAGTAGCTCAACCACACTCAATAAGGATAGAGTTGCCAACGAATCCGAGGGTAAATTCTCATTCTCACAGGTTTTCAACGTCTCCACTACACAACAACAACTTTTCAGGTAATTATCCATCCAACAAACTTGTTTTTATTTTCACATTGAAAACTAACAATGATATACTTTCAATTTTCTTTTACTTTTTTATATATATATTTTTTTTCTAGAACTGTATCATTTCCATTAATACAATCATTTGTAAATGGACATAATATATTGTTGTTGGCGTATGGTGTTACCAATGCCGGTAAGACCCATACAATCAGTGGATCACACAGGGATCCAGGTATAATTCCACGTTCTTTGGATCTACTTTTCAAATCGATTCCAAGGCGTCTGTTGAAACAAAACGAAGGCAATGAGTATAATGATAGTGTTGGAAGTGTTGATGATGACGGTGAGACTGATTCGATGTTTGTCGATGCCCCAGATTCACCGTCGCTCAACGTCGAGCAACAACTCCAGATATCACGTAGCCACAGGTACGTGGTTTGGCTGTCGTACTATGAGATCTACAAAGACAACGTCTACGACTTGCTCGACGACACCCCTCCAAAACAGAAATCACACCTCAAAGTAGAGGCAACCAACACTGGCGAGAGTGTCACCATTAAGAACTTGACAGAGGTCCTCGTCGGTACCATCGAAGAGGTGCACGAGGTGCTTGAGCAAGGTCTGGCCGCCAGACGTGTCGGTGGCACCAAACTCAACAAGGGTAGCAGTCGTAGTCATGCTGTGCTCACCGTCAAGTTGGTTACCTATCCAGACTGTGGCTCCCAACTACCCTCTGAGAATCAAATCCGATCCTCCAAGTTGTGTATTGTTGATTTGGCTGGAAGTGAGCGTTCGAAGCGTACCGATGCTGGCGGTGAACGTTTCAAGGAGGCAACCAATATCAACTCGTCGCTGTTGGTACTCGGTCGTTGCATGGAAGCACTGCGTCAGAACAAGAGTCGTTCCGCCAACCAACAGGCAGTTGTTCCACCCTGGCGTGAGTCTAAACTCACCAGAATCTGCCAAGAGTATTTCGTTGGAAATGGAAAGACTTCGATGATTGTCAATGTCAGTCCAACCACCAGGGATTCCGAAGAGACTCTCAATGTCTTGAAATTCTCTGCCATTGCCAAGGAGATTACTACTCAATCAAAGATTGACACTGGCAAAGCATTGAAAAGCAGTGCAGCCGCTATTACTTTGAAAAAGAGAAAGCCAACTGCTGAGGACGATGATAAACTCGAGTCGGCGTCTTCAACTTTACTTCAGCAACAACAACAACAACAACAACTCCAACAGTTGAATACGCAAAGATTGAAACGTGCTCATATGTCACCGGATATCAATCAATTGCAACCAAAGATTGATTATATCTCGATGGAGAAGAATCAATTGCTAGATCAAATTCAATGGTTCCAACATAAACTAAATCATTCCGAGTTGAAGATGGCCGAGATTGAAGCAACCATTCGTGAGCAAGTCGGACAAGAAGCATCGACTCATCTCATGGAGATGGAACAGCAGTTCAAGGAACGACTTGCTAACGAAGCAAAGTTGATGGAATCACGTCTCAATAGCAAGCTGTCATTGTTCAATCGTCTCAGAGGCATCCAAGACAATATCAACTACGAAGAGAAGAACAAAGAGTGGCAACTCATGATCAACTCACTCACCAATGAGAAGCAAGAGCTCTCTCGCAAGTTGGATGCCGCCATCATTGAAGTTGAGCAACGCAAAAAAGTCAACGAAGAGAATTTCAACCAAATTCTCTCACTGAAATCGATGAAGCGTGAGCTCGAAGAGGAGAAGAACAACATGATTGGCGAACTCAAGTCTTTCCAAGAGAAGGGATCGCTTCTTCAGATCCAACACGACATGGAGATCCAAGAGAAGAAAGCATTCATCGAGTTTGAACTTCAAGAGTATAAGGAAAAGATTTCACTGGAGAATACCACTCTCCAGATTCAACTGAACCAAGAGCGCAGAGAGAAACAAGCACTCATTGAAGAGCTGACAAAATGGCGTCAAAAAGCCGAGGAGAATTCGTCACTCCTCAACCAATCGTTCAATGACCAACTCAAGGAGAAGCACGCCAAGAGTCCATTCAAGAACTTTAATATCTCCAGCACTCCACTGCGTACTCGTATCTACGGTACCAAAGTTGCATTGCTCAATGAGAGTCTCGACCATAAGACACTGTTTAAGGGTGACATTGAAAAGTCGGTCAGTGGCCAAGGTTTCTCTGTGAGATTCACTGACTCTGAAGTGATTCCACCAACACCCTCGTCCGCCAGCAAGTCGTCGTCGTCCGTCATGCCAAGTCCAGCCCGTTCCAACGTAAACAACAATAACAATGGAGGACCAGGTACACCAACATCTTGCCAGATGTCAACTGTTTCACAGTGGACACCGGATCGTACTGCCGACCACTCGGTTGACGGCAGTTTGTTGATGCAGGCAATCGACGAAGATGACATTGACATGGAGATGTCTCAGATGCAGATGGACGAGTGGCAAGACATTGACATCAGTGAGAACGACAAGTCCGCACCGAAGCGTACCAATTCGACCTCCTCCACAAAGAAATTCTTGACCAAGACCAAAGATATTCTGACATCGAGCACCAAAGATATTTCCAATCTCACCTCTTCATTCTCCAAGGAGCCAAAGGAAAAGGTTAAATCCGACAAGGAATTACAAAAGGAAAGAGAGAAGGAACGCGAGAGAGAAAAGGAGCGTGAAAAAGAGCGTGAAAAAGAGCGTGAAAAAGAGCGTGAAAAAGAGAGAGAAAAATTAGAAAAGGAGAGACTTGAAATCGAAAAGGCAGAGAAGGCAGAAAAAGAAAGATTGGAGAAAGAGAAATTAGAGAAGGAGAAGGAAGCCAAAGCCAAAGAGAAGAAAGAAGATAAAAAGAATGCCAAATCCAGTTCAAAGGCTGCTTCCAAAGAAAAGGAACCAGTCGAGAAGGAAAAGAAAAAGATTGGTGCACTCTCCAAGGTTTTACCAACATTCAAAAAGGCAACTACAACTTCCACCACCGTCACAAGCACTGCCACTGCAAATAAGAAGGGTACCGCTGCAACAATTGGTAAAATCACCAAACAATCTGCTGCCTCAACTGCGGCTGCTACAACTACATCATCAACATCAACTGTCATTTCAAATAATAACAATAATAACAATACCAATAATAATGGTGCCAACGTTAATTCTGTTGCTGCAACATTTGGTAGTCCTTCACATCTTCATCCTTTATCTCCAATCAAATCATTGTCATCTCCTCAGTTGGCAGCATCGTCGCCACCCACCTCACCAGCCGCCAAGAAGATGCATAAACAGTTGGTCTACACACATTCCAGCCCATCTGAGCTGACCGCCATGCCATCGACCAGCAGCAGCAGCAGTACTACCACCAGCAAAACTAATAGTTCCAATAGCTCTTCGAGTGACTTGACAGGTAGTTCCAATAACAACAGCAACACCACCAACAAGGTTGCAATGGCCAAACGCAAGTTGGCACCAAAATCACAGATGAATCTCCTATCAATGTCAGACGAAGAGGAATCACCACAAAAACCAACCGCTTCACTACAACGACAGAAATCACTGAAAAGTCTCACATCTTCAGCTACATCGACCTCCTCCACACTTTCAAGCTTTAAAACCCCAGCCAAAACACCAGCAATTACACCTCTCAAATCTAAATTTAGCAAAGTCAGCAAATTGACCTCACAGTTTGAATCAACATCATCCTCACAAACGAATCCACAAACTCCATCAGTTGTCAAACAACACGGTCTAAGAAGAAGAAGTAAATTGAAATCAGTCATCAAATTCGAATTGAATTAGAAACATAAAGACGACACTTTTTTTTAATAATAAAATTAATAATAATAATAATAATAATGTATATATAATAAAAATAAAATAAAAAGTATTTAAATAAACAAACAAATAATAGTTGTTTTTTTTTTTTTTTAATTAGAATTTACAAATACACAAATTTATTGAATGCCAAAAGAAACAAAAAAAAAATGATAACAATTGGAAGGTTTAAATCAATTTTAATATGATATTATTATTATTATTTAATATTCTTAGTTCTTTTGTTTTAATCTATAAAAATGAATAATAAATTGTTAATAAACTTTTTTGACTTTTTGTTATTATTATTATTATTATTCTATACTAACCTGTTAAGTCTTTCAGTAAGTTCATCGGTTTCAACTTGTTGTACTTTTTCAGATGGAACGGCACCCATTTGCATACCGACGTTGAGACCGTGTTCGTCGGCAACCTGTGAAATCAGTAGATCGACTTGGTCGGCAGGTGTTGAAAGTGTGGTGGTTTGGTTCATTGCGTTCTCTACGTATACCGATTGGACATCGAGATCCTCAAACTGTCTCTCGAATTGATCCATTACATGTGTTATCTTTTCAAGGTCCATCGAACGCATCGATTTCTCCATTGACTTTACAATGTTTGCCATGGAACCGGTGACCGATTTCATTCTGATGGCAGTCTCTACACGTGATGCAACGGCATCGATTCTCGATGCCAATCTCAAGTAATTCAGTGATTGATTCTTCTCACGAATAGCGTTCTGTGCATATATTCTTGCACCGTCCATATTTCCCTGTTCGATGGCTTTCTTTAACTTTAGTTTTTGTGCTTTCTCATTCTGTTCTGATTTCTTTGACTGTCTTTCTAATTGCTTAGATGTGAACTTTAATTGAAATAATTGATCTATTTATTATTTATTGATAGATAGATAGATAGATAGGAGAGATTCAATGTTAAAAATCTACAAAGCAAAAAACAAAACTTAATCATATTTTTAAACTTTCAAATAACTTACTTTCCATTTTTATGTAAAAAAAGATCTAAAAGTTTATAATGAATATAATAAAGTAATAAAATAATAACTAAATAATAAATATATCTATATTATCGGTACAAATAAATAATAATAATAATAAACAATCAAAAAAATAATGATAATTAACAAAAAAAATTAAAAAAAATTAATAAATAAAGAAATTTTAATTAAATTTTGAAAAATTGAAAAACAGAAAAAATTTATCTTTATTTTTTGAGATAGTTTGTTTTTTGATAACGGAAGAATTAAATGACCTTAAAAAACATTGTTCATTGAAATTTTCAATGGTTTGATTGTCTTATGAATTATGAATCTTATAAATAATATATAAATAATATATATATATATATATATCTTTAATCGAACCATTGTATATTAATAAAATATTAAAAGTAAAAGGTTGTAACTAATCTGATGGATATAAAGTCGAACTTGAAAGTGAGTCATGGTAATAATAATCATTCCATTAATATTGTAGTATCAGTACAATATAAAATCCTCACCATTATTATTAATTATTTCGATCAAGAAAAAAATAATAAAATTATTAAATGTGATAAAGAGTTTGGTTGGATTGTTTGGAACAAATATTTATATATGTTCTAGATTGTTGTAGCTAAATCTAATGATTCATCAAGATGATATATTAATAATAATTTATATTATTATTGAAATTTCAATAATGAATCAGATTTTTGGAATGATGTTCATCAAACGAATCTGCAAATAATTTGACAGCGGTGTTCCGTATTTAGATTGATGTATCGCAATCAACCAAGTGTAAATGCAAATTAATTTAAGTATAAACATTTTGATGACTCACAAAGAAACTAAACTATTGAATCAATCAGATTTCTTTCTTTACTCACGATTACTTTTAAAAATATTCGACCCACTTGTTCTGCACTTTTGTTTTTCTTTTTTTCCCAATTTCCATCTGAGAATAGTTAAGATTATTGATAATAAAAAATAAATTTCGCTCGATTTTTTTCTTTTTTGTAACTTTTTTCATTTTAGGTATTTAATCGAATTTGAATACACACACCCCAAAAAAATACTTTTTTCAAATTTATTTTAAATTTAATTATTTTTTTTGTAAGTTTTTTTTTTTTTTTTTGTTTTTTTTTTGTTTTTTCGAACTCATAAATATGAACTCAAATCACAGCTGACAGCACTGTTTTTTTTCCCTCTAAGTCTATATTATATATAAAGGTAAAGTAATCAAATTATATTATAGCTTTGCTTTTAAAACAAGCTTTGGAAACAACTTTTCACACACAGAAGTTTATAACTGGACGACTTTTTGTTGTATAAAAAAATTTCATCATTATCACTTTGTCGTTTTGTGCGCATAATTCAAATTTTGACACAGATATAGTTAATTGGAGTATCTAAGAACATACAATTTATATTAAAGTCAAGAATAATAGTAGCAAAAGATTGATACTCAAAATTAAATCTTCACTTGGTTAATTTGACAAATGATTCGTCATTTCAATAAAACACTCATAATGTCATAATAGTCATAATTTTTATAAACAACCCAAATTTTTAACCAATCGAAAGATATTAATAATTTAATAGTAAGAGTCGATAATAATAATAATAATAATATTACTTTTTCAAAAAAGGTTAGTTTTTTTTGTTTTTTTTTTTTTTTGCTACATTTTTTGTGTGTCACACCTTACAAATCATATATCTCAATAGTGGTAGTAATAATGTTAAAAAATGATGTTATTCAAATTGAATTCTTTTTTTATTTTTACTTAACAACATTTACATCTATATTGTCAAAATAATATACAAATTTAAAAAAAGATAAAAGATTTTTTTTTTTAAACTCGTTTTATTTATTTAAATATAAAACTATATATTTTTTTTTTTCATTCAATCAAATAATTTATTAATTATTAAACTATCAACACATATAGAAAATGTCTGCTGATAAGAAGCTTCCATACAAAGTTAAGGATATCTCTCTTGCTGAGTGGGGTCGTAAGGAACTCGACATTGCCGAGAATGAGATGCCAGGTCTCATGGCTCTCCGTAAGAAGTACGGTCCAAACCAAATTTTGAAGGGTGCCCGTATTGCCGGTTGTCTCCACATGACCATCCAAACTGCCGTTCTTATTGAGACTTTGACTGCTCTCGGTGCTCAAGTCCAATGGTCATCATGCAACATTTTCTCCACCCAAGATCACGCCGCCGCCGCTATCGCTGCTACCGGTGTCCCAGTTTACGCCTGGAAGGGTGAGACTGAAGAGGAATACAACTGGTGTATCGAGCAAACCTTGATCTTCCCAGACGGTCAACCACTCAATATGATCCTCGACGATGGTGGTGATCTCACCAACATCATCCACGACAAGTACCCACACTTGTTGGCTGGTATCAAGGGTGTCTCTGAAGAGACCACCACTGGTGTCCACAACCTCCACCGTATGCACAAGGAAGGAAAGTTGAAGCTCCCAGCTATCAACGTCAACGACTCTGTCACCAAGTCCAAGTTTGACAACTTGTACGGTTGCCGTGAGTCCTTAATCGACGGTATCAAGCGTGCCACCGATGTTATGATTGCCGGTAAAGTTGCTGTCGTAAGTATCATATGATGATCATTAATAATATATTTATAAATTATACTCTTTAACTTATAAATATATAAACTTATATACTTGTATACATATATACTAATGAATATAATAACTATTTACATATAAAAAGGTTGCAGGTTATGGAGATGTCGGAAAAGGATGTGTCCAATCTCTCTCAAAGATGGGTGCTCGTGTCTTGATCACTGAAATCGATCCAATCAATGCCCTCCAAGCTTGCATGGACGGATTCCAAATTGTCACCATGGAGGAAGCCGCCCCACAAGGTAACATTTTCGTCACCACCACCGGTTGCCGTGATATCATCGTCGATCGTCATTTCGAAGCCATGAAGGAAGACGCCATCGTCTGTAACATTGGTCATTTCGATATTGAAATCGATGTTGCCTGGTTGAACGCCAACGCCACCAAGGACACTGTCAAGCCACAAGTCGACCGTTACACCATGAAGAACGGACGTCACATCATCTTGCTCGCTGAAGGTCGTCTCGTCAACTTGGGTTGTGCCACCGGTCATCCATCTTTCGTCATGTCCAACTCTTTCTCCAACCAAACCTTGGCCCAAATTGCTCTCTGGACTGAGACCTCCAAGTATCCAATCGGAGTTCACTTGCTTCCAAAGATCTTGGATGAGGAGGTAGCTCGTCTCCATCTCGGTATCTTGGGTGCCAACCTCACCGTCTTGACCGACAAGCAATCTGCTTACCTCGATGTTCCAGTTGCTGGTCCATTCAAACCAGAGGGATACCGTTATTAAATTAATTCCCACTATTGCAAACATTTTCATAAAATAAAACTTAAATATTTCAAAATACTCCTTGCCATTGATTTTCTCTCAAGTTTCAGGTGCACCGATTTTTTTCTCTCGAGTTCAAATTTCCACTTTCACCCTTTTCACTGATTCTGTTCCAATTTTTTTTCTCTCGAGTTCAAATTTCCACTTCACACTTTTCACCGATTCTATTCCTGTTCGACCCGTTTCACAGATTGATTCCATTTCGCCTGTATCTGCTGTTCCACCGACTATATTTCACCTGATTCCACACTTTTCACTGATTCTATTTCAAATTTTTTTTTCTCTAGAGGTTTCAAATTTCACCCATTTCGACAACTTCATCTGTTCCACATATTTCAATTTCATTCACCTATTTCACCCGTTTAAACTGATTTTTCTTTCAAGTCTCGAGCCATAGTCACAGAAATGGAAGATCTTGTTCTAGTAATTAAATCATTACCTAATTAATAGAATAGAAACTTGGTCGTGAATGGAGAAACTAAAGGCTCTTTCATCAAACGGAGGTGAAGCTCAAGCGAAACAAACCACCTTATCGAGTACTCCCAAAGGCTTCTGTCATGAATAGTTTGACTTCTTGGTGTGAACCTTGTCAAATATTTTAGGGATTTCTATAACATTTTATTTAACATAGAAAAGTTATCTACAAGAAATATCAAAGGAGGATCCTACTTGGTCTACTTTTGACAACAGAGAGTATTTCAGATGCTACCCATCAATGATGTCAAAGAAAAGAGTTTTCCAACCTATGTTTACTAGGAAAACATTACATTCAATGAATTAATGCCAGATTTTAGAGGTACTGCCGAGTTATACTACAATTTCTTATATGAACATTGGGTCTATTCCAAGAGGAACCACATTGTCACGTCTGGATTGACAAGGTTCACACCAACCAAGAAGTCAAACATATAAATGATTTCTATCCCATGACAATACAATCTATAATACCATTTATGACTACCAAGTCACGGTATTCCAACTCTGTATTCAAGTTTGGAATTTGTTGTCGATGGGTTATCGGATACTAATAAGTCGATATAATTTCGAAAATAAAATGTCACTGATAACGACCAATAGCCAAAGACGAAGTTAGTAGGTGGTTGGAGGAGTTGTTGTCAGTCAGCTTAATGACTTAGGCTAAAAGATAATTGAAGTGAGCAAGCAATGTTTGAACCACTAGACTCTCTCTGACCACAACTCAAACATTACAAGTTTCGTGTCTCCAAATCCCAAAGCTATTTCAAAAACAAATTTATTATCTAAAAACATTATTGAATTTTGACATATCAATTTTTTGTGAATTCCAGAGCATCATTGAAAGAGTTAATTATTTCTAAAATTATTTGATAGCCTATTTCAAAAGAAATAATAGATGGAATAAGCAATTAATGATAAAAAAAAAAACAAATTGATAAATCGGAAAAACATAAATATTCAAAATGTATCAGTTCATATCTTTAAAATATAAAATTATAGGGGAAGAGGAGTTTATTTGATTATAAAATGGTACAACATTGAGGTTGTCGGAAAAAACTACAAAAATTGGAGAACCAAGAAAAAATATCTTTGTCCTTCACAACAATGTTTTTCATATCAAAAACAAAAAACAAGATTTTCTCTCAAGTTTCAAGTGTGATTAAAAAATAAAATAAAAAGTAGGTATCAATTAATTGTTGTTTCTCTGTATGGGTATACTAAAAGATAGTAAAATAAAAATAAAAAAAAGATAGTAATAACACTTTCATATTATATTATTAATTCTTTAATGTTAAATCTTTGAATATCTTGTCTGGAACTATAGCAGGAGTGTTTCTAGTTTCCTGTTGAACGAGTCTATCGATCTTGTTGTTAAAGTCATTGGTTCCAGAGTTTGTAAGGGACGATGTAGATGTAGCTTTCGTATTGGCAATGGCACAGTACAGGTTGGCTAATGGCATTCTTGGGTTGATAGCAATCACTTGATTAAGTAGTGACAAGGCATTGTTGATATCGTTATCCACTTGTTTCGATGCTTTCTTATCATTATTGGATATTAACAGTACGATCGATTTGAATAGCAATAGAATTGGGTGAGTTGTTGTATTCGACGTCTCGTTATTATAATCATTGAAAATCTTGATTGCTTCCTTCCACTTTTTCATCATGATATAATATCTCATCAATCTTCCAACTGTAATCAATCTAAGATCTTCATCATTAGCACCTGCTAGTGTCAAAGATTGATTCAAACATAATAAAGATGCATCCAATAAATTCATTTCTTCATAAATATATGATAGTTCCTAATGATAAATATAACATGTTAATAATTGTTATAATAAATGAAATCATGTTATCATAATAACTTACATGATATAAATGTATATTAGTATTATCTAGTGTTAATGATTGTTTATAAAGTTTCAATGCACTTGTTCTATCGTTATTAATCAGTTGATACCTTGCTTGTTGTCTAATGAGTTGTGATTGTATCTTGTTATCTTTTTCATGTTGTTTCAATAGCGATTGATTCAACTCTGTAAATTCCTTCTCTCTGGACAGGTGCATCAAGATATCCGATAGTTGAACAGAGTGTTGTTTGCTAGTGTTGTCATTTCCATATCTATCTGTAATTAAACGGTTGGCAGTCAATGCAGATTCGAAATCTTCAAGACTTTGACTGTGTAGAGCTTGTAGATACAGTAGATTCGAGAGATCTTTCCAAGCGTTGGTATCGCTAGGACAACTATGTACTATACGTTTCATCTGCTTGATAGATTCGGAAATGTTGACTGAATAGCAACGATCTACTTGCAACAAATGTGATTTGGCAAATGTATATTCGATTGATTTGGCATCATATCGATGGTTGTCACTGTCAACTGTGTGGTTGGCAGAGATGTTTCTAGAGTTCTCTAGGCGTGTGAGAATGGATTTGATTGCAGATGAATCCGATAGTTGATGATAACGATTGAGATGATCTAAAAGTAGTTTCCAAACGTGAGGATAATGTGGATAGGCATGACATGCTCTGATCAACTGTGAACGAGCCTGTGCGATATCATTGGTTTGTAATGCGATGATCGATTGTAGAATATAGTTTTCAAGAGTGACAGACATTGACTTGTTGGCGTGATCCACCAACAATTGTTTGGCAGCCTGACAATCGTTCGCTAGAATCTTGATCGCCGAACTCAAATAGATGGCCGGTGCAAATCGATTGTCAACAGCCAACACCTTCTCAATGATTTGTTCGGCTTGTGGGAGTTTCTTACACTGATAGAGTACCTTTGCCAACGATATCAAAAGAGTACACTTCTTTCGTCGCAAAATCGATTCGTCTTGACCTGCTTGGTGAATCGATGCAACCGATGCTTGGTAAGCTTGAATGGATTTGTCTGGTTGTCCCAATCGGTAGTTTGCAATAGCAATAATCTCCCAGATCTGACTATTTCCAACGGCTCCCGACATACACTTGTCTCCTTCAGTAATATATGGCGTCAGTGTATCCAAACATTGTTTCCATTGTCCAGCTTTCAATTGTACTCTTGAAAGATTGATTTCAATACATTTCTTCTTTGTAATTGAATCGTTATCCATTTGATTATTATTGCCACCAATATCATTGTTTCTAATTGAATTCAAACTAAATTGATTTGGTTTAACTATATTATTGTTGTTGCTGCTGCTGTTGTTGTCTACCAATTTAGTTAATGCAAGATGAAGTTGATCAATTGCAAGTTGATATTGTCCGTTGGATTCGAGAATCAATGCAAGATAGTTGTGTGCTTCAATGAGGGATGAACAGGTTGTCGAGCTATAGAGTGCGATGTATCTTGCCAGTTGTTGCTGTGCAGTGGTATTGTCTTTGTGCTGATAGGCAAGAATGGCAGAACCTATCAGTGCTTCTCCAACTGGTTGTTGTTCCAGTGCACTTTGAATGTGAACATAGTCAGAGTGTGCAAGTTCCAATTGATCGATTGCCAAGATCGATCCGTTCAACTCGTGGATTAGACCTTGTAGTGACCAGACACTGCTTGAATCTGGATCGTTGGAGCGGGCAACCATCAGCGCTGAACTGGCAAGATCCAATTGATTCGATTGCAAGTAGAGTGCACAGAGATTGTTGTACGGTTCGAAACGAGTGGAATTCAATTGAATCGAACGGATAAAACAATGTTGTGATTGCAATGGATAGCTATCCATCAGAATGACACCCATCAAATTCCAAAGACTATAGTCAGTCGAAGACAGATTGATAGCAACACTAATAAACTTGATAGCCGATCGTAAAACTGTTTGTTTCTTCTCTGATTCCGGACCGTTGCTACTACAACAAAGATATTGATAGTAATGGTTAATTGCTAGGTCTTTCAGTGTCGACGATCTGTTGTTGTTGTGTTGACATTTCAAATAGGCATCGGCACCCTGTTGTAGCTTTTGTTGAACATCCAATGAATTCATTCCTTGCAAAGCAATATGGTGATAAAAAGTAGAGATATCACCGAGCAACTTCCACAGACAGAATATCTTGGAATCTTGTTCAATCGCTAGTTGGATGGTTGTCTCTGCCGACTCGAGCGATTGTAATGCCATTCTAGACGATCCATTAGAGTGATAGTGTTTGGCGAGCTGGAAAAGACATTCGGCTTTGCCTTTGAGTGATGGCAAGTGTTTTCCGAGTTGGCTGAGAACCTGGTCAAATTCAATGACTGCCTCATCGTTCAGCCCAAGAATCTTGTTTAAAACGGCAATCTGATAGTTCAACTCTGGTACTTTTTCATTGGTTTGATTCAGTAGTGTTTCCGCATGAGACAACGCCTTGAGCGATGCAATATATTTGGTTTGACGACGGTAGCATTCACCAATTCCACGCCAGTAGATAGTGGATTCCGGCTTGCCTTTCAACGCGGTCAAGAATGAGGTCGACGCTTGATCCAGCTCACCAAGATCCATCTGGTAGAGCGCCAGACGATAGAATGCCCATGAACAACGGACAACATTGAGTTGGAATGACTTTCTATTGTCCAAGCAGTACTTGGTGATCTCACGGTAGAGAGAACTTGCAAGTGTGTATTGTTGTTGTGTGATATAGTAGTCCGATAGAGAACGACCGGCATCTTCATTCAGGATATCAAGAGACAATGCTTTCTGGTAACATTTCTTGGCACGTTCAACATCGTTGTTGACACGTTGGTACAGCATTCCAAGCTCAGAGAATGTCAGAGAGAATGCTGTGTTCTTCTGAGCAGCCTTTAAAAACATGAGAATAGCTTCACCACCACGTTGTTGTTTCGAATACAATAATCCCAATACAAAGTATCCAAGATGGAAATTCTCATCGTTGGCAATAGCGGATTCCAAATCCGATTTGATCAACGATAAATCTTTATCATTGATTGGTTGTTCTGATGATATCAACTTTATCCAACAGCTATAAATAATTGATTGTGAACGATAACTAGTATTGCTGCTGTTGCTGCTGTTGCTGCCACTGTCAATAACTTGTTGGAAATATTGTAATGATTTTTCGTATTTACGATCGTTAAAGTAGATGGTTGCCAATTTAAAGAGTAAATGACAGTTGCCCTGATGTTTCTTTAGACATTCCTCTAGTACCAATATCGATTTCTCAAGTTCCCCGTGCATTGCCAACAATGATTGTGAACAAAATGATATGAATATCAATGAAGATATCGGTATCAGCTGGATTCTCACGTGATTTGATTAACTCTAATGCTTTTCCAACTAGTTCTCTTATTTGATCGTATGATTTTGTTGTCATTTGTTGTTGTTGTTGTTCACCTGCAACTAGACATTTTAAAAGTGCATGATATCCAAGTAAAGCATTTGGATTCTTTGATACTCCACGCTCTAACATCTTTCTTGTGTTCTCACCGCAATCACCCAGTGTAATGGCGGCATAGTATCCAAGTCCCAACCAACCGATACTTCGTAATGGATGCATAATAACAAGCATCTGTGAAAGATTGACAAGTGTAGATCGATCTTGTTTCTCGTCGTCCAAAGCCAACAAAACAAGTTGCTCCAACGGAAAGGCAGCAGTGAGAATCGCACGATTCATCTTTACACACTCGGCAAACAACAAATCTCTGCTCTCATCACTCTTGTTGCTCGCTCTATACTGTCGCTGTAGTAACTCTATATAGTTGGTGAAAATCGACTCTGTCAACTTCAAGCCCTGTGACTTGAGCAGCAGTTGTCCGTTGTCGGCGAGCAACTCGCTGTACAGCTTTATCAGGCTGTCCATTGTCTTGCCTCCTGGCTTGTAGAGTGTCAGAGTAACCTGTCGTTCAATGGCAATCACCTCTAGTCTTTGTTGATCGGTATGTTTCGGCGCACCGATGACATGTCGCTTTGCCGGATTCAGAATTGGAATTGACTTTTCCTTCATCTTTGTTTCTACCATCTGCTTCACCTCTGCCGCCAGATTCAATCGTTCCAACTCCTCTTGTCTAATAAGCAGCTTGAGTCGTTCATCCTGTTGGTCAGCAGGAACACCAGCCAACAGCTGTTTGAGCAACGTTAGGGCATCGGCATGTCTTTGTGTAGAGATAAAGTTGTCCAATAACTTGACTTGAAGATCACGTTTCTTTGATTCATCGGTAGTCAAAGGAATCAATTGTTCTACAATCTTTAATAGCTTATCATTTTCACCACTCTTTGTATATACATCCATTAAACCCTAATATAAATTAATAAATACCATTAATAATTAGATATAAAACAAAGTGATAGAGTAACTTACTCTTAATGGAAATGGTGATGCAGGTGTTAATGATAATGCATTCTGATAGGATTTCTCACTTTCAGGGTATCTATTGAGATTGAATAACGATAGACCCATAAAGAGATGTATATTAAAGTTGTTGTGATAATCCAACGAGTCTGTGCATATCTCTAATGCTTTCTTATAATCTTTCTTATCGATTGCATCTCTTGCATCTTTCAATGATTGTTTTAAATCCATACTGTTACTAGTTATTACATAAAACAATATGATATTTATATATTTTACAAAACAAACAAATAATAAATGTAAATTTAGAAATGATTGATGATCATCAAATCAAATCAAAAACACTTTTCTTATTTTTTTTGCAAAGTTCTAAAAATGAAGTTTTGTTTTTTCATGGCAAATATTAATATTCATACAGAATAATGTATCTATCGTCTCTCTCTCTCTCTCTCAGATAGAGCTATTTATTATTGTTTATGTGTTAACCAAATTGAATTAGTTTATTTTTTATTTTTTTTTTTGATGTTATATCATCTTTTAAAATAATTTAAGGGAAGAGGAGTTTGTTTGTTTGATTATAAAATGGTGCAACATTGAATTTCTGCATTGGGATCATCCTCGACTAATCCACTTCCTTTGCATCTTGAACACCTTATACGACCTTTGCCGTTACAGAAATGACACTTGAATCATGAAGTAAAGTTATTGTTAGAATCATGATTTCAAAAGTTTTAAATTATGTTTGATTGGAATACTCACATTTATAGAAATTCTTCCGTTGTTGCATCTTCCTGAACCTTTGCAGTGGAAACACTCACTTTCACCATGGCCACGACAGCGCGAACACTTTTTGGTGGCAAGTTGTTGTGGAGGATAACCATGTTTTTGTGGATAACCTTGTTGTTGATAGCCTTGTTGCTGTGGGTAACCTTGTTGCTGTGGGGCACAAGTAGATAATGGTATATCATCTCTTGAAGAATATTGATTTGAGTCTTGTCGAATCATGATTTAATTAAAAGAAATATCGAAATAAAACTTTTGCCTATTGGTTTAGTGCCAAAAAACTGTCAATAATCGACAGTCCCAGAAAATTGAGATAAAGATATTCCTTAGTTTGTTTTTCCATACTCAGTTATAACATTATTACTTCAACTCAAAATCATTTGTTTATAAGAAAGAATTTAAAACAAGAGATTAGATATTATTTACGACATTGTTTTACTAAATATATATAGCTCCAGTGTGTAAAAAAATTCAATGAAATTATGTGATTCTTTGATTTGATTTTTTCAGAAGTTTTGAAGAATCTTTTTTTTACAATAATAAATATTAGAGTAAGATGGTGATTGTTTAATAGTAGTAATAATAGTAGAATGGAAATAGATAATCTATTTAAAAAAGTTATTTTTCAAAAGTTTTTATCAAGTCAAGTATTTTATAATATAAAATGTATTGGCGATCGTATCAGAGTTGCACATTCAGTTAAAGTAAAGAGATGGAATCAGCTATCATTTAATTACCTATGTAAAAGAAAGTTATTTACTCTATTAAAGTATTGGTTGGCGATTAGATTGGAGAGAATAGATTATCTGGAGAGTCAACAAGATCTTTGGGCAAAGATTCCTTATAGCTTGGCGACGTATGATGAACGCTTGGATGACTATGGTATGATCTTTAATTTTCAATCGATCAATATATTCCTACAGAATTGTGGTGATTACGAGCTGTTCAAATTGATCTACCGGCGATTCGGTCATTTCTTTGAGTTGGCACTCGACGAGTTCAGTTGTAAGAGCCAATATGTGTATCCTAGAGTACTTATCCATGCATGTCAAGGTGGAAACGATCAAATCGTTCAGTTTCTCTTGGACCAAGGTTTCAAAATATGTGATCATTCACATCATCCTGGTCAGACAGAACTACTCCACGCTTCACTCTCTGGAAATATGAAATTGTTGAAACTCATCGCCAAGAAGGTGAAATTTAACTATTCTACAATTACATTGATTGCCTCTGAAAATCATGATAAACCCAAAGATCAACGTGTTTCCAGTGACGCTCTATTGTATCTAATGAAGCGGATTGCAAAGCTTGACAGTAATATGCCGCTATCAGATGGATTCATCAGTAACATGCTATACAATGGTCGTCTGGATGTACTTCAATACCTCATTGAAACGAATAAGATCACATGCATAGAGGACAGTTATGTTGGACAATCGGAACACACTCTACTCGATACAGCTATTTCCGATAGTCTAGAGTTATTCAATTTCGTTCGATCCAATATTAAGTTTTCAGATGAACAATTCCTAACCGACAAGAGTATTTCACAATTGGTCAAATATTTCGGTGGAATGGATCAACCGGATCAAGAACAATTCGATAATCATTTTGTAAAGGTTTTTCTTGTACTCTATTCAATGATTAGTAAATCAACATTTACATCGACTGGTATCATGTGTAGTGCAATTCAACAAGACAACTTCCGGCTACTCAAGAGCATGGATGTTCTCAATGGAATAACCGATCCACAAGATCTATTTATCGCTGCTTTGAAGCATGGAAATATCAAAGCATTGGATTACATTTTCAACAAAAGATTCCCACTTTTTATGGATTCACAATTGATTGACCCAATTGTATTGGATATGATCAAGAAAGAGAGAATCGATATTCTACAGATGCTATCGGATAACACTGAATATATATATGCCAAATCTGCACTGACGGAAGCTGCCAGACTTGGTCAAATGGAAACTTTAAAATTCCTCCTCTATTGTGGAAGAAATGATGGTTGTGAACCTCATACTTTGGCGTGGTGTTTGGCAACTCCAAACTATTGCACTGAAACCATAGATTTTCTTCTTGAGAATTGTCTGTCTCATTTCAATCTAAAATCAGTTGAACCGATCAAGAATGCATGTATTAGAGGTGACTTGAACATGGTGGTAAAGTTGGTGGACTATGGATTCTCTGTGACTACCGACGCCATGGATGAAGCAGCGGCCAACAATCACCTAGCGTTGGTAAAGTATTTACATCACAACAGAAGTGAAGGTTGCACAACGGCAGGTTTAAACCAAGCTCTGGCAAATGGGAACATTGAAGTGATACAGTTTCTTCATTCGAACCGATCGGAACGTTTCAATTATATTGGAATCGATAAGGCTTTGGCCAATGGACACCAAGAGATCATAGAGTTTGTCGTAGCGAACAGTGATCAGCGATGGACGAGCAAAGGAATCACTACGGCATTGTTCAACCGACACTACCGATTGGCACGTTATGCAATGTCGGTATCTAACGACATTACATCGAAATCGGTGGAGAGAATACCGTACACTCATTTGACGGTAAAGAAACTGATGAGAGCATTCAGATTCTATTACAACCTAGGATATCTAGAAGTAAGTGTAATCAATAAGCGAGTTTACGACTGCTATTTCATCGATTACAATCTATTCTTTTTGAATCTACTCAATCCTCATGAGAAAATTAACAATTGGCACAAACTATTTCAGTTCCAAAACACTAGATTCACTGCATACCATAGTATTTTTGAAATAGTTAGATTAAAAATACACAAATGGCAACTTTATTTTAAATCAAAAACAAATGAAGTATTATCTAATTTATTTAAATAAAATTAAAGAAGAAGAAGAAGAAATGGTATTATTTATAATATAATATAATATCGACATATATATATAAATATTTATATGATTCAATTAAATGTTGTTATTATTATTACTATTATTATTATTATTATTTGACCTTTTTAAGTTATTAATTACTTGTTGTTGTTGTTGCGGTTGTTTATTGTTTTTCAATTTATAAATATAAACAACTTTTAACTTATTGAATTTCTATTACAAAATTATAAAGAGCTGAACTGTAATCCTGTGTAGATTTTAATTGATAAATGAATTGATTAGTAAACCAAGATAAATTAAATATATTAATGTATATTAATTAAATGAATACTTACTTCATATTCTTGAGAGGTCATATTCTCTTGATCCTCTTCAGTTATTTGATTGATTGGTTTCTTAGAGTCACCAATATAGATCTCTGGTAGATGTTCAAACTTTGCTTTCTTTGGTACCAATCCGATATCATCGGATGGTTCTCTCTTTTTGATTGGTGATTCACCGTCTTTATCTTTATCTTTTTCCTTATCTTTATTCATATCATCTTTAAAATGTTTATTTATATCTATATACATATATTTTAATAAATCAATAACAGATTAATATTAAAACTAATGATCAATTAAAATAAAACTTACAATCTATATAGAATTTCTCATCCAATGGCTTTGTTTTAGCTGGGATAACATTAAGTGGTGGTTGTTTCTCTATTTTTACAGTTTCCTAAAAATTATAATTTTTATAGTTGTTGTTGTTGTTAAAAGATGATCAACAAATCAAATTGATTGTTAGATAACATTTTAATGTACTTACAGTAGATACTTTTGATTTTGCAATAGCCTCTAACTCTGATGGTTTAGATATAGTAGATAAGAGCCAAGGTGGTACTGATACTCCTGTTTTCTTACTAAAAATAGATAGATAGATAGATGGTTAGTTAGTTAGTTATCAATCAACTCTATCATCAAACTACTCTATTATAATATGTACATTTCTTTTTTTACAGTTGATGGTAATAAACCATCTATATTATCAGAGTCGTAGATATCGACGTAGAATTCCAAATTCTGAGCAGATGGATCTATCCATCCTCTGACTGTATTATTATTATTGTTGTTACTACTGGTATCTCTTGTAAATGCACCACTGTTATATTATATTGCAAATGTGATAATAATAATAATAATAATAATAATAAGTTAGTAAAGTTATTAGATATTAGATATTAGATATTTACATTGGTTTCGAAAAAGCAGGATTGGTATTTGAGTTGATGGTCAGGGATGGACCGGCAGCTTGTGTGTCATCGGCGAGATCACGTGCAAACAACGGGATTTGAAGACCGTCGGTCTTCTTTAGCTGATCGATGATCTTTTTGATTTGAACAAACTGATCGGTGTTGGCACGTTGTGTCTCTGCGTTGATCACCTCCTGTGGCAGACCACCGCATGTGTCGCACTCGAGAGTACCTTCCATCGGGTTGAGCAATCGCGGTATGTCGTAGGCAGTGAACATCTTTGAGCAGTTGGTACATCGATAGCTCTGAAGATCCAACTTCTTTGCCTTTTGTTCGTCTAGCTTCTGACGAATCTTGTACAATCGGTACTTGAGCACATCGATCAAGTACTTGTAATCGAGGTACCACAGAACAACGTTGGTAGCACGATCGCCCGGTCCTTTCGGTTCAACCTTTATCTCCTGTGATTTCAAGAGCGAATCGTTCTTCAAATCACTGAGTACCTTTCGAACGAATTTCGTTGGTAATCTAAGTTTCAAAGCTAAATCTTCATCTCTTACTCTATATATATATATATATATGTATTATAAGTATTAAAAGTAAGTATATAGATTTTTATGACTATTACTTAATTTGTTTGAAAATAAATTGATTGTGTTGTGTTATGTTGTGTTGTGTTGTGTTGTGTTTAGATTACTTACCTTCTTTTCTCTCTTAATAGTGCATCAATTACAACTACATGTTCGTCATGATAGAACGCTCTTATAATCAATTTAACAAGATCATCTAGAATAATATAGATATTTGAAGAGGATGACATTGAAACAAAAATCCACCAACTACTCTACTCTTTTTTATTTTCTTTATCTTTGTTTTTGTTTTTTTTGTTTATTAATCTGATAAATAAATGATTATGATGATAATTTATTAATTTTTAGTTAAAATCAGTATAGTCTTTTAATATTTATTTATTAACTCAATAGATGTAAAAGATGCTTAAAAAGAAAAAGATAACAGACAGACAAAACTACAAAATGAATGGTATTGATAGAACAACCTGTTGTTTTATTTTGTTTTGTTTCTGCAAATTTCTCATTTTTTTTTTTCAAAAATTACAAATAAAATAAAAAATAAAAAAAAACTGGATTAATAAAGAAAAAAAAAATCTTAATTTTAATTATTTATTTACTAATACTTCTAGTTTTCCACAATAGATAACAATAAATATTTCAATAAACAAAACTGAGAGTAAAATTTAAATTTGGTGAACCTGAAACTTAAGTTTATTGGATTTTCATTATGTTTTTTTAGATTTAATACCTGATTGGAAAATAAATAGAAAAAACAAGTTAAGAACTATAGATATTCCCCAAAAGATAGTATAAATATTCTTTAAAATCTAGGGAATCTGTTTGTTTTTAATTAAAAATTTAAGTTAAATACTCAGAATGCATGATCAATTTTAAATATAGATTTAGGTGATTTTGAAAAAATTGAAAAAAAACACATTTTTTTTTCTAGGACTTACAATTTTGATTCCTTGTCTAAAATTTTAATTTTTTTCAACACCATTTTTTTTTTTCTTACACTATTTATGTTGCAAAAGATGTAACATGTTTTACTATTGGTAATAGTTATATGATCACGAAAAATAATTATAGATATTAAAAAAAAATTAAAAAAAATTAAAATTAAATATAAATTATTTAATGGAAGATAATTGTGAAAATTCACAACAACAACATCAACTTCACCATCAATATTCTATTACCAACAATAACAACAATGACTCTCAACAAAATCCATTAATTCCATCCCCTTGGAATAGTAACCAACAACAAATTGAGCAACATCAACATCATCTCCACCAATCCACTTTTACAAACCTACCTCATCAACAACAACTCCAACATTCCGGTCCGACTGATTTCGACATGGAACTACCCGAGACTTGGTGTACATATTCTTTTCCCAGCCAACAAGATGACCTACAACAACACCAACATCAACAACATCAACACCAAAATAATAATGACTACCAAATGATTGAAACAACCTCACCAACAACCCTTTCCAATTCAAGTTCTTCCACTTCTACCTATTTATCACCAACCTTTAATAATTATTCAATATCTTCACCACCAATCATACCTTCCAACAACAGTAAATCAAAAAAGAAAGGAAAAAATTCAAAATCGAAATCAAATTTAATTAGAGTGAGTGAAGATAGTGAGAAACCACTTACAATGCAGATATTGAAATATACCAAATTAGTTATTCAACATGGTTGTGGTTCATTTAAATTGTTGGTTTCAGGAAAGGAAAATCCATCGAGGTTGAAGGTTTTGGCAATGGTAAAGTGTGAATCACCCTCGGCCTTTATTCTTACAGATGATAGCTCATATGTGCCGGCCAGTGGAGAAGTCAAGATGAGGATAACATTCGACCGGAAAGATGCAGCCTATTCAGAGATCCAAGTGATTTTCACACTCTTGAAATTCGATAGTGAATTCAATTTTAGTCAGATCTGCCAGGAAACCACCAGCGAGCTTATCGATTTCCATAACACCACCAAGAGTCTGCCATATCCAACCATTTTCAAACTAAAGGAAATCTCAGTGCTTCCCGAGCAATTGCAATTGCAACAGAAGAAACAATCAAAGGATATCGAAGCAAAGAAAGGCGAAACTTTAATCATGCTCAAAGTCGATAGATTAAAGATGGGCCGTACCAACATGATGACTATTTTCTTTGTAAATAGCGACAATCTTATAGTTTATCGAGTTGGTCAATCCTCGATATGTCATGACAGTAATACAAGAGCATACTTTGTATTGCCAAGGACCATTTTAGATTTACAGGATATAAGAGTTTTTGTTAGATATGAATCAAAAGGCCATTCATTCAATACAATTCCTTCATTAGAAAACACATATGAATGGAAAATTGTGGACAACAATGAAAATAACTTTAACAAAGAAAACAATGCTTATCATTATGGTCTGTTGAATCCAACTCAAAATCCCACGAATGAAAATAACAATAAAATCATAATTCTAAACATCCAAAATAATAATAATAATAATAATAATAATAATAATAATAATAATAATAATAATAATAATAATAATAATAATAATAATAATAATAATAATAATAATAATAATAATAATAATAATAATAATAATAATAATAATGATAATATTTATTATAGTCCAGAATACAACTCCAACATTAATAATAATAACAATAACAACAACAATATTAATAATGCTAATAATATTAATAATTAAAATAATAGTCCAGAATTTAACAATAAATGAAAAAAATATTATAAACACAAAATAAAATGATTTTACGTAAAATTTCTAAGTATCAGAATCTTATGCTAATTTAAGAATATGATGAACCTGAAGCTAAAAGTTGAATCGATCAATAAATAAACAAACTAACACATTGTATATTTAAATTTATATCTATTATTACTTTCCTATTTTTTTCTTGACTTATTTCCCTCAAGAAAAACATTTAAGTAGAATGATCAGTTTAGTTTTCATTTTTTTTTTTTTTTTTTAAATATTTAATAAGATATGCAGAATGTTGATACAGTTAATAATAAGTTTGCAAACTTAATAATAAGTATTCAATCAAAAGATGGTTCGATGTGCCCTTCCTGTAATGAAGGCAGTCGATATTTAAATAAAATTATTACCGGAGTAGATGTTCTTATATGTAGTGAATGTACCGCCATCTTTTCAGGTGCAAACGAAACAGACTTTGACACCTTTGATTCACTACTACAGAGAGTACAAGAAGAAACAGGCAATGCAAACCTAAGATTAGAAGATCTCATTATTGGCGATGATGAGCCTGAAATACAAAATGAATAGTATATTTTTATTTCGAATAATAATAATAATAATAAGTTATAAAATAAAAAAATTGTCTTTGACTGTTGGTAAATAACCACCCAAAAATGATTTTCCAAGAACCCTCGTCTTTTTCGTTTTTTTTTTTTTTTTTGAATTATTGTTAGATTATCTCTCTTTTTATTAAAACCTTTCATTGTTAGGGGTATGAAGATGTTTACAGAGTAAAGTGCACTGTAATACAATGAGTAACAGTAGTAATCATAAACGAAAAAATACAAACTATAACAATGGAAAAACAACTGATATAGAAGAGAGCAGAAAGAAAGCAAAGTCTCTTCATTCTGAAAAATTACGTTTTAAAATCAACGACAATAACAATAAAAATAATACACACAGTCATAGAAGAAGTAGTACCTCTGATATCAGTAATAGTTGCAGTAGCAGTGGTAGTAGTCGTGGAGGTAGCAGCAGTAGTAGTAGACGTCATAGTAGTAGCGGTAATAGTAGCAGCAGGAAAAAAGATGATGAAGAGTCAGTTGAAAATTATAAAACAACAACAACAACAACAACAACAACAAATTATTCGCAGTTTGATTTGAAAAGAGATATTAGAAATAGTTTTTATGACTATAGATCAGGCAGTGGCAGTGGTTTTGGTGTTAATCTCAACAAAGAAGATATATTCTATGGATTTGAAGATGAAAAATCAGTGAAACAGAATATTCGTCAGTTGGCATCATCGAATCCATCAGAGATGACACCATTTCTTAGAACTAATCATCGTAATAACTATGTTTGTAAACCGACAACAACAACAACAACAACGACAACATCATCAACATCCCCATCAACAACAACAACATCATCATCATCAAGATCTACCAATAGAAATAATAATAGCAATAGTATAAGTAGTAATAACAACGATGCCAATGTCAATGACGATACCAACAACACTCTCTTTGACTTTCCAAGTTGTTTTCCACAGTGCAGTAACAACCTTTACATCGACGGTGCACTCTCTTCCTTCCAACCACTCATTAAGTTCAAGAATGAAATACGATTGAAACTACTCACTAGACCATATCCACTATCTATAAACAATTACATTTCACCACTTTGGTTTGAAGAACATTTCAATAATAATATTAATAATAATAGTAATAATAATAATAATAATATAAATGATAATATAACAACAACAACAACAACAACAACAACAACAACAAATAATAATATAAATGATAAAATAATATATAAAAATAAGATATTAGAACAAGAAGGAGTACCAGCGGGTTTGTTACAATCGATATTGAAGGAAGAGGAAAAGAGTAGATCTATTAGTTTACAACAGGATAGGACATCATTTAACTATGGCAATACAATGTTGAATATTAAAGATAAACTGTTGGTGTTTGCATCTGGTAGCAATATGAATGTACTCACACTACACTCTTTGATATCTAAAGACAATGGTGTTTTCCCATTGAAATATCAATACGATCAACATGCATTACATTATTATAATCAACCACAAACTATTTTGAATATAGATTATTATAAATACTCAAAATGTAAGTTATTAACAAACACAATTATATTAAACTAATATTAATTATTAATATTAATAATGGATATTTATTTGTTTTTTAGATATTTATTTAATTTATTTTAGAACTTTATATTCTGTATATTTCTTTTATCTTCGTTATAATAATGACAATAATAATAATAATAATAATAGTTTTCAAAGTAAAGATGAAGCTATAAAGAATTCATCTTTAGAATTTATCAATAAGACAACTTTTAAAGATATAGTATCTGATGTCTGTATATCTAGTAGATCTCTTGAGATTGCTTATGTATTACTTTCAGATGGTAGTTTATTATCATTAAACTATCAAGCTAAACAGTATGTAATTAGTTTAAAATATTTGTATATTAAGATATTGGTATAGGCTTTTGTTTACTAATATAATTAATCTTATCTTAGTGATTATAATAAATATTTAAAGTTATTATTAAAATCAGGAGGTGACCATGAATCATTGAGAATTGGAGAATGGAAGAAACTTAGACTGTCAAGAGATACTGGAATTCACTGCTATATTGCTTGTCCTACAGAGTTGATAGCGGTCGAAGTCTATGGTGGAACAACGGAAACCGTTCAGTGTAGATTGTTAATGAATCATCTTTCCTACGGTTTGTTGACTGGTTTCTTGATGTTGGATCACTTCCAGATGGTCGTTACAACGGTGAGTCACGTGCTGCTGTTTGACATTCGCTACTTTGAGAAACCACTGGTTGTCTGGAAGTTCTTTGAGTTGCAGCCGCCACATCCCATGAATATCAGTCATATCGTTCACCACCAGCTGCTCGACAACATCAATCTCTTGGTAATTCATTCGAATATCACTGGTTTCGTTACGTTTTTGCAGTTTGGTCACAAGCCGTTTCCTCAGCAACTGCAGTTGCCGCACCTCGACTTTAGACCGCGCTCCGTTGTCGACCATTCCGACTTTGACCTGAAGACACAGTTCTACTTGGATAAACCATTCAGCTACTTGATGAACCAGCAACACTCCACTGTAAATACACACCACGTACCGGTAGCCACTGGTGTTCCGTTCGTGGCGGTGCCGTGCTTTGGCGCGCTAAAGTCGGGCGACGATTCGATTCCACAGAATCCGTTCCGCGACGAACCACTCGTTGGTGTGACCACTCTACAGACACATCCAACTTTTTTGACACTTTTACAAATGAACCGGGTTGGTGACATTGTTTCCACGCGATATCATGTCAAATACCGACAGTTCCAGTCGGCCGAACAACCCTCTCACCATCACACTCTCACGCAACACAACATCTACCGAACACGATTGCAAATTGAATATCTAAACAGGACTGTTGACAAAAGAAATCTGACAAACTATGCAGCTAATCCCTCTACAAAGAAAACGACTATCAAGTTGAAACAGTTGCCAAAGTATTTGCAGTTGATTCACACATTGCCTTTCGACCCAAAGGAACTGGCGCATCACAACAACCTGTTGTTCTCCACGATCGTAGAGCTGCTCAAACGTGTTGGATCACTTACGATGAATGAGATTCTCGATTATCTAGCACCACATTTCGAGGAGTCTGCGGTGATGGAGATGCTCCGTACCAAATCAAAGTCGGCACAGCTCCAGACTCTGGCGACGAGCGACTCCACTCTTGGAATCTATCATATCCGCGTGGTAGCACGTGGAATGCTCATGCCGGTGAATGTTGTCATCGATGACATTTCAGATCCACTCTTGGAGTACAACACCAATATCTACTACTGTCGACAGTACTTTGGCTACGACATTCCTGTCATTGGAACTGACAGCAGTATCACTCGCAAGAACAGTGCCGTCCTCACCAAACAAACATTGGTCAAGGAACGTGTCAAAGTGTTCAACGTTAAAGAACAAGAGATAGAGGAGAAGGAATACAAAAAGATATTGAAAAAGAAAAAGAAATACGATGAAGAGATGGCAATGGCAATTCGGACCTACGAGCAAAAGAAGGAAGATGGTGTCAGCAAGAAGGTCAAGTTGAAACGACCCAAGGTGATCCCACCGACCAAAGTGAAATATCCAGACTTTGAGCCTGATGCGTGGCATGAAGAATGGCTGAAAGGTGCATCGGAATTCGAGAGTTTCGAATCGACCATCGATTCACAAACGATCCAACCGATCGTTTCATTGCTGCCACCAACAGTGCGTCCCAAATCAACATCAAAAGCAAATCGTGACAACTATCAGCCAAACACAAACAACAACAACAGCAATAAGATAATGGATCGTATGATGTCACAACCTATCAGTTCAATAACTAGTAATAGTAATAATAGCAACAGTAGTAGTAGTAGTCAACTTGGTGGATTTGGATTTGGATTTAATTTCTCTAGTTTCAATGATGATTTTAATGATGGTTCTAATGTTAATTATGACGACGATGAAGAAGTGGATGAAGATAATGCAGCAGCGACACAACCAATGGATTATAATGATGATGCTACACAACCGGTTGATTATGATCACGATGACATTCATAATAATCAGACCGTTCATAATACTATATTCAATATGCACAACGACTTTATTGTGTCTACAAATTCGTCTGCCGAGAATCATATAAATATTAAGACAATGGCACAACCATTTGCATCAAGTTCATCAAAGCATTTCTATGATGATATTATAATTACAGTTCCAATGGATAAACCTTTAGATCAGTCAGATCAATCAACAGATAACAAAGAATCACAAAAAGATAAAGAGAAAGTAAAAGAGAAAGAAAAAGAGAAAGAAAAAGAGAAAGAAAAAGAAAAAAAGAGAGACAGAGAAAGAGAGAAGGATAAAGATAAAGAGAAAGAGAAAGAGAGAAAACGAGACAAAGAAAAGACAAGCGATAATAGAAGTAGATATAGAGAGAAAGATAAAGAAAGAGAAAAAGGTATGGATAGACACAGAGAAACAGATAGAAATAGAGACCGAGACAAAGATAGTGACAACTCGAAGTGGAGAGAAAGAGATAGAAAAAGAAAAGATAGTGAGCATAGTGGAAGAGATAGTGATGATCAAAAATGCGAATAAACATAAAAAAGTAGAATGTCATTTTATTAATAATTAAAACAATATAATAAAATATCAATCTAGATTGTTTTTAAAAATATTAAAAAGAATATATCTTAAATCTTAATAGACGCCAATCAGAAATCAACTAAGAGAAAAGGCTTTTTTACTATTTTTAAATAATTTTATATATTTTCTTTGCTTATGTTTTATTGAGATGTTTACAATCAAATATTTGATGTTTTTATTATACCAATGTATCATCTGATTACTTTCAAAATTAAGTAACACCGATTAAAATGTGGTACTCAATTTAAAGCTAAATTAAAACTAATAATAAAAATTAAATTAAATAAAAGAATAATAGTGTGGTAATCAACTAAATACACTTTTTTATTTATAAATTAAAATAATGATACTCTCTCTCATTAATTTTCATTTCTAGGACTTCCTTCACATTCTATAAATTAACACATTTTGATCATCATTGTCTTATGTGGGGTTATTTAGTGGTGAATTGAAATAGAGTACTAACTCATATTAATTTTCATTTCTAGGACTTCAAACACAATGAATATATTACCACCCTTTTATCAGTGAGAAAAATACACTTTTCAAGGTGACTTTTCTTAATAAGTATATCTTTTCTTTTTATTTATTAATTTAAATAAAAATATCAAAAAAAATACAAAAATTCTAAATTAACCATTTGTCTTTTTTTTTGATTACATATATCTAAATTAATTTCTTTCCAAATTATAATATCTATCTTTTTTTTTCCAAAAAAAAATAAAAAATTGAATCAGAATTCAAGATATGGATACTCCAATCGATGCCCAACAAACAGATCAGGAAAATCCAATAGATATAGAAGTAAATGATATATCCAATATTTCCAGCTCCGATTTGGAAGAATCTGCCACTTCGTCTATAATTGAAGAAATAAAAAATGACGATTCTAATATTCCATCATTCAAAGACGATGAAGAAATGGAATTATACATGGATCCAAGTTTTGTTGGTACTATCGCTTCATATTCAACAGGTTGGGATCTCCAAGACGAATCATCAAAGAACCAACCAGAAAAAGATTAAAATAATAGTATCAATCAAATTCAAATATTTTATGTAAAATTAAAAAGAATATTTTTAATAATTAAGATTATGTAAATAAAATTCTATCTTGTAAAAATGTTAAAAAATTGTACAATTTTTTGTATAAAAAAAAAATCAATTAATTTTTAAAATAATATTTCAATTCTATATTATTCTTTACAAATATTTTTAAGAAAAATTAATTAAAAAGGAAGAAGAATGATCATTTTACTAACTAACTAAAGATTCAAACATTTGTTTTAAAGAAAAAAATAAAAAATAATTTTCTTTGTTGGAAATTTTTTGTGTGTTGATTTTTTAAAAACACCCTTTTATGGTAAAAAAAAAAAAAGATCTTTTATTGAATAAAGTCTGGTTTCTCAGACACCTTTAAAAAACAACCAAGCAAATCAAGATTGCTAAGACCTATATCATCTGTTTAGTCCTAAAAAGTTAACAAATAGTGTTGAGTCTTAAGACCAGACAGGAATATGAATTTTCAAATAAACAAATTGTTTTAAATTTTTTTAATTTAATTGTTTAAATAAAACTATTAGTTTTGTTAATATATCTTAATAATTTTGTAATTTCGTATTCTATACATATAAATATAATTAATTAAAATAATTGAAATGGCTTTCAAATTATTATCAGGTTTTCTCGTTGAGAATCTACCCCCAAAATCTGAAGATATGATCACAGTAAGAAATACAGATAGTTTACCTAAAGTTTTTGAAGTAAGTCTTTAAGAAAAAAATATATATTAATTAAAAAAATACTAATAATAATAAATAATTTAATAAATAATAATATAAAAATAGATTCTTTCTAAAAACAATATATTGTCAGCTCCAGTTCTAAATGAAAGGAATAATCCAATTGGATTGGTGGATTTTGTTGATATTGTTTGTTGTGTCATTCAGATAATAAATCATACCGATCTTTTAGGAAATGATTACTATTCTTTCCTTGAAAGGGAAGATCTTTTTAGTCATACATATGCATCTTATGTAACTGGTAAGTTTATTCAAGATTCTAGTTTTTAAAAAAACTAACCAAAAAAAAATAAAAACATATTAGATCTATCAGAAGGAAATCCATTTGTTCCTGTAATTAAAGGAGCATCATTGTTGGAAGCAATAACAGTGATGTCAAAGAACAAACTTCACAGAGTACCAATTATATGCAATGATACATCACCAAGTGAAACTGGTCCTAAAATTATCAATCTTGTGACGCAATCTGCTATTCTCACATTTTTAGCTAAACATCTCGATGAACTTGGCTCGTGGACCGACAAATCTCTGGCGGAACTCGGATTCGCTGAAAAACCAGTTGTAACTATAAACTCACACAAGAGAGCATTGGAAGCATTCCAACTAATGACTGAAAAGGTAATTATAACTTTAATGGTGTTGTTTTAAAAACTAAATTTATTTATTAATAAGTTTTAATATTCATTTATTTATTTACTTCTAGAGAGTTACTGGTATTGCTGTGGTAGATGAAAAACAACAGATACTTGCAAATATTAGTGCACGTGATCTTAAGGAACTGTTGAATGAAACTAGAATCTTTGAGAATCTCTATCTTTCGGTGGGCGAATTCATCTCAAAGGTGAGACAACAAGATTACAAAGCTGTAAACCCATCGATTTGCTGCACCAAAGACGAATCACTCCGAAAGTTGATGACCAGAATGGCCGCTGCAAAGATCCATCGTGTCTATATGGTAAACAACGATCGTAAACTTGTCGGTGTCGTAAGTCTACACGATATCCTTGAGAAACTATTGGATCATATCAACTCTGGTGGTGGTTCAAACTAAACTAATTGTTAAATTTTTAAAAAAAAAAAAAAAAAAAAACAAATTTTTACAAACAAAATAAAACAAACAATAAAAAAAAGATTGTTGATGATTAATAATCAATCATACTAGTCCTATATATATATGTAGATAATTAAGTTAGTTATTCACAGATATACATTTATTAATGAGTCATTGAACTTAGAAATCACATTAATTATTCATTGAAAATAAAGAAAATACAGCTAGCTTAAGAGTCGTTGTATAAGGAGTATGAGGTGGTTACATACAACGATTCTTTCATTTTGCAAAAAAAATAAAAATTAAAAACAAACAACAATTTCACGATGATGTTTGGAATTTTCTGGTGGGGGGTTGAGAAGAAGACACCCCACACACTAAAATCTAATTAATTTTTTAAAATTTTAATTAACAACATCAAAAAAAAAAAACAAATAAATAAATATTTTTCAATTATTATTTTTTATTCAAAATCATAAATTATCGTTTTTATTATTTATTTATTTGTTATATTATATCTTTAATTTTTAATTTACACGTTTTTTTAAAAAAAAATTAAAAAAACAAAAACACCATAAAACTAGTACTTTCAAATTTAATATCTTTTTTTTATTATTCAAAAAAAGTTAAATTGTAAATTATCACAATAATATAATATAATCATAATCTAACAATCATTAATAGTAATTAATCAACAAAAGTAATAAAAGTGGTATTAATAATATCAGAGTATATATATTTTAAAAGATTAATTAAATATTTGGACAGAAAGAAGAATTACAAGCAATAGATATTTCGATAAACATAATAATAAGACAAAGATCATTTGAATTGTTTTTATTTATTATCTAGTAGATTGATTCATCATAATCATAATAGCAATAGTAGCAATAATATAATTAATAATAATAATAATAAAAATATTATATTCAAAATAAAAAAAAACTAACTTATTTAAAAAAAAAAAACAAAACTAATTAGATATACAATACGAAGATGAGTGACGAAGTAAAAGCAAAGGAATTCTTGGATAAGGCTGAGAAGAGAGTCAAGGGAAGTTCATTCATGAGCTTCTTTAGCGGTGGAAGTGGTGCAAAGTTTGAGGAATCCGCTTCAGATTTCACAAAGGCAGCAAACTTGTATAAAATGGCAAAGAAGTGTAGGTTTAATTTATTATCGATTGCGTTGTTGTCGTTGTTATTAGTAGATATTGATTCGTTTAAATGATAATATGTTATATATAGGGGATCAAGCTGGTGCAGCATTCCAAAGAGCAGCCGAATGCTACTTGAAGGCAAACAGCAAACACGATGCAGCTTCATCGTATGTCTCTGCAGCCAACTGCTACAAGAAGGGTAATGTTGCAGATGCAGTCATCACTTTGAAGGCTGCTATCGAGTACTACACCGACGAAGGTCGATTCTCGATTGCTGCCAAGCATCAAAAGGAGATTGCCGAGCTCTACGAAGCAGAGGGTGATCTCGAGCAGGCCAACGCCAGCTACCAGATCGCTGCCGACTTTTTCGAGGGAGAAAACTCTACAGTTGCCGCCCATCAATGTCTCTTAAAGATTGCACTCTTCTCTGCACAACTCGAGAGATACGATAAAGCCATTGAGATTTACGAGCGTGTTGCATCTGCTTCACTAGACAACAATCTCACTCAATATGGATGTAAAGAATATTTCTTCAAAGCATGTTTATGTTATTTAGCATCTGATGTAAGTTTTTATACAACAACAGTTTAGTCTCAATAATATTAATCAAATACAATATAATAGGATTTGGTATCAGGTGAACGTGCTTTACAAAGATATAAAGATATGCAAGCATCTTTCTCTGCCACAAGAGAGGCTCGTTTATTAGATGTAAGTGTTTTAGCTTTTACGCAACACTCGATAGTTTTTTAGGTTTGTTACTAATCAATTTGAAACCTTATTCACTTGCTATAGGATATTATTCAAGCTTGTAGACAAAATAATGTTGAAAACTTTACCAATGCAGTATATGATTTCAATACAATTAGTCCTTTGGATTCATGGAAGACCAGTATGTTGTTAAAAGTAAAGAGTACCATCAACAAGGATGCAGAATCTGTTGTCTAAATACCACCAACCTAAAATATATATACAAATATTTTATTAATTTTGTTAAAAGTCTAAACAAACCCAACCAACAATCCTATATTTTTTTATTAAAAGAAAAAAAAGTAAAAAATACAACAATCGTTTTTTTTAAATCAATTTTAATGATTATTTATTTCTATTTGAATGGATTACAAATTGATTGATTTATAGTTGGACAGACCAAGAAGTCTTATCATTTATGTAACAACACAAAATAAATAAAAATATAAAAACAAATCAAATCTACAAAATTACATACTTTGAAAATGGTCTTTGCCTATAATCAAGATTCAACTTTTGGAACCAGTTTATTAATAGCTACACACTATTTTTGAAATTACCAATTTTGATTGAAACTCAAATCTGAAAGGCTTTATTTTTGTTTTTTAGTTTTATTTTGCTTTTTTTGATTAAAACACTGACCAATCAACCAACAATACTAGATTTAATTTGCAATTTTTTAAAAACACACACCCACCATCAACATAAAATGATTTAAACATTATCACAAATCGATCACTCTTCAAAGAGAATCTCTTTTAAATTCTTTAACAAAAAAGATAATGTTGTTGTTTTTATTGATTGTTTAGCTTGAGGATTATGATGTTTTTTTTGTTTAAAAAAGGGTGATCGGAATGAAAAGAAGTTGGATTTAAATGGTTATACTTGTTTTTGTTCTTCCTTCTCTTCAAACAACTTGAACAATTGTTCATTTCATTTCATTCTTAGTTATTCTATTCTGTCACAAATCAATCAATCAATCAACCAATTCAAATCAAACCAAATCATAACTTTGTTGTTTTTTAACCTTAAGGTAGTAAATATTTATCTACCACACTTCACTAGCACCTTCACACCAACTTCACAACAACAACAACATTTTTATTTATCTTGGTTTATTCTCTGGTAGGTTTACTTTACATTACTTACCTTTTTCATCTGTGTTTTGTTTTGTTTTTATATTTTTTGTTGTTTTTATCTTTTTTTTAATGTGGTAGTTGTGGATATACCACCACCACAAAAACCAACCTCACCTGACTGTCACAGTCAAAAGCCGGCACCACCACCACCACCATCACCACTAAAACAACACAACATTATTACAACATCATAATCATTAACAACATCATCAAACTCATCAGAATCTTAACATCTAAAACTGCATTACATTTCCACCCACCCAATTTAAAATATTTGATTTATTAAATATTAAATTGTCATCTGGCGTACCACACAATTATTTCAATCATAGTAAGTAATATATTACAAAACTAATATAAAGTATAATATTTTTAAATCTTTATACAACAATATTTATTGAACAAAAAAAACAAAAACAAGTATTAGTATATAGAATCCATATCATATATCAAATCAAACCAAATCAAATCATCATCCACATCCACATTTCGAATCATCAACAAATAATATATCATTATTACATACTATCCACTCTCTTCACCAATTTTTATCCAATCCAAAGTTATCTTTTACCATCAATTTACCTTTTTATTCCCTCCAAAGGAAAAAATTGATTTTCAATTGGCAATAGATCATTGTATGTATAGTAAACCAAATATTTATTAAAGAGTTTAAAGTTGACATGACAATTTCATATATTAATATTTCAATATAAATAAATTTTTTTTCAGATAAATAATTTATTTCCAAATCCAGGCAATAAAATTTTTAATCAGCTGTTCACACCCCTATATATAGGTATTTTTATTCTATCAAAAATAATAATAGTATAGCTAGTAAAGTCAGTACCAATGGATTCATTATTAAGATGTCCTAAATGTAGTTGTATTTATCAACAACCAAAATCACTGGATTGTGGTCATATCATTTGTTTGAAATGTCTATCGGAGCTGTTTCATCCCGAGTCATCACCATATATCGATTGTCCAGTTTGTACCAAACAAACACTGCTTTTAAATTCCACTATCAACCTACCGTCGCTCAGTTCCATTGAGGAGTTACTCCGATACTACACTGACAACGATACATTTGGTGATATTCAAACACCGATTTCACCACGATACGAACGGTTGATAACTACACCTCTTCCATATTCCTCTACAGCAGCAACATCAGGATCACCTCGTTCACAAGCAGTAACATCCACAACCACCACTTCCACTTCCACCACCACCAACACCACCTCATCCATTTCCAATATAAAATCTCAACTCGCTCAAAAACAACAGATTCTAAATCCAACACCTATAACATCGATACCAAAAATTTCTATCAGCGGTACCACCACCGCCGCCACCACCAATCACACTAGCACTACAACTACTACAAATCCAATATCAAAACCACCTCCTCTTGCTGTGCAACAGGCTCGTCTTTCTTTGGAGATCGACGACAAGATATTGATATGTCAACTTCATAGCAATGAACGATTCAAATTCTATTGCACAAACAAGGAGTGTCAAAAGTTGATTTGTACAGAGTGTATCATCGACCACAACGGTCACCAATTTGCAAAGATTCCAAGGGAAGCTGACAGGAAGATTCCTGAGATTGAATCACTCTTGGGTGTTCTCTCTCAGTATCCCTTGAAACTGTTAAAGCAAAAGCAGGTCATAGAGAAGCATATTGTAGATGGTACCAACATGCATCGTGAGACAAAAGAGCGTATTACCAACGATATAGATTCAATGATAAAGCACTTGCAGGAGCGTAAAGACTACTTGGAGCGACAGATCGATAAGGATTGGAATGAACAACGAATCCACCTAAACAATCTAGTCCAAAAGATGACTACAAACATCGATTTGATAAAAGATACAAATCAATTCACACAGAATCTCATAACGGAGCGTTCAACAACAGAGAAGGAGTTGGTTCAGATCTTCCTGAGCACTGGCGGCAAGGACGACGACAACCTGAGCAACTCTAGCATATCTACACTCAACAGTTCCAGTGGCGTAGAATACACTCCACAGACTCACTATGTCTATCAAGATCCCAAGTACAATAGAATGTCGACTACGCTGCTAAAGAAACACATCGAACTTAGAAAGCTGGAGGATGAATCCAACCAGATGTTCAACGAATTAATCACAAACATAGAATGGAAATGGGATCCAGAGTTCCAATATCCACATTTATATCAACAACAACAGCAACAACAACAACAAAGAAAAGCACCAAACAGTCCACTCAGATCAAGTATTTCAGTGTCTGCAGACGGTTCACACAATATGGCTGGAGGAAGAAGAAAGACAATCGCTCATTCTCCACCGCAATCGACAAGTTCAACACCAAATTTGAATCCAGCATCTCCAACCTCTATTTCTCCACCTATCATTCAGAGAACTATGACTAGCTCGATCAGTTACCACGGTTCCAATGGCAGCGGATTCAATCCACCCGGTCTCGTGAAGACGCCATCCAATTCATCGGTGTCGTCCATCAGTTCCAGTGCATCGTCGATGCAACTAACCAACAGAAGCACAGGTGTCCCTCTTCTACCAATCTCTTCTTCCCAACCAAACATCGTTGGTTTGGCGCATAGCTCTAGTAGCATAACGCTAAACTACTCGCCACCCAAACAACCATCGTCACTTAGCGGTAGCGGTGGTCTTGTAGCCAAGAAGAATCCAGTGTTTGGTAAGCTACTAACACGTAAGGATTCGACCATCAATCATCGTCTGCACTATCTCTACTCGATAGGTGGTGAACACAGCGAAGGAACCTTGGAAATGTATGATATTCAGAGTGATAAATGGAAGTTTATGGCACCAATGCCCAAGCCAACGTCAGAGTTTGCCGCAATCTACGACAATAGCAACACCATCTATTGTTTCGGTGGAAAAGAGTCTCCTGACATTGTCAGTAAGTACGACATCCTCAGAAACCAATGGGAGATACTCGACGTCAAGTTGCCAACTGGACGATACGGCCACTGTGCAGTGTATGACGGTCGTCGTTTCGTCTACTTGCTGGGTGGCTGCGGTGCTGCCAAGTCAATGGATCGTTTCGATTTGCTCGCCAAGAAGTTTGTACCGTTGAAGCCGATGGCGTTTGGTCGTACCTATTTCCACGCATTCCACAATGGAACCAAGCTGATCTATGCGGTCGACGGTTACGCCTCGAAAGAGAAGCGATCGTCCATTGAGATGTACGACACCGAGAAGGACACCTGGACAACATTGGGTGTGGTGAAGACACCTCGTTATCTGGCGAGTGTAACGTATGACGCACGATACATTACTATGGAGGGTGGTGTAGACCGTTGCACCTCACGAGACATCAAACAAACCGAGCGATTCGATACACAGTCACTCAACTGGGAGATGATCTCGCCCGACGAACAAATAGGCAAGTCAAAGTGTAAGATTCAATTTTACAACAGTTCGTTGTTTGACGGTGGCCAGCTGATATACTACCTTGGCATCAACATTGACGACACCATTCCACTGCTCTACCGCTACAACATTAGAACAAAGAAACTAGATCAACTCTCTCCAATGGGTCATATGAGATTAACAAATCAATTGGTAATGGTAACAAAATAAACAACAAATAAATTAAAAATAATAAAACAATTACTGTTAACAGTTCAATTAAAAAAGATATATTTTATAAAACAATATTATCTATTGATTCTTTTGATCGTTTTGTTGTGTTTGGTTGTGATTTCCTTATGATCCAAGTCTTTGATTCGACCATTTCATATTCAAAATCATTTTCAGTCAGCAGTACAAAGAATCTCTTTGAATTGTAAAGTTTTCTCTTGTAAGACATCAACATAAATGCACCAGGTTTGTTATCCATCAATTGTCTGAGTGTAATCATTAGCTTTTCAAAATATGCAACATCTAAATTTAAAAAAACAAATAGTTTATTAATATTAACGACGATCATTTATATTTGTGGTTTCACAAAACACAATCACTTACATAAAATAATATCACTTGCTATAACTATATCGAAATTATTTAAATCTTCAGGAAACTTCTCTCCCCATGTATCTGTTTTTGATAATAATAATAATAAGAGTATTAATAATAAATATTTTATGTATTAGATCTAATATAAAATGAATAGATAACAACTTACGAGGTATATGATCATAATTAACATTATTTAAATTCTGATTGTATTGATTGTTCTCTGTTACATCTTTCTCATCTATATCACTTGATGTTACATTAAACCCTTTTTTCTAAAAGATTGATTAGTATAATACACTGTGTAGTTGGTATAAACAAAGTTTTTGTTGTTGTTCTTACCTTTAAGAATAATGAAAGTATACCAGTACCAGAACCCAATTCAATGATACGCTTATCTTTGAATAGCTCGCTATGTTTTAGAATATAATCGATGATAAAGAAAGTAGATGGCCATACATAACCAGCGTTCGTTGTACTAAAGTGAAATTCTCTAATCGTCAAAATCTAAAAGTATATCGTTAACATATATATATGGTTAGTTAACTAAGCTAAGACTAAATAATCGATTCGATTTTTGATAGCTTACTTCATCATGTACATTTATTTGTTTTTCTTCGTATTGTTGCTCATTCGTTAATTTATCAGATTCATCTTCAGAGTCTGAATTGGTTAGCTTTGCAAAGTCTGATAGATCAAACATCTCTAATTTCTAATCGATAAATATGATCAAATAAACGTTGATCGTTTGTTTTTTTTTTTTCAATGAAAACATTCATAATAAATTATTTCTAAAATTTAACAGACAACAATTTCTATTTGCTTTGTATTTATTTAATATTAACTCATTGAATGTATATTTTTTATTACTCTAATCGTATCGATTTTTTTAATTACGGTATGGTATGTGCACTACTTTATGTGGAATGCAATCAAAACACATGTGTTTGGAAATTTTGATGAAACAAAATTTATTTTTTCTGTTTCATCAGAACACCCTACACAATGTGACAATGAACAACAAAACATGAAACTCATTGAGTTATCACTTATGATTGCGTTATATAAATATACATTCACACACACTTAATCAAATATATAAATATATTGTATGCATATAGATATAAATTTTTGGCAAAAACCAGTGGTTAGTTATGCTAGGCTTTCTATTCACCATGTTCAAATAATAATGAATAATCATTATCAGTACTGTACCATTTTGATTTGATAAAAATCTTATTATATGTTACATTTTGTGATGTTGATTTTATTTATTTCAAAACAATTAACAGTAATACAAAAATATAACTATCAAGATAAAAAAGTAAGTAAATAAAAGATTTGTCTTATTACTTTTGGTTACTGATACTTTATACTATAGATGAAGTTAATATTTTTGGTGATGCTCTTCTTGTCTGTTGTAAGATGCCAGCAATATCAAGGAAGGGTTCTTGTTCTGAGAGGAATGTGTTTCAATGACACCAACGTAAATAGTGTGAACAATGGAGAGTATGGAGTGGGTGGTGTCTATGCCGTGCCATTGGATAACGCTGTTGACTACCAAGGAAATAGATTACAAAGTATGTACACTCAATCAAATGGTGCTTTCTTCTGGGATGGTTTAATGGAGAGAACTCTCTATCGATTCAATCTCACCAATCCTGCCGACTATCTCTTTGGATCTTATGATATCTCATTGACTTGTCCACAAGGAAAGGTGTGCGTCAGAGACTCCAATCCCAACGAAGGATACAGAGGAACAACTGTCATTGAGAATCTCACTGCTTTTCAAGTTCCTATGTTGTACCGAAAAGGAGTGGCAGCCGCTGTGAGTACACTTTGTTTGAAGATCAATGTTGATCTCGGTCCAATTTCAACCCCGCCACCTGCACACAAAGGAACCGCTGTTGTTGGAAACATGTTTGTCGATTACTCTGGTAGTGGACTGAAAGAGGCCAATGAAAACTGGTATGTAGGTCTTACCCTTGCACTTTTAGATCGAAATGGTAATCCTGTGACCGATGCCAACGGAAATCCAGTACCCTACTCCACAACTGATGCAAATGGTCGTTTTGTTTTTGAAAACATTCGTGAAGGATTCTATACACTTAAGATCATCAGTGGAATCAACGGAGTCTATAATCCAGGTACCATCGGTCCTTTCGTTGTTTCCGCTTCTACTTTTTCTACTGCCAATGATCATGTCAATTCACCGACAATCAGCAATCTTGGAAACTATGGATTGACGCCAATCGGTACTTCCACTTGCTCTGGAATGATATATATCGATCTCGATTTCGATGGTTATTTCGATGCCACTGATAAGCCAGCTGTTGGAATCAAAGTCAATATTTATTCACCAATCTATGGATATCTTGTATGGAATACCACAACTGGATCCGATGGAAGATGGAGTTGTTCAGGATTGGTATCTAAAATTAAGTATCGTATTGAATTCGTTGGTCAGAATATTATCTCAACAGGACCAGATCCTTTTAACTTTATTAATGGAAGTGATAATATTCAAGTCGGTGTTTCTCAACAAATCTTAAATCAAGGTAATCAAAATTCCAATAATCCATCTGCTTTTGCCACAACATGTTTCGTCAAAGGAAGTAGAGCTGGCGCCTATAAGAATGATCCAGCAGTTGTCAGATTCTCAGCCAATGCAACTGGATTCGCCTTCAAAGGAGACGGAATGAAATATGCACAGAAGATGGCATACCACAATCAAGTTGGTTCATGTTTTGGAATTACCTATCGACCTGAAACCGAAGATACTTATGTATCTGCTTTCTACAAAGGAAGTAGTGATTTTGGACCATCTGGAATGGCTGCCATCTACAAGATTACCAAAGGATTCCAAGTTTCAACTTTTATTGACCTCACCAAGTTTGGAATTAACCCAGGAACCACAACACACTATTTCAGCGATGAGCTGAAAGAAGGACAAGAAGCAGGACGTTCCACTTGTAAAGTATCACTCGGTGATCTTAAGAGTACCAATAGATATCTTTATGTTACCAACTTGTATTCAAACGAAGTTGTTCAAATTCCAATCACTGAAACGCCTACCACCTCGAATGTTCTAAAGAAAAGCGTTCCAAATCCTGGATGTACTTATGCATCCGACTGGAGAGCATTCGCATTGGAAATTTACCAAGGTCAACTCTATGTTGCCGGTGTTTGCACTGGTGAAGCTGGTTCATCATTGACTGGATATGTTGTGAGATTCAATGAGCAAACTCATGGGCAACAGTATTGGAATTCCCATTGAATTACAACAGAGGTTGTAAGAGATATGACCATTGTCCACAATCACAATGGCACAAATGGGGAGGTGACTACACCATGGCCCAACCTCAAATTGCATCACTCTACTTTGACGATGCCGGTCGATTAATCATGGGATTCAAAGATAGATCCAATGATATCGCCAATGGAAATTGGATTTCCACTCCAGACATGGTAGTTGCTTGTCAAACTCCATCTGGAACTTTCCAACTGGAGTCAAATGCAGTTTGTGGAGGAAAGACTGGTACACTTCCCAATGCCAAATCCAACGCTGGAAAATCTATGGGTATTGGTGGTGGTATTTATTTCCAAGTGAATCAAGGCGCTGGTGGACACGATTACAATGTTGCCTATGGTTTGGCAAGAGGTGGTCCAAACCAAGTGGTCGCAACCGGAATGGACAATAGTTTCTGGTTCGAGGGTGCAGTCAGATGGTTTGATACCACCACTGGTAAATATATTCGTGCCTACTCTATTTACAATGCAACTGCTTCGCGTGGTACATTCAGCAAGTCGAATGGTCTTGGATCGATCACATCGATATTCCCACCATCTCTTGAAGTATTTGATTGTGGAAGAGTCTGGAATGACATCAATGGAAATGGAATTCAAGATTGTAATGAACCAGGAATCTCAAATATTAAAATCTATCTGTTCTCTCAAGACAATCCAACCTGCCCAATCTCCTATTTATATTCAGACAAAGATGGAAGATATTGCTTCTCAGTTCTTCCAGGCAAACAATACTCTTGTTCTATCAACATCAAAGAAACTCAAGACAAGTTTGGAAAATTCAATGTCTCTCCAATTCTCAACGATCCAAGATATGAAGGAATTGACAGTGATGGTGTCATTTTAGGTGGAAATATTGTATCAAATTTCCAAGCATCATTATATTGTGGATATTCATTCCTACACTGTCATTTCGGAATTTACAATCCTGACAACTGTCCCAAAGATGGTTTTACAACATATGGTTGGGGTGCAAAAAATTAATTAAAATCATAAATACATCAAATATTAAATAAAATCAAAACAAAAAATAAAAATAAACTTGGAATTTTTAGTTACCTTTTCATTCATTTATCATTTTAATTTTAGCCTCGAAATAGTCATCGTTTGATGATTGTGATAATATCAATATATAATAATATAGAATTATCATTCTATATATAATAATAATATTATAGTGATACAAAATGATATAGATTTTTAAGAAAGTTTTGATTCTGCAGAGTTACTTATAAAATAAGTTAAACGATGTTCCAATTGTATTCAATGTTTCATTCTTGAGTAATGCTCCCAATTCAAAAGCAATCCATTCCTAAAAGGGTGTCGGAGAACCCCACTCTTCCTTGGTTCAGCTTTTTGCTATGAAAAGTATCTTTTTTCTCTTTTAAACAAATAAATTAAATAAATATAAAAAAGAAAAAAATAACCAATCGATATGATAAAATAAATAACTTTGTTTTATTTTCAGATATAAATAAATATTTAGAATCAAAAGAATCGATTCTCAAAACAAAAACTGAAATTTTTATTTGGAGATCCAGTAGTGTGATGGCAGAGTGATAATAATTTATTAGGCAACTGGAATAACAGAGGCAACCTGCATAACGACGAGAGGAAGCCGGAATAGCAACGAGAGGAAACCGGCATAGCAACGAGAGGCAACCGGCATAACGATGAGGGGAAACCAGCTTAGCAACGAGAGGCAACCGGCATGGTAACGAGGACTTGGAAAAGAAGAGATAGATAAAAAGAGATAAAACATACAGTTAGTAAACAAAGATATAAATAAGAAAGTTATAATTATTTATTATTCCTTACAAAATTATTTGTATTTGAAAAATAATGAAAAATGATATTGTGAATGAAATTATAGGTTTAAATAGTTTTAAATTTGATTCGTTGACTTACAGTTTGAGCTCAAAAATGGGAGCAACCGTTAAACGCCAATTAAAAGAATGAATTAATATTCAAATTTGATATATATAAATATTAAAATTAATTAAATAATTCATTTTATTATAATATAATTTCAAAAATAAAAAAAACAGGCTATGATTGCCAATGAAGAAACAACAAGCATAATTTTCAATTTTATTAATTTATTTAATATTCAACACCTATTGTCCGTCTAAGGACAATAGGGTAGCCAGGAAGGCAATGCTAGTGCCTATCAAATAATATCAATAATATACACCAGCCAACATATAACAACAGTAATAGTAATATTCAATTATAATAAATTAAATTAATTAAATCAACTAAATAAATACTTATGTAGTTTAAAATCCAAATAATAATTAAATTAAATCTGTTTTTTCTAAATTAAGTTATTCAATACTCAGCAGTCAAGCTTCTCAATGACCAATACATTGAGTTTAACGCGAAGTAAAAGAATTCATTGAGATGATTCAATTTAATTAATTTATCGAATCAATTCAAGATAGAGGAAGATATTAAATTTATTAAAATTAATAGATAAGAAAAGATATTAAATAAAATTTAAAAAGATTATTTTATACTATTATTGATTATTAATTAAATAAGAAAATGACAGATCCTACTGATCAACCAAATGAAACAACCACAATGAGTGATCTCGATAGTAGCAATAATAATAATGAAAGTCAATCAGCTACTACTCTATTCCCAGAGGTCGCTCCTGTTAATGTTCGCCAAGATCCGCTTCCAAATTATCTCTTTCAGGCTAGCCTAGCGTCGTCCAAGCTCCCTATCTCCTCTACCATCGTTCCAGGTCAATCGGATGGAAAACAACACCCCACTTTTATTGGCAATTTCATTTTTTTTTTTGCTGGTGCTTCAAAAAACCAAATTTTGTTTTTGAAAGATATTTTCAATAATAAAGATACAATAAGTAATAAATCAATAGATATTAATCATTTGAAATCAAATAATAGTTGAACTTTTAGATCAAAATTTAATAGTATTAAATTAAAGATATATTAATATTTCATTTATTAAGATAGTAATCATATTTATTTTGAATTAAATATAATAAAATCAGTGTTAGATCTATCAATTATTGAAGTTAATGATTGATTATGATGTTTGATCAAAAAAAAAACAAAACATAAAGAAAATAAATATTTATAAATTTAATTTTAAAAATTTTTTATTGGATGACATGTGAATTAATTTTATTTTCAAAGGGGATAGAGATGTTGAGTAAATGATATACTTAATATTTTTTATTTTTTATTCTATTAATTAACAGTACTAAAAATGTAAATGTATTCAAAGATTAAGATGGAAATATAATAAAATGGTATTATTAATAAATAATACTAATAATTTTTTTAAATCAATACTACCTTTTACAACATTTAATATATATATTTGTTTAAAATTAATTTGATTGGATAATTGAAATTTTAATATAATATCTCCAACTATTTGTAAGATATGTTAAAGTAATTATTTATAACTAAAAAGATATTAACCCTTAATTTTCAGAAAAACTATCTAATTACCCTACCCCTACCTCATACAATACAGTAGTAGAAAAAATGTCAAGAAAAAAATGAATGAGGGAAATGAAAGAAATTCACATCAACTAATTATTCATTTTCAATAACAATCTTATTAATTAATTAATTTTGATTTATAAAATATAATTTTTTATTTATGTGTTTGTTGGTGGAATATACTATAAATAACTTTATTCCTACTTCCTTTGTATTAGACAATAAAAACCTTATTCATTCATATTAATTAATTATTAAAAATGAAAGTTTTAACTTTAACTCTAATTATGTTAGCCTCTTTGTTATTCTTTGCAAGCATTGTATTGGCAAATCAAAGTATGTATTATTTATTTATAATGCTCAAACAAAATGAATAAAGACCAATTATTTATTAATAAACTAATAAAATTGTGTAATAACAGACGATATGTGTGATGTTAAATCTGAAGAAGAATGTGTAAATTATGATGAATGTATTTTGATAACTCCAGGAACTGGTTCAGTGTGTGTATCAAAAGAACATCTAGGTACATCAAATGATATTTCTACTTATCAATACTAAAAAAGTTATTCAAATTTTACTTTATTTCAGCTTTAAATAAAGATAAATAATATAATTTATTATATACTCATTTTTAAACTTAAATGTTGTAAAGTACAAAAGATATATAAATATTATAATTCATTCTTTATTCTTTATTTAACTTTAATACATTATCACAGTGAGACAACATATGACATATCCATTGAAATTAATTTTACTTATTAAAACCTAATTAAGTATAAGATTAATAAATCGAAAAATCTATATTTGTTAAAAACACTAAAAACATAAAAATCACACCACCACAGGCTACATATCTCTACCATACCCCCCTGTCCACAATATACTTTAGACACTGTATCACAATATATTAGATTTATGTATTTTCCAATTTTATTCCTATTTTGGATAGATGCTGTAGCACAATGAAATATACACCATTATCTAGATATACAGTGTCTAAAGTATATTGTGGACAAGGGGGGTATGGTAGAGATAGAAAGTTAAAGTTTGATATCAAATGTTTACCAATCAATTTAATTATTGTATCTTCTTAAATAGAACACAAATATCAATCGAATGATATATTAAATTTATTAGATGGTTCGAAAAAAAAATATTCATCCAGTTGTTCAACTTGTATGACATATAATATTTAAACTTATTTATTAAATAGGATTACTATCTCTTTGATCGTGCCACCATTTTAAGCTATCTATAATATTTTGATTATTGTAATATATAGAAGTAGAATGTGTATAGGAATAGAATGCAGTAGTATCCTTTATATCTAGCGATTGAAGTATCTTCTTGGCATCATCTGGGATATTATCACTTAACATATTACCTTCATTGAGTTCTATCTCAGCCTGTAGGAAGGAATTAGCTTTTACATATTGTGAAGTGAATTCATATTAATTATCTGGTTTACTGTGGAATAAGGGACTATAAACGTAATTTGGAATCAGTAAATCTTTAGTATCTACCAATTCATTCATTATTTTTCTATTATTATTACTAGTACTATTAATAATTTATCTACTATATCACATACTATCTATTATCCTATATATTATTACTAATTATTACAATTATTGCCTACCGGTATCTGCGAGTTCGTTTAAAATTTTAGTTTTTTTTTAGAAATAAATGAAATAAATTGAATAATAACGTGTTATACAGATATATAAATATGTTTATTTGTTTATATATTGTTTAAATATATTAAGAAGGATACCATATTTCATGATTTGGTATTAAAAATCTATTATGAATCCGGTAACAATGGTATATTTAAATTGGTGTTTTCTTAAAGAATCATCATTTGAAATTTTATATCGACGAACAACACGAATGACCGAGCTAAAGGAACGGTCAAAGTTATACTCAACATCCATTGGCACTATTGTTGAATTTAAACTCTCAATATCTTTATTGGAGGTTACATCGAACAGGGTTAATCTACTCTGATATCGGTTGTTGGCATCTGATCATGTACCTGATGTTGAGAATATATATGATCTATTTAGTTGTAATGTTGATAGAGATGATAGTGAGGTTGTTGGTGAGGATGATAGTGATGGAGGAATATGAATATTACGATGATGTCTTAAGACTTCTATCTTTCTTTCGTAAGAGTTCAAATGCGATCACTCTGGCAAAGAATATTAAGTCAGACGCAGCTTCTGAAAATCAATCTACCAAATTTAAGACTGCATGTGTGACTAGATGGGGTAGTACTTTGGCAGCACTTAAATCATTTAGATCGAAATATGGATCTGGGATAAATACCCTGGATGAACTAATCACACAATCAAAGAGAGACAAGATTCAATATTAGAGTTCAAGAAAAGAGTGTCAACTGGTGAACAATTAATGCTATTAGACGATATTATACTAGTATTGGAGAAATTCAATCATGTTATTACGTTATTGTCTGCCGAGAAACAACCAACTCTAGCATCTGTATTTAATATCTCAACTGAAAATCGATCTTCAAAATCCAACCGGCATTAAAACTAAAATTGGTGTAGATCTCTCTCTAGACCTTTTATCCAATCTTAAAGAACGATCAGATAAATTTGTAGATAATAAAGATGTACTGATTCCAAATTACGTTTATAGTCCCTTATTCCACAGTAAACCAGATAATTCATATGAATTGTTAAAAGTCAATTAAAGCTAGTTGGGCCGTTCTCTATTGAAGTATTCAACCACTAATACTCGAGTAAAAACTCAAATATGTTTTCAACCCACCACACAATTTATATGACAAAAAATATTTGACTTTTTGCAAAAAAAAAGTAAAATATTTGAGTATTCGAATTAATATTCCAGTATTCATACATTTAATATATTTATTTTATGAGAATTCATGTATATTTGTTAGTGAAAATGCAAAATATTAGAGTATTAGACTTAAATATTATAGTATTCAAAATATACAAATTTATTTAGAACGAATTTGATGTATATCTGTTGGTGAGCAAGGCTGCAATCATCCAAACCTTATGATGTTTGTTTGTGCTATCGATTTTAGATGACAATAAGGGAAAACAAACGGAGGTAGCTTTGTATTTTCTCATTCTTCCAATTGAGTTTTCTACTATAATTCGTACTTGCTTTATCCTGTTGTCAAATGCCTTAAGTTGTTCTTCTGAGAGATCAGCAGGTTCACTTCCTTCACAAAAAGGAACAAGAGAATTTGGGTAGTAGGCTTTCATTCCTTTGAATCCTTTTTCTCCAAGAAGGCATTCATCTTCAGGATAAAAGTTATTCTCTAACCATATCTTATCATCGTACAACAAGTTAATATCAGCAATACTACCATAGTTACTTCACAGTTTAATGTTTCATTCTTGAGTAATGATCCAAAAGCAATCCGAGAGTTGTTGAGATTTTAAAAAAAAAAAGGTTTAAAATGGTTTCAATATGTTCAATTTAGTTGAATATTAACAAAATCGAGAAAACATTTTTTTTTTTGCGATTTTCATTGACAGAACAAATTGTAAATATTGCAAATAGGGACTGTTCTTTATTTGTTAATTTTAATATTTTTTAGTAGGGAATAAATTATTCTATAATATTTACTTTTGGGAATTAATTGAAATAAGTTTTATGATAAAAAAATTAAATTTTATGTTATAAATCGAGCTCGGAACTAGAAATATATTGGTTTTTAAGAATTTGGGATAACTTGGACGGTCAGAATATAAACAAGATTGGTGAAACTCCCATTCTTTTAGAGTTTAATTTGACTTGAAAGTCAAAATGTGGTCAAGTTTAATTTCTACTTTTAAGTAATTTTTAAACACACTCAAAGAACTAGCACAACAAACAAATTTATTTATTAATAATTTTGAGTCTTTTAAATTTTATTTATTTTTGTAAAAAATTAAAACATCATCAATATTGATGGATGAGGACAATAATGCCCAAGAAGGGGAAACTGATGATGAAAATGAAATTCAACAACATTTGCTGGAAAATACTTTGGATGATCGAGGTAAATAAAATATAGTATATTAGTTTTTCCTATCATGTTTCTAAAAGTAAAACTCAAGATTTTGAGGAAAATTATGAATAGTATAATAGAATGAAGGTCGAAGATTTGAAAGAAATTTGTAAATCCAATTCGTGGAACCAAAATCAAACTAAACCAAATTTAATTGATGAAATTTTAAGTTGTGGAGAAAAAAGAGAACATGGTTGGACAGATTTAAATTTTTCCTCTGAAAAAAATCACTGAACCTAATATTAGTGGTAATTGCACTAAAATCTGGAGACATCAACTCCATATGAAATCTTTACAATATTCTTTGATCGGAATATAATTACACATATAACAGCAGAAACCAACAGATACATGAATCAAATGTTAAAAATCATTTAAAACCCCAAACCTGCAATCAGCATACCCCCCACACATGACATTTTCATTCAATTCCAATAAATCGTGAATCAAATCAATTAAATTGTGATTCACTTTTAAATAAACAAACAAAAAAATATATTTAGATTTTATTTTGGAAATATATTTTTTTATCTCAACATAAAAGTATATTATTTAAATATTGTATTCAATGAATAAAACAAGTAGATATTTAAAATTAAAACAAAGTAATTTTTACTAAAAACTTTCGATTTTTTATTTATAATCAATTTATTTGTTAAAAGTATAAAAAGATAATTTATTTAATTCTTAGTTTAAAACATTAAATAAAAAAAAAACTAGAAAATATTCAAAATAAAAGTGTACACTTTTATATGTTATTATAATAAAAGAATTATTTAATTAATTTTAATATTTATATTTCAAATTTGAATATTAATTCATACTTTTAATTGGTGCTTAACTGTTGCCGACATTTTTGAGTTCAAACTGTAAGTTAACGAATCAAATTTAAAACTATTTAAACCTATAATTTCATTCACAAAGTCATTTTTTCATTATTTTTCAAATAAAAATAATTTTGATTTGTAAGTAATAATAAATAATTAAAACTTAAACTTATTTATATCTTTGTTTACTAACTCTTTGTTTTATCTCTTTTTATCTATCTCTTCTAATCTCTCTTTCCTACCACCTCGATCGTCCCCCAACCTCTGTCGGTACATTCCTGTATTTGCCTACCACCACTGAAATTGCCTACAAACTCTGTCGTTGCCTACCATCTCTGTTCGTCTATCCAATATCTGTCATTGTCTATAACCTCTGTCCGTCCATCCAATGTCTGTCATTGCCCACAATCTCTGTCATTGCCCACAATCTCTGTCATTGCCCACAATCTCTGTCATTGCCTACCACCTCTGTCATTGCTCACAACCTCTGTCCGTCGATTTTGAGTCTAAATATTTATTTATTTAATTTTAATCTGAAAAATTATTAAAATGACTGATAGAAGTGATCTATGAGATGATGCCAATGCAAGTCGGTAAGGGTGCCAACGGAAAGAATTCAAACTAGGATGCTCTGTATGGCTCGACTATTCTGTAATTTTACCCAATGGAACTGTTATTCAAGATCCATCATATGTCTTCGATATCAATGTAGACTTGGCATGCGCTGCAAGCACAGGACCAACTCCTACTCCTGCGCCTACTACTCCAGCTCTAACTACACTACAACCACTCCAACACCATCTAATCCATATAGTACAACAGTTATTCATTCTTTAAAATCCACGAAAATTAAAATTGGATCTACTTCATTCAGCCTAATAACACTGCTTCCTCTACTTGTGGCCAAGTTAACTTAATATATCCACAGGATCAGGAAATTTTACAATTAATTAGATACTTTTAGTTATATAGTTCTATAGATATATTTATATATAGTTATGTATTATGTGTATATAAACAATTATCGTGTATTTATATCATTTTTTCTAACTTTTAAATTTCTATTAATAATATTTGGTGGTCAACAAGAGTGTACTTGGATATGTGTTCCTAATGGTAAACCAAGCAACAAAATTTAGTTTATCTTTTTTCTTTTTAAAGTCCAAAGTCCAGAATTCTCTCATCTACTTAATTATCCTACTAGTCAAGATACCTATAAGACTCTTTATATTATATTATTATAATATACACCTATATGATTCTTTATTATATTATGATACTATTATAATTATACTTATATACATCAAGGTTAACTTTGTAAGTTTTATTTTTAATTGATATACGAACTGATTTTGTTATTTTTTTTTATTTCATAGGACAACAAATAACAACAGACTCTGCTCCAGTTTCGGATCTACATTCCTTCCAAGATTTAATTCGACTGCCGCTGGTGCTTCAAATAATTCAGGAAGTAAGTTGATAAAAAACAAAAAAATATTATCAGAACAATTTTTAAATTAACTTTTTCTTTTTTTCAACATAGAACTTCAATATTCTCATATAGGTCTAGCCTTTTTAACTTTTATAGTTGAAATTGTCCATTAGATTAAATATTTATATATATTATTAAATTTTAATTTTTAAGAATAATATCAACAATAATAAATAAAACAGTAACAAATTAATAATTTCTACAATAAAATAAAAATAAAACATCCACATTGTAATCTAAAAATATTTGTTTTAAAAGTTTAGTTCTTTTCTTTACTTTTCTTAAACAGAATGTTGTACATATATCGGTTCTAATAAATCTTCTTGACATTGTTTTGAAATAACATTGAGTTGACTGATTCTGTAGTTTTCGGTCAATGGAAGAGTCTTTAAGAATGAACCATAATCGTCTGGTTGTAAAAGCTCTGACTTGGTGTCAATTGAGAGTATCAGGTATGTACTTTGACAGTAGTCCAATAGTCTTCTGGAGATCTCAGAGAGCGAGACACGATAGAGATCGGTGGCACTCTTCTTGTAATTATCAAAGTTCAAAAAACTTCAAGGTTTTTTTTTGTTGTAAAATTGAAACATAATTTAATTAAATTGTAAACTAGTTTTCATAATTACTAGTTTCATAAATCAAATAAAATAAAAAAAACCACTTTGATCATATTAACCTCTATTTTTAATTTTTAATATCATCAAATCAAAGTTAATAATCAATCTAATAATATACTCAAATAATAAATAAAACTATCAAAACATTTGTATATAATCAAATAAACAATAATACAATATTAAAAATGAGCCAACAACAACAATCAAATTCAACCGATAACACTCATCTCAATCAAGGAAAACCATATAAATTCTATGGTACTGGAACAACCAATCCATGGAAGATCAAATTCCTGTTCTCGATAAACAATTGGAAGATAAACAATGGATTGCAGCCAATCAATATTCGATTGTTGATATGGCAGTCTATTCATGGGCAGTCTATATTCGTGAAGGATTTCTTCCAAATTACGAGAAATACAAGAATGTAATGGCTTGGTTGGACAGAAGGAATCAAAGACCTGCTGTTGCCAAACATCTTCCAACTATTCTTGCACCACTGAAAGAGGAAATCGAACATCTCACTCACGCTGGAACCTATAGAATTAAATTCGATTAAAATATAAATAAATTTAATCAATGTATATATTAAAAGTACAAATAAAGAGAATTTATTATTATTAAATTAATTCTTAAACCATTTAGAAATATGTTTTCGATAAACAGTTGGAAGTTAAACATGGATTGAAGCCAATCGATATTCAATGGTTGATATGGATTTTCTTGAAGATTTTAAAGATTACATAAATTCACAGTTAAATAAACAATGAAATCTTGATAATATTTATGTATATAATAAAAAAAGTTTATTATTATTTCAATTTCGATAATCTCATTCTAATGTTTTGTATAATTGATATTGCAAGAATGACGGCTGCGAATAACAATGTTATCGAGGAGATAACTATTCCACGAGTAGCAGGATCGAGGAAAGCATTACCAGAGATGACAAGAATGATTAGAAGGAAGAAATTGGCAATGTTTTCGGTTTGGTTTCTTGCTCTGAGTTTGTAGGGTCTGATGATGTATTGGATGGTCATGAATATTGTGTGAATGGTCATCTGCACGGCAATCATGATCTGCGACTGGTAGAGCAGACTAAGTGTACAAATAGAGTAGCTGGTAATTCGCAGCATGTGGAATGCTCCCCACCATCTTGCCTTTGGCTTGTAGAGTGCCGAGTGATCGCGCCAATCCAGCCAGTAGTGCTGATAGAGATAGAGTGAGACTACCACGACAAACAAGAGCGCGAGAAGAATCGAAGAGATTATTTGTGCTACACGATGAACCATGCTGTCGCTACACACTATATCGTTGTCCATGAAGAGATACTGCTTGTCGCCAATGTCGCGACACGGCATCGACAGAGAGAACAAGTCGAAAACCAGCGGACCAAAGAAGAGCAGAGTAGAACTCCAGAAATAAGAGAGGTAAGGTGATCTTTGAGCAGTTGGGTGTTGAATCTGTCTGACCAGCGAGAGTGACTTGGCTATTCTCGAGGTTATTCCGCCGATGGCAATGATGATAATGGTGGCAGAGAAGGAGAATGCCACCTTGGTGTAGTAGTTGAATGGTAAACCACTGCATATGAACGGTATGTAATCCAATGACATTCTAAACAGCGGAACAATATATAGATTCATTTGCGAATATAATAGAATTGCCACCGATTGCAAGAAGATAATAATCGATCCGAATACGTGATGATTGAAAATGGTTGGTGCAAGCGATAGAGCGATAATAAACAAAGCTAAATAAATCATATACATAATAAACACTAAAATATTTTCGCTACCTTTTGAAATTTAAGATTAGCTATTTTGGTTGCCAAATATTATAATATAATAATTAACTTACTACAACAATAAATTGATGATTTGTTATGTTTTGGTGATGTTAGACATTGGCCACAGAGAATACCGGTGTGACCAGATATACATTGATTTCCACCTAAACATAGATTCTGTTCACATCTCTTGATTACTTCGATATCGTTGTTGTACATCCAGTAGTTCTCGATGGTTTCTACGTTGCCACGGTAACATTGTGATAGCTTCTCATTGTTACACTTGACACACTGTTGTTTAGAGGGTGAGTAGACAAGATCCGTTGAGTTGCAATACTGACAGAGTACGTTGTTCGGACTCTGAAATTGGAAAGGACGACAAGGACCCACTGTTAGTTCGACATTGCTTTGAAGTCCATCTTGGTGTGCGAGGATGTTGAATACACTGCCAACCTGCATTCCAACGAAAGCGTTGAGATTCACTCTGGCGAAACCACCGATCAAACTGACTGGCATGCTCACATTCGTGAAATCTCCTGGTGTAGAGATGGCAGAGAGCCACAGCATGAGATCACCTGCCTCGGTGGTGACTTCATTATCGAAATAGTCAAACATTGTGATGGTGATTGTGATGGGTTCGTCGTTGGCAATGTCGTCGGGCATTCCAATGCCGAGTCGCGCCTTTCCACTGGCTATGTTGTTTCCATAGAAGGTTGCAGTGTTTCCCAAAAATTTGTTGGACTTGTCAACGATAATCAGTTCTTTCGAGTAGATGGCACCACCTGCCAGGTCGGCAGTGTTTGAATTGAAAGTGTTATCAGATATTTCACACTCGAAATTGGTTTGCTCAAATTGGAATACTCCACCTCTAACACCGGTGTTGATGAAGAAGAGATTGTTGGTGATTGAACAGGCAGCTGTATCGCCGGCTATATATATTGGACTCGCCTGGGCGTTGTTCATTTGGAATGTACAGTTCGCCATGATGAAACTGGCCGCCGAAACCAACGAGAAAACCGAGCCAAGTTGAGATGGTGATGGTTGTGAACCATGGACGGTAACGTTTACCAATGAAACAATGGTATTGAAACGCGCATCGATTACCGTTGCAACACTGCTGAGTATATTAACGTTTTTCAGAATGAGCACATCTCTGGGCTGCGTGATACTAAAGATATTGTAGCAATTGATTCCGCTGAGGGTTGAATTTTCCATGACAATCTGTCCTTCTTGTGTGAAAAAGATATTGCTATATTCGTTGGGTGTATTACAATCGTTGATCAAGAGGTCTTTGAAATTAAATTGTGAATTGCCAACATTGATCAGAGTGTCGAAATTCACTACCAAGTCCAGCTGTAAACCCGATACATTGCCAGTGCATTGGTTGAAGAGAATGGTGTTTCCCACTGAGGATCCACTTACTTTGGTGTTTTCTATCGTTATTGCAGAGCCTAGTCCCGTTAGCAAGCTATTTGAGATCAAATAGAAACTAGAGTTTTTCAAGCTGAACACTGAGTTCTTGCTATCGAAAATGAGATTGGTGGTGATCGACGAGAGCGAGAGTTGATTGATATCGACATCGCTGTTGACGAAATAAAAGAATCCGAGAGTATCACTCGAGAGAGAAGATGAATCGAGTGTTACATTTTGGAGTGACATGTAGGAGGTTGATTGCAAATAGATACCGTACTCGAGGAAGATACAAAGTGAGAGCTGAGTGTTGATGGCAGAGATAATGGATCCATACGATAACAAAAGTCCTGCATTCGAACTGCAAGAAATAAATTGTGTATTGAGGAATCCGAGGACGGAATCGGTGATCTCCATGATTGGTACACTGAACTGTGAGAGATAGTTACTGATTAGAGTACCAGAGAAAAGCAGTTCTGAAGATGTGGCAGTCAGAGGAACTCGAGAGTAAATCTTTGAAATCAAACTGTCGAGTATTTGCACTCGAGAATATGTGATTTTCAGTGGATTCGAACATCCATCAATGGTAAATCGTGAAAATGTAGCGTTACAGTTGGAGATGTCAATGAGATACTGGCTGTCCGAGGTCGAGAGTGAGTCCAGGTAGAGGTTGCTCGCGTTGATGTTGGATTGCGTGAAAATGAAACCATAGAAAATAGAGTTGGATCGAATGTAGATGTTATTTAAATTGATATTACAGTAGCAACAAGAAAACTGCTGGAGATTGTCGAAGTGAGTGTTGCTAATCGACATTGTTAGCAAGGTATTACAAAAGAGGTGGTCTATCAGTCGGGTAGGTCGTTGTGAATTAACGGTTCCATTGTCCATGTATATGGTCGGTGTGTTTTGGGTGGAAAAAAGAGTTGCCAGAATGACGATTTCGAAATTCGTGATGTTGTAGGTGGAATGATCCGAGTGGAATGCATATGGCGATACCGCTGAATCCACTACGATACCATAGAGAGAGACATTTGAGGAGGTGGCCTGGATAATCGTTGAAAACAGTGTTAGCTGAGTGAAACTCGAGTTTGTTACTTGGAGCTGCGAGTCTGTGCAAGTAATGATATTGATCTTGTTTCTTATGTTGATAAAGGTGCAACTGTCGATGGTTGTGCTGCTATTGTAGAGTGCAATCGGTGTCATGAGATGGTCATCGAATGTGAATGATGGCGTGTCGATGAATGAAAAGGTAGAGTCACCGATGTGGATGTTGGAGGTATCGTGAAGTTCCACCGAAGAATTTCCAAACTGTGAGTTTTCAATGGAAACCTGTTGCGCTGCGTACACCACGATAATTCCATTGTTTAGCGATGAATTGCTAATGGAAACACTGTTGAAAACCACTAGATTAGTGGTGATACCAAAGATTATGCTATTCTGAAGTGTGAGTGTCGTTGTATTTCCGACGGCATAGAATATCGAGGAGTTGACAACGGCCAATTCAAACACTCCGTGTAAAATAGTGAATTGTGTGACTTGAGAATTGTAAAATGTAATTTTCGGTGTCAGCTGTCGTTCATTTTCAGAGTCGCAATACAATAGATTCGGTTGTATCTCGAGAAATATAATTGAATAGCTGTTGCCGAGAGTGTTGGTGATTTCCGTTTGGTCCAGTTCTACGCCGCCAGTGGTGCCGGGATATCTTGTAAACACGATTTCAGTTGCATTCGGTGGGTTCAGCTGTGAATCTCCAGTGTAAAATCCGGGATCTATATAAACGTTATATGCATTGGCTTCAGTCATCACAGATACTGACTTTGTAACACTCCAATACGGATTATTGATCGTTCCATCTCCAGTGGTATCATTGCCACTCTTTACTGAAACATAAATATCAATCCAATCTAAATCTGTTTGTGTAAAATTATTATTATTTTTTTTTGAGTTGTTGAATTGTGTGTTAGTCATATTTATATGTCAAAAAAGAATAGAAATTCTCAATTGAGTTTCAAAAGTAGAAATAAATATTATAGTGTTAATATTTACCATTTAAATTGGGTGTAGGTGAATATGAATTTGTATTTGATTTCAAACTATAACTATATACAAAAGAATTACTATAAAAACATTTTATTACAATGAATACTATTAAAATAGGTTTTAAAATTCCTAGATTATATCTAATAACTGTCATATTTTAATAAATATAATTGATATTTTTTTATTTTTTGTGATCAGGTGATCTTAACTATGTAATTGCATTATAATAATAATATCTAAAATATAAATAAAACAAAACTTTCTTTTATGTACAAAATAAATAAACTATTAAATAAATATAAATCAGATTAAATTGATAAAGTGATTGATTTTGATTCACCTTAAAACAAATCATATTGTTTTTTTATTTTTTCAGGGTTCATAAAACCGCAAACCCAACTTTTAAGATTTTTCGAAAAAATATCTTACTTTCTCATTTTTATAGTTCCAATTATTATCTTTTGAATGATCAATCGAATAGTAATAAATTTATATTGATAAATAGTTTTAAAAGGTATTTAAAAAGATTCTTGCCCGGGCAAGAATATACAGCTTGCACTTTTCATTAGAAACTTTCAAATAATTTTTAGGTTTTTTTTTTTTGGCTAAAAAAAATTTCGTTTTTTTTTTTTTTTTGAAGATTTTGAAATTATATAAAACTGTTGTTGAAGAATTATTTTTCAGTTTATCAAGCGGAAAAGGTATGTTTCTACACTAAATCAACACAATAATGAACATAATTTATATGATGAAAACTAGATGACGAATCTTAAGTTGGGTGGATCTTCGTTTAGAAGTGAAGTCCCATGAAGAATTCATAAATTTGGCAAACTTTCCTGACCTTTATTATGTTCAAACTTACAAATTTAATGAAAATTTTATTTTCAATCAAATATACTAACATTCTTTATTTCTATTTTTTAGGTGCCATAGTCATTTACTGTGCTGTTGAGTTGAATCTTTTGTTTTTTAAAAAATAAATAAAAAAATATTAACTTTTAAAAATCAAAAATATTCAATTTGTATCTTTATTTTATTCTTGATTTTGATTTCACCACACTATGAATGACTATAGTGATAGAATGGATGATTGTTATGAACACATTCATAATTAATCAACGCAAAGTTAATATTCTATCCCATATGTTACATCTTTGGGTTTTGGACGGATTTTGTTTTAATAATTTCAAAGTCATAAACCAAACCACAATCAATTCATTTAAAAATTGAGAGTTGATGTTATTGGTGATTTTGAAACAAATTGTTACCCCCCAATTAATATCAATCACCCCCTGTTTTTTTGTTTTTTATTGAATAGCATTTTTTTATCAAAAGGTAAATAGTTTTTTTTTTAAAAAAAAAACATACACATTTCAAACCCTCTCTTTCACTCATCAAACACACAATTAACAATAGCAATAACAAACAAACAAACAAACATTTATAGTAATAACAATATTAAAAATACAACAACAACTACTAAATAAATTTTATTGGTTAGTTTAGCTATTTATTTGTATTTCTTTGGCTGTTAGGTGTTAGTATAGTCCAGTTTGGATTAGTTTTTTTTTAAAACTACTGGTTTCTACACAACAACAGTGAACAAGCAACATCAGGCATAATATTACATCACATACACCACAACTTTCCTTCTTTTATTCTTCATTCTAATATTGTCAATTATATATAATTTTTTCAAGTGTGTAAAAGTATACAAATCAGTTTATTTAGTTTAATACTTAATTCATTATTTTTAAAAAAATTTGACCAAATTGTCGAGACGTAGAAATAACAAACATCATCACCCGCCTATATCATAATATTTATATATATTATTTGTGTGATAGAAAACACACAACACAATAACAACACACGACACAATAACACAATAACACACCATCACTCACATCTATACGCCTATACACATACAGCTTACTCATATTTAACATTTTTAGTAAGCAGTATCAGCAATAAAACAAATAAACTAACAATAAAAAGTCTAGCAAAATAGTAAAATAAATAATCATAATAAAAAGTACTACTACTATTGGCAATAGCAGCATAGCAGCATTTGTTCATTTGAACTCTTTTAGATAACATACACTTTCCCTGATAATTATATATATTTATATTTTTATTTTTTTTTCCCATTTGCACAACTCTTAATTCTCAATTCTAAATCAATTATTCATAAAAAAAAACAAAACAACAAAAGAATTAATAGCTATATGATATGTAATAATTAATTTATTAAAAGTTATTTTAAAATAAATCGAATAGATTAGATAAAAGAAAAGATAAGATAGATATAATGTATGTAATCAAAAAGAAAAGATATATTTTTATTAAAAAAAATTTTTATTAATCTTTTAAAAAAACAATTTTTTTTTGTCATTTTATTTTGTTTGTTTTAGATAAAAAAAAAAAAGAGATATTTTTATAAAAACTGGATTTATTTAGTTTTTTTTAAATCTTAAAAGGTACAACAAAAAGTATAGAAGTAGTTTTTGTTCAAATAATATATTATCTTTTTAATATATTAGTTTGTTGGTTTATATAAAAGATGTCGGCCTTAATCTCAAATAATGAGATCGACATGCTCTACTCGAGGTCGACATCGATAAGCTTGGCTGTACATCGAAACCAATCGTATTCACAAGAGGGTATCGAGCGATTCGGCCTCTCGAATATGAGTAGTAGTAGCGAGTCTTGTTACAGTAGTTCATCCAGTTTTAATGACAGCAGTATGAATGAGAGTAGGAACACCGAAAACGAGCCGATCACCGTAGAGAAGATCAACACCAAGGATCAGACTGCCATTACCAATGTTGTGGTATCAACATCCAAAGTAATCATAAGTAGTAGCAACAACAACAACAACGACGACGACAACGACAACAACGACAACAACAACGACAATAGTGAAAACAATCATAATCATCGTGATGATGCAGATGAGATTGATAGTGGTGGCGTTGCCAACGGAATAGGACTCGGTGGCAACAGCAGTGGTGGTATAGGCGGAAAAAGAAGATCGTTTGTCAATGGAAATTGTAGCACACGGTCGGCAGACGACAATCCGACGACCACTACCACGACTACCACCACCAATGGCGTTGTCGCCAATCTCAACCAGCCGTCATTCAACGAGCTCAGTATCACCTGTGACACGCTGAGTGAGACCGACGACGAGGACTTTAAAGATATATTAATGGAGGAAGACGACGACGATTTCGAACAGGTGACCGAAGTATTTGTAGATCGTGACGACGCGATCGACGACGACGACAACAACAGCTATGTCAGATTCGAGAGTAACCACTCCTCGTTTTTAACAGCAAAGAATCAGTTCAATAACAACAACAACAACAACAACAACAATAGTGTACAAAATACCCGACAGAATCGATCTTCCTCTTCGCCAAACAATGAGTTTCTTCAGTCACTCTCACATCAACAACAGCACCAACTTCAACTACTCCACGAGCTCTATCAGCAATCTTCGCGTCGCTATAGAGAACAAGCTAGCAGTGGAAGTAACAGACATATAGACACATCATTCACTACAAATACATCAATGGCCACACCGTCAATACCGATAAATACACAACAAAACAACAATCAAACACATAATCATTCAAAAACAACAGGATCTCCATTTTTAACTGCTATTCCCTCAACTTCACACAGAAGCCCATCTTCTTTCCTGAATAGTCCTACTCACAGCCCAAGCAGGCCATTTTCTCCAGCATCATCTACAAATTCGTCCGATTATTGCAACTCACCTCGAATCAATTCACCACCTCTTGCAATTCCTCTACAGTCATCATCAGCATCAAATACAATGTCAAGATCTGAACATAGTCAACTACCACAACAACATTTACAATCGACATCACCATCATCGAACAACAACAGTAATAGCAACAACATTAATCATACAATATATTCAAATTCACCAACCACCAACAACAATACACCACTCTCAACATCGTCATCATCGAATCATCAAAGTAATATAGCCAGTCAACAGCAACAACAAAATCAACAGCAACATTACCATCATCAATATTCATCATCACCACCACCAGCCAACACACCATCGACACCATCATCTCCATCACTTGGATCGGTTAGTGGCAACGGCAGTTATTCACCGCTTTCAAAGTCGAGCTCTATCAATAACAAACCGAATATGCTTTCAACCATTCTGAAAAAGAGTAAGAAGCGTCTTACAACTACATTTGCAAATCGTGATCTCAGTGATTTCGACGAAACACCGAGCTACGTGCAAATCTATCGTGGAATGACCGGTGAGAGTTGGCGTGCTAAAGTCTACTCAACAACTACGGTTCGCGACCTCATCTCAATGCTACTAAGCACCACTACAATTGACCCTTCGACTCTTACTCTTTACATTTCGAGATCATTAACTGATTCTTCATTGGGCAGTAACAGTTCAACCAGCGCCAATACCACCCTAGATAGTAACAAACCATTTGAGCGACAACTTCATGAAGATGAAAAGATTTTAAAGGCACAAAGAAAATGGTCTGGTCCATCTGTATTTATATTAAAAACAACAAATTCAAGTAAGTCATTGCATTTGATTCGAAACAACAATTATTAACTAATCAATTATTATTATTATAGAAGGTAACAGTAGATACTCTGTTAGTTCAATCAATTCAGAGACATCAGATCAGTTACACCATCAGCATCAATATAATCATCATTTACACCAACATCAATACCAACAATCTGTAGATATATCGCCACTCTCTTCACTTTCGTCACCGCTTATCACCTCAACAATATCACCATCAATGCTCACCATATCACCGTCATCAGTTACACAATCAAGTGTCGACATTAACATACCGTATATGAGTCTGAATGATGGAATCATCTCGGACATGGACTCAACATCGACAAACAGTAGCTCGAAATCACCGTACTACTATCAGCAGTCCAAAAAGGAGAATTGGAAAATCGGTGAATATCCCAAGGAAGGTATTCGCTGGATTAGCCCAAGTGATTTGGTAATAAACACAAAGATTGGTGAGGGCTCATTCTCTAGAGTTTACAAAGGTGGATACATGGGTAAGACTGTGGCCATCAAAGTTCTAAACGACAGTACTCCCGAACAATGGGAGAATTTTAAAAAGGAGTATCGAATTCTAAGTATGACATCGCATCCTCGATTAATTAGATTATACGGAGCATCAAAGGAATCAAAAGTATGTATATTCTCTCTAACATTACATTACAAACAATTTGATCAAACTTACTAATAATCAATCATCTTCCACTCTAGTTATTAATGGTAATGGAATATTGTGGTAACGGAAGTTTAATTAAAATGATGACAAAGAAAAACTTTTATTTCAGTTGGGAGTTGGTTTTGAAATGGATTAAAGAAGCAGTCGAAGGTATCAATTTTCTACATACAATGAAACCAGCACTTGTACATAGAGATATTAAAGTAATTATCAATATTTCTTTTTGATCTTATCATCATTATTATTATTGATTAATGACCTAACATCTTTTTTTTTATTATTATGATAGCCACATAATCTACTTATCACTTCTCAATACGAATTAAAGGTAGCCGATTTAGGTTTGACAAAGGAAATAGATGTTCATACCAGCACATTGCGTGGCACACTCGACTATATGGCACCAGAGTTGTTTGATGAAGTCGCACCATCACCTTCCTCCGATGTCTACTCATTGGGTATAGTTATGTGGGAGTTGATCAATCGCTTCTTGACAGGCAAATATAAGAGACCTTTCGAAGATATACCACAGATTTCATTTAGTTACCAAATTCCAATCTTTACAAAGCAAGGCATTCGTCCGACAATGCCACCAAATATACCGCACCAGCTTGAAGATATTATACTTCGTTGTTGGCACCAAGATCCCGATAAACGACCGACTTGCCATCAATTGTTACTTGACCTTGAAGAACTATGGTTCTAACATCATCAATTTACTATATTTATAGTAAATGTTTTTATATTTATTAGAGTGGCATAATAAAAAGTTAATCCTTGCTCAAACTTTCAATCTTTCAATATTTTTTTTTATAGTTGTAACATAAATATTTATTTAAATGAGTCACTATCTTTGTCATAATTCATAACATTGTGATCCAAACTAAAAAGTTTCATGATATACAGTTTAGAAGTAACATCTGTATCATCTAATATTGTATCTTGTTGGTCGAGTGAAGTATTGTTGTCATCATATTGATCTTCGTCAGTCTGTTGGTGTGATTGATTAAAGCCATTATCGCCATCCCAACTGTCGTTGTTGTTGCCCGCCGTTCTGAAGCCAGCCAGTTTTAATGCAGCTTGCTTTCTTCTTTCAGCAGCAATCTTTGGGTCGAGCGAGGTCAGTCCATCTTCTTGTTTCTTTAAAGCAGCCAAATAAGAATCCTGTAGCTTCTGAACGGCAATCTTTGCGGCGTCCTTCCACTTTAATAGGAGCTTATCGATATTTCCATCTTTATTGCTTCCAACAGCGTGTTTCTTGCTCTCTTCAATGGGTGAAGGTTTAGATTTAGAGGTAAAGCTAGCCAATTGTTCTTTCTTTATTCTAATTGATTCCAATAACCGCCTTCTCTCTTCTTCTAACTTTGATACTTCTTCATCTACCGCTGATTCCAATGGATATATTTCACCATGACCAATTTTTTGTTTCTTATTTGTATTTACAGATGTTTCACAGACACTCTTTAGCTTCAAAGGTGTTGTTGTTGTTATTGATTTCCTCTTGCTAGATAAGTTACCCAAATGATTTGCAACCTTAAAAAAAATAAAGATAAATTAATTTCGATATTGATTGATCGGTTAATTAATATCCTTGATAGTTACCTTTATGGGAGTATCTTGCTTTGTTGCTACTTGTAGTTTCTTGGGGTTTGTGGTTGTATTTGTTGAGGTTGTAATAGTAGATTCTTCTTTCACCTGTTGTTGATGCATATTCATTAGTAGTGATGCTATCTTGAACCATTGTATTGATGAGTAAAGTGATGTTTGATTATTTATCTTTATCTCTATGATCATTCTCCTCTCTACTAATTTAACTAGAGATGGGTCGTCGCGGCTCTTTATCTTTATTTCCTTAAGTGAGAAAGGTTCGTTCTTTGAGTAGATAGTCGAGAGTATTTCCTTTTGTTTTTGAATATCTATATCACCACCGGCTTCGTCTTTATCAGAGAGTGTAGGACAATGACTGAAAATCTCATCTTTAGGAATGATACACTTTGTTGGAGAGCTTGCCAATGCTTCCGACAATGACATCTTGATTGGCGTTCTGAAACCTGATTTCGAAGGTGTAAGAGAGCCACTATCAACTGCAACATCATCATAGTTGAACTGTTTCTTCTTTAGCAAAGAGGAACTCGTAGACTTCTTAGGTGAAGTAGCAGACTTCTTAGGTGAACCTACTACTACTTTAGAAGGTGAAGAAGCTGAGGAAGTCGATGACGATATAGTTACTGTTGATGATTTCGCAGGTGAAACAAATCCATTTCTCTTTTTATTATTCATATCTATCTGTCTATCTGTCTATCTACCTATATTTACTTGAAAATAAAATAAAATAAAATAAAATAAAATGAACATTTTTAATTTAATGTAATAACATACATTTGTTCAAATTAATAATTCTAAGAAAATATGTTTTTTTTAATTTCTTTTTTTTTTTTTTAGTTTTTAAAGCATATTGTTAAACAGATTATATTATTCTTTGTTTATTTATTTTATTGAATAATTATTCAGTTAGTTAGGCTGTTATGGTGATATTTTTACTGGGTCTTTGATAGTAACGGTAATTGCGGTGAGACCAATGAACGGGTATGATGTTTGTTTGACCCACACTTTTCCTCCATAGGTTACTCTATCCTGCGGATTGGTAGCATTGATCTCAGATAGACGTGCATTTTCAACACCTTTTGCGAAGATAGGAGGATCCGAAAAGTTGTTGATATTTTTGAAGATGTATTCTCTGCTATTGCTGGTCACTGTTATACAGACATCTCCCTTGACGATTGCATTTAGAGCAAGTTGAGAGCTTGATCTAGGAACATTGACACTGACAATCATGACTTCTGAATTTGGTTTGACATCTCCCTTATAACAACCACGTGAATATTGGATTGCAGAGCATACTCCAATCATAACACAAAATATGATTAATAATTTCATTTCTATAGGAAACTATATAGATTCACTTGTGAATTGTTTAAAAAATAATAATAAAAAAGAGAAATATATATTTATTATAAACCCTGTTTTCTCATCATATTAATCATATAAATTCGGTTTATACACACATTGTATTTGTTTGTTATAATGCATTAATGTTAAATCAATACACCACCAATGAAAGTATAATGAATGTATTAATATTAATTGTTCATTGCGGTTGTTTTAGGGTTATTGGTTTGATTACAATAAAATTTAAAATAAATAATAATGCAAAATATGGTTGTTGTGTGTGAGAGGATGAGCACAATGAAAAGATACTTTTTGTTGTGAAATTTTGAAAAATAAATAAAAGAAGTGTCAGATATTACTCGGTAAAATAAATAATACTCATCATGTTTCTACAACAACTTCACTGCTGAAGCTATTTGTAGAAAAAAAAAAAAAAGAATTGATCTTTGAGTTGCAACGAGCAACAACGAAAAAAGATATTTCATGAAATCTTTGCATTTGAAGAAAGATTTGCATCATAGTACCCAGAATTAACATCAATACCACCAAATATTTTAATCTAAAAAAAAATAAAAACTGGGCAAACAACTCTGAGTGATACAAAATTGATAACTGTTGGGTTTTTTTTTGACCTGGAATCAAAATTTGCATGATTTTCATATCTGGTGTTTACTAAAAAAAAATAAATAGAGTCTCTTAAGGGAGACTCTGGTTGTTGAACCTGTCAAGTCATGTATTGTGATTTAAACTGACACAAACTTTGATTAAAGATCCAGACAATAATAATTAACTGGAGTTTCTTATTAATATTATTAAAATTGATTTTCTTTTCTTTTTTTTTTTATCTTTGCAAGAAAATGTACCGTAGAGAACCTAGTCTTATCAAAATCGTATTTTATTTATTTAATAGGTTCACTATTTATTATATTCTTTTTTTTATTTATACTTATATATACATTTTTTTTTATAAATGAAAATAAATAATTTTGTTTTTTTATTTTTGGTATTTTTATTTATTTCCAATTTAAATTCAAGTTTAGTGCCACTTGGTGTTAGACTAGCTTTGACCGGAGTAGAAAATGAGATGAGAATCTCATGGTATACATCTAGTCAAGGTGATGCCCCAAGTGTACAATATTCTACTACCCCATTCAATCCTTCCGATATGGATGCCCAAGCAATGGAAGTTGCTTCCAACAATCAATACACAGAGATTGCCTGGAAAGGTTTTTCAGTCTCTGCTGTTCTCACTCAACTTACTCCTTTAACAACATACTACTATTCAGTAGGTGACAAGTCGGTCGGCATTTGGAGTCCTCTATATAACTTCACTACACATTTGGAAGATGACGGAACTTTCACTCCTTTCACCTTTGTTTCCTATGGAGATATGGGTCTTGGTGGTGGATTTAACTTTACCATTGCCAACATTGTAAATAGAATCGATGAATTGTCATTCGCTCTTCATATTGGTGATATTGTAAATATTTTTATAATTTATTTTATATATGAATATTCTATTAATTCTATATCAATTTGTTTTTTTAGGCCTATGCTGATATTCGAGATGCTGGAGAATTACTGTAAATATCTTATGAATTTAATAATTAATTTTAATACTAATAATATATTTTAGTTTTGGAAATCAAACTGTTTGGAATGAATTCTTGGCTGAGTTGACACCAATCTCAACAAAGATCCCTTATATGACTGCAATCGGAAACCATGATCTTTTCAGTATTGCCAGTGGTGTCTATAGAAAGACTTTTTTGATGCCAGGGTCCAATGACGGTAAGACTTGGTATTCTTTCGACTATAATGGTGTCCACTTTGTTGCTGTGTCGACAGAACATGATTACATTCCAACTTCAAGTCAATACCGTTGGTTAGAGAATGAACTAAAGAATTTCCGTGAAAACAATCCAACAGGTTGGCTCATCGTATATGCCCATCGTCCAGTTTACTGCAGTGCTCATTATCCATGGTGTGATGGTCGTGATCCGTTCAAGGGTAAGAAACTAATAATCATGATATAAATTAAAAACAAAAAATATATACTAATCTCTTATTTCAATAGTTGTTTATGTTGATAGTATCGAACATTTATATCAAAAGTATAATGTTGATGTATATTTAAGTGGACATTCACATGTTTATGAGAGATCGTTACCTGTATATAAAAATCAAGTTCTCGGTGACTACAGTTCACCAAAGGCACCAATTCATTTAGTAGTAGGTACCGGTGGAAATCAAGAAGGCATCTTACATTCATGGCAACCACAACCCAACTGGTCATCCGGAACCAGACTATTAACAACTGGTTACGGTCTTATGAGTTTCGTAAATGAAACCACTCTACATTGGCAATTCGTAAAAGATACAACCAACCAAGTATTAGATGAACTATATATAACCAAAGGTTATTTCAATTAAATTATTAACAAAAATAAAAAGTTTTATACATATTTAATCACTTTCTAAAAATAATAATTTAATTTAATTTAAATAAGGTCATTAGACTTAATTCAAAGTGTGGTTATCCTTTTTTTTTTTCAGTTAAATCTGTTAATTAATTATTTTTTTCCAAAAATGGAAATTTAAAAACATTACAAGTTCAATAACTATGTATAAAAAAGAAATTAATTCAGGTTTAAATATAAATGATATCAATGAATTTATTATAATAATTGTTAACAATTGAATAATTAAAAATGTCAAAAATAATTAATAACAAGCAAATTTCAAATGAATGGAATGGTGGAGTCTCCAGTGGATCGGAGATGGAGGGATTCAGTTCACTCATGCAAAATAGAGGATTTATAAAGATGTTTGCTCAAGATTGTATTGATAAAGCCATGCCAAGCAATGTAGAGTTAAAGTCAAATTTAAAGGTGTTGGATGTTACCTCGGGAAGTGACGTGTTGGCTCTACTCGTGGCGAACAGATTAAAGTCAAACGGTGGTTCTGTAATTGCCATCGATAGTTCACCGAGAAACACCGATATTCTCAACGATTACTTCAAGTCCAACAAAGCTTCTCTCGACCTTCCGCTGAAATCGATGTTGATGGACGACACTCGCAAACTGCTGGAGTTTAACGATGCCGAATTCGACTATATATTCTCGTTGTTTGGCTTGACATTCGTCAGAGTCGCCGAGCAGACCAAGTCATTCCAACAGGTCTACAGAATGCTCAAACAAGGAGGCTTGGCAACCTTTACAATGCTGGAGGAGTCGCCTTTCCTCGATCTGCTCATCGAAACCTATGTTGCTACATTCTCCGCGTTGGGACAGGCTATCAAAGCTACACCTCATTCAATGCAGCAACTGACCGACATATCGTTACTCGAGAAGACACTGAGAGCATCGGGATTCCTAAACATTGCCGTGACACATGTATCTCATACAATCGAGTCTGAAAACATCGATAGCTTCCTACAAAACAACAGAATCAACCCAATAGTCAATTACTTTAAGAATCAACTAGACTCTACTGAGTTGCTAAATAAGTTTGACACCGTATTTAGACAACTGCTAGTTGATAAATATTGTTTAGTCGACAAAAATACCATTTCATCTTTGGAGATTAAGTCATATCTAATAGAATCAAGAAGAATTTATTAAAGAAAAAAAATAAAAGTTATATAACTTAATACCTATTAAGTAATTAGATAGTTAGTTTTGTTTTGAATTATTAAACATTAATTCGGCTCGTTATATATAACGAAACTATTTAAATCGATTCATATGTATGTGTATAAATGAAATGGAACGAATGGAATTTCATTCGATTACATAACCACCAAATTTTTTGGGTGAGTGGCAAAAACCGGAGTGAAAAATTATCAGAACTTCAAAAGTGTGATTTGATTTAATTTTTAAAATAATTAATTAATTATAATGTGTTTTATCAAAATACATATATTATATATAAATATAGTGTTGGTTATGTAGTAGCTATTCATTTCAATTCAATTCAGTTAGATTAATATTTATTAGTAGATAAGTAATTTAAGAAAAGATAATGTCAACACCGGTATACGAACAAACACCAGGCGCTTGGGACTCTGCAAGCACTGCATATGGTAATATGATGAGAAAGACCAGCTTCACTAGAATGTATGCTTTAGATTGTCTTGATAAGACTATACCTGTTGGTTCTGTCAAGTCTGATCTCCTCATTCTGGATGTCGCCGCAGGAACAGGAGCACTCTCTATCCCTGCTGCTGAGCGTGTAAAGAATCACAATGGTCGTGTCATTGCCACTGATTTTGCACCAGAGATGATCAATTTTCTCAACCAGGAGGTCAAAGCCAACGCAACACCGATCCCAATCGAGACTAAAGTAATGGATGGTCAGAATCTCGAATTTCCAGACAACACATTCGATTTTACCTACTCTGTGTTTGGCTTGATCTTCTTCCCAGACCAACTAAGAGGATTCCGTGAGATGCTCAGAGTTTTGAAGCCTGGTGGCAAGGCAACGATCACCTCGTGGTCAGAGAACTCACCGATGGGTATCATCGTAAGGGAAACTATCGCCAAACTCTACAAAGACCGCCCAGATTTAACACCACCAACACCTCCACAAACCGTTATCTCGCTCTCTGACCCAGTAAGATTCGAATCGTACTTTAAGGAATGCGGATTCAAAAACGTTACCATCACCCCAGTCAATCATACGATGACCTCTACCATTCCAGAGAACATTACTTTTTCACTTGGAAATCCAATCATTGAAAATATCAGAATGAGACTCCCAGACGATCTAAGAGAGAAATTCAACACCGTATACGCAGAGGTTTTGGCTGAAAAGTACCCCTCAGGTGAAGTTGTAATTGACGCAACTGCTTTTGTAGGTGTGGGTGAAAAATAAGCATTTTGCGTCAAAAAAAAATAAACTGTTCACCGAAGCGCATGATTGGTCGGCGATTTTGAAAAATGCGCTCCTCTATTAGCCACCATAAAACGCAAAATAAAAAAAATCATAGTTTATTTCACAGATTCCATAACCCAATAAAATGTTTGCAAATAAATATTGTTTTAAAATTAATTTAATTAATAAAGTGATAAAATTTGATTAATCTGAATCATCAAAAAACATATCTCATCTCCTCAGTATTATATTATTTTCCCAATACAAAAGAAATTTAAATATATTTATTATAGTTACTACTTAATAATATATTAATAAAAAATAAACTATGACTATTAATTCTAGTAGTAATGCTGTTGGATTCGATCAGACCTCGAAAGGATGGGGATTGGCTGCAGAGACCTATGGTGAAATTATGAAACAAACCAATTTCACAAGAATGTTTGCAATTGATTGCCTTGATCTTACTATTCCTGTTGATGCTGTCAAGTCTGATCTCCTCATCTTGGATATTGCATCTGGATCTGGTGCCCTCTCGATTCCTGCTGCTGAACGTGTCCAAAAGCATAATGGTCGTGTCATTGCCACTGATTTCGCACCAGAGATGATCGATTTTCAAAACAGAGAAATTGAATCACTGCCATCTGCTATCCCAATCGAAACCAAAATCATGGATGGTCAGAATCTCGAATTTCCAGATCAAACATTTGACTTTTGCTACTCTGTGTTTGGATTGATCTTCTTTCCTAATCAGAAAAAGGGTTTCACTGAAATCCTTAGAGTTTTGAAGCCAGGTGGAAAAGTAGGTATCGCCTCATGGTCAGAAACAACATTTTTGTCGAGACTGATAGTCGCTACCATGAAGAAAATCTATGGTGACATTGGAATGGAACCACCTTCGAAGCCCTACGCAATGGTATCGTTGGCCGATCCAGTCTCTTTTGAAAATTGTCTCAGAGATTGCGGCTTTAAGAATATCGAAATCACAACTACAGTCCACACCCTAAGAACTAACGACGTACCAGAGTTTGCCAGATTCTACAAAAATAATCCGGTGATCGAAGCTCTGAAATTACAACTTCCAGAGGAATTAAGATTGAAATTCGAGCCAACCTACCAAGAGATTATCAACGAATCATTTAAATCCGGTGTTGTTGAAATTGAAGGTATTGCACATATTGCAGTTGCCCAAAAATAAACAATAAATAATAAATAATAGATAATTAAAATATACAAATCTAAGATAACTAGACTAAATACATATTTAATAGTGTAGTTTTATGGCTACAACAATCGATTTTTATAAATATTTATAACTATAACTTTTTATATAATTAATCTTGATTTAATATTCATTCATTTAAATTTTCAAATAATGAACGATTAAAGATGACTGAAAATGATGTAATCAAAAATATATAAAGGTTTTTAGTCATGATCGAAGTCAAAGATCAGATTTATTTTATTTTATTATTTCTTTTTTTTTTTTTTTTTTTCTAATGACAAGATATAGAATAGTATGTGAGTATATTGGTTCAGCTTTTTCGGGATGGCAACGAATTTCATATGATAATATAAAGAAGAAACCTGTACAACAAGTATTGGAAGAGTCACTCGAAGTATTCATTAGAAAGAAGGTTAGGTTAGTAGGATCGAGTAGAACAGATACAGGTGTCAACGCTTTGCATCAAGTTGCTCATTTCGATGTTGATACACGTATATCTAAAACAGGTGAAGAGGTATGTAGATTATAATTCAATCATCTTTAGTTCTTCATCATTAATTGACAAATGATCTTTAGATCGATATGATGCCACCTGAAGTAATAACAATGGCACTGAATCAGAATGTACAAGGTTATCCAGTGCGTGTTATATCTACAGAGATTGTCGATGATAGTTTTCATAGTAGATTCTCGGCGAAATCGAGAACCTATCTTTATAGAATGCTTGGCGGAATGCATAGGAATCAAGCACCGTTTGAGCTGAAAGACAGAGTGTGGGCAGTCACTAATCAATTGGACGTACCAAAGATGCAAGAAGCTGCCACTCTCTTGTGTGGACGTCACAATTTCAATAGTTTTAGAAGCTCAAAGTGTCAGGCTGACAATCCGGTAAGAACGATCTCTAGCTTCCAGGTGTTCGATCTACCGAACCCTGACATCTGGCAATACAATAGTGCACCTCTCGGTGTGAATCCGCAGTTGATCGGAATCGAGGTGAAAGCACGTGCTTTCCTCCACAATCAGGTGAGAATCATGGTGTCGACACTGGAGCGAGTTGGCTCACATCAAATGTCGTTGGATCAACTGCAAGAATTGATCGATGCCAAAGACCGACAGAAAGCACCACCTACCGCACCACCATATCCACTTACACTCACAAAGGTCAGCTATGAAGATAACATAACCAATCCACTACCATCACCTTGGTTAAAATATTTAGCTAAATAAATAAACAAACAATATATATATTGTATATAAAAATATTTTAAAACACACAGAAAAGGAAAGAAATAAACTATTTTTATTTCTTCAATATCATACTCTGAATCTGAAGAATATATAAAAGTATTTACAGAATAAATTGGATTGTTGGGATTCAAACGATTGTTGAGATTCTTTTGGTTGAATAGACGATGCTCCTCACGAGACATGGGCATTGTGTATTCGATACAATTCGATTTTCTCTTGAAAATGAAAATAAATATGCCAAATGCGATGACTCCGACCAAACCAACCGAGCTCACTGTCACTGTTATATACATGTAGCTCACCTTGTAGGATGCCAGCTTTGACCAACTTACTTCGCTGGGATTGTCGATGTTGTAATAGCATATATGGTCACTGTTCTCCGCGTAAAACGAAACATAGGTACGAACCAGATTCAAGTTGTTGGAGAAGAGACAGGTTATGTTGGCCTGATATTCAGTGGTGTCGCCATTCGATCCCACGAAATTAACACTCCAGCCCGGTTGATAGCAGTTTGTCAGCTGGCCACCATTTCCACTGCCACCACCACCACTCTTTATCACATTGTTTTTCATAAAAGATGGTTTATTATTTAGAGTACCACCAAACTCATCTTCACCACCACACAGACCGTTTTGTTCGGACAACCAAAAAGTCCACCATATATTGTTGTCCAATTTGTCACAGTCCCCATTCTCTAGTTGTGTAGTGATATTACTCGATTTAATTTCACAAGTTGTTTCCATGAATTTCTTTGAATCTCTAATCTATTTTATTTCATTTTTGTAGATACAACAATGACTTGTCAGTACATTTGATATCCTCCTCAAACTAAAATTTAAACTTACAGTCGGATATAATTTCAATCCACCATAGAGTATACCACATGATAATACAATAAAAGAAATAATAAAAAATACTATACAAATAATAAGTTTGCTTTTATAATTCATCGTTGAATATTTTTTCTGTATATATTATTACAAAGATACTAAAATCTACAATCTATCATTATAAATAAAGTATACTATGATTTATTATTTTCTATGTTAACTTATTTATTCTACACATTACAAAGTTTATATCTTCTAAACGTATAAAATAGAACAACAATAACAAGTCAGTTGTTATAATAAAAAAAAAAACAATCAAAATAAAATAATAATCAGTTTTTAAAAAAAAAAAAGGGTATTGATTGGATTAAGTTAAGCGATGATTCCTGTTAATAAAAGATTTAATTTAATTTTGAAGATTTTAAAAATTCGGAAACCCAAAACAAAAAAAAAACTGATTCAGAATAAAAAAATCTCAAGATTGGGGTTGGAACTCCAAAAAAAACCACCTTAATTCATCAAAATATTGATAGATTGGGTAGAATGAGATTCTATGATTTCCGATAAATCTTAGCGCTATTTTGTAAATTTCAACTATTGTTATTTACACATTGTCTGTATTTATTATAACTTAAAGTCGATCAGTAGTTGATAATCACTGTTAATTAGTTTTCGATGATTCTTCCTCTTGAAATTGGTTGAGGATTGAACGTCTCTGAATGTTACATGTATTTCTTTATTCTGGTCGTCGACTTCATAGTTCTATTATAAAAACAAAACAAATTAGTAACTAATTCTTTTACAATTCTTTAGTTTTAAGTTTAATAATTACCATAAAACCAGTTTCTTTTTCGAAAAGATCCTTGACCTCATCTAATGATGGATAGTTCTTTATTATCACCTCACTACTCTTGTCTTTTTCATTAAGCTCTATTGGTTTGTTGATAATTTGTTGCTGCTTTTGTTGTGATTGTTGTTGTGGTTGTGATTGCTGTTGCTGTTGTTGTTGTTGTTGTTGTTGCTGCTGCTGCTGCTGCTGCGGGTATTGTTTCTGTTTGTACTGTTGTTGTTGTTGTAGATTCTTGTTCTTGTTAATATAGGTTAATTGTTGATGTTGTTGTTGCTGCTGATGATAATGAAGTTGTGTTTGTTGTAAAGTTATATTTCTTTGTTGGTGGAAATGTTGTTGTTGCTGATGCTGTTGATGTTGATGTTGAATATGTAGAGATTGAGGTATGACAATTTGACTATTTACAATTTTTGGTTGTTGGAATTGATAACGATTTGGCATTTGGAATTGTGAATGATGCATGCCTGGTGGTACACCTGTGGAGGCGTATTGCTTCATCAAGGCGGCGCCATACGACGAAGCCATCATCTGTTGTTGTTGCTGTTGATGTTGCTGATATCCTGGGTGCATTTGCATCCTCTGATCATTCATCATCGTAGCTTTTTGAGGGCTACTCCTATATGTATTTGGTGAAATCATTTCTATAATAAAAATTAAATACAAACAAACAAATTATTAATCATTAAACTTTACGTTAACTCTTTAAATTGTAACATACTTTGTGGTAATACATTATTATTATGATTATTATTTTTAATAAACTGCTTATCCTAAAAATGAATTAAAAGTCAATATATATAAACAATGTTATTTATCTATCCAATTATATTAGTAACACTTACGTTTTTGATAAAATTACTGTTGGTTGATATGTTTGGTTTGATGGTAGTGTTGGTGTTGCTTCCGCTGGGTGTGACTGTCATGGTGGCACCAGTGGCTAGCTTTATAATGTATGGCTTTGATGGCTGTTGTTGTTGTTGTGGAGGTGTGCCAATGCTGTGATGATGTGAAGCATTGTTATTGAAAGTCTGTCTGTTCATAATTGGCGAACTACCTGTTACTCCTGCGCCACCACCAACATTGTATCTACTCTTAGTCTCATACGTAGATTTGAAATTCTTTTTGTTTGGTTGCATTGATTGTTGAGGTTGTTGTTTTTGCTGTTGTTGTTGTGATTGTGATTGTTTTTGTTGTTGTTGTTGACGTTGTAGTTCCTCAGCAGTTTGTAGACTTCCTTCTTCATCTTCATCTCTATGTGACCTTTTCTTTTCATTGACTTGCTTGGAGGATGACGATGGCGATGGTGAAGACGACGATGCAGCTGAAACGACGGTTGATGACGATGAGCCTGACTCTCTCTTTGGTGACGCTGAATGGCGACTCTCATCAGCTTCATCTTGATAATCATTGTTATTGGTTTGCTCATCCAAATAGTCATCCAGACGGTCGTAGTCATCAGCATCATTACTGGCCATAGTCTGATGTGAGGTGCCTCTGCGCGAATCTGAATATTCATCGAGTTCGTCATCGGATGCATTATAATCAGCCAAATCATCTAGATTATCGTATGAAGTCGATCTATACCCAATATCATCGGATGTTGTAGATGTCATTGTTGTTGTTGTTGCTGCTGTATATCGAAAATTATATTGTTTTTTTTTTTTTTTTTTTTTTAGGAAGAAGTGTTTTAAGAAGCAGAAGAAGAATAAGATTATGAAGAAGAAAGAAGATTGTTGATTATTATTATTATTAGTTGATTGATTGATTGATTGATTGATTTGATTGATATGACAGTGAGCTAAAGGAGATGGATGGAACTAACTAACTAACTAAACTAAACTAAAGAACAGTCGAACGAATGAACTAACGAACTAGTGAAATCTTATGAACTAACTAACTAACGATTATGATTATTATATAATAAGGATAAGAGGGAATATTACAAAACAAAAACAAAGAGAGAACTAACTACTGTTATTTTGATTTTATTATAATGAGAGTAATTATATAATTAATAAATAGAACTTTTTTAAATTGTTTTGATTTTCTAAAATAAAATAATAAAAAAATAGCAAGTTTATAAAAAACTAAACTTTACTAAAAAATGATAAATAAAAAGTCCAATACACTGTTGTTGGATAGAGTAGTAGCAGCAGTGAAAAAAGTTAAACTAATATATCCTCAAATATATATAATTATCATATATTATTATTAAAACTTATTTTGTAATCGCATTTCTCTCCAACTCACTCTTTTGTCTAAATAAAACATCTACATTCTTTTTCATCGTTTTTAATTATAATCGATATCTTGTTATGTGTCTATGTTTCTTATCTATCTTTTAATGTTGGAATACATCGACTTCTGTTTAGTTGGTGACATTCATTTTATATTGACTGTAATAAAACTAAAATAAATAAAATTTGATATAATATATAATATAATTACATGGTAGAATAATAAACAAAGAAAGGGAGGAAGGAAGGAAGGAAGGAAGGAAGGGTAGAAGAAGGAAGAGAAGGAGGAAACAAGAGTAATAATGAATAAATTTAACAATGGATCAGAGAATTCGAAACTAAAAACTATACATTAAACTGATATATAATAATAAACTTAAAACTAATATATTAAACTGAATTATATTATAATAGATAACAATAATTTGATTTTAAATTGATTGATTGATTGATTGTTTCGAAAATATATAAATATAAAAGAGAAGAGGAAGAAGATTATAATAATCAAAAAATATATATAATAGTGAATGTAATGTATACCTCGATGATGATGATGATTTATAAATATATATAAATATATAATTATTATATTGTTTATATAAAAAAGGTAATTGAAATTATAACTCTTACTTTTTTTTGTTTTTAATTTTTTAGTATGGAAAGTTGTTTGATTATTAAAAGTGTTTTTGTTGTTTTTTTTTTGACAGGTGACTTTTGGTTGATTCTGTTGTCGAATTATTCAGATAGAACGATGGTTTGGACCAAATGTTTAATGTTTATATATGAGTGTGAACAATATCGTTTGTTACAATTATACGAATTATCGTCTTATCGTTGTAGATCTACAAAATAAAACAACTAACAAAACAATAATAAATATAATAAAAATAATAAATAAGAATAATAACTAAAAGTTTAAAATAGAGTTGAGTTTAATTTAAATAAAAAAGGAAATAAATAAAATATAAACAATGTTTGAAAATATTAATATACTTTTTTTTTTTTTTTTTTTTCTTTTGCCAATTATAATAATACTAAATTAAAATAATTTTTTTTTTTTTTTGAAAATATTTTATTTGATTTGAATTCATTTGGGTTGATTAGTTTTTGCACGACAATGAAACTTGAGTAACGTTGAAACTATTCAAATTTTTCGCTCTCGAAAAACATAGTATCGATATTTGTTATAAAAAAAAAAAAATCTGATAACTATTAATTAATATTTTGCTAGTGATGTGTTGAGATTGCAATCACAAAGGATAATGATCTTTATTTTTGTTAGTTGGTGGTTTAGCAAACCGCTTAATTAATTATTTTCAAGTTCTAGTTGGTTGTCAATTAATTAATTAAGTGGGTGCCTCCTCCTTTTATAGTTGGTGAAAATCCGAGTGGTTTTTTTTTTTTTTTTTTAAAATACCATTCTGTAAAGGCGATTTTTTCAATCATCAAATCTTTGAATGTAGTTGGTGTTCCCCACAAATACAACGAATCTATAATGATCGATCGAATCCTCAATCAAATAGAGCCGAGCTTGCCTGTCACAAACCACCAAAATCTAAATGATTGATTTGTTTGATTTGAATATAAAGAATGGCTTACCCCAAGAGTTGAGCTCAAACTCAAGTTTAACCTTTCAGCATCGATTTATTTTTAATCAATTTTATTAATTGTTCCCTTGCATACATATAAATTTATATATCTATATACAGATAAATAAATAAAAAATGGCTACACCAGCATTACCTACAGATAGAAGTGATTGGATTAAACAACAACAAGATATGATTACAAATGTCTTGAAGACATCGGCATTGCCAACGGTCTCCCAATCCACTGACTTTAATGAGCTAATTAAGGCAACTGTTGTTGGATCTACCGCCATGATTCCAATTGTGGGTGGTGGAGTTTCCACTATTATCGATGCTATCTGGTCGCATATCCTTTCTAATCAGACTTCCAACACCAATGCGCTCACTGCAATGTATATGGTAAATATCAATTCCCTTACTTACTTAAGATTTAAATCTAATTGCTTTTTAATGATAAATGAAATTCTGATTTTTTAGAATATGGTGAAAGAAGTTGTTGACCAACAAATCAGTGTTTATGATAACGCCGATTTAATAGCAGAGTATGCCGGTATTGATAGTTATATCAATAACTTTAAGACTAAATTGGCAAACTACACTGCCAAGCCAACTAATGTAACTTTAAAGAATGAGATGCGTACAGCCTTCACTACTGCCGAGCAAAGACTAAAGGCTGCCTTGGTACCAAAAGGTATATTCAGAAAGGTCGGATATGAGGTGACAGAACTCATGATGTTTACCATTGCCGCCACCACTCATTTGCTCTTACTTCGTCAAGTCATTGCCAATGGTAAGACATGGGGATACCCAGCCGTTGACCTAACTGGCTTCAAGAACGATTTCAAAGCACACATCGTTGAATATACTCAACATTGTAAGGTCACATACGCCAATGGTTGGTCAAAGATCGCAGCCGATTCAACCAAGGTCGGTGGTGGAGATACCTTCAATCACATCCTGAGATATCGTTCCACCATGATTTCATCGGTTTTCGACTATGTTTCCATGTGGTACACCTTTGACCAAGACGTTTTCCCACTCGGTGCAATTGGTGAGCGTGTCCGATACCTTTGGTCTGATGTCCTCGGTTGGACAATCGACATCAACCAACCAGTCCCAGGTATTCTTATCGAAGACAACTTGTACTACAATCCACCATCCTCGCAATTCTACAATTACTGGGATTCAGTGATGCAACACGAGAAATTCAGAGGGCAGCTCCATCATGTAGATATCAAGGGTAATCCATTCCTCTACACAATGACACCCTACTACTATGACCAAACTCAGACCTCGGGATACCGTCAGGGTTTTGCCGTAGGTGACAATCCAAACATTGGAACACTCACAACCATGACATTCCCTCCAACCGGCGCTACCCAAACACTCTCAATGAGTTCCGATGTCATTGTTAGAAAGATCCAAGTTACTGGAGTTACCAACTCGATCAACTATGTAAGTCCAGCTCCAGGTCGTAACGACCATAACAACCCAATCGCCTACTACTACGATGATTGTAAATTCCCGTACAATCAAAAGACCTACACATATCCAGGACACAAGGTTGGCGACATGTTTGCTTTGGGTCTGAACAAGGACACATGGTTACAAGACTACACTCCGTCCGGAACCAATATTGTAGGTAGAACCTATGGACTTATTGACTCTGTATGTGTTGGCTTCATACCATCAGAAGTATTCCCAGAGAATGTCTTGGTCGCTAAAAGCGAAACAATTGTGGATCCACAAAAAGCGTTCTACATGGACGCAGGTGTTCTTTTCAAGAAGGATTTCACCATGGTTGGTCAACATGCCTTTGAAATGTCGGACAAGGAAACTATCAAACTCCAAGTGCAACTACAAGATCCAAAGCAATATACCTATACAATCAGACTCAGAGTATCATGTCAAGATAAAGTCCCTGGTAAGATCTCTATTCTTAATGCCAACCAAGTTCTCCTCTCCACCTTTAATTACGTTGCCAACTCTGCCAATCAATTGATTGCCAGTGCAGCAGAGCCAGACTACATCTTTACCTTTGCCACAGACAAACCAACAAAGATCTGGCTTAAGGCATTAGGTGGTACTGTTGTACTTCAATCTATCATTTTCAAACCAGTACCTGCACCCAAACCAGCTGCTTAATTCGTAAAGTTAATCTAATTTTCAATAAATGACAGTTTAGAGAGTTTTACTATTCCACCTTTTGATCAAAAGAGAATAAAATACAAATAACCAGTGAAAACACTTTATATTAATTGTAGTTTGATCAAAGTTATTTATTTTACTTAGATTTGTTAAGACAATTTCATTTTGAAAAAAAAAAAAAAGTTTTGAATAGGATTCGAAGGTAACGTTGAATGATTTGTGATCAATGAAAAAATGAAAAACAAAAAATTTTATTCTATGAGAATAGTGCGACTCACAAATAATATCAAAAAAAAAAATTAAAAAAAAAAAAACTTTACATTATTAAATTGATCATAGTTAGGTTTAGTTTGTTTTACATTATTAAATTAGAAAAAAAAAGAAAAAAAATGTTCAAGAACTTTGTATATTTATTAGGTGATGGAATCAGATCGACTGGTAAAGCTTTGGATAAGCTTGGTTGCAACATGCAAGGAAACTATGCATACGTCGAAAAATGTAATGTTTCATTCAACTCATTATTAAATAAATAACGACGACGACGACGACGAAACAAAACAACAACAGAACAACCAATAACAGTAACAACAACAACAACAACAAGAGAATCAACAATAGAATCAACAGATAACAACACAGCCATACTCATCTACATAGATCAAGATGATCATGAAGAATGACCGTTTTTTTTTCTTGATCAATCAGCTGATCTTTTAACAATGAACTTCAAATCAAGACGATTCATACAAAGATCATTATCAAAATTAAACGATTATGTTATGTTATTTTGTTGTTGTTGTTGTTCAATATAAAAGATATTCATTCATATGATAGGAATCATAATCATAATAATAATAAAAAAGAAAAGTGTAGTGAAAAACAAAAAGAATAATTTAGATTAACATTTAAAAAATAACTTTTATTATTATTATTATTATTATTTTAGTGAATAGACATAGCAGAATCATGCCATTGAGAGGTAAGATCGCAACATTGGGTAGAAACTCATTCGTTGCACCAAATTCAAGTGTCATTGGAGATGTTCAAATTGGAAATCAATCGTCAGTCTGGTACAACACAGTGTTGCGTGGTGATGTAAACTCGATCGTTATCGGTGACGAGTCTGTCATCAGTGACCGTTCCGTTGTACACTGCAGCAGTGGTAACGGACCAAAGGGTGCTCAACCAACCGTCGTTGGTAATCGTGTATACGTTGGACCAGGTTCGATTATTCACGCCTGCAAGATCGAGGACGATGTTCACATCGGTGCCGGATCGATCGTCTACGACGGTGCCGTCGTCGAGGCCGGTGCCCAATTGGAGGCCGGCTCACTGGTCACCGCTGGAAAGCGTGTGCCAGCCGGACAGCTCTGGGCCGGTAGTCCAGCCAAGTTTGTACGTGAGGTCAGCGCCGCCGACAAAGAGATGCATCAATTGACCATCAGCGACAACAACACACTCTCTGCCGAACACGAAGTACAAACTTCAAAATCCGCCAAACAACAACACATCGATCAACTAGAGAATTTCGCACACCGTCGTGAACGTCCAGAGAACATTCTTAACCCAGCAACCGCTCACAACTAAATACCAACTACCACCTATTATACAATACAATAATACACTTACATAACATCATCACCACCATCTAATCAATCATAACTTATATGCATAAATAATATATTTGAAATTCGAATTATTCAAAAAGTACTACATCTCACCAAAATTTTCACAATCGCCACCAATCAAATCAATCATATCTAAATCTAATCTTTTTAAAAAGAAGTAATATAGTAATAATAATAATAGTTAGTTAATTAATACGAACAACTCAAATAACGTATTTATTATTAATTTAAAAAAAAAAAGCTTGAAATTATAATAATAAATTAAAAAAAAATTGAAAAAAAAAAAATAGTATTATTAATGTTTATTATCATTTTTTGCTTAGATATAAAAAGAAATTCTATTTGTCAGATCAGAAGTTCAGTTGATCATCAACAAACAATTTCGATATTTTTTTTTTTTTGTTCACTGCAACACACACAAATGATTTTGATGTGAGAAAAAAAAAAAAATTAAATAAAATAATTTAAAAAAAAAAAACACTTCATATATTCTACAGCCCCTCTTTTTTTAATATACTCTCTCTTATTTGACTTCTTCATTTACGAAAAAAACAACAACAACAGTAACAGAGTCAGTTGTTCAAGATTAGATAGATTAGATAGTAGAATTGTTGTTAGAGGATCACACATCAATTTGTAAAATAAAAATAAAATATTATAGTTTATCAAGATGTTGTCACAGATTGTAAATTCATCAGTTTTGAGAGGTGCCTCTGGATTCGTTCGTCCATTTGCATCTGCAACTGTTGTTAAATACTCTAGCTTCGGTCGTCCAGAGGAGGTTTTGAAGTAAGATCATAATAAACTGTTGTGTGAAGAAAACAACATATGTGTTGACACAAACCAAAATAGGAATGTTTGATATGACAATGCATGACATGACATCACCATCAAAAGATAAGACAATACACAATACACAGCAACAATATAATACATAGACAAATTCATGATTAATAAAAATCATCATCATCATCATCAGAAGAAGAAGATGAGACAGCAAATAACAAAATCGTTTTTGGTGTATAATCAACAACGTTTTTGTGTAAAATAATCATTAGAGATCATAAATCATCAAACCTAAAAGACAGCAAGCAATATAATAGCAGTACTTTAAAGTATCATCACAACTAGTTTGGATATCAACAAATCAGATCAGGCTATTTCCGGACACCACTCATTAAAATTTAGCTGAGAATTTGACAATAATTATGATCAATCGTTAAAAGTCTTACCATTGTCATTTGTCATTTACATTGTCATTATCAACTTTCTTTAATAATAATTAATCATTAATAATCATCATTATCACAATATATATATTTAATTTTCAGCAAATTTATCGTCCAATACTAACAATATTACTATTATTAAAAAAAGAGTTGAAAAAGATAATGTACCAGATAATGTTGGAGCATCAGATGTTTTAGTAGAGATGATTCACGCACCAATTCATCCAGTCGATATTAATTTAGCAGAGGGTACCTATGGTATTCGACCAAAGCTTCCATCGGTTGCCGGTACTGAGGGTGTCGGTATCGTCAAGAAGGTCGGTTCATCGGTACAGGGATTGAAGCCAAACGACTACGTCGTCCCAGTTATCTCTAGCAGTATCGCCGGTACCTGGAGAACCCAAGGTGTCTTTGGAGAGAAGCAACTCCAAAAGGTGCCATCCGACATTCCAACCGAGTATCTCTCGGCCGTCTCTATCAACCCATGCACTGCCTTGCGTTTGCTCGACGACTACGTCCAACTGAAATCGGGTGACGTCATCATCCAGAATGCCGCCAGCTCCATGGTCGGACTCTCTGTTATCCAAATCGCCAAGTCACGTGGTGTCAAGACAATCAACGTCATTCGTCGTGGTCCAGATTTCGACGACCAAGTCCAACGTCTCAAGGGACTCGGTGGTGACATCGTTGTCGACGAAGACTACGTCCGTAGCCCAGAGTTCCAACGTTTGATCTCTGACTTGCCACGTCCACGTCTCGCACTCAATGCAGTCGGTGGTGACAGTGCCACCGAATTGGCACGTGTCCTCGGTGACAACGGACACTTGGTCACCTACGGTGGAATGTCACGTCGTCCAGTGACCATCCCAACATCACACCTCGTCTTCCGTAACATCACATCACACGGATTCTGGTTGACCAAGTGGTTGGAGACACACAGCCAACAGGAGCGTCAAGCCATGTTCGACACTGTATTCTCACTCATCCGTAACAAGCAACTCAAACTCTGGTTGGAGAAACACAAATTCTCTGATTTCCAAGGTGCTTTGGCCCGTTCACAAGAGCCAGCCAAGGGTAGAAAGATTATTTTAGATCTCCAACTTTAAATTAAAAATATTTTTCTAGATTAAAAAAAAAACAAACAATTTTACAATAACAATAATAATAATAATAATCAAAACAAACATAAACTAAAACAAAAAAAAAAAAAAGTATAACTTCAAATAATAATATTATTTAAACAATATATATTGTTACTATTTAATCAACCATCCGATATATAAAACTACTTTACAAAACTAAACATATTTACATGTAATATTCAATCATATTGTTAACTTTTTAAAAAAGTTAAATCTTTTTTTCTTTTTTTTCTTTCTCTTTCCTCTTTTGTGAGAGATCAATCAAAAACCGATTAACAGCTAATCAATCACTGATTCAAATTTGAACATGTGTTAATCGTGTATGAGTCACACAAATAATTAAAAAATTAATTTAAATTAATAAAATTGAACAGTGCTGTTCAACTAAAAAAAAAAAAAAAAAGAATATCAAATTTGATCATTTAGATATATATATACATAGAAGAGAAGAGAAGAGATGGAGAAATTCTCAGATTGGAGAGATGGTCCAACAGGTATTGCACCTTTATTACCACCAAGAGTATGAATCTATATAAATTACAAACTATTAATCTATTAATACTTCCCTTTTTTTGATTAATAAATTAGAATAAACAATCAGAATCATCATTCGTAGCAAGTTTGGTTGGAAATATCTTTTATTTCCTACTTGCACCAATACTTTGTATTATTAGAATACCTTTTATCATAGTATTCACTTTACTTTTGGTATTATTTGATTATATATTTAAAACTGTATGTAGTGGTGCTTATAAATTGTGTAATGATGATTAAATGATATATTCTAACAATGATCATCAACATTAATAGACACCATTAGGAGTTGTAGGTAGAGTTCTCAATAGAACATTTGCAATTGTATTTGGACGTTCCATTTTGTTTTTGTTTGGATTCACATTCATCGATGAAGCAGTCGAATCATTGAGCAGATCCAAGCAACCACAAGGCAGCTTCAAATCGGTGATGCTCGATGACATCATCATATCGAATCACACTTCATATATCGATATTATTTATTTGGTTTACAGGTAATATTACATTATTGTTAGTTACAAATGTGTGTGTCACACTCAATATCAATTTCGAAACTAACCAACTAGTTCGGTTTCGATTAAAAATGATATCATTTAGATTTTCACCTATGTTTGCAGTGCCACCAAGTGACAGAGATGGAGTTGTCGAGGGTCGTTTGATTCCGCTGAGTTTGGCTGGCGCTTTGAAGAATGCAATGTTCTCACCCGTTCAGTTGTACAGCGATTCCATTGCAACTGAACAGCTGCTTGCGCGTATCAACAACAGCTGGGTCGGTCCACTCGTCGTATTCGCAGAGGGTACCACTTCGAATGGTCTCGGACTGCTTGAGCCGGCACAGGTGTTTGTCGATGCTGCGTCGGTTCGCGTCGACCATTTCCACGTGATCGGAATCACCTACCCCGCTAGCACATGCACATCGCCATCGTTCACAGTTGGATCGCTCCCGTTGCACGTTATCAAGGTGTGCGCCACCTGGCGACACGAAATCATCGTTAGCTACCTCAGTCGTAACTGTGTCCCGACACTTCCACTCGATGGATCATCGAATCAATCGGTCGACACTCAAGACGTAGTCGAATGGTTTGACGCACTCTTCAAGGCACTCTCCAGTCTAACCAACTGCAGACGCACCAAGATCACCGCCCACAAGAAACTTTCATTCGTCGCCTACTGGCGTGGATACAAAGTTAAATACGACAAGTCCACCGAAAAGAAACACAAATAAACAAAAAAAGTAAAAACAACATCAAACAATCAAACATATCTAATCTATCTAATCTATCTATCTATAGAAGACAAAAACAAAACAACAACAACAAACATAGCATTTTGAGTTGTGGAAAAGAAAAAGTAGTAGTACATATGTGTGGTGGTGTTATTGATGTATTTGATGTGGTTATATTAATAATATGATATATTTTATTTTATTTTATTTTATTTTATTTTTTTTTGTTTGGTGGGTAAGGATTAGAGTCGTGTCTGTTTATGTCTCTTGCAATTCATACCAATTGATAAAATCATATGAATTAGTGTAATAAAAAGGATTTTAATATAAATTTACCTAAATAAATAAATTTATTTAATTTTTTATTGAGTGTTATTATTTTGAGACGTGATGTGGATTAAAAATAAGTAAGTGTATTTGTTTTTGAAAATTTAGTTTAGATAAATTTAGTTTTGTTGAACAAATCAAATGATTCTCTATTCTAATATAGATAATAATAATAGTAATATTATTTATCCAAAAAAATTAAATTAAAATAATAATAAACCAAGATAATCAAGTTTTATTGGATTAACAAAACAACAACAACAATAAAAAGAATCATCTAAGCAAAGTAAGATAAATCTTAATATTAACTAGTTCTATTGATCTTTAATTATTATTTATAACTATGTTTGACAAAATAACAAATTAATTAAATTTAATTAACAAAATAAAAAAAATTTTATGGTCATCAATTTTTTTTAAATTATCAAATGTCAAAAAAAGCAGTAATATTCAAAGTACATTTTATTCTATTTAATAATCAAATCAGCTAAAAGGTACCAATCAAATCTAGATTTATACATAAAAATTATAATCAATCAATTAATCCATCAACAATCAATCAATCAATTAAACAAACAATTGATCAAACTAAATCAAATCGAATCAATTAAAAACCAGAAACAGTAAACATTTTAAATTTGAAATGACCAACTCCATCAATTAATAAATTCATTCGATTAAGGATTGAAGTTTGTTTGGATTTGATTGGTTATTTAATTTATCATTCATCGTAACAACAACAAAAAAAAAAAAACAAAATTGTTCAAAACCAAAATCAAATAACAATCGACCAAAATCTTAATAGATATAACATTCATTCAAATAACAGAGTTTTTTTTGCAACTCAAAAAAATTGCTGTTTTTTATTTTACTATCATTTAATTTTTGGTTTATATGTTTTTCAGATAATATTAGATATTTATAGAATTCAACTTTTCATTAAGATTCATAGATATATATCGTTTACAGAATAATAATAGCAATAATAAAAATAATATAAGAATAGATTAGATTAGATTTGTTAAGTTTTTTGTTTACCAATTAATCTTACTTATTCCATTTTATTTATAGTTTATAGATTAAACATTAAAGATAAACAGAGATAGATACAAATATTAGATTAGATAAATTATAGTTTAGAATATTATTATTATTAGATTAGTATTAGATTCGGGTTGTAATATTACCCTTTACAGGTCAAATTTGTAGTAGTTTCTCGAAAGTTGAAAGAGAGAAGCTGTCGACGACGACTATCTTCTAAAAGTTAGTAGCAGCAACACACCTGCTACACAAGAGCCATGACTACAAACAATAGAAGATTTGTCAATCATATCATTAGAAATGTTGTACAACAAAACAGTATTCCAGATGGAACAATGCCCTCTCCAGAGGCACAATTCAATCTTACAAAATACTTTGACGATCCAAACACTGTTGATTTAGGTATGTATAATTATAAACACCCAACTATATAGTTCAATTTCATATGAATATCAATATATTAATATAATATTGATATCACACACACATATTACACACACATATATAATAAAACAACAACAACAACAACAACAGTCTTTATAAATATGATGGAAAGAGTTAGAAATGAGAGATCACACTATGAACCTGTACTCTCAAGAATCTTAAAGTTGATCAAGAACAATATATCGTTGCATCCACCTAGCTTACAGATACTACACGATCTAGACTTGTTTTGTGTCGGTATATCACCGTCTGCCAATGCAACACTGCAAAAGAGTATTTCCTACATTCGTGCACTCATTAGCAACCAGATCAAGCAACATCCACAATATATAGAGTCAAACACAGGACTGCTGATTTCTTCGTCATCATCGATCTCATCGGTGTCGTCACATCACTCTGCATCATCGGTGACATCCTCCACCCTAACAAAGTCGTCGCCACTCGCCAACAACGGAATCACTTCAAGTACCGGAAGTAACAGTAGCGTTATTGGTATTAGCGCCAACTCAACAACAACAGCAACAACAACAACAACATTAACGACAATGTCAAATTCAACACCTGGCATCACAAGTGGTGGAAGTCATCAGCATCAGCCATATCAACAACACCACCAGTCAAATAGTACCGGTGCGATTGGCAGCAGTAGCAGTAGTGTGAGTGGCGACCGACGCGCGAGCATCGGAATCGTCAGAACCCGGAGTCAGTCGGCGTCGACCTATATATCGCCACGCGACGACGCCGTTCCCAGTCTGCTGGCGCAGCAACAGCAGCAGCTACAACGATCCTCTCTCGACTTGGGCAACATCAATGTGTTGTCGACCTCGAACAACTCATCGGGTGGCGGCACCGCCGTCTCCTCCTCGACATCGACATCGTCATCGCCACAATCGTTCAATGATTCACCGATTCGCAATTCACTTCTCAATCAAACATCCTCAACAACAACATCAACACCACTTTCACCGACACTAACATCAAATAACAACAACAACATTACACAATTTTCAGATAGTAACAATAACAACAATACAATCTCGTTAACCAACAATACAATTACAAACTCAATATCAAGTGGAAATATATCATCTACACTATCGAATCTTAGAGACAGTACAAATAACGCTGGTATCCTATCATCATCTTCGAGTAGCAACATGACAATCTCACCAACATTATCTAGAAGACTGGCATGTCAAGAGGATGGTTATATCAATGACCTAATGGGTTTGAAATGTTGTCCTTCTAAATCAATTTCAAAAAATAATAGTATGTTAAAATATTGTGATAACATTCTGTAGAGAATGTTTAAGAAAATACTAACTTTTTATGTTATTCTACAATATAGAAATACATAGTTTATTAACACATTCACCATTTGGAGTGTTAAAAGGTGGTGAGATAAAAGGAAAAGATATATTCATTTGTCCTGATGATACTAATAATATGGATCCAATTAATATTGTACAACAAACAAAGAAAAAGTAATATTAATTAATAATAGTAGTTTGCGATAAGTTTAACTAATAAACTTTATATTTTAGGATGGAGCGTAAAGATGCGACTATATATACAATTAGAAGAAGAAAAGCACCGGCATTATTTCAATATAAATACTATAGAGATCAAGAACCGCTGAAGATCAGTGAAAGTGAGAAGCAACAGGTTATCAAAGTAATTAATAATCCATCGACCGCACAAGATCGTTCCATTGCAACTAAAATATTTATTAAAGTATGTTGAAAGAGATATTTAGATAGATTAGAAATAGCAAAGATCATCATTGATTGATTAATTAACAACAATATATCTCTATTTTATTTTGCTATTGTTATTATAATAGATTTTATTAGATATCTATTGTAAACATGGAGTGGAAGGTGAGAAGTTGATTCAAAGCTATTTCAATAGTATTATTGCAAGTCCATATAGGGATGCACGTTCACATCTCTTCAATATCATATTCAATCTTAGTATTCATATAAATATTTATTCAGAGTTGAAGTTGGACGATGGTTCACAGGGTGTGATTGGTGATCTCCAGGAATCGGTGTTCTCACTGCTGCGCGAAGTCTTACTGTATTGCGTGAAGCACGAGCAAGACGAAAAAGTCTGGCTGGAAGCACTCACTTGTATCATATTTTTCGTTGTAGACCAGGGTGTTGTCATCCGCAGTCGACTACACTCTCTCAACTCACAGATCATCGCTGCTCTCCTAAAGTATGCCAACGATACAAGCGATCAAACAAAGAGAATGTTAATAAGAATGTTATGTAACTTTTTGTAAGTAATAATATTAGAAAAAATCAAACAAACAAACATCTAATTTATAAATTATAGATATAAAGATAATAATAATAATAATAATAATAGTAGTAGTAGTAGTAGTGTTAGTAATAATAATAGTAGTTATATGTATTTGAATGAAGAAGAGTTGAATAATATTGGTGGAATTGATTTTATACTAAGATTATATACAACTATTAGATCCAACGAAGCAAAGAATAATTTATTTGTTATCATATTTGATTATGTATTACAATCAGCATTGAAAAGTCAAACTATTGCTGATAGTCAGTTAACTCAAGTATGTATTATAATCAAACGATCGTTTTAAATGACCATCATTAATGATTAATAATCTTATTTTATTATCTTATATAGGATGCACCTGTATTATTAGAGTTATTTAAAAGAGCAGATGCACCACATTACTTTGTTCAATTATTTAAATGTATACCAGAACGTGATTTCGTATCAGACTTCTTTTTATTTACATCTGCCGATAAGAATCACGAGTCATCATTCTCCTACGAAGATCTGACCATCAAGTTCTCAATGAAGATACACGAGCATGCTGTTCGTTACCAAAAGATCGATCAGTCCTGTGAGAAATTCGTCTCTGAGGTCCAAGATAACCCAGAGAAGGCATCTGCATTACTTCAAGAATGGTTATTCAATGAGAATGATGAGTTACTTAGATTTAATGGAGCTGTATGTATTTTTAAAATTATATATCATATATATATATATATATATATATATATAAATATGATCGTACAAAGTTAAACTAACTTTTTATTTTGGTCAAACTTACTTACTTACTTTTTTTAATAATAATTTAGAAATGGTTACATACTCTTCTTAAAAAGACAGTGATAGATAAGGAACCACCCAATTTCGCAATGAATATATTTATACAATTGGCATCACATCCCAATCCAGTGCAGCGAAGAATATATATATCGTTGACAGAACGACTTTTGTTGCTGTCAAAGTACAAGCTAAAGACTGGAGAATCGAAATCGAATGAAATCTTGGAGTTCTTCAATGAGTGTATATTACGATTGGTTACCTACGGTGAGAAGGAAGAATCGAATCTGATGATGATAGCCGATATTCTGTTTGATCTTATTTACAGTAGAAATGGTAAACATCGACAACAACAACAACAACAACAACAATATTTTATAATAATAACAATCAAACTAAAAATATATACTAACATTCAATTACTATAACTATTATTAGGAACGAAATCATTGTATATTAAAGATTCACAGCCCGATACCAACTATTCATTGTTTTTAAATAATCAATTTGTGATATCGACCAGTTTAATCAAGTCAATCAATGTAGTGATTCTACAGTATGTGTTCTCCAATATCACTAGTGCCGATCGATACAATGAGACTAGAATGGTACTGTTGCATCTGCTGATCTTGCGTTGCAACGAGTCTGAAGATCTCGCCAAGATCGGTGGAATCAGTTTCTTTAAGAATCTTATGAACGATCCATGTACTCCCATTGCCTAGTAAGTATACAATACAAGTCGATAATGAATCACTTTCTTCCACGCATGCTAATACTCGAATCATGTTACTCTTAATATATATATATAGTCACTCTAGTTACTTTTTGTTAACTCAATTGGAGGCGGAAAGTCCAGAGCAATATAGATCAATCTTGCAGCGTCTGCTATCAAAGGCCAGAGAAAACAATGATGAAAACTTGATTTCCAATCCTTTCTTCCAGGTGCAAGGTATCATCGACATGACTCATAAGACCTAAACTTAGTCCACCCGATATTATTTCAATCTGTATACATATATGTATTGTAGAATTCTCTTCTCTCTTTTTGAATGAACAAAATTAATTTTTACTTTAATCATTATACACACCCATCCAAAAACACTCTCAATAATAACACATCATCGTTCACCATCACATCGCCATTGCCTTCACCAACAAACAAACAAACAACAATAAAAAACTAAACAAAAAAAAAAAAAAAAAACAAAAATAATAATATTAAATCAAATTGTCCTTTGACATTTGAAAATTCACTTTAACAAAAATTATTATGAGTAGTCGCAGGTTCCCTCCATTGATGCCTCAGACCTGAGGTTCACAATGTACCAACCTCAAAATACAAAGTTTTTTTTTAAAAAAATATTAAAAATAGATAGATATTTATGTTTAAATTTTAGTTATTGATAAAAAGATTCAAGAATCAATTCATCTTCATTTTATTTTTTTAGATTTTTGTCACAAAACAAATACAATGACTCTCCCATCAATTATTTCAAAAGATCCTCTAGCCCCAATTTGTAAGTAAAATAAATATTAAGATTTTAAGAATTTCTAACTTAAAAAATAAAAAAAATTTTAAACAGCTAGAAAGTCAAAGACAAGTGGAGGTGGCAACACAAAAGTATGTAATTAAATTAAATTAATATTATTTTTAAAAATAATATCTCTAATTTCAAATTTGAAGCCCGGTACCAGAATAGTTTCAGAACCAATAAAAGGATTCAATAAAGGATCTTTCGGATTTGGTCTTTAAGAGTTTCTCAACTATTATTGTATTATCCTATTATAAAAATAAAGATAAGCAATCATTTTTATTAAAGCCTAAAATACAAATTAAAAATCATCAAAAGTTTTGAACAGCAGAAAATCACATCGCGATTAAAAATCAAATCGAATTAGAGTTTCTGACCTTTTTAAAAAAAATTGACCTTTTGATGTAGCGACATTCTGTGAAAGCTAGATATTTAATGCGGATTTTTTTAAGAAAATAAATACCTTGGTTGTTTAAATATAAGTGTTTTAAACAAGTTACTTTCATTTTAAATTTCAACAATCTTTAATAATAAAACAATTAAATAATGGGTAAATAAATAAACAACAATTTTAATTGTTTATCAATAATTTACCAATTTTATTAATAACTTTTTAGTACAAGCTTTTGATGATTCAAATGGTGGAAGTGGTGGTGGTGGAAGTGACACAGGTTCTGGATCAAGAAGAAAGATACAAGGACATCAAAAAGTAAGTTATTCTTTGAAAAGTATTATTATTTAATTTAATTTAATTTTAAATATAAAAATAGCCTGCTTCAGCTCCAAGATTACTTTCAGGACCACAGAGTAACAATTATAATCCATATGCAGGTCAAATGAACACTGGATCATATACTTTTAATCCATAAATTGGATTCACTCAAAGAAAAGATAATTCTCAAAAAATATTTATTCATTAATTAAAATATTATTAATGATTTATATTTTTATTAAATAAAATGTATTTTTATTCAAAATTATCAAGATAATAAACTATTACTGACAAGTCGACTTTCATCCGCAATCAAATAATTCATTCGGTTGGAAGAATTTAAATTTGTTTTTTATTTTTTTTAAGTAGTTTGTTTTTTTTAAAAAATTTTATCAAGATTTACATTTTTTGTTTTTGATTGTTTATTTATTTATTAATATCTATATAAATAATGTCTTCAGCAGCAGCTGTAAATACTTCAAAGAATATTTTAAAGTTGGGAAATAACTTGCTCAAACAACAAGCACAGAAATGGACGAAAGAAGAGATTGCAGAGACTGGTCGTATTGAGAAGGTACTCGATATGATGGTACGTGAAATGCGTTCCAACAATGGCTGTGGTATAGCAGCACCGCAAGTCGGCATTCCAAAGCAGCTGTTCTTACTTGAGATCGATTCAGGTTCCGCTCAGATAGAATGTCCCAACTTTCCACTGACGGCATTCTTCAATCCGACCATAGAGATTGTCGACGACGATTACATTGTCGGCCGAAAGACAGCAGGTTCCTCAAAGAATCTACTGAATCTCACGAAATTCAAACGATTGGTTCAATCGGCATCGATTACACTTCCTCGCAAACAAACGGCATCGAACACCATCAACATGTGGGAGTCATGCTTGTCAGTGCCAAACTACTATGGTCGAGTAACAAGATCACGTCGATGCATCATCAACTTTACAGATATATCAGGAAAGGATAGATCTATAGAGGCCGATGGAATCATCTCAGCATGTTTACAACATGAAAACGATCATCTCTTGGGAAGAGTATTCATCGAGCGATTAAAGAATGGTGTCAACGATTTGGTGCATGTAGACGAAATGAAGCATGAAGATTTTAACGAAATATTTACATTATCAGGTGATTATCAAATTACAAAATAATAATAATAATAATAATAGTAATAATAATCATTCAATAATAGTATTTAATCAAATAAATAAAACTTGTAAATTTTTAATTAACAAAAAAATGCAATGATTTGTTGTCGACTCGTTCGTTTTTTTTGTTTTAATTTTTTTGATTGTGAAAAAAACAATGAAATTTGTTAAATAAATATATTATCTTATTTATAATAATAAATACAAACAACTATGATTGAAAGAATAAGATTAGATAGATTACTATCTAATCTAGGTCTTTGCAGTAGGAGTAAAGCATTATCTTATATAGGTATCAATAGAGTAACTGTTTTGGGTCAAAAAGTATCACCAAAAACTAAAGTTAATGTAGAGGATGTTAGAATCATGGGAAAAAAGTTAGAGAATACAAATCCGTATGTTTATTGTTATCGATAGTATCTGCTTAATTTACTTTTGAAAGTTATTAATTTTTAGATATTGTATTATTATTATTATTCAAAAAGATTAACTATTGCAGTACATAAACCAAATGGTTATATTTGTTCGAATGCAAGAGAAGGAGACCATAAGATTATTTATGATTTACTACCACCAGAGTTTGCAAAGAGATTACCAACACTGTCGGTGGCAGGTAGACTCGACAAGTGGGTCACCGGTTTGGTATTGATGAGTCAGGACGGAAAGATAGTGGAGCGTATCATCACACCAAAAGACGATTCATTCGGTAAGATCTACGATGTCGTTTGCAAGGCACCGTTCAAAGGCAACGAAGCAGAGGCATTCGAATCCGGTACTATGATGTTGCGAAGTGAGGAGGAACCATGTAAAGCTGCAAAGTTTGAAGTGTTGGATAACGATAGGAACTTGGCGCGTCTCACTCTCTACGAAGGTAGATATCATCAGGTGCGTAGAATGATGGCTGCTCTCGATAATAAGGCAATGGAAATTCATAGAATCAAAGTGGGTCCCATCGATTTGGGCGATCTACCCGCTGGAAAGTGGCGTTATCTGACGGAGGAGGAGATGGAAAAGATCAAAGCTATACAGGTCACCAAGTCGGCGCTGACCAAGAAGAAATACAACAAGAAGAAGCTAGATAATAGTAGAGCTGATGCCGGTGAAGATGATATCGATGAGGATGATGAAGGAATGGATGATATAGATGAAGATGAAGAGGATGAAGGCGACGATGACGATTTCAATGAAGACGACTTTATGGATGAGCTAGAGAAGGAGGATTTGGAGAAACAACGAAAATCTAAATCCAAAGAGGTGTACGATGCAGAATATAATAGAAAGTTACAGACATTGATTAGAGACGAGAAGATTCAGAGTGGTTTGATTGGTGTTTCCGCGGAAGAGGAAGAACAGTCACCGGCTGTTGTACCCGAAGGAGTGGATCCAAGAGATCTCATTACCAACGAAGAAGTACAAGAACAACTCAGAAAGGCTATCTTGGCAAAGAGAAGCAATGTAAGATTCAACAAACGTGGTGAAGTCATGGGAATGTTTGAGAGAGAGGAAGATGAAATTACAGAGACAGATGCAAGTCGTTTAATCGAAGAGGATTCAGAGTATCAAGAGTTCCTCAAGGAAGATGATCAAGACGACCAAGACGATCAGTTTTTCGATGGATTCTCAAAGAAAGACGGTGAAGACATGGAAGACGACGATGACAACTTGCTGAGTGGTTTGAATACCAGGGATAGAACAATGTACAAAAACTCATTGCCATCGAGCAAAAAGAAATCAAACAAGAAGAATTTTGAAAAAGAAATCAACAAAAAACAACTCAGAGACAAACTTAAATCAAGAAGAAACAAATAAATCGATTTTAGAGCAATTTTTTATTTATTTATAAACTATATACATTTGTTAGGGTATTATCAATTAGTTTTCTTTTTCTTTAGTCTGTTGCTTTGATGACTTGAAATAGTAGACATAAAGATCATATACTCTGTTTATGAAATTGATTATGTTAGGTAGATAGGGTTTCAAATACTTGAAAGGTCCTGGCAGTATCATTGATACAAAGCTTTCTAGAGCTCTTGGTGAGTGTAAATCATCCAGTGATTTATTTGTGTCATTGCCTGATTCTTTTGTTCTCTTTAGCATCTTTGTTTGATAGTTTTCAATAGCTTCTTCCATTGTTTTATTACTTAGTGATGTTAATTCTCTTGCCAATTCTAAACTATCCATCATTGCCATCTATAATAATATTATTAAAAAGAAACAAAAACTATTAGTAACTAAGTTTATGGATTATATATATATTGAAGTTATAGATATGAATTTTACTTACATTAGCACCATCACCAGCAAAAGGTGGCATAACATGAGCACAATCACCAACTAGAGTTACTCTTGAGTTAACCCTCCAGTTATTAATATTATTGAATCTTGCAGTGTCACTTAAATTTCGAACGGTAACCGGTGCTTTGGTTGCTTCTTTTATGAGGTCCAAGAACACTGGATCCCAATCGCTATATTCTTTTAAGAGGTATTGTCTCACCAATTCTCGATCGTTACCAAGTAGGTTTGATTCTTTTGCAAAGTTTTCATCTTTTCTTGATGAAAAATAAACGACCATACTCCCACTGGTTTTCTGTTGTGCAGCTACAAACTTGCCGTCGCTCAGTCCAAACATATTGCCACCGTTCACCCATGAATAGACGGTTGGACATACCTCTTTGGGATTATCAATCTCTGTTTGAATAAAAAGTATACCGGAATAGATTGGTTCTACATTTGTTACGAATGGTCGAATCTTTGAAGCATAACCGTCGGCACCCACGAGAAAGTCGACAACCTCTTCTTTTCCACCTTTGAATTTCAGAAGTATACCGCTGTTGTCTTCATTCATAATGACATCTTGTAGATGGTGATTCCACATCACAGTGTCAGGCTCTAGTGAATCTATAAAGATCTCTCTGAGGTCACCTCTATCGATTTCTGGTCGGCTGTTGAAACACTTGAGATCGGGCATTAAGAATTGAACGACTGCATACTTGTCGACCACCGAATGATGACCACCTCCAGGTCTAATTTTCTTTAGAAACTCATCATAGACACCTGCGTCTTTGATTGCCAACTGTCCAGAATCATCATGGATATCTAAACTACCACCTTGAACTCTTGCAGTTCTATCGATATCTCTTTCATATAGTTTAACATTGGCACCTCTTTGCTGCAATAATCTAGTCAAGACGATACCGGCTGGACCTCCACCAACAATTCCAATCTTTTTATCTTTAATTAAATGATCACTATATTGGGAATTTGACATGTTATAATAAGAAATAAATAAAACTAAATAGTTGAAAATAAATCACACTTTTTTTTTATCGATCAATCAAATTAGCCCTATTTATAAACAAATATAATATTTTTTTTTCGTCCAGATAATAATAACATCATTGTTGGTGCTTTGGCGAATCATTCAAGTTGTTTCATGAAAGTTTGTCAATTTGATTTTAGATTTATTGTTTTTTTAGGGTGGCTTAATATGTTATCTCCTATTTTCATTTTTTTTTTTGATTTTTTTTTCTATTAAAAAAAAAATGGCAATGCTTATGATTCGGATAAGCATCAACTATGATGTTATTATCGAGACGAACAAAAAACAAATTATTTATAAAACTAGTTTAAAAGAATTCTATTTTTAATGGTTTTGGTTATAAAAAAATTAATAATATAACACGTATTTAATTTATTACTCTTTTCTGATAAAAATAACAGTTTAATTTGAATATTGTTGTTGTTGTCTATTTACAAAGGCAGATGATGGTTTTAGTGACGTTGGAATTGGTGGAGTGGTCGATCCGCTTGGTCTCGGTGGAATAATGGGCGTTGGTCTTACACCGGATCGATTGAGTGGTAATGGCGCAGAGGTTGGTGATGATGAATATATTGAGGGTGGTTTGGTCGATGTTGGAAGTGGTGGTGCTGGTGCTGGTGCAGATGATTGTGGCGCAAAATTTCTCTTTAGTGTATTCGATTTATAGGTTGTTGGTTGTTGTTGTACTACTGGCTCTTCGCTGTCCTCGAGGTAGCTACCTCTGAGTTTAGCGGGTAGAGCTGCATCCGCTTCAAAGTTGTTCTTCTGGCCATCGCGTGAAAGATAGAGCTCTGTGACTTCGATTTTCAATGCGTGCTCCAAGTCCTTTTGGTATTTAATATAACTAAAGTCAGAGGCTGACGATTTAAATCTGATTGCCAATCCAGACTCTTGGAATTTCATTTCGATCTTCTCGTTGAGTTGTTGGAGTGTACAACTCTCTGTGATTTGGATTAGCCGACGATCCTGATAAAAACATTTGATTGTGATTAATGGTTCTTTGACTGCCATGGAGATTGGACGCGACGGCAAACGTTTAGTTGTGCCTGGAAGAGGAGGTGCTGGTGGTGGTGGTGCTGATGAGGAGTTCGATTTGTATGTTGGAAGTGATGGTGCTGACGATGACAATGAGGGTTTGGGTGCTGGTAATGGCTTTGATCTTGGTGGTGAAGGTGCCGCTGATGAAGTTGATGCACTCGATGATTGCTGTTGTTGTTGTTGTTGTTCGACTCGAGCGAGTAAAGGTGATGGTGAAGTTGGTGCAGATGAGGAATATGTTGGCGTTGAAAGTTGATCTGTTTTCAATTTGGGTGGAGCCTGATCCGATACTTTCGGTGGACGGAACAGCTGATCCAATGGTGCAGTTCTAATCTTTACTTGTTGACCTTCCATCAGCTTCTTTAGTTGCTCTCGGAACGCTGGATCCGCTGGCAACGTTCCGCATTGCTGCGCCAGGCCAGCAACGGAACCACCTGCAGCACCTAGTGACATTGATTTATTAAAGAGAATCTCTGCAAGCATCAATCTAAAGTTCAGTCCCAACTGTGTATAATCTATATATTCGTGACCGCGCAGTTTCGAAATGGCTTCATCGTAGTCGACTATCGAGTGATTGCGATCGTCGCATTGCTGATAGCAAACACCTCTCATGAAAAATGAAATTGCCATAAACTTGTCCAACTCTGTCGACTTTGTAAAATGGTCGATCGCCTCTCTATAATTGCCCATCTTACAGTAGATGATACCTATATTGTATTGAATCTTGGATGTTGGATCGACCGATTTCAAAGCATTCAATGCGCTGTTACAATCACCATTTTTAAAACTCTCTGAAGCCTGGCTCCATTTGTTGATGGTTTGCTTTAACATGTTTCTGGTGAAAAAAACTTTGTCTATATATGTGAAAAAAATTCCTGGAACTACAAAAAATATTGATAAATATATTTGGAATTATATTGGATATCTATATTTAAATACATAATAGATAGGAATTAAAAAGTTAATATTAGTATTCCAATTTAAATTAATTTATCGTAAAATTAAATTTATAAAGAAAAGGTACCAATATTTATTTAATAATAAAGAGAAATGGAAAAAGAACGTTTCCACATACTACTACGCTACTTATGATTTATGAGAAATATAATTAAAACTATGACAAGCAAGTTGTTGATGTTGGGGGGTAATAAGTGTATAACGAGTTGTGAGTGCGAAAATAAAAATAGTAAAATGAATGGTTGTTGGTGGTAGTGGGTGGTGATGAAGGTGGTTATTTAGTGAGTGTAGTGGAAGATAAAAATATAAAATCTACAATGATTATTAATAAAATAAATGAATGATGGAATTATATAAAACAATTCAATTCAATTCAAATATTTAATTACAAATGTCAAAAAGGAAAGAGTGGTCCACTTTAATAACAAAAATATCATCAATATAAAATAAAACCAAAACCAAAATTATTATTTGAACATTATCATCATATCTAAATCGTCTTTTGAGGTGAAGAAAATAATTAAATTTAATTAAATTGTTATAATATTGAGAATTTGGATCTGTGATGGTTATAATTAAAAGAGTTTATACAAAAATAAAGTGAGTGAGAGTGTGTTTAAACGCCAAGGGATATTTTGAGTGAAATAGGGGGTAATATTGACTGGAGTTGTTGTTTTTTTTTTGCTATAATCGTGAAAAAATCAGAATCTCATCTTTTCACCACAAACCAAAAATTAATTTTTTGGAAGATGAGACCCAACAATTGGGTTTTTATGATAATTTTTATGGATTCTGGTCCGCGAATGAGCCAAATTTGCAACCTTTTTGATTATAGGGAATGTTGCATTTACTGATGTGGTGATTATGCTTTATTTTAATGTGAGGAGGAATGAATTGATTCCTGGTTTTTAGATTTATAACTTTTTATTATTATTATTATTATTATTGTTATTATTATTTAACTAACACAATATTAATTTTTGAAATTTAACAGAAATATAAAAGTAATACATAACATGTGTTAATTTTAATATTGAAAAAAAAAATGACCAACTATATCATGATTTATTGTTGTAGAATGTTTTCACATACTTATCAGGAAATGAATGAATAAAATAAATATAATAACTTTGGCTCTGTGCTCTACATAAAATTATACAAAATAATAGTTTTTATAATATAATAAACTCTACTAATGTGAAATAAACAACTTTTATGCTTTTCGAATAAAAGACATCAGTTGAGGGCAACTAAACACTGTTTTTTTTTGTTTTGCAGTTTTTTTTTTTTTTTTTTTTTTTTTTTTTTTCAGATTTATAATTTAATAAAATCATAAAAAAAATTTTGATAAATGTAAAAAAATTGTGTTTTTGCCATTCCACAAAAAACAAAACTATACCCATCTGATTGTGGCGACAACATATTTACAGATATTTTAAGTGTTGTTGTCGGGGCTTATCATACCTCTTCATATGATGAATGCCATTTTTTTTTAATTTATTCTTTTTTTAATAGAGTGAAGTTAGATTTATTCTATTTATAAATTTATTAGCGGCACCAGAATCGAAAGAATTAGATATTATGAATTGAAGAGAATCAGTCATGTTCCGAATGTAACTATCCTTAAAGCTGTGACCTCCTATCTTTATTATTATTTTTTAAATTTTCAAGATCATTAAAGATAATCTGAATTTTATTTGTGTTTCCTTTGGGTTATATATATTATATTATTATATTCTTTTAGAAAGTTCAGCAAAGTTATAATTGTTCTTAAAAAAAAAAAAATAGTGCCTAACTTGATTCTCAAAATGGATGACATAAGATTTATTTCATATGAAAAATACAAAAAAGGAAACAAAATTAATCTGGCTGAACTTTCAGCGAAATTTGAAGATCAATTCCTTTAGTTTTCACTAAAATTAGATATTTTCTTTAATTTATATAGTTTAAGAAATACCTATTCAGTTTTTTTAATTGTTTATCTTTGCATTCTGATAGATTTGATCTCATTTATTTTGAAACACTAAACATACAATTAGTATTCATATATAATAAATATACTAAACGATAGTTTTGAAAAGTAAGTAACACTTGATAAATATCATATAAACACATGAATGAATGAATGAATGAATGAATGAATGGGGTGTTTGTTTGTTTGTTTGTTCAAAAGTTCACACTACCACTACCACCACAAATCTACAAAGAACATCAAGCATATCATCAAGTAATAAAAGCATTAAAATATATATATATGAAGAATAAAATTTTGTTCTTTGCAATTTTATTTTATTGAACAATTAATTAATAATAGTTTTTCATTTTTATATTTATCTTTTAGATAGGTTCAAAATAAATATAAATATAGATATAGATATAGATGAATAAATTAATTGAAAAATCAATTAAAACATCTAGTTTATTAAAGAGATGTAATAGTAAATCAATTACCAATTCGAATTGTGTTGGTAACAAAGTCAATAACAACAATGATCAATCAATGTTATTGGCAAGAAGTTATTCAACATTCAACAATCTTAATAGTAATTTGAACAATATAAACAGTTTATTCAAGAATAACAATAGCTTGATAGGCAGCAATCTAATAACAAAGAGATACTATCAACCTGGTGGTGGTGGAGGAGGTGGAGGTGGTGGTCAGCAACCACCTCAACAACCATGGATATCACCTGATAACATTCCACCTGGAGACGCTCTAAAGAAATATACTAAGGATCTAACCGAGATTGCAAAGAACGGTAAACTCGACCCGGTCATCGGTAGAGACGAAGAGATTCGTAGAACGATTCAGGTGTTGTCACGTCGTACCAAGAACAATCCAGTGTTGATAGGTGAACCCGGTGTTGGAAAGACTGCTATCGTCGAAGGTCTGGCACAGAGAATCGTTAATGGTGACGTACCAGACTCTATCAAGAACAAACGTGTATTGTCGCTTGACTTGGCGTCGATTGTTGCCGGTGCCAAGTTCCGTGGTGACTTTGAAGAGCGTATGAAGTCGATTCTCAAGGATGTCGCTCACTACAAGGGAGAAGTAATCTTGTTCATCGATGAACTTCACACTCTGGTTGGTGCAGGTGCCGTCGAGGGTGGAATGGACGCGTCCAACATGTTGAAGCCGCAGTTGGCGCGTGGCGATCTTCACTGTGTCGGAGCGACCACCACCTCTGAATACCGTAAATACATCGAAAAGGATCCAGCATTGGCAAGAAGATTCCAGTCGGTACTCGTGTCAGAGCCATCCGTTGAGGATTCCATTTCGATTCTTCGTGGATTGAAAGAGCGTTATGAGGTGCATCATGGTGTTAGAATCACAGATGGTGCACTCGTTTCCGCTTGTGTCAACTCTCAGCGTTATATAACCGATCGTTTCCTACCGGACAAGGCAATCGATTTGATCGATGAAGCTGCCAGTCGTCTAAGACTACAACAAGAGTCAAAGCCAGAGAATATAGAGAATCTCAATCGTACGATTATCATCACCAAGATTGAGATTGAAGCACTCAAGAAGGAGAAGGATCAAATAAGTAAGGAGCGACTCGAGAAGCTGGAGAAGGATCTCAAGGAGAAGGAAGCAGAGTGCGCACGATTGACTGACATTTGGATGAAGGAGAAGATTGAACTCGAGAAGAGAAAGACCGCAGCAGAAAAGTTGGAGAATGCCAAGATCGAGTTGCAACAGGCTCAGAGAAAAGGTGACTTGGCACGTGCCGGTCAGTTGGCATACGGTATCATTCCGCAGCTCGAAAAGCAGATTCCAAAGGAAGGTGAAGAGTTGAATCTGTCGATGATAAGTGAAGCTGTCACCGCCAAGGACGTAGCACTGGTCATCTCCAAAGCAACCGGTATTCCTGTGCATAGCTTAATGATGGGTGAGAAAGAAAAGTTGCTAAAGATGGAGGATGCCATCGGTTCATCGGTAATCGGTCAACCTGAAGCAGTCGCCGCCGTATCGAATGCCGTCAGAATCAGTCGTGCCGGTTTGCATGCGCACAACCGACCACTTGGTTCCTTCTTGTTCCTCGGTCCAACCGGTGTCGGAAAGACTCAGCTTTGTCGATCGCTCGCCGAGTTCATGTTTGACAGTCCATCTGCGCTGATTCGTATCGACATGTCAGAGTACATGGAGAAGTTCTCTGTCTCCAGACTTATCGGAGCGCCACCAGGCTATGTTGGATACGAAGAGGGTGGTACTCTCACAGAGGCAGTGAGAAGACGTCCCTATTCGCTGGTTCTCTTTGACGAGTTTGAGAAAGCACATCGTGAAGTATCGAATCTCCTACTTCAGATGTTGGACGACGGTCAACTCACCGACAGCCAAGGAAGAAAGGTAGATTTCCGTAACACAATGGTTATTCTTACCAGTAATTTGGGTGCAGACCTGTTGGCCAACCTACCAGACGGAACTCCTAGTAACGCTGCACGTGACGACGTTATGTCAGTGGTTAGAAGCAGATTCCAACCAGAGTTTTTGAATCGTATCGACGATATCATTCTATTCAACCGTTTGTCGCGTAAGGATATGGATAGCATCGTAGAGATTCAACTTCAAGATCTCAGAAAACTACTCTCAGAACGACAGATCGCTATGGTCGTTCGTGAGGGTGCACTCAACTGGTTGGCCGACCAAGGTTACGATCCAGTGTATGGTGCACGTCCACTTAAGCGTGTAGTACAAAAGTATCTCTTGAACCCAATGGCCAAACAAATTTTGGAAGGACAAATACAAGAGCGTCAAACTGTAGTAGTCGATATCGATCCAAATGATAAATCTAAACTTAGTATTACATCGTCTCACTAAAATTAATGTGTTAGACAAATAAATAAATTAAAATCAATAAAAAAAAAAAAAGTTAAATTAATTATTTTTCAGATTTGTCAGACACTGATTTGGATCAATCAATCGGTTTTTTGTTTTTCTTTTAAGATTTTGATATATTTATTTCCTTATATATTTATATCTATAGTATGTTAAGTTTAATAAAATTACCAAAACAAAACTATTTTACAACAAATATTCATAATCAATATGTTTTAAGATCACTTTGTAGTACAAATGTAGTAGGTGGAAGTGCAAAGAGTGGTGGTAGTACTGTGGTTGTCGATGAGAACAAGAATATCGATTCAGAATTCAGCAAGATAAATGAAGAACTTTCAGTTCTGCCACGTGAAGCACTCAATACTGTCATGGGTAAAGGGAAGAAACCCAGAGTCAGACCACCTGCTATGGCCAAGCGTAAACTTAATGACTGGAGTCATATGCCAACGAATTCATTGTTGATTAAAAGCAGATTGAACTCTATCAATGACAAACAATGGAAAAAACTAGTCAGTCAAGAGGAGGCAAAGCAGCTACAGAGTTTCAATAACTCTGCATTCTCATTTGGTTTGTCGAATGTGGTTGTCGATCGCTCCAGTGAAGCAGACAGTGCATCTAGATTCACCATAAAAGAGAATCTACGCAAATCGCTAACACAACAGTGGAGAGAAGATACCCGTTCGTTTGTGAATCAGAGGATGCTCCAACAACATCGGTCACTGAGGAGATCACTCGATCGAAAGCATACTCAAATTCAGCATCTTCATTACATTGACAAGCTGAATTCAAAGACACCATTCCAGAACTTCTTTACCACTGACAAGGTCGATGAGATCGTTTTGAAGTCAGCAGACGACCAATCATCACATCTAATTGAATTTAGAGATAGAGTCTACTTGCATCTCTATAGTATTCAGCTGTATATTCATAACAATCTTTACAAGCGAACCTCTTCATTTATTAATGATAGCATAGGTCAATACTATCCACTCACCACACACCAGAAACATCATATTGAAACACTCACTGACAAACAAGACTATCTTGCCATTATAGAGTATGCTAATAATCAAGATTCAACAACTAGACGATCTTCACATCAAACATCGTTGATCTATCAGCATATGATTCGTTACTTGAAGTCACAGTCAAAGCTCTACCTATTCTTTTCGACATTGGAACGTGAATATGTTATGGAACGGTTGAAATCCAGTGACTATTCCAACTTTATTCATGCTTTTCTCGCACTAGGACAGACTACATCTGCTGACTTTATCGCGCAATTCATGATTGACAATAGTATTTCTATTCCATCCGATCTTTTTATTATCTATCTCGATTACTACTACTCAAAGAACATACCATTCCAGCAGTTTCTCGATAAACTCGAAGAGTTGTCGATCTTCACAGGTGAGAGAAACGAGACAATGAAGTCAAAAGAAGAATACGACAGGGCAACCATCGAAAATATCAAAAGCTTTGGTGGTGAAGGTGACGATGACGATATCATAGATAGTGAACTATCTAACAATAATATCAACACTGCTCGTACAGCTCGTGATCTCGAGTTTTACAAACAGCTGCTCTCCTATTGCTACCAACGTAGACTCGTCGACTTGGCAGAGCTCATCGAGACAAAGATGGAGAAGGAAAAGATCTATCCAGACCTCGAGATATTCAACTCGAAACTAAAGATGTCTGCACAACTCGGTCACATTCTCTCGAGCAACGTACTGGAGCAACACTCGCTCAGTCGTGTCAAACCCAACGGTCACACATTCCTCGCTCTCCTCTACAGTTCACTAGTCAAATTCGAAGAGCTAGCAGAGTCACGTCATCTTATGAAAAGCCTGCAGCGCAAGTGGAACTTTAAGAAGAATCAATTCATTGCCACGTGTCAGCTGTTTGGTTATTCCAAGCTCAACTACTCATTGGAGAAGAAAACCACCAAGATACTAATAGAGGAAATGAAGCAGTACAGAGATCAACGTCCAATGAATCATGCAATCCTAGCGTATTCACTTGCCTACTATTCACACCCTTCTCAGGCTATCATCAAAGTACTAGACGATCTCAACACCAATGAATTCACACCGGCCATACTTGATCTCATCGTCTATGGATATTCACTTAACAACAACAAACATAGAAAATCATTATTGAAAAACAAATCACAACAGAAAGATAATATCATCGATAATAATGGACAAGCATCAAATAACAATATAAATAGATTTAAAGAATTAAGAAAAATAATAGAATATATAAATAACAGATTCAACATTAAGCCAGACAACGATAGTTTGCAATATATTAAAGAGCAAATTAAGCATTCTACACTTCCCAAAAAGTCAAAAACATCTTTGATTAATAAATTTTAAATATTGATGATGCACGATCATTTTTAAAACGAAAACATGAAAAAGTATTTTTGAATTTATTTACAAAAATTAAATATAGATAGATAGATAGTACAAAGAGTAGATAGCTATTGAATGGAACATGATGATTTGTTCAATTGATTTAGATATTCGGGATCTGTGGAGAGGAGAGATTCCTTTTCAATGTTGGACAATCTTCTCCATTGAGCAATTTTGTCAGAGGAGCCACCTGTAGAGGCATAGATGTCGGCAATTCTATCTGCTGCCAAGTAGCAGATGTATCTGGCATCATTAGTGACACCTAGACAAGAAGATGCAAGAGACTTGGCTTGAGTGGCCATACTGAGTGCCTCTGTTGGATTTCTCTCAAATTTCGACTTGCTGAGCAATTCCTCTGCCATAAATAAATGCTTATAGATCGCAAGTTGTGCATGGAACATTTCAAGCATCGAGAAGCATACAGAAATATACACACTGGTACTATCGAATTTGGAGATTTGTTCAATACACTGGCTCATCTCTGAGATTGCTTGAATTAAACCAGGAGGACTCATTACACCTGGCTTGCGTTTCTCCATCTTGGGGAAGCGATGAATTGCTTTTCTAAAAAGTTGCCAGAACCTGTCCATACGAGAATCAGTTCCCCACGCTTGTAAAATACCCTCAAGCTTTGTACGATCACCTGCAAGCTTACCGTATATATCAACGAGCAAACTGTCATTGCACTGGTCCATAGCATTCTCGTGTGCTATTCCGAGCAAGTAGTGTATAATAACATCGATATTATTTGTACCAAAGACAGAAAGTAAGAGGTCAAAATCGGTGATACTATCATAGTTGTCAACTAAAAGACTAGAGAGTTCCATTGCCAACACTGCATAGTTTGGAGATTCTTTGGATACTTTGATCATCGCAGCAATCAAGAGAGTGCAACAAGCATCGATTCGAACTTTGAGATTCTTATAGGATCTACTAATTAGAATCGCATGATCTGGAAAATGCTCACTCTCTATGTTGTTGAGAGTAGCTTGCATTTGTGCATCTAATAGAGCTACTTGGCACGGAAGAACTTCTGGATCTTCACTGGTAGTGAGTGAATGACCCTCTTCAAACTTATCGATACTTGTCATAGTTGTGGCTGTATAGTCTCTTGTCGATCCCATTGAGAGTAAGATCAACACTCTTGCATACTCTGCAAGTCGGTTTAGATATGGATAACAAGCCAAGTACTTGGAGTAGTTGTTGTTGAAGTGGTCGAGGAATGGGAACATCTCTTTACCAACCTGGAAGTCATCATCATAGTAGTCATTTCCTTTCCAATCAAAGTATCTACCTCTTATTGTGATGATGAGTGCCTGACCGTTGAACTTGATGGTATTGGTCGACTTGTCAAAGTTGGCAACGTAATTTGGATTCAAAACAAAAGTTGGATGTGGAAGAATATTGGAAAACTTGTCATAACCTAGTCTTGTAACACCACCATGCATTGAAAGCAATCTGGTCCTTGCATCCAAGTGGTTTTCATAACCTTCAACCAAGCAAGTAGCTTTCATGCCAGTGAAGTAGTCGATACCAAAAACAAGAGCACCCAACAGCTTATCTGCATCCATCAACACATTGCAGAGTGGAGACTCTGGTTTTAGTCCATCGAGATATCGTTGGTAACAGCCAGTACCCATTTCCAAAGAGATGGTAACTCCCCCCAAAGTCGAGCTGATTGCCTTTCTTAGATCCTCGACCTCTCTCAGGGTCAAGTTAGTGAAATAGCTGCAACCATTGACAGTGATTTTAGTTCCGGATATCACAACTTTCTCTCTATGTGATACGTTAGGAATCAAACTAACACCACCAGGATTTGGGTTGTTCTCATATCGTTGATAGTTTTCACTAGTACTACCAGGCTTTGGAGCGCTCTCATATCTTTGATAATTAAGACTTCTGTTCTCTCGATAGGTTCTCATTTGTTCTTGTTGTTTGGCTTGTTGTTGCAGGTACCACTGTGGAGTTTTATTTAGTTTTCCTTGCTGGTCGTATCTATGTTGAAGTCGGTGCAAATCAATAACTTGCAATGAAGAAAACTTATAACTAAAGCCTTTGGCAGCTTCGAAACCTCTGTGATGAGCCATTTGATATCCAGGTGGATTTCTGATGTAATACTTATTCTTTCGATCCACATTATTAAGCTCTTGCTTGATCCAACCTTTCAAGTTGTTAGATAACTTGTCATCATTCATTAATTCGAGCAACTTGGCTCTCTTTCCTGTTCGGCCTTCTGAAGACATCTCTTTATTTATTTAAATATTTATCTATTATTTATTAATTTCAATAAAAAAAAATCACCTGTGAAGCTTTTTTCTTTTATACAAACAAAAGAAAATTAAAGATATAAGTTTAGAATTAAATCAAATTTAAAAATAAAAGTAAATAGTGAAAACTTATTTGTTCAATTTTTTGCCAAAAAATCCACCCAAAAACATGGAAAAAAAACAGTGAAATTTATTCCATTTTGATTGGTTTCATTGAACAAGAAAGTGGGCAATCAAGTTTGATTTACACAAGTTCCCACTTTTTTCACTGTGGTTATAGAGATCATTTAGTTAGTTAAATTTAAAGTTGGGAAAAAAGATAAACAATTTTTTAAAAAACAATTTCTCAGTAAAACTTTCAACAATACAAAATTCAAAAATGTATTTTTTGCTGGACACACCAGTATTAATAAAAACAAAAAAACACAACAATTTCAAAATGCATAAATATATTTGTATATTTATTTATATATTAACACTAAAGGGAAGGGAGGCATATAATTTTTGAAGTAGAGTGGGTTACTGCGCTATCACATCAATGAATGAAGTAAGATGAAAATATTTACATGTGTTTGTTTGTTAGTTTTTTTTTTTTATTTATTTGTTTTATACCTGGTGTATGTATTTTAATCCTTACTCATTGAAATGATTTTCATACATTGACAGTAGTACCCACTCACCTCTATTTAACAATGTAAGAGGTGAAGTGATAAAATGGAATTAGCAGATGTAGATCATTTTCATATGAAACCAAAATAATTAATCATATGATTTTAAAATCAATTTTTTAATTTATTGATTATAATGATCAAAAAATAATGATCAGTTTGGCTTTGGTTTGATTTGGTTTTGCTAACTGGATAATATAGATAATTAGAATTTAATACTATAGATGATTTAATAATAGTCATAATAATAATAAAAGTAATAATATAACATTTTTAATAACATTAATAAAAATAAAAACTAATATATTGGTACTTTATATCAATCGAAACAATATAATATATATTTAAATTCCTTAAAGATAATAATCATAATAATATTAGTAATAATCTGTAGTTGTAAAGTTGATATTAAAAACAAAGAAACCAAAAATAATAATGAAAAGATACCATTTTTCAATATTTTTATTTTGTATTGTTTTGGCTTTTGTAGATGGCAAACTGGTCAGTAGGGAATGTGATATGGCTTGTCCAGATGAATATATCTGTTCTCAACCTTTGAAATATCTTCCACCAAAGTGTGTCCCTATTAGTATGTTTTTATTTGAAATCAATGATCATTTGACAAAGATTCACCAAAACTCAAAATATGTAAATTTTTTTTTATTTTTTATTATTTTTTTTCAATTTAGGTTTAAATACAGTAACAGAAAGTGTAGTTGTTAATGGAATTGACATGAGTGGAAATAGATTAGGAAGTGTTCCAATAACACCTCCCCACCAATTCCCTGGCTCAGAGTTGAATCAAGATAAATATTCAACAACGGTGTGGACTTCAGAACTGCCAGAGGAATGGTCAGTCTCTGCTGACGGTAATCACATACAAATATAAAAACACTCTCCTTATTTTTCTTTAATAATTTAAGTATTAACTAAAGACCAAATTAATTTTACAACTTTTATTTTCATTGCATTGAAATGATTTAGTTGTTTTTACGCAATATTAATCTTCTTTGGAAGATCGGTCTTTTCACTTTGATTTTTACAAGGCATAGTGATTAAGAGTTGACCATTTTCCATTTTTGCTGAAATGTTCTCATGATCTATATTCTCGGGAATGCTCATAGACTTATAGAATGATGATTTGCTCCAAGTTCCTTCTTCTTTTGATTCCGATTCTTTGTTGCTTTCAATGACTAACTTTCCATTTTCAAAGTTGACTTTAATATCATCTTTGGTAAGACCGGGCATCTCTACCTTGAGCGAATATGCCTTATCATCCTTTTGCCAGAAGGTCTTTGGAGTTCTAAACTCCGATCCCCATGAACCCAATGCTTCTGGCATGCTCTGAGCCTTCTCTTTAATACCAGGGAACATGTCCTCGAATTCGTGGAACCATTTAGATAATCTATTATTAAAGAATGTATCTTTAAATGATTTCATTGCATCATCGAATTCGTGATGGTCATACTTTTTTGGTTCTTTCACTAATAATAAATATATCATTTTTATATATTAATTTTTTTTTAAAACTGTATTTAATTAAAATAATTAATTTAAATACATACATTCTTTCTTTTTATCTTTGACTATATCTTTTAAATTCTTTTGATCATTAGAAGTTCCATAATATCTAACTGTTGGAGCTATTAAATTTCTACCACTTCTTGAAATGGAAGATAATGGTCTTACTAATTGATTCATTGTTGTTTTCAAATTATAACTTTAATTAATTTATATCTTTATTAAAACAAACAATGATACCTTAAGGATTTTGGACCTTCTTTAAATCAAATAAACTGATCTAAATATACATAATTAGAATATTTTAAAATAAAAAATTAAAAAAAATTAAAAAAAAATTTCCTTTTTGAATTTATACAATAATGAAATTTAATTGATTTTCAATTAAAGATCCTTAAATTTAACTATTATGTCAATTTCTTAGTAATACTAATTAAAATAAAAAAAGAATCTATAATGTTATAATTATATTACCATATGAACAATTTTTTGTTTTTTATATTTCAGACTATAGTTTTTTTGTTTAATATTATAATGTTTAATTAGTATAATGAATATAAATTCATTTCTATTTTATTTTTGATGAGGATAATAATCAAATATATAATTGTTGGTGATTGTTGTTTGTTTTAACGACTTCTTGATCTAGATGATCTTCTACCTGAAATGATTCTTCTTGGTGGAGATCTTCCTCTGTCTCTTCTAGGTGAATATGCTCTGTATCTTCTTCCACCACCACCACCACCTTTCCTGAATCTATCTCTCTTAATAAATCTAACTGAAATTACATTTCCATCAATTTGTCCCTAAATAAATAATAGAACCAATTGTTTGTTAGCTGACCGAATATAATGCTTTTATTCATAAATATTATATAACTTACACTATCTAAATATCTTTTAGCTCTATTACGTTCGTCTCTATCTTCAAAGGATACAAATGCGATACCCAATGGTAAATTTCTTTCTTTATCCCATAAATATTCTACTTTCTAATAAAATTACAACAATTAGATTTATAATTTTTATTATTATTATTATTAATATACATACTTTAATTTTTCCGAAATAACCGAATATTTCAATGATATGATCTTTTGTTACGTTTGGTGTTAGACGGTCTACACGAAGTGGCGATAGACTTTGTGATCTTGATCTTGATCTCGATGATTTCGAAGTATTTTCATGATTGTTTTCTGTGGTGGTCGATGCTGCAGTTGCTGTCTTTGGTCGATCTCTTGAAGTTGATCTATCTCTATCTCTTCCTCGCTTTGGTGATAAGTCTCTGTCTCTATCTCTTCTAATGGGTGATCTTCTCATTGGCGATCGATCTCTATCGCCTCCACGTCTATATAGAGGTGATCTAGATCTATCTCTGTCTCTTCTTATTGGTGATCTATCTCTGTCTCTTCTCATTGGTGAACGTCTAAGAGGTGGTGATCTGTCTCTGTCTCTTCTGTAGGGAGGTGATCTCGATCTTGAGGAACCGCCTCTTCTCATTGGTGAACGCGAGCGATAAAGAGGTGAACGTGATCTATCTCTTCTGTAGGGAGGTGATCTCGATCTTGACGAACCGCCTCTTCTCATGATAGGCGAACGCGATCTAGATCTCGAGCTGGCACCGCGTCTGCTGTACAGCGGTGATCTCGATCTCGAGCGTGATCTCGATCTAAAGCGACCGCCTCCTCTTGGAGGTGATCTATATGATTGTCTATAGGCCATTGGTGATCTAGAGCGTGATCTAGAACGCGAACCACCTCCTCTTCTGTATGGAGGTGAGCGTGATCTTGATGGCTTTCTCATTGGTGACAATACTCTATCTCTATCTCTGCTTCTACTTCTACTTTTACTTTTACTTTTATTTTTACCATTGTTATTATTATTACTATTACTACTGTTGTTGTCCAGTCTATCTTTACTTCTGCTTCTACTTCTTGATCTATCTTTCATATTTACATCACCATTGATTTCATTGGTTGTTGTTGTTGTTGCTGTTTTCAAATCTTCACTTCCATTACCATTACTATTTGTATTACTTTCATCCATTCTTATAACTAATTTATATTATATAAATAAAAATATGCATATATATAAAAACAAACATGCATAAATTTTTGAAGTTGAAAAAATGATGATCATCATTTTGTTAAAATTTGACACTTTTTTTTTTGGAGGTAAAAAACAACACAATAAAAAGATGATCAGTTTAGTGTTTGGAAAAAATTTGAAGGAAAGAATTTATATACTTAATTTTATTGAATAGATATTTTTTATGATTTAAAACAAGTAAATTTATTTATTTTAATCCAATGTTCGATTTCTTCTTTGAGTATTTGTTAATTCAAATATGGAGGCTGATTTAAAAATACCAACCAATGGTAATAGACAATTAGTTCCTGTTCTTAGACCAAAATGTGTAAATGGATTTGCTACTCTCAATAATTCCGGACGCGTACTTGTTTCCGTATTGTCTCGTCCTGAATGTAATATTCATACCTAATTATTATTGTTCTGTTCAAAATAATTATACCAAAGTCAAAAAAACAAATAAAAATAGAAATATTTCTAACACTCTTAAATAATTCTATTTAAATGAGAATTGTGACCCAAGAAACCTAATTCAATCTTTTTATTTAAATTGAGTTTGAATGCAACAATATGAATAGAAATCTTAGATATAGTAAAATAAAAAACAAAAATAGTATTGATGATAATATATCAAAAACAAAAAGAATAAAGAATTTATGATCAATATTTATATTTTAATAAAAAATTCATAGAAATCGTATTGAATAAATTCTTTATTGTACTTTAAGATTTTGATATAAATATTAATTAAATTTATTTAATTGTTAATCGAATTTAATTCTATAGGTTCCAGCATGAGTGAGATGTTCGATTTCCTCTTTGAGTGGTTCAAGAATAGTTGGAAGATGTTTGGCAACAGCAGGTCTTTGATTCATTCTGTCGAGCCATGCCAATACATTCTTGTATTTCTGATAATTTGGAAGAAATCCTTCACGAATATAGACTGCCCATGAATAGACTGCCATATCGACAATCGAATATTGATTGGCTGCAATCCATTCTTTACCTTCCAATTGTTTATCGAGAACTGTGTAAAGACGATCGGTTTCCTTGAGGTATCTTTCTTCAGCAATTGGAACGGCTTCTGGTGCAAAACAAGAGAAATATGTATATTGACCATTCATTGGTCCCAATCCAGAGATTTGCCAAGCCAACCATTGGAGTACATCGGCATATGAGTGTGGATCTGTGTTGAGATCTGGAATGAATTTTCCATTTCCATGTTTCTGTGCCAAATAGATGAGAATTGCACCGGATTCAAAGATCTTCAATGGTGGATTGACAGTGTAGTCAATTATTGCTGGTACTTTTCCATTTGGGAACAGCTTGATAAATTCTTTTCTCTTATCACTGTGCTCATTGAAGATATCGATATCTTCATAGACATAATCGATTCCCAATTCATCGAACAGGAATTTGATCTTCCATGGATTGGTTGTTCCAGTACCATAGAATTTATATGGTTTTCCTTGGTTGAGATGAGTGTTATCGGTTGAATTTGATTGTTGTTGACTCATTTTTAATGTTGTCTTATTGTTTATTTGATTATATACAAATGTTTTGATAGTTTTAATTATTATTTGAGTTTATTATTAGATTGATGATTAACTTTGGTTTGAAGATATTAAAAATGAAAAATAAGTTGTATTTATAGTGTGTCATTTCTAAATTTAAATAAATTGGAATAACTTAAACTAAAATAGATAATAATTTGATTGTAAATGAGAGAATGTAAGAGAATCATTAATTGATAGAGAACATGCTTCACTGAAGCCCCTTCACGAACATATAACCCCCATTAATTTGTCTTTTTTTTAAGCAAAAAATGAAATTTTGATCTTTTTTTTTATTGGCAAAATTTTTGAAAGAATCAGAGAAGACTTGTCTTTCTCAGTGATTTGGACAGATATATCGATCTATTAATTTATCATAGAATTCCTTTAGTTTTCCTTGATGTCTCTCAACAAATCATTTTACAACAAATTAAAATTTATAAATATGAATATAGATTCTTTTTTTTTTCTCATTTATTCAAAACTTTTAATAATTTGTTATAAACAATAAATTTTTTTATTTTTATTCTTTTCCATTAAAGTTTTGAAGGTTGCTAACCACTCTGGACTTTTATGCATAACCTCCCTCAGGTACTTTGTATCAATGTAAATAAAATCTGATAAAAATTTGATTGTTTCATAACCATTGTTGTTTACGCATTCCACTATTGAAACTTGATCGACTTTTACATTAACTAAATAAGATGAATAGTGTTGATTGATTAATTTAAGAATGGGTAGATTGTTTTTCTTGGCAGAGTTTCTGAATATACTGTGGATAAAGTTGGTTTTGTTCAGTTGACTATCGGAGCTGTTCATGAATGCTTTTACGACATACCATCTTCCTTTCAGGCCAATGGTTTGAGAGTGAATGTATTTAGTGAGTTTACCATCGCTCAATACCAGGTTGATCAATGCAACTCTTCCATTGACACCGGCCAAATATATGAGTTCGTTTATACAAAAATTATCGGGACTGTGTTGCAGGAAGATACGGTAGGCATAGGTATCACCATACTCGCCAATCATCTCGATATTCTCTTTCGTCAGCTTCTCGGTTGGTCGTGTTTGAAGTAGATACTCCATCATATCGTACTGTCGGTTGAAAAGAGCAGTCTCTATTGGTAAACCATATTTATCAATCCAAGCGCTGTCGAAACTGCTACTACTGACTTTCGAGTTCATGAATTGTACAATCTCCATTAGTCCATTACCAACGGCGATATAAAATGTGAAACTTTTGAAAATGCTCTCCAACCTGTATGCTGTTGCACCATTTACAGACAACAATGGATATGTAATTTCTAACAAATACTGCACAATCGGGAGTTGTTTGTCATCGTCAGGCATAAAGGGCTCCCATCCTTTCAAAACTAATGGATAGTATTCGTTCATGTATTGCTCCATTTCTGTTGATTTAGTAGGTGGAAATTCGGATATATTACCATAATGAAACTCTAATTCGCTATCCAATTTGGGAATACCAACAGAAGAAGTATCGAAAGTAGTTAGATTAACTTCAACAGGTGAAGAGGAGATATTAAATATGTCTTGTGCTATTGCTTTCAAAATATCGAAAGGATGCTCGGTAGATACATTGAGAGGATGGTTATTGTAATTTTCTTGCAACTTATCAAATGCAATCTGAAAATCTAATTGGCGATCTAAATAGTTGTCCAACCAAAATGAATAAACTTCAAGATCCGGTATCTTTTCAATTCGATATGGAACAAGCTTATTAATGATATATGAGTCTTTAGATATCAAATTCCTGTCGTGAAACCTCTTTAAAACCTTTAGATCTAAAGGTGTGGTGGGGAAAAAATCATAATAACACCAATAAGTTTTACCGTCAAACACATCTTCCTTTTTATCAAGCAGGCTATTTATAACAAATGAATTATTCTTTGAGCCGAGTATTAAAAGAGAGCGTTCTTTGATTTCCTTATAGATTTTAGGTGTGATAGGTTGCTCCATAAACATTTCAAATAATGGTAGATGATAATCGATTGCAGCAATAAAGTCATTATAACTGTATTGGTAACTTTGCTCGACTAGATATTTGAAATTGTCAATTGTGATACCAGACTCGATTAAACGAACTGCACTTTCGAAAGGATGATCACTTCCTCCAATCAGTTGGTAGATCCATTGATATGCCTCGATGAATGCTGATCTCTCTGCTTTTGCATATGAGCAAAGCAAATCCCATGTTACTTTCTCAAGAGGATTCAAATACTCTTTCGATTTCGACCGCAGCAGTGTGATATACTTGTTCCTGATGAGCCAAGGCGCACTATCGATATCACTGGCTCTCCAATTGTTTGTAAAGAATGAGCTGTCCTTGGTAATTGACAATCTAGCGAGAGTGTAGATTTTGCCTGATTTCCTGATGCGCTTGAACTGAACAACTTCACTGCTCTCTATTATATTGTCGGCATTGATTATCTTCAAAGGCATCAAAGCTTTTGGGTAACACGACTTTACCATGATCAATATCTTTGCCAACAGATATTTATTAAACAAAACCAAACCAACAGAGTCACATGAAGATCTTCTCTCACCACTATCCAACTTTACTTCTTTTGATGATTCCCATTTGTTCTGAACAATTGTATCATAACTCCTCTTTGACATTCTTTTGATAATAAATAAATAAAATGAGCATTAAAAAAAAAACAATGTTTAAACCAAATTTTTCTCGTTTTATTAATTTTTCCCTCATTAGGTGAAAAAACTATTTGTTTCTCCAATTAAATTCCACTAAATTGGTAATTATTTATTTTTTACTTATAAATCAAAGAATGAATTCAAGGTAAAAGACAAATAAATAAAATAAAATAAAAAAAGATATGGTATGACATTTTGTTTAAAAAGAATTTTGTTTTTATAGAAATTCTCTGTTTGATTTTCTAAGTTGGGGGAGTTATTCTTTATACATATAATAGTAAATTAATTAATTTATGATATTTCAATTCTTTGGTGTACCTTTCTTTGGCTCCTCCAAAATATGAGTGGTAACTTTTTCTGTCTTTTTATCAGTTGGATGAGTGTTGCTGCTACTGCTACTGTTGGTAGCTGTAACTGTGTATGTGGTGGTGGTGGTTGCGGTTGGTTTGCTTGAGGTGTTGGTTGTTGTATGGTGATGATTGTGATGACTATCTGAAGAGGTAGTTGTGTTGGGTTTGCTGTTGCTGGCAGTCACTGTTGTTTTATCGTTGTGTTTCTCCTCGACCACCACCGAGGTGACTGTGGCTGTGGTTGCGGAAGCTGTGCTTGTATTGCTGTGGCTGGAAGCAGATGCCTCTGGATGATGTCTAGAGTCTGCTGCTGCTGGTGGTGGTTGGTGAGTGGTGCTGCTAGTGTCTTTCTTGTCTTCTTTTGACTTTTCTTGTTGATGTTGATGTTTTTCGGCTACTTTTTCGTCTTCTGCGGCCTCTGCGGCAGTTTCGCCAACGGATTCACCACCGTTCCACGATGCCATATATTTATCGAGTAGTTTGAAGAGTTCGGTGACTTCTTTCTTTAGTTCGTCAAGATGCTCTGCGGCCTTCTCCAGCTGCTTCTCTTTGCATAGTGACTCTATCTTTCCACTGACAAATCTGACAGCCTCTGCACCTATATAACTGCTGCTACCCTTGATATCGTGTGAATGTAAAATCGATTCCTTCTCGTCGAGAGTTGCCAACGACTTGTCGAGCTGGGGCAAATGCTCTTCCACTGAAACTTTATAGGAATTTATCAACTCTGCCTCGAACTCGTGGTCTCCCTCCGAGTAGTCGGCCAGAACTCTCTGTTGAAATCGCTCTGTTGGTGTTGGTCCTGTATAGTCTGTATTCATTATTTAAATATTATAATAAAAAATTATATACAATATAATATATAAATATATATATAGATTTTATTATTTTTTGATATAGTAGCTATTTATCTTTGTGTATTATTTTGTTTTTGTTTTTGTTTTGCTTTGCTTTGCTTTGTGTTTGCAATTTTTGTTAAAAACAAATTAAATTTGATCCTGTCTTTAATTAAGAATTAATGAACACACTACTTTACAAAAGCACACTATAGTATTTAAATTAAGTTTTTCTATACTAAAAAAAAAATTATGCTTGAAAATAAAATAGAATAATTTTAGTTAATAAATGAACATTCACATAGATTATTTTTATTTTTGAAAAAAAAAAAAAAAAAAAATATCGATTAAATTGGAATTCAAGAAAAATATGAAAGGACAAGATAATGGAATGGATTAAAATAATTTAAGATTTGGGTCTTTAATTTTTAATTAATTTTATAAAAATTATTATGAAAATAATTTAAGATCTTAAATTTTTTATAAAAATTATTATAAAAGCAGACAGACATACATAAAGTTAGTCAGCGGCAATCATACTTTAAATAAATACAATAAATTGTTGAATTGTTGTTATGTTTGTTTGTTATTATTGTGTTGTTTTTGATGATGCTAAATTTTTATTTGCGACCAATATACGAAAAGTAAATTTAAATTTTGTTGGAAATGGATATGATTGGATTTTGAACAAAAATAATGAAAGTTACTTTTAAAAAATAAATAAAATGATGTTATAAAATAAATGTTACTGTTGTTTGTGATATATTACACATTACTACTATTATCTCTAAGAGTTGATATAATTGAAATAAGAATAAAATGTATGGTAACTATATAATTTTAATATTTATATTAATTTTAAATTTTTTATTGTTTTGTTGTTGAATCAATCATATTGATTTTATTTTTGATTGATTTTGATTTGATTTTGTAATCAGTGCAATTACATAAAAAAAATAAAATAAAAAAAATCATAATCAGCAATGTTTGCAAAAATTAATCAACAACAAATGATAAATTTATTAAAATAGAACTAAATTGTTTACTCATTTTCTTTATTCGCCAAATTTGACAACACTACTATAAGTACTTACTGTTCTGGTTGTTGAATTTCTACTACTACTTTTACTACACTGCTTTTACAACTCTTGTTAATATTTAAAATAGTATTTCATAAACAACATAAAGATACAACAGTATTTATGAATAATAATAGTAGTACTACTAATGATTAAGTTGAAATGTTTTGTTGTGGTGTTCTTTATAAATAGAAATGTTTATATAAGAGTAAATAAATATAAATTTATATTGATATATATACAATTAAATTCGGTAGGTTAATTTATTTTTATTTTATTATTTTTTGTTTGTTTTTGATTTTTGTTATTTAATGATGAATTAATTCATCCAGTGTTTCATGTGTGAATGGGGGATAGGGTGAGTGGGTGATGATGAGATGAGCTTGAGTTTAGTGGGCTTAGTTATTAAGTCAGTGGACAACTGTTATAATAGAATTTGAACAATATATCAACAACAACAGAACAACAAATTAATTAAGGTGGTGTCATCAGTAGTAACAACAATACCTTTAGAATCCTAGGAGATATTGTAATTGGCTCCAATTTTCTGATATTGAATCGTGAAAAATGAACATAATACTGACTGATTGATATAAAGATGGAACAGATGGAATGCAAGACAAGTCAGAAACAAACTATTACCTAATAAAAAAAAAACTATATATCTTTTATTTGATTTATGATGTTATTGACTGTCTCTGCTTTACGATGACAGTCAACACTTTATTGGACAAAAATATATAATCGATGTTTATTAATGCTACTGTCAGTTCAGAGGATGATTTGGTGGAGATCATGTGCTGCCACTCTTATTTTTAAATTGAAACACAAATGCAAAACAAGGATATTTTTGGAAAGGGTGCAAGTTTGGTCATTCGAATTGTGACACTGACAAAAGTTGAATAGATTGTGACCATAGAATAACAGCACATCAATATTTTCAAATAAAAATATAAAAAAAAGGGTACGTGAGCACACCATCCGAAATACCACACATATAACATATTTGGTTTTAAAAAAAAAAAACAAAATTAATTAAATTAAGTCTGAAATAATAATGTCGATGAAGTTGCAAAAAAAAAAAAAAGAAAATAACAACACTCACTTATAAAATTAATCTTTTTAAAAAAGAAGAATTGAATATAATTGAAACAATATTATCTTTAGAACATAGAGAAATAAATGAAAAGAATATAAAAGAAAAAAGAATATTAAAGTTGAAAAAATGATTATATACTTTGTTTTTTTTTTTGCTAGATTGATGCAGTTCTTTTAATTAAAATGATTGACTGATCAGAAATATTACCAAGTATTGGGGACTTATGATTCTTATTCTGTTTTTTATTTAAATTTTATTGTATTTAATTAAAAAAAAAAAACAAAGCTCTAAATTTTTCTGCTTTAAAAAAAAAAATTACATTGCACAAAAAAATCAAATTATTTGAACCATTAATTTTAACAAAACTGTTTGTCCAAAAAAAGAACACGATGTTTAATATCACATGATTTGGGTTGTTTGTGACACTAAAATATCAAATAAATTAATAAAAAAATAAATGCTTCTATTTAAGACTCTGATAGAAAAAAAAAAATAAAAAATGTCAGACACTGACACCTAAACCTCTTGATATTCAAAAACTTGACACAAGATGAGAATCTCAATCTAACTTGGTTTCTTTGAATGTGGATAATCCAATTGGAGTTGTTCTACTATCACCCCAATCTCATTGTAATTGTCAACACTCTTTTGTTTTTTTTTTTCTACAAAATAATGAATAACATAGGCTTCAAGAGAAAGTAGATAGTTGACCATTTTACTTTTTTCATCATAACTAATGAAAGTAATAAAAGAATAAAAGTAAGATAAATGTTTCCAAAAAGACCTAAATCATTGGAGTTCGAATGAAGTCTGAGTGAGTTAGTAAGTTAGTTAGTTAGTTAAAGCTATCAATGTTAAATGTAAAGTAAACGATGTCGTATGATTTATTTCATAAACATCTATTTTTTCATTTTATATAAATTAAAAAGGGGTATAATATTATTATATGGAGGAGGTGGAGATGGTGGATGTGTAATTGCTTGTGGTTGATTTGAATGATTGGTTGGTATATGACTACGTGTCGTGCGCTGTATTCGTACGTTAAATAGTTTTTAGTTGTAGTGATAATATATAATAACAAAAATTGCTGCTGCTGCTGAAAATGAATATCAGGCCATCGTAATTTAATTGATCTTAATTCCTTCTCTTAATGCTGGAAGATCAACACGATACTTTGGTTCGGAGTATTCCTCCTCGTTCTCCTCAGATGTTTCGATATTCTCTGTTTTATTGATGGGTGCATTGGTTGGTGTGAGTGCAGTGCAATTCATACAGGTCATCGATGAGTAACTGTACAAATCGATTTGATAGCATTGATCTGCTGGACATGGTCCACCTGTTGGGAATGGAATACATTTCTTTACAGAGGTAACATATAATCCTTCGCTGTTCTCATCAAACATATTTATATATAAAAAATAAAAAATTAACAACAAAGAAAGAAAATAAAAAAAGAAAATAAGTAAGTATGGGTGCAAGTCAGAAAAGTTAACTATGATAGATTACCATTTTGGTTGTGGAAGAGGTGCCTTTTGCCATGCGTAAATATTAACAGAGATACCAGCGAGAATGGTCGATAAAATGAGAAGTGCTAACAAGTATTTGAATTTTGGATGGATGACATCATCTCTGTCTCTCCACCAACGTACCAACAAACCAGTTGAGATCAATATAACAAGCAGTGTGACAACTAAAACGAAATCTCTGGGTTGTTTAATTCCAAAAAATACACCAATTGCCAATGAAAACTATGATATTATATTTTAGATTGATTACCATCATCATCATAATATTAATATTAGTCAATCTAAAATTTATTGGTTTTGTGGGTCAAACAAACAACGACTCGGTAAAAACCCACTCACAAACAACCAACATTTTCAAATCAAATGATGGTTGTAATATGTAAACAACGTAAACCTACAAGTGAAAAAATAGTGACAGCAAGTCCCACCAGATATTGAGTGACCTGTGTTTGCTTTCTTTGCTCTCCAAATAATGGTTGATCCATCTTTCTTTATATATTATTATTGTATTGTTTTATTATTAAATGTAGTACTACTCTATTAATTTATAATTCTATATATTAATAATAAATAAAATAAAATAATTGGCAATTACAACAAAATAATGAAAAAACAATCAGTTGTGTGGGGGATTACTTAATTGAATTTTCAAAAGAAACTTTTTGCTTTTTCTTGAGTCCAATTTTTTCTTTTTTATTTTTTTTTTATGTTTAAAAAAAATATAAAAAAATCAATCAGATTTAATAGAATGTGTTTGGATTTATGAATACATAAACTTAAGCATAAGTATCTGTTTTAACCCAATACATAGGTGGTAATGTATGATAGCAAAAGAAGGTTCTCGAAAATTAAAGAAATTAGAAAAAAAAAAAACACATAAAGTTTTTAAAATTTTTTTTAATAATTTTTTTTTTTTACATGTAAAACCACAGAAACCTTTTGGTTTCACGACCATCTATATATAAAATAATATAAATTGATAAGTCTACCGTCAATTATTACTAAGAGTTACTTGTATCTCATTGTTAAAATATTGATTATCTTGGGTAACCTTGTAAAAATTCATATATATATCAGCTAAGTTTTTTACATTCAAAAAGTAGAATAATAACAAACAAAAGAACTATTATTCTTAATGCCAGCTAGCACCGGTTGAAAGCTTAATTTGTTTAAGGTCAAGGATAATAATATTAATCAAAGCATTGTCCCATAAAAAAATGATGGGAAATTAACTTTCTCCTTTAAAAAGAGTCGGTTTTCGATCCAAAAAATTTCTGTTCGTTTTTTTGTCGAAAGAGAATGTCAATGATGATTAACATGTTCTGCTACTGAATGTAACTGTGGATAACACATACCATTACCAAAACACTTCTGATGCATTCCTCCTTTTTTTTTTTTTCTGGCGGATCTTCTACCTCCACAGCTCACCGTTCGACAAATATAGCTTTTAGTTTAATTTAGAATTGCTGAACTTTGTATATTATCTATAGACTTCAAATCAAAAAAAAAAAAAAAAAAAAAACAAAAAAAAAAAAACCGTTCACTCTAAAACACCTTAAACAATAATCAAAAAATAACAAAATAAAAATAATCTTTTACTGTTGCCACACGTTTTTATTATTTACAAGTTTACTATGACTTTGATGTCGTCAGTATCACAAAGTCTAGTTCTTGGATTGTGTATTTAGTGACTTTGGTTGTTGGTTGTCTAGTTGATTGATTTTGATACACAAATGATATCTTGATTTCTCATTTGAAAACTACAGTTAAAAGTAAAAGAATATATTCATATTAATATAAAAGAATATTTAGTAATTAAATTTAATACATACTTGATTATGGAAATCATTTTTGAAATAAGTTCTAATCTTCTGAGTTTGGAGATCAATAGATTTGTTAAGGATATCTTCAACTGTAATACTGGAACCCTTCTCATATCCCTTTAATACTTGATTGATTAACTTTCGAATGGAATTCTTTTCATATCTCTCTTTTGATCTCTTTGAATGCTTCTCCAATACCTTTTCCTTTGGTTCCGATTTCTTGTCTTCAATGTTGTTATTGTTGTTCGATTGTTGTTCCAAATTTAGAGTTGGAGTTGGTGTTTAATTTATTTGTTGAGTTACTCCAAGAATAGTTATTAGAGTATTGGGATTGTTGTTAGATGACTTCGAAGAACCCAGTTCAATATTTTGAACCCCTTCAATGATTGTAGTGTTATCCTTAACCCTCTCAGAAGAACGATTGTTTCCCCTTTCAGATCCCCTTTCAGCCCTCTCTGATTTCTTAGCCCTCTTTTCAGCACGTAAAGCTGCCCTCTCTTTCTTTCTTTCTTCCCTTTCGATACGTCTGGCTTCACGTGATTCTGGTTGTTCTCTTTCTTCTCTTTGGCATACCATTTTTGTTTGATAAAATTAAATATTTACGATTTATCCCAAATGTTAAATAGATTAATGTTTGTTTATTTGTTTAAATTTATAATTTGATTTGAATAATGAATTAAATATTCTAGAAAGTGACCTATTTATATTTTATTGTTCTTTAAATTTTAAAAATTATCTTTCTTGTTATTTAGGAACGAATCTTTGACCAGCAAATTCTTTCCCAAAAAACAAAATTGAGAAAATAAAATAGTTTTGGGACCGTTTTTATTGTGAGCAAAAAACTGTCCCTTTCTTAGGTTGGAACGTTGTGCTGAGTGGAAGCTGAGAAACAAATGAGTTTTGGTGGGTCTCGAGAGAAGAGGGAATAATAGATAGTAAAAAGGTGTGAATAGATCTTTGTTAATTTTTTTTAAAAAATGTTTATTAGTTTTGAGATTTGGAATACATCAGATGTTTGTAGACTTCTGGATGTAAAATCTTTTCAAATAAAAATGTGTATTGACTCTTTTCCAGCCAATCGTAAAGAATTTGTTGTGATTTCTCTAAACCATTTAGTTGTACCAATGCCTCAAATGAGTTGTCCAATATCATTTCACTCGGTGTTTTGACTGTTTTGGATGCACCAGTATTTTGTGAGGAGGTTGGCAAATTGCTTGGTGTTTGGTGAGTTGGTGAAACATTTCGGCGGTGATCAAAAGCAACTCCAGCTTTACTTGTTGTTGCATGATCACGCAGTGTTGTATTTAAATTGTTGAGATGATGGTGGAGTTGTTGATGATGATGCGAGTTTCTAAGACCCTCCTTTACAACCTCATCATTATCAATGATATCGTAACTGTTTGTAAGTTTCAGTGAGTTATACTTTGGTCTTTGTTGCATAGGTGGTTGTTGAGCTGTACATGATACTGGTGACGAATTATTATTGGGGTGTTGCGTGGACGTTGGCGTCGGCGTCGGCGTCGTCAGTGGCGTCGTCGTCGTCGTCGTTGGCTTGGGCGATGAAGTCGTTGTCTTGGTGATATCAGTGATAGGCAAAGACTTGGAGCCACTTTCATTAAAGAAATTACGGAAGTTCTGCAAAGTATTGAGTGTCATTATATCCTCTTCAAGTAGATTGTGATCACCATACTTTGAACGCAGCTTCTTAATCTCATTCATTTGGTGTAGCTCATCTTTTTCGTTGGTCTCTGGAGTGCTTGTAGCAGATGACTGTGGTGACTTCTCTTGGTTGACTGGATTCAAAAGCAATTCAATCTTGGAGTTGAATTTCTTTGTGTTGCCGTGAGTGACGTTAGTTTCCTCGGTGATCTCTTCCAAGTCAGTGCGGTTAGAACAACTGTTTCCAGTTGTTGGTGACTTCTCGTCGCCAGACTTATTAGAGTTGGCACCCATTACAAATATAATATGAGAATTATCACCAAGATTAAATTGTGCTATAATAAGAAAGAAAAAAAAAATCGATAAATTAGTAAACTTGGTTGAAGAAAAGAAATAGGATGATCATATACATACATGGAGTAAATGGTTTTTTACAAACCTTGCACCACCATCTTCGCTTATCATGTTTTCTTGTTGCTTGTTGGAAGCACCTTCCGCATTGTGGAGCGGTGTTGCCGATGAATTCACCATTGGCATCGAGTTTCTTTCCTTTACGGAATGGTGTGAATGATTTGGTACAGTTTTTACACCACCATCTTCTCTTGTCGTGACGTCTGGTTGCTGGTATATTACAATTTGGACAAGCGGGATTCTCCCCTAGTGATGTGAGTAACTTGATATGATTATCCATTTCTTTGGTTATCTTGGGGTTGTTGTTGTTGTTATGAGTGTGATTGGCGTCGTTACATTGCGATGAACAACCAGTTGATTTTGTAGGACTGTTGGTACCGCCAAAGGTATGTGCGCCGCTTCCACCAAGTGGAGTGGTCGATGGAGTGATGTTGCGAGGTGAGAGGAAACCGGTACCACTACCGCCACTTTCGTGATGCTCATCTTCATCATCAGCGTCATACGAGTCCTCATCGTGAGAATCGTCGTGATTGCTGTGATTTTCGATCTCGCTGCTCAAGCCGAGTGGAAGCAATGATTTATGTGGGTGTTGTTTGCAGTCACAGTGTTCGGGTTGATTGCAAGGCAGATTGTGGAGGACATCGGTGATTGGCGATGTTTTCAATGCCTTTAAGATATTTGTTGATATATTGCTTTGATGATGATGAGGGTGATGGTTATGTTGTTGACTATGATGGTCACTATTACGGTGATGGTGTTGGTGTAATGAAAACATTGGTAAATCGCTGTGTGATGGTAGTGACTCTATAGAATGATGTGAGAATGCCTTTAATTGTTGTTGAATAGATGGGAAGTTCTGTGGTGATGTGGCAGACGATGTAGAATTGGAGGAAGACGAGTGAGACATACTATCCATACAGTTTGGAAGGTATGGGAATTTTATTTGGCCAGGCATTGGCAGATCCTCTAATCCCAACTCTAATCTTCTTTTTATACCACTACTGTTTGAAAGTGAATTGTGGCTGCTCATACTACTGCTACTACTACTACTACTACTATTACTATTATTATTATTCATTTTTATGATTGTATTTAAAATTTTCTGGAGAGATCTCTAGAAAAATATGGCAAAATAAATAAGGGAAAAAAAAAGGTGGAAATATATGGAAATTAATTTTAATTAAATAGGAATATGGTTATTTAACTTTGAAGGAAGTTGTAAACTCTATTTCTATTAGCTATTGTTATTATTATTCTATTATTGATTGTAATGATTAATATAAGTTATTATTATCTATGTTTAGTGGTTGACTAAACATCTCCCCTTTTTGATTGATCAAGACCAATTACGACTATGATTGTTTAAACACTAGATATAATCGTTAAAGTGAGAGAAGTAATATATTATAATGCTATTAGTTGTTGAGACTGCTTGTATAAACATAAAAACTATAAATAATTAATAGTTGATCTTGATAATGATTAATGATAATAATAAAAATAAATAAAATAATAAAATAAAATGAAATAATTAAATATAAAACTGAATATACTTTAATTAATCTAAATAGATATTTAAATAAACAGAATAATTAGACGAGCAAGCATAAACAATGCAACGATGAATAATAAAATTTTGAAAAAGTGAAAAAATTGTCTGTTGGAAAAAAAAAAATGTTGATAGTGAGCTGAGGAGGTGTGAAAAAAGGTAAACTATTGAATTGAATTGCTAACTATGATAAACAATTATATAGATAGATAAACAGTTGGTATCAAATTAATTTATATTTATGAATAGAATATGAATAATTTAAAATCATATATCTTTATTATTGTTTTTTTTTTTCTTTTTGATACTAAATTAAATTGATTTTTTTTTTTTTTTTTCTTGATAAAAAAACTAATGATTTGTTTGTTATGTATGACCAAACTTGCTTGAAAATATTATTATTTATCTATTTTATATTATTTTATTTTTATTCTTTTCCCCTTTTTAACACACTACTCCCTTAACTAACTAACTAATAAAAATAAATAACGAATTATAAATTTACTATTCTTTGTTATTATTAAACAGATTTTAAAAATAATTGTTTATCTCAAATTGAAAAGATATAAAATAAACAAAAAACCAAAAACAAAAATAAAAAAAGAGAAAAAAACCAAAAACAAACAACAAAAATAAAAAAAGTAAAATAAAAAACACCCAAAATTCCCTATTGTCAAGAGACTGTGTGATGCATGGTGTTGGTGAATGTGGGGGTAGTGAAAACCAAAAAATCAAAAATCACCAGGCATGTGAAAGTTGGGGGTCACAAAAACAAAAATACAAACAACAGAAAAAAAAATAAAATTTAAATTGAAACTAATTTTTAAAAAACGCCCCATCATTCATGATGATAAACACCCAATTCCACTATTGCAAATCAACAATTGTTTTGTGAATATGAAGAAAAAGTTTCTTTGTTTACCACAAGTATACAAATTTTGGAGATTATGTAATGTTATGTGATGTGTTGTGTTGGTGTTTTGTGAGTGTGTTGAGTGACTAATGGTGATAGATAGTGCAGTGTTAGTGAAGATTTTATTATTATCACCAATTAATTATAAACATTCACTATTCCCATACTCAAGTGGTAAAATTGATTTAATTGATATGACTAACTGTAATTAATTATGATGTGTAAGCTCGAGTGAATACTCGTATTGAATAAATTCAGAATCAATGGAGTTTTTTATATACATTAATCATTTTAATCAATCGATTGATTATGTTAACAATTCAATTTAGTGTTGAATTAGTTAATTGTGTTTGAAATTTGGTTGGATGGTAACAATTTTTTTTGAAAGAGTTTGAATTTTATTATATGATAATTTGGGATTACAATTGAGGTAGTAGGTTTATATTATAGAATGAAACAATATTCATTGTTTTGTTCAATGTTGAAGTGGAGTGTATTTGTTTTTTTTTTTTTTGTTGATTTGATTAGGGTTTTTTTTCTTTGGTGTAAACTTAGGTAAATTATGATAATACAAGTCTTTTAATAAGTATCAGCACCTGGAGTGGATGGACAGAATAGGGACATGAATTTATAGTTTGGAACACCGAGACTAGCATCAAGACGTACGTCACCGTTGTTTCCACCACCATTCTTTTGAACGATTTCAATGAGTGTGCTGTAGTTGATACCTTGGTAGTTCAACTTGTTTCCGAGACGAGCAACACGTTGATGCTTGATCAATCCAGACTCGTTTACGACCTGTGAGATTGTGAAGCAACCAGAGTTGGTCGAACTGAAACGGACCAAGAACGATCCGACCGGTTGACCATTGAGACGTGAGGCAGCATCGACAGTCTCCAAGTATCCGTGGAACCACTTTTGAGCGAGGATTTCACGCACGATTTCCATGAGCGATGGTCCTTCACCAGAGGCGCACATCGGTCCAAAGAACTCGAGGATCTTTCCAAATTTCTCAATGTTGACGACATTGTCCACTCCAGTACCCTCGGACTTGGGTGAATCGGCGAGGATTGCCTTGAGACACTTGATGTTCAGATACTCGGTCGATGTCTTTTCGCATTGGTTTCTGGTGGGTACTTTCGACCACTCACAGAGTGCGTCGATGAACGACTCCCATGGTACTTCTTGCTCGGTGAGGAAGCACTTCTTCCAGAATTCACGTCCTCTGAGGTCAGAGATGGCAGCGTCGACAATGATATGATCGAGACACGAGATGATCTCCTTGAACGATGGACGTCTGGCTGGATCCTTGTCCCAGCATCTCTCGATTAACTTTCTCAAGAGATCCAAACAGTCGTGTGGAATGGGTGGACGCTCGTGCTTGACACAGACTGCCTCTCTAAACTTTTCGAGTTCTCTGTGGTGTGAGAATGGTTCCTTACGTGTTAGAATCTCCCACAAAACAATACCGAATGAATATACATCGCTAGACTCATTGAACTCCTTGAACATCATAACCTCTGGTGCCATATACAAAGGAGTACCCTTTGCACTAGATTGATCCTTCAACATTTTATGTTTTTGTTTCAAAGCAGATAGACCGAAATCGCAAACTATATATAAATACAAATCAATCAATTATCAATATTGTTAGTAACATAATCATCATCATCATCATATTCACATCTTCATTCTTACTTTTAACTTGCATATTTTCATCCACTAAAAGATTTGAAGATTTTACATCTCTGTGTACAAATACAGGGTTTGATTCGTGCAACCAATTGATACCCAATGCTGCATCTCTTGCCACTAAAAATAGGATAATAGGAATTAAAAGTTAATAAAAGTTTTGAATTTGATTTGATCCGATTCAACCGAATCGATTTGATAACTTACTTCTCATTCTAAGATATAATGGGAGTTGAATTTTTTCGTCGTGTAACAAGGTTTCCAAGTTACCTTTTGGAACGAGTTCAGTTACGATAACACATTTACCTGGGATGGTACATGCACCCATGAAAAGACAGATATTTGGATGGTAGATCTTGCTCATCAGATGCACCTCCTTTCTAAAGGCAGCAAGTGTAGCGGCATCATAGTTTTGTTTGTGTAGCAACTTGACGGCCACTGATTTTTGACGACAACGACCCTTATATACTTTACCAAATGAACCAGTACCGATCAGTTCCTCGAATGTAATTTCCTCTGGTCTGATTTCGGGTGGTCCAGATCTATCGGAGTTCAACTGTTGTTGATGATAGTATTTTTCTAGATTAGTTTGATTCGATTTCTTTTTTGAACTACTACTATCATTTTGATGATTATGATTATGATGATGATTGTGATTTTGTTGATTATCTTTATTGACTTCTATGGATGACAATATTTTTTCTGATCGCTTTACATCTTGTTTATTTATTTGTTCTTCTTCATCGTCGCAATTAACATGATGTTGATTATTATTATTATTATTATTATTATTATTATTATTATTATTAATTATTATTATGTTTCTTATCGGTATTAAATGATTTATTAAATCTGCACTGAATATTATTGAATATTCTATCAAGAGTAAAATGTGATTCTTGATTTCTCAACATTATTATATTGTTTTGTATTTTTGATCATATAAGATCCTTAATTGTCAATCTTTAGACTTTGGTTTTATTTATTATTTTGGTTGATATTGTTGCTATTATTATTATTGATATTGTTATTTATATTTATAGTTATTTGATAATGATTCATTTCATCTAGATTCGATTTTAAATGTTATTATTGCTATTACTATTATTATTATTATTATTATTATTTTGCAAGTGTCAACTTTATACTATATTGGTAATTATAATAATACTTACATCTTGATATGAACTGAATTGGTCAGTTCTTAGTTGTTGTGGATCCATTGTTTGTTCTACTATCGTATATATATGGTTATATCTTTAATATCTAGTGTTGTTTTTTTTATTATTTGATTTATTATTTAGTTTTTTTTTTGTTTTTTTTTTTATTATTACACGCTAATATTACTATAGTGTTGATAAAAACAAAAAATTATTCAACAAGCAACAAAAGATTAAAATAAAAACAAAATAATTATGAAAACAATTTATATTAGTTGTATGTATGTTTGTTTACTGATGAATAAATCGAATGTAACCTTTTATTTGAAATTTTGTTTTTTTTTTTTTTTTTTTTTCAAAGATGATGATTTTGTTGGCTTAAAATGTTTTCATTGAATTTGTACAAAGTTATATTAATTAATATTAATTATATTGACCATACCTGCGTATTATTGTTTCGTTTTTGAAATCAAAAAAAAGAATAAAAATAAAAATGATTTTAGATCGCAGATAATTGTAATTAAAAATAAAAAAAAGTAAAAAAAAAGTAAAATTAATTCTAGATTATTTAATTTATTATTATTTAAAAAAATAAAATAAAACTGCAGTTAAATATTGGAAAATGAAAAAAATACTGTTTATTTATTAAAAAGGATAATCAAAAAATTGAAATTTATTTTTTTCTTTTTAACACAACAACAAAAATTATTAAATTTTCTTGCCAATTGTGTGGTTTTTATCAAACGGGAAATGGAAACAGAATAAGTATGATGATTTTTGCTTTGTCAACAACACCTGCAACTGCAAGTAATTCTTAAGCTTGTTATCAATTAGTTGATTACACTATCAATTTAGCATATTGATTACGAATGATTTAGGCATAATACCGAAAATAAAAGAGGTATTCTACTGATGAGTCTTACCCAAATATTCTCTTTCATCTGTGAAACAAAAGACTTTACAACAAATTATAAAATATAACGAATGGGTTATTTATCAAAAAATAATTTGTTTATTAAAAGGGAGGGATATGTATCAGTGCAATGGAGATAGAATTCGAAGATTATTATTGCTTGTCGACACCACCAAAGTTAGTGTTTGGAACTGCATAGTAATATTGAACTGGGAAGTAGTATGGTTGTTGTTGTTGTTGTTGTTGTGGCAATCCATTGGTTGATGGCATTTGTCCGTATGGCATGTTGATTGGGATCATCATTGGCATTGGTTGTGGTTGTGGAGCAGCAGCTGTTGGCTTGGCTGATTGCATATTGAATTGTTGAGCTGGATAGAAGTTGGCGGTGTTAGAGTTGTTGTTGTTTACATCATTTGACTCTGGTTCCTCAGAAACCAATTCAATGGTAGCCAATGGTTGATAGGCACCTTGCTTCAACAATTTAATATGACGAGTATAGTTCTTCAAGTTCATAGCCTAAAATAAAATTAATATTAAAAAGAAAAAGTTAATCAATCAACCAACTAACCAATCTTTATAAAAAAAAAAAAAAAAGAAAAAGATTACTTACATAGATGATGATGAATGCCAATGAAAGAAGGAATGAAGAGACAGCATACAAGGTGTCGAGGTAGTATGCAGCTTCAAAGGTAATAGCAGCACAGAGGAGTGAGAGTGCAAAGTAAAGAATACATGAGAAGGCGAAATACTAAAATATTTGTGATTATAAATATAGATAGGTAAGTATTTTATATCGATATAATTATTAGATCAATCTAGAGACATACGAGATAGTTCCATCCTAATTTACCAGATTTGACAGCGTAGAATCCCAAGAATGCGAGAAGAATTGCAAAGATCCAATAAGTAATTGGAAGGAAACAAATTAACAAAGCCTATTATATAAATATGTTAATAAAATTTTATATTTAGATTGTTAAAACAATAAAAAGATAAGATAACATACACTTTGGAAGAATACGAATAAAGTAGCTTGTCCCTTGGCTCTTAAGAGTTCTGGGTTGACACTGATGGCAGTGACAGTGGTGAGAGTCGATGGTGACTCTGCCTCGGTTTCATCGATCAACAATGAAGTGGTTGGTGGAACAACTGGTGGTTGTTGTTCATCGATTGATTGTGCACCCATTTGTTTTGCTTATATTATATTATAAATCAAAAATAATAACAATAAAAAAATAACAATAAAAAAAAACTAAATGATACTAAATTAAAATTTTAAAAAAAAAACAAAAACTAGTTGATAATATATATCTTTATCTAATGAAAAAAAAACTAATAATAATAATAATTATTATTTCTTAAGGTTGGTTTATATACAAAAATAAAATTGTGAAAATATTGATTTATTAGGATGTGAGGTTGTTTTTATAATATTTTTTTTTAATTTTTGGTGATTCACATTCCATTAAACATTTGTTTTTTTTTTTTTTTTTTTAATTCACAAATTTCGGTGAGGGATAGAATTGCTACCACCGTTCTTTAAAAGAACACACAATTTGCTAGATATTAATAAATAACTTTTTTAAACAAGCGAATTAAAAATTTATATTTTTATTATTTATTAAATTATCAACATTATTATTTTCTATAATATTATTTATTTGATCTATGAATTGATCATTGATCTCTTCCCAATAAATGATTATATTTAATATAAATAGATAGAAATTGTGTAACTGTCAAAACAATTACCAAATTGATTGATTTAAATAAACAATGTTAAACAGACAAACAAAGAAATCTTATTATTTCTTAAAATTTTCAAAATAAAATATATTTGTCAACAAATTCTCTCTTTCTTCAGTTTTTCTTCTTCTGATTTTTTTTTTTTGTTGATGCTTGGATTCTTTAAAAAAAAAAAATAAACAACTTTCATTTCATTTCGAACAAAAATAATATTTTTGCTAATTTATTCAAACTAACTTTTTATCACTGATCACAACATACATTTCACTTTCATATTATAACAACAATAAAACAATGTCAACTACTACTACTACTACTTCAACAACTTCAACTTCGACTTCAACTACATCTTCTGAACCCTCAGGCAGTAGTAGTGGAGGAAGTAGACAGCAGCAGCAACAACAACAAAAACCAAGACAACCACAACAACAAAGAGAAAGAAAGCCAAGAGAACCAAAGGAACCTAGAGAACCTAAAGAACCTAAGGCTCCAAAGGAACCAAAGGAACCTAAAGCTCCAAAGGAACAACAATCACAACCAAAAGAAAATACTGGAAATAGAAGACCAAGAAATAATAATAATAGAAGTAAGAATGTAAATAGTGATGGTGGAGATGTAAGTGCAACATCCACAACTACAACGACAACAACAAATAGTCATCATCATCATCATGGACATCATCATGGTCATAATCATCATAAGAAACAGCAACAACAACTACCAAAACAAATGGGTGTTCCACCAGGATTATCTGCAAAGTTGGAAAAGTTGACTGTTGACAACACATTGCACAATGTCTTGAAGTTGAATCGTTTCAAACAACATGAAACTATGTGTATCCTTTGTTGTGATCCAATTGTATTCTATGCACGTGGTGAATGCGATCACTCTGAAGTATGTTCACTCTGTATCCTCAGACAAAGAGAGCTATACAAAGATAATAAATGTTGTATTTGTAAGGTAAATATCACAATAGCTACACAAACATCTATTCATAGTCATTATCTAACACATATTATTTCAGACCGAAATGACTCAAGTCATATTTTCGACTGAAGACGACAAGAAGTTTGCTCAGTACGACAAGAAGGAACTGTCACTGAACAAGGCACTCGACATCTACTTTGACAACCGTGATTTCGAAGAGAGTATCGTATCACTTTGGCACTTTAGCTGCAGTCTTTGCGATCACCAACCATTTGAAAGTTTCAAAAAGTTGGAAATACATCTTCGTGGATCTCATAACAAATGTTATTGGTATGTATTAACTAGTTATTGATATTTTAACTATCTCTATATATATGGACATCATCACTAATATCAATAATAATAATAATAATAGTGAGATATGTATTGGTGATAGAAAGGTATTCTTACCGGAGCATTATTTATATGAACCAAAATCGATTCCACTGCATCTTGCCGAGTGGAATGGCGGTGCCGGTGAAGTGAAGAAGGGAAAGAAAGGTCATCCAGTGTGTAAGTTCTGTGACCGTTATTTCTATGGTGACGACCAGCTATATGAGCATCTCACTCAGAATCACTTTACCTGCTTCCTCTGTGAGAAAGCCGGTGTTCTCTACCAGTACTTCAAGGACTACGCCAAGCTGCGCCACCATTTCCACGATGAGCACTACCTCTGCGACCACCCCGAGTGTGTCCAACAGAAATACATTGTATTCCCCGATGAGATTGCGTTGAAACAACATAAGATCTCAACACATCTCGACACCTCTGGTATGTCCAAAGTCCAGATCAGACAAGCCACTCAAATCAACATCAATTTCACATCGAGAAATAGCGGTCAATCGAATGCATCCGCAGCACAATCATCAACTGGAAATAACAATAGCAACAACAATAGAAGAGAAGAGGATAGCAGACCAACCACTACTACCACCTCTACCTCTACAAGTTCAACAGCCACCAACAACAACAACACTAACAATAACAATAGTAATATGTATGATTTAGAGAAAGAGTTCCCGTCGATGCAAGCGTCAACATCGACTACAACTACCAGCACATCCAATTCAAGTTATCCAACTGCAAGCTCAGTTGTTGCCGGCAGATTTGGTATTTCTCTGCCAAAAGCATTCAATCCAAACTTTGTAAAACAAGAAAAACAAAAAGCATTAACTCAAGATGAAATCGATCAGTATGTATATAATAATAATACTTAAGTATTTTATTTGTATAAAATTAATATTAACCATTTTTTGTTTAACAGGAGAAATAAAGATTTGGTAGTCAAAATTAAAGGAATGATTAATGAAAAGCAATATTCTATTTTTAAAGATATTTCACTGGATTTCAAGAATGGAAAGACAGCAGTCAACGAATACTATACACAGTTTATCCAGTTGTTTGGAAAAGCCGGTGCCCACGAGATTTTCGATGAATTGGTTGCACTGCTACCGGACCAATCAAAGAGAGAGGAACTGATGCAACTTCACAACTACATGAAGCACGTCGAAGAGCAATACCCATCGCTCGAGACCAAACCTTCATCAAAGAAAAACAAAAACAAACAGGAACCGGTCAACATCTGGGCACACACATCCAACCACACCATGCAACAAGTGAAGCAAAAGCCATCGGGTGATGTTGTTTCCAACCCATATACATTGGTTGCTCACTCAAAGAGCAGCTCTTCCTCTTCCTCCTCCTCATCAAACTCTATGGCATCTAAAATCCTGCAGAGCAGAGGATCGGTTGCTAGCAACAGCTCTTCAAACAAACCAAGAAGCTATAGATCATCGGAAGACTCTGACGAAGAGGAGTACCCAGCGTTGTTGGGTGCCGGTGTCAACAACTACTACCCATCGGGCAGTACTTCCACCACAAACTTTTCAAAGATTGCCATTGAGGCAAGCAAACCACCCGCACCAACTGTCACACCATTGAAATCTCTTTCAAAACCAAAGGAATCTGACTTCCCATCACTGCCAATGGCACCACCAAAACCAAAAGCAGCACCCAAAGAACAACCAAAGCCAGCAGCCGAACAAAACGCTGGTAACGGAGTTGTAGGTAAAAAGTAAGTTAAATCAAACTTTTCAACAAAATAATATATATATCTAACATTATTTAATTTAAATCTATTATTATTATAGGGGAAAGAATAAAGTAGTTTATAAGTTTTAAATAAAATAAATTAAATTAAAACAATAATAAACAATCGATATTACAACAACAACAACAACAATAATAATAATATATAAGTTTAAATATCAAATTACTTAACAATCAAATAAATATAGATAGATAGGATTATGATATTTAAATATTAAACTTGTTATCTTTTCTTTTTATCATTTAATGTTGTTGCGTTGTTATCGAATATTGGTTTGACAGACTTCCATTCGTTCTCCCATGTGTTTTGATCACGTTCAGAACGTAGATTGTCTCTGAATTTGGTGAGCTTGGTCGATGGGAAATCGATGAAATCGTCAAAGAAATACTGTGAGAGATTCAGACTGTCGGTAAACACTCTGCCATTGAAGCCAGGCTTCACCAGTTCCTCTATGCATTTAAAGTTCACTGCATAGCATGGAACGCAGCATCCAAACATATCGACCACCTTCATAGGCAAGTCGAGACCGGACGACGATCGGTGAAGTGACACACCGACATCGGCACAACCCAACAACTTTGGATAGTCTTCAGAGTCGAGCCAAACCGTAATCACGTGACAACGAGCTAGATTGAGCTCGGCAATCTTGGCTTCGTAGTACTCTTTCTGTGGTCCTTTGCCGGTGATGAAAAACAACAGGTCTGGACGATCGCCAAGTCCTTTTCTGCGTAGCATACGATCGTATTCAGCGAGTGCTGCCAACAAAATCGAAAAGTCTTCATCCGGTGTCCAGCTGGTAGAGGAAATCGCCATCACTGTCTTTCTCGATAGAACATCATCGATAAACTTTACATCCTTCTCCTTACTAATCTTGTATTTCTCTTTGAAATGTCTCAAGAACTCCAATCTTTCTTTTTCAACCATATACTTAAAGATTGGTGCTGGTTTATCATGTAATACAAATGTTTTTCCCCTGTTTAAACAAACAACAACGAATTAGCTATTAAAAACAATTTTGATACCAACAAACAATCAAACAAACATAACAGACAAATAAATACATACTTTAATCCCCATTCTTTAACAAGGGTATTCTTCATTGCTTCAGTAACAAAAAGATGTGCATATGCACTTCTTCCAAATGTTTTTTCAATCCTAAAGAAATAGAAACAAACAAACTAACAAGTTAGAAGAATATACAATGAATACTTTAGTTTGGTTAACAATTATAATTTGAACTGACCATTTAGCGAATTTAATGATTGGATGTGATTCCTCCTTCTTGATTGATAGTTGTAGTAGTGTATAGCCTAGATTGTGCCAGTCGATGACGAGGTGAATCGATCGCAGTCTAGCAACTATCTGTAGTACCATGATAGTTGGAATGGCCGGTGGTGATTGTACGAGTATTGTGTTGAGTGGTCGTGGTACACTGAACATCAGCACCCAGAACAACTGGATGATCTGAAACAACACTTTCATTGCAGCCAACACTGGCCACAACAGTGAGACTCTGACCTTCTCAGAGAGTGCAGGGAATGGCTTGAGAGCATAGATCTTAATGTTCTCGTTCTCTCTTATCAACTGATGCGGTGTCGACTCATTGTAACCAATCAACGATACCTTTGTGTTGGCAAGCTTTGACAATGACAGTGCATGATATTGCATTCTAGGTGATCTACCAATATCACCCAGTACTACAACTGCTACATTATTCATTTTGTTTTCTTTTCTTCAAATTCCTATCCTATCCAAATCCACTGTTTAATCTAATCTAATATATGTATAAATAAATTATTCACTAATTTTTTCTCTCAATGTTTGATTTGCTTTTTTCAAAAAAAAAATAAAAAAAAACTTATCTGATGAAAGCTATTCATCAGCCACCAAATTACTATCGTCGCATTCCTCAGCCGTAGTTGATTCACCTCTTTTTGCCATGAACATAGTGAATCTTCTTCCATTTTTGTTCAATGGACGTTTCAATAAAAACAAAATTTTTTTAATAATTTTACTATAGATGTTTTCACCAAAACTAATAGAGAAAGAAGAGATATATTTAAAGAATAGATCACACTACGAAAAGTCCAAGATGGAAGCATATGATCGATTTTACCTTCATGTTGATGAAAGATTTTAAATTCTAAAAAAAACAATTTGTTAATAAAGTTGGAATATAGAAATTAATTAAAAAAAAATAAATGAATACCAGAATCAATCTCTAACAAAAATCTATACATAAAATATATATTTTAAAGAAGTTGGGTTGTCTTTGTATTTCATTTTTTATATTATCATTTGAATTAATAAACTTTCAATTTCATCTTTAAATAATTTCCTAGTTTTTGTTTTACAAAAATTAAAGTAAATTTGATTTGTTTTTAAGTTTATTATATAAATATATTTATTTATTCTATTATATTATATATATATATTTATAGATTATATCTAAATAAGATTAAAACAAAACAACTTTTAAACTTTAAAATAATTTATATTTCGAATAACATTGTAATTTATTTATTTTAAAGTTATAAATTTTTTTTTTATAAATTAAAGTCAACTTAATGAGATTATTTACGATTCAATTCATTCTAAATAATAGGATTTCTGATATTTACTACTATTCTCTAAAGTGAATTTTAATATATCTATTGGTTTTTCTTTTTTTCCTAAAAACCGATTTAAACAATATAATATATTTTTTTAGGTGAATAATTATCTTTTAAATATATAGAATCTTTAGGACTACTAACAATATAAAACTTAAAATCATCTATTGAATCTCTACCAATGAAATGATTAAACATAATTAAAAAACGAGATAGAAATAACATAAAATTGATTGTAAATCACCAGCTATACTTTTTGATTGTAAAGTTTTAATCAGCTCTTGATTTGATATGACTTTATTTATATTTAAAAATTCTGTTATGAGTGACATTTTATAAATAATAAAAATAAAAACCAGTATATAAGATAAAATGAATAATATAAAAAAATCTACAAAGTAAAATAAAGATATTATGATAAAGCAAAATTATATCTATAGAAAAGAGTGACTATGAACTATAAATATAAATTTAAATAAACAATAGTTCTAAAAAAAAAATGTTTATAAAAATAAGTTGAGAGAATTCTCTTTGATAAAGAATGAATAAATAAAAGATAGAGAATTTGTGATTGTTGAGTAGGATTTTTTAATATTAAAAAAAATTAAAAACAAAAAATATTAATAATTAATATAGTTTTTGAGCGTTTTGGGTGAATACAGTGCGGGTGTTGGTTGATTGTTTCCGAATACAGAGGATCCACTGCTTCCAAAAACGGATGATGTTGATGGTGTTGAATTGGATGCAAGAGTAGTTTGACTGCCAAAGATAGAAGTAGAACCACCAAAAACTGAAGATGTAGAAGCTGTGAGAGCACCTCCAAAAACTGAGGTTTATGGATTTCCAAAGACTGATTGTTGAGGTTTTGATGAAACATTACCGGTTGGAGGAGTATTAGGGGTATCAACACTACCGAATGAAACTTTAGCTCTTGGTTCTTCAACTATGAAACTTGGTGGCTGATCTTTCTCCTCTTCACTCTCGTCTTCCTCTTCTTGTTGATCTTGATAAGAATCATTATCTTGGTCATCATAGTCATCTTCTTCATCTTGATCTTCTTCATCATCTTGGTCATCTTCTTCATCATCATGATCACCATTCTCATAAGCTTCTAGTATCATCTTCTTTCTGCTTGTTGAAACTCTCTTCCTTTTCGTCGGCACCGTCATCACTATCTTTACAAAAGTTGAAAACTATAGGAGCGTCGGTTGTTGTTCATGGTTTTCCAAATATTATTGATGAAGTTGGGGGAAGTTGTTGATCCAAATAATGATGATGGTCTTCCATCTTTCTTTTCATCAGGCTTGGCTGGTGGAGTTGGATTACCAAAGAATGAAGAAGTAGATGGTGTCGAACAAAACTATGGTTTCTCTTCTTTCTTTTCTTCAGTTGTGGGGTTGGATTACTAAATACTGATGTATCTTTCTTTTTCACAGGTGGAGTTGATGGTGTTAGTGTTGGATTTTCAAAGAGTGAGGTTTTTGCAGCTGTTGGATTTGGAACCATACAGATATTGCATGTTTTGTTATTTACTTCGTTGACAGTTTCAAAACAAGCACATTTCCATTGTCCTTCTTTCAACGCTTCTATACTTGATTCACCTGGGAAAATAATAATGTCTCCTCTTTCTTTGGTGTTGGATTTCCAAATGTTGGTATGGTTGTTGTTCCAAATGCTGAAGTGGTCGTTGATGTTCCAAATGACATGGTGGATGATGGTGCTCCAAATACCGGTGCCGTAACTGGTGTAGGAAGTAGCTGCTAGGACTGGTGTAGGTGCGGAGCCAAATGCTGGTGATAGATTGGATGATGGAGATACCACTTCTGGGACTAATTGTTGAGGATCTGAATTTGGAGTTAAACACAACTCACAATACGAATGCTTTGCTTCATTGACCTTATCACAACAAACACATTGCCATTGTCCAGGTTTAAGTGGTTATGTAAAATTGACAGTCTGTGGTGATGTTGTTTTATTTGATACCGGTTGCCAAATTTGATTAGAATGGTGGTAGTTGACAATGAATGTTTTGGTTGGCTATTAAAACCAAATCATCTTCTTTGGGTTTAAAATTAATAGAATGATCAAGGTAATTTGTAAATTGCTCATTCAACTATTGTAGATCGAACATAATGTTCTATGAAGTTAAAAAAATCTTCAAAATCTCCAAAAAAAAGTAATTAATTAATTTAATCTTTCACACCAGCTAATTTTTAATTAATTAAGCCAAAAATTAAAATAGTGTTTTGATGATAATAAAAAAAATAAAATCTAATGGTTTTGATTTGATGTGGGTGATGTGCACTTCAAAGAATAAAGGTCAATCTACAAGAGTTAATTTTGAGTCTAATGTACTGTTAAACAATAAACCAGGTGGAATTGATTACAAAAAATTGTTCACCTATTTTCAATGATTAATAATTAAATTTAAAACAAGAGTTTAATTAGAAAAAACAAAAAGTTTTATCTATAAATATAGGCAATTTGAACACCTTCAAACTTCATTATCATTTTTTTATAAATATATATAAATAAATGTCTATATTTTATAAAAAATGTGCCATTTTCTTGGTAGCATTATGTTTATCAAGTATGGTTGTCTCCAAGTCTGAAGTTTTGGTTGAAATACCACATGAAGTTGCTAATCATGGCCGAGATACCACTCATAACTCTGAGTGTCCAATCGTTACATCCAACACACTCACATCTTATTCAAGAAAACCAGGAGCCAAGCGTGATATTGAAGCATCATGGAAGAAAGAATATTATACCACCGAGCCAATGGAACCTGTAAACTTCAATGGTACCTACGTTCAATCACCAGAAGAGGAAGGGGAAGACTTTGACATTTTTGCTGATGGAAAAGGTGCTACTGTCTGGGCTCCTTGTAAGTTTTCAGCAATTTAAATATTATTTTTTGTGTATTAACAACATTTATTAAGTATCACCACCTGCAGGAATATTGTATACTATTCGTGGCAGTGATGAACAAAACTATATCTTAGGTAGAAGTCAAAATGCCAATATGCGTATCGTCAAGAAATGCGGCAACTATTGGTACCAATCAAAGTTATACTTTAAGAGTTGGAGACAAGTAAAACAAGACAACAAGTGGAACCAAAACACAATCAAGTTGGCCGTTGGAACTGCTACTAGAACAGCCAATACAATCGATATCTCACGTCCAATCTCCCTCGAGACCGATAGAGAAGACTACCATTGTCCCAAGTGATGTCAAGTGGCATTATGGTAGTGCACCAGATGGAAGCTTATGGCTTGCAAATCTGATCATGTCGTTGATCGACATCGTCACTGGTAATTTTGCAATGACAAGAAGAGGTGTCCAAATCTTGGATATGGATGTCAATGGTATAGCCAGAGGATGGAACACCGTTGCCTCTGATTGTATAACCACTTATCCTCCTGTACAAACATTGATCCCTTCTCAATATGCATTGGAAGATAATGGAAACAAACGTTATATGTACAAGGTCAAAAACGGAGCTGGTTACCTCATTGCTGAATGCAATGGTGATGCTTTGTGGTTCAGTAACAATGCCTATGATGATACCTATGTTGTATTCACTCCAATGTAATAACAAATACAATAATAAATCAAAAACAGACAACATCTATAAAATAAAAATAGTGTTTACCAATAGATAACGATACAATTGGAATATTTGTAATTACTATATAGAAATTTTATTATAAATAAAATTATTAAAAAATATTTTAAAGGTTTTTATTTTTTTATTAAACGTTACTTTTTCAATCTAAAAAAAAAAATTATTTTGTGTGTCGGTCAGACCCAATGCTCTCGATTCTCCATGGCCTAAAAGAGAAAGGACACCAAGGAAAGGTTGCACTCTGCACGTGACACACAATCACTTGCCTTTGAAAAAGAAGTAAAACAGGAAGCGCTCTTCCAGGATTCTCAAGCCATACTTTCTTGACCAAGCCATCACCAAGCAGCGGTTGACCATTTGCCACCAAAATTCATGAAGGAATTATGGATATTCAAAAGGTTTTAGCCAACGAGTTGAAAGACACAAACGTTCATTACTATTTCTGCAAACCAGTTCCATTCATGCGAGCAGTCGCAAAGCAACTCACTGAAAATGGTGTAGCAGTCTCAAAAATCCATTATGAAGTATTTGGTCCACACCGCGTAATTTAAAAAAATATAATATAATATTACTATACTATCAAAACAAATAATAATAAATATTTATTTATTCATCCCTTTCCTTATTTTTATTTTTAAATATCAAAAAAATGTAATAAAACTTTTTCAAAATGTGTAATTTCTTTTTTATATACATAAAATTTTATTTGTTTTAATCTTGCTTGGTTAACAGTGCCTTGAATGGTGCACAACACTTGATAATATTGATGTTTAGACAGATTTGGCCGATTGGACTTAATCTACCTCCACAAAGAGGATCGGTTGCTTGAGATGGTGGCACACAAGTTGGAACTCCATTGAGAGAGACATTGGTATCCAAAGAGACATTTTTGGTTTCCATATTGAGTAACGCTGATACCACCTAGAGTTCCAGAACCAGTTATTGGTCCAGAGGTGATTGGTCCTAAAGTTATTGGTCCAGAAGTGATGTGTCCAGAGGTAATGATGGTACGTGGGATACAAATATGTTTACCATTAAAGTTGGCACATATCTCACGGACTGGATCGCATACTTGGTTTCCACAGGATGCTGGAGACTCACCAACACAGGTTGGAATGCTGTTTACCAAGACACATTTGAATCCGACTTGACATCTGGAGATACCACAGGTTGCACCGGTGGTTGGTGGATCAATCAAATCCGATAGCTTGACCTGTACAGGTACGATTACCATTGAAATTGACACCGATCATATCGAATGGACAAATCTTATCGCCGCACAAGGTAAGTTGATCTTGTGGAACACATGTTGGTACATTGTTGATAGCGATACAGCTGAAACCATCGAGACAAAACGGTTGGACATTTATCAAGTGGACCGGTCGAGTTGGAGATACACTCTGGATGACTATTGATTGAGATACAAAATTCGTCGAGCTCGCATTGTTGTAATCCACACATTGGACCTCAGGGACCGTTGATCTTAACACAGATTGGAATGGAGTTTTGAACGGTGTATATTTGCCATCGACATCTCAGATATATTAATAATTTTTCTTCTCTCAACACTTCTATTTAGCTATCGGAGGAACTAATCCTCAGAAAGGTGATATATTGTTCAGGATAAGAAGAGGACAACACCAACCTTTCAGAAATATTTTTCATCTCATAGATCTATTATTTGGTATATCTAGATATAGTTTAGTACAAAAGAAAAAATTAAAATAAAATTTTACTATATATTTATTTATATAAATGTTAAATCTATAACTTACAAGTTTTGAAAATACATTAGAATAATCTATTCTGAAACTAGGTGTTACAAAAACTTTGGATTCTCACTTTTGAAAAACAAACAAACGATAACACTTCCAAATGGGTAACAAATGACAAGAAGACAACTACTTCAAAAAGTAAAACAATAAATAAAAATATTACTTTTTTATTTATTTCTTTTAAATAAATTAATATGTGCTTGTGTATGATCAATCTCAAACAACACACAACATTTATTTAGCTATGAGATTTGTATATTTTTTAGAGGGAAGTGAGTTGATTGGAATGATAAATAAATATACAAGATGAATGAATTGATTATAGTTTAATTGTATAGACTAGATAATTGGGAGTAGATTAAGTTCCCTATAATATATCATGATTGAATGAGGAGAAGGAAATTATTGAAGATAGAATCATTAGTTGTCATTCTTTAATCTATTAAATGACGAAAACATAGTATCCAAATCCAACCGCTGTTCTAAAATATGTTTTTCTTCGCTGAGATCATGAATTTGCTCAAAGATTTGAGTGGAATCGATTTTCTGTTTCTCTAGATAGGTCATATTGAAATTCTGACATTTATTCAAGTTCTCATGAATTTCTTGGAACAATGAATGAATATTTGATTTGTAAAAGCAGGACTAATTAATAATTGTAAAATATTGTATTGCTAGTAGTAGATATGTAAAAGTGTAAAGGAAAGAGCTGATGCTTAAATATCAACAATAAGTCTAAACAATAAATAAAAATAATTCCTATATAATATCTATCCAATATATTCACTTAATTGTTACTTCAAAGCGGATTCATCCAAATTTTATTTTTTGTTTTACAACTTCATTGCTTTGATGACTGCATGTAATGGAATAAAATAATAAAAACAATTGTAAAGTTCATAAACAAAAATAAGTTTGTTGGATGATGTATGATCTGAATATATTTTACCAAGAACAATAAATTTCTTTTACATTCTAAGAAATATTAATTAGTTCAAAAATAAATTAAAAGGAACCAAAATTTTAAATTAAAAAAAAAGAATAAAATCAATTTATTGTGCGTGGTGTCCAATAATTATTTTTTTTTAGATAATAAGAAACTAAATCTAATAATTCTTTAACTCGAATACAGTTTATATCTTCGGTTCTAATAAAAAAATAAGATAAAAACTTGATTATTTTCAAAAATTATAGATTGCATCATCTTCTTTGGGTTTAAAAATAATAGAATGATCAAGGTAATTTGTAACTTGCTTATTCAACTGTTGTAGATCGAAACATAATGAAAAACAAAACAAACTGGCTCTTGCTTGTAACCATAAATCGAATAAAATAAAAAAAACCAGTCAGATCACAAAAACCCCACTAATTTTTAATTTTTAAAATTAACATTTTTTGAAAAAAAAATGTATGTTCAGGCGAAAGTGGTTGGGAGTTAAAAAAATCTTCAAAATCTCCAAAAAAAAAAAAAAAGTAATTAATTAATTTTAATCTTTCACAGCTAGTTTAATTAGTCAAAAAATTTAAATAGTTTTGATGATAGTAAAAAAAAATAAAATCTAATGGTTTTGATTTGATGTGCACTTCAAAGAATAATGGTCAATCTACAAGAGTTTATTTTGAGGTGGAATTGATTCCAAAAATTCTTTCACCTATTTTCAATTAATAATAATTAAATTGAGTTTAATTCGAAAAAACAAAAAGTTTTATCTATAAATACAGGCAATTGAACACCTTCAAACTTCATTATATAAATAAATGTCTATATTTTATAAAAAATGTGCCTTTTTCTTGGTAGCATTATGTTTATCAAGTATGGTTGTCTCCAAGTCTGAAGTTTTGGTTGAATTACCACATGAAGTTGCTAATCATGGCCGAGATACCACTCATAACTCTGAGTGTCCAACCGTTACATCCAACACACTCACATCTTATTCAAGAAAACCAGGAGCCAAGCGTGATATTGAAGCATCATGGAAGAAAGAATATTATACCACCGAGCCAATGGAACCTGTAAACTTCAATGGTACCTACGTTCAATCACCAGAAGAGGAAGGTGGAGACTTTGACATTTTTGCTGATGGAAGAGGTGCTACTGTCTGGGCTCCATGTATGTTTTCAGCAATTTAAATATTATTTTTTTGGGTATTGACAACTTTTATTAAGTATCACCACCTGCAGGAATATTGTATACTATTCGTGGCAGTGATGAACAAAACTATATCTTAGGTAGAAGTCAAAATGCCAATATGCGTATCGTCAAGAAATGCGGCAACTATTGGTACCAATCAAAGTTATACTTTAAGAGTTGGAGACAAGTAAAACAAGACAACAAGTGGAACCAAAACACAATCAAGTTGGCCGTTGCAACTGCTACTAGAAGAGACAATACAATCGATATCTCAAATCAAATCTCCCTCGAGACCGATAGAGAAGACTACCATTGTCCAACTGATGGAAAGTGGCATTATGGTGGTTCACCAGATGGAAGCTTATGGCTTGCAAATCTGATCATGTCGTTGATCGACATCGTCACTGGAAATTTTAAAATGACAAGAAGAGGTCTCCAAATCTTGGATATGGATCTCAATGGTATAGCCAGAGGATGGAACACCGTTGCCTCTGATTGTGTAACCACTTATCCTCCTCTACAAACATTGATCCCATCTCAATATGCATTGGAAGATAATGGTAACAAACGTTATATGTACAAGGTCAAAAACGGACGTGGTTACCTTATTGCAGAGTGCAATGGTGATGATTTGTGGTTCAGTAACAATGCCTATGATGATACCTATGTTGTATTCACTCCAATGTAATAACAAATACAATAATAAATCAAAAACAGACAACATCTATAAAATAAAAATAGTGTTTCCCAATAGATAACAATAACATAATTTACAATTGGAATATTTGTAATTATATAGAAAATTTTATTATAAGTATATATATTTATACGTTTTTATTTTTTTATTAAACTTTACTTTTTAGATTTAAATAAATAATTAATTTTTTTTAAATAACAATGACGTTTACATAACTGTGAACCAATTTTAGTTTTTCTGTTGTCTTGTCCAAAAACCACAAGTTTATGGACTGATCACCAATAATGGATTGAATCTTCAAAAAAGAACAAGATTGTGTTATTTTTTTCAAAGATTTTTTCATAGATTTTTAGACTTATAACAAAATATGAAATCATCTGATTATGAGTCAGAATTAATTAAAGAAAAAACACAAAAAAGTCAAACATTTCAATTTATTATAATTCTATCATATCGTTTCCGTTATTAAAGTTGAAATCTTTAGTTGTAACTGAATGCATCTGAGGCACACGATGGATTTAGTAATTAAAGTTGAAAATCTTCTACAAAGGATTTCCAATATTCTCAAATTATTTTATTTAATTTACAAGAAAAAGTCCAACTACACAGATGAGATGATCCAAAGATTACTTCCTCTTTAGATATAAATAACCGTCATTACCATGTTTAATGTCGAACGTTTACTTGATAAACAAGGTCATTATCGCAACACTTACTGTTGTATGATAAATGATTATCAAAAAAGTTTTGTCAGGAGTATTGTGACCTACGACAACACAATACTTTTGCCGTTGACTACACGTGCAAGATTCTCTTTACTCTATTTAACCAGCCAATCCGTAAAACAACTATATATGTTGTGGTAGAGCTATAGATAAAAAGGTCTACCTAACAAACTGGTCAACTCTATCATTATTTCACTCTGAGTGTGGCATCGACACTCCTAATCGGTCGATCTTTGGCGTCTCGGAACTGCATTTCCTGAGCGGTAATTCGGCGTGGGAAGGTGGTTTGTCTAAATTTCACTGCCCAATACTACCATCATGATCATATGTGCTGCTTCTCAGATTATTATTATATGATCTATCTTAGTTCACGAACTCAGAGCCAAGTCTTGCCATCATAATCGTGTAGTATGTGCTTCGCCTGCTATAACTATTCTATTTGCTGTCATAGGTGATCAAATAGTATGGTGTCAACTTTCAAGACAAATTATATATATATATATATATGTGCGCGCTACCAATCAACCACAGAGAGTAGAGTCGAGTCGTTCACTATCCAAACAGTCAGGTTGGCATCAACCGCTCTACATACTATCATTACTTCATTGAACATGTCCTGTAATCTGATGTTAAGCAATTGGTTTATAAATGTCAAATCTCTCTCTTATTCTATTATTGTGCTTATAACTCAAAAGTTCTGATAATACACTAAAAATAATTCTTTTGTTTTTCTTAAAAATTTAATTTTTAAAATGTGTAAATTTCATTTTATCCCCAAAAATGAAAAAATTTTGCATTCTGCTAATGTTCATCATTATTTCAAGTTGGCATTAAAAATCGATCATCTATCATTCTTACATCAAGACAATCAATGACAGAACAACAACTTTATTTAGAATCAATAGAATGTGATCCAACAAAGGCAAGTTCTTACTTTAACCTTGCAAATATACTTTCAAATGGTGAATCAATTACACTTAATGATGGACAATCAATGACAAAACAACAACTATTCTTGAAATCAATAGAATGTGATCCCACCGATTCCAGTTCATATTTTAACCTTGCAATGACACTTTCAAGTGGGTGAATCAATCACACTTAATGATGGACAATCAATGACAGAACAACAATTGTATTTGAAATCAATAGAATGTGATCCAACCGATTCCGATTCATATTTTAACCTTGCAACTACACTTTCAAGAGGTGAATCAATCACATTTAATGATGGACAATCAATGACAGAACAACAACTATACTTAAAGGTAATAGAATATGATCCAACCTATTCATATTCATATAATAGCCTTGCAAATACACTTTCAAGTGGTGAATCAATCACACTTAAAAATGGTCAATCAATGACAGAACAACAATTATACTTGAAATCAATAGAATGTGATCCAACAGATTCTGATTCATATTTTAACCTTGCAACTACACTTTCAATTGGTGAATCAATCACACTTAATGATGGACAATCAATGACAAAACAACAACTATACTTGAAATCAATAGAATATGATCCCATCGATTCAAGTTCATATGTTAACCTTGCAACAACACTTTCAATTGGTGAATCAATCACTCTCAATGATGGACGATCAATAACAGAACGTCAATTATACTTGACAGCAATAGAATATGATCCATGTAATTCCAATTCTTATTATAACTTTGCACTTTTACTTTCAAAAGATGAATCAATCACACTTAATGATGGACAATCAATGACAAAGCAACAACTATACTTAAAGGTAATAGAATGTGATCCAACCTATTCATATTCATATAATAGCCTTGCAAATACACTTTCAATTGGTGAATCAATCACACTTAATGATGGACAATCAATGACAAAACAACAACTATACTTAAAATCAATAGAATTTAATCCAACGAATTCAAATTCATATAATAACCTTGCAAATACACTTTCAAGTGGTGAATCAATCACACTTAATAATGGACGATCAATGACACAACAACAATTATACTTAAAAGCAATAGAATGTGATCCAACAAAGGCAGGTTCTTACTTTAACCTTGCAAATACACTTTCAATTGGTGAATCAATCACACTTAATGATGGACAATCAATGACAGAACAACAACTATACTTGAAATCAATAGAATATGATCCAACCCATTCTCTTTCATATTATGATCTTGCAAGAACACTTTCAATTGGTGAATCAATCACACTTAATGATGGACAATCAATGACAAAACAACAACTATACTTGAAATCAATAGAATGTGATCCAACATATTCATGTTCATATCATAACCTTGCAGGAATACTTTCAAAAGATGAATCAATCACACTTAATAATGGACAATCAATCACAAAGCAACAATTATACTTAAAAGCAATAGAATGTGATCCAACCAATTCATATTCATTTTTTGACATTGCAACAACACTATCTCTCTATGAAACAATACCACTGCAGAATGGTGTTCGAATGACAAAACAACAACTATTATTGGAATCACTAAGATTAAATGATAAACAAAGATTGGCTTACAAATATATAGGATTAACACTTTTAAACAACAAGCAAACGATAACACTTCCAAACGGTGAACAAATGACAAGAAGACAACTACTTCAAAAAGCAAGAGAATAAATTTTTTTTTTAATTTCTTTAAATCAAATTAATTATGATAGATGTAAATAGTTTGATTAAATATAATAAGTTTTTTGAAAAATCACTTTCCCATACAAAAATTAATTTCTTCTGATAATAGTTGGATCTTCGGTGTATTGTTGTTTGGTGATCCACATTGATTGGAAATCGTTATGGTTTGCTAAGATTGATCCACCTACCCAAGCGGAGGAAACACCTCTTGGTGATTGAATGAATTTGGTTCTGATGTTTGTTGGGAAGAGTGTCGATATCTCCTTCTTCATACGATCTGAAAAACCAGGAATAAGAGTGTTACCACCGGAGAACATTACATTGGAAACAAAGAGTTCTATGATTGAGCATTGCACTTCATGATCGAGTCAAAAGTGATCTTGTGTACTCCATCGTATTGTTTCTCAATTAACATTGGCTGGAACAAAGCTTCTGGACACATGAAATGTTCAACATCGATGGTTATCACCTCTCCATCATGCATGGTGCAATTTCTCTGAATTTTAGAGACTGGACGTTGCAATTCGCTCTCATAGTTCAGAGCAACATAACACAGTTTCTCTTTGATGTCACGAACTATTTCTCTTTGACTGTTGTCAAATGAGTATCCACGTTTGTTCAACAATTTCATCATGAAATCAGTGAGATCTTTTCCACTGATGTCTTGAGAGATCGTTACATTGTCTACTGCATATCCATTAACACAGGGACAGCACTGGTAACACCATCGCTAGAGTCGAGAACAACAGCAGTTAGATGTCCAGCAGAATACAAAGTGAGAATGGCTTGATTGGCGATGTACATAGATGGAACATCGAATTTCTCAAACATGATTTGGGCCATCTTCTCACGATTTACATTTGAATTGTTTGGTGTCTCCACCAAGAGAACAGGTTGTTTCTTGGAGTCAACTTCTAGTTTTTGGAAAGAGTGTCTATAGATTGTCTCCATTGCTTGCCAATTGGTGATATCGCCATTCTGAACAGGATAACTCAATTCAAGGGTGTCTCTTCTCGGCTGAACTTCATCTCCTACATAGTAGCGATTTTCATTCTCATTGTTGGAACCAATGACCGATTCGAATTTACTCTCTGTCTTTTCATCAGTCGCAACATCAATGACACTTGTGCAAGAACCAATATCAAATAAATAAATAGATCCTGTTTAATATTTTTGAGAAGTTTTATACTAAAACAATTCTTTCGAAAAATATTAACAATAAATTATTCAATATTGTAACAAATTTCTAATTGATTTCATCGAAAATTAGAATTAACTTCCCCATTTCTCCTGTGGGTGAAAGAATTAACACATTTTTTTGTGTTTATACAAAATAATTGTTTTTTACACCAAATTTGATATTTATATTGTAGAAAGGAGGTAAATTGAACCAGGTTTTATTTAAAAACTTTTTTGATCTAACTATTAATATTATTTTTTTTTTGATGTTTTTCAAAAATAATGAGTGGGAAGCCTCATATGAGTACCAATAAATCTGCACAAAATTTGAACTCTAGTCTTTTACTTTCAAATGTTGAATCAATTACACTTCATAATAGACAATCAATGACTGCACAACAACTATACTTGAAATCAATAGAATATGATCAACCAGTTCAAATTCATAAAATAACCTTGCAAATACACTTTCAAATGGAGAATCAATCACACTTAATGATGGACAATCAATCACAAAAACACAACTATTTTTGAAATCAATAGAGTGTGATCCACACCTTTCACATATTAGCCTTGTAGATATATCGGATTTATTTTTGAAAACAAATAAAACACATCCAGTGGTGAACAAATATCAAGACAACTACTTCAGAAACAAGAGAATAAATAAACATATATAATTATTTTCTTCAATTTAAAACTAAAATGTTGTTACAATCTATTGAATCATTTATTCTTTAATTTATTAATTAAATTAATACTTTTAATTTAAAATAGATTTGCTCCATTTAAAAGTTGTTAAACCCATCTCTAAACAATATTGAAAATATTGACCATCATATTGTATTTCTACATCAGTTTGTGAGTCACAGTTGTTGAGAATTACAAAATGAATTGAATCATCTGCATTGTCAAACGCTACGGTATTCAAACAACTGTCAAAGGTGCCACTCGATTCAATTCTAAAACTTGGTTCAACAATGAATTTACTGAAATGTGCCAATCCATAGTATTCAACGTTGAACAACACTTGATGGTCATCATTATCACCATCATCATTCTTAATACTATTGTTATTAATATCAACGGTAAGTAATCCACGACAATTCTTACAACCATTATTAGTTGGACCATCGTTGCTATCCAATGCCAAATTCCATTGGAGTACGGAACTAGCCCAGTTTTGTACTGCACCCATATAGAGATTGTTTGTATTCCACGCGAGATCCGATGCAAAATCCGGTGCCCAATAGCCACCACTACACTCGGTCATGTGTATCTCTTTCTCTGGATACTTGTTGTAGAGTACCGATTGATTAGTAACATCACCTTGATAACAGTGGAATGCCGTTGCATTTACATAGGGATAGGCATCGCTATCAGTCAGTATATCGAGTGGATAATCTAAATCTATCCAATTGTGGTCGTAAATCAATATTCTCGTATCTGACACCTCGGGTTGCGCCAACAACTTTGTACCAAGCAATGCAACCAATTGTGCAGCAACATCAGAAGGAACATACATTCCAGGATAACTAAAAGGTTGGAACAACGGTTCATTCTGCAGTGTCACACCAAATATATCAATAGATTCCTCCAATTTATATTTCATTAAAAAAGAAACAAAGAAATCTGTATAAATATCATACTTTTTATTTTAGATAGTTAGTAATTAGTAAACTTTACTAAATAGAGATTAAAATGCTTTTAGAAACTTACCATATTCGATAGAAGTTCACCACTTGTCAAGGAATTGGAAGATTTCATCCATTTCGGAGCTGTCCAAGGACTGTAGATTAACTTTATATTTGGGTTGATCGATTGTATTTGTTTGATGATTGGGATTGTGTACTGTTTGTCTGCGTCAATAGATAGATTCACTAGTTTGTAGTCATTGGTGTAGTCGTCATAGGTGTAGTTTGTCAATGAGAAATCACATGCACTTGCCGGTACTCTAATCATCGATAGACCAATACCCTCGACAGGATCAAACAATGACTTCAAGACATTCAATCCATTGGTTTCGTTTTGTTCGATTAACAAACTGAATAAGTAAGCTGATGATTGGGTTAGAGCAGCACCATATCCATAGATTCTCTAAAACAATAAATATAAATAATAAATATAAATATAAAGATTAATAACAAGACAATCACCTTTAAATAATATATATATATTTAAATACAAACTTGATATTTTATAGTATCATCTATTATTATAATATTATTAGTATTACTTTTAGAATTAAAAGACGACGATGACGATGTTGCTTTGGTAGATGTACTATTAAAATGAATATCATTCATCCTCTGAAAGAGAAATGATTGATCAAAAGTAGTCAACCATACTTGAATTGGTTGTTGTGAAGTACTACTACTACCACTACTTTGATCACCAATTTTGCTTAGAGCAGATATATTAATAATACAAAAACAACAAAAATAGTAAAAAAGTAGCACCTTATTATCATTCATTATCTTCTTTTGTTAATTTATCTATTTTTATATTGTACAACAAAAAAGCTACATAATTATTAAGATGATAATTAAATAAACATTTCCTTCATCTTAAAATTAAAGATATTTTTAATAATACAAAAAAAAAACAAAAATATCTAAAATTGTTTATTTTTAAATGTGAGCTGATGAGTGTATTTTCTTTATGATATTTGAATCTATAGATTTTGAATGTATATTTCTATTTATATAAATATGTATTTTAAATAAATAAAGGATTGAAGTTACATACTTTTTAGCTGATAATCAAACAACTTATTTGTTCATCTTAGTAACATTAAAAAACATATACAAAAAAAAAAAAAAACCTTGTATTGTAATCCATATCAAAAAGTCTTAATAAACAACCATTAAAGATATCTTTAAATATATTCATATAAAATGAATGAATGAATAAATACTCTTTTGATTATTTACCACATCATATATTATTTATTTATATTCAAAATATTTGTTTTTTTTTTTATGTTATTTATTCATTTTTCACTATTCTTATTTATTAAATTAATAGTTTTTATTTATTTTAAAAAGAAAAGAAGAATAAACATATAAATATATAATAAAATAATATCAATACACCACAAAAAGGTTATATAAAATGAATTACAGAACTACTATAAGTTTAATGTTGGTTATGATCGTATCATCTTCCTATGTCATCGATGCATGTATTCCAATTGCTTGTGAACCGATCGATAATGAACAATGTGTAAAGAGTGGTGGTGCAATTCAAACCAGACCTATTACAGGTAATTGTTGTCCTAAATGCTATCATCCGTGCGACGGTGCAAAGTGTGGACATATCATTACCAAAGATGATTGCAAACAACATCAAGTCTTTATTCCTGCCGATCCAAAGAATCATATCTGTTGTAATTCGTGTCAACCAATCATTGAATAAAATATAATTAACATTAATATTATTCTCAAAACTTACCAAATGCTTTTCATTTTTTTGTTTTTTTTTTTTTGTTCAAAGATTAATTTTAGTATAAAATAAATTAATTAAATTGCAAACAACCCAAATTTAGATTGTTTGATCAACCCCACCATCATTATCTTTGATTTTAAAATCAATCCAATTAAAATGAATAAACAAATATTTAAGTATTAGTAATAGGTTTAATATAAGTAATAACAACTATGGCAAAAGAGATATCAGAGTTTATCATTGACAATAGTAATAATGTAGAGTTGATAAAATCGATAACATGTGAAAAGTTGGAATATCCAGAGAAAGATTCTTACTTTTTAAGAGATGTATTGTCAAAAGAAGAATGTCAATTAGTACTAAATACTCTGTATATAGCACCAGATGCTAAGAGTGATACATTCAATAATAAAGATCATGTAAGAGAAAATACCTAATCAATTGATTTGTTCTTCTTTCTCATCATTGCCAGTTTATTTATAAATAGGGTTTAAGATTACGTAGATTCTCAGATCAGCTATCTTTGAAGTTAAAAGAAAGAATCGAAAGATTCCTACCAACAACATTGACTAGACCACCTGTTGTTCAACTATCGAACGATACCAACAACAACACACCTAAAACAATCGATTGGAAATTCGATAGAATATCAGAAGAGTTTAAATTTATTAAATATGGTAATTAGCTAATTTGTTAACTAATTAATAATGTTATTAGATTCAAATAACTAATATATATATCTCTATCAATCTTGCAGAGAAAGGACAAAGATTTCCAGCACATACAGATGGAGAGTATAGAATTTCAAATACAGAACTATCGTTCCTCTCGGTTATTTTCTTTTTGAATGACGGTGGTGCTGTTGATTTCCGAGGTGGTGATTTTCGATTCCTAAGAAAAGATGCCATTGAGAAGTATACACCGATGAAGACTATTACACCCAAGGCAGGTTCTGTTTTGATCTTCCCACATTATACATGGCATGATTCGACCACCATTGAAGATGGTATCAAATATGTTATAAGATCGAATCTTATGTTTAAACATCAATAAACTTTTCCAACGAAACATTCTCTTGTCTCTTGACAATCAGAGAAAATATCATAAACTCGTCAAAAAACATCATTATTATTCATTGTGGAAACAACAATGTTTGCATTCGAATCAGTTGATTTTTATTTTTTTTTACTATTTTTATTTTATTTTATTTTAAAAACTGAATCAATCATAACCACCCTTATTAAATTTTTAGTAGTTAACGGGCTGATTTAATTTAGAATTGTATTGTTAATTAATTAATATTATTATTTGAATGTAGATATATATATATATGTATTAAATATAGATATATAATTTTATATAATGATTAAAAATATATTTGAAAGTTCAAAAAATATTGAAAGAGAGATTGGACATTATTTGTTTGGAACATGGATCTATTTGTTGTTGTTAGTTGCGATACTCAGTGGAATAAAACTGATTAGCAATAAAACAATAAAGTTTATATTTAAATGGATCGTACAGCTTTTGTTTGTTATATCGGTACTGAATATCACGCTGGTGATGCTGTTGGATCAAACATATATCAAGTATCCATCGGATGCCTATGCCATGCTGCCTTCGGGTGATGGTGGCGTCAGTTACATGGTACCATTCAACGGAAACAACTTACACTTTAGATGCTATGAAAATAATAATAACAATTGTAATAATACCGATCAATGTAAAACAATATTATTTGAATCTGGTAAGTTGTTTGAATTTTAAACTATATATTTGTATATATTTGTTTGACTATTATTATTAATAATATTATTATTATTATAATTTAGGATTACCATTTTACTCTAGTGTTTGGGGAAATGTTATTTCTAAAATGGTTACAATGATGGGAAATAGAAAGGATTACAGTGAAGAGTTGGCTCAGATTGGTAGATTTTGTGTTTACGATAGATATGGATATGGTTGGAGTGACTCTAGAACAGAGTCTATCGGTGCTTTGCAGATGTCCAATGATCTCTCAGAGTATTTAAATGTACTGGGTATCGGAGGTGATCAAATCATATTCGTAGGATGGTCATACGGTGGTGCCATCGGTCAGATTTTCACCTCACAAAAGAAGACCGCTGGATTAGTACTTGTTGACTCTATGGATATAATAGATGGTACAAACGATGCACTAATACAAGGTATTATAGATGGTAAAAATGTAAGTGTTAATTATATTTATATCAACTAGTTCGATTAGTTATATATTTATAATTAACTTTTTTTTTGGATTTGTCACAAAAGTCATTTTTATTATTAAATCTATTTAGATTAACTGGTATACCAAGAATAATAGATTCATATCCATTGGAGAGTGGATATCTCAGTGCACAGATACCATTGGATCCACATTTGAAGTACTATTCGAATCATGTCTTTTTGAATTCCGACTTCCTCCAAGCGGCATGGCATGAACTCAATGTTCTATTGGATTCTTTGCGAGATTTGGAAATACAAATCAACACTACTATGGTTGCGAATAACGGTTATCCATTTGGATCCACTCCACTTGTTGTACTGACAGCCGGAGAAAACGGAGATCACGATTGGATACAAAGACAGAATACTTTAGCTTCATACTCCTCAAACAGCTTCCATATTATAAACAACAACACCAATCATTTCGTTCCATTCCAATCACCAGATTCAATTATAAACGCCATTATAAAATGTATTTCAATGATAAATCAACAACCGAATCAGTAATAATAATAAGATACATAAAATATATATATATTGGTTTGTAAAAAGGCGAATTATAATAAATGTGTAATGTAACGGTATATTAATACAAATATATGTGGACAAAAGTAGTAATATCAAAGATTACTTTTTTTTTTATTTATTTACAAAATTTACATTGTTTTCTTTTTTTCTTTTTGTTTTTTAGATTGTTTTTACTTCATTTATACTTTCTTGGTGGTGTGGGTACCGTGAGTATGCATATAGGAGTCGTAGTCATTCTTTTGACGTTGGAATTGTGACTCTAAGACCTTTCCTTCTTCTTCCATCTTCTTATTCTTGGTGATGTGTCCCCACTTCTCCTTGAGAGCACCCTTGATCTTTTGCATTTGCGATGGCTTGTGTGGCTCTCCGTGCAAGTGGGTGTCTGGATTCTCAGTGGAGCTGATGTTGTGCAATGAGTGTTCATCGTAGTAGTCATCGTAACCGAGCTTCTCAGAGGAACTGTTGATTCCACGAGTCTCACCAAGCTTCTGAGTTTGAGTTTCAGTTAGGGTGCGAGTCTCTCCCAAAGAGTCACGTTCAATCTTTTTCTCTGTGAAGGTTTCTGTGACTTCGTTTGGCTTGGTCACAGTCTCTTTGATGGTTTCTCTCTCGATGGCTGGTGACATTGTGTTGTTGGTGGTGGTGGTGATGGTATCTCCTGGGATGGTAGTGACACTTTCGTCAGTGATGGTGGTGACAGTGGCTGGCAAGGTGATACCTGAAGATGGCAGTGAGGTGGTACTAGATTGAAGACCTGGATTTACGAAAGTGGTTTCAGTTGCTGGTCTACCTTCGGAGGTCAACAGTGCTTCAGTCTCTACAAGTGTATCAGCTGGCTCTAAGAAGGTACTGCTTCTTTGTGTTGACTCTAAAATGGTATCGGTTCCGTGGTACTCAGGATCATTTACATTTGGACCATGGTGATATTCTGGAACCATCTTTTGCTCAAAGACCTGAGATTTTGCACCACCAAGAGTGGTTTCATTTACACTTGACAGATCACCGAATGAGGTTGTACTACCTTCTAGTGGTTGGTTACTAAATGTAGTTGTTTCTTCAAAGAATTTCTCTTTAAATACTGGTGCTATTAATATTTTTTAAATAGAAAAAATAATTTAACTAATTAGTTTAAGTTTTGAAAAAAAAAGTTGATAAAAAAAAAACTCTAAACATACCTTGAGTCTCTTCAAGTGGAGTGGCATGTTCCATTGACATTTGTCTACCTGCGATTGGTGAAGAGTATCCCTCCTGAGCACTGGTAATAAATGGAGAGCTAGTTGGCTCATAGTTATAGCTGTCACCCTCCTTGGTTGGTAGGTAGGATGTACTGTGTTGTAATTCAGTCATAATTAATAATTTATATTGAAAATATTTTAACTATTATTGTTGTAGGAATTTATTATTTATTTATTTATTTGTTTTGATTACAAATGAATTGGATTTGTTTGGTCTTGACGGCTAAATGGACTTTTTTAATCTTGTTGGTGCTCTGTGATTTCTTTTTTTCAATTAAGATGAGACTCATGTAGGCAAAGGCAATAATGGTGGGCCACAAGAAAATCTAATAGAGTATAGTAGATTTCTATTTTTTTATGAAACCATTGAGACTTCCAACAAGATCTCTTTTTTGGTGCCAAAAAACTTAACAAAAAAGGAAAACAGGAGATTTTGGAAAAGTTACATTTTTTAATTTTGTTTTAAATTTTTTTTTTTATTTTAATTTTCCATTGACCATGTTCGACCATTAATGGATTTAATTAAAAATCTCATTCCAGTGAAATAATTTTCCAAAATTTTTAGTTTTTTTGTTTTTTTACCTATTTTGGTAAAAAAGATCAAATCGACTTTCCAATGTCTTATTTTTTTCTCTTTAATAATATTTTACAAGGTAAAACAAAAAAAAACAAACAAAATTGAGTGTGTGTTGCTCAACCTAAAGGGGTAGTGAGGCATAAAAGACTTGGGTCTCAAAAATCAATCTCATGACACAAAAATAGAATAATTCATATGATATTTAAAAAAATAATGGTTATCCATTATTTGAAAGAATATCATTTGTCAATAAAATAAAAGATATCGAATATTACTATTAATGGTAAACTACAAACTATGATGATGTGTCACATGGCATCAACAATTAAAAAAAATAAATAAAAAAAAGAAATAAAAAAAAGAAATAATTATTATGAAATTTATGAGATGATGGTTTTTGTTTGTTTTAATTTTGAGATATATATATTTTAGATTGGTTCCTGTTTATTATCTTGAGTATCATATTGGAAAAATGATTTTGTGACGCGATTTGATAAAGGTTGGATGAGATGATGATGGTTTTGTTTTATTCGATGTTGGTTTTGTTTTTTTTTTTTACTAATGGTAACAAGGTTGAAGTGGTTATTTTGATTGATGTTGTCTTTGTTGTTACTTGATGTTTCAAAGATGATTTTGGCACGGTACATATATTATTTTAGTTGTTTTTTGTTTTGTTGTTTTTTTTTTCTTTAAAGATTGCTTCATGAAGCACCGTCAAACTTTATATTTACAACTGGCTGTGGGTGGAGAGGTGGTGTGGTGTCTTGGGAAAGTTGTTGTTGTGGTGGTGGAATCTGTTGAGATTGTTGTGGTGGTGTGTGAACTTGTGGCGGTGAATGAGTGAGTGGTGCGTCGAGTTTGATTTGAGGCTTTTGGAGTTGGACTGACTGTTGTACCGGAGATTGTTGTTGAACTGGTGGCAAAGTAAGTTGCGATATTTGTGTTGGCGAACTTGAGTGTTGGATCGATGGTTGAGGAATCTGATATTGCAGTGGTTGTGGTGATTGTAATACCGGTAGTTGTGGAATTTGTTGTTGTGGTTGTTGTTGCTGTTGTGGCATTTGTTGATATTGTTGTTGTGGTGGTTGTTGTTGTTGTTGTTGCACTTGATGATGTTGTTGCTGCTGTTGAGGTTGATGATGTGTTTGTGGTTGTTGTACTTGTTGATGTTGTTGTTGTTGTGGCAATTGTTGTTGCTGTTGCTGTTGTTGTGGTGGTTGTTGTATTTGTTGTTGTGGATTGACATCTTGTGAGTTTCCGCCTGGCAGGTTGACAGACATCTTAAAGTCACACTCGACACGAGTGTCACGATAGCTTATGATGAATGTAACCTTTTGGTACTCGTGAGTGACGGGCTCGGTGCCATCTTTCTTCTCGATCTTCTTCTTGACCCACTCCTTACCGGAGGAGAGTGTTGGGAATCCCGAACGAGCATTGAATGTAAAATACAAGTGTTGTACGCTAACCTTCTCGCCGTTGATCAAGGTGACTCTGTCTTTGGTGTAGCTACGCCAAGAGCGGAACGAAGAGAAGTGGTCTCTGAAGAGTTCGACCGGGAGGCAACCGAGGGGTACACCCTTCACTGTCTTTCCGTATCCATTTTCAAGACGATCCAAGAGGATGGTATGTGCAACTTCGAGAAACTCTTGAAGTCTAATTTGTTTATAGAGTGAAGTGAAATAGGATTTATCGATCAATTGTTCCTCCATATTTTGATTTTCTTTAACTATTTAATATATATATATATATAATTATATGTATTTGTTTTTTCTTCTATATATTATTTTGTTTTGGTTTCTTTTCTTTTTTTTAATTTGTCCTTATATCTATATTACAAAAAGAAGAGAGTCTAACCAACCAATATAATAATAAAAACAATAAAGTTATTATTTATATTTAATTATGATCAGATCAATAATGTAATGTTTAATTAGATTTACATAGTTGTTGTTGTTGGTTTTTTTTAGTAATAAAACAAAACAAAACATAAGCAATAAAGTTGAACATCAAAAAAATGCATCATATGATGAATATTTGTGGTTTGTGTGTGTGTTTTGTTGTGTGAAGTGGTAAAAGACGTATGTTTATAATATATGTTAAAGTCAAAGATAAAAGAAACAATGTTAGTTATCATATTTTTTAATTCTTCAATCAATCGAAAAAGTCAACAACAACCAATATATTATATATTTCCCATCTCAATCTTAATCTTAATCTTTTTTTTGTTTAAAAAAAAATACAAAAGTTATCTTTTATAACTTGACAAATGAAAATAAATAAACAAATTAAAATAATTAAATATATATATAAATAAATAATTTAATTTAAATATTAAAATAAAAATTAAATAATTAAATAAATAATAATTGTGTTTGTTTGTGTTTAATATCTATTAATATTGATCCTAAATAATGTAAATTGTGAACACAAAGCAAAGTCGGACTTTACATCGATGTCCAAACTATTTTTAAACCCACTAACTATTGGTTGCTGTTTCTCTTCACATTAACTTACAATTTTTATTACTTTTTTTTAAATAAAATTTTATTAAATATATTTAAAAATAATTATTTATTTATTTAAAATAAAATAAAAGAAAAATAAATAAAAATAAAAATAAATGAAAAATTTCAATTCGATTTTTTGTTAGTTACCCACCAATTTCTTTATTTTTTTTGATTTTTTTTTATTTTTCTTGAACGAAATCCGTTACCATCGAACTTCAAAAATTCGTTAGAGAGAGTCTTTAAAATTCAAAAATTTTATGCAAAAACAAAATATTATTTTTTTTTAATTATTTTTATTATTTAAACACCTTTCATATCATATCATATCAAATCATCAATAAACTTAAGGGTTTAATCTAAGTTTTTTGTTTTTGTTTTTTTGAACCGACAAACAACAACAACACAAACACACACCATCGACTTACTATTAAAGAAATAACAAGTAGTTTTGTAATACATAAAAAGAAAAAGTAAAGAAGAAGAGAATGAGTTCAAGAAAGACTATTGCACCAACCAATTTCAAGAGTGCCAAAGCTTGCACCGGCTGTGGATTGGTAAAGACTCAACAGCAATTCGATGAGAATGGTTGCGAGAACTGTGGTGGTGGTAGAAGAAGAGCATCTACAACCACCACCCCAAACTTTGAAGGGTACGGAAAGGAATAAATAACAATATATATATATATATATAAAAAAGATAGATTGTTTATTCAATTAACTAACTAACTCTTTCTCTTATCACTATTAGTGTAATTGCTGTTTTGAAACCAAATGAAAGTTGGATTGCTAGAAAACAAGGTTTGGATTCACGTGTTCCAGGATGTTATGCTTTGAACATGACAGATAAATAATCAAACAAACAACTCTACTATAACTAAAATTACAACACACAATCAATCATAATAATAACAAACAGCAAAAAAGAAAGAGAAAAGCTAAAACATTAACTAGCAGTGGGATCATCATTATTCAAAAAGATGATTACAACACAGTGATCATACCATCGATCGATATTTGATTGTTATTCTTTAATTAGATATAACAACAAACACAATACAACAGCCATTGTATATAATAATACAGAGATCATTTAAAACTAAGGTGCTATATTTAAACACAAAAGAACAATGATAAATAAAGATTAAAAAACCTATAAAACTTATTGTTTAACTTTGTTTTTGTTTTTTTTAGTAAATTAATTTATAGATTACAATAATAACTTTATTTATTAAATTTATTTATATAAATAATTAAGTTAAGCTTTTATATGCTGTTTGTTTGTTTGTTGTTTGATGAGGGGATTTGCAAAGTTACAACTTGCATTATTTGAAGTAGGAAGTTTAGAGGGGAAGGTTAATTAGTTATTTAGGTAGTAGTAGTATTTGACGAAAAAGAAAAAAGGTGAAAAATATTTATGTATATATATATTATTATTATTATTATTATTATTATTATTATTATTATTATTATTATTATTATTATTATTAATGTTTAATTGCTTTATAGAATGCATTATATGAACTATCGAGATCGAATAACAATTGTCTGGTTTGATCTTCGTCCAACTCTTCGCTTGCCTTCATCTTGTTGAGAGTGGTCATCCAATTCATAATCTTTTCCTTGCCATCGAAATTCGATAGCCATGTATTTCTATTGAGACTCTCCAAGAGATCGCTTAGCAATGGATGAATATTATCAACTGCAACAAACTTTAATCGAACGGAATCCATTGTAGTAATAAAATGTTGTACTGTCTCTGCTACATTCCTAGATTTTAATGATAATGATCAGTATCAGTTAGTTATTCATTATTATAGATAATGTTTGTCTACAATATCTTTATCGTTGTTGTTTTTATTACATACTTTGCAGTCATTGAATCGTTGGAATCTGTATTTACACTATGTTCTAAAGTTGAAGGATATCCTTTATTAACTAATCTATCATCTAATATATATATATATATATTAAAGATAAAAGTATTAATATTATGTTGTTGGTGATGAATGTATATGTTTGTGTTTTGTTTTTTTTACTTACATGCAGCTTTACAATCGAGATTGTATTCTCTCATGAAATTCGAAACGTTGGGAGTAAGATCTTTGACTAGAGTTTGAGAGGATTTGAATTGAGCGATGAGTTTTGAACATGCAGTGGTGTAGTCTTTTGGGAGTACGCTGTCTCTGATGTATGCTTTCTCGAGGTGTTCAGTCACCTTGATGATTGAATATAGTTCCGCTAGATTATCGTACATCTCTCTATCTTTATTATTATTACAAAGCTTCACTTCTTTTGTTACGATCTGTGCCTGTAGTGATGCACTCGATGTATTGGCACCTATACTCGCCACTGCACCACCGCCGCCGCCACCACCAACCATCGTCGGATGATATCCATTTCCATTGATATTAGATGTGCCAGGTGGTCCTCTATAAAACAATAGATATCAAATTCAATAATGTTAGTAATCTAAATGTATATACATTTCATTTTTCAAATTTAATCAAACTTACAATGGTATCTGTGGTAATGGTTTAGGTTTAGATGTACTATCTTGATATGTTGGTGGACTTGGATAATACTGTTTTTTGTTTGTTCAAAGTAAGTAGAGTTAGTGATTCATTAGTTGTATATTTAGATATAGAGCTATCAGCTACATACAGGTGGAGGTGGTTCATTTATAGGCTGTGATTGATATAAACTCTTTATCATCTGTGGTGGTTGTTGTGGCTGTGGTGGTTGTTGAGTTGGTGGCTGTTGAAAGTGTTGTCTTACTGGAGGATTATACATAATTATATTCACTCTTATTTATTATTATTAAATTAATCGACTAAATATCTATCTATCTTTTATTTCCCTAGTAAACCTGTTATTTTAAAATCGATATTTTTGTTTTTCCTCTTAAGAATCTGACGAACTAATTGGTTGGTTTGAAACAAACAAATAAATAATTATAAATATAACTACTCTTGTGACAAAAAAAAACAAAAAATAAAAATAAAAATAACAAATAAATTAAATAATATAAATTAAAATAAAAAATAACTTGAAATTAACAAAGAAAAATGACAACTTTTAATTAAAATGATGCCAAATTTAAACAATATGATTTATATAATAAAATAATAAAACTAAATAACTACAATTTTAAAATGAATGATGATTATAATATAATATTATTAATCTTGTTTATGTTTTTTCTTTTTTTTTTAATTTTTGTTTTTTTAATTTTTAAATTTTTCAATTTTTTATGAATTTTTATTTTTGGATTTTTGGGAAGGAGGTTGAAGCAATGCAAAGTTACTAAGATAATGATACTTTTAAAAACTGTAAATATCAAATTTACCACGATATTTCCTACAATGTTCTGAAACTAAATGTTATTGTTGTTGTTGTTGTTATTGTTGTTATTGTTATTTGGGATTGAAATTAACAACAAAAACATTCGGAATTTGTAAATTGATTTTTGTAAATTGACAATTTACAATTGTGATCGATTGATCATATAATTATATGATAATGTGAAATAAATATATGTTGTTACTAGTTGAGCTTCGTGTTTAGTTTCGTTTAGTTATGACGGAAGAACTTGAGACTTAACCAATTGAGATAGACTGTGATGATGGTAACAGGTACCAATACAGGTAGCAACAGACAATAGTACCAGTCGTATTTGATGAAATCCAATATTCTGTTACCTGTATCCGGTAGAAACTTTGAAATGACCAAACAATAGGTTGTGAAAATAAAGAATATCAGTGTGCACAGAATAACAAGCCATCCATAGCAAACGGTTTGGTCATTATCATAGCTATTGAACCGTTGCATCGGTTTGTATTTCTTTCTAGCTGGTGGTGTATTGTTATTGTTACTCGTTGTATTGGTAGAGGCAGTTGAAGAAGTAAGATTAGCAATAGGGCTATTTGAAGTTGGTGAAGAATTAACTGAACTAGAAATAAAAGTTGTTTGTTGTTGTTGTTGCTGTTGTTGTTGTTGAAGTTGTTGCTGTTGTTGTTGTTGTTGTTGTTGTTGATGTTGTAATATTTGTTGTGCCATTGTTAGTTGTTGTGACTTTATCGTTGGTCTTGAACTACTAGAGAGTGGTAGACTGTTTGGTAGAGGTGGAAATTGTGAATTCAAACTACCGTAGCTACCGGAGAGAGAACTCATATTTGGCTGCGAAGGTGTTCTCCTATGTAGTATCACCGGTGTATTACTGCTATGACTTGTTGTACTACTAGGTGACTGATCACCACCTACACTACCACTTCCATTTTCAACTAAATGTGATGAACTTGACATGAGTGTCTATTATTTCTTTTATATTATTGAAATGTCTGTCTGTCTGTCTGTTACTCACTTAAGTTTAAAACAAACAAAACAACTAAAATAAATATATATGTTTTTACAAAAAAAAACAAAACAAAAATAAATATAAAATAAAATAAAAAATTTAAAAAGTTTTCTTTTTTTTTTTGTTAAATTTATTTATTTTTATTTAAATTAACTATTTTTTTATAATTTATTGTTATTTCCAAACAAATATTATTGTTAAAGAATTATTTGTTTGAATTTAATTAATTAATTGAAGTTCATAAGTATTTTATTCTAGATTTCAACACTGATTTGTGTCGAAAAACAATTATCAAGATAGTATGAGTTTCTGTAACCTGGTTTTTCAACCAAAGATGAGGTGCTGTTTTTCGTCAGAAGCTACACCTCTGTTGGTGGTGTCAACAAAAAATAAAAAAACATAATTTTTAGATTATAATTTGAAATTTTTAGCTTTTTAAGTGAATAACGGGGAGATTAATTATTAGAGTAGAGTCAAAAACGAATCAACTACTGTCAAACATTTTTAATAGTTGTTTTTTTGGTAACCTAATTAATTAGATATCTTATCTTTTTTATTTTATTTTTTTATTTCATAAACACGATAGTAGTAGTAATAATAATAATAAATCAAAATTTGTGTTGATCTATAAAAGTTATTTCATTCTTTGAATAGTCGAGAAGAGCAACTAATATAAATCAAACTAATTTCATATTGATTCGAATTTAAAATAATAATTTAATAATAAAATAAAAAGAAAAGATCAACTTAATATAATAATAAAAATAATAATCAATATTTATATCTAGATCTTATCTTATCTTATTCCTATTTTACTTTTTTAAATTTCTTAAATTTAATATTTATTTATTTAATTCATTTTTCGATAGAATTACAATTACATTTATATAATTATAATAGACTATAGTTTGGTTTAATATTAAAATGGCAACAATGTTTGAAGATTGTTTTAAAATGGATAAACTCCATGATGTATGTATAGTTTAAAAATACAATTAGTTGTTGTATTATTATTGATTTATTAAAATTTCAATATAAAAATTTGACAGTTTAAATTATTGACATCACTCGGTGTTATTGCAACATGTATATCTTACTATCTTAGACCGAAACCCTATAAAATACCAGATAGATTGAAATCGAAAACCTATAGATTATCATTCGTTGAACACCTGCTAGGAGCAACACTAATTTTATGTATCATTGCAAATGTTGGAATTAGAGTTGCAAAAGGTGTGCCTCATTGGTTGGTATGTATCAATCTCACATCACATTCACTTTTCAAATTCTCAAATCAAATCAAATCAAGTCAATTTCTAATTATAATTTGTTTTTCAATATTTTTATATAGTGTCAACCTTGTCATGTCCTTTCATTTTTACTTGTTTATGTTATTTATTATGGTGATTTAGATACAAGAGTATTCCATTATTATTTCTATTCCATGTGGATGCCGTATGTATTTAAAAAATTTAAATTATAGAATATTTCTAGAAATTTAATATTAATGTTTATAAATATGCTCAGTGTTATTGGATTATTATCACCACCGAATGCAAGTTGGTTTACATGGTGGTGGGAACCTCATGTTTTCTATATTCACCATGTTTTGCTGCTGGCAATTCCCTATTACTATTTGATGATCAACCACAGATTCCACCCACATCTCATCACCAAGACATCGTCACACTCTGACTATAAGGTCGATCATATCACCAACCAAAAGAGTCGTTTCAGATTCTTCAATCATATTTTCGGATTCGGTGTCATCTACCACGCATTCTTTTTGGCGAATCTAGGTCTCTATTTGGACGAGGATTTCGATTCACTCCGTTGCAGATTCTCCGGTGGTGAAATTTTTGGAATCTACTGGAGAGAGGCACTCATATCTCTTTGTTACGTTGCATCCATTCTATTTGCATGGATTCCAGATCACTTTGCACACAAACACTTCATTAAGAAATCATTGAAATCTTCAACAAAGCAACACAGCAATAATGTTTCATCCGAGAACAGTATTAATACTACAAAGAATACCAATAAATCAAAGATAAATTAAACAATTTATTAAAAATTGTTTGATTTGTTTTGAACGAATATAAATATAATTATAAAAATAATATGGAAATATTTAGTTTTAATTTAATTTATTATATATTATATGGTAGTTGTTGAAATAATTACAATTTAATTTAATTATTTCTTTGTTGTTGTTGTTGCCTTTTTGGTTGTTATTGTACTTGTTTTGAAAAGATCAACTTCTTCCGCTTCTTCTTCGTCTTCGGAATCGGTTGAATCCTCTTCACCGTCAGCTTTCAATACTTTGGCTTTGGCTCCCTTCTTTACGAGTGCAGTAAAGTCATAGGTTGCATGAACACTCTTATTCCACTTCTTGGTGAACTGACCTTTGACCGCAGTTTCGATGACCTTGGTTGGATCGTCTTCCTTACCCCAGGTCGTTAGTTCAAAGATGTTGTTACGATCCTCCAAAGTCATACCATAGGCATCCATGAAATCGAAAACATAATCGATGGCATCCTTGCCTTTCTTGGCCAGTGGTTGAATCAAATAGTGTTTGAACATCGGTGCGTAATACATTCTAGTTTCCTTAAGATTGGCTTGTAAAGTTGCATCGGATGCTCTTGTATGCAGCTGCAATTCCTTAACGAATCTCTGTTGCTTATTGGCATTTGAATATTTACCAAAGAATCTTTTAAAATAATTAAAATTAGTTAAAATGGAAATATTATACCATTAGGTTATTATTATTATTTAAATACATACGATGGGAATGTTGGGAACATTCTTGATTTACCAGATATTAAAGTTGCTGGAATGACAGTTGATACAATACCATAGGCAGGTAAAAGGTTGAAATGTTCAAACATATTCTTGTTGAGAATATCACCTTCACTGATAGAGTCTGCAGCCATCGAGAATAACTCCAATTCAGAGAATTTCTTAAGATGTGGATTACTTCTTGTTGGATCATTGAACAAATAGTTTTCCTGAAAAAAAGCAAATTAATAAAATATTAGTAATTGTTATAAATCTATATCGGATCCGAAACAAACTCACTTGAACTAAAAGTGGTACCAATGAGAAGTCCGAAAAATAGTAATCAAGTTTGGTATCAATGGATTGACTGCTATCGCATTGTAGTAACTTCTGAGCAGATGTAAAAGGTCCCAAATCAATATCTTTTAATGATTTAGAAATTCTAAAAATAAATAATATAAAAAAAAGAATGAGTATTCATTATGGATGAATCTTGTGATTGTGATAAATAACAATAATGTTATATGACTACTCTACTTACGTTTGTTGAATATTATTATGAGTGGCTTTTACTTTGGCTCTACTCAACATTTGCATCGAGGTAATTGCTTGTCTAATATCACAATTACTACCTTGGAATACTTGTTCCACCATATATCTATTCATTACCATATTCTCGTGCTTGGCAATCTGAAGTAATCTATCGCTCACCTCAGCTGGAGTTGGCCTATAAATTTAATTAGTATACCAATTTGATTTCCAAAGTACTGTTTGTTAATAACTTACTTTTTAAATTTAAGATCCAAACAATAATTCTTTAGGGTGGATAGTTTCTTATCATAATAATCATTACATATGCAAATAATTGGAATTCTAGTGGATTTTATCATTTGCAAGACCACTGATACTCCACCTCTGTCGGCGTTACCAGAGGATCCATCGATTTCATCCATAATAATTGCAACCTTCTTTGGTTGTACTTTTTTCTAAAATATAGATATGATTTGTATTTGGAAATAAATATATTATTTGTATTTGGAAATAAATATTAGTATTACAAATGAGAATAGAAGTAATAGATATATTTACATTTTGAACAAATTCAGTTATGAAATGATTATCAGAGACACCAGAGAGTAGTTTCTCGATCTGAGATTTACTTCTTGTGTCACTGGCATTGTATTCAACGGGTTCGAATCCCATTTCCTTACAGATCATTACGGCTGCCGATGTCTTACCGATTCCAGGTGGTCCTGACAGTAGTGCAGCTCGTAGGAATTTAATCTTTGGCAATCGACTCAACTCTTCCTTCTCTTCCTTTGTCTGTTTGGCCGACTTCTTCTTTTGCTTCTTGTTATCGTCATCGTCTTCTTCGACCTTTGGTGTCAATGGCGGTAGTAATGGAAGTGCCAGATGTTTCTTCCACTTACCCAGCCAGTCAGCAAAACCGTGGATCACCGACTTGTTACCAATCAAATCGTTGGACACGACTGGTTTGTACTTATCAACCCAGAGTTTATCGTTTCCAACCGGGATCTTCTTGATTGACGACGAAACATCGACATTCTCCATCTCATCCTTCACCTGTTGGTAGGCAAGGTTTTGAGCGGCAGCAGTGTTGATCGGTCTACTAAAGTTGGGAGGTGTTGCCATCTTGAGTGGCAATGGTTTTAACATGCTCGATGCAGGTTTAAACGAATTGTTATTGTTTGGCATCGGTTTGAGAAGTGTCAACTTGAGCTTCGACTTCAAATCCTGAGATGACAAAACAGTTGTTTGTGATGACTGTGAAGATGGTTGAGAGGATGGCTGAGACGATGGTTGAGAGTCACTCGGCTCATCTTTCACCTTGAAAATTGGTGATGTTTGAACAGCTGTTTGATCTTTCATTTCAACATCTTCTGTCTCCTTCTTTGGTGATTTACCTGTTGGTAGTGGTTTTGGTAGAGAATCTTCCTCTGCTTTCTCTTCTTTCACTTTAATCTTTGGAGATTGAACTGTCTTTACTTTGGCCACTTCCATTTCAGGTTCGGATGTTTCAATCTGCTCATCTTCAGCCGTATCATCCATTATCACATCCTTTACTTCTTGCTTAACAGATGTATCTGGTAGTTGTGGTTCTGATTCCTCCTCTTCCTTCTCCTCTTCCTCATGTGCACTTTCCTCCTTGTTATCGATATTCTCTTCTTCCGCTTCCTCTTCCTCCTTTGCAGCAACGACAGCAGTTGGATGAGTCTTTTCATACTTCTCCATACTCTTATTGATTCGATCGAGAACGTCATCCTCTGTGATGATTGGAATACCATATTTCTTGACTTTCTCAAGTTTGGAAACACCAGCTTCGAAACCCTCGACAAAGAAGTTTAGTTTCTTGGTGACGGTTGTTACGACGACACCTCCATGTCGCTCGATGATATCTTTCAGCTCATCACGCTCGAAACTCTCTAGAGCACCACTGATCAGGTAGTTCTTTCGCTTCAAACAAGACGGTGTTCCGACGGGAATAGGTTTGCATCCACGATTGAGAGGTGGTGGTGCTGACTGTCCACCACATTTCATATTCATCAGGAACTGACGTTTTCTCGCTTTCTTTTGTGCTTCGTCTGCAAGTTGCTCCGGTGTCTTATTGTCGTCGACGGTGTTACCCTTGGCTTCCACCTTCTTCTTGGCAGGACCATCCGCTTTGATATCGGATTTCTTTGATCTCGCACCGGCTTTGCTTGTTGACTTGGCAGGAGCTTTCTTTGAAGACGGCGACTTTGTAGCAGCGGCAGCAGTCTTCTTAGCAGGCTTAGTAACTTCCTCTTCCTCCGTCAGTTCATCATCATCATCCTCCATCAAATTAGAGCTATTCCTCACTAGATTACTCTTAGGTTTCTTAAGAGCTACATTATCCTCTTCACTTGTAGATTGACTGTCTTCTTCCACTACTCCTTGTTTCACCTTCTTTTCTTCGTTAAAGATTAAAGTTGGTTTCCTGCTTGATGGCGAAGAAGATGAAGAAGTGGATGATCTACTAGTTGTTGTTGTTGTCTTTTTCTTTTGATCTTTAGAGGAAGAAGAAGAAGAAGAAGGTGAGGATGATTTCTTTGTGTCTAACGGTTCGAATCTACTAAAGAGATGATAGACACCTTTATCCTCTTGTGAAGGTGATCGTAGTTGTTCCAACTCTTTCTTAATTGGACTCTTGGCAGGTGAGTTATAGTTAGAGTTGTAATTCTTATTTGGTTTGGGTGATGATGTCGTTGGTGTTGTTGGTGGTAGTGGTCTCTTCATATCTGTCTCTGTACCCACTTCCTCGTTATCATCACCAGACAAGAAGAGATCAGGATTGAACTTGGATGATGTCTTTGTTGAATGTCTACCATTACTATTACTATTACTGCTATTACTATTTCTACTACTTCTAGATTCATCAACAGCAGCAGTAATACTTTCAAATGGAAGTGTTGGTTTCTCACTTTTTGTTGGTGTTGACTGCTTTACTCTTTCTTTCTCTTTCTCTTTTTCTTTCTCTCTTTGCTTTTCCTTCTCTTTCTCTTTCTCTTTCTCTCTCTCTTTTTCTTTCTCTTTGTTTAATTTAGTGTTATTATCTTCAGATTCATCCATGAATATATCGTCTTCGTCGAAAATGTTGGATGTAATTGGTTTTCTCTTTTGTGGTATGAAATCATCATCATCATCATCATCGAATATAGAATCTCTCTCAGACTTAACCGATGACACTGACGATGTTGATGTTGATGATGATTCCTTGTCTTTTGAAGGTGACTTTGAATTACTATCATTATTATTATTATTATTATTATTACTTAATCTCTTTGAAGATGATGATGAAGATGTTGATTTAGCTTTCTTTATTTCTTGTTTATGACTTTTACCACTACTGCTACCACTACTATTACTACTAGATACGATGTTATTGTCATCGAATTCCTCTATATTCTCTTTATCACTATCAGGATCATCCGCTATATACTTTCTCTTTGTCAAAATCGATGATGAAGAAGAGCTTGATGATGATGAGTTACTATTTCTCTTACTCTTACTACTTTCTTTATCTCTATGGTGATGATCTCTGTTGGATGATGATGATTTAGATGGTGACTTAGATGATGATGATGATGTTGATCTATCTTTACTTGGACTCTTTGATGGTGAATCTGTAGTTGTTGATTTCTCTTTTAATACATTGCTATTAGTTGACTTCTTTAAACTGCTGTTACTGGGTATTGGATCTTTAAAATCGTCATCATCATTTGTAGGAGTAACCTTTGCAAAGAACGACCTAATATCTACAGCATTCTAAATTCAACCAATTATTAGTTAACTATAATCGTTTCTAAAGCAACAGTCTTTTAATTTTGTTGTTTATATATACTTTATCTTTATTTCCACCATTTGCACTTCCACTATCCTTCTTCTTTTTACTTGACATTTCTCTATGTTATTTCTTTATATTCTATTCTGTTCTATTCTACTCTACTCTTATCTTATCTTATCTTATCTTATTTTATCTTGATAAAATAAAATAAATTAATAAATAAAATAATAAAAAATTGAAAGATCTTTACAAAATAACAAAAGTAAAAATAGTTATTAAATAAATCTTTTGAATGAATATTAAATACTAAAACAAACTTGTAACAATCAAATAATTTTAATGAAAATAAGGCGCCAACCAGGTTGTTTAAACAAACATTTAAATTTTTGATTTTTTTTAAATTTGATTTTTTTTTTTTTTTTTCCAGGAATTAAGTGACATAGTTGCAATTTAATACAACCAAGGAAAGAAAGAAGTTCAGGAATATTAAATTAAATCTATTTTATCGTATCTATTTTTGATTTTTTTTATTTATATATTTACAAATCGGAATTATCGATGCTCATATTAATTGGCTTTGGTTTGTTCGAATTGGTGATAAAATAGATTTAATTTTTCTTGGTTGTATTAAATGTTTTGTGGAGATGCGACATGCGCATACACCACTACCTTTTTCGCCAAAAAACTTTAGTTGTTTGAGCCAATTGTTTGGTGTCTGACCTTGCGTTTTGTAGATGGTGTATATCATGGGGATTACCTCGAGAAGCATGTAGTGAACGAGGTCGTAGTATGGCCAATCGATAGGCCAAACAAAAGTGGTGATCAAAAGCAGACTTGCTCTCACTAAATTCGCAAACAGCAGAACCACCATTAGAATTTCAAAGTTGACCTCCAGTTCTTCGGTTTTCTCTTCCTGTTTTGTGGCGCTGTTCGGTGACATCTGTCCCATCGATATGTAATCACTTGAATGATCGATCAAACTGGTTCTGGAGTCATCTACATCCTCTACATCTACATTTATTGCTGCATATTGTTGATCAATGACTCCTTCTTCAGCTTGGTCACCTTTTAAAGCTTGTTGACCATTGACTCCTGTGGTTTTACTTTTGAACAGATCGATAATCCTTAAAATTGCACTGGAATGAAATGAAATTGCATGAGAGGAGAACGTGTGTTAGTCAATTGTGTTCAAATGTATAATAATATCGTTGAAATCAATACAAACAGATTTGTTTCTTTTGTTTTTTTTTTTTAGTTAGATTCAACTTTTATAAATTGATAAAATCACACTTTATTAATAAATAAACTTTGTTTTTAAACATGTGAAAGCTCTGGAATTAATATCAATTTGGTTAGTTAGTTAGTTGGTTGTTATTTACAAAAGCATCGGCATCTATGCTTATATTAATTGGGTTTTGATTGTCTAACTCCATGTCCAAGTTGTCTATTTCTTTGAGCCAATTGTTCGGAGTCTTACTTTTCATGATGATGATCATTAGTACCATTGGAAGTACCTCGAGTGCCATGTAGTGAATTAGGTCGTAGTATGGCACGTCGAAATCCACAACATAAGTGGTGACAAAAACCATAACTGACCGAATCAAATACACGAAAAAAAGAAATACCAACAGTATTTCAACGTTGTTCTCCAATTGAAATGTTTTCTGTTCCTGTTTTGTGGCACTTGATCGATCCATCAAGCTGACAGCTTCTACAACTTGACCTTTGTTCTTAATCCTTGAAATGATACTAATAAAATTGAAAAACAGAGTGTTAATATATCATAAACATTAAAAAAACATTGAAATTGATTGATTGATACATACATATAAACAAATAAGAATAATGCAGTAACAAGATAAATAACTACTGCCATGTATTGGAGTGCAATATCATAGAAGGAATTAGATGGATTCTCAACAAAACTCGGTCCATTATAGTGGTCTGATTGATATTGCAAAAGTGAAAGAATAAATACTACAATGTACATCAAAAAGTTTCCAACTGCAACATATATCTTATATTTCTTAATCAACTCTTGCCTTGGTCTTGTCTGATGTTTCAATAAAATAATACTGTATATATAAATCATTGATTAGTTATAATTATAAAAAGTAAATATTAATAATTAATATGATAAGTAATTAATTACCATGCAAATAAAGAAATGGTTAATGCTGTGAAAATGAAAAAAGCAGGTAGAATCTTGACTAATTCCAATGCTTGTTGTGCCTGAAACGTTAGAGTAAGTGTACCGTCCTTGGCAAATATATATACAACGAACATCGTACACCTGATCCCGAAAGCAACGATCAAGAAACTAAAAAACACAATTGTTGATCTACAAAAAACCCATCCATTTTCTTGATTGAATCTGAATGCCGCTATATATATAGATAAAAGGGTAAAAGTAAGTAGAAGTTCTTTTCTTACTTCATAATTACAACAATCTGATTGTAAATTGATATTGTTATATTTCTCTACAAATGTAAACTTACATTTCTTTATAACTTTATATACACAGTAAACCAATAGACCACAATAGATAGCTGCCAATATATAATGACAAATATTATAAACCAAATGGTCGTTTCTCATTGTTGTTTGTGGTTCCATAAAGATCTTTATAGATACATTTAGCAAAAGTAAGTAGTAGTTCTGTGATGGATTATGTCTCCTGTGTGATCACTTTGGAATAAAACATAAACATTAAAAAAAAAAAAGTATTTGGTGATATTCTTGTTTGAGAATTCTCAGTGAACAGAGATAAAAAATTAAACAAATTAGTGGGTTGTTCGAAACTTGATGGTTTAATTTTACAACTTTAAATCAGAATAATAGGAGTCATCAAAATCACTTAAATTTTTAATCCGATCTCTAATCAGATTTTTTTATTTTTTTTTTTAGTTTACGCCTGGGTTCAAGATTTTTTTTTTTGGAGATTCATACCTCTCATCATTTATGATTTTTTTTTTTAATAATAAAATATTTATTTACAATAATTAGATCGGTTTAGTTAAAAGTTTAAATTTAGATTAAGAAAATTGAATCATTGTATCGTATTCATCCATTATTCCAAGTAAAATTGTTTGTTGTTCTTCTGTGCGTGATGATTATCATCGGTATCAAGGGAATGACCTCGAGAGTTGTAGAAAATCAGGTCATAGTAGGGAGCATCGATTTGAACGATAAAAGTAGTGATATAAACCAATACAGATCGAACCAAATACACAGCAAACAGAATGCCAAACAACAGATCAATATGATCCTCCAATGTTTTGGATTTATTATGTTGTTTTGAGTTGTAAAGAGTTTGATTTCTTTTTCTTAGCAAATAAAGATATAGAGAATGCTGTTAAAACAAAAAAAGATGGTAGAATCTTTAGGAATTCAAGTGCTTGTTGTTCTTGAAAATTTAATTCAAGTTGTCCATTCTTAACTAGTATGTAAATAATGAACATGCAACTCCTTTTTGCAAAAACAAGTTGTAGGAACTAAAAAAAAAATCGTTGATTTATCGATTCAATAAGTTTCTTTTTGGATCTGATTAAGTTAGTAAATTCCATCCTTCATTATTATAAGATTTATAATAACAAAAAAAATAATCAGAATTAATGTTGTGGTTAATTTTTTTGTTTTTTTTGATCCATAGTTTCTCTCTTTATTTCTAACCTATGTTATAACTTGATTATTATCTTTTTCTTCATAAAATGAGTAGATATACAGATAATGATGATCAGGATCTACTTGATGATCTGTATTTTCCTTTGGTGATCAATGATCAAGTATTTGTTCTTGAGTTAAAATGGACTGCTCCCCCATACCCTGTACTTATTTGATTACAACACTTTGGTCAAGTTCAAGGTTTAATAATCGACCTATCATTCTTCCTAATGCCTTCTTATTTTTTGATTGAATAAAATATTTTTAAGAAATAGAATTATATTTTTATTTATTCTCTTGCTTTTTGAAGTAGTTGTCTTCTTGTCATTTGTCCACCATTTGGAAGTGTAATTTTTTTTTGTTGTTTAAAAGTGTTAATCCAATGAATCTGTAAACCGATCTTAGTTGTTGACCTAATCTTAGTGATTCCATTAATATTTGTTGTTTTGTCATTCGAACATCATTCTGGAGTTTGATTGTTTCATATTGGGATAGTGTAATACCAAGATGAAAAAATGAATCGGAATCGGTTGGATTACACTCTATTGCTTTTAAGTATAGTTGTTTTTTAGTCATTGATTGTGAATTATTTAATGTGATTGATTCACCAATTGAAAGTGTATTTGCAAGGTTATGATATGAACGGTAATTGGTTGGATCACACTCGATTGATTTCAAGTATAGTTGTTGTTTTGTCATTGATTGTCCATTATTAAGTTTGATTGATTCACCATTTGAAAGTGTATTTGCAAGGTTACAATATGAACGGTAATTGGTTGGATCACATTCTATTGATTTCAAGTATAGTTGTTGTTCTGTCATTGATTGTCCATTATTAAGTGTGATTGATTCACCACTTGAAAGTGTCTTTGCAAGGTTAAAATATAAATCAGAATCTGTTGGGTCATATTCTATTGATTTCAAGTATAGTTGTTGTTTTGTCATGATTTGTCCATTATTAAGTGTGATTGATTCACCACTTGAAAGTGTATTTGCAAGGCTATTATATGAATATGAATCGGTTGGATCACATTCTATTGATTTCAAGTATAGTTGTTGTTCTGTCATTGATTGTCCATCATTAAGTTTGATTGATTCACCACTTGAAAGTGTCTTTGCAAGGTTATGATATGAACGTGAATTGGTTGGATCACACTCGATGGCTAATAAGTATAGTTGTTGTTGTGTCATTGATCGGCCTGATGAAAGAATGATAGATGATCGATTTTCAGTTTTAAGAATTGCTGCCAACTTGAAATAAGCATTTGCTTTGTTTGGATGAAGATCGATGACTTTCAACAAAAGTTGTTCTTTCGTTACGGGTTCACCTGTTGGGAGAACTATTGTTTGTTGATCATTAGAATTATAATGATCAAATGTCATTGAAAGTTGGAGGAGTTCATCATTATCTTCAACATTCGAACTGATACTATCTTGTTCATGTTTTCTTTTCATTTTTTTTTAAATAAATACTATATCAATTAAATATTGTTATGTTATCAATTTATGCAAAACAAAACAAAACTGGCTTTTGCTTGTGACCATACTCACACTTTTGATTTTATCAAAACAACTACAAAAATCTGCAAATCAATTTAATTGTTTTTTTTCACTATTTAAGAGAATGAAATTTCATAAGTTTATTCAAAAATACTTATATTTATAAATATTTATAACAAAAAGATGACAAAGGTAAATTAATAATTAATATTTATTCGAATCACGTTCATTGAATTGTAATTTATTAATAAATACAATTTTTTTTATTTATTTTATTTTAGGGAAATAGATCTTTTACTTTATCAAACAATCATGTAAGTGAGAACAGTTATGCCAAAAAATATACGAATAGAAGACTCAGTCCAGGATCTAGTGATCGAGAGCCAACAACGACAGAGTTAAATCCACCTACACCAGTTGAGTCAAATCCAAGAACCGTTAGTACAACAACGCATACTGAAGCTCAGTCAAACGCTCTGACTACATGTGTACCAACTTCCCCAGTAGCGACTGAACCATATCCTACCAGGGGAAGAGGTAGAAAAGGAATAGTGCCAGATGGAAAAGTCCAATTTAGCTCTAACAAGACAATCACTGGTGTGACTAAAGATGGCTTTGAAACATCTCCTGTGCAATTCATTTCACAACTTTCTCATTCACCTCAAGTAATTCCGTCTATTTCTTTTGATAAGCAAATCAATTCCGATCAAATTTCGAGAGCGATCTCCTCCACACAAGAGCCTCTATTGGATTTTGAAAGCAGATTGCTTCCGATTGAAATAAGAGTGTTTCATCAACTTTCATTTGCTAAAGAACCGAAATGCTTTCAACGTGAGAGTGAAAAGCAAAAACTCAAGCGTCTATCTGCCAACATATGTCAGGATGGTCATAGTGTTAAATTACCATTCAATTATTTAACCAACTCCAATCATCAAGAGGAAACTAAAGTCATGCTCCTCTCCACACCAAGCTATATTTTCAACAATAACCATGCTCTTTTCAATAAAGAAGACCTTACATTCCACAATGTAAATTCCACTTTATTAATGAAAACAATAGCTGTTGCAAAATTAAAAGAAGTTTTGCATAACATGGAATTCTTCATTAAAGATCAACTCATAGAATCATCAGTAAAGAAAGTCAGACCATACTGTGTTGGATCTATCTCACCTGGTATTTTCAATGATACCAAAATGTCAGTTATTATACATCACTACAAGTGTACTCTACTTGACCCAAATGGAGAGAGAAGTTTCAAGTATCCAAAATTGATTACCAACGACTGGTGGTTCAGAGATACCCTTAAATCAGGAGTTGCTGCAAGATTTGTGGTTGAATCAATTAGCTTTAAAATCAACTCACTTTTTAACACTGTGACAGTAGAGTTTGAGTATGGTAAATATGCTATCTCAACAAACAGTGAATAACGAAGTTTATTGTAAACTAGAAGAAAAAATGCCATAAAACCAATAATACTAAATAAAAATTGTTTTTTTTAATAAAATTATATTATATATTACTATCTACATGATTTAGGAATTTGGTCATCAACCTTTTATTATTCAAACAATCTGTTTCGAACTCATTTTATGTGAAACAAAAGAGATTGACCACTTGAGAAAACAAATTCATTACTGAATTGCATCTGTCAATCTTTGAACTATTTGATTTTAGTTCTTTATATGGATCCAAGCGATTACATATTTGAAGTACGTCATTTACTTCTCTATGAATTGTAAATTTGGATATTAATCTTGATTGGCTGTTCATTAGTTATAATTTTATAATATTAAAATAATATAAGTAATTTAAATAATATATATATTAGAGATTGACATATTAAAATAATAACATGAACTTCGAAAACTTTTAAAAAAAATTGTTTTTTGTTTTATTTTTTGGTAATATTGGAAAAAAAATAGTCGAATAAAATGATTGATTGTGAAACAACAGATTTTGTGAAAATATCAACAGATCGATTTCCTTATTTGTGTTGGAAAACAAGATAATGCGCAGGCGAAAAGTAATGGGAGCTAGTTTCGTTTTGACATTAAATTAATATGAGTCTCAAGCAATACAAAAAATTGATTTATTGCAAAAAAAATACTTTTATTGTTTCATGTTCCAACTCACAGAGGCTGATGAGAAAGGAATTGTACTAGTTTACTATGGTCAACCAAATTGTATTGCTTGCGATTTGGTCAAAGAATATATGAGAACCTTACCAAGTAGATACCCAAATGCTTTCATGTTCCAAGTTCCATTTGGTTAGTTATTGTTGATTGTATGTGGGCCAATGATGTCGCAATCTATCCATTCGTCAAGGTCTTCAACGCAGTTCAAAAATGTATGGGTTACTTTACTAGCTCTGGTACTAATATGATCGATTTAATCAAGAAATACTATGAGTAGGATCCGATGGGACAATTCTGAGAAAGGTTCTTTGTTCTGGGTATTGAATCAAACTCAAACCATTGCCGGTAGAAGATTAATTGTAGAATGGATATGTAAACCATTGATGAGGATCCGGAAACAGGAGGCATACATGTGGTGCACTTCTGTCCACAATTGGAACACTTTTCAATTAATGATTTATCAACACCCACTAACGAATCTCTTGTATTGGGATTTGCGATATGGAGTGCAGTCTGCAATAATTGAACTACCTGCTGCTCAATAAAGTGACTTAATTTGCAGACAGTTGCCATATAGGCATCACCATTAACAACCACGACTCTGTTTACTCCTTTTGTAGGAATGCCACATTTGAAGACCGGCTGAATACTCTTATCGTGAGAAGACACAAGCTTGGGCGTTTTTCAGATCAAAGGTTAAAAATGTTAAACAATTGCTGCTGTCTCACCATAAAGTTTTAATGTTGATTTGGACTATTGATTAAGTGAGTACTGTTTAGATGGAAAGGAAGGTCCAACATTGAATCTGGCTAATTCATTATATTTTTTCAGTTTCAGTAATACATTATCATTCAATTTAGTACCATTGTTCAGCGAAATTTAATAGTTTCTCTTTTGATTTTTTGTATAATGTATAAGAGGAAAATTTATCTTTTTTTATAAATGTAAATATATTATGCTGTTATTTTCATATTTCATTAATTAACTTTCATACTCCTTGGATTCACCAATCTACTTGTATAACTAGATAATCTATTTTCAAAAGGTTGTTATCAACATCACTTAAATCCACAATGAAAAATGTTACATTGAGGAATAAAAAACAAGACAAATTTTCTATTTCCTCATTGAGTATTTAAAATGAAGTATATTTTTGGTAATTGTTAAATAGGATTGTTTTTCATATTTCCCCTTTAGGATATGTGATGTTGAATAGGAAAATATCATCACCTACTAAATTTGAAGTGTAAAATTAATTAACCACAAATCTATATTAAAATGAAAACGACAACAACATTAAGATCAATTTAAACTACAAATCTCACAAGTGATATTCTATCTACTCTTTTATTAGATTTCATTGATTGTTTGATTGGAGATACCAATGTGGTATTCTCTCTATCTTAAAAATAGTAAATTTAGTAGTTGATAAACCATAGAATATAAATATTAAAGACATTGGTAAAAATCAAAAAAAGTTAAAAATAGAAATTTCTGTAATTATATTTTTTTCTTTCATCACTGGATGATCACTGATTGAAAACATGGTAAACCATACAAAATGATCAACTATCAAATTTTTAACAATAAAAATTTGATTCGAAGTGGGTTTTTGTTTTATGTAATGATATTAGGATGCATCTGAAACTCAATGCCGATCCAATCATCATAGGGTAACCCTACTTTCTCTTTTACAGTAGGTGTCTATTTAACACCCACAACTTTCTTTTCAATGTGTTGGCAACATATATTCAATCAATTGATAGTTTGGTGGTAAATTTTATCATTAGTTGGATGAAAAATGATGCAAAGTAAAGTTGAAAGATGAAAATATTGTATAAATTATACATTATTCGATACACTTTTGAGTAGGAAGTTGCTAGTGAATTCACACTTTTGTATTTTTTTTTTTAAAAAAATAATAATTAAATCATAATTATAAAATTTAAAGAATAAATCATTGAAAATACATTAAGATACATATTAACAACAAGAGATGGTGTAATGAAAATTATTTTATTAATATCATACACCACCTATTTTCCAATACCAATAACCCCACACCCAACCCACTCACACACATATTTACCAACAAACATATATATAAATCCAAAAACTTACACACACTCACACACTTTGACATTCTCAAACCCCACTACTGTCAATCCACACAACCACCACATATATACAGTTATATATATATATGTATAAAAATGTATATATAGACTAAAAACATCATCATCAAAAAAACATAGACCCAAAGTCTAATTGATAAATAAAAAATTAAATAAAAAAAAAATGATAAATTTTCAAAAATACAAATATTTATAAAAGTAAGTAAAAAGTACAAACTGAGTATAAAAATAAAATAAAATCAAAACTAGGTTTATCAAAACTTTTGCTATTAAAACAATCACTCACAGAATCAACTAACAAACTATCAGCAACCTATCAAACAAAAACAAAACAACCACATAAGACAAAAATCCAAGAGACAAATAAATCCCAAGAGACAATTCAAATACAACTACGTTTTCGCACAATTATAAATATTGTTGTTTTCTATTAGGATTCAGAAAAGAATAAATATAATTTTTTTTTATTCTTTCGAATAATATCAATCAGTAGTAGTAGTAACTAACTATCAACTCAACAAAAAAAATCATCCGTTTCCACAAAACTCTAAATATATATAATTATTAATGATTATTAATTGATTTAAAATTTTATATTAATTATATGTGATTCGCCAACTAAAGAAGTTTAACATATTTGATTCACACCACAATAAACAATAATTGTTTTTGATTTATTTATTTATTATTCTAACTACAAATTTTTATTAAACTAAAACAAACTTTCTCCCTATCAACCATCAATAACAATTAAACAATCAAAATATCAATCCAAACCAACTAACCATTCAACCAACAAATCAATCAATCAAATTCCCTTTTATTTCAAATTCTTTTTTCGAAAATATATAACACTAACACAACAGAAATAAATATTTATTTTTATAACAATTCCCAATCATAGACACTAAAACAATACCATCAATATATTTTAGACTAAAAAATGTTTAAAGTTAATGAAAACCATAATAATATTTGGAGATATTCATATCCAATATGTTCAAGCAACCAGAGTAACAACAACAACAACAATAATGATATATCATCTTGGAAAGATGGAATGATAAATAATAACATTAATAATAATAATAATAACAATAGTTTTAATTATATTTCACAAAAACGATCAATGACAGAAAATAGTATAGATATAAATAATAATAATAGTAATAGTAGTAGTAGTAATAATAAGAAGAATAATAATAGTGTAAATAATAGTTTTAATTCATTAAATAATTATTTTCAAGAAGAAGAAAGAGAAGATAGTGATAGTTGGTCATTCTATTGCAATGAAGAATATACTTGTATATCAGCACCTTCCAATTCATTTGGAAATCTGACAGAGTTTGATCTATCTGCAATCCTCGAACCAAGACCTGTCAAGTCAACCTCGAGAATACATGAACTACTGAAAGGTAAAATCAGAGAGAGAATAGGAAGACTGTTAAACAATGAGGAAATGAGAAAGGAAGGCAAAGCAATAGAGAAAGGTGCAACTGACTATGAATTAAACTTGAGCAAAGCACATGAAAGAGCAAAGAAACAAATTCAACAAACAAACAACAACAACAACAATAACAACAATAGTATTAATAATACAAATAGTACCGACACTAATTGGAACTCAATTGTTCCAATTACAATCTTTAGATAAATAATCAATATCTTGAAGAAATGTAATAAAAAAAAAAAAACAATAATTAAATATATAGACAAATATATAGAGAGTAAGAGTATAAAGTGTTAATTAATTATTATTTGATTTATTTAATTTGATCCAAGTTACAATATTAAATCTAAATATATAAATGGATAGAAGATAAATAGTTATTATTATTATTATTATTATTATTATTATTATTATTATTATTATTATTTTTGTATTTGAATATATATGAATATGATGAATAATATGATTATTATTATGATCCTGTAATTATATGAGATGGTGAAGAATTTGATGATGATGGTGATTGCTCTGTTTCATATGGCTGTGATTCATCTCCAAATGAAGATGATTTCGATCCAACAGAATCCATTTCAATGTTGTTTGAAATATCTTGATAGACATTGCTATTCGCGATATGAATATCCAAATCTTCGCTTCGAACTGAGAATGCCGATGCATTTCTTGTGAACCATCTTTGGAAGTACTTTTCATTCAACTTTGAGAATAAAGATCCGATATTATTGAATCTAGAATCTATATGTAATGGCTATTCAATACATTATAATGTATTTGATTATAGTCAATATTACTATTAATTAATATATAGATATTTCTTGCTGCTTTTGACTTACCTTTCCAATGAAATCTAAACTGATGTCGGTATCAGATGATTTTATCTTGAAAGCTTTGAGTGCAGGGTAGGTTGTAAGACCGAATACGAATATCGTGAAAAACACCAATATTAGCATAGCAGTCTGTATTTCCGGTCGGTAGTCGCCAGTGAGTTCGTCGGACATACTCAACGAGAATGAGATTGCACCTCTTAGTCCAGACAACACCACAACCGTTTGAATAGAAATTGGAATACTAGACAGTCCTAATTTATTCAACACTGCAATAATAGGATAAACAGCAGCTGCTCTAAATACAATAATGAATATCTAAATAGGAAAAAGCTGTAAATAAAATTGATTCAAGTTGCTTGCAGGTTTGTTAATATTACTTACAATTGCCCAAATCAAAAAAGTAAGTTTAAATGAAAATTGATGAAGTGGCAATGACATTCCGATGTAGATGAATGTGATTGTTTCACAAACGAAAGAACCCATACGAAGTAGCTGTGTGCAGTTGTGTTTCGAGTCACTCGAGAGACTGTTGTATCCGTACTGCTGGAATGTAATACCACAGAAAAAGGTGGATAGAATGCCCGAGAGTGAAATTGCATCGGCCAGCAAATAGGAGATATAGGCAAACAGTATTACAAACAGTGTTTCAATCGCTGGATACTTTCCGATGTTTAGCCATTTCAATAGTAGCGAAACACAGAGTGCTATCAACACACCCAGTATGACACTTGCAATCGAAACGCCAAAGAACAACAGAATCGGTTTCCATATCTCCGCTAGACTATAGCTATTGACTGCCTGCACCAAAATAATCGATACGGCATCATTGAGAATACTCTCACCCAGAATAATCATATACAGTTTCGGATCGACATCCAACGCCTTGAAAATTCCAAGAGTTGCCACAGGATCTGTAGCACAAGCAATCGATCCAAATCTTTAAATTATAGATACAATTTGATTAGTTAGTTGATAGGTTTAAGAAAATATTAATATACTTACAATAATGAATCGAATATAGGTAATTTCATTGATAATCCAAGTTTACCAACTAGATACAATCCGAATGAAGTACCCAAGAACGAAATCAAAGTACCGATTGTCGCCAGCGTGATGATCGGTGTGATGTTCTTGAAGAACTCTATGCGGTGCACTGAGAAACCTGTTTCAAAGATGATGAATGGCAGTAGGAACAGGAAGAACAACTGTGGGCTGAAGTGCTCGACGTGCGTGATAAAGTCATTCTTGATGTACTTTCCGATGATTCCTATCACCACGCCATACACGATGACAGCGATCGACTCTGGTATGTAATGTAGATCCAGCCGGATCACACCGTACACAACCATCACCGAGAGCAAAACAACGATCAAGAAAAGCAGTACCAGAGTGCTTGCTTCTTTCTGTGAACATCCGAGGCTAGTACATTCACCGCCTTCTTTACTTCCTTCAGAATTGTCTGTAGTCGTACTGCCAGCAGCAGTTCCACTCGCCTCTACCACAACAAGTTGCGACGAAAGCAATGAAAACACAACGATTATCGTTAATAAACCATTTTTGTTGATAAAGTTAAAGTATTTTTGCTTGTTGTTGATGTTGCTGTTGTTGATGTTGATAGATAATTTACTAAAAAGTTGACCTAGGATGTTGGTGGATACAACATGACCACTGAATCTACTATTTGAAATTGATGTGATTCCATTCAGTGGAATTAAACCAAAGAGCATTATTATTTGAATCTGTTGTTTTGTTTGTGTTGAATTTAAAATTATTGCTAGAGATTGTTGTATTTGTATGGATGTGTTTAATGTTATCAATTGTATTAGATAACAATGAGTAAATGTTATTCTTGTTGTGAGAGTGAGAGAACTGCTGAGATGTTGTTGAAGAAGACTACTGTGACAATCATTCAATTCGATTAACCAGAAGGTACTACAAAAGAGGAGTAATAGAATAGAATCTATCTATTAAAAAAAATAGACTGTGTAATTATATTATAAATATAGATTTAAAAACACCACCAATCAACTTTTAAATATTATAATCGATTGATTGATAGAATAGAATGATATATAACAATTTTTATTAGCAAATATATTTTTATTATGATAACTTGTTTTGTTTTTTTAAACTTGGTTACTTTTTTTTTTTTTTTAAAAAATTTTAAAAAATTCCAAAATTAAATATTCTTTTTTCTGATCAGATCTGCAAATGTAACCCCCATATTCACACACATTCACACTCATAATAATAATAAAATAATAATAAATTTAAAGTTTATACTTAACAAAGTCAGTCAATCATTGTTTGAGAAGAATGACATTCACTTGAAACAATAATAATAATAATAATTGTTCATTTTTGTGTTTGATTCTTTATTTGTATAAACCGTCAACAACGAAAATAGGATTGCATGAATCACAACAACGATAGGGTGGATAGGCAGGGAGGAAGGTTTGGCCTTGTGATAAGCATTGAGCTGGTGATAGAGATTTGCACTTGACACTATCACACACATTAGGATAACCGGTGGTTGTGATCGACGATATAGATGATGACGTTGGGGGTGGTTTGCTCTCACAGGATGGACAGCATTTGCCAATACTGAAATCCGGTCCGTAATAATATCCACCAGATGCATAACAACTTTGAAAAAATAAGATAAAATAGATAATTAATTAGATATAGATATTATCAAATAAAATAAGAGAATATCTATCTACATACATATGTGGATTAACTATTGGACAGATTTGACCTACACACCAACCATAGGTTGTTACGAATGTGGTCGAAGAATATTCACAGGTTGGACAGCAACGAGTGGGTGGATTGGCTGGTACTAATACTTTGCCTTGTGCTCTGCATACCCATTCATCAACGTAGGGACATGGTATAGTGCAAGACAATGTAGTAGCACCGGTAGTTGTGCTGGATGATGATGATGACGACGATGTTGACGATGACGATGAACTGGTGGAAGAAGAGGTAACGGTCTTACAATATTCACAACAACGACCGGCTGTAATATCTTTATCAACAATCTGTCCACCTCTAGCTATACAAATAGTTTTGTTTACAGGTGAACATTGCACATAGTCACAGTAGTTTTGACAGGAATCACAGCAGATTCCATCTTCAATTTTCTTTGGAATTATTTTACCTTTGCAATTGTTGCTATTAACAGGAATACAAAATGAATTCTCACACTGAGCATTTGGATTGCTACTACCAGTAGTCACTCCACTTGTGCTTGTTAATACTAAACATCTATCACAACATCTACCATTAACTATTTAATTAAACAAATTGTTAATAGTGATTATCCAATCAATTACAATTATATATATATTACATACTTGGATCTGCTTTAATAATGATACCATTGCAATTGATAACAGGTGCACAAAACACTCTATCACAAATACTTTCACACTTATCACAGCATCTATTTGAATATGCTCTTTTGAAGACACCTCCATTCAATAGACACTCTGTTTCATTAACTCTTCCACACTTAATAGTTCGACAGCTTAAAAAAAAAGTAATAGTAATATTTTAATTAGTTAACTAACTTTTGCTAAGGAAACTTATTTTTATATTCTTACTCGCACTTTGGACAACAACCTCGAGGATTAAAAGGTATATCATAAATTGAACAATCTGTTATGACTGCATAGCATTCATCAACAGGTGGGCAAATTACACCATCATCATTCTCAACCTCTTCGACTGTCTCAGCTACATCGACCACCTCTTCATTTCCTAAAACTACTAAAGTAGAGATTAGCAATAATAATAATATAAAAAATAATTTCTTTGACATTTTATAAAAAAATATATGAATAAATAATTTATATCATTTCAATTATCTTATTATCTCATTGCAATTTTCTATATTATTGTAAATTAATTAAATTGGTGTGGTATAATCATGATCATAAATTAAATACCACACTTAAAAATATTTCAGCTGCGCAAGTATTATATCAACAAAATATATTTTATTTATTATACAAGTTGTCATTATTAAATAATATTCTATTTGTATCAAAATTTCTTTTCGGTTACAAATATCACAACTTTGTCAAATCAATACAAACTTGATATATGATGATCTCTTGGGAATCATCTTGTTACCTCTTTAGACTATTTTAGTAAATATTAATTTTAAATATTTAAAGTTTACAGATTTAAAAGTGAATTCTTTAGGATCAAATTCATAAATATATGCAATAGATCATCATTATAAACAAGAAGTTCTGAAGATTGTACAATATTTGTTTAAGTGTTAATAGTCATCATGTTCAATATTATTAATTTAATATTTAATCTTGTTTAATTTTTATTATTTATTTACAAAAATGGGTATCTTTATTTACTAATTTAATAAATCAATTTAATTTATCTTTTAATAATGATTCCCTATTACAATAAAAAATTCTTTTGAGTGATCGAAATATTTGATCATTTTATTTATTAAATTTATTACTTTTGAATTGTTAATTAGATTGTACAATTATATTAATAATTTCACTTAAAAAATTTAATACCATCATTTTGAATTAAATTCTTGTTTTCTTTTCAGTTACAAAGATAACATCTTTGTCAAAATCAATACCAATTTGATGTAACATGATGTTGTCACGTGGAAGAATCATCTTGTTTCCAGACTAGTGTGAAATAAAGTTTCAAAAAAATAACAAATTAATAAATTGTAAATTGGATAAACAATTTTTCTACTTACAGATTTAAAAGTAAATTCTTTTTGATCTAAATCATAAATCTCTGCAATAGATTCTCGAAGAGATAAACAGGAATCATCATTATACACGGGAAGTTCTGATATTTCATTCTGGAATGAGACTTTGACATTAATTAATTGTTTAGTTGTTTTCTCTTCAATATTTAATTTGGACATTGGTTGTGTGATGTTACTTGGAGAATGGAATTGTGGTGTTGATTCAACAGAAGATAATGTTTCGGTGGGTGTTGATACGACTAAAGATGTTGAAGGTTGTGGTGAAACAACAGTAGATGAAGGTGGCTGTGAAACAAATGAAGATGTAGATTGTTGTGAAACAACTGTGGAAGGTTGTGGTGTATGAGTAACTATTTCAGTTTCTTTTTTAGCTTCTGCTAGTTTTTTTGCCTCCAATTGTCTCAGTTTTGCTGGTGAAATGAATTTGTTATTCTGGATTCTTCTACTTGACAGGGTTTCTTGTCCAATGGTCAAAACTCTCTTTTAAAATGAAAAGAGACTTACATCTTTTCTTGGATCTCTTTGATTCTCTCCTTCAATATAAGGATAGATTTCAAAGATATTCTTTTTTTCTATTCCTTTAATTGCATAGATCTTTTGGATAATCTTTCTCTCTTCTTCTGAGAGCTCATCGATATGATTGATTGCTATCACAGTTGTTATACCAGCTGCAATAGTTTCAGACAAGTTTTGAACCAAAAACTTGAGATCATCTTCGCTCTCAACTGAGGTAATTGGGAAGATGTAAATGAAGGCATGAACTGCATCTTCTTCATTAGGTGCAACGTTGGACACATCAGCTTCAGTCATAGAAGTACCATGTGAATAACGACCCCTATTGAAAATAAAGAAGTTTAATTAGTAAGAATAAAAAATACAAATTAGAACAAATACACACTCTGTGGCATGTTTAATATTAAATGGACTTTTGGTAGTGACACCCCATTTGTCACAAAGATTTATCTGAATGTTTTTAATAACTTCTTGGATTATTGGAGTTTTGGAAATACTGAGATTTGATAAAATATTTGAAATATGTATTTTCTGAAAGTTGGTTGTTACATGGGTTTCTAATTTTGCCATTTTGAAACTACAATCAAAAATACTGGTTCCTCCAATGAAAAGATTACACAAAGACTGAAGAGTGGTAGATTTTCCAACTCCAATTCTTCCATTTACACCAATATTTATCTCCTCTTGGGTAATCAAATCCCCAATAACCCATACTAATAATTTTACATTAATAGATTATTCAAATAAAAATATAAAAAAGTTAATTATAAACTTACACACTTCAAAATTAAAGAAGCAGTTACAAGTTAAATCCTTGAAATTAACTTTAAATAGAATTGAAGGAGGGAGTTGAACTGTACCATTAGTGGCTTCCTGGGTTAAGTATAATTTGAAATCCTTCATAACACATTTTTCATATTCAAGTTTACTATCAAAAACTATCTCATTCTTTGAGTAATATCTATTGGGTAATATTTCTATTTTGAGTTGATTTGCTGGAATTTGAAGGTTGTTGTCAACAACTGTCACCTCAACCTTTAATTTTAAAGGTTCATTGGATTTTTGATAAGATGGAGAATTTGGTGAGAATTTAATGATAAATGGTAATGTTGGTTTTTTGTTTCCAGTAACAGAATCCACAAACTTATATAATTCACTATATGTTTGGAACATTAATGATTTTTGTTTTGGGAAATTCTTTTCAAAAAATTGTCTTTTGATTGATCCAACTCCAATCAACAAAATATCAACATTCTTAAAAAAGATAAAAAAAAAATTTAGCTAAATTAATACTAAAATTAAGTTATATTCCAATAATATAAATACCTCTTTTAAAAGTGTTCTTATTGCACTACTTGGATCATCTGTAGGCTCACCATCAGTAATTAATACAATTAAATTCTTACCATAGCTTACAGAAAATAAACCGTCATGAGTTTGAATAAATGCCTTTTTCATTTCAGTTCCACCACTCATGAAAACAAGATCTAAAAAAACAAACATAATTGAATTAGTTTATAATATATAATACATATAATTGAGATCTTACTTTCAATGGATTTAGAAATTTCATTTCTAATCTTGGTAAATTCCAAATGCACCTTACTATCAGAAGAAAAATTTATTATTCTGATATACATTTGAGGATCCAACTTATCACAAAAACTGGTGATAACCATCTTTGCGTACTTAAAACCTTCATTACCAACAGATCCACTTGAATCAAGGATAAAGGTACAAGATATATAATTACTCTCTGAAAATAATTGTGTTAAATATCCATTATCATCATTCATTCTAAATTAATATATAAACTATTTCTATAGTTTTAAAAAAGAAAAAAAAAATAATGAAGTAGAAAATTTATAGAGATTGTATCTATATATATGTGTTCATTTCTCAAGAACAAACTTAAATGGGTAGTTTCTTCTTAAATTTTTCATTTCAACTTGAAAGATTAATTCAATCAAAAATCAAAGTATTAAGTTTAACTCTAATATTTTTAAACAAATGAATGAATATTCAAACACCTTGTATTTCGAACAATTTTATCTATTTTGTTAACCCACCACAAAAAAATTAATTTTTTAGGTAGATTTTTATGTTTCTTTGCTTTCAAAATGAACATACATTTACAGAATGAGTTCAGTTCATTTATTTACCATCAATTATGAACAAAACAACTAGCTTTTCTTTGTTGTATTCAAAAAATACTAAAAAAAATTTAAAAAAAAAATTAGAAGATACTAAAAATTGGAAGTTTACAATTGAAACTTTTAATTTAATTAAAAGAAAAATAGAACTTATTTTGGTATCAGTGTGCACGATCCTAAAAAGATATTTTAAAAAAAATCAAAGGATCCTTAAAATTGTAAAAAGTGGTTTTCAAAAAAAAAATATCTTTTTTAAAATTTTTGTAAAAAAAAAATCTTACACCAGGATGTTTTAAGTTTGGGAAATTTGCGTAAAATAAAAACAATCGACCAGGATACCACACTACAAGATCTTTAAGCCCTTAAATCCCTTTAAATTTATAGGAACAGCTTGAATCACTTTATTTTTTATAAAACATACAGATAGATTTTTCTTTATTATCTAAATAGATAGAAAATGAACAAATTATTTATTGTAACACTATTCTGCGCATTATTTGTTGTTGCTAGCACTAACGCAAGTGCTGCCTCAGACCTCGGAGACTTGGTCTTGGGTGTTGTTGAGGGTTTGGAGTTCACCGTTAGCTCACACGCCAAGCAATGCATCAGAGACACCAAGCACACCGTCACCGCCATCAAGGACGGTCTCGAAGATATCGATCATGGATTCTCAAAGAAGTCGGTTCACGACGTCGCCGATGGTCTCAAGGACTTTGGTGGTGCCCTCATTGTGATCCCAGAGATCTACGAAGAGTGTGGTATCAGCAAGTTCGTCAGCGAAATCAAGACCCTCGCCTCAAGATTAAAGTCCGGTGAAGCTGGTGTCATCGATGTCGTCCTCCGTGAATTGATCAACATCTTCCATAACCGTCACGACCTCACCTCCTACTTCAAGGATGCTATTGCCGACGAGAAGAAAGGATCATACACCGACTGTGGTATCAACGTTGGTAAAATCATTGGTGTATTATTAAGAGATTAAAATTTTTATAAAAATATTATAAAATATTATAATTATTATTTATCAGATATATTAATATTTGATCAACACGCCAAAAACAATCTTGAAATGTTGTTTAAATAAAACTAACATTTTATTAAATTTAAATTATTTGAAAAAAAAAAACAACTAAAACATAAATTGTCTAGAATAAATTCTATAGTAATTCGCCCTGATAATTAGTAAAACCATTGGTGAAATCTGATTAGGAGATAAATAAAAATATATAAATATTTCTTTATTTTTGCTAAACAAAAAACTGATTGGTAGTTGATATTTTTTAATATTAAAATAATAAACTCATCCAGTAAATGTCCTTTTGATTATTTAAATACACTGAATCGTTTTAAACTGTGAAGTTGGACTAAATGATAATAGAATTAGTGATGAGTGATAAAACTAAAACCCAATAAGGAATTGATTAAAGGTTCATTAATTAATTTCTTTTGTAAACAGATAGACTCTACTCTTGCTCAAAGAAATGAACAAATTATTTATTGTTACTTTCTTCTTTGTACTTTTAGTTGCTACTAAGACAGATGCAAGCGATCTCGCCGGCGAATTTAGGTTTTGGGGGTAGTTGAAGGTTTGGAGTTTACTGTTAGTTCTAATGTTAAACAATGTATCTTAGATACTAATCTTACTGTAACTGCCATCAAGGACGGTCTTCAAGACATCGGAGTTGGAATGTCAAAGAAATCAGTTCACGACGTCATTGAGGGTATCAAACACTTTGGTGGAGGCCTCATTGTCATTCCACAGGTCTATCAAGAGTGTGGCATCAGCAAGCTAGTCAGTGAAATCAAGAGCCTTGTCGCTAGGTTAGAGTCAGGTGAAGCTGGTCTAATAGATGTTATCATCCGTGAACTCATCTTACCGATTACTTCAAGAATGCTATTACCGACGAGAAGAAAGGTTCATACACTGACTGTGGTGTAAATATTGGTAAAATCATTGGAATTCTATTAAAAGATTAAAAAACAAAAAAAAAAAATAATAATAATAATAATTTATAAATATTTACAATAAAATATTATCAAATCAATCTGCTCAACAAAATTAATCAATTTATTGATAACAAATGATCATTAATTAATTTTATTGTTGTTTAAACTATTGGATTACATTATTTGAAACAATAAAAAAAGATATTTTAAAAAAAATGAAATGAAATTTCCAAAGTACAGTTTGATGATTTATGATCATTAAATGGGCAGTGGTGGTTGTTGTATGAAAGTTCTCCAGAGAACCTTGAAAAACTTCTACACTTTATTTTTTATCTTCAAAAACAAGAGAAATTTAAATTAATTTCCTGGAAATTGAAATATTCTTTTTTTTTGTCTATTTATTTTCATTAGCTAAACAAATAACTATCTGTAAAGATACATAATATTAATAAACCAATAACCAAAACAAAATGTCATTACCAACTTTATACTATTTGAATGGAAGAGGAAGAGCTGAGGTCTCTCGTATTATCCTTAACTATGCCGGTGCCAAGTTCAATGACCACAGAATTCAAACCTATCCAATTCCAGAGGATATCCGTAACTTGACTACCTTTGGTCAATTCCCAAACTATATTGATGCCGATATCCAATTGTCACAATCGATTGCCATCGAGACCTATCTTGCCAACAAGTACAACTTGAACGGTTCAAATCAAATCGATCAAGTAAAGATCCTCAGCTACGCTTTGTCATGCGGTGACCTCTTCCAAGCCTATTTCACCAGTAAGTACGCCGGAGAAGCCGGAATGACCAAGTTCCGTAGCGAACTAGCTCCACGTACCATCAAGTGCTGGGAGAAGATCATCTCTGAGAACGGTGGTAAGCACACCTACGGTAACACTCTCACCTGGGCTGATATCTCCATTTTCAATGCACTCGACTACATCTACTACATGAAGGAACAAAGTATTTTGGAGCCATTCCCAGCATGTCGCCAATTCCACCAACAAATCTTAGAGTTACCACAACTCTCTGCCTACTTTAAATCACGTCCAACTGACGACAAATTCTAAACAAATAAATAATTAGTTATATATTATTGTAATGTTTAATTAAAAAGAAAGCAATTATTTATTGTTTTTAAAAAATATATTATTTTATGTTATTAATTGTTTTTTTTTGTTTATTTGTTTTTGTTTTTGTTTTTGATTATTATTATTATTTTTTTTTTTAGAGTTTTGGTTGTTTAACATTGAGTACATCGAATAGATATTTCTTTTGACCATTCTCTTCCTCTTGGGTTGGCATGAGTTTTCTTGGATTGCAAATATTCTTTGGATCGACGACCTCCTTGATTTTTCTGTAGACATTGATCCAACCGTTGGAGACGTATCTGTTCATCCAGGGTACGTGTTCATAACCGACACCGTGGTGATGACTGATGGCACCACCGTGCTTCAAAACGATATCGGTCATCAAACGCTTACCTTCGGTGTATGGTGTCATCTCGTTGTCGGCATTCTGCTTCGAGGCAAAGATAAAGTAGAGACAGACACCATTCGAGTAGGTATGTGAGATGTGAGCGCAAATCCACGATGGAATACCCTTGGAACGGAAGTGGTCGTTGAATGCCTGCTTGGCTTCCTTCCAGAGTGGCAGCAACGACGACCATGAAACAGTGGTTTCGGCGACGTCCACCCACATGTTGTGGTTCAACAAAAAGTCACGGATATAGGGAAGATCGTAACGCTTCTCTGCCCAGGTCTTTCCTGGCGATTGTCCCAATCCGAATGCTCCGTTCTTCGAGAGGATATCAAAGACGCTCTTCTTGTGGAAATCGACTTGCTTCTTGGAACCTTCGAATCCGATGATCGACAAACAGACGCTATTGAAATCGAACGAACGAATGTAGTGAAGATACTGCTTGATTGCCGACGAGATAAACTCTGAGAATGCACCCTTGCTTGGCTTCGAGGAGAACGACAATCTGGTTTCATCGGGGTCGTAGATACGGATCATGGTTGGCAAGATATCGGAACGACGAATCTGCTCCAACGCATTGATGGCGTGAGTGAACGATGGGAACATGAATCCAAAGTACTCCTCAGCCTGTGGCAATGGATGAACTCTCATGACGGCCTCAGTAATAATACCAAGAGTACCTTCCGATCCCAAAATAATATGTTTATAATTAATACCAGCACCTGCTCTCGCACCATTTCTCAACTCTAAAGTACCAGTTGGTGTTACAGTCTTGAAAGAAACTGCCATATCTTCGATATCTCCATACTAGTAATAAATAACAAAACATAACTAATAAGTATATTATTACAAACAAACCTAACTAATTATAACATTATATTAGCTTTTAACTTACTTTATCAGATTGATGACCAGATGAACAAGTTGCTAACCAACCACCAAGTGTTGAGAATTCGAATGAATCTGGATCGTGACCAAGACTGACACCAGACTTACGGAGTTCCTTCTCCAAGTCTGGACCCATGATACCTACTTGAATGCAAGCGGTCATCTCTCTACGATCTACCCAGAGAACCTTGTTCATTCTTCTCATATCGACTGAAACAACGAATCTATCGGTTGTAACTGGTTCACAAGCACCAACAATATTCGATCCACCACCATAAGCAATAACAATAACATTATATTTATTAGCAGATTGCATCAACTTTTCTACTTCATCATGTGATTGTGGTAATATAATTAAATCTGGTGCATTATTAATTTGACCACTGTAAAATAAACAAAGTTATAATATTAATATCTATCTATCTATATATCTATCTATCTATCTATTATCTTCTACAACTTACATTCTAAGACGAACTAAATCACGAATTGATTTACCATAGACATGAGTGATACGTGCGAATTTATCGGTCTTGAGTTGATCGGGAGTGAAAATCGATTGGAGTTCACGTTCGAACGATGGGTTGATTGGACGTGGTGCAGCGATGTTGATTTGATCGAGTTGAATCGATGGTGTGTTCTCGAGATTGGAGGTCTGTCCGTTCAATGTCAACTCCTTCTTGATGTAGTTGGCAAGCGATGGCAATGGCACGGCAGAGGCAGTCGGTGTTGTAATTGCAATGGTTCCACTTGGCTCCAAGGTATGCAAGAACTTACGAGTGTCACCCCAACCGTTCCACTTGATCTTCTGATAGTAATCGACGTTGTCCTGTGGGAACTGTGCCAACTCTTGTCTCTCTGGAGCAATGGTTGCAGTGGTATTAGTACCACCCACTTTATTATCTTCTACTTCCAATTGCATTTTTGTTTTTCTTAAAATTAAAAAAAAAAAACAACAAATAAATAAAATAATTCAACAATCTTAAACCACTTAAAAAAAAAATTATTAAAAAGGAATCAAAAAAAAAAAATTATTAAAAAAAAAAACAATTCATTGATATTTTTGAAAAACGATGACCACTTTTGCATCATAATGATTTTTTTTTTTTTTTTCATCAATTCATTTGGGAAATTGAAATTGAATTTTGTTTATTTTTTATTTATTTTATTTATATAAAAAAAATCCAAAAGATAATATTTTAGATAACATATAAGTCATTATTGTAGTTTATCTGAGTCACTGAAAGTATAGAGATAATATTTTAATCTATTTGATATTAAAAATCAAGCACGCAAGAGAACATTATATCCAAAAGTAGTTAAAGATTTTATTTTCTTCACACAAAGAAATTAAAATTATTTTCAACAAAAAGTTTTATTTATACAGCTTGGTGACTTTAAAACAGAACAAATTAAAATTGATTTTCGTATTATTTTTGTCCATTTCTTCAATATTTGTCTGTATATCTATCAACTTTTGAACAAATTGTCATGATTTTTTTAATCTTTTGTATATGCAGAACTTGTTACAAAATGATATAGCTAGTCTTTTCTTGATGTAGAAAGGTAAAGAAATATTAAAAAAGTAAATAATTAAAGTCTCAGCTAGCTAACGGTAATTAAGATTTTGCACAAAGCTTACCATTAAAATTTAATTTGTTATGTTTTAAAGTCTTCCTGAAATCAATATATATTTGCAACATGTGAAACTTCTACATCTAAATTTATTACTTCATATAAATTTATTTACAAAGTAAAAATGAAAAGTTTGTTGTATTTAATTAATATTATAAAATAAACAAAAAAAGTTGTTTTAAATTATAGATAACCATCTTTTTATAATTAAAACAAATAAATAAAAATAGACAATTATTGTTTTTTTTTTTTTTTGATTATAAAATATAATAATAATGTTTATATTCGAAATTTTATTACATTATCTGTGAAAGTTGAATCTTTTTCAAAAGAGACGTTTAGATTCTCTTTGGATCGATGGCAAGATTCATGTTGGAATCCATGATGGCTTGAGCATTTCTAAGAGCAGCTGCGGTTGGTACTGGGAATTGAGTAAGACCTTCGGAGGCAAATTCGTCAATGGTACCCCAGTTGTCTCTGAGTTTTTGACGGAGATTGTGCCAACCTTCGGTGGTGAGGATTTGGTCGACGGCTCGGTAGGCAGAGTTGAGTGCACCGATGATCCAGGCATGGTGGACACTGGTTGCCTCACCGGAGAAATGGAGGGTTCCGTTGACCTCGGACTTGGTGATGTCGGCAAAGTACTTGGAGAATTGGCATGGTGAGAAACCAGCGAATGAACCGGATTCGAATTCAACTTCATCCCAGTTCCACATCTCCCAGTCGACGAGTTGAGCACGGAGGAAATCGTAGTCGACACGATGGAGAACGGCGAGATTCTCGAGGAGCAACTTCTTCAATTGGGAACGGTCGTTTTGGATGGAGGCGAGACGGGTGGCGTCTTGTCCCCATGTGTAGGCGACGAGGAGAGTGTATGGACCGGAATGGGTAGAGTTGATACCGTACGATGGGTAGTTGACACCACGGATTGGAAGATCAGTCTCTGATTGACCACCGAAAATTGGCTTACCCTTCATGATGACGGGATCTTCCCACCAACGAGTCTTGAAGGACATACCGACCTTGACGGAACGATCGTAAGTGAGGACACGGTAGGCTTCGTTCTTCTTGTAGGAGAGACCGCATTCGGTGGTATCGATTCTCTGGAGGACACCGAGTGGGACGGTTGAGATGACGTGGTCGTAGACACGGGGATTACGTTCACCGTCGATGGAGACACGGAGAGTTGGTCTAGTGACGTTGGCAGAGTCGAGACGGGAAACACCTGGAGCAATCTTGGTGACACGTTTCTCGAGTTCAACCTTTCTTCTTCCGATGGATCTGACCATGTTCTCGGCGAATTGGTAAGTTCCACCACGGATGTAGTACCAGTCCTTACCGGAGTAGTCGTAGAAGTTCAAGATACCTTCAGTCAAGGAGTCGAGGTCGAAGAATCCCGAACCGGTGTTCATTGTTTCGAACCAGGTAATGGCCATTTGGTCGTAACCAGCCATGGTATGGTTGGGAGTACATGTGTTGTCCTTCAATACCTCACCCATGTAGTTACGGATGGAGTAACAGTCGAACTTCAAGAGCTCCTTGTAACCGTTGTCAAAGTCCATAGTCAAATTGACAATGAATGGCATGATAGCCTTTCCAAGCCAGTAGTTTGGAGTGATTTGAGCGTAGCAGTCTGGGACGGCAGAACCTGGACCACCGTGATATTGGTCACCGAAATGGAGTGGATCTCCCATCAAGCTGTCGCTGGCGTAGACGTATTGACCGTTGTGGTAGAGAATGTTGTTGTCGTGGCTCAAGTAGAAGGTTCCGGTGGTGACTGGATTACCGAGCGATTGGAGCTTGTTGACCAAACTCCATGGTTGTTGACCGACGACACGATCCATGACTGGTGTTCTTGGGAAACGCATGGCACCGAAATCGACATAGTCGTATGGAGCACTCGAGAATTTGAAGGTGTGAGCACGACCTCCGAAACGGTCGTTGGCTTCAACAATTTCGTAGGAGATACCCAAGTCTTCCAAGAGGAGAGCAGCGTAAAGTCCGGACATACCAGCACCTACAATACCGACTGTCATTGGTCTGCTTGGCTTGGAGAAAGTTTCTATTGGAGCGGCACCAGCACCTGCTTCATTGAGGAGCGAGTTGGCATAGTGACCACGCAGTGAAGTTTGTTGTTGGGCCAAAACACCGGCAACGGTGATGGCCAAAATTACTGTTAATACAAGTAATCTCATTTGTATTGTTTATAAATAATATTTGTTTTTTTCTACAATAATAAAAAAATATTTTCTATTTTTAAAATTAAAACAATTTGAAAAACAAAACAAAACAAATAATATTGTTGGTGGTATTGATACAAATAATTATAAATTAATAGATGGTATTGATACAAAGAGATATAAATATATTATTATAAATTAATAATAATATAAATATATCAAAATATATTTATAATAAAGGTTTAGATGTGAAATGAATTGGACAATGAACTATCTGGAAGCTCTTTTATAACCAAACAGTTGTTGGGTTCACACATAGTATGAAGTTTCTTCCAATCGGATGAGGGAACAGGTGGCTATAGTTCGCATGTTTTCAACAGTCTGAGACAAATCAGATAACAACATATATCTCATTCTGCAAATCTGGACCGCACACCCTAAAGGATTTTTGTGATTACTTCGAGATTTTTCAGGTTCACCAATTGGAATGTTTGATTAAACACACTCCACAAAAAAAACCATCAAAAAAAACTGTTTTTCGTAGTTTTTTTGCGAGTGACCATAAAAGCAATTTTTTTATTTTTTTTTGAATTTTGCAAAAACAATGTTTTTTTTGTTTTGTTTTTTTGATCGCAATCAAATAATTTATTAATAAACTAAACCCCCTCCATAACCCTTCCATATTCTATCGTTTCAACAAAAACAAATTTCTTTTTTTCAAATCTTTGCCTTTCAAAGAAGAAGATGTATCAATTTGATGTGATGATTGCAATGCCAATGATATATTACTATTTGCAGTCAGATTTTAGAAACCTTTTTATGATTTTGTGATCATTATTAATATTAATTTCTATTTTCTCAAATCAATTAATTTTCTCATACACCACTATTTAGTAAGTCCATCAGATTGGTTACCACTGAAAAATAAAAAGTTTGTTTTTTTGTTTTTTTCTTTGCAAATTTAATGGTCACAAGTCTGTGATCATTGGACTACGTAGTCCATTTGCAGCTTTCAGACAATTAAATATCTCAATTTGTAAATGAACCACAGAAAAAAATAGAAAAATAAAATAAAAATAAATAATTAAATAAAAATGATAATATTTTATTGATTTAAGTTATATATAAATATTAAATTCTGGTTTTTCATAATTTTGTTGTTGAATAGATAGATTCGGTGGGTGGGGAGGGAAATTTGGCGCGAACTTATGTTATTATTGTTTTGTTTGGATGTTTGTTGTTTTTACTTTTGGTGAATGAATGAATATAGATTATATGTATATATGTTTAGTTAGTAATTGTTTTAAATTATTTACTCAAAATCAAAGAATCGTTCATTGTTTGTAAATAATTTTCTTTTACAGAGTAGGATAACAGCTACTATGATACCAACTAGTAGGATACCAGCGAGTGGTACGTAGATAAAGAGTTCCCAGTGAGTGGGTGGATCGATTGAGCATGAGGTGTGGAAAGAATCGGATGCTCTGAGTAATTCGATTTCCAGTGGCTGTTTGCAGTAGTCGCAGTAAGGGAAGTCAAAGTAGACTTGGCTGGTTTGACGATTCACTCCTGTGTAGCTCTTGATGTAGTAGGTCGATCTGCCATTCGATTCCAATCCGGCGGTAACATTTATCAGTAGCGCAGTCTTGTCTTGTGAAACACGGAAATACTCGAGATCGTCATTTGCGAAACGGTAGTCGGTGTAAACGAAATCACCACATTCGTCAGTTGGCAATGGAACGGTATTCACTGACAGACTGTAGAGTAATCTCAGATGATTGTTTATCGATTGATAAGTATAGTTATTGACTATCAACTCATAGTGGAATGCAGGTGCAGTCTGCGCACCAGCAATGTTACTAATAGTTAGAAGACCGAAATTATGATTCTTCTCGTCGTAGAGATTAAAGAATGAATTGCCACCGGATGTAGCGATGATCTGTGGTTTGAAGGAACGTGCTTCGGCACCCATGACATTCATCTCCTTGATGGCGGTCACCTCCAACTGATAGACTTGGTTACCAACATAAAAGTTGAAATAGTTTGCATTGTTTGGCGAGCTCGAGCTAATTCCATGCTTGATATCGGTGGCGCCAGTGAAATACTGTGAGTCACATCTGAATCCACTCCAACCATCCTCACACACACATTCTCCATTCTCAACCTTACCATTACCATTACAAGATGTAATTTGTTGTTTAATATCTTAATTATATAAATAGATCAGTATGTTTGAATATATTTGTTCATCTTTTTAATATAATACTTACAGAAGAACATTAGATTATTGGAATAATAATTGAATTTACCAACAGTTAGTTGAACAATTGGTAATGATTTACCTGGCTTGATAGAGATGCTACAAACTAATTCTTCGGTGGTGACAGAAACAACTTTACATGGTTGGTTAGAAATGGAGATCTTTGTACTATTGACAGGATTTGGACCAAAGTTACCACGGAAACTGAAAGTAAATGGTGAATCATCATTATCGAAAATAATACCATGATTATTTCCAACCTCTGTTACAGATGTAATAAATGGGTATGCTATTATAATTTAAATAGTTTAGTTATTTAATCAAACCGAATATCATATATTAATATACTAAATAGTACTTACTTGGTTGAACTACAATTTGTTTCAAATCATTTTGACCATTGATATTTACAGAGACATCGTTATTACCGGGAATCAGCACACCGCTTTGACAGACAATCTTTGTATTGCTTGTTTCATTGAGGAAGCATGGGAATGAATTGATTGATACTGTAACTGTTGGCTTTGTAAGATTGAATGCACCGGTGATAGTAAAGATAAATCCACTATTAATCTGGGCATAAGAGATGGTATCAATTGCAGCATCTATATATATAAAAAAAAAGATAAGTTAGTTAATAATCAATCGTATTATAAGTTATCTATTAAATGACTTACTATCAATTAATAAAGTGTAATGTGCTGGTATTTTATTTCCTCTGAAATCAATTGTACTATCATAGTTCTGTGTTAACTCACTTGTTTGTTTTGTTTAGGAAATAGAATAAAGATATTAATATAACTAGTCAAGAGATAATAATATAATATTTAAACTTTCAAACTTACAGAGTGTCAATGACGGAAGTATTCAAAAAAGTAATATTCATTCTACCAGTTCCACCGACTCTTAGCTTTTGAATAGTAGTACTATTAAAGATGAAAGTGTAGTTTCCTGGTCTCTCAGTATTCAAATATAAAAGTTGGGCAATTGGGAAGTTTTGGTCAAATGTATATTCTCCTGGTAACAATGTTAATGTTCTATAAATAGTAAATTTATTAATAAAAGGATTGAATAATTATTGTTTAGCAGTATAAACTTACGGATCAATAATATATTTGAAAGTTGTATTTCTGTCGAATGAAGTTGGAGAATCAATTTGTCTATTAAATAGATTTAAAAAAAATGTTAATAAGTGATGTTTTTAGATATTTTTTATATTATTAATTACAATTTAACTAATTTAGTTAGATTCTTAAGGTTTGAGAAATCTTGAATGGTTCCAACTTTTTGTAATATCCTAACATGTTTATTAGGGGTTAGTCCATGGTTTTAAAGTATGTAATCCTAAAGATACTTACAAATTAACTAGCATATCATATTTGAAAACTGGAATTGAGGTTATAGATGTGTCATTTTGAATACTAAAAATAAAAAAGATTTAGTTATTCTTTTCTATTAATTGTTTAAAAATATTAATATTTACGCTATGAAATATAATTTTGGAGAATCATTTAGAAGCTCTAAAATGTTTACTGATGGATCAACAATGGTAGTAGCGTACTCAACATTATAATTTGTTAAAAATGGTAAATTGAATTTGGGAGGTAGTAAAGTTGGATTTGGTTTAATATTTAAATTAATTGCATCTGGTCTTTATTTTTTGTTTGTAAGTTTGTTAGTTTTAAAATGATTTTAAATAATAAATTGTTTAATTTTAAACCTTACATGTAAATTGAATTTATATGTTTTCTACCATTGGTTATTATACATTCAATATATGGTTTACAATTACAAAAATCGGAAGAATTAAAAGGAGCACCAAGTTGGTATTGGTTTACATACCAAACCATTGAATCATCTTTTTTAAAAATAATAATAATAAATTAATATTAAATTATTAACAAATTTGGAGATTATTTTGTTCTTACATTCAACTTGGTCTAAAGGTAAATCTGTGGATTGTCCATTTATAAAAGTCAAACTTAATGTTATTAAAGATAGTATTAATAATTTTGAATATTTATTTATCATAATTTAAAAAATTGAATTGATTTAAGAATAAAATAAAAAAAAAATATATATAAATAAATATTTGTTAACTATGATGTAATTGAATGATTGATTGATTGTTATAAACAATTGTGCAATTGAAATGAAGAAGAAACAAAGCAAACAAGAACAAGGAAGAATATTGTGTTATTGATGTTGAATTTAAATAATCTATAGAGGTTTAATTAAATAAAATAAACTAATTCAATTCGAATTTATTTATATATAATATTTATATAAATTAATTTAATTAAATTGGATATATGATGATGATGATGGTATTGAAAATTAAATCAACACTTAGAAGCAGAGACTGTGAGTGTGTGAATTGTGATTGTTAAGATTATAGGATAATACATTATTGTTATTTTTTATCTTCGATTGGATAAGGAATGAAAACTTTTTTGGAATAGGGTGTTAAAGATAGAGTACATATTGTAATGTTTGATTTAATGTAAATATTTTACATATTGCACTTACATTTTTAAAAACACACATATATATAAATATATTCACACACTAAAAGTAAAAAAACTCACAAAAAATTAAAGTCAAAATTAAATTTATTAACACAAAAGTGTTTTGATAGTGTTGGTAATATTATTTTTGGTTGGGTTGAAAAGTAAATATATATTTATATATGTGGGGAAAATGACAAAGATCATGATAATGTTTTAGTGTGTAATAAAGAAAAAGGCAAATTTTAACTTCATGGTTTTGTTTGACCCTAAGATTAGGATCATCGATAGACTTTGAAGAAAATGTACTGAAGATTTACAATTAAATCTTAATATTTAGAGTAGAGAATTTGATTCTTTTTTCAAGTTGTTACTCTATTTATTTAATTTAAATAAATTTGTAGATTTTAAAGACAAAATTGATAACCAACAATCTTTTAAAAAAAGATCTCAAAATTTGCCAAATTTTACATGTAGATATTTAAGAATACCAGACTATTATAACTGAAGGTATTATTTTTGCAAAAAAAAAAAAAAAAAAAACGATGAAAAACAGGTGGTTGGTCATTAAGTCTGTTCATTTAAATTTTTTTTAATTAAAGATATATTTTGTTGTTGTTATTTTTGTTTTCAAAACTTATAGTAGTATTTGATTGAATCGATCGATCGATCTTTTAATTGTACATATCTTTCACTATAGTAGTAGTAACATAAATCAATATATTTGCATAATGAATGTATTATTATCATTATAGTATTTAGTATAGTAAAATCTTGTAATATCATTTATAATTTTAAAATAAACATTTTTATTTATTATAATTAGAAAGATAAATAAATAATCAACATTAAAAGATATATAAATATAGTATGAATAATTTAATATTAGTATCATTATCAATTGTATCGATTTACATTGCAAATACATTATATGATTGGTCGTTAGAAGGCAAAAAAGATGTAGATTGGATACATCATCACATCGGTATATTCGGTGTCTATATAATTACAGCCAGTATTTTGTATTTCAGTGCATTCTTTATTCTTATAGCTTTATCTTTCACAAGTTTCTACAATAGAAATATCAACAATAATAATAATAATAATAATAATAACAATAATAGTAATAATAGATTTGGTAAATTATTTTCATTTAATATCGATAGGAAAATAATCATTGCATTACTATTTATATGTACATTGATAACATTGTTTCAATTGCTCAGCGATACAGGAGCGTCACTTGAACATCATGGTCAATACAACCTAATCATTCTGGTTGGTATAGAACTTCTTTATATTTCCATTGCATTGTTTTGGATTATATCATTAAAGTATGTTAACATATTTATAATCATTTCCGGAAAGAAATATTAATATTACATATTAATTTATGAAATAATTTTATAGATTATTTAAATTTAAGAATATTATAATTGGTTTGGTTATTTGTGGTATTTTCGTTGGAATTGTTTTCCAGTCTTATCGGACTGGCTTTGTAAGACAATGGCCGATTGGAATTGCCGGCAAGCGAATGTTGTTCCGTGGCGAGAACGGCGAGTGTAAGATTCCCGAGAATTTTACACCGTGGCCAGATTTCATACCGAAGGGATTCACCAGAGCGTTGGTTGGAACTCAGGAGTGTCCTACGGAAGTACCGTTCGCCTACTTGACTGCCGACCACATGCTGCACATGGAGTGTGATGCGTCCGACCCCGACAGCTCCTACACGCAGTCACCGAATTTCTTTACATCGATTGAAGACGCCGGAAATCTCGGTCGTGAAATACGTCCGCTTTTCGAAAAGTATTCGACGTTTGAGCGGCGTGACAAGTGGAATGGCGAGCCCGTCAAAGTGGTCGACGAGACGGTGTTGGCGCGCTGCGGCGACAAGACAGAAGTTCTAATGCAAAACGTTAGAAAGCAACATATTCACGAGAGAGCATCGCATTTCACTGATAGTCAAAGAACTAATATTAAACAGCCGACCTCGACAACAAAGAAACCTATCAATATTATGTTTTTAATGGTTGACGCTTTGTCGCGCGCACACTTTAAACGCGCGCTACCCAAGTCTTTCCAAGCGCTGGAGAAAGTACACACCGATGGCGCCGCTCATGTATTCCAATTCATGAGATATCACTCATTGAAACCCTATACCGATCCCAACACGATTGCCATGTACACCGGCTACAATTCGCTGCGCTACGACCAGACGCACGACCCCGAACTCTCGAAGGTTCCACATCCCTCGCACGAATGGCGTCGCAATCCAATGTATTTCCAATCGTTCCGTAACGATAGCTATACCACGGCATGGGTGTATGGATTCTGTGAAGACTGGTTCCAGGCGTATCTCTCAAAGGGCAAACCGGTCGATTCCATTGACCACGAGCTGGTACTGCCGTTCTGCGCGCCAGAAGCATACCCGCCAGCTCAGCCATTCGGTAATTTCGCCGGACCATTCTCATTCAAACGTCGATGTCTCGGAAACAAGCATATTCATCAGCGAATCTTTGATTATATCAATCAATACTGGGCAAACTACGAGGAGGTCGGTAAGATTGTTCACGCGACGTTCATGGATGCGCACGAAGGCACGATGGACGTGATAAAGTACGCCGACGAGGGGTTCCTGCAGTTCATTGGCACCGATATGTCGGAGCGTTGGAACGACACGATGATGGTGATGGTCGGCGATCACGGATCACACATGGGACCCTACTATCTCTGGGCACAGGGCGGTCACGTCGAGGTGGCAATGCCGACACTCTACATCACGCTGCCACTCTGGTTCCTCGAGGCACACCCCGAAGTCAAAACCAAGTTCCTCAGCAACGAAAACAAACTGTCGACACCGTTCGAGCTGTACAACACACTGCGAGCACTCTCAAACTACCCAGAGTTTGGTGGAATCGATATCATGGATCAATTGAACGAACGACTAGAAAAAGGTTATCTCAACGACATCAAAGACGACATTCAATGTAAAGATATTGGAATACCCTATGATTTCTGTCAATGTCATTAACCAAGTCAACTGTTTATAACATTATTAATTCATCATTAAAAAACAAACAATCTGATGATGAAATCAAATCAATCAAATACTCAAAAAAATAAATTATTATTAATAATCTCTTTATTATCATTTTGTAAAACTATTCTTTTGATTAACATCAAAAATTCTATGAATATTAGTATAATTTTGCGATTATAATGATCACACATACAGTCATCAACCATCGATCCATTTTTTTGAATTTTAAACTTCAAATTTAATTTAATTTTCATTTTTTTTCTTAATTTATTTTACAAACTTTTATTTTTGATTAATTATTATTTTATTATTATTATTAATTAATTATTTTTTTGAAAAAAAAAAGATATTTGAATATTTGTAAATATTATATATTAGTTAGTTTAGTTTAGTAGATTATATTATATTAGTTGGTTTTTTTGAATGAAAAGATTATTGTTTAAGCTTGCAGGTCAGGATGGTGAACAACCTGAAGCAGGTGCTGGTGATAATAATGCTCAGGACAACCAGCCTGCTGCTGAGAATCCAGAGGCAACTGCAGACGATATGAGAAGAAGAAGAATGGAGCGATTCCAACAGATGGAAGCAGAGAGTCAAGCTCAAGGTTTAAAACAATTGGAACAAATGAGTAAATCACCATCTCCACCACTTACATCTCCAAAATCAACATCTCCACCACTTGCTTCTTCTAAACTTGCAGCAGCTGCAACACCATCATCATCAACTACATCTGTAAAGCCAACGACAACAACAACAACAACAACTACATCCACTTCTAAACCTGCAGCAACAACAACTCCATCATCATCATCCACAACAACATCAACAGTATCAGCAAATGCTCATGTAAATATCAAAAATACAATCAAGATTATATACTTTTTATGTTAACATATTTATCATATTTAGAAAATAAGAGAATGTGAAGTTCCAATGACAGAGTCTGATTATTATATATTAGAAAAGATATTATACATTTACTTGAAACCAACTGTATGTTAAATGAATTTAAGTTTGTTTAAATATGTTTATTAACGAAAATTTATTATTATTACACTTTAATTAATATAATAGTCAGAAAATAAAGCTGTATTTTTGAAATCGTTGGCGACAGAGTTGAAAAGTGAATTGGCGGCAAGCGGTGAAAAGTGTTTCAAATTGACACCGGATGTGTTGGACAGATTCATGGTGGAGCGTTTGTCGACGGCCGCCAACTATCCCGCTGTAGAATATCTGATTGCCACCTACAATCGTCTGAAGAACGAATCAAAGAAAAAGGTGAAGCAATTCGTTCAGGACCAAGCGTTCTCCAATCAATTGGTAGAGTTGATCGTTCGCTACCTAGGAATCATCTTGACGATACCCGACATGTTCCAAAACTCATCGACACCGGCATACGGCACCGGTCCAGTACAACTACTTCCATACCTCACAGGAGAGTTCACCGAAGAGTTATCCTATGAATTCTTACAGTCATTCATTGATCTCTATCAAGAAGATAAAAAAGATGTAAGTATACATAACTAATTCATTCGATCAATTCCATCCATTCCATCCATACTAACTAATTCGATCCCAACGATTATCTCATCTAGATTTTCCAACCAATTTTCAGTTATATGTCAACCAAAATGACAACTATCACACTTTTAGGTGATTTCCTGTCATATTTCAAAGCATTTTCTTCGCTTATACAATTCAAGTCACTTTCTGATATTGTAAGTTAGTTTTGTGCATGCAAATTAATTTGATAGATATATATATATACTAATGATATTTCAATTGTTATTATCATTAGTTTATTGGATCACAATATTGGAATCCACCTGGAAACAATGGAGCTCAAATGGAAACAGCAACGTTGTTGGGTGCTTATTTCTCACCGAGTGCGACATCCAATGACCGTGCTGTGTTGAATCAATACTTCCCGTCGGCATCGCAACTCTCACAACACAATATCAGAGAAGCTTTCGTTTCGATTCACTCGGTACTGAAGAACTACGATCAGGGATTGTATCAGTTGGTGCGTTCGTTGTTACGCTCGTCACCCGAAGCCAAAGAGGCATTCTTGGTTTGGATTTGCAGTGCCATCGATAAGAATGCCGGTCGCACCAAGATGAATGTGAACGCAGCCGAAGTTGCATCCGACGGATTCGCACTCAACCTCGTTGCAGTGATGATCCTGCTGTGCGAGGCATTCGTCGATGTCAGCTTCTCAAAGGTATCGATGGTCGACACCAACTTCCTATTGAACAGCAAGCGTCATGATCTCTCCTCCTACACCAGGCTCTCTGCAACCTCTGAAGAGGTCGAGGAATGGCAGAAATCAAAACAATTAGAACCAAGTCGTAAGTTCAAGAAACAATAATACCGAACAACAAATAACAACTTGTTTTATTAACATTCTTTATCTATTTATAAATATCATCATAGCCAATGTTAATTTTATTACGGAATGTTTCTTTGTTACTTTGAGATGTATTCATATTGCATTGAATCCATCATTCTCAAAGATTAAAAATATATCGAGAGCTCTTAGAGAGAATGATAATCTAAAGAGAAATCTTAATGAAACTAGATCATCATGGCAAAATGTATGTATAATTATTATTGTTGTTATTATTTAGCTATTCTAATAATTAATCTAACTCTTTTGATCAAAATAAATAAATAGACACCACAAGCTAGATTGCATGAAGCAAATCTTGAAATGGTAAAGAAGAGAGAGGATCTATACAAAGGTTTATTGCTATCGTTGGAAGCACAACTTTTTGAACAACAATTCATTCAAAAGACTGCTTTCTTTTTGATTTTCACAACTAAATGGTTACTTAAAGTTATCAATCCAAATGATCAAAAGTAAGTGTTTAATCAGCTAGCTAGCTTTGTTTTTAAAAACTAAATTTAACTAATTTAATCTTTTAATAGACTTCCATTACCATTACCACCAAATATTCAATTCGTAGCATTACCAGAGTTTTGTATTGAAGATGTAGTCGATTTCTTTGCAAATGTTTCAGCGATGTTCCCTCATTATCTTGAGAATCTACCATTGGAGGTACTTGTAAACTTTTTCATTACAGTCTTGTCTGCACCAGAGAATGTAAAGAATCCATATCTTAAAGCAAAGATTGTTGAAGTAAGTAACAAACTACATCATAAATATCCACTACCGAATTACTTAACTTACTAATATTGTGTTATTTATTTATATTAGATTCTCTCTGAATTCATTCCAAGAGATAATCATCCAAGTAATAATTACTTTGCTTCGTTGTTTGAATGTAGTGATTTGGTAAAGGAGAATCTAGTTCCTTCGATCATGAGATTCTATGTGGATATCGAGTTTACCGGTGCTCACAATCAGTTCTATGAGAAGTTCAATTACCGTTATCAAGCTGCACACATCTTGAAGTACCTCTGGAACAATCCATACTTCCAGAGCAAGATCATCGCCGAAAGCAGAAAGCCAGAGTCATTCTTGAGATTCAACAATATGATGATCAACGATTCCATCTATTTGCTCGATGAATCACTCTCAAAGCTGGCGGACATCAGAAACTACACGACTCTCTCGGAGGGACCGGAATGGGAACAACTGACACCGGATGCCAAGCGTGAAAAGGTTGAGTCGTTCCATCGCAATGAAGATATCGTCAAATCGTGTTTGATGCTTGCCAACAACAATGTCAACATGCTACACTTTTTGTCGCAAAAGGTGGTCGAGCCATTCATGAGACCAGAGATTCTCGACAGAATCTCGGCGATGATGAACTACTTCCTCTCGCAATTGGTCGGACCGAAATGCACGGAACTCAAGGTGCGCGAACCGGAAAAGTATAACTTCAGACCAAAGGTGCTATTGGAGCAGATGACCGATATCTATTTGTTCTTGGCAGTGGACGAGCGTTTCGTGCAGTCGGTCGTTCGTGACGGTAGAAGTTTCAAGGTGTCGATGTTTGCCACCGCCGACAAGATCATGAGAAGAGAACGCTTAAAGAACGACGATGAGATGGACAAGTTCAGCAAGCTCATCGAGCGATTCGAACAAGCCGCCAGAGAAGAGGAACAAGAAGAAGAGGATCTCGGTGAGATTCCAGACCAGTATCTCGATCCCATTCTCAGCACTTTGATGCGTGATCCAGTTACCTTACCGTCGAGTAAGACAATCGTCGATCGTCAGACCATCGTCAGACATTTACTCAGTGATCAAACCGATCCATTCAATCGTTCGAAACTCACCGAAGACATGCTCATACCCAACACTGAACTCAAAGCAGAGATCGATGCATGGATAAAGTCAAAGAAACAAAAATAAAATAAACCAACATGTTGTTATTGTTATGTTAAATTTATTTAAATTAGATAGTAAAGTTTGAATGAATGTTTGATGTTGAAGTTGTTACTTTTATAAAATACCCCATTGCTTTTCAAATACTGTTGTTAGTTTGAAACAAGCACCGGCAGCGGAAAGTGGGTAGTTGGAAAAAGCAATTTCTTCGTGGTGATAGTCGATGTGTACGGAACCTGTGGAGAGAGCACCGATTACGATTGCACATTGTTGTAATCCATTTAATTTATCGTCGATCTTTTGTTTCTTTTTGGCAGCCTCTTTCTTTTCGGCGTTCTTTCTCTTCTTTGACTCTTCTTCCTTTTCCTTTACATCGTCTACACCCTCTACAAAGCTGTCACCTGCACTTCTTACAATATTATCTGAATCTCCACCGTTGTTATTATTGTTATTCTCTTCGTCTGCTGATACTGGTACTACTGGTAATGGTGCATATCCAAAGATCTCTGGTACCCACTCAAACAAATCAACACATTTTGGTGCACTGAATGATGTCACTATATATTTTAAGATTATCATTATAATAATGAATAGGTCAATATCTATATTCTTTCTCTCTTTATATATATTTAAACTAATTTTTGTAACACTTACAAAATACACGGCAACCAGGTGGAAGGAAATCGGTAACTGGATTCTTTATAACTTTAAATAATTTATCTGGACCATTGGTAGCTCTAATACTTAATTTATTTAATAATTGAACTATAAGTTGATCAACATTAGTAACAATATTAACTATAGCTATGGATATAAATAAATGATAAACATACCCATTAAACCAGCAAATCTTTGGAATGTTCTTGGAATTCTAGTCTGTGGATGTACTTCAATCAATACATTCTTGGTAGTTCTAATATATACTTGTAAAAATCCTGCTTTATTTAAAGGACTATCGAATAGTGCTAACAAACACTATATTAAAATAAGAAGAAGAAGAAGAAGTCACAAAGTTAAATATAATGATTTTAACTATTATAGTAATAATGCTAATTAACAACATACTTGATGTAAGATATCAGGTCTTGCTTCTGATGCTTCTCTTTTGAATTTCTTTAGGAAATCGGCATGATCATCACAATTCAACAATTGATAGCTATCTTTTACTTTAACTGTTTCCAAGGTGGCATGCTCTAAGATGATGATCAACTTCTTTTGATCCTTCAAAGGTAAATCTTTTTGTTTAATAGCGCTTGATACTGCTGACATCGATATTTCGTCTTTAATAAGAGTGTATAAATGATTTTTATTGTATTTCGTGAGTTTTATTTAAAATTAATTAAAGAGTCGTTCGTTTTTTTTTTTTTTTTTTTTTTTTTTTTTTCATAATTTTTATTTTTTTCAGCTGAAAAAAAAGAATCAGATATTTAAAAAAAAGCCACTATATCATCGTGATATTATCTGTTAGATACAGAATTCTTTCTAAACATATTTAATTGAAAAACAGTGAGAGAATTTTTGTTTTTATCTATCTTTTTTTTTTTGTTTTTTGACTCTCCCAACATTAAAAAAATTCGATTGACTATCTATTATTTATCTTTTCACTTTTGTTGGCTTTGTCAGCTTGCCAATTGGAGAATAATGAATTTTTATCAATTACATTGACTCTTTCACCAACATCAGCCCACATCATCACAACCAACTTCAACCTCGACAACAATCAGCACAACCGGTGCCACAACATTGACAACATCTCCAAGCACCACAGGTACAACAACATTACCAATATCAACAAGTATTTCAACATTACCAGCAACAACCATAAGTTCAACAACTTCAAGCAATTCAGAATATCAACAACAATTCACAGATTGGATGATTCAAAACAATAAATCATACACAAACAATGAATTCTTGACAAGATTCAATATTTTTATTGATAATCTCCTTTATGTCAATCAATTTAATTCGTTGACTGGAAATGATACAGATGCAATGAAATTAGGCATGAATGTATTTGCAGATTTGACACTCGATGAATTCACCAACACATTCCTTATCAAAGATTTATTAAATTTCTCAGCAAATTCAAATACTACTTCTACAAGTACATCAACAACAACAACAACAACAGGAGGTGGATTATTAGGAGGACTATTAACTGGTGTTTTAACAATTGGAACCGGAGGATCTACATCAGATGGTGGACTTTTAACAGGTTCATCTAAATCATCAAGTTCATCTCTCAGTACTTTAATGGCTGTGGATTGGCGAGCTGCTCTACCTGGAGTTAAAAATCAAGGATCGTGTGGAAGTAGTTATGCATTTGCATCGTTAGCTCCACTTGAAGCCTCATTGGTAAGAAAAGGAGGTCAAAGAGTTTCTCTTTCTGAACAAGAAATTGTTGATTGTACAAGTATGTAGGTTTTGTTTGTTTAGAAAATTCATATTTTACTTATCAGAAATTAATAGATGGAAAAGGCAATTCTGGTTGTAATGGAGGTTGGATGACAGGTGTTTATGATTATATTAAACGAGCAGGAGGTGTAAGTGAAGAATCATCATATCCATACAATGGTGTTGTTCAAAAGTGTAGACCCTCTGGATCCAAATATGGAGCCATTGTTAATTACGTTATTATTGATAATGAACAAGCAATGGTAAATGCTTTGACAAATGTAGGACCAGTTGCTATTGCTTTACAGGCCGGTGTAAGATCATTCCAAATGTACAACGGTGGTATCTATTATGATGCTGGAGCAGGTAGCATCGATCATGAAGCTACACTTGTTGGTTTAGGAACAGAGAATGGAGTGAATTATTATATTGTAAGTACTGTAAAATTTATAAAGATTATCTCCATTTTATTTTATTAACAATTGTTCATTAAAATGTCAATAGATGAGAAATAGTTGGGGTACTGGATGGGGAGAAGGCGGGTAGGTTACATTAAAATTAAATTTTTAACATGAAAATTCTATTAATTTTAATATTCTAACGATTTTGCTTTCTAATAGATATATGAGAATATTGCGTAAATCAGGGCATGTCAATACATATGGATATTATCCATTAGTATAACAATAAATCAATAGATTAGCCAAAGGAATTGATTTACCAATAGGCACTATAAAAAAGATTGAATTAATCAAGGTATTAAAGTCTCCAAAATTAAATAGTAGCCATTTTATTAATGAGATAAAAAAATTGAAATAGATAACAATCTTTGGATATATTGAATAATAGCTCCATATGAACAATTTGAAAAAAATAATATTTATATCTATATTATATAGATACCAAACATTCAACTTATTAATTGGAGCTAACTTTCTTTTTATTTTAGTATTACTATTGGTTTACCCTTTCTCAATAATTTTTTTTGTTTTTGTTTTTTTTATATATCTACAAGCTTATTATCCTCTTGTACTGAAACAGAGTCAATAGTAAGGTTGGTGTTTTGAGTCGTGTCACTTGATTTGCTGGTGAATGGATCCAACTCGTCAAATGAGATCGCATTGTCATTGATTGTTTGTTTACCGAGCATAATTTCATCGGTAAATTTAAAGGTTTCTTGTGGTTGTTGTTGTTCAAAGGTAAAAGTGGTATCTTGATGATTGACTCCATTACCATTTGTGGTTTCTCCTACGAGTTCATCGGTCTCTTCTACTTCTAATTCCTCTTCTTGTTGTTGTGGCTCTACTACGACTTTTTGTTCGACTTCTTCCTCGACTTGATCAACTACTGCTGCTTCGCTATCGTCATCCCATACACCATCATCTTCACCTGCTACAACTGTAGTTGTTTGAATTTTGTCATCATCGAAAACACCATCATCTTCATCAGCATCGTTGTTGTTATTGTTGTCATTGTCATTCTCATGAACTACTTCTTCAAATACTGGATTTTCAATCTTTTCTTCTTCCTCTTCAACGAATGATTCCTCTTGGACATCATCTTCTTCTTCTACTTCTTCATGAATTAATGGTTGCTCTTCATGAACTGATTCTTTTTCCTCTTCGTGGACTGATTCAACTTGAGCTGGTTCTTCATGAACTGGCTCTGCATGTGCTGGTTCTTCAATTACTGGGTGAGTTGGTTCTTCGAGAACTGGCTCAACTGGCTCTACATGTGCTGGTTCAACATTAGCTTCTGTCTCTTCAGATTTTGGGTTGATTTGTTTTTCAAGAACTGGTTCGAGAGTGTCTTGTTGTACTGGCTCTACATGTGCTGGTTCTTCGAGAACTGGTACAACTGCGTCTACTTGTGCTGGCTCTACATGTGCTGGTTCTTCAAGAACTGGTTCTACATGTGCTGGTTCTTCAACAACTGGTTCTACGTGTGTTGATTCTTCAACAACTGGCTCTACATGTGCTGGTTCTTCAACTACTCGTTCTACATATGCTGGCTCTCCAACAACTGGCTCTACATGTGCTGGTTCTTCAACTACTGTTTCTACATGTGCTGGTTCCTCATGAATTGTAACATCTTCCTTGATGTCCTTAGATACAACTTCTTGTGGTTGCTCAACGATTGCTACTGGTTCAACTTTTGCTGGTTCCTCGACAATTGGATCTACCTTTAGTTCGACTACCTCAGTGGTAACCACTGTTGCACCGTCAGCAGCAGCTGATGTTTCTTCAACTGGTGGTAACAATTCAATCTTAATCTCTGCTACCTTGAGTTCATCAACTTTAGGTGATTCAATAACAATTGGTTTCGATTCGACAACTGTTGTTGAAATTGTTGCTGCTGCTGCGGCAGGCTTTGTTGTGGTAGTCGATGTTGTCTTTGTTGTAGTAGTAGTGGTTGTTGTAGAAGTAGAAGCTGCTGGCTTACTTGAAACCACTGGCTTCAGTCCACTTGATGATCCTGTCTTTGTCAATGGACTACTTGGTTTGACATTATCTTTTGGTTCAACTTTCTGGAAATTATATTATAATTATAAAATATTAGAAATCAACAATCGATATTATTAATTATTTCTATTGGGAATTACAATTAATATTTACCTTTAAACCATTGGTTGTTATTGGCTTTACAATATTTGATTTAGAGGATGTCGATGATGTTGTGGTTGTTGATGTGGTTGTGGTTGTGGAGGAACCGGCTGGTTCTTTCAAGTTGGACGATGAGTTTGATGTTGTCGATTTGGTGATGGTGGTTGGCTTTGGCGATGAGATTTTAGAGACTGTTTTGGTGCCGGTGGTTGGAGTTACATTTTGTTGGCTTGGTGTCTTTGTGATGGTTTTGTTGGCTGCCGATGGTGATCCAGTGGTGACAGTGGCGGTGGTGGTAGGTTTCAAAGCTGAGGTTGTAGTGGTAGTAGTAGTGCTGCTGGTGGTGGTCGGTGTCTTATGAAGTGAAGTTGATGAATTTGACTTTGTAACTGGTTTTGGTGGTGTAGAAGTGGTTGTAGCAGCAACGGGTTTTGTAACTTTTTGAGTTGCTGGTGACGAGTGAGGAGTTGCTGCTGTTGTTGTAGCAGTTGGTTTCTTAGTGGCTGAGACTGGTGTTGTTGAGGTGGTTGAGGTTGAGGTTTTAGTTGGAGTACCAATCTTTGAAGGAGTTGTAGATGTTGGTGTCTTGGTAACAACAGGTGATTTAGTGGTAGGCGTAGTGGTGGTTGTCTTTACTGGTGTTTTCGAGGTACTAGCAGAAGAAGTTAAGGATTTACCAGTTGTTGTTGTGGTTGTTGTTGCCGATTTAGATGATGATGATTGTTGTTGTTGTTGTAATTCTTGTATTCTGTTGGTGAGTGATTGATTGTCCAAACGAACTTGTTCCAACTCTTGAATCAACTTTTGATTGATAGCCAACACCTCGGCAACCTGTACCTTGGATGCCTCGAACTCCTTCAACAAAGTATCATAATCTTGCTTTACATCCATTTTTGTTGTTGTTGTTGTTTATTGTTAAAAATAAAAATAAAAATAAAAACAATTTGTCCGATTTACTATTAAATTAGAACTACTACTACTAACAAATAACAACAACACTGTGGTAGAGATTTGGTATTGCTATTTATTTGTTATTTGTTATTAGAAATTAAATCTATCTATATATCTTCTTTAAACACAATAATAAATTAATATATGCTTAGTTTTCAAAGTATAGTAAATGAATGATAATAAAAAAGAAAGTGGTTTTGTTGGAGGTGTGTTGTTAAGAGGTATATTGATCAATCAAACACTGATTAAAATTAAAAGTTGCTTGTTAAAAAAAAACAAAAAAAGTTTGAAACACAACTTTTAAAACAAAAAAAACATAAGAAAAGATTAATTGATTGGTGAATGAATTACTTACTTATTTTTTTTATAAAACAGTTTTTAAATAATTTTCTATTTTGGTACAAACAATAATAATCAAATCTTATAAAATGTTTTCTTTATGAACTAACTAATTTAAAACTGATCAAAAAATAAAAAAAAACCAAAAACAATAATGATTTAAAAAAAATTTGGATATTATAGATTTTTTTTTTCAAAAGAAAAAAAATGATCATCAGCAAAAAAACATAAATAATAAAGATATAAAAAAATCCTTTTGAATTTTGTAAAATAACTTATTTAGCTGTATTTATGACAAGTAATTTTTGTGTAGAACTGAGTGTTTAAACATCCCAACTAAGGTTTGGTCATAATTATATAAAAATAAAATCATTTATATATTAAAAGTTATCTTATTTCTCTTTTGCTTGAGAGATAATTTCTTTTCATTTCTTTAATTGTTTGGTGTTGTTAGTTATCTCTATTTGAAAAAACAAAAAATTTAAACTTATAAAAAATTGTGATGTGTTGTCATGATTTAAATCTATTATTTTTTTTATTTTTTTTTGTCTAATTTTTTTTAATTAATCATTTTTTTTAGAACAGTAGTTCAACATCACTAATATTACTAATTTTTTTTGAGTTAGTAATATTCAAATTGTATAATATATATATTAATATACCCTTTTAAATAGAGAAAATGGTATGTTTATATAAACTAAAGAAGAAAATAGCGTATAATGATATTTAAATTGTATTGACTTGTTTTTTTTTACCTCCTCTTCTTAAGGATTTTGAAGGTCAGAAGCTAGCTGAAAAGCTGTATCAATACTTGGTTATCATTTTTGGTGTATGTAGTTTGCTAGAATAGTTAGATAGATAGTTAGTGAGATAGAGAGAGATTTATATATCTAATACTAGTCATCGAATATACTAATATTATTCATAACTTTGTTTAACAGATCATTGGTTGGATTATAGGATTCTATCAACAAAGTTTCTTGATTACTTTTTATTTTGTAGCAGCAGGTACTCTTTTAGCTTTAATTGTAAGACTTTTTACTTTATAAATTTGCAGAAATGAGAACAACTTGTTTATCATTGCTTAATGAATGGTTTTAACTAATCACTTTTATTCATTATAATCAACAAACATACAGGTTTGTTTACCAGATTGGAGTATTTTTAATAAGCATCCACTCACATGGCAAAAAGAACAAACATCATCAAAGTAGTAGTAATCAATTTAAACATACATTATGCACAAAATAAATAACAAACAAACACAATCTTTTATTTATAATTATAATGTCTATATATATATTACAATCAAAACAGAACATAACATAAACCAAAGACAAATTTAACAGGTAAGAACAGAACAGAATCATTAATAAGATTGTTATTACTCCAAAAGATTTGATTTATTTATGAGCGGCAATCTTATACAAAATCATCAAAAGTTTAGCTTTTTGAATGGTGATAAATATCTATTTATTCTTTATTATTCAAATAAATATAAAGATAATAAATGACTCATTAATGAAGATGATGTTTTCCGATGATTTTTGAATGATGTTCAAAAAAAAATTAATTAAAAAATTAAAAAAATTAATATTCATGAAGGTTTAATTAATTCTGGAAGCTCAATGGTTTTTGATAAAATTAGAATAACTTCTCTGATCAAATGTTTGATCAAAACATCAAGAATTACTTTAAAAATAGATAGAATTACTTAAAAATAAATCGAAGCTTTCATTTTAATTTAAATAGAACTAAATTTCAAAAATGATAAATCATTCAATTAAGTCAAATATATTTCAAACAACAGCAACAATCAAAGTAAAAGATTAATATCATTTACAACTAAATTCTTTTATATATCTATCAAAAAAGTAAATCAATACATTAAAGATGTCATCAAATCAAATCCCAACATTACATTATGTATGTATAATCAAGAAATATGAAAAAGATAAATAATCAACAGATTACTTATATTTCTAATGAATATGAATATATTCCAGTTCAATGGACGTGGAAGAGCTGAAACCAGTAGAGTTCTACTGACTTTGGCGAATGTCGAATTCAACGACGTCAGAAACACACTGCCATTTGCCGACGATGGAATCAAACAAAAGGCAACCTATAAACAGCTGCCATACTACATCGACGGTGATTTCGAAGTTTCACAATCGCTGGCAATCGAAAACTACATTGCCAACAAATATAATCTGGCAGGTGATAGTCTGACCGACAAAGCTAAGGTACTCTCGATTCAACAAGCATCCTACGATATTTCCATTCCAATCTTTACGAACGACACCGATGAGAAGAAAGAGTTGTACAAGAATGAAACATTGCCACGATTCCTAGCTGCCTGGGAGAAGATCTTGTTGGATAACGGTGGAAAGTATTTCGTTGGCACTCGATTGAGTGCAGCAGATGTCAGTGCATACACCACCCTAGAGAATCTATACGCCAAGAACTTCAAAGAAATCGTCGACCGATTCACAACACTAACTAATTTCAAATTAACATTTGAAACAATTCCATCGATTTCAACTTATTTATCAAATAGACCAACTGATCTTATTTTCTAAACGAGTAGCAGTAAAATATGTATAAATAAATTTTTTATAAATAAATCAATATCACCACCATTTTTTGTTTTTTTTTCTTATCTCTTTTTAAATCGATTAAAAGAATCCTCATTTTTTTGCAACACGTTAATAATACTTTGTTTGTCATTGCAAACATAACAGTAAAGTCTTTTTTGCTTTCCGAACAATTTTTTTTCCATCCAAAACTATCAATCAAAATCTTGACGTGTTGGGTGTTCAGTTCAACTATTCAATTAATTTAATTTTTAAAAAATTAAAATCAAATGAAATAAATAAAATAAAATAACAATAATCACCACACACTTATAACTTATTTTTTTTTATTCAACTAATACAAAAGACAATATTATGTAAATAATAATCATATGATATGAGTATAAATAAATAATATAAATAAATAATTGTGTATTAAAAAAAATAAAATAAAATAAAATTAATATTAAATTTAAAAATTAAGTTATTTAAATTAAATTAAATTAAATTATTGTTATTTATCATAGTTAGTTTTTAATACATAGATATATATATCATAGAGATAGATAGTTAGTAAGATAGTTAGTTTTATTAATAATAAGAGAGAGAGTTAAATATGTCTAAAAAGAAATACTTTTTGATGAAAGGAGATGATTATGAAGATGAAGTGGAGTATAAGGATGATCATTTAGATAGTAGTACTGATATTCTGTTGAGTAACAACAACAGTAGTGGTGGTAGTTCGAATAAAAGATCAGATTCACCTGTAGTATTACATTTCGATCATGACGATGACGACGATGAAGATGGAGATCATCACAATGACGAAACACAAGAGATTGATTTAAATGAAGATCGTAATCATTCAAGTAATAATCATAGTAACAACAACAACAACAACAACATGACAATTATAAACTTTTCAGATAATAATGATCCATTCTCGGCCAACTCTACTCTACAGACTTCATCAACACCCTATTCAACATCACTCTCAAATTGGAGAAATATAATACGTAATTATAGAATTGTAAATAATAATAATAACAATAATAGTAATAATACAAATACAAATGCAACAAATACAACAACATCGACTTATTCTACACCAACAGCTACTACTACTACAACGACAACACCAACAACACCACCAACGACAACTACAACAAATAGTCACTTTCCATTTCCAACACCAGCAAGATGGGAGAATTCTCATTTGAAAGATAAAGATACTATTATAATTAAGCAGCCGAATGGACGTATCTCATTGGGTCTGAATGAAAAGAAGTTCTATCATCATCTTCGTACTGGAGAGCATGACCCGAACGGTCTGTACATGGGACTGGCAGATCCTGACATCCTACTGCAACACTACAACCAAAATGGAAATAACAGTAATCAAAACGATATCTATATCAACGAATTCGATGGTTTCATTCATTCCGGTAATTTTGAAAGTTATAGAAGAAAGTAAGCATAAACAAACAAACTAGCAAAAAAAAAAAAAACAAACAATGTTAATAGTTAGTTACTAATCAAATAATATTTAATTATTTATCTCATTTCTAATATTATTATTATTTTTTAGGAAATTCCTGATATCTTTAATCACATGTGAGATATTTTATAGTGCATTGTTGATGGCAGAGGTATTAAGTTTCAATCCGGCGATGCTCATGTTGATTCTTGTCATCATTTGTAATATAATAGGATTGTTCTCGCTGACAAGAAACAAAACCAGAATTTTCAACGTATTCCTAATGTTTAATGTCCTAACCATCATCGGCCAGATTCTAATCAAAATGTTTACACCGCTTTTCTTACTACGTCTTTTAACTCTCATGATTGGAATAAGAGTTCGTCATGAGATGATTCTGTAAGTTTATTAATCATTAATTAATATAATAACAATATATTAACAAAAACAATTTTATAAAATTTAATATAGTGGAATATAAAATATTTTTATGTATAGTGATTATATCAATAACAAATTAACATATTACAATTAAATAACAATAGTTATATAATAGTATAATTATAATAATAATAAATATTTAATAACTATTGGTTTTTGGTTATGTTATTTTTAATTAATTAATTAAGTTTGTTTGTTTGTTATTTAGTTAGAAAGAAAGTATGCGAGTAAATAGATTGGAATTGCAGCACAGGTACAGTCGAAGAATGTATGGAGTCTAGCTTCATGGAAAACTGCACTATTTGAATTCGATACCAATTCATCTATTATACCACTATTGTATTTAGATACTCCCGTTCTATAATATTTATATATAGATTTCATATTATATCCATAAGATAAAAATGGTCTAATAATAATAATAGATAATAGATTTTAAATTAGTTATATTATAATAAATAATTATTTATTATAGCTATTAGTTAGGTATTCAACTTACTTGATTAATTGAAATGCATGTATTGTTGTAAGAAGTCCGAATAATAAGATATTGGTTTTGTTAACTTTCATCAGGAGTTTGGTCCATCCGTAGGCGATAGTGAAACCAACCACTGCCGAGAGTGGAATGCATAGAGCTGCAGAGACACGAAATCTAGATCTTAGTCGCTGAAGAGAAGGATCCTCTTCCGGAACAGGATAGCCTTGATAGTTCAAACCGAATAACACAGCCACATCAAAGATCAGCTGTGACATTGAAACACCCAAGAAACCAAATGTAATTATTTCTTTAAACATATTTTATTTTATTTTATTATTTTATTTTTATTTTTATTATTATATCGATTGTAATTGTTTATTATTATTTTTAAAAGATGATGATAATGTGTACACATTATCTTTTAAATAGACAAAAACCATGGTATCCAAAATAAAATCTTTAAAGCTCGAGACCACCTGATTTTTGTAAAATTCCGTCCTATAATAATAAAAAATATAAATATTTATTTATAAAGAAGGACCATGATCTTCCGACACAGATAACCTTGATAGTTCAACATCAAGATCAGTATTTAAAATTGTGTGCACTTTTAAGTAAACAAAAGCATGGTAAAATGCAAAAAAAATTAATTTTTAATAACAAAATAATAAAATATACATATTCTTTTTTATTATTATTATGTATATTTTAAGAAGAAAAGTAGAAAAGTTGACCAGAACATGATTGATTTACTATTTTTAACAAAACAATGTGTATGTCAACTTTGAAATTGAGTGTTTAGGTTGTGTGTTTTATTCATACAGATAATATACAGCAAAGCAAGTACCCCTTCATAAGAACATCAATAATCATTGATTATAATTTAACCCTTTCTCTATTTGTAAAAAGTGCTAAAAATCTTTTATTTATTTATTTTATTTATACATGTTTTTAATAGAGTAATAGCAAGAATGATCATTGTTTGTTTAATAAAATTGTTTTTGTTATTCTCATAATAATAATAATAGTAATAATTATTATTACCTAAAATGTTTAAATATATATTTGTTGTTTTAATTATTTTATGTCTGTTCTCTATGGTCTTGATGGCGAAAGATCACCCGGAGAATGACAAGAAGAAAACAGCGTGTCCAAAGATTGCATGTCCCAAGGTAGATGAGAAGAGATGCAAGAAGGAAGGTGGTACTTTTCTACCAAGGAGCAAAGAGAATTGCTGTGCAAAATGCCAGACACCCTGCTCAACAGTGAAATGCATTGGTGTAGATCGAGCAAAATGTGAATCATATGGTGGTATTTACATAGAGGTAAAATAAAATAATATATATATTTAAATAAAGAAAAAGATAATCTTAGGAGTTAATATTAATTAAAATTAATACAATACAATAATTTAGGCAAATCATAAAAAAGGTATTTGTTGTTCACAATGTCATTCGATTTGTTCGGTTGTTAGATGTAAACAAGTGGAGCCGGCTGATTGTAAGAAACAAGGATTGGCTTATGTTCCTGAAAATCAAATCGAAGGAATTTGTTGTTCGTATTGTACCAATCAAACTATACCGACTCCATCTCAAACACCTACACCTACACCTACACCAACACCAACACCCATAAATCCAACAACAACAACATCAACAACATCAACAACAACAACAGCAACAACAGCTACACCTATAACAACAGCTACACCAACACCATCTTCTACAACATCACAATCATCTACAAACTCTACAACTACAACATCAACCCCTACTACAGGCACTGAATCAACAACAACAACAACAACAACAGGTTCAACAATCAATTGTTCGGTTGTGCTCTGCCAGAATGTAAATATTCAAATATGTAAACAACAAGGTAAAATATTCATACCTGCTGATCCACCCAGGAGATGTTGTGGAGCTTGTGAAGTTCGCTTTACCATTGAACCACATTCATTAGGATCAGTAGCAAATAAATAAATAAAAAAAGAAAAGGAATTCATTTTATCATGTAATTTTATTTATTTGTTTTAAAATTAGTTATATAGAGTTGTTCACTCTTTGATATATGTTTAATATTTTTTTGAATGATATCAAAGTTGATTTCAGGACATGCATATCCACCACACTTTAGTATTTCTTTTGTTGTGTTGGTGTTGTCAATAGGATACTGTGAAAGTGTTGGGATAATTTGATTGAATGCTTTAAACATTGTATGCAAAGGATTGTTTTTTTGTTCTAAAAGTAAATCTTTCCAATTGTCGAAACTTGTCATCTTCAAAGGATGGATTTTAGAAATAGATAAACAGAAATCATTGAATGTGATTGATTTCTGATTAGTCAATAAGAATGTTGGTGTCTTATCATTGTTATCATCAGCATCATTCCATGATCTATTCAAAGAAATATTGATGATTGATGAAGATATCCAATCAACTGGACCGAGATTCAAAAGATTAATCTTCTCCTCTGAAAGATCTGGATAGTATCCAAGATATAATATTCCAGACAAAACCAATCTGATGTAGTCATTGGAATTATCAACACCTGTCTCTGTATGGCTGTAGATGACACCTGGTCTGAACATAATGATTGGTAGGCCTCTTTGGAAAGCTATGTGAATAAGTTGCTCCGCAATTAATTTTGATTGCGAATATCCTGACATTCCATTCAAGTTCTTCAGGTCTGGTTCTATAGTGTCATCTATTTCTTGATTGAATTGGTGTAATGTTCCTATGGAGGAAATATGTGAAACTGGTATGATATGGTCTCCAATTGTAGATAGTCTTAATACTTCCTCAGTGCCTTTAACATTTGCCATTTTCATATTTGAATAAGGATTCATCAAATGAACATATGCACCATTATGAATGATAAGATCGGTTTGATTTGAAAGATCAATGAATTCATTGATATTCAATCCGAATAATGGTAATTCTAAATCACCAATGATTGGATGAATCTTTGAAATTTCATTTTCTTTGATCATCATATTATTCTTTAATCTGATGATGTCAACCAATTTACTTCTTGCATCTGATTGTGAACCTGATGATCTTATCAAACAAAATACTTTTGAAATATTTTGATTTCTAATGAGATCATACAATAAGAATGAACCATTGAATCCAGTTGCACCAGTCAAGAATATATTGTTAAATCCACTTGATTTCATTGATTTTCCATTGGTTTGAATTGAATCATCCAATTTCATTTCATCTTCCCAATTGATTTCATTGTTTTTGATAATATTCTTGAAGATATCAATTAAATTCACATTCTTATCTAAAATTTGCTGAGGTTTAACATCTATTTTCGCTTTATCTTTGAGAAGAGTTGAAAGTTTAACAGCTCCAATTGAATCCCCTCCAATTTGCGAAAAAGATAACTTTGATAAATCAACTTCTGAAAGTGTATTGATATCAAGTCCCAAAACAAATTTAAGATAGTTAAACAACAAATTTGTTTTATCTTCTGATTCTGATGAAAGACCTTCTTGAATCGAATTCAATGTTTGAAACATAGATTCAATATCATCTTTATAATATTTATAAAGATTTGGTCTACTAAATTTACCAGTTGGAGTCAAAAGTTCATTTTCGATTGTCCATTGCGTATTATCAAGAGAGATCATCTTGGGAATTTCATAATGTGGACTCTAGAAAAATAAAAAACAATATTAATTAAAAATATAATTTTTTAATTTTCTAAAAAAAATAAATACCTTATTCAATTTAGATATTCTATCAATTTCCTCAAGAATCAATCTTTTCAATTGATTATTATCTTGATATTTAATAAAATCAATTAAATCAATCTTGTCAAGTGCATTTTGAGATGGAACAACTATTGCAACTAAATATGATTGATTTATATTACCAAAAACAAAGATATTCTTGATGAGTGGAGAGTTTGAATAAAGGGATTCAATAATTTCACAACTAAAAGGATTGGATTAAATTAATTTTTGGAATATTAAATAAATTTTATAAACTTACCAAACGAATTCACCATTACTCAATTTGAAAGCATTCTTCTTTCTATCAATGATTCTGATTGATCTTGTTCCATATTCTTCCACAATATCACCAGTATAATACCATCCATCTTTAAAAGCAGTATTAGCTTCTTTGTTGTTATAATATCCACCAGAGATGTTTGATGTATTTACAATCATCTCACCTCTTGGATACGGTGTATCATTGATTGTGAATCCCAATTCTGGAACAGATTCCAATCTGTATTCAAGGTGTGGAACGACTTTACCATTGAAAGCAATTGACTGAGTTTCAGTAGTACCATAATAGTTGGTTATGGTAAGCTTACCAATAATACCATTTATTAAATTGGAGACTGACAAATTTAGCGGTGCGCCAATTGAATACAAATGAACAATTCTGTCCCCAAATATATTGTTATGGAGTTTCTTTACATCTTTTGTACATTGTTCTATTGATAAATGAGGATGATCCGAGATGTATGATTTCAAAATAGATTCAAAATTTGAATACACAAATTTCCAAAATCTAAATAAAAAGTATCAATTATTAGTATCTCTTTTATAATAAAGAATAATTAAAAATAATTACACAGGGACAGAAAAGATTAAATGGGGTCTTGTCATTTTAATATAATCAAAGATATGCTCCATCTTTCCTGAATATAAAGCAACTCTACCACCAAATCTGAATCTACCATAATCAAATGATCTTTGGGCATGTGCTAAACTTGAAAAACTTAATGTAATCAATGTAGAGTAATCTGTTTGTTCATTTACATAGGTCTTTAAAGTATTGTTTATAAACACAACACCTTTCGGAATACCTGTGGAGCCAGAAGAATAGCCTTAAAAAAATAAATTAATTTTTTAATGAATAACTTTATATGCAACATAAGATAAAGATTAATAAAACATACCTAATGATTTAATTTTACAATTTGTTTTCTTTGGTTGAATTGTTTCTTCTACTAGTAACATTTGTGAAAACAATTTGAAAGAGATATTCGAAGGTAACTTATTTCTTAAATCTTGGTTAAATGTATCCTCTAAATGAACTATTAGTTTTAACTGTTTCTTAATATCTTCATTTGTTTCTAAAAGATAGGAAAGATTTTGAAATGAAATTCTATCTACAATAATAGCACTTGTTTCAGAATTATTCAAAATTGAATATAGATTTTCTAAATCTAAAACAATGATATTGTTAGTATAAACTTTTAGTATTTTATTATCCAGGTATACAAACTTGTTTGATAATTATAAGGGACAATTATAAATCCATACCAAAGACAAGCTAAATCAACAATATACCACTCAGGAACGTTTGTCAAATAAATACCAACTTTAGATTCCTATACAATTTCATTCAAAGATTTAATTAATTAGTCTTTGTTTTATGAATTTATAAAATAAATACTAACAATAGGAATAGTTTCTAAAAGAGTTGTACCAAACATTAAAGCTCTTTCATATACTTGTTGATAAGTTAACCATTCCACAGTAGGATCTAAAGAGAGATCACGATTATTAATCCAATGTCCCAAGCAACGTCTATTTTGCAATGTTTTGAACACATTTCTAATATTTTATTTTTGTTAACTATTTTGCATTATTCGAATTAACTTAATGTAATACTTACAAAATGGTAGTAGAAAAATCTGGGTCTTCTGTTAGAGATATAATTTCTTCATTTGTATCTATTTATTAATATTTAATAAATTTATTAGTTGTTTTGTTTTCATTTTTTGATCATTAAAGACTTTTACATTTTTCAATTGTACAATAATGCGGAAGTGGAGCCGAGTCTGTGTGAATGTCTGAGAGAGTATTTGAATGTGGATAACACTCCAAACAAATAGTAAGATCAGTACATTCCGAACAAACGTATCTCTCTTGACCAGAAACAATAATCTTTGAACAAACTTTACAATTTCTATCAAAGTTATTAATCATAGTTTTTAGCTTATAGTTTTTTTTTAAAAAAAAAATATGATGACAAATAATTGACATCACTTTCTAATCAGATAATTCATCATTATGTTTATTTGTAAATTAATTTAAATATCACTTATGAATTATATATCGTCATGTTACCACCAAAAATCCAAAACAAAAAAAAAATTAAAACATTTTGTGGGGTACCCCCCCTATCAGTTTTGGTGATACAAACAAATCATTATTGTAGATTGTGCAAATAGTGAAGATATGAAATCATAACAGTTGACCATTTTTTTTTTTTTTTTTTTGAGAGTTTTTGATTTCATATCAAATTGTTCCACAGAATACTTTTTGTTACGAATACAGATATGAGAAAAAGTAGTAAATTAATATTAGATAGTAAATCATAATGAACAAAAGAAGCTTATGAAATATATACAAAACAATTTATAGATTTCTAATGAATATTGTCACTAGATACCAATATTTAGTGAACTTCAGAATTTCATATCGTCACTAGTTAAAATATGAAAAAATATCTCAACTCAAAATAATATGATCAAAAAAAATTTTGTAACTGAGTAACAAAAATGTATTTTAATTCACTAGTACTTCTCTTCTCAAACCCACCAAATTTTTTTTTTTTTTTTTTTTTTGATTTCTCAAAAGTGGAGATTCAGGTTTTGGGATGAGGGATTAAATTTTTTTTTTACTTTTATGTGGTTTGAGTTGAATTCAATTAGTGCACCCCCATTCTTTTATCATTTTTTCATTCAAATTTCACAAGGTTTCCAAAATGCATGCATGAAAAAAAATCAAAAATCTAATTTTTGTTTTCAAAATGATCAAAAACTAAAAATCTAATTTTAAAAAATTTTTTTTTTTATTTTAAAATTCAAGTTCGAAAGGATTTTTATAAATTCTATTAAAAAAGTCTAACTTCAAACCATTTCACTTTTAATTATTAATAAAATTATCCTTTTTATTTGTATACAATTTTTTTTTTTTTGGTATGTATTGTAATTATCCACAGAGAACAGTGATATTATTTATAGAATATTAATAATCTTGATTTAGAAATTAATTTATTAGATTTATAAGAATAATAATGGTTTCAATAGCAATCGCAACACAAGAATCAAATGATGATTTCATGTATAATATTAATAACAATAACAATAAAATTGTTCCAGGTAAATAAATATTGATCTTTTTTATATTTTAATAATAATAAAATTAATTTTAATTAAAAATTTTAATTTTTTATTAATTATAGATAAAAAGAAAGAAGATGAAACTGTTTTTTCAGACAGTATAGAGGCGATGCTCAGTACCATTGCCAAAGCCATTGAAGCTTCTAATCAGACCAAAGATCGTGTTATCAATTTGCTCTTAGGAAGAACCGGTGCTGGAAAGACCACTACCACTCATTATCTCAGTGGAGAGAAAATGGTTCTCAAAGATATCAAGACTGTTGTCGATGTGGGAGGTGGTATGATCGAAACATCGATCAAGAAGAAGATAGATGTCGAAAATCCCAATGCCAAAGGAGGTCCCATTGGCCATGAGAAGAAATCGGAAACCAAGGTAATCTCCTGTAAATCTACTCCAGGTGGTGATCTCTTTGTCGATACTCCAGGTGCTTTGGATGACCAAGGTCCTGCCGTCGATCTTGCTCATTCGATTGGTGTCACCAAAGGTCTCCATTCAGCCAAAGCAGTTCGTCCCGTCATTGTCCTAGACAAAGATACAATCTCCGCTATTCGAGGACCAGAGTTTGGCCAGATTCTCGATTTCTCTTCTAATCTAATTGAAAGAATCCAAGAAAGATTGGGTTCATTCTCAGTGTTGTTCACTCATTATGATTGTAGTAAATCATCAGAGGTAGAAAACTACACTACAATCAAGGAAAATTTACTTGACCAAATCAAATTCGAGAATGCAAAAGATCAAAGCAGCAACAGAGCTATTCTCCTACGTTTCATTTACACAGGAGTAGCAACTAAGATTAACTTCCTTACTGTTGGTGGCCAACCCGAAGGTGTATATGTTCACATTGTAAATCCACTCAATCCAGATGGTGTCCAAGAGATCCTTTCAATGATTAAGAGTCGTCCACCAATTGAGAATCCCAGTCAAGTGTTCAAGTACAATATATCTAATGCTTCAAAGACATATATTGATAATGAATGTGTTACACTTCAGTACAAAATCAGTCAGTCCATTGATGTTGGTGAATATTCACAAGCAGTGGAGTGTTTGGATCTAATCAAATTGTTGGCAATTAAACTTGACTTAAAGTCTTTGAAAGAATCGTACAAGGTATCTCTTGCTGGATTTGCGAAACATTACAATCAACTTTCAGTTGATGTCAAGTCATATCTCGGTGGTGCTTTGACACCAGCTGGTTCACTTTCGATTGAACATTTAGAATCTCGTTTATCATCAATCAGATTGATTGATCATCTCATGAAAAACCGAAAGGACGAAGAGAAAACACATTTTACAAATGATATTGAATCTTATGATCATGTAGTTCAATGTCTATTTCAAAGTTCGAATGATTTTGAACGTTCATTGAATACAATCACTTCATTTGCTGTTCTCAAAGATCAAATCGTTAAACTTCATTCACTTTCAGATTTCAATGATGTATTCACACCTTCCAAAACCAATGCAATCAAATCATTGACAAACAGAATTAATGATTTATTGGAAGATACAATCAATGAAATCAGATCCCATAATTGGGAGATTTCATTCAATTCGATCCAATCAATTCAACAATCAAATTGTATTCAAGAGTTTATCAAAATTCAAATTGAAAATGAAGTTCAAACTTTGATTAGTTCAATAATCAAAATAATTGAAATTTCAAGTGAATTCATTAATCAAATATTGAATAGAGAAGGTAGTCTATCTCTTCATGATTTAGGTAGAGTAAGAGATCATTGGGCGGTAATTCAAACTTCATCTTCATTCAAACCACTCAGTAAATTGTTGGAAATCAAAATTGAAGAAGTTTATTACTCTCCAATTGTTGATTCTATTGCCAAATATACCAATGACATCCTTAATAATCTATCAGATCCAGCTGGTTTGGTTTCCTCTCTTGAAAAAGTTTCAATTCTTCAAAATTTGGATGCAAAGATCAATGATCGCACTTCAAATTCTTATAGATTGGCACTTCGCACAATTAATGATAAAGTTAAATCTATGAAGGAGGAAATTTGTTTATCACTCAAGGTTACTAGTGATCAAATTACTCTCCAAAGATTATTCAACAAACTTTGCGAGATCAAAAAACTCTCACCGATGGATCCACATTTTTCAGAACCTATATGTATGATAACCTACCTCCAAACCATTGAAGAGATTCGTCTTTTCATTATTGGTGTTGAGGATGCAATCGTTGATTCATTCTCTCATAATAATCTTCCACTTTCAAATTCACTCTCACAATCACTTCACTATCTAATCAGACCGATAGAATTTGGTCAGAATGCATGCCAAGAAGAACAACAATTGTCTGTTTGCATTGAAAATACAAAGAATCATGTAAAGGAATTGGTTTCAAGTATTTGTAATATCAATTTGGAGATTATTACAAATGGACAATGGTCAACACTATCCAAACAGCTTGAAAAACTTGCCATTTTCAGATATAATCAAATGTGTTCTACTTCATCAACTATCACGACCATTGAAACAAAGATTGTTGAACATTGTACAACAAAATGGGAACAATCATCAAGGTATATCTCATCGAACGATTATAAATCGGCATATGATAGTTTAAATCAACTTCAAAGAGCAAAAAAGTTTGATAATATCAAAACAATAATCAGTGACGACAAGTATTCTGAAATTGAAGAAACACTTCGTCGTTCAATCTCCAACTTCCTTTCAAAGATGAGATCATTCATTGATGATGGTAAATTTAATGAATTTAGACTTCTCCAACCCCAACTTAATTGTTTAGTGGATCTTGAACATTATTATCCCTCTCTCAATACAATCGTTTATGAAATTAATAACCAATTTAGAGAGTATCAGAATGGTTTATTGACATCATTTAGTGAGAAGATCACTACTCGGAACTACTCAAGTCTCAAAGACACTTTTCTCAATCTTCCTGAAGACTCTAGAGTTCGAGTTGATCTTCTCACTCAAATTATCAATGTTCTCAGAAATGATGAACAGATCATCATGATATTTGTCAGTCAAATCGAACAAATGAGAGTCGATAAAGATAAATTTTCTAAATCATTATCCTCTTTTAATAGTGGATCAATTCTATCTTCAATTCTCCCAGAAGAACACAATTTCGAGAGACGGTTGAAGAATATCGAAGATATTATCATCAAACAGATTAAACTCATTGTTGACAAACTCAAAGGTTCAGTTGCTATTCATGATTTCTATTCAGTTGATCAATATTCCAATTATATTCAAACTCTGTGCCAACAATTGAGATATTGTTTATCATTTGGAAATCAAATCAATGATATTACACATCAAGTAGACTCAATTGTCAGAGAATCCCTTGACAATATCAATGAAAAGATGTTTGAAGAGAAACAATTTTTCTCGATTTCAGCAATCATCAATGGTTTGAAGAAAGTCAGCAACAACTACACTTTTGTTCTTAAACTTCAACAGATTGAAAACTTTTTCTTCAATCATATTGTAAAGAGATCAGATTCTGTCAGAAAAATGATCAATGATGGTCTTATCATTGAAGCAAGATCGAATGTTAAAAATATTGAAAGTGATATTCAAAATATTTCAGGACTAATTGCCACAACTCAAACCTCAACTATATTAGAAGAATTGAGGAACTTTGTTGCAGAATTCGAATCTCTTAGATCTAACAATATTGCTTCTATTATCAAATCAGGCAATTTTGATAGTATCACAGAGAAAGATTTGGACTCTCAAACAATTAAGAATCTCAAAGATAAGATTCTTGAATGTTTATCTTCAATTCAAAGAGATCTTTCACCACCAAGATTTGAACAAGTTGCTGAAAATCTATCATGGTTTATCGATTTGTGTTCCAACTCTGTCATCTCAAAGAAATTAGGAAATTCATACCAAGCTGAACTCGATAAGATTCAGAAACAAATCTTAAAAATTGCTAAATCATCAATCCAAAAAATCGTTGATCATCAAAAGGATGATAATCTTCAAAAGGATGATATAGATCATTACTATTCTATCAAAACACATCTATCAAAGTTCATCAAAGATTTCAATGTCATGGACCAACATTTGATAGAATCAATGAAATCATATTTCAAAACATTCTCTGAAATAATTTCAAGAAACATTGATAATTGGAAGAAAGATGTCATTCCATTTGAAAAGAATGCAATTTCAGATCTTCTTTCCAAACTCAATACTCTCAGAAGATGTGATAATGCTATCTCAGCATGTTCTATTTTGATAGGAAATGTACCCACATACAGAATTGCAATCGACCAATTGAAATCAAAGATTCAAAATCGTATCAGTACTCTCTCAAATGATTTGGATAGTTCGAAATATGATAAATCAGCATCCACCATTCTTCTTGTTTATGAAGTATATAATCAATTAAATGCACATGATGTTGTATCAAGCAATGATCATCCACTCTTGATTGGAATTGGACAATCTCATATGGAAATGTTGGTAAACACAGCAAAGAGATATTGGGAAAGTGATGACCTTGAAAACTATAATCAAACCGCTGTTAGAGCCACCAACTTTGAAAATCATATGAATCGAATTCCTCAAATCAATTCAAATACCTTGGTGAAATCTATTGTTGTTGTTGCCAAAAAGCATATCGAAGAATACTCAGGTCAACTCCACAACAAAGATGGCAATGAACTTGTTCCAAGTTTGACAAAGTTAAAGGAATTTTCTGATAGATCACCACTTCTCAAAGAATTTGTTAATTTTAATATTAAAGTTGTTTTGGATCGTTTTATAGAAGCCCATGGATTAGGAAAAATTCAACAAATTGGAAAGGAACTTGAAATCTCTGGTCGTCTTGGAAAAGAAATCATTTCTGAATTCACACAATTCACTGCATATAAAATCTCAATGTGGAATACAAGATCAGCAAATCTACCCATTGAATACATCTTGGAACACATGACCGGTGATGAGATTTCAAAGGAAATATTGAAATCAAGTTATGATTCATTCTGTGCTCAATATCAGACAATTGTGGAAAGAGAAGTCGTCAAATATCAAGATGCTGCCAAGAATATTGTCACAAATGCAAAGATGATTGCAGCCAGAATACCTAAGAAAATACAATCCGAGACCTCAAGAGAGAATGTCATCAGTTTGTTGGCTCATATTTTCGCAATGTGGACTGTTTCAAAATCTGGTGAATCATATGTTGCTCTTAAATTTGATCCAACTGTATTAATTCGCCCTCATCATGCTCAAGTTTTGGCAATAATGAGATTACTAGGAATTGATACGAAAGAATCTTGGATTAAAAGTAAATTAGGAATGACTGGGGGTTCACCATTTGACAATCATCTCATTGAAATATTGACTGGTGAAGGAAAATCAATCACACTTGCAGTTCTCAGTACCCTTCTTTCACTTCTAAAGTTCAAGGTTTCATGTGTTTCTTATAGTGCATATCTATCAAATCGTGACTTTACTGCATTTGAAGATATCTTTTCACTATTTAGTGTCACTGATATGATTACCTATTCAACATTCGGTGAATTGTGTGATTCTTTGATCAAAGAAGGTGGTGATGTCAGAACTCTAACAAATCAATTCATGCACAGCAAATTGAAACCAGCTACTAAAGAAAATCCAACACCATGTTCAAGAATTCTTTTGATTGATGAAGTCGATGTATTCTTTGGTGATTCATTCTATGGTCAAACATATAATCCAGGAACATCTCTTCAGTCAGCATCAATCATTCAACTTTTTGAATACATTTGGAAGAATCGCAAGAACATTACAATTTCTACCGTCTCTAACCAAAATGAATACAAGAAAGTAATGGCTGAGTTCCCCGGACATGAAACAATTCTTTCTCAGAAGATTTACTCTATGGTTAGAGATGTCAACAGCTACAATATTCCAGCTTATGAAGTTGATAAAGTGAATCAGAGAATTGGATATCGTGATCAAGATGGTATTTCATTTACAACAACCTATGGATCAAAAACAGCATTTGCATACATTGCTGAATATGAACTTGGTAATATCACAGAAGAGGTTATGAAGAAAAATCTTAAACTCTCAATTGTTTGTGGTCATTGGTCGTTTGCAAACATTCCATTCAAATTTGAAAGAATTCTTGGAGTTACTGGAACTTTGAAGACACTAACACCATCTTTAATGAAAATCATCAAAGATGATTTCAAGATCAACAAATATACATTCACACCTTCAATCTTTGGTAAAACACAACTTGATTACAAAGAACAAGATCATGTTTTGATGGAAGAGAACAAAGACCTCTGGTACAGAAAGATTGCTGAAGATATCCTTGAGAAGACAAAGAAAGAAAGAGCTGTCATCGTTGTCTTTGAAGATGAAAAGATATTGATCGATTTTGAAACATCACATTACTTCCAACAAGTTGACAAGAGTTCGAAATTGGTTGAAAGTACAATCGATAGAGATACAGTGATCAAGAAAGCAACAACATCAAATCAAGTAACACTCATAACAAGATCATTTGGTCGTGGTGTTGATTTCATTGTCAATGATGATAAAGTGATTGATAATGGAGGTGTTCATGTCATTCAAACATTCCTTTCAGAAGAGATCACCGAAGAAATTCAAATCAAAGGAAGAACCGCTCGTCAAGGTCAGAAAGGATCATACAAGATTATTCTCCAAAAACCAGATCTTGTGAAGATGGGAATGACATCAGAGAGTCTTGACAAAGGAATCAAGAGCGAAGGATTCTACAAGATGATCGATGAGAAGCGTCAAGAATTGTTCTCTTTGAAATGTGAGAAACAAAAGAAGGTTGTCAGTGAAGCCAATGAACGGGATAACCTATCGAACAAATATTTAAGTTTAATTTGCAATTATAGTGAATCCAAGAAATCTGAAATTTCAAATCTATTATCTCAATTCAATTAATTAAAATATAAAAATAAATAAATAAAAATTTTAATTCTAAATGATTTTTCATTTTATTGGTTGGGTTTTTTTTTTTCTTAGTATTCTCACATTATTTTACAAAAAGCACACAAATTTTTTTTCTTTTTGGGGAGGCTTAAAATGAAATTAAACAATTTTGAAGGTTTAGTGAAGTATTATAAAATCTAATTCATATTTAAGTATTAAATAAATTGAAATAAATTTTGTTTTAAATCAAATTTTAACACTAACAAAAACCAATAGGTATTTATTTATTTTTAAATTTTATTTTGTTATTAATCTATATTTTTAATTTTTTTAAAGATCTCAAGTCAAAGATCAAATAGATAAACTCTTTCAACTTACAATGATGTATTCACATCTGTCAAATTCAATACAATCAAATCATTGACAAACAGAAGTAATGATCTTTTGGAAGATACAATCAATGAAATCAAATCACATAATTGGGAGCTCTCTAGTGATCAAGAAATCAACAACATCAAAACAAGTATCACTCATAACAAGATCACTTGGTCGTGGTGTTGATTTCATTGTCAATGATGATAAAGTGATTGATAATGGAGGTGTTCATGTCATTCAAACATTCCTTTCTAAGTACATCACTGAAGAGGTTCAAATCAAAGGAAGAACCGCTCGTCAAGGTCAGAAAGGATAATACAAGATGATTCTTCAAAAGACAGGCCTTCTTAAAATGGGAATGACATCAGAGAGTCTTGACAATGCAATCAAGAGTGATGGATTCTATATGATGATTGACTCAAAACGAACAGAATTATTTAGTTCTGAATGTGAGAAACTCAAGAAGGTTGTCATTTAGGCCAAGATAAATGATGGTATTTCTAACACCTATTTAAGTTTACATACCAATTATTGTGATTCAAAGAAATCCGAAATTTCAAATCAATTAGAAGAATTTAACAAATATTTTATTCTAAAATAAACATAAACATTAACAAGTATCAATAATTACTATTTTAACTGATTGTTGTTCAATTAAATATTTAACTGGAGATACGATACATGTTCTTATTATAGACTCACTGAAACTGATAAGATCGGTTCAACAAAGTTGCTGCTCCTGGTTTAATAGATACCTTTATTGATATTATAATCAGTTCCATTTTGTCTACTTAGTTTTATCTTAAATTTAACTAAAACCAGATCCAAACTTCTTCTTTATCTCTATTTGTAGCCATGTTTTACAAAGCCATTGGCAGACTCCTCGATCAGTCATAAATACTGCATGAGGCACGTACCGACCTTTTGATTTCGTCAAGCTCCAGAAGTATAAAACTAAGGTACATCATATATGAGCTGGTTCTTGGTCGATTCGACCTATTTTAATCTACCACTTTGATTGAGATCAACTCGTCCAAAAGAACTACAGAGTTGAATCCAGGTCGGCATGGAGAAGATGATTAAATGGTTCTTCTCCTCTGGACTCTCTACACTGGTTGATCATCTCTTTTTTTATTTTGATAATAAGTAAAGTGATCCTTTTCCTGTAACTATTTAATCTGTAATTTGGTTTGAATTTAAAACCGTATTAGTTTATTTCAAAGTCTTCCATAATCAATGTATTTCCTCGTATTCACAATACTCTGGCTGTAGAGACGTTATGCAGAAGCCATTCACTACCTGAGAGTTGATCTTTGTTCTAAGTATTATACTTTCACTTCTTGGATTCAAAGTTTCATGTATTTCATATAGTGGATACATTTCAAAACGAGATTATACAGCATTTGAAGATATCTTTTCACTCTTTGGTGTCACTGATAAGATTACCTATTCCACTTTTGAAGATCTTTGTGGAGTTTTGATTACAGAAGGAGGTGATGTCAGAACTCTTACAAATCAATTCATTAATAACAAATTAAACCATCTCATCTAAAAAATTCATCACAATGTCCAAGAATTCTTTTGATTGATGAAGTCGATGTATTCTTTGGTGATCAATTTCATCACTTATAAAAGCAAGTGACTATAAATACCCTGAATACACAGTTGATAAAGTAAATCAGAGAATTGGATATAGAAATCAAGATGGTATTTCTTATTCAACAACTTATGGATGTAGAACGTCATTTGCATAGATTGCTGAAAAAGAAAATGGAAAAATCACAGAAGAGATTATGAAGCAAAATCTCCAAATCTCAATAATATGTGGTCGTTGGTCATATGTCAAAATTCCATTCAAATTTGAAAGAATTCTGGGAGTTACTATGTACTACCACTCGCCTTCTTTTATCACAGTAAGCTTCCTACTGTATCTATATTTCTATGTTGGTCAGAAATATTAAATCTGACATTTCGATGGATGAGATCATCCATTTAAATAGGTGGAATCTACAAACACGAACATACCTGCTCCCGAACGTTCAATATCTGTAAACTGACATCATCAACATGATCAAAGTTGGTGGTGTAACTCTCTATTCTCTGTCACTTGGAACATAGTCCACCATCGAGGTCATATGTGCTTCCCAAGTTACATGTACCTTGAGTTACCAAATGAATACCGGCATAGGTCATCGAGAAGATGATGAAGTCACCTCTAGATTCTAGAACGGTCGTTACCTCTCATAACTTAAGTTAATATAAAGTAATAGCATCAGATCATGCTTCCTTTATGATCAAGGTGGTACCAACTACTTCAGTCTACTGAGTACATGGTTTGTATGATCAACAACAGGTACCTCTTCTCGAACAATCTTTGGTTACTTTGCCAACTAGAATAAAAAAAACTATTCTGTTCTAATATAATAATTATTTTATTATTGGATTCTCCCACATCATCGTGTTCATAGCAGGTGCCAATATCAATTCCTTTGTCTTGTAACTTACTTGCTTGCTCTAACTACAGATGTCTAATTATATTGTTGATTTCATTTCATTTCATTTGTTATAATAATAAATATAACATAACAAAACAAAGTGTTTACATACTAATAGATTATCAGCCTTTCCAATTCTGGAAATACATTAGGAATAAACTTATCGGAACCTTGTTGGGTCCAGCTCTGCTGTTTAACGACCTATACCTTTAATACACCTCACTGTTACATTTATATACATATATACACCAACTTGAGGATAGTGTTTGGATTCTTTAATATATCTTATTAACTTACAGCACTACTATAAAATAGCACACAGCCCTCGGAACTCTCAATCTGATGCTCTTACTAAATTTAAGCACAACTGGGACATATTCAAGGTCAGTTGAAGTCATTTGCTCATAATAAATGTACTCCTAGCCAAAAAGATCTTCTTTTCTACAAATAATTTATTATAAATCAATAAACAGAGTATAATATTACAAGATGATGAATTATTTGAAGATCGGGATCTTTTATTTTGATTAAAACTGTGACTTACGAAATTAGTTTTTTTTTTTATAAATTTAAAAATAATCAAATTTTTTTTTTAGTTCAGCCAAAGTTCCCAAAAATTATTCATAATAACGAGAATGACAAAGATTATTTAAATTTCTTTTTGGTGACTGGTAGTATAAAAGTTTATACACATGTTCAAACAAATATATCTTGTTATATAATTATTAATTATTTTTATTAAATGATGAAAATCAATAAATTTGTAATATTGGCAACAATTGTTATATTGTGTGCCGTCGCAATTGGTGCTCGTCATTCTCACTTTGAAGAGGAGGATGGTCCATCCGATGACAATGTCATCAGCATGAATGAAACAAACTTCAACGAGGTCATCACTGGACACTATCTCGTCCTTGTTGTTTTCTGTATGTCATGGAGTGGTCACTGCAAGAACTTGAAGCCACACTACTCGGAGGCTTCCAAGTCATTTGCCACCAACAATAAGGTTGCATTTGGTAAAGTAGATTGTATTGTTGAAAATAATCTCTGTCAATCGAATAAAGTTGAATTACTCCCAACTTTGATTCTCTTCAGGTAAATATATCACTATTTAAATATAATCAAATCTTATAAATACTAACTTATCTTAACCACTAAATTCTTTTCTTTTTCTTTAAAGAAACGGTGAACCAGAACCATTCGAATTAGGTGATAAAACAGCTTCCGGTATTATCATCGCGCTCACTTCGTATGTACAAGAACGACGATAGGTTATTGTATATTAAACATTTAAATGATCATAGAAACATTGTTTACAAACATTTCTTTTTCTTTTTTCTTGTTTGATATATCTGTTTATATTATTAAAAACCAAAAATGAACAGTTCTCTAATATAATAACATAATAATTTAACAAATTTGTAGAGTTCTTTTGCCACCGATCACCATTATTGGAACCGAGAAAGATTTGGATAGGTTGAAGGCTTTTGAAAAGGATGTTATTGTTGGTTTCTTTGATAACGATCACGACAACCATTACGCCACCTTTAAAAAGTTGGCCTTCTCCATGAAGAAGTTCATCAAGTTTGGTGCTGTCATCAACAACAAGGAGTTCTCTGCCAAGCACGTCAAATCGATTCCATCCGCCAACATCTACACCAAGTTTGATGATTTTCCGGTTGTCCCATTCACTGGTAACTCGTTCGAACCAGAGGAATTGACTCGATTCATCCAATCAAGTATTTTGCCAACTTTGGGTGAGTACAGCGATCTCATCAGTAGGAACTACCCTATCGATCTCCCAATTGCCTACCTCTTTGTCAACACAAGCGAGAAGGAAACCACAGAAACCACCATTGCTGAAGTCACCAAGATAGCCGCTGCCCACAAAGGTAAGATCATCTTCTGCTCCGTCAACAACCCACGATACGCCGAGTATCTCGGTTTGTCTGGATCCAAGTTTCCAGCTCTAGTCATCCAGAACATTGCTAAGCAAAAAAAGCTCTTGTTCCCAGAGAACAAAGAGTTCACTCAAACCGCCGTTTCCGAATTCGTTCAACAGTATTACAAGTTTGCACTTTTAAGAAAGTCAGAGTCAATTCCAGCCAAAACCAGTCTGTCAAGATCATCGTTGGTAATACCTTCGATCAGATCGTCCTCGATGAAACCAAGGATGTCTTGGTTGAATTCTACGCTCCATGGTGTCCTTACATCTGGAGTTTGAAACCAACCTACGAAAAACTCGGAGATTACATGGCCAAATACCCACATATCGTCATTGGCAAGATCGATGCCACCGCCAACGATGTTCCACCAGAACTTGACATCCGTGGTTTCCCAACGATCAAGTTCTTCAAGGCCAACGATAAGAAGAACCCAGTTACGTTCGAGGGTGAACGTGATCTCGCAACTCTGGTCGAATTCATCAAAGAGCATTCCATCCAAGCTTTGAAGAGCACCGAATCCAATGAGGTGTCTACGGATTCTTCGATTTTTCATTATCTTTGGTAGAAATTTATGCAAATATTTGAATAAAATTATATTCTTTGCATGAGATATAATTATTCTGAATCCGTAGTTATTTACATCTATTTATTATTATTACTTTTTGTTTGATTTCTTTTTTCTGTTTCTATAGTAAAGAGATAAACTATTGCTCTTTGTATCGAACTTTGGTAAAAAATTGATTGAAAATTAATGTATACTGAGTTTGTAATGGTGATTTGATTCGAAATCTGAATAGAAGTAAGTAACCCAAATAAGTTTTTCTTTTAAAACTATAGTAAATCGTATATGGTGTGGAGATCTACAGTGCTGGTTGTCTAGATGATTTTAAAAATATAAGTTAGTTTGGTATCATTGAGTAGAGTATTTGAATGAATACAAACCTATTACTAGTATCAAGTTGCAATTTACCACTGGTTCTACTCCTCTACACTACTTCTTCTCGTTCTGATGACCAAAGCTCAGGCACTTTTATGTAAAAACACGCTTCGCTGTCACTTCGAGTCAAGTCTGTTGTTACCAAGTAATATGTGCTGCCAGGTTAATTTATGATCGGTATTTAGAGTTACCTAGCGATGTTGATTTAGTCGGCATCGAGGATGTTGAATGATCCTTTTCCTCTAGATTCTTTACACTGGTTGTATAGACGTTATCTTTAAAGAAATTATAATATCTGTCTGGTTTAGTTACCTGCCATCTTTAGGTTTGAATTTACACGGTTTCAATCTATGATTAATGTTAGTTAGTTTTAGAGTGTTGGTTACTTTGAATACTCTAGAGTATTTGAATCAAAACATACATATTCCCAATATATCTGGTTGCTATTAGTACTACTACTGATTTTACTACTCTAATGTCTTTTCTTCTTCTTCGTTTCTGATGAACATAGCTGACGTTACTCTATCTGTTTAAACAAGCTTCGCTCTCACTCAGAGTCGGTCAAGTCTACCATTATCAAATCACATATGTACCTAGAACACCTAGCGATGTTGACTAGGTGTCACCAAGAGGATGATTAAATGGTTCGCCTCCGATATACTCATTATACCGGTTGTAGTGAGGTATCTTTGATGATTATATAAGAGTTGAGAAGTGTATTCTATAATCAGTAGGTTGGCATCTACCTACACTATATCAAATGTTCTGTCATCAATAGTAACAGTTGGTTAACAACGACTACAACATCATCAATATCTAAATAATATTGTGGTTATAACTTACAATTCTGGTGTTTGCTACATTAAAAAAAAACTTCTCTGAATCTGGAGTTATGTTAAAAGAAACTAAAAATAAGTATCTCATTGCTGCCAATATCATTCTTTCTGTCTGGTTTATTGTTACCTGTCATCGATGTGTGGTGATAAATGGTGATCATGACTTTTAAATTAATGTCAATATACTTTTGGTGAGAGCTTAGCAATTGGAAACACCTACCAAAAGATACATCAATATAACTGTAGACAAACAAAATTATCGATACCTCTATTGATTTAGTTAAAAATATCTATTTTGCTGATGCCTTTAGAGTTTGAATATTGCTCTAAATAAACTCTAAAGGTTGGTGAATCAAAAAATTAGCAGTTGTTGTTCGTTGTTGTGTGGATATATAAAACATTTATTGAACATACACTGAAGGTTTTGGTAGAAATAGGTAAACTCAAATTCAACCATCCAAGTCTGTATATGTTGTGACTCGTCGCCCTCAGAAGGGGAAGACCGCCTCTAATAGACGTAATAGTATTATTTCTACTAGATTTTAAAATTTTCCGTAATGCTGAAATTTCTACTAACAAAACATGTCTATTCATACTCATAGTAATCTAACTGTTAGATATTTAACACCCGTTGAAAATAATAAATAAATAAATAATGGGTATGTGTTTGATTTAAAAGTGCGGATTTAAAGTGAGTGATCACTTTAAACCTTAAAGGTCCACCATTTTTTTTTTTGTGTGAAGATGAAAAATTTACGTGGGTAGCCACACTTACATTTAGTTGCAGGAGAAGGAAGTGACTTTTGAAACTAGTTTTTTTGTTTTTTTTGAACTTTTTTGGTGGGTACTCGATGTTGTTGGCTTGAGAAGTGGTCAAAAAAAAAAAAAATTTTGTTGTTCACAACTCCTTCTGCGTTAATATTTAAAAAACACCTAATTGACTACCCATAAAAATTTAAAGGGTGTGCACAAGATAAACACCCTTTAGAATGTTAGTTTACAAAAATAAAAACAGTTCCAGCACCCCTTCTAAAGGAAATCACATCATACCAAAAAAACATCATTTTTTTAAAAGTTAATTATTTCATTTGTTTTTCCTCCCCCAAATAATGAAACCTCCCAACTCCTTCCACTAGTGAGAAAAACAAAAAAAAACAGACATATCAAACCACACTTTAAAAAAAAAACTTTTTTGTATGCCGACAAGTTGAGATTATAAAAATAGTTGCATAATAATTCATCTCGAAAGTCAAAAAATAAATTTAAAAATAAAAATGGGATTCTATTTTTATAACTTTTGCTATGATTAAATTAAATAATAGACCAAAAATCAAAAACATCTCCCACTTTTTGATCAGAATTTTAAGTTTTGCAAATAATTAATGTTTGCACATTTGATTGCAAATTTCATTAATTAATTCAAACTATTTTATATTTTTCTTTAAATAACTAAAACTAATTATTTTTAATTTTTGTAAGTAAATTTTATCTAAAAAGTTAATATTGAGTCACAAAAGAATCCATGGATCTTCAAAACGTTTTTTTAAAAATAATCTTGTTCAAGGTAAATTATTTACTTTTTGGAAATTTTTATTTTATTTATTAATTTTAAATATTTTAGATCTTATTAAAGAAGGAGATTATCCATGTATTGTTAATTTTCTACAAATTTCTAAAACTTTGAGTATTATCAATGGTAAAGACATTCATTTGTTATTGGGAACTGGGTCAGTAAAGACAATGATCACACACTATCTCTGTGGAGAGAATATGATAACTGCTGCTTCAGGTATTGGTGAAGGTAAGTTTGTTAAAAAGAGTAAAATAACTATTAAGAAAAGAAAATTAATATTGATCCATTTTATCCCAGGAAGTACCAGTGGCAATGAAAAAATTTCGGGAAAAGAAGTAATTTCATATAAAATTACTTCCAATAATGAACTCATTATTACCTTGGACGATCAAGTTCCTGCCATTGATCTTTCCATCGCAATAGGAGTGACCAAAGTTATCCATTCCTCGAAATCAGTTCGTCCCATCATTGTTCTGGACAAAAACACAATTACCTCTGTTGGTGGATCAGAGCTTGGTCAAATTCTCGATTATTTACCAATTCTAATTGAGAATATTCAAGGTAGCTTTGGTTCATTCTCAGTGTTGTTTACTGATTTTGATAGTTGTAAACCAGAAATTGAAAACTACAATTCAATCAAGGATAGTTTTATCCAACAAATTCAAATCGAGAATCAAAAAAATCCAAACAGTAACAGAGCCACTCTTCTTCGCTTCATTTTCAAGGGTGTCGAAAATAAAATTGATAACCTTAATCATGGTGGTCAACCAGAGGAAGGTTTATATGTCAAAATTGTAAATCCAATCAATACAAACGCTGTCCAAGATATCCTTTCAATGGTTCATAGTCGTCCACCAATTGAAAATCTAAGTCAAGTGTTCAAGTACAATATTTCAACTTCGTCACAAACAAATATAGGAAATGAAATAGAGACTCTTCAAGATAAAATCAACTTAGAGGGAGGAAACTATAAATTAACGGCTGAATATTTGGATTTAATCAAATCAATTGCAAAATATATTGATGTAAATTCATTGAAAGTATCATACAAAGATTCACTCGTTATTGTTATCAAACATTACAATGAACTTTGTTCTGATGTCAAGTCATATCTTATTGGTGCTTTGAATCCATCTGGTTCTCTTTCGATTGAACAATTAGATTCACATTTATCAGCAATCAAATTGATTTATCATCTCATGAAACAAAGAGATTCGGAAGAGAAAACACATTTTACAAATGACATTCAATCATATGATAATGTCATTCAATGTCTCTTGCAAATAACAATAGATTGTGAAAACTCATTAAATACAATCATGTCTTTCTCTGTTCTCAAAGATCAAATCTATAAACTCTGTTCACTTTCAGATTTCAATGATGTATTCACATTTGTCAAATCCAGTGCAATCAATTCATTATCTAATAGAATACAACATCTAATTGATGATGCAAACTATGAAATCCGATCCCATAATTGGGAGAATTCATACAATTCATGTCAATCAATTCGACAATCAATTTGTATCCAAGAGTTTATCAAAATTCAAATTGAAAATGAAGTTCAAACTTTGATTAGTTCAATAAACAAGATAATTGAAATTTCAAGTGAATTCATTAATCAAATATTGAGTAGTGAAGGAGAGATCTCAACCCAAGATTTAGATAGTATCCCAGTACACTGGAAGATAATTCAAACATCTTCTTCATTCAAACCACTCAGAGAGCTAATAAATATAGAAATTAAAGAAGTTTATTACAATCCAATAGTGGAATCAATTGTCACATTCACAGAAATATACAACCTCTCAGATGTTGTAGATTGTACAAATTATCTTCGAAATATCTCAATGCTCATAAACATGGATGCAAATATCAAAGATCGCACCTTCAATTCTCTTCTCGAGAAACAAAAAAATATCAAGATTAAGATAGATTCTTTAAAGGATGAAGTGTATTCATCACTCAATATTAATAGTGATCAAAATAAGCTCGAATGTGTTTTCAACAATCTTTCTAAAATAAAAGAACTTTCTCAATTGGATCAATATTTTAGTCAGCCTCATGGAATGAAAACCTACGTAGAAGCAATTGAAGAGATTATAATTTTCATTGAAAAGGTTAAAAAAGAAATTTCAGACTCTTTTACAAGTAATAATCATAAACTTTCAAACACACTCTCACAAACAATTTATTGTCTGGTTAGACAAATCGAATTTGGTCAGAATGTATCTCAAGAAGAATTAAAATTGATAGATTGCATTGAAAATACCAAAAATCTTTTCAAGAATTTGGTTTCAAATATTTGTATATCTTTCAAATCTGATGATAGCACAAATGGACTATGGTCAACACTCTCTAAACAACTGGAAATTCTTGGAATATTCAAACATAATCAGATATTTTCTTCCAAGTTACTTATTACTACATTTGAAACTAAAATTGTTAAATATTGTTGTACTTTACTAGAGGAGTTAGAAATATATTTATCTAAAAATGATTATAAATCGGCTTGTGGTAGTTTAAATCAATTTCAAGAAGCTCAAACTTTTAATAATATTGAACCAATAGTCAATAACCAATATCTTTTAGTTAAAAGTACTACAATGACTTCAATCTACTATTTCGTTTTAAAGATGAAATCATTAATTGATGATTTTAAATTTAAAGAATTCAAAACACTTAAACCTCAATTGAACAGTTTGGTTGATCTTGAACACTATTATCCTTCGATCAATTCAAAAGTTCAAGAAATTAATAATCAATACCGAAAGTATAAAGATATCAATTTTAATATCAAGAATGGTTACTTTTCATTTTTGACCGAAATTGACCATCCAACAATGAAGATTCTCCAAGAAAAGAGTCAAAAACGTTTATATTCAATTCAAAGAGATCTCTCAGCTCTAAAATATGAACAAGTTGCTCAAAATCTCACATGGATAATCAAAATGTGTTCAAACTCCTTATTTCAACAGAAATTAGGAACCAAAGTGAACAATAATAAAGAAGAACTTTCTAAGATTCTGAAACAAATAATAGATATTGCCGAAAAATCATCCAGTTCTATTAAAGAATCGTTAAAAACCGATAATCTTAAAATGTCTGATATCGATCACTATTATTCGATCAAAACACATTTGTCAACATTCATCAATCATTTCCAACAAATAGATAACAAATTGATTGAATCATTGGAATCATATTTCGATTCATTCCGCCAAATTTCGAACAACATTGAGAGTTGGAAGAAAGGAGTTATCGAATTTAATACAGTATCACTTTTAATGTCCAAACTTAGCACTCTAGAAGGATGTCAAACTGAATTTTCTTCTTGTTCAAATTTGGGTCTAAAAATACCTACTCATTCAAGTTTAATGGATCAATTGAAACTATGTTTGAAAGATCTTATAAATACATTTCAATTTGGTTTAGAAACACAAGCTTATCATAAATGTCGAAGCACAATTCTACTTGTTATCAAATTAGTTGATCATGAACTTGTGGAAAGAAACGACTATGAGTTGTTGATTCAAAAAGTAGAAATTCACAAGAATGGGTTATTTGATAAAGCAGAGCAATATTTGGATAGAAATGATCCAATGAATTATCAAGTGATTGCATCAGAAGTGAACTATTTGAATGATTTTTTCAAGCAAATTCCTAAGGTAAAATCCCAAAGTTTTTGTCATTTAATCCTTTCGCTTGGTCATAAACATATTGAAGAATTATCAAATAATTGGCAAACCAAAGATCTGAACTCTCTAATTTCAATTTTAAAAGAATTTAAAAAATTCTCCACTAACTGCATACTTCTCAGAGAACATGCTAACACCAATATTGCAATGATTTTAGATCAATACATTGAAACAAATGGATTAGAAAAGTTTCAACTTTTGGGAAAAGAGCTTGAAAGTTCAGGTTCTTTAGGAAAAGAAATCATTTCTGAATTCAAACAATTCCAGTCATATTCTATTTCAATGTGGAATTCAAGATCACCAAAATTAAATCTTGTATTTGAATACATCTTAAAGAATATGACAGGAGATGAAATTTCAATGGATATTTTGAAATCAAGTTATGATTCTTTCTCGATAAAACATCAGGAAATGGTTGATAAATTAAAGGTCAATAAATATCAAGATGTTCTCAAGGAAATTGTATCAAACTCAAAGAAACTTTCTCTCAGAATTCCAAAGTATATGGATTTGGAAACATCAAGAGAGGATGTCATCAATTTATTGGCTCATATTTTCGCAATATGGACAATTTCAAAATCAGGTGAATCATATGTCGCTCTCAAATTTGATCCAAATGTATTACTTCGTCCTCATCATTTTCAGGTATTGGCAATTATGAGACTTCTTGGAATTGACAAACATGTTTCTCTGATGAAAAAGACACCAACTTTAAATTTAATAGGTGTTATTCCTGATAGTATACCGTTAGACAATCATCTCATTGAAATATTGACTGGTGAAGGAAAATCAATCACACTTGCTGTTCTCAGTATTATACTTTCACTTCTTGGATTCAAAGTATCATGTGTTTCATACAGTGAATACCTTTCAAAACGAGACTTTTCTTCATTTGTAGATATCTTTGAACTCTTTGGAGTCACTGATATGATTACTTATTCAACATTTGGTGAACTTTGTGAATCTTTGATCTCTGAAGGAGGTGATGTCAGAGCTCTTACAGATAACTTAATTCACAACTCTTTGGCCCCTGTCCATTCTCAAATATCACAAAGCTCAAGAATTCTTTTGATTGATGAAGTCGATCTATTCTTTGGTGATTCATTCTATGGTAAAACATATAATCCAGCAACTACCCTTCACTCTTCATCAATAGTTAAGCTATATGAATATATTTGGAATAATAGAAAGAATATTAAATTTGCAACTCTTTCGAAACAAATTGAATACAAGAATGTTATTTCAGAATTCCCAGGATATGAAAAGCTTCTTTCTCTAAAGATATCAGAAATGGTAGAGGATGTCAACAACTATAAAAATACAGAATATGAAGTTGATAATGTTAATAAGAGAATTGGATATAGAAATCATGATGGAATTTCATTTACACACGAACATGGATCGAAAACAGCATTTGCTTACATAGATGCTTTTGGTATTAACAAAGAAGATGATAAAACCGATAAAGATGAGAAAACCAAAAAAGAGGAGATAGCAAAATTTGAAAATTTTAAGAGAAAAAATCTTAAAATAACAATAACATGTGGTGGTTGGTCATATGCAAACATTCCTTCTAAATTTGAAAGAATTCTTGGAGTAACTGGAACTTTGAAGACACTCACTCCAACTTTAATGAAAATAATCAAAGATGAATTCAAGATCAACAAATTTACATTCACACCTTCAATCTTTGATGAAACAAAACTCGATTTCAAAGAACATGATCATGTTTTTATAGAAAAAGATAAAGATCATTGGTATCTAAAGATTGCTGAAGATATCCTTGAGAAGACAAAGAAAGAAAGAGCTGTCATTGTTGTCTTTGAAGATGAAAAGACTTTGAACGATTTTGAAACCTCACATTATTTCGGTCAAGTTGAGAAGAGTTCGAAATTAGTTGAAAGTACAACAGACAGAGATACAGTGATCAAGAAAGCAACAACATCAAGACAAGTAACACTCATAACAAGATCATTTGGTCGTGGTGTTGATTTCATTGTCAATGATGATAAAGTGATTGCTAATGGAGGTGTTCATGTCATTCAAACATTCCTTTCAGAAGAGATCACCGAAGAAATTCAAATCAAAGGAAGAACCGCTCGTCAAGGTCAGAAAGGATCATACAAGATGATTCTCCTCAAATCAGATCTTATCAAGATGGGAATGACAGAGAAATGGCTTGAAGATGAAAAAAAGAGAGATGGATTCTACAAGTCAATCGATGAGAAACGTCAAAAATTGTATTCTTCTAAATGTGAGAAACTCAAAAAGGTTGTCAATGGTGCCAAAGAACGTGATTCAGAATCGAACAAATATTTAAGTTTGCTTTCCAATTATAGTGAATCCAAGAAATCCGAAATATTAAAAATATTGTTTGAATTTAATAATAAGAATAAATAATTTTGTTTATATAAAGTTTGTTTACAGATTTATTTTATTATAATTATTAACATATTGTAAACAGACAGTACTAGTTTCGTTTTGAATTAAAAGATATAGTAAAGTCAATAGAAAAGTTTATTCTTAGTCCTACAACAAGTCAACAAAGATAACCGAAATATCTTTGTTCTAGGTAAACATAACATTGGAGGCAATAACCTACGACCATATTAGAATGAAAGAAATCTTATAAACTGTGACTGCTCTTATTTTGATCTATTCAATACATTTCGAGATTGATGCAACCACCCTAGAGCACTATGGCACATTAACGACATACATCCATCAAGGATAGAGAGTCTGTCTTTCTAGTGGTCGGGCTGCTTAACCAGTGCGATGATGTCGGGTACCTGAATGTGTTATTGTCGATCTCGGAGATTGAAGCTGGTGGTTGCTATGATGTTATTATTGTTGTTGCTGTGAGACTCTTTGTACTGACATTGAAGTCACCAACAACAAGAATGTCAGAAGTCGGTTGTAAAGTGTTATTGACTTCTGAAGCTAGATGCTGAACGTCTGTGCTACTAGCTGTTTATGTGTTATTTGTTTATTATTAAGATTGATTATTGTTATCCTCTGCCAATCATAGATGAGTATGACACTTCGGTTAGAGTAACTGGATCGTTGACTGTCCAATCCGTTCAATTACTACCATGTCACTCTGTCTGTATTAGTGAAGAACAGCAGCTTTACATATACTTATCACGGCCTACTCAACCAGTTAGCTATCTCTGGTACGTTCGAACTACCCAGAGATATAATTCAATTGCAGTGCCAACTTCATGATCAATTCAACACACCTGGTTGTGAGACGTTAACTCCATAGATTCTATATAAGGGCAATGTCATCTTTATGGTGATAAATAAACGAATTATTAAGATATTATTTAATGCAAACAATCAATACAATATAGTATATACACATTACTTACAATCTACAATAAATATCCGAACCTTTAGATGCCCTGGCTAAATTTAAGTTGGACCAAATTCAAGTTTAGTATCTTCACTAATCATCCTCTGATAATTTTATTTGTATTGTTAAATATATTTTAAATTTGAAAGCTATGTTGAAAGAAAAGAAAAGTTTGTAAATCTATTAAATGTTAAACATAAGGTTGATTGAACTCTAGGATTATAAAGATTTGTCAAGAAATTGTAATTAATTTTCCATTAATGAGTTATATGTTTAAAATAAATAATGAATATTACTGATATGACTTTACTAAATGAAACTTAAGTGAGTATTTATAGATTTATTTTTAACAAATATTAAAATTATTAAAAAATTAAATTTAATTAATTTTTTTTTTTTTTCTTTTTTCAGGCAAAAATGATTTACATCAATCTTTGCAAAAAAATTGGGGGTGTGTTGTTTTTCACAAGCTATTTGTTTAAGTGTTTTTTTTTTAACAAAAAATTTTCGCTGTGAATTCAAATTACATACACATATTGATTTTAGATAATAAACAACAAGAAATAAATAATTAATAAATATAAAAATTGAATTTTAATAATAAAAGAGATGTTCTATTAACTATATAAGATAAAAAGATTTTTTTTTTTTTATTTTCAAAGAGATCTCTATGCCAAGTTCTTATATTTATTATTTTTTATTTTCTAAATTTTTTATTCATTCAATAACTCAGTTTCTATGTTCTACAACTTAATAATTTTGATTAACTTGAGGTATCCTTTGAACCCCATAATAAATAAACAGCTATCATAGACATTATGTCTCTTTAAATTTGAAAATTTTTTTCTGAAACTAAATTTGCACTTTGTTTATTTTTGATCAAAAATCAGAATATTAATTAAGTGGTTTTTTTTTAAATTAAACAAAAGTTTTCTAAAGAAATATTCACTTCTTTTTTTTTTGGGGAGATCTTTATTATGACTCATTTTTTCATCATGGTGAAGGTTTCTCTGTGAAACAAAAAAAACAAATTAAACTTAAATTTACACTTTCTTTATTAAAATCAAAGGATTGTTATTATTTAAAATTTAAAGTTTAAAAATATTGAATTTAGAGTTGATTAGTTCAACAATTTTAATCACTAGTAAATTAGTTTTTAAATTTTATTTTTTTTTTATTTGTAATAATAGATTAAATTAATTTAAGTTAATTTTTTGTAAGTATTTGATTTTTAAATAAAGAGGTCCTCCTTTACAAAAATTAATAAATGTTTTTTTTTAAAAAACAAAAGTTAGAATATGGGTTCAATTTCAATCGAAGATAAAGAAATTGTTGGTGAATATAACACTGATCTTTTTTGTAATAACAACAATCTGGTTCCAGGTATTTATTTCTACAATTTTTTTAATATATCCAAAAAATAATATTTATTTTAATTTTTTATAATATTTAGATAAGAATGTAAATGATTTTTACAATGAGAGTATTGATATGTTGTTAAAAACCATTTCCAAAGCTATTGAAGCTTCTTACATTACAAATGATCAAATTATCAATTTGCTATTGGGAAGAACTGGTGCTGGAAAGACAACGATCACTCATTATCTCTGTGGAGAGAAAATGGTACTTAAAGATGTGGTTACGGTGGTCGATATTGAAGGTACCAAAGACACCATTGTCGAAAAGAAAATAGATGTTGAAGATCCCAATGTCAAAGGAGGTTCCATCTGCCATGAAAAGAAATCTGGAACCAAACTAATGTCCTGTAAATCCACTCATGATGGTGAGATCTTTGCTGATACTCCAGGAGAATTGGATGATCAAGGTCCTGCCGCTGATCTTGCTCATTCAATTGGTGTAACCAAAGGAATCCATTGTGCCAAAGGAGTCCGTCCAGTAATTGTACTTGACAAAGATACAATTACATCAGTTAGAGGACCTGAGTTTGACCAAATTCTGGATTTCTCATCAAATCTAATTGAGAATATTCAAGATAGATTGAATTCATTTTCATTCTTATTCACTCATTTCGATTGTAGTAAACCAGAGGTTGAAAACTATGAATTAATCAAAACTAATATACTCAAACAAGCCAAATATGAAAAGGAGAAGGATCCTAATAACAATAGAGTTAAACTTCTCAATTTCATTTACTTTGGTATCTCTGGTAAAATTGATTTGCTTAAGGTTGGTGCTCAAACTGAAGGTTCCTACGTTCACATTGTAAATCCACTCAATCCAGAGGCCATCCCTGACATTCTATCAATGATTAAGAGTCGTCAACCAATTGAGAATCCAAGTCAAGTATTCAAATACAACATATCTAATGCTTCAAGTATATTCATTGATCATCAATGTGTATCTCTCCAATTCAAAATCAGTCAATCCATTGAGAGAGGAAACTATTCTCAAGCTGCTGAATGTTTGGATTTAATCAAACTGTTGGAAAACAGACTGGGTTTAAAATCATTAAAAGAATCTTACAAAGTATCACAAGAAGAAATAACCACACATTACAACCAACTTTGTTCTGATGTCAAATTATATCTTGCTGATGTTCTGAAACCAGCCTGTTCTCTTTCAATGGAACAATTGGTCCCACGTTTATCATCAATTAAATTCATTTATCATCTCATGAAACAAAGAGATTCAGAAGAGAAAACACATTTTACAAATAACAATGAATCATATGATCATGTCATTCAATGTCTCTTGCAAATTTCAAATGATTGTGAAAGTTCATTCAATACAATCATGTCTTTCTCTGTTCTCAAAGATCAAATCGATAAACTCTGTTCACTTTCAAAATTCAATGATCTATTCACACCTGTCAAATCAAATGCAATACAATCATTGACAAAGAGAATAATATATCTAATTGATGATCATCAAATCAAATCAAAAACACTTTTCTTATTTTTTTTGCAAAGTTCTAAAAATGAAGTTTTGTTTTTTCATGGCAAATATTAATATTCATACAGAATAATGTATCTATCGTCTCTCTCTCTCAGATAGAGCTATTTATTATTGTTTATGTGTTAACCAAATTGAATTAGATTATTTTTATTTTTTTTTTTGATGTTATATCATCTTATAAAATAAATTGTTGATTAATACGAGCACTCTGACCAGATGGATACAAAAGAACCAACAACTTATTTAAAAGTTGTTTTCCAGCTTCCTCGTTGCGGATTGTAATTATTGGGAATGAACAGGGTATCTCTTTCTTTGCAATTTCGATATCTGAGGGAGGGAATTGTTCATTATCGAGCAGTGTTTTCAATTTATCAAAAACACTTTCGATTATAGTCCATCGGTTGACACCCTCATCAAGATCTCGCTTGTTGCCATATGGGAAAATAAGTTGATATTTGGTAGATAGTAACTCATCACATTCATCGAGAATGTTAAACAAATTATTGTTTGACCATTGAATGATAGAGTTGAATAGGGTCTTTGATTTAGAGAGCATAGATGAGTTTTGGAATGAAAGCCAATGATCAGGTGTTGAAATGATGATTCCTTGATTAGTTTTGCAGTGTTTGAGATTGCTAAGTATTCTCTGAAATTGAATATCATTCAATTGAGAGACAATATCTCTTCTAAATGGATAGACGTGAATGGGACGATTGAAAATAGATGATCCCATTGTCAAGAGCATGTCTTCAATCGATGTTTCCAAGAGCGATGGTAACACATTGATTCTGGCAATGCGATCTTTCAATGCCAAACACATTATCGGAATGATCACCGATGTTTTGCCTTCACCCATTTGAAGTTGAATACAACGGTTGTTTTCCGTAGAGTTCAACAATTCCATTGCTATTTCCACTTGAATATCATAGATCCAAATGTTTCTTTCCAATTCAAACAGTGCCCAATGAGGATGATCTGAAACACTCCACTTTCTTGTCCTTGGTTTGGCTTGTTGGATAATCAACATAATCAATGAAATCCTTATAGATATTAACAGGATTACATTGTTTCCAGAGTCCACATTTAATGAATGACGATAGTTTTGTCCAATTCGAATTGTATATTGATTCAATTTGACTCCATACCAATGTTTTGGCATCGTTGATCTCTTTGTACAATTGAGAAAGTGTTTCTTCAATATATTGTTGGTCTACCAATTCATAAGTTGGTGTTGATTCAATGTGTGAAATCAAATGGTCCTTTGACTTTTCCAATTCATCATAGAAAATAGAACCAATCTTTGTTGACTCTTCGTGATCGAGTAGCTGATCGAGTTGGTCAGAAATTGTATATTTCTCTTGTTTCTCTACGAGACATAATGCCAAATAATCTTCTATTTCGGGGTCATATCCTATTTTGAAAAGATTAGACAATCGTTCATCGATTTCAATTTGGAAATCATTATCCTTCCAATCGATCTTATCGTTTGACTTGCTGTATCGAATGATTTTTGGTTTGATATTAAGAATTGATGAGAGTATTGGTGGTGTTTGTGAGTTTAGTGAATCTGGTTTGAATGATATCTTTTGTAACGATTTCAAGAATATGAATAGTCTGTAGTTTCTTTGCCAACTCTTGAATTCTTCTTGATATTTAATAAACTGTGTTGGTAGTTCACTAACTTCAAGTTTAGGAACTTTAATCAATTCATATTCTTGAAAGAGTGAATTCCAGGCAGGATCACTCGAGATCTGTTTGTGTGTAATGTGGGGGCTTGTGTGGATAACAGCTTCTGGAAATGGTATCATTTTGAATTGTTCTTCATTTGTTGAATCTGGAATTGAGAGATAGATGATGTGGTCAAATAAAGAATGATTGGAGCTAGGTTTCAGAGCAATTAAGTTTTGGAATGTAAGAAAAAGAATTAACTTTGAGAAAGGTTGTTGTTTCAATCTAATACTCTTTGCCAAATTAAGAAGTGACATGTAGAAAGACGAGATTGTGATAGCTGGAAAATCCATAACATTTCTATCAGGTATTCTAAATAATCGAGCATCGAATATTCCCAATATTTCCGAAGTAAAATTGTCAGAGGTGAAAATGAAAGATTTAGTTGATCTTTGTTGAGTGTTGGGTTGGACATTATCTTTGCAACTCTGGTTGTATAGTTTAGAATATCTGAAGGTGGTTTGGGAATGATATTGGTCTCAATAGGCTTGTTATAATCAACTTTTAAACTAGAATATTTTGCATTTGAGGAGAGTACTCTCTGATTTCTCCAACAACTGGCAGCATTAATTGAATTTTCTTGTTGAAAAGTTGTGACTGTTTGTGTCAGTGGTTCTGATTGTTGTTTGGATTTATCACTAACTTCATAGAGAAATTGACATTCTTGATTGTGAGAGATGACACTGCTGACCAACATATTAATAAAGTCATGACAAACAAATCCCGGGATCAATGGATATTTATATTCAACTTCTTGGAATGCATTGTGTTCTTTAGTTGAAAATAATTTTCGGGTTGGTGAGATTGATTGTATTCTTTTGAGGATAGCGATAGACTGAGTGGTGAACAATCGATTGGTTTGGAATCTTTGAAGCAATGTAACAGCCATATCGAAACCAGTTTGACCGAGGAATGGATCTGGCATGGTTGAAGATGTCATCAAGTGGAGATATGCAAGGTAAAGATTGGATGTGATCTCTTGGGGAGTCAACACTTTTATATTATCATCTATTTTATATCGGAAATATGATGGAGTATCCAGACTGTTAACATCAGCTTGACAAACTTGATAATCTTTGAAATCCATATCACCTTGTTCAACTGATAATATTGAATGTGGTGTCAAAACAATCTTTTCTTTGGTATGGTTATTCTCCAACAGCAAATAGTTTGATAATCCAACCATTGTTCCCATGTATTGATTATCACAAATCGTAAATGAGCGTGAATAAGTGATTGTTCCTTCTTTGGCATCTTCTATGATTTCAAACAACAGATCTTTGTGTTGAACGAGTTGTATTATAATTTTTGAATGTGTTTTCCAAACAAGAATATTCTCTGGTGAATCAATTTTGAAAACGGTATGGAGATGAGATTCCAGTTGACCATCCATTGTTGTCTTTAAATTCACCAATTCGTTGGTTGTATTGAATTGAACAATGATACCATCAATATTTCCACTGAACTTTGGTTCAAATTTATCAAAGAATTTGTTGATTTGTTTTGGTCTGAACTCTATGCTGTCATCATACTTCTTCCACAGAGTATACTCTTTGGTCAATGATTTTGGCAAGTCTTTCAACAATTCACTTGGAATTAAATCAAAAGTGTCGCCACCATCTTGTATTTCTTTGACTTGTAAATGACCATTGGGTGTCAATTGTAATTCATAATTCCTATCTTTAATCTTTATCACACTGTCATGTTAAATTAAATATTATTATTAACAAAATTAACTAATTTAAAAGTTCATTAAAATTACTTACTATCTAGATTTCATAAACTTAACTGAAAATTTTGTGTTGGCAAATAACATGATAAAATCAGGTTTAGATGAGATATTGTTTGGAAGTTGGTGACTTGACGATCCATTAAAAATGATATTTCCATTGTTGATATTCAATTGAATTGCATCATTGATATCATATTGACAATACCAAAGGTGTGAATCTTTCAGTTGTTTCCATTCCATAAATGCATTCGGTTCATTGAAACAAGGTTCATTCATCATGATATAGTTGGAAAGTACTGTTGGTGATTTAGAAATGATCGATTGTATCGCTGGAATCATCTTGAATGTAATGACACTACATCTATGCAACAAACTGATATTAATAATGGAATTAGGAAATTCAATATTCTTAAACTTTTCAAAAAGAATATAGTTTGATTTAAGATGAAAATAGAAATCGTTGTGACCCAATTCATCTTGATCCTCTCCAATTGTGAGTGATTCCATTGATAGAATTAGCGCCATTGAAGTGAAAACCAGTTGTGTGTCTTGAATCTGAGAATTAGAGTCAAGACTATTGTTATCTTTGTAGAGGAGTCTCATCCATTCTTTGGCTTTGGTACGACACTCATATATCAAGCGTTTGACATCTATATTAAGTACAAGCAAGTTAGAATCAATTAACCATGACGATAACAATGAGAGAAGTTGAACAAAGAAAACCAATGAATATTGATCTTCAGAGGATAGTGATGTAATTCTTTCTTTGATGACCTCAAGCAGAGTCTGAACGAATTGTACATCTTCGAAAACACCTTTTGAAAATCGACCTTGTTCACAATCCTCACCAATTTGGTAGATCATATTGTTGAATGACACAAATGTATTAAGATCAATGATTGTGTTGTGATTTTCGAGGAATTTGAGAATATTCAACATAAAGATAGTCTCACTGTGCGATTGCAAAGATCCAAAGTTTAGAAATTGGAGTTTGGAACTGCAGTGTATCGCCTTGATAGACTGGTCTGTAAGAACTGTATTCTCTGTTGTTTTGCCATCACAATATTTCTGAAGAGCATGCACTTCCCTCACCTCTGGTTTGACAGGTATACTGTATTTAAAGAGAATTGGTTTGTCAGCTTTTTTTAATGGTAAAGGTTGGTTAATATTAGGATTTGATATTGGATTTTAAAAATAAAATAATTGAATCAACATACGTTGACGGAATCTAAGATTAGACTTTCCAATTTTATAGTAGTCAATACAACGTTTTCTCCTCACTTCTGAAAAGTTTGAGAAATCGAAAATTTTATAAATACATTGGCCATTGAAAGATCTGTTCAATTTCAAATCGGTAAAAGATTTGAAAGGTAAAGAATCGCCACCAATGAAATCAGATCACACAATTGGGAGAACTCCTTAAATTCGATCATTTCGCTTCAACAAACAATCTTTATTCAAGAGTTTATCAAAATCCCAATTCAATCTGAAATCCAAATTTGTATTAGTTCTATTGTCAAAATTCTCGATTCATCTTTTCAATTTATCAATCAAATATTGTGCAGAGATGGAGAGATTTCACTCAATGATTTAGAGAGAATCAAAGAACACTGGTTGATCATTCAAACATCATCTTCATTCACACTACTCAGTAAATTGTTGGAAATCAAAATTGAAGAAGTTTATTATTCTCCAATTATTGATTTAATTGCCAAATATACAAATGACATCCTTAATAATCTAACTGATCCAAATATTTTGGTGTTTTCACTCCAAAAGGTTTCCCAACTCCAAAATTTAGATTCAAATATCAATGATCAAACTTCTAATTCCTATCGATTAGCACTTCGAACAATTAATCATAGAGTTACATCAATGAAGGAAAATATTATTTTATCACTCAATACAAATTGTGATCAATATGTTCTTCAAAAAGTATTCAAACAGCTTTGTGAAATCAAACTACTTTATCCTTTGGATTCATATTTTTCAGAACCTATCTGTAAGAATAGTTATCTCCAAACGATTGAAGAAATTCGTATTTTCATTAAAAATGTTGAAGATTTAATTGTAGATTCAATCACTCATAATGAATATAAATTTTCAAATTCATTCTCACAATCAATTCATTTTCTAACCAGATACTTTATATTTGGTGAGAATGCATCCGAAGAAGAACAACAACTAATTATATGTATTCAAAATACTAAGGATCATATTAAGGATTTAGTTTCAAATATTGTTATCTTCAATCTGGATAATATCACAAATGGACATTGGTCAACACTTTCCAAACAACTTCAAACTCTTGAAATATTCAAATATAATCAGATTTGTTCCACTTCTTCTACAATTAAGACCATAGAATCAAAGATTGTAGAACATTCTACAACTATTTGGGAACAAACATCAAAGTATTTATCATTGAATGATTATAAATCAGCTTATGATGGTCTAAATCAACTTCAACGAGCACAGAAATTTGATAATATCAAATCAATAATCAGTGAAGATAGATATTCTGAAATAGAAGAAACACTTCGTCGTTCTGTTACCAATTTTCTTTCAAAGATGAGATCGTTCATTGACAATGAGAAATTTAATGAATTCAGAACTCTTCAACCACAACTCAACTGTTTGGTCGATCTTGAGAATCCTTCAATCAACACTTTTGTTATTGATATTAATACCCAATTTAGAGAGTCTCAGAATGATATGCTAAGATCGTTGGATGGTAAGATTAATTCAAGAGATTTCTCAGGTCTCAAAGACAGTTATCAAAATCTTCCAGAAGACTCGAAAGTTCGACTTCTCAGTCATATTATAGAAGTTATTAGACAGGACGAACAAAAGATAATGGGAATAATAGGTCAAATCGAACAAATGAAGTTGAATGATGAATTTTCAAAATCATTATCAACATTCCATCGGGCATCAATTTTTTCATCAATTCTCCCACAAGAATTTAATTTTGAGAGAAGATTGAAAGCTATAGAAGTTTCGATCATCAAACAGATTAAACTTGTTGTTGTCACCCTCAAAACCTCAGTAACAAATCATGATTTCAATTCAATCCATCAATACTCCAACTATATCAGAACTCTATGTCAACAATTAAGATATTGTTTATCTAATGGAGATCAAATCACTGAAATATTGCAACAAGTGGAATCAATTGTCACCGAATCACTTGTCAATATTAATGAAAAGATGTTTGAAGATCTAAAGAGATTTTCAGTAACTACTATCATTGATAGTTTAAAGAAAGTTAAAAACAACACTTTATTTGATCTTAAACTTTTACAAATTGAGAACTTTTTCTCCTCTCATATTGTAAAGAAATCAGAATCCATTAAAAAGATGATAAAGAATGGTCTTATCTTGGAAGCCAAAGCTGAAGTAAAAAATATTGAAATTGAAATTCAATCAATTTCGAAATTTATATCAACCACTGAAGCATTTTCAAAACTTGAAGAATTGAAGAGTTTTCTTTCAGAATCAGAAATATTAAGATTAAAGAATATTACTACGATAATCAAATCTGGAAATTTCGAAACTATTGTTGAAACAGATTTGGATACTCAAACTGTAGAGAAACTTAAAGAAGAGACTCTTAATCGAAAATCTTCAATTCAAAAAGATCTTTCTCCACCTCCGAGATTTGAACAAGTGGCTGTGGATCTCAATTGGCTTATCAATATGTGTTCCAACTCTATCATTCCAAAGAAATTAGGAATTTCTCATCAAAATGATATTGATAAATTTAAGAAAAAAATCTTAGAAATTGTTAGAAGTACTGTCAATAATATCGCTGAGAATCTAAAGTGTGATAATATTCAAAATATTAACATCGATCACTATTATTTAATCAAAACTCATTTATCACAGTTCATCAAAGATTTCAATGTAATTGATAAACAATTGATTGAATCAATGAAATCATATTTCAAAACATTCTCTGATATTATTTCAAGAAACATTGATAATTGGAAGAAAGATATAATTCCATTTGAAAAGAATGCAATTTCAGATCTTCATTCGAAACTCAACACCCTCAGAAACAGTGATATTTCCTTTTCTTCATGTTTATCTTTGGTAGGAAAAATTCCAACCTATTCAGTTTCTATTCATGAGTTGAAATCAGAGATTCAAGCTCGTATGCTATCATTTTCACCCGATTTGGATAGTTCAAAATATGAGAAATCAGCATCCACCATTCTTCTAGTTTATGAAGTTTATAATCAATTAAACACTCATAATATTGTATCAAGTAAAGATCATCCTCTATTAATTGGAATTTTACATACCCATATGGAAATGTTAATAAAAGCTGCAAATGAATATTGGAACTGTGATGATCTTGGATCTTTCAATCAAACTGCAAAAAGAGCCACTGATTTTCAAAATCATTTCAATCAAAATAGATTTCCTCAAGTAAACTCTAACTTTTTTGGTTCAATCGATTGTTTTTGTAGCTAAAAAACATATCGAAGAATCATCAAGCCAATTGCATAAGAAAGATATCATTGTTATTGCTCAAGGTCTGATTAAATTAAAGGACTATTCCGATAGATCTCCACTTCTCAAAGATTGTGTTAATATAAATATTAAACGAGTATTGGATCTTTATATTAATATCAATGGATTAGGAAATATTCAACAACTTGGGAAGGAACTTGAAATCTCTGGTCGTCTCGGAAAAGAAATCATTTCTGAATTTAATCAATTCGCTTCATATTCAATTTCAATGTGGAACACAAGATCATCAAATTTAACTTTAGATTACATCTTGGAAAACATGACAGGTGATGAAATTTCAAAGGAACTTTTGAAATCTAGTTATAATTCATTCTTGATTCAGTATCAGACAATTGTGGAAAGAGAAGTACACAAATATCAAAATGCTCCAAAGAACATTCTAGCAAAAGCCAATCTTATTATTGCCAAAATTGATACTAATATGGAATCAGAAGCATCAAGAGTAAATGTCATCAGTTTGTTGGCTCATATTTTTGCAATGTGGACTGTCGTAAAATCTGGTGAATCATATGTTGCTCTTAAAAAAGATGCAAATGTATTACTTCGTCCTCATCATGCTCAAGTATTGGCAATTATGAGACTTCTTGGAATCGATAATAAAGAATCTTGGTTGAAAAAGAAATTTGGAAGGACTACCAGATCACCATTAGATAATCATCTCATTGAAATATTGACTGGTGAAGGAAAATCAATCACACTTGCAGTTCTCAGTATTCTTCTATCAAGTATTGGATGTCAGGTTTCATGTGTTTCATATAGCGCATATCTATAGAAACGAGATTATACAGCATTTAAAGATATCTTTTCACTTTTTAACGTGACTGACAAGATTACCTATTCAACCTTTAGCGATCTTTGTAACAGTTTGATCGAAGAAGAAGGTGATGTTAGAACTCTTACAAATCAATTCATTAACAACAAACTAAAACCATCTTTTAAATCAAAGTCAGAAAAACCTACAAGAATTCTTTTGATCGATGAAGTAGATGTATTCTTTGGTGATTCATTCTATGGTAAAACATATAATCCATCAACTTCTATTCAATCATTTTCAATTATTCAACTAGTTGAATACATTTGGAAGAATCGTAAGAACATTACAATTTCTACCATCTCTAACCAAAATGAATACAAGAAAGTAATGGCTGAGTTCTCTGGACATGAAACAATTCTTTCTCAGAAGATTTTCTCTATGGTTAGAGATGTCAACAGCTACAATATTCCAGCTTATGAAGTTGATAAAGTAAACCAGAGAATTGGATATCGTGATCAAGATGGTATTTCATTTACAACAACCTACGGATCAAAAACAGCATTTGCATACATTGCTGAATATGAACTTGGTAATATCACAGAAGAGGTTATGAAGAATAAATCTTAGACTCTCAATTGTTTGTGGTCATTGGTCATTTGCAAACATTCCATTCAAATTCGAAAGAATTCTTGGAGTTACTGGAACTTTGAAGACACTCACACCATCTTTAATGAAAATCATCAAAGATGATTTCAAGATCAGCAAATATACATTCACACCTTCTATCTTTGGTAAAACACAACTAGATTTCAAAGAACAAGATCATGTTTTGATGGAAGAGAACAAAGATCTTTGGTACAGAAAGATTGCTGAAGATATCCTTGAGAAGACAAAGAAAGAAAGATCTGTCATTGTTGTCTTTGAAGATGAAAAGACTTTGAACGATTTTGAAACCTCACATTATTTCGGTCAAGTTGAGAAGAGTTCGAAATTAGTTGAAAGTACAACAGACAGAGATACAGTGATCAAGAAAGCTACAACATCAAAACAAGTAACACTCATAACAAAATCATTTGGTCGTGGTGTTGATTTCATTGTCAATGATGATAAAGTGATTGATAATGGAGGTGTTCATGTCATTCAAACATTCCTTTCAGAGGAGATCACAGAAGAAGTCCAAATCAAAGGAAGAACCGCTCGTCAAGGTCAGAAAGGATCATACAAGATGATTCTTTTGAAATATGATCTAGTTTGTATGGGAATGACTTCAGAGAGTCTTGGCAATGCCATTAAGGGTAATGGATTCTACAAAATGATTGATGAGAAACGTCAGAATTCATTCTCTGCAAAATGTGAGAAACAAAAAAATGTTGTAAATAAGTCAAACGATCTAGACAACGAATCAAACAAGTATTTGAATTTACTTTTGAATTATGACGATTCAAAGAAATCTGAAATTTCAAAACTTTTAGAACAATTTAATAAATAAATGTATTGTTTTTAATATTAATCCTATTGATACTTTGTTTGGATGAAACCGGAATGAATTTCTTTATTAATTTTTATGATTAGTGTTGTTCACATTTTAAAATATGTTGAATGTTTTTGTGGATAATTGATTCGTTGATATACGGACATGAATATCCATGACATTCAAGAATAGTATTAGTTGTATTATTGTTATCGATTGGATATTGTGAAAGTGTTGGTATCATCTTATTGAACGCGTTAAACATTGGTTGTAATGGGTTGTTTGTTTGCGCCAATAAAAGTTCAGTCCACCTTGGAAGACTTATCATTTCAATAGGATAAACTTTGTTCATTGATAAGCAAAAATCATTGAATGTGATTGATTTCTGATTTGTCAACAAGAATGTTGGTGTCATATCATTGTTATCAGCGTCATTCCATGATCTATTCAAGGAAATATTGATTATTGACGATGAAACCCAATCAACTGGTGACAGATTCAAAAGGTTTACCTTTTCATTGGAAAGATCGGGATAGTATCCAAGATGTAATATTCCAGACAATACCAATCTAATGAAATCATTTGAATTATCAACACCTGTTTCTGTATGGCTATAGATGACACCTGGCCTGAAAATAATGATTGGGAATCCTCTTTGGTATGCTTTATGAATGAGTTGCTCGGCAATCAATTTCGATTGTGAGTATCCTGACATTGAATTCAAATTGTTTAAACTTGGTTGTTTGGTGTCATCGATTTCTTGATTGAATTGGTGGAATGTTCCAATTGTGGAAATATGTGAAACTGGTATGATATGGTCTCCAATTGTAGATAGTCTTAATACTTCCTCAGTGCCTTTAACATTTGCCATTTTCATATTTGAATATGGATTCATCAAGTGAACATATGCACCATTATGAATGATAAGATCGGTTTGATTTGAAAGATCAATGAATTCATTGATATTCAATCCGAATAATGGTAATTCTAAATCACCAATGATTGGATAAATTTTTGAAATTTCATTTTCTTTGATCATCATATTATTCTTTAATCTGATGATCTCAACCAATTTACTTCTTGCATCTGATTGTGAACCTGATGATCTTATCAAACAAAATACTTTTGAAATATTTTGATTTCTAATGAGATCATACAATAAGAATGAACCATTGAATCCAGTTGCACCAGTCAAGAATATATTGTTAAATCCACTTGATTTCATTGATTTTCCATTGGTTTGAATTGAATCATCCAATTTCATTTCATCTTCCCAATTGATTTCATTGTTTTTGATAATATTCTTGAAGATATCAATTAAATTGACATTCTTATCTAAAATTTGCTGAGGTTTAACATCTATTTTCGCTTTATCTTTGAGAAGATTTGATAGTTTAACAGCGCCAATTGAATCTCCTCCTATTTGTGAAAATGATAACTTTGATAAATCCATATCAGATATATTATCTAAATCAAGTCCCAGAACTGATTTAAGATAATTAAACAACAGATTTGTTTTATCATTGGATTCTGATGAAAGACCATCTTGGATCGAATTCAAAGTGTTATACATCGATTCGATATCTTCTTTATAATATTTATCAAGGTGTGGTCTGCTGGGTTTACCAGTGGGCGTTAATAGTTTATTATCTATATTCCAATTTGTATGGTCAAGAGTGATAATCTTTGGAATTTCATAATTTGAACTCTATAATAAATAAATAGATTTAATTCAATTAATTAATAATTTGTTTGGGTAGATATAAGAAATAAAAATAATAACCTTGTTTAATTGAGAAATTCTTTCAAAATCATCAAGTATTAATCTTTTCAATTGATTATTATCTTTGAAATTATTATCGTTTGAATTGATCTTATCCAAAGCAAATTGAGATGGAATAACAATTGCAACTAAAAATGATTGACTAAGGTCACCATAAACATAGATATTCTTGATTAATGGTGAGTTTAAATAAAGTAATTCAATAACCTCAGTACTATTTAAAATGTAATAATTAATAAAAATGTATATTAATAAATTTATATTTAAATTAAGTTACCAACATACCTAACGAATTCACCATTCATCAATTTGAATGAATTCTTCTTTCTATCTATAACTCTGACTGATCTTGGTGCATATTCTTCAACGATATCACCAGTGTAATACCAACCATCTTTAAATACTAGATCTGTAGCTGCCTTGTCTTTATAATATCCAACCGATACCTTGTTCGAACAAACAACTAGTTCACCTCTTGGGTATGGTTTATCATTTATTGTGAATCCCAATTCTGGAACTGATTCCAATCGGTATTCAGTATTTGCAACTACTCTCTCATTCAGAGCTATGGCCATCGTCTCGGTGGAACCATATAGATTATAAATGCCTATACCTTTCCAGCATTCTTTTAGAAAATCGGTAACAACTTTTGGCTGATTTGCACTAAAATAAACAATATTGGAGATACGATCACCGAGTATAGTTTTAAATTGATCTATAACATTTGAAGTGCAATGTTCCAACGATAATTCAGTGTGATCCGAAATATATGATTTTAAAGTAGATTCATAATTTGAATAAATAACTTTAAAAACTCTAATTAATTGAATTAAAAATATTAGTAAATATTAACTATAAAAATGTAATATTTTAAAATTGATTTTACCTTGGAACAGCACTAAAATATTGTGGTCTAATTGCTTTTACAAAATCAAAGAGGTAATCGAAATCACCAGAATACATTCCAATTCTACCACCAAACATTAAATTATTATAATCGAATTTTCTCTGTATATGTGCTATTTTGAAATAATTATTATTAGTAAAGATAAGATGATTCCAAAAAAATTAGAAATGTATTAATAAATCAATACCTAGAGTTAAAAAACTAATCTCTACTCTTGGATATGGTAAAAATCTCTCATTTATAAATCCCAAGAAATCTCTATTCGATGAAATCACACCTTTTGGAAGACCAGTAGAACCAGAAGAATATGCTATTTTTTTAAAAAAGTATAGAAATAATAATAATTAGATTTTATATAGCTATTTAAAATATGGTAAATAAAAATACATACACAATGATATTATATCAAGTTTACCTTTAGATGGTGGGGTTATTTCTGCTACGGACAACATCTCTGAAAATAATTTAAAGATAACATTGGACGGTAATTTATTTCTTAATTCTTGGTCAAAATCATCATCCACATGAATAATCAATTGAATATTGACGTCATCCTTTGACTCGATTAATTCAACAATGTTTTTAAATGAATTACGATCTACAACCATCACAGTGGTATCAGAACTTTTCAAAACAGAATAGAGAATCTCTTGATCTAAAGATTTTTACTATTAGAATTTGACTCCAAATATTATTAATTCTAACAAAGCAGACTTACTTGATTGATAATGAAAAGGAACAGTAACCATTCCATACCAAAGACATGCCAAATCTGTAAAATACCATTCTGGAATATTGGGTAAAAAATACCAATAAAAGTTTCCTAAACAAAATATTATCATTTTAAATCAAACAATTAATTTAGCAGAAGGTTAAATTTAAAAAAAAAATTCTTTTTAAATTAGTATTACTTGTGGAACGATTTTAAGAAGTGAAGTTCCAAATTTTGTAGCACTTTCATAAACATCTTGATATGTTAACCATTTAATTTTCATTTCAGATGATTTCATTGGAGATTTAGCATCTAAATGACCCAAACACAATCTATTTTTAAATGTTTCAAATACATTGCTAAAAAAAAATAAAGATTAATAATAAAAACTCATTTACAATTCAAAGTTTTAATGATTGAGAAACCTACAGTGAAGTTTGGAAGAGGGTGTCTGCTCTATGACGTAAAAAGTATTCCTGGTTGACATCTGTAAAAATGGAAAAATAGGTGTTAAATTATTTTTATAATGATTTTAGTTTTTTTTGTATTTACATTTTTCAATTGTACAATAATGAGGAAGAGGGGCAGTATCTGTATGAACAGAGATAGAATGTGATTTTGGGTAACATTCTAAACAGATTGTAAGATCAATGCATTCCGAACAAACATATCTTTCCTGACCAGAGATAATAGTGTTTGAGCAAACTTTACAATTTTTATCAAAATTATTATTAATCATAGAGTTTGTTTTTTTTTATAAAAAATTAATAATTAATTTGTATTTGTTATTAAAATATAAGTATTTTAAAATAATGATGTTAAAACAACAAAACTCAACAAGTTAGTCTATATATTGATTTGTTTTAAAAAAAAAAAAAACAAACATAAGTAATTTTTTAATTGGGAAACAAACAACACCGATAAATTTTGATTTATGAAAAAACACTACAAATAAAAAAGTGGTGGTATTATATATTTTTTGAATATAAATCAAATAACAAATAACCACAAGTGTCCTGTTCAACCTTTTTATAAATTAAACAAATGTCGCCTTAAAAAAAAAAAATAATAATTGGGCCACCCTTTAGGTTTTAAATTAATGTTTGTATAAAAGTAAAATACACGTGGGTTGATATCTATCTAGATTTGATTGTAGTCGCACTATATAATGAGACCAGTAAGCTAACTAAAACAATGTGTTAGTTATTTTATCAAAAACTGTTTATTATTTTTTAATTATGTGTTGTTTTAATATTTATATATTCTTATTATTTATTATGACAATAAATCTGTCTGATTGCTTTAGTGGTGGTGGTGGTGTTAGAGGTGAAAGTAGCAGTGTTATTTTTAAAAGTGGTGGTTGTAGTGGTGGTAACTGTGGTAATAATAATAATAATAATAATAATGATAATAACATTCTACCAATAATAAATGATGGATATTTTTATTCAAGCATCGATGATTCAATTGAACAAAATGGGCCAACAGTTGAAATGTTGGAGCATCTCTCAGATTTTGTCAATATAAAATCAATAACGGTACCGACTTTGTATAAGAATGATGACTATTATTCTCTTTTGTCAAAAAAAGATAATGCTGCTCTTGGTGTCATAGGTAGTTATGAACTCTTTAATGATCTAAGCTTATTAAAATTATTAATAAAGAATAGATTATCAATTATTCTATTGTATGTATCAAAACAAAACAAAACAAAACAAAACCATTATTAATGTAATTATAATCAATATTTTTTAAAACTTGTAAAGTAATGTTACAAAATATGAATTAGAAACACTATGTAAACTTGTAGATGACGTTGGTTGTTTTGCTAGTGTTAATGGTCATGTTATGAATGATAGTATATTGTTTTGTTGGATACCAATGACTTTTACGACAACTACAACAACAACAAATAAAGATGATGTTGTACAACAACAACAACAACGACAAGCACATAAGATTATAAGTTGGAGCTCATCAACAACAATGAATGGCAATGATAATATAGACTATAGACAACCTATGTATATATTGGCTGAGAAATTAAAGTTGCAAGATACTCCGATACAATCACTTGTACCACCATGTATGTATATAAATTAACAATAATATTAAAACAATGATTATCATTATTATCATTATTATTATTATTATAAACTAACACTTCTGTTTGTTTGTTTTTTTTAATGAATTAAATATAATTAAATAGCAAACGTACCTTTTATTTACTTTGAAGTAATAGATTTAGATCAATTCATAGTATCCTATCAAACAATAGAACAAACATTCTCGCATACCATTAACAGTCATTATTATATATATGATGATATTAATGCCGATCAAATATATTTACTATTAATTCAAAGTAAGTATTAGTTAGTATATATGTATATGTTATTTTAGTTTAAAATAATAACTAATTAGTATTTTGTTTGTAATAGATACCTATGCATATCCTGATATTATAGGAATAGTTAATCCTGTTAGTGCAATCGGTTTCTTCCAATCGTCTTTTGAATTGCAAAACTTGATTACCTATAATGGCGGTAGTTCAGTGCCACCACTACAAGCGAGACTGGTGAATAGTGCACCGTCACCAGTCGACCAAAATCAGAATTACACTACGATGTATGATGTGTATGGAACTGTTGCTTTGAGCGATGGATGGAGTGCAAATAGCAGTAGATTCCAATCGACCATTCAAAACTGGGCTATCACCGAAGCCTCGAACACTGCGACACTCTCGCCAGGCTGGGTATTCCATCAGCAGCAGCCATACGATGCATGGGCATCCGGTTACAACGAGTTCGCGCAGTGGTACGCCGATGCCTACTACCAAGGCGAGGTTCGATATCCACCGCAACTCTCTATGAGTACACTACAGATGACCACCGTTAGTGAGTGGTGTTTCGATAAATCGCTAATCAATCAAACCAACAACCAACTTCAGATTGAAATCCAACATGTCGTACAACACGCTGCTATACTCGTTGCCAACCCGGGTTTCATTGATTCTCATCATAAATTGCTAACAGGTATTGAATCTTTTAGCTATGATCATCAATTTAACATTGTTATCTAATGATTTAGCAAAAATACATATATATTATCAAAGTGAAACTATTGCAATAAGGATATTTTGATATTTAAAAAAAAAAAAAAATAAAGATTTTTTTGAACTTATCATAATCTTTTAATAGATTAATATGTTTAATTAACAAACAAATAAATAGATAATACTAGATGATATTTGTTAACATTCTAGTTTCTTATTATACTATTTACTAAAAACAATTGTTAATATCTGAAATACACATTTTATTAATCTTAAAATAAAATAATTATGTGTGTATGTATCACTATTTTTGATATCATATTAATATAAAATTAATAGATAGATATTTATATATATCTCTCAAATATATATATATATATATATGTTGTATATTTATTAAAACTTAGAAAAAAAAGCCAAATTTAAATTTATTATTTCTAAAAAAGGTGTGTAAAATTTCTGATACCTTTTTGAAAAAAAATAAGCAACTTCAAATAATTTCATTTAAATTTCTTTCAATACATATATATATATGTAGATAATTAGATTAGTATAGATAAACTATGGATAAAATCAAAAGTGAAATAGACAAGTTGACAAAGGAAATTGGATCTAAAGATCCATCTATGTTTTTTAAATATTTAGTAAGACAGAGTGGATTGTTCAAAGAGGATTACAAACAACAGATCCTATTTGAATTGCCTGATATTCATAAACCTGAATATCCACCTATTCAAAAACAACAGATAGATACAAAAGATAAACTATTCAATAGATTAGAATCATTGAAACTCTCTGGTAATCAATACTTTGCCAAAGATCACAATGAATTTGCCGACTCCTATTATTACTTAGCACTACAATTAGCCGATAGATATATCAATCCGAAAAAAGACGACGATAGTAACAACAACAATGATAGTGATGAAAAGGTGGAATTCGAATTAACATTGAATCAAAGTGAAATGGAGAGATTGCGGAAACTGGCATCTGTGGTAGCAGCCAATCTTTCGCTGTCAATGTCGAAACAACATCGCGTCGAAAAATCATTGGAATATGCAAGACAATCGATTGGCTATGATGTCAGTAATGCAAAGGGCTACTATCGTGCCGGCTACTCGTTGGTGCGGCTCGGTGACAACGATGGCGCGGAACGGATGTTCAGAGAAGGTTTACAACACTCGAACGACGTCAACAAGCTGCGGCCACTCTTTGAGAAGGAGTTGCAGATGATCGAAGACCGACATCTTCTCTTTGACGTCAATCGTGAGCATACGCTACGACGTATCGATGGTGATCAGCAATACGATGAATTCCCGGTTGCTCTGACATGGGACGACTCGATGGGTCGTAAGATCATCGCGTCACGTGACATCGCCAAAGGTGAACTACTCCTACGTGTTGCTCCCTACGGTGCAGCACTAGTTGACGATACACTATTAACTCATTGTACATCTTGTTTCAGAAATATAAGTTGTAAGTATAAATAACATTGATCAAACAAGTTATTTCTGAAACAAACTAATATTTCTTAAACTCTCTCTTTCTCTCTCTCACTAGATTATAAACATCATCTATGTCAGAAATGTAAACAATGTATATTATGTGAGGAGTGTAATAGCGATGTGGATTTGGTGAATGAACACAATGAGGAATGCGATATATTGGTGTTTCTAAAGCAGAATGTTCCGGGTGCCGATACTAGGGATTTTAGATTTATGGTGCGTGTTATGCTCAAGTCGATTGCTATTCTCAATGGGAAGCTGTCGAAAGAACAATCGCCAAAGTGTTGGTCAAAGAATGGTGTACCATTTATCTTTGATAGCTACGATGATCTCACTCACCTGACTACCGATACGTCGAACATCGACAGGAAACAGATGGAGTCATTCGAGACTGCTACTCAATCGATTATCAATGTTTTCAAGCTGGCGAAGGGACCGAAATCACTGGAACCTCTCACCAACCAACAGATCCTCGATCTCTATCCAAAGATGCTGTTCAACGCACACGAATACATCGATCCTCTCTACCACTCCGAGGTGGCGCGTGGAATCTACCCAACGGCCGCGTATCTCAATCATTCGTGCGAACCAAACACCGTCTGGCACAACGATAACAACGGTATGATAGCATACCGTAGTATCCGTGATATTAAAGCGGGTGAAGAGATAACGACAACCTACATCGATATCACCAAATACAAATCGACGAGACAGCTCAATCTTCTCTCGCAATACGCTTTTCTTTGTCAGTGCGCGCGTTGTCAGGATCGCGCCACCGGCTTCAAGTGTCTGGACTGCGAAGAGGCGCTCGAGGAAAGCGACCTGCGAATCATCGAACCCGATCCAAAGGAGTTGTTCGACGGACAAATTTTCCTCTGTAAAAACGGTCACTCGCATATCGCAACGATCTACTCGATTCTCGAGACTTCGGCGATTGCCGATCCACCGTTCCTGAACTTGATGGATCAGTTCTACAGTTGTTTCGATAGGAACAGTCTTGCCTATCTGCCGCTGTGGAAAGCATCGTCCTATATCTATCTGAAATCAGAGAACTACAAAGAGGTGATCAATTCAATGCTGAGACTGTGGAAGCACTACGACTATTGTTTTAATAACCCACGTGAGCAGATCTCCTATGCATTCGTCAACGATTGTCAGACACTCTTCAAAGCCTACGAATGTCTGAACGATCGAAACGGTATGATCAAAACCAAACAAATCATCAAAGATATCTTGGAATCACTGATCGGTCTTTCAAAGCATCATTGTAAACCTGAATTTGAAGATATTTATTTAATAAAAGATTAAAAAAAAAAAAAAAAAAAAACAAACATCAAGATTTTTATTCAAATAAAAAAAAAAAAAAAAAAAAATTATTCTTTTTTTTTATCATTGTAAATGTTGTTGTTCCATTCCATTTCTACTCAATTTTATTATTTCTATTTTAAAAAAAAAACAACAAATAATTGACAATAAAAAAAACACACAATTTCAATTACACACACAACTCAAATTATTTCAAAAAATTGGAAATATTTTTATTTTTTATTTTTTTTCAATTTTTCAAACAGTTGTGTGCTTAATTTGTGTGGACTGCTGTTTTGTTATTATTGTATAACAAGTCTTTTATTTTATTTTTATATTTAATTTAGTTTAGTTTAGTTAATTTTTGGTTTATCTCTTTATTTATTATAATATTATTATTAAAGTGTTTATTTGTTTATATATTTAGAATTAATTAATTTATTATTTTATTTATTTTATTTGTTTAATTAATCGTTATTTTTATTTGTTAAGTTATCGGTTATTTTTTAGATATATATATTTAAAATATATTACAATTGTTTTTGTTTTGTTAGAATAGAATAGAATAAGATATATACAGAGATAGATAGATAGGGAGAATAGATAGATGTATACATCAAAAGGATCATTTCAATTTCAAGCACCTGCACCTGATCAGATGGCACTGACTCAGGAAAGACTACGAAATGCACAGTGGCGTCAGCCATTAGGAAACACTAAATATTGGAATAACAACAGTATACAGCAGTGGATCGATAAATCATATGAAGAGTCGGAAGTCTATATAAAGAAACAGAAGGAAGATGAAATCGAAGAGTTGAAAAAGAATCAAGAGAAATCGAGTAGTAGCAGCAATCAAGAGAACGATGGTGGAGGTGGAGATCCTACAACATCAACCACGACAACAACAACTCCTGTTGCCGCTGCTGCTACTACAAATGCTAATGATATAACAACAACAACAACAACAACAACCAACAATAACAACAATAACACAGATGACATGAATATCGATATAACAAAACTAAATACAAACAACAATAATAACAACAACAATAACAATGAAAATAATAATAATGAAACAACAGATTTAACACAAGCCGACAAAGATAAAGTAAATTTTAATTTGATGAGACAGAAATATCGATCATTCAAAAAACCAGGCGGAGAGGAGTTCTCAACAAATCTCCATCAAGTACATATTGAAAGATAGGCCATTCCTACATATTCTTTAGATGGTATGGTATATATTTAATTAATAAATAAATAAATAAAAAACAATCAAATTGTATCTTATTATTAATATATGTAATAAATATATCTATTATTTAGTTTTTTAAAATAATAATATTAATTTAGTGCAACAAAAAGAAAAAAAGAAAAGAAAAAAAAGAAAAGAAAAAAGCAAAACAAAAGCAATCAACAAATCTTATCTAAACTTTACATATTTCCGATTTTGTAATAAATAAAGCCTAGGACAATGTTAAATGTCAAATCTAGATTACTTTTAAAATGATCAAAAAAAAAATTACTATATTTGGATTTAGATCAAAATCTAAAATAGTTTGTTAGTTTTACAAATTTATTACCTTTTTTTTTGTTAATATATTTATGATTGTTATTATTAAAATTTTTTAAAATTTAAAATTGATGGTCCAATCAGATGAAATTGGAAGATCTGGTTTTCTGATGACAACGGATGATAGTGATTTGTCGTATTCGAATTGCAGTGGTTTGTCGGCGTAGCTGATGGCCGATGGTTTGTTGTTGATACCGAGAACAACGATTCTCTCGACGGTATTGACTGGTTTGAAGGTTCCTTTGGTGTCCAATGATTTCGATGTAAGTTGACCGTTTTCATAACGGAACTGACGGTATTGGTATTGTCCTTTCTTGTAGTTGAAGCTGTGTTCGTCGTCCATAAACAATTCACCGGTGGCGACTTGATCGGTGTTGAGTGCAACCTTGAGGGTGTATGGGTCGTCACGCATCTGGTAGGAGGAACGACGGAGACGCTCCTTCTTGGCGACGATCGATCCACCTCTCTGGTAGACTGGGATCTTCTGGAGTGGAGTATCGACGTCGTACTGGCCTGGCTTGTACATCTTGTTGGTGTCGATGTCGAACCACTGTTGCTTGGCGGCATCACCCGGTAGGATAACTTTAACTTGTTTCTGACCTTGTTCGACGACTGGGTGAACGAGGAGTGCGCTTCCAATCATGTATTCGCTCTCGACTGCAAAGAGGTTGGCGTCCGAGGGGAACTCTACCCAGAGAGGACGCATAGTGGGTGCTCCGTTCAGTGTGTTCTGATAGAAGATTGTGTACCACAATGGGAGGAATGAATAACGCTGTTGGATAGCCGATCTCATCACCGAGAGATATGGCTCGCCAAACAACCAGGGTTCACGACGCTTGGCGTCGAGATGTGCGTGGCCACGGAAGAATGGCTGGAATGCACCGGCTTGATACCAACGAGCCATCAACTCACCGTCTGGATTTCCAAAGAAACCACCGACGTCTGCACCACTGAATGTAATACCGGCGAGACCGAGTGACAGTAGCATTGGGTTGGCGACCTTGAGATGACTCCACTGGGCGGCGTTGTCACCGGTCCAGATGGCACCGATTCTCTGTGAACCGGCAAAGAAAGCACGTGACAAAACGAATGGACGATCGTTTTGGTCGGAATTACGCTTGACCAAACCATCGGCAGTTGCCATGTGATAGTAATAACCGTACATATTGTGGAGGTCACGATGCTCAACGGAACCGTGGTGAAGTGCATCTTTGTGCATCGAAACCTCTGGACCGTCGAATACCGATGGCTCATTCATATCGTTCCAAACGTAAAGTGTTGGTGTGGAGCCAATGTACTTATCGTAGGCAAACTGTTCGGCCCACCAATTACGAACGACCGGATTGGTAAAGTCGAGGTATGATGAACTGCCTGGCCAACACCAACCTTCGTAGTCGGAAACGCCGTCGGCCTTCTTGACGTAGTGATTGTTACTGGTGGCCTGTGAGTGAATGTAGTAGTTGTTGTCACGCTTGATATGTGGATCGATAATGGTAACCATCTTTCTGTGCTTGATTGCGATCGACTTTTGCATGGCATCTGGTGTTGGGAAGTTGGCTTTATCCCAAGTGAAATATCTCTTTCCATCGGTATGTTCGATATCCAACCAAATTACATCGTATGGAATATTATTACTATCGAATCCTTCATCTACTTGTTTAACATCATTTTCATCCTGTCGACAAATAAAATAGATTAGTTATCATTGTTGAAATGTAATATCAACTATTTGTTTGTTTTTCAAACATACCTTATAATTCCAACGACATTGATGATAACCTAAAGAGAATAGTTGTGGCAATGCAGTTGTACCTGTGAGTGAAGCATATTGCTTGAAGATTTCCATTGGTGTTGGACCGGTAAGGAAGAATACATCCATTGCTCCGGTCTCACTTATCCAGTGGGTGTCTTTCGATGGAACATTCTTGTCGTCCTTAGAGTCGGAGACGTCGATGAATGTCTCTGCTGCGTTCAACCAGAACAGTGCAACTGTCTTTTTGGTGTCGTGTGAGATCATAAGTGGAACGGCACCGTACAACGCCATTGTCTTGTCGAGTTCATACTCAAAGACATCGAGATTGTAAAGACGGTATGGATTCTCGTTGATTCCTTCGCCACGAGTGTTACGAAGTGCGAGCGAGGTGGTGTGCTCTGGAATACCATAGACGTGTTGCGATCCAACGAATTTGATGTCCATACCAATCGACATTGGTCCGTGTGGTTTCGAGTCGTGGTGCGACTGGAAACGCTCTTCCCACATGCCCTCGGGTACGACTGGCTGTTGGGGTGCGGGTGGCTCCTCGCCTTCGGGTGGATTTGGATTGGGAATTGGCTGAGGTGGCAGTGGTTTATTACGCATATGCTCAAAGTGGAAGAGTCCACGCGAGTTGGCTGACATTGCCAGCTCGCCGGCTACATACACATCGAGTTGGAACGGACTGAATTGGAGACGTGCCAAGCTGTTGTTGTTCTCGCCAAACTTGAAAGACAATCCGTTGTTCTCCTTCTGGAAACTTGGAATCACTACATACTTGATGTCGTCAAGCAGTACGTCCTGCACTTGATAACGCTTCTTGTTGGCGAGTGGCGACTTCTCGAGCACACGGAAACGCAAGATGCCATTGGCAATCGCGCGAATCTCGAAGCTCAACACGTGATCGACTTCGCCGTCCTGCTCGACAATCTCACCTACGAGACGGCCGTCTTTGAGTTGCACGGAATCGGCAACGATCTGATGTTTGTACAACGACATCTGAGCAGCGTCAGTGATGTCGACTCTTCGGTTACGTTTACAAAATGACAAGTCGTTACAGGTTTTGAACTTACTGGAATCGACTGCCTCTGTCAATGCAATGAATGTTGTAACTACAAATAGCAATCCTACTACCAATAACGGTAGTCTAATTGATGATTTCTCCAACATCTTCATCAACAATATAATTTATTAAAAAAAAAAACTAAACCAACCACGCACAACACCTTGCTAATGTTAAAAAAATTTGAAAAAAAAACTAATAAAAAAAAAATAAATTAATTTTGAATTTTTTTTCAGCAAAAAAAAAAAAGTGATTCATCTGACTCTTACCACCCACAAAGACTGAGTGTATTCGTCTTGACAAATTTTGATGATGTTCAAGTAGTCGTCAATTACATATGACAGACAGAAGATTCAATAATGAATAACAACAACAACAATAGCATTAGTAAAGATAATGATAATGATAATAGTAGAAATAGTAAAAGAAATATTATAGATGTTGATTATTTATTAAAATTATATTCATCGAGATGCTCGCTATCTTCTATTCATATGGCACATCAAATCTACCTTGATTTGATGATTCTAAAGAATTGGTATCAAATTGAATTCGACACGATCTCATTTCAATCATTGGTTACATCAAACATCACACATTTAGGTGGTCAAGATAACAGAGATATCATTATCTTAAAAGCATTAGAATCTAATGTTGCAAAAGTTTGTATTATTTTTACAATAAATAAAACTAAACTTAAAAAAAAATTGGGGATTAAAGAAACAAATTAAACTTTTAAAAAAAAACAAAAATATCTATTTTCTCTTTTTTTTTTTTTAATAATAAAAAATAAAATGATTATAATAATGAATGAACTAACAATGGTTAACTTACTTACTTACTATCTGTTCTATTTATCATTCATCCTTTTGTTTTTTTTATAAAATATAGGAATCAGTTATTATTTTCCCAACTAAAATAACCACTGAATGGTCATTTGAAAAGTGAGTAAAGATTAGATTACAATCATCTTTTTTTATTAATTATGATAAAATATGAACCAAATTTTTTACAAGTAAAGTTACTTACCATTAGTTTATTATTATAATAAACAATAAATTATAGGTTAGATAAATTATTAAAGGAATCAGGTACAAAAGTAGATTACAATATAAAGTCAATAGTTATTTGTTGGATGGATCAAGATTCTTCTTTGTCATACTACAGGTTGGCCAAACCTACATTGAAACCAATTCCCAATAATTAGATGGAGTGGAGACGCTTGCTTCTTTGATGGTGGCAAATGCAAAGCCATGGCTCTTAAGGTGGTCTTTTTCTTTTGGATTGTTTTTATTAATTTAATTTACACAATTCCCAAATAACTCCAACTTACTGCTACGAGGGAACAGGTCCTGGTTCAGTCTATAAATTGACTTTAGACTTTGTTCTTTTAATAGAATCGATGATTACAACAACACTACCTATCCATTACAACAACAAACAACACCAAACCCATACACAGCACAGCGATCACAATCTCAAAATCGGATTGGTCCACAAAATGCTAAAAATGGAAATTTAATATACGAAAAGTATTTAAGATTAAATATCTTGATATTCTTGGTTAGGAACAGACCTTTGGTAAAAAAAAAACAAAAAAAAAAAAACGGTTAACAAATTAAATTAATTATTTTTGTTTTTTTTTGTTTTTGGCCGATTTTAAATAAATCTATTCAAAACGAAACCGTGACTTTTTTTTTGGGTTGTGGAAATGGGTTTTTTAATTCCTTCCTACAATTCCATACAATTGATGGTAAACCAAATTCCTAAATTACTTTTCGATCGACAATTATTAATGAGTAAGAAATTAATTAAATATTTTATATAAATAGCCATGTGAAAAGGTGTGGAATCATTTATAAGGAAATACCGCGGTATTTCAATTTGATTTGTTCTTAAGATTTGAGTTGCTATCCGTGATGGAATGCAGAAAGTTAAATTGAATTGTTGATTTTGGTGCAGTAGTGGTTTTAAAGTGGTAGAAAATATCTATCTTCTAGGAGTTGGCTTGTGGATTGTTTGTTTGATATCGGAATCCAATCATAGTGTGTGATAGGGAGCTGTTATTGCCATGGTATTTTAGCGCAACAACATTGATTTATATGTCGCTGGAAAATGACTCCATCATTAAGACATGAATGTTCATAAAAGTATTTGCAACCATCAATTCCCAAATAAATACAGAGTTTAGGAATTGAACTAAGTTGAGTGTGAATTTTTAGACAGACATACACTTAGCACCATGTTAGCACCCACCACCATTGCCAATCACACACACTCACACTGCTCCGATAATTAATGGTGTGGTAATGTCAATTCGTAATATCTATCTTTGGGAATGAGACCTCTCACACCTCTTTGATAAGTTGGAGTTACAAACCAACACCCAAAAACACCCTACATTTCAGTTGGTTTCGTGGTTGTTTTTTTTTTCAATAATATCAAAATCTAGTAAAGCAAAATACACTATGAGAATTTTCATAATAAATTTATTAAATAATTCTTTTTTTGTGTGGAAATAAGGTTGTTTACATCCCAACTGATCGCTCCGAATCCCCGAAAATATCAAAAAAGTGGCGACCCTGCTTATGAGTACCCAGATTACGCACAAATTTTTCTTAAGATTATAAATACACCACACAATAAAGTGTTGCGAATTAATCACACATTCAACACAATTTCCAAAATAAAAAAAATTCTAAATTTCCTTGTTTAATGTGATCAAAAAAATAAAAATTTGAAAAATTTCAATAAGATGACAATGCAAAGTGTGACTGCTGCCTGATGATAAACTTTTTTTTGGTTTTTTATAAAAAAATCGCAATTTTAAAAAATCTATTTCGATGTCACAATCCTTTGCAAGTTGTGTTGCCGACATTAAATAAAAATGGGATGCTCTGATGTTTTTTTTTTCTAGTGTGTGTGTTAAAAATTGATTTTGATCTTTTACTAATCTTTTAAGGCTTGTATTTTTTTTTTTTTTTTTTTATACCAAATCATCAAAATAAAAAAACAATAAAAATCAAAGCTTCCAAAAAAATTCACCATCAACTTTTTTTTATTGTCTAAAAAAAATAAAAATCATATGATTTTGTTTTTTGGTAGTATTTGTTCTCGGCTTAATCAAAAAAAAACAAAAAAAAATTAAAATTAATTAAAAAAAAAACCTCACCCACATCAAAAGAAGGGCTCACCCCACCTCTGGTTTGATAGTTTCCTGAAATTCTTTACACATCTTAACAAAATTTTTTTCTCTCAAATCTTTTGTTTTTGATCGGTATCTTCTGTTCATAAAGGAACGGCATTTATTAAAATCGCGGAAATTAATTTGCTCTCACTAAACACAGTCTCTCTCACAATTCTTGGTTCTCCTATACTACTTCACCCTCACAAAGAGTAAATAATAAAAACAAGCGCTCCACAACATTCCTAAACAGAACATTTTGTTTACCAAATCATATAAATAAATAATAATAATAACTTTTTAACTATAAATAAATAATAATAACAATATTTTTAAATTTATTAATTATTTCATATAATCAATAATATATTTATTCTTTTTATCTTTAATATCTTTATCTCTTCTCTTTATATTTAACAAACATAACAATCAAAAATAAATACTTTCAATAAAGTTTATTTTATGTTTTATAAAAAAATTAAGAGATACCTATAAATACAAATAACTAAATGGATATTCAAGATTCTATATATTTTGGTAACTCAAATGTTACTGCTCAATCAAATTGGAAGTTAAGTTGGAAAAAAGGTAATTATTAAATTTTATTTATTTATTTTTATTTTAACTAATAAATTAATTTTATTTATTTATTTTATTATATATAGATTCAACAATGCGGATTCGACTTTCAGTCAGTCGCCGGTTTGATACTTAGTGAGGGATCGAATTTGGGACAACACGATATCGCTGATATCTTTGAAAAGTCGTTGATTCTCTTGTTATTGGTTGAGAACAACACTCGTCAGCTAAATTCTAACAAATCATTATTAAATCAATACATTGAACTCCTCTCTGGTTCTTCCTCCTCTTCCAACGCTTCAGACAAAAAGTCTGAGCTCGTCAACCTGTTTGCCAATCACGCCCAAAAAGGTAACCTTGTATCATTGCTCTACAATATTTCAGAGCTTTCTTCTACAATTGATATCAATCAATTGTTTAAACCACAACAACAACAACTATCATCACAACCAGTTGCTGTTACATCTTCTACACCATCCGCTTCTTCCACATCTTTAGTTCCAAGCTGCAATAGCACCCAAAGATTCGTCCAACCATCTGCTCTCATTCCAACCTCCATGTTGACCTCATTGTTCAACATCGCTCCACAACAACAACACCAAGTTGTCGAGATTAAACCATCCACTTCCAGCTGCTCATCAGCTACTACCACTCCAGTCTTAACCTCCCAAAGCGACTCTCCAATCTCCTCCCCAAATCCATTGTCATTGTCAGCTGAGGTTGAGAATGACGATGAATTCGATAGCAACGAGAACCCATTGTCCTCCTCCACAGATGTCGTTCCACAATCCAGTGGTAGCAACATGCCAAACGGTGCCAACAATCAATCAAATACCAAGCGTAAGCGTCGTCCAAGAGCACCAGCTCCATTCTTGGATTCCTTGTTCTGCCATTCCTGTGGTGAAACTCAAACCTCACAATGGCGTCGTGGTCCAGACGGTTGCAAATCTCTCTGCAACGCCTGTGGTATTCGTTTCGCCAACATTGTAAACAAGGAGAAAGCATTGGCTGCCAAAGACAACAACAAGACCATTTCCATCAATATGCTTCTCAACGACTCTGTCCAAGCTGACACCTCCAAGAACGATGCCTTCCCAATTGTGCCAACCACCCCACTCTCACTGCCAACCACACCAACATCGGCACCAAAGTCCATTCCATTCTATAGCAATACCAAGCTCTCATATGCACCAGCACCACCACCCAAAAAGTCGGTTTCCGCTACCAACTTGATTGGATCACCATCGTCTTCACCACAACTCTCACCAAACCTCCTCCTCAATAATAACAACAACAACGCAACTCACAAACGTAAACTCTCAAACTCAACCAACACTACTCTCCCAATCATTTCACCATCTTCATCATCGATGAAATCACACAAGACTTTCCACCCATTTGAAAGTCACGATCTTACTGCTTCGATCCACCAATCACTCAATAACCTCACCGCATCCGCTGCTCCAACCAAATTCGGTTTTTCAAGTTTCCCACTTGATGCACTGTCTACCATTGCTTCATCAGAGGCACTGCTCATCAACAATGATCATATCATCAATTAAGCGTCTTGGTGATATCTATACGACAACATACTAATTATATGTGCCACGCGGTGGCCAATTAACACACTTCAACCAACTAATTAACCCAATTCACTTTTAGTTGTTATTTATTTAATTCATTTTGTTATATTATTCTTCTCCTCCTTAATTATCCTCTCCACCCATCTACTCCTTATTTATAGAGTTTAACAACAAAGCAAAACAAACTTGTATATTTTAAACAAAAACCAAAATCCACAGAAATTTAATCAACATCAATCCTCCCCTTTATTTAAATAAAAAAGAAAGACTGAATAGTCTATTCATATTTTAAATTAACTAAAAAACAATATTTTATTTTTATTATTAAATAATTTAACCAAACAAATTATAATGTGATTGAGATTTGATTGTGTTTTTTTTTTTTGCGCTATGAACGTTTCTCTGGGAGTGGTTGTGTGACGAGGCAATACTGACACCACTCCAATTTCTTATTTTTGGTTTTTTTTGGAATCGTGAAAGATTTTAATTTAATCAAATTAAAGATTTAAGTTTAATTTAATAAACTGTAGAACAATTTTCTTTATTTTATTTTAGTTTAAGAATGGATACTATAGTATTAGATAATAATAATAATATTAATAATAATATTAATTATAGTAGTGATGGTATTAATAATAAAATTCCAAAATGTTTAACTCACAACAAACAATTTAAATTCATTTGCTATAAATGTAATGAATTATTATGTTCAAAGTGTAACAACCTTCATATTCAGTTAAAAGGCACTGGACACAATTGTCAACACATCGATGATATTTCATCGAATTTATCGAGCCATTTCAAAGAGGGTGGTAGTGGTGATGGTGTTGTGGCAACAACTTCCGATAATATTAAGAAGAGAGTAGATAGTCTTTGGCAAAATATCAACCATTCTTCAAATTCACTGAGCAACTTGGAGGAAAAGGAAAATGAGATAGCCAAATACTATGAAGAGCTGCATGAGTATCTACGTATTAAGGAGTGCTATTTGAAAAAGCCAATAGTAGCTGAGAAAGAGAGTGTTTTCAAGCACATTAAAGATTCACTTGTCGAATTGCAATCGTATTTCAGCATATATTGTTGGAATAAACATTATCTGGACAACTTGGATATAAACAACAAAGAGGACAACAGTAGCACCAACAGCTCCAACAATAGTAATAATAGTTTGAGTGGAGTTGATGAGCAGTCATTGCTTAGTCAAATCAATGAGTCGGCCGATTTTCAGCCCAAAGAAATAATAGTTCCATTTACCGAGAAAATCAGAAAGATGGATGAAGATCAATTTATGGAAATGCGAAAGTCTTTGAATGAATGCCAATCTGTTTTAGCTTTTCTTGAAGCTAACAACCAACTATTTGGAATGGAGGGTGGTGGAGAAGTAGAAAGTAGCACGGGTTCCAAAGTCAGTATCGATCCTATCCTATTTCAAGTGTTCAACTATAATGAAATGTATAGAGTCAAAGAGGAGATTAGTCCATTCTTAATCAACGAGTACACCATCACCAAGAGTACCGATCTCAATAAGGAGTTTGGCGATATTCTTCAGAGATCTATTGTAATGATAGTCAAGACACCAGAGGAAGCAAGCATCGAGCAGAGACTAATCAGTCAGATCTCAACAGAGGATCTCCACTCACAAACTATTAATACTCATCAACTGTCCAATAGTGGACACTCCAGATTGTTGTTGGAGCGAATAAAAAAGTCATATATATTTACAACCAATATTGGTGGTGCCACCTTGATTGATATTACAGATCCCAATAATATCAATAGCGAGTCAATTGACTATTCACACTCCTCAGAGTACACTTTCAATTCAGTGGTATCAGTCGGTGAAAATGTCTATGTATTCGGTGGTGGCAAAGACACCGTCAATCAATCGAAATACTTTAGATACTCCACAAAGAAGAGATCAATGGTAGTAGGTGATTTCAAAAGTGATATCAACGGAGTGGCATGTGGCAGATCGATATCAGTGTGTTACGATGGTAAGAACCATGTGTATTTAATCAACGGACATGAGTTTTCAACGGACAAGTATCACCAAAGAATCGACCGTTTCAACTTGGCGAATATGAGTTTCGAGAAGTTCTTTGATTTCCCAGAGAGCGAAGAGAATCACAATCATATCTTTTCATTCTTCTACAAAGACATTCTCTACACGATAAGCGACCAAATCTATACATTCCAAGCAGAGAGCAGGTTACTCTCGCACCTATCGATCAGGGATATCAAAGATATATGTACTGCCTGTACCGATGGAGTTGGAAACCTTTTTATTCTCATGAAAAACCCGTACAATGTTAGAGGATTCTGTCGACTCAACATCGATACCAACAGAATCGAAAAACTGCAGCTACCCAATGATATTAGGTTTGGAGATTCAATGCTCTATCATGAAGGTGTTATCTACTTGATCGGTGGTAAGGATCGTAAGAATTACACTTATTCAGTTGAGAAAAAGGAATGGTCTCGTTTCTTTAAGAATGACACATCGAAAAGAAGGTTGTGTGGATCTGCAATAGTCAATATAAACTAATCTAACTGTGTTTTTACCTTATATATATGTTGTTTTTAAAAATAAACAATCATTATTTTTTTATTCATTATACCATTATTATTGGATAGTTTTCAACTACTCTTCTTTCTTTACCAAAATCGGACCTTAATAAACATCCATTCCGGTGTCATTTTTAAAGTTATAACTTTTTTGTTGTTGACATCCATTATTATTATTATTGTTATTATTATTAACAATGGGTAAAAATTGTTTTTCTAGGTGTGGGTGACGAGGCATCAATAATTATTTCTTGTTTTTTTTCAACCATGTCAGATTTAATTTAAATTAAAGATTTAAGTTTAATTTTAAACCATTTAAAAAAAATTTCTTTACAATTTAATTCATTTTAGTTTAATTAAGAATATGGATGTATCAATATCAGATAATAATAATAGTAGTGATAGTATTATAAATAATATTTCAAAATGTCCAACTCATAACAAGCAATTTAAATTCATTTGTTATAAATGTAATGAATTGTTGTGTTCAAAGTGTATCAACACTCATCTTCAGTTGAAAGGTGCTGATCACTATTGCCAGCACATAGATGAGATTTCATCGAACTTATCAAGTCATTTCAAAGAGGGTGGTGTCGTAAATTCTTCTGACCATATGAAGAAGAGAGTAGATAATCTATGGCAGAATATCAACCATTCATCAAATTCACTCAGCAACTTGGAGCAAAAGGAGAACGAGATAACCAAATACTATGCAGAGTTACATGAGTATTTGCGTGTAGAGGAACTTAGACTTAAGAAACCAATCTTAGCAGACAAGGAAAGTGTTGCTCACAATATTAAAGATTCACTTGTAGAATTACAATCTTATTTCAGCATATATAGTTGGAATAATCATTATCAAAACAACCTAAACAAAGCCAACCACATCATCGACAACAACAATAGTAATTGCTTCAAAGAAGTTGAAGAGAAATCTTTGGTCAGTCAAATCAATGAAACCGACTCAGTAAAACTTCCCTTTACTGAGAGAATCAAACAGATATCTCTGGAGGATCACCAATTCATGAAAATACTAAAGTCTCTGAATGAACGCCAATCTCTTTTAGAGTTTCTCGAAGAAAATAGCGATCTGTTTGGAATGGAGGGTGTCGGTAAAGTACAGAGTAGTCGTCGGGATTCCAAAGACACTATTGATCCTATTCTGTTTCAAGTGTACCAATATAACGAAAAGTATAAAATTGAAGAGGTGCCTAGTCCTTTCTTAATCAACCAGTATACCATTACCAGAAGCGACGATCTTGACGAGATATTTGGCGATATCCTCGAGGAGTCCATTGTAATGCACATCAAGACTCCAGAGGAGGCCAGCATTGAAAAAAGACTAATGAGCCAGAAATCAATAGATGAACTCTCCCAAAGTATGATTCAACAATCGAATATCGGACATTCCGAATCGGAAAGAATCAAAAAGACATATATATTCTCTACCAATATGGATGAAGGTGCTACTCTAATTGATATTACCGATCCCAATAATATCAATAGCGAATCCATCGAATATTTCTACTCATCAAAGTACACATTCAATTCGGTGGTTTCGGTAGGTGAATTTGTCTATGTATTCGGTGGTGGCAAAGACATCAAGAACCAATCGAAATACTTTAGATACTCCACTAAGGATAGAAAACCGGTTAAAGGTGATTTCAGGAGCGAAATCAACGGTGTGGCAGGTGGTAGATCGATATCGGTGTGCTTTGATGGACAAAATTATATCTACCTGATCAACGGGCATGATTGCTCCACCAACAAGTATCACCGAAGAATCGACCGTTTCAACTTGAAGAATATGGGATTCGAGAAGTTTTATAGTTTCCCAGAGAACCAAGATCAACGCAATCATGTCTTTTCATTTTTCTACAAAGACATACTCTACACGATGATGGATCATGGTCATAAAATATATGCTTTCTGTCCTGATACCAAGGTACTTTCACATCTACCCAACAAGAATATCGATGAGATATGCGCTGCCTGTACAGACGGAGCTGGAAATCTATATATTCTCATGAAAAACCCGAACAATGTCGAAGGATTCTGTCGACTCAATATCGATACGAACAACATTGAAAAACTACAGCTACCCAAAGACATAGAATTCGGAGATTCAATGCTCTATCACGAAGGTGTTATCTACTTGATTGGTGGCAAAGATTATAAGAACCATACTTATTCAGTTGAGAAAAAGCAATGGTCAACATTCTTTGAGAATGATACATCCATAAGAAAGATGTGTGGATCTGCCATAGTCAATATAAACTAAACCAATAACAATAGTTTTTGTTTTAAGCAATATTTTAACTTTGTATTACAATATTAACTTTATTGTTATTATTATTTAATTATATTATGATAGAATTTATATTAATAAAGATTTTACAAAGATAAACAACCATTATTTTTTACTATTATTACTATTTATTTATTGTGTTTTGGTGAATGATACATCTCTTAGAATATTCATTATACCGTATTGTTTGATAGTTTCCAACTCCTCTTCTTTCTTTACTAAAATCGAACCTGTATAACCGACAGAGTTTATAGAGATACCCTTGGAGTGATATATTTTTCTTGGTACCATAAACATCCATTCCGGTGTCATTATAAAGTTATAACTTTTTTGTTGTTGACATCCATTATTATTATTATTATTATTATTATTATTATTATTATTACTATTATGATTGATTAAATCTAAATGATTCATTAATGAAAGATATTCAGATTCTAAATATTGTGAGAGTTCTTCGAGATTAAGTGCTTTTATCTTGTTTTGATCGAGTGGAATGAATGCATTCTTAAATTGTAATGTTGGTATATCGATGATTTCACTACTGTTTTTACTGTTATTATGATTGTTGTTATTTATATATTTTCTAAAAAGTGATTCCATTGGACAATTTATATTACTGTCACTCTCGAAATATGGTAATCTAAGTAATTGAAAATGTTTATGAGGTTGACTAAAAAGTAATATAACCAAAAGTTTAGTAAATATATCATATTAATATGTTTTGTTTAAAAGGTTCATTATACCTTGCACCACTATTAGATCCACAATTAAAGAAACATAACATATTACATGAAACTATACATTCCCATCTATAAATATTGATTGATCGATTCACATATAAATTAGTTTATTTGTAATATGATTGATTATTGATTAGATACATACATTGCTTTAAAATCATTTCTATTTAGCGGATCGGTCTGTTCTTGAAAGTCTTTGGTAGCAATGATCGAATGATGATTCGATACATTGAATTTGTTTAATACAAGGTTATGTGATTCATGTAACTCACAGACAAAGAGATCTTTATCACAAGGTAAGAATGGATCGATGAATTCCTTCTTCTTTATAACTACTTGTTGTTGTTGTTGATTATTGCTATTATTATTACTATTATCATTGCATATATCATTTGTCGATTTATTATTATTATTATTACTTTGTGGTGTTGTACCATTAGACGATGTTGTCGATGTTGTTTTATCGAAATTGAATGGTCTCTTTGCAAGTGCAGTAGCAACACTAACCATAAACTAAAAAAATAACAATCAATAACTATATATAACCAAATAAACAGTAGTTTTGTATTGTATTGAATATACATACATTTACACCACCCTCTTCAATGAAAAGAGGTGAGGATTCAATCTTTTCAATCGCACTGATCTGTGTAGCTCTCTCTGATACCTTTTGAATCATCTCCCATAGTTGTCCAGGTTTATATTTAAACATTGAAGACATCTTTATCTTTGAATTAAACATTTAAAAAAATAAATAAAAATGTTACTACTAATTTTAATAAAACATTCATGAACTTTCTGTTTTTTCAGAATTTTTATTCAAAAAAAATATAAAAAAAGTAACTTTTATAATTACTTTATTTATTTATTTAGTTAATGCTTTAAGAATTTAATGTTTATTATTAAGCTAAGCCCACATAACTTTATCACCGATTTAATAAACTCCCAGGTTATAATTTGATTTTTATTTGTAAAAAAAAAAAGTAAAAAAAAAACACATTTGAACAAAACAATTCTCAAGGGTTAATTCAATTTAGAAATTGACATTAAATATATTTACATGTGTTATTTTTACTTAATTTAGTTAATATTAATATAAAGTAATAATTAAACAGAAGAGTAAAAATAAGATAGATAGATAGATAGATATATATGGAAAAGATTGTAAAAACATCATTGATAACAGTTGGTATTACGGCTGCATTCGCTGCTTTTCTTGTATATATAAATCAGGAGGAAGGTGCAAACAGCGATGGTAACTCAAGTAGTGGAAGTAGCAGTGGCAGTAGTAGTGGTGATGAATATTCCTCTTCTTCAAACAGTCATGAAATGTCAACTGATTCAAATGGTGATGATGATGACGATGGTATGTTACTAACTGTTACTTTACGTAAAGAATTAGTTATTAAAACTATCTATCTAACCTAACTATCATATCTATCTCTTTCTATAGATGGAACAGTATCATCACCGAGAACAATGTATGACTATCTAAAGATATTGAGAAACGAAGAGAATACAGATTATTATATATTAAAGAAATTGGAATCGACCCAAGTTTTACTTTCGATTAGCGCATATTGTAGGTATATTATATATATGAATTACTTTACTTTTTCATTATTTAATGAATGAAATCTAACTATTATCAACGTTGAATTACAATAATAATAATAATACTATAGCTGAAAGCTTTCCAATGCTGGAAGAGCTCGATGTTATAAATATAGTTTTAGATAATATGAATTACATTCTTTCGTTGGATATTACCAGTCCTAATCAAGATGGCCTGCTGATAAAGCTCGGTTTGTTCCTCGGCAATCTACTGACCAGTAAGAACAGTCAGAAGAAAGTGATCGACAGTCGATTCGTACCCACTCTTTTAAGTTTAGTCAATGACAAAGTGGAATCAAGAGCTGATTTCTCATTGTTGTGTTTACAGAATCTATCATTAAACGGTACGAGTAACAAGAGCTTCGAGACAGTTTTAATATTGTTTTGTTTTTTTTTGTTTATATATTACAAATACTAATACCAAGTTGATTATAATTAAAACAAATAGAGGAAGGAGCAGAGGAAATCATTGTTTCACAAGGTTTAGACTCTTATTTGAAACTTTTAAATAATGCATCGAAGCCAAACAATCTTAAAAAACAAGCACTTTATACTATTTTAAATATTTCTTTGATAAATAGAGGTATGTTATGTTATGGTTATTGGATTTGTTGACAAAATCAATGTTTATTTATTAATTGCAAAAATATAATTATACAATATTAGTTAAAAATATGATATCCAATAATAATGAGTTAATCGATACCCTAGAGAGAATTGATTCTGGATCACATCTAGACCTTTCCAATCTTACATCGAGAATTTTACAACTTTTACAATCCGACGACGAATAATAATATAATATAATATTTTTTATTTCAACCATTATTTTTTATGAATAAATCCATAAAGAAACAATAATTGTGTGGTGAATCAACCAATCATATAGGTATTATTCATTATTGATAACAAACAAAAAACTAAACGGAGATGTTTAATAATTTTGAAAGCAAACTCAAAGAAATATTGATTTTATGATAGTAAAAGTGTATAACAAATTAATGATAAAAGAGTGTTAAAGACTGGAATTTTAGATATGTAGAGAGCCCCAAAAATTTGAAAGAAAACTGTAACCACGTGGATAAGCGGTTATTACAATAAATAATAGAAATCAAGATATCTACTTTTACTCAGCAGGTAATTTGTACCAGCGGTGAATTCATTTTTGATAAGAAACAATTAAAATAATTTAGGTCATTAAATTTTTTGAGATAATCAAAAAGTGACAGCTTAGCCAAGTGGTTACGGCGACAGACTTGAAATCTGTTCCCTTCGGGGGCGCAGGTTCGAACCCTGCAGTTGTCGAAACATATTAAAATAAAAATCCCATAAAGCGCGCAATTGGTTAATTTTTTTAAAATCTTCCAAATCATGAGCATTTCTTCTTCAAATGCAGGAATGTAGTTTCACAGCAGTTCCTTTCCTTAGTCAAACATATATACTACAAGTACTGTAACTATAGACTTCGTAATTGGAAGCACTCGTGCATCAAGTTCGACGGTCCTATTCGTTCTACTGTCCACTTCACCCATCTTACTGCTGCTATCGTACATTTGTTATGGCAGGCGCTGTCCTGTCAAATGTTTGGTGATGATACCGCTAATTCTATCTCCCAAGGAATCACTGTCGATTGCTCTGCAATAACGCGTAAATTTAAATCTGATTGGAATCTAAATCCTTCCAACTAAGTGCCACCACTTTATACTGTTGTTCATCAACACGCAGCTACTGTTAGATCTATTCCTATCCTAATACCCCACTCAACTTATTAATTAATAACAACTATAAACCAATAATAATAATAATAAAAATAATATTTTTTATTGGTTATTTTCCACGGCCTGTGTGAGAATGTATATATAATATAAAACATCAACTAGCAAGTTAATATCAATACCTGCAATTTATTGACTGATCATGAGTCAACAAATCTTTTTTGCAAAAAAAAAAAAAAATTAAAAATAAAACACGAACTAGAAGGTTAATATCAATACCTGCAATTTGTTGATTGATCATAAAACAAAATATATATTGTTATTGACAGCATTTAGACATTACATAGGTACATTAGATACACTATATTAATAATAAATGAATAGTTTATTAAATTTTTTCGCTTAAATAGATTATAATTTGCTATCCAATCAATAATTTCAATTTAGATGCTTTATGTTTATTGAATTAATTTGGCAGACGAACATATTTATTTGGTTGTTCGCCAGAGTTGTCAAAGGTCATTCTTCTTTTCATTGGTTGCTCTGACTGTAATCTAATAATTAGTCGATCGAATATCTCCAATAGCTTGTGAGACTCTGGGTATTCCTCTTCTATTATTGATTGATATTTGATGAGTTTGTAATACTTGAAATGATGATTGTTCAATATCCAATCGATGGTTTCATATTGATCTTTGTCGATCAGTTGTTTCATGAGATCATTGTCGATCTTCTCTCTAAACTCGGTTCTATTGCAAAGTATCCATCCAATTAATTCCATATTGTTGCTGGATATAGCACCTATATACACATCATCTATCATGTTAGATGTTATGCGCCCATTCTCAAATAGCCATTTGATATTATCCAAACCTTCTTTTGATTGGAAAAGTTCTTGGCTGATTGTAACAGAAGCCGAAGATACTTCAGTTCTATTCGTTAGAAGCCATTTGATCATTTGGAAATCAAATGTGTTCGTCAAAGCTTTCGGTGTGCATCCTTCAGTTCGATTCTCATGAAGCCATACAACAACTTTCATATGTCCATTCTTTGCTGCTTTGTCCATTGCTCTTGATGTGCACCGCGCACTTGTATTTGAATGCAGCCATTTGATTGCTTCAAGCTTGCCTTTTTTAGATGCTTTGTCAATTGCAGCAGTGGTACAACCTTCACTTCTATTCTCATGAAACCATTTCAAAAGATCCAAGTCTCCGTGCTTAGCAGCAGCATCCATATTATCACTTGAGAATTTCACTCCTTGTTTAGTTTGTAAATATTTGATAATTTCCAAAGAATTGCTCTTTGCTGCAATACTGATTATATCATCAGGATATTTAATTGATGTATTCTCAACTAACCATTTGACCATTCCAAGGTTGTTGTTCTTTGCTGCACTTTTTATCAAACTCTTAGGATATTTTGGTACACTATCAAAGGTCTCAACGATCCATTTCAGCATTTCAAGATTGTTTTTCTCTCCTGCCAACCAAATAAGTTCAGTTGTGATTGATGATTCTTTTGAAATATTAAATTGGTGTAAGAGTTTCATCATTTCCAAGTTGTTGTTGGTTGCTGCATGTTCATATAATATTTTATCTTCAGACTCTGAGTTAAATAGTGGACCCAATTGCAAAAGATATCTAACCGCTTCAAGTTTGTCATTGATTACTGCGAAATAAAGCATCTTATTTCCTCTTTCTAATCCGTTGGGTCTGTTGGTGATCAACCATTGAATGACGTTGGTATTTCCATATGCTCCAGCCTTATTAAATACATCTGAATTAACTTTTTGTTTTTGATCTGGATGTCTATCCAATTGGTTCGCAAGATATTCGACCATCGCTACATTCATTGATCTTGGTGATTCGGTATATGCTCCAGCATAATCCCATTGATAATCTACCGATTCAATGAGATACTTCACAATATTGATCTGATTGCATATAATTGCCATCATTAGGACTCTTTGAAATTCCTTTTCATATTGTCTCTCCTTACTTCTTTCAATGATTTTGAATACTTCTATCAAGTACTTGAGAATATCCAATCTACCGACTCTTGCTGCCTCCATAAATTGCTTATCACGACCACATAGCTCGGTATTAGCTGATATTAATAAAATATCTTTTATTCTTTGATCATAGAATATCTTAAGGAGATTGAAATAACCAAAGGTAATCATCAGTTTTGGTGATTTAATAATTGTATTCCACTTATAATAATGATGATGATTCTCATCTTGATATATTCTATTGATTTCATATACTCTATCAAATATATATCTATATAATACTTTATTTTTTAATACTGTACTTATAAATATATCTTTATTCATTTTAATTCTTACTAATAAATAACTAATGACAAAAAAAAAAACAAAACTAAAAAAGAGATCACAAAAAAAAAACTGGCTCCTAACTACTTTCTCCTGCATTAATTTTAAAAAAAATCTAAAAATTAAAAATTGGTTTTTTTTATTTTATTCAATTTATGGTTACAAACAAGAATATGTTTTGTTTTAAAAAAATAACCATTTGATAATTTCAAAACCATCTTTTGATTTGAAGATATCTTTGCTGACTGTAACCTTTTGGATATATTTCAACTCGATTCTCAAAGATCCATTTGATCATTCTGAAATTAAATAATTCCTTCAATGCATACTCCATTGCTTGAAATGAAGATCGGATGAGAATTTCACTCCAGGTTTGAGTAAATATTTTATAAATACAAAGCATTACACATTGCAGCAGTACTGATGATTATCAGGATACTGAATTGATGTATTCTCAGCTAACCATTTAACCATTCCAAGATTGTTGTTCTTTGTCGCAGTTTCCATCAACTTCTTCGGATATCGTAGTGCGTCAGTAAAGGTCTCTGCAACCCATATCATCATTTCAAGATTGTTGTTCTCCACCGCCAACGAAACAAGAGCAGAAGATGATGTTGTGTCTTTTGGAATATTATACTGATGTAAGAGTTTCATGATTTCCAAATTGTTTTTGGCTGCTGCATGTGCATATAAACCTTGTGATTTAGAGTCAAGTGGTGAATCCAATTGCAAAATATATCTGACCACTTCCAGATTTTCTTTGCACACTGCCAAATAGAGCATTCTATTATTTTTTCTTTCCTCTGGTCTGTTGGTGATCAGCCATTGAATTACGTCGGTATTTGCATATTTTCCAGCTTTATCAAATATATAAACTTTACATTTTTGATCCGAATGATTATCGTATTTATTCGCTAGATATTCGACCATCGCTACATTCTTTGATTTTGGTGATTCGGTATATGCTCTAGCATAATCCCATTTATAATCCACCGATTCAATGAGATACTTCACAATATTAATATGATTGCTTACAATTGCTTTAATTAGGATTGTTTGAAATTCTTTTTCATATCGATCTTCCTTTATTCTCTCATTGATTTTGAATATATTGATCAAGTACTTGAGAATATCCAATCTACCGACTCTTGCTGCCTCCATGAATTGTATACCATGACCATAAAGAAAATTATATCTTGATTTTGATAAAATAGATTTTATTTTTTTATCATAGAATATCTTTAAGATACCGAAATAACCGAATGTAATCATCAAATTAGGTGATTTAATAATTGTACTCCATTTATAACATTGATTCTCATCTTGATATAATCTATTGATTTCATATACTCTATCAAATATATATTTATTTATGATTTTATTTTTAAATATTAAACTTATAAATATATCTTTATTCATTTTAATTTGTACTAATAAATAACATGGGACAAAAAAAAAAATGTGTTTTTGCCAGACCCAAAAAAATTTTTTCCTAATAATTCTGATTTTTTTTTTTTTTTTTTGTTATTAAAATATGATCATTTTACCAGAATCGGTTGTTTAGTAATAAGAAATCATGTTTGATAATATTATAATGGATGTATAGTTACTGCGAAATAAAGCATATAATTGTTTTTTAATTCACTTGGTTGATTGAATATCTATTTGCTTGAAGTAGGATTGCTTGTAACTCCAATGAATAGATCCTTTTCTTTCCTCTCCCATTGACTTTGAATAGATCTAACAAGTACTTGAGAATCTCCAGCCTACCGACTCTTGCTGCCTCCAAGAATTGTGTATCATGACCACACATCAATAAATCTTTTCTATTTAACAAAATAGATTCATTATTAATCAACTCCAAATCACAACAAATAACTTATATTAAATAACATTAAATTATATCTTTTCATCCTCTATTAAATATATATTTATTTAATACTTTATTATTTAATATTAAAATCAAAGATCAAAGAAAGGAACCTCAAAGAAAAATTAAATTAAGTTTTTAAATATAAGATAACTATCTATTGATTCTAAATTTTTGCTCTTTAAACTGTTCTCGTCTATTGTTGATAATGTATTTGCTACCTCTCTCAAGAGGTGGGGATTTCTTTGATCAAAAATGTATTAAACTGTTTCACCAGTGCACCGAAAATTGATCTACACAATCCCACTTAATTTTTTTTTTTTTTTTGAAATTCATTAATTTAGTTGAATTTAATATTTTTTTTTTTTATGTGAATGCTAGTCAGGTAGATATCTGGACTCCGAGTTTCCAAAAAATCAAATCTCCAGATCACTTGGTGTATCAAATTTGATCAAGTTTGCTTTAATTTTCATTTATTAATAAAATTAATGATTATGTCTTTATCTCTAGTACTCAGATTGAATTTGATTATGACTCTTGGTTCAAAGAAATTAATGATATTATTTAAGAGAAGTATACTCGGCGACAATAACAATTTTTCTAAACAATTAATGATTATTAATAGAGGAACTTTCAAAGTCATTTGAATATCAAAACAAAATAAAATAATAAATAAACATTAATATTATCTTTGCAAACAAATACATAAATAATCAAAACAAAAATGGTCGTCGCACTCCAATGTTTCATTAACAATACTCCATTCAGAGTCGCTTTTAATAACTTAGAGAATTCTGGTGATAACTTTGAAATGACCGGTAACTCTAAACATGTCAGTAAGTAGAGCACTCATTGTGATATTAATGTTTAATAAAAGATATTTAAACATTGATTTTATATGTTTTGTTTGATATAGGTGGATTGTGGGTTCCATATAAAAAATCAGGTAAATCAGTTAGAATCTTAGTAGGCTCCACTGTATTCACAATGTATGACGATGAATGGAAGATTGTCATTGAGAACAATGTTACCTTTGACCTTGCTCATGATTGTATGAAGTTTTTCTTAACTGTCAATGGTAATGATGAATCTAATCTTAATTTCCAATTGTAAGTCTCTATTGAATAAGATATGATATAAATAACATAAATATATATATATTAACACTTTATTCTTTTTATTATTTAGAGAACAAATCAAAGCCTTTTAAAGAAAAAATAGACAAATTTAAATAATAAATAAAAAAATAGTATTATTCTATTAATAATAATTTATATATTATTGTTTCTTTTATATCTTTTAAATGAGATAGTTAAAATACACCTGTATCAATACAAACGAATAAATGTTTTAAAGTATTTGAATCCATTATAAGTGACTTTAATATTTAAAAATTCATATAAATAAAACAAAAGTGCGAGCTCTTCAAGTGATCGATAACAAAATGAAATCATAGTTATATCAAGATAGGTGTTTAACATTTATTGATTCCTAAATATTGATTTCGCACATTTTTTTATTATACTGATTGTTGTTCCCGCCCAAAATCTTTGATTGCAAACATTGGCGCCTTTTTTGAATTTAAATTTTATTTTTACAACTTCAGTGATTAAGCACATTAAATTTAATATTAAATTGTAATATTTATTTAATTATATATATAATTAAAGATGTCAGCTTTTAATAATAGTGGTATCAATTTCAATTCACAGATTAATATGAATAATAATCATATGAAACAATCTTATTATCATTCGACCATGGGAAATCAACAGCCATTCACTGCGTCTTTATTGAATAGTACAACAATAACCAATAATAATAATAACAATACTTATGATAGTATGATGATGACATCTTCACAAATGACAAGATCACAAAGACCAACACAACAACAGCAACAGCAACAACAAACATTAGATATACCAGAGTCATTCTTAGAGGAAGTGGTCAATCAGATGCGAAGAATCGAAGATAATGTCGATCAGTGGAAATCGGAGCATCTCGACACTCTTCGAAAGAATAAGATATCACACTTTACCAGTACAACTAAATTAAAAGAGAAGATCGATAATCTAAACAATGAAGAACTGTTCTTCAAACAAGCAGATGAACATTCAAAACAAAGTATGTTTAATAATATATATATTTTTACATAATAATGAAATCAATTTTATTAACAATCTCTCTCTTTTCTTTGCAATTATTACTATTTCAAGTTATCGAAAGACAACGTGCAGATATACAATCATTTATAGATCAAATCAAAGAGTTGAAAGAACGTCAGGATAAACTACCACCAACAGTCCAACATCTCTCTGGATTGATACGCGACGAACAGAGAGAAGTACACGAGAAACAACAATCAACAAATCAAACAGAATCCGACAATACCAAACAACTTTATTTCATCAACAAGAATCTTGAATTTTTTAGAGAGTATTTAGCATTGGATATAAAAGTTTCACAAGGTAAAGATTAATCTTATTTAAATTTGATCATATTATAACTTAACTTATAAACATCATTAACATAACTTTTAACTTTATATTGTATATATATTTATATAGATGGTGTAGAATTTAATTATAAATTAATAGATAGATTAAACCCGGATCATTTGTTTTCAGTAAAGATAGATTGTGAATCGGATCGCTATAGATTGGTCAGATGCGAACCGAACCTTCCCAATATCAATACACTGGTAGACACACTGAATGAAACAAGTCATTTATCAGGTTTTATAAAATCAGTTAGAAATTCTTTTGTACATTTTTGCAATTTAAGAAATAACAATAATAACAACAATAATATTACAAAAGATACAAACATAATGGAATCATAATCATAATCATAATCATTAAGAATAAATTAATTTTTATTGTAATTTGTATAATTATTAAAAAACAAAACAAAAAAAAAATCAAATATTTATTTATATTTTTAGATTGCTCATCTAAATAGAATGTATGTACTTTTGATGAATCATCTGATTATGACTCATAATCTTTGCAGATCCGCACATGTTTTAGTAAAAGATAATTAAAAAAAAGTGATTCACCATCTTTAACCCGAATCACTTCCTTTTGAAACATTTAAATTTTGACTTTTTTTTTTTTTTTACTAATTTTTTTTTTTTTTTAATCGACCTCATCATTTTTGTTAAAAAATAACACGATTGTCATTTTTGTTTGTCTAATTGTTGTTCTTGTCATTCTTAACTTCAAAAGATGTCAACAAAGAATAAATTGATAACAATACAACATAATGTTATAGATAGAAAAACAAATAAAGTAATAGAATCAAATTCAAAAGATGAAAAGAAACATTTAAAACAACAACAGCAGCAACAACAACAACAACAACAGCAGCAACAACAAGATAATAGTAATAGTAATAATAACAATAATAATAATAATAATGGTGGAATTTTAAGTTATTTTAATAATATATATAGTAATGTAAATGATTGGTTGTATTTAAAGAATTTCAGTTTGTTTTCATCTATTTTACAGTGTGGTGTTATACCACGACATATCGGAGTGATTATGGATGGCAATAGAAGATTCGCACGAAAGCAACATATCGATACGTCTGAAGGTCACAAGCTAGGTTTCACCAAGATGCTGGATCTGTGTCAGTGGGGATTGGCACTGGGTGTTCAGATCATCAGTGTCTATGCATTCTCCATAGAGAACTTCAAGCGACCACAACACGAAGTAAACTACCTAATGGAATTGGCCAACCAGAAATTCGGAGAGGTCATCTCTCGGTCACACAAACTTCAGAAACTCGGTGTCAGAATTCGTATTGTCGGTGACATCTCCCACATTCCCGAGAAAACACAAATCATCTTGGCAAAAGCTGTTAAAGCAACCGAATCAAATACAAAGTATGTTAAATAGTTTAGTTATATAGATTGAATGACTGATTAGCCAACTCTAACTTGTTGTTTATGTTATGTTTGTTTTTAAAACTTTAAAGGGCATTGTTAAATATATGTATGTCATATACTTCACATGAAGAGATGTTACATTCGATGAGGACACTATCGAAGGGTGTGGAGGATAAGGTTATTAGGACAGAGGATATCGATCAGAATCTGTTTGAAAAGTGTTTATATATTGAAGAGGATCTAGATATTTTGGTTAGAACGTCTGGCGAGTATCGTCTGAGCGATTTCATGCTGTGGCAATCATGTTTTAGTAGCACCAATTTTCTGAATGTACTGTGGCCAGATTTCTCTTGTTTCCATTTCTTTTACATCATATTTCTATATCAATTCAATTATAAATTAGTTAAAGAAAGACAAAAGAAGAGAATATCATCAAATATCAATAATAATAATAATAATAATATTTGTAATAATACTAATAGCAATAGCAATAGCAATAACAATAACAATAACAATAATAATAATCAACAACAATTACAAGATAGTTTAAATTCAACTGATAGAATAAGAGATTTCATTGAACTCATAAAAAAGAATGAAAAAGATTTGTTTGAAGAGTTATCAATGAAAGAAGAACTATAAGCGAAATAAATAAAATAAATAAAATACGATTATTTATAATTATAAATATATATAATAATGTATTTGTATTTTAGATTGTTTAGATTTAAATTTATACATTCTCGAATTGATTGATCTTATGTTGACTTCTACCCAGAAGATCATTCATGAATACCCAATCTGTAAGTTTGTTCTCCTCTGTCTTTAAATAGATATATGGAATGATATAAGGAACTGGTTTACGAGTAAATAACAATACCTAATAGAATTGAATTATAATTAGTATAAACATGATAGTGATTCTATTTGTAAATAAAACATACATTGATAAAATGATAACCTTTCTTATGTGGACATTCAGTTGATTCCGATATTAAAATTTCGATGACTTGATCAAAGTTGAATGTTGTCTTTACTTCTAATCTATTTATAACAAGTCCATCTTCTTTGACAATACCTGTGTTTTTAACCTATATATTTATTTTTAAAATAGTATTAAAGAATGATTTGGTTAATCACTATCTTTAAAAACCTAATAATAGATTCATAACAAACCATACTTCAAATGGAATACATTTTGCACCCTGATCTTTAATTCTCTTTATCTCTTTGTTCAACATCTCTTTCATCCAATTAAGTACTTTTGTTTCTTTTAGGTTGTCATTGGTAGTTGGATTCACTGATTCACCCAAGGTAACTGGATCTTGTGGTTCTGCTGGTTGTGATTCTACTGCGGCTGTTACTACTCCTATTGCTGTAGGAGTAGATTGTTCTTTTTGTTGTTCGTCTGTTTGACTCATCTCTTATTTATCAATAATAATATCTTATTAGCTTATTCGTTTTTTAGAAAATTTAAATTAAAAAAAAGTTTTTCGTTTTTTTTTTTTTTGGCTTTTTCATAAGGGCCTCGTCTTTGTAATATCTAAAGATAATTTATTTTTATCATTTTTTATTTATTTTTATTTATTTTTTTGTTTTAAGTATCATTCATATAAATTAAAGTTTTGATAAATATTATTTTAAAATCGTATCAAATACCATTATTGCTAAAATATAACTAATTACTTTTGGGTTATAAAAATTAAGACCTTTCAAAAAAAAAAAAAAAGAAAGATATTAGTTTTTTTTCAAAAGTGAAAAATTCTTTGAAGAAAACTATCAACAACAGATAAAAGCCTATCAAAATGAAGTGCGAAAATCCAATATTTCGCAAATATTAGTCATTTTTTTTGCGATCGAACATCAAGATCAATAGGATCTTACTATGATCGTAACTCGTCAATAATTTATTGTTTTTTATTAATATTGATTTAATTTGAGGTTTTTTGATTTAGATTTAAATTAGTTATTATTTAAAAGGTCGCACTCACCGATTAAGAAACCATGGTCTACCATCAAACAACAATACTAAACAAAACAAAACATTTCAAAGATTTAATAAATTCACATTTCATTCTCAAATAGATAAATATATAATATAATAAAACTTATAATTATATTTATTTCTATTTAAAAAAAAAGAAAAGAATGGAAAGAATTAAAAATAATTGTAAAATGAAAAGTCAAACATTCATTTTATTTTTAGTATCTATATTATTTTTATTTGATATTAATTTAGTTTATGCTGCCCGTTTGTATTATGAATTTTGATTATAATAATAGTTGATTTGATCAAAGAAAGATCTTCTATCACACTCACATTTTTATTAACACTTTTTTTTAATTTTATTTTTTTAAAAAAAAAAAATTGTATCAAATCAAATCAAATTTAGCGGCCATACCAATTATAAGTGAGGTCATACCAAATGTAATAATAAATAGATTCCCATATATATCTATTGCCGGAACTCTGTTTGATCCAGCCACAGCAACAGTAACTCTAAATGGTCAGAGCTGTGAGATTACAAGCATAACCAGTACAGCCATCGATTGCAATGCAAGTCCAAGTGACTATTACGGTGATGCCAGTGTCGCCGTACAGAGTAGAGGTTTTACCTCATCTCCATATGTAATCAAAATGACACGTATGTTCATAATGGTTTATAGGTTATAGATTTATCTTTATTTGTTATTAATTACTTTACTCCACTCTACTTTATATTATATATATTATTTCATTTATGAAATTTCATAAGCAATGCCACCAACCTATGATAGTATCTATCCAAATTATATCGTAACTTCTGCATCTGTTCAGGTTACTATCAGTGGTAGTCAATTCGAGATTGGACTAACTACAGCAACGATCGGTGGATTACCATGTAGCAGTCCAAGCGTTTTGAACAATGGACATACCATATGGTGTTATTCTCCAGCGATCAACACTCCCGGTATCCAACAAGTAGTTATCACCAATGGAAATGCCGATTCAGCTCAATCATCCAATGTTGTTACAATCTTTGCTCGTAAGTTTTTAATTAAAAGTTTATACCCACGAATAATCATTCATTCATTCATTCTTTCAATTATTAATATTATAGCACCAACAATTACCCGTGTAAATCCAAGTACGGTAGTCAATCAATATGCTTTTTTTAGTATTACCGGAACAGGATTTGATGGATCAACCATAGTGAATGTCAATAATCAGGCTGCAACAACCACTAAACTCAACAGTACATTCATCGAATGCAATGTACCTCCAACCAGTTACTTTGGTAATGCACCTCTACAAGTATTCACCAGAGATATCGGTTCAAATATTGCTACATTAGTAATGACACGTATGTCTAATAGCTATTCATAAAACAATATATAATTCATTGGCAAATAATATTTATTAATTATTAATTTTAAACTATTAATATATAGCAATACCAGCTGTAATAACAAGTGTTTATCCAAGTAGTATCTATGTTGATACCACTCCCATAGTTACTATCTCTGGTTCCAACTTTGTTGGTGGTAGTGGATCTCAGATTACAGTCGGAAGTCTATCATGTAATGGTTACAATGTTATAAATTCAACTACAGTATTGTGTTATGCTCCCCTACGCAATGTTGTTGGAAGCCAACCAATCGTTATTAGAATTGGAAACGTCAATTCCAATCAATTTCCTTTAAATTATATTGCCAGTAAGTCTATTATTATCTTACATTATTGTATTATTTTTAAAAGCTACATTTTATTAATATTATATTATTTTATCTATAGCTGCACCACCTCCACTCATTTTTTCGACTCTACCTGAACTGGTTTCAACATCAAGCCCAATCATTACAATTTATGGACAATATTTTGCTTTGTCCTATACGGTTATGGTCAACAATCAACCTTGTCCACTCAGCCAATCCCCCACTAGTACAATGATCATTTGTGAAGCCACTCAGCTTCGTAATACCAATTTTAATAGTATCACTCAACTTCAAGTTAAAAGTAATGGACAATTCTCTAATGCAGTTCAAGTTAGATTTGTTAGTAAGTTCAATATTTTATAACATTTTGTATTATTTCGAACAAAGTAAAACTTTTACTAATTTACAATATATATTATTGTTCAATTTTAGCCAATCCACCAAATGTTATAAGTATTTATCCAAGTGCTATCCAGGTAAATACATCGCCATATATTACTATCGTTGGTAATCAATTTGTTACGGGTCTTTCGCAAGTTACCATTGGTGGTAGACCATGTCCGACAGTATCCAATTCCGGACATACAATTACTTGTCAAGTTCCACCAAGTGCTGCTTCCAGCCTTCCTGTTTTGGTTATCAATGGTGCTTTATCTTCAACCGCTAATGCAAATACTATTTTGTATGTCTTGCCTGTCCTCCCAAATATACTTAATTTCAACCCTACCACCATTCAATATAATACACCAACAACTATCAGTGTAAATGCAATTGGATTGACAGGTACCGGTCATAGATTATTCATTGGTGACACTCCATGTTTAACTGGCAATGCCAATGTACTAATGATGAGTGCGACGTGTACTATTGTTTCCAACTATGGACAGTTGCCACTCAATATCAGAACATCCACAGGTGTAACCAACACTGTCATGGTCACGGTTAACTATCCTCAAATGCAACCAATAGTCAGCTCGGTCACTCCAAACGTTTACATAATGGGTGAAACCACTCAGGTTACACTCACCGGTAACTTTTTTGTCAATCCAAGAGTTCGTGTCCTCCAAACTAGTATGGAATTCCCTCAGGTAACCTATGTCTCACCGAGCATCTTGACTTTCACAGTACCACCTAATTTCTTTCAGAATGAAGGTAGTTATCAACTTATTGTCCAAACACCAACTTCTTCATCCAATGGTGCCTTTTTCAATGTTGGATCACCTCTTCCCAGTATATCTTCTATCAACCCACAATCCGCTCTCAACAACCAGTCTACACTGATCCAAATTTCAGGTGTTGGATTTGTAGATGGCTTTACCCGAGTAACTATTAACAATGTTCAAGTACAAATGACTGTCGCTTCCAAGAATCTCATGTTTGGTTTTGTTAATCCACCGAATCCTGCAAGTCTGGGTGCCAACCAAGTGTTGGTGACCAACGGCCAAAGAACTGGATCACCTAGTCAAATCGTCTATAAACCATCGCAACCCAACATCACATCGTTAAGTCCATCGTCCAAGTTGGCAAGTGATACAACTAACATTGTTATCAATGGTTATGGTTTTGTAGCAGGTTTAATGACTGTTATGGTTGGCAATTCCCAAGTACAAAGTAACACAGTCTCAGGAACATCCATTGTATTCTCTGCCCGTCCAGAAAACTTTGTTGGAGCCAAACAAATTACTGTAATGCACGCTGGTCTAGTTTCAAATCCAATGCCATTGACCTATACAGGCATTACACCTTCCATCGACTCGATATCATCCCAATCCGTCACCAACATACAATCTACGCAGGTAACAATAACCGGATCTAATTTCATGGTTGGATACATATCGGTTTTGATACAATTCGACTCTGGACCTGTCAATTGTACCATTTTAGATTCGACCAATACATCGATTATCTTTGACAGTCCAGAGGTTGCAGAGGCAGGTCAAAAGACTGTTCAAGTATTAAATGGTAACACTGTCAATACTGGTTCATTCTCGATTCTCTACCAATCACCAGGATTGTTCATTGATTCAATAGATCCACCTGCAATGATTAATACTCACTCCACTGTAATTACCATTCACGGTAGTGGTTTCGACGCCAGACTTTTGACAGTTGTCGATAACTTTAATTTCCGATGTGCAATGCTTTCCAGCGATGTTCACTATACCTATATGGTTTGTAATCTTCAGCCACCACCCAATAATTTCGTTGGTACCGTAACAGTAACACTCAAGAGTTTGACAGACAGTGCTCACTTCTTTCTCCTACACCTTTATGTCACCTCAGCCAGTTGTCAATTCAGTCTATCCAAACCCAGTAAACATTGATGGATCACTTCCAGTCACATTGACAGGTTCCAATTTCCAAAAAGGAGTATCAAGTGTAACTACTGGTGGTATTACAGCTAATATCATATGCGATCTTCACCAACAGAAATCGTTTTCGATTCCACTCCTTTGCCATCAATTGGTGACTTCCCATGCCGAGTATACAATACTCGTGATAATCTATTTGCTCAAATCACTGTGAAATACATGCCACTCCCATCGATCACCAGTATCACTCCTACTTCTGCTTATGCTGGAAGTGGAACAGTCTTTACAATTGTTGGTCATGGTTTTGTTGCAGCATATTCCATCATTGCTATTATGGCACCCGATCACATTGAATACTACATTGCCCACCAAGTTGATCCAGCAGGAGCCAATGGATTGGTACAAACCTATGTTACACTTCCAAAATACTATAACTGCTGGAACAAAGTATATTGGCAATCCAACAACGGTCCACTTTCCACACAGAACCCACTACCCCGTTGAAATAACAGCACAACCTATTCCAATCATATCATCTGTCGAATCCAAGTACAGTTGTCAATGTCCAATCTACACAGGTAACAATAACAGGATCTAGTTTCATGGTTGGATACGTTTCTGTGTTGATACAATCCGCGTCTGGTCCTGTCAATTGTACAATTGTAGAATTGACCAGCACGAAAATTATCTTCAACAGTCCAGAGGTTGCAGAGGCAGGTCAAAAGACTGTCCAAGTTCTCAATGGTAACACTGCAAATTCTGGTTCATTCTCGATTCTCTACCAATCACCAGAATTGGTCGTTGATTCAATAGATCCACCCGCAATGATTAATACTCATTCCACTGTAATTACCATTCACGGTAGTGGTTTCGACGCCAGAATATTGTCGGTCGTCGATAACTTTAATTTCAGATGTGCAATGCTTTCCAGCGATGTTCACTATACCTATATGGTTTGTAATCTTCAGCCACCACCCAATAATTTCGTTGGTACCGTAACAGTAACACTCAAGAGTTTGACAGACAGTGTCACTTCTTTCTCCTACACCTTTATGTCACCTCAGCCAGTTGTCAATTCAGTCTATCCAAACCCAGTAAACATTGATGGATCACTTCCAGTCACATTGACAGGTTCCAATTTCCAAAAAGGAGTAACAACTGTGACAACCGGTGGTATTACAGCTAATATCATATCGATTTCACCAACAGAAATCGTTTTCGATTCCACTCCTTTGCCATCAATTGGTGACTTCCCATGCCGAGTATACAATACTCGTGATAATCTATTTGCTCAAATCACTGTGAAATACATGCCACTCCCATCGATCACCAGTATCAATCCAACTTCTGCTAATCTTGGAAGTGGAACAGTCTTTACAATTGTTGGTCATGGTTTTGTTGCAGCATATTCCATCATTGCTATTATGGCACCCGATCACATTGAATACTACATTGCCCACCAAGTTGATCCAGCAGGAGCCAATGGATTGGTACAAACCTATGTTACACTACCAAATACTATCACTGCTGGAACAAAGTATATGGCAATCAACAACGGTCCACTTTCCACACAGAATCCACTACCCGTTGAAATAGTAGCACCTGTTCCAACCATATCATCCGTCAATCCAAGTACAGTTGTCAATATCCAATCCACTTTAATTGTTATTACCGGTACAAATTTCGATCAAAGCACTACAGTTTCAATTATTTCACAGGTTAAAGGTTCCGTTCCTTGTCCTGTGGACACCTATACTGCCACCACTATTTCATGTATTGCTCCGCAGTTGGAAGAGTTTGGATCTAAACAACTTGTTGTTGCCAATGAATATGGTAATGTCTATGGTACTATCAACTATGAATCACCACCCATTGTAATCGATAGAGTGTTACCATCGTCAATGCCGAACCAAATCGCAACGACTATTACCATCAAAGGTAGTGGATTCGATACACGTATCACTAGCTTCCTCCCCGATCCAAATTTCAATTGCGTTGTTGTTGCTATTATGCGAGATCAGTATATCTGTACGGTTCAACCACCTCCCGACCAGTTGGAGGGTGACATTACAGTGACCATTATGAACCTCTATCCAGGAGATTCCGCCACCTTTACATTTACCTATTTAAATTCAATGCCATACCTTTCTGCGGTTCAACCTTATGTTGCGAATACCGATGGATCTATTCCCGTTACCGTCATAGGTTCAGGATTCTTTGATGGTGTTACCACTGTCAGTATTCCAGATGCTTTTCCAGTCCAAACTATTGTACAGTCAATCACGCTAAACGAGATCGTATTCACGATTTCAACAAATCCTGAGATTTCAGCTGGTGGTCACGAAGTTAAAGTTATCAATGGTAACAATCCACTGTTGGCTATATACTTTTATGTTACCTATCTTCCCACTCCGCAACTACTTGCCGTTGATCCAAATTTCCAATATCTACATATTCTTGTTCCATTCACTCTTTACGGCTCAGGATTTTTACGTGAATTCACAACAGTCTATATAACAGATGTTAACAACCCAAGTTTAGAACAGACTGTCTTTGGTGACGATATAAATCCAGATGGTTCCATTTCATTCAGGCTGTCAGACCAACTCATGGTTCCAGGTAACAAATTAATCTATGTTAGAAACGGTCCGTCATTTGAATCCCAACGATTGATGGTTGAAGTACAATGGCCAACACCATCCATTGACCGCATCGAGCCTGCAGCCGTACCAAATCAAAATGTAACTCAAATCACTTTGACAGGTACAAACTTTTACGGTCCAACCGTGCAAGTTAGAATCAGTATGTTTGAAGTGTACGATTGTCCAGTCATTGAGAATATCAATTACGATACGTTGATTATCAATTCTCCAAATGTACAAAATAACGTTGGTACATATATGATAGAGATAACTGTCTTTGATAATATCGGACGTTATCCCATTGAATTTATGTCATCTACCATCGCCGTTGACTCTGTAGTTCCATCATCGATGATAACCACCCATGCAACAACTATTACCATTCTCGGTAGTGGATTCGATTCACGTTTACTCTCTGTTGATGACAACTTTAACTTCAGATGTCCAATTCCCGATAGTAACGTTCAGTTCAATTCCATTGTATGCACTGTCCAACCAACAATGTATGCATACATAGGAGATGTTAGAGTAACACTCAGACTATCAACTGGAACATCTGCTACCTTCCTATTCACATTCAGTTCACCACAGCCTAATATCACATCGGTATCTCCAATGATTGCAAACACGGCTGGTTCCACACTTATTACCATCTCAGGTTCGAGTTTCCAAGAAGGAATATCCAGCGTACTCATCAATGGTGAGATTGAAACCGCTATCTCCTTGATAACACCAAATCAAATTGTATTCACATCGAACGAAGTTCCCGAAGGAATTCAAAATATTACTGTTACCAACTCTGGTGATAATCTATCGGCAACCACTCAACTTCTATACCTCCCATCCCCAGTATTGACTTTTATAACACCAACATTCATTACCAATGAAGTTAGTTCTATTATCACTGTAACTGGTACTGGATTCTTTGTCGGTCATACAGTTATCGCCGTTGGATCGCCCAATGAAATTCCAGATCTCACCTTTACAGTTGACAATATCGAGAATGATGTTGATTTTATCATATCAATTCCACCATTATCGCCATTCTTTGGAGTAAAAGATATCATTGCCTACAACGGTCCTTCCTCATCGAATATCATAAATCTTCAAGTTTATAAACCAACACCAGTTATCACTAATGTCGACCCACAACAGGTTGATTCAACCACTGCTACCAATGTAACTTTAACTGGTACCAATTTTGTTGTTGATGAAACACAGTTGTCAATTTCACCAAATAACGATGTATTTATCCCACTCATAAGTATATCAACAACTGAAATCATATTTACAACCAATGTAACAAGATTAATTGGAATTAGATCTATCTTTTTACAAGTGGAGGGTGCTCAGTTGGTTTCTAAAGACTTGGAATTCCTTCCAGGTGTACCAGTCATCACCGATTTCCAACCAAAATCAATGAACTACTCTGCCCAGACAACATTTACATTGACAGGTTACAATTTCTACGATATCTCTACAGTATCGGGATGTATAGTATTGGAACAGAATGAAACTACAATCACATGTTTAACATTTATTTTCTTTGATGGAATGATCCTACAGAATAATACATACAAATTGCGTGTAACCAACAATAATTTCGATTCCAACGAAGTTAGTGTTCAAGTATTACCAATCACCCCTGTTATTAAATCAATTAGTCCATCCGTACTCTATTCCCATCAACAAATTTCACTTTTAGTCCTAACTTCTGGAGTAATGTTTGGTGCTAATGTAACAATCAACGATATTCAAGTTAGAATTTTCGAGATCAATTTGAACCGAGTTTACTTGTTGACACCCTCACTACCAAAAGGAACCTATCCACTTGTCATTCGTAACTCTCCAGATCAAATTGCAGCCTATGCTTTGACATTCATTGATCCAACACCAATCATCACTGGTGTCAGTCCAAATGTTACTGATCTATATGCAACCAATACTATTATCACTATCAGTGGTTCAGGTTTTGTATCAAACTTTTCGATTATAACTGTTGGAGCCTATCAATGTCAGAATGATTCAACCGTAACAAGTACAGAGATCCAATGTATTCTCTCAAATGTTACAACTCAAGGTGTTTTACCAATCAATATACAGAATGGTGATATTATTTCCAACACAGAATATGTCGAGTTTATGTATCCTTTGCCAGTCAATTATGTATCGCCAAATTATGTAATCTTCAGTGATCAGAGCACTAGTACATTCACCATTACATTGTTTGGCCATGGATTCAGCCATTATCAAGATGGAAAGGTTCAATTCCAAAAAGAAGTTGTTGGTACCACTCCAACTTTGACCTATCAATGCAATGTGACTACAAAGACAGATACCAGTATCGAATGTATTTCATCGATGATTCCAATCGGTAGATACGAAGTCCTATTCTATTCTGGACATCTTCATTCCAATACCACTGTTTTCACTGTTGTCGATCGTGCTCTTTCTTGTTTGTCGACACAGGGCGCATCTGTATCCTGGTGGTTCGTAAGAAAGATCCCACAATCACAATCGTACATCTATGTGGATAGTGATTCTCAAGATATGAAATATCTACCATCTATCAACTCAACTACCGGATGTTTGGCTCGAACATTGAACCAAATAGCAATCAGCTCATCCGAAAGTTCCAATGGATATGTTGTTTATAATGATCATCCATGGTTTGATGATCTCAGTGGACAACTTTCTCTCTCGATCAATGGATACGGAAATCTAAATAAATCACTTGGAAAAGGTATCTTTGTGGCAAACACTTTCTTCAATGCTACATATTCACCTGGTTTCCACATTAAACATTCAATGGAAGGATTCCCAGTTCCACTTCCAAATGGATTGTTCAAAACACCTTCAAGTCATCCATCAAGTTGGATTCCAAATGACTACCATTTGATTCAGAATCAAGGTGATGATTATTCACTTGGTCATTCATTTATGTGTCATTCACTCATTGATTCATCTGATTTTGTGAATGGAATTCAATCATTGAAACCATTCATCTATTCATCAAACAGATTCACACCAACTTCTACAACCAACATATTCTCATCACTCTTTACTGACAGCACAACCAATTCATTCACAAGTAAAGATTGGTCAAAAGGATACTTTATTTCTGCTGGATTCAGAAATGATATCTTTACACCAACAAGAATTCAACCACTTTCAATCACATTGCCATCGAAATTCAAGATTCCATCAGGTGCAAATGCAATCACTGATGTAAAGTTACCAACTGAATTTATCATTCAAAATAACATTCCGACCAAGATATCACAATGGAAATCAGATATCGATAAAAGTTATATTGCATTCAATGATACACATCTTTGTCTTGGTGATTATTCATCAAAGACATCGTTTGGTGGTGGAATTGCAGTTTGTGTGATCAATCAATTCTCAAGTGAATTCTTTGTTGAATCAATATTCAAATATCAACAACAAAATTGTTCAACTCCCAAATGTGAAAATCAAATTCAAAATCAATTCTTCATTTCAATCAAATCAAAATTATTGTTGGACAATACCTATTCAAGCAATAACAATGATTTACAAATGATTTTGAACAACATCGATTCAATTTTACCCAATACCAAACTCAGTGTCGGAGATTCAGGATGTTTTGGAATATTCTGTCCAATCACAGCTCCATACTCTGAAATCAAAGTAAATCCAACAGATTCAGTTGGAATATTCTCATTCAGAGGAAGTTACACACCTGTTTTCAATTTGATACTTCAAGATACAAACAGTTCAATCACAGTCAAATCCAATGGATCACCAATATCATATTCAACATATAATATCTCTGGATCATTCACTGCAAAGACCAATGGTAATATCCAAAGTAATAATGTTATCGTTGCATATAAATTGATCCAAATTGTGAAGAAAGTCAGAGATAATCTTGGACTTGGAACACTTGGAAATATTGAATTGATTTTAAATGGCAATGGTATTGCAATTCTAAATCAACACAATGATATTCCAATCAAGATAGACAGCAATACACTTGATGTTCAATCATTATTCCGTGCAATCAGTTATGATTTGATTTTGCAGTTAAATAGTGCAACTTCAAGTGTCGAACTTCCAGAATTGAATTTCGATTCATACTTGAACTTTCAAAATCATCAGCATTGTTGGGAGGAATGATCAATTTCATTTCAATGAAACTCAGACAACTTTCACTTCCAAACTTACCAATTTCAATGATTCAATCAATGAGAGACAGAAATCAACAATTGATTGATATTGAACATTTCACAAGTTCAAGAATGTCAAGAAGAAATGCAATTTTATCACAAGGATGGATCACATCATACCTCTGGGATTTGGTTGATCAAGAGAATGATGATTATCTCAATCCATCATTCAGAAGACCACCACACAGTGATAATAATTATGGAAATCAAATTGATTTCAAATACATTCTCCAAACAATTCAAAACAACTCTTTGAATTCAGATATTCTCATATTTTCAGAATATTTATTCAATATTCTTCCACTTTGGAACACTCTCACAATTCCACATGCTCGTTCCATCATGATCTATAACAATATATTCGAATGTAACAATTGTAAAGTTGATAATCCACCAACTGTCAGCAATTCAACAGATTTATCAAATGTATTGCAGTCCAAAGGTGTTTGTAAATCATCGATCGATAACTTAATAATGCCAACGATCGATGAAATTCAATCATTTGTTTCATTTTGGTCATCTTCTTCAACAAACAATTGGAATGACAATCAAGGAATATCGAATATCTATTCATCTTCATTCGTTTCACTCTATAACAATTCATTGTTATTGGAATCATTGATTCAAGTTGCAGATCCAACACTTTGTGAATTCCAAATCGAAAATGGATATCCAGTCACACCAAAAGGTTTGGAGATATTGACAAGAGTTTTGGTCAATCAAATCAACATTGCCAACAAAATGATCAAATACAATGAAGTTTCAACATATTTTGTCAAAACAGAAACAACCAAAGGATTGACAATCATCACATACAAGAATTATCTTTGTGCATTCGATATTGTTGATGAATCATCATTTGACAATGGACAAGTCCTATCACTTTGTCCATCAGGTCCAATTGTGACATCGATCACTGGAAACACAGGACCAACACATTCAAACAACAATGCAATCACTTTGATTGGTCGAAAACTCAGTGAAACTGGAGTACAAGTTCAAATTGGATCAAAGAACTGTTCGATTCAAAGTCAATCAGATTCTCAATTGATTTGTCAAGTTGGTCAAGGTGTTGGAACATTACCAATCACCTATTTCAATATTAACACTAAACTTCCAAATGAAACACCACTCGATAATTATGTATTCCAATTCAATCAACCAGTTATCACTTCATTATCAACCAACAGTCCAGTTAAGACCTATGGACAAAAGATCACAGTTTATGGAAACAACTTTGGATTTACCAACGATGACACAAATTTATTTGTTGGAGATATTCAATTCAACATTGAAACATTCTCAACATCTGGAAACTCAGAACTATTGATTTTCACATCGAATGGAACTGGTGTTGGAAGAATAGTTTCCGTCCTAGTTGGAAATCAGACTTCAGATTTGAACAGTCAATTCACCATCGATTACAATGCACCTGTTATCAATTCAATCTCTGTCGATCGATCACCAACCTATGGAGGTGGACAGATGACAGTAACTGGAAATTCATTCGGTCTCTATGGTGCGATGAATGTGCTCATTGGCAGTGTAACTTGCTCAACTACCACAAGAATCGATGATAACACAGCAGTTTGTGAGATACCGCCGTTCGTAGGTGATAATCCAGTTACCATAATGGTAGAAGGTCAACAATCAAATACTGCATCAACAATATTTAAGTATGATAAACCCGTCATTTTCGAAGTTTTACATTCGAACAACACACCAACCGCAGAGACCAGTAGTTTCTGGATTATTGGAAAAGATCTTGGACCACAAGGTTACGAATTCCCTAATATCACGATGTTCCTTTCACTTTTAAACTTTGAATGTGATGTCGATGAATTCTGTTACTACAATTTGACCTACTCTGACAAAGACGGTAACGTTATGCCTATGCCAGCAGATCCATATTACGATGGTGATTTCGACCCATATATCGCAATGAATTCATCCTCACGTTCATTTGTCAACTTTGATTGTATTCGATGTGATATCAATCCTGGAATTGGACATAATATTCCAGTGAATATATCATACTATGGTTATTTCTCGAATATCATCAATGACTCACTCTCATACAATCGTCCAACGATTTTGAATGTCACTGAAAACCAAAGTAATACAGATGGTGGAGCATTTATTTCAATTATTGGTTTTGATTTCGTTCCAAATGAAATCAATGAAACAATTGATTTCTTGAATGCCAATCCAGCATATACATACAAAGATAAGTATATTTATAATCTTGAAGGACCATTGACATACAGCAATGCCAGTATTGCACAATATCTATTCAACAATATTACTTTTGTCAATTCAACATTGGTGACTGCTCAAATTCCACCTGGAATCGGTGCAAATCACACAATATCACTTTTCATTGGTGGTCAAAATTCAACACAACTCTTTAACTTTTCATACAATACTCCAAATATATCATCGATTTCATATTCAGATACAATTGGTCAAAATATCACATTATCAGGTTTCAATTTCGTTCCCAAGAATGTTTCATCTGGAAATTCAAGTTTTGTTTTGATCAACGGAACTGAATGTCAATCACCTCAATGGATTTCATCAAACACAATCAATTGTACTGCTTCTCCAGGTATAGGAAAGAATTTAACATTAACTGTATCTATTGGAGCTCAAAACAATACTGATAATACAACATTCTCTTATAATCGTAAGTTTTTCTTTTTTTTTAATAACACTAATATACATACTAATATAAAATAAATAGCACCAAATGTAAATAATGTGACAATGAGTAAAACAGATGGTGAGATTATTTCGATTATCGGTGATAATTTCGTTCCAGCCAATATTTATGCTTTCAAATCAAATGTAACGATTTTCAATGATCTTTGTGATAATATTAACTGGATCAATGAGAATAATATTACATGTACTGTTAAAGCAGGAATTGGAAAGAACTTAACACTTTCTGTTATTGTTGGAGACCAACAATCAACCAATAATAATGTAACATTCTCATATTTACCACCAACCATCAAGAATAATGTGACAACCGATACAAAAGGAGGTTCAGTTATCATTGAAGGAACCAACTTTGTTCCACAAAACATCGAACCAAAGAATTCAAATATTTCGATAAATGACAACAACTGTCAGAATATTGAATGGACAAGTTCTTCCTCCATTAAATTTGATGTACCACCAGGAATTGGAAATAATCAAACTTTTGTTCTTTTTGTTGGAAATCAAACAACTGATCAGAAACATTACTTTGACTACAACAGTATGTATAGAAATTAATTATAATTATTTGTTAATGAAATTATTAATTTTAAAATCTCTTTTCCAAATAGAACCAAAGATATCGAGTATTTCTAAATCCAAAACAGATGGTGAACAAATTACTTTGGCAGGTACAAACTTTGTACCTCAGAATGTTGAACCAAGAAACTCTAATCTTACAATTGGAACTCAAGCATGTAATAATATTGTTTGGAGTAGTGATACTCAGATTCTTTGTACGATTCCAAAAGGTATTGGAAAGAGTTTGAATGTAACACTTTTTGTTGGAAATCAGACCACTGAAGATAAACCAACTTTTGATTATATTGGTAAGTTAAACAAACATCCACTCAATTTCAATCGATAATTTAATTTATTTAATTAATACTTTTTGTATTTATGAATAGCACCTTCGATTAGCAGTGTAACTAATTCAAAGACAAGTGGTGAATCAATCACTCTTCAAGGTTCAAACTTTGTTCCTGAAAACGTTGAACCAAAGAATTCAAACATCACAATTAACAAGAATGTCTGTAAAGATCCAGTTTGGACAAGTTCATCACAGATCATTTGCTCAGCACCATCTGGTATTGGAAAAGATTTAGAATTATTATTATTTGTTGGAAATCAATCTACCACAACCAAATTCACCTATAAAAGTAATGTATTAAATTTGAAAAATGAAAATTAACTATTTCATATTAATATCTGATTAAATATATTTTTTTTTAGTTCCAAAATTAGATGATACCAAATACAAAGGAAATCCATCTGGAGGTGATTGGATAACAATCAAAGGTGAAAACTTTATTCCAAGTGATTTCGTTCAAGAAGTCAATCAAAAAACACAAGATAGTAACAATTCAGTATCGATTGCCGACAAACAATGTCAATCAGTGGAATGGGTAGACTTTAACACTGTTAAATGTCAGATTCCATCTGGAACAGGTAAAGATAAGAATATAAAGGTTATTGTTGGTACTCAGAGTTCAGAGAACAATCAATTGTTCAGTTATAATGCTCCTGTTGTCGAATCTATTTCTCCAGATAATGGTGAACAATCCTCAAAGAAACAAGTCACAATTAATGGAATCAACTTTGGTTCAAATCCTACAGCCACAATTGGAGATGCTGGTGAGTGTCAGAGTGTCGTTGTTCTATCAAAATTGAATGACAAAGAAAGAATTCAATGTAATGTTCCAGAATATAATACAAATGGTGCACAAATCGTTAGTGTAACATTGGATGGTCAGAAATCAAATGAAACCAATGTTAAATATACATACAATGGTGATCCAAAGATTGATTCGATTTCACCCACCTCTGGATCTGTCGATGGTAACTTTGAGATGACTGTTTCCGGAAAGAACTTTAAGAATGGCGATGCAACAGTGACTGTCTACTTCAACTCGAAATCGATTACACCAACATCGAAATCAACTGATACCATCAAATTTACAGTTCCTGAAGGTGGAGGTACCAGTATTGCACTTTACATCAAGGTTGGCAATTCACAAAGTAACACAAACAATGACTTCTCATATGATGCACCAAAGATAACATCGATCACACCAGATGAAGGTCCTTATGACCAAGAAACATCAGTCAGTATCTCTGGATCAAATCTTGGTCTTTCATCTGATTCCTCTTCGACCACAATCACAGTTGGTGGAAAACCATGCTCAAGTATTCAAGTTTCATCTTCATCATCGGTGAGCTGTACAGTTCCCAGAAACGAAGATGAAGGAGAAGTATCTGTTCAACTTACTTTCAAATCTCAAAGTGCATCCACAACATTCAAGTACACCAAAGAAGATTCAAGTAGCAGTGAGAGTAGCAGTGAGAGTCAGAGTGAAGGAAGTCAAGATTCAACTACCTCAACCACCACAAGTACAACAGGTGGTGGATCTTCATCAGGTGGAGGTGTTGGCGGTATTGGCGGTATAGGCGGTATTGGTGGTGCCATTTGTGGAGGACCTGGTGGTGGTGGTGATGATGACGATGACGATGATGGTGGTGATGATGGTGGTGGTGATGGTGGTTCAACAACTGGTGGTCATACACCTACAACAACAACTACAACAACATCAACATCTTCAACTACTGGTACAACATCTGAACCAATTACATCAACAACTAGCACTACAACTTCAACATCAACATCAACATCTTCAACTACTGGTTCTACTACTTCAACAGCAGCACCCACTACAACCTCAACTTCATCAACCACTGGAACTACAACATATGTAACAACTGAGATAATTTCAACAAACTCAACAGACACAACAGGTGCCACAACAGGAGGTCAAACAACATTGACTACATCGACAACTGGTGGAGATTCAACTACAAGTTTACCAACAACTGTGTCCATTACAACCTCGACCACAGCTGGTGATTCTACTACAACAAGTGGAGATTCAACAACCTCTACCACATCTACTACCAATGAACCAACAACAGTATCTATCACTACTACTTCGACCACATCTGGAGATTCAACAAGCTCTACAACCAATGAACCAACTACAGTATCTATCACTACTACTTCGACCACAGCTGGAGATTCGACAACCTCGACAACCGGTGAACCAACAACAGTATCTACCACCACTTCAACCACAGGTGAAGTTTCAACAACCTCTACTACTTCGACCACAGGTGGAGATTCAACAACCTCTACAACCGGTGAACCAACAACAGTATCTACAACTACTTCAACCACAGGTGGAGATTCAACAACCTCTACCACATCTGATTCAACCACTGGTGTAGATTCAACAACCTCTACAACCGGTGAACCAACAACAGTATCTACAACTACTTCAACCACAGGTGGAGATTCAACAACCTCTACCACATCTACAACCAATGAACCAACAACAGTATCAATCACCACTTCAACTACTGGCGGAGATTCTACTACAACAGGTGGTGATTCAACAACCACGACCACATCCGGAGATTCGACAACTTCGACAACAGGTGGAGAGTCAACAACATCTACAACCGGTGAACCAACAACAGTATCTATCACTACCTCTACCACAGGCGGTGATTCTACTACAACAGGTGGTGATTCAACAACCTCTACTACATCAACAACCGGTGAGCCAACAACAGTATCTTTCACTACCTCTACCACAGGCGGAGATTCTACTACAACAGGTGGTGATTCAACGACCTCGACTACATCAACAACCGGTGAACCAACAACAGTATCTATCACTACTACTTCTACCACAACTGGAGATTCGACAACCTCGACAACCGTTGAACCAACAACAGTATCTATGACCACTTCTACAACAGGTGAAGTTTCAACAACCTCTACTACTTCGACCACAGGTGGAGATTCAACAACCTCGACTTCATCGACAACCGGTGAGTCAACTACATCAGTTCCAACTTCGACCACAGGTGGAGATTCAACAACCTCGACTTCATCGACAACCGGTGAACCAACAACAGTATCTATGACCACTTCTACAACAGGTGAAGTTTCAACAACCTCTACTACTTCGACCACAGGTGGAGATTCAACAACCTCGACTTCATCGACAACCGGTGAGTCAACTACATCAGTTCCAACTTCGACCACAGGTGGAGATTCAACAACCTCAACCACATCGACAACCGGTGAACCAACAACAGCATCTACAACTACTTCAACTACAGGTGAAGTTTCAACAACCTCTACTACATCTACAACCGGTGAGTCAACAACAATATCTATTACCACAGGTGGCCATTCATCAGCTTCTACTACATCTACAACCAATGAACCAACCACAGTATCTATCACCACTTCAACCACTGGCGGAGATTCTACTACAACAGGTGGTGATTCAACAACCTCTACTACATCAACAACTGGTGAACCAACAACAGTATCTTTCACTACCTCGACCACATCTGGTGATTCGACAATCTCGACCACATTGACAACTGGAGAGTCAACTACATCAGTTCCAACAACAAGTGATATATCAACAACTGGAGATCACTCCACTACAGGTGTAGCAATAACTACTTCAACCACCGGAGGAGATTCAACAGCAACTACCACAGGTGAGTCTACAACAGTATCTACCACCACTTCAACCACTGGTGGAGATTCAACAACTGTTGGTGATTCGACAACATCGACAACCGATGATTCTACAACAATATCTATCACCACTTCAACTACCGGTATAGATCCAACAACATCTACAACTGGTGAACCAACAACAGTATCTATCACAACCTCGACCACATCTGGTGATTCAACAATCTCCTCCACGTCAACCACAGGTGGAGATTCGACAACCTCTACTACATTGACAACCGGTGAGTCTACAACAGTATCTATCAGCACCACTTCAACCACTGGTGTAGATTCAACAACCTCGACCACATCTGGAGATTCAACATCCACTTCAACAACCGGTGAACCAACAACAGTATCTATCACTACCTCGACCACATCTGGTGATTCGACAATCTCGACCACATTGACGACCGGTGATTCTACTACATCAGTTCCAACAACAAGTGATACATCCACAACTGGAGATCACTCCACTACAGGTGTAGCAATAACTACTTCAACCACATCTGGTGATTCAACAACATCTACGACCAGTGATCCAACAACAGTATCTAGCACCACTTCGACCACAGGCGGTGATTCAACAACATCTACAACCAGTGAACCAACAACAGTATCTATCACAACCTCGACCACATCTGGTGATTCTACTACCTCCTCTTTGACAACTGGCGAATCAACTACATCAGTCTCAACAACTATTGATACAACAACCGCACCAATAACTAGTGACCAATCTACTACAGGTGTAGCAATAACTATTTCGACCACAGCTGGAGATTCAACAGCAACTACCACAGCTGGAGATTCAGCAACCTATACAACAGTATCTATCACGACCTCGACCACCTCTGGAGATTCAACAACCTCGACCACAGGTGGAGATTCAACAACATCTACAACCAATGAACCAACTACAGTATCAATCACCACTTCTACCACAGGTGGAGATTCAACAACCTCTACAACCAATGAGCCAACCTCAGTATCTATCACCACTTCAACTACTGGCGGAGATTCTACTACAACAGGTGGTGATTCAACAACCTCGACTACATTGACAACCGGCGATTCTACTACATCGGTACCAACTACGGGTGACACGATAACAACTCTACTGACGACTGGAGATCAATCCACTACAGGTGTAGCAATAACAACATCGACAACCAGTGAACCAACAACAGGCGGAGATTCAACAACCACTGTATCGACAACTGTCGAATCAACTACATCAGTTCCGACTACAAGTGATACAACAACTGCACCAATAACTAGCGATCATCCTACTACAAGTGTAGCAATAACTACTTCTACTACAAGTGGAATTTCTACAACTGGAGATTCAACAACCTCTACCACATCGACATCAGGTAAACCAACAACAGTATCTATCACTACTACTTCAACCACAGGAGGAGATTCAACAACATCTACAACCGGGGAACCAACAACAGTATCTATAATCACCACTTCTACTACAGGTGGAGATTCAGCAACATCGACCCCATTAACAACCAGTGATGCAACTACATCAGTCCCAACAACAAGTGATACAGCAACAACTGGAGATCACTCCACTACAGGTATAGCAATAACAACTTCGACCACAGGTGAGGATTCTACAACCTCGACTACATCCGTAGATTCTACGACAACAGGTCAAGATTCAACAACCTCGACTGTAACAACCAGTGAACCTATAACAGTATCCGTCTCTACTACATTAACAACAGCCGGGGATTCATCAACTTCGACAACCAGTGAACCAACAACAGTATCTAGCACCACTTCAACCACAGGCGGTGATTCGACAACATCTACAACCAGTGAACCAACAACAGTATCTATCACAACCTCGACCACATCTGGTGATTCTACTACCACCTCTTTGACAACTGGCGAATCAACTACATCAGAACCCACAACGACTCTATCGCCAAGTGGTGATCATTCTACTACAGATGTAGTAATAACTACTTCGACAACCGGTGAATCAACAACAGTATCTATCACTACTACTTCGACCACAGGTGGAGAATCAACAACATCTACAACCAGTGAACCCACAACAGTTTCTATAATCACCACTTCTACAACAGGTGGTGGATCTTCATCAGGTGGAGATTCAACAACCTCGACCACATCTGGAGATTCTTTTACCACATCAATACCCTCTACAAGTGATACAACAACAACTGGAGATCAAACCACTACAGGTGTAGCTTTAACTACTTCGACAACCTCCACCACATTGACGACCGGCGAACCAACAACAGTATCTATCATAACCTCGACCTCATCTTTGACAACTGGCGAATCAACTACATCAGAACCCACAACTATTGATTCGACTGTATCTACAGCAGGTTTAACTACTACTTTTTAAACAAAAAATAACTTTTAAACAATAAAATTAAATATGAAAATCCATTTAAATGTTAAAAGTCAATTAAAGCTAGTGAGAAAAACGAAAAAAAATTGACATAGCGAGCCACCCTTTTTTTTTTTGTTTATTGCATAATAAAAAGTTTGTGGCGACAGCAAAACACTATTTTCGCTATGTCTAGTAAGGTGTGGGGGTTTATTTGATTTTTAACAAATTAAAGATTGAGAATTTATTTTCAAATTAAATTATAAATATTTGATGATTGTCCACCAACGATGATTTGAATAGATTGTGGTAGTTTAGTGGTCAAACATTCAGCAAGAATACTGGATTTGAATGATTTAAAAGTGGTGGTGTATCCATCATAGAATAATACAATCTGTGAACTTTCAGTGACAGTGAATCCATTCTCGATTGGAACAAAGTTATTGCCTGATATTTCAATCAAATCATTCTTGATTATAACATTGTTGATCACTGGTTGCGAATATGAGATTATTTGATTTGGTAAGAGTTCGACACCATTGATTGTTGCTGATAATCGATATGATTGTCCATATCCAGATGGAACATAACATTCAACAAACAAATCGAATGAAGTGCAATCTAAATCGATTCCATTCAGTTTGACAACCAATTGTTCATTTGATGATAATCCTAATCCAAATCCATTCAATTGAATCAAACCACCACTCGTTGGAATTTCAGTGTTGTTGATATTTGTGATTATTGTTGAATAATATTCGAATTCTGATTGGATTGTTTGATCACCTGATTGGATAATGACTGGTTGTTTTGATGTTTCATATTCCAATTGGAATTCAATGAAATTGTTGGTGAAATTATCAATTTCGATTTGATTATCTCCAATGAATAATAGAGGTGGAAGATCATAGACTTCTTCATTTCCGAATCCATTTCCAAGAATTACAACTTTATCTGTTGGATCTCCTGATTTTGGAACGATTTTGAGAATTTCTGGTCCACCGAAACTGAATGATTGTGTTCCAATCGAATATAATGCCAATTTCGATGATTGATCATGAACAATAACAGTTACATGTCGATGATCTCCAATTGCATTCGGTGTTAAACATGCAATTGAATTTGATGAAATACTTAGAATTGGTGAACAATCAAGTTTATCATCAATCAAAACTCTGATATCTTTGATATTATCTCCAAAATTTGAACCATAAATTGTCATGATATCATTTCCATAACTCTTGATCATTTCTGGTTCAATATTTGTGATCGTGGGAGAATCATATGAAAATATGAATTTTGATCTCTGGATATTGAATGAGATTTGTTGTGTTGAAATTTGAATCAGATTATTTCGACCGCTTCCTTTTGGAACTTGACAAACAATTTGTTGATTTGAAATCAATTCTGTTGAAACACATTGTTGTTCTCCAACTGAGAGTGTCATTGATGAATTGAATCTAATTCCATTGATTGTAATCTTATATCCACCATTGGTTGGTCCATTCAATTGATTTACTGATGTTATGATTGGTCCTGATGATGGACATGTCATATCGAAATTATTTGATTGGAAATCAGATTCACTGATCATTTGGAAATCACAAAGTTGCGAATTGATTGTCGATATTATCATTCCATAAACACCATCATAAAAATTCGGTTTTGGAAGATAATACACTTCGAAATCTCCAAATGTTGAATGAATTGTTGATTTACTCATCAAAATACTTTCAAGAATGAATGTTATCGAAACAATTGAAATTGGTGATGATAAGCTAATTATTTTTTGGTTACTTTCAGTTTGTTGGGTACTGAGATCGATTGAATTACCATCGAGATCACGATTGATTTCATCAATGAATTTGATTGCATGATTTTCAAATTGATTGAAACTATTGATAATTAGTGTTTGAATTGCTTGACTTTGATCGTTGATTGTGATCCATTTGTCAATTGAATTCTCGAGATTTGACAATTCATTTGAATTCAATGAATAAATATCTTCCAATCGAATTGATTTTGGTGTGATTGAAATTAATTGTTGAACTCCTGATCTGATGACTCTTTCATCTTGAACAAGTGGTGATAGCTGATTGTAATTCTTGATTTCAACATTGTTCAAAATTGATTTTGAAAACATTATTGATTTCTTTTTAATCTGAGAATTGAATGAATTAACATCGATTGGATTTGAAGGTACTGGAATAATATAATTATTAACGAGAATAGTTTTAAAGTTTTCTTCTGAAATGTATTGTATATCAATGAATCTTCTCAAATTACTCATATTCAAGATATATCCATTCTGTCTTGCTTTGATAACTGTCTCCAATAAAATGTGAACTGGAATAATATTATCTTTGTCAATTCTTGAAAGTTTGTCTCCTTTTCCACCATTACCATTTGAATAGGTTGGATTCATCCAATCCCATGCTGCTTTGGCACTCCTTCTGAAAATTATATCTGCAGTAGGATTAACCAAATCATGATTACTTAATAAGAAATAAAGAAAATTAGAATGAATAAAAACATTATTGAAAAAAATAAATTATCATACTCTGGAAAACTTTCAATATTTTGAAGATTAGAAAATACATTATTCATACATTTATCGAAATTTGGAATTTGCTTGTTCGACATTACCTAAAAATAAATAAATTAATTGATTTATCATAAAAATAAAAAATGAATTGAACATACATTGTAAAGTTTCTTTGAGATTGCTAATATCACACCATTTGCCCAATTTGGATTGTTTAGACCAATTGTGTAAATCAAAGAAGAAGAAGGTAGTGCACCAGATTGATAATAGATATAATGAAGTGTCATATAATATGCAATCTCTTCTTCACAAACCTTTTGAACTCCAAAAATAAATGGTGCTTCAAAATATGATTTCGAATTTAATTGTGATTCCATGAATTGATAGAAGTTTCGTTTGGCATTTGGAAGATAATTAATGAATTTAGAAGTGAATTCCAAAACTTTGAAATTATCATTTGAAGATAAATCAAATGTTCTCTCGCTTTGAATATCGTTATATTGAATTAAACGTAAACTTGGAAAATTGATTGGTTTACCATATTTTGGTTCTGTTATCAAAGAAGAAATTGATTTGTCTTTGGTGCATTCTGTCAATGTCGAATCAAAACTGCAAATAGAACCAACATCTTTGTCAAATGCAACGTAATGAAGTGAAAACAAGTCATTTGCCACATAATTCATAATATCAGGTGGAGTACTTGGGAGAGTTGGTTCTACATCATTACTTGATATCTCTCCATTAGGAGCAACAAATGTTGTAGTGGTTCTTAGTGCTGGGAATTCAGCTCTAATTTTATCATAAGGAGTAGGAGGATTATTCTTTAGGTTTGGAGTGATTTCATGAATCTCTCTTGGATATTTAGAAATGTGATTTCCATTAATGAAATCTTTAACCTCCACTTCATATGTATTCGACCATTGACCTCTTTGAACTTTGATTGGTTGTGTAACTGAACAAAATAGATCTACTGAGTTTCCTTTATTGGGTTTTGTCAAAACATTATTTCTATCTACAACATTGTATTGACGGACCATTCTGTTGAATTGATATGAAAGTGTTGGGTGTTGTATACAAACCAGACCACCTCCTCTACCAGCTATTAATTATATAAATAAAATAAAAGAATTAGTTTAAAAATAGGAATAAAAATTGGATATTATAAATTACCTTGACCATTGTGTCTGTTTGAATCACCAAAACAAAAATAATTTTCTAAAATTATTCAAAATTTATATTGTTAATAAATCAATATATGAAAAAACTTTTACTTAGTGATTTTACCTTTATCATTGAGAGCCTGATCACCATAAGTAGGATACATCGGAATTCCTAATTTCGAATGTTCCTAATTAATTGGTTAGATAATATCATAATTTTCTAGTAAACGAAAAACTTACATTTGAATAACCAGAGAATTTAAAAGATTTTGTTTCGAGATTTAGTTGAGGATTACTGAGATATGGTGGAAAATTTAAAAATCCAACATTTGACACTCCTGAAGAAATATCAGTCTGAATATTTTTTGATGCGTAAAAGAAATCCACAAAATATTTTCTATCCATTTCTTTTGCCAGAACTGTCCAAATATCAACTCCATCCACTGATCTTTTTAACGATTTATCAGCTTGCTTTGATGTTTTCATGACAACATATTCATTTAAATTTGCAATGTTGTGAATATTAGCTTTCTCAAAGAGAGAATCTTTGTTTCCAATTTTCATAAAGTATTGAATCTTCAAATTTCCACCAATTTCGATTGGGTTTTTCTTCCACCAACATATATTTTCAAGTCGAGTATTTTGTATGATATTGGGTTCACAATCGTCAACAAGTTGTTTTTGTGTTTTAGATTTCGGTGTGGTTCCTCTTTGTACACGTGCTTTAAGAAGGACATTATAATTAATTGATAAATAATCATAAAGATATGGGTATTTATCTTGTGTGTTATTTGTCCAACTATTCATATTTGAAAAGACATTGTTTTTTTCGAGAAGATAACCATCATTCTTCAAGTAATACTCTGCAACATCATCAAGATGATTGAATGTATAACAAAAGAAATGTTGACTATTGTCTGGTCTTCCAAGGAATTTCACTTTATCTTTTGGTGTGAGGTATTCATCCTTATCTTCTGAAGTATAACCTGGAAATGCTGAATTTAGAAACAAAGTTAGAAATTTAAAGAGATTGGAAAATTAAAAATAAATAATTACCTGGATTTGAATGATGAATATGAATTCCATTGATATGATCGTTGACATCAGGATCTTCCCAAAATACCATTCCTTTAACATGTCCATTTGGGATCGGACTATCAAATCTTTTTTTTGTTTTTTAAATGTACCTGACCTTCCACCTGTATCAGTTCTTCCTTCAGGTTGATCATTAAAAAACATATAGTAATAATAACTATGTTGATTAAAAGTAGCTTCAATTGGACTGAATACACTGAAATCGTTAGATATTGTATGTTGAAGGTTATCAAGACGTTTGAGTCGATCCATTGTTGAGTCGATATATAAATATTCATTGGTATAACTGATTTTATAGACAAACCACCAATCAACTGCATTGTTACTTTTGTCAGGAAGTGGTGGTCCAAGACATGATAATCTATTTGATTTGAAAACAATATCATCTCCAGATGACACTCCATTCACTGTGATCGTCACTGAATGTGTTCCATTTTTCAATAAATATTCCATTTTACATATTACTTGAGTATTGGTGATTTTTTGAATTTTACATGATGATGATCCCACTGAAATTGATACTTGACTGGAAACAGTTCCAAAAGAAGTTCCAACGATTGTGAGAGTTTGAATAATTTTCTCAAATCCTTGAATTGGTATTAATTTATCAATTTTCGGACCAACATAATCGATTTTGAAATTCGATGGATATGAATATTCATCATCATTTGATTTTACAATCAATGTAATTCCATAACTTCCTGACTTGTATCTTGGTATTTGACAAGTCAATTTTGTTTGTCCATTTAAAGTGCAACTGGATGATTGGATTTCAATTGATCCAAATCGAATCAAAGTTACTAAATCCAAATTAACTCCAATGATATCAAAATTACCACCACCTGTTGGGTTGGTATTTGTTCGTGAAACTGAAGTCACACTTGGTTCAACAAATGAAAATTCTTTTGTTGTATCGACTGTTTGTCCGTTGATAGAAAATGAAATAGGTTCATCTGATACTAATCCTCTTGGAGGTATTGAACATGTGAATAAATTAATTGATGATCTTTCAAGATATTCACAATATTGATTCCCAATCTTAAATGAAATTACATCATCAAGAATCTCTTGATCTACTTCTGGGAAGTTATGAACTTGAATTGAAACTGGTGTGTATGATTTTGAATGTCCTCTGTCGATATTAATACCAACAAATGTTCCTTCTCCGATATTAATATTTAGAATATTACTTGTAATTCCATTTTCAATGATTGTCACTGGATAACTTCCTGTTGCATGATTTTTGGTATCGAGTTGAAATGTGATTGTATTTGTTGATATAATAATTGGTGTGTAATGAGTTTGACCAACTTGAACTTTTGAATTTTGACGAAACCAACCTTGAACTTGAATATTATGTAAACCAAGATTAACAACAGGATTTGGAATGATTTTATTGATTTGGAGTGAATGATATTTGAATTTAAAGTTGTTCGATGAGCTAAAGATTTTATCATCAATTACAAAATTAACATCCAAATCTTGTTCTGATGATCCACCAAGATCATATCGAGATGTTATGCAAGATATCTTGTCATTAAATTGATTGCGACTGAACGATCCATGAATCAAATTACAAATTGAAGTACCAATCGATATCGATTCAATATCTTGGAGATATTGACCAAAAATATCGATTGTGTCTCCTCCATTCCATACACTGTGTGGTGGATTTATATTTTGAATTTCAGGATCTAAAATAATGTTATTATAAAAATTAATAAATAAACAAAATATTTAATATTGAAGTTAATTTACTTACGATAAATAGTCAGTTTTACAGATGATGATATTGATATTCCATTTAAGTCAATTTCGATAACGAATTCTTGCAAAGTTCCTGATTGAATATTAATTATTGGACTGTCACATGACAAAATTCCATTTTGATGGATGACATTTAAACAATCTTGTTGTGCAATTCGAACGGTTGGTGTGCTTGTCAGTTGGACAATATCGAATCCAAATATTGAAATTCTCTTACTGACTCCAGAAGCTACACTGTCTGGAATAACACTTTTTGTACTCGGTAATATATACTTCAGATTTCTTCGAGCATCTATTTCCAATCCAGTATAGAATCGAATCTTGATAGTTGAAATTTTTGGAGTATTGGAAACTGGAATATCACAAATGATTTGATTATTATCAATAGATTTGATATTAACAGAGGTGGTGTCATCAAAGATGACTTCTGGTAGTTGGTCAAAACTATTAAGTCTAAGATGATTTCCACTCATTATCATTTCTATTCCAACCACATCTGTATAAACTTGTTCAGGACTTATCATTATACTTGGTTCTTTGATTTGAATGTTAATTTTAATGAATTTACGAAATGAATGAAAGATAGATAAATACATACCAACATATTCGAAATCTTGTTCGAAAAAGTTTAAAGTCGATCCTTGAAGTTGAATGATGAACTTAACGGTTCCAATTTCTGAATTGATTCTCTTTTGACGTTGTAAATTAGATTCTGGTAAACTTGGTACAATCCATTCAAATATTCCGGGAGATACTTGTTGAAACGAATCGAAAATTGTTTCTTTGCCAGCATTTACAACTTTGAGTGTTGGTGGATTCGCAACTGGGAAATCAGGAGATACAATTCGAAATTTATTGTTTCCACCTCGATAAGCAATCATTGGTGACATCGATTGTATCGTGAATGCATTGCTGTAGAGAAAATCGAATCCCAATAATACTATTAATATTATTGTTATACGATTCATTTCTAACTTAGTAGATATATTTATAACTTTAAAAATATTCCTTTTTTTTAAAATACAACTCTATAACTATTAGTTATTGATTTAACGAAAATAACTATTTTTACACTAGTCACTCTCTAAAATAAACAAACGAGTAAAGTGTAACAAAAAAAAGATAGGTTTGAAAACACACGGTTCACCAATCATATGACCAGATGAACAATCGCTCTAAATAGCGATTAAAAAGAATAACATAAACACTTCAATAAAGTTTAGATCTTTGTGCAATTCGTCGAACAAAGCAAGATTTTTTTATGTTTAGAGAAGTGTTTTTGCTTATAATGCAAAGATCTAATTTAGGAATATCAAAAAGAATATGAAAATCAGTACCATTCGATTACCAGGAACATTGCACGGTTTCATCGAATTTTAGATATTTTTAAAAAACAAAATTTGACAAGAATTTAAGATGATTTGCAAAAACCGAGATTTACGAAAACATCTTAAACTACAAAAAATCCACTATCACCACGACTAGTCAATCAAAAACCTTAGACTTTTTAAAATACAAATTTTGATTAATTTTTTATTTTATTTAATTTTTGATATTCACTCTTCTATGGTCTTTTCATATGTTTGTAAAGAATTTAAGTATTATTAATCATATAATTAGAATATTAATAATTAAGTTAGAGAACAATAATGAAAGAGTTTCGAACTTCTCATTTATTTTTCTCTCTTTTAATTATTTTTCATTTTTGTACGACAATTATTTTTTTTTAATTTTTTTGACAATCAAAAACAATTTTTACTAATTTATTTTTTATTTTTTATTCTATTTATTTTTCGATCAAAAACGAAAAATTAGATATTAACAATGTTTTATCATTGGTAGTTCCGATAACAAATGTTACTCCATCACCTATTGCCACAATTTCCTCACTAATAACAGTGATTGGAAGTAACTTTAATGCTGCAACAATCATAACAATCAATTCAACGTATTCGTGTCCTTCTACAGTGGTGGTCAGTAGCACCCAAATTATTTGTAATGCACCTGCACTTCCATTTGTTGGAAAAGCCATTGTTCATGCAAGAAATCCACCTTTGGACCCAATAACCACTGAGCCAGGATTTACCATTAATGTAGGGGTACCACAACCTGCAATTACGCTCATTAAACCAGACATCCTTACGAATGTAGCGTCGAACAGTCTTACGATCACTGGAAAGTACTTCATCCCAGATGTCAAGGTTTTGATCAATAGTACATATCCTTGCATCCAGGAGATTGCCACCGAAACATCTTTGATTTGCCACTTTGCAGCTGTTCCAATTGGAGGTACCAATTCGATGTATCCAATAACAACAGTTAACTCTGGTACAAGTTCAGATCCATATTACATGAAATTCAATTTACCAACTCCGGTTTTCGATGAATTCAATGAAGATATCCTTATTGAAAAAGATACTACGTATCTATTCAAAGGTTCTTTATTTGTTTGTGATAAAGTAAAGATTTCGGTAAATGGAACTTTCGATTATTTAACTATTCAAAATTGCAATCCAAACCGAATATTAGTTAAATATAGTGATCCCACTAAGACTCTTAATTGGTCATTTCCTGTTATTATTTACAATGATAACGTCGCTTCCAACTCTAGACAAATTTCTTTTCGGGGTATGATATTAATTACCATCTTTCAAAAATTCTAAATTCAATCTCTGTATATTAACTATATTTCATAATTAGCACCGATGCCTATTGTAGATAGTGTTATTGAATATGGAATGTCATACAAGCTTTTTACTGGTCAATTGACGATTCTTGGTAAAGAATTTAGAAAGGAACTTACATTCGTATATTTTAATGAAGTAAGATGTACTACAATAGAAATGACTATGACAAAAATCATATGTCAATGTTCAACAGTAACAACTTATGGAAATTATGAGCTCCAAGTTTGGAAAATATTTACGGGATACACAGGCTTTACTGTTTTTTTGGCATGTAAGATATATTTATTATTTAAAAATGATAATTTCTTTTACTAATTTAAATTTCCCAAGCAATTCCAACAATTACATCATTCAGTCCAAATGTTTACCAGTATGACCAAACAACTGATTTAAATATTGTTGGTGATGAATTTAATAGAGGTCTAACCAAAGTGTATGTTGGAGATGTACTCTGTGATATTACGAGCATAATTAGTAAAACTCAGATTATCTGCCATTTCCCTCAGATACAAAGAACTGGACCCACTTCAATCGTTGTTAGAAATACTGGACATGGAGATTCAAACACTGTTTATGTTGATTACCGTCCACCATTTGTATATATCACTTCAATTTATCCCACCACAATTTTGAATACAATTGATAGTTTTATTACTGTCAGAGGTCAAAAGTTTACTTCATCTTCCTCGGCAAAGTTGACTCAATTGGATATGGCACTCCTATCAGAAACTATATTTACGAATTCATCTCAAATCATTGTAAAAGTCTTGGCAAAAAGCATGGGTGGTACGTGGAATTTGACAGTGTTTGATGGTGGAAAGTCTTCAAATCAGGTTCCTGTTCAACTTCTCAGTTCGGTGTCAAAACCTACAATCACTTCAATCACACCATCTAGTACATTATACACCAAAGCCACTGCTATTTCTATCGTTGGTACCGGATTTATCGATGGGGTCACCAATGTATTAGTCGATAATGTATTGGTAACATGTTCTGTTACAAACACATCATTGGTTTTCACCTCTCCACTCTTGAACAAAGTTGGAACTTTCAATGTTGTTGTGTATAACGGTGATAGAGCTATCAATTCTACAACCACTATCAAATATTATCCACCAACTCCAACTCTCACACAAATTTCACCAAATTCAGTTGAAATCACATCAGGTACAGCAATAACTTTAACTGGTACAAACTTTATTTCAGGAATATCGAAATTACTTGGAAATGGTGCAACCATTCCAATGACAAGCATAACATCAACCAGAATCATTTTCAACTCTCCAACCAACACAGCTGTAAATGTTGTATGTAAAATTTCAAATGCAGTTGGTTATGATTCCAATACATTATCACTTACATTCACAACAGTGAAACCAGTTGTTACCAGTTTTTCACCAGTTAATGTAACAAATATCCAATCGACCAGTATAATAGTCAAAGGTTCAAAGTTCGTTCCTTCATACACAATTTCAGATGCTATTTTCGATAATTCTAAAGTGAGATGTACCACTTCAGTTTCAAATCCAACAACTCTCACAATCACCTCACCTGTAAAGGCTGAAGTTGGACCAAAGATATTCATGATTACCAATGGAAATTTGGTTACGAATATATCAATCAATTATGTATCACCACCTATAACATTGACTTCGATTACTCCTAGTTCAATGGTGGGTAATCAAGAGCAAGTTATCACATTAAAAGGAACTGGATTTGATTCTAGACTTACATCGATTGAACTTCCAAATTTCTCATGTCCATTCTCATTTATTAATTCAACTGTTATCATTTGTACAGCTGGAAAATCAACAAACTATGGAATAAAGTCTTTAAGATTGAAGAATATCAATGAATATTCCCAATCAATAAACTTTCAGATTTTTGCACCTCCAGTAGTAGTTTCCAATATAGAGCCATTATATCATATCTTAAATCAACAATCAAAAATAACAGTTATTGGTCAGAACTTACCTTCAAATACTATAATTCAGTGGAATGGACAATTTATTGTTCCAGAATCTATTACAGAGACTAGAATAATTGCCAAAAACGTAATCTCACCAACCACTATTGGAAAATATCCGATAAATGTCTTGTCAGGATTTTTAGGCATTTCACCAATATCTTTTTCTATATATTATGTTCGAGGACCCAAACTCATAAATGCTTCACCATTACCAATTTATTACAAGTTTCCAACAAACTATAATGCTTTATTATATCTATCGTAAGTAAAACAATGAAAGTGACTATAAATATCCATTCTAATGAACAAAGTTTAGTGGTGAAAATCTCATAGATCAAGTAAATTCAAAAACAAAAACAATTGTTACTTTTGGAAATCAAAATTATACTACAGTAAGTGAAGCTGTTAGTAATGTAGCCGTATATCCACCAGTAGACCAATTAAATTTCATCGATGTATTTGTTACCACCTATGGTCAATTTGTTTCAAATACTCTTAGGCTACCAGTCGCTGTTGCACCACCAATATTTTCAAATCTAAAACCCATGATGATGACTAGTGATGTTACAAATTCTTTAACTATCATTGGACAATACTTTTTGAGTGGAGAAACAAATGTATATTTAAGTTTTGGAAAACTATCATGTTCAAATACTTTTGAAACCATCATGTGTTCAGTACCTCCAACAAATTTTTATGGAAGCACACCCGTCACCATCGAAATGATGAAAAATAATTATACTTATGGAGCTATTACATTTAGAAGACCAAACACCATAATCGATACAATATCTCCAAGTCAATTATATTTTAATACAACAAATCAAATGACAGTAACTGGTTCCAAATTTTATGATGGCTCAACTTCCATCATTATTTCAAATCTCAATGCATTTCCAAATCCATCTTACTCGATTTCAAGTGTGACTCAAAATCAAATTATTTTCGATTTAAATCCATTTACCAAGGTTGGAACATATTCGATCAGTGTTAAAGTGGATGGTTCATTAAATACAAACAGTAACTCACTGGTTGTTGATGTAATTCCTGGTAAAATTACAATTAATTCGATCAATCCAAATAAACTTCAATATGGATTAAGCAATCAAGTTGTCACTCTAAAAGGTTCAAACTTTTATTATGGAACTGTTATTCAATTGGATTCTGTGAATTGTCAGATATTATCACAAACTGAAGATACTATTTTGTTTTCAGTTTCTGAAATCACTTATTTTGGAAAATCAGATTTTGTTATTGTCCAAAGTCCACAAGCAGATACACTGTTTAATATGGAGATAGATGTTCCATATCCAGTTATCAATAGTATGAATCCATCAAATCCATATTCTTATCTTGGCAAAGATATCGAGATAATTGGTTCGATTTTCACTCACACCATCTCTGTTACTATTAATGGAATTAATTGTTTAACCATTCGAAATTCACTAAATTCCATCACAATTACAACACCAAAGTTAAAATCAGGAACTTATCAAATGCAGATATTCAATACTCCAGAGATTTTCTTGACAACAACCATCGAATTTATCGATTCAACACCGATCATTCAATCGATTTCACCAATTTCAGCAAGCATCAATGATATGAGTATGACAAATAGTATGATCACAATCATTGGTTCACAATTCGTCAACAACTATTCAATCATCAAAATTGGATCCTACCAATGCGAACCAAGATATATCGATGAAACTCTAATTCGTTGTTTGATGCCAGAGGTCACTGTTGAAGGTGAACTTTCAGTCAATGTCAATAATGGAGAGATGATATCAAACACATTCCACATTTCATACATCAATTCACTTCCAATTACATCTGTGACGCCTAAATTCGTCAATTATAATCAATCCAACGATATCACCATTACAATCACTGGATTTAATTTCAACAATCTACTTGATAGTCAAGTATTTATTGAAAATAAATCTGGAACAAAGAATCAATGCAATATTCTCACAAAAGAAGATGAAATTATAATTTGTCGATCTCAAATGATTCAATTTGGAAAATATCAAGTTATCTTATATTCGAAAGAATTACATTCAATTCCATCTGATTTCAGTATTCTTGATGATTCATTGGCTTGCAAATCAAATTCTAGAAAACAAGTATCATGGTGGTTCGCCAAGAAACTTCCACAATCGCAATCATACATCTATGTTGACAGTGATTCTCAAGATATCATTTATCTTTCTGATATTTCCTCAATTACAAGTAGTTTGGCACTCACTTTGAACCAAATCATACTTGATAGCAATACACACAATGGATATGTTGTTTATAATGATCATCCATGGTTTGATGATCTCAGTGGACAACTTTCACATTCAGTTCAAGGATATCCAATTGGTCATTCAGGAGAACTCAATAAATCACTTGGAAAAGGTATTCTTGTTGCTCAAACCTATTTCAACTCAACATATTCACCTGGTTTCCACATTAAACATTCAATGGAAGGATTCCCAGTTCCACTTCCAAATGGATTGTTCAAAACACCTTCAAGTCATCCATCAAGTTGGATTCCAAATGATTATCATTTGATTCCAAAACAAGGTGATGATTATTCACTTGGTCATTCATTTATGTGTCATTCATTCATTGATTCATCTGATTTTGTGAATGGAATTCAATCATTGAAACCATTCATCTATTCATCAAACAGATTCACACCAACTTCTACAACCAACATATTCTCATCACTCTTTACTGACAGCACAACCAATTCATTCACAAGTAAAGATTGGTCAAAAGGATACTTTATTTCTGCTGGATTCAGAAATGATATCTTTACACCAACAAGAATTCAACCACTTTCAATCACATTGCCATCGAAATTTAAGATTCCATCAGGTGCAAATGCAATCACTGATGTAAAGTTACCAACTGAATTTATCATTCAAAATAACATTCCAACCAAGATATCACAATGGAAATCAGATATCGATAAAAGTTATATTGCATTCAATGATACACATCTTTGTCTTGGTGATTATTCATCAAAGACATCATTTGGTGGTGGAATTGCAGTTTGTGTGATCAATCAATTCTCAAGTGAATTCTTTGTTGAATCAATATTCAAATATCAACAACAAAATTGTTCAACTCCCAAATGTGAAAATCAAATTCAAAATCAATTCTTCATTTCAATCAAATCAAAATTATTGTTGGACAATACCTATTCAAGCAATAACAATGATTTACAAATGATTTTGAACAACATCGATTCAATTTTACCCAATACCAAACTCAGTGTCGGAGATTCAGGATGTTTTGGAATATTCTGTCCAATCACAGCTCCATACTCTGAAATCAAAGTAAATCCAACAGATTCAGTTGGAATATTCTCATTCAGAGGAAGTTACACACCTATTTTCAATTTGATACTTCAAGATACAAACAGTTCAATCACAATCAAATCCAATGGATCTCCGATATCATATTCAACATATAATATCTCTGGATCATTCACTGCAAAGACCAATGGTAATATCCAAAGTAATAATATTATCGTTGCATATAAATTGATCCAAATTGTGAAGAAAGTCAGAGATAATCTTGGATTTGGAACATTTGGAAATATTGAATTGATTTTAAATAGCAATGGTATTGCAATTCTAAATCAACACAATGATATTCCAATCAAGATAGACAGCAATACACTTGATGTTCAATCATTATTCCGTGCAATCAGTTATGATTTGATTTTGCAGTTAAATAGTGCAACTTCAAGTGTCGAACTTCCAGAATTGAATTTCGATTCATTTGAACTTTCAAAATCATCAGCATTGTTGGGAGGAATGATCAATTTCATTTCAATGAAACTCAGACAACTTTCACTTCCAAATTTACCAATTTCAATGATTCAATCAATGAGAGACAGAAATCAACAATTGATTGATATTGAACATTTCACAAGTTCAAGAATGTCAAGAAGAAATGCAATTTTATCACAAGGTTGGATCACATCATACCTCTGGGATTTGGTTGATCAAGAGAATGATGATTATCTCAATCCATCATTCAGAAGACCACCACACAGTGATAATAATTATGGAAATCAAATTGATTTCAAATATATTCTCCAAACAATTCAAAACAACTCTTTGAATTCAGATATTCTCATATTTTCAGAACATTTATTCAATATTCTTCCACTTTGGAACACTCTCACAATTCCACATGCTCGTTCCATCATGATCTATAACAATATATTCGAATGTAACAATTGTAAAGTTGATAATCCACCAACTGTCAGCAATTCAACAGATTTATCAAATGTATTACAGTCCAAAGGTGTTTGTAAATCATCGATCGATAACTTAATAATGCCAACGATCGATGAAGTTCAATCATTTGTTTCATTTTGGTCATCTTCCTCAACAAACAATTGGAATGACAATCAAGGAATATCGAATATCTATTCATCTTCATTCGTTTCACTCTATAACAATTCATTGTTATTGGAATCATTGATTCAAGTTGCAGATCCAACACTTTGTGAATTCCAAATCGAAAATGGATATCCAGTCACACCAAAAGGTTTGGAGATATTGACAAGAGTTTTGGTCAATCAAATCAACATTGCCAACAAAATGATCAAATACAATGAAGTTTCAACATATTTTGTCAAAACAGAAACAACCAAAGGATTGACAATCATCACATACAAGAATTATCTTTGTGCATTCGATATTGTTGATGAATCATCATTTGACAATGGACAAGTCCTATCACTTTGTCCATCAGGTCCAATTGTGACATCGATCACTGGAAACACAGGACCAACACATTCAAACAACAATGCAATCACTTTGATTGGTCGAAAACTCAGTGAAACTGGAGTCCAAGTTCAAATTGGATCAAAGAACTGTTCAATTCAAAGTCAATCAGATTCTCAATTGATTTGTCAAGTTGGTCAAGGTGTTGGAACATTACCAATCATCTATTTCAATGTTAACACTAAACTTCCAAATGAAACACCACTCGATAATTATGTATTCCAATTCAATCAACCAGTTATCACTTCATTATCAACCAACAGTCCAGTTAAGACCTATGGACAAAAGATCACAGTTTATGGAAACAACTTTGGATTCACCAATGATGACACAACTTTATTTGTTGGAGATATTCAATTCAACATTGAAACATTCTCAACATCTGGAAACTCAGAACTATTGATTTTCACGTCGAATGGAACTGGATATGGTAACATTGTTTCTGTTTATGTTGGAGACCAAAATTCAGAATTGAATAATCAATTCATTATCAATTACGATATACCTGATATCAATTCAATCTCTGTCGATCGATCACCAACCTATGGAGGTGGAGCGATGACAGTATCCGGTACTTCATTCGGTCTCTATGGTGATATGACGATTAATATTGGAGCTATTGAATGTTCATCAACAATTAGAATCGATGATAACGCAGCAATTTGTATAATTCCTCCACATGTGGCAGATCACCAAGTAACCATTGTGGTTGGTAACCAATTCTCATCGGAAGGACCAATGTTCAAATATGACAGACCAGTGATCTTTGAAGTTTTACAAACAAACAACACACCAACTTCAGAACCAAGTAGTTTTTGGATTATTGGAAAAGATCTTGGACCACAAGGTTACGAATTCCCATATATTTCATATTTTTTAAACCTGACGGTTGTCGAATGTGATGATGATTATACATGTTATTACAATAAGACTTACACTGACGAAAATGACAATGACATTCCAATACCAACAGATCCTTACCATGATGGGTATTTTGATGCATATGTGGCAATGAATTCATCATATCGTTCAGTTGTCAACTTTGATTGCATTCAATGTGTTCTCAATCCTGGAATTGGACATAATATTCCAGTGAATATATCATATTATGAAATTTCTCGAATATCATCAATGACTCACTTTCATTCAATCGTCCAACGATTTTGAATGTCACTGAAAACCAAAGTAATACAGATGGTGGAGCATTTATTTCAATTATTGGTTTTGATTTCGTTCCAAATGAAATCAATGAAACAATCGATTATTTGACATCAAATCCAGCATATACTTATAATGAAGAGTATATTTATAATCTTGAAGGACCATTGACATACAGCAATGCCAGTATTGCACAATATCTATTCAACAATATTACTTTTGTCAATTCAACATTGGTGACTGCTCAAATTCCACCTGGAATCGGTGCAAATCACACAATATCACTTTTCATTGGTGGTCAAAATTCAACACAACTCTTTAACTTTTCATACAATGCTCCAAATATATCATCGATTTCATATTCAGATACAATTGGTCAAAATATCACATTATCAGGTTGCAACTTCGTTCCCAAGAATGTTTCATCTGGAAATTCAAGTTTTGTTTTGATCAACGGAACTGAATGTCAATCACCTCAATGGATTTCATCAAACACAATCAATTGTACTGCTTCTCCAGGTATTGGAAAGAATTTAACATTAACTGTATCGATTGGAGCTCAAAACAATACTGATAATACAACATTCTCTTATAATCGTAAGTTTTTCATTATAAATTTGATTATTTTATTTACTAATTTAATACTATCATGAATATTTAGCACCAAATGTAAATAATGTGACAATGAGTAAAACAGATGGTGAGATTATTTCGATTATCGGTGGTAATTTCGTTCCAGCCAATATTTATGCTTTCAAATCAAATGTAACGATTTTCAATGATCTTTGTGATAATATTAACTGGATCAATGATAATAATATTACATGCACTGTTAAAGCTGGAATTGGAAAGAACTTAACACTTTCTGTTATTGTTGGAGATCAACAATCAACCAATAATAATGTAACATTCTCATATTTACCACCAACCATCAAGAATAATGTGACAACCGATACAAAAGGAGGTTCAGTTATCATTGAAGGAACCAACTTTGTTCCACAAAACATCGAACCAAAGAATTCAAATATTTCGATAAATGACAACAACTGTCAGAATATCGAATGGAGAAGTTCTTCCTCCATTAAATTTGATGTACCACCAGGAATTGGAAATAATCAAACTTTTGTTATTTTTGTTGGAAATCAAACAACTGATCAAAAACATTACTTTGACTACAACAGTATGTATAGAAATTAATTCTAATTATTTGTTAATGAAATTATTAATTTTAAACTTTTTATTATTATTTCGAAATAGAACCAAAGATATCGAGTATTTCTAAATCCAAAACAGATGGTGAACAAATTACTTTGGCAGGTACAAACTTTGTGCCACTGAATGTTGAACCAAGAAACTCTAATCTTACAATTGGAACTCAAGCATGTAATAATATTGTTTGGAGTAGTGATACTCAGATTCTTTGTACGATTCCAAAAGGTATTGGAAAGAGTTTGAATGTAACACTTTTTGTTGGAAATCAGACCACTGAAGATAAACCAACTTTTGATTATATTGGTAAGTTAAACAAACATCCACTCAATTTCAATCGATAATTAAATTAATTTAATTAATACTTTTTGTATTTTATGAATAGCACCTTCGATTAGCAGTGTAACGAATTCAAAGACAAGTGGTGAATCAATCACTCTTCAAGGTTCAAACTTTGTTCCTGAAAACGTTGAACCAAAGAATTCAAACATCACAATTAACAAGAATGTCTGTAAAGATCCAGTTTGGACAAGTTCATCACAGATCATTTGCACAGCACCATCTGGTATTGGAAAAGATTTAGAATTATTATTATTTGTTGGAAATCAATCTACCACAACCAAATTCACCTATAAAAGTAATGTATTAAATTTGAAAAATGAAAATTAACTATTTCATATTAATATCTGATTAAATATTTTTTTTTTTAGTTCCAAAATTGGATGATACCAAATACAAAGGAAATCCATCTGGAGGTGATTGGATAACAATCAAAGGTGAAAACTTTATTCCAAGTGATTTCGTTCAAGAAGTCAATCAAAAAACACAAGATAGTAACAATTCAGTATCGATTGCCGACAAACAATGTCAATCAGTGGAATGGGTAGACTTTAACACTGTTAAATGTCAGATTCCATCTGGAACAGGTAAAGATAAGAATATAAAGGTTACTGTTGGTACTCAGAGTTCAGAGAACAATCAATTGTTCAGTTATAATGCTCCTGTTGTCGAATCTATTTCTCCAGATAATGGTGAACAATCCTCAAAGAAACAAGTCACAATTAATGGAATCAACTTTGGTTCAAATCCTACTGCCACAATTGGAGATGCTGGTGAGTGTCAGAGTGTCGTGGTTCTATCAAAATTGAATGACAAAGAAAGAATTCAATGTAATGTTCCAGAATATAATACAAATGGTGCACAAATCGTTAGTGTAACATTGGATGGTCAGAAATCAAATGAAACCAATGTTAAATATACATACAATGGTGATCCAAAGATTGATTCGATTTCACCCACCTCTGGATCTGTCGATGGTAACTTTGAGATGACTGTTTCTGGAAAGAACTTTAAGAATGGCGATGCAACAGTGACTGTCTATTTCAACTCGAAATCGATTACACCAACATCTAAATCAACTGATACCATCAAATTTACAGTTCCTGAAGGTGGAGGTACCAGTATTGCACTTTACATCAAGGTTGGCAATTCACAAAGTAACACAAACAATGACTTCTCATATGATGCACCAAAGATAATATCGATCACACCAGATGAAGGTCCTTATGACCAAGAAACATCAGTCAGTATCTCTGGATCAAATCTTGGTCTTTCATCTGATTCCTCTTCGACCACAATCACAGTTGGTGGAAAACCATGCTCAAGTATTCAAGCTTCATCATCGTCATCAGTGAGCTGTACAGTTCCCAGAAACGAAGATGAAGGAGAAGTATATATTCAACTTACTTTCAAATCTCAAAGTGCATCCACAACATTCAAGTACACCAAAGAAGATTCAAGTAGCAGCAGTGATAGTAGTGACAGCAGTGACAGTAGTCATGGTAGTGAAGGAAGTCATGAAGATTCAACTACCTCAACCACCTCAACTACTGCCTATTCTACCACCACATCAACCACAGGTGAAGTTTCAACAACCTCTACTACTTCGACCACAGGTGGAGATTCAACAACCACATCTACAACCGTTGAACCAACAACAGCTACTACTGGTGGAGGCACTGATGGTGGTGGCCCTGGTGGTTCTGGAGGTGCTGCTGGCATTGGTGGCGCTGCTGGTATTGGTGGCGCTGCTGCTATTGGTGGTGCTGCTGCTATTGGTGGTGCTGCTGCTATTGGTGGTGCTGCTGCTATTGGTGGTGCTGCTGCTATTGGTGGTGCTATTGGTGGTGCTGCTGCTATTGGTGGTGCTGGAGGTGGTGATGATAATGGAGACCATACATCATCTACAACCTCAACAAGTTCCATGATTTCTGGTTTCATAACAACTTTAACTACAGGTGAATTTACAACAACAGGAGAACCAATCACAACCACAACTATATTGACAACCTCTACAACATCTACTACGGGCGGAACTACAGGTGGAGTTACTAGCAACTCTACTACATCAACAACATCTACTACTATAAGTACAGATTCAACAACGGGAAGTACAATCACAACAAGTGGATCAGATAATTCCACCACGTCAACAACTGGTGAATTAACTACCTCTTCCACTTCCACCACTTCCACAACTGGCGAAACATCATCATCGACAACTGGTGTTGCAAACACCACCACTGGAGAACCCACTTCAACTTCAACGACTGGTCAAGATCCTTCGACGTCGAATTCTACAACTGGTGGGGATTTAACAACGGGAAGTACAATCACAACAAGCGGATCAGATAATTCCACCACGTCAACAACTGGAGAATTTACCACCTCTACTACCTATACCTCTTCAATAACTGGTGAAATATCATTATCGACAACCGGTGGTGCAAACACCACCACTGGAGAATCCACTTCCACCTCAACTACTTCTGATTCGACCACCACTTCCACAACTGGTGAAATATCATCATCGACAACCGGTGGTACAAACACCACCACTGGAGAGCCAACCTCCATTTCATCAACTGGTGAAAATCCTTCGACAACCACTTCAACAACTGATTCAACCACCTCTTCCACCTCCACCACTTCCACAACTGGTGAAATGTCAACATCAACAACTGGTGGTACAAACACCACCACCGGAGAACCCACTTCCACTTCAACAACTGGTCAAGATCCTTCGACATCTTCAACCACTGGTGTAGATTCAACAACCTCGACCACAAGTGAATCAACAACAACGTCTATCACCAGTTCGACCACAAGTGGAGATTCATCAACTTCGACCACAACTGGTGATTCAACAACCACGACTACTTCGACAACAAGTGGATCAGATAATTCCACCACATCAACAACTGGAGAATTTACCACCTCTACCACTTCCACCTCTTCAATTACTGGTGAAATATCATTATCGACAACCGGTGGTACAAACAACACCACTGGAGAACCCACTTCCACTTCAACAACTGGTGAAGATCCTTCGACATCCGCTTCTACCACAGGTGGAGATTCAACAACTTCGACTACAACTGGTGATTCAACAACTTCGATTACTTCGACAACAAGTGGATCAGATAATTCCACCACATCAACAACTGGTGAAATGTCAACCTTAACAACTGGTGAAATGTCAACATCAACAACTGGTACAAACAGCACCACGGGAGAACACACTTCCACTTCAACAACTGGTGAAGATCCTTCGACATCTTCAACCACAGGTGGAGATTCATCAACCTCGACTACATTGACTACCAGTGAACAAACAATCACCACCTCGACCACTGGTGGAGATTTAACAACATCGAATAATTCGACTACAGGTGGAGATACATCAACCACATCTACAACAGGTGAACCGACAACGGCATCTACCACTACTTCGACCACAGGTGGTGATTCGACAACCTCTACGACATCTACAACCGGTGAACCAACAACAATATCTATCACAACTTCGACATCCACAACTACTTCGACCACCGGTGGAGATTCAACAACCTCGACAACATCTACAACCAGTGAACCAACAACAATATCTACCACAACCTCGACAACAGGTGGAGATTTAACATCCTCAACTACATCTACAACCAGCGAACCAACAACAGTATACTTAACTACCACTTCGACCACTGGAGATGACTTAACAACCTCGACCATATCTGGAGATTCGACTACCACCTCTTTGACTACTGGTGAATCAACCACCTCAGTACCCACAACCACAACCGGTCATGAATCTACCTCTATATCAACAACTGGAGGATCAAGCTCAACAACCAGTGAACCAATCACCACTTTGACCACAGGTGGAGATTCAACAACCTCTAATAATTCCACAACAACTGGAGATTCAACAATTTCGACAACAACTGGAGATTCAACAACATCGACATCAGGTGGAGACTCGACATCCTCGATCATAGGTGGAGATTCAATCTCGACTACATTGACAACTGGTGAACCTACAATCACCAGTTCGACCACTGGTATAGATTCGGCAACAAGTTCAGCAATCTCGACCACAAGTAGTGATTCAACAACCTCGACAACAAGTGGAGATTTAACAACCTCGACCACAAGTGGAGACTCAACAACTTCTACTATTCCGACCACAACTGGAGATTCAACAACCTCGACAACAAGTGGTGATTCAATACCTTCGACAACAAGTGGAGATTTAACAACCTCAACCACAAGTGGGGATTGGACAACTTCGACAACAAGTAGTGATTTAACAACCTCTACAACAAGCTCAGTATCTTCGACAACAAGTGGAGATTCAACAACCTCGACTAATTCGACTACAGGAGGAGATTTAACAACTTCGACAACAAGTGGTGACTCCTCAACTTCAACCACAAGTGGAAATTTAACAATCTCGACAACAAGTGGAGATTTAACAACCTCGACAACAAATGGAGACTTAACAACCTCGACAACAAGTGGTGATTCGACAACTTCGACAACAGGTTCAGCAACTTCGACCACAAGTGATGATTCAATAACCTCTACAACTTCGACAACAAGTGGAGATTCGACAACCTCGACCACAAGTGGGGATTCATCAATTTCGACAACAAATTCAGCAACCTCGTCCACGAGTGGTGACTCAACAACTTCAATAACAACTGACGGAACAAACTCAACAACAGGCGATGATACTTCCACAACTGGAGATATATTAACTTCGACCACAGGAGTTATTTACTCTACTACATCCACATCTGGAGACTTTAATTCTTCGATGATATCAACAACTTCTACTGTTGATTCGACCACAGGTGAAATAAACTCTACACCTACCACCTCAATGATAACAACTAGCGAATTGTTTATAGTCTCATCTTCTGAATCATCAACAACAACAGGTATTCCAAGTATTTCGACAACAGGAACTAGTATCTCACCTCTTGATTCTGGAATTTCTGGCGAAATACCTTCAACCACTTCTACAACAACTGTAATCAATACAGGAGAATCCCTCTAACAACCACATCGACACCAGTAATTCAAATTCATTCCTATGTTATAAATCAAAATATAATAAATAAATAAAATATAAAATAAAATTCATGCATATTAATTATCCCAATGGTGTAATTTGATTAATTTATTTTTTTGGAATATTTAGCACAATGAAATAAAAGCTATTGTGAGGTTGTGTTAAGTAATCATATGATTACTGTTTTATTCAACCCAAATTGTGGACAATCACTATTTAAAAAACCAATTAGATCTAATTCCTAGTCAGCTCCCAAGGCGTTGATGATGGCTAACCAGTGGACATCCTCGAAATGACCATGGTCTTGATTCGGTGGCTACCTCAATACAACGGGTGCACCTTCCACTTTAAATTTGTCGGCCATTGGAGAGTCTCCACTCATTGATCCGCTGGCGAGTTGTCATTTCCCTTTTCCTGAACAAGGATGATCTTGTGACGTGTCTACAAGCCTATTATCTTCTTTGGAGTCGTTCTTTGTCATTACAAGTCTGCCACTCACGGTTGAAGGAGTTACTGTGCCAGTTCTATCTTAGTAGGTGTACTCTTCGTCTGCAATGAACGACCTCTGCACCTTTTCATGTGTTGTCTGTTGTGCATGAATTTACTATTGGCACTCCGGGGACTCGTACGTCTAAAAAAATGATTTAAACCCCTATCTCACACATTGTTGGCATGTTTTTTATAAAAATAATTGAAAAAAAGCACCTATATTTGGAAAAACGTAGTAGGTACTTTTGAACCCCAAGCAAGATTCTCATCCTCACTGAAAAACAAAAAAAATTTGGCAGTTGTGTGGTCACCCACAATTTTTTTTTTAATTTTTTTTAATTTTTTTTTTTTTTTAATTGTTACCTGTATACAGAATATATTATATTATTCTAGTTATGATTTTTTTTTAAAAGATGGAAAACTATATGTTTAAGTTTAAGTTGGAGCAACCAGAGTCTACCAAAGAAAATGATAACAAGAAGTGTGTATTCAATGATGAGGAAATTGAAATAATAAATGATAACCCAAGAGATCACGTTTCGGTTGATTATGGCTTAAATATTTTGTTCGAAGTGATTGAAAATGAAAATAATTATATTAGTAGTATTAGTAGTAGTAGTAGTGGTGGTAGTAGTAGTAGTAGTAGTATTAAATAGTAATAGTTCAGTTTCTAAAATAAATACATACCACGTTAATAGTGTTGAATTCAAGTGTGAGCATTGTTTATATTCTTATGGTGAATTGACCAAACTCAATAGGCACAAGAGAGAAAAGCACCCCAATGAAATGAAAAAGTCACATTGGGAGCAACCACTCCAAGTGAATGCAGATATAAATTCGAAGCAGTGTTGTCATAACAACTGTCAAGTAAAAGTGACTCTATCAAACTATGCAAGCATCTGAAAACCAAACATCCTTGTTGGGAAACGAATAATAAACTGGAATTAGACGAAATCACATGTTAAGGGTGCAAAAACAATTGGATAATCAGATCAAAAGAGAGAGAAATAACCTTGCTGTGTCTACTCCTGTTTGACATCTTAATAGATTTATTGTCTTCAGTGTGTTTACCTATTTATTTATTTACAAAAAAAAAAAAAGTTAGAATTAATATACTAGTTATATAAGTTTTCAAAGTATTTGAAGGTATTGGTGGATTGACATTTAATCAAATTGACATGTGTTTGGATCGATATTTAGAACAAAAGAATCTATTTGTAGAAGTAAGAAGTTACTAAGAACTCTTGACTGTAATACTACAGAAAGAGATGATGAATATTTGGATAAGGTATTCGAATTGGAGTTGTGCTTTGATGGTGATATATGTAGTCGAAATATCAATCGCCAAATGGAAATCAACAAACATCAGATTGGAAATCAACAACATTAAGAATATACTAGATGATATTATGAACCAAAAATGTTATGATATTAAGAACATAACATTCAACGATAATTTAATCGCTTTTTTGGAAATACATTCACAAAACAAATTAACACATCCAGTCATATTTTAGAAAGTAGTTGAAGAAGACTATAGGAGATTTAAAAGAGAAGAAGAGAGAATTAAACAAAAGAAAAGGAAGATACAGCAAGATAGGAAACAGGATAAGCAACAAGACAAGAAACAAGATAAACAGCAAGATAAGAAACAAGATAAGAAGATACAATATAAGAAGCAAAACAAGAAACAAGATAAACAACAAAACAAGAAACAAGATAAGAAACAAGACAAGAAACAAGATAAGAAGATACAATATAAGAAGCAAAACAAGAAACAAAAAAAATAAAACAAAATATTTAGTTATTTTTTAATATTATTCTTACTTTTTTAAAGTTCTTTTATTGTGAACTCTGTTCATCTTTTAATCTATCCATATTTGCTGAACTTGTTGTTCCTTATATGCTTTAAATTTTTAATATTTGATATTATCGTATAATCGATCAAAATAGATGTGAATGTGATGTAATTTTTTTTTCAAATTTTTTTTCAAATTTTTTTTCAAATTTTTTTTCATTTTTTATTATTCCAAATTTGTAAAAACTGAAATAAGTGGGGTACGACTTTCTGAAGTGTTGGTGTTCAGTTGTCTACCGTCGATTGCTTGCCTACTCATTGCTCTGCTTCTGCTGCTGCTACAGTCACGCTGGCGATGTCGGGTGATGGCGTTGTGCATTCACTATATGCCACCTAGGCCTATGAGGGATGTCAAAGCGGATGTTGTTGAATCGTTTTGTCAAACTGATTGATCCGGAGTTGATAAAGCTTCTATCTACTTGCTGGATGATGACCTCGATCGAGTGCACCTGGATATATTGCCTATGACCGCCCACTACTTGTACTCGTATGTTATGTTGCATTGTTACTCTATCCTCGTTGGTACTGTATTGCTTACTACTTCCTTCTTACTCGACTTTCACTTTCACTATGCTCGTCTGGTGGTCTTATTGGAGTTCCTTGCTAATTACTTTATGTAGTTTAAATTCATATAGCTTTATGTGTCATGTCGTCTGTGCGCACATTTGAACACTAAATGCAACTTTCTATGAATGATGTTTAAAAGCTATCGAAAAATAGAACATCATTGCTAACATCTATAATAATTTAATTTATAATATTGTAAAGATAGTCAATAACATATTGAATCACAGGTATACTGAGAAAGATAAAGTTAAGTTACTTACTTCAAATTAAAACTCTGTAAAATGATGGAGCTGTAGAATAACATGCACAGTAACGGTGATATAGTGATAGTGCTGTAGAATGACATGCATAGTAACGGTGCTGTAGAGAAGTAAACTATTAATATTAAAATTTAATTGTAAGCGATTAGTTTCACTGTATAGAAACTGCGAGTAATCGTATAATATTACCTCTCAAAATTATTATTATTATTTTAAAAACACCTGCTATTTCTTTGCTGATCTACTTTTTGTGTTATCTATGTATGATAATGTTTTTTTGATGTGATATTGTCTTTTTATTCTCCATCTGACAAACTTCATTTGTCAAGGCAATCTGATTTTAAAAACTAATACACTTTAAATAAAACATAGTAATTGATAAACTTTAAAAATAATTTTATTTGTAAAAATGAGAAGAAGTTTTGTTTGAAAAAAAAAAAAAAACAAGTGTAATACAATACAAGGGAAAAAAAATTGTGCTCATCACAATCATTTGTCGACAAATCAATAGATATATATTATGAATAATAGTCATATAATTAATGTGCTTTATTTTTAAAAAAACTTGTTTCTTGTCTGCGTTTAATATTTATTTATTTCATTTATTAGTTTTTGTTTGCCTTTAATAAATGAAATAAATGAATAAATTCATATATATTTATATGACTTATTAAAAATAAAGAATATTAATGATATTACTACAATAAGATTGTTTACATTTTTTTCTTTTAGGTGTTGTATTATTAATTTAATGAACAACTATCTGTACCGCAACTATAATAGTTATATATTTGTTCACAAAAGCTTTTCGTCATTTCATAGTTGTTATTTGTATAAAGTTTAGATACATTAATGAAATGATGCTAAAAGATGAAGGCAAAGCATACTCAATAATCGCTGGGAAGAGAACAACAACCAATAACCAAAACAACACGCAACAACAGGAAATACATACAACAACGAGAGAATTTGAGTTCTGGAGCCAACTGGAACCCAACATCTACGGAAGCAACCAACTACGACGAGCTTGAATGGATACAGAGAGTGAAAGATAGCAACCATTTCAAGAACATCAAAGAGACCAAGTTTGAAATCGAAGGAGCTGACATATCCAACTACATTAAAAAAAAAAGAAGAACTGGTCAGCTCCAGGTCCTACTGGATTAAGAGATACCATGAGGCTAGCCGAAGCCTTCAATGAGTACCTATACCATGGAGTTCCCTAAATGGTTATGTGAAGGAATTACATACCGGATCCACAAGGGAGGTGACCAAGAGGACGAAGCCAATTACCGACCAATCACATGCATTAACAACACATGTAAGATATTAACAGGAATAGTAGCCAAGCACCTCCACCAGCACACCAAAGTCAACAACCAACTGATGGAAGAAGTACAGAGAGGTGGAAATGACCGATGTATGGGAACCTACGAGAATCTCTTCATAGACAATCTATTCTTTGAGAGATACCCAGACATCAAGGTGGCATGGATAGACCTTACCAAAGCATATGACTCAACGAAGCACAGGTGGATCAAGTACATACTACATATGCACAAGATAGACCTGAAAGCCAGATCAATCATTGAAAGACTCATGAGTAAATGGAACACCAAGATATTCATATCCAAGAATCAAACACAACTACAATACCGATTACCAATGGAATCTTCCAAGGTGATGCTCTCTGTCCCTTTTTGTCCTGCCTTACCATAAACCCAGTCGGATACTATATAAAGATTAATTACTAAAGCGCCAATAATAAGTATCACCCAACTGTCCCACCTTATGTTCATTGACGATATCAAAATGTACTCTCGTGTGACCGAAGAGATAATCAACACCTTCATGGAAACAGACAAAGCATTCAAATCAATTGGAATGAAGATCAACAAAAGAAATGTGGAATTCTTGGAAAAGGAATTACTAAGGATATGCTACCGGAGGAATGAAAGAGATACCGATAGAGACGAGGAAAATCTATAAATACTTAGGAATGTTACAACACCGATTAATCGATCAGAAAAAAACACTTTTTAATAAACACAAAGTGGCGAGAGAAAGATTTAAATTAATATTAAACTCCAAAATGTCAGCATGGAACCTAGCCAGGGCATTTAACTCTTTGGTAGTCGGATACCTGAGATACTACTGGTTCATCGACATCCCAGACTACGCCATAGATACATTTAACAAGGAATTCAATGAGACCCTTTCAAAGAGAGAACTATTGCATAGAAACATGAGAAGAGATCTCCTCCACTTGGATAGGAAAGAAGGTGGAAGAGGATTCAACGAACTAATACTAGAATATAAGGTCTACAAAATCATCACAGCAGTTAAACTACACTAGGTGAGGAGAAACCAAGACCTTATGAGCTATGCATTGGAAACGAAGAACCCACTATACACCAGCGCAATGAGACACATGGAATCATTTGACTACAAACTCATATTCAGTAAAGATGGAAAATTGCAAATACACAAGGATGGAGAAACAATACTATACAATCACGATGGGAGGGCCCTACAATCACAAACACCATTTCAGCTCACCTCAAAAATGTATATAGAGAACAACACCCAATCGAATCAACAGTTCTAGAACCAAATTCTGGATCAAACAAGAGAAACTCTGTTTTAATTAAACACAAATTTAAATATAATATGAACACTTTTAAAATAAAAAATGTATAAGTAGTTCCAGTTTTGAGATTTGTGCACAAATTTTTCAAAAACCCTCAAAAATAGCCAAGGTGTCTGAGTCCATTTTTTTTATTTTTTCACTGTTGGTTTAAAATGCATTCACATAATGGGTTTAGGGAACTTTTACAATATTTTAAAAAGTAAAAAATTAACAAATTTTATTTAAATGTATTAAATACTGTACTTATTATTATTAATAAATAACATACTTTTTCTTCATAAATAGTTGACTTATCTTTTAGTGTTATTTCTGGGTAGAGCACTAATACAACTCGTGGGCAATCAATAACTAATGGAGTTCCTTTGTGTTTTGGTTGGGCATGAACCTTATAGCTTTCGAAATCTTGCTTTGAATCCTGAATCCGATTGTCCATTAAACTTTTATTCTCTTTAGCAGGGACTAGAGGTTGGTAGGTAAGGTGGGTACAATAAGAGGTTGACGTCCTGTTTTAAAAAATATTGTAAGTTATTTCCTTTTTAAAATTCAAAGAATATCATTTACTCTTTAATTCTTTCTTTGGTACTGGATAATCTTCTTCATATGAGTATTCATCTGAATCCTCTTCTAGATCAATATCACTATCTCTTATCTAAAGAACTTTTGACTTTCTGAAGGGCGGTACTACCCTTAGTTTTCTTTTCTGCTCTCTTCATTTCTTTTATTATTTTTTTTCTATTGTTGACTAATGATGATGTTTTAAGGATATTTTATTTAATATTTAATATAAAATGTTGGGAAATAGGAGCTAACATTTGTTAGAAACTCTAAATCTGGTATCATCCACCGTAGGTATTAATTTGTTCCCATTTTTGTAATTTTTTTTATTATGTAAAATGAGTTAAACCATACATAAAACACCCCAACAAATTGGTGAATTAAAATAAATTATTATAAAAGGTGAATAAATCTAATATTATTATACCACATTTTACTCAAAACACAAATAGTTCTATTATACTCTACAACATTAAACAAATATTAATTTTTTATAATTATTGTTTATTCGAAATAATATACCAATATCGAAATTTTGTTCCAAGATTCATCGAAGTGAAAAACACATTAGAGACAAGATTTGGTATGTTTCGAAAAAATTGAACAACTTAATATCAAAGATCTTTAGGTAAGCAATTCTCGATTGATAATCTCTTCGAACTCAAGAAGATTTAAAAAGAATAAAACAGAGACTCTCAATGATAATGTGTATGTGTTTGTTCTCTTGTTGACCAGGTACGATAGAGGAAGAGATCGGAGTCTTGGATGCGATCAGGGTTGCTTGGAATACATCCGACGGGATTGAGTCTGGGCGTGTGACGGTAGGAACGATATCAGGAAACAAAGTAGAGGTTGATGGGATTGAATCATTATCATTATTGCTTTCGAGATCGTTCATTGTAAGATCATTTGTTGTGGTTGTTGTATCAGTAGGTGCTGCTGCATTACTGGTTGTTGTAGTTGTTGTTTTTTGATCAGTTGGATCTGACATTTCTTATTCAAGTGATAATTAATAATAATATAAAATAATATTTTTAATAATATCTTTATATAATTTAAATCTTTAACTTTATTTTAATTCTTTTTCTTCTTTTTTTTAATTTCTTCAGTTTCTATTTTTTTTATATTGAATGATTAAAGTGAATTGAATCTTTAACGTCGCGTTAAACTCAATATATTCATTATTGAGAAGCTTGACGGCTGAATGTTGAATACTTAATTTAGAAACAACAGAAACAACAGATTCTAATTTAATTATTATTTTGATCTGTTGTTTTGAACTATTACTTATTTAGTTGATTAATTAATTTAATTAATTATAATTGACTGTTTCTTATATGTTGGCTGGTGATTATTATTGATGTTGGTTGATAGGTACCGGCATTGCCTTGGCGGCTACCTTATTGTCCTTAGAAGGACAACAGTATGCGTGTTTGGTATTTGGATACAACTTTGTGCCTGTCCCAGCTCCAGACTATCATGATCCCGACAATAAGATACTGTACAGTAAAAAAAAGACACCCATTGTTTTAAATACGAGGTGGCAATTGGTCTCTAATATGGTTTCGCCTATAGAGTGTATGGTCCTTGTATGGGTAGTAAACATGATTATTCAATCCTTGTTGATTCAGGTATTATAGAAGAGCTTAAAGATACCGAAGATTATTGCTGATTTAGGGTATGTTTATGTTGGAGAAGCATATAATGGTTATATTTTTACTTCATTAAAAGATACAGGTACATATCTAAAGAACAAAAGCACTGGAATATGTACATCTGTTCAAACAGAGCAATTGTGGAGAATTTCTATAGTAGATTAACAATTTTTAAAATCGTATCTCAAACTTTTCAGAGCAGATTTTGAAAAACATATACAAGTTTTTACAATATGTGTATGGCTTACTAATCACAATATTAGTGAAAGTTCTCTTCGTTAAATTTTTTAAAATAAAATCAATCTTATTCTTTTATTTATAAAATATAAATAATTTTTAATCATATCATTTTCATTCATTATCACCATCACTACAAAATATTCATAATCAAACAATATTTATAAGAGAAGCAACAACCAGCAACTATAAATAAGCAACAACATCTCCTTTATCTCTTCAATAAACAGCGAGACACCTCTTTGGTATCCTTGTCTTTCATCGTGATCGCTGAACTTATCAAATCCATTTAAATTAAAGATTGAGAATTTATTTTTCAAATTAAATTATAAATATTTGATGATTGCCCACCAACGATGATTTGAATAGATTGTGGTAGTTTAGTGGTCAAACATTCAGCAAGAATACTGGATTTGAATGATTTGAAAGTGGTGGTGTATCCATCATAGAATAAAACAATCTGTGAACTTTCAGTGACAGTGAATCCATTCTCGATTGGAACAAAGTTATTGCCTGATATTTCAATCAAATCATTCTTGATTATAACATTGTTGATCACTGGCTTTGAATATGAGATTATTTGATTTGGTAAGAGTTCGACACCATTGATTGTTGCTGATAATCGATATGATTGTCCATATCCAGATGGAACATAACATTCAACAAACAAATCGAATGAAGTGCAATCTAAATCGATTCCATTCAGTTTGACAACCAATTGTTCATTTGATGATAATCCTAATCCAAATCCATTCAATTGAATCAAACCACCACTCGTTGGAATTTCAGTGTTGTTGATATTTGTGATTATTGTTGAATAATATTCGAATTCTGATTGGATTGTTTGATCACCTGATTGGATAATGAGTGGTTGTTTTGATGTCTCATATTCCAATTGGAATTCAATGAAATTGTTGGTGAAATTATCAATTTCAATTTGATTATCTCCAATGAATAATAGAGGTGGAAGATCAGAGTCTTCTTCATTTCCAAATCCATTTCCAAGAATTACAACTTTATCTGTTGGATCTCCTGATTTTGGAACGATTTTGAGAATTTCTGGTCCACCGAAACTGAATGATTGTGTTTTTAGTGTTCCTAATTCAAGTCTCGAAGATTGATCTTGAACAATAACAGTTACATGTCGATGATCTCCAATTGCATTCGGTGTTAAACATGCAATTGAATTTGATGAAATACTTAGAATTGGTGAACAATCAAGTTTATCATCAATCAAAACTCTGATATCTTTGATATTATCTCCAAAATTTGAACCATAAATTGTCATGATATCATTTCCATAACTCTTGATCATTTCTGGTTCAATATTTGTGATCGTGGGAGAATCATATGAAAATATGAATTTTGATCTCTGAATATTGAATGTGATTTGTTGTGTTGAAATTTGAATCAAATTATTTTGACCTCTTCCTTTTGGAACTTGACAAACAATTTGTTGATTTGAAATTAATTCTGTTGAAACACATTGTTGTTCTCCAACTGAGAGTGTCATTGATGAATTGAATCTAATTCCATTGATTGTAATCTTATATCCACCATTGGTTGGTCCATTCAATTGATTGACTGATGTTATGATTGGTCCTGATGATGGACATGTCATATCGAAATTATTAGATTGGAAATCAGATTCACTGATCATTTGGAAATCACAAAGTTGTGAATTGATTGTCGAAATTATCATTCCATAAACACCATCATAAAAATTCGGTTTTGGAAGATAATACACTTCGAAATCTCCAAATGTTGAATGAATTGTTGATTTACTCATCAGAATACTTTCAAGAATGAATGTTATCGAAACAATTGAAATTGGTGATGATAAGCTAATTATTTTTTGGTTACTTTCAGTTTGTTGGGTACTGAGATCGATTGAATTACCATCGAGATCACGATTGATTTCATCAATGAATTTGATTGCATGATTTTCAAATTGATTGAAACTATTGATAATTAGTGTTTGAATTGCTTGACTTTGATCGTTGATTGTGATCCATTTGTCAATTGAATTCTCGAGATTTGACAATTCATTTGAATTCAATGAATAAATATCTTCCAATCGAATTGATTTTGGTGTGATTGAAATTAATTGTTGAACTCCTGATCTGATGACTCTTTCATCTTGAACAAGTGGTGATAGCTGATTGTAATTCTTGATTTCAACATTGTTCAAAATTGATTTTGAAAACATTATTGATTTCTTTTTAATCTGAGAATTGAATGAATTAACATCGATTGGATTTGAAGGTACTGGAATAATATAATTATTAACGAGAATAGTTTTAAAGTTTTCTTCTGAAATGTATTGTTTATCAATGAATCTTCTCAAATTACTCATGTTCAAGATATATCCATTCTGTCTTGCTTTGATAACTGTCTCCAATAAAATGTGAACTGGAATAATATTATCTTTGTCAATTCTTGAAAGTTTGCCTCCTTTTCCACCATTACCATTTGAATAGTTTGGATTCATCCAATCCCATGCTGCTTTGGCACTCCTTCTGAAAATTATATCTGCAGTAGGATTAACCAAATCATGATTACTTAATAAGAAATAAAGAAAATTAGAATGAATAAAAACATTATTGAAAAAATAAATAATTATCATACTCTGGAAAACTTTCAATATTTTGAAGATTAGAAAATACATTATTCATACATTTATCGAAATTTGGAATTTGCTTGTTCGACATTACCTAAAAATAAATAAATTAATTGATTTATCATAAAAATAAAAAATGAATTGAACATACATTGTAAAGTTTCTTTGAGATTGCTAATATCACACCATTTGCCCAATTTGGATTGTTTAGACCAATTGTGTAAATCAAAGAAGAAGAAGGTAGTGCACCAGATTGATAATAGATATAATGAAGTGTCATATAATATGCAATCTCTTCTTCACAAACCTTTTGAACTCCAAAAATGAATGGTGCTTCAAAATATGATTTCGAATTTGAATTTGATTGTGATTCCATGAATTGATAGAAGTTTCGTTTGGCATTTGGAAGATTCTTCATGAATTTCGATGTGAATTCCAAAACTTTGAAATTATCATTTGAAGATAAATCAAATGTTCTCAAATTTTGAAGGGATCGGTAAAGGAAACCAAAATAACTTGGAAAATTGATTGGTTTACCATATTTCGGTTCTGTTATCAAAGAAGAAATTGATTTGTCTTTGGTGCATTCTGTCAATGTCGAATCAAAACTGCAAATAGAACCAACATCTTTGTCAAATGCAATGTAATGAAGTGAAAACAAGTCATTTGCCACATAATTCTTAATATCAGGTGGATTACTTGGTAGAATTGGTGCGATTGCATTACTTGATTTCTCTCCATTAGGAGCAACAAATTTTGTAGTGGTTCTTAGTGCTGGGAACTCAGCACTAATTTTATCAATAGTAGGAGGACTATTCTTTAGGTTTGGAGTGATTTCATGAATCTCTCTTGGATATTTAGAAATGTGATTTCCATTAATGAAATCTTTAACCTCCACTTCATATGTGTTAGTCCATTGACCTCTTTGAACTTTGATTGGTTGTGTAACTGAGCAAAATAGATCTACTGAGTTTCCTTTATTGGGTTTTGTCAAATCATTATTTTTATCTACAACATTGTATTGACGGACCATTCTGTTGAATTGATATGAAAGTGTTGGGTGTTGTATACAAACCAGACCACCTCCTCTACCAGCTATAAATTATATAAATAAAATAAAAGAATTAGTATTAAAAATAAGAAAATGATTTGAATATTATAAATTACCTTGACCATTGTGTCTGTTTGAATCACCAAAACAAAAATAATTTTCTAAAATTATTCAAAAATTTAATATATTGATGAATATGAATTAATTTAAATTGTGATATTACCTTTGGCATTTAGAGCCTGATCACCATAAGCAGGATACATCGGAATTCCTAATTTCGAATGTTCCTAATTAATTGGTTAGATATTATCATAATTTTCTAGTAAAAGAAAAACTTACATTTGAATAACCAGAGAATTGAATAGATTTTGTTTCTAATAACAAATCATCATTTGGAATTCTGAGATATGGTGGAAAATTTAAAAATCCAACATTTGACACTCCTGAAGAAATATCAGTCTGAAAAGTCTTTGTTGCGTAAAAGAAATCCACAAAATATTTTCTATCCATTTCTTTTGCCAGAACTGTCCAAATATCAACTCCATCCACTAATCTTTTGAAAGAATCATCTTTTGTATTTGATGTTTTCATGACAACATATTCATTTAGATTTGCATTGTTATTAATTTTAGCATCCACAAAGAGAGAATCTTTGTTTCCAATTTTCATAAAGTATTGAATCTTCAAATTTCCACCAATTTCGATTGGGTTTTTCTTCCACCAACATTTGTTTTCAAGTCCAATATTTTGTGTTAAAAGCGTTCCACAATCTTCAACAAGTCGTGTTTGATTTTTAGATTCTGGTTTGGTTCCTCTTTGTGTACGTGTTTTAAGAAGGACATTATAATTAATTGATAAATAATCATAAAGATAAGGGTATTTATCTTGTTTGTCATTTGCCCATCTATTCATATTTTGAAAGACATTGTTTTTTTCGAGAAGATAACCATCATTCTTCAAGTAATACTCTGCAACATCATCAAGATGATTGAATGTATAACAAAAGAAATGTTGATTGAAATCTGGTCTTCCAAGGAATTTCACTCCATCTTTTGGTTCGAGGTATTCATCCTTATCATCTGAAGTATAACCTGGAAATGCTGAATTTTGAAACAAAGTTAGAAATTTAAAGAGATTGGAAAATTAAAAATAAATAATTACCTGGATTTGAATGATGAATATGAATTCCATTGATATGATCGTTGGCATCAGGATCTTCCCAAAATACCATTCCTTTAACATGTCCATTTGGCATCAATGTATTAAATCTTTTATTTTTTGATTTAAATGTACCTGACCTTCCACCTTTTTCATCTCTTCCTTCAGGTTGATCATTAAAAAACATATAGTAATAATAACTATGTTGGTTAAAAGTAGCTTCAATTGGACTGAATACACTGAAATCGGTAGATGTTGTATGTTGAAGGTTATCAAGACGTTTGAGTCGATCCATTGTTGAGTCGATATATAAATATTCGTTGGTATGATGGATTTTATAGACAAACCACCAATCAACTGCATTGTTACTTTTGTCAGGAAGTGGTGGTCCAAGACATGATAATCTATTTGATTTGAAAACAATATCATCTCCAGATGACACTCCATTCACTGTGATCGTCACTGAATGTGTTCCATAATTCAATAAATCTTTCATTTTACATATTACTTGGGTATTGGTGATTTTTTGAATTTTACATGATGATGATCCTACTGAAATTGATACTTGACCGGAAACAGTTCCAAAAGAAGTTCCAACGATTGTGAGAGTTTGAATAGTTTTCTCAAATCCTTGAATTGGTATTAATTTATCAATTTTCGGACCAACATAATCGATTTTGAAATTCGATGGATATGAATATTCATCATCATTTGATTTAACAATCAATGTAATTCCATAACTTCCTGACTTGTATCTTGGTATTTGACAAGTCAATTTTGTTTGTCTATTTAAAGTGCAACTGGATGATTGGATTTCAATTGATCCAAATCGAATCAAAGTTACTAAATCCAAATTAACTCCAATGATATCAAAATTACCACCACCTGTTGGGTTGGTATTTGTTCGTGAAACTTGTGTCACACTTGGTTCAACAAATGAAAATACTTTTGTTGTATCGACTGTTTGTCCTTTGATAGAAAATGAAATAGGTTGATTTGAGACTTCTCTTGGAGGTATTGAACACGTGAATAAATTAATTGATGATCTTTCAAGATATTCACAATATTGATTTCCAATCTTAAATGAAATTACATCATCAAGAATCTCTTGATCTACTTCTGGGAAGTTATGAACTTGAATTGAAACTGGTGTGTATGATTTTGAATGTCCTCTGTCGATATTAATACCAACAAATGTTCCTTCTCCGATATTAATATTTAAAATATTACTTGTAATTCCATTGTCAATGATTGTCACTGGATAGCTTCCTGTTGCATGATTTTTGGTATCGAGTTGAAATGTGATTGTATTTGTTGATATAATAATTGGTGTGAAATGAGTTTGACCAACTTGAACATTTGAATTTTGACCAAACCGACCTTGAACTTGAATATTCTGTAGACCTGGATTAACAACAGGATTTGGAATGATTTTATTGATTTGGAGTGAATGATATTTGAATTTAAAGTTGTTCAATGGGCTGAAGACTTTTCCATCAATTACAACATTAAAATCCAAATCCTGTTCAGATGATCCACCAAGATCATATCGAGATGTTATACAAGATATCTTGTCATTAAATTGATTGCGACTGAATGATCCATGAATCAAATTACAAATTGAAGTACCAATCGATATAGATTCAATATCTTGGAGATATTTACCAAAAATATCGATTGTGTCTCCTCCATTCCGTAAACTTTGGGGTGGATTTACATTTTGAATTTCAGGATCTAAAATAATGTTATTACAAAATTTAATAAAACAATAATTTATTTAATATTGAAGTTAATTTACTTACGATAAATAGTCAGTTTGACAGATGATATTGATATTCCGTTAAAGTCAATTTCGATAACGAATTCTTGCAAAGTTCCTGATGGAATATTAATTTTTGGACTGTCACATGATAAAATTCCATTTTGATGGATGACATTTAAACAATCTTGTTGTGCAATTCGAACGGTTGGTGTACTTGTAAGTTGGACAATTTCGAATCCAAATATTGAAATTCTCTTACTGACTCCAGAAGCTACACTGTCTGGAATAACACTTTTTGTAATCGGTAATATATATTTCAGATTTCTTCGAGCATCTATTTCCAATCCAGTATAGAATCGAATCTTGATAGTCGAAATTTTTGGAGTATTGGAAACAGGAATATCACAAATGATTTGATTATTGTCAATAGATTTGATATTAACAGAGGTGGTGTCATCAAAGATGACTTCTGGTTGTTGGTCAAAACTATTAAGTCTAAGATGATTACCACTCATTATCATTTCTAATCCAACCACATCTGTATAAACTTGTTCAGGACTTATCATTATACTTGGTTCTTTGATTTGAATGTTAATTTTAATGAATTTACGAAATGAATGAAAGATAGATAAATACATACCAACATATTCGAAATCTTGTTCGAAAAAGTTTGAAGTCGATCCTTGAAGTTGAAAGATGAACTTAACTGTTCCAATTTCAGTATTGGTTCTCTTTTGATTTTGTAAATTAGATACTGGTAAACTTGGTACAATCCATTCAAATGTTCCTGGATACACTTGTTGGAACGAATCGAAAATTGTTTCTTTGCCAGCATTTACAACTTTGAGTGTTGGTGGATTCGCAACTGGGAAATCAGATGATACAATTCGAAATTTATTGTTTCCACCTCGATAAGCAATCATTGGTGACATCGATTGTATCGTGAATGCTTTGCTGTAGAGAAAATCGAATCCCAATAATACTATTAATATTATTGTTATACGATTCATTTCTAAAACAAATAACTATTACGCCAAAAAAAATTAATACTTTTTTTTTAAAGAATGAAAATTTTAAAGCTTTCAGTTGTGGTTTGCGTTAGAATAAACTCTGGGGTGAATACTGGTCACTTACGAACATTGATAAACAAACGAGCAAAGAGCACAAAAAAAAACAACAACAATTAGAAAGGTTTGAAAGATGGTTCACCAATCAGAAGATTTGATGAAGAATTCCTATCAATTGAAACGAATAAAAATTTTGTAAATTGTAAAAAATATAAATTTGCTTTGATCTTTGCCCCAAAATAATCAAAACACAATTTTGATTTTCACCGAAAAAAAAAGATGATTTTTATTTTTGCCTACTTTCGAAATCAAAGATCTAATTTTGGTATGAATATCAAAATGAATATGAAAATCAATACTGCAAGCAAATTTCGTTTGTTTTAGGTATATGAAAATAACCATCTTAATTAATTTTTTTTCAAATTTTTCATCATCTGATCTTTGCTGACTATCTCGCTCTTTCGATTACCAGGAACATTGTACGGTTTCATAGAATTTTAAATATTTTTTTTAATACAAAATTTAATGTGATTGATTTTAAGATGATTTGCAAAAAACCGAGATTTTTGATATTACACAAATGCATGAGTCAATCAAAAACCGTAGATTTTAGAAAAGACAAAGTTTGTTTTAAATTTTATTTTATTTTATTTATTATTTAATGATTTTCTCTACAATTCATTTCAAACTTATGATTAAAACAAAAGTAATGAATTTAATTTTTAATAATCAAGTTAGAAAACTAAAATGAAAGATTTTCGATCATCTCATTTATTTTTCTCTCTTTTAATTATTTTTCATTTTCGTACGATATTATTTTTTTATTTTTATTTTTTTTGACGATCAAAAACAATTTTTACTAATTTATTTTTTATTTTTTTCAATCAAAACCGAAAAATTTAGATATTAACAATGTTTTATCATTGGTAGTTCCGATAACAAATGTTACTCCATCACTTGCCGCCATCATTTCAGAACAAATAACAGTGATTGGAAGTAACTTTGTATTATCAACTAGCATAACAATCAATACAACTTTTATATGTGATACACCGCAAACTATTAGTAGCACCCAAATTATTTGTAATGCACCTGCACTTCCATTTGTTGGAAAAGCCATTGTTCATGCAAGAAATCCACCTTTAACCCCAATAAAATCCACTGATACCGGATTTATCATTGATGTGGGTCTACCACCTGCACCATATATCAACAGTATTAAACCAAATATCTTGACGAATCGAGCGTCGACGAACAGTCTTACGATCACTGGAAAGTACTTCATGCCAGATGTCAATGTTTTGATCAATAGTACATATCCATGCAATCTCCAAGTAAAGGCCACCGAAACATCTTTAATTTGCCAATATGCAGCTGTTCCAATTGGAGGTACCAATTCGATGTATCCAATAACAACAGTTAATTATGGTGCAAGTTCAGATCCATATTACATGAAATTCGACTTGCCAACCCCGGTTTTCGATGTATTCGATCAACAAATCCTTATTGAAAAAGATGTTACTTATCTATTCAAAGGTTCTTTATTTGTTTGTGATAAAGTAAAGATTTCCCTAGATGGAGATTTCACTTATTTTACTATTCAAAATTGCAATCCAAACCAAGTATTTGCTAAATATAGTACTGCTAAGACACTCAAAGGCCAATTTCCTGCTATTATTTATAATGATAACGTCGCTTCTAACTCTAGAGAAATTACTTTTGTTCGTATGATATTATCATTATCCTTATTTTCTAAAAAAAATTCATTTATTTATTAATTATGATTCATATTTAGCACCAAAACCTATTGTGGAGAGTGTTAGTGTATATGGAATGTCTTATAAACTTTTTGATGGCCAATTGGCTGTGTTTGGTACAGGATTTAGAAGTGATATTACAAGTGTAGTATTTGCTAATTCGTATTGTACAATAAAGGAATTGACTTCTACAAAAATCCTATGTCAATGTCTTAAAGTAACAAATTATGGATATTTTCAGCTCCAAGTTTATAATACTGGTGCTGGATCTGTAATTTATCCTGTTTTATTGAGATGTAAGATATACTTATTAAATCATCTGATAGATACTTTTACTAATTTAAATTTCCAAAGCAATTCCAACAATTACATCATTCAGTCCAAATGTTTACCAGTATGACCAAGTAACTAATTTAAATATTGTTGGTGATGAATTTAATACAGGTCTCACCAAAGTGTATGTTGGAGATGTACTCTGTGATCCTGTGAGCATAACAAGTAAAACTCAGCTTACCTGTCGTTTTCCACAGATACAAAAAACTGGACCCACTCCAATCTTTGTTAGAAATACAGGACATGCAGATTCAAACATTGTTTATGTTGATTACCGTCCACCATTTGTATATATAACTTCAATTTATCCCACCACAATTTTGAATACAATTGATAGTTTTATTACTGTCAGAGGTCAAAAGTTTACTTCATCCTCCACCTCAATGTTGACTCAATTGGATATGGCACTCATATCAGAAACTATATTTTCGAATTCATCTCAAATCATTGTAAAGGTTCTAGCCAGAAGTATGAGTGGAACTTGGAATTTGACAGTGTTTGATGGTGGAAAGTCTTCAAATCAGGTTCCTGTTCAACTTCTCAGTTCGGATGTCAAAACCTACAATCACGTCAATCACACCATCTAGTACATTATACACCAAAGCCACTGTTATTTCTATCGTTGGTACCGGCTTTATCGATGGGGTCACCAATGTATTAGTCGATAATGTATTGGTAACATGTTCTGTTACAAACACATCGGTGGTTTTCACCTCTCCACTCTTGAACAAAGTTGGAACTTTCAATGCTGTTGTGTATAACGGTGATAGAGCTATCAATTCTACAAGCACTATCAAATATTATCCACCAACTCCAACTCTCACACAAATTTCACCAAATTCAGTTGAAATCACATCAGGTACAGCAATAACTTTAACTGGTACAAACTTTATTTCAGGAATATCGAAATTACTTGGAAATGGTGCAACCATTCAAATGACAAGCATAACATCAACCAGAATCATTTTCAACTCTCCAACCAACACAGCTGTAAATGTTGTATGTAAAATTTCAAATGCAGTTGGTTATGATTCCAATACATTATCACTTACATTCACAACAGTGAAACCAGTTGTTACCAGTTTTTCACCAGTTAATGTAACAAATATCCAATCGACCAGTATAATAGTCAAAGGTTCAAAGTTCGTTCCTTCATACACAATTTCAGATGCTATTTTCGATAATTCTAAAGTGAGATGTACCACTTCAGTTTCAAATCCAACAACTCTCACAATCACCTCACCTGTAAAGGCTGAAGTTGGACCAAAGATATTCATGATTACCAATGGAAATTTGGTTACGAATATATCAATCAATTATGTCTCACCACCTATAACATTGACTTCGATCACTCCCAATTCAATGATTGGTAATATAGAACAAGTGATCACATTAAAAGGAACTGGATTTGATTCTAGACTTACATCGATTGATCTTCCAAATTTCACATGTCCATTCTCATTTATTAATTCAACTGTTATCATTTGTAAAGCTGGAAAATCAACCAACTATGGAATAAAGTCTTTAAGATTGAAGAATATCAATGAATATTCCCAATCAATATACTTTCAGATTGTGGATCCTCCAATGTTTGTGTTCTCAATAGAACCAAAATATCATCTTACATATGAACCATCAACAATAACCATTAATGGTCTAAACTTTCGCCCAAGTTCAGTTATTATTTGGGATGGAATACATATCGTTCCAGAATTTGTTTCAGAGACAAGGATAATTGGAAAAAAACCTTTTTCAACCTATTCTGTCGGAGTTGTTCTCATCACTACTGTTTTCGGAGGCTTTTCAGCTACTCTTCCTATTTATTATGTTAATAAGCCAAATCTCATAAATGCTTCACCATTACCAATTTATTACAAATTTCCAACAAACTTTAATTCTTTATTAAATCTTATGTAAGTAAAAAGATAAAAATCTAAATGAATATCTATTCTAATAACTTTAAATTTAGAGGTGAATATCTCATTGATGAAATATATACAGGAACAAAAACAATTGTTACTTTTGGAAATCAAAATTATACTCAGATTAGTGATTCTATGACTTCAATATCAATTTATCCACCAGTAGATCAATTAAATTTCATCGATGTATTTGTTACCACCTATGGTCAATTTGTTTCAAATACTCTTAGGCTACCAGTCGCTGTTGCACCACCATTATTTTCAAATCTAAATCCAAAGATTATGGTGAACGATGTGAGTTATTCTTTAACAATCACTGGATTAAACTTTTTGAGTGGAGAAACAAATGTATATTTAAGTTTTGGAAAACTATCATGTTCAAATACTTTTGAAACCATCATATGTTCAGTACCTCCAACAAATTTTTATGGAAGCACACCTGTCACCGTCGAAATGATGAAAAATAATTATACTTATGGAGCTATTACATTTAGAAGACCAAACACCATAATCGATACAATATCTCCAAGTCAATTATATTTTAATACAATAAATCAAATGACAGTAACTGGTTCCAAATTTTATGATGGCTCAACTTCCATCATTATTTCAAATCTCAATGCATTTCCAAATCCATCTTACTCGATTTCAAGTGTGACTCAAAATCAAATTATTTTCGATTTAAATCCATTTACCAAGGTTGGAACATATTCGATCAGTGTTAAAGTGGATGGTTCATTAAATACAAACAGTAACTCACTGGTTGTTGATGTAATTCCTGGTAAAATTACAATTAATTCGATCAATCCAAATAAACTTCAATATGGATTAAGCAATCAAGTTGTCACTCTAAAAGGTTCAAACTTTTATTATGGAACTGTTATTCAATTGGATTCTGTGAATTGTCAGATATTATCACAAACTGAAGATACTATTTTGTTTTCAGTTTCTGAAATCACTTATTTTGGAAAATCAGATTTTGTTATTGTCCAAAGTCCACAAGCAGATACACTGTTTAATATGGAGATAGATGTTCCATATCCAGTTATCAATAGTATGAATCCATCAAATCCATATTCTTATCTTGGCAAAGATATCGAGATAATTGGTTCGATTTTCACTCACACCATCTCTGTTACTATTAATGGAATTAATTGTTTAACCATTCGAAATTCACTAAATTCCATCACAATTACAACACCAAAGTTAAAATCAGGAACTTATCAAATGCAGATATTCAATACTCCAGAGATTTTCTTGACAACAACCATCGAATTTATCGATTCAACACCGATCATTGAATCGATTTCACCAATTTCAGCAAGCATCAATGATATGAGTATGACAAATAGTATGATCACAATCATTGGTTCACAATTCGTCAACAACTATTCAATCATCAAAATTGGATCCTACCAATGCGAACCAAGATATATCGATGAAACTCTAATTCGTTGTTTGATGCCAGAGGTCACTGTTGAAGGTGAACTTTCAGTCAATGTCAAGAATGGAGAGATGATATCAAACACATTCCATATTTCATACATCAATTCACTTCCAATTACATCTGTGACGCCTAAATTCGTCAATTATAATCAATCCAACGATATCACCATTACAATCACTGGATTTAATTTCAACAATCTACTTGATAGTCAAGTATTTATTGAAAATAAATCTGGAACAAAGAATCAATGCAATATTCTCACAAAAGAAGATGAAATTATAATTTGTCGATCTCAAATGATTCAATTTGGAAAATACCAAGTTATCTTATATTCGAAAGAATTACATTCAATTCCATCTGATTTCAGTATTCTTGATGATTCATTGGCTTGCAAATCAAATTCTGGAAAACAAGTATCATGGTGGTTCGCCAAGAAACTTCCACAATCACAATCATACATCTATGCTGACAGTGATTCTCAAGATATGATTTATCTTTCTGATATTTCCTCAATTACAAGCAGTTTGGCACTCACTTTGAACCAAATCAAACTTGATAGCAATACACACAATGGATATGTTGTTTATAATGATCATCCATGGTTTGATGATCTCAGTGGACAACTTTCACATTCAGTTCAAGGATATCCAATTGGTCATTCAGGAGAACTCAATAAATCACTTGGAAAAGGTATTCTTGTTGCTCAAACCTATTTCAACTCAACATATTCACCTGGTTTCCACATTAAGCATTCAATGGAAGGATTCCCAGTTCCACTTCCAAATGGATTGTTCAAAACACCTTCAAGTCATCCATCAAGTTGGATTCCAAACGATTATCATTTGATTCCAAAACAAGGTGATGATTATTCACTTGGTCATTCATATATGTGTCATTCATTCATTGATTCATCTGATTTTGTGAATGGAATTCAATCATTGAAACCATTCATCTATTCATCAAACAGATTCACACCAACTTCTACAACCAACATATTCTCATCACTCTTTACTGACAGCACAACCAATTCATTCACAAGTAAAGATTGGTCAAAAGGATACTTTATTTCTGCTGGATTCAGAAATGATATCTTTACACCAACAAGAATTCAACCACTTTCAATCACATTGCCATCGAAATTTAAGATTCCATCAGGTGCAAATGCAATCACTGATGTAAAGTTACCAACTGAATTTATCATTCAAAATAACATTCCGACCAAGATATCACAATGGAAATCAGATATCGATAAAAGTTATATTGCATTCAATGATACACATCTTTGTCTTGGTGATTATTCATCAAAGACATCGTTTGGTGGTGGAATTGCAGTTTGTGTGATCAATCAATTCTCAAGTGAATTCTTTGTTGAATCAATCTTCAAATATCAACAACAAAATTGTTCGACTTCCAAATGTGAAAATCAAATTCAAAATCAATTCTTCATTTCAATCAAATCAAAATTATTGTTGGACAATACCTATTCAAGCAATAACAATGATTTACAAATGATTTTGAACAACATCGATTCAATTTTACCCAATACCAAACTCAGTGTTGGAGATTCAGGATGTTTTGGAATATTCTGTCCAATCACAGCTCCATACTCTGAAATCAAAGTAAATCCAACAGATTCAGTTGGAATATTCTCATTCAGAGGAAGTTACACACCTATTTTCAATTTGATACTTCAAGATACAAACAGTTCAATCACAATCAAATCCAATGGATCTCCGATATCATATTCAACATATAATATCTCTGGATCATTCACTGCAAAGACCAATGGTAATATCCAAAGTAATAATATTATCGTTGCATATAAATTGATCCAAATTGTGAAGAAAGTCAGAGATAATCTTGGATTTGGAACACTTGGAAATATTGAATTGATTTTAAATGGCAATGGTGTTGCAATTCTAAATCAACACAATGATATTCCAATCAAGATAGACAGCAATACACTTGATGTTCAATCATTATTCCGTGCAATCAGTTATGATTTGATTTTGCAGTTAAATAGTGCAACTTCAAGTGTCGAACTTCCAGAATTGAATTTCGATTCATATGAACTTTCAAAATCATCAGCATTGTTGGGAGGAATGATCAATTTCATTTCAATGAAACTCAGACAACTTTCACTTCCAAATTTACCAATTTCAATGATTCAATCAATGAGAGACAGAAATCAACAATTGATTGATATTGAACATTTCACAAGTTCAAGAATGTCAAGAAGAAATGCAATTTTATCACAAGGTTGGATCACATCATACCTCTGGGATTTGGTTGATCAAGAGAATGATGATTATCTCAATCCATCATTCAGAAGACCACCACACAGTGATAATAATTATGGAAATCAAATTGATTTCAAATACATTCTCCAAACAATTCAAAACAACTCTTTGAATTCAGATATTCTCATATTTTCAGAACAATTATTCAATATTCTTCCACTTTGGAACACTCTCACAATTCCACATGCTCGTTCCATCATGATCTATAACAATATATTCGAATGTAACGATTGTAAAGTTGATAATCCACCAACTGTCAGCAATTCAACAGATTTATCAAATATATTGCAATCCAAAGGTGTTTGTAAATCATCGATCGATAACTTAATTATGCCAACGATCGATGAAGTTCAATCATTTGTTTCGTTTTGGTCATCTTCTTCAACAAACAATTGGAATGACAATCAAGGAATATCAAATATCTATTCATCTTCATTCGTTTCACTCTATAACAATTCATTGTTATTGGAATCATTGATTCAAGTTGCAGATCCAACACTTTGTGAATTCCAAATCGAAAATGGATATCCAGTCACACCAAAAGGTTTGGAGATATTGACAAGAGTTTTGGTCAATCAAATCAACATTGCCAACAAAATGATCAAATACAATGAAGTTTCAACATATTTTGTCAAAACAGAAACAACCAAAGGATTGACAATCATCACATACAAGAATTACCTTTGTGCATTCGATATTGTTGATGAATCATCATTTGACAATGGACAAGTCTTATCACTTTGTCCATCAGGTCCAATTGTGACATCGATCACTGGAAACACAGGACCAACACATTCAAACAACAATGCAATCACTTTGATTGGTCGAAAACTCAGTGAAACTGGAGTCCAAGTTCAAATTGGATCAAAGAACTGTTCAATTCAAAGTCAATCAGATTCTCAATTGATTTGTCAAGTTGGTCAAGGTGTTGGAACATTACCAATCATCTATTTCAATGTTAACACTAAACTTCCAAATGAAACACCACTCGATAATTATGTATTTCAATTCAATCAACCAGTTATCACTTCATTATCAACCAACAGTCCAGTTAAGACCTATGGACAAAAGATCACAGTTTATGGAAACAACTTTGGATTCACCAATGATGACACAACTTTATTTGTTGGAGATATTCAATTCAACATTGAAACATTCTCAACATCTGGAAACTCAGAACTATTGATTTTCACATCGAATGGAACTGGATACGGTAACATTGTTTCTGTTTATGTTGGAGACCAAAATTCAGAATTGAATAATCAATTCACCATCGATTACAATGCACCTGTTATCAATTCAATCTCTGTCGATCGATCACCAACCTATGGAGGTGGAGCGATGACAGTATCCGGTACTTCATTCGGTCTCTATGGTGATATATCCATTAAAATTGGAAGTATTGAATGTTCATCAACAATTAGAATCGATGATAATGCAGCAATTTGTATAATTCCTCCACATGTGGCAGATCACCATGTAACCATTGTGGTTGGTAACCAATTCTCATCGGAAGGACCAATGTTCAAATATGACAGACCAGTGATCTTTGAAGTTTTACAAACAAACAACACACCAACTTCAGAACCAAGTAGTTTTTGGATTATTGGAAAAGATCTTGGACCAAAAGGTTACGAATTCCCATATATTTCATATTTTTTAAACCTGACGGTTGTCGAATGTGATGATGATTATACATGTTATTACAATAAGACTTACACTGACGAAAATGACAATGACATTCCAATACCAACAGATCCTTACCATGATGGGTATTTTGATGCATATGTGGCAATGAATTCATCATATCGTTCAGTTGTCAACTTTGATTGCATTCAATGTGTTCTCAATCCTGGAATTGGACATAATATTCCAGTGAATATATCATATTATGAAATTTTCTCGAATATCATCAATGACTCACTCTCATTCAATCGTCCAACGATTTTGAATGTCACTGAAAACCAAAGTAATACAGATGGTGGAGCATTTATTTCAATTATTGGTTTTGATTTCGTTCCAAATGAAATCAATGAAACAATCGATTATTTGACAACAAATCCAGCATATACTTATAATGACGAGTATATTTACAATCTTGAAGGACCATTGACATACAGCAATGCAAGTATTGCACAATATCTATTCAACAATATTACTTTTGTCAATTCAACATTGGTGACTGCTCAAATTCCACCTGGAATCGGTGCAAATCACACAATATCACTTTTCATTGGTGGTCAAAATTCAACACAACTCTTCAACTTTTCATACAATGCTCCAAATATATCATCGATTTCATATTCAGATACAATTGGTCAAAATATCACATTATCAGGTTGCAACTTCGTTCCCAAGAATGTTTCATCTGGAAATTCAAGTTTTGTTTTGATCAACGGAACTGAATGTCAATCACCTCAATGGATTTCATCAAACACAATCAATTGTACTGCTTATCCAGGTATTGGAAAGAATTTAACATTAACTGTATCGATTGGAGCTCAAAACAATACTGACAATACAACATTCTCTTATAATCGTAAGTTTTTCTTTATAAATTTGATTATTTTATTTACTAATTTAATACTATCATGAATATTTAGCACCAAACGTAAATAATGTGACAATGAGTAAAACAGATGGTGAGATTATTTCGATTATCGGTGATAATTTCGTTCCAGCCAACATTTATGCTTTCAAATCAAATGTAACGATTTTCAATGATCTTTGTGATAATATTAACTGGATCAATGAGAATAATATTACATGTACTGCTAAAGCTGGAATTGGAAAGAACTTAACACTTTCTGTTATTGTTGGAGACCAACAATCAACCAATAATAATGTAACATTCTCATATTTACCACCAACCATCAAGAATAATGTGACAACCGATACAAAAGGAGGTTCAGTTATCATTGAAGGAACCAACTTTGTTCCACAAAACATCGAACCAAAGAATTCAAATATTACGATAAATGACAACAACTGTCAGAATATCGAATGGAGAAGTTCTTCCTCCATTAAATTTGATGTACCACCAGGAATTGGAAATAATCAAACTTTTGTTATTTTTGTTGGAAATCAAACAACTGATCAAAAACATTACTTTGACTACAACAGTATGTATAGAAATTAATTCTAATTATTTGTTAATGAAATTATTAATTTTAAACTTTTTATTATTATTTCGAAATAGAACCAAAGATATCGAGTATTTCTAAATCCAAAACAGATGGTGAACAAATTACTTTGGCAGGTACAAACTTTGTGCCACTGAATGTTGAACCAAGAAACTCTAATCTTACAATTGGAACTCAAGCATGTAATAATATTGTTTGGAGTAGTGATACTCAGATTCTTTGTACGATTCCAAAAGGTATTGGAAAGAGTTTGAATGTAACACTTTTTGTTGGAAATCAGACCACTGAAGATAAACCAACTTTTGATTATATTGGTAAGTTAAACAAACATCCACTCAATTTCAATCGATAATTTAATTATTTTAATTAATACTTTTTGTATTTTATGAATAGCACCTTCGATTAGCAGTGTAACGAATTCAAAGACAAGTGGTGAATCAATCACTCTTCAAGGTTCAAACTTTGTTCCCGAAAACGTTGAACCAAAGAATTCAAACATCACAATTAACAAGAATGTCTGTAAAGATCCAGTTTGGACAAGTTCATCACAGATCATTTGCACAGCACCATCTGGTATTGGAAAAGATTTAGAATTATTATTATTTGTTGGAAATCAATCTACCACAACCAAATTCACCTATAAAAGTAATGTATTAAATTTGAAAAATGAAAATTAACTATTTCATATTAATATCTGATTAAATATATTTTTTTTTAGTTCCAAAATTGGATGATACAAAATACAAAGGAAATCCATCTGGAGGTGATTGGATAATAATCAAAGGTGAAAACTTTATTCCAAGTGATTTCGTTCAAGAAGTCAATCAAAAAACACAAGATAGTAACAATTCAGTATCGATTGCCGACAAACAATGTCAATCAGTGGAATGGGTAGACTTTAACACTGTTAAATGTCAGATTCCATCTGGAACAGGTAAAGATAAGAATATAAAGGTTACTGTTGGAACTCAGAGTTCAGAGAACAATCAATTGTTCAGTTATAATGCTCCTGTTGTCGAATCTATTTCTCCAGATAATGGTGAACAATCCTCAAAGAAACAAGTCACAATTAATGGAATAAACTTTGGTTCAAATCCTACAGCCACAATTGGAGATGCTGGTGAGTGTCAGAGTGTCGTGGTTCTATCAAAGTTGAATGACAAAGAAAGAATTCAATGTAATGTTCCAGAATATAATACAAATGGTGCACAAATCGTTAGTGTAACATTGGATGGTCAGAAATCAAATGAAACCAATGTTAAATATACATACAATGGTGATCCAAAGATTGATTCGATTTCACCCACCTCTGGATCTGTCGATGGTAACTTTGAGATGACTGTTTCTGGAAAGAACTTTAAGAATGGCGATGCAACAGTGACTGTCTACTTCAACTCGAAATCGATTACACCAACATCTAAATCAACTGATACCATCAAATTTACAGTTCCTGAAGGTGGAGGTACCAGTATTGCACTTTACATCAAGGTTGGCAATTCACAAAGTAACACAAACAATGACTTCTCATATGATGCACCAAAGATAATATCGATCACACCAGATGAAGGTCCTTATGACCAAGAAACATCAGTCAGTATCTCTGGATCAAATCTTGGTCTTTCATCTGATTCCTCTTCGACCACAATCACAGTTGGTGGAAAACCATGCTCAAGTATTCAAGTTTCATCTTCATCATCAGTGAGCTGTACAGTTCCCAGAAACGAAGATGAAGGAGAAGTATATGTTCAACTTACTTTCAAATCTCAAAGTGCATCCACAACATTCAAGTACACCAAAGAAGATTCAAGTAGCAGCAGTGATAGTAGTGACAGCAGTGACAGTAGTCATGGTAGTGAAGGAAGTCACGAAGATTCAACTACCTCAACCACAGCATCTACTACTGGTGGAGGCACTGATGGCGGTGGCCCTGGAAGCACTGGAGGTGGTCCTGGTGGTCCTGGTGGTCCTGGTATTGCACCTCCAATTTTCCCAGCGATTGGAGGTGGGGATGATGATGATGGAGACCATACAACTGGTGGTACTTCCACAACAGGTGGTACTTCTTCGACAACTTCCCACAACCCCCACAAGCTCCCTGACTTCTGGTGGTACAACATCCACAAGCACCTCGACAACTTCTACTACTGGTGAATCTACAGCAATAACAACCGGGGAACCAACAACAGGTTATCCAACCACAACCATATTGACAACTTCTACAACCGGTGGAACTACAGATGTAGTAACAAGCTCTGCAACATCAACAACATCTACTACTATCAGTACAGACTCAACCACCGAAAGTACAATCACAACAAGCGGATCAGATAATTCCACCACGTCAACAACTGGTGAATTTACCACCACTTCCACCTCTACCACTTCCACAACTGGTGAAAGTACAACCACCGATGGAGAACCCACTTCCACATCTACCACTGGTGAACCAACAACAGTATCTACCTCCACCACTTTGACCACAAGTATAGATTCAACAACCTCGACTACATCTGATTATTCTACTACAACAAGTGGAGATTCAATTACGTCGACCACAGCATCTACTACTGGTGGAGGCAATGATGGCGGTGGCCCTGGAAGCACTGGAGGTGGTCCTGGTGGTCCTGGAATTGCACCTCCAATTTTCCCAGCGATTGGAGGTGGAGATGATGATGATGGAGACCATACAACAGGTGGTACTTCTTCAACAACTTCCACAACCTCGACAAGCTCCCTGACTTCTGGTGGTACAGCATCCACCTCAACAACTGGTGAATCTACAGCAATAACAACCGGAGAATCAACTACCTTAACACCAAACACAACAACTACCTCTACAACTTCTACAACGGGCGGAACTACAGATGTAGCTACAAGCAACTCTACAACATCAACAACATCTACTATCAGCACAGATTCAACAACTGGAAGTACAATCACAACAAGCGGATCAGATAATTCCACCACTTCAACAACTGGAGATCCCATTTCCACCACTTCAACAACTGGAGATCCTTCAACAACCACTTTTACCACAGCCGGAGATTCATCAACCTCTTCTACTTCGACAACAGCTGGAGATTCGACAACCACTACAACAAGTGGTGATTCAACAACCTCTACTACTTCGACAACTAGTAATGATTCAACGACTTCGATAATATCTGAAGATTCAACAACTTCGTCATCAGATTTAACAACCTCTTCTAATTCGACCACTGGTGGGGATTCAACAACAGGTTCAGCAACTTCGACAACAAGTGTAGATTCAACAACCTCTTCTAATTCGACCACTGGTGGAGATTCAACAACTTCGACAACAAGTGAATCAACAACGTCTATCCCCACTTCAACCACAGGTTGGGATTCAACAACATCATCCACTTCTGGTGATTCTACTACAACAGGTGGAGATTTATCAACTTCGACAACTGGCGGTACAAACACCACTGGAGAACTTACTTCAACCACTGGTGAGGATCCTTTGACATCCACCTCTACAACAAGTGGTGATTCCACAACCTTTACTGATTCATTAACCTCTACCACAACTGGTGATTCATCAACCTCGGCTTCATCTGGAGATTCATTAACCTCGACAACATCTGGTGATTCCACAACCTCTACTACATCTGGAGATTCATTAACCTCTACCACAACTGGTGATTCATCAACCTCAACAACTGGTGAAGATTCCACAGCTTCTACAACTGGTGAAGATGTATCAACTTCGACTACAAGTGGAGATTCATCAACTTCTACAACAGGTGTAGATCCTTCTACATCCACTTCTACCACTGGTGCAGATTCAACATCCTTGACCACAACTGGAGATTCTATTACCAGTTTCGATTCATCAACTTCGACAACAAGTGGTGATTCAGTATCAACAAAATGAAGATCATTCTTCAACCATCTATATTAACTTCAGCACCATTGACAGAAATTGAATTAACCAAAATAAATAATAGGAAAAATTCAAAACATAATGTGTCTTAAAACGAATATTAAATGCAAATTTGCTTTGATAATTGTCACAATACTTTCGGAAGTTATTGTGTTGTTTTTTTTGTTTATTAAAATTAATATATAATATAAATAAGTAAATTAATTAAAACCTGCTATTATTTATAGATTGTCTCATTAATCTTGATTCTCTTCTGATTTTGAGGAAAGTGGCGATGGAATGTCTCTTCCATATGAGGACAGCGGTGGAGATGGCCAAGACAATTGAAACAGAGACTATTGTAGACATAAGAATAGTTCTACTCTTGGTATTACTGAACACAGAGTCATCGGTGGGTGTACATGAATCAGCACTATTGACCAACATAGACATTGACGTCTTTCCCGAATCAAGAGTAATGCACTTGTTGTCAACGTCTTTCTGTTGTCCGGTAGATGGGTTAAACACTCTGATATTGACAGTACTGAAATTACCAGAGAATGATCCATATCTCATCATTGTAATACTTCCAACACTAGCCAACTTGTCTATATTCTCTTGATTCAAAACAATTGTTAGAGTACCATTGAAACTCATATTCTTTCCAACATGTACTATAAATTAAATATTAATATTTAATTAAAATGATAAAATAATTAAATTAAAATACATACTTTGAGATATACTTTGATTATTATTATCAATATCAATATAGATATTGGTATTTGAATTGATTTGTTGGTTGCAGTCACCTGTGATGTTTAAGGTGGATGTAGTATTCTGAGAACCAAGAGAACCTGACTCATGGTAGAGATCTCCATCGACAGTGCTACCAGCAGCAAACATCGATCCACCTTTGATAAACAAAGTACCAGTGGATATGGTAGAGTTATTTAAATCAATATGTCCAGTTTGAATAGAGAATTGATTACTTGACAATTTAGAACCATAGAAATAAGCTTGACCATTATTAATAAATTGCTAATATGATAAAAATAATAAAAAAATATTAGTATCTTTTAATATTAAATTGCCAATATGTTCAACTTACATCAATTACATTATTAGTATTTTCCATAAAATGGAATTGACCAAAGTTTTCAATAATATTGGAATTGTCATCGCTAGTAAGACTTGAGTACAACTTAACGGTTCCGCCTACCAAATTATTGAATACAGTGTTACCACCTATGATTAATTTACCCAAGATATTCAGTCTATCTTCATTACTAAGAGTACCAGAGTTTAATGTGAGTTGTCCATTTTGTTGAAGATCAAATTGACCGTTCTTGATCTCCATTGACGATGAAGAAACACTTAAATTACCACTGACAGATACTCTTGAGTTATTGGACAGTAAAAGTGAAGATCCCTCTAGAATATTGAAAATACCACTGATTTGTTTCTCTCCGGATGACAGTTGGACCAAACTTTGGTTACACAGAATACTACTAAATGCACTTTGTAATAGGTAACCACTGATGCTTAATGAGCCATTATTAAGATTAATAATACTTTGCTCAGTCATATTTAAGATTGACAATGGGTCAATGTTTAGAGTGGATTGGAGTAGTGATAGTTTGGATTTTCCGGACATTGTACCTTTAGTTCCCACCATTGACAATGAGGAATCGGTGTCGGTATTGATTTTAGATTGATCCGAGAATGAGAATGGCTTATTAAATAATATATCAGAGTTGGAAACCAAAAGAATAGATGAATCTTTGAAATTCATTGATTCACCGTTGTGATTGAATATTGATTTTTGACTGACTGCAAGTGTAGATTGGTCAGCTGCATTCACCACCGATCCAGAATTGATGACAGTATTCTGTTTGAGTTGAATTCCGGATTGATCATTCAATGAGAGTAGAGATGAACTGGCCAAACCAATATTTGAATTTAAAAATGATAATAAACTACTGTCTTTCAAGGAATGTCTTGCTCCATTCATGCCAACTTTACATGAATTTCCATAAAACTTAGAAGTACCAGAGCTTTGGAATTGAGAATTAATATTAACATTACTATTTGAAAAATTAACCTCTGAATCACTCTACAAAAAAATTAAAAATAGATGTTAGTCAATTGTTTTTAAAATATAAAACAATTAAACTACATACTGAAATATCCATTGATTGTGGAGATAGATTGGAAGTTGTATTATCAATACTGACAGTACCTGAAATCGAAAAAACTCCATTGCTATTTGGAGTATTGATGTCACCATTCGCAATATTGAAAGTTGCACTGTTTGTAATATTTAAACTATTAATTGATAATGATGATCCAGTAAATTGATTGTTTGAATCAGAAATGAATGAATTTGCCTTCATCTGACCATTTTTTCCAATCAAAGAACCCTAAGTTCCAAATAAAAAATAATAAAATTAATATTTATAAAATTTAAAATGAATATAATTTGAAACTTACACCAATATTCTTTAGTAAATTAGTTAGAATATTTCCTTCGGAATAGGCTTTGGAATTTGAATTGATTGAAAATGAAGATGTTTGGAAGGAACCGTAATTGTTAACACGCGCACCATTGGATAGATTGGTGGAGTTTGGTGTGATGTATTTACCGGTTTGGTCAACGTTGATATTAGCATTGTCAGAATCAACTCCATATGATGTAAAGTCAGATCCAGTAATATTCAAGCTTGCATTCGATGACATATTAATTCCGGAATAGATGGAAGTGGTAGCATTAGCCAAGATCGATCCACCCACATTATTGAAATCATCGCTGTAGATTTGAGTATCGTTATTGACAAACAGAATGCCAGTGGCTGACAAATTGAAATTTTTAGCTTTGATTTTCGATGGGAAAATGGAGGCAATGAGTCCATCTACATTGAGCGCAGGAGTATCTAAACATATGCCCAAGATCAGCTGACATTTTACACCAGAGTTTTGGCCAATTGAGACACTGTCGTTGACAACCGTCGGAGAAAGCAACGCCGTTGCACCATTAACAAGCTCTCCTAAGCTAAAAAGCGCTCCTCCAAGAAGAGATATTGGTTTTTTTGCATTTAGTGAAGTGGATCCACTTCCACTAGGCGAACTTGATCCACTGGTTGAACCCGATCCACCAGGCGAACTAGATCCACCATTTGCCTGTGTAGGAGGTTGTGTGATATTTATTGTACTGACAAAAGACAGATTCTTGGTAGGTCCCTGTGGAGGAACGAAACTACATCCATTCTTATTTTCGATTTGTAATATATTCTCTATAACTTTGGTTGCACAATCTAGTGCTTCTATGACTGATTGATTGGTTAAAATTAAATTGAAATAAAAAACTATGATAATCGCTAATAATGTTTTTTTCATTTTTGTTTTAGACTTTTTTACAAATAAATAAATATCAAAATTCTGCACACAAATGGAATTTAATAAATAATTTGAAATAAGTTTAATATTAATTAAATATGATTATTGCTATTACTATTTTTAGTATTATTATCCTAACATATCTTTTTTATAAAAAAGTTAAAAACAAAACAATATAAAAATCTATTATTTTTATTATTTAATAAAACTTGGTTGATTTAGTTTATTAATGAGATATTGAGTGAAAATCATTAAATTGAAACAATTGGTTTTTTTGATTGGTTGGTTGGTTGTCTTTATTGGTACTGATAAGAAAATAACTGTCCTGTTGTTGTTGTTATTTTTATGATTATGATGTTTGACTGTTGAAAAAAAACAGTAATAAATTAAAATGGATCACAAAAATATTAAAGTATTGCAAAATAAAGAAAAAGTCTTTTAAAATAAATAAAATTTAAATAAAATTAAATAAATAAATAAATAAATAGTTAATCTAGTTTGATATTTTAGTACTAGTATGTTTATTAAAAGTTAAAGATTTATTTGATGGATGTTGGTTGATAATATTGATATTATATTATTTTTATTCAATTTAATTGTGATGTTGGAACATGGTGGTGGTTAGTTTGTGTGTTAGCGTGTGATGCACTTAGATAGATTTATAATAAATGGTAATTTTATTATTAATCAATATCAATGTTTATTGTGAAGAGAAAGGAAAAGGAGAGAATCACTAAAGAATAAAAAAATAAAAAAAAAACAAAAATATATCAAAATCAAAAAGAAAGTAAGAAAGAAGTGGTTTGATTGCTTTATCAAATTTTTTTGTATACTAATCAACAACTGACCATATTAACTTTTGCACCATTATTGATATAACTATTAGATAATCATATTTGCAAAGAGGAGCAAGCACTACTATAGTAGAGCATGATCCATCAATTCAATTGACCATTGGAAAGTAGATGTTGAAATTGCCAAGAAGGAAGAACACATTGTGTGTGTGCTACCATAACCAATCAAACATACCACACACACTGCACATAATTATATAAAAAAAGAATTTGACCAAGCATGTGTATGGTTATAAAATAAAAAAAATATGATAATTTTTAATAAACAACACACACAAACACACCCCACACCAACTTTTATTGATATAAAATGTATACATGTAAGTTTATAAAGTTAGACAAAATGTGTTTGTTTTATGATATGTTATGTACTGTGTGGTTTGTATAATTATATAAATAATTGCAATTATCACGCAATCCAAATTATATCTTTTTGAATTACATATGTATGTGTGTGTGTGTGTGTGTTTGATTGATTGATTGTTAACAATGTACATATTGATTGATTAATTAAATTTAAAGTATTTTTTATATTAACCACTATACACATTTAATAAATATATATATATATATACTCTACATTGTAGTAATAACAATAATATCTTTTCTCATTTTCAAAGGGATTATTATAAACAACAAGTAATGAGAACAACAACAACAACAACAACTTGTTGTTAATCAAGAACGAGATAGTAACTCTACATTGCTAACAATAATAGCGCTAAACACACACTAATATATGTATTCATTTTACTTTAAAATAATGAATATCAATAGATCTCTTTTGAAAAAAATGAGATAGCATATTCTAACTTCATATTATTGATTTGTTTTGACTTGATTGTTTGGATTATTACAATAACAGTACTACTACTTTTAACTAATTATAAAAATAGATTGATTGTGATTGATTGATTGATTGATTGTGAAACAATAACAATAAAGTGTATGATAATTAAAGAAAGAAAGAATGATTGATTGTTGTTGTTTTTTCCCAAAACATATGCCCACAACACACGATTTATTACTGAATAATAGGTATGATTAATTATATATTCTTACCTATTACATATGAAAGATATGCTTGATTGATATAATTGATTAATTAGGTGTGTTGATTTGGTAAATTCCAATGTTGTTACCAATTTTAGAATTATAAAATCAATCAATCAAACCATCAAATCAATTGATCAATCGGAGATGCTAGATTCTTATTGTCATCTTATAGTGTGATACTATTGTTGTAACATAGGGTAAGTAATTTGATCATTGTAACTATTTTAAACATTCTCCATCCAAAAATAACAATGATTTTATCATTTTTGAATAAAACACATAAAATTTTATTCTATATTTAAATAAGTATCGGGAATTGTTGATTATTAAACGATTTATTGTCAATTATTATTATTTATTTTTTATGTGTGTCAAAAAATGTAAAAAAAAGATTGAATATGAAGTGAAAAGATTGATGATCCCGTTACAGAAGAAAAAGTGCTTGCTTCAAACTTGAACCATGACTGACCTGAATATCTTTTGAATCGGTTGTAATTTCTAGAACCCATGGCACGGCGCTACCTAAAATCTAGGTGATTCTCTGCGGTACATCAGAGATGCATGAACCCTTAATTTCCTCTTCTCTCTCAATCTCTTCCGATCTTCTTTCAATAGACTTCTCCTAATACAAGATATTAAAAAAGCAAAACTTATAAAATGTTTAATTTTTAATATTTAATTTTATTTATTTTTGAAAATTAATACAAAAAAAACATTATAAACATATCAAAGTCGAATAATAATAATAAATGTACACATCTTTGTTCACGTTGTTGGTGATATTTGAATAAACTAATCCAAATTATCAATATGTTTATGTGAAAAAGTGGGTTCTTGTTTCTGTGGTTGTTGTTGCTGTTGTTGTTGAGTTGAAGAGGATGATGATGCACTATCGAGATCCAAAACACTTGCAACAATCTTTAATGGTTGTCCGTTGTTTGCGCTCATCAAAAGTTTTGAGATCTCATTGGAACCATTCTCGAATATTCTTGAAGGGAAAAGTAGTTCTACATCGACATTCAACTCTTTGTAGTTGAATTGTTGTTGCTCGTTACCGTGTTGGCCGACCATCGACTCGTCGTGTGACGATGGAATCGAATGGTTGTTGGATCCGTCTGGCGAAGTGATCTTATAGTTGGAACGGATGGAGATCTTGACCGACGAGTTGTTTGGCAACTGTGGAATATCACAGATCTCACCATTGGTGGATTCAGAGTCTGGATGAGTAGAGTGGAAGTGTTCGTGTTGAGACGATGGCAAAGTTGGGATTTGTGGTTCAGTGACGGATGCTGTTGCTGGCGCAGTCATCGATGTCGATGAAGTGGTGGTGGTGGTAGTTGTGGTGGTAGTAGTCTTGCGCGATTGGTCGTTGTTAACATTGTTGTTATTGTTGAAAAGTTTCATGTTGTTGTTGTTTTGTGGTTTGTCCAAGACGTTCTTGATGATGTTGTTGGCGTTGTTTGGGTTGTAACTGATGGTGATCTCGCCGTTGGACTTGCCTTGCCAGTCGTATACGTATCGGCTGTCTATAACATTGTTGAAGGGCTTGACCATCTCTAGCTGGTCTTTGGTTGGAATGGAGAAAGTGGAACGGCCAAAGTATGGCGAGGCTTGGAATGGATGAGTGGTGGAACGAACAACGTTGCTCGCGGAGCTGACACCGTAGTATCCGTTGTATGGTGAGTTTGTAAAGAGAATGACCAAGAACAACAAGAAGAAACAAGCCAAACGCTGTCCACCGGCAACAGTTGGAATACCGGCACCGATAGAGAGGAAGCTTGACAAGCTCGATGATGATGAACTGCTCGAGGCACAACTATCATTAAAGTATGGTTGTGGGGCAATAACGTGATTGTTGTTATTGTTATTTCTTAGCTCTGCCTTGAGACGTCTGATCTCCTCCTCAAGATAATTGTTCTTGATGGAGGCTTCCTTGAGTTTAGCTTCGAGATTTGAAGTCTTGACATTCTCCTCTTTAAGCTTCTCCTCAAGGTCTTGAAGATTTCTTGATTTTCTCTCTCTTGATTTCTGAGCAGATTCTCTATTTTTAATTTTTCTAGAAAGATAATAAAAAAAAAAAAGAGGAGTTAATAACTTATTGTTTTATATATTTTATGTAAGTTATGTTATGTATATATATATATATATTTTACCTTTCCTGTGATTTAAGAGAACTTGCAACATCTTTTGATATTTTACCAGAGAAGAACTTTACACGGTAGGCTTCAAACTCTTTGGATGAGATCTCGAGTTGAATGTTCTTTGGTAAGACAGGTCCGTAATTAAAGTTTGGATCGAATGAGTTCTTTCTCTTCTTTGATGGACGGTTGGCACGTTCGGAATCGGATTGGTCTGATTCGTCGGCTGAAGAGTCAGAGTCGTCGGCATCTTCATTGGATGAAGTTGGTGAAGCGGTTGCTGGTGACGAGACATTGTTGTTAGTTGTGGTGGTGACGGTAGTAGCCATAGCATTAGTTGGGGTTGATGGAATATTCATGCTTGGCGAGGATAGCACATTGCTAGTGTGATCCATTGGCGATGAGTAATCCGATGTTGGTTGTTGTTGTTGTTGTTGTTGTTGCATATTGTGAAGTTGACCATCGATTGAAAAGATTGGTCCACTTACAATATCGTTGGGTTGAGAGTAATCAATTGAGTAATGATTTGGTTGTGTAGATTGTTGTTGATGATTGTTGTTACTATTATTGTCATATGGTTGGAATACCTGTTGTTGTTGGTTGTTGTTTTGTTGTAGTGGAAGTTGTTGTAATGTTTGTGAAGATACAAGTGGTTGATAAAAGAAACTATTGTTGTTGTTAACTGTGTTGTTGTTACTGTCAATATTGAATGATAAATCGGGTAACGAAGAATAGTCGATTGTGTTGAAACCAAAGTTTGATCCACTGTTGGTCAAGTTGAAGTTGTAGATATTGTTATTCAAATTGTTAAACAACAGCGAATTGTTTTCATCTCCAAGACTTCCAATTTCGAAATCAGTTGTTGCACTGTTGTAGGCTTGCTCCTCAAGAGGAGTTCCCAATTGATTCCAATTCATAATTAATTAAATATTTAATTGATTACTTTTTGTTTTTATTACTATTATTTCAATATTTTATTATTATTATTTATTATTATAAAAAAGAAAATAAAAACAATTAATTGATTAAAAAAGATTATTTATTTTTTTTTAAGTGTTAAAAATAAAAATTTGATTGCAATTTGAGCAAATTATTATTATTATTTATATAAATATTTATTTATACAAGATAAGATAGAAAAAATAGTTGAATGACTGGATTGGCTAATACTGAAATAACAAGAAAAAAATTGAGTTAACTTGAAGCAAAAAAAAAAGAAAAAGAAAAAAGAGATACTTCAAAAAATAATATTGATTAAATTAAAAATAAAATATAAAATAAACTAAAATTGTTTTTTTTTTTGATTTTAACACAATTCTTGGTTCTGACTCACTGAGGAAATTGAAATTTTGGGGTTATTTTTTTTGGTGTGCTATTAAAATAATTAAATTTTAATTTTTTTTTCTCATTTTTTTTTTTTTAACTAAAGAACCTAAATCGACGAGAAAAGTTGGTTTTTTTTGAACTTAATTTTAATTTTTTTGTTTTTGATTATTTATTTTTTGTTGCTGAACTTATTGGTTTTTGATAGAAATCGAGCAACGTTCCTCTTATTATTATTAATAAGATCACAATGTTTTGTTTTGGTTTGGTTGCCACCTAAATAATAAATATCAATTCTTTTAGTAAAAGAATTGCAACATATCCTTTAAACCATTATTGTAGTAGTTGGCCCAAGAAACACATGCTTTCATTAATTAGCATCATTATAACTATAAATAATGCTCTTCAATTATTCCCTTTTTTAAATTTTTATCTAAAACAAATAATAATTAGGTGTCAAAATTTTATAGTTTGTTGGTGTTTTTTTTTCGTTCAAAAAATAAAATTAATTGAAAAATACTTGAAATCTTCTTGAAATTTGATTCACTACATTGATATTACTAATTTGGTTAATATATGTTTATTGTTAGATCTTTTATATGTTTTATTTAAATGTCTTATTTTTACGTGTATATAAATAATTAAAAATTAATAATGCTAAAAAACAATTGGTTTTAACTTTAACGATTCACAGTTTGATTAGATAGATATTAAAAAAATCTTAATTTATAATTTTATTGTATTTTTTTAATATTTTTATGATTTACAATTCTGTATTGTTCCATATCTTTCATTAGATGATTCACAATGAATGCAATGATGACTGTCATTAAATTTCCCCCCAAAAAAATGCGTGCCATTTTTGACAGGAATGCAAAAAATCCACTGTCAACAACAGTCATGCCGAGTCTGCCTACACACTTAAACATAATATTAACTACATCCACTGGTTCTTGAGCTACAAGTCCTTTTTTTGAAATAATAGTTAAGTTTGATTAATATTTGTATTGGCTACTTTTTTTTTTTTTGTTTGTTTTGCTTTTGTTTTGCAAACTTACTTAGGAAATTGAGTAATGCAAGTTTTGGTAGTGGGTCGAATATTTTGGTTCTTACGTAACCTGGTTGAATTGCAAGTATGTCTATGCCGTGTTGCCGTGACTCAATGGAGAGAGACTCTGCGAATGAGGTTAGCAGTGCTTTGCCAGCGCTGTACATTACAGAGTAGGGCGATGGACACACCGAGGCAGACGACGACGTGAATACGATAGCTCCACGCTGCTTCGAGTGCAGCATTCGCTTATAAAAGTGGTCGGTCAGCCGAATGGCGTTGATTGCATTGCAATTGAGATTGTCGAGTTTCGACTCCACCGTGCTCTGGTGGAATCCCTCCATCGCTATGTAGCCGGCGTTGTTGAATACCAGCTGGACATCGATGTCGTCGGTTGCTTTACGGACTTCTCTGAGTAGAACATCGTTGTTCTCACGCAGATCGACCACGACAATACGTGTGTCGACCTTGTAGAGTGTCTTTAGATCGCTAGCCACCGCTTGAAGACGAGCTTCGTCGTTGCTCACCAACACCACCGATATCTGCTGTTCAGCTAGTTTTCTAGATATACACTCGCCAATGCCCGAAGAAGCACCCGTTACAATAGCCCATTTAGCATTATACTTTGTTCGAAGATTTTGTACTTTTAAAAGAGGAATCAAAACATAAGGAGCTTTAACATGTTTATAAGAATATATAATTGAAAGTAAGAAAATAAAATAAGTAAATTTATCTTATTTGTTTAATTAAAAGAACAGTAACAATAAACACACAAACAAAATCAAAAATCAACTATATATATCTATATCTATTTCTTTTTTTTTTTTTTGTTTTAATCAAGATATAATATTACTATATATGTATAGTTATCGATAACCAATAGATATATAAATAAATTTGGAAGAGGAGTAACAAATCAATCAAATAATGCTTTTTTTTGTTGTTGTCATGATATGATAAGTCGATTGTTTGTGTGTATGTAGAAGTAGATGCCTACTGATGACTAATTTGGTGTTGTTGCGTACTACCAAGTTAATGCATGCTAATGAACATGTGTTTGGTTTATGTTTAAAACATAAACACACTCTTATTGGAATATTGTTATTGTTATGTGGATGATGTTCAACAACCTCATTATCATCATAACTATTATCCAAGCAATAATAGGTTATAGTGCACTCGGTAAGAATAAATAAAATAAAAATATTAATGGAAATGTGTTTTGACATCAATAATAGCAACTTGATACCAAAATAAAACTCCAATGAAAAAACAACAAAACACAACAACGATAAACTTACTTATAAAATACATAACTGCTGTTGCGACAGCCAACAACAGAATCTCAAAAGTGTACATGACTTATTTTGGTTTTGAAATTTCAAAAAAAAACTAACACACAGTTTTTAATTAAACAACCAAAATTAAAAAAAAAAACTTAACATTTAATTTTAATTAATTTATTAATATAAAACAACAAAAAAAAAAAGAAAACAAACAAACAAAAAAATAAAAAAAATAAAATAAAAGGTAATTCAAAGAGAGATAGATACGAAAGAAAATAATCAAATTCAATATCATATCTGACACACACTCTCGCACTTACCACACCACACATTTCAACATCTGACACACACACAACTTTAATTTAAAAATATCATTCATTATTTCTGTGGTATTATAATTTATATATATATTTATTTGTGGACTATATTCAAATAGTCTGTGTAAAATTTTTGATATAATTTTAGGTGGTATACTAGTAGGTACACTTCTAATTACATGAATTATATAGGGTATTGTAATTTTATAACTAAAAAAAACCAATTGGTATTCAACAAATTTATATATATCTTATAGAATGTATTGAAAAAACCATATTTATATTTTTTGTTTTATATTAATATAATAATAATAATATACCCAACCAACTGACTCACACACGCGTACACCACATCTCACATCTCGATGTTCATTTTGTAATATTTTAATGTGTGGTCGATGAAATGACCAAACTAACTAAACTAATAAATATATATATCCAACCAAAAATCATTATTATACCATTCCATTTAAAATTTATAACAAATACAATTGTGTTGTTGTTGTTTATTATATATTATCATTTCAATATTTGTTTTTTAATTCTATTTTTAAATAAATTTTTGTTGTATTATATAAAACCAATAAATTGTCAAATTAAATTATTAATAAAATAAAATATATAGATAACCTACGTGACATAACATCAAAGAAGAGAGTGAGTGAGAAGAAGTAGAAAAAGAAGAAGCAGCAGCAGAAGAAGAGATCAGTGCTAACCAAATAATAATAACAATAATAACAATAAATAATAGTTAATTCAAAATATAGCGCTAAGCTTTTGCTAAACCAGTCAACGAATCCAATCACAACACTTACTGACCAACGCATCAACAACAACAACAAACCAAACAACAACAACAATTCACCTACATTTAATATTTTGACCTATCAGTGTTCAAACAACAATAAATATCTAATTGAGATAGTGTGCTTGTGTGTTTGAAATAGAGGTGAGAAGAGGATATAAAAAAGATTAGTTAGATAGGAATTGGAGTGGAACACACGATAACAATTGTTGTCAATTTTATTGTACAACTACAACAACAACTATTACACTAATAGATACAATCAAATCACCAACTTTACTTTGTTAATATCTACAACAAAATAACACTGAAAGCAAGCAACCAAACAAACAAACAAATAAACATAATAATAGACAAGTTGACTGAGAATACGATAATTTATAATCAATATCCTAGATAACCGTAATTTAAATAACTGGCGATTTAAGGGTATGTATATTGACTACTATCATATTACACAACCAACAAAACTATTCAATTTGAAAAAATAGTAAGAGAGTGAGAGATATAGAGAATTTGAGCGTGTTAGTGAAAGAAATAATCAAAAACACTAACACTATACCACAATTGTATTGTTATCGATTACCACTATCACTCACCACCAGCAAAAAACACACTACACCCATAACACTCACTCACGCTCACCACCACCACTGTTAACAATGATGATGGGATGATCAACAATTGCTGTTTGACTTCTTGAATTGGAAGAAATAATAATTTATTTATTATTATTATTTATCTATTATATTTTTTTTATTTTATTTTTTATTACCATTATTATTATTTTAGATTTGTTGTTAATTGTTATTTTTGTATCTTAAGTTAACTTTGGTAATAATAATAATAATAATAATATTAAATAATAATAAATAATAATTTAAATAATTATTTTATTTTTATTTTTCTTTTCCTAAACAACCCAATTATTATCGTCATCAAAGCATTATCATACTCATCACCAAATTTGTCACCTGAAAAAACAAAACACTGAAATCATCCAAACACCCAAAAAAACAACGCCAACAACCAAAAAGTTTTATCTTTTCCACCAGTTTTGTTCTAAATTAAAAATCAAAAAAATCAAAAAAATATAAATTTTAAAAATTGAAAAAATTAAATTAAAAAAATTAAAATTTGTTTTTGTTTTTTTTCACTCGCAACTTGCTGTTTTTCTCTCATATTCTTTTTTTTTTCTATTCATTTTCTAATTCTCAATTATTTAATATTCAAAACCAACAGAGAAGCCAATCAAGCTGCAACAGAGATAGTATATTTATATATTATATATTTTTATATTTTTCAAGACTTTTTTATTTGTTTTTTATTAAAATAATAATTATAATAATAATTAATAATAACTATAACAAGAAATAATAATAACTAACTAGTTATACCTATATTTTTTTTTATTACTAAATAATTTATATATATTTAAAAAAAAGTCTTTTTGAAATAATAATAATAACATTATCTTCTAATATTTATTATTTTCTCTATTTAAAATAACTAAACATAAAGTTAAATTGAAATAATAATAATTTTTAAAAGTAGTATGATAAAATCAAATATCTACATATCAATCATTGCAAATAATCAACTCAGTTAATCAACACAACAAACAACAACAACATTATTCAAATTTAATAACAGAAAATAATATAATATATTTATTTTCTTTTTTTATTTTTATTTATATTAATCATCATAAACAGATAATCCGAATTTTTTTTTTAAAAGGATCATATCTGTTTTGTATATATTTATATATTTCACCAAATTCAACAACAAATCTCCCAAACAACAACAACAACAATAACAATATCACCATATATACTTTTGCAAAAATGAGCTCCAATAACAACAACAACAACTCAATGATGGAAAAAAGATATATCAAGAAGAATGGTTCACTGTCACCGACCTCACCAACAAAGAAGGCATCCTTCAGGTAAAATATTATTCCAACATACTATAGCTTTATTAGTTGTAGTATTAATATCAATAAGTTCAAATTATTCATCTTTCAACTTTTTTTTTTTTTTTTTTAATTTCTCCTTCTTCCTCTTTTAATTTTTATTATTATATTTTTATACACCGTAATAAACAATAATAATGATAATTATAGCGAGGCAGTAGTAAATAAGACAGATGTAGGAGAGTTTCAAGAGGGTTATTTTATAATGTCAACACCTGATGACCAAAAGATGAGAAGACCAAATATCAGTAACAACTATAACAAGAACTCACCACAAAGAAGAAGCAGAACACCACCACAACAACAAAGTACCGGTATGTCAGATGACGTTATTCAAAAGCCCCTGAAACAATTCACTCCAAAGCAACAAAAGCATTATCAACAACCACAACAACAACAACAACAATCGACTGCTTCCTACTCATCTCCACCCGGCTTGTCTTTACCACTTGACGGTCTTCTTTTGACACCCGCTAACATTACCAAGATCACTTCATATGCCCAACACCAAGACCCAATCCAACAACAATCGACGATGACAGTAGATTTCAACACCACTCCAAAGAAGAACAACAACAAACCATTTATTCAACAAACTTCACAACAGAACTTTAAGCAACAACAACAACAATGTAGTATAAAGAACACTTCATACTCTACCTCCCCACCACGCTACGATTCACCAAAGAAAAGTTCTTCGTCTCCCCAATCTACTTGCTGGGCTGGTGGCGCATTTAACAATTCGCCATCACCTAGTTCCCTTCCGATCCCAAACTTTGAGGACTTCCAATCTCAGCCAACCGTTCCTGACCTTCAATCGATGACTTTCGACCTGAGGAAGTTACTTAACATTACACCAACTGTATCAACAGCCTGTTCCGATTAAACGAGCAATGTCGATTCGAATCGACAACGCCCATCCCCTCTTTAATCCCAAAAAATCAAAAAACTCAAAAAAAAAATAACCAAAAAAAAATACTCATCACCTCAATTTATCAAACCAAACATTTCACTCCAACCAATTGACAACCCAATTTCGCCACACTACAAACAACCACAAGATAATATGACAATTTCCTTTCCTGTTTGTAAAAGATCTCTTTTAGTTTACAATAAAATAATAAGGAATAATCTTTTTTTATCTTCACAAAAAATAACTCGTTCTTGTTTTTTGTTAAAGTTTATATGAAAGTTGTTTTGAAAAACAAAACATGTTTAGATTTTGAGAGATTAAAAGTTAAGTTGTTATCAAAGAATATTAAAGTAAATTCAACAACAAAAAGCAAATATTTATCCTTAAACAACAACAACAACGAGAAAAGACGAGATTAGATTATAGACGTGCAGAGTTTTAATGATTCTTTTAAATGTGGTTTGGAAGTTTAATAGTTTATTAAATTTGTTGATATTGATTTTGTTGAGGGTACTGTTGATATCCTGGCTGTTGAACATATCCCATTCCACTAGGTTGACCAGGCATAAATGGCGGTTGTTGAACTGGCATTGGTGGTTTCATTGGATAGTTGTTGTTGGGTGGTGGCATCTGTTGATTAGGAGGTTGTTGGTTCGGTGAGTATTGACGTGCCATTGGAGGAGGTGGACCACCATAGTATTGTGGAGGTGTTTGCATTTGTTGTTGTTGTTGTTGGTTCGGTGACAGTTGTCTTGGTGGCATTTGATTCGGAGAGTATCCTCCTCCGTATTGATTGGGAGGTGTGGCCATGTATTGATTGTTTTGTGGCGATTGCATTGGTGAGAAGTTAATTTGGTTGTTTTGTGGAGATTGATTGGGTGGCATGTTGAATGTCTGGCCCATTGGATCGAATTGAACATTGATAGGGGGTGGTGGTGCTTCCTTTACTCTCTCTCTATGTCTATTCAGTCTTGGAAACAATTTCATCTTGCTTCTACCGCTTTGAAAATTGGTATTGGTGACACCGGCAGTAGTGGTATATGTCACTTGAGTATTGACAGCTCCAGGCATTGGACTGCCATAGTAAACTTGAGGTGGAGTAGGATTATTCATAAAAAAATATCTTATTTTATATTATTATTTACAAAAAATATTTATATTTATCTACTTAATTAATATTTATTAGATTTATAAGCAAGTTTTCTTTAAAAAAAAAACAATAATTCCAAAAAAAATTAATTTTTAAAAAATAATAATATAATATTTAATTTTATTTATTTCAAGTAATTTATATAATTAATTATAAAATCTTTTCAAAATTATTGTTTAATTAACATGTTATGTTGAGTAACTTTACAATAACAATGTAAAATTTTGATAGATTTGTTACTATTTCGAAATACTAAATAAGGAATTTGGAAAAATAATTTTTTTACCAAATTGAGATCTTTGGAAACTGGAGTTACCACTTATTTAGGTGAGACCATTTACATCGATGTCATTCAAGTCCTTAAGTCCTTCTATACTAACAGTATCTAGATTATTTTTACTACTACAACAAAAACAACACAAACATCATTTTGTATCTAGAATTTTGAAATTGAATCCTAGGTATTGTAATTATCTAAATTGATTTATTGATTTGTTTTAAATAAATATTAAAAGTAAATATATATAATCAGGTGTTGTTATCTTTCTATCTATAAATTTAAATAATAGTAGATTTATTGCTATTATAATGATTTGATATAAGTCTCAATAATAACAATTAATGTTATTATTACTTTTTTAAAAAAAATGTAAAAGTAATTATTTTTTTAATTTTTTTTTAATTTTTCAATATCTAACTTTAAAGTTTAGTTTCTCTTGATATATCTTTTATTAGATATAATGTATATATTTAGATATGTACTATTATTCTTTTTTGATATTCAGAGAAAAACTATTAAAAAAAAAATAAAACAAAAAAAATTTTAATTATTTTTGCTTTATCGACTGTGAACCACACTCACAAAGATAATTATTTTTTCATTGATCATCATTTTTCAATCAACCAAAAACTTAACTAAACTATATATAATTTTACAACTAGACAAATAATAATAATAATTATTATTTTATTTGAATAGATTGAATTATTATCATATATATATATATATATAATTAAATAGTAAATATTAGTTTAATAATAGTGTAAATTAAATAACAAGTTAGTTAGTTAGGTAGTTGGTTTGAAATAAAGTAAATAACAAAAAAAATAAAAAAAAATAAAATGGAGGGTGGAGACAATAATAACAATGTCTCACCTACTAGTACACCACCATTGGTCATCAATGAATCACTAGTCGAGGAAACCTGTAAATATCTATGTAAAATAGTACCTCCATTGGTAGATGGCGATGTCAGTGTATTCCAATCGCAACTCAACAACCAAGAGTCAATGACCAAGTTGAGAAAGTTCATTTCCGACTCAAAGTTGCCTGTATTTCTCATTCAAAAACATATTCAAGATTCTGATGATACTGCTGCTGTTGCTGCTCAACAAAAAGGTAAATAATATATACTACAGTAATTGCAATAGTTATATTAAATATTAACAATTATAATTATAACATAATCATTAGAAACATATACATTCGATGTTGAAGTTAGATTCGGTGGTGAGAAAACAACAAGTTTGGTAATCATCAAGAGAGTTCCAGAGTCGAATATGGAGAGTAGCAAGTCGATTTCATCACAACTCCAAATCATCAATCTTGGTGAGGGTTCACCATTCGACACTCTTCACAACTACATTCACAACTCTGTTGCTCCATTCATCCGTTCCTTCACTGCCAAGTCATCCAAACAAGCCGAAAAAGATGCCAAGTCAGGTATGTAACATAATCCATATATAAACTATAATAATTTATAAAAGCTTCACAGTTTCGCGAAATGGAATGTGAGTGGTAACTCTTTTTGTTACCGGTGGAAGTTTGAAGTGGCGCACGCCATATAAATTATTTTCATTTTTATTTTTAACAATTGGATTGGTAACTAATAAAATAAATTGTACAATAGGTATTGGTGCTGTAAATCAAAAGATTGCAGAGTTGGAGTTATCTTTGTATAACTGTAAACAACAAGTTCAGATTCCAGAGGTTGTACTTCAGATACATCCGGATATCCGTTCGGTCGCACAAAAGTGTCATGCTGCAGGTCGTACTATCAAGGTGGAGGATCTTGGCGATGTCAGTCAGGAGTTTCTCAATTCGTTGCAGGCCGGTGTCTCGCAATGGGTCAAGGACATCCAGAAGGTCACCAAGTTAAAGTCGATCGAGGAGTTCTCCCCGGACAGCTCCACCTCGCAGGAGATCAACTTTTGGTCGCAGTTGGAATCGTCGCTGCAAAACATCAACGAGCAGTTGAAGACACCGGAGGCCGAGGTTACTCTTGCCACGTTGAAGCAAGCCAAGCGTTTCCTTGCCACCGCAAGTTTCGACACCGACACCATCGGACTGAAAAAGTCGATGGAGCGCGTCAACAACTACAAGACGCTCACCAAAGATTTCCCAGTGACACCGCTACTCACTGCCAACGATGTCGAGTCGGTTTCACAGGCAATCATGCACATCTTTTCGCACTTGAAGAAATCAAAGAACTCCTACTACCCAATCGAGCGTTACTTGCTGCTGTTGGAGGCGGTCGGAAAGGACATGTGCAACAAGGTGTTGCAGATCTTGAAACAACGTCAGTTGATGTTGATCGATTACAACGAGTTTGAGAAAGCAACCTCTTCGTTCCGTGCGCTCTTTACACTGTGGGACGACCAGTTTGCTCAGTTCCGTGAGAACCTGCGTGATATCGCGAGAAAGCGTGGATCCGATCGTGTACCACTGTTGGTCAACGTCGACAATCGTCGTCTTCAAGACCGTGTTCTCAAGATTCGTAAGTTCCGTCGTCAACACGATGAGTTGAAGAGTGTCATCTCGACGGTGTTGCCACAACAACAAAGCAGTTCGAGCGCAACCGCAGCTGCTGCCGGCAAGTCTGGCGAGATCAACGCCATCAAGGAGATCAACGAGGCATACGACGAAGTCAAAGATATCGACGTCCTCCTTCTCACCCAAGAAGGTGAAGACATCTGGAGCAACGCACAGAAGCGTTACAACAGCCGTATCGATCGTGTCGAATCCTACATCACCACCAAATTGCGTGACCGTCTTGCCATTGCCAAAAATGCCAATGAAATGTTCCGTGTATTCTCTAAATTCAATGTTTTATTCTTTAGACCAAGAGTAAGTAACTGAACAATAACAACAACATATAGTTTTTTCCAAAGCTAATTTGTTTTGTGAACTTTTTCTAAACAAAATTATAGATTAGATTGGCTATTCAGGAATATCAAACTCAATTGATTCAAAGAGTGAAAGAGGATATTAAAGGATTGCACGAGAAATTCAAGATGCAATATAGCAATTCAGAAGCTTTCCATATGAGTAATTTGAGAGATTTGCCACCAGTTTCAGGTGCCATTATTTGGGCGCGTCAAATCGAGCGTCAACTCGATACCTATATGCGTCGTGTCGAGGATGTTCTCGGTGAGAGTTGGGAGTCTGATGCCGAGGGTCAAAAACTCAAGGCCGAGTCCGACCAGTTCCGTTCCAAGTTGAACACTGACCATATCTTTAGCAAATGGGTTCAAGACACCCAGTCTCGTTCGTTCGAGGTCTCTGGAAAGATCTTGACCGTCGTCAAAAAGGGTGCCAAACTCTCGTTGGACATCAATTTCGATTCGCACATTATCATGTTGTTCAAGGAGGTGCGTAATCTCCAATGGCTTGGATTCCGTGTGCCACTGAACATCTCTTTCATTTCCAGTGGTGCCAAACAAGTCTATCCATTCGCCGTGTCGTTGAAGGAGACTCTCCGTACTTTCACACAAACCTGTGGAAAGATCACCTCTGAGATTTCACCGTTGGTCGCATCGTACAAGCGTGACGTTCAATTGCTCGTCAACGAAGGATTCAAATTGAAATGGGAAGCATTACCGCAACTCGATCCATATGTTCGTAAGCTATCTTCATCGGTCAACATCTTCCGTGACAAAGTAGACGACTTGCTCGTCAAGTACTCACAAATCTCCAAGTTGTTGGAAGCAATCAAATTGGCGCCATTCAAGCAGGAATCATTCATTGAGATTATCACTAGCATTCAAAAGTTGGTAGACGAACTCAATCTTGCCAACTACTCGAATCTTTCGTTGTGGGTCGGTCAACTCGACGCGCTTGTCGAAGCCGCACTTACCGAGCGTCTTAAGGATGCTGTCGATTCGTGGATCGTGTTGATCGAAGGTGGACGTGATGGAGAAAAGGATGCATCCGGTTCAGGAAAGCAATCCGGTCGTCTTGTCTATGCTTCACGTAACCGTTTGCCATCGGACCAAGGAGCCGCCGCTGCCTCCCAACAAGTCGCTACCAATCCATCTTCCATCAAACCGACACTCGAGTCATCGGTACATGAAATTGTCATTCGTAACCAAATCCTCTATTTAGATCCACCCTTGGAGTTTGCTCGTGTCAACTGGATCTCACAGTTACATCGTTGGTTGAACATTGTTTGTGACTTGCCAAGAATCCAGGCTTCGCGTTACGACGAGAGTATCTCACATCGTGGCGAGATGGATTCACGTCTCAAAAAGACATTCCGTGACATGCTCACCAAGTTGCCAAAGGAGACACTGGAAACCGCTTACCAAACGATCCAATCGAAGCTCGACGAAGTTCAAAAGTACGTTCAGATCTGGCTTCAATATCAAGCACTCTGGGATATGGAGTCGTCGTTTGTCTACTCGAAGCTCGGCGACGACTTGAACCGTTGGCAACAACTACTCTCACAAATCAAAAAGTCACGTTCCACCTTTGACAATTCATCGACTCAGAAGGAGTTTGGTCCACTTGTCATCGACTACGGACAAGTCCAGGCAAGTGTCAACAATAAGTATGACTTCTGGCACAAGGATATTCTTTCGCATTTCGGATCGAAACTCGCCGAGAAGATGCGTGCATTCTACTCGACTATCGCCGACGCCCGTCAAGAGCTTGAAAAGCTGTCAGCCGAGACAACCTCCACCGAGGAAGCGGTCGCTTTCATCATCCAGATCCAAGACATGAAGAAACGACTGCTCGGCTGGGAAGCCGACCTCAAGTACTATCGTACCGGTCAGGACTTGCTCCATCGTCAACGTTTCCAATTCCCCAACGACTGGCTCGAGTGCGACATGGTTGAGTCCGAGTGGAACGCATTCAACGACATTCTCAACCGTAAGAACTCCTCGATGTCCGAAGCAATTCCACAGCTTCAGGCAAAGATTCTCGCGGAATCCAACTCCATCAACGATCGTATCAAAGAGTTTGTTGACAACTGGACAAACTCCAAACCACTGCAAGGTTCCATCAAGCATTCCGCCGCGCTTGAAACCATCAAGATCTTTGAGGGTCGATTGGTTCGTTTGCGTGAGGAGAACGAGCGTCTGAGAAAAGCAAAAGCAGCACTCGATCTCGACAGTCAAGGACCGTCCGGTGGCGAAGACGACCGTCTTTCACCGGTCGAAGAGGAGATGCAAGATCTCAAGGCAGTTTGGACTGAGCTTGCCGCCACCTGGCACGAGATTGACAATCTCCGTGAGACTGCATGGTCTGCCGTCGTTCCACGTAAAGTTCGTAAGTCACTGGAAGACACACTCCAGAAACTCAAGAATCTCCCCAATCGTATCCGTCAGTACTCTGCTTTCGACCACGCTCAAAACACTATGAAAGCACTGCTAAAGGCAAACGCTATCATCACCGATCTCCACTCGGAGGCTATCAAGGAGCGTCACTGGAAGATGCTAAAGAAGCGTTTGAACACCAATTGGATCTTGACCGAGTTGACTCTTGGACATATCTGGGATTCCGATCTCGTGAGAAACGAAGGTATCTATCGTGAGGTTATCACTGCCGCTCAGGGTGAAATCGCGCTCGAGGAATTCCTCAAGTCGGTGCGTGAGTATTGGACTGCATTGGAGTTGGATCTCGTCAATTACCAACGCAAGTGCAAGTTGATTCGTGGTTGGGACGACTTGTTCTCCAAGTTGGCCGAGCACTTGAACTCTATCTCCGCTATGAAGATGTCGCCTTTCTACAAGGTGTTCGAAGAGGAAGCATCGAGTTGGGACGACAAGCTCAATCGTGTGCGTTCGTTGCTCGATGTCTGGATCGACGTCCAGCGTCGTTGGGTCTACCTCGAGGGTATCTTCTCGGGCAGCGGTGACATCAATCAGTTGTTGCCAGCCGAGAGTTCACGTTTCAAATCGATCAACTCTGAGTTTATCAATTTGATGAAGAAGGTCAGTCAGGCGCCACTCGTCCTCGAAGTGTTGAACATCGAGCGTATCCAATTCACCATGGAAAGATTGGCCGACTTGCTCTCCAAGATTCAAAAGGCTTTGGGAGAGTATTTGGAGAGACAGAGAGCGGCTTTCGCTCGTTTCTACTTTGTTGGTGACGAAGATCTTCTCGAGATTATCGGTAACAGCAAGGATATCGTCAAGATCCAGAAACACTTTAGAAAGATGTTTGCCGGTCTTGCCAATTTGATTTTGGACGACGAGAAGACAACCATTCTCGGTATGTCCTCGGGTGAGGGTGAGGTTGTCATGTTCAAGAAACCAATCTCCATCGCCAACGGACCAAAGATTCACGAATGGCTCACATCGGTAGAGACAGAGATGCGTACTACCCTCGCTCATCTACTCGACGAATCACTCAAACACTATCAAACTATCACACCAACTGAGATGGCACCATTCAATGCCTGGGTCAACCAGTATCCAACGCAATTGGTCATTCTCACCTCACAGATTGTCTGGTCGCAGACTGTCGATCGTCTACTCCAAGAGGGTGGCGCTACCAACGGACAACTCGACCAACTCGAAAAACAAATTCAAACCATTCTCGGAAACATGGCTGATGCCGTGCTCGAAGACCTACCAATTCAAATCCGTAAGAAATACGAACATCTCATTACTGAGCTCGTTCACCAACGTGATGTGGTGCGTCAACTCGTCAAAAATCGTATTGCCAGCAACAAAGATTTCGACTGGCTCTACAACATGCGTTTCTACTACGACAACACTCAGGAGAACATTCTCCAGAAACTAAACATCCACATGGCCAACGCCGTATTCTTCTACGGTTACGAATATCTCGGAATTGGAGAGCGTCTCGTCCAGACTCCACTCACCGATCGTTGCTATCTCACCTTGACACAGGCGTTGGAGTCACGTATGGGTGGTAATCCATTCGGTCCAGCCGGTACCGGTAAGACCGAGACCGTAAAAGCACTCGGTAACCAACTCGGTCGTTTCGTCTTGGTTTTCTGTTGTGACGAAGGTTTCGACTTCCAAGCGATGTCGCGTATCTTTGTTGGTCTGTGCCAGTGCGGTGCATGGGGATGTTTCGATGAATTCAATCGTCTCGAAGAACGTATTCTCTCTGCCGTATCGCAGCAAATCCAAACCATCCAGGTCGCCCTCAAAGAGAAGGCCAAGGAGGTAGAGTTGATTGGAAAGACCGTCAAGATTCATCCAGACATGGGTATCTTTGTGACTATGAATCCAGGTTATGCAGGTCGTTCCAATCTACCGGACAATTTGAAACAACTGTTCCGTAGCATGGCTATGATCCGTCCCGATCGTGAGATGATCGCACAGGTCATGCTTTACTCACAGGGTTTCAAGACTGCCGAAGTTCTCGCCGGTAAGATCGTTCCACTCTTCAAGCTCTGCCAAGAGCAATTGTCTGCACAATCTCACTACGACTTTGGTTTGCGTGCATTGAAATCCGTGTTGGTCAGTGCCGGTGGTTTGAAGCGTAAGATGTTACCACCCACTCGTACACCAGAGATTGCCGACTTTGACACTGTCTACAGTAAATACGAAATCGGTGTACTCCTTTCCAGTATCACTGATACTATGATTCCAAAGTTGGTTGCTGACGATATTCCTTTGATCCAGTCGCTCTTGCTCGATGTGTTCCCAGGTTGTGAGATTGCTCCGATCAACGTCGCTGGACTGCGTGAACAAATCAAGAAATCATGTCAAACTCGTCACTTGGTCGACCGTGCTGAATGGGTCGAGAAGATTCTGCAACTCCACCAGATCCAGAATATCAATCACGGTTTGATGATGGTCGGTCCTAGCGGTAGTGGAAAGACAGCCGCTTGGAATGTCTACCTCGAGGCGATCGAAGCGATCGACAAGGTCAAGTCGGAAGCACACGTCCTCGATCCAAAGGCTATCACCAAAGACCAGTTGTTTGGTTCGCTTGACAGCACCACCCGTGAGTGGACCGACGGTCTTTTCACTGCCACTCTGCGTCGTATCATTGATAATGTTCGTGGTGAGAGCAGCAAGCGTCATTGGATCATCTTTGACGGTGACGTCGATCCCGAGTGGGTTGAGAATCTCAACTCGTTGCTCGACGACAACAAGCTGTTCACATTGCCCAACGGTGAACGTCTTGCACTTCCAAACAATGTGAGAATCGTCTTTGAAGTACAAGATCTCAAGTACGCCACTCTTGCTACCATTTCGCGTTGTGGTATGGTTTGGTTCAGTGAGGAGACACTCACCACCCAGATGATCTTTGAAAACTATCTCAGGACATTGGATCACGAACCGTTCGATGAAGCTGAACGTGAACAACAATGTCGTAATGAACAAACACAACAACAACAACAAGGTGGATCCAGTAGTGGTAGTGCACCAATTATCACTCCAGGACTACGCGTCCAAAAGGAGTGTGTCGCCATCATCAGCCAATACTTTGAGCCTGGCGCTCTTGTCCACAAGGTGTTGGAAGACGCCGGACAACGTCCACATATCATGGATTTCACCCGTCTCCGTGTACTAAATTCGTTCTTCTCCATCATGAATCGTTCCATTCAAAACGTTGTCGAGTACAACTCACTCCACTCTGACTTCCCAATGTCGCCAGAGAACGTAAGCAACTATATCACCAACCGTTTGCTCTACTCGCTGATGTGGGGTCTGGGAGGTTCCATGGGATTGGCCGAACGTGAGAACTTCAGTAAGTTCATTCAAACGATTGCAATCACACCGGTGCCAGCCAACACCATTCCACTGTTGGACTATGCCGTCAACATCGAGGACGCTCAGTGGTCGCTCTGGAAGAACAAAGTTCCATCGGTCGAAGTGGAAACTCACAAGGTTGCTTCACCAGACGTTGTCATTCCAACTGTTGATACCACTCGTCATGTCGACGTGCTACACGCCTGGTTGTCTGAGCATCGTCCACTCTTGTTGTGCGGTCCCCCAGGTTCCGGTAAGACCATGACTCTCACCAGCACTCTCCGTGCCTTCCCCGACTTTGAAGTCATCTCACTCAATTTCTCGTCGGCCACCACACCAGAGTTGATCCTCAAGACATTCGATCATCACTGTGAGTACAAACGTACACCACAAGGTGACACTGTGCTCCGTCCCGTTGCCATCGGTAAGTGGCTCGTAGTGTTCTGCGATGAAATCAATCTTCCAGCCACCGATAAATACGGTACTCAACGTGTAATCACATTCATCCGTCAACTCGTTGAGAAGGGTGGATTCTGGCGTACCTCTGACCACACCTGGATCCGTCTCGAGAAGATCCAATTCGTCGGAGCATGCAATCCTCCAACCGATGCCGGTCGTGTTCCACTTTCTCACCGTTTCTTGCGTCACGCTCCAATTCTCCTTGTCGATTTCCCCTCGGCGTCGTCACTCACTCAGATCTACGGTACCTTCAACAGATCACTCATTAAGCTACTGCCAAATCTTCGTTCCTATGCCGACGCACTCACCGACGCCATGGTGGAGTTCTACTCGGCATCGCAGAAGCGTTTCACTCCCGATATGCACGCACACTATATTTACTCGCCTCGTGAGTTGTCGCGTTGGGTTCGTGCGTTGTTGGAAGCCATCCAAACTATGGAGGGTTGCACCATTGACGGACTCGTCAGACTCTGGGCACACGAAGGTCTTCGTTTGTTCCAAGATCGTTTGGTCGATGTCGAAGAGCGTGACTGGACCGACAAGATGATTGATGAAGTAGCACTCAAGTACTTCCCCAACATCGGATCGGACACTCTCAAACGTCCCATTCTCTACTCCAACTGGTTGTCCAAAGACTACGTGCCAGTCGAGCGTGCAGAGCTTCGTGAGTACGTCAAAGCTCGTTTGAAGGTATTCTACGAAGAGGAGCTCGATGTTCCATTGGTTCTCTTCAACGAAGTACTCGACCATATTCTTCGTATCGATCGTGTATTCCGTCAGCCACAAGGACATGCACTGTTGATCGGTGTATCCGGTGGAGGTAAATCTGTACTCTCTCGTTTCGTCGCTTGGATGAACGGTCTCTCGATCTACACCATCAAGGTGAACAACAACTACAAAGCCACCGACTTTGACGACGATCTCAGAATGTTGTTGAAGCGTGCCGGTTGCAAGGAGGAGAAGATCTGTTTCATTTTCGATGAGTCCAACGTCTTGGAGTCGTCTTTCCTCGAGCGTATGAACACTCTCTTGGCAGGAGGTGAAGTTCCAGGTCTTTTCGAAGGTGAGGAATACACTGCTTTGATGCACCAATGCAAGGAGACAGCGACCCGTAACGGTTTGATCATGGATACCGAGGAGGAGCTCTACAAGTACTTCACCGGACAAGTCCGTAGAAATCTACATGTCGTATTCACCATGAATCCAGCTTCGCCAGACTTCCACAATCGTTCGGCAACATCGCCTGCGCTTTTCAATCGTTGCGTGCTCGATTGGTTCGGAGAGTGGTCGCCACAAGCACTCTTCCAAGTCGGATCGGAGTTCACTCGTAACCTCGATCTTGAGAATCAAAACTACCAACCTACTCCAGAGTTTATCGCCGAGTGTGAGCAGAATGACATCGGTGTGCAACTTCCACCAACTCACCGTGACGCCGTCGTTAGTTCACTCGTCTATATCCACCAGACTATTGGCGAGGCAAATGCACGTCTCCTTCGTAAACAAGGTCGTCAGAACTATGTAACTCCACGTCACTACCTCGATTTCATCAACCAAGTCGTGCTGTTGATCAACGAGAAGCGTGAACAACTCGAAGAGGAACAACTCCATCTCAACATCGGTCTCAAGAAGTTGAGAGATACCGAACAACAAGTCAAGGATCTCCAGGTGTCACTCGCTCAAAAGAAGAATGAGCTCGAAGTCAAGAATGAACAGGCCAACAACAAATTGAAACAGATGGTTGCTGACCAGCAGATTGCAGAGAGAAAGCAAAAGGAAGCACTCGAGCTGCAATCGCAACTCGACACTCGTAACCAAGAGATTACCGTGCAAAAGGTCAAGGCCTATGCCGACTTGGAAAAGGCTGAACCAGCCATCTTGGAAGCCCAAGAGTCTGTATCTACCATCAAGAAGAAACATCTCGATGAAATCAAATCACTTCCAAAACCACCACAACCGGTCAAGTTGGCAATGGAAGCCGTGTGTCTCATGTTGACCGGTAAGAAGTTGGAGTGGGCCGATATCCGTAAGAAGATTATGGAGACAACCTTCATCAGTTCCATCGTCGACTATGACACCAAGAAACAATTGACATCAAAGATTCGTGAAGCCGTCAAGAAGGAGTATTTGGAGGATCCAAACTTCAACTATGAAGCGGTGAATCGTGCCTCTAAAGCTTGTGGTCCACTCGTCAAGTGGGTCACTGCTCAGGCCATTTTCTCTGAGATCTTGGACCGTGTCAAACCACTGCGTGAAGAGGTCGAACAACTTGAGAATGCCGCTAACGAACTCAAGGCGAAACAAGATGAAATCGTCAAGACTATCGATGCCCTCAACCAATCGATCTCCACCTACAAGGACGAGTATGCCACATTGATTCGTGATACCGAATCGATCAAGTCTGAGATGACCAAGGTCAAGAGCAAGGTAGATCGTTCCATTGCGCTGATTGACAATCTCTCGTCGGAGCGTAGTCGTTGGGAGTTGCAATCGGAGAACTTCCAAACTCAGATGGCCACTGTCGTTGGAGATGTCGTCCTGGCATCTGCATTCCTCGCCTACATTGGTTTCTTTGACCAACACTTCCGTGCCGATCTCATGCAAAAGTGGATGCACCGTTTGGAGTCGGTGGGCATCAAATTCAAGCCCGAACTCTCGGTGCCAGATTTCTTGGCTCGTCCAGAGGAGCGTCTCCAATGGCACGCCAACTCTTTGCCAGCCGACGATCTCTGCGTTGAAAATGCTATTATGCTCAAGAGATTTAACCGTTATCCATTGGTTATCGATCCATCCGGTCAAGCCATGGAGTTCTTGATGAATCAATACGCCGACAAGAAGATCAACAAGACATCGTTCCTCGACGCTTCGTTCATGAAGAACTTGGAGTCCGCTCTTCGTTTCGGTTGTCCACTACTCGTTCAAGACGTTGAGAACATCGATCCCGTTCTCAATCCAGTGTTGAACAAAGAAATCCGTAAGAAGGGAGGTCGTATCCTCATCCGTCTCGGTGATCAGGACGTCGATTTCTCGCCATCGTTTATGATCTTCTTGTTCACACGTGATCCAACCGCTCACTTTACCCCGGATCTCTGCTCTCGTGTTACTTTTGTCAACTTTACTGTCACTCCATCGTCATTGCAATCGCAGTGTCTCCACGAGACACTCAAGACCGAGCGTCCAGACACTCACAAGAAACGTTCGGATCTCCTCAAGATTCAAGGTGAATTCAAGGTGCGTTTGAGAACTCTCGAGAAATCGTTGCTCTCTGCACTCAGTCAGGCACAAGGTAACATTCTCGACGACGATTCCATCATCGGAACACTCGAGTCGCTCAAGCGTGAAGCGGCCGAGATTGCCGTGAAGGTCGAAGAGACCGACGTCGTCATGCAAGAGATCTCTGCGGTCTCTGCCATCTACAATCCAATGGCGCTCGCTTGCAGTCGTGTCTACTTTGCAATGGAACAACTCTCACAGTTCCATCTCTACCAATTCTCGCTGCGTTTCTTCTTGGATCTCTTCTATGTCCTACTCAACGGCAATCCAAATCTCGACGGTATCAAAGATCCAAATGAACGTCTCAATATTCTCCAACGTGACATCTTCACCCTTGCATTCAATCGTGTCACACGTACTCTGCTCAATGACGACAAGCTCACATTCGCCGTGCAACTCGCCAATATTGCACTGAAGGGCAAACCCGACGAAATCGAAGAAGCCGAATGGGACTATCTCTTGAAGGGTGGTGATAATATCGCTAGCATCAAGGAGACACTTCCACAGGTGAGCTCAGTCGTGGAGTCTACCAACAAACAAAAGTGGCTCATCACTATCAAGTCACTGCAAGCGTTTGGCTCGCGTCTCATTGAACACATCCAACAGAATCCAGGCGAATGGAAACCATTCTTTGACAGTGCTGCCAACTCCTCCACCATTCCAGAGTCGTGGATTACCTCCCAACAATCACTCTACCCCAAGAAGACAGTGATCACCTCCAACTTTAGAAAGATCCTATTGATGAAGGCATTCCACTCTGATCGTATTCTACAATCGACTCACCAATTTGTTTCCTCGGTGTTTGGTGAGCACTTCCTCCAGGTGCAATCGTACGACATGGCTCAGATTGTCGAGAAGGAAAGCAAAGCTGTTGCTCCACTCTTGCTTTGCTCCGTTCCAGGTTACGATGCATCGTCGATCGTCGACGACTTAGCAGTCGAGTTGAGAAAGCCATACAAAGCATTGGCCATCGGTTCGCCAGAGGGTTTCGAACTCGCTGAAAAGTCGATTTTCGCTGCCACCAAGAATGGTTCGTGGGTTCTCCTCAAGAATATCCATCTTGCTCCACAATGGCTTGTCCAACTCGAGAAGAAACTCCACAGTTTGACACCGCATCCAAACTTCCGTTTGTTCATGACATCGGAAATCCATCCGAATCTTCCAGCGAATCTCTTGCGTATGTCTCACATCTTCTCGTACGAGAATCCACCAGGTGTCAAGGCAAATCTGCTCCATACATTTGCCAACATCCCGGCTGCTCGTATGGATCGTCAACCGGTAGAGCGTTCACGTATCTACTTCATGTTGGCATGGTTCCACGCCATCATCCAAGAACGTCTGCGTTATATTCCAATTGGTTGGACCAAGGTATTCGAGTTTAACGACGCCGATCTCCGTGGTGCTCTCGACTCCATCGACTACTGGATCGACCTCTACTCCAAGGGCAGAAGTAACATCGACCCCGACAAGATCCCATGGGTTGCCGTACGTACTATTCTCGGTCAAACCATCTACGGTGGTCGTGTAGACAATGAATTCGACATGCGTCTACTCAACTCGTTCCTCGAGCAACTCTTCACACCGGCTTCATTCAATCCCGATTTCACCTTGGTGGAATCACTCGGAATCAACGTGCCAGAGGGAACCACTCGTGCCCACTTTATCAAGTGGATCGAATCACTACCTGACATCTCGACTCCAGTGTGGCTCGGTCTCCAAGACAATGCCGAATCACTGCTACTCTCCAACAAGGCAAAGAAGATGATCAACGACCTCCAAAAGATGCAGAGTTCCGACGAAGATCCAGAATCGGAAACATCAAAGGACAACAACAAGGAGGATAAATCAAAGATCAAGTTGAGACAAACCGTTACCGAGTGGATCAAGATCATGCCAAAACCATTGAAGGCACTCAAGAGAACCGCTCAGAACATCAAGGATCCATTGTTCCGTTGCTTCGAGCGTGAAATTACCACCGGAATCAAATTGATCAAGAAGATCACTGCCGATCTCGGTAGCATTACTGAGCTATTGGAAGGAAACATCAAGCAAACCAACTATCTTCGTTCACTCACCACCAGCATCTCCAAGGGAGTGGTTCCACGTGAATGGAAGTGGTATTCCAGTCCGGAATCGGTCAGTCTTTCCATTTGGATGTCTGACTTTTTCAAGAGAATGCAACAACTCAATGAGATCTCAGAGTGCACCGACTTTAAGTCTGTACAAGTCTGGCTTGGTGGACTACTCAACCCTGAGGCATACATCACCGCCACTCGTCAATCCGCTGCACAGTTGAATGGCTGGTCGCTTGAGAACCTGAGATTGCACATCAACACTCTCGGAGGTGTCTCTGAGTCTGGTTTCTCAGTGAAGGGACTCTCTTTGGAGGGTGCCTCGTGGAAGAACGAAGTTCTGACACCAACTCACGAGTTGTCCACTCCGATTCCAACCACCACTCTCACATGGAGAGACAAGGATGATCCAATCTTTAGCGAGAATCAACAAGGTAAACTCAGTGTCCCAGTATATCTCAATGACACAAGATCAGAGTTACTATTCTCAATTGACTTACCATTCCAATCTGGTACCACCAAACAATCATGGTACCAAAGAAGTGTATCAATCAGCTCATGGAAGGTTGATTTCTAAAATTACAAAAAACAACAAACAAACAAACAAACAAACAAATAAATATTATCACTTCTTTCACTTATATTTACAATTCCTAATTTTATTTATTTTCTTTAATATTTATTTGTTACCTCCACCAACGTGTTAATCATCAAATTGTTTTTCATCACACCCAATATTTTTTATATCATTCATATATTAATTAATCAAATTACGCTGCCAAAAATTGAAATGATAATTCATTGCTTCTTGACATATTGGTAACTGAATAAATCTTTATTATATTTATTTATAGTTGTCAAATCAAATAATACTCATTAATATTATTACTTTGTTATAATTTAGAAATCTGAAATGAATTCAATAATATTTCTATTATTCTTTTTATTTTTATCATTTATCTTTGGAACTATAGTTGCAGATAATACAAAAGCATATCCATATGCTACAGGTAATAAATACTAAATATTTTAAATAAAATTTCAATAACTTATATTTTCTTCTAATATTAGGAGATGGCGATGATCTTTATTTCCCTCCTGTCAGTTGCTATACATAACTTTTTCTACTCATGAAACTAACTGGAAATCCAGAATAGAAACCAAAAAATAAAATTTTTATTATACAGTAATAATATTAAAAAAATCATATGATTATTAATATTTTTTACAAATAAATAATAAAAACACACATGTTTATTTTTTATTTAAAATGGAATTATAATAATAATGTTTGGCCAGGTATTATTACTTGTTTAAATAGTTTAAAATTAGCATGTTTTTTTTTTTTTTAAATTTGATCGATCTATAAATTAGTTGGTCCCCTGGTGCACCGACACGTACCAAGTTTGTTTTTTTTAAGTTTTTTTTTTTTTTTTTTTTTTTTGCAAACCGAACTAAATGTTTAGAAAAACTAAACCCCTGTCCAACCAATTTAGATTAATTAAACATGATTAACCTTTTTAGCTTATGTTTTGATAGGTTTCAAAACAATAATAAAGAATAACATTCTATTCCCTTTTATTCTTTTTTGATTTTTTTTTTTTTTTTTGGATTTTTATTAAATTTAATTTGTAATTTTTTTAATTTTTTTTTTTTTTTTGAAATTTATGATGTTTTTATTAACTAACTCATCTTCACATCATTCAATTTTGTTTTTATTCTATAATAATATTATTTAATATAACACAGTTTTAGATTATAATATAAAATGGCATCAGCATTCTCAAGAGCTTCAATCCCAAAACCATACAATGAGCCAATGGTATGTTTGCATTTTTATCATTATGTCGACAAAACAAAACAGCTTCACTTTTACAAACTGCAGTTTTTTTCTTATTCACTATCATTTAACATCCATATTATCATACTTTACTCATATAATTCATGAATATACATTGCAGTGAGACTTTTCAGACTTAAAAAGATGCACACTACAAAAAAAACATAAACATCGATGATATTAAAATTATTAAATTATTATTTAGGTTGTCAACTTCACTTTTTTTTATGACACTCAACAACAAGCATAAAAAATGAACTCCATTTCACTCTAATTTTCAGTAAAAAAAATCAAACAGACTTTTTTTTTTTTGTTTTTTTTGTCGACTTTCGTCTTTTTTTTTTTTTGAAAGAATTTACCTGGCTTACACTGATCTTTTTTTTCATTATTTTACTTTACTTAAGCTCAACTACGAAGTTGGTTCAGTACAAAGAAAATTATTAAAGGAAGCATGCGCCAAGCTTAGAAACGAAACAATCGAAATCCCATGTATTGTTGGTGGTGAAGAAATCAAGACTGGCGATGTCCAAAAGCAATTGATTTGCTCTGATAACAAGAAGGTTCTCTGTACCTTCCACCAAGCCAATGCCGAAGTCCTCCAAAAGGCTATCGACAACTCGTTGGCCGCCAAGTCCAAGTGGGAAGCTCTTCCATTCGAAGACCGTGCCGCCATCTTCTTGAAGACCGCCGACTTGCTCAACACCAAGTACCGTTATGAGATCTTGGCCGCCACAATGTTGGGTCAAGGAAAGACCGTCTGGCAAGCCGAAATCGATGCCGCCGCTGAAACCATTGACTTTTTGCGTTTCAACCCAAAGTATGCCGAGGAGATCTACAGCCAACAGCCACCAGCCAACACCAACGGTTGCTGGAATCGTGTTGAGTACCGTCCACTCGAGGGTTACGTCGTTGCCATCTCGCCATTCAACTTTACAGCCATCGGTGCCAATCTCCCATCGTCACCAGCTTTGATGGGTAACGTCGTTCTCTGGAAGCCAGCATCGACCGCCATCCTTTCCAACTACATCGTCTTCAAGGCATTCCGTGAAGCCGGTCTCCCAGACGGTGTCATCCAATTCCTCCCAGGTAGCGGACGTCTCGTCGGTGACATCTTGATTAACAACCGTAACTTTGCCGGTCTCCACTTCACCGGATCCACTGGTGTCTTCAACGGAATCTACCAAAAGACTGCCGCCAACTTGAGCGCCGGTCTCTACCGTGGTTACCCAAGAATCGTCGGTGAAACCGGTGGTAAGGATTTCCACTTCCTCCACAACTCTGGTGAAGTCGACCACTTTGTCTTTAACACATTGAGAGCCTCCTTCGAGTACCAAGGTCAAAAGTGTTCCGCTTGTTCACGTGCCTACATTCCAGCCTCTTTGTGGCCAACCATCAAGGAGAAGTTGGTCTCCAACGTAAAGGAAATGAAGCAAGGTCAATCCGACGACTTCTCAGTGTTTGTCTCTGCAGTCATCGATAAGAATTCCTTCAACAATATTAAATCATACATTGATCACGCCAAGGCTTCAGCCGACGCCGAAATCATCGTTGGTGGTGGTTGTGATGACTCTGTTGGTTGGTTCGTTGAGCCAACTATTATCGTCGCCAAGGATCCACACTACAAGTCAATGGAAGAAGAGATTTTCGGTCCAGTTTTGACCATCTACGTATATGAAGATTCTAAATTCGAGGAAACCGTAAGTTATTATTTTAACTCTATTCTTTTTTTTATTTCCTATCATTCTTTTTCTACATTCTACTCTATTTTTTTTATTTTATCAAAGTTATAAATTTTTAAATGATGACAACAAGAAGAGCCGTATTAATAACTTTGATTAAAACGATCTTTTAAAACATTTTTATAATGTTCCTATCTGACCAAAAATTATAATACTTATTCTTAATCTTTTCTGCTCTCCTTTTACTACTCTTTTTTGTTAATTATTTTTAATATATATGTACTAATCTATTCCTGTTTGTTTATATCTTATTAATAGTTGAGACTTTGTGATACTACTTCACCATATGCCCTCACTGGTTCAATTTTCGCCAAGTGTAGATATGCAGTTCAAACTGCCAACCAAATTTTGAAGAGTGCTGCCGGTAACTTCTATATCAACGACAAGTGTACTGGTGCAGTTGTTGGACAACAACCATTTGGTGGTGCTCGTGCCTCAGGTACCAACGATAAGGCTGGTGCTTCATTGAACTTGTTGCGTTGGGTATCTGCTCGTACCATCAAAGAGAATTTCGTACCATTGACCACCTGGAAGTATCCATACATGGCTCCAGAAAACTAAATGAATAAATCTAAACTAAAATAAATATTTTAGAAATTTCTTAAAATAACAATGATGATATTTAGTACAAAGAAGTTATTTATTTTTCAATTTTAGGATTATCAGATTCCTTTGATAATGAAACAGGTTGTTGTTGATATTGATGTTGTTGATTGTCATCGATTGGAATCTCAGAGTATGTAGCGTAGTTTGGTTGTGGTAGACCTGTGGTGGTCGATTGATTGTGGAAGTGTTGCATTGGAATGTAGTGAACAGGTGGTTGGTTGGGGTATGGCACTGGATAGGCAACCAAAGGTTGTTCGGCAAGTGGCGATACAGGAATATTCAATTCACACCAAATCTTTGGTCTTCTCTTTCCTCTTTTGTTTGTAAAATCTACATATCTCAATGTCCAATTGATTCCATAATGATTATTAAAGTGTGTGTGGATTTTCGATACAGAATAAGCTAAATTTCTAAGATACTATGTTTTGTTTTTTGTTTCGTAGGAAATTAGAATAAGAAATCATTGTTTAACAATAGATTTAAAATACACTTACTTTTCTTTTTAAAGTTAACAACATTAAAACTAAACCAAGTAATGTAATTGCAAGTAATAAAATACCTATATACCAATAGATTGGTGTATATGAATCTGTTTTTTTTGACTCTCCAACACCAAATGCAATTGCACCTGAAAAGGATTATAAAAGATATGGTAACATATTAAGTTAGATAAGTTAAATTTATAAAAAGATAAAATGTTTTTTTTTAAGAAATTAATAATGAATTTACCTGTGATTAAAGATGGTAATAATGACAAGAGTTGGCCCCACAGAGTGATAGCAGCAACATTGTTTAGAGATCGTATTGCTTTATCATAATCTTCGATTGAACAATGAGTAGATAGTTCTACAGGCATTTCTGCTTGCCATCTTCTCTTAATGTATCCTGTTTTTTTAGATCTTACAACAGCAACATTTGGCGTTGACTGTGGATATATAAATTTTATATGCATTGTTTTTCTCTTTTTTTTATATACAAAACACAAATAAATTATATAATTTTAAAAATAACAAAAAAAAAAAAACAAACAAATATTTATTTTACTAGATCTATTTAATAAATTGTATTATTTTGATATAAATAATAAAAATGAATAATATAATAAATAATAAATCAAATTCTTTCTTTTCCTTTTTGTTTTGTTTAAATATATATATTTCTTTAACAACAACACAACAGGAGTTGTTAATAACTCAAAAAATAAAATAAAATAATAAATTATTTAATATTCAAACAAATTGTATTAATTAACAAAATTTATTATATTATAAGTCGTTTTGTGTCAGAATTGTTGTTAAAAAATAAAAAAATAAATTCATTTTTTAATTAACCACACCATGTGTGGTATTATATGTGAGGTGTTATATAAATGACATTTTTGTGCACTTTAGGGTTTCTTTAGATCACCTTTTTTTCGAATAAATAATTATTGATTTTAATGAACAATTAATTTCTTAATCAACGTAGATTCTTTTATTAAAAGTAATTATTGATAGTTTAGATAATAGTGAAGACCAACCATCGTATATTCTACAAATGGTAATGAGCACTCCCCAGAGTCTGTATTCCAACTTACGGTGAAAGTCAACTACAGATCTTAATATTAAGAATAAAATAATGATAAAGTTAAAAGTTACATTTAATTGTTTAAATATCAAAGATGTTCATTCATCTGACGAATGAAATTTAGGAACTTTCAAAGTAACCTTTTTTTATTTTAATTAAATAAAAAGATTTATTTATTTCCATTTTTTGTTTATAAAGTTATGGATCGATTTTGATTATTGTATTATTGCTATAGGTAGAGTTGTAATATTGAGTATCGTCATTTGTGCTGTAGGGGGCAGTAGAGGTTGGATGATAACATGGTTGGTTTTTCTATAGTATGTTTCCTCTATCATTCTATCCATTCTATGACGTCTCTTAAATCTATAAATGAATATAATGACAGAACCAACTATAAAAAAGCATTTTAACCATGATCGACATCAGGTGAATCTTTTAAAGAATGCTCTCCTTCCTCGTGTGATGTTTTAACATATTTTGGTGTCATACTTGATTATACAAGGAAAACTCCTATTAAAATAGATTGATAGATTTATTTAATAAACTCTGTATTTTTAGATTAGATTTAATTTAATTTATTAATTTGAAATTTATTAAAAATAATAAAAGGTGATTTTGTTGATTAAAAGTCGGAGTACCTTTTTACCCGAATCAACTCGAAATCCTGAGAAAAAAAAAAGCTTTGCAAAAAAAAGATATTTTTGTTAAAATACATCATCAAACTTTTCAAACTACAATTTTAGATCTTCACCGGAACCAAAATAACACTTTCATTGAATTCCTACTATCTTCAATTTAATTATTATTTTAGTTTAGAGTTTAATATTACCATTGTAGACAATTTGTAGTAGTTGATTGGTTTTTTTTACTCTTTGTTTTTTTTTTTTTTAAAACATGTTACATGAGGGACGATGTGAAACTAAAGAATTATTATAGGTTTGTTTTTGTAAAGTTCAAAGAAAACTTTTTTTAACCAACCTATAATAAATTCTTTGGTTTCTAATAAAAGATTTATTTATTTACATATTTTATTTTTATAGTAACTATTAAGGTTAACCTTAGACTTTGTTTAATGAATTGCTATAGGTAGAGTTGTAATATTGAATATCGTCAATGGATAGATGGTATTTGATTTGTGGCTGTGCAACAGCGGAACTAGAGGTTGGATGGCAACAATGTTGGTTTCTGCTATTGTAAGTTTCTATTATCATTCTCTCCAATCTTTGACGTCTCTGACATTTATAAATTCCAGCAATGACAGCAACAATGAATAATATTACACAACCAACTATCAGAAAAGTAATATATCCTTGGTCGTTGCCACTAGAATCGAGTGAATCTTGTAAAGAAAAATCTACTTCATCGGAAGATGCTTGAAAATATTTTGGAATCATTTTTGATGATACTAGAAAAATTTTTAAAGAGAAACTGTTTTTACTATTAATTTATTACTCTTATATTTTATTTATATCTAAAATTTAGGATTGATTTGAATTTGGTTGATTAATTTGATTGATCGATATTTAATATAAAAATAAAAGTTCACTTTTTAACTAAGATTTTAAATAGTTTAAAATTGGTCCTGGTAAATAAATTTTGCTTAAATCAACTTACAATCCGGAGACTCTTCAGCAAAAGTATCTTGACCAAAAATTCTCCAAAACAAAAGAAAAAAGATTTTTTTGCAAAAATATATTAACAAAAACAGATTTAAAATGAAGGAGTGCCCCAGGAGCCCTTTTTTATCTTATTAAAACCTCTAATTTCCTCTACATATAAAAGTATATTTATTTTTCAGTGTATCTAAAAGAAATCATCAGTTCTATCACAGTTTTGTTGATATTTATTTATTAAACTGATTTTGATCTCAAAAAAAAATGTAAAATTAACTTAATTTTATAGCTTTATAATATTATTCTATTTTATTTGCGCAACCAGTACCCTCAAAGAAATCATTAGTTCTACCAAATGAGTATATCGATTAGTTAAATAAGCAATCACTCTCCACAATTGATTGTGTCTTGCCATTTGATAAAAAACATTCTTCTTGAGTTGAATAGTATCTGATAGTATTCTCTACTTCTTCATTGTAGCGAATACATTCTCTATTATTATTCGTACTTTTTTAATTTTGTTATCCTCTTCTTTATCTTCAATTATTCTAGTTAAATCATATCCTCCATCTTTCTCACACTTCTTTTGAAGAGTTAAAAACTCTTTGAGGATTTTGATTCCTCCATACCTCTCTCTTTTCTCATCATCTTTCTTTCTTTTCTTAAGAACTTTGTCTGCGTATTCCCTGTGATCAGAGAGAGAAGCTGACTTAATCTTTGGAAAAATCGTTTTGGGATATATTTTGACCACCTCTGAATCCTTTGTCTCCTAAAATGACATGCTTATCTTCACAAAAAAGTTGTTTTAGATTTTTTGACTCGTGTTTAAACAATGCCACATCTGGCTGGGCTCCTCCTTGAGTTTGACCAACTTATATAATCTTCCCACGAGGATTGCACATGATTAAGAGGGTAAAAGAATACATTGATTTCTTTCCTGAATAAGTTAAATCTCTCTGTATCTTGTCTTTTGGAGTTTGTATCTTTTGTTCTGATCCATCAACCACCAAATGAACTCTAGTATTTTCTCGTTTATGTTGCATAATAACACTTTCGTTTTCCAAGTAATCAGAATCGAATGATAAGTCTTCGAAATATCCAACACAATAATCTGACAATATTTTCAGAACTTTATGAAAATTAGATCTTAATACATATACACTTCGTTGGTATAAAAAAATACTTTCCATTACTTCATATGAAAAGTTATGCCTACACTTTAAAAGAAAAGCTAAAGCTTCTTCATATATAATTTCATGATCACTGCATAACTCTAGAATGTTTTCTTTGGACAGTTTAAAGAACTGTCGATGTTCATATTCTTCAAAAAGGGGTTCACTTTCATCTTCAATAAGGGTTTCAATTATTTCTATTTACACAACTATAATTAGAATAGTTTTAAAAGACATTAAATTTATTTATTTACCTTAAGTTTTCTTTTTTTTTTTGGTTGTATTATCGACATAGTTGTCAACAATCTTTTTTGATGGTCTACCCCTCTTTGCTGGTGGCCCTTGAGGCATACTAGTATCTTGGTCGATTTATGATTCCTGGTCAACATTGGTGATGTCTGTTGAAGAAATCATATTTGCTTCACACCATGATTTCCAAGATTCTCTCTTATTCTTGAGGTAATCTTGTAAGCAGTTGAACTTGCAAAAAAAAAACAAATTCAAGTGGCTTGACTAATGGGGTACTACACTTAAGGTAGTTACTTGATGCTGAACAACAGTTCTGGCAAGTTTCGCTTTTATAACCAAGTGTAATCGGCTTTCTAGGGTCTTTTATTGAACTAAAGGATTCTTGGAGGAAGCTAATTGATTCTAATGAATTACTTAAATGTCCTGGTCGACATACAGTTATCTTTTCCTCTCCAAAATGAATGTATATCCTGTGAAGCTTACGATCTGGCGAAGAACATACAGGCACTTTCACGATATTTCCATTTGTTACGTCTCTGTCAGATAAAAACGGGACCTGGGGCAGCCCTTTTATTTTTTTTATTTTTTTTGCAAAACTCCTGATTTCCTCAACCAAACCTGCACTTAAGCAAACTTAAGCCAAGTGGTTTTTATTTAATTTGGGTAATTTTTTTGCATAAAATCTGGCTATTTTTAACATTACCCATCATACTAGTAATTTCAAAATTAATTTTTTGAATTCATTTTTTCTCTGATTTAATGGCGATATCAAGTTTGTTTATTATATTTTTAGTATATCGTTAATGGTGGTTGCAATTTTATTCTCTATTAAGTCCTTTCCAACAAAAAAACTAAAGAAAAGTTTTTTTTCTTATTTTTGTCTAATTTTTTTTTTTTTTTGAAAAACTTTGAATCTAAAACATAAAAAAAGTAAATCAATAAGCACACTTTAATTGTTGCGATAATTGAAATTATAGTTTCTTATTCTATTAAAAATGAAAAGAAAACATCAGAATAGTATAAGTTCAAATGATAGTGATGCACTCCTCCAAATTGCAATGTCACTTGATCATCATGATGACAATATCATTAAAGATCCACAAACAATAGTTCTCCCATCAGGTAAATCAATTACGAAAGAACAACTTTTATTGCAAGTTATCGATCTGCATCCAAACAATTCTGATGCTTATATCAAGTTGGCACTAATTCTTAAAGCTGAAAATCGATCTTCTATCATTCTTCTATCTGGCCTTACAATGACACCACAACAACTCTACTTGAAAGGAATACAATGCAATCCTACCGATCCAAACTCATATTTTTACCTTGAATTTACACTTTCAAGAGGTGAATCAATAACACTTCTAAATGGACAATCAATGACAAAACAGCAACTATTATTGAAAGCAATAGAGTGTGACCCTACCTGTACTTCTTATTATTATAGCCTTGGGGCTACACTTTCAAGAGGTGAATCAATCATACTCAATGATGGAGAATCAATGACACTTCAGCAACTATACTTGAAAGCAATAGAATGTGATCCAACGTTTTCGCATCCTTATACAAACCTTGCAATCACACTTTCAAGTGATGAACCAATAACACTTAATGATGGACAATCAATGACAAGACAACAACTTTTATTGAAAACAATTGAATGTGATCCGACAATTTCCATTACTTATTCTAACCTGGCAAATACACTTTCAGATGAAGAATCAATAACACTTAATGATGGACAATCAATGACAAAACAACAACTATGCCTGAAATCAATAGAATGTGATCCAGCATATTCAATTTCATATTGTATCCTTGCAATGACACTTTCAAGAGGTGAATCAATCATACTTAATAATGGACAGTCAATGACTGATAGGCAACTATACTTGAAATCAATAGAGTGTGATCCAACATTTTCAGATGCTTATTCTAACCTGGCAGACACACTTTCAAGAGGTGAATCAATCACACTAAATAATGGACAATCAATGACACAACAACAACTATACTTGAAATCAATAGAATGTGATCCAACATATTCATATTCATACTCTAATCTTGCAAAGACACTTTCAAGAGGTGAATCAATCATACTTAATGATGGACAATCAATGACAGAACAACAACTATACTTGAAATCAATAGAGTGTGATCCAACCAATTCCAATTCATATAATAACCTTGCAACGACGCTTTCAAGTGGTGAATCAATCATACTTAATGATGGACAATCAATGACAGACCAACAACTATACTTGAAATCAATAGAATATGATCCAACCAATTCTGAATCATATTATAACCTTGCAACTACACTTTCAAGAGGTGAATCAATCATACTTAATGATGGACAATCAATGACAAGACAACAACTATACTTGAAAGCAATAGAATGTGATCCAACCAATTCTGAATCATATAATAACCTTATAAATACACTTTCAGATGGCGAATCAATCAAACTTAATGATGGACAATCAATGACAAAACAACAACTATTATTGAAATCAATAGAATGCGATTCAACTAATTCAATCTATTATTCGAACCTTGCTATAATGCTTTCAAGAGGTGAATCAATCACACTCAATGATGGACAGTCAATGACAGAGCAACAACTACTCTTGAAATCAATTGAGTGCGATCCGACCAATTCCAAATCATATATTAGCCTTACAGAAACGCTTTTAAGTGGTGAATCAATCATACTTAATGATGGACAATCAATGACAGAGCAACAACTATACGCGAAAGCAATAGAGTATGATCCAACAAATTCTGATTCATATTATAACCTTGCAACTACACTATCAAGAGGTGAGTCAATCATACTTAATGATGGACAATCAATGACAAGACAACAACTATACTTGAAAGCAATAGAGTGGGATCCAAACGATTCAAATTCATACTATAACCTTGCATTGAACCTTTCAAGTGATGAATCAATCATACTTCCAAATGGACAATCAATGACAGAGCAACAACTATACTTGAAATCAATAGAATTGGATCCAACCCATTCAAATTCATATCATAATCTTGGAAACACTCTTTCAAGTGGTGAATCAATCATACTTAATGATGGACAATCAATGACTGACAGACAACTATACTTGAAGTCAATAGAATATGATCCAACCCATTCTGATTCATATTCTAACCTTGCAGATACGCTTTCAAGTGGTGAATCAATCATACTTAATGATGGACAATCAATGACAGAACAACAACTATACTTGAAATCAATAGAATTGGGTCCAACCCATTCAAATTCATATCATAATCTTGGAAACACTCTTTCAAGAGGTGAATCAATCATACTTAATGATGGACAATCAATGACAGAACAACAACTATACTTGAAATCAATAGAGTATGATTCAACCCATTCTGATTCATATTATAACCTTGCAACTACACTATCAAGAGGTGAATCAATCATACTTAATGATGGACAATCAATGACAAGACAACAACTATACTTGAAATCAATAGAATTGGACCCAACCCATTCAAATTCATATCATAATCTTGGAAACACTCTTTCAAGTGGTGAATCAATCATACTTAATGATGGACAATCAATGACAAGACAACAACTATACTTGAAAGCAATAGAGTATGGCTCAACTGATTCCTTTAATATCCTTGCAGCGACACTTTTCAATTGTGAAATCATCATACTTCATGATGGCCAAACATTGACTAAGCAGCATCTATACTTGAAATCAATAGAATGTGATCCAGAAGATCCAGATTCATACTCTAATCTTGCAAAGACACTCTCAAGAGGTGAATCAATTACACTTATTGATGGACAATCAATGACAAAACAACAACTATTATTGAAATCAATAGAATATGATCCAACCAATTTCAAATCATATATTAACCTTGCAACGACACTTTCAAATGGTGAATCAATCACACTTCTAAATGGACTATCAATGACAGAACAACAACTATATTTGAAATCAATAGAGTGTTATCCTACCAATTCATTTTCGTACTCTAAGCTTGCAATATTACTTTCTAATGGTGAATCAATCACACTTAATGATGGCCAAACAATGACACGACAACAACTACTCTTGAAGCCAATAGAATATAATCCAACTAGTTCAGATACATATTTTAACCTTGCAACGACGCTTTCAAGTGGTGAATCAATCACACTTAATAATGGACAATCAATGACTGACAGACAACTATACTCGAAAGCTATAGAATTGGATCCAACCCATTCAAATTCATATCATAACCTTGCAACGACGCTTTCAAGTGGTGAATCAATCACACTTAATAATGGACAATCAATGACAGACAGACAACTATACTTGAAATCAATAGAATATGATCCAACCAATTTCAAATCATATTATATCCTTGCAAATTCACTTTCAAGAGGTGAATCAATCATTCTTAATAATGGATTGTCAATGACTACACAACAATTATACTTGAAATCAATAGAATGTGATCCGACCAATGCCGATTTATATATAAGAATTGGATGTACACTTTCAAGTGGAGAGTCAATCATACTACCAAATGGACAAACAATGACACAACAACAGATATATTTAAAATCAGTAGAGTGTGGTCCAACATATTCATATTCATATTATAACCTTGCAACCACACTCTCAGGTGAAGAATCAATCATACTACCTAATGGACAATCAATGACTGCGCGAAAACTATACTTTAAATCAATAGAGTGTGATCCAACAAATTCCAAATCATATACTAACCTTGCAACTATACTTTCAAGTGGTGAATCAACCATACTTAATAATGGACAATCTATGACACAACAACAACTATACTTGAAATCAATAGAATGTGATCCAACATATTACCATCCATACATTGGCCTTGCAACAACACTTTCAAGAGGTGAATCAATCATACTTCCAAATGGACAATCTATGACACAACAACAACTATACTTGAAATCAATAGAATGCGATCCAACATATTACCATCCATACATTGTCCTTGCAACGACACTTTCGGACGGTGAATCAATTATACTTCCAAATGGACAATCAATGACAGAACAACAACTATGTTGTAAATCAATAGAATGTGATCCAACCTATCCATATTCTTATAATATCCTTGCAACAACACTTTCAAATGATGAATCAATCATACTTCCTAGCGGAAAAGCAATGACAAAGAAACAACTATTCTTAAAATCAATAGAATGTGATCCAACCAATTCAGATTCATATCATATACTTGCAATTACACTATCCCTACATGAAACAATCAGACTCCAGAATCATGTTCTAATGACAAAACAACAACTATTATTGGAATCACTAAGATTAAATCAAACACAATCATGGGCTTACCGATCGATTGGATTAACACTTTTGAACAACAAACAAACAATTACACTTCCAAATGGACAACAAATGTCAAGGAGACAACTACTTCAAAAAGCAAGAATAAATAAAAAATAACTCGTCGGTTGTCTGGTACATGGTGGTGATTTGATCTGAAGACACTTAAAGTCGGATGAGTAGGTATTATTATATTCTCTTTTTTAAAATATTGATTTATTAATATTGTTTACTTTTAGATCGAATTCTAATTGGTATTTGCAACTAGATGAAACTTAATTCCCCGTCGAATTGATTTTTCTTAATTGTTTTCCACTTGACCAAGATTCAAATTTGTTTGAATAAATATCTTAATTATAGATGTTATAAATGACAAATTTTTGTAGAGTTTTTTACCAATTTTATTTTTTAAATTCATGAAATAATTGGGAAACCTAGGTTTGACTGTCTCAAATTTGTTTCCACGGTCAATAATGGCAACCTATATTTTTATAACAATTAGCTAAATCTTTCGAAAAAAAACTAATAAATAGAATAAAATAGAATATTAAATACCTTTTGATTCATTTTCGTGAATAAAACACCTTTCTCATCAGAGGTTATCACATTCTTTGGTTGAATTTGGTTTTCTACTATCACTTTATGAACACTCTGGATGAAACCTTGAAATTCGGCCTCTTTCTCCGCTTTTAATCTGGCTTCATCTTGAAACTTAACCTTTCTTAACTTTAAGATCGGATATTTTGTTTCAGCTTTGTCCACCAGTCACGACCAGGGTGACGACTCATTGTATAGCCATATTGTCATATACCTTTCCGACCACCCAATTTAGAATATTCTCTTTCGTTATCGGAATATTCTTGGTATTTGATTCATCTACCATCTTTATCATCTCTAATTCTTCTGCTTCGGTGAGATATCTGCCTCTTGGCTTAAAGGAGAGGTTATTTTTTTTCTTGGATATCTCACTTTCAGAAACTCCATACTTTTGAGAGAGCTCCTTTTGAGTAAAACCTGTATCGTTTTGAATTTCATTTATTGCTTCCATCAACCTCTCTTCTCTGCTCATTTGACTAATCCTCTGAGGTGTTACACGTATGATATTGCTTAATTCTTGTGTATCCTCCTATTAAAAGTGCTATATTAGCACCATCTTTTCTAAATAATAACATAATTTTTAAATAATGTTAAACTCGACATACCATTGCATTGATACATTCTATTTTAATATAACTTTGTTTATTTTTATCTTAAAATCTACAGATATTAATAACTTAGCTTCAAAAAAAAACAATATTAATTTTTTTAAAAATTTTCACAAATTTGTGCAGAAATGAGAAGGCAAATTTCCAACGATCGTGACTGGGTCGTTCTCAATTAAAAAGGTGGGAGGTCGAAAATCTTGATTTTTTTTCTGTTTCTCAAGAGAATAAATCAAATTAAGATAAAACTCGTTTTTTCACCTATTTAAATTGAATGTCAAAATAATAAGAAAAAAAAACAATCATATCATCAATAGCAAACAATAACATAATAAATATAAAAATGCAATCATATAAATTATTTATTATTTTATTTTTAACCATTTTATCTGTACATTTAATTGTATCTCAAGATAGTAGTGATTCTTCAGATGATGGTAAAACATTCCAATTTTGTACCAATTGTAACAATGATAATTGTAATACATTATCCTGTACAACTGTTCGTACAAAAACCTGTTGGTATATCATAGATCCATGTTCACTAGATTATTTGTATGTATTTATTTACGTACCACTCAGAATCTCGATAATTAATTTATTTTCTTTTCTTTTCCAAAAATCGACAATAGTGGATACTATGAATTTGATGTCGTTAAAGGTGTGGAAGGACTCGTTGTTAGAACTTACTCTTATAATCAAACCGGTTGTATGATGAGTGGACATATCCAAAATATTTATGATTCACCATGTGATACTTGCGTGACTAATCCAACTATGCCATATCAACAATATTACAATTGTAATTCAACCAGATTATATTAAATACTCCTAATTTTGTAAATAAATCGATTTAAAATAACCTTTCAATCTTTAAAGAACTGGGTTGTTTTCTATTGATTTCACTGACTGATCATTAAAAAAAAAAAAAAAAACTAGGGATCCTATAAAACTAAACTGTTTAAATTTCAAAACTTGAACCTGATCTGATTTGTGTTAAATATAACCACGCAATTAATTAATGGGATTTGAGACCACCCATTAAATCAAAGAAAGAATTTGCAAAAAAAATTTTTGCATAAATTTTGGTGGCAACAACGCACAAAACTGTCAAATTTTTTTGAATTTTTTTTTAAGAAGGCGCCAAACTTTTTGGCTTGTGCACTCTTGATATGCTTAGAATTCGTGTGGTCACACCTAAGCACAACTGAATGCATACTAGCAATTGTTCTAACATAATGATAATAGTTATCATTTTTTATCCTTGTTGTAGGACAGAAGAATAATGATTATCATTTTAACCATATATATATAAATATGATAAGTAATAAAACAGATCAAGGTAGTAGTGGTAGTAGTAGTAATTGTTGTTCCAATGACAACAACATTGAAAGTTATTACAAGTTATCATTACCACCAAATCATATCGAGTTTTCATCGGAAGAGGGTAAAAAAATATTTAGAGAAGCTATACAATCAAAATATATGGAAGGTTTTTTCGTATTAGCTGAACATTCTACACCTCAAAGCGATCTAACAAGTATGATTTATAATTATCTAATTATCATTAATAATAATAGTATTAATAATCAATAATAATTTAAATTAGATTGTAGTTTAGCAACATTAGCAATGGTCTTGAATTCATTAAAAGTTGATCCTAAAAGAATTTGGAAAGGTAGTTGGCGGTGGTTTGTAGAAGATATGTTACCATGTTGTATGACAAGAGAGACTATAACCAGAAGAGGAATGACATTCAAAGAGTTTGCATGTTTATCTAGATGTAATGGCGCATCGGTTCAAGAGTTTCCAGGTGATCATATTGATTTGGATTTATTTAGAGAGTTTTTAAGAGATGCTTGTAGTACTGATAAAAAACATTTGGTACTATGCTACGATAGGAAATCATTGGGCCAAGTTGGAACTGGACATTATAGTCCAGTGGGTGGATATCATCAAGAAAGAGATTTGGCATTGGTAATGGATGTTGCCAGATTTAAATATCCAACTTATTGGGTACCTGTAAAAGCACTTTGGGAGTCGGTAAGATTTGTTGATGGAATAAGTACAAGAGGTTTTTATATCATATCATCATCACCATCATCATCTTTGCAGAATTAAAAATAAAAATGATTTCAACATCACCAACTCTATATCTTAAACTGATAGACTGAATAACAACCTCCAACAAAATCGAGAGAACCAGTTACCGCTGCCTCTATTAATAAGGTACTATTCCATTATGCATTTCGATACTTTGAATGAAGATACTGAATGGTTGGTAAATGATAAAACGCATATTTAATAGATCTATTTATTACAGATAAGAAATCTTGAATCCATTTTAACACAGATTTATTGTAATTATCCAACAACATTACTTTACTTATTCTCAAATTCACTCTGATTGTTTTAAAAAAAAAATTCATTAAAAAAGTAACGTTTCACTATGAAAATAGTTAAGTTCATTCTTTCAATTATTATTTCATAAAGTCAGATAAACAAAGAATAACAAATAATAATAATAATTATTTTATTTAAATAAATAATTGTAGAAAGTTGTTTCTATGAATTAAGATGATCTTATATCATAATAGTTGTCTTTTTTTTTTGTTGACTGTGAGGAAGGTCTTCATTATGTTTCTTACACCGTAATGCATTACCAAAGTTGGGTAGAATATCTTCATAAACTCTTTTTCCCAATGATGATGTGAATTGGAGGGGTCCCAACCTAGTTTTGTGTTAGATTATCTAAGCCAAAGAATTATAGTATTTTAGGAAATCAGAACATAAATACATCAAAAAAAAAAAAAAAAAATTAGAACCATATTTTAAATAAGCAAGAGAAATTTCTATCAATGTAAATAAATGCTGGTTTCGAAGATGACAATAAAGTTCTTTGATCCCAGGTTAGAAATTTGTCAAAAACTTTTGAGAAATCAAAAAAATCCAAAAAAAAAAAAAAAAATTTGGATATTTCGTGTCGGCTATTATTTTTTTTCATAATAAAAATAAGATCTTATTATTTATTTGTACATTAATATTTTTATTGTATAATCAATTGTTGTTGTTATAATATTTATTTTTCATTCAATTAATCAATCAATTCAATTCGAAATACGATAAAATAATTGATTTTGTTATTACAAGTTCACTAACAAAAACGCACACACACACACAAACAAACACACACACACACACACACGCAAGATAATTATTAATTTTATTTTTAATCCTAATCATATATAAACAAAACAAAAACAAAACAAAAATAAAAACAAAATAAAAACAAAACAGAATAAAACAAATCAAAGCATAGTATAGCATAGCACCTTTCTCAATTCACTTATTATTTACAGTAGTTTTTGTTTATTATTTATATTTTGTAAAACAATTTAATATTTCATTGCAATTTAATCTTTCTATTTCTGTATAAACAACAACACCAACAACAATAACATTAACAACGAACACACCACACCCATACATAATATATTTATACATATATATTTACCACACGCAATCTAACAACTTCAAGTATAGAGCAAATTAATTTACACAAAACATATCTATCTATCTATCACCAACTCGAATCTAAATTGAAGATCAAGATTTGCATGAATATTCACCTACATTGTCTATAAATGGTTTATGCTTTTAATGAAAATCTGTAGTAAGGCAGTAGTAGTAGCAATTTAAACGTGGATCAACAATAGCAGCAGCAACGACAATCAACAACCAACATCATCATATTTAATCAATCAAAGTTAATACACTAAATTATCGATAGTAGTAGATAATCTAAAAAAGATAAAAATAGTTTACCCAATAATTAAAAATAGACTCGAGTATCATGATTAGTACAAGTCCAGGAAATCAATCTTCTTTCTTGATACCGAACAATAGTAATAGTAGTGGCAACAATGCTACTTTGAATTCAGGTAGTTTTATCAATGGTGCTAACGTTAGAAGTGGTAGTGTCATAGGAATTAGTAACAGTAATATAAGCAACAATAACAATAGTAATACATTCAAAGGACACTCCAGAACGAACCACAGCAATGGTGGAAACAACACTATTGGTAACTACTTTGAAGCACCGCTTTTCCAAGAGGGTTTCGGTTCATTCTTGAAATCCGGTGAATTCAGTGACCTAACCATTCACTCCGAAGGCAAACAATATCATCTTCATCGAGTAATACTTGCGCATTCATCAAAATACTTTTCAGACTATTTCGATTTAGATAATAATAATAGTAATAATAATAATAATAATAGTAATAATAAAATGACAACAATAAAAGAAATAACAACAACAAATTATAATAATAATAGTAATAGTAATAATAATGATATACCAGTAACAACATATTTCACAAAGATTGATAATAATAACTATGAGCTGAAAGGACCTTTCATTGAACATTTCGATATGGTAGTTAATTATATGTATGAAGGTAGAGTTAATTTGACACCAAAGAATGCGCTGCCGTTGTTGTCACTGTCGAACTGCTTCCAAATCAAAGGCCTGAAAAAGTATGCTACCTTCTACCTGACCAATTCGATCACCAAAGAGAATGCATTCTTCATGCTGAACAAAGCGATTCACATCAACTCTGACGACCTTACGACCAAGTGCATCACTGTGATTTGCAAGCATTTCAATCAAATGATACAACCACACTTTTCACATATCTTTACACAACCACAACCATTCATAATGCAACCCAATTACTTTACAAACAATAACAACAACAACAACAACAACAACAATACATCAACTGCAAACTATAGTGATGAACTCGATAGTATTGCAACTGTAGATCAATTCACCAGTAACCTTGAATCATCATTGAACAACAACACCACTTCCGAGCCAACAAGTACAAACTCTGATAGTGATGATAGTGATTTAGATTCTTTCTCTTCTTCAACAACTGCAACAACAACAACAACAATAACTAATAATAATAATACACATAGTAATAGCAGTCACCATCATCAATCATCAATTCATATTCCACAAACATCCAATCCAATTGGTATCAGTTCAAAATATGGATCACCATCACCTTCCAATTCGATACTTTCTTCGTCGATGGCCAATGATAAATCTTTGAACATCTCAACTATCCACACCATTCCAGAGTTACTGTCATTGCCAATCTCTATTATGATTCGTCTGATGCGTCAGAATAACCTGTCGGTCTCAAACGAAGCTGTGGTTTACAAGACCATAGTCAAGTACATTCAAGCCAACAAATCGAGTCTATCCGAACAAGATATCGAATCACTCTTTGAATGTGTCAGATTCCCGCTGTTTAACTATCAGCAGCTCGAGGAAGTACAAGACAATACACTCATTCCAAAGTCATTGATAACTGAAGCACTCATGCTCAGACTCCGATTGCACGAAGGTCCAAAAGATGTCAACTCAGCATCGAACCTCTCACTCTCACCATCGAACAATCTATTGCAATCCAATTCAAAGTCACCCACTTCATCATCGATCAACGTACAGTACTCTGGTGGAAATAATATAAACAGCAACACAACATCAACATCAACAACAGCAACATCATCAAGCATTCAAATTACACCATCCGTCATTGTAACATCTTCATCATTACCATCATCTTCACTACTCACTTCAACCCTTACATCAGCATTATCATCAACTCTTAACATTAACAATATCAATAACAGCAATAGTAGTAATAATAACACTGGATCAATACTTACAAGTTTGAGTAATAATAGTAGTAATAGTTCGATTGGAGATTCTCTGGTGGCATCTACAGAGTCGGCAAACGATAGTTCTGCACTGATACGAAGAACTCCACGTGCACCTTTTGCTATCTCACTAGAGTACAACAATGAGATGAAAGGTGTTTTCTACTATATTGGAACGAATGGTTTGAAGGATGAATGGTCGAATCCCGCCAACAGAGGACGTGTTCGTGTAACATTCTCATCCATTGAGAAAGGTAATGTTACTGATGTAGTCGGTAGACAACCAACTGAATGCTGGACAATGGACGTTCCTGCATCTTGGATTGCGATCAACCTTGGATCCAGTCGTACACTGGTACCAACCTTTTACACACTCCGACACGGTGGTAACAGTAAAGCCGATTGTCTTCGTAATTGGACATTACAAGGTTCAATGGATAGTAAAGTAAGTTAGCATTATTATCAATATAACATTTATTAAAGTGTGTGTTATTTATTTATTTGTTTCTAATATTATTTATTTTCATTCAAATTTTAGAATTGGACTATCCTATCGAGACACAGTAATGATAGTTCTTTGAATGGTAACTACAGTACATGGACATGTCCAATCGAAAATTGTACACAAGCATACAGACATTTTAGAATTCTCCAGACCGGAAGAAATTCAACGAACCACAATTTCCTTTCGCTCTCTGGCATTGAGTTTTACGGTGATCTTTATGAAACTAGAAAAGACGATTGAATCACTCAAAAATCAAATAATATAACTCTTTGATAAATATTATATAAATATAAATAAAAAAGATTTCTAATTATTTGTTTAGAAAAAAAATAAAAAATAATAATAAAAAAAGTAGTACTTTTTAAATTTTATTATATATAAAATATATAAAATATATATAAAATAAATGAATTCATTTTATACCATCGAAACTTGATTTGAAAACCGCACTATCTTATCTTTAAAATGCTAAAAACAAAAAAAGCGATTTAACTTAATTCTTTTAAAAAAAATTCAAAGCGATATGGGTAGTTGTTTGAACAGTACAGTAAAAATGGATCGATTAAAACTTGATGGTGTCAAAAGTTTAATATATTATTTTTTAGAAATATGAAAGAAATATCCAAAAAAAAAAAAGTATACTTTTTTGACAATTTTAGAGATTTTATTATTTGTAAAATCATGAATACCAACCTTAAATATGATGTCACTTTAGGAACAAATCTTAAGTTTCCTAAGATTCTTTCACCTAAAGTTCCAAATCTTTTCTACTTGCTAAATAGGATATTAAAATAAACGAATCAGAAAATACCAAAGAAGATTCCGGACATCTCAAAGGAGTATAAAAACTGACAACCAAAAAACATTATTTTCAAAAATTAAATTTGTTATTTTTATTTTTATTTTTATTTTTTTGGTAGATCGTCCTCCAACATTCATTGGTAACACCCCCACACCTCAATCAATCATCTCATCATTACCGATTTACATTAAAACAACACTTAATCAATAACATATATTATTATAATAATTATATATTATAACCAATAGTAATAATAATAATAATAATGTATAGATCAACATTAGTAGTTTTGTTGGTAACTTTAGTTTTGGGTTCAGCTATTGCTGATGCTCGTCGTACTGGATTCCGTATCCACACCGATCTTCGTAGAAATCACTTAATCGAGAAGGCAAAGGAAGAGTCATACCTCTTAGGTCACCATGGTGCTGAAAACGTTCAATACCAATGGTTTACTCAAGTATGTGTTTATTATCAGCTGATCAGTCATATGATTAAAATATTATCACCTGATCATCATAAATTCATTAGAATCTGACTAACTTGTTAATGAAACTCATTAAATATTAATATTTTTTAGAGAGTAGATCACTTCAATCAAGCCAATCAACAAACTTTCCAACAAAGATACATTGTCAATGATGCCTACTGGAACGGAAATGGTCCAGTTTTCTTCATGCTTAACGGTGAAGGTCCAATGTCTCTGTAAGTAGTTAGAATATATAGTAGATAGAAATAGTAAGGACAATTCGAATATTAATTGTTTACTGGATATAAATACTTAGCGGTACTGTAACTGGATTGCAATTTGTCAACTGGGCTCAAGAATTCGGAGCACTCATTGTCACTTTGGAACACAGATATTTCGGTGCAAGTTTCACCACTGAAGACTTGTCAACAGACAACCTCCAATACTTGTCATCACAACAAGCTCTCGCTGACAATGCTGCCTTCCGTCAATTCATCGCCGAAACTCTCAACGTTCCAGCTTCATCACAATGGGTTTCCTTTGGTGGTTCATACAGTGGTGCCCTCACCTCATGGTTCAGAATCAAATATCCAGCTCTCGTTGATTACACTGTTGCTTCATCTGCCCCAGTCAATGCCGAAGTCAATTTCTACCAATATTTGGAAGTTGTTCAAAACTCTTTGCGTAGGTATTAAGTTATAGATATTGTTTGTCAGAAAGAAAGAAGTAACTTACTTTTTTTACATCATTTTAACAACAGTTGCTACTTCAAATGGTCAACAATGTATCGATAACATTGCTGCTGCCACTGGTAAGATTCAAGCTATGTTGGAGTCAGCCGATGGATTAGCATCAGTCTCCAATATGTTCAACCTTTGTCCACCACTCGCCTCTCAAAACGATGTTGCCAACTTTATGCAATCACTTGCCGGTAACTTTATGGGTGTTGTCCAATATAATCTCGAAGCCTCTGGACCATCAACTCAAAATGTAAATATCAAATAACAACATAATTTAAAATATACTATATTTATTAATTTAATCAATCATTTAATTAAAATTTGCAGTTGTGTGATATGATGACTGCTAAAGGTGATCCATTGACCAACTACATCTCAGTATGGAATGCTTTCAGCGGTGACGAATGTTTGGATGTCAGCTACGACACTGTGATCGAAGAGATGCTTAACATTACCAACGATGCCACCACTATCGGTGGTAGAATGTGGTTCTACATGACCTGCACAGAGTTTGGATACTTCCAAAGCTCAGACTCACCAAACCAACCATTCGGTAATCTCTTCCCAATTGGATTCTCCACTCAACAATGTAACGATGTTTTCGGATTCGATTTCCTTCCAAACACCAACTGGACTCACACCGACTACGGAGCTCTCAGCCCAGTTGCCACCAACATCCTCTACGTCAACGGTGACATCGATCCATGGCACTCACTTGGAATTACCACCAACCCACCAACCTCCCCAACCCCTTCACTCTTGATTCACGGTACTGCCCATTGCGCCGACATGATGATTCCAAACCAATACTCACCATCCACCTTGGTACCAGCTCAACAAATCATCAAGTCAACCCTCCAAAAGTGGCTCCAATAAGCATATTCTCCAATTGCAACAGCAACATTTTAATTTTTTAAAATTCCGACATTTTCATTTTTTTGTAATAACTTTAATAATAAGTTTTTTTAAATAAATAAATTTTATTTAATCATTTTGGTAAAAAAAAAACATCATTTTTGGTGAAGGTACCTCTTTTTTTGTATAAGGAAATTTGGTTGAAGGTGGTTCTATTCCGAAAGGTTGTGAAAAAGTCAAGATTGTTTGAAAAAACTTAAGTTTATTTACTTATTTTGTTTTTTTTTTTACATTACCTTTTTTTTTTTATTGTATTAACAAGAATTGGAACTCTAATATGATACAACCCACCCCCCATTATCTTGTTATGTAGTTATATTTTGTTATAAAACTCAGAATGGATATTTACCTGATAATTAACACTACTTTTGAATTAGAATATAGGAAAAATATTGGAAACAATTTATTTAATTTAATCAAATTTTTTTATTTCAATTTCAATTTTGGCTTAGGATCAAAAGTATAAATACTCTTGTGAACATCCTAATAAAATCACAAATCAGTTTATATATATATATATTTTCATTAATATGTACGTCTTTAGTAAGAAGATCCTTATCGTAATTAACACTTTCCAAATAGCATAGCATATTCAAACTTAATCAATAATTAATTTATCAAACAACAATCCAAAAATGGGAAAAGAAAAACCATGTATTAATATTGTAGTCATTGGTCACGTTGATGCCGGTATGTAAAAAGCAAACTAATAATTTTCATAAATAATAAAAATATTAATTTACTGCTTCATGAAATTTTCTATCTTTTTCTTTTAAAATAGGAAAATCAACATTGAGTGGACATTTAATTTATAAATGTGGTGGAATTGACAAGCGTACCATGGAGCTTTATGAGCAACAATCTGCTCAAATGGGAAAGGGAACTTTCAAGTTTGCTTGGGTCATGGACAACCTCAAGTCTGAGCGTGAGCGTGGTATCACGATCGATTGCTCTCTCATGAGATTCGACATTGACAAGTACGATGTAACAATCATCGATGCCCCTGGTCACAAGGATTTCATCAAGAACATGATCACTGGATCGTCTCAAGCCGACTGTGCAGTGCTCGTAGTGTCCTCTGTCAAGGGTGAATTCGAAGCCGGTATTGACAAGAAGGGTTCGACTCGTGAGCACGCTCTCTTGGCCTACACCCTTGGTGTCAGACAATTGATTGTCGCCGTCAACAAGATGGACGATGAGAAGACCACCAACTACTCTGAGGCTCGTTTCAATGAGATTGTCAAGGAAACTTCAAGTTTTATCAAGAAAATCGGTTACAATCCCGAGAAGGTTCCATTCATTCCACTCTCTGCCTGGAATGGTGACAACATGTTGGAAAAGTCCACCAAGATGCCATGGTACAATGGTCCAACTTTGTATGAAGCTCTCAATTCTATTGTCGAGCCAAAGCGTCCAGTTGACAAGCCATTACGTCTTCCCATCCAGGATGTCTACAAAATCGGTGGTATTGGAACAGTGGCCGTCGGTCGTGTTGAAACAGGAGTCATGAAGGCCGGTCAGCCAGTCGTGATTGCGCCAGTCAACAAGGTCTTGGAAGTCAAGTCGATTGAGCGTCACCACGTACAAGTCGATCAAGCCATTCCAGGTTTCAACGTTGGTTTCAATCTCAAGATTGGTCACCGTGATATCTGCCGTGGAATGGTGGTAGGTGACACTGTCGATCCACCAGCAGAATGTGAAAGATTCGTAGCACAAATCATTGTGGTCAATCACCCCGGTCAAATCCATGTCGGATACACCCCGGTCGTTGATTGTCACACCTCACACATTGCATGTCGTTTGGTAAACATTATTGATAAAGTTGATCGTCGTAGCGGTGCTGTCATTCCCAAGGATGAGAATGAACCGTTGTTCTTGAAGACTGGTGACAGTGCAATGTGTGAATTCCAACCAACCAAACCAATGGTTGTTGAGCCTTTCTCTGAGTACTCTCCACTCGGTCGTTTCGCCATCCGTGACGGTGGTTCCAACGTTGGTGTAGGTGTCATCAAATCTGTCACCAAGAAGCAAGCTGTCGTTGCCAAGAAGAAATGACTTTTTTCATTAACAACAAAAAACAACAACAACCTATTACATACTGATAATTTAATACAAAGCAGGAGTAATCAACTAAAAAACATAAATAATAAAAAATCCTTTTTTTTTTTTTTTCTGTTCACAAAAAAAATTTTCATATGTGACCTGACGAGGTGAATCATTAGTTTTAAATCGACGACAACATTGTCAACCGACTTTGCAGACTTGGACCTTGAAATTACTAAAGTAAATATCTCTTTTTTTTTTTTTTTGGTTTTTCATTTCTTCTGCTGAACTGGGAATTGGTCTTATTATGATTCAATTAGTTCGTTTATTCTTGATCAACACACAAAAAGCCAATCAAAATGAAAAAATAAAATTTCAATGAACATAATGATTTTACTGATTTCTATGATCATCCACTCATGATCGGTTATTCTTAAACAAAGTCTGATTTTTGTGTTGATCAATATGATTTAATTGAAAAACAAAAAAATCGAAGGTTTTTGTGACAAGTTATGCATTCATATGATCAGAGTTTATTACCACAAAAAGTAATCATGATCACTGATTCTGTGTTTGCAGGGCATGCACAAAGACAACAAAAACAAAAAAAAAAAACACGAATGTTTTTAAAAAAAAAATAACGGTTAATCATAAAAAACAAAATTTTTTAATTGTCTAGAAAAAAAAAAAAAAAAAGGAATCAAAAAAAAATCTTTGATTGGAGAATGAAGAAAAAAATGGTAAGGTCTAATATGAATTTATGAGTGATACAAATTAATGTAAAAATAAAACTAAAACAAAAAAAAAAGAAAAAAAGAAAAAAGAATTAAGTTTTTGCCTCTTAATCAGAAAAATATAGAAAATAAAAAAAAAGATATATGTCACACATGTAATCTGCAAAAAAAAAAAAATACCAAATAAAAAATCAAATTAAAATCCAGACATAACACACACTCGCTCCAACCAATCACACACATACATCATTTATTGAACACATATATAACACACATAAATAAAACAAACATAGATATATTTTGTTTGAAAATTCAAAAATAAAAACAACAATAACAACAATCATTACATTACATTCACACGTTCTCACTCTCCGAAACTCGAATATATAAATTCCAACACCAATAACATCAAAATCACCAACATCATCAAAATCAACCTATCGCTGACTTTATTTATAATTAAACAATTGATCAATCAATCAGATAGTGAAATAATTAGTTAGCATACATATATTTATATAAAAATAATAATAATAATCATAGATAGAGATCATAACTAAAGAAAACATAACTATAAGTCAACTTAATTTCATAACCCAATTTCAAACTTCATTTCAAATCAAATCAATTCAGTTCAATTCAATTTATATATTTATATAATTATCAAAATCAATTGAATGTTAACAGAATATATTTAGATTCAATCCATTAGAGGTCAGATTTTAGAAAAGTTAGTGGTCGTTTTCAGAAAAGTAAATATCCAAAAAAAAAAAAAATGTTTTAAAATGTTATAAAAATAGAATCAAAACCTAATTTAAATAAATACTAACATATTGAAATCACAGAATATACATACATATTATATATAGAATAATTATGTCGACAATAGATAATTCATTTCATTTGGTGTTTAGCAATAAATATTTGAGTAAATTGATTTTCGATGTGATTCGAGCGAGTGGTAAATCTGAATTCTATGCATGTGGTCGAATTATGTATTACCGTGAGTTTGCACAGCGCTATCACGATATCAACGATGCGGAATGGATGATTCGCAATCGATACTACCAACTGCTACTGGAGAAGCTGCAGCGCGGCGGCCACGTCGTGTTCACGCGTGAAGCGGTGCAGCTGCTGTTCGGTCAGATCAACGACATCGAGTTGTTCTACAATGTATATAGTGCCATATCGAACCAAAAGTCACTGGTACACGTCTACCATTATATAAAGAGTACCATTGAGAAGCTGTTGATTCCGCTGGTGTGTGTGGAGAGCGGTAGCGTTGAGATTCTCAGATTTCTCCGGCACGAAGGATTCACTGCGCTGCCGCTCGAGCTCTTCAACCGTGTCGTCTCACGTGGACACTATGCAATGGCGCAGTATCTCTGTGACCACGCCGGCTATATGAAGTTGGAGTCGATCGGTTCCGAAGTTCTGCAAGACGCGCTGCTCAACGGCGACAAAGACCTGATCCGATTCGTGCACGACCTCGTCATAAAGAAGAAGATCATCACTAAACTGGAGACACCGTTCTTCTATCTACTGCTGAATTGCAACGATCTCCGAACGATCAAATCGGTGCTCGAGCATCCCAAAGCCAGAATCAAATACAAGCCACACCAACACCACACCTACCTCGAATCGCCATTGATCCAAATCAATAGAAAAACCCTGGAAATTCAATTATATATAGCATCGAAATTCAAACAAACAGAGTTTGATTTACAAGAAATAGAAAATAGAATACTTAAAAGATTTAATTATACATCTGTTTCCAACAAAAGAATTAGTACCAGTAATTTAATAATTGATAATAATATTAATAGTAATAATAATAGTAGTAGCAGTAGTATTAGTAGTAGTTTGTTTAGTAATAATATTATTGAAAACAACAGTAGTAGCAATAGTAGTATAGAAAAAACAATAGAAGAAGATTTATTGGTACTTTTAATATATTTGGAGATTATGTTTGAAATGCAGATTCATCAGAATGTGCACTTTACACACGCCATAAAATTGCTGGTTGGATTTAAGGACTTGGACACTACCGGATATTTCTATACGAGACCAGAGTTGGCCAATATCAAGCATTATTTCATTCAATATGCCTGTGAGGTGGGAACGATCGAGCAGGTGAATCTACTGCACAACATGGAAAGCATAACGATGATGTACGGATACCACCGTCTCATGGATTTGGCCAACAGCTACGAGATCGTCGTATTCCTGAACCGTGTTATCAGTTGTTCATCTCTACAGGCAATGACCAACGCTGCAAGCCGTGGTGACGTCCAAACCATCAAATTTCTATTCGATCATCGCACGGAGCGTAACGACACTGCACTTTACACTGCCGCTGCACACGGTCATCTAAACGTAGTGGAATTCCTATTAGATAATTATTATTCAACAACAACAGAACATCAAGAAAATCAACATCAACATCAACAACAACAAAATATATTTTTCGATTATACAAATCATAAAGCAGTTGGATTATTAGCACGAAACTTCATTACACTTCTATCATAAGTATAGATGGGAGGACAGTCAGATCTCACCGATATTCGAACAGGCGTTGTATCATGGCTGTCTGGAGGTTGTCAAGTTCATCCATAGTGTTTGGATGCATCCACAGCAGCAGAGTTTGACTCGAGCACACCTCGATATGGCTGTGGCCAGCGGCGACCCGGAAGTTCTCGACTTTGTGCTGGAGCATCGCAAACTCGAAGATTTCACAAGTCACACATGGAAACATTGTTTCCGCTTTGGTGACAAACTTTTGTTACAAAAACTCATTCACTATCAGTACCAGCAGCAGCAATATCTCCTGCAGCAACAACCACCCCTCCACCCCCAAGAAACACAAGCACTCATCGTCCGAGCAGCATCACCACCACCATCATCATCAGCAGCAACAACAACACAACTCACAACAACTATCTCACTCTGCTTCATCGTCGTCTCTCACAAACAACTCACTTTCCAACTCGGCATCGGCACCGTCTTCTCTCAACTCACTCTCACTAAACTCGTCGTCGCCAAACTCACAAACTTTCTCACTCTCACTCACTTCCTCACCGCTTTCCAGTTCCATTCTAAGCAGCACCGCCGCTACAACCAGCACATCAACAACCAACAACAACAGCAATAACAACTCACCCATATTACTAGCGAAAACACATTCCGCTCTGTCGTTGTCACTCACCTCGTTGTCACTCTCCAACAATCTCAGTAGAAGCAGCAGCACGTTTGTTGTCTCTATGCCTATCAACATTACACCGTCGCACCTAACAACAGCAACGATCGAGTTGATTCGCAGTCATCTGGGTGATGCTTTCGTCGCTGGTCAGACCGAGTTCATCCGCTACATTCGCCAGCAACTGCAGTTCTCGATCAGCTCAGAGTATTTGTCGCTATGCAATTGAACACGATCGTGTCGATCTCGTCAAAGACTACATCAGCAACAAATTGATCAGCCAGACTGATTTGGCATACTGCTTTGACTTGGTTCGTCGTCAAAAAGAGGTAAAAGTAATCCTCTCCAACGAGATGCTATCTCTTCAACAATCAAACACCTTTCAATTCTATATCAAGAAATTAGTTAACAAAATTATATAAAATAACAAATTCAAAACAACAAACAACAAACAACATAAATATTATATAACAGAAAAGAACAACAAATAGAGTAGTATACAAAACGAAAAAAAAAAAACAAAAACAAAAAAAAAAACAAAAAAAAAACAAATATATATATATATAAATAAAAACAAAAAATATAAAACAAGAAATAATATATAACAAATCTTGATTCTTATCTTGATTTCGATATTTAATATGGTAACGATTCATCGGAAAAGAGTGTGGGTTGTGAGAAAAGTGGTGGTTTATTTCAAAAATAAATTCAACGAAAATTTTTCTCCAATTCAATAGATTTCTTTAAAGTTTTTGAGTCATAAAGAATTTCTTAAATTACTACAGAAATCATATTAATTACCATATAGAATAAAAACTTGTAGTAGTCGTTATTTCAATTCAATATTTAACAAAGATTCATTGAACTTTTCTTTTTGTAATAAAAACTATCATTGAAACGATCGTTGAATTAAATTACTGCTCACGCTCATCTTTAATATTTAACAAATTTGTTTCTTTCTATTTAACCAAACCAATTGGTATTTAAAATTAATTCAATTTCAAATATAACAAACATATATTATTTATTTTATTTATTTAATTACAAGTTTAACTTATTCAACATCTTCTTTTATTAATTCTGTACATTGTAAGTAAATTAAAAAATCACCATTCATTTCCCTCTTTTGATAAATTGAACAAGCAAAGACCCTTTGGTTTTTGAGTAAGAAGATAACATCAAAAAAAAAAAAAAATTAGAAAAATATTTTTGCACAAAAACTTTTCCTGCCTTTTGTTTTTTTTTTGAATAGTTTGTTCAAAAAACAAAAAAAAACATATCATATTGTATTGTAAGAGTTATATAACAACTGCTCAAATATTATAATCAATAAATTTTCAAACAAATCAAGCAAAAAAACAGTCAAATAAAATCATTAAAGTCAATTATTATAGGTGTGTATATTATATTTTTCTATGTATTTATTATTTAGATACTTGCATTTCTTTACATAGAATAGTCATAGAAGTTTATAGACTATTCATTTTTTATTTAGAAATATCTTTTAATATAAAAATCAATCTATTATAAAGAAAATGATTAAACGACAGTCAGATAAAATAAAAATAATAACGAAAATAATAATAATAATTATAAATTAATAACAACAACAATAATAATAATAATAATTCTATAAAAATATGATTGATAATGCATCACGCAGATGATCTTTATTTATCTTTTAAGATTGATAAGATAATGATAAATTCAAAACAATAGCAATAAAATAAAAAGATATTATCATTATTTGGTTGTTTGCTTGTCAAAACAATAACAATAACAATAACAAAGAAATGCAAATGTTAAAATTTTAAAAAAAAAAAAAAAAAAAAAGCTTGTTATTTCTTTTCTTTTCTTTCTTTGTTGTTTGGTTGTAGCGCAGACTCTTGACCGACACATCTACATATTTTTTTGTAAATAATAACTTGTCAATCTAAATTATACAATAATAATAATTTAATTATTTTCACCACATTAAAAATTCACCTCACCGATGTTTTCACCACCCCACCAGCAATTTAATCAAATTATTCTTTTTTTTTTTTTTTATTTTGTTTTATTTTATTTTTTCAATTTTTTCTCCTATCTGATATTATTTTAAATATACATAAATTAGTGTTATTTTTTTATTTATATATATATTCAAACAACAACAACAACAACATAAAAACAACTATCAGATATTTTATTTTGTTATCATTTTAAATTAATACTTTTTGTTATTTTAGACATACTTCCTTCTTAAATATTTATAAACTTTTTATTTTTACTTTTTATTGTTATCAATTTTATTTAATAGGTTCACTCTTGTATTCTACAACACAGTTTTTATTAACTTAACATTATTATTATTACTTTAAAGTTAGTTAGTATATATTAGAAATAAAAACAATTCTATTACAAAATGAATCCAGATTAGTAAGTATTATTTATACATATAATTAATATAGTTATAGAACTAACAACAATCATAAATCACTATTATTATAGTCACTATTTATTCAAGCTTTTACTCATTGGTGACAGTGGTGTCGGTAAGAGTTGTTTGCTACTCAGATTTGCTGATGACACATATTCAGAAAGTTTCATCTCAACCATTGGTGTCGATTTTGTAAGTGTTGACAACAACTAATCATAATGAAGAAAACAGATAGATTAGTTTGAAGTTTTAGAATGTCACTTTAAATAGGATGGCCATTGACTAACATAAAACAAAACACACAACTTATATTATATATATCTATAGAAAATTAGAACTATTGAATTAAATGGAAAGACTATTAAATTACAAATTTGGGATACAGCTGGTCAAGAGAGATTTAGAACCATCACTAGCAGTTATTATCGTGGTGCCCATGGTATCATTGTTGTATACGACGTTACAGATAGAGTCACTTTCGACAATGTCAGACAATGGCTTCAAGAGATTGACAGATTTGCATGCGAGAGCGTTAATAAGCTATTGGTAGGAAACAAGAGCGATCTTGTCGCCAAGAAGGTCGTCGACACCAACACTGCTAAATCTTTTGCTGACACATTGGGTATCCCATTCTTGGAAACCTCTGCCAAACAATCAACAAATGTAGAACAAGCTTTCATGACAATGGCTACTGAGATTAAAAATAGGTATGTATATTAACAATATTGTTGTTTTTACTACTAGCATTAAAGTTAAACTAACATGTTACTCCTCTCAACTACTTTTTCTTTTTCAGATTGACCGCTTCTCAACCAGCTCCAACTACTGGTGGTGCTAAAGTTGTTCCAGGATCATCAGCACCAATTCAAACAAAGAGCGGATGTTGTTAGATCAATAATTTCTCAAATCATCATTAAAAAAAAAAAAAAGAGTTGTGTGTTTATTATAGTATCTTTATTTTATTTTTGATTTATCAATCAATCAAACAAATCAAATCAATCACAACCCATCATTTTCCATCACACCCAAAACTTTGTTTTCAATTTTCTTTCCCTTTTTTTTTTCTTGTTTTTGAACAGTCAATCAACCAATCAAACAATCAATCATAAACTCCTTCTTTAACGTAGTCGACTACTACCCACAGAGATAATATATTATAAAACTAAAACTTGTTGTTTACTTTTTCTACAGATTTAAAAACTAAAACTATTTTTTTTAACAAAAAACTTATAAAATAAAAAATATATAAAAACACATAATATTAAAAAACCTCATTAAAAAAGTGTTCATTTATTTGCAAGATCTAATTAAATTTAAAATAAAGTTATTATTGATATTAATTAATCTCGGTTTGATTTGAAGTTTACTTTGAAAAAGAATGTGATCAACCAAACTCTGAATAAAATAATAATTGAAGTTCTAAAAAATTCAAATGACTTTTTTTTGACCAATTTGAAAATCCACACACATCTAAAAAAAAAAAAATTTTTTTGTATTTTTTTTGTTTAAATGGTGATTGTTTTCTGCATGATCATCATTTTTCAGTGGTTTTTTTTTGGTGAAGTAAAAGGAGCCACACCCTCTATTTTCATAAATTTTTTTCAACTTTAGTCTTTTTGTTTTTTTAATTAATATTTTTGTTTTTATATTTTTTTTTTTGGTTTTCATTCATCATTGTATATTGATTACTCCAATTAGATAGAATATAATAGTATAGTAGTTTATTTATATATATATAAATTCATATTCACCATCACACCATTCTTATTTATAGAAGTAGTTTGTTATATTATCATTCACTTTTCCGAATCATTTACCAAAAAAACAACAACAACAATAATATATATATAATAATAATATAAAATGAATAAATTAGCTGTTTGTATTCTTTCTTTTGTAATTTTTGCTTTTGCTGCTGTTGCAATCGCCGAAGATGTTGAAGTAGTAACAGAAACTGTTGCCACTGGACCATCTGATGTTTCATTCTCTTATATTTTCCCAGATTATCCAAATAAAGGTAAATTTGTCAAATTTAAAACAATTGTGATATGACTTGAAAAGTCAAAAAAAAGTCAAACATATAAAAATTATAATATATAACTAACCAACAATCAATCAATCAATTAATCAATTAATTATTCAATCAATTTGGATTTGGTCCATAAATAATTATAGAGTTCCCAGCAGGATCAGTCATTGAAGTTTTGGTTGGTTTCTCGAATAACGCTGAAGTCGCATACAATGTCTCTGGTATCTTTGCCTCATTGAACCACCCACAAGAAATGAAATATTACATTCAAAACTACACTCGTGGTGAATACGGTATCGCCGTTCAACCAGGTCAACACACCACCTTGGCTTACCGTTTCGTTCCAGATGCCCTTTTGGACCCAAGACAATTCGGTCTCTTAATCTCGATGGACTATCAAAACGAACTCCAAAACTTCACTCAAACCTTTTTCAACTCGACCGTCTTGATCACTGAAAAGCCATCCACTTTTGATCTCGAACAGTAAGTGTTAATTAACAGGTTTAACAAAAACAAGACTCACACACATTTATTAATCACACATTATCTATATATAGATTCTTCTTGATTCTCTTTGCAGTTGGTATTGTTGGTTTGGTTGTCTTCCTCGTTCAAGGTAAATTACCAAAGTCAAAGAAGCCACGTTCAAACAAGTCAACCTCATCAACTTCATCATCCTCAGTTGTCAGCAGTGACGATACCAGCGATTGGTTAGAGGGAACCTCTGCTACCAGCCCAAAGTTGTCTGCCAAAAAGGCTCCATCCGCAAACAAAAAAGAAAAACTAAATTAATTAACAAAAAAATTAATCTTTTTTGCAATAATAATACTTAAAAGATAAGTTTTTGATAAATAAAATAAAATAAAATTGAAAAAAATATAAATTAAATTAAAAAAAATAACTGTGTGTCTTCAAATTTTTAATTGAAAATAGGATAATGTTGTTTGATTGCGAAACGAAGTCCTTTTTTTGACAATGTTGTAACCACATTAATTTAATAAACACCAGACAACAATTGTTGTTTTTATTTTTTGGATTTATTTAATATTAATATATAACGATTATAAAAGATGTTGTTTCGTTTAGTTTATTACAACCACAAACACACACAATCAAATTCATAAATAAAATAGGATTTTATCATTTAGATTAATAGAGAGTGATTCCACTTCTTTTTCATTCTACTACCAGTTTATTTCATTCATTTCATTTACATATATATATATATGTAATTAATTAGTGCATTTATTTATTCAAAGTATTAATAGTATTATTACATGATTTAAATTATATAATATTTATTTAAAAAGTAGTTTTCCAATATTTTAATTTAAATTATGACATCTTCAATATCGTCATTGTCGAATTCATTATATAGTGGTGGTGGTAGTAGTGGTATAAATAATGAAAGTTATACAAGTGGGGTTAGTAGCAGTGGTAATGGAACTAATGTTTCATGTTATTCCTCTGTAAAGACAACAATATCATCATTATCATTGTATAGAAAAGGATTGACATCAACAATTCAATTGTCATCGCTATCAGATTTGCTGTTGACAAAGATATTCAGTTATCTAAATGACTATGATAAGATATCGTTGTACTACTGTTGTAAGAGATTGATGAATCAACGATTCCTCTCAGAGTTGAACGATCCTGTTATATTCGACCAGGGTTTTCATCGTGGTAATCTATTGAATTGTTTCAAAACGATCGTTGTTCCACTGGCTTACTTGGGACATCTACAAGATTGTTTCCAACGATTGTCGTCAACATCCAGCGGTCTATCAACAAGTAAACGAACCAATGCAGATGGAACAGCTCACTCCTATTTAAAGTCGATAGAGGTCATCTATGAATCCGGTGCATCTCCACCGGCGATGCTTGAGAGTCTGTACAGCAACAGCAGTAGTAGTAGTGGAGAAAAGAACAATGCATTGACTAGACTTCAATTCGATCGATTTCCACAGACTCTGGAATCCATAACACTGGGCAATGAAATCAATCAGGAGCTATCGGTCGGTATGTTCCCGGACGGTGTTAGTGAGATTACTTTCGGAACGTTGTTTGACCATTGGATCAATGCAAACGTGCTACCACCCAATCTAAACAAGTTGAAACTCGGTCATTTCTACTCGAAATCATTGATACCCGGTGCTCTTCCAGACTCACTGACCGAGCTCGTTCTGGAGACCAGTTTCAACTCGCCATTCAAACCGGGACAACTTCCACCGAATCTACTAAAACTAAAACTGGGAATGCAATACAACCATGAGTTTGCCGTCGGTCTACTTCCTCAGAGTCTGGAGATACTAGAACTTGGAACATCGTTTAATAAACCTATTGTTTGTGGAGTGTTACCTCAATCGCTTAGGGAGTTGAGATTGGGAATGTTGTTCAACAGTGTTATTGAACCAAATGCTTTGCCACTCTCACTGGAGAAGTTGAATCTTGGAAACTACGACCAACCGAATTTGGAAACTATTTTACCGGCCAATTTGAAATCACTGAAATTCCTAGAGATGTACAGTCACTCGATCCAGCCGGACGGTCTTCCTTCTGGCTTGACCAGTTTGAAGCTGAGTAGCGCTTTCAATCAGCAGATGCACTTTGATTCACTGCCGCAGTCGCTGACAGAGTTGCAGATTGGCGATGCCTATTCGCATGCATTCCAATCGTTCTCGGCGCTGCGGAATCTCAGAGCAATGACAATGTCTTGCACGCACAAAGATCATGCATTGCCAGCTCACTGCTTCCCGGCATCACTGCAGTCACTCACCTTTAAATACTCTTATCAACACGCTATTGACTCTGCCAACTTGTTTCCTTCGTCGCTCAAGAGTCTGTCTCTGAGCTACGAGAACGCCGAACCAATCGAACAACTTCCACCCAATCTAACTACACTCGTTCTCCACTTACAGTTTCACCAGCATTCGTTGCAGTCCGGATTCCTCCCGGATACTCTAACGCAGTTGCGTCTCAATCATAATCAACCGCTTCTTCCAAACATTCTTCCACCTAACCTCGTTCACCTTACCCTCGGAAACAGTTTCAATCATCCACTGTTGCCCAATACATTCCCAGAGTCTCTAAAGGAATTGGTATTCTGCAAGGATTTCAATCAACCTATTGAACCGGGTATTCTTCCGCACTCTCTCGTTTCACTCACCTTTGGTCTGTCGTTCAATCAGCCATTGGAACAAGGTTCCATACCAGGTAACCTTGAAACTTTAGTATTCGGTGCTCGCTACAAAGCTACTCTCCTACCAAATGTACTGCCAGATTCTCTTGTCAGTCTGACATTTGGCAACGATTGGTGTCCCAATACCATTAGAGAGGGTGTAATCCCACCGAAACTACGATATCTAAAGTTCCAACTACAATTTAAACTCAGATTTGGCAGTAGCTATAATTTCAACGCACAGAGAGATTTGGTACTACCGAGAACACTGAACGAACTATGGCTACAGAGTCAACCAATACGACCACCAACCGCATCTTCACTTTTAAAAGTCATCGGTAGAGATGGTGCGCGTCTCACCAATGAAAATATAGAACTAAATAATAATAATAATAATCATAATGATATTAGAGTAAGATCTAAAAGAAAAAAGAATTGTAATATAATGTAATAAAATATATATATATAGTTATTTATTTATTTTTAAATTTAAAAAAAAATGTTATTTACAAAATTGTAACGTTGTCTTTTGTTCGTTCGTTTGTTAAAATTACTTAAAAAATTTGGTGCAAAATTTAATCAAAATCTCGTTGAGTCCTCCCATAAGATTGGAGGACACTGAAATTACGTATATGAACATGTATATTGTCAATACAAACCAGATATCACAGGAGTTTAACTATACTTTTAGTATAAAATAACTCTTAATGATGACAAAATTGTTAATATCATCCCAATGATTAAACATGGTCCGGAAAGGTAGTTAACTTGAAGGGCTTGTCTGATTAAATATCTCATCTCAAAATAAATAAAAAAGATAAATAAATGATCTCCAAATGATCACAGACGAAACTGAAATTACGAGTATGAACTTGAAAACAACTAGGTATCACTGGAGTTTAACTATACTTTTAGTATAAAATAACTCTTAATGACGACATGATAGTTAATATCCTCCCAATGATTAACTAACTGAAGTAGTAGTTGACTCAATTGAAGAGTTTGTATGATAGATAAAACAAGAGTTTGAGCTACACTATTTTTTTTTAATAATTTAAATAATAATTTTTTAAAATGTAGTTGGTTAACTGATAGTATTAAATATAATATTTTACTTTTTTTAAGAACACTATTTTTTTTTTGAATCTGCAGATTAGATCTAGTTTTTTTTAACAATTATTTTCTCGAGAATATTATACACTATGATGTTGAAAATAGAGGTGATATAGTACTACAATTGTTTACACAAATCCCGATAATCATATACATTATACTAATTTATACCCTGGGTGGTTTTCGAAAACCGAATAAAAATTCACTTGAAATTTCCAAATTTGATTGTTCAACAAAATTTTTTTGGTGGGAAACATTGGTTTTGCATTGTGGTTTGTCAAAAACAAAACATCAACAAACATTATGATATTTGTTTAAATTTAAATAGCAAAAAAAGATTATTTTTTTATTTTTTTTTTTAATTATTTACAATCTTAAAAAAACTATAAATTATTCATCATAACATTATTTGTTGTAAATTAATTTAATCAAATAATTATATAAACAAAATATGTCTGACGGTTGTTGTGAAGAAACTCATAAGGATTCTCATTATTCACCAGGTTACTATTGGTTGGGTAATGATACCTTGAAGGTACCACTTGTATTACACAGAGAGAACAGACAAAGATTAGCAAAGTCTATTCTCACTTCAAAGGATAGTAAGTTATCATTTTATTTTATATTTATTTCTATTAAACTAATAATAATTGCAATCTATCATTCACATTTCTAAAAGAGGATTCAATTGAACCAAATTCCTTTGTATTATTCCAAGCTGGTAAATCAACAACTGCATATGATACTGATCATGGTATGTATATTACATTGTGTTTATCTATCTATCGCTATAGGTCATTACGCTTAACATATGTTTAAATTTTAAAACTTTACTTCTATAGAACCATTGTTTAGACAAGAAAAGTTCTTCTTCTGGGCATTTGGATCTGATATGCCAGATTGCTATGGTGTTGTCGCATTGGATAGCCAAGAGAATCCAACCTCGACTTTGTTCATTCCACGTTTGCCAGCTGAATATGCCACTTGGTTGGGTCAAATCCACTCGAAAGAGTACTACAAAAAGATATTCTTGGTTGACAATGTCGAGTTTGCCGATGAGATGACTGCTTATTTGAAGAATTTGAACTGCTCTACCCTCTACACTGTTGCCGGTTTGAACACTGATAGTCACAACCACACCGAACCACTCACCTTCAAGGGTATCGAGGAGTTCAAGGTCAATACTACTCTTGCTTTCCCCTATGTCGCAGAGTGCCGTGTCTTCAAGACACCAAAGGAAATCGAGGTTCTCCGTTACTCGGTAGAGTCGACCTGCAAGTCACACATGCAAGTGATGCGTAAGATCCGTCCTGGAATGAAGGAGTACCAATGCGAGTCGATCTTCTTGTATCACGCTTACCACGATTTCGGTTGCCGTAACGTCGGATACACTTGTATTTGCGCTGCCAACAAGAACTCGAGTGTACTTCACTACGGTCACGCCGGTGAGCCAAATGCCAGCACTATTCGTGACGGTGCAATGTGTCTCTACGATATGGGTGCCGAATACCACGGATACACTGCCGATGTCACATGCTCATTCCCAGCGAACGGAAAGTTCACTGAAGATCAAAAGATTGTTTACAATGCCGTTTTGGATGCCTCGCAATCTGTCATCAAGGCTATGAAGCCAGGTGTCGAGTGGATCGACATGCACAAGTTGGCAGAGAACCGTATCCTCAGTGGATTGCTCGCCGGTGGTATCCTTGTAGGTAGCCTCGAAGAGTTGGTTGAAAACAAGATTGGATCTGTTTTCTTCCCACACGGTCTCGGTCATTTGCTTGGTTTGGATACTCATGACGTCGGTGGTTACCAAGGTGACGCCAAGCCAAAGGTCAACTCATTGCGTACCACCCGTTCCCTCATTGAAAACATGTTCATCACTGTCGAGCCAGGATGTTATTTCATCGACCATTTGTTGGACCAAGCACTCGCTGACCCAAGCAAGGCCAGATTCTTCAACAGAGATGTGTTGGCTCGTTTCAGAAACTTTGGAGGTGTCAGAATCGAAGATGACGTCTTGGTCACCGCCACCGGTTGTGAAAACTTCTCAAAGATGGTTCCAAGAACCGTTGAGGAGATTGAAGCCTACATGAAACATTAAATAAAACAACAAATCAAATGTATAAAATTCAAATTCACAAAATAATAAATATTTTTTGAAATTTCATTACAATTTTTTCATCCATCTTGGGATTCTCTAAAATTACTTTACCAAAGCTCGCGAGAAAGATATTTTCGAGATTTTTTTTTGTTTTGTTTTTTTCGATTTTTACTTTTTTTTTTTTTTTTTTTTTTTTTTTGGTTCGTGAGGCAAACCATCTTAACTTTGATTTTTTTTTGTTGTTTTTTACATTTTTATAATATTAAAAAAAAAACAAAATGAAGTTAACTGGTATTGTATTTGTTGCTATTGTTATTGCTATTGCCTCTGCCCAGATCTCTGGTTCAATTTCTGGATCAGCTATCTCTGGTTCAGGTATTTCTGGATCTGGATCAGGTTCAGGATCAGGTTCAAGCTCAAGCTCAAGCTCAAGTTCGAGCTCAAGCTTGAGTGGTTCCTCAATGGGAGGATCTAGCAGTGAAAACAGTGGATGGACTGACGCTGCCAATTTCTTAATGGGTGTTGGTTATGGTTTAGAGGTAAAAATATATAAATGTTTTTCAAATATTCAACTGAAACAATTCTAACAAAATATTAATATCTATAAAAAAAAATAATAGATCACTATTAATGAAAACTCAACTGTTTGTTTCAACGACTTGAATGCCACATTGGTTGATTTTGGATCAGGATTTGACTCAATTAAGATGGGTATCTCTGATAAATCAATCAAAATGGTAAAGAATGGTATTGAGGACTTTGGTTACGGTATTCTTCAATTGACTGCTGCCTTCGAGCAATGTGGAGTTGAAACTTTCATCAAAGAGATTAAAGCTATTGGTACTGAGTTGTCACAAGGTGCTGATGGAATTATCGAAGTTGTCTTGAAGGAGATTATCAATATCTTCCACAACCGTGACGTTTTGACCGAAGATTTCAAGAGTGCCATCTCCTATTGGGAGCAAAGGGATTTCCTTGACAGTGGTAAGAGTGTTGGTGTCATCATTGGTATTTTGATGAAAGACTAAACAATAAAATTGCACTAAATTTTAAATAATCATAACAGTGAGACGAATGAGTAGGTGAACGGACTTATTTTTTTCTATTAACTAATTTTTTGGAAACAATTAATTAATTCCATCATTTTTTTAAAATATAATATATTTGAAATGTTAATAAATAAATACTTATAACCCTAACCAAATCAACAATAATGGTTATGATTGAATATCTTTTCAATCTTTATTTTTTTCTTTCCAAATCAAATTATCTCAAAGACTATAGAGTTAAGGAAGTGGAGCATCGAAAGTAAAAATAATAACAATTCTAGAGATCTGTCTTCTTTCCCCAAAAAATATTGGTTTATCAAATGTCAAAATATGAAACACATAATTTGGTGTCTTGTACCTAATTATTTCGATTTATTTTATTTCTTAAGTTTTGCAAAGGGATTGTATTTACTCCTTTGTGGTTGTTGATTATTATTGCCGTTGTTGTTATTATTGTTGTTATTATTTCTTCTTTGGTGCTGACCATTATTATTATAGTTTTGATTTTGTCTAAACTGTTGTTGTTGTTGATTTGAGTTGTTCATAATATTCTGTTGTGGTTGCTGTTGTTGTTGATTCCACTGTTGTTGTTGTTGTTGTTGATTATAGCTCATAACGGATTGATTACTATAGTTGTTCTGGTTGTAGTTATTGTTCTGGTTATAACTATTGTTGTTTTGGTTGTAATTACTATTAAAGTTGTTTTGATTATTATTATAATTCATCATATTTTGATTGTTATAATTCATATTGCTATTATTATTATAGTTTTGATTGTAATTATTATTGTTGTTGTAGTTATTGTTTTGATTATAATTACTATTATTGTTATTGAATGGATTATTATTTTGAATATAATTATTATTATAGTTTTGATTGCTATAATTATTATTATTGTTGTTATAATTATTATTATTATTTTGATATTGATTGTTATAGTTGTTATTATTATTATTATAGTTGTTGTTGTTATAATTATTATTTTGATTATTATAGTTCTTGTTATAATTATTATTTTGATTATTGTATCCTTGATTTCTATTGAAATGTTTGTTTTTGTATTGATTGGAATCTACAGCATGATTAATCATTCTATTGGCGGCACTGTTTTGAATAGAGAAACGAAGTGAGGTGATATCAGTTCTTGGTGCTTTTACGGCATTTGGTAACATCTCTGATTTGAATACATAACCCTCGGGATAGGCAGGATTCTCGTAGGAGTAGGCAATGGCACTCTGCATCGGTGGCAGCTTCTTGGTGATTCGCTCAGGTAGCTTAGAAATGTCACCCAAGAAGTTTGGAGACACCTTTGAGTCGATGGAGCTATGATCTTTGTCTGCTGCGTTTTCGTCGTTGGTCAACTTGAGATCTTTGTTGACAATGAGCAACTCGGCACCTTGAGAATTTCTGAATTTCTCTTCGTCGGTCAGTTTGTTCTCCAGTGACTTTAATGAGGAGAGTAGCTCCTTCTCATCGATGAACGGTAGCAGACATACACCCTTCCAGATTGGTTGAGATGGTTGCACATCGATCATGAAATTCGATGGATAGAAATGAATGATTGGTGAGACATCGCCACTGCCATCGTCGATACCCATCATCTTTTGATATGGCTTTGGAACGAATTGACCAGATTCCTTTGGCAAGACACTCATTAGCTGCTCGAATGGCCGGAATGGTGAACCCAAGTCGAAGGTGGCTGGCTTGATCAGCTCGATATTCTCAGAGATGTCAATGATGAATGGTGCGTAGTGATATGGATAATACCAACCCCAAGATGCACAACCCTTGTAGTAGTATTTCAATACCCATGCCAGACCATCGATATAACTCTGACAGACATGAAGAACAACATTGTCGTCCTCCTTGGCCTCCGATTCGAAATGATGATTGTAATAACGCTCTCTCCAACCTTTGGTACCGATTTTAACATCTTTCATTCTATCGATGAATGTCGATGATTCTAGTGACTGTCCTTCTCCACCATTGGAATTGGATTGCTCTTCTTCCTCTTCCTCTCCATGCTTTCTCTTTTTGTTTCCACTTGGTAGTTTCTTTTCCTCGACTGGAACCTCCATAATCTCAATTACTTTAGCACCTCTCTTCTCACCCTTCTTCTTGCCATCAGCTGGAGCAGTAGTAGATTGCTCAACAATCGATTGTTGTAACTGTTTGGCAGCATCTTTATTGGAAGTGGTTCCCTTCTTTTGTGCAAGCAATTCCTCACGAATCTTGGCAGCGGCACTCTTGTTGGCGGCACCATCTTCCACTCTCAACTTTTTGTTTGGACGCTGGGTATCGTCTGTCTCTGTGAATATTTCATTGAGTAGATTCTTTGCTGCTTCTTGATGTTGCTTTGTAGTTCCAGAATTCAAATTGAGTGACTGTGGATCCTCTTGAAGTTGCTGGAAGTTTCCGTCCATTCTAGCTTTACGACGAATCATTGCTTCCTCCTTGCTCTTTCTTCTCATCATGATATCTTCCTCGACCATTGCAAGCTTGGCAAAGATCTTACCGACACGATCAATGCTAAACTCACCATCCTCTGTGAGGTAGTCGTCGAACGTCGGCAGCAAATCCTTGTAGATCTTCATGATACGATCGATAGCACCTTCGTTGATCTGTAGCGATGGCAAATGCGGCAGGAAATCGTTACCAACAAAGAAACATATCAGAATGAAATCGTCGATCACACGCTCTATATCAAAGCCAAACGCCGGAGAGCATTTCAACTCGGAATCCAGGTAGTCACGGAAGAGATTCAAGCTGAGCAACTGGTAGTCTTTGGTGAGGAAATCCTTCTTTTCCTCTTCGCCATCGTCACCACCCTGCATCTCCTTTGGAGTGCTCTGTTGCTTCCTTCCCTTGGTCTGCACAAACTCACGAAGAATCTCAAAGTTTGGTTCGTGAGTAGCCAACGCCAACATAATCAAATCTGCATCCAAACCATAGATTACATTCTTTTGATTTGGATTATAGTCTTTTTGTGCTCTCTGCTTTCTAATGTAATCCATAATCTTATGTTCACCTTCACCTGGAATACTAGCATCTGAAATAATAACTTTCAACTAATTATTATTATTATTATTATTGATTTCAGAAAATAACAAAGTTAATATCAACAATCTATTTATTTAAAAACGATACATATATATATGTATTAATAATAATAATTATAATTAATGAACTACTTACATTCTTCCAAGCTGGATCAGTACTAACTTTCTCGGCGACATAAGAACGTAGTGTCAGTGCAACCAAGTCCATAAACATGGTGCCTGGTGTAATACAGTTAGAGTCAAAGTGGAATTTCTCATCTTTTGCCTTTTGGAGTGCCTCTACTTCGGACTCTGACATCTTGCCGTTGGCGATATTCTCCATGAGTTCCTTGGCTTCTTTCTCACGGGTGAGACGAGCGTCTAGAGCAGAACGGAAACGACGTGAACGTTGTTGGTTCATCTTGGCACGTGGTGCAACACCGTCGATTGCCATATACAAGAGGTTACGTGGACGAACGATGGCGAATACCAAGTCGAGATACTCCATAATCGAATCCATCATGTCTTGTGTGTTTCTTGGCTTGGGACCTTGCTCGGGATGTGCACAAGGATGAATGATACCGTTCATATCCAAGTACAGATTATCAAACTCTCCATTGAGATTGGGTTCTGAATTATCGCAAACCACTCTACTTCCATCTTGGTGTCTCGGTTCTTTCGTTGGTACGATAATACCGTTGTACTTATCAACCATCCATCTAAAGAATGCTGGAATTCCCATATTATTTTAACTTGGTTTTTTTTTTGTTTTAATTATATTTATATATTCTCTATAGTTATATTATCTTATATATTCTCTCTTTCTCTTTTAAAAAAAAACAAACAAACAAATAAATAAATTTAAACCAAAACAACTAATTTAGTTTTGGTTAATTTAATTATAATGAAAAATGATAAAAATATAAAACTTAAGTTTGTGTAGTAGTAGTAGTAGTAGTATTTAATGAGTGAAAGTTTGAACAGATTCAAAAATGATCATCAACTATCTATCTACTGAACGAATAGGCTCTACTAAGAGTTACGAAAATAGTTACGAAATATATAAAGATCTTATTGATTCTAAAAAAAAGTAATTGGGTATTGATTTGTTTGTTTTTTTTTGTAAATTTAAAATAAACTAGTTATTAAGTTAAATTTTAAAAAAAATAATTGAATAATAGATCTATCTAATTAATGATAATAATATATTCAAACAAACACTTGTAATTATAAAAAATAAAGGTAAAGGTAAAGTCAAATCAACAAATAATCAACTAACATAAAAGTTAATCAATAGGTATTAATTAATTATAACAATACTAAAGGAAAATAATTATTAAAGACTTTTTTGAAAATTTTTAACGTATATTTTTCGTTTTCAAAAAAAAAAAAAAAAAAAACATTCAAGAAAATTTATCAATTTCTTTTGTGAATTTTTGTTTTTCCAAAATAATAAAAAAACGATGACTTTTGCTTATTATATATTTCTATTTTTTATTAAATTTGTTGAAGTTCAGGTTTTAAAAAAATAAATATTTAATTTTAAAATAGATTGATGATGGTGATGATGTCATTGAACTCAAATCGATTTACTTTTTTTGGAAATATGAAAAACCATTGATTTAAAAATCAAGATTTTTTCTGGTCGCAGACGTAGAGTTGACTGGTCGAAAAGATAGATTTCACTGATGAGATTCAAGTCTATTATATATTGGATGACGTATAGTCTTAACTTATTATGAATTTCCGAGTTCAAAAAAAGAGATATTTCGACTTTTAAATAATAAAGATTTCACAAATATCAAAATATTAAAAATTGAGAATCTTGTTTTATTGTAGTTAACACTTTGAGTCCATCAAACAACATTTATATAAAAGCTTTAAAATACTAATTCAATTCAAATACAAATATTAAAAGAAATAAAATGTCATTAAGAATCGTTGTTACAGATTGTTATTTTGTTGATAACAAAGTTATTCCACAAGGAACTGTAGAGTCAGGTGTCTTAAAGCCAGGAATGCTTCTCCTTATCCAAGAGTTGAACATCAAAGGTACCATGTTGCAATTCGAAATGATGCAAGGTGGAATGAACGAGGCTGTCGTAGGTGATATTACTGCATTCAGTTTAACAAACATCTCAGGTAATCTCACCAGAGATATGGTCAAGCCAGGTTTCGTCATCACTCAAGCTTAAAATCAAATAATTAAAACAACAAAAAATACCATTAAAATAGGTATAATTAATTAAAAACAACAACAACAACAATCCATCAAATAAAATAAAATAAAATAAAATAGAAATGTGTATTTATTAAAATAATATAACTTTAAAAACAAACTTTTGATTTTCTTTCTTTTAAAGCCGCTGAATTTGTTAATAAAATATATTATATATATAAATAAAAGTTAAAGTATATTTATCTGTTTGTTACCATTATTATATAATCTAAAAATATCAGACTATCGACTATCTTATAGGAAATGAATATTTTGATATTTAGTTATAGATGAATTTCAGATTTAATTGATAATCAATAATTATAATTTTTAATGAAAATTAAAATTCTTTAAGTTCATTGTGCAACCTTTTTTTTAATCAGATATTTAAATATATATATATATTTTTAGAAAAATACAATAAAGATAAGATGGTAAATAAATTAGTTATTAATAATATATATATTATGATTTAACTTTTCATCTTTATTAATAATGTTATATATATATTACAGACTACAGATTTAAATGTTGATGAAACATTCAAAAAGTTACAGACACACAAAGGTGTAAAAGGTATTCTAATCATCAACAAGAATGGATCAGTGATTAAATCTACATTTGACAACGACACATCACAGCAATACTCTAAACTGATTCTCGATCTATTTCCACGTGCATCAACATTGTTGAAGCAAAACGACGAAAAAGATCAAGTATCTTTCTTTAGAGTTAGATCACAAGATAATGATATAATGGTTTCACCTGGTAATCTATCTCTCTTTCAATCATAACAGATTATTGTTATAATCAATCATAATGATGATGATGATCTTTAAATCAACATTACTAATACATATATATATTTCATTTCAAATTATTTTTATAGATAACGATTACTTTTTAATGGTTGTAAATCAAGTTAAACATGAATAAATAAACAAAAATGTATACTAAATTATAAAAGGAAAGAAATATATCATCATCAATAGATTGTCATTATATCACTTTATTATAATCAATTTAAAAATGGAAATCTATAATAATAATGTTTAAAAAATACAGTATTTTATTTGATATATTGATATTATCTTTATCTCCTACTGCCACTGCTATATTGATTAGATCTATCTCTATCTCTATCATTTGTGTATCTGTCACGATCTCTATATCTATCACGGTCCTCTCTATATCTGTCTCTATCTCTGTCTCTGTCTCTGTAGTCCCTATCCCTATCCCTATCTCTAGAGTTTCTATCTCTATCTCTGTCTCTATCCCTATAGTCTCTATCTCTGTCTCTTTCTCTATCTCTTTCTCTATCTCTTTCTCTATCTCTTTCTTTGTTTCTGTCACTTTCTCTATCTTTTTCTTTTTCTCTTTCTCTTTCTCTTTCATTGTCTCGGTCTCTATCTCGATGATTGTCGTGATGATCTCTCATTTGATTTTCTTTATCTTTACTACTCTGAGTTCTATCATCTTTATGAATATTATTGTCATTATTATTATTATTATTATCTCGAGAATGATCATTGGTTTCTTGCTTAATATCATGATCTTTCTCTTTTTCTTTATCTTTATATTTCTCTGCTTCTTTTCTCTGCTTCTTTTCTTCTTTTTTCAAACGTTTTGCAGCCTTTCTCTCTGATTTCTCTTTCTTTCTCTGATCTTCTTTCCTCAGGTGTCTCGTTCAATCTCTTTAAACGCTTCTCTTCTTTTCTCACTTTTCTTTCTTCTTTTCTCTTTCTCTTTTTATCGTCAGTATCACTATCACTTTCATAATCACTCTCTGTATCTGTTTCATTGTTATTATTATTATTATCTTTATGATCATCACTATCACTATCATCATTCTTCTTTTTCGGACGACGATAATCTTTTACATGATCCACTCTAAGTAATCTACCCATGATATTGTAACCGGTGAGATTATCTACGGCCAAGTTGGTCGATCTCTGATCTTCATATTTGATGAAACAGAAACCCTGTGATTTACCGGTCTCTTTGTTTCGCACCATGTTGCAATCTTCGATCTCACCGTACTGACTCATGACAGCGATGATATCACCTTCGTTCATCTCAAAGGGCATTCCACCAACATACACCCACGGACTATGTGCATAATCTTGATGCCAAGATGCTTTATCAGAGACACCTCTCTCCAATTCCCTTTTATTTATACTTTGAATCTCTCTTATTACATTCATTATATTACATATATATATAAATAATTATATATATTCTAAAAATAATAATTTAATTTATTTTTTTTTTATGATTATTTTATTATTTATTTTTCATGAATTGAATCACAAATTAGGTGACACCAGTGCCGTCAGAGAAGTCGTCATATCTCAACTTTCTTTTAGTGGTTGTAGTGGTATTCAAACAAAATTTACATTTTTTTTTTTTATAATTGTAAATAAACTTTATTGTAGAATATATAATAGAATGTCTACATCTATAGATGAAAATAATAACAATAGTACTAGTAATAGTAGTAGTAATAATAGTGTAATGATGTTGGATGTTGAAGAATATATAGAAGCATTAAATAAAAGATTCACAATTAAACTTTGTAATAGTAAAGACCTTCAGACCAACCTTAAGGAATTGTTTCCAACACCAATCACAGAGATTCTATCAAAACAACAACCTATACATTTGATTTTAGTTTGGACACCTACAACTCTACCAATGAGTGGATACTCTGATAGAACTGATGTAGAACGTGAACAAGTTGCAAATACCGTAAGTAAAAATATGATTTCTATTATTTCTCTATTAAAACACAATAAGAATTCTAATAGTTTATTGATTAGTTTATAGCATTGGCATCAAAGATTTGTAAATCAATATCAGATAATAATAATAATAATAGTGATAGTGTTTCATATTGGTCAGATTTCATTGATCCTTTGTCTGGTGTTCCAGTATGTTAATTGTACCTTAATAATTAACCTATTTGTTGTTTTTTTTTTATTAATTTCATTTCTCAGTATTTAAATAGAGAAAATGTCAATTCAATATTTATACCGACTGATATGGGTGTGCCACTAGGTATCGATATTATAGATGTTGGCTGTTGTCAGGTGATGAGACATCCTGAATGGAGAGTTAGAGCTTTATTCTCAATGATAGTAACAAATGCACCAATCGAGATTATTTCCAATGCAATTAAATCACAAATATAAAACTAAACAATACTTTATTATATATAACTATATCCTATTAAAACGAATTAACCAGAATTGTATATTTACAAAACAGACCAAAATAGATTTAAAATAATATTCTTTTATAACTGTTTCCTTTTTTTTTTTATACAAAGATGATTTATTACCAGATTAATATTATTTGATCAAGTTTTTTTTAAACATTAAACAACCAGGATAAATAAATCATAGCATCTCACCACCAAATTTTTCGTGTCAAGGACTCTGACCAGAAAAAACGAATGTTGTTGAAATTTTGTTTTTTTTTTAATTTTTTTTGAATTTTTTTAATCGACTTCATTCGATTTTGAGTTGTGAGTGCTGTTTTTTTTTTTCATTCTTACTATTTATATTTTTTATCAATCATTAATTATCAAATCTAAATTAATTTATTTTAATTTGATAGAATAAAAATAATATAACAGTATCTAAGTAATACTATACTATATAAATATATATATAAAAACAAAATGAATACTTTTGCTAAAACTTTAATTCCAACTTTAAGATTGGCATCAAGATCCAATTTAATGGTATGTTTTTTATTATTATTATTATTGAAATGATATATCTACACATCATGATGATTGATTTTAATATAACTAACCTAATTTATATTTATATTTATATATTTATATATAATATAGAGAACACAATCAAATAATTTATTTGGTTTGAGAATGTTTGTTGATCAAGCAGCAACAACATCCTATTTAAATAGTCAAAGATATTTCTCCACTGAGAATAAAGCAGCAGAGGAGAAACCAGCCACTGAGCAAGCTGAGGGAGAAAAGTCAGCTGCTGAACCAACATTGGAAGAGCAAATCGCCGACTTGAAGAAGCAACTCGAAGACAAACACACCCAACTTTTATATACTGCAGCGGAGCGTGAAAATGTTCGTCGTTGGGGTAAGGAAGAGGTAGACAAGGCAAAGAAATTCGGTGCACAATCACTCACTAAAGATCTGTTGGAGGTCGTCGACCAATTGGAATTGGCACTCGCTCAATTCACCCCAGAACAACTACAGGCCAACAAAGAACTCAGCAATTTATACGAAGGTGTCAAGATGACAGAGAATCTATTTTTGAAGGTCATGGGTAACAACGGTGTCGTCAGATTCGACCCAATCGGTGAGAAGTTCGATCCAAATGTACATCACGCTCTTTTCCAAGTTCCAGATGCTTCGTGTGACGCTGGCACCATTAAAACTGTAGTAAAGAAAGGTTTCAAATTGAATGATCGTTTAGTTAGACCAGCTCAAGTTGGTGTATCAAAGAAATAAAATAAAAATAAAAAAAAAAAACAATCAATCAATCAATCAATCAATTACTTTTTTTATTTTTTTTTAATTGTATTGTGATCACAACAAAAAAGATATATAACAATGAAATCAATTGTTTTTATACATATTAAACTTGATGATCATCATTTAAAAGTAAAAAAACAATGGTGAAAAAAAAAGTTTTAAAAAATGTTGGACAACTTGTTGATCATTCTAAAAATCAGATGATATTCTAATATTAGAAAAATGTCAGTTCCAGAAGATTTAAAGTATCATAGTCCTATATTTAATAAGCGAGGTGAAACATTGGTTTGGTTGTTATTAATATCATTGTCAGTGTTGATTAGATATGCCATCTCTATTCATCCTTACTCTGGTCATGCCAAACCACCAATGTTTGGTGACTACGAGGCACAGAGACACTGGATGGAGATAACAACTAAACTACCTACCAGCGAATGGTATTTCAATACCACCAACAATGATCTTCAGTATTGGGGTTTGGATTATCCACCTTTGACTGCCTATTCAAGTTGGTTATTTGGTAAAATGTAAGATGATTAACACACACTTTTTATATATGTACAACAACAACAACTAACTAAATAACAAACAAAATAATGTTACTACTATAGTGGTGAAAAAGTTGAACCAGAATCAATGGCACTATATACTTCGAGAGGATATGAAAGTAAATCAAGTAAACTATTCATGAGATCAACTGTAATCGTATCGGATCTACTCATTTGGTTGCCAGCAGTCTTGTTCTTTGTTCAAACGTTCTACAAAGAACAATCATTATTGAAAAGAGTAAGTATTATTATCAAAAGTGTTCAACAACAAATATATATTTTCATCAAAGATTATTGTTATTAACCAATTATTTACTTATTTTATTACTTTTTAGTCAATTGCATTCATTTTCATTTCAATGCAGCCATCTTTGTTGTTAATAGATCATGGACATTTCCAATACAATGGAATATCACTTGGATTTGCATTGTTTGGTATAACTTTTATCTTGAGAAATCAACAGTTGTTGGCAAGTCTCTTCTTTGTACTATCATTAAATTACAAGCAGATGTCACTCTACTATTCACCGGCATTCTTCTTTTATCTTTTATTTACCAATTTATCTTTTAGTAATATGTAAGTATAATCAACTATTGATTCTATTATCTCTCTTTCATTAATATATAAAATAATATTACTTTTTATTACGAATTTGATTGAAACAGATTCAAATCAATATTAAATATTGCTAAAATTGGTATTGTTGTAATCACTACATTCATTATATGTTGGATACCATTCCTATCGCTGGAACAAGCATCACAAGTATTGTTTAGATTGTTCCCTGTTGCGAGAGGACTATTCGAAGACAAAGTAGCAAACTTTTGGTGTGTAGCATCCACTGTTATCAATTTTAAAACAAAATTCTCACCCGAACAACTTTTAAAGTTATGGTATGTTAAATTAACATATTGTTATTATAATCAAACATAATACTAATCAATCATTGTAATATATCTATATATATTTAATTAGTACTCTTACAACATTAGCAGCAATTTCAATCATTGTATACCCATTGATAAAGAAATGTTGGTCTGCCAATTTAAAATCAAACTGGAAAGTTGTAATGTATAGATCACAGCAATTAATGTTTATCTATTCATTGATTATCAGTGCCTTTGCCTTCTTTTTATTCTCTTTCCAAGTACATGAAAAGACTATCCTTTTACCACTGCTACCCGTATCGCTCTTGGTATTGGAGTCAGGCTATGTATCTTGGTTGTTTGGATTGGTATCTACGTTCAGTATGTTCCCACTGCTCTTTAAAGATGGCTTGATTCTTCCATACTTTATTTGTCAGTTTCTCTATATCTTTATTGGATACCAAGTGTTAAACAAATTGAATCAACTGAATAGTTACTCAATCATTAAAAAATTATTCTTAATTGTAAGTAACAACAATAACAACAACAACTCAACTTTATTAAATATTAATACAATTCTAACAATAATGATTATATTTTTATAGATAACAATTATATTGATGTTGGTCAGTCATTATTTATTCGAATTTATTGAACCACCCGTTCATCTACCAGCATTGTTCCATCTTTTAGTTGCATCGATATCGTTTGGATACTTTTGTTTGACAGTGTTGTTTGTATTGATTGAAATGTATTCACCTTTATTATTTACAACAACAAAATCTAAACAGAAATAAAATAAAAGCTAAAACTTAATGGAAAATACATGTATATATTATTGATATAATAATATATTATAATCATGATTTAAAAATAATTGTAATGTCAAATTTAAAAAGAAGTACTCGATGTTTATTAATTCCTTCTCACATAAAATTTTATTAATTACAAATTGACAAAGATGACATTGATTGTTATTTTTATAAAGTACATAAATAATACTAATTTTTGACATCAACAATGTGTGGTCTGTATGGAGGTTAGTGATCCTCTTTCAACAGTTTTCTTTGGCCTAAATCCAGGTGAACAATTTAAGGTTGGAAATATACAAATCTTTTCCAAAATCAATATCATCTACAGGAGATCGAAACGAATACCCAGGGTTAGATCAAACATGGTTCAACCATTTAGTTCATCTAATAGAGACTCCAATAATAAAAGGAAGAGTTCTGATAGTGGAAACAATATGATTGTCAAAGAATTTTATATCCATTCACCAGATCCTTCTAAACCATTTGTACATAATCCCAATTTTAAATGCGGTGCTCATGAAGAGATTCTTATAGTAGAGGACCTGCTCGTTGTCTTAGTAAAAAATGTGTTCCAAAAAATGCCAGATGTTCATCACCACCTACCAAACCTAGATGTAGACCTGATTATAATCTAGTTACTTTTATTAGTGATCCAAACTAATGTCCAGGTTTGTTTTTTAAAATAATTTCATTTATTACATATTGATATCTTTATTAACCTTTTATTTTTTTTTTTTATTTAACTATCCATTTTTTGTTACCCCTTCAACTGTATAAAAATAACTCTAACTTTTTTCCAAAATAAAACTGTGCAAAGTTAAAAATGAATAGTTAAAGTTTTGAGTAAACCAAACAACCCCAATACCATATGATAATACAATTGTGTTGTGGTGTTTCGAACCTAGATGTTCTTGTTGTTTGTGGTGTTAGAGAGTTCTCTGTTTTAGGAAAAACCCCAAAATAAAGAAGGACCTCAATTTAAAAAATGATTCGATTGGTTAAATTTAGTAAAAGATGATGATCGCGAGTGAACTTTAAAACTATGTGGATATCTATACTAAAAAAAGTTTTCTTTAAATAGGTGTTTCCTTTTTTTTTTTTTTTTGTTGTTTGTTTTTGATGTTTTTTTGTTCACAATGCTATCATAATTAGTTGTTATTTTTTATGCTGGACAATCAAAATGAGGACTGATTTTGTCTTTTGAAATTCAGAATTTATCTCCAAAAAAAACCTACCAAAACCATGATCATTTTTAAAAATAAAAAATGTGGATGATCGTTTAGAATCTAACATCCTGCATGATTTAAAGATTTTTTTGAGAAAAAAAAAAAGTGTTAAAAAGGAAAAAGATTATTGAACACATCTTGCTCTGATTATGTGTCACAACCTATCAATTGAATTAGAAACTAGTTTTCTTAAAAAAAAAAAAAAAAAAAAAATTAAATTTATAATTTACAAAGTTTTAGATTATTGTTGTTATTGTTTTTGTTGTTTGTAAACTCTGATACATATATACAATATACATATTATAATAACATTTTAGAAATGTAAGTTTATACTACACTTGAAGAAATCAATCTAAATTATAAATCCTGATTCAAATGATATATTAACTCTATATATAACATTTCATACTTTTTAATTAAATGAATGAAGGGATAACTTGACAAATCTACCTCCTAATATTAAACTTCAAATACTTTCGATGCTAGGTGGAGATGGTATCATACATCGTGTAAATAACAATAGTAATAGTGAAAATGTTGATAAGAATAATAGTATTAGTGATAGTAATATAAATAAAAATGAAAGTAATAATGTTTGTTTAAATGGTGTAAAGCATAAAGATAATAATAATAATAGTAATAGTAACAATAGTAGTAGTAATAGTAGTAGTAGTAGTAATAAAGCAATTTTAGATTTAATAAATGGAATAGGAAAAACAAACATTAATGGGAACAACAACAATAATAATAACAGTGACGATGATGATAATAGTAATAATAAAAAAATAGGTGATAAATTCATTGATTTAACAAATGATATAGATTGTAGTAAACTATCGTTTTTCAATAAAGATCAACTGAGTCAGTTGGAGAGTAAAGGTTATCTGGTGATCGATAACTATATAGGAGAAGAGTTGTTGCGCGCTGCCAAGTTGGAATCTATGTCATTGTATAGCGCAGGAAACAAGCTGCGAGAAGCCGGTATGAGTCGTGGCGATTCCAAGTGGAACGACAGTTCGATTCGTTCCGACCTCATGATGTGGCTCAACAAGGAGACCTGCAAGGATCTGAGTGAAGGCCGTCTGCCACATATATCCGAACTGCTGAAGCGCATGGATCAACTGCGAGTTGAGATCAGCGAGGCGTGTGCAAGCTCGTCGTTTCAACTGGCGGATCGCACACAGTCACAGCTGGCCATCTACAAATCGGGTGGTCGATACATCAAGCACAAAGACTCGTTCGTCGGCGGTAACAATCGTAAGATAACATGCATCTACTATCTTAACAACCAGTGGAAAACAGAGGATGCTGGACAACTACGATTGCACCTATTCGGTGAGCACATCGATATCGATCCACTTGGTGACCGTCTCTTAATATTCCTTTCCGAGTATGTTCCACATGAAGTTTTGGTATCAAACGCAAACGAAAGAATAGCAATTACATCATGGTTCTATTGATATATCATTCAATTTATATCATTAATTATATAAGTAAAAAATCAATATATTTCTTTATCAATTTAAAAAAGAGAAAAAACAATCAAATGGATTAGAATAATAATAATAATAATAGTATCTCCAACCAACAACAACAACAAAACAAACAAGAAATGAAATGAAAACTAAAAGAAGAAGAATTAAATTAAATTAAATAATAAATATTTATTTGTAAAAATTTGTACAAACAAAAATAGAACACAACTTATTTTATTTTATTTTATCTTTTTTATGCTAAAGAATGTAATAATGGATTAATAAAATTCTATTATTTATTTAATATTAATTGAAAAACATCAAATAGATCATGATTTTCATTGAATTTTTTCGTAAATCAACAACAATGATCATTTGGTAAAAATATATTTTGATTGTTTCTCATTGTTTTGGTCAAATAATCACAAGTCAATCACAATTCAAAAAAAAAAAGAAAAAGAATCTAAAAATGGGAGATGTATATGCCATCGATGTAACAAAATTATTTACAAATTAATGGGTCTACCCATTTTTCAAATAAAATCAGTTTGATGACAATTTTTTCTTTTCATTTTTATGATTTTGTACGAAAAACTTTGGCTCTGATCAGCGTCTATTATGATGGTGGGGCGAGAAAAATCGATACCAATTTAGAAGAATCATGACCTTAATGGTTAGGGGAAAAAGCAATCAAATGATTTCTCTGTTTTTGCTTTTTTTTTTTGAAAAAAACAATTATTTAATTTAATATTTATCTTATTTTTCAATAATCTATAATTCCATTTCACCGACATTTCATTTGTTTCGATTCGATTCGTATTAGCATACAGATACATTAGATAAACAATTGTTAGTATTACTTTTATCTATATTCATTCTCTTTTTTTTTTTTTTTTGTCATCTTCTTCTCTCTCTCTCTCTCTTCTTTATTTGTTCAATCATTGTACAAAACAGTGGAAACATTAGATTAGAACAACAGGACAATGGATAATTGCATTTATATTTGAATCATGTTTGGTTGTTATAGAATATATAATATTTATATTTAGTTCAAATCCAAAACCAACCATTTTATACCCATATTTTATTGGTTTCGGAAATAAGTAAAACCCATTAGTTCTTGATATATGGAATATGGAAATAAATTACTATTATTACATTTCACACCAACAAATAAATAACTTTAAAGTTGTAAGATTTATGATGAATCTGATCCAACGACACACATTCACAAATACATTAACACATTTATTGTAAATCAAACTTTTTTTTTTTTTCATCCATTCCAACTCATCAATCAACTTTGTCATTCAATGATTTTTTTAAAATAATGACAATAATAAAAAAAGCAGTGCCATTAATCAAATTAAACTCATAAAAGAGTAATATAACCCCATAACATGATCATGATCACCCAAACATTATTATTATTATCATTACTACTATTATAGTATACGCTGCCAATGAATTAATTGATTTTGCTAAATTAAATTAAGCTTGTTGGTGTGTGTTGTTTTTTTTGTATCAATCAATCACTTATCTTATTTCTTGTTCACACATCTGAAATTGTAGAGAACAACAATAATAATAAAATTAAAAAAATAAATCAACAAACAAAAATAAAATAATTATAATTTTAAAACAAAATTAATCTATCAGCAGTAATGATGGTGGGTGAATGCAACCATCATTACTGTGGATTTTATCTTTTTTTTTTTTGAAAAAAAATTATTTCAAAAATCAATTAGTTTTTTTTTTTTTTTTTGTTTTGGTGGAGTTGGTGGTGTTTTTGCAATAACCAACACAATTTATTAAAAAAAAATGAAAACCCATCAAATTTCAAAAAAAAAAATTAATTTTTCATCATTATTTTATTTTTCTTTAAAAACCAACAAAATTAGCTAGCCATTTTCTAACTAACCCTTCAGATTGATTTTTTTTAGATTTCAATAATTAAGCAGCAACATTATATAATTATTTTACATTCTAGTGGAAGCACCTCCTGAGTAAACACATTTTTCAAGCAGACCAGCTCTACTTTTTTTTTTGGTTTTTTGTTTTCATTTTATTTTATTTCTCTCTGTACTTTAAACAATATATATATATAATTATTTATTTATTTAATAATTAATTAATATCCAACAAACTCACTTTTAATTATATACATATAATATAATATAATACCAACCAATATAATATTACATTTAAAAAAATGGTAAGTTAAAATATATTTTTTTTTATAAATTATAAATATAGATATCTTTCTATAAATAAATATCATTATATAAATTATAAATATTATTATTAGTATTATGATGATATTAATTTGAAAATTTGGATTGATTAATTAGGCATCAACAAAGAGAAGATTAACAAGAGAAGAATCATCAGTTGTTTTGGGAGAGGAACAAGTCGCTGAATTGAAGGAGGCTTTCGAACTCTTGGATAAAGATAGAACTGGTGTCATCAAGAAGGACAGTTTGAAGACTTCATTGAAGCAATTCAATATCTTTGTCACCCAAGAACAATTAGATGAGATGTTTGCTGAAGCCGATATGACCAAGACTGGTGGTATTGCTTTCCCAGAGTTCATGTCCATGATGTCACGTCGTATGAAACAAGTATGTTGAATTATCATTAGTTGAAATGATCTCAACTGACGACTTACTAATCAATCAATCAATCGATCAACAATCAATATTATAGACTAGCAATGAACAAATTTTATTAAATGCATTCAAGACTTTTGATCCAGAAGGATTGGGATACATCCCAACAAAGGATATGGCAAAGGCTTTGTTGACCTTGGGAGACAAACTTACAGAGGCTGAGGTATGTGTCAACATTATCACATTATTTTTCAACAACAACAATCACGTGATTGTTTTTGGTTTTTTTTATTTATTTTTCAAAGTAAAACTGAAAGCAAGTTGGCTCTTTGAAACCCAACTTTTTTTTTGTTTTTTTTTTTGAAAAAATTCAATTCCAAATTATTTTTTTACATCGATGACAGTACAGCTTACTAATTTTTTTTATTTGAAAATTATTATCTTTTTTTTTTTTAATTTTAGTTACAAGAACTCTTGACTATTTGTGAAAACGAACAAAAGCAAGTGAAGTATGACCTCTTTGTTAATACCCTTTTCGCTAAAAAATAAGTGATTAAATAGTTCAAAATTGTGCAATAATAAATTAAAACCAATCAAAAAAAAAAAAAAAAAACAAACCAAAAAACAAAAAAAACAGTCCAAATTAATATAATATATATATAATATTAATAATAAGAATTTGTTGTAATAAATATAAATTAATTAAGATCAAAATCAAACGATTGAAATTGATTCAATTATAATTATTGGATTTTTTTGTTATTATTATTTTGATCAATTTAAATATTTTTTTATTTTATTGAAAAAGATATATGTCCAAACCATCCAATTAATAAACTATGATTCCAAGTCAAGGAAAAAAAATGTGATATTTGAAAAAAAAAAAAGTCAAATTATTTTTTATTAAAATGATGTTGACTTTTTTTTTAATTTTGCAATTTTTTTAATTTTTTTCATTCCCCACAAAGTGTCTGACAAAAATACAGTCAGACTTAATAATAATTGTGTTTGTTGGCTGTTTTTTCTTTATTTTACACAAAAACGAAACAACTATAAATAATAAAATAATACCTTTTTTTATTTATTTAATTATTGTTTTTTTTTTTTTTTTTGAAATTAAAATAAATAAAAGTTTTATCTAGATATAAATAGAAATAATAATCAATAATAGTATATAAATAATCAATAATAATAATTAATAAATTTAATATATATATAAAATAATAATAAAAAAAGATGATTGATAATTTTACAATTTTAACAAAAGGAGGTATTGTATTATTATCAATTGAATGGGCAAGACTCAAAGGTCATCCAATCAATAATTTGATTCGTAAGGTATTGGTACAAGAGAGAGGTTCAGAGACATCATTTCAATCTGATAACTATACTTTGAAATGGACTTTTGCAAATGAAGTTGATTTAATATTTGTTGTAAGTATAAGTTTAAAAAAAAAAAATAACAAGTATTAAAAATTGATATTAATAATATGCGATCGCATTATTTATATATACAGGTTGTATATCAAAAGATTTTATCTTTGATGTATATAGATGAATTGTTGAATGTCGTAAAGAGAAAGTTTGTAAAGATGTACAAGGATGTTTTGGTTTCCATTAAGAATTCATCGGATGACTTGGCAATCGATACTTTTGAACCTTTCAAGGAAAAGTTTGATTTGATTCTCACCAAGGTGGAGACTCTTTCAAAGATGAAGCAATCGTCTGCCGCACCACCAAAGCGTTACGAAGATACCGAGAAGGGTAGAGCTGCTATCGAGTTGAAACGTGAGAAGGAGTGGAAAGACAAGAAGAGTGGAAAATCTGTAAATAAAAACAAGAGCAAGGACAAGGATAATAAGAAAAAGGTGAACGGTGCCAACAGTAGTAATAGAAATCAAAGTAGTAGCAGCAGCAGTAGTGATGATAGTTCTGAAAATGAATCGGATCAAGAAAACTCTAATGAAGATTCAAATGAACAAGATGTTGATTCTGATGAACAACAAGAAAAACAACAACAACAACAAAACAATAATAACAACAAGAATACACCAACTTCTCCAAAACAATCTAGTGTATTTGATGATGCAGAAGATGAAGAAGATCCAGATATTGCAAGAGCAAGAAAAGCTCTATTAAAAGCACGTAAGTTATTATTAAATAATTAAATATATTTTAATAGTTCTAATTTATTAAAATATTAATAATTAACAATCAATTTCTAGAAATTGGAGCAAATAAAAAAACACCAACAAAGAAATCATCTTCTTTTATATCATCATCATCTAATAAGGATAAGGATATAAATACACCACCACCAAAAAAGGAAAAGAGAGTTTCCGATACAAAGATCTCAAAGAGTGAGATGGCAGAGATTGACAAGTCTGATAAATCTGGAAAGAAAAAGGTTGTCGTCAAGGAAAAGTTTGTAAAGCACAATATGGAAATGGATGTAAGCTCTGACGAGGAAGACAAACCAGTCTCTGGTTTCATGAAGTACTTCCAAACATTGACTGGAAGTAGAACCATTGACAATAACGATCTCGAGCCGATTCTCCAGAAATTAAAGTCACATCTCACCTCCAAGAATGTAGCACTCGACATTGCAGAGAAGTTGGTCGATTCCGTTGGACAGAGTTTGCAAGGCAAGAAGTTGTCTACTTTCCAGGGTGTCAACTCTGTCGTCAAGCAAGCAATGGAGGAAGCAGTCACTAGAATCCTCACACCGAAAAAGACTATCGACATTCTCAGAGATGTCCAGGCGGTGCGTGGAACTCGTCCCTACACTATTGTTTTCAGTGGTGTCAATGGTGTCGGAAAATCAACCAATCTCGCCAAGATTTGCTATTGGTTGACCGCTCATGGATACAAGGTAATGATGGCAGCTTGTGATACTTTTAGATCCGGTGCTATCGAGCAGCTCAAGACACATGCCGAGCGTTTGAACGTCGAAGTATTTGAGCGTGGCTATGGAAAGGATGCCGCATCGATTGCCGGTGAGGCAATTGATTATGCACGTGCTACCAATCACGACGTGGTGTTGATCGATACCACCGGTAGAATGCAAAACAACGAGCCATTGATGAGAGCACTCTCGAAGCTCGTCAATCAAAACACAATCGACTTGGTACTCTTTGTAGGTGAGGCACTCGTTGGAAACGACGGTGTAGATCAACTCGTTAAATTCGACAAGTCACTCTCGCTCCTAGCAGATTCCACTCAAACCAAGGTCAGAACCATCGATGGAATCATTCTCACCAAATTTGATACCATCGATGACAAGGTCGGTGCTGCCATCTCTATGGTCTATTCAACTGGACATCCAATCATCTTCCTTGGAACAGGTCAAAATTATACTGATCTCAAACGTATGAATGTTAAAGTTGTAGTTAAGTCGTTATTAAATTAGAAAATAAAAAGAAATGATCATTTGTAAACAACAACAATTTACTTGAGTATTTATTTATTTATCATATACTCTATATTATTTATATTATTTGTATAACTTTTTAAAATATAATCAATATTAATATGAAAAGTGAAATCGAATGGATTTGATAGATCATCCGAGCTATCTATAGGTGCACGAAAATGAGGAAACCATATTTTAACATCTTCCCACATCTGTTCTAGAGGCAGTGGTTCATTTAAACTGAACCATTGAGGTGACATCTCTTCTGATTCCACAAGTTCACCTGTCCATTCATTTACTTGATAAACACTACATTCTGTTGACTCTTCTATTTTTGGATAGATGAAATTAAGTATTCCTCTTTATTGTTGGTATAATAGTTATTATTTTTTTAAAGATTCACAAATATATCAATCTCAATGACATTTCAATCTTCAGAGGTAATATCATACCTAAAAATTAAGTTACTAGGTTTCAATCCAACCTCTTCTATACATTCTCTGATGGCTGCACTTTCTATTGACGAATCTGTAGATTCTACTTTTCCTCCAGGTCCATTAAATTTTCCTGCACCAAATCCTCTTTTCTTTAGTGCTAATAGAATATTTTGATTTTCACTATCAATAAAGAAACATAATGTTGTTTTTCTCATTCTTATTTTATTTTTTGTTTGGTGATGTTTCTCATTCTTTTGGTAAATCGTCGTTTTTTTATTCATTTCAAAAAAAAAACTATCACAAAAATTAAAATAAATAAATAAATTTTATTATCTTATATAGTTTACTATTCATTTCTTAGAAAAAATAAAAACAAAGATAAATGTAAATCTTAAGATATAAAAATAAAATTAATATTTTAAAAATTTGTTTTTTGTTTTACAAAACTTTGCCCGGGCTGAATTTTTTTCGTTTTTCATCTTCGTTATTCCCAACGTTTCAATGATAATACAAATTATTTTTTTGAAATTTTTTAAAAAAAATAAAAAATAAAATTTTTTTATCGATTTTCTTTCCATACACTCAAAAGCATCACGTGTTGAATTTTTCACTTCCTTTTTTTTTGTCATACAGATCAATCCAAACAATGGTGTGTATCTTTATCACTTTATTTTTTAATATGATGAAATGATTTCATTATTTAAATAGCTATTTGAGTAGTTTAGTTTGGTTGTTAGTTTATTATCAATAAGAAGTTTAGAAAAAAAACAAATAAAATAATCAAAAAAAAATAAAAAAAAATAGAAACATTAGAGTAGTTACATATTAGAATCAAAAATAATAAAATATATATACAGATATAGGTTGAAATTAGAATATAAAATAGAATGTCGATACAGATTCAGATAGATTGGTAGAAAGATAATATTTTTAGTGAAATAAAATAAAAATAATGAATAATAATAATAATAAAATAAAAATAATAGTTTAATAATAATGATAAATTATAAATGATAGATAATGAAACAACAACTAGTTTAAACGAACAAATGCTATTTTTATTGTTATGAAAATTATTATTTCGTAAACCCCAAATTATTCGTTTTACTAATTTTTTTTACTATTATATAAACAATATAAAGGCTAGAGAACGTGGTGATTTGCTATTCCCAAGCATCGAATCCGAGAAGAGAAAACACAAGTTAAAGAGATTGGTTCAATCACCAAACTCTTACTTTATGGATATTAACTGTCACGGATGTCACACCATCACAGTTGTATTCTCACATGTAAGTAATCAACTGAATTTATAATTATTCTTTTTTTATTTTTGTCAAATTATTAATCAAACAATTAATTATTAATTAAACAATGATAATAGGCTCAAACCGTTGTCTTATGTAGCTCATGCTCCACCGTTATTGCTCAACCAAGTGGTGGACGTGCTAAGATTACACCTGGATGCAGATTGCGTCACAAGGGAGAATAAGCATCCAGTTTATTCTGATTTGAGTTATGCCCTTGGAATACCTCTTTAATAAAATAACTAGGTTTACTAAAGATCTATTAGAAGCCGTCACTATTATTATTATTTTTCAATTTATTTTTTTGTTTTAAAAACCCCACGTAAATCAATTACGAAATAACAACTTTTATTGAGAATGATCGATCTGCATCCAAATTATGCTGATGCTTATTACAGGTTGGCTTTAATTCTTAAAGTTGAGGATCGATCATCTATCATTCTACCATCGGTCTATCAATGACACGACAACTATACTGATTCCAACTCATATTATAACCTTGCAACGACACTCTCAAATGATGAATCAATAATCAATGACAGAACAACAACTATACTTGAAATCAATAGAATGTGATCCAACCCATGCCTGGTCATATTTTAACCTTCCAATGACACTTTTAAGAGGTAAATCAATCATTCTTAATGATGGACAATCAATGACAAGACAACAACTATACTTGAAATCAATAGAATGTGATCCAACCAATTTCAATCAATCATACTTGATGATGGTCAAACAATGACAGAGCAACAAATATACGTGAAAGCAATAGAATGTGATCCTAACTATCTCGATTCATATAATAGCCTTGCAGCTACACTTTCTCGTGGTGAATCAATTACACTTAATAGTGGACAAGTACTTACAAAACAACAACTATATCTGGAATCACTAAGATTGAATGATAAACAAACATTTATTTACAGAAGGATTGGATTAACACTTTTGAACAACAAACAAACCATTACACTTCCAGATGGTCAACAAATGTCAAGGAGACAACTACTTCAAAAAGAAGAAAACCGTGGTAGAGGTAATAGATTTATAAATAAACTAACTTACAGAATGGATGACCCTTCAATTATATAAATAAAAACTACAATTAAATTAGATATACTTTCTCATCGAAATAGTTTGTTTTTTGTTTTTTTTTTCGACCATTGTTTTAAAAGATCTTTATTTATTTATTACATATTCTATAGTCATTTGAATTAAAGTGTTTGTTGTTTGTTGCTTGTTGTTTGTTGTTATTTTAGAGTGTATTTGTATTTAAACAGATAAAGTATTATCAATCTGTTTTTAGAGTCGGCTTGTTATTATTTATTTATTTTTTTGTTTGAATCCAATAAGTTTATAATAGGTGCTATAGTTGTTTATTTGATATTTGATTCATCCTCTTGTTCTCTGACCAATTCTCCTTTATATAAAAATCTGTAACCGTATCTCTTTTTCTTTGTTGTAACAACATCTTCTTGTAAAACTTCATAGTTTAAACCTATCATAATAATAATTTAATGTTTAAAAAACCATTAGTTAATAACTTATTAATAGATAAACCGAGTTCTTTCGTTATCTTATCATATTCAAATGATAACGCATCTTACCATTTTCTTTACAATAACTGATTGCACCAGCTTCAGAGTCGAAGGCCAATTGTACTTGACCGAGAGTACCGGCGGATGCCCACCAACCCATGAGACCGTCATGCCACTTGTCGACGATTGGCAATTCAAGACGCCACTTACGAGTACGAAGAGTACCGGATTGCATTGTGATTCTCGATGGTCTGTAGATGAGTACGGTCTTACCGTCTACCTTGATACCATTGACGAGATGTCTGATGTGTAAGTTGCTTGGTGTATCGGTAGCTTCGTGAGTTCCAACCTTCAAGTCATTGCTGTCAATGACAACAGTATCGTAAGAATCATCTGGTTTCTGTGTTGAGAATTGTCTGTTGAATCCAACCAAAGCACTTCTATTCAACATGCTAACATTCTGCTGAATAGATGGTGTTCTTCTCAACAAAGTTAAAGAGCAACTCGATGTAATCAATCTTTTGAACATCTTATTAATAATATATATTGAAAAAGTATCGTTATAATAAAATAACAAAGTAAATATGAAAAAAAAAATTTTTAGAAAAAAAAAAACAATCAATAAAAAAAAAATGAAAAAGAAAAAAAAATCAATTAAAAAAATAAATAACAAAAAAGCAATTGATCAAACAGTAATAAAAATAATGTAAACCAGATCACAATGATTGGATTGATAGGTTTAGTTCTTAATTTCATTATATTAATTTATATTTATGTTAATCTATTGAAATGGATTTGTAAGTTCAACTATCTTTGAAAAAACTATACATATGCAAAAATGATTATTAGTGGATACTTTAGTAAAAAGTTATATAACTATTTCAATTAAAAAGTTGATATAAGATATTATATCTTTCGATCTTCAAATTTTTAAAAAATTTTTTTTTTTTTTTTTTTTTTACAAACTTTTTTTTTTTTTTTTTTTTACAAAAACTGGTCGAACGAAAGGGTGTACTCATTTTTCCTGGCGATTTGTATCACTTTAAAGACAATTAAAATTATCCTTCTATTACTATATTTACTTGGATCTCATTGTTTAGAGTTTCGAAAGTAAAAGGTAGGTTATTATTATTTCTTAATTTTTTTTTTTTTTTTTTTCAAGATTAGTTTTTTTTTTTTTTTCGGTTATTTTTTTTTATTAATGTCATCTAATTAATAATTGGACTGATCATTTCTATTTATAAAAACATAGTCTTATAGTAATAGTAGTTGTTTTGTATTAATACAGAATAATAGTAAGTTGATTTGTAATGCAAAAAGAAAATAATAACAACAATAATCAGGAAGTAGTCACTACCAAGGATATGGATTATGAAAACGAGCAGTATTCGTGGATACCGTTTTTAGATGAAGACGATCCTCTTCCAGGTCAATGTGTAGGTTTTTTTTTCGAAATCGTAGATAGATAGAATTACATTATTTATAATTATAATTATTCATAGTGTCCATATGCAACAACATCACCTGTTACCATTGAAAGATCTCTCATCATGATAAACTGTGATAAGGACGATATATTATTGGATGTTGGATGTGGTGATGGACGTATTGCCATCTATGCAGCCAAACACTATGGAATAAAGTCAATAGGTATCGATGTAAATCCAGATCTTATCGAAAAAGCCAATTCCGATGCCAAAGAAGCAGATGTTTCACATTTAGTTTTATTCAAGTATGTGATTAATCATTTGCATACAAAATTATTTATTAATTAATTCTATTCTTTTTAGAGTTCAAAGTTTTGCAGAGGAATCATTTGATTTCAAATTATCAACGATCGACAAAGAGTTTGCCAAAGATTGTAAACATATTTATCCAACTATTATTACATGTTATCTAATTCCTAAAGCATTGAAAATAATTGAACCACGCATAAAAGATCTTGTTAGACACAATTGTTTGGAATCAACAACATCACAGTCAGAGATACTGACAAACACACGTCCAATTACAGCACACAAAGATATCAGAGTAGCACTTTTCGTTTTCGAAATGGAGAGATGGAAGACAGTCGATAAAGATGATAAATTCAAGATATTTACCTATTCTAAAGTATCGATCGATGTCATTCCAACTTTTGTCAATACTGAAAATCCATATATAATGTAATACCCCAACAACCAACAGCAACATCAACAATCTTTATAAGGAAAATAATAACAAAAAAAGAGAAATTATTAAATATATTAATAATTCTTTTTTCATTTCATTTTTTCCATCCACTTAAGTACAATTCGATTATTAATCTTTTAAATAAATAATTAATAGACTCTTTGTGCTTTTCTCTCTCTTTAATATTGAATGATTAAAAATTGTTTTTTTTTTTTTTTTTATTTTTTTATTTTTATTTTTATTTTTATTTTTTTGATGATCACTGATTTCCCATTAATAAGTTTAATCAGTGTTAATATATTCGATTTTGGTTGATTTTGTCATCTGATATTCTTATTAATATTATATATTTATTAAAAAAAATGTTTAGATTTGTAAATAAATTAGTATGTAATAAGTTTATAGAACGTTATCAATAATCATCGATGAATAGTCTTTTTGTTAACATAGTTATCATCATTATCTTATAGAATCATATCAATTCATCATTATTAATTAATAATGGTATTAGATATTATAGCAGTAAATGTTTGGTTGTTGCTGAACACGATAATAAAGATTTATTGTCATCGACATTGAATACCATTACAGCGGCAAACAAATTGGGATCGGATGTATTGTTGTTGGTTGCAGGTAACAATTGTAAATCAGTGGTAGACAAGGCAACAAAGATCAAGGGTGTCAAGACTGTTTTCCATGCTGACCATCCACTACTCGAACACGGTCTCGCCGAGACATTGTCACCAGTGGTTGTCGGTCTCAAGGAACGTCAGCAACTCACTCACATCTTCACACCGGCCACCAACTTTGGTAAGAATTTCATTCCACGTGTCGCTGCACTCTTGGACGTCGGTGCAGTCTCTGACATCACCTCTATCAAATCGGACGATACTTTTACGCACCCAATCTACGCCGGTAACGCTATCGCCACCGTAAAGTCAGAGGATGCCGTCAAGATTGGAACCATCCGTACTACAGCATTTGAAAAGGCACCGGTCGAAGGTGGATCCGCTGCCGTAGAACAACTCGATTGGATCGCACCACTCGTCGACCAAGCTGCCAGCTCCACCAATATCAAATGGGAGGGTTCCCAAGTGATAAAGTCGGAGCGTCCAGAGTTGACCGGTGCTCGTGTCGTCGTTTCAGGTGGTCGTGGTATGAAGAGCGGTGAGAATTTCAAGATGTTGGAAGAGTTGGCCGATACCATGGGTGGTGCTGTCGGTGCATCGAGAGCCGCCGTCGACAGTGGATTCGTATCGAACGATCTCCAAGTCGGTCAAACCGGTAAGGTCGTCGCACCAGAACTCTATATAGCTGTCGGTATCAGTGGTGCCATTCAACATCTTGCAGGTATGAAAGACAGTAAAGTTATCGTTGCCATCAACAAGGATGCTGAAGCTCCAATTTTCCAAGTTGCCGACGTAGGTTTAGTTGGTGATCTATTTAAAGTTGTACCAGAATTAACAGAAGCAATTAAAAAGGCAAAGTAAATTAAAAATTAATTTATAATATAAAAGATAATATTTCACACAAGAAAAATAAACAAAACAACTATTTAAATACAAACAAACCAATCAAGATAATATTCATTTGGAAACTAAAAAAATATTTATATAAAAGATAAATTTATTTTATTAATTTAATTGGATATCTAGATATGTAACAACCAATAGCAATAGATGCAACTAATACTATTACAATAGGATTAGTTAAAAAAAAAAAAAATTTTTTTTTTACAGAATTGTTATTGTTGTTGTTGTTGTTGTTGTTCAGAGTTGTTGTTGTTAATTTTTCAAAAGTTATTGCTGGTTTTGGATTTGAAGAATTACCATCTTCAATTTTAAATTGTTCAAATCTATTTTTATAGGTTGCATGTAATGCAAATGATGGTTGACGACCGAATCCATTACCAATCAAATTGATATATCGAAGTGAATTATTGTTAACAAGTGACTGTTGGAAACTATCGGCACACTCTACACCAAATTCATTACATGATAGATCGATCGATGTTAGTGTATGATTTACTGCTAGACCACATGCAATTTCATGGCCAATGTTGGTTGATAATGAATTTTGGTAGAGATCAAGTGATGTCAATGTAGTATTCTTTGAGAGTACTTGGAAAATGACATTTTCTTCCAAAACTTTAATTTGATTTTTTCTTAGATTAAGAGTCTTTAATGTATTGTTATAAAGAAGAGCATTCAATATCGGTGATGTTCCACTGGTTCCAAGTATATTTCCACCTAGATTAAGTGAAATCAATGATTTGTTTGTGAGAAGATAGGCACCTAGGATTGCACCTTGTATTGATTCAATGGAATTGAGTGATAGATCCATTGATGTCAATGTCTTATTGAATAGCAGTGCTCTCATAATATCAGTGACATCACTATCGATAAAAGCATAGGAGAGATTTAGAGTTGTTATCTTTTGATTCTGTTCAATCATTCTTTGTAGTCCAGCTTTTGATTCAGAGCTTCTAATCTTTGTGTAGCTTAAATTCAGTGTTTGGATATTTGGATGTTCAACTACAGAATCAAATACACACTGTCCAAATCTACCAAATTCATTTACCATGAGATTTAGGTGTTCTAGTTTGGGTGAGTTTTGTATATATTGTCCTAGTTGTTGACCATCTATATTTCCAACCATTGCCAATGATATCTTTTTGATTTGTTTGTTCATTTCAAGTGATGATATTATTTGTCTGAGTGAACCTTCACCAAATCTGTTGGTATCTAAAATCAGTGATTCAAGTCCAGTGTTTCGTTCGATCATTTTTGATAGTTCCATAGCTCCAACCTCTCCAATTCCATTTTCATTCAGATTGAGATGTTGTAATGTATTATTGTCATTGGCAAGTACATGAGCAATCTCTCCAACACCGTCCATCATTAAATTGAATGACAAATTCAATGATCGTAGTGACTTGTTATCTCGTATCAACAGCGCCAATTCACTTGCCCCTTTTTGTTTCAAACAATTATTTTCCAAATTTAAATATTCAATCGTTCCATTCGCACCAATGATATAAGATAGTAGTGGAATAATATCAGCTCCAAGACGGTTGTGTCCAATATCAAATTTAACTACATTCTTTGGAATCCTTGGAATCATTCTTTTCAACAAACAAAATTTGTTGCCATCACCATGTTGTAGAGAACTAAAATCCAATGACCGCAAATTGCTTGACAGTAACATAGTCTGAGTGAAAAATTTGAGGACATTATTATTGATCGAATCAAAAGTAAAGGTCAATTCAGAGATAGAGTTGTTCTCGGTTGGAATGACTGTCTTTGAAAGTGAGTGGTTCTGTAAATAGGCTGGCAGTAACCAAGAGTCAGTAAAAGAATAATCAATACCACTAAATCGGAGTGGTACACCTGTAACACCTGTCGTTTTCAATCGATTCAGTTGTACAAACGATCGGTTGTTAATCACCTTAATGCATGGATACATTAGGAATGGTATAACAGAGTTTGACCAAGATTTGCATACCAGTGATAGTCTTAGGATCGATTGTAGATTTACCAACTTGTCAGAAAATACAGGACATCTATCAGGTAAATAATGATACAATATAAAATTTAAAATATGACGCCAAATAACTGATGGAAGTTGTGGTGTTGTAGATGAATGTGTATATACATTTTTATTATAACCTTCATTCTCTAGAGATAATAATCTGAATTGTTTATGATTAGAGTTGTAAAGTTGATCTAAAATCTCTAAACTTCCCAATTCTGGTATCTTTACAATGTTATTCTTATTAGTAATAACCATTGTATTATTATTACTTTTATTTTGTAAAAAACATTTAATTTTATTTTTTACTGTTTGCATGATTATTTTTTTAATAATGGGCAGATAGAAATAAATAAGAATTTAAATTATAAGAAATAAATAAATCAATTATTATTATAAAAAATATATATACTTATAAATATATAATTAAATATAAACTATTACTTAAATTAAAAAATGTTTATGGATTTTTAAATTAATCAATTTGGAGGTTGGTTCATGACAATGCAAAGATGCAAAGATTTCAGTGGAAATCTTTAAGCAACCAACTTCATAGTTGAAATGATAGTGAGAGGTGTGTTGGACACTTTTAATTAAACGAAAGATATATATTGAAATAAAATGAATACTTTGATCTGAATTCTTTGTATTTGAATCATTTATTTGCAGTGGAAAAAAACAACATAAACAAGTGGTTCACCCTTATATTTTGAAAAAAAAAAAACAAAATTTTTTTTAAAGTTAATAAATTTCATTGAATTTTTTGTAAACAGCGCGCAACAAGAATTTTTTTATGATACTTCTTTTTTAGTTTAAATTATTTATTTGATTAATGGTTTCAATGATTACAAAGAAAAGAATTTAATAAATGAGAGAAATTATTTTCAAAGTTTATTGTAATAACCATGAATATTACCAAAATACTATTTTATTAACGTTAATAAAAACTAAACTATTTTTTTAATCTTTTACAAAAAAAAAAAAGAATAATTAAATCATATTTGTTATATCAAATCAAATTCATCCCTCAATTGACTGATTTACAAAACTAAAATTAAACTTTTATTTATTTTTTTTAAAAATGACCCTTGATAATTTTTGGTCGGGTCCAACACCACAAATGAGTCAAAACATTTCCTAACTTTTTAAGGTTTAATTTGATCAAACAATAAAAACAATATATTGTTTATTCTTTATATATTAACTATATATATTTATTATATATTTATATTTATAATGAATGGTAGTAATGATTGTATAAATAATAGTGGTAACACTATTATCAAATGCAAAAATCATACGATACCTATTGATCTCATTTGTTATGACTGTGTTTTGTTACTATGTTCACAATGTTCACCTCTTCATAGAAATCACCATTTCGATCATGTCAGAAACATTAAATCATCAATCTATCTCAATCAAAAAAATAATTATAATTTAAAAAGGTGCAATGATAATAGTAATACAACAACTAACAGCAGTAACACTGTTGATAATAATGATCAACAAAATCAAACATTAAATAATAGTATCAATAATAATAATAATAATAATAGTATAATAAATAATAATGAAACAATAGATTTTAATAATCCAATTAATAATAATTTACAAACATTGTGGGACTCTTTAAAGTCATCGGTTGAAACATTCAATGCATTGAAATTGGATGAGGAAGATGTTTCACAACACTTTAGAGATCTACATCAATATCTCATTACCCAGGAATATAAATATAAACAACAGATCACCAATGACATTGATTTTGTTCGTGAAAAGATAGAATCAGATATAAAACAATTCAAACCACTTGTTAACATTGTCAATACTGTTAAATATGATATATCTACCAATAATAATAATAATAATAATAATACTTTAATAAATAGTAATAGTAATAGTAATAACATAGATGAAGTAGACTGTACAACAACTGGTGATGAAGATCAAAATGATGATGGTGATATAACCTATAGTTACCAAACAGATGGTGTTATTGATTCTGTTGCTGCATGTTCTACACTCTCAGAGTTTATGTCTGCCAATAGTCAATCTTTGTTCTCTGTAGACAAAACAAAATTGGAAAATGTCAATGATGACTCAATTTTGGACTCTGTTTATAGATACTTGGATGGATATAGATTCGATGCTGTCACAGAGTTTGAGAAACATCTCAAACATTACTACAAGGTGGATATCAATCAAATACAGACCAACAAGATAAAACAAAACTTTGAAAAATCAATTCAAATCAAGAGAATCAATAAGGTTAAAACAGAACAAGAGAAAGAAGAAGAAGATGAAGATGGAGAACAACAACAGCAACAACAACAATTACTTAAAGATCAAACTATATCAAAGGTAAAAGTTAAAAAGATACCAGCTGCAATCAATAATCAACTATCAGAGAATAAGAAACAAGTTTATCTTGTTACCACCGATAAGAATGGACAGATAACCAAGTTGGATGTTAATAAGAACTACCAGGAGGAGCATTTACCGTTGCAATTCAATAATGTCAATACATTCAATTCAGTGGTTACTATTGGTGAGCATGTCTATGTGTTTGGTGGTGCCGAAGGCTCCAAGAAGCAATTCAAACGGTTCTCTGTAAAGACCAATATCATCGATTTGGAGGCAGACATGTCGAGAGTCGAAGGAGAGAGAATCTCTGCTTGTTATAATGGCAAGAATCACATCTACCTGTTGAACGGTAACAAAAAGTCACACGTGGAAATCAGTAGATACGACATCGAGACCAACAAATTCGATCGTTTTGCATTCTTGAACAACACTCACGAAGCAGTGCTACTCTCGTTCTTCTATCAAGATATGTTGTATAGCGTTTGTCGTGGTGCAACAAAGATCATTAGATTCAATCCAAACAATAAGCAACGTGATGACATCTCAGTGGATGGCGATCACATTGAAAATGGCTCTGCTTTCTGCACCGATGGCAAGGGTAATATCTATATACACTGTCTCACTGACCAACAGAGATTCGTCAGGTTCAACGTCATCGAGAGAAAAGTTGAAACACTCAATCACGCTATCAATATGGAGATCTTGTTCTACTTGTCGATGGTGTACGATCCCAATCACGATCTTATCTATCTTCTCGGAGGCAAAGAATATCAAAACTATATCTACTCTGTCAAGCACAACAGTTGGTATAATTTCTATAGCAAAGATGAATCAACAAGATATTGGTGTGGAACAGCAATTGTAACATTATAAATAAAAGATTTAAAGTATTTAAATAAATAAATAATTTGTTTTTTCTTTTTATTTGATATCATATTCTTTGTTTTAAAATTTAAATAAAATTTAAAGGTTATCATATTATACTCTGTTGACCATTTCAGATCTTATTGATATGGAACAGTTGGAGGTGGTGGCAAGTTGGAGAATATCGAAAACTTTCTTTCTCTGTTTTCTGACGATGATGGGGAAGTTATGTTTGTACTAGAGCTGGATGGTGATGTAGGTGTTGAATTGGATTTATCTGGTGAAGTAATAAGGAATGATCTTGGTGGAGGTGTAGGTGCTGCATTGATTGAACTTCCTGAGGGTGATAAACTAAGATTACTACCTCCAGATGATGACAAACTTATATTACTACCACTTCCACTGCTGCTATTGTTACTGATAGTACTCTGATTATTATTATTGAATAGATCCATTGAAATTGGTGCTCTTGAAAGTGTTCCATTACCTGATTTTGTTGATGGTCTTAATACACTCGGTTGAAGATGAGGATTTGGTGGTTGGTTACTGTTGTTGTTGTTGTTGGATGGGTATGATTGTGATTGTAAATCTTTAATTACAGAGGAATTATTTGAATGTGAAATTACTTGATGTTGTTGATGATGTGTTGGTTGATGATGATGATGACTTTGTTGAATAAAAGATGAATTGGTTGCACCTGGATATTGAAGATGATGAGCAAGTGAATTTGGTTTGAATATATTTTTGGCGTTCTCGGCGGTGACTCCTGGTGGAGCTGGCTTTGGTCTTGGTGGAAGTGGACGTGATCCAGCTTTTACACCTGTATTATTATCATCTCCGGGAGCAGCAACTGGAGCAAGTGGAGGTGGTCCTTCGTCATCAGAGTTACTCAGTACTTTTGGTTGGATAGTGGCAATATCGGAACTACCGAAATTCAAAGGACAAATATCGACCAGCGTCTGATTCGATTCAATCAAGAGTCTGATGAATGATTTCTCCTTCTCAATGTTGCTGAGGAAAAGCTCTGGGTTGTGACAACGTAGAAGTGATGGTGCGAAAACCATTGAAATATTATCGATATTCATCTTGCTGTACTCTACATTCTCGGGGAGTGTCAGTTCCTTGAGAAACTGTGAGATGTAGGCAACGATTCGTTGGTTGTGAGGTGGCAGTTGACGGAAGATCGCCACGATATCAGTGATACTCTCGCAGTTGACAGCGTCTTCGTAGAGATTGTCAGAGACGAGTGCATGAGGAATTTCACGTAGCCATGCTTTGAGGGTGGAGGTGATGGTATGTACATTGTTCTCGGTCACTGTGTAGTCACCTTCGTTCAGGCGACGCTTGATATTGGCAACGTCAGTGTTGTGTCCGGGAATACGAAAGATTCCTTCCGCTTTCATTCCACCGTGAATCTTTATAGAGTTGATGAGGAGCACTAGGATATAGGGAAGATTCAGCTCTGGATAGCGTTGCTTCTGTTTCTCCATCACCTCGGAAATTGGGATGCCAAAGACAGCGTTCGGATGGCTGGACGGTGTCTCGCGTTGACCGCCCGGAACATACGACGCCATGAGATCTTTGTGAGAAGTCGATTGTCCACCGCCGCTGCCGCCGCCACTTCCAATCTTTAATGCAGCCATTGTTGTTCGCCAGCCTTTCTTTTTCTTTTCACACGGTTCAAATGCAAAGTCTGGCCAAGGTTGGTTCAGTGATTTATTAAAGTTGACGAATGCCATGATATCTTTCTTGGTATCGATACCGTTGATTGTTTCTTCCGACGACTTTATATGTGAGCTTAGCTTTGCCGGTATGGTGTCACACTCGGTAATGAATTTCTTGAGATTAGTCTTCATTCTCTGCATACGGATAGTCTCGAGTCTCTGGAAATCCTGTTGAATCTTTGGCAGCTTATCATTGTGAAACGATGATTGATAGCGATTGGCAACCACAACCTGTTGTTTATATTCATCTTCGGCCTCCTTTATTTTCGATGCATCGCCACCATCCTCAAACAAAGAATCATATTTGGTCTTTGCATTTCTAAGTGAATCAAATACTTCTTTTCTTTCTTTTGCCAACATTTGTCCATCTGTAATATACTAATTAATTGTTAATAGAAAGTGTATTTATCTTATTATATTTCTTTTGAGCGGTACAACATACAGTTTTTTGTTCATTTTTTAAATCTTTCATAAATGATTTCAATGGAATATTAATGTCATCATTTATTTTCTGTACTACTTGAAGTATATGATTTGAATATTGATTGGTACTATCTACAATAACAGAAAATGCTCCACTGATTCCACCCAATTTCTTTAAACTTGGTTGTGATTTACATAGCTTTTGAAGATTCTTGGCGTATTCTTCTTCAATTTGAATACGCTTCTCTAGATATTTTCTAATGATATTGGTATCTTCAAATCCTTTTTCAACTTCTTCTGCAATAATTTCTACTTCATTCTAACAATCAATTTAGATTAAAAAAAATATATTTTTTTTTTTGTTTTTTTTTTAGTGAAGAGTTAGTTGAGTGTCTTTTTGACTATGAATATATTTAGTATGTTGATGTGAACTATTCTTCATTGTTGTTATATTTGAATTAATTCAAACAATTCTGTGTTTTGTTTTGTTTTGTTTTGTTTTGTTTTGTTTTGTTTTGTTTTGTTTTGTTTTACTTTTGTGTGTTTTTCTTTGTTTACTTACATTTAATGGAAGTTTTGCAGATCCTATAAGATTAGCCATTTGTACAATTATAAAATATCAGAAAAAAACTAAAAAAGATATAAAAATATAAAACAATAAAACTTTAATACAATATCATAAATAAATAAATATTTTTAATTGAATATATTCAAAACAGTTTGATAATTCTTTTTTTATTTACACAAACTAATGATTGATTTACTAGAAGAAGAAGTGGTTGGTTATAATATTATTATTAAATTAGAAAACTACTACAACATATTTGAAATTGACAAGAATAACAACAATTGGTAGACAGATGTAAACCAATAATCTTAGATATTCAACCTCCTAATAATTAGAAAACATAAAAAAATTTGAAAAATGATCAATAATTAATTTTATTAAAACAAAACTTTTTGAAACCCACATTTGTGCCTCCAAAAAGCCAAAAAACACCTTTTTTTTTTTTTTGTCGGATTTACCACTTGATTATTGCAAAGGTGGTTTACCATTTTTTGTTTTTTCCCAAACTTATCTTTTTTTGTTACACAATTACAAACTGACTCTTTTTTTAAAATAACAATACAATGTAATAATCATAGGTTGTTTGTTGTTTAGATAATTATTTATAATAAAAGAGATCAAATAAGATTTGGCTATCTACTCTCTTTTTTTTTTTTTTTATACAAAAGAACGTTTTATTATTTTTACAGATTAATTTTTTATGAAGGCATAACTCTTTTTACTTTTACTATTCTAAAGGTTGAAGTCCCATCAGCCAGACACTTGTTGAAAAGTGGTAGTCCTCCACCAGCTTTGTTACCCAGTCCCATTGAGAGTGCACCGTCTTCAACTTTCATTTGTATTTTCTTTAGTTGTTCTATTAGATCTTTTGGACATGTGAATTCCACTACTGTCGATGGTTCAGTGTCCGTCCATTTCTTACCGGATAGATACTTGTTGGCGTAGGCTCGACCTACCTCGCCTTCGATGATCGCTTGATACGGCTGAGTGTCAGGCAGTAGTTTGTGTTCCACCAAGTAACGTACCTCTAAATCACCCATCGGTCTGTATACATTGGTACAGCCGTCGGGTGCCACAGAGCTAGGTGCTTCCAACCAAGCAGAAGTCGATCCCCTATGCGTAATATTAAATAGCTTTCCCGATTCCAAAAGTTCCTTCTCGTGAGTAAAGAGAAATTTACTGAGCTTTCCCATTGGCTCTGCTCTTGCCAATGCTTTTTCAAAAGATTTTTGATTTTCTATTCTACATTTATCTTCCATTTTATTTTCCTATTCCATTATTTATGTATCACTTTTACGTTGCATATTAATAGTACTAGTAATATTTTTTTTGACGAAAAAATTGAGAAAAAAAAAATAATGATCAAAAAATTTCCAAAATTTAAAGATACATGTTAAAAATCATTATCACTTATTAAGATTCTAAAAGATGTATAAACCTTATTCTAAAATATTTCCAATGATACTTATAGAAACAAAAGACCTACTATGTAGAAACTAGTTTATTTTTTTTATATTTATTTTTTTATAATTTTTTTTTTATATTTAATAATAGTATTGTTAAATGAATAAAGATATTTATAATAGAGTATTTAACAATCAATTTTTAAAAGATACAATATTTAGAAATATTAGATGGATCTTCCAAGAATTCGAAGGTTGTTATTTGGATAGTCAGTTATTTTCATGGAGAGAGCTAGAGAAAAGACCTGATATAGCAATACAATACAACTATTTCGATGTTGTTAAACGTTATTTCTCAGAGTTAAAGTTATCAACTAGAAAATATGAAGTGTCTGATACAAGATTACTGATAAACACTGCAATCTATGCATTAAAGAATGATCAACTAGATGTTTTAAAGTTCTTGGTCGGTGAGAATGGAGCTCCAAATGGCAGTCACATTAATTATAGCTTGTATTTTTCTGGTGTGGATGTTTTTCAATTAATATGCAAAGCTTAAGTTGGTCCAAATGAAGAGGATTGGTTAAGACGTAGAGATACTTTTGATTATCTATTATCATTCTATAATAATAATAGTGATCGTGATGATTTGGAGGACATTACGAAAATACCTGCTTTGATTGCTTCTCCCTTGAGTGGATCACTAGAGTTGTGTAAATGGGCAGCCAACACATTCAAAGAAGCAAAAAAACTGGTGACGATGGATAGTGATCGTAATCCACACGATGAGATCTACGAGAATGCTGCCAAGAGTGGAAAGTTAGAGATTCTTCAATGGTCATTTGAAATGTATCACAGGGAACTTGGTAGAAAAAGTCATATTTGGCGATCAGCATGCATAGGCAACAATATTGATATGCTCAATTTTATGTTCCTACAACCACAGATTAACAGATTGTTCAATGTTTATGATCTCATTGACGAAGCTGTCAAATCAAAGCAAGTAACCATAGAAGTACTCGAATGGTTATTCTCACACAATGCTAACTACAACACTGAACAGTTACTTGAGAATGCAATTCAACGTGGAAGTGTAGAAGTTATCAAATGTCTTTATAAACATTTAGGTAATAATGACAATAATAATGAAAATGATAGCAATAATCAATTCAATTTAATAGCTATTGAATGGTTCTTAAAGAATTGTAAAGATAGAGAATTAAAAGTATTTGAACTAGCCATTTCAAATAATAGTCTGGCAATCATTCAATGGGTACATCAATATTCATCGGTAGAAGGAGAGACAAATTGTTTAGACATTGCAGTCAAGAATCGATATTTCAATCTATTGGCCTGGTTTACAAGAAATGAACGTAGAGAGTGTTACTCGAAATCAGTACTTGAACAAGTCTATATTAAAAATCAAATGGAAGAATTTGAATGGCTTCACGAGAATCGTACTGAACGATGCGATCCTGTTCGCTTCAAGAAACTATACTTTAGATACCCATGGACTATATCTAATAATATTAAAAATATCTATAGATCATATAGTATTAAATAAATAGTGATTAATGTTATTTGTAACTAAAAATTCCAATAAAAAAAAAAATAAACAAATATGATATGAATGAGGTACGTTTAGTTTGTTATTTCAAATTTTAATAGTAATTTTAGTGATTTCATAATTTTTATATATTAAATAAAACAAAAACCCATTTCGAATCAAATTTTTATTGTTAAAATTTGATATTTGATCATTTTGTATGGTTTACCTTGTTTTCAATCAGTGATCATCCAGTGATGAAAGAAAAAAATATAATTACAGAAATTTCTATTTTTAACTTTTTTTGATTATCACCAATGTCTTTAATATTTATATTCTATGGTTTATCAACTACTAAATTTGGTGAGACAGCAGCAATTGTTTAACATTTTTAGCCTTTGATCTGAAAAAGTTACCTGTATTTGGCCACTTTTTAATGTGAGCAAAAACATTTTCTATTATGATTACTACATACTTGAATCTATTTTCTTCTTCTTTTAAGATATCCTCTTCTGGATCCTTTCTATTTTCCCTGTCAATAACTATAAATTTTTGTATAAATGATGTGCAATCGTCCACAATTGTTCAGGTGATAATCTACTACTTTCAACACCACCTTTATCTAACTTTATATTAATATATTTAATTCTACATTATTATTATTTTTTTTATTATCTTTTAAGACATCACCATTTACAATCACGACACTGTTTGCTCCTTTTGTAGGAATGCCACATTTGAAGACCTGCTGAGTACTATTATCGTGAGAAGACACAATCTTGAGCGTTTGGGAAAGATAACAAGAATTAGGATCTTCACTATTATCAATGTCAATATTGTCTGACCATATTCTATTCTATACCGGCAACTCTCTGCAAATTAAGTGCCTTTAGTGACCAGCAGGTAGTTCAACACAACAGTTTAATCTTTTTTTTACCCATCCCACATTAATTTTCGACTTCCACCACAAAACAAAACTGGCTCCCAACAACTTTAACCTGCGCATAAATTTTAAAAAAAATGTAAAAATTAAAAATTGGTCTGGTTTATGTGATCAGAGTGGTTTTTTTTATTTTATTAGATTTATGGTAACAAGTAAAAGCCAGTTTTGTTTTGCATAAATTGATAACATAACAATATTAAATTGATATAGTATTTATTTAAAAAAAAATGAAAAGAAAACATGAACAAGATAGTATCAGTTCGAATGTTGAAGATAATGATGACCTCCTCCAACTTTCAATGACATTTGATCATTATAATTCTAATGATCAACAAACAATAGTTCTCCCAACAGGTGAACCCGTAACGAAAGAACAACTTTTATTGAAAGTCATCGATCTTCATCCAAACAAAGCAAATGCTTATTTCAAGTTGGCAGCAATTCTTAAAACTGAAAATCGATCATCTATCATTCTTTCATCAGGCCGATCAATGACACAACAACAACTATACTTATTAGCCATCGAGTGTGATCCAACCAATTCACGTTCATATCATAACCTTGCAAAGACACTTTCAAGTGGCGAATCAATCAAACTTAATGATGGACAATCAATGACAGAGCAACAACTATACTTGAAATCAATAGAATATGATCCAACGAATTCTGATTCATATTATAACCTTGCAATGACACTTTCAAGTGGTGAATCAATCACAGTTAATAATGGAAAATCAATGACAGAACAACAACTATACTTGAAATCAATAGAATGTGATCCAACAGATTCTGATTCATATAATAACCTTGCAACTACACTTTCAATTGGTGAATCAATCACACTTAATGATGGACAATCAATGACTGTACAACAACTATACTTGAAATCAATAGAATGTGATCCAAAAGATTCTGATTCATATTTTAACCTTGCAATGACACTTTCAAGTGGTGAATCAATCACACCTAATGATGGACAATCAATGACTGTACAACAACTATACTTGAAATCAATAGAATGTGATCCAACCAATTCAAATTCATATAATAACCTTGCAAATATACTTTCAAATGGTGAATCAATCACACTTAATAATGGACAATCAATGACAAGACAACAACTATACTTGAAATCAATCGAGTGTGATCCAACCAATTACCGTTCATATTATAACCTTGCAACTACACTTTCAATTGGTGAATCAATCACATTAAATAATTCACAATCAATGACTAAAAAACAACTATACTTAAAAGCAATAGAGTGTAATCCAACCGATTCCGGTTCATTTTTTCATCTTGGTGTTACACTATCCCAATATGAAACAATCAAACTCCAGAATGATGTTCGAATGACAAAACAACAAATATTAATGGAATCACTAAGATTAGGTCAACAACTAAGATCGGTTTACAGATTCATTGGATTAACACTTTTAAACAACAAAAAAAAAATTACACTTCCAAATGGTGGACAAATGACAAGAAGACAACTACTTCAAAAAGCAAGAGAATAAATAAAAATATAACTCTATTTCTTAAAAATATTTTATTCAATCAAAAATAAGAAGGCATTGGGAAGAATGATAGGTCGATTATTAAACCTTGAACTTGACCAAAGTGTTGTATCCAAATAAGTACAGGGTATGGGGGAGCAGTCCATTTACCTCAAGAAAAATACTTGAACATTGATCACCCAAGGAAAATACAGATCATCAAGTAGATCCTGATCATCATTATCTGTGTATCTACTCATTTTATGAAGAAAAAGATAATAATCAAGTTTTAACATAGGTTAGAAATAAAGAGAGAAACAATGGATCAAAAAAACAAAAAAAAATTAACCACAACTTTAATTCTGATTATTTTTTTTCTTATTATAAATCTTATCATATAATAATGAAGGATGGAATTTACTAACTTAATCAGATCTAAAAAGAAACTTATTGAATCGATACCTTAAGAGATAAAACAAAGAAAATAAGATATACGATCACTAACCGAGTCTATTGATATTAAATTAATAACACTATAAATATATATAGATGAAATCTTAATTTTAAAAATAGTCTTTGGTTAAATAAAATTTAATATTAAGATATTATACAATTTCAGAAACAATGGGGGGGGGGGAAAAATTATAAGATACAGTTTTCTGATAGGTGAAACAATTATTCAAACAAAAAAAAAAAAGAAATGGTTGATAATTATATTTGATTCTACCCACTATAGAGAATGCTGTTAAAACAAAAAAATATGGTAGAATGCATTGTTGATTTCCCCCCCATTGTTTCTGAAATTGTATAATATCTTTTGGGATATTCAATACGATATGTCGACCACACAACAGTTCTTTATGTTGTATATCGTTTCTTAAATATAATACACCATTTCTAATCCTTATCTTTGAATTCTTCTCAACCGGTCTAATAAATGCATTCTTATCCTCATCAGGGCAAGTATCTTCAACATAGCCTGAAAACTCTGCTTCCCATAACGAGTCAGTTGAGGAACCACCTTTTTCATTAAGAAGAACTGTCTTGAAATAGAAAATTTGATTATTCATCATATCAACTATATCTTGATGTCCTTCAAAGACCACTCTCCAGCATGATTCCATACAAGTTGGTTTAAAACAAGTTTCTTGGCGATCAGAAATAAACTCAGCAAGATCCACAAATGAGTAACAAATAAATATTCTTAAATTTCTCATCTGATAACAATTGTGAAAAACAAACTAATTCTTACTTTTATTTTTATCATATTTTCTTATAAATATGATATTGCAATGCTAATGATCTAATAAAGTATATTCATTCTGTCTTTTTTTATGTTGATGATATTCGTTATTTTGGTTTACAATCAATTGCTAAACGACCTCTATTATCTTTGATTTCAGTTGAACAACCATTCTTTATCAATAGATCTATGATATCTTTATGATTTTGTGAATATGCTTTGTGTAGTGCTGTCATTCCATCTGAATCTCTTTCATCAAGCATTGTACGATTACTACTTCTTTCAATTAATAGTTTACAACTCTATAGTAGTAGATGTAATGTATCAAATTGTTAGTTTCATAAACAAACGCGATATCCGTTTAAACCAAATGAATATTGAAAGTTCAAAACGAAATAAAACAACATTACCGTTAAACTACCACAATAAGCAGCTCTTTGTAGTGGTGTAGCATGGCCACTCTCTGTGTAGACCAAAGGCAAAGCACCATGCTCCAATAGTAACAAAGTTGCTTTGGCATCGTGATGTCTCACTGCATAGTGAAGTGGATAGTATCCAGAGGTGTCTGCAGTGTTGGCGAGTGCCGGATTCGCACGTAGTTGCGATGACAGCTTCTCAATGTTGTTGTTCACTACGGATCCCCAAACGCCACGCTCAAAAGAGAGTTCATCTAAAGTCTGTGAAGTTCCAGAGCTATCGGAATGATTACAAATGTGACCATCATCTTCATTGTGTCCATCATGATCATGATGGCTATGATTATGACTACATCTATGTGACATACCTATCAAATCAAATCAAAATTGATCGATAATTAACTAATTTTGATATAAAAAATAAAATTGATGTATTTTTTTTTTATTTCTATTTTTTTTTTACTTTTTTTTTTTTTGATCAAAATAAAAAAATAAAAATCCAATATCACAAACAATCTTTGTCCAAAACCAAAAAGAATCAAATCTTTTGAAAAAAAAAAAAAAAGTTTTTTAGTTTTAACTTTTATGATAATCGACACCATTGTTTTTGTGTTTTATTTACCCCTAATGTTTTGTTTCTTTTATAACTGATAAAATCAATAGTAGTGGTTTTTATTAAACATCAATCAATCAATCAATCATTCAGTAAATCAAAAAAAACATATAAACAATTATAATTGTTTGCATCAAAAAGAGAAAGAACTTTGAAAATTAGTTATTAATAAACTGATCAGAAATCATTCAAATCATTCGCGCAAACACACAACCAATTAAAATCATTAATTAAATGTTGTTTAATTATTTAGAAATTAATAATAGTTAGATATTATATAGTTTATATATTATATTTTATATATATAAACAAAAAAAAAAAAGAAAAGAAAAAAAATAAACAAAATTGTAATAATAGAAAAGTAAAAAAAATAATAAACTTATAATCATTCATATATAATATATTAAAAGAAAATGGCAGAACAAACGGTAAGTTAAAAGATTTATCAAAAGACGAAAAAATATATATTTTTATTTTTTTTGTCACTCAATCATGTGGCTTGAATCAAACTTACTGATCATATCATTTCATTTATGAAAAATTAGGTACGAATAAAATGTATATTGGGTGGTGATATTAGAATTATTAGAGTTAGTGTCAATGTGGAATATGAAGCGTTGTTGATGCAGTTGGAATCAGAGTTTGGACAATCAGTACAGGTCTATCAGTATGAAGATTACGAAGGTGATTTGATAACGGTACGTGGCAAGTCCGATCTGATGGAGGCAATCTATATATGTATTGAGTTGAAGAACAAACCGATTTCATTGCGATTCTTCTTGAAACCTACGAACGCCGCTTCCATCCGTGATCCACCATCGCCACCACAAATTGCCAACAGCAGCAGTAACAGTATCAACAACAGCAATGGAAGTATCAACAGCAGTAGTAACAGTATCAATAACAGCAATAATAACAGCAGCAATATAAATGGATTTCATTCATTACTTTCGAATATGTCAATTTCAACTTCACCAACTTCCACCACCACCACCACATCAATATCACCTACCAATTCCTTTTTAGTAAATAATAATATAAATAATAGTAATAGTAATTTAAATAACAGTAACAATAGTAATATAACACCAACTTCATCATCATCTTCACTTCCCATCCCAAGAAAGAGTTCAAATGCACCACCATTGAGAACACCTCCACCTTCACCTCCAGGTTCACCATTTATGTTTACATCAATGAGTAATGGAAATGGTTCAAATCCAAATTCAAATAATAACTCATTAAATAATAATAATAATAGTAATAGTAGTAATAATAATAATCGTGAAACTACACCACCATTAAGAACACCACCAGGATCACCTAAATATCCACCACCTCTTAGAACACCACCACCATCACCACCTTCATCACCACCCAACAATTCCTATCACATGTTAAGAAGACCAAGTATTGTAGGTGACAGTTTCATAGAGGATGGAGATAACGATCCAGATCATCCATTAGATTTTATTTCCAATCATTTTATGAGTCAATCTTATAGTAATGGTAGTGGTGGAAGTGGAAATGGAAGTAATAATAATAGTAATAATAGTAGTTTAAATAATAATCAAAATCAATTTTCAATATATAGTAATAATAATAATAATAGTAATAATAGTAATAATAGTAGTAATCATAATAATAATCATAATAATCATAATAATATAATAAATCCATTTAGAAAAGATAGTTTCGGTACAAAAAATTTACCAAGACCAACATCACCATTGGTAATGCAACATAATGGTAGTGGAGGAGGTTCCAACAACAATGGAAATGGTAGTAATAATAATAGTAATAATAATAATAATAGTCCAAATAGAGGTAGTACAGATCTATCAAAGTTTAATAATTTCCCAACACTGATTATCAATGAACACGAAGAACTCATCAATCTACAACCTATAAGATGGCAAAAAGGTCAACTACTTGGTAGAGGTGGATATGGTGCTGTCTATCTTGGTTTGAACACTGACAACGGTGAATTGGTTGCCGTAAAACAATTGGAATTAATGGACGCGATGGATTCAAAATATAAATCTGTAAGTTGTTAAAATTATTTCGATAACTTTATAAAGTTTACTAATTTTTTTTTAATATTATTTTATTTTTAGATGTTATTATCATTTAGTAAAGATATTGAAGTATTGAAATTATTGAAACATGAGAATATTGTTAGATATTTAGGTACTTGTTTGGATAGTACACATTTGAATGTATTTTTAGAGTATGTTCCAGGTGGATCGATCAGTGGACTGCTCAGCAAGTTTGGATCGTTCTCAGAGAATGTTATCAAGGTCTATACGAAGCAGATCTTGATGGGATTGCACTATCTTCACAAAAACAATATTATTCATCGTGATATCAAGGGTGCCAATATCCTGATCGATACAAAAGGCACTGTTAAACTCTCGGATTTCGGATGTTCAAAGATCTTCTCTGGCCTCGTCAGTCAATTCAAATCGATGCACGGAACACCCTATTGGATGGCACCGGAAGTCATCAAACAGACTGGACACGGTCGTTCTTCCGATATCTGGAGTCTTGGCTGTGTCATCATAGAGATGGCCACTGCACAACCGCCATGGTCCAACATCACAGAGTTGGCCGCCGTCATGTACCACATCGCATCGACCAACCAGATGCCACTAATGCCAAGCAACCTCTCGCCCGAAGCAATCGACTTTATATCACTCTGTTTCAAACGTGATCCAAAAGAGCGTCCCGACGCATCGACTCTCCTAAAGCATCCATTCCTTATAGATTCAGAAGTACTACATCCTTCTTCACAGTATGTAAATTATAGATAAACAAAATAACAAATCTTTTACATATAAAAATATACACGAGTATATTTATTTCTAAAGAAATAGAATATTTTACTAACCTTTATTGGTTATTTCAATAATAAATTAAATCCATATATCCAAAACAAAAAAAAAAAAAGTGAATTATCAATTCTTATGCCATCAGCACCAAGATATAGATTCTCATCACATATAAATACTCCTACGACTACGATATCCTCTCTACCAAGAGCATTAATGATTCACATTTTTACATTTATACCTCCAACTTCAAATGGAAACTTGCTATCTGTTTGCAAACTATGGAAGAACATCGTTGACGACGACGAACTCTGGATTAAATATTGTTTTAACAGAGGTATTAATAAGATTTCAAAAGATTTAACTTGGAAATCAAATTATATCCATATTAAAAAGTAAGTTTAAATTAATTTGTTAGTAATTAAAAGTTAATTAACATAAACTTATTATTATTATTAATAGTAAACAAAAACAATGGTTTGAATCAAAATTGATTCAAAATACATTGAAAGGACACTCAAAGAGTGTTTATTGTGTCCGATTAGTAAGTGACACTGTGTTGGTGAGTGGTGGTGACGATAAGAAACTCAAGGTATGGGATACGAAAAAATCAAAGCCATTTTCACTCAAAGGACATAGTGGTGCTGTCAAAGCAGTAGATTTTCAAGGTAATGATTTGCAGAGAATCATCACAGGTTCGAGTGATTTCACAGCGAAAATTTGGAATACCAAAACAAAGAAAGCAATTCGTACCTATACCGGACATAAAGATGCTGTTACCTCTATCAACTATCTCGGAGATGTCGAGGGTAAAATACTCAGTAGCTCGCTGGACTCCACCCTTCAAATTTGGGATGCCGAAACGGGATCGACACTCTCCACCATGTCCGGTCACACCAAAGGCATCTATTGTGTGAGATACGATCGTGAACACAGTTCAAACACAGTGGTGAGTGTATCTGCCGATTGGACAGCACGTGTCTTTGACACCAGAACATCGCAATGCGTTCGAACTTTCCAAGGACATGAAGACGATGTCACATGTGTCAGCGTGGTGGGCGGTGAAGCAGTGAGTGGATCTGGCGATGGCACCATCCGTCTCTGGGATATCGGTAGTGGTAAAACAATCTCTACATTCGTGCCACAGGAGATTCAACAGAAACTCTGGGTATGGTGTGTGCAATACGATCGATACAAAATAGTTTCCTCTGGTAAGGGCGGTGTAATTCGTGTGTGGGATCCATACAACACTGAACAATGCAGAACGTTTGGTGGACATCACGAAACTATATTCTCACTACATTTCCGTGATAACAAGTTGGTGACATCCTCCAAAGACAAGTTGGTAAAGATTTGGACATTGGAAGATCAATCCAATTCATCGTCACCAATGTCATCGTCCAATGGAATAACGCATTCCAATTCTTTGTCATCCTCTGGATTGATACAAGCTCCACCACCTTCGCCACCATCTCAACATAGCAACTCTCATCATCACAGCAGCAGTCCATTTTCAATACTCTCTCGAACATCATCTTCATCAAAGTTGACAAACGAAAAATCAAACTAAAATTTTAAATTGTAACTTGGTTATAATAATAATCAAAATGACACTACTACTGTAACACCAAAAATATAATATATAAATATAATATTATTTAATTATAATAAATTATATAACAACAACAACAACTTACCCATTATTATTTTAATTATTATAAAATTAATAATTTATAACAAAGTTTGTAAACTAAAGTTACTTTACAAAATTAATTTATAATCTCTTTATTTTCAAATTCATCACATCATAACACAATTTGATAGAGATTAGATACAATTCTTGTTACTCCAAAAACTATCGCGAATTCACAATGAACAGATATACTTTTTGTCTATCTGTTATTTTAACAAGTAAATTTAAATTATAAAAAATCTATCCAATCCTTTTTTGTTTGTATATTTTAAAAATCAAAGAACTTGACAACTGCAGATGTTATTACAATTTAAAATTAAAATGGATCAATATTAAAATATTTTTTTTAAAGATATTGTATTTTAAATCCATTTTGTATTAAGTTGTAAAGTGAGATTAAAGACAGTTTTAATTTCAATCAATCAAATAAAAAAAAGTAACATCTCGGTATATAAAGAGAGTCATACACGCTCAATTAATTTAACCTCTTTTTTAACAATGTTCTCATTTTTTTAGAATAAAAAAATTTATTGATCAATTGAATTTGAATCAAAAGATTGTTGTTGTTATTGTTGTTGTTATTTTAGGTTAAATTTGTTTTATCTTTATCTTTTCATACAAAACGGAAAAGAAGTACGAAAAATGAAAATAAATTTTAAGTTGTATCAATCATAAAACTACCTCTTATAAAATCAAAAAAATTAAATCGAAAAAATTGTTAGCAGATATGTGAATGAAAAAAGAAATCCATCATAAAGGTTTAATTTTATCTCTCAACCAAGATCATATAAATCAAATTTAAACCACTACCACAATTACAGATTGAAACACACACATCACTTCAAACTCATAACATTTTGAAAGGACATGTAACAACTCACACTAAAACACAACACAAAACAAAACCAATAACATAACACACCAAAAAATCTTAATAAAATATTAATAATATTTATTTATTATTCAAATGATATATATTTATATTCAATATCACACTTAATTTATATTAGTACATAGTAGCAGGAATGGATTAACAGCTCATCTCTCTGTACAAACAACAAAAAAGAACAAGCAAACAAATCATCACTACCACAATTACAATCAATATCATGTATCATCAGTATATTTATAAATTAATTATTTATAAACTTTAATATGTAGAATCATATGTCTATTGGTAGATTCACAAAGTAAAAGAAGAATGATGGTTTGTATCTTTAAGGAGGATGATGATAATGTTATTGTTTTTGATTTTTGTGATTGTTGATTGATAACGTCAGGATAGATGTGACCTAGAACTAAAAAATGAGTAAATGACGATGTGTGTTTTGTGTTGTATGTGGTGTGTGTGTGTGAATATACTGTGTGATTGACAAACCTGACATAATGATATTAAAAGAGATATCTGATAATATTATATCATTACAATATTAGTATTCCAACCTAATATATTATACATGTATATTCAATCACTATGTAGTGGTACCTAAATTAATTATGTAAATTTATGTGATATCTTACAATCTTACTATAGAATACGGCGGCAGTTTTTTTATATGTACTTGAACGTTTAGTTACTCAAGAGCCGTACGTTGGTTAAAAAAACAATATTGTTATTATTGTTATTGTTGTTTGTCAATTGAATGACAAAGGGAGAGATTTGATGGAATTTTATTTAAATTATTTTATTCTGTATAAATTTGTGAGACTAACCAAAGTGTCATCAATGTCTTTGTAAATTTGGAACAGCTTGTTAAGCGGTATTGAATTAATTCCTAAAGTTGTTTTATCTATCGATTGTTCTTTGGACATACCACCCCTCCTTACCCCTCTCACACTACTCACTCTCTCTGGTTTAAATTTAAACATCATTATAATGATATCATTTTGGTATTATTGTTTTCATAAAATAATAATAATAAATAGTAGTAGGGTATGTACTTTTTTTAATTAGTAATAGCAATTGTAATGCTTTTAATATTAATTATTATGTCCAAAATAAATGTGTGTAAGAGTTGTTTGGTTGGTGGTGTTAGATGTTGGTGTTAAGGATATGTGGAATATGACGAATATGGGGTCACCTATATGATATTGGCACAATCTACCCATTCTATCAGTAAAACAATTTTAAAGAGCCAAAAAGGATTGAATTAATTTCCAATCCTCCATTCTCCAATAACATATCTCATCTATCTTTTCTCAAACTCTATATCTCACTAAATTAAAGGGATCCCCCCAATTATAGTAACTTTTATATCATCAGAAATAACCAAGCAAAAACTATCTTTTCTACTCTTATTTATATCTATTTCAAACATATCATTTTGTTTTACTCTTTCATTTTCAAAAGAAACCTATAGAGAATTCCAAACAATATTTATTTATTTCAAACTAAATCATATATTTTATAAAAACAATAATTTCGATCGCTTTTGTGTTTGTTGTTATTGTTGTTGGCTCAAGTTTCATTTTTACTTTGTGTGCACAGAAAATTGTGTCAATAATAAATAAATCGAACCACACTTATTTCCAGTCCATCAAATACATTTATATAATAACTTGATCACTTTCATCATCATCATCAAAACAGCTCACCATTAGCATCAGCATCAGCATAGATAGTTGCGCTACTACTTGTAGCAATACTCTGATTTCATAGAATCAACACACACTCACTAACACTCACAAGACATCTCAAAAGATACTATTCCCCATTCATTATACTAAACACTGTAAACAGCATCATCATTTAAAGATACATACCACAAACACCACCATCACCACAATTCTATATTTATTGTTGTTGCTGTCAATCAAAATTTATTTGTATTTTTAATTAAAATTTTTAATTTAAATTATTATACAAATTTCTGGATCATACCTATACCAATATAAATACAAATATTTTATTAATTGTAGAATAGGTTTTCAATCCATTTTATTAAACTACCTCTTTTAGTTTATTGTTTTTATATTTCCTGCTTTACAAATTTGTTTTTTTGTTTTTTTTTCTTTTTTGTTTAATGTTGTATTCTAAATAACTAATTTTAATACCAATTATCAATAATAATAAATAATAAAATAATAAATAATAAATAATTAAATATTAAACTAAAATAAAAAAAAAGGTTTTTTTTTTTTTACCATTGAATATAAAAAAATGGGTATAAAAGAAGAAAATAATAATAAAAATAGATTATTTGTGGAAATAGCAACTGAAAATCATCTCAGAGAATCGATAACTCAAGATGATTTCACTTTTACCAGTTGTGATAAAGATTTGAAATCACCACCACAATTTTCCGAAAATATTGTAATAAATACACCAACACCACCTGGTGCTGCAGAACATCCAATATATTTAAGTGATAGTAGCAGTGACAGTAGTAATAGTTTATTTTCCTCTGGTTCCTCATTAGAAGACGAACTCGAAGAAATTGATCTCACACATAATAAATCACTTCCAAGTCGATTCATTGGAATAAAATCAAATTCATACCACCAAACACCTGTAACATTAGCAAACCTATCGAACTCCACCAACTCGGAACAACTGCCGCCAGCACAAATTAAATCATCAAAATCAATACTGGAAGAACAATTGAAAAAATCAATAGAAGTAATTGTTGACCACCTGGAAAATGATGGTAGCGTAGGAGAATCGTCGATGGAAGAGACATCCAATGTTGACTCGTCACCTTCGCCCTCTAGGAAATCTACATCGTTTATGGAATCAACCGAACTCTCACAAAAAAGTATTTTAATTATTTTCTCTGGTCTGATGATGTCGCTGTTTCTCTCGTCGCTCGATATGACCATTGTCGCCACTGCACTGCCTGCCATTGCCGAGGACTTGGGTAGTATGGATCAAATGTCTTGGGTGATTACCATCTACTTGCTGACGTCGACAGCCATCAGTCCACTGTTTGGTAAATTCAGTGACATCTTTGGAAAAAAACTTACACTGCTCTTCTCGCTGGTAACATTTCTCATTGGCTCTCTACTGTGTGCCGTATCCACTTCTATGACAATGTTGATTATTGTGCGTGCTATCCAAGGAATTGGTGGTGGTGGATTGATGGCTGCCGTCATGATTGTCATGGCTGAGATCGTTCCCCTTAGACAACGTGGTAAATATCAAGGTTTGATTGGTGGTGTCTATGCATTGTCTAGCGTCATCGGTCCATTGGTTGGAGGTTCATTCACCGACAATGTAAATTGGCGTTGGGCATTCTGGATCAATATCCCCATTGGTGTTATTGCATTGGTTGTTGTTTTCTTTGCACTCAAGCTGCAACAAGAAGTCATTCCATTTAGAAAGGGAATCAAGCGTGTCGATTTCATTGGAACTCTTACCTCTGTAACATGTATCATTGGCTTCCTGTTGGCTCTGAGTTGGGGTGGACAAGTCTACAGTTGGACATCGCCCATTATGATCGGTCTTTTCGTGGGAACCGCTGTTTTCCTTGGTGTATTCATCCTGAACGAAGCTAAATTCACAAACGATCCAATCATTCCTCTTGAGCTATTTACCAACAGAAACTACGTTCTCTCGATCCTAACATCATTCTTTTTGGGATTCATCATGTTTGGTGTGATCTACTACATTCCACTATATTTCCAAATCGTGATTGGCAAGAGTGCAACTGTTTCCGGTTTGCAACTACTCCCAACTATGCTCGGTATCGTAGCAATGGGTGCAGTCTCTGGCTATCTCATCACCTCGTTCGGTCATTACAAGACCTACCCAGTGATTGGAACACTCTTCTTTACCGTGGGAACATTCCTACTTTCCTACTGGACACCGGAGTCCACTCAAGCCGAATACATTGGCTACCAAATCTTCATTGGATTCGGTATTGGTCTAACAATGCAAGTGTTGACTATGATAGTCCAAAACTCTGTGGAATACAAGTACATTGCAATCGCTACTGCAACCATCAGTTTCTTCAGAACCATCGGTGGAGTTGTCAGTGTCTCGTTGTTCAGCACCATCTTGAACTCACAGTTCCGTTCGAACATCAATCATCTCAATCTTCCATTCAGTATCGACACCAACTCTTTCGATGTGCAATTCGTTCATTCCATTGAAGATCCCGTAGTGAAAGCAGAGATTCTCAATGCCTACTCGAAATCACTGTCCATGGTATTCTTGGTGGCAACACCATTCGCAGCGATGGGATGTCTCCTAACGTTCTTCATCAAGGCACACAAACTCAGAACAACATTGCATCGTCCAGACGATTCCAACAACACCTCAACAGACTCTGACTCGACAATCAACTCTACCAATTCAATTACACAACAAAACCAAACTGAAGGTGAACCAGATTTGAAAATAGAAATAATCAACAAAACTGTAGAACAACCAACAATAACCAATCAAGATATATCAATAGATATTCCAATACCAACTGTTTCAACAACAAATAAAATAACCGATCCACAAGAAATAATACAACCAAAGGAAGATACAATTTCCTAAACCGACGATAACAACTCTCAAAAATTAATATCAAACTTTAAACTATAGTTAATATATACTATTATTATTGTATTTTTAATTATTATTATAATAAATAATCTTTAAAAATATATATACAAAACATGTATTATAACAATTAAACGACAACTCTTTCTATTTTTAGTAATTTTTAAAAAGAAAAAAAAAAACTTGTTCGACAAGGGCCGAAACAATGTGATTTATGAGATGGGTAGTGGCATAATCGGAATTAAATTTCATCAAGAAATTTTGAAATTGAATGAATTTATGCCGATTGATAAAAAAAAAAAAAAAAACAATTATAATACACTATGTTGAAACTTATAAATAATTGTTTATAACAACTGAACTATTTTTTATTTATTACAAAAAATAAAATCTTTCTTAACTAATAATTAATTGAAATGGGAATTAAAGATAAACCAAAAAAAAAAATAAAAGATAAATCTGCGAACCAAAATTAATCATTAAGTGGCAAAAAATTTTTTACACAATTTTTTTGATTAATGAATTTTTTCATTTTTTTTTTTAAAATTATGTTTAAGTGTGGTGAACAACTTCAACCACTAAAAGAAATGGGTGTGTTAAAAAGAAAAAATATCATTAAATTATTATTTTTTTTTTGTTTAATTTATTTTGTTTAAAAAGTGTGTGGGGAACATTTCATTGTGTTTATTTTGTTTAATTAAATAATAACTATCTATTTCTTATCTTAATAAATAAATATTCTTTTTTTTTTTTTTAATTAAATAAATATAAATATTAAAATAATGAGCTCAACTATTAAATATCTTGTTGCAAGAGAGATCTTGGACAGTCGTGGTAATCCAACCGTTGAGGTAGATCTCTACACTGACCTCGGTATGTTCCGTGGTGCCGTTCCATCTGGTGCCTCTACCGGTGCATACGAAGCCGTCGAACTACGTGATGGTGACAAGAGACGTTACCTCGGTAAGGGTGTCACCAAAGCCTTGGACAACATTAGAACCATCATTGAGCCAGCTATCATCGGAAAGGAAGTCACTGACCAAGCCGGTATCGACAACTTGATGATCCGTATGGATAAAACCGATAACAAAGCCAAGCTTGGTGCCAACGCTATCCTCGCTGTCAGTATGGCTGTCTGCCGTGCTGGTGCCGCCGCCAAGAAGGTCCCACTCTACAAATATATCGCACAATTGGCCGGTCGTTCCGACACTGAGTTTATCGTGCCAGTTCCAGCATTCAATGTCATCAACGGTGGTAGTCATGCCGGTAACCGTTTGGCCATGCAAGAGTTTATGATTCTCCCAGTTGGTGCTCCAAACTTCAAGGAGGCTCTCCGTTATGGTGCTGAGGTCTACCACGAACTAAAGAACGTCATCAAGGACAAGTTTGGTCAAGATGCCATCAATGTTGGTGATGAGGGTGGTTTCGCTCCACCAATTCTCTCCAACAAGGAGGGTCTAGATTTGTTGGTCTCTGCCATCGAGCGTGCTGGTTACAAGGGTGACGTCAAGATCGGTATGGATTGTGCTGCCTCTGAGTTCTTAACCCCAAAGGGATACGATCTCGATTTCAAGACAAAGAATAACGACGGTTCTCAAGTCCTCTCTGGAGAGAAACTTGGTGATTTGTACAAAGATTTCATTCAAAATTATCCAATCGTTTCAATTGAAGATCCATTTGATCAAGTAAGTATCACAATGATGTTATATCATTTAATATAATATTCAATTTATACTAATGAATGCTTTCTTTTTTTTTTTTTTTTTTTGTAATAATAATAGGATGATTGGGAATCATATGCCAAGTTGACTGCTTCAACTCACGTCCAAATTGTTGGTGACGATTTATTGGTTACCAATCCAAAGAGAATTCAAGAAGGTATTGAAAAGAAGGCTTGTAATGCTCTCTTGTTAAAGGTTAACCAAATCGGTACAGTCACTGAAAGTATCCAAGCCTGCAATCTTGCAAGATCTGCTGGTTGGGGTGTCATGGTTTCTCACAGATCTGGTGAGACTGAGGATACTTTCATTGCTGACCTCGTCGTTGGTTTGGGTACCGGTCAAATCAAGACTGGTGCTCCGTGCAGAAGTGAGAGACTTGCCAAGTACAACCAAATTTTGAGAATTGAAGAGGAAATCGTTAAAAACTCCAAGTTTGCTGGTGAAGATTTCAGAAACCCAAAATAAATAAATCAAATTATAAATTATAAGATCATAATTCAGTGTCATTTCAAGTGTATTTTTGAAATCATGATTCAATGATGACGATCATCAGATTCAAAACAATTCAATAATACAAAACAATTATTGTTATCAACAATAGTAATAAATAGTATAAAATCAGGTACCATTTGATTGGTGATGAATATGTTTATTTCTTCGAAAAAAAGGCATATGTTTTAAATTGGCTATCTGTTTTTTTTTTTATTAAAAGTTTGTGATATAGTAACCCCTAAATTTTAATTAAATTATCTATTATATTATTTTAGGAGAATTTGGTATTGATTTGATTTCTTGGTTGTTTGTGGTAAATAAATAAAAAAAAATGGTTGATTTCGAAATATTATTAATTGTATGCATAGTTATAGTTTTCATTTACATAGCTTGGTGCCAATCCTGGAATGTTATCGGTGGTTGGCCACATTGTGACTTTAATGGTGTCGGCTACAACAATTTGACCGGCAGGAATGTTGGTATTGGAGATGTGTACCATTGGATTACTACCCTTGACGAAATAGAATGAATCCAAGAGAATCCAACGTGCTCCATAGTGTTGTTGATTAATTACATATTGTCTATTGTCATTGGATTGTGTTGCCACTGTGTAGATTGCGACGTTGGTTTGATTTAGAGCGGCTGGGAACCATACACACACCTCATAGAGACCGGTGGTGTTGATAGGAATCGTCCAGACAACACTGTACGGTGTAATGTTTCCACCGGCCATATAAAGATAGGTGTTATTGTATGCCTGTATCGATTGGCCTGTTTTCCAACCACCGGTTGGTGATACCGTTGCTTGAGCAGTGTCCATGATGATACGTGTCGGATTACCAGTGGTTAAATTCAGACCGAGAATAAGATTCTCTGCGAAAATACCTAGAATCGAAGATTGGTATGGTGGATTTCCGAAATTTTGATAGCCATCGGTGAACGCTGACATAATCAATTCTCTTCCATTGGGTAGAATGACATGTGCAATCTCATTGACATCGGTTGAACTTGTACCGAGAACCGAGTGAAGTACAGATCCTGGTGGCAATCCAAATCCAAAAGAGGTGGCATCTGAAAATGTTTGTTCAGTCAACAAATCTGTCATATAGGCATCACCCTCTGGTACAACACCACCAAACACCACATAGAGCATCAACAATGCAGAGTGAAGTGGATCCATTAAATTTGGTCCCATTATATTCTCTGCTATTAATTCACCATAAGAAGCACTACAATATATATTATTAATAAAATATAGATATATTTAATTTATAATTAAATCTCCTTACGTTGGACCGGAATTTGATGGATAAATCTTATTCATAATAGTTTGGTTACCTAATAATCCATAGGAATCAAGAAACTTCTCTACATACTTTCTGTTTTCTAGCCACTCGGCAAATCCAGTGTCATTTGCAAATTTAAAGAGTGCATTTGGTGCATGTGAAACAGTATCGACTACTATTCCTGCATGTATTGAACTGTAATCGGTCATCATTGGTTGGGTTGCCACTTGCATACAATGTGGATCTTGATTTTGTCCTAAACACCAACTAGTAGTATGCATAATTTTATATATAGTAATAAATAATTAAATATTAATATCGATAAATAATAATAATAACGATGATTTGATTGTTGTTATTTCTCACAAACATACTTTACAGCAGCAGCCAAAAATGGTAGATAAACACATCTCGATGCATTGGAGAGTGTATCTCCGTGAAAGGCAGCCAATGACCAAGATCCAACGGGGTTGAGTACGAGAATGGCGAAATCCAGTTTAGTAATGACACCTTGATGTATGTTTAAGAGATGAGCACGTGATGCCTCGGCAACCTGTTGAAGTTCTGGGTCGTTGATCACTACGAACGGTGTCTGGTTGCCTGGCATGTTATTGGCAGAGTAGTTACGACTGATGATAACGAGTGACACTACAATCGATGCCAAACAAATCATTGCAACCAATGGCAACACCTGTTGTTTTATAGAGAATTTTCTTTTCGATTTCACTACCTTTAGAAATCTACTACTGCTATTGTGTGGAGAGGATGTTGGTGAAGTCATAGGTGATGCTTCTAACAACGAAGCGAATTCATCTTTGTTGATGTTGATATTGTTGCCAGTACCACCAACATTATTTATATTTCTATTGAATATACTTCCAATTTCATTATTTAAACTATTATTATTATTATTATTTTCATCATTATTATTATTAAACATTTTTTTATAAAATAATAATCAAGATATAATAAAAAAAATCTAATATTTTTTAATGATCTATATTTATTGATTTATAAACTAATTCTGTATATCTGTATTATTGAAATATAGTTCTTAATTGTATCTAATATCTAATATCTAAAATATAAATTTATCTAAATATCTTATTCCATTTGATGATTTTACAAAAAGAATATAACAGAGGAACAATGAAAAAGCATTTATATTAAAAAAAAATGAAAAGTTGATAGAATCTTTAAAACATATCAATAATGGCATTTGATTTTTGGGCTTTGATTGTTTTTAACAAAATTTTTTCAAAAAAAAAAAAAAAAAAACGATTATAATTTTTAATATTAAAAGTTAAGATTCGGTTATTTATATATTTATATTTAGAGTACATAGATAATGGATGAAGTAATATCAACAAATAATAACAATGGTGATGAAACTTCAACAAAACCATCGTGTACTATCTTTTGTTCAAAAGTAAAGTCATTCAATGGTGATGCAGTGTCACCTGCATTCCTAAACTCACAACGTGCTCTCATTGTAAGTGATACTCGATCGTTGGTTGCATCATCCAATCGTATCGTTCAGCTTGAGGTGGAATTCCCTGCCAATCCAGTAAAGCACTTCACAAAGATCGAAGGAATTCCAACACCGATCACCATCGAACAACTCTGCGAGACAGAGATTCCAAATCAACTAAAGTCAGAGATTCAATCGATCGTTGCAAGCTCAAAGTACCAGAGAATCGGTGCAATCGATTCAAGAGGTGCATTTGAAATATTCAGCAATGAAGCATCTCAATTGAAATCACTCTATTCCGTCGGTGCCAATAGCTATGGTTCAAAGACGGAATCTGGTTGGTCGGGATTGTCGTTCGATCCAGTGGCAATCCAGAATGTTGCAGTCGCTCGTTACTTCCAACGTCAAGTTCATATCTTTGACACCGATAGACTCGCTACCACCTTTCACCTGACAAACAACCCGACACAGATTGCATACGTCCAACATCCGAGTAGTCAGCAATCGTTGTTGGCAGTGACAGAACACAATCAATTGAATATATACGATCCACGTTTGGCGCCACGCGATGCAATCGTTCAGAGATTCCAACCGACTGCCGATGTCCTCTACACTATTACCACCGATGGACAGAACGTTGCCGTTGGTGGAGCATCGCGTTCCGTGCACGTCTACGATTGTCGTCGTTGGACTAACCTCGGCAATTGGTCGAGCTGTTTGAAATACGAGATTACCAATGCACATTTCTCAAGCAAGTATCCCAGCGCCATATATCTTGGTGGTCTCGATTCAGAGATACTCGCTGGCGATTGGAATGGTTCGGGAACGACCGATCACTTTAGCGGACTCAGAGTGGATTCAAGATGGTTGGGAATCAGCAAACTTAAAGGAAAAGAAACATTGTTTGGATTGACAGGATCAGGTTCTGTTTATTGGGTACACGATGTAGATAGACTATACACACCTCCACCACCAAAATCAAAGAAACATACATTAAATAACAAAGAGAAACCATCGAAAAAGGAAAAACAACAACAAAAACAACAAAATAAAAAAGTAAAGACAGATTCAACAACAACAGAATCAACAGAAGAATCAACAACAACAACAAAAGAACAACAGAATATAGAGAATGAAAAAGTAAACCAATAATAATATAAAATATATGTTTATTTATTTACATTTTGGAATAAAATGATAAGAAGAAGAAGAAGTAGAGTGGTAGATTGATTAACTGATCATATTTAAAATATGAACTTAATTAATAAAAGATTATTTAACAAAAAAAAAGGAAAAAGAAACAACAAGTTTCGATAAAATAATATATTATTATTGTTGTTATTTGGATTGATTAATAATATTATTTAGTTTGTTGTTTTAATATTATATATACTGGAGATTTTCTAAAAATTGTAGTTGTATGATTTAAATTGATTATGTATTTACTTCTTATTATTAATATTATCATTTAAAATAATAAAAATAACCAACTTCTCAAGACAAAAAGTAAAATGAATTCAGTTACCAAAACACCAAATACCAAAAAGCTGAGTAATGCTTTCCAGGTGAAGATTACTTTCCATTGTCCAATGGCATTAACTCTAAAGGTTGATTCATAATAGGACATATTAAATACTTGATTGGAAATTGGCATATAAAGATACATAGCATCTTCATCTTCTACCCTTTGATCCAACAATGCAATCACTTGTTGACTATGTAAATCTACTAATTGATATCTATTTTCTTCACCATAATTTATATTATCTTTGAAAGTTATTAATATTAAGAAATTTTTTAAATTAAAATTTGGTTGATTGAACTTACATTTTCTTGAAACAGCCTGTCTACCATAACTTAAGAATATACAAGATCTAGAGTGATAGATCAATAGAATAAGTTGGAATACCAATGGAGTCATTAAGAAAACAATATAGGCAAATGGTTTCATTGAATTGCTTCCAGTGATGAACAACACCCAGAATGTAAGAATCGATGGTAGAATAAATAGGAATAAAAGTATTGGGTGGAACAGGAAAATGAACTTCATTAGGAAACCTGTTGGACGTGGTGGCTCTGTTAAAACATTCTTGAATACATTGGTCTGTGCGAACTGGTGATGTATTCTCTTAACATTGGCTGGATTAGGACTCAAATAATATTGTAAATCATCTTGTTGTGTATCTATTAAGTAATGGTTGAATCAATTTGGAAATTAATCATCTGGAAATCAACCAACCATCAAACCAATCTGTTTTAATATTATAATATTTACCAATTAAATTCTTAAACTCTATAGATGTTTCAAGTTCCAATGATTTATCTAAATTTTTAGATTCGAAAACAAATTGGTTATCAATTGCTTGCATTATTTATTTATTTATATATAGGTTTAAAAATAAAACCCAAAGTCTTTTATAGTAATATCGGATTACTACTATAGTTATTTATAAATTTATATGACTTTGTTTTTTTTTTATTTGTTTTATTATAATTATTTTGAAGTCAAACAAAAGTACAAGCAATAACAACAACAATAACAATAACAATTGTTCAAACCATTAAATAAAAAAAAAAGAAGAATAATTTAATTTAATGAATGTTGTGTTGTTGTGTGACTCTCTTATTTATTTTTAGTATATCCAATTAATAAACATATGATTGTCTACATTGTTCATTATTCAACTCATTTTGTTTGTATGTTTGTTATCACATTAAACAAGCCAAAGTAACATTAGAATGAGATGAAAGTAGAGAGGGTGGTGGGTTTGACAAAAATGAAGAAAACAAAAAAAACAAAGGTTTAATGTCCGATAGAGTGTGTTCTCATTATTATTGTTATGATTATGTGTTTATTTAAATAACAATGTGTATTGAAGAACAACAACAAAAAAAACACAACATATATTTTCAAACTTTGTGAGGTTTTTTTAATCTAAATTATGAGAGATTTCGATCTGAACCTTTAACATTTCTATATAAATTTAAATACTATAAATAAGAATTAAGATAAATGTAATTCTGTTTACAAAAACAAATGATAAAATTACAACCTTATTTTATTTTTATTAAACTACAAATAATAATATAAACTAAAGTTATTATCTTAGAAAAGATGTCTAAAACTTTTTTCATTTATTTTTCATGCATGGTGAATAGTTAAGAGTTCAATTTTATAAATTATTTTAAATTGAATCAATTCTCTTTTATATTTTTATTATTTTTATATTTAAAAAAATTGTGATTTCCAATCATTAAAGTTCTTTTGATCTAATATGATATATCTGATTTTGAAAGAAGCCTAATATTTTTAAGAGATATCTTGAATTAAATTGAAATTTAATCGTTGATTCTAGTTTTATAATATCTAATACTAATAGATATCCTGTTTTGAATAAAAATCAAAAAGTTAGTAACTTCCTCTATGACATTACTAGTTTCTATTTTCAATGTCGTGATATATTAAATCAATAAATTAAACATAATGAATTGAAATTTACCACACCGAAAAATAATCAAACATTTACAAATTAGTCATTTCATGATGAATGATTTTTTATTAAAAAAAAAAAAAAACAAATTACAATCGTGTGTGTTTGTTTGGAAAGATACATATTGCTGCAGATTTATCCTCTTTAACAATAAAATATATTTATTATCTTTATTCCATTTATTATTATATAAATAAGTAATTTATTCTTTTTTTTTAATTTGACGTTTTCATTTGTTTTTTTTTGGATATTTTTTTAAGCAAAACTTTTTGGTGATAGTTATTTATATTTGTTTATATCTTCTTCTTTTTAATCAGTTTTGTAAAATAATAATAATATATATATAAGATATTATAAATTAGTAATAATAATAATGGCAGGATTATCGAAAACCGTTATTAGTATGAACTCTTTTGTTGAGAGTTTAGTAAAGTTGTTTGCACAGACTACCGGTAAAGACAAGTTGGTAAAGATTCTGCAGTATGGCGCTAAGCTGTTTGGTTATTTGTGTCAACAGAGAAAGATGGCACACTGGGCCGGTGTCTGGAAAAAGATTGAAGCGTCGGCAGGTGGCTCGAGAAAGGTGTGGCGTTTGGGTAACACGTTTGCAGAGCAACAAAAGATTCTACAGTTAGTAAAGGCAGGCAATGTCTTCCAGTTTCTCAACTTGCTGGCGTTGTTCCGTCAGACTGGAATGTACTTCTACTGGGTGTTTGACCATCTCTCGTGGTCTACAACCGTCGGAATCACCAAGCTCGACACCGCCAAGCTCGGATGGTACTCGAGTGTCAGCTGGTTCCTCGGACTGGTCTGCTCGATCATCATCGATGTCAACTCGCTCAACCAGACACTCAGAAAAGAGCACGCACTCCTCACACAGACAACAACAGGCGAGAACAACGAGCAACTACTAGCTGTACAAAAGAAAAAGAACGAACTTTACCTCAACTGTATAAAGAACGGTGCCGACGCTGTCATCGCCGCCAATCTCTTGAAATTCTACCAAACATCACAAGGTACCGTTGGTATCTGTGGTTTAATCTCTGCATTTATTGGTGCATATCAAATTTGGAAATAGATAATTAAAAAATAAAATAAAATAAAAAAACAATTATAATATAACTGATAAAAGATATATATACATTATACTTTAAAGAATAAGATTAAGAATGAATAATAGTTAAGGTAATAGTACAATATTATTATTTGTTTGTTTATTAATGATAGATTACTGTTATTATTTATTCTAGTATATGAAGTATATTGTTGTTGGTTGTGAATCCTATGGTTTCTATCAGTTGTTGTATCGATTGATTGAATGACTTTGGACCACAGATTAATACTTCAAAGTTATCAATCTTTATATCACGATGATTGGTTAATATCTTTATTAATGATTCTTGGTTTATTCTACTTCCATATAATATATTATTTACTTTATCAACGCTATTATTATTATTGTTGTTTGATTGTTGTGTTATTACATAGTAAATCGATACTTTATCACTATTATTCTTTTGTAATTCATCTAATTCATTCTTTAACAATATATCTTCACTTGTTTTATTTGAATAAATAAGTATGAATTTTGGTATTGATTTACTATTATTATTATTACTATTATTGCTATTATTATATAATGATTTCATTGTTTGTAACATTGGAGTAATACCAGTACCACCAGCAATACCAATGATATAATCTTTGGTGAAACTCGATAGATTGAATGTTTGGTTTGTTTCTATTGGTCCTCTAAGCATCAATTCATCACCTACATTTAATTCAACTATTTGTTTTGCAATACCTTCTTTATATCCCTGTATTGATTGATTGATTGATTGATCATTTAATATATTAATATAAAAATAAAAATAAATAGTATAACTTGCTAGACATACCTTTATAATGAATTGTATATAATATTGACTATCTCTTTGAACAACATCAATTGGAGTATAACTTCTATATAGATCATCATTGACAGTTGTCAAACTAACATGTGTCAGTGGTGTAGTCCAATTAGCTATCTTTGGTGCTTTCACCTCTATTAAATAAGAATCATGTGATATCTTTTGTTTATAGGTAATCGTTGTTTTAGTTGGTTCAATCTTTACTATATTATTATTGTTATTTTGTGTTGTTGTTGTCAATGTTGTTGTTGTACTACTTGGATATATTATAGTTGTATTACTATTATTTGAAACATCTGAAATTGATAATGTTGTCATCGATGCTGTTGTAATATTAGTTGATGTAGCGGTAGGTGTGATTATTGTTGTACTTTTAGTAGGCATCTTAAATGGTGATGTATTATTATTATTATTATTATTGATACCGTTTGGTTTCAAAGTAGAAGAAGAAGTACTCGATGTTGATGATGATGATGATGAAGAAGGTGCACTACCTTTGACTTTACCAATGATGAAACACTCTAGAATTAACTTGGCATTACGAGAGTGATACATCGCTTCAAAGTCGTTGGTTGCATTCTGACCGGCACAACGAAACAGTAGATTGAAACCACCGGGATGCAGCGGCAGATATGCAGTTAGATCATAGACATATCCATTGACTACCGTCCAGAAATCATTCTTTTGTGTGTGTTTGCTTACTTCATCCCATGTATATACAGTGTTACTATTGATCTCACCATACTTTGCAAGTGATTGCTCAGCTATCTTTTTTATTTTTTCACTAACTGTATTTCTATACATTCATTCAAAACTGCGTGCGTTAATATTAATCATGAACAAAGTCAATGTCATTACACAATCCGACATGCCGATTTAAATCTATGTTTTTTTTAGACGAAAAAAGAAAAATAAAAAAATTAATTTTTCAAGATATACATAATAATTATGTGTAATTTCTTTCAATAAAATAAAATTGGAAAAAGAATAAAAAATAAAAATAAATAATTTATTTTAAAATGTTGAACAAAATTGTTATTTTATTTATTTATTTAGTTAAAAATTGATAATCCATATTCATCATATTGACTCTTGGAAACAAAGTGGTTTTTTACAAAACCTGAGGAGGAAGATAACATTGATCCACCTAACCAACTTAGATATCCTCTAGCTGGATGTTCAAAAATTCTTATTTTTGTTTTTCCAGTGACTGTGGATTGCAATTTGTTTTCTAAATGATCTTTGAATCCATTCATCATTGTAGTACCACCTGAAAGAACAATATTTCCAAAGAGTTCATTCTGTAATTCCTCTCCACAAGAACTAATTGATTCTTCTATTAGACTTTCAACGGTTGCCGTTTCAATTCCCATAAAAGAAGGTTGAAGTAAATCATCTAGGCCGTTTGTCAATTCATTACCACCCAATGAAATAGTCTTGCCATCTGGTAAAGTGTATTTATGTGAACTCTCCAAATTCTCTTTAAGATCACAAATGCTTTTGGTTGATAACTTTAGTCCTTTAAAAGATAAGAGTTTATCTAATCTTTCATTTAGAATTCCTCCACCAAAGTTTGAATTTAAAATGGAGTAGTCTATTGGGTTTCCATTAAAGATTGGAACTACTTGTGAAATATCATGCCCACAGTCAACTACCAAACCATTGGAAAGACCTGTTGGGTACAAAGACAGTGATGTTTGTTTACCAATGTGAATAGATGATACCTGGAATACATCGAAAGCAATTGATATCATCTTTTCTCTATGCGATTTATTAATAATGGATGGTTCAGTTATTAATAATGAACATTCTGATGGGGATACCTTTAATTTATTAAAGAAAATATCTCCAAATAACTGTTCGACCCCAAATAAATCCGATACTCTTCCATTCTTAATAGGAACTATCACCGCCATTTGATCATCATTTACATTAACATCTTCTCCTACATATGTTTTCATTGGTTCATCAACATGTTTTCCTATTAGAGTAGGAAAAACATATTTTGGGAATGATTCTCCTGCAATTCCTGACTTAGTTAAACTAGATCCCTTTATATTTATATAAATAAAAATGATTATTTTAAACTTGAATTTTTATATTAAAAAAACTTACACAATCAATTACAATAGTTGGATTCATTTATATTATAATAAAGTTATTTAATTTATTTGATAAAATACTATTAATAAAAATATTAAAAAAGTTACATATATAAAAATAATGAATAATTAAATATGTATGTGTTTATTTATTAATTAATTTTAAAATATTTATCATAATTCTGAATTGATTGAAAATCCAATTTTAGTTTATATCAATTTCAACCTCTTTTGGACAATGCTTCGTACAGTTTTCAAATTTGGCATTACAAACGAGATAGAGAACACCGTTATGATCTAATTCTCTCATGAGCTTACTGCAATCAAACCAATTATCCTTACAAACACTGTTACAGCTATTAATAGCACCAATTATATTGTAATGATATGTTAAATGAATAGATAAAATTAATAAAATAAAGAATATTGTCAATTTCATATTATTGTTTTTTTTTGTTTTATGACTAATGAATTTTTATTTTTATTTTTGAATGTTGTTATCGAGGATATATTGATAAACAAATATTTTTTTTTGTTTAATCTATCCACACATATTTAATAAAAATGTATTAAAAATCATTACATTAATATATTGACAACAATTTTTTATACAACATCAAATTAGTGGTGAGTGTTCAAAAAAAACAAAAAAAAAGGTTGAACTTTCTAAAGTTAATTTTATTCAAATAGGATATTGATTTGATTTAATTGACTGAATACTTAATTGAGAAATAAATGATTTGTAAACTTGAAATCCATAAACTAGTTTGCAATGATTTAGAATCATATTTATGACAAAAGAGTTTTGGAAGTTCAAAAAAAAGAAAAATTCCAAATTTTAAAAAAAAAAACTATTGGGAAGAAATTTTTTTGTGAGAGTGATTGCATCTGATATAAATTATTAGTAGTAATATCGATTATTAATTAACATAACAGTAGTGATCAATTGTTGTTCTCAAAAATTTATAATTTTAAACAGTAGTTGATCTTATTTATTAATAATTATAAAAAGTAAAGAATGTTTAAGACTTTATCAAAGAGTATGATTATACAATCAACCAAGCATGCACTGCTAATCATCGCAATCACATGATTACTAACATATAAATTTTATTTAATACAGCACTTTTAACTGTACCAAATGTTGCTAAATATCAAACTGTAGGTCAATCACATAAACATTTATAAACTATAGATAGCTATCAAAAGAAAAGCAAATCAGTAAAACAACAAACAACCCACCCACAATAACAGTTATTATGTAATGACAAGTCAAAGAGAATATATAAATGAATACATAACAGAAACGAACAACTCAGTATCGATAGGATTTAAAAAAGATTAGATAGATAAGAATAGAATATATATTGATAGATCAGATTATATTGATACCATAGTAATACATATGTGTGTGGTTGTTATGATGTTGTTAAGATTTTTATGATGAATCTTTTTCTGATCAAAAACATGATGAATGAAAATGAAACAATGACTAATAAATAATATTGAAAATAATTTGGTTTATATATATATATATATATAATTATAGAGAAATATAGGATCGATTGTACATGCATCACGTACACATTCATCTGGATTGGTAGCAACAGTATTTGGTGTTACAGGATTTACAGGACGTTATATTGTACAACTTTTAACTAAATCCGGTATTCAAGTTGTAGTTCCATATCGTGGTGAAGATTATAGTTTCCGTGATCTCAAGGTTCTCGGTGAACTCGGTCAGATCATCCCAGTTCGTTATGACATCCGTGACCAAGATTCAATCGAGCGTGCCATGTCACACTCTAACATCGTCATCAACATGATCTCACGTAATTATGAAACCCGTAACTTTTCATTCGAAGATGTCAACATTGATGCCGCCACAAAGATTGCCAAGGTAAATACACCACTAACAAACAAACAACAAACACAACAACAACAATAACTCTATATACTAACAACTTATATTTCTATTATATATATATATAACTAAAATTATAGTTGAGTAAATCATTGGATATTGAGAAATATGTACATGTCTCTGCTTTGAATGCATCTGAAGAGTCTGCATCAAAGTGGTCGCGTACCAAGGCAGTCGGTGAGAAGGCCGTCAAGGAAATCCTTCCAAATTGTACCATAGTTAGACCAAGCATCATGTTTGGTGATGAAGATCGTTTAATCAATAAGTGGTCAAGAGTTGTCGCTTTCTCACCATTCATTCCACGTTACAACGAGGATTTGAAGTTCCAACCATTACACGTAAGTCACATTCAATTCAATTCAATTTAAGTAACAATCATCGATCTGCTAATCTAGCTAGATTAGTTAGCGATTGTCTACATTTACTCTTTACTCGAATATTAATATATATATATGAATCATTTGATTTTTGAATACAACACACACAGTGTGTAGACTTTGCCAATGCAATGATGTCGATTTTGGAGTTACAATCGGCAGCCGGTAAGACCTACGAGTTGGGAGGTGACGAGATCTTTGCTTGGGGACAATTCTTGGATATGATCACAGAGGCAACCGTACAACAAGACAAGAGAAATATACCAGTTAGCTTCGAGGCAATGAGATTCGCCACCAAGTTCCTCGAATACATGCGTGATCCAGTGTTCCTTGCCGACGAGTTGGAATACCTCAACCAAGATCTCTTGGTATCTGCCGATGCACTCACCTTGAAGGACTTGAAGATCAAGCCAACCCCAATCCAAGAGAAACTCATTCGTCTCTCTCGTATGTTCCGTCCATCAAGATATTTCAATGCCATTGCCAACCCACAAAATAAATAAACACAAAAAAATAACAACAACATAATCAACATAAATGATAATAATAATAATAATAATAATATATTAATCACATCAAACATCACTAAATTATAATAGTAACAATAGTATATATACATTCTTTTTTTCTTTTTTAAAACAAAACAAAACAAAACAAATAAATTTAATTATTCGAATAATTATTTAACTAATATCATCTATTTCTTATGTATACTATGATGTGTAATCCAAAGATATAAAGATTTGGATAGTTATAGTTGTATAGTTTCAAACTATGATGTCACATTATTTTTCTTTGTCTCATTGAATGATAGTTAAGTTTTGTTCTCCAATGTGATTTCTTTTATATTTATATTAGCAGTTTTATTCATATTATTATTATTACTATTTGTTTAATCTAAAGTTGGAGATGGTTTAATATGCTTTTGTTTCTGTGCTTGATCTAATCTTGCAAGTCTTTCTGCTTCGTGTTGCATAAAATTTGTTAAGAAACGTGTGGCACTGTGTTGTAAGTTAATTGCCATTGTTGGTTAGTATCTGTAATATATCAAAAGATCTTCTATATTGATAAAAATGATTTAAATCTTACTCTGTCTTATATTCTTCGATCTTCTCTTGACTTGTTTCGTATTTATGTTCTCTAAAGATATTTCCTACTTGTTTATGTAAATTCTTTGTATATCCATTCTTTATGGAGAATATAAATGAATGATCATTGATTCATGTTAATAATAATACTAAACTAAATCAATATAAAATGAACAATCAACAACTAACTTACCATTGAACCAATATATTTAGCTAATCTAATACAATCTCTGTAGAGCTAAACAAAACAAAACAAAATAAAACGATTCACAAATGAGTAAATGTACCTAATCAATCAATGAACTAATCAATCTCAACTTACATGTACAGTACTCTTTTGAAGAATTGGATTACCAACTGTTGAAGCAGACATTATTATTTATGTAAAGATGACACGATATTATTAATATATGATTTTTATTAGTAAAATCGAGACAGAAACTGCATAACTTTATTAATTTTTGTGAAAAAATAAAATAAAATAATATTACGCTTGCGGTAGACCAACGTTGGTTTTATATATTTTTGACAAGATTAATTTCTTGTTTATGAATATTTGTATCTTGTTTTGAAACATCTCAGTTGTTGGTGATATTTTACACACAATAAACAAAAACTTAATCACCCGTTTTATAATTTCTGATTCTAAATTAAAAACATGAACTATTTATTCTCAATTATTTGTCTTTTTATTTTATTTTAAATAATTCGACAAATCTTCAGATAAATTGATTCACCATTGCTCTTGTTTTAAATCACCATCAAAAATAACGACTAATTTTTTGTTTTTTTTTTGAAAACAATTATTTTTTTTTTCAATCAACAAAAAAAAACCCAACTTTTTTTTTTTTTTTTTCTAAAAAACAGACAACAACATCAAAAAAAAAAAACAAAATTATTTATAATTATTTATTTATTTTAGATATATTAAGAAGAGCAACTAACTGAACTGTATAGATAATATCAACAAATCAAAGGTTAGACAAACATTCAATTTTTTGATAGTGATAGTGTAGATTTGCTCAATTTAGATTTACAAGTTACTCCTTGTTAATAATGTGCGTAGTAGTAGTAGTAACATAACAAATAACAAAAACAACCACTTAAGATCAAATAAACTAGTTTTATCAAGCTTCATCATCCTCATCATTACTTACTAGTAATAAATAATAGTAGTATTAGCAATCAACTTTCGATATCAATCAATAGAAAAGGATAAAAGATTGATCATCCATCATTTTATTTAAAAAGTTATATCGATTTTAAGATAGAAAAAAAAAAAGTGATAAATCTTATCTTTTTTTATTTTATTTTAGTTAATAATTGATCAATCAATATTAATTATTAAACGAAATATAAAACAATAAATTAGATTATAAAATAAAACATCAATACAATAGGATGATAAAGGTTATGATATCAAAAGTTAGATTAATAAAATAGTTAACATAATAATAATAATAATAATATAGCTCAGCTATAAAAATATTAATAGTTTAAAAAGATCTTAATGTGAAATAATGATAAAAACATCAATACTTACTTTACTATTATTTTTTTATTTATAGATTTAATTATTTATTTAAAAACTTTTTAAAAAAAAAAAACCAAAAAAAGGTATTACTGTTAATATATATAAAGAACCACCACCACAACAATGGGACAATTATTGAGTTTTATCAACGGTACTGACCATGCTGAGCAAATCTTTATCGATTTCGAGAGTAATTATCAAACTTTATATATAACCATTCAATCAATTGACACCACATCATCATCATCATACTAACATACTTACATTACACTAAATAATCTGTAGATGCTCAACCATCAGAAGAAGAAAGAGAACTCCACAACACAGTCGGTGAGGTATTAAATATAGGACCAGAGATCCTTCAAAAGTTAACTACCTACACAGGTTGCAATGAATATATTAGAAGAGTAAGTAACTTTATAAACTTGTTTGTTTGATTCGATCGTCGACAATATTAACAATGAAATTATCTAATAACTGTTAGGCTATCACCAATCCAGGACCAGACACAGAAGAAACAGCTTGGGAACATGTTTTGCCAGCTGTCGATATACTTCAAGAGTTTTACGACTTCTCATTGAAGTTGGAGGATTGTTTCCCAAAACTCTTGATTGCTCTCTGCAAGAACGATCCAAAGGCAAGCCTTTCCAATCAACAAGCTATTGCCAAACAACTAGCTGATGTATTTGATTTTGTATTAAGATTCGATGATGCCAAGGTAATAACAAACAAACAAACAAACTCTAATTCATATTAACAGTCAATAACTAAACTATCATTCATTATTATTATTATTATTAATCTGTGTAGATGGTAAACCCAGCAATCCAAAATGATTTCTCATATTATCGTAGAACTCTCAACAGAATGAAGCTCACAAAGAAGGATGCAAATATTAAGATTCGTGACGAGTTGGCCAATAGAATGTCGTTGTTCTTTGCCTATCCAACACCAATGATGAAGGTTCTCTCTGAGACCACCGTTAAATTCCTCTCCACTCCAGAGGTCACCGTGCCAAGAGACAACGTCACCACCACTTTGTCCACCATGGCCAACGTATGTCACGACATGGTCGACAAGAAGAAATTCAATAACGTTGAAATCAATATGTTTTGCTTGAGAGCCATGGTTGGATCCGTCATTTTATTCGATCACATTCATCCACAAGGTGCTTTTGTTAAGAAATCTCCAATTAATGTAAGTGTTTTTAAACAAATAACAACATTAACAAACAACAAACAACAAAGTTATATATAACTAACATTTTCATATTCTATATATATATATGTGCATATACAGATCAAAGGATGTATTGTTACACTTAAAGATCACAATTCAGCGTCATCTACAGACGGTCTATTGAATGCTCTTAGATTTACAACAATTCACTTGAATGACGCAGAGACACCAGGTTCAACTAAGCAACTGTTATTACTCGATTAGTTATAACAAACAAATAAAAGAAAGAAATGAAAAAATCAATAATATCAATCAATCAATCAATCAATCATTCATTCAAAAAACCAACTACAAACCTAAAACTTCACAACCCGTCCTTCAACCATTACACCGCCTCTACACAACAACAAAAGTTCAACAACACAACTCTAAAACTTGAAAAAAGATAAAAAATATCAAAAAAATCAAAAAAAAAGAAAAAATTTAAGAAAATATAAATGTAATTTATGAAATTATCTGTTTCAAGACTATTAATTATTACTACTTTTTTCATTTTTAATCTTTTTTTCTCATATTTTTTTTTGGTTTCGATTTGATTTGATTTGTTTTAGGATACCACATCAGCCACATCAGATGATGAAGATTTAATGGTCCAAGGTTGTCAAAATAAATCAAATAAACTTAAAAAAAGTAATTAAATTTGTGGTCAATTATTTTTATCCTTATTTTCAAGGGCTATTTATTTTTATTTTTATTTTTCTAAACTTTTTTTTTTATTTTTTTGTATTCGATTTTTATGTTTTTTTTTGAAGGATTTGCAGCCCCCATATCAAGGGTTTAATTGATAGTAACTTTATGGAGGTACCCAATAATAAAATAGAATCAAAAATTGCCAAAAAAATCAGAATCCAACAAATCTTTCTTCCTAGTTTATTGTTGTTTGAAATCTGATTCCTCTAAACGAAGAATAAACAAACAAACAAACATAACCAAATTTACTTTAGTGTAAAATCCAATCAAGTTAAATGATATATATCAGTGTATAGATATAAATAGTTTTTATAGTATATATTTTTATAAAAAATAAATAAATGAATAATAAATAGTTTAGTTTACAATTATAAATTTATTTTAGATAGTTAGTTAGTTAGTTGGAAGTAGAGTAGTGTAATCAAATAGATAGATATTATAATAATAAAGCAAAAGAAAAATGAAAGAATCAAAGGATTATTTATTGTTGGATTTGAATTCCGAGGAGAACGATGAGTATGACAATGAAGTAGATACCAGTTTAACACATAGAAGACACTCGAAAAAGGTATCAGCGAAAGAGAAAGAATCTATGCAAGCCATCGAATCATTGGATTTCTCAGAGATTGACAACATTCTTCTAAGGAAATATACAAATCAACTAAAAAGAAGCGAGAAAATTATGAAATCACTTGGTAAATGGGTGATTTGCACACTCATCGGTATCATTGTTGGTATCGTAGTATATTGTCTAAAGAAATCAGTGGATGAACTTCAAGAGTTAAAGTTTCATTCAATTGAAAAATGTAAGATATACAATAGTAATAATAATAATATAATTAAGATTTAGTGTTAACAACACATGTTTTGTGTGTGTTTGCACAAAAAGATATCTTTTTTTTCCTTGTTTGTGGTGTGTTTTTTTTTATTGATGAAAACCAAATTAATTAATCATTTTTTTTTTTAATTCAATCAATTCTTTATTTAGTCTATGAAGGAAACAAAAGTATTCCTTTTTTTATTTATTTATCATTCAATTTGGCATATGCTTTGATAAGTTGTATTATTGTAATTATTACAGGTCCGTTGGCAAGTAGTTCGGGTTTGCCAGAGGTAAAGGGTTACCTGAATGGTATTCGTATTCGTAGAGCGTTCAACTTGAAGACTGTCATTGGAAAGTTGTCGTCGTTGATATTTTCATTCAGTTCGGGTTTGGTCATTGGTCCAGAGGGTCCTATGTTCCACATTGGTTCGTGTATTGGAAGTTCATTCTCGCAGTTCAAGTCGAAAACACTGAATCTACACTTCAAGCCATTCTGGATCTTCCAGAACGACAGTGACAAGCGTGATTTCATCAGTTGTGGTGCAGCTGCCGGTATTGCAGCGGCTTTTGGTGCGCCAATTGGAGGTGTTCTGTTTGCGCTCGAGGAGGGATCGTCGTTCTGGCATCGTCAGCTGACCTGGCGTACTTTCTTCTCCTGTCTGATTGCCACGTTGATTGCCAACTTCTTCCTCCAGGGATTCGGTGTGAGAATTCACGATTACGGTGTGCTAACGTTTGGATTCTCCAAGAGTTTCCTCTATACCTACACTGAGTTGATTCCATTCTGCATCATGGGAATCATTGGTGGACTGTTGGGTGCCCTCTACGTCTATATGAACGTTCGTATCAACTACTACCGTAAAGTATACTTGGGAAATCGTCCACTCTATAGACTGGCAGAGGTTGCCATTATCGTGCTCTTGACTTCGGTCATCTGTTTCTTCCCGGCGATGGTAGTGAATTGCCGTGCCATTCCAAATATCGTCCAGTCTTCCACCGACGTCTGTGATGTCGCCGAGGAAAGTCCAACCGTCCAATTCTTTTGTCCAAAGGATTTCTACAATCAACTGGCATCACTCACCTTTACCACCTCTGAAAATGCATTGAAGCTGCTGTACAGTCGTGATTCCAACATCTTTACAGCAGGCACACTATTTGGATTTACAGTGATGTTCTTCCTATTGTGTGTCGTCACCTCCGGTGTCTATGTGGCATCGGGTATTTTCATTCCGATGATGTTGATCGGTGGTGCTTGGGGACGTCTTTTCGGTAAGTTCATCGATGCCTATATCTTACGTGTCGATCCATCGTTGTATGCACTGATCGGGTCGGCCGCTATGATGGGTGGAAGTTTGCGTATGACCATCTCACTGGTCGTTATCATTGTAGAACTCACCGAGGGTACTCAATACCTGCTGCCAGTCATCTTGGTGGTAATGATTTCCAAGTGGACCGGTGACGCATTCAACGAATCCATCTACGAACATCTCATCGAACTGAAACACATTCCCTACCTCCCAAGCAAACCCTCACGATACATGTCGAAACTAACTGTTTCCGACGCCATGGCAACCAACGTCATTACACTGCCAGAAGTTGTTTCCGTTCGTCAAGTACTGGAAGTTCTCCATAATTCACCACACAATGGTTTCCCAGTTGTATTACTTCCTCATCTTCATGAATCAGATAATAGTACCAACAACAACAACAACAATAATAATAATAATAATAAGTCAAATAATGATTCATACCAATCGAGTTCAGGTAATTCCTCACCATTCCTACCAAATAGTCCAGACAGCTTTAGATCATCGCTGAACAGTGATTATAGTGTAAGAGATGGAAGTGCTACCTTTAGACAATCGACCAACAAACTTAAGGAGGTTCAACTCTTCCAAAGTCAGAAGGAGGGTAAGGTGTTGTGTGGTCTCATACTGAGAAGTCAGCTGCTGATTCTCATCAAACATAGAATATTCATTGAAGCGGGATCGGCACAGGCCGATATGAACTTCCTCCAAGACGTTGACTTGCCGATCGATCATCGTTTGTTTGTCACAGAGCTGGCGTCGAAACTGCCAACCATTCAACAACTTTCAAACAACCTCACACCACAACAAATGGACATGGAAATCGATCTGCGTCCCTACATGAACTTTGCCGTCGTCAGTATCAAAAACTACAGTTCACTCTCAGAGGCATACAAACTATTCCGTCTGGTCGGTCTGAGACACGTCGTAGTAGTCAATGTATTCAACCAAATCGTCGGTATTTTAACAAGAAAGGATTTATTGTAATCACAAAAAAAAAGAAAAGAAAAAACAAAAACAAAACAAATAACAAAACAAAACATTTAATAATTTATTTAATTACAATAATAATTAAAAAATTGTCCTTCAAAAACAACAACTATTTTTATTTCATTTTACAATATTAATAATAATAATACTTTAATAATAAAAATAAAAAATAATAAATAATCTATAATTATTTATTTATTTAATTAATTACGAATTAATATATATATTTCAGAATACTTTACTTTATATATTTCCCTTCTGTTCGTTAACAATCATTTAAAATAATAGTATTAAAGTTGATAGATTTAAGATCTTTTAATAGATTTAAACATAGATTTAATTCTAACCATTGAATAACCAAATTCGATATCTTGTTTTTTTTTTTTTTTTGCAAATAAATAATGAATGAATTTAAACCTACATTACTAATGGTTTTTGTTGTTTTGTTGTTTTTTTGTTTTGTTTTTTTGTAAATAAGGAAGTGTGACAAGTTAAAAATAATTAAAGATTGTTTAATGGAATTCAAAGTGATCTTTAGGAATTCTATTCCTATAGGGATTGGTTTATTTGTTTTACATGAGGTGTTATCTGATGGAATTACATGGAATTGCATCGAAATTAAAGGTTCAGAGTGATATTGAAATTATGTAATCATCTCAACACATATGATGTTACCTGAAATATCGTTTTTTTTCGTAACCATTGCAAATGCGTCGTCAATTTCAAAAAAAAGATGCAAATAATGCAAAGAAAAAAAGATCTTTGCCAAAAGAGATAAAAAAAATGATTTTAAAAAGTATAAGAATTGTGTGATTTTATTCAAATTGATAGGATTGAATTAAAATTTTGGTAAAAAAAGGTAATTATGAAAGCATGATGTATTTTGGTTGGATTTTTTTTTTTTTTTTTTTTCTTATTATCAATATAAACCAGTAAAAACAACAAAAATAAAGTATCAAAAATGAAAGAAAAAACGTGTGTGAAATTTCCCCACTCTTATGTAAATGGAAGAATGTTCTATGGGTGATTCCAATTTTTTTTTTCATCCATTTTGGGAGCAAATAAAAAAAGTTTTTTAAAAAAACAACATTATTCTGTTCCGATGGTGTGGGAAATTTTGTTTTTTGTAATATTTTTTAGTTTTTCATAAATTATAAAAAAAAAAAATCAAAAAACAGAAAATATAAAAACCAACAAAGTATCGTGCATATTCTCTTATCATTTAAACATTTGATTTTGACTATTTTATCTTCATTAATTATATATACATATATATATTAAATTATAAAGCATATCATTATTATTATTCAATTTTCGAAAATAAAATATAACAAAAATGGTAAGTTTAAATTAATAAAATCTAGATATTTCTCGAAATATTATAATATTATAAATAATCAATACTTTTAAATTCATATTTATTTACAATCAATGATAAATTATTATAATTAATAATATAATAGGATACTGTTGCTAATGGAGAATATTTCGGATTCGATCATGTTACCTTCTGGGTAGGTAATGCTTTGCAAGCTGCTGGATGGTATATCGCTCGTTTCGGTTTCGAGAATGTTGCATACAGAGGTCTTGAGACTGGTGACCGTAAGTACGTCACTCACGTCATCAAGCAAGACAAGATTTTCATGTCTTTTGTCTCACCATTGACCTGCGATGATGAGGTATTCGCTGATCATATGAAGCGTCATGGTGATGGTGTCCGTGATGTCGCCTTCACTGTCTCTGACGTCAATGCCATCTACGAACAGGCTGTCGCCTCTGGTGCCAAATCAATCAGAGCTCCAGAGACCATCTCTGACGAGCACGGATCCGTCGTGATCGCTACCATCGCCAGTCCATACGGTGAAACCTCACACACCTTTGTCGACAGATCAAAGTACACCGGTGCTTTCTTGCCAGGTTACACTGACAAGGTCATCGACGATCCACTCTCAAAGATCGCCGCCACCCCAGGATTATTACACATCGATCACATCGTTAGCAATCAACCAGATCTTCAAATGACTCCAGTCGTCGAGTGGTACGAGAACGTCTTGAAGTTCCACAGATTCTGGTCGGTCGACGACAAGACCATTCACACTGAATACTCATCGTTGCGTTCGATCGTAGTCACCGACAAGGACGAAGCCATCAAGATGCCAATCAACGAACCAGCCAACGGTAAGAAGAAGTCACAGATTCAAGAGTACGTCGATTTCTACGCAGGTGCCGGTGTTCAACACATTGCTTTGCGTACCAACGATATCATCAGCTCTGTCGCTGCCATGAAGGCACGTGGTGTTCAATTCCTCTCAGTACCAAAGAGCTATTACACCAGCTTGCGTGAGAAGCTCGCTCATGCTCCAATCACCGTCAAGGAGGATCTCGACAGACTCGAACAACTTCATATTCTCATCGATTACGATGACAAGGGTTATCTCTTACAGATTTTCACCAAGAACGTCGAAGACAAACCAACCGTCTTCTTTGAAGTCATCCAAAGAAACAATCATCAAGGTTTTGGTGCTGGTAATTTCAAGTCTCTCTTTGAAGCCATCGAACGTGAGCAAGAAAAGAGAGGTAATTTATAAATAGTTTTTGTAAAAATTTTAAAAATAATCACAATTTTTTTTTATTATTGAATAATAAAGTTAATAAAAAAATCATATTCGATAAACAATCAACATATATCTTTTGTTCATTATTTGATGTTTACTTTTCACTTTTCACTTGAAAATAGCTACTACTATTTTAAATATTCTTATTTTTTATAATCTATTCGGTTTAACATCGTAAGATCATCAAAGATATATTTAAATTTGTAGGTAAATATTAATTAATATTGGGATTGTTTCTTTCATCATCATCATCATCATCAACAATCAACCAATCAATCAAAACAAGAAGTAGTAAGTAATAATACTTTAGCTATTTATTGTGTTTGCATAGATTTATTTGTTATCAATTGATTACAACTAAACTATGTATTTCCCAAGTATGTTGATAAATGTATATATTTAGTGCTTTGATTCAACTAGAATCAACCTGTTATATGGTAAGAGTAGACAGGTAAGTTAAGATGTGTTTGATGTTTGGATTATTGAAAGTTTTGTGGAAAAATAATTGGGGTGGTGATTGATGTCTATTAAAGATTGACATTTTCCCACACTTTTATACAAAAGATAGTAATATATGGTATGTAGTGCAGTGCATCATATTAATATTTATAGGATTTTGCTGAGTGATGTAATAAAAAGTTTGGGTTTTAATTTACTATAAATCAATCAATTTTATATTTATGATATGTAGAAAATATTATATATTTTTATTTTAATTATGTATTGTTATTTTTTAATACAAAGTTTTATTTAATATATCAATCACTCTTTTATTATTAACCATATTAGATATTTAAATAAATCAGTGTTTTGTTTCAATTGAAAGAAATAATTAATTTTATTTTTTTTATTTGTCAATTCCAATTTCCCTTACTCTACCCTACCTACACTTCTATTATCAAACTGAATGGTCAAACAACACTCTCATCTAGCACTCTATTTATTTATTCTTTAATTGATTACCAGATAAAAGTGGTTAAGGTCAATAACCTTGATCATTTTTATTTAATATATATTATTTTTATTTTGGGTGGAAATCAAATAATAAAGCCAAAACAATACCAAATCACAATTGAAACCATATTAAAATTCCAATCCATTAGAAAAAAATACCTAAAATATATACTAACTATATGAGGATTGGAGTAGCAATATTGCGTAGTCTATGATTCAAATTTGTCAATCCACTACAAATCAATCAATCAAATCAAACAATATTAAAATATTTTTTTAATCTTTTCTTGAACCAAAAGATACAATAAATATATAATAATAATTCAAAAACAACAACAAAATAATAATTAATATTGCTTCCTTTCTATATCAAGATATTTTAATAAATATTATATTACCATTTGATAGGATTGTTTTTTTTTTAAAAATAATAGTATAATTAACTAAAACTAAATTAATGTAATAAATAATATTAGTAAAAGTAAAATAATAATAGTTTTAATATTTATTTATAGTTTTTCTTTCATTTCACAGTTATTTTCCAAAAAAAATAATAATTTTTATTAAAATGAAGAAAAAATATAGTTTTTTTAATAATAATTATAATTGTTCTAAAATTTTTATTGTTATTTTATTTGTTTTATTTATTCAAACTAATAATATTGTGTATTGTACAACCTCACCATCCCCGACGACTTCAAATGGTAATGATATAGATAACAATAGTGGTACACCACCGCAACCAAATCCTGATTCCTCTTTTAATTTTTCATCATCCACACCTGACACAAAACAATCATCAACATCTCCAACACCTACACCTCATGCCAATGCCAATTCCAATTGGGGAGCAACAGGCCTGAATGGATTAATACCCCAAAACATAAAGGACCCATTGACTAATCCACAAAATAACTTAGGGCAAAGCAATCCTCTAACCAATGCCCTGGAAAAAGCAACTGCTATCGTTCCATCTACTACCACTTCGTCTGGAGGCAGTCTGACAAGGGCACTCGACCAGATTGATAAAAATCTAAAAGAGGAGGTGCCATCCAAACTACCATCGCCCTCTGCTATTTTACAAAACCCACCGGCAGCTATTACTGCTAGTGGCATCACCAATGTCATTCCACAGAGTGCAACCAAAAATCTACCAAAACTAGCTCAGATTCCATTGAATCTAAATTGTAGTGGTGCAATCTGTCCAAATGGAAAATGTGTAACAACAGCAACCCAATGTATAAAACAATTGACTGGAATAATTCCGCGTTGTTCACCTGAATTTCCGGTGCGTTGTCTCGATGGAAGTTGTAAAACTACGCTTGCACTATGTCCCAAGCTGACGGATGAGCTACATCTGTGCAATGACGAAGTGTGTCCCGATGGTAAATGTGGTCCTTGTTTTGACTACGACGGATGCAGTCTGGATCAACCGTTCCAATGTCCAAACGGCGTCTGTGTCGAGTCGGTATCAGAGTGTTACCAATGTAAAGACGGACATCTTCGTTGTTTCGATGGTTCGTGTGTTTCACCTTGTCCATACCCACCGTTCTACTTTAAACCGATCAGTATTGTGACACTTTTAACAGAGCGTGACGTACAAACACTGATACCGGTGAGTACCTACAGTTCACCACTCAACTACACAACGGAAATCAAGAAACTCCTAGACATTTACATTGAACCAACATCATTCCCTGAGAATACAACATTCTCAGTGTCACCGGTTTCCGACTCCTACGTCAACACCATCAATGGAGAATACAATTGGCCTGTCAACACATCCTATCAACTATTCCTCTTGTCGCCAGTCATAAACATAACAGCAACCTACAAAGGTATTCCACAGACCAACTTTGAACCAAAAGTTAAATTGGTATTTGAATTGATGACACCACCAGATGTAAGTGTTAATTATTTCACCCTGTTTAAAAATGAAAACTATACTAATAGTTAAATATTATTATTATTATTATTTAGTTTAATATCTCAGATATATGTCTTGGATATATAGATGTGATTACTAATCGTTGGACATGTATACCAGACTCTGTTGAATCGATAAACGGAAGTACTGTGACAACTTACACCGATCATTTTACATCGTTTGCTCTACTGACCAGAGTACAGTATGATGAGAGTGAGGGAGGAGCTCCAGTTTTCGGTGAGTCTGGACCAATCATTAGCCACCACACACTCATGTTCTCGCTGATCTTTGGTGCTATTGGCTTGGCAGTGATCACAATCGTCGTAGGTGTTTTACTTCACTACCGTAGTAAACACGGTGGTGTTAGGAAATGGATGGTCTTTAGTCGTACCAAATCATCTTCCAACAACGTCACCAACAACAATAAAAAATACTGATAACACTAACAACAACAACAGTAACAACAATATCAATCCACCTGCAAAAACACTATCACAAGACGATCTTAGTTTGTCAACTTCACAACATTCCCTCATAATGGCTGTTGATAGGGTATAATAGAAAAATAATGTTTTTTTTTTTGAATTTTTTTTATATAATTATTAATATAAACAATGTATAATAAAAAAAAAAAAAGCTACAATAATTTAAAAATCAATAACCAATAAAAAATAATAATTTATTTGATTCAAAATCTTTTTTCATTTTTTTTGCAACGTTTTTCAAAATAGAAAAAAAAAAAAACATTATTTATATATCCTTTTTTGTTAGGCATCGCGTATTCCTCTTCATCATTGTGACAAAACTGATAATAAATCGATTAAAAGGTTTTTTCGCAAAACCTTTTTGTTTTTTTTTGCTAATAATAAAGAGGAAGATATTTTTTTTTTTGTGCTATTTCAAAAACTTTGCATGAAGATAAAGTTGTTTATTGGTGGATTGAAAATCACCACCAATCAGAAAAATAAATATTTTTATTATCATCGATTTATTTTTATCAACCACTTCCTCACGAAAAAACAACCAAACATATGAGACCACCCAAAACCAAACCTTTTCATTCCACTACTACTATTTACTCTTTTCTTTAATCTATAATTCATCCTTTTGTATTATATTATTTTTATTTATTTTTTTTGTTGACCTTCATCTATTAGATATTGTATTATTACAATCATTGTAGCATTATATTTTATTTTTTTATTTTTTCAAATATATTATAATATAAAAAAATATAAAAATGGTGGTATGACTGTTTATCTATATTATTGCTGAAATCATAATGAATATTAATATTGTCTTACTATAATATAATCATAGGATTTACTTCAATTGATTCCATTTGAATATTTCAAATCACTTGCACCAACAGAGTACACATGGGAAACATTTTTTAAAGTTGATTTCTCAAAATGGGACTGGAAGCAGTTGATTCCCTCTCAAGACTTTAAATTTGAGGAAGGTGTTACTCCGTTCTCCAACAAGAACTTTATTTTCTTGACAATAATTATCTATCTCACCACTGTTTATTCTATTAAAGTATGTACATTGAACATTTCAGCTCAATACAATAGTTTTTAACCATTACATAAAACAATAACAGTTCTTTATGAGTTCACCAAAGTTAAAAGGATGGAATTTAAGAGGATTCTCTGCATTACACAATTTAATTCTTTGTGTTTGGTCCTTGATTATGGTTTTAGGTGTAACATATGATGCTTTTCAACTCGCATTTGTAAGTATTATTGCGCAATATCTTTGTACAAACGCAATACAATTATTGTTCTAATAGCTGTGGATAATATATAATCTAGAATTCAGAATATGGTGTAGATGGATTTTTCTGTTCTCCAAAATCAAATCCAATCTCTGGTCGTATCTTTTACTGGCATTATTTATATTTCGTCAGTAAATTCTATGAGTTTATCGATACAATTATCATTGTCTTGAAAAAGGTTAGTTATGTTTGGTATCTAATAATGATTATTTAACTATTATATTAATTTGTTGTATACATTTTCTTTTATTTCTATAGAAACCATTGATTTTCTTACACATCTGGCATCATTCGATTGTTGTTTTGATTGTTTGGACTTGGTTACCAGGAGGTGTATCTTACGGTAGCATTGGATTGTTTGCCAATACTCTCGTTCATGTATTTATGTATTACTACTATTTCAGAACTGCTTGGAATCCATCAGTTAGAATCTGGTGGAAATCATATTTGACTTCTGGTCAATTATTCCAGTTCACCATGTCATTTGTACTTTCAATTCCATTCCTTCTCAAGGATATCGTCATTAACGAAAACGGTGTTATCTCTCACAATTGCGTTGGTTGGGGTGCATTTATGTTCACCATGTTCAACAATCTATTCTTCCTTATCCTCTTTATGAATTTCTACATCAAGACATACATTCAAAGACCGAAATCAAAACCAAAGGAAGAATAAATAAACTTTAGATTTAGCAACCTTTTTTTTTTTTTTTTTTATTTTTTAAATTTTTTTATTTTTTAAATTAAAAATATATTATCATATGATATCAGCAAAAAGTTTTCAATTATCTTTCAAGAATAGTGTTTATTTACTATATTTATTTTAAACCTTTATTATAATTCTACTTTGTTTCTCATATTGTAATTTATATTAGATTAACAAAAACTTTAGTATATTAAAATTAAAAAGAAGATTTAACTCAATTGGATACTATGGCACCCAATTTTATGTAATAATTAATCATTTTTAAGAATCATTTTTTAAGTATTATGTTTTAAACTGATTTTCCTATCAACATTAATGATTCAAACCGTATAGTGTTTTAAATAAATGTCACCACTCATGATTTTTAGGAATTTTGTTTAATTTTTTGAATGGTTAAAATAATAAACCACATTATAATCATTTTCAAACATGGCTCTCTTTGTAGATGGACACTGTAGCACTGTTATTTCTTAAAATATTATTCAAGGTAGGTTGATTTTAATTCTCATCGACATTTTGCTTTGATCTATTAATTTAATTTAGGTTTAGTTTGGCTTCCGAAAATGGTGGAAATGGGTTTTTTATATCATCTAGTTAATATTAACATTATCATTTTCAAATTAAAAATTGTAACTGCAGTATTTAGTGAAAACAGCAGCATGCAACGAAATTTTTAATTGTCCATTTAGATATATTGATAAAAAATCGATCGACCAATATTCCATTAAAACTAAAGTAAGTATATAAAAAAATTACTCAGCAAATACTATCCACATCCCCCTACCACCACTGTTTACCAGTTTTATTTAGTGTATGGTTTGGTGAAATGGAAAACCACAAAGTGTTTTTATGTTTGTTTTTATCATAAATGTATTTTACAAACTTTAGGTTATATTAATTTCGTACAAAATATTGTATTCTATTTCAAATTTTGTCCCTATTCACAATTGTATTGTATCACTATTCGTTGTTCATATTTGAAAACTGACTTGAGATGCACCAATTCACAACAAAGGTGGGTCGAATTTTTTTAAAATTTCACTGCGTCGTCCAATGAAAATTGGATTTTTTTTAAATTTTTAAAAACCAAAAACAAATCGACCATTGATAAAAAATACTTTAAAAGTAAATACTTTTCATTTATAAATAGTACTGGCACCACACAGGGTAACCTCTCTACTCAGCCAACACTTAACTTTCAGTGGTTGTTCTTTTGTTCTTGGTTTGATGAAGATGTCTATCATAATGAGGAGTCAAAGAGCCATATGGCTCAATGGTTTGTCTCTGAAATGTATTACAAGATCTCCTTGAGCACCTCCAGAACCAGCAAACCTTGAAACAAAAAAAAATGACAACAACAACAAATTAAGTAAAATTAAATATTAGTGGTGAATATTTGTTAAATTGAAAAATTTTAACTACATTGAAATCTGGTACTTAGCCTAGGGAATCATGCTAATATTAAAAAAAAAAAAAGTGAAATGCATTTCACTGACGACGGTTTAAATTATTTGATAAGGTTTAAAAAGTGTGGAATTTTGATGTTTTACCTTACCCAATCATCGATAGAGTTAAAATGCAATCAAACTTTTAGCACCCCTCTTTGTTGTTTTGTTTAATCTATTTGACATTGTTGACTTTTCAGAATACCAACTTTGAGATATTCTTCCTGCTTTCTTTCAACAACATCTCTCTTAAAATATACCCTCCACTCACTAGAGTGTTACTCACTTCTCTTCCTTAAATACCAATCCAATTTTGTTAAATCAATTCTCTCAGATTCTAAATCAAACAACAAATAAAAACAACTATATATTCTTTTCCATCCCCGAAGTCATTCACTTTCCAACAACAACAACAACAACACAAACCATATACACTCTAAAAATATAAATAATTAAAATAGGTAGAGGTATTCAACTTATCCATAAATATAAATTACTAATCTTTTAAATCATCATAATCCAATCTCAGAACTATTAATTATTCATTAATTAATTGTTAAGGTTTAAAGATTTATTAATTTAACTTGTCAATTATAAAACAACATATAAAAGTTTTTATAAATATACCTCCTCATATAATTATATTTAATATCTATATATCTTTAAATATCAATTTTGTGATTTTATGTGTATCAATAAAAATATTAAAACCTGAAATAATAATAATATAGATAATTTATTTATTAATTCTAATCATAATATTAAAAATTTAAACATATATATCAATCCCCAAACCGGAACAATTTTACATTGTTTTTTTGGCACATTTCTTTATTTCTATTGAATTTTTTCCATCTACCGCGTAAGAAATCAATATTTTAAACAAAATTAATTTTTTAATTTTGAAAATCTCATTGTTTGAATAACAAAAAAAATAAATATAAAAAAAAAATGTAAGTTAAAAATTCCTTTTCTATCTTCAAATTGAAAAAAGACGTCATAAAAAATAATAGGTGTTTTCATTTCTTTTATCCCAATTCTTTTTTTATGTTAAAAACCAAAAAAAAACAAAAAAAACCACCCAACCAAATAATTCAAAGAGTGTCCTGTGTACTTAATACTTTTTTCCAAAATTGTCAAATGGTTGGTTTTTATTATTTATCAAACCAATCAACGTCGATTTTTTTGTTCATCCTTTCTTCAATATTAATTTTATTATTTTGAGAGAAACCCTATACTTTTTTTTTTAAAAACAACAAAACATAAAACCAAAGGTTTAACCGATTATTGATTTTTTATCGCCAATTTTTATAGATTCACCTCTATATCATTTTTACGATTATCACAAATTCAAGTAATAATATATTGAAAAATCTTGTTAACAAATATCTTTACTTTAATTAATTCTTAATTATAATTTTTTTAATTAAAGTAAAGTTTATAACAAACAATATCCACTTTTTATCAAAGTTTTACTATTAAAATTTGTTTATTTATTTATTTCCAAAAAAGGTAATTAATTTTTGTTTTGTTTATACATCTGTATTTTTTTATTTTTTTTTTTTGTTTTGATAAATATGGAATCGTTTTGACAATCTATCAGATCTGATCGTTCACATTATGATAATCTTTAGATTATCACTGTGTATCAATACGATTGTTTTGTTTTTGTTCATGTTGGTAAAAATTAACCTATGGAATCATTTTACTTTTAATAACATTCCAATCGTTTAATTCTACACCTTCCACGCTTTTCAACAACCAATGTGTAAAATCAACCAAACCAATTAGATTTAAATTTCATTTACACATATCTTATCGATTTACTATCATATCAATTGTTTTACTACTACTTCTTGTCAGTAACAGCCTACTAAAAAAAGTGGTTTAGTGATAAGACTTGATAAAACAAAAAAATATTGAGAAGAAATGCTACTGCTATCAATATCTATTGGATATTTGTTTTTTTACTCTTTCTTTATCCATTTTATTTGTTTTCGTGTGTGTGTGTGTGCAGTGAAAAAAGGTAGATTTTAAAATAAAAGAAGAAGAGATAGATATAAAACCACTCGTATTCCAATAATCTAGAGAAAAAGGATATATGATCATATCCTTGGACTCATCAAGTAATAATAATAATATATTAGTGGACACATTCAAAAATAAAAATAAAGCACGAACATATTCGCTCTCTGTCTCCATCAAAAATGTATTAATCAGATAACAAGAACATACTCTCAATCAGCTAAATGTATTGGTTGTTGTTCTATTAATTAATTCATTCTTTCTATCTTATTCGATGTAAATTTCCCTGTTTTACAGATAGATAGTGATGGAAAGAAAGAAGCTGGGGGAAGAAAAAAGAGAAAAGAGTGAGTTTTTAGTGTGTGGTGGTGTGTTTTTGTTTTTATTTATCTGTCTTAGTGATAGGTGTTTATTTTTTTAGTGTGTGTGTGTGTGTGTGTGTATGGAATTCATTCAAATTTAAAAAAGGAGGGTTTACTTTGACAAACAACATTTAAATTTACTCGATTAACAAACATTCCAACCTATATGTTGTTGAAACATATCTCTATATTTTTTTTTTATTTTTTTTATTTTTTAAACTTTATTATTTTGTCCACATTCCAAAAACAAACACTATATCTATCTATCACCACATTGTTAATTGAAAACTCCTGTTCAATAGCATCTGCATATTATTTCATGATATTGTTCTCTCTAACTATCAAATCCACACTCACACCACCACCACCTCCAAACTAAACATCATAATAACAACAATAAAAATAATATTCCAGCAGTAACCAACGACATTCACCCTCACACTTATTCCTATTGTATCGTCAACTGCCTCCAATTGTAAGCCAACTGGTTTTCTGATATATCAATACACTGAAAACATTTTAATGCATATAATGTATAAGAATGAAGAAAATAACTGTAGAACCAAAAAGAAAACCACTTCTATCAATCAAATATATGTGTTTTTGTTGATCTTGGTGGTGTGGTGTGGTGTGGTGTGTGTGTTATAAACAACAACTATAATATATTTTATTGATACTTAATGTACATATATATCTCTACCCCATTTTTTCACTTTGAATCAAATCATTATTAAAACAAACTTTTGATTCTATTGATTTACGTTAGTAACATATCTCAATTAAATTCAATATTTGTGCAAATTATTATTGGTTAGTTGATCGAGAGTAGTACTACTGTGGTTGTTTTTTGTGCTCATTCCTAAATTTCTATTGTTCATGAATTCAATTAAAAAAAATATTAAGATGCCATCATATATGTGTTAGAGTCATTCTTTAATTAAATCAATTCATTAACAACAATAGTCGTTGTGTTGGTAGAGCGTTAAATAAATAAACCAACACACACACACACCTACATTTAATTTATATATAACAAATTATCCATAATCTCACTCTTTTGATGTAGTTATATATTGGTGTATATGTATCGTGTGGATTTTTGGAGTAGAGTGGAATGATAATTTATAGTGGTAGTAGTAATAGGGTTGGTGGTAGGAATGGTTTTAGTGGTGCAAGTGTTCTTCTTTGTTTTAGTGGTGTTGCTGCTGCTGGTAGTGAAAATAAATTGAAGGAGTACAAATAACAAATACTCTATACTCCAATGTTGAGAGTTTGTGTTTACTTGTGTATCAATGTTTATTTTAATAAGTACTTATTTTACTACTACTTCCTGCAACAACCTACTACAAATACAACACTACACTTATTCACCATATCTTATCCATCACATCTATCTATAAAAGTAATAAACAGAGCAAACAAACAAACAAAACAAAAACTTCAAAAGAAATATAAACAATCAAGAAAGAAACCTTCAAAACAAAAAAGTTATTAACATTAAAAAAATAACAAAATAACATATCAAATTTCTATAATTATAAAATTTCTTTGATTTCCAATCATCATTCATCCTCGCTTCTCTCTCAGTATTTAATTATATCAGCTGTTCCAATATTAATATTATTTATTTATATTTTTTAAAATTCAAAAAGTAGTAGTAATATCACTATTGTATCAGATAATATTATTTAATATCCAAAATTAAATATTTTATAGATTAATAAATGTATGTATAAATAATTTAACAAAAAAAAACTTAATAACTCAACAAAAAAAAAAAAGTTAAATTAAATTTGTTTAACAAAAAAATAATAATAATAATAATATCTATTTTTTTTTGGTTGTTGTTTTTTATTATCTTTTATGTCATTATAAAATTTAAACATTTGAAATCTTATATATTGGAACCATTTTTAAATCATTTATTTTTAATACCCCACAATCAATTAACACCATCATCTCACCACCAAAATTACTCTTTCATATATTCTCTTTTTAGAATCGTATTCATTACCATCAACAACATACCCAAAAACCGATAGAGCTATTGTTAGTCTATAGAGATTAAATATAATAACTCTCGAGTTTCGAAATGTTATTAACAACATATATATAAATATTATATTTGAAATGAATAACCAAACACACCCAAAACCATCAGACACTAGTATATAAATATATATAATAAATATTGGATAACCTGTGAGTGGGTGTTTTTGATACATGTGATTGGAATTCGATTATCAACACATTTCATCAGAAATGAAAAATCACACATTTTTACTCACAATACCACCCACAAAACACACCCTCACACAATTCTACATGTTATATAAAGAGTTTTGCCCATTCATCAAATAATAATAGTAATTTAATTTAAATGATCAGAATAGATTTACACTACTATCTTATCATCATCCTAAAAAGTAAAAGTAATTTATAAATTGGTGACAATCCAATTCTACTAATTACTACTGTCATTAAAGGTGTGTTTGTTTAAATGTATTGTATACATCATTCCAAACAAACCACACATCAATTCCAACACAACCACCTTAATAAGAATTTTTAGTTTGAGCTCACGCAAACAAATGCTAATCAAATAATGATATGGCAAAGATATAGATATCATTCAATAATATATATTAACACTACTGCAAATAATATTAATAATAATAATAATATCTATGTGTTATTATATTTTTGGGACAATCCATCATTTAATTTTTATTTTTGCAAAGAAGCAGCAGCATCACCATCATCATCACTGTATATCTGACTGCGTATAATGCCATTTTGACTAAATCAAAATAAATTACAATTTTTATTTATTATTTGTTTAAAAAAAAAAAAGAAAAGAAAAAACAAGTAATAATAGTAATAATATAGCAGTCCATCCTTCAATCCATCATCCAATCAAACAAATTACTTAAATACACTATAATACAGTTTACTACTTTCTTTTTTAGATTTTTTAATTGGAATTATTTTTAAATTGTTATTATTATTATTTGTTTATTTGTTTTTTTTTTTGTTAAATTTATTTTATCGAATCAATCACTCCATCAAAATTTTATAATATTACACAAAATAATTAATTTTTAGAGAGTAAAATAATCTAACTGTTTTCTATTCCATATAGAATAAAAATATCAAATCATAGTTTTTTGGTATATCGATTTCATTCTCATTTTTTAAACATTTGGAAATTGAAAACTAGTACAGCGCGTTGAGAATTCTACTGTGAATCACAAACACACTATATCTGTCAAATATAAATCATCATTTCCTTTAGTTTGCTATTTTTTTTTTTATTTTTTCGAAAAGGTAAAAAATAGTTTGATAAAATATGTCTGGATAGATATTTGATACTAATATTATAAACAATTGACAGATTTTTGATTCTTGTAGTTTAGATTAATTTATAAAATTCTAAATCAACATTCACCTAAATTCATTTGTAATATAATAATAATAATAATCAAAAACAGCTGGATACGAATCTAAAAAATTGATAAAGAAATTAAATATTTTAAAATCAATTACTATAAATAATAATTATAATAATATATTCCATAAATAACTATAACAAAAATAATTAATAATCTAAAAATGAAAGATCTTTCAATTGTAATTCCAACTGTTAATTTATCAAATATTAGTAGATCACCATCAACTCCATCACCATGTTCACCATCAACTATCCAAAGAACACCACAGTTTGAAAATGACGGTTGTATGCTCTGTGTAAATGGTACTCCATGTTGTCTTCAGAAGCGTCGTGCCACCTGGACACTAAAGCTGAGAGTCGCTCTCTACTGTCTCAGTGTGCTCCACCCCGATAAGAAATACTTCAATCTGAAAAAAGATATCTATACCTACGTAGACAATCACTGGGACTTGCTTTCGATCAACACTGCCAAGTCTGACCGTTGGCGTAAACAAGTCCAAGACTCTCTCAGTCATTGTCGTCACTTTGAGTCGGGTTGGGATGCAATGGGATGCAACGGACACTGGCGTCTCATCCAGCCATTGAATCCATGGAGTTTCCCCCCAGAACGCGAGAATATAATGATGTTGGAAGACGACGAAGGTGTATATACCCCAGACTCCAGCTTGTCGCCACGTCCCTCCAAGTCGCCACGAGAAGATCCACTCTACAGAAATTTCCCCAAGCGTCGATCTCTCATCGAAGAGGAGTTGGAAAATCGTAAGCGTAAGGTTGTTGACGCAGACATCCAAACAGTGTCTGCAGGCATGGAAGAGGAGGGACTGTTGATGCTCAAGTATTCACCAATGATATACGCCGAGACACCGTCGCCAAAGTGCAGAACTCCACGTTCCAACACATCCTCCACAACCAGTCCATCGATCCTTGGCAACAGTCCAATGTTGGCATCGAGCGGAACCTACTTTACACTCTCAAACTTTAGCAATAACCTCACACTCAACTCATCTGGCAACAACAATCCTATATATCACCCAACAGCATCGCATCCACCCTCCAATCTCTCAGTTCAATCCAACATTACCATCCTCGACAATTCCAATCCATCATCGCCAAGAGGATCGCCACTCTCCAGTCCAACTATTCCACACAGCCAGTCTTCCACATCAGGTGCCTCTGCAACTCAACACATCTCACCACCAATCCCCTCGATCCCATTCTCTTGGAAATCCAACTCCAACCTGTCGTCATCGCCAGTCAACGTTGTCACCTCGAATCTGTATAACAAACAGGTATCGGGAATGAGTGACAACGTTAGAGAATCTTCTAAAGCCAACACCCTACCCAATCCATTCTCTGGCCCACCCTCACCCAAATACTCTACACCATCGCCAAACTTCTTCACCGCCAACAGCAATCTGAAAGTACCAACAGAACTTCTCCAAAAGTCGTCACCTGTAATACTTACCACCACCAATGGACAACCAACATCACCGTCGTCATCACCCAACAACCTCTCCAAACTTCAACAACAAAATCTCATTTTGAACTGTACATATTAATTTTGAACAAATGATGATAAAATCCAATACAATCCAATTATAATAACTATTACATTTGAAACCGGTAAGGTGGTTATAAAACAACCTTACCCCAACAAACAACTCCCCCAACTCCAACAACAACAAGAAACAAAACATCAGAAACATCAAACAACATTAAAAAAAAAAAAAAATTGGACAATCACCAAATGATTAAACATGTCAATGAAAACAACCGATTCGAATAATTAATTCAACATTCAAAAACGATGATTTTTATTTCAATGTCTGAAAGATATTTATAAATTTGTACAACAAACATACTCTTTAAAATAAATAAAAAATGCGCCAAAAGGATGTAATATATTCTTTTTAAAAATAATATTAGCTTTTTATACTTTCTGACCGCTTGTTTAACTTTATTCAATGAATATTTGTTTTTTTTTTAATCAACATGTTTAAAATAACAATTATTTGAAGAGATCATCATCTTCATTGTTCTATTCAAAAAAAGTTCATAAAAAAAAGTCAGAAATGACCAAAAAAATGAAAAATAATTTCAAAAAAAAACTCCCAAACCTTTATTTTTGAATAAACACAAGAATTTTAGTATTTTTTAAACGCAAGTTTGGAGATTGGATTGTTTCATTATCAGTAAGAGATGTTTTTATTTTAAATCTTTGTGCAAACACACTTTTAAGCACACCATCCAACAAACAAGTCAAAAATCAACAACTATAAGTTGTTGTTTTAACAACAAACAAACAAACATTCTATTTATATAAAATACAAACATAAACATTAAACACATAGTACGTTTAAAGTAATATTACATAAAAATAATAACAAAGTTGTACTATCTACGAAATCTTAGATCCTTTTTCTATTTATTTATATTTGTAAAGTTGTTGTTTATATATATATTATATAGATATACATACCATATTTATTAGAAAATTAAAATTAGATATACTTTTGTTGTTATTATTATTATTATAACTATGAATATAAATAGTAGTAGTAATAGTAATAATAATAATAATAATGAAAATAGATTAGATGAAATAGAATTAGAAGAAATATCAGATGGTTCTTTAAATGCAATTTCCAATAATGAAATTGGTTCAGATTCTTTGGGTAATTCCCCGATTCAACCTAACAAGAGCGAGACAGATGATTCTGTGAAAATCGAAATACTCGATGACAATGCAAAACCTGTAATAGTGGTAGACGACTCTGTAAATCAAAAGAATAGCAATAGGTTTCTATCACCTATCTACCGATACTTTGAGAAGTGGACAGGCATTCAAAATCAAACGTCACCTCCAATGGTACCTTTTTCAGAGATGTTTTGGAGTTGGCTTGGTTCGATGGTTGGAATGGGCTTGTTGGCAGCACTTCATTACTATGTGCTCAATAAACAGGACCTAGTACTGCTGATCGGTAGTTTTGCAGCTTCTGCAGTTTTGATATACGGTGCCTACGCAGGTCCACTTTCACAGCCACGTAACCTCATTGGTGGTCATCTGATATCTGCAGTGATCGGAGTTTCCATTCGAATTGCATTCGTCGATACACTGGGACTGTACTCAGTGGGATCGTTCTGTGCCGTTGCCTTTTCTATCGTTGCGATGCAACTAACAAGGACTCTTCATCCTCCAGGAGCTGCAAGTGCATTGATCGCAATAACATCTACGAGAGCACCTTGGGCTGGGTACCAATATGTGTTGATGCCGGTTGGAACGGGAGCATTACTAATGTTGCTTGTAGCATTGGTCATAAACAATCTAGCACCAAAAAGAAGATATCCTCAATATTGGATATAATAATAATAATAATACTATAGTTATTAATTTAATTTGATTTCTTTTTGAAAAGCATATCGAAAGTAGCAATATGACCGTTCATTACCGCATTCCGGCACGCCTATAAAAAAATTTCAAAATTTAACACTCTTAAAAAATCTGCACCATTTTTTTTTATTTACAATAAATGGATACAAATAAAAGTATTATAATATATAATGTATTTAAAAATAAATTATTATTAAGATATATATTTAAGTTTGTAAAGTTTATTCATGAAAGAAAACAATTGAAAAGTATAAAGTGGCAATACGTTTTGAATGATCCAAAGATACTATTGCAACACGGCTACCTGTCAGAGTTGAATGTGTTGTTGGATCGACCCTATATCATTGATGATTACGATGGTTTCAAATTGATAGAACCACATTTTGCTTTATACATTCAATGTTTACCTACGCTTAGATTTCTATTCTCAAAGTATCGAGAAAAGAAAGCATTTTGGATTTCATTGATCTACTTGACGATTATGAATCACAATAAAGAGTCTACAATGTTTTTAGTAGAGAATATCGAATCAATTGGCGATGATGTGATGGAGTCGGTGTTGGTTGCTGCCTTTAAACAGCCATCTATAGAGATAATCGACTATCTTTATAAGCGAGTAAAGTCGTACCAATACTTGGAAGATTCAATAGTTGTCATTGTGGAGAATGGTCAGATCAATGCATTGAAATATCTTTACGAGTATGGACATCTTCGATCGGTCTCAGCATCGAAAATACTTTATACCGCAGTTGTATATAACTATTATGAACTGGTACATTTCATTGTAGAGAGATTCCCAGATGCAAGAATCAAGTCAGATCTATTACCACTCATTGCAAAAAACTGTGATTTGGCTATTTATCAAATGCTTTTGGAAAGAGGAAATGAAGATACAGGTGAAAATCACCCTCTACAATGTTTCACTTATGTCATTGATATGGCAGCAGAAAATAATCGATTAGATACTATCAAGTGGTTAACAGAGAACAAACCGGATGTATCTCGAATATGTTCAGTGAAAGCAATGGATGTTGCAGCTACAAAAGGATACCTGGAATTGGTTCAATACCTCCATTTTAATAGAAGTGAAGGGTGTTCAAAGATAGCAATGGACAGAGCCGCTAAATCAAACCATTTGGAAATTGTTAAATTCTTGAATGAAAATAGAAGTGAAGGTTGTAGTTACAAAGCAGTGGATCGATCTGCAAAGCATGGGCACTTCCAAATGGTCAAGTTTCTTTGTGATAATCGATTAGAAGGATTCACCAGGAAAGCAATGAATTACGCTGCATCCAATGGTCACTACGAAATGGTTGTATATCTCTATCAATGGGGAGAAGATATGTGTAATCCAGTTACAGCTTTGATGAACTCAGCAAAAGGTGGCCACTTTGAAATCTTCAAGTTCCTCTTTTCTAAACTGACAGTCGAGGATCAGATGATCAGCGATCGATACGTTGATAAACCATTAAATGATTTTCTACAATACAATAGCAAAGAAATCAATCGATTTCTGTTTGATGAGAGTTATCAATTGGATGTGGATCAAAAGGATGTTGATCGTCTGGTACAATTAGGATGTCACGATAGTCTAAGAGTCGTTTATCAATGGAGTGGTGGTAGTTTTTTCAATACCAATTCAATGACTCTGGCAATTAAGGAGCGAAAACTCAAAGTATTGAAATTTATCAATAAGAATTGTCCAGGAATCGTTGAGCCGAAATCAATCGTAACGCATGCATGTCTGTCAGGTGATATCGATATCATTCGGTATGTTCTTTCCAAAGACTTTAGTACCACTACCGACAATGAAGTCAAGTTTGTTTTTCAACTACTGCTCGACTACAAGTGTAGTTTACTTTCGGGACATGTTTTATATGAGACAATCGAGCTGATGATAGACAAATATCAATCACGTGTCACCACAAACGAATATAAAATAATAACACCAGTTAGAGCAGGTGATATAGAGCTAGTTAAATTATTATATTCTAAAGGGATCAAAGCATTCGATAAGACTCTATTGTTTCATATTGCAAACATTGGTCATATAGAGATAGCCAAGTTCTTTCATGACAATGGCATTGAGCAATCGATTACGGGTTGTCTAGAAAAGTCGATCAAGAATTTCGAGATGTTCGAGTATCTCTATCTTAACTACCCAAGTCAACCACCTATTAACTACCTCAATGCCATTGAAAAAGCTATCAGGAATGGTTGTCTCAACGTTGTCAGATATCTTCACGAACATCATGATGATCACGACATTTTCACACCACAACTCACACAATTGGCAAATGATTTTAAGCGTGCAGAGATTGAAAAATTTCTACTGAGCATCTCTTTACATACAAAATAAATAAATAAATAAAGAGTTTGTTTTAAAGTAGATATTTATTCATACATAAAGCTATGTTCAAATTTTCACAATATTAGCAAATATGTTATTTTTTCATGGTACCTATTCATCGTTTGGGAGTCAATCTTATGCTTCATTGCTATTATATAAAAACCAGTCATCATTCACGACTAGCCATTTCTTATAAATAATGTTATTATCTTAATGATTAGTTTTTGGTGAACAAAAATAATAAATCATTTTTATTTTTTCTAAAATAAATTGGGAATAAATAAAAAAGGGATCAACCATCATGATTTTTTGTTTAGGCGATTAGTTGTTGTTTTTAAAAAATGGATAACAATATTTTCTTATTTGTATTTAAAAATAAGGTATTACATAGATATATATTTGAAAGTGTTAGATTCATACATAATAAGAAACATCTAAAAAGTTTACCTTGGTATTCAGTTTTATATTCACCAAAGACACTGTTGTCATACCGATTGTTTAGCGAGTTTAAAGAGCTATTGGAATCGGATGAAGTTTATTTTCCGTTCGGCGACATTGGACCGTATCTTAAATATGCATTTGATCATTTCCCAACCATTCAGTATGTTCATTCAAAGTATCCAAATGTAAGAGCATGGACTAGTACCGTAGTTTTAGAGGCTGCTGTAAATGGTTCTCTCGAGGTTGTTAAATTCATTAACGAGAATCAAATTATCAAGAATTTCAACGAAGCATTCGTTCAAGCATGTATCTATGATAGATTGGAGGTTGTCGAGTATCTGTATCCAATTGCTATTCAAAGTCTATCAGTTAACGATATAGAGTCGGTGATATTGACAGCATCGAAAAAAGGTTATTTTGATATCATCAAGTTTCTTTTCGATCGTGGTCATATCAAGAAAAAACTAGCCAGAGTCATAGAATCAGCATCTGTTCATCAACAATACAAAGTCTTGGAATATCTTATCGATTCAGAAAAAGATAAACATTTACTTAAATTTACACCGAAAACACTTAATATGTTTGCAAAATATGGTCAACTCGACTTACTTCAGAGGTCTATAGATGACTGTGATGGTAACTCGACAGAGTTGGAACAGACATTAGATTATGCAGCAAGTGGTGGTCAGTTCGAGGTTTTGAAATGGTTGACAGAGAATAAGAGAGGTGTTTGTACAACTAGAGCCATAGATAAAGCATCGGGAAAAGGTCATTATGAAATCGTGCGATATTTACATGAGAATCGTAGTGAAGGATGTTTCCCAATTGCAATGGATGAAGCAGCAAAAGGAAATCATATAGAAATTGTTCGGTTTTTGCACGAGAATAGAAGTGAAGGATGTACTGTCAATGCGATTAACAACGCTGCTAAGTATGGTCATTTCAAGATGATACGATTCCTAGTTGAAAATAGAACAGAACGATTTTCAACAATTGCAGTTAATAACGCAGCTCTCAATGGATATTATGATTTGGCAGTATATCTCTACGATCTTCAACCAGAGAAATGTAATGCATTGGCAGTGTTGGTGGCAGCAGCTAAAGGTGGTCATATTGATATTGTAAAGTATTTCTTTGACAAGATTGTAACTTTCAACAGATCTATCAAAGAAGTATTGAAACACCCAAATGAAGAGATCTTTAATTTCCTATTCAGGGAGAAAAGAATAACATTTGAAATCAATCTAAAGGACATAGAGAATATGATTAAACTAGGTAGTTTGGAAGGAATCAAGTTTCTCTATGAAAGAAGTCCACATCTTTTCGGTGGATACGCTTTCACATTGGCTTTGGAACATAAACAACTTGGTATACTTGACTATCTTTATAATAATTGTCATAACATTGTCTATTATAAATCATTATTGACAAATGCAATCCTTACAAGAGATGACGATATCATTAAATATGTTTTATCGATGGACATCGATGTCATTCAAGATATCACAAGGATTAGCGATCTACTACCAGATCTATTAAAATCGCTACTCTATTGGCATTCATATCTATCGGGTACCAGCTTGGAGATGTTTATCAACAAATATCTAGAGCATCTAAAATCGATAAACACAATTTGCCTCAATCTAAACCAAGTGGAATTCCGATTGATTCTACCAATTCATCGTTTGGGAATCAATTTAATGACTAGTGTTCATATCAATCATGCTATTATATCTGGTAATCTTCGATTGGTTAGGCTATTTAACGAGAATAATCCTGAAGGCTTCGAAGATCCTTATATTGTGCATAATCAAATGAACTGTCGAAGTTTATACTTGAATGTCTTTAAGTATCTCTATCCCTATCGATCGGCATCATTTAACACCAGTTTATTATTGCGTGCAGCTGAAATAGGATCACTAGAAACAATCGAATTCCTACATCAACAACAATCAAATAATCATCAATTTACTACGAGTGTTATGGATGCGGCAGCAGGACATGGACACCTCGATATCGTTAAATTTTTGCATTACAACAGAACCGAGGGATGTTCAAAGAAAGCATTTAACTCTGCAGCTACCTATGGAAAGCTAGAAATCTTTGATTTCCTCCACAAAAATCGAACAGAAGGATGTTCGCCTGGTCTTAGTGAGGTTGTTGCAAAGAACGGTTACTATCATATGGTTAAATACATTCATAACAACAGGACAGATGCTTGTACCGACAACTGCGCATGTAACACTCTTCGATAATTATAATTAAATGAAAAGAAAATCAAAATAAAATACTCAGGTTATTTTAATTTCTAAAATATTTCTTTGAAAAAAAAAAATAAAAGATTTTTAAATATATATCATTTTTTAAAGTTATTTCATTGTTTGATATTAAAGTTGTTATAAAAATGGATAACAAGATTTTCTTATCTGTATTTAACAATGTAGTTTTATTTAGATATATATTTGAAAAAGTTAGATATATTCATAGTAAAAAACAAATCACAACAAAACAATGGAAATCAGTCTCAAAGTCACCTAAATTTCTACTCTCCTATGGATATCTAGAAGATCTGAAGAGACTGTTGGATTCAGAGGATCATTTTTGTAGTTTTTCAACGATTGAATATCACTTGGGATATGCAGCTGGTCACCTCCAAACAATTCAGTATTTGCACTTGAAGTTTGCTAAAAATAAATGGCCTAAACAATTTATCATAAAAGCAGCAACTGTTGGTTGCTTTGAAGTGGTAAAGTTTGTGGTAGAGAATAGAAAAGAACAAGAGCATGATATTGCTGGTGCTCTGGTTGCTGCATGTATCAATAATAGTTTGGAGATTGCCGAGTACCTCTATCCAATGATAACTATAATCGATCACATGGAACTTGAGCGATCTGTAATTACAGTGGCTGAACGTGGTCATTTGAATATCATTAAATATCTTTATCAACTTGGACATGTAAAGCAATTAGCGAAAACAGTTGAAGTGGCATCGGTTAAAAATCACTTTGACATTGTTAGGTACATCGACAGTATGGAAACAGATTCAAAGAGATTCAAATTCACACCGAAAACACTCAATATGTTTGCAAGATATGGTGAATTCGAACTGCTAAAGAAGATACCGCAACACAATTGTTTGGATCAATCAGTTGATTATGCAGCTGGTTCCAATAGATTGGAGATGGTGCAGTGGTTAACAGAGAATAAGAGAGGTGGTTGCACTAATAGAGCTATTGATCTGGCAGCGGAGCGTGGTTATTTCAAAGTGATACGTTACTTGCATGAGAATCGTAGTGAAGGATGTTCTCCAATGGCAATGGACGAAGCAGCAAAAGGAAATCATATGGAAATTGTAAAGTTCTTGCATGAAAATAGAAGTGAAGGATGTACTGTCAATGCTATTAGTAATGCTGCGAAATATGGTCATTTCGAGATGATACGATTCTTAGTTGAAAATAGAACAGAACGATTTTCTTCGAAAGCAGTAAATCGAGCGGCATCTAAAGGACATTTTGAGATTGTAAAGTATCTCTACAATCTTCAACCAGAGAAATGTAATTCATTGGCAGTGTTGGTGGCAGCAGCTAAAGGCGGACACACCGAGATTGTAAAGTATTTTTTCGGCAAGATATCACAATTCAATCGATCGATCAAAGAAGTATTGAGCTGTGATAATAAGGAGATCAACCAATTCTTATTCAGAGAGAATCAAGTGAATTTCGTAATCTCGCCAAATGACATTGATACTCTTATTATACACAATTGTTTGGATGGAATCAAATTAATACATGAAAGGAAACCATTAGCATTCGATGGAAATTCAATTATTATTGCAATCTCTCATAAACGACTGGCAATACTTCAATTCCTCTATGAGAATTGTCCTCAAATTAAGTATTATCGATCAACACTGAGGATTGCTCTCTTGACCAACGATTTGGATATTGTTAGATTTGTTTTATCAATGAATGTCAATGTTATTCAGAATGTAAACACAGTCGATAGGATTAAAGAACTTCACGATATTTTCAATACACAATTACATGGTCCTAATTTTGCTAGCGGAGCCATGGAGTTGGTGGTCAAGAAATATTATGAACAAATGAAAACAATCAATTACAATGGTTCCACTAACCCTAGATTTGTTGTGTGGTTTCATCAGATGGGTATTAACCACCTGCTAAAAAGCAATACACTCTATAATGCTGTAGTTTTGGGAGAGCTTGACATTGTTAAATATATATATGAGAACCGTTCAGAGTACACAAAGTTCGATCACATCGAGAATCATGAAGTATTGGCAGCTGCTACAGTACACTTTCCTGTTTTTCAATACTTGTATCCGAAATGCAACAGTAACTATGACTTTTATCACGTACTAAAGGTGGCTGCTACCAAAGGTGCACTGAAAGTTATTAAGTTTTTCCACACACAACATCCAGTCAATATATTCTCATCTACGATTATGGATTTAGCAGCAAATAGAGGTCACGCAGATATCGTCAAGTTTCTCCACTATAATAGAACAGAAGGTTGCTCCCACCATGCAATGGATGGTGCCTCGTTCTTTGGTTCGTTGGAGCTTGTTAGATTTTTGCATGAAAATAGAAGTGAAGGTTGTAGTACTCTGGCTCTTGACTATGCTATTCAATATAATAGAGTTGAACTGATTGAATATCTCAAAGCCAACAGAACTGAAGGATTCACAAGTAAGAAGATCGTAAGATTCTCTGTTCATTGTTAAAATTACTCCGTTTTCCACCTACTACGTAGACTGCACGGACAAAGTTCCAAATAATCTTTGTTTTGTCAACTTTAATAAAAGAAAACTATTTAATAATCAGATTTGTCATGTTCATAATAGTCTATGTCTATATCGATAGAATCTAAGTTCACTGCTTTATATTTATTATAAGTTGTTGTTGTTGTTGTTGTTGTTGTTGTTGTTGTTGTTGTTGTTGTGTTGTAGTTATCCTAGATGTACAAGTATCATCAAATTCACCTTGAACTATGAATACTTCGGTTGTTAGGATTCTTTTCACAAGTGTCAGAGGAAAGGTGTACTACCAATAGGAATTTAGACATTTGAATGACCTTTCATCTTTATCAACCACCCTTAGAGAAAGCAACAAGTTCGTAGGTGAAGCTCTTAGGAGTGAAAATATCTTATATTAGTAGGACAATTGTTATATGATCAGCTATTAGCAGTACAATTTAATAATATTAATCATCTTGTAAAATAAAAAGATAACCATTTATATCATAAGAATATATATAGTTTATTTCATGAAGTAAGTTTAAAAATAATTTCCCCTTTTGTTTTCTTAAAATTATGAATCAAGTAAAAAAAAAAACAAAAGAATCGTATTAATCATAAAAAAAAGATAATGTTTTCAAATAACAGAATAATAGATTAAGAGAGAGTCGATATATATTATTATTAAATATATTTTAAAATAATAAATCTTGTTCTACAGATTAACATAATCGATCGAGCAAAGATATATCAATAACAAAATTGATTTGTTATTTTTTAATAAATTTTTAATTTCAAATCACTCTAATCAAGAATCATTATAAAAAGAACAACTACAGATTTACTAATTATAAATATACAATGAATACACATATATCAAAGATGTAAAAGAACCAATAATCTACGTTGTAAAATGATAGATTATAATTGATTGATTGAATGAAGTGTAAATATAATATAAAAAAAATTAAAATGATTACTACTAATCAAACTAACGAAGTACATCTTTTTTTTTTTTTTTTTTTGATGTTCTGCTACTCGAATAAAATAAACGTACCAATCATTCACTTCTATTTCTATGTCTATCCTTTTAAAGGTTATATATTGGTTGTTGAACTAGTGTGTGTGTGATCATTTTATATAAATATAATTAATTTCAAAACACACACAAATCTCAAGATAGTGATGGTTTGCATTAGTTTTTATTTTTATTTTTTCTTTGTTTACCACCCACTCTTTCTTTTATATATACTTTTTTTTATCACTTACCAAACATTTGTCGTCAATTATTCATCAATACAAATGAATAGTTAGTTTATATTGTAACTCTTCCTCTTGGATTTGCGTATATACATTTAGAAGCTACATCTATATGGATGTAGTACGATAATTAGTTGTTGATTTTTAATACCGTTGCAAACAAACTATAGGAAAAGTATTGCCAACCTTGCCACTTTTTCTATTGTTGTGATATTTGTTTTGGTGGATTACCGGTACTTACAATACCAGTACAACACGACACAATAATAATTTCAAATATTAATTAAGCAGAGTTTATTAATGAATTCATGTCATTGTAATTTAGGCTCCCTCTAGAAAGAAGCACACAACAAACACAATACACATACACACTTTCCAACAACACCTATATAAAATCGTTCAATCAACAGTTAACAACCTAGTGTGATGTCTTTCAAACAACACCTATTTTCACCACCGCCAAGTGTAAAAGAGCAACATCTCTGATTTATCATATGAATTGATGTTAATAATTAAAATGTGTATTGATATGCCCAAATATGGTAACATTGAAAGTAAAAGTATGCGATAAGATTTGATCTGTTTCACTCCGAAGTTATCTCCAAACTCATTCCTACGATCCAATTATATTTGTTGATGAATTCACTTCGATATTATTTACTCATGTTGACACTCAAAATCAAAATTCACCTACCAACAACAATTTCAAATCACTTGTTGTTGTACGTTTTGAAAAATGTTATGACCACCCACTCACAAATTCACACACCACCCAACAAATCAAACAAACACGCTTACCACCAACAACAACAACAATACCACAACACGCACTCCATTCATGTCCTGACAACAAAAGAAAACCAAAAAAAAATACCATACATAGGTAAAGACAAGACTTTGACATTTTCCTAATCACTCTCCACAAAATCATTTAGATCAAATATATTCAACACACAATCTAAACTGACAATAACATAATGTGGTTGTTGCTGCTGTTTTTATTATTATTTATTATTTATTATTAATATTAATTTAATTAATTAAAATAATAATAACTGAAAAAATGAGTTATTAAAACAAATAAATAATTACCTATAATTAATAGAGATAGAGGTTCTGTGATTGTTCAATATGTGATATAATATATTCTCCACACACACCCACTACACTACCACTTTCTATAATACCGGTTCACTGAGGGGTGTAAATAGGCATCCTTTCCATTCTCCTCTAACACTTGAATTCAAAATCCAACTCAAAGATTTTGTTCAAGTTTTTCTTATCTTTTATTCCAACCATTCTGTTTTAAGAATAATAAAGACAATAACACACGTAAATCAATATATATTTTTTATTATAGATAATATAATATAAAATTATTGATATTACATTAGAAAGTCTAATACGGTTGTTGACAGAGTTGGAAATATGTATACTTAATATATAAATAATAATTTATAAAGTTCATTTCTCCAGACAATCATTACTAACCAGACACTCTATATTTTGACCCAAAACAAGTAAGTTTTATCATTGCTATAATCTTTTACTATATACAAGATTTGATCATACTATTCATTCAATCACCCAACTATTAATATATATTTGGTAGCTATTGCAATTATTTAATTTCATTGTATTTTGCTTTTACCATTTTTGTTAATTACCGATTATTAATCAAAACACAAATTTAAATTTTCAATACTCCCATCTTTATAATAATATCAAGAAATTATTCAAAATAATATAATATATTTTTTTCGAATTTTAAATAGAATTAACTAATTTATAATAACCATAGTATGGGTAATAAAGAGATAGCTATAAAAAAATCAAAAAATAAAAATATTTTGTAAAGTTCAAATTTTTTTTATCTGTTTTTAATAAAAGGTATTTATAATTTTATTTTAAGATATATATCTTTCATTATTATAAAAAAAAATAGAATATAAAAAAATCAATTTTAAAAAATTAAATTAAATAATAATTAAAATTCAAATTAAACCATTCCATACCATCTACAACTATGGTAAAAATTTAATAATATTAAAAAAAACCTTACCATTTTAGATATGAGTCCCATCTAATTTAGTTATCAAACATCCAATCATTGCTTTTTTTTATTTTTTTTATTTAAATTTTCACACACCTTCAAAGTTAAATGGTTCCAACAAAAAAAAAAAAAACAAATCTAAATTCGACTCCAAAACTATGAAAGTACCCATATTAGAAAAGTTTTTTTTTTATTAATAAAAAAAATATATATATATTTTTTTAAACAAATATCATTAATTAAAAAAATGTTTGAAAATCTTGGACTTTTATTCCAACAATTTCATTGGAGCCAACAATTGAACCATTTGGAGGCGATCGTCGTTAATTAGATCAAAAATCATCTCATTTTATAAAATTTCATACATTTTATTATGAAATAAAATTTCTTTATATTTACATTTAATTTTTTTTTAATGTTAAATACAATTTGGCCAACCAAATTCTCCCAAAATCATAAATTTATTAATATTTACAGTAACTTGATGTTTGGTTGTTTAAAATAATCATTCAGTCAGAAACATTTGTAAATAAGTTACTTTGTTGAATTACCCCCACTCTAAATTTTCTTAGATTTGTTCTATTACCATTTATTATCTTGACAGCTATTATTTAATATATTATTTGGCCTTTGGTCTCTCTTGTTTTTTTTTAACAAAAAAAAAAAACAAAAAAAAAACCAGAATAGTTGGTTCTAAAAGGTACCAACTTCCAAAAAATATTAATATATATATATTATTTGTCAGTAATCATCATCGAAATCAAATCTCCAATCCTACCCACATCCACAGATTTACATTTCAAAGTTAGTAATTTCACCTGACATTACCTATTCGCAACATTGTCGTCAACTCTATTTGTAGTAAAAAATAGTAGTTTGGTTAACTTTGTGAAATCCAACCCCTTTTCACAAAACTAAAGTCATCCAATCATTGCTTGATATCAATTAATATTGTTTCCCAAATTCACCCATCTATTTTTTTTACCTATTTATATACTTTTTTTTGTGTGATATTATTTTAAATTATTTATTTTACATTTTTAATTTATTAATTTCATTTACACATTATAGCTTCACACACACTGTATTGTTTTATACTTTTTTTTATTGTTGAGTTCTAATAACTACCCCCCACTTGGTGGTTATTTACATTATTCAAATCAGCAGCAATAAAATCAAACAATTACATATATCCAAATAATTACCATTATTTATAAACTGATATTTTTTAAAAATTTAAAAAAATTTCAAAACAAATATGGAGAGTGCTGCAAGTGCTACACTTGGTAACAAGGTTAAACAACTTCATATTAATACCAATTATTCTCCTCTATTTAATTCGTCCTCTATCTCTCAACAACATTCGCCTGTATCTCTATTACCTCCCTCACTCTCTACAGAACATCCTCCTCAGCAAGCCTACTCTTCTCCATTTCCAGAAAACCAATCAATGATGCAGCCAATTTCATTTTTGGGCTCACCTGGTTCCTTCCCGAGTCCGCACCACCACCATGGTCTGGCGAATCCACCGATTCCTCCATACCCAAAACCTGGAAATTCGTTCATTGTTGAAAATAAATTATTTTCGCCAACCATTCCAACTCCAAATCTCTCATCACCACAACCTCAAACCACACAAACCAACCAACAAACTTCACATTACCACAAACAACTACATCAACATTTGGAAAACAAACTATCACAATTCTGGAGAAACCAGATAAAAGATATTTCAAAGATGGAGGATTTCAAAACAACTCATGAATTACCTCTTGCAAGAATTAAGAAAATAATGAAATCCGATGAAGAAGTAAATGTATGTAAATAAATAATAATTAATAAATAATATGAAATATATTTACTAATAATAATCTTATAATTCTAGAAAATATCAGCTGAAGTACCTATGTTATTTTCAAAGGCTTGTGAATTATTTATTTTGGAAATCACTTTGAGATCATGGGTTCATACTGAAATGAATAAAAGAAGAACATTGCAGAGAATCGATATTGCCAATGCCCTTTCAAGATCCGATGTATTTGATTTTCTAATTGATATTGTTCCAAGAGATGAAATGAGAGGTCCAAGGCTCGATAGAAAATTATTGGTAAATATTAAAAAAAATAATAACTTTACTTATTTTTATTAACATATTATATTTCTATTAGGATGAAATGCATAGAGGTAATTATAATCCAGATTTTCTTCAATACTATCAGATACAACAGATGGCAGATAATCAGGCTGGTATTAAGAGATCATACTCTATGGAAATCACTCCATCCAACTCTGAACAAATAAGCCCATCTAGTAGTCCTAAAAAGAGAAGTCTGTCACATGATTTTTCAAATGGAGAGAACGGTGGTCCCACAGTTGGACAACCTACCTCATACATGTTTGAAAATAGCAACAGTAGTAGTATGCATGGACTCCACCACATTGTAGACCATCACAATATGCTGCCACCATCACCCTCCTATAATATTCCAAGTATACTAAATTACAGCAATCAGAATATCTATCAGCCAGGTGCAACCACTGGAAACGGCAATTTAAATGCTAACCACGAAATACTACATCACAACAATAGTAGTCAACCTCATCACCATCACTTTTCGAACAGCAGTAACCATAGCAATGAGCTGAACCCAAATGCTCATCAATTTCATCAATATTATTTTCATGATGAACATGGAAAATAATTGTAAATAATAATCAATCAAATATCTAAAACAAAATCCTGTCATAACTATTATTATTTTAAAATCTTAAACAAAACAATTAATCAATCAAACAAAAATTTAAAAAGTATACTTTTAATCTTGTGTAAATCAAATAAGTAATTTGTTCAAGAATAAGAATTTGTATTTTTACTATCTTAGAAATCTCCCAATCCCAAAATAAATAAAATAAAATTTAAAAAACAAAAAACAATTAACAAATAATAATATATTGTTATCCTCCTAAATATATAATATATTTTATTATTCTCTATTTCTTCTTTTTAATTCGATTGAAATGGTGATGTTTTATATTTCGATTGATGGTAGTCTACTTTATGTTTTAGTACAACACCCTTTAGATGCTTTCCAACACGTTCATCACCTACTCTCCAACGGAAATCTACATCTTGTTCGAGTGATTGTAGATTCTTAAATCCTTTTAATTTAACAAATGGAAGTACCGATGAAGTGTGTTTAGCGATTCTGGTCTGATCGGAAAACTTTGCTGTCTCTATATTTAACTTTTCAAATTCAAGTTGTTCCTCTGTCTTTTTAGTTGGTATTTCTTTTTTTTTGTTGTTGCTGTTGTTATTGTTATCACCTTCTTCAGCCATATAATCTTCTACACCGAGTTGTCGCAACCATTGTTCCTCTCGGACCTGTCTGGTATTTACAAAGCTGACTACGTAACCACCTTCGTTCAACAGTGGGAGTGCCATATCCAACAACTCTCTATAACGATTCTTTGTGGTGAATACACCAAACTTATAACCTCTTGCCATTGTGGGTGGATCGAGAATGATCACATCGAAACCCAGTGATTTATTCTTCATTTCCAACAGCTTTGAGAATACATCCTTCTCGATGAACCGGTGGAAATTGACATCTACATCATTCAACTCAAAGTTCTTCTTGGCAATCTTGTGGTACTGACGTGAGTTGTCGATGTTGTACGAAGAGATCTTGGTGCCGTGCAACGCTGGAATCAATGAGAACGAGCAGGTATGTGAGAATGTATTGAGAATCGATCCACTGTCTCTGCCGTCGAATAGCGATTTAACATATTGACGATTGCTACGCTGATCCAAAAACAATCCCGTTGATGCAATATCGTTGAGATCAATCTGTACTTTCATTCCGTTCTCCTCTACGACCAAGTCAAAAAATCCATCTTTTCTCTTAACTGCATCGCCCATATAATGTTTGCAAACGGGATGACCAGATTTAAACTTTGTCTTCCAATATACACCTTTCTTTCCAGTTTGTTTCAATAGATATTCACTTACAAAGTTGATATGATTTGACCAAAATTCAGAGTGTGTCTAAATATATATATATAAAAAAAGAGTAAAAAAATAGTTAATAATCACCAAATTATTATTGTTGATATTGTTGATTGATTTATACATACAGTAATTTGTAAGTAATCACCAAATACTTCAGCAATTAAACCAGGTAATCCATCACCTGTTTCATTGATTAATCGATATGCTGCATTCTTTGATATATCAAGTTTACCGAGTTTACTCATCTCTTCACGATATCTAATGGCATCATCTATTGAATGTCTAAAGATAAATATGATATGATGATAATGATGTTTAATGAAAATCATTCTTTTATTTTTAAATAAAAAGAATCGAACTATATAAATACCTTAAATATGATTGATCAAAATCTTGATGTTCATATGAAAGTATACGAATAGGTGGATCCATTGTGGTATCTACCAAAGCAATACCCGAAAGATCTTTTGCATTGTTGAATGGTACAAATCCTGTTCTACTATTAAAGTCTTTCAGAAATGTACTCGAAAGATTATATGTTTTCTTTTGAAGTTGATGTTCTAGAGCTGCTGCTACTTTTAATACATTATTCATCTTAAATAAATATAAATATTTAATTTATTACTTTATAAATTAAATAATGACTAGACGAAAAAAAAAAACGAATCATTCGTTTTTTTTTTTGTCTAAAGAAGTTTGTTATTTATTTGTTGGAAATTAATAAAATGTTTTTTATAGATAGAACATCTATATCTAAGTTTTTATCAACTAGGTGCACTTAAATTAGAAGTTCAAGTAGATCTATTGTTTATAACTTCAAAAAGAAATAAAATAATTCTAACAGAAATCACTACATATGATTAATGTAGTTATTCTCTACCATTGCGTCGTGATTCAACTCAATAAAGAATAGGTGTTCTATTATAATTTTTGTTATAAACATAAATAATTAGAAAAAATTAAATATTAAACTAATCGTATCTTTATTTTAATTAAAAAAGATATTAAATCTAAAATACTTTGAAGTTCAAAACACCTGTCCTGTTTGTGGTGGCAAAAAAAACCATTACATTCGTCCAAACACAAAAGCTTTTGTGTTTTTTGTTAATTACCTACCAAATATAGTTATTTATTAATACTCAAAGTGAAATGAATGAATCTTTAAATAATAGTAGTAGTAGTAATAGTAGTAGTGGTAATAACTCACCTTCTTTAGAAAATGTTGGCAATAACAACAACAATAGGTCATCCTTTTACTATTGTAAAAATATTTCTAAACCATGTACCATAACACATTGTACAACAGCAAGACTTAGAAATACTACATCATCCTCTTCTCTTACTTATAATAATGATAGTAATAATAATAAAGATATTATATTACTAAAAGGATCATACTTGGAGATCTACCAATTCAATATACACTCTACCAATCTTAAACTACAAGATGAAACTTATTTATTCTCAATACCTAAATCCATTGCTGTTCTATCTTCATCTTCTTATTTACAACAACAACAACAACAACAACAGCAGCAGCAGCAACAAACATCAATAACAACTACAAGTAGTAGTACATCATCATCTTCTTCAACAACACCAACAAAGAGTATAATTAAACCAATTAAATTACTATCACCAATTAAGAAACCACAACCATTATCTGTAAATTCACAACTAAATCAACAGAGATTCGAGTTGGAACCGAATATCTATATCGATGCAAGCTTTAGAAATAGAGATATGTTACTGATGACCTCTGACTCTGGTTATCTATCTGTGCTCTCTTGGTCAGAGAAATATCAACAACTAGTTGCCGTCCAACAGCTATTCCTTGCACCACCCAATTCACCATCACCTTTACACTCATCATCATCGTCTTCGCAACAGAATCAATTCAATGCTAAAGATCTAGGCAAACAAATCATTGTTTCTTCATGGTAAGTATGTTGTTTAAACAACTGATTAACCTATTTATTTGCATTTTAATTAACATTATCTCAATCAATGTTTGTTTGTTTGTTTGTTTGTTTTATTTTTAGTAATAGAATCATAGCAATCTCTGCATATAAGAACAACATATCGATACTACCTGTACAGAATGATCTTTCCAACAAATATGAAATATTCTCAAAGCGAATAGATATCAAATTGAATGGATTCATAAGTACATTGGGATTCTTAGATTCTGATAGTAATTCAAACTTTATATATTTACAAGTTACTATTGATACTATGTATGTTAAAGATAACTATAACTCTAACTATGTATAATATGATTATATTAATAAAGTCATAAATCTTAAAGCAATGAATCAAAAATTCATATATATAGATACGACTATAAGAATTCCAATGCTACTTCTATCGCTACTTTGATATCGAGTGAAATACGTCCATATAAATTTATATCTATTCCACAATCCACTACACAATTCTATTTAATTAATGTTTGTATCGTTAAGTGTAAATATTTACTTATAAGTTTAGTTACTAACCAATATATATATTATTTTGTATATTTATTAATAATACACAGAGAGATGAAAGAATAATAAAGATGGAATTGGATATTCTCAACTCTACATTAAAACAGATATCAAACACATCACTCTTCAATCGAAATAACAATAACAATCAATCGATATCTACAATGGGTGTTGATTCTGAATTAATAACATCATTTATATGGTTAAATAATAATAATAATAATAATAATGAAAATATGATAGATATTGATAATGAACCATATTTACTATTATCAAGTGATAATGGTACATTGTTTAGAGTGGATCTAAACAATGAGATTACATTGCTAAAGGAGGTGAATCCAATTCAACATTTATTAAATCTTGGAAACGATCATATAATGACAACCGGTGATATTTGTGATGGTGGTATATTTAAAGTAACTATTAATAACTATTTAATATGTTCAGCCTTAGTCTAAGATTATTTTAAACTAATTACTATTCTGATGTTTTGATCAATAATAGATGGAAAAAGATGGTACATTAAGTAGTACTGATAGTACAATACTAAACTATTCACCGATTGTCGATCTTTGTATAAAACCATCGAGTGTACTTCAAGATTCGACGTCACTACTGATGTGTTGTGGTGGTGGTAACACTGTTGGTCAGCTCTACTCACTAGAATATTGTATTCCACAATCATTTCTTGGTTATATTCAAATTCAATTGTATGTATATCAAATGTTTTATTGTTTAAACAAAGAGGTAACTTTAAAGTATATATATATACTAACAACAAATTAATTAATGTATCTTATTAATAGTGAACTATCTGAGATTTGGAACTATCCTATTCAGAGTAATAATACCCAACTAAAGAATAGTTCATTGATTGTAGTTGGCTGTGAGAGATACTCTAATATTACGATGGTATTTAGGTTGAGTGATGTGTGCAACATCGATGAGTATTCCGAGGAATCTGGATTCATTTTGAATGAATCGACGGTCTATAGTAATCAGGTCGGTGCAGGCGCTGGATATCTGCAGTGTACCTCACAGAGAGTGCGATGGATATCGCCCGACTTTTCGAGACACATCGATTGGATGCCAGCCGACAACCATTTGGACATTGGTCACATCATCGATTGCACATCGAGAGACAGCGATATCATATTGTTTGGAAACAACTCTAATACCATAGTGTATCTACGTATCGACCGGCAATCGACATTCCAACTGATCGCAACCAAGACATTCGAAAGTGCCATATCCATCATTGAGATAGTACACCCCGGAACACTGAAACAATGTACCAACCAAGAGAGATCGATCGTTTCCAATCTACTGTTTGTTGGTACATGGAATAGAGAGATACATGTTATTTCACTTGGTGGACAACACCAGTCGTCTACTGCTACTACTGCTACTGCATCAGTTGCTGCTGTTACTTCACCTCTAGATATATTATATAGTGTCGGTGAACTCTCTGGTATTCCTCATTCTATAAAACTGGTTAGGCTTGGTGATAGAAGTGACACTCATTTAAAGATCATCGCTGGTTTGAAAGATGGTTATCTATTGCGTTGGGAATGGGATAATCTGTTGGCCGATCCATTCAGTTCATCTATGTACTCCAAGCAATTCTCAAGAGTACACGTTTTGATTAGTTGCCCGTATGACAATGACCAAGGTGCACTCGTAATCAGTGAAGAAAAGATGTACTATCTGACATTCAAGAAGACACATCCTATCATTTCAAAGGTTGCTTTCGATGGTGCATCCAGTGCAATATTGAAAAGCGATAGTAATACAATCATATTCACCAAACCACAAATCGGTGTTGGACTACTCTCTGTTGACCTAACAAAGAGTGTTCTTATCTCACCTCTACAATCAACTGATAATAATAATAATAATAATAATAATAATAATAATAATAATAATAATAATAGCAGTGAAGATGTAAGTAATAAGAACAATAATCATATATGCTCTATATATCATCATCATTAATTATATCTACTAATTTATTGATTTATTTTAATACACTGCATAGAACCCAAAGAGAGTAATCTATCTACAGGATTATAATATAAATGCTATTCTATATGAAGATTACATTGTTTTGAGAGATATAGATAATCAAACTACCTACTACAAATATCAACATAAATTAAAAGAAATTAGATTCTTAATTTGTAAGTAATATATATCTTTGATTAGTTGTAACTAGTGTATGTTAATAATTTGTGTTTTATTTTAAACCAGATTGGCAATCAAAGAATATTATAGCATTTGGTGGTGAAATAGATCAAGTTAAAGCCAATAGAGGTATATTGTATTTAACGTATTTGAAAAAGAAACAAGATACCACTGCCAATGAATACACTGGCGAGACAGAATCTATTGAAACTACAAGTCCTATATATTCGATGACACCGCTTGAGAATGACAAATATATCATATCGACAGAGAAAGATACAAAGATAATGACTTTAGAGAATACTATCACTGGCGTTCAGATGATACCGTCTTTGGCGTCAGCAGTAGACCTTGCCTACCAAAACAATAGAATAATGGTTGGAACACAAAACACTGGTTTAAAAGTCTACCGATATACTCAATCTCTTAACAATCAACCAGACACACTTGGCAAGTTAAAATAGTATGTAACAAGATGATGACGATAGACAACTAAATTTTAATATATATTTACTACCCTATATTTAAAAGTCAACAAACACCAATGCTTACTTCTAGTTGTTTATTTTTATCGCCCGATGAATATGTTATTGTAGACATATTTGGTAATATATCAGTACTACATGATAACTCTGGTATGATATTAAATTGTATCGATACTACTTTGACATCTAGCTACTAACTTGAAGCGCTCATTAATATTATAGATCCATCCAATGAAGATAGAAATACAACTTTAGATACTATAGCCAATTTCAGTATAAAAGAATCTTGTACAAAACTACATAGAGTAAGTAAACTATTAATTAATTAATCTATGAAATTTCGAACAATGTAAACATTGAGATTAACTGTAGAGTTGATTGGTTTGTTTGGTTGACTACTAACTCTTTGATATTTATTTTTCAATAGATTGATAATAATCGTTTAATTGTTGGAGGTGGATTGGGTGGTGTTCACATGATCTCTAAAATCAATAACACCAAAGATTATGATTTGTTGCTAGAGCTACAGCGTCGCCTCTGTGAATTCAAGCTGACTGCACCACTACTGTCAAACGACCACCTTTGCTACCGATCAGAGATGTCAATGATGCGCAATGTGTTGGACGGTGAGATGCTTGCCCAATTTCTATGTCTCCCTGAAGACTGTCAAATCAGAATACTCAAAGTCATACAGAATCTAGAATATCTAGACTTAAAAATCAATGATTTCCTAAATAGAACAACCACATTATTAGAAACAATTTGTGAATTGTGTTTAAATAATAAATAAATAGATTTTGCGTAGCTGAGTTGTTTTCTCTATCGCAGCAATTAAATTACTCTCCACAAATCAAAACAAAACATGATCATTCAAAAATAATAAAAAGTTGAAACGGAATAGGAATAGCTAAGCATGAATAAACACAAATAAAACACAATTTCTCAGTAAGTTTGCACGTTTTTGATTAACAGTCTTTTTTGATCACATAGCATACAGATTTTGGTCCTCTGAAAATTTATATCTTCATACTAAGTTGCAAAAATCAGTGTGCGAACATCTTTTGAAAAATTCGATCCCTGACAATGTTGAAAATGGGCAACTTTGAACTATTTTTGGTTAATTTGTGTTGAATGATCAGCCAGATACCACTATTTTTATTTGTGCAAAAAAAAAAAAAAAAGTAATGGTATGATCATTTTATTTTTATATTTTTATTTTTGTTTTTTGGTCATCTGCAGCAAGTTGCCATCAACTTGAAGTTGGAATTTTTTTTATTTTTTTTTTGTTTTTCATTTGATTAGATTTGTTTTATGCTTTTTTTTGTTGGGGAAGTAGTTTTTCTCATTAGATCCACACAAGGCACGGTTTTTTTTTTGTTTTTTTTTTTTTTGTTTGCAAACCATTGAAAATCTCTTTTTACAGTGGCAGGGGGGTGTCGTTTCTGGGGGAATCGATCAATAACAAAATCATTTAAACTTTTGTTTTCCAATGATTTTAAAATAGAAAAGAAATTATCATGCTGTGAGAGAACACCATTTCCACGCATAGTTTTTTTCAACAAAAATAAATATGTTGTAAACGAAAGATTTATAGATACTCCAACACATTCAATACCACTAAATTCTTGCAATTTTATGATTGGATTAAAACTAACAAGTTGTTTGTCCAAACAAAAGCCAACATCATCAAACCTACCATCATTTTGATTTACTCAATGTTTTTATATAACATATTTAGAAATTATTTATATAATTGATATATAATAATTTATTTATACTTAGAATATTTCAAGAAAGATAATAGTAATTTATAGTTTTTAAGAAAATAGTAGCAGAAATTTAAATAGTTTAGTTTTTTTATTTTTTATTTTTTATTTTTATTTATTATTTTTATTTTATTATTAATATTTCAATAACATTTTCAGAAAATGTATAGTTTAAAAAATAGATGTAGTTTTATATCCTCTAGATTATTTATAATATTTATTTTTTCTTTTGTATTTCTTAATTTTAACTTTGTAAAATCATATACAATCGATTTTGGTTCAAAGTGCGAAACCCTAGATCAAAATTCTATTTGTAAAACCTATCTTACATATGACTATATTTATTTACCGAGTGGTGTAAACCAAACTGCTCTCGAAAAAAATGCAACCGATGCTATTGGTCTTTTACGACTTCTTCCACAAACCTGCCAAGATAGAGCTATACCTCTAACATGTTTATTAGTAAATATCATTAAAATAAATTAAATTAAAAGCTTAAATTTTTTGTTACTAATATTTATCGTGTTTAGACATATAGAGCTTGCAATACTTTTAATAACACGAATCCAATAATTAATTTACCTTCATCAACGTGCATGTCTACTTGTAGTAAGTAACAACTTAGATTTCTATTATTTAAATTTATTAAACATTTTTTTTCCCTCTATTAGTTAGTACAAACGAAACATGCTTTTTCCCTTTCCAAAGCTTTGGTGTAGCATTCAGTTGCGATACAACAAATAACGATGGAACACCATCATTTGTAGATACTTATACCATTTTTGATACTTCAGCTTATGGTGGTCCTTGGTCAACACCTGTTGAATGTAGGAGTGAATCAAATTCAAGTAAATATTTTTAAAAAGATTTTTTACTATTATATTAGATATTAATTTATATTTTAAAAAAAGCTCAACCAAAATTAGGTTGTTTAAAACCTTTGGTTTATGTAGAACCAGATAAAAGAAAGAATATGGTTTATAGTTTTGTAGATGACAATGGATGCGCATTACCATGTCCATTGATGGGATTCGAAAAGAAATATGATGATATCTATACCAAAACATCGCATGCCATAGGAGTAGTCTCTCTCATTGGATCGATTCTCACTATTCTCTTTTTTACAGTTATACCAACCGAGATTACCTATCGTATGGAAATTATTATTTATTTCGCTTGCGGAACACTCTTTATCAATTTGGCATACTTTATCCAAGCAACTAAAAAGAATTTCGAGTGTTCAAGTGATCCTGGACGTTACAAATATGCGTGGACCGATGTCGATTGTGCTTTTGGTCATTTCTTTTACCATTTAGGTGGTCTAACCATTTTATTTTGGTGGACAATGGTATCTTATGATTTCTATAGTTCTTCATATATTAGTAAGTAACAATTAATTGTTTTGATCATTTCCTTACATTTTAAATTAATCATTTTATCATTATAGAAACAATTAAGAGATTTAAATTTTTTAGAATTGGTTTATGGATTCTAGCTATATTTCTCACTGTTTTACCAATTTTTTTCAAAAAAGTTGGTTCTGTTGTAAGTACAACCTCATGTTGGATTATGAACGTAGATGGAGGTGTTTGGCAATACGTATGTTTCTTGGTTCCTGTTTGGATTTGTCTTTTAATCATTACTTTTTGTATGGTTGTTTCATTGATTAGAATTTTTTAAGATTTATTTCGTTGTCAAAGGTATGTAAAGTTAGCTATCTTTTTTTTTTTTTTTTTTTTGATTAATATTAACTTTTTTTTTTTTTTTTTTTTTTATTATAAAAAAAGATAAAAAAATGATTTATTTTAATATAAAGATGATTCTCTTGATGATTTATATCTTGATTATCTCTGCATTCATTTGTTTCTATTTATTCTTTATGAATAATAGATCAAAAGTTTATATTGAAATAATTAAAAACTGGATTCTTTGTATTGCAAGTAATCAAAAAGATCCTTCAGTTTGTCCAATATATATACCAGATTTTGCAATTAGATATATTACTGCTATAACATTTGGTGGTTTAGGTATTATTCAGTTTGTTTGTTTGGTTATTGTAAGTAGATCAATAATTTAATATAATCTATAATTTTTATATTAATATATTTTTAATTTCTAATAAACTAACTATAGGACCCTGGAAATAAGAAAATGGTTAAAACTTCAAAGGTTGTTATTGCTGTGGTTAATAAATTCCTTATCTTAAAGAATAACTGGTCATTGACTTCAACCACTACATCATCAACAGGAAAAGTAACCACCAGTGTAACCACCGGAGCATCGAGTGGAAGTGGTGTACTCACTGGAAACAGTGGAGAATGGTTGACGGCAATTCGTAGAAAAGAAAGAGTCGTACAAATCATGAATCAACATAGATTGGAAACTAGTAGAACCAATATTTTAGATGAAGACTTTGGAAATAATCCTGAAGTAGAATTGGATAATCTATCAACAACCGTAGTTGTTTCCCAAGATGAATCAAATAATAACAATAATGAATCTAATGATAATAGTTATTTTAATAATTCAAATATAGTAGTCCAGCCAAGCAATGATATAAATAGTTTAGATCATAATAATAAACCTAATCGGGAGGACGATACTGTTTAAAAATAATAGATAGATTTTAAGATTTTTATTTATTTATCATAAGTTTTTTTTTTTTTTTTTTTTTTTTGGTACATGAACCAATTAATTTTGTTCATTGAAAAAAAAAAATAGATTTTTGTTAAAATTATTTATGCAATAACTACACCTGGAACACCTTGTCCTCCTCCAAAATATGCATTGGAGACTCCATTTTGGTATCCTGCGTTTGAATTTTGACCCGAGTAGTAACCAGAAGGATCACCGCTTGCATATTGACCTCCTACTGAACCAGTCGATGGTCCCAAGTATCCATTGGTTCCTCTCCATTGTTGATTATTTCCAGATGAGGTGCTGTAGTTAGTTACCAGAGTAAGCACCAGTCCAATTTGGATTAGCCATAAAACCACCTAAAAAAAAAAAAAAATAGAATTAAAATATGTATATTAATATTATAAATTCTATATATATTGTTTTTCATACCTCCAGAACTAATAAATCCAGCTAGTAAACCAGAAATCAATCCAGACAAAAAACCACCACCTAAATTCTCACCAGTAATTAAACCTTTTTTTTTTTTGAAGTATTAAAATATATTAGTATTTTTATTTATTTTTTATTAGTCTAAAAATATTTACCAGATGCAAATCCACCTCCACCATTATTGATTGGAACAATACTTTGAATTTTTTGAATTTCTTTTTGTTTTTCTTGAAGGGTTAGTCCACTCTTGAGAATTTTGTTGATATCTCTCATAGCAATCATTTGATCAACAAGCAACTTTTCCAAAGGTGTCAACTCTGCCTGTAATTTATTCTTTTAATTAATAAAAATAATAATATTCTTTTCTTTATATATTACATACATCTTCAACAGCAACAGGGTTTGATAGAGTTGATGATACTATATTTAATAATAGTAAAACTAAAACTAAAAAACTTTTTTTGTTCATCTTTAAGGATTTATTACTAATATCACTAAAAATGAAATGGTTTCATATAAATATTGATAGTAAACATAATCATATGATAAATATTAAAAACAAAATCAATGTTCATTGTCGTGAATGAAAATGCATAGTATTGGGGTTCATATAAACAATGAAAATCATCTAAAGTTTTTTTAAAAAGTTACACACCCCCGAATAAGCAATAAAAGAAAGATAATTTTTATCACAAAATTATGAATGTGATTTCATTCTAAATAATGTGTTACTTTGGTGTTAATTAATAAATTATCTGATGATTAAGTTGATCTGATTGATTTAGTTTATTGTCAAATAAAAATGAATGAATAGGTTGAAAAGAATGATAAATTATGGTATTATTATTTTGAAACTTTAGAGATTCTTAAAACAATAATTTTACAGATTTTTTATTGACGTAAGAAAGTTATAAATATTTTAAAAATATTAAATTTTATCCCAATTCCTTATTGGTGTAGTGGTAACACATTAGTCTTTCACACTGAAACCCCGGGTTCGATTCCCGGATAGGGAGGTCAATTTTATAAATTTTTTGTCCGCATGCGTCCTGAGGTCAGCCAACTATTTGTAACCAATGGGTTTTCCCGCTATGCCAAAAGGGAAGTTAACTAATTATCATCTGCTCCACAAACATCACACAGATGAACCTTCACCAGTGCACCTGATGCCAAAGCCAAGTTCACCGCTTTGATGTCTTTGGACAGGTCTTGCTTTCACTGGAATGATGGTGGTCTGAATTTGTGGGATCTATCTCTTCGTTCTGCTGCTTATAAGATATGGGTTTTTAATAGATTCCTGTTGTTAAGTAGAAGCAACTCATTTGGCTACTTCAAAACTTGGTCATCCATGCTTGATTGTGCCAAAAAATTTACTAATCCAACTTCTTCACCATCCTTCAAAACTGTTCCATTCGTCTTGGATGGATTTTAGAAACAATCACTTCTACTATTGTTTCCACTCCAGAGTCACACCAGGCAATCTCATCCTTGCTGATGATGGCAGTCTCCTTACTCTGAAGGAAATCTATTCTGTCCTATTCAACCATAAGTACCCCCCGAGTCCGCGGTACTGAAGGTCAACTAACCATCCAGATTGGTCACTCTTTGGTTCTCCAATCTCAGTTCCTGCATATATCCAAGGTCAAAGCGCCTATGCTACGTAAAAGCATATTCCGGCTGTACTCTCACACCATCCCCATCAACCACAAGCGCACTGGTCATGTCAGTGAGTTCTGTGGTGACACCTTCACTGAACTGGAAAATACCGTCAAGAGAGCAGTCACCCATTACACCAAATTAATCGATGCCAATTACCACAAGCTTAACTTCACAATCGCTAATTCTATCTCCCAAGGAATCACTGTCGATTGCTCTGCAATAACGCGTAAATTTAAATCTGATTGGAATCTAAATCCTTCCAACTACGTGCCACCACTTTATACTGTTGTTCATCAACACGCAGCTACTGTTAGTTCTATTCTATCCTTATACTACTCAACTTATTAATAATAACTATAAACAATAATAATAATAATAATATTTTATTGGCTATTTCTCACGGCCTGTGTGAGAATGTATATATAATTTAAAACACCAACTAGCAGGTTAATATCAATACCTGCAATTTGTTGACTGATATTGAGTCAACAAATCTTTTTTGAAAAAAAAAAAAAAAAAAAAAACCAAAAGGATGGTTGTAAGACAGTAGCTAGATATGACAGTATACAGTAAGACTCAACTACTGATAGGTCTATTCTAGTGAGACAGTTACTATGAAAGGAGAGAAAACAGAGAGAACAATTGAGATTCTTTAAGTTTTAAAAAAAAACTTACAGAAACAAAGATAGTTCCCAGTTGCTTTTATAGTTGATGTTGTTAGTTTTAAAAAATATTTGACTTAGTTGAGAAGATTAAGTTGTCATCAATCTATAACTTGTTTAGTTGAGAGTGTGTTGAGTCAAGTGTATGTTTTTGCGGGTTACCACACTCAGATTCCTTACTAAAAAAAAAAAACTTTTTGATAGGAGGTTCAGGATAGCTCCTCAGTTGGTAGAGAGCACATCTTTGGGCTGTGTGGATCAAATCCTACATTATCCACTCTGAATACCAGTCTTTTCACATATTCATTTTCCAGATAGGTTGCTGCAACATAGTTTGTCACCAACTTGGTTTGGATTTGCTTGAGTTGTCTTCGTAGAATCATACTGCGATTTCGCTGTAAGGGAATTAAGAACAAAATAATAAAGAATCATTAAAATTAATAAATATGTATCACACTTGTCATCATAATTTCTTAAATAATTATTATAATTATGACATTTTCAATTTATAACTTTTTTTTTCTCTTTCTTTTTATTTCCTTTTATCTTTCCTTTTGTTTTTTATAAATTGATATTTATATATTTGAATAAATCATATTTTGTACATATGGTAATGGTAAAATATTTTATTTTATTGGTATGAATGCGCTGCATTTCAAAAAGCTTAAAAAAACATACTAAATTTTGAACACCAACGCACATTTCAACATCATCAAAATTTGGGTAGCACAAAAAAAACAACATAAATATCATAATAAACTGCAAAGTGAAAAAAACACTATCAACAATCCATACACTTTAGTAAAAAGAATGATAAATATTTTTTATGTAATAATTTTTTATTTCATTAATTTTAAAGATTTTTCTTGGAAATTGGTTTTTTTTCTTCTCTTTTAAAAAAATAAACATTTATTTTGTTGCAAATATGAATAGGTTGTTGATATTCTTACTTAGAATCAAAATGATACATCATATTGATTTAGGAAAAACAGTTGAAGAAAGAAAGAAAATTATTGGTCCTCTCATTAGGAGTGGTGAGATTACTTTAGGTGGCTACAAAAAAGCAAAGATCTATGGTTTACTTACATGCTCATCTGGAAAACGAATGAAGGTGGAAAACAGAGTTTTCTTTAAATCAGAAGAGGAGGCTTTAGCAAATGGATACAGACCTTGTGGTCATTGCCTGAAAGAAAAACATGTACAATGGAAGAGAGAACAAAATAATTAACGATACATAAAAAAATAGTAGATCGACTATTTTTTATTGTGCGATCAAACAAACTTTCACTCGAATATATTTCTTCTCAATACCGATAATTTATGATATCATAGTGGTCAAAAGAAGCTTGCAGATGAATTTTATCAATTTAGTGGATTGAAATTATAAATAAAAAATACTAAGCTTAATTAGTTATAATTAAAAAAGAAACCATACTTAATATTGTTTATTAATTGTACTGCGGGTTTTATTGCAATAAACTAATTAATAAGAAGGGGGAATATAGTATCTGTTCTATGTTTTCTTCTTGAATGACCTATAGGGATAATTACAAGATAGATAATTAAAATTTTTTGGTGAACTTCATATAAGGCTCCATAGTTGAATGGTACAATACTACCTTTGGGTGGTAGTGGTCTGGGTTCGATTCCCGGTGGAGCCCCAACTTTTATCCTAATGGTAAATAAAAGGACACCGCTTGCGGTAATGGTTTGTGTAAGGAATCCATTTCCAGAAATAATCAAGAATTCCAAGAAATCAGAATATCGAACTATATAAACAATTCACACGAAACCTTGAGAGTCACAATTATTAATCTGAACTCTCAAGGTATGTATAACTAATATTCAATGCATTAAAAAAAGACAATTATTAATCTGAACTCTCAAGTGTTCTCTCTTTGATTGTATTATATACAATACTCTGATTTATTCTAGATAAATCCATCTTGTTACATTGGTAGCATCCTCGATCGACTTGGGTTCGATTCCCGCAATCTGAAAAACCCCGTAAATCTGAAAATCTCTGTCTTTGCTGCTGTTCCAAAGTTAAGAGGGTTCTTTGTAACAGGGGGAGTATGTAAGAAGGTTCATCTGTGTGATGCTTGTGGAGCAGATGATAATTAGTTAACTTCCCTTTTGGCATAGCGGGAAAACCCATTGGTTACAGTTTGTGTAACCAATTGGTTTTTTTAGATATTGATTGAACATAATAAGTTCGTCGAATAACGAATGTACGATAGCAGAAGTAAATGGGTGAAGAACAAAATAACAAAAAAAACAAAAAAATGGGTGAAATGGACAGTAGTAAGAATAGGACCGTCGAATTGAATTGAGCACTTTAATCGTGTTTTCTGGTAATTCTATAAATATAATTCAAAACAGAAACTAGCGATTTGTTTACTGATCAAGTTTAAATACTTTGGATAATGATATTTCAACCTAAAAATCATCCTCTGACTTTAACTCAAGTGGTAGAGTGTTTTTGACTGTAGTAAGAATCACAAGAGTTATCAAAAATGTTTCACATATACTCAAATGAAGTAGTTTCTTATCTTCTGATTCATATCCATTGTAGATGTAGTTAAAGCATCAATAGGATTGTACAATGTATATTTTAGTTAATATTAACTATCTTTATTCCAAGTATGTTAAACAAATGTAGATTGATCAATTCGTATTGGAATCGTCATCACTTGTATCATCATCTTCATTATTTAAAATAGTTGTAGAATTTGTCTTTGAAATTTGATCCTGTAGGTTGCGAAGCTCTAAAAGATCCTCTCTCTTCTCTGGGAAATAACTTAGGAATTCACCCAAACTATTAATACAACATTGAACGATTGCTGTTGACTTTAATGCGGTTATCTTTGCCTCTGATGATGTTAATTTGAATATGTTTTGTTTGAATAAATTACTGTATTCACAATTAGTAGGAAAATGAAAAGTGTTTAGTTAGATATTATTGGTTTTGTTTTTTAACATAATCAATTTAAAACTTACCAATAGAATAAACTTGCTAAATGAGATGTTAATTGTCCAACTTGTTTCTTTAAACCAAATAGAATCAATTCATTGGTGATATGTTGTAGATCGAATACCATTTGTGGATATCTTTCATTTTTACTACCGATTTCAATTAATTCCTTGAGTTTCTCTATTGATTTGATATCTTCATTTGTTGAATCATTTGGTGGTGATGAAATGGTTGTTGTGTTGGTGGTATTGGTTTGTTGTTGTTCAGCAGCGGTGGTTGTTGGAGATGTTGTTACATTACCACTTGCAGAGTTGGCAGCAGCAGCAGCGGCAGCAGTAGCAGCAGCCTGTTGTTGAATTGATAGTACTCTGAACCAGAATTTCTTGAATTTTCTATTGAATTTGGTGATGATGTACTCTAGATTTCTATAGTGATAACCACCCTTGAGACCAGACGATGTAGAGAATGCAGTGAGATTACCGATTGTGATACGAAGTGAAATAACATGCTTCTCGCTGAGTCTATTTCTATTGTAAACGATGATATGTTCCTCAAAGTACTTTTCTTTCAAGAGCAAGTTGGAATTCTCGAGGATCGCTTGAATATTTGGATGAATAGAGATGGTTGTTGATTCACCGGCAGAGATAATACCACTCTCAACACAGTCGACAATAAAGAACATCAAGTTGGAACGAACACAGTAATGTAGATCGGCTTGTGCAAAGTTGTTGTAAATAGAGATATCACGACTTTCACTCTCAAAGTCGATATCAACCACTGATTTCTTGATCGAAGGATTAACGTTACCGCTGACGGCAGAGGACTTTAGAGAACTAGATGTGCTTGTTAACAGCAATGATGAACTGGCTTCAAACGACTTTTTAATCTTTGATGAAGTGGATGTTGATGTTGCGGATACAATTGCATTGGATTCAGAGGGTATTGCTGTTGATGATGATGATTCCAGTGAATTTTCCAAAGGTGAGAATGTATTTGGTGAAGTTTGTTGTTGAGCTACTACAGTTGAACTATCTTTCATTGATACACGACCAATAAATACAGTGTTGTAATCTGATAATCTAATTTGTGGATGTCTACAGGTAGCTTGTAAGTTGATTACAGTCTGGAAGTCACGAATCAAACGACAGTTTACAAAGATCTTGATATCCTTTTGAACAACATTTTGATCGTCGGTCACCGTTGCAAATGAAGGATGGAAAAAGATGTAGACTTTAACCGATGAATTGGCAGCGACATACAATGTATTGAAAGAACGAAGATACGATCTGCTCAGCGAGAAGCAAACTTCTGTACAATCGGTTGGCAATAGACTTGTTGTCAATATGAAATCCAAAGGCATAGATGATGTATTGGCAATTATGAATGAACGATCAGTGTAAGTTGTATTGTAGAATACATCACCGAGATTGATAGAAGGCGAGTCTTCTTGACGTCCATCCACCCAAACTTTGTAGTGAGTGTTTTGCTTGGCAACAACATCCATTGTAATATGAATAGTCTTTTGATCACTTGGATTATTCTTATTCTCAACTATGAGATACGCAGAATACATATCCATTCGTTTGGTAGAGAATGTAAGAGTGATATTATGACGACCGTGTGCTTCAATCTTTCCACTGTTTCTACTCATACCCAACCATTGTTCATCCGATTGTTTGGTTGTAAAGATATAGTATTCAACTGATTTACCAGCACTTATATTCTCCAATGTAATCTCCCATTGTACGTTACCAGTGGTATATTCTTGTTGATTTAAATTGATTTCATAACAATTCTTACTCTTTGGAATAGGTGTACATCCTTTTAATGAAATACGTTGTGGTAAATTAGGTTGTGGTGTGGTTTGTTGTGGAGGTGTTGATTGAGATTGAGATTGAGATTGTTGTTGTTGTTGTTGTAGTTGATATGGTGGAAGTTGAGTATTGATTTGAGTTTGTGGAAGTGTCAATGGTGATGATACCTGAGTGGATAACGACTGGGTGGTGACGTGAGGTGTTGATGGGTCTGTAGAGGTGGTCGATGATGAGCTAGAGGATGATGTTGGTGTACTTGAAGAGACTTGAGAGGAGTTTACAGTTGGCGATGAAATAGGTTTATTTCCACCTAGAATATTGACAGCAAGCTTTTGAGTTTCCTTGTTGAAAGTATCGAGTGCTGTAACTTGTACTTGGAATGTACTGCTTGGTGGCATATCTTCGTTGGGTAACTCAACATTGATATCAATTGGTAATGATTCATTCGGTTGGATTTCACCATCTGCTGGCGAAATCTTGATGTTTGCAGGGAAGTTGGATGCTCCACCCACAAATATTGGTTCAACAGCGAATTTCATTGGGAAATGAGTAGAGAGATTACGAATCTTAAAGTAATCGGTGAGCGATGACTGTAGGATCTGTTCTTCTGTACCATCGGTATTGGTAATTCTTGCCATGGAATTAAAGTTGAGTTTTGCTACAGAGAGTGAAAATGTTTGACCGGCAACGATAGTTCCACGTATTGGTATCACTTCCACCGGGTAAAGATTGGTATTGATACAGATCTTACCGAATGGTGAAATCTGATCGAATTGTTCTTTCAATCTAGAATCGGGACGTGGTTTGGCACGTAGTCTCACTTCGATCAACTCTGATGGACGCAACGAGAAACTTGGAATTGGTGCATTCGATGATTTATGAACTACTTCTACAGTGATCAACTCTTGGATGTTTGGTAGCAAGTCGATATCAACATTGATCTTTAGTACTTTGTTTGATGTATTTTCAATGGTAAACCATTCATCTGCTTGAGAACTGGTGCCTGGAATTGGTGGATGATGAATGTTTGGTAGTACGAATTCACCTTCGACCAAACGACCAAAAGAAATGACACGAAGAGTATGATGCAGATTAATGTTGAATTTCAATGGGTTATTATGATTGTAGATATTTTCAAAGAGAATCGGTAGAGTGAGTGGACCAGCTGTTTGTTGTTCTATCTTCTTTGGATCGAGTGAGATTGAGATTTGACGAGACTCTGATTCATTGATTTCGAAATAACCGTCTTGATCAAAGATCGAAGAGGATGATGACGATCCAGTCGATGCATTAATAAGATTGGATTGAAGTCCTCCACTTCCAGAGATAGATGTAGAGCTATTGATTCCTGGTGAAACAACTTGTTGATCTCTCTTTAGCAGCATATCGGTGGAGTTGGTTGTGCTGTTGGCAGCGCTTGGCGGTGCGCTCAGCATAGACGAACCTGAAAGTGCTGACAAATTGGTGAATTTAATTGATTTCGATGGAAGTGGTAACGCTCTAATGTGAAGTGGTATCTCTGAAAGATTCTGAACTTCGATCATGATAACAACTTCCTTCCAACTATTCTCATATCCAATACGTCCAATATCGACACTCTCCTCGGTTAGAGCACCCAGAGACATACAATACGATCCATTGATTGTAACGAGCTTACTGATGTGTGTCTTACCTTCACCAGGACCGATTGGATAGTGAGTGGTATCGGAACGTTCGAAAACCAAAGTACCTTGGAATTGAACTTTTCTTCCTTTCCATAGTAATGACTTTTTCTTGGGTGTCAAGAGTGATTCCGGTTCCGGTGGATGAGGGTAGACGATAATCTTTTGGTCGTTGGTGAGTACGAATGGTTTTCCACAGAGACGCATAGATCTACGTTTGTCAGCGGCAACATTATTCACATTGGATGTCGGTAGTTCTTCAATCGATGGTTCGTGTAGGAACAACATGATATTGATATTACACTTGGGATAGATACGAATGTCGTACTTGAGATAGTTTCTCATGGTGAATGGATTCAGCAGAGTGTATTGAGTTCCTGTCTTGGTATAACCTTGTGAAATAATAAAGTCTGTGGTACGACGAGCTTCCTCCAGAATCACTGCAGACTGAACCGGTGCCACATAGACATCTTCCAACTTCAAAATATCACAACTATTAGAGTTGAGCGGTAGATTAGTTAGGAGTGAAGCGTCATCCACCAACAACCGGATGTTGACCTCTAGTTTCTGTCCTGGACAAGAGAGATTGGCAATGGTGACCTTCTCTTCGTACAATCCATAGACATTGGTGTGCAAAGTGAAATAGATACGTTCTTTCGAGAGACCATGCGAGACTTCTGCACCATCTAGAGTACCTTCAGTCTTTGAGAGTTTCAAATTCTTTGAAGGTGTCATCGTGTATTTCAATGGCAACAGAGTAGTGAGGTTGCTTATATTGAAACTACCACTGACCACCTCACCAAGATTACTAGTTGAACCGAGATCGATAAGAGTCTTACCAACTCTTATAATACTCTTTCCAACGATTGCAGTAAACTTTATGGTATTCTCATAGAGCATACTATGTTCGGTATCGTGAACCTTGATTCTAATACCACCGACCAACTCTCTGCAGTGACCATCGATATAATTCTCAGAGGTCATACTTGGTTGCAAACAAATATAGACAACTGTTTTCTCGTAGCCTTTCAAAAATATATTATCAGCTGGTTTTGTAAACTTTTCATCTTGGAATACAAATATTTGCATTGAAAGATTAGATTTTACACTGATATACAATGATTTCTAGAAATATATAAATTGTTATTAATAAGTGAATATGTTTGGTAGTAAAAATAATTATAAAAATAAAACAACTTACATGTGATAAATTATCTAATCTAAATGAAGAGGTCTTTGAGAATTTCTTTGATTTGTCATAGTAGCAATCACCGAAATCCAGGATTTGTGATGATGGTAAATCAGGGAATAATACATATTGTGGAGGTCTGGGACTGAGTGATACTTGGATGGTTCCTTCGTAGTTGCTAGATTTAACCAAGATGGTGTGTGTTTGTTTGCCTGGAACTTGTGGTTGACAGACAGCTTCCAGTGTACGACGTCCGTATGGTTCGATGACACCTTGCTTCTCCTTGAGAGTAATCGGACATTTAACCGAGTTGCCTCCTGAAGTTGAAGATGTAGATGGCACCATCAAAGAGAGATCATAGTTGACACGATGTCCTGTATGATTGGCGAGTGTGAAACGGAATACAATATCCTCGTAGACACGTACCTCTCCAAGGTCGAGTTTCGGTGGTGATATGGTCATCACCGTTGGTTGTGCAGCTAGTTTAGCGGTTGGTTTGATTAGAGTTGCTGTCGAGGTGATAATAGTCGATGATTTGGGCGAAGTGGTTGGACTCGTCATGACATTGGAGATTGGTGACTTGATGCTACCACTGCCGGCTTGGTGGTGGCCACCTACACCTGCGTCATCTGCTAGTTGTGCCTGTGAGATGTTCTGACGATAGGTCTCCTCATCGAAACAAATCGTTGCATTATAGTTGATCTTCTTTGTGACATCGCTATTCTTTGATTCGTAGACAAGAATAGATCCAATTCCATCTTCCTTTCCATACCACTGTCTACGTCCAGGCTTGGGAATCGGTGCGAAATACACCAAGATATTTTGAATTCCACCACCATCCACTTCAAAAGTGATTGAACTATCACCAATCTTTGCTGCTGGTTTAGGTGGAGCAGAGTTGTTTAAAAGTGAAGCATCTACTTTTTCAACATTACCGCCGCCGATCTCGCCATTTCCAGAGATAGAGTGCATTGGTGAGAGTACAGATCCATCAGCTACTTCCGACTCGATGGCAGGTGAAGTAGCTCTACTAACAGGAACAGCTGCAACCGATGGATTACCACTGTTTCTCAGCTTTTCGATCTGCATGTTGATCTTCAGTGCTTTCTCGTGTTGTCCTTTTCGACGACAGATCTTTAGCTTTCGCTCGAGTGCATCAATCTCCACCTCGGTCTCTTTGGAAACGGACATTGCAGAACGTTCCTCCAACTTGAAGAATAGCTTATTCAAACAACTCTCAAAGGAACTCGGGGAATCATCGATGATCTTAAAGATACGCTTCTGATTGGAGGTGTTGGTCACTGTGATTCTCTTGGTGATCGATTTGCCTTTGATCATGCAAACACCGAAATCGATATCCAAAGTATTCAAGAAGAAATGACGTGGTTTCTTAACGTTTGCCTTGATGTGAACGATCTGATTATTATTACTATCATAAATATTCTCTATAATCAATTTCTCATCGAAAATACCAGAGAATGTTGGTTTAAATACAAATTGTACTTCCTAAACAATACAATATTATAAAATTAGTTTTCTTATTATTTAAAATGAATAAATAAAACTACTTACTCTCTTTCTAAATGGTCTAATAATACCCATTCTATCAACATTTGCAATATTAAGATTACCAGAGGTAATAGAACCAGACTTTTTGATACGATATACCAATGGTACTTGTGTAAGATTATGTATCAACAATGTCTTTGTTCTATAGTCATATTGAATGATATTTCCAAAATTGATATTTCTCTGTGCAAGATCCATCATTGATTTACATACTTTTGTACTTATCTAGAAAAAGATGAATGAATTGAAATGAATTGATTTGTTATTATTATGATTAGTTTTAGTTTAATAATTATTAATCATAATTAGCCAATGTAACATACATTTAATTCTCTTGTTGGTGTACCAATAAGTGGTTTATCATCCAATTTATCCAAACCAATAAATAACTTTGCTTCCATATTCTTTAGTTTACCACCTAACCAAGGTCTCTTTGAATCGAGTACAATAAATACAATGTAGATGGTGATCTCTTCGTTTTGTGCAAGTTCAATGTTCTTTGCTGCTACCAATTGACCGGATTGTACGATGATTTCCAATCGTTTGTACTTTTCGATTTGCGATTGAATGTAGTTGGTTTCCGATTCAAAGTCGGTGAACAGCGGCAGCGTGTTATCTTCAAACGATGGTACCAATTGGGAGAGTGCAAAGTTACTCATGTTTGGTGTGCCGTACGACGATGCACTGTCGAGTTGCAGCGATGTAGAGTTGACGTCGCTATCCAGACTGTCTTCGTAGATGTGCAACTGTTTGTCGAGCTGCACTTCGAGTGTAGGCGAACTGGCACGCGAGTTGGTTCGCGAGTTGGTGGCAGACGATGCATTCGAGGTGTTCTGGCTGTCCAGTTGGTATGACTTTTTCTTGGAGAGCGACGAAGCTACCGATGGTGTCGGTGGCTGTGGAAGCGTCGGTGTCGACGACGATGCAGCCGACTGCTTGTTGACTTTGGGCATGGCGAGATCCAGATACTGAGAATTGCCAACCTTGCGATTACTATAGGTTTTCGAGCCGAGCGGATCGATCTCCTCGCCATCAAAGAACTTTGTAATGTAGTCGTGAACCAACGATTGTTTGGTGAGTTGGTGTTGCGTTGGAATGGCACTGAGATCACCGATATTCTCTTTGTAGAGTTTGATTTCGTCGGGCAGTGATGTGCTGAGGTTGATGGTGAGTTTCGATTTCGAGATATTCTTGATGTTGAACGATCGCATCGACGGACAATTGACAATGAGCTCGTCGAAATCAATGTAGTTTCGCGAGAACGGTGTTTCCAAGAGGTAGTAACGCGAGTGCACCGACATCGATTGTTCATCGACGTTGTTGGCGCGCACCTCTAGATACTGGTCGTTGGCAGTGTTCTTCATGTTGATAAAGGTGATCTGTTTGCGGTACTCTGGGTTGTTCTTACGTGGCAGATAGTCCATCGGCAGATCGAATGCCTGCTTCGGTGGGATGTGAATCTGGTGATCCTTGAACGCAATGACTTTCGACTGGTAACGCACTGAGATCTGCGCAGGCAAATCCGAGAGATTGACAATGTGTACCATGGGCGAGAGTGTCTGGCCAACCGTACAATCGCCAAGATTCATCTCCGATGGAATCTGAATGAGTGAAGTACAGACACGACTGGACACCTTGATGGTTTTATTCTTTGGTTTCGTAGACTTTAACGATTTTCCATACTTTAGGAGGAGACGGAATGTCTTGTTGTTCAGTCGTAGCGCACGTGGATCACTGGCCAGCGAAAACAGTGATTTCGGACAGTATTTAATTTGAATGACACGCTCCGATCCTGGATTGAGTGTTAGCTCATCGATGACCTCATTCGACTCTTGATGAGTACGTGACGATCGTCCATGGTATGCGGCGTCTTTCTCCTGTTGTTGTTGCTGCTCTGCATCTCGATGGTCACCAATTGCCATATTCTCCAATTTCTTCTTCTTCTTACTACCAGAGCTGCTGGTACTTTCCACCTCTTCCTCGTGCAACATAAACGATACCTCATCGACAAGATCACTACTAAAGTTGATCTCAACAGCATCCTCAGAGATATTCTTCACCGTAAAAGTACCATAAGTCGGTTCATCACTATAACAATCTCCCATATCAAATGAATTTGTACTAACTTGAATCAATTCCTAAAGGTTTATAATGTTAGTTGTTTTTGTTTAAATTCTTTAGTATAATAAACACTTACAGTTTGTTGTTCAGAAGTAACAGTTGAATGTATTACTATAAGTTCATAGTTGGAGGAATCGTTTTTGTTTTCTAGTTTGAATTTGTAGGTGGATTGGCCTGCAGCGTTTGGTTTGAATACTATTCTCATTGACATTGATGAGTAGCTGGGTACTACCTGATTCTCAGTGGCTAGAGGCAGTCCCGTAACATCGGTGAATTGAAATAAACTAATAATCTTTTCTTTACAATAGATAGAGAACACCAGTGGCATCTCCGATCGATTCCAAATCGTCAAATCCTTAATATAAGATGATCCAACTATACAATCATCGAAAATGATCTCATTTAAATCTACTTTTATCTGTGAACGACATATTCTAGTTACTACATCAACTACCAATTGTTGTTGTTGTTGTTGCTGTTGTTTATCTTGATTATTATCTGTTGCTGTTATTGTTGTTGTTGGATTACAACTAAAGAATATCTTTCCTTTAACTTCGAAATAGTTATTAAATCCAACGTTGTTACCGGTTGTTGGATCGGATTGATTCTGGTGTAGTAGCTGGTGGTCAGAGAGTAGTAGCGATGGTCGGAATGACATGACGATGTTCTTGGTTTGTAGAGGTAGCAGTTCGAGTTGATCGATGACATTGACCTCGTTAAACAACTGGTTAAAGTCATCGTCCTGCACCGGTACCTCTGTCTCTGTGTCCTGTAGATTCTCGTTGGTCGACTGGAATGCAATCTGTGCCAAATCACTTCGCAGACTAACCGTGAGTGGATAGTCGACCTGCGATTGCACCTTCAGGTTTCTCAGTACATAGGTATCCTTAAGTACGACATCGTCAATCTCCAATTTTCCACTGACAATACTTGTCTTTATAAGTTGTTGTTGTTGTTGTTGAACAGTAGCAGCAGCAGAAGCAGGAGAGGAAGTAGCAGTTTGTTGTTGTTGTACTCCATTACTATTACTATTATTATTATTATTATTACCACCACCACTACTGTTACTACTTATAGATGACATCTATTCTGTTTGTTTTAATAGATAAGTTTCTAATTTATCTATTAATTGTATATGATCTTTTATCACTTTTATACTACTAATTATAATGTATATATATATAAATATAAAATGATTAGAAACACAACAAATAGTAGTTTATATATTATTTTATATACAATACAATAATCTTATAAATGTTATAAAAAATCGTATGTGTATTGTATATGTATCTTCAGTTTTTTTTAATTTAAAAAATAATTATTATTTTTTTTTTTTTTGATATTTTTTTTTTTAAAGTCTTGTTTTTTATTTTTGGATAAAAATTAAATCATGATTTGGTGGTGTAACGAATTAATCCGAAACACTTTGAACCTCATGCATGTTCCGAAAACCAAATTATTTTTACTTTTTATTTAATTGTTCAACAATTGATTGAATAGTTACTTCTATATACAATACAACTTCGATCAAGAATTCCTTGGTGTCTTGAATCCTATAGAGACCTAACTCAGCAGATTTCAATTTACACCACAAAAATTCTATTCAATGTTTTTTGAGTGGACGCTCAACCATATATAAAAGATAATCAATATCAAATAATCTTTATAAAACTACCTCTTAAGAATAAAAACTATAATGAAATATCTTTGTACACAGAGTTATTAAAAAAGATCACAATTATACACAATCACTCTAAATGTTAAAAGTCAATTAAAGCTAGTGAGAAAAACAAAAAAAAACCAACATAGCGAACCACTTGCTGTTCACACATTTTTTTTTTTTTGCATGAAAAAAAGTTTGTGGCGACCGCAGGACACTATTTTTGCTATGTCTGGTCAAGTGTGGGGTTTTATTTGATTTTTAACAAATGAAAGTCAGTTCAAAGACGACAATCTTAACTATTTCAAACAATCACATAACATTCGATATCATTCAATAGCTGAATATTGTGATGATGCTGGTGATCTTGATCAAAGGTACAAACTTTTAACTGATCAAAATGTTTATGTATAGAATATAACAATATCTTGTGTATATATCCAAAGAACTAGTTGGTGGATAATAACCTGCCAAAAATGGCTCATCGAACTCTGGACCAAATTTTATCGATGTCAGATTCATTGGCAATGCACTTGGTAAACTTGATATTCCTTTGAGGCTGAACACATTTGAATTCGATATCATTCGATAGAGATTCTTTAAATCATCTTCATCGTATTCATTCAAATCGAAAATATCTTCTTCTTTTTCTTCGAAACAAACTTAAGTGATATTTGGTTTACTATTACTATTTTGATTGAATGATCTTTTTATTAATGATTGATATGATTTCAATTTGAATATTCCATTATAATATCTATTTTTTACTACTTCTTCATCTTCTTTCTCTATTTGATGAAGGATATTTATATGACCGGTATTAAAATATAGATATTTATCACGTTCTTCAAACAATCTTTTACAAACTAAACTAAAACATATTTTATCTATATTTTCAACTATCTTTAACAACAATAAAAGTGATAGATTAACAATAATTGAATAATAATAATAATAATAGATAAATATTAATAAATAAAATAGTTAACTAATTTTCTTAAGAAACAAAAAAAAAAAAAAGTAACATTGAATTGTTAAAATATTTGAAAAGAAAGTGAACAAAAATAATTGTATTTTATTATATTTTTGTTTTGATTAGAGGGCTCCTTTTCAATTGAGACGTCTCTATCAATAAAAATAACAGGTCCACTTCTTGCATTCCTTTCTCCTAAAAGGTGATTGATTTCAAATTTGTTTGTAGTTTTGTTTTTAATATATTATTATATTTTGGTTTTTTTTGTTTTTAATTCTTTGTAATTTTGTTTTTTTTAGAAAAAAAACTATTGAAGATTATTAAAAAGAATATAAATAAATATATATACAAAACAATTTGAAATCAATTTATCACCTCCCATGGAGAGGAGGGGTCATCCCTCGCATAAGAATGCAAGTTGACCCCACCCTTACCACGGGCATTTACAATCCATCCAATTGCTTGTAGGAGATTACTTCTTCTTGACCCATAGAGGAAATAACAGAGAGTGTTATCTCCGCAGAGTCATCGAAAAGTTTGATGATTTTCTGACGGAGCTCCTGGGCTACTGGTAACTTCAAATCATTTCTGATTGTTCCAGATTTCAAATCCAAAAGAGATAAAAATTCATCTTCGATATTAATCAACTATTTATGAAAAAAATAGAATAAATATATTAATAAATAAATTACAAATAAACAACTTTGTTAAAACTTACTTGATATTCAAATACATCTACAGTTGGAGATTCCAAATTCTTGACTGAGCTAATGCTGTGCTCGTATCTCTTACCGGTGAAGATGTCGATTCCAACAAAGTGGATCTTACATTTTCCATGTTTTCCGGTACCTGATGAGGACATATCAACAACTTTACAAGGGTGTTGTTGAAAGAGACAATACTAGTTATTAAAAAAAAAAAAATGTTTAAAAAATAATTTATTAGTTAATATTGTTTTTTTATTTTTTTAAATATTAATACAAACCTTTCCAATTCTAAGCTGTGACGCTTGCATTGGGGTAGTTAGTGATGCGATAGACTCGACAGTCATGGTTGTTTTTGAAATTAAAAGAGTAGGATTGTAAAAATAAAACTAAAAAAAGTTTATTAAAATTAATTATTTGTATTGAATATTTGTTTGTTTGTTTGAGTTTTGAATATGTTAACAAAATATATATAGATATATTTTCTCCCCATGAAAATTAAAACAGGGAAAATGATAAGAATACATTTTATGTGACAAAAAATTTAATTTGTTTTTTTTGGCTTCTCTAAATTTCAAAAAATTTTGATTGTACCGCAAAGTGAAAATGTGAGGAAGAAATTTCAATATGATACTGATAAAAATTTTGGAAACTATTGGTTAGATTCTTATTCAAATAATTTAAATCTCTATTCTCCTTTTTAAAATTATGATTTTTATAAAAGATTTAAAAAATTTCATATATATTCATAAATGTTGATCAATTTTTTATTATTTTCTTTCAAGGTTAAAAAACAAGTTCAATTTATATCATTGACAAAGTACTCCAAAGAACCTCTTCCATTTTAACTTTTAAATATACATATAAAGTCAAATTTTATTTTTTTTGTTATTTATATTGATTATTGATAATTATAGTACATGTACACACAAGCAATAATCAAATTTTGCACTTTATTTTATATTTACAATGTTTATGATTTTTTTTATTTATTGTTAAATAAAGTTGGAATGTTTTATATTGTTTTTGTTTTTGTTTTTGTTTGTTTGGAGTTATTGTTTTGTTGGTGTGGAGAGTTGTGGCATTGTTGGTTTCTTAAAGAGATAGTACTCATGAGAGATTGGACTTGAGAGATAGGCATCACCACTTATGGAAATAAGTGAGTAGGCTTGTCCTTTTGGTCCGCTATCGAGGATCAGGTTGAATTCATCGATGTGGTAACCAACCAATGCATTACCACCGAGTGACAAAACATGAGCTCGGAGAATTGCGTTTGCCTCTGTGAGGAATACATGACTGAAAACACCGAGTCCACCATTGTCACGAACAGAGAAACTCTCTTTGATCAAATGGATATTTACACGTCCGAGATAACGTTCCATCTTGCACTTGGGCAGGTAAGAGAGTGGGGTGAGTTCGACCTGTCTCATCTCGAGGCCGGTGGTGTGACCGGATTGATTGAGACTAAAGTTATGCGCAGATGATTCCAGTGATTTCTTCATTGGTGAACGTGGAGGTGACATGTCGAATTGTAGATCTCCACCGTGGACGTGATCGTCTATGCATAGATTGTTATTGCTACTCTCATTGGAAGTAACATTTAAGGTGTTGATATTAATTGGATTGCTAAAGAATGGCGAACTATTGATGGATTTCGCTACTGGAATGTGTGACGATGACGAAGAAGGAGTTGATACGGAAGAAGCCGGTGCTGATATGCTTTGAATGTGTGACAGTTTGTTGGTGTTGGTGGTGTTGGTGGTGTTGTTGGTTTGACCTGAAAGATTGATGGGAGGAAGATTTGGTGCTGGTAACAATGGATTGTTTGATTCCTGTGGAGAGTTTGGAATGGTAGGAGGTTCGTTCTCAATGACACACATCGCAGTGAGTAACATCTGGATTTGGTCGTCTTCGGGAATGTTGATATCAACATTGACACCAGCGATAATACAAGGTGCAAGATCACGTAGTTTGAACATGATACTGTCGTACAGTCCATTGAATACAACGGACAGCTGGTGGTTGAGATAGGCAGAGTCGACATCCCACTCCACACAACGAATCGCTGTGATAAGTCGTACGTTTGTTACATTTTTCGATTGACCAGGCAGCAACTCAGTATTACACAATGAGAAACCGGGTGGAGTGTAGAAATCAATAAGAGTTGTAAGTTTGTCAACGTCGATCTTATCGTCAATCTCCACTACGAATGCATTGTTTGCTTCGTTGATACGCTCTGGTGGATAGGAGAGAACTTGTTCGTCATCCGATGAACTGGACGCAGTTGTTGAGTGATGTTTCTTTGATTTTCGAATGGGATTGCTTGATTTCGATACGGCGATCTGTCGTTTCGATTGTTTCTTCTTTGAGTGTTTCGAGGAGGTGGTGGTTGTAGTCTTTGATCTGCTACCAATGTCATCGTCACTGAATTCATATTGCTCGGAATCGGTATCCATTTCATCGTCATTCGATGCCTCTGTTGTATATTGTCCAGGATCATACGAAGACGACAGAGAATAGGCTTCCGATTCCGTTGCCTTGTTATTGCTCTCATTGACACCGAGTGAATTAGCACGACCCGTTCTTCTCTTTGTTGTCTGTTTCTTCTTGTCTCTCTTCTTCCTATGACTACTACGTTCATAGTAATCATCATCTTCACTTGATGTATCGAAATTGTTATTATTATTACTACTATTGTTGTTGTGGACACGTTTAACTAGCTTCTTCTTTGAAGGAGTATGTTTCTTGTTGTTACTCGCAGCCGACTCCTTTTCCTGATGATGCTTATGAGATCCACTACGTTTAGTATTGGAAGTGCGCTGTTGTTGATCGTTGTTGGAATCCGATTTGTTCATCTCCATTGAACTGTCAAGTGAATCATCGTTGTGCGACTTGTTAAAGTTGTCGTCGCTCTCGCTGTTTGAGATCATCGGTGCTGGCGAACGTCCTCTTCGTTGGGAGTGATGATTGTTGTATCGCTCGAAAGTGTCGGGTTGATGATGACGCTGAGCATTCTGAAGTTTGTCGTGATTCAACTTACTGAGATCCTCGATCGTCTTTTGAATCTCTGCGAATGTGTTGTTCTTCTCCTCCTGGTGTTGCAGAGGATCGAGTGTTCGATTGATATGCAAGATTCTCGGTGCTGGCAGCGCAGAGAGGAACACCGCAGTGGCAGTGGCGACACCAATCACCAGAGTATCGCTAAAGGTAATCTGTGACTTGAATCCAAACGCTGCATTCATACCGAGTACTTTCAGCTTGTACATAATCTGATTGTGCAAGTCGTACTCAATGAAAGGAACGTTCTCACTGAGAATGGTGGCGTTCGAATCACCCTGAGATTTCTTCTTTAGCCGACAGACTCGCGCCTGAACCAACACACCTTTTCCAGTGATTGGAATGCCAGGTGGCAAGTCGATCGACGCCAGAATAATCTCTGGTACATATTTCTTTTTGCAAACGGCACACTTTACGTGTTGATTGCCAAATGGTGAATCGTCTTTTGGATAAGGAATATGACAAATGGCACAACCCTCTCTTAGCTTTGTAGCGCTACTACCGCCACCGCCAGTGTTTGTTGTCTTTCTATGCTTGTGGCTGTTGTTATTTGTCTGTGAGGAGATGTTTGATCGTCTGATATGATGGTCGGTATATGAATCCGGTAGATCTTCGACGGAACCAGATATCGATCCACTTCTTGTGATCGGTTTTCGCTTCACCAGTGGATTGCCACTTCCGGCCGAGCCAACCACCTGCTGTTGCGATACAAGACTCAACTTTTTGTAACTACCACTCAGATCCTCACTGGAATCCTCCATCTTTGAGATCTTTCGACTGAGCGACGATGAATGTCCGTGCGAACTACTACTGTGATGCGATGAAAAGTCGAGCACAACAGCAGTACCGGTTGCACTGAACAAACATAGATCTTCACTCTGTTGAATAGCAGTGGTTTCACAATATCCAACGATATAATTACATCCCAGAGATCTAGCGTGTGTCTTTATCTCATTTCTTATTTCATTCCAATAACTATCTCTCTTTTCTTGTGTATTTGATTTCTTTAATATTTTTACTGATTTTGTCTAAAATATATTATAGCAATAATATATAAGTATTAATTATTAGTTAACTTTTCTTTAATAATGTATGCTAATATATTACTTACGGAAACAAGACCACCAATATGAGTTACCAGATGAGACTGAAAGTTTTCTAATGTTAAAAGTTGAACGTCTGATGCAAAGTCGATGGATGGTCGATCGTTGTCGGTGGAGGAAGTTCGGTCGGATGAAGAAGTCGATGTGTCAGAGTCTGAAGAATGTCCTGAAGATGATGAACTCGATGAATATGATGATGCTAAATCTTTACTATAACTATTCGAACTTGTTATAGCTTGTTGTTGTGATTGTGTCTGTTGTTGTGGTTGTTGTAATAGTTGTGATTGTGGTTGTTGTTGTTGTAATAATAACTGTTGTTGTGCCATCTTTGGTGATAATGTCGGTGATAATATATCTGATTCTGTTATCTTTCTCAAAGTCACGGCTGTACCGTATCCACGAGCAACAATACCACTATCACCTTCCAAATCGAAATGTTGTTTGTATCCCAACACTGCATTACCACCCATCTCCAAAACCTTCTTACCCAACTGTCTTCTAAGTTTACTGTAATCATTATCATCATTAGTTAGTATACACACATTTGAATCAATATCAATATGTTTAACACATTTAACAACATACCCAGATAAAGTATAGAATAAATATTGTCTTTCGAAATTACTAAGTCTTGATGCTCTGAATGTATCTGTCCAATGATACTCTGGATCACTCTCAACTATCAGCTCTTCAACAAACTGATGTATACTAACAATACGATAGTTTGAGAATGGTGTAGATACTATAGTATATTGTTATTATTATAGAGATTATTGTTAGTTTTGTTATTTTTTTGCTGTTGATAATTAAATCAATCACTTACTCGAAAAGAATTGTACACCTGCCGATGCATCTTTGAATGGATTTGCATTTTGAAATATCTCTAACTTAGCTATTACGTAGAGTTCACCTCTAATACCACGAAGTGTATCGTATATTGGAAACCAACCGGATATCTGTGACGTTCCACTCTCCAAACCCGACAGCAAACAGTTCAAATCAATTAAAACCGTACCTATCATATCATTCTTACTAACTACATCATAATCCCATACTCTTAAAGTATTATATATATGATTAATATTATTAATATTCACTATATATATAATCTAATATAATGAATATACCTTATATCCAATGGTTTATCTTGAAGATCAGCTTCATTTGGGAAATCGAAACGAAAATCTTGATTCCATGATGGGTTCAATGTTTTCCTCTTGATATCTGTCTTTTGTGGATCGTTTTGATTTCCACATCGTAACTCTACATAGGCATCGGCAAGTGCAGAGCTACGATCCATAATGGGAAGGTCTCGACCTTCTACTATTCTAACTTTCAATATACAAGGCATTACTAAGTATATATGTATAATTGTATCTCTATCTACTATCCGACTATATATTTCTTCTGCTATCTATATCTTTACTCTCTATTCTATCTACTATATATATTAACTAAATTTCATTCAATGAAAAATGAAATTAAAACAATTTAATTAACAACTGGTCAAAATCATATCATCCACTTTACAAAAATTTCAAAAAAAAATATCAAAAAAAAAAAACAAATCAAAAAAAAAAGAGATTCATATTTACCAATTTGGTTTTTTTGTTGAAGTTGTCAACAAGTTTTTTTTTTTTTAAAGAAAATGTGAAATTATTAATCTATCTTTATTTTTACTTTTATTTTATAAAATTATTTTATTATTTATTCAAATTTTTTTTTTGAATTGTAAAACTATGCCAATCGGAATCTGATTGTTTTTTTACCTTGATATCTTACGAAAAAGGTTTTTTGAAGTTAGTTGGTTTTGGAAGTGGAATACTGATTCTTTTGAGTTCTTCTTTTTCGAATTTATCTACTAGTACTTGTCTACTGGATCTGAAAGAATCTTACTATTGATTAAATTCTCCATGTGCTGAAGATGACTGAACTCTAACACTAAATTGTAATCCTTGATCCAAAAAAGAATTTTCTTTGTCAAAAGTAATAAATTCCATAAAAAGTTATCAGAGGAAAAAATATAATTACCTCTTTTTTAAACCATAGATAAAAAGGTTCTCCACAATTGTTCCAATCGGTTCTTTTTAATAGTCATTACCACTTTCTCACCTGTAATTGGGTTGATTTCCTATAACAATATTACTTTTAGATTAGATTGGTATTGTATTAAAACTTTTAAAATTAAAACAAACCTCTTTTATTGTTCTTATAATTCTCCATAGAAATTAAGGGAGGAAATAGAGAAGTTAGGAAACAACAAAGTTAACCAAAGTAAAACATGGTGACATATTTTGTTGATTTTCTCTTCTATCTACATGATTAGAAAATATATTTACTTTGTTGTTTCCTAACTTCTCTATTTCCTCCCTTAATTTCTTTCTATGTGATCCATCATGTTGATTCGAGAAACTTCTTATCTTATTATTAAAAATATCTATTTCTTTTTTTTAAAAATAAAATGTTTGCAAAAAAACTTACATTAAAAATATTTTTGTTTTATTCTGATTTCATACAAAGTATAAAACAACATAATCACTCAAAATATTCGATTAATGAAATTAATTTATGAGTTAGAACAACTTCAAAAGCTAAGATAAACATATTATAAAACAAATCAAACAGATTTTTTGTGAATTTCTAACATTTTGGAATTTTTGATTAAAAATTGGAAAAAAATGATATTTTAAAAAAAAAAACAGACTTTTTAATTTGCACTTATCTTTCTAATAATTAGAAGCTGCTTCTAATTATTTTAATAAAAAAACCTATCTCTTTTATATATATATTATATCTATTAATTCAATGCCATCATCTTCATTAGATAATAACTATAATCTTTTAAAGAAAATAATCAACTCACTCTATTTGAGGGATAAGATCTTTAGTTTTGTGAAGCTAATCCATAAGAATCATAAAAATGTCTATCAATCACCTATTCAAATAACAGGTTTAGGTTGGTATGATATTGGATGTTTTCCAGACGAGATGATCAAGTACAATCAAAAAGAAAGATATAAAAACATATTCAACACTGTCATTCGAGATCGAGATTACAATGATGATACCATTGCCAAATTCAAGGAATTATATTTAAAATCAACAGTAAAAGCATCGGAACTTGGTCATCTTGACTTGATTGAATTCATTCATCAAGCACTACCAAATAAATTTAGTTTCAAATCTATTTTCCAACCGGCATTGGAAGAAGGTCATCTTTCGATACTTCAATTCATCCATCAACATAAGCAGTCTAAAGGTTTATATATTGGTTACCAACTTCTAAGAGCAGCAGAACTTGGATATCTCGATATCGTTAAGTTTATTCACGAAAATAAATTGGATACCCCAGATGGACATCCATTAAAATCAGCAATCAAAAGTAAAAATTTGGAAGTCGTTAAATACATTCATTCCAACTATACAGATGCATGTCGTGGTATTTTAGGATTAGCAATTAGTGGTGGTTGTTTAGATATTGTTCAGTTCCTATTCCAAAATAGAAGTACCGAGGATTTCTTTGACCTTAGGTTATCTGAAGCAACAACTAAAGGACATCTATCTGTCATTAAATACCTCATTGAGAATAAAGACAATTTCGATATCGAGTTACCTGATGACATGTTGGATTATGCAGCATACAGTGGAAAATTAGAATTGGTTCAGTATCTACATGAAAACACTACTGCTAACTGTTCAACAAACGCTATTGATCATGCTGCGACAAATGGATACTTTGAAATGTTAAAGTATCTTCATTATAATCGAAGCGAAGGATGCACTGTGGCTGCGATGAACAAAGCTTGTATTGGTGGACACTTGGAAATTATAAAGTTTTTACATTATAATAGAAGTGAAGGATGCACTGACGAAGCAATGTACAATGCTTGTATTGGTGGACACTTGGAAACTGCTAAATTCTTGAATGAGAATCGAACCGAAGGTTGTAATGCCGATGCCAAATACCAAGTATCGATGAATGGTCATTTCGAAACCTATAGATATCTTCACTCCAATAAGACAGACCAAGATGACTATCCAATTCTTGACAACTTTGCAGGTTGTGACGATCCAACAGCACTCCAATGGTTAAAAGAGAACACAACCAACGAACTCACCAAAAATTCATATATGATTGCAATTAAAAATGGAAAATTATTCAATTTTAAATGGATAAAAGAGAATACAACACTTCCAATTCCATTTGATGCTTTGGATGAAGCAGCTAAGAAAGGACGTTTGGATTTTGTTGAATATCTTCATTCAATTGGTGCAAACTGTTCAACCAGTGCGATGGATGAAACTAACAACTTTGAAATCCTAAAGTTTCTATATTTCAATAGAACTGAAGGATGTACCCACATGGCAAATGAGCGTGCCATCAAATACAACGATATTCATTCCATTAAATTCCTTCACCAAAATATACCCAGTAGCAACTTTGAATCACCTCCATATATTCTTAAACAACTTAAAAAGAGTCAATCATATGGATATATTTCAAGGTTGAAGCTAATCAAAGAGTTAAAACTTTAAAAAATATAAATATAACGTGTTCTCTTCTTACCATGACTTTTAACCCTTTAAACGAATATATATATAAGAACATCATCTAAAAATCACAAATCTAACTTTCAAATAAATCTTTATTAAAACTTACAAAAGTGTCTTTATTTTTTTTATTTAAATATATTTGTTCATAAAACAGTGGTTGATATATTTACAAATAAACAATCAATTGATTGATATAGTTGAAACTGAGTTAAACTTATTGGTGTTGAATAATTTGTGATTGGAATTTTGTTTCTTAGGTCAACAGTCACAGTAAAACCTACACCAGTTTAGAAATCATTTGAATAGGGATTGAAGATTTCTATTATTTGTAGCTTTTTATCAGATAATTCGAATCTAAACACCCTTTTAAAAAAAAAAAAAAAAAGAAAGAAAAGTTTTTGTTTTAAAACTGAGGGATACACAATTTAAATTGTGTATCCCTCAGTTGAGTTGTCGCTACCTTTGATCCACTTAACATTGATTGTTCATAGCAATTGTCTTTACTTTTGACCAAAAAAAAATGGATAGTAATAATATTTGTGGTACTCATAAAAGAAGTATTGATCTCATTTGTTATGATTGTAATGTTTTGATGTGTTCTATTTGTTCACCAAAACATGCACGTCATACCTTTGACCATATTGAAAATATTAAATCAAATTTCAACGATCATGATACCACACAAACAGCACCTATAGATGATAACAACACAAATAATAACAATACTAATAATAATAGTAGTTTTACTAAAATTACAGATATTCAAACAGGTATTCAATCAGCATTCGATTCTTTGAAACTAAAAGTAAAAGAATATGAACAATTACAACAAACAGAACATCAAATCGAAAGTAGTTTCAAAGAGCTACATGAATTCCTTATTGTTGAAGAACATAGATTAAAGACACCAATCATCGATAGTAAAGATCAACTAGAACAACAAATAGATAAACAAATCAAAATCATGAAATCTTTGAATACAATTAATAATCATTTTAAAGTTAAATCAAATAATAATAATAATGATGATGATGATGATGAATCTGATCGATCAGATTCACAATCATTAACAATAACAGATACAACAGATAACTATCAAATATCAACAATAATTCGATCGATTTCACAATCATCTCATCACAATGAATTCATTTCAGCCAACATCAATACATTGTTCTATTTCGATGATGTTATTTTACAATGGTAATAATATCATATTATAATATACATATAAACATATAAATATAATACTTACAACTTTGATATAAGATTAGGAATTACTTTAGGAGTAGTTTTGGTACGAGGAATATAGATTTAATGAATGTAATAAAGTTTAGAGATATAATTTACAGTATAATATTTAAAGATAATAGTTTATTTATTTTGCAATTTGAAGATAAGAATAATATTTGGTAATGTTGAATAATGTTGAATAATTAATTTCTATAATGGATTTCCATGTTATTTATACTGTTGGATTTCTTTGACCAGTGCAGTTGCTCAATCTCAGAAATCTGTTCTTGATTAACTAATTTGGTATTCATTGTAGATTAACTTGTTGGTTATTTCTTTATGTTAACTTTGGTAGATTGATATTTTGTTGATTCACTGAATGTTGATATTATTCTAATATATTTAATTATTGTTAAACAGCTGGATTATTAATTTAAGTTATTTGAAATCGTGTCCATAAACTGTTTGAATTGTGATAGTTGAATTCTTAATAAATTATTGAACTGTCAGTTGATTTGGTTATTATAATTCTAAAATGTTAATTTTAGAACACTGTCTTTAGTTTGAATTAGTTTTCAACCAATTTCTATAGTCTCCGGTTAAAGACTTATATGATTGGTGAACATCGTTATCCAGTATCCATCCTTGGACTCCTCCTATATTGAAAAGATATTCGGTCTTGGCATCTCTCTTGTTGGTGAGATTGAAAATTCTCTTTCTTGTGACGAACATTGTATCTTTACGAATGATATTGGCGTTGATCAAGGCTATGAGTATCTTGGCACTTTGTTTGGTTGGTGGATGGTTCGGATGGGAATTGTGGTATTTGATGTATTCTTCTAGGACAGTTAACTTATTCTTCTTTTCGAATGCTTCTTTGATTTCTTTGGCAGATATTCTCTGGAAATTAGTGATTTCAGAAGATTCTGAAAATCATCTTTCATTGTGGAATGTGAATGTATTATGAATGATTGGATGAGTAGTAGTTGAGTTTGGAATATTATCCAAAATTAAAGTCTTTGAATCTGGTGTATTGATAGGTGGATTGTTGTTTGTAGTTGAATTGTTGTTTGTTACCAGATCTAATTCTGAATCAATGTCCATGGCTTCAGTGTCATCTGTGTCGTCGTTGTTGTTACTCTGATTGTTTTGTTCATTTTGAGTAATTGAATCGATTTCAATTTCATCTTCTTCTTCAACTTCGCCAAATTCAATATCATCATCATCCTCATCGTCTAAAGAGTTGTGTTTCTTGAAGTATTTAGCATGTCTAGTGAAGGATGGATTGATTCTTTTTCTCTTTGTACCAGATTCAACGTTGGCAACTGTGACATTTAATCCATTGACATTCGTTACTTCGTATGGACCATCAAATCTTGTTTCTAATTTGATTTTGTTTTTAGGGTTTGATCTAAACTTTCTTAGATAAACACTATCACCTACTTTAATATCCATTTCTTTCTTATTCTTATTATATTGAATTCTCATGTTATAATGATTATCGAATAACCAATTTCTAACAATTTTGAGTTGATTTCTCTTTGAGTTGATCATGTTTTCGATATCAACGTTTGATGAGTTCATTTTCAATTTGTATTGAATAAGAGAGAGTGGTGTTATTGGATTTTCACCTGTATAGATTTTAAAAGGAGAGTATTCGCATCCGTGATGGATGGAATTGTTTACACAAAATTCAATTGTATCAACTAAAGTTATCCATTCATCGTGGTTTTCTTAATTGTAAGTTGCAATGATAGCTTTACGAAACAAGTTACCTAAGTATCTGATTATACTTTCCACTTGTCCATTGGCCTGTTGATTTTCTGCAGTGGTAGTTCTGATTTCACAATTTAATATATCCATCAGATCTTTCCAAAATTTACTAGTAAACTTTGAATCTCTATCAGAGACAATTTCAACAGGCATGCCATGATGTTTGAATATTTCTTTCATAAAGATTTCAGCTAAATCTTTGGAAGTGTAAGTTGAATGAACTGGTATGAGTCGTACCATCTTTGATAGACGATCAACAATTACCCAGACTTTATTATATTTAATACCTTTGTATTCTGTATCAATTAATGGAATAAAATCCATACTGATGCTTTCAAAACATTTAGTTGGAACAATAAGTGGTTGAAGTTTACCAATTGATTGTCCACGAGCATCAGTTGCTTTGTTACAAGTATGACAAGCTTTGACATAATTAGTGACATCTTTGGCTATTCCTTCCCAAATGAAATGTCTACTTATTTATTCTAAAGTTTGTTCTATTCCATGATGACCTGCAAGTAATGAATCATGGTACATGAAAAGAATACGTTTAATAATAGAGCGAACTTGAGGAACTACTATTTTATCTTCAAAATATTTAAGTTTACCTTCTGTTTTCACAGATTTAGATTTGTAATATTTTGAAGGGTGTATTGTTTTATTCTTTATTTGTGTTTCTTCTTCAATATATCCATTTTCAATCATTGCAATTAGATCATTATTATCAATGGAAATGGTGGTGGAGTAAGTGTAACGACTTAAACCATCAGCAATTACATTATCAGATCCTTTTTTATATATAAGAGTTGGGTTAAAAGAGAAAATGTATTGTAACCACCTAATTAATTTAGGTTTTGTATTGTCATTAAGTTTATTATTTATAAAAAGTATATTTTGGTGATCGGTATGAATAACTAACTTATAACCTAATAGCATATGATAGTTAGATTCGAGAGCATGTTTGATTGCCATAACCTCTTGTTCAAACACATGGTAATCCTTTTCGGTTGTGTTAAACTTCTTGGATTTGTTTATTATCTTCTTGTTCAATATTGTCTTTGTATTGATAAATGACATGACCTATTCCATCATTGGAGGCGTCACAATCGATGTGAAATGTTAACTTATAATCGGGTATAAAAAGAAAACTACTATCGCTTATTTGGTTTTTAATCAAAATGAATGTCTCTGTATGTATGTCTTCCCATTTAAATAATTAATTCTTTCTAGCTATATCAATTAATGGAGCTTCTATTTCAGAGAGTTTGGGGATAAACTTTCGGTAGTAGTTTGTCAAACCTAAGAATCCTCTCAATTTTCTCTTTGTGATAGGTTGTTTCCAATTTTTGATTGCTAAGATTTTATCATTTATAGGAATCAATTTATTATGACCAATAATATGGCCGAGATATTCAAGTGAGTATTGACCAAAAATACATTTAGTTAGTTTTATTTTTAATTTGTTTTGATTTAATAAATCAACAATTTCTAAAACATCTTGAATGTGTTTGTCTTCATCATCAATGTTTGTTTTGATTAACAAATCATCGAGGTAAACAAGTAATTTTTTTGGCAATTACATGTCTTTGGAATATACTGTCCATGAGTCTCTGAAAACACGCTGGTGCGTTTGTGAGTCCAAATGGTAATACAGTATATTGGAATACACCGAATGAAGTTTGAAATGCTGTCTTAGATTGATCATTCTCATGAACTCTAATCTGGTGGTAACCTTGGAGTAGATCAATTTTAGAGAAGAGAACACCATCTCTTGTATTGTTAAGAACTTCAGTGATGTTTGGTAATGGATATGTATCTTTGATAGTTATACCATTTAGAGATCTGTAGTCTACACAGAGTCTCCAACCTCCATCTTTCTTTTTTAATAAATAAAAGAGGTGCCGCAAATGCGGATTGAGATGGGGTGATTTGACCATTTTCCAAATAAGTGTTTATCTGTTTTTTCCAATTCATTTAAAACGAATGTTGGATTGGATAAATTATTTTTTGGTTTTGGGTTGTCAAATTTATGTTAAAATCAAAATCTCCGTGAGATGGGGGTAGTTTTTTGTTAAAAGGTTTAACCGCATCAGGATATTAATTATTTATTTAAGATGAGATTTTTTTTTTTTTTTTTTTTATTATTATTATTATTATTTTTTTTTTTTTTTTTTTTTTTTTTTTTTTATAAATTTGATTCAAAAGTGTGGTTAGAAAATTTACTTTCATCCATCTTTCGTGTGGGTTTGATTTATTTGTATTATCATCTACTCTAATATCATTTAAATACACTTAATGCAAAACATTCATCATTATCACTCTCGCTTTGCAAATTTAAACAGTTTCTAGTTTCAACTAAATTTGTTTGAATAGAATCGTTTAGAGTGCGGAATTTTATAGCTAATTCTTTAATGTTGTTTTTTTTTTTTTTTTTTTTGCGTTAGGTAAAGATCTATTTTATTTTTAAAATCAATTTTCAAATTTAGATTTTGTAACCCTCTGTTCCCAACAGAATAAAATTTTGTTTTAGAATTGATTATAAAAAATGGTATGTTAAATTCTTTAATAGATATGTTTTTATTTATTTGTTTTGATAATGTAAAACTGTCTTTATTTATACCATTTGAGGTAATGTTGATATTGTCTTCGGACTCGAAATTAGAATCTTCGTCCTTAGATCGGTGGTATTGATGTCCTTTACCGTGGGAGTTGGTGTTCACATTGTGGTTGGGACTTGTTCCGTGATTGGAAATGCTAGGAGCATTCTTGTTGGTACTTGAAGTACTTGGCAAGTTTGGAACATTGTTGATGGTACTCGAAGTACTTAGATTACCGTTGGTGACAGTTGTTCTTGGAGAACCACCATTGGTTGTATTGGTGCTGGTCGCACTTTGGTTTAAACTTGAACAACTACAATTGATTGCATTGGTGCTGGTCGCACTTTGGGTATCTCTTGGAGAACCACTATTGGTTGCATTGGTGCTGGTCGCACTTTGGATATCTCCGGCGCTGGACGCGCTTGGTGGAGTTTGTTATGGACATAGTATTGTCAGAAGACATTGGTTTAAAAAAAAAAAAAAACATAAAAAACTTATATATAATTTAATTTAGTAAATATTTATAGATATTTCTAATTATAATCACTTGGTGGTGATGTGTATATATTGTTCACTTGGTGGTGAAAATCACTTGTTGGTGATGTATATATATATATATTGTTCACTTGGTAGTGAAATTCACTTGGTGGTGATATATTTGTGTTCACTTGATGGTGAAAATCGCTTGGTGGTGATGTATATATATATTGTTCACTTGGTGGTGAAATCACTTGGTGGTGATATATATATATATGTATTTCACTTGATGGTGAGAATCACTTGGTGGTGATATATATATTATGCACTTGGAGGTGCTATAGTCGATCGATGCTTTAAAGAGCAGATGCTACCATGTTATTTTACAATGGTAATAATATCATATTATAATATACATATAAACATATAAATATAATACTTACAACTTTGATATAAGATTAGGAATTACTTTAGGAGTAGTTTTGGTACGAGGAATATAGATTTAATGAATGTAATAAAGTTTAGAGATATAATTTACAGTATAATATTTAAAGATAATAGTTTATTTATTTTGCAATTTGAAGATAAGAATAATATTTGGTAATGTTGAATAATGTTGAATAATTAATTTCTATAATGGATTTCCATGTTATTTATACTGTTGGATTTCTTTGACCAGTGCAGTTGCTCAATCTCAGAAATCTGTTCTTGATTAACTAATTTGGTATTCATTGTAGATTAACTTGTTGGTTATTTCTTTATGTTAACTTTGGTAGATTGATATTTTGTTGATTCACTGAATGTTGATATTATTCTAATATATTTAATTATTGTTAAACAGCTGGATTATTAATTTAAGTTATTTGAAATCGTGTCCATAAACTGTTTGAATTGTGATAGTTGAATTCTTAATAAATTATTGAACTGTCAGTTGATTTGGTTATTATAATTCTAAAATGTTAATTTTAGAACAGATGATCATAACAACAAAGTGAACAACAATGATGATCATTCACTTTTAAATGTATTACTTGAACACAATAAAGCATTTAAAATCGATAGTCATCATGATAAACAACATCAACAACCAAAACCACAACAATATCAATTAATCGTTAATAATGAACAAATCAATCAAATTAAGAATCAAATTCAATCATCCATATTCATAATATCAGTTAAAAACAAATATATATTTACAACTGATAAAAATAATAAAATATCAATCATCAATATTACCTATCGAAACAACATTCATTTCGAACAACAAGATATAGATATTAAAATTAATAATTCATTTACAGCATACAACTCCCTAGTCAAAGCCGGTAACTTTATCTATATATTTGGTGGTGCAAATAAGAAACACAATGAATTTCTAAAGTATTCAATCAACACCGAAACTGTAGCTACCAATGAAATGGAAGGGGTTGATCCGTGCCAATATGTATCAGCTTGCTATGATGGTAAAGATCATATCTATCTATTCGATGGAAACTATAAACCAAAAACCGATATTTACAGATACAACATCGGTAATTCAACATTCGAAAGATACGCAACCATAGAAATCAATACAAACTACCATCAACTTTCATTCTTCTTCAAAGGTTATATCTATACTTTCACTGGAGCCACAAGAAAGATATTCCGTTTTAATATAGAGAGGAAAACAACAATTGAATTATCAATCGACATTCCTCAGTACACCTCATCAAGAGCAGCATGCACAGACGGCAATGGCAATATATACATTCTATCGGATTTAGGGCTACAGCGAATCAATATTGAAACCCAAGAAATCAAATTAATTGATAAGACTAAAATCAATTTTAATAATAATCACAATTTGATTTATCATCAATCGGATAGCGGTCAAACTTATATTTATTCAATACAAGGAAAAGATAGAAATTTCATATACTCACTTGAAAACAACAAATGGGAATCTATTCTCCAAAATGACAAGTCTGACAGAATAAATTGTTCAAATATATTTTATTAAAAATAAATATCAGCATTTTTTTTTGTAAATTTTTACTCTTCTTATAAATATAATTTCAATGTCATCATCTATATCTTTTGATAATAACTATAATCTTTTAAAGAAAATAATCAACTCACTCTATTTGAGGGATAAGATCTTTAGTTTTGTGAAGCTAATCCATAAGAATCATAAAAATGTCTATCAATCACCTATTCAAATAACAGGTTTAGGTTGGTATGATATTGGATGTTTTCCAGAGGAGATGATCAAGTACAATCAAAAAGAAAGATATAAAAACATATTCAACACTGTCATTCGAGATCGAGATTACAATGATGATACCATTGCCAAATTCAAGGAATTATATTTAAAATCAACAGTAACAGCAGCTCGACTTGGTCATCTTGACTTGATTGAATTCATTCATCAAGCATTACCCAATGAATTTTGTTTCAAATCTATTTTATATCCGGCATTGGAAGCAGGTCATCTTTCGATACTTCAATACATTCATCAATATAATTTGTCTCAAGGTTTATTCAATAGTCGCTCACTTTTCAAACCACTTCTAAGAGCAGCAGAACTTGGATATCTCGATATCGTTAAGTTTATTCACGAAAATAAATTGGATACCCCAGCTGGACATCCATTGAAATCAGCAATATCAAGTGGAAATTTGGATGTTGTTAAATACATTCACTCCAACTTTACAGATACATGTCGTGGTGTGTTGGATTCAGCCATAAGTTATGGTTTTTTAAATATTTTCGAGTTCCTAATTCAAAACCGTCCAGATAAAATCTCTGACTATTGGATACTATTTGCATCGGACAAAGGTCTTCTTCCAATCATTAGATATCTCATTGAGAATAATGTACCCTATTTGAACTTACCGGAACTCATGTTAGATCATGCAACATCCAGTGGAAACTTGGAACTGGTTCAATATCTACATGAAAACACAACGGTTCGCTGTACGACTCGTGCTATGGATTATGCTGCGACAAATGGATACTTTGAAATCTTAAAGTATCTTCATTACAATCGAAGTGAAGGATGCACTGTGGCTGCGATGAACAATGGATCGGGACACTTGGAAATTATAAAGTTTTTACAATATAATAGAAGTGAAGGATGCACAGACGAAGCAATGTACAATGCTTGTATTGGTGGACACTTGGAAACTGCTAAATTCTTGAATGAGAATCGAACCGAAGGTTGTCATTCTGGTACCAAAAGCAGTGTATCTATTAGTGGTCATTTCGAAATCTATAGATACCTTCACCTTAATAGGACAGACCAAGATGACTATCCAATTCTTGACAACTTTGCAGGTTGTGACGATCCAACAGCACTCCAATGGTTAAAAGAGAACACAACCAACAATATTACTATAGATTCATACATGATCGCAATTAAAAATGGAAAACTAATGAATTTTAAATGGATAAAAGAGAATACAACACTTCCAATTCCATTCAATGCATTGGATGAAGCAGCTAAGAGAGGGCATTTGGATTTTGTTGAATATCTTCATTCAATTGGTGCTAACTGTTCAACCAGTGCAATGGATGAAACCAACAACCTTGAAATCCTAAAGTTTCTACATTTCAATAGAACTGAAGGATTTACTCACCTCGCATATGAGCGTGCCATTAGATTCAATGATATTCATTCCATTAAATTCCTTCACCAAATTAAGCCTGAAACTTTCTATGATCTACTTGATCATAAAGAAAGTCAATGTTACGGATATATTTCAAGATTGAAGCTAATTAAAGAGTTAAAACTTTAAAAAATAAAAAGTATTATTATTTATTGATTGTTGTACAATTTTTATTTATATTTTATAATTGATAATCGAATTATTATTATTATTATTTTTTAAATCTCCCAACTTCTAATAACATCAACTTCATCTTCGGCGATGAATGGTTTCTCGATGGATCGGATCATTATGTCACCACAGTATAAACATTCTTTAGCTACAATTCTATCGAGTTCATTCTTTATGCTTTCTTCTTGACTCATTTCATCACCCATAATCATCATGTTTGAAGAGTTTCCAATATTATGTTGATTGGATTGGTTGTTGTTGTTTGGTTGTTGCTGTTGTTTGGTCGACATTCCTCCACCAGAGTCAACGATGACTTGTAACTCTCTAACCTTTTGACGTGTATGACTATCGAGATGTCTCATAATCTCAGAGATCAGACACTCTGAGTGGAATACGTGCTGGCATGAGAACAAGTAGAATCGCTTGGTCAACACTGGGTAGCTACAGATGTCGCACTTTTGGTCTCCACGAACCACACCGAATTTGTTTCTCAAGTTCTGGATGTCCTTACGAATGAGATCGGCCGATGAAGTAGCATCATCCATCTCATTCTTGAGTTCCTCGATATATTGATTGTAGTCTTCGAGTGACTTGCAAATCTCCTCTTTGAAATCGTCGATCACAGTAAAGTCTGGGAAGAACGGCAAGATGTCTTCGATCTTCAGCAACGGACAATGCTGAAGGAACTCCATTGCCTCTTTGATATTGTTGTCTTTCTCGACGACGTGACGAGCAATACGCAACCACAATTTCTTACAGAGTGCTTCATCTTCGTCCTTCAACTTGTCGGCATTCTCTTTGGCCAGCGAGATATCTACGGTCAGTGCGAGATCGACTGCCTCCTCGTACAATCCCATAGATCCGTAGATGATAACACATGCCTTTAGCTTGTGTTCTTTCATGCAGAGACGCAGCGCGTATTTAAGATCGTAATAGACATCAGGCGACTGCAGGAATGTGAGGAGTTGTGAGTCGTCGTCTTGCTTGACGTAGAGCGACAACAGGTAGTTGTGCACTGCACGATCCTGGTTGTGATTCTGTACACAGTATCTGAGATAACGGATAGCCTGATTCTCTGGACGACCTGCACGACTCTGGTCGTATCTCATGAGCGATGGAATCAACTTTCTCGGATTGAGGAATGGCGATTGCATCCAGACATTGACAGTCTGATACGGAATGAAATGGAACAACACCGGACAGAACTTGTAGTAGAGATCTTGGTGAGTCGACTTGAGAGTTGTCAGCTTGTTGAGAGCAACATCGTATGCCTGATGCTGAATGTGATAACTGATGACACGCTCGTAGTCCTCGATCAACTCGGCATAGTACAGTAGCTCGTCGATTGCACCGTGACTGCTGATGATGTGGAAGGTTGTCGCCTGATTCAGACAGTCCTTGTAGGAATTGATAAACTGTCTAAAGTCACCTTGAATCTTCTGGTAGTTTCCTTGTTGTCCGGGTGTGGTTCTGAGGGTATTCAGCTTGGCGATGAAGATCTCAGTGAGCCAGGTACAAATGATAGTCTTCTGGGTGGTATCACGACGTGGAATATTCTGAAGTTTCTGTAGCAAATAAGATTTCAGAGCGTCACGCTGATTGGCATTGATAAACTTTAGCGTAATCTCCTCAAAGATCTTGTGTGTCTTTCCATAAAAGTTGGCGGCCAACTCGAATTTATTCTCCTTAAAGTAGTAATCGGCTTGAGTTGCCCAAATCATATCCTTCTTATCGCTAGCGTATGGTTCTTTTGCGTATTCCAACGCCGTCTCAAACTGTCCTCTCTCGAGATACAACTTCCAAGCATTTCTATCTTCATCTCTAATACACAATTCAAAAACAATATTCTCTGCATATACCCATGTCGTTCCATTTGCACTATCTACACATAATCCTTTTAATCTAATTTGTTTCTAAAAATAACAATTATTGATGAATCAATATTAATAATCAACACAATATTTTATATAGATTAAAAATTCTTGTTACATACTGGGTTAAATGAATATTCATATACAATTTGACCATTTAGTTTACCAATGGCTTGTAGTTTATCTTCGTAGAGGAATAAAAAGTGGAATTGTGTGAGTGCGAATGCCAAGGGTGGCAATGGATTACCACGATGATCCTTGCGTGTAAAGTCGAGAATGGAGATGGCAGTAGTGAATTTATCACCGGGATTCTGTGAACCAAAGATGAGATCACCGTGATAGATACCGCTACCAATCATCCAGGCAAACGAAGTAGGCAAACTGATCGATGATTTCGCATAGAATGCCAACTCACTGTAACTAAGACTAGTTGGCAACTCATCGAATCTAATATTATCCGGTTGGAAAAGATTCTCAATTGTCGGACCACCTATCAACTGAAAGATTCTCGAGGGTGTAGTTATGATTGCAAAATATCTATTCTGAGCACGTTCCAATCTCATTCCCGAAATAGGACTACCATCATCACTAAAATATAACTTTAAACACAGACATACAGCATAAGTAGCTAATCTCAACTAGATTAATAATAATAAACTCTCTTTACTTACTTGTTTTAACATTGGTTCCTTCTGTGAGAAATCTAACTTTTCAAAGATACCTTTTTCAATGGAGGAGATGGTCGTCTCCCAGATCTTACCTTTGTTGTTACCGATGAGGATTGTCTGTGGAGTGACGTCGGCGGCATCCCATGCGATCGACTCGATCAGGTTGACTCTCCACTTGGCCTGTAGTTTTGGTTTCTTCCAGGTGGAGTGGATGTAGTAGACCTCTTCGGTCTCCATCGAGATGATCAGATGATGACCGGTCGGGTCCAAGAAGATCTTGTAGATACGCTCTTCCGGGCGACGTGTGAATTCAATCTCTTCGAGATCGGATGGATTGTTTAGATCGAGACGAATGATACGTGAGTACTGTGTCGCAATGATGATTCTGTTCGAGCAGACCAACATCTGTTGAATTCCCTTTGGTTTGTAATCTACCTGTTCCAGCGTGAACATCGGTACATCATCCATGAATCTCTGTTCATTACTGGTTGGCATTCCACCTAATCTACCAACATTACTATTATCTTCATTTCTACTTCCCATATCACCATATTCAATAAACTATAAAAAAAAATATACATAATATATATATATAACAATTAACATTATTAATTTTGTTTAGTTTATCTTTATATTCTTTACATACACCTGATGAATGATCATATTCTTTCATTTGATCGAAATCAAAATTCAAATGATTTACAGACATTTTTATTTGATCTCTAAACAAGAATATTCTATATTTTCAATTCTTATCTATCTATATCTATCTATCTATATTTTATATGTATTTATAATGATTTATCTATATATATATATATATTAATTCATTTAAATGAATCAAATATAATAATGAAGACAAAAGAAAAAAATTAAAAAAAATTAAAAATAAAAATCTTCTGAAAAGTTTCAAGAGAAAAAAAAAACAAAACAATTCTTTTCTTACGATTAAAAGATTATAACACTGATCAGATAATTCAATTGAATTATCTTTTTATTATTATTATAACTTAAATCACAAAGTTATAAGTGATTAACAACGATTCCTTAATTGTCAAGATATAACTATGTAGTTGATAATCAATGTTTATGATTCCAACCGATTGGCTCTACTTCTATCTAATATTTACTACTTATTTGAGATTAGGTTATCATATATAAGTACACTCTATAAAACGTTAAAGATAATTTTTGTATTATTTTTTTCATAAATATGTATATATATATATAAAATTATCTATATATTTTTGATAGTTTTTATTATCTCGTTAATATATTGTTGTTATTATTATTATGTTTTAAATTTTGATCTATATATTCGATTAAATTATATTATTTCGATTGTGTTGTTGTTGTTGGATTATCTTGTTCTATTCTAGAGTGATGTAACTCTATTGGTGACAATAAATTGATATCCAATGGAATATAATCTTTGTTCTTATACTTTGACTTGATATACTCTTCTTTCTCTGTCAATGTACTGTTTGAATTGATCTTCTTATCTTTTAATCTATATTCCCAATACTGATTTGAAACTGCATTACCAATACTTTGGAATATCTAAACATGATAAATAACACATCAAAAAAAAAGATTAGTAATCTATACATTGCTATTACTTATTGTTGTTGTTGTTGTTGTTGATATTTATATTTTTATAACTTACTGTTAAATTTGATAATTCATAACAAGTATCATCTAATAGAACTGAATAGATCTCTGACATTTGTAGACCCAATTGATTCTGATGGATATGGCAACAGTCATCACAGAGGAAACAACCGAGTGATACCGACGACCATTCTGGATCAGGTCCGTTACAATCTGCACAATATCTATTGCAATATCTTGATCTGATATCCATCATTATCTGTTTACGATCTAAACTTAGAGCATCTTCAAGTGATTCCGTTGACTTTATCAATTGTTTTTGTTGTCTCTTTTTCTAAAACAAAATATTAATAAATCTATTTATATTTAAATATAATAATAAGAGAATAATCTATTAATTACTTACAAGTAAAACATTGTTATCACGATATTCATTTGATGTCTCTATTGAATGTAAAAAATAGGTTGCCAACGTCTTTGATTCCGTTATGAAATAGATGGTTTGGAAGATTGTTTTAAAGATAACTGTATACTTGTTCATCTTTTGCTGTAACTTTACAGTTGAGAACTTTATACCAAGTATACGTAATGGCTTTTTATCCTATTATAATGTTAACATTGTTATTATTAGTATTAAGAATTAATATAAGATAAGAATAATAAAAAAACTTACGGATGGTGAATTAAATACTTTAATGGATGAACTATTTAAAGTTACCCATTGTTTTACGCTTGACTCTTCTTGTCCTTTAATATTTACATTGAAGTGTCCTTGAAATTGATTGTTGATAGATGATGTTATCGAAGTGGAAACAGCTGCCGACGATGACATCATTGGTGAGTTTGTAAGTGATTGTGATCTTGATCTTGGGTTTGATGATGATAATGATGATGAATATGATGATGATAATTTGTTATTGTTATTTACTTGTTGTTGTTGTTGTTGTCGTTCTTGTCTATATTCTAAACCTTCAATGAATAATCTAATACCGGATTCTCTACTTGAACCTAACATTAGAACGGGTGTATCCATTGGGAGTGGCAGTGATTGTTGGTGTTGATTGACACGTTCAAAGTGCACGGAAACACCTAGTTGTTGCCAAATCTTACGCTTTCTTCCGGTTTTGGCAAGGAGATCTTTGAGTGTTGCGTTCTGTCCCAATGTTATCATGATGTGTTCGCCGTGTGGAGGAACGTAGACTTTGACTTTGATGTCTGGTTTCTGTTGTTTGTACGGTGTTACGATCTTATTGCGATGACTGATCGAGTTGGAGAAACAGATCTCGGGATCTGTGTATTGGAGTTGTGATAGGTGCGATCCACTACCGTCTGCTGCTGCTGCTGACGGTGTCGATGAGCAATGGAACAACTGTGCAATCGATTGATCGCTAATATCCAGGAGTTTAACATAGTTCTCTGGGAATGTTCCGGTTTTCGAAGGTGAATCATCGAGGTGACGACCACGCCACCAACCATCGGTGGTCTGCTCACAGACAATAATGACACCGTCCTTTGTCAGTTGCAATTCATCGGAGCAATCCGCTTCGAAATCAAACAAAACGAGTGCATACTTTTCATTCTTTTTGAGATTCTGCTGTTGTTGTTGCTGCTGTTGAGCAGCTGCAGATTGCTGTGAGATGAGTGGATGGTTTTCCGATGGTTTGGCGATCTGCTGGTTGGGTGGAACTGCCTGTTTCCAATCACCAATGGTGGTCATCATGGTTGTCGAGGGAAATCCATGGTTGATTGGCGCGAGAATCGATGGACTGACACCGATGTTCAGCATATTCGGATAGTATGGAATGCGTGCATTGCAATCTTCGTCGGGACCAACCGGTGGCAGAATCGTCTCCAACTCTGAAAAACTCGATTGATTGTTGTAATTTATCATGTTGCGTGGATTGGAGTGTTCGCGTTCTCTGCGTTTCGAGGTGGGTGTGCGTGTCGATGAAACTGGAATTCTGGCGGAGCGAGGCACCGATGCTCTCGGTTTGACCGATATCCATTTGGTGGGTGGTTGTGGAAGGTGATGATTACCATTATTATTATTACCATTGACATAGTGGTGATTTTCAGAGCAAACGTGATCCAACAAGTTGAAGCTACTCTTTGGTGAAGCGGCACCATATATAAGTTGACGACCTAGCAATCTGCCGGGTGGCGACAAAGAACCTTCGGAAATAGTTGTTCTTCGCAGTAGTACTTTTGGACTACCAGACTTTAACATTGGAACTTTGGCACTGTTACTTGTGGAAGTAAAACTATCTGTTGATTTATTCATTTCTTTTCACACTTCCTCTTTTAATATATATATATAATATAAATGAGTATAGTGAATGTTAAAAGAGCAAACTCACTCCACTCTATTGTGTTGTTTTCTTTTTTCTGTTTGCTGCTTGTTTGAAAATTATTTGGAATTATCTTATTATTTAACTAAATTAATTCTGACTGATTTATTTATTTGATATTATGAATGATGATTTTAGATTTTGATTGATTTGATGAAAATGATTGTTGTTTAGTCTAGTTTAAATATAACTGTTTATTGTTGTTTAAGGTAGTTTAAAAAAGTATTATTTCTTTGGTGTAAGTGTGTTAAAAAATATTAATATTGTATATAAATAAATAGATATATATCGAAAAGATTAAGATGCAATGAGTTTCTTTGTATTAATCTTAATGTGTGTGTGGTTAGAGTGGTTTAATGTGGCTATTGTGTGATCACTTTAAAGTGTGTGGTTAAAAGGGGAAAAACAGAAAGGTTTATAAATTAATCTGTATTGTTATTTATGATTGGTTATTTATCTGTGTTGTTTGTTGTTTTTTGATTGTCGTAATTATATTGTAGGATGATAGAACGGTGTAAGTTCTTTCTTTACTAATCAAGTTGTCGATGATTTTTATGATTGTAAATATTGGGTTATAGAAATGGTTTAAAGAATTTCTTTGCAAAAGACGGCGGGATAAATTAAAAAAATGATAATTAATAATTTATCAATTATTTTGGAAACTCAGAAAAAACATTAATTAGTTAGTTTTGATTTGATTAGTCAGTCAGTGCTCTTAGTTAACAACAAATAAGCAAACTATCTTAAAAGATTTGTTGAAATTAATATGCCATGACACCCTGGGGTATAGCTATGGAGGGGTGTCCTTAATCACAAGCAAATCAGAAAATCAAAATGGTTTCGTTTTTCAGATTTGCACTATTTTCGTTTTTTTAATGATATGATTGTTCATTTTGGCAAAATTTTATTTTATTTTTAAATTTAATTTTAATATTATCAAAGGTGCAAATGTGTTTTTTTTAACTTTTTTTCTATTTTATTTTATTTTTTTCTAATAATGGATTGGTGCAAGAAAAATGTTTTTTTAAAAGGTTTTTTTTTTTTGTATCAAAACACCATCAATTTTTCACTTTGAGTATTTTTGCTCTGACCTTGACAAACCATGGTGACGCACTGACGCACCCTCTCAAACATGACACAACTACTGTTAAATTTGGAACGTGTTGTGTAAAAATAAGTTTTTGGTCCACCAATAAACTATTTTTATTAATTTTGTTTGTTGGATCACCGATTTACATGTCTCAAACACCCCCAAGATCAAGATCAAGACAAATATAGTATATATTTAATTCGATTTCCTAAAATTAAAATAACAACACTCACAACCTTGATCCATGGTCAACCAATCATCAATGAACTAGTGTAATTTGTAAAAGACCAGTCAAAGTCTTTGAGTTAATCACAAGTTGGTCAAACTTTTATTAACATTATAATTATATACACATGTTTGTTTTCACATCAACAAAATTATGAATAAACAACATAACAATAAATTTTGTTTATTTCCACTTCTTCTTCTTCTTTTGATTAATTTTATTATGGATAGTTTATTATTTTTATATTTTCTTTGTTTGTTTTAATGTGTTTAATATTGTTGTTGATTATATTAAACCAATCGCCTGGACTACAAAAAAATGAGCGACCAACGTGAATTGTATTAAAGTTTGCAATCTCCTCGATTACCAAACGAAGAGCATTTTTCGAAATCTTTTGCTTGAAATCGATTGTTCTCAATACAACAAATTCTACACCAATATACCGTTTTGTCTGTACCGATTGGTGATTCCAATATAGAGTAGGTACCCAATTGGTTGATGTTCTGTTTGTCTTTTGCGGCGTCAGAGGCAAGTTTTTGGAGTCTGTCGGGAATACACCAAGTAAAACGACCATGTAAACGGTCAATTTCGTAATTTCCTTCGGCATCCATAAAGTTAATAAATACTACAACGTCGTCTTCCTCAAAGACTTTGTTCACCTTTGGTATGCTGTAGATTGTCCTATCGATAACAGTGATTGTCCAAGGACCCTTTTCCTCTTCTTCTTCGCCTTCCTTTCTCAATGTAGATCCATACTCACGAATAGCAATGGAGTTGAGGTGTTGGATGGTGTCTGGTTTCGCTTTGTTTGGTTTCATCGATCGTATTCTAGTGCCACTCAATGAGTATCCAGAAGTGTGTTGTCTACTATAGCTATTGGTTGCGAATTGTACCTCGACTATCTCAAAGTGCTCTTCTTTCAGCTTGAGTAAGCCATCGGTATGTTTAGGGTTACGAGTATTTATCTTTAATTTTTCTTGTTGCTCTGTAACCATATCAGTATAGTTATGATATATATCTTTAATTTCTTGATTTGCTTTGATTTTAAGGATAGAAGAATAAGATGATTTGCTACTTTTATGATTATTATTGTTATTACTATTATCATTTATGTTGTTATTGTTGTCATCATCATCATCGTCATCTTGTAAAAATAATAAAACAGATAGTATTTCATTGTCTTTTACATGTAGTCCACCGATTAGCAAATCAACCGATCTAAACTTTTCATATTTGTACCTGTGTTTTAATGTTATTATTATTATAGAAATATAAAGTTTAGTTAAACAAATAAAAAAAGGGTAGTTTTGTGTGAATGATATATACCATGCATTACAGGTGTTTTTGGCATTTGAAACTATAATGGATCTGAATATTTGAGAACTATTCCTTCAGCATACGATTCGATTGAATCTCTAAAATGATCTTTCAATACCAATCTGTTCTCCATTGATACTTCGATTTGAAATGATTCTACTATTTCCAATCGGTTGACTTTTAATAGCGGTGTGAATCGCGCTTTCAATCTCTCTAATCTCTTGGAGAGTACGACTTTAGTGAGTTCTTCATCACCATCCCTGAGGATATCGAACATCTTCAAGCACAGCTGATCTTTTCCTTGTTTGAGTGTGTCTTTGGTATGAGTAGCGCTAGGTAGCGTTCGCCTTTGTCACTGACCATGATCAATTCACCGTCGACAATGAAATTGAAATCTACATTTTCAAACAACGGTCGTATAAATGCTCGGTAGCCCAACTCTTTGTTTTAGCAGGTTTCGTTTTAAATTTCAACACTTTGCTTTGTGCGTTGTAATCGATGATCATTCTATGACCATCGTATTTGTATTGCAAAATTTCTGGTGAAGGCAGGTTGTATGCATCTTCGAATTCTCTAACTCTCTTGGAAATATTGGTTTTATATCTAATGACATGTGTTGTTGGTAAATAAATATTTATTGAAGAATAAAAAAGTGATTAATATTAATCAAAAGTGTGTTTCATGGATATTTTTTTTATCACATATTTTATTTCATTTTTAACAAACCTGTGTTGTTATAAAAAAAAAACCTCTGATTAGAACGCATATCATATCATAGAGAGCGAAAATATTCAAACTTTTGTTTTGTTTTTAGCTTTATGTGTGTGTGTGTTTAAAAGTTAAACCCATTGTTACTAGTAATCAAAAAATTGCAACGAAAAAAAATGATCAAAAAAAACAAAAAAAGTTGCAATCAACCAAAATCATGAAAACTGTCAACAGTTTTAAGTTAAAAACAAAAAATTGCTTTTGGATGCTCAATCAATAATTATTTATTCTAGTTCAGATCAAAAATAACTGAAGTTATATAGATAATCGATACTAATGACAGAACAACAACTTTACTTGAAATCAATAGAATGTGATCCAACCAATTCCAACTCATACTTTAACCTTGCAACAACACTTTTAGTTTGTGAATCAATCACACTTCATAACGGTCAATCAATGACACAACAACAACTATACTTGAAATCAATAGAATATGATCCAACCAATTCCAATTCATACAATAACATTGCAACAACACTTTCAAGAGGTGAATCAACCATACTTCCTAATGGTCAATCAATGACACAACAACAACTATACTTGAAATCAATAGAATGTGATCCAACCAATTCCCATTCATATAATAACCTTGCAACAACACTTTTAGTTTGTGAATCAATCACAGTTCCTAACGGTCAATCAATGACACAACAACAACTATACTTGAAATCAATAGAATGTGATCCTACCAATTCCAACTCATACTATAATCTTGCAACAACACTTTCAAGAGGTGAATCAATCATACTTCCTAATGGTCAATCAATGACACAACAACAACTATACTTGAAATCAATAGAATATGATCCAACCAATTCCGACTCATACAAAAACCTTGCAACAACACTTTCAATTGGTGAATCAATCACACTTCATAACGGTCAATCAATGACACAACAACAACTATACTTGAAATCAATAGAATATGATCCAACCAATTCCGACTCATACAATACCATTGCAGTTAAACTCTCAATTGGTGAATCAATCATACTTCCTAATGGTCAATCAATGACACAACAACAACTATACTTGAAATCAATAGAATGTGATCCAACCAATTCCGACTCATACAATAACCTTGCAAATACACTTTCAAGAGGTGAATCAATCATACTTCATAACGGTCAATCAATGACACAACAACAACTATACTTGAAATCAATAGAATATGATCCAATCAATTCTAATTCATACTATAACCTTGCAAGAAAACTTTCAATTGGTGAATCAATCACACTTCATAACGGTCAATCAATGACACAACAACAATTATTCTTGAAATCAATAGAATGTGATCCAACCAATTCCGACTCATACACTAACCTTGCAAATACACTTTCAAGAGGTGAATCAATCACACTTCATAACGGTCAATCAATGACACAACAACAATTATACTTGAAATCAATAGAATATGATCCAACCAATTCCGACTCATACAATAACCTTGCAACAACACTTTCAATTGGTGAATCAATCATACTTCATAACGGTCAATCAATGACACAACAACAACTATACTTGAAATCAATAGAATGTGATCCAACCAATTCCGACTCATACAATAACCTTGCAACAACACTTTCAAGAGGTGAATCAATCACACTTCATAACGGTCAATCAATGACACAACAACAACTATTCTTGAAATCAATAGAATGTGATCCTACCAATTCCAACTCATACAAAAACCTTGCAACAACACTTTCATTTGGTGAATCAATCATACTTAATGATGGTCAATCAATGACACAACAACAACTATACTTGAAATCAATAGAATGTGATCCAACCAATTCCGACTCATACAATAACCTTGCAACAACACTTTCAATTGGTGAATCAATCACACTTCATAACGGCCAATCAATGACACAACAACAACTATACTTGAAATCAATAGAATATGATCCAACCAATTCCAACTCATACAATAACATTGCAACAACACTTTCAATTGGTGAATCAATCACACTTCATAACGGTCAATCAATGACACAACAACAACTATACTTGAAATCAATAGAATGTGATCCAACCAATTCCGACTCATACAATAACCTTGCAACAACACTTTCAATAGGTGAATCAATCACACTTCATAACGGTCAATCAATGACACAACAACAACTATACTTGAAATCAATAGAATGTGATCCAACCAATTCCAACTCATACAATAACCTTGCAACAACACTTTCAATTGGTGAATCAATCACACTTCATAACGGTCAATCAATGACACAACAACAACTATACTTGAAATCAATAGAAATGTGATCCAACCAAATTCCAAACTCATACAAAAACCTTGCCATTAACACTTTCAAGAGGTGAATCAATCACACTTCCTAACGGTCAATCAATGACACAACCAACAAATTATACTTGAAATCAATAGAATATGATCCAACCAATTCCCATTCATACAATAACATTGCGGTGAAACTTTCAAGAGGTGAATCAATCACACTTCATAACGGTCAATCAATGACACAACAACAACTATACTTGAAATCAATAGAATGTGATCCAACCAATTCATGTTCATACAATAACATTGGAGTGAAACTTTCATCTGGTGAATCAATCACACTTCATAATGGTGAACAAAGAATGACAGAACAAAATTTTTTCTTAAAATCAATAGAATGTGATCCAAAAAATTCACGTTCATATTTTAACCTTGCAAGGAGACTTTATAGTGAATGCATCGCACTTCCTAATGGTCAATCAATGACACAACAACAACTATACTTGAAATCAATAGAATGTGATTCAAACTATTACAGATCATATTATTGCCTTGCAACAACACTTTCAATTGGTGAATCAATCACACTTCCTAATGGTCAGTCAATGACACAACAACAACTATACTTGAAATCAATAGAATGTCGTCCAAACAAATCCCGATCATATTATAGTCTGGCAAATACACTTTCAGTTGGTGAATCAATCACACTTAATGATGGTAAATCAATGACACAACAACAACTATATTTGAAATCGATAGAGTGTTATCCAACCGATGCCCCATCATATAATGACCTTGCAACAACACTTTCAAGAGGTGAATCAATCACACTTCCTAATGGAGAATCGATGACACAACAACAACTATACTTGAAATCAATAGAATGTGATCCAAAGAATTATAAACCCTATTATAACCTTGGAATGACACTATTTCAAAATGAAGATATCACTCTCAATAATGGTTTGAGAATGATAAAACAACAACTATTATTGGAATCATTAAGATTAGGTCATCAACAAACATTGGTTTACCGAGAAATTGGATTAACACTTTCGAACAACAAACAAGCAATTACACTACCAGATGGTGAGCAAAAGACAAGGAGACAGCTACTTAAAATATCAAGAGATTACATATGATTGCCGAGTGAAAATTTTTTAAATTTTTTTAGTTTAAATTAAATTGAATAAATAAATATATGTTAACAAATATTTTTATCCAAAATAGTAAGATATTTTGTTTGTATCTCATTTAAATTCGATAATAAGATTTTAAAACAAGAGTTTTATAGGTTGATTTGGATAGTAATAATAAAATATGATGATTAACAGATTGTATAGACGAGAACATTGCTAGATCAGAGACTAAATGTTCTATCTAATGAAAGTCAAAAAACAAAACAAAACTGGCTCCTGCTTGTAACCATAAATCGAATAAAATCAAAAAAACAACTCTGATCATATTAACCCCACTAATTTTTAATTTTTCATTTTTTTTAAAATTAATGCGCAGGCGAAAGTTGTTGGGAGCCAGTTTTGTTTTGGTATCAATTTTCCAGATCGAGATCGATGAAGAAAAAGGAAAAGGAAGTGGGCCCTTAAAATAAAATAAAGTAACTGGTTATGATTTCTTAATAATATCTTTAGATCAATATGGAAGAAAATAGCTATCATAGTTATATAAAAATATTTTGGAAAGACATAAGTCAAACAGATTGGTATTTGACAAATAAGAATGTAAACCAATCAAGTAGAAATATGTTGTATGTTGTTGTAAAAGTAAATAGTTGTTTTTTTTTCGCTTTTTCTTTAACATTTAAAGAGTAGATTGTAAATTAATGATTATATTCTTATCAATTCTTATATACAATAGTATCTCTATAGCTTTGGTCAGAGTGATTTTAGAAATGGTTTAGCTTTTCAATCCGAAAAAGATAGGTTTCTACTACTGCAATCTAATCTAGTAAAGTTTATAAAGAATGTTAAACCAAACACTGAATCATTCCAGAGTATCTTTCAGTATAACCCAGAGTTGTACACAAATAGGACATTAATAGAGTATTTAAAGTCATTCAATAATAGCAACGATCTCTGTAATCTGCTATTCCATACTTTGCTCATTGACAGACCGTCCTACCTTTTCAATTGTTACCCAACGCTGAATCAATGTTTCAGCATAGAACAACATCATCGATATGATACACACCGTTAAAGATGAAGTAGATAGTCTATATACTTCAATAGTCATATCGATTCTAAATTATTATCCTAAAAGAATAACAGAGTTATCACATCATTTTATTAATGTTTACAAATATGTAGCTTAAACTAAACAGCAACAATCAATATATATACTTTTACTAATTTAATTCATTTTCATTAGTTTTATAAATAATCAAGATAATGATTTCATTGAATTTAAAACAAATGAGTGTATTCCAAGGAGTATGATTATATCACAAAGCATTTACCTAAACAACCGGAACCAATCTATCCAGAATTCAATATCAATCTATCACCATTGATTTTAGGCGAAATATTAAACGTTTCGATAGACTATAAAGGTGCCTTTGGATTTGCTCAAACTCTGGGATTAGCATATAATGATTCAATGACTATTCCGAAATGCACTCCACAAGAATACTCTATAATAACTAAAATCAAAGATCATAATATTTGTGGATTCGACCCAACCACTGCCAAAAAATTTAATCTGCGCAACTTTGTTACAACAATCCTATCCCTAGGGAGAATATGTATTTCTCAGATGGAGGTAATATTTTCGACTTGGTACCTTCCATTCGATTTTTGAAAATGGTTGGAGACCTAACATCGGAACCACTTCGATTCATTAGAAACAATTCTAGTGTCGAAAAAATTACTTTCAAAGCAAATGCATCGGCAAACAATGAACTAAGCAGCTCGATAACCATCAAAACTCTTAATCAATTATTTTATTTAATGTCACAAGTGGAGTTCAATCGATAAGATGTTTCAAATTGTATATTAAAGACAAATCAAAAAAATTGGAAAACAATCTCTACGTATCCCAATCATTAATCATTATCAAATAGAACGAAATATAATCCAGCTTCATGGATTCAAATCAACCAACCAACAGTTTTTTAAGTTCATCAAATAAACATCAAATTTTAAAAATTGTATATATTCCTAAATTCACACTCAACAATGGTTTGAGAATGACTAAACAACAACTATTATTGAATCACTTACCCTAGGTCATATAACACCATGTGGTAAGGTTTATTATTTTTTAAAAAATTTGACTAAAATTTTTCAATTCTATTTTTTTTATAATAAAATAAAGTTTCATATTCTAGGTATTTTTTTTTAAGTATACTTTTAAAAACAATTATATTAAACAGTGTTATGAAATGAATAAGTTAATTTATGGCTTAGTTTTCAATAATAGAGTTTTACAAAAAATAATATTTCAATATGTATCTTTGATATCGAGAATTAAAGAAAGACCGTGTTTAAAATGGGAAAAAGTAGTGCAATCTCCAAATACCTTGGCTTAATATGGATACTTTCAGTTTTTGAAAGTGTATCTAAATAATATGAAGATCGTTGATGCGCTTTGTTTTAATATTAGACTATTGGAAGATGCAATCAGATGTGGAAACTTGGAGATGTTTGAATATCTATTGGATCACTATCGATTGGAAGAGAGAATATCAGTACGCGACATCTGCAAAACTATCTTAAATGAACTATTGTCACATGCAGCAGAGTATGGTCGAATGAATATAACTCTATCTTTGTTTAAGAGGTTTACTGATCATAATTGGAGTGTAAGCGGTGCTTTGATCAGAGTACCAGTGTCAGGTAATTTAGAATTGTTTAAATTCTTATTGGTTCAATACGATAGATATACAAAAGCACCCAAGTATGCAGATGTATTCGATAGCGCAGCGAGATATGGTAGATTGCAAATGATAGAGTGGTTGTTTAGTAAATATACCGATGGTCATAAAGGTTCGAATATGTTTGTTAATGCCATAGAGAATGGTCATACACATATCGTTGAATACTTGTTGGAGAATCACAGATATCTATTTAAGCCAGATAAAGAGAATTACTTGAGAGCAGTATCCAAGAATATTGGTGGAATCGATTTATTCATTCGACTTTATCAACTAGGTTGTCAATGTTCGAATATCGTAATCGGCACTGCAGCAGCCTGTGGGAATCTCGAAGTCATTAGGTGGATTAATTCAAACACAACCATTCAGTTTCATACATCCACTATGGATATTGCAGGTCGTTCATTTCAATTCGAAGTTGTCAAATGGTTGCAAGAGAATAGAACTGAAGGTTGTTCAGAGAATCTGTTAGATGCGGTGGTTAAAAAGAATGATCTTCATATTGTTAAATATTTACATCAACATCAACCCGAAAAGTGTTCTGTCAAAGCAATGGACCGGTCACTAAAACTTGGACATTTAGAAACAGCTATATGGCTATATGAAAATCGAACTGAACGATTTACACCTGGAATCATCAAAAAATTTATTGAAAATGGAAAGCTGAATGTCATTAAATGGTTAGAAGAGAACACTGAGGAACGATGCAATTATCATTCATTAGAAGTAGCAGTAATGTTTGGGTATCTAGATATTATCGAATATCTTCATGAACGAAATGGTTCCAAAAATCGATACTATTTCTCATCATCAACAATGGATTTGGCTATTAAAAGTGGCGATTTGAAAATTGTCAAATGGTTCCACGAGAATAGAACTGACGGTTGTTCTATTGAGGCTCTCAACGAATCCCTACTCTATCGTCCAGACGGATCTGACCTTGTACCATGGTTATTTGCTAATCAATCAGAGTTATATCTCGAATCGATTGACATTGAAAAGCAAATCCAATTCCAAATTACTATGAATCGACATAAAAATCTATATTGGTTGTTAGAGAATTTTGATGTTTCAGTTCAACAACTCATTCAATATCAGAATTTAATTGGCAAATGTACATCATTCGAGTCGAGCGAAATAATCAAACATCACATCGCTAAAAATTCATACCTTAATAATATCTAGTTTTAAATAAAAAATATATAAGATCAAGAAAACTTGTTGTGTGTTGTATTTTAAAAAAAACAAATGATCTTTACTAAGATATTCTCTTTTAAAAATAAATATTTTTTTAATTTTTTTTTTGCGAACAGAATTTATCTTTTAAGTAAAACAATACTTTGTTAAAGGAAAGATCTTTAAAATGTTTAATAATCAATTAACTAAAAAGATATTAGATTATATAAATCCATGTGATTTAATTTACAGAAGAGGGATGATCAGTTTATCAGGTGAAGATATAGATCCACTGCATTACAACACATATCATTGTCATTCTCTGATTAATCTATCATTGGTTTCTTGGTGTTGGTTCGAAATAGTATCGAAACTAATAGATAAACTCGAGATTTCATTCCATAAGGGGTGGAAGCACTATGAAATTGGTATTCATAGTTTCAGTGGTACCAGAAGAATAAACAATTCATTGGGAATACCACTCACTACCTTTGAAAAACATATTCGCTCTAAATCCAGTCTGCTAAAAGTCAATCATTTGCGGACTGTTATAATCAAAAACGTTGGTTTTTGGCAAGAAGATTACAATCAGGTGTTAGATTATATCCTAAGTGGAGATCTCCTCAGTTCAGTGGTTGTCAAGAGTGAATTGTTATCATTGGAGCCATTCCTATCATCTCATAGATCTGAGAAATATCGATTTCAATATTATGTTGTTCCATTGATCATGGATTGCAACTATAGTTCGAAAAATGTGGACAGGATCATTAACTACTTGAAAGCATCGGAAAACAAAATCAATACAATGGAAATCATTTTCGACAGACACCCAGACGCTGTAAATGGACTCGATATATGTTTACGAATTGAGAAAGAATTCCCTCTATCTCCTATTCATCTGTTACAATCTTATGGAGAGTTTTACTCAACTATTGGAAGCTTTGAACTAAAGCCATTTACCAATATTATCAAACTTGAATTGCATAACGGATATGCAGAAGATGTAGCTAAGGTGATCAAAGGAGTGCCACGGTTGAAGAAATTGATGTTGAACATTGAATTCAATTCGTCCGACGATGATGAATACGATAGAAGAATCTATAAGAAGATGTTTAATGCACTCAAAAGTCATAACAATATCAATTCTTTGACCTTATCGATATCGAGAGTAGAGGATTTGGATACACACTATATAAATATACTATCAGGTTTAAGTCATTTATTGGATGAGAATCAAACACTTACAAAGTTGAATCTTTATTGCTTCGAAAATATCAATGAACAACTATGTCAATCAATTGCACAGACAACCCGATTAAGATCATTCAAAATAACATTGATAAGATCATCGATGACTCCAAAACTATTCGAAGTACTCAAACAGAATAGAACAATCAGGAAACTAACAATCAACATAGCCTATGACTTTAATAGCGAAGAAATGGATTCGTATATCTCTGAATTGATATCAACACACAACAATCCAATTAGAATTCTCGACATCAGATCTCTCGATACCAAAGGTGAACACATACATCGAGCATTTCAATCTGACAGTATCTTACTACAACATATTGTCGTATCTTACAATAAAAAGTGGAGTGATCATTCACTCCAAGAAAATTTGATCATCTATTAAACACAAAAAAGTGTGCTTGTTTTTGTTTTTTTTTCTCAGAAATATTTGGGAATTTTTTAATATATTTGTTAAAATTATTCTTTGATCAAACCATTATGAAGTTAAAACAAGTAAAGAATTTAATTACAATAGAAATATAGAAACTAAATTAGTTCAAATAATGAATAATCAATTTTTTTCAATATTAAATAATTCATTGTTAATAGATAAAATATTTTATTATATTAGAGAAATAGGAGCAATCAAACATGAAAAGACATTGAGGTGGAATCTTTTGAAACAATATCCGGTGGTTCTGATGAATTATGGTTACTTGGGGTTACTCAAAGAATATATCGATCGATTACCAAAGAATATAGATATGACAATCCTTACTCAGTATCGATATATACTGCATAATCTTCCGATGGTTGTCAAGTTTGGTCATCTTGATATGCTTAAATATCTTTGTACTTTTTTCGAAGGAACAGCATGGTATGATGCATTACCAGAGCTATTGGAATCTTCCATACCAGTCAAACGAATGGATATCATGGAGTTTCTTTTCGAAGGAGTTGAATCCAAACATGCAGGATATCTAGATAGGAAAAAGATGATATTTCTAGCTGCACAAACTGGAAGTCTGGAGATTGTCAAATATATTGCAGATAAGATTTCAACTACAGTTATCCAACCAGAACAATTCCTAAGGATAGTCGAAGCAGGCCACCTGGAAATTGTAAAGCATTTTTTGGAAACTTCACACATGGAATGTCATCCAAAGTCAGCAGAGAGAGCAGCCCTCTATTCACGTGATGAGTTGATTCTTTATTTTAGCGAACACTTTCCAACTACCATCACAAACGCTACATTGACTATACTTGCAAAGAATGGAAATGTTCAACTTCTCAGACAATTGACCGAGAAACATAACATGAAATGTTCAACGATGGCACTTGATGCTGCAGCTACAAACGGCCACTTGGAAGTCATTAAATGGGTGTTCGAACAAGATCCCAATATCAAAAGTCAGAAAACACTAATGGATATTGCTGCAGCTGGAGGTTACTTGGATATTGTAACATTCATACACAACAACACTACTACTCAATGCACCATTCGAGCGTTAAACACAGCATCACAACAAGGTCATCTAAAGGTTGTAGAATTCTTGATACTAAATAGAAGTGAAGGGTGCACTCCAGCAGCATTTGACGGAGCGATTAAGAATGGCCATCTGGAAGTATTGGAATTCCTCTTTGAAAACAGAACTGAAAGACCAAATAAAAATGCAAAGGAGGTTGCTGCTAGTCAAGGTCATGTGGAGATTTTGAAATTCCTGGTTTCTCGTTGTCCAGAGATGGAAAATACCAACCTCTTTTGCTTCAATGATGTTGCCACTGCCAGATATATCCATGAGGAATTGGGTTTACCCATTGTAGAATATCATATAGACAGGGCCCTTTCGTACAACAATCCAGATGTTCTCGACTACTTTTTGGGTAATATTTCTTATGATTTTCCAACGTGTACACGTTGTACTCACGTATTAAGGAAAATAATACAAAACAACAGAGTACAATGTTTAAAAACTCTATTTAAACATGGAGTTTCCTTTAAGCTTTCTTTCAACTCATTGGCAGCTCATGGTCGTTTTGAAATGATACAATTCTGTATGGATAATAGAATCGTTATGTTTTGTTCAACGCAAGTAGCTGAATCTTTTTATAATCTTGAAAGATATCAATCATCAAGTGACCTTTCAGAATGGTATAACAAACTAAGAAATATAATTACAAGAAAATAAAATTAGATAATTTTTACAAGTTCAAAGTTAATTATAACCAAAAAATAAAACAAAAAGACTGTAGTAATGTTTATTTTTGTATGATTACATATCTTCAACACTCCATAGATATGCTTCATCTTTGGCAGCACTTGAACGAGCTTGTGCTCTAAAGTATTCCTTTTCAAAACCATTGCCTCTGTCCACTCCATCCCATCTATGACCAGGCTTGATACCGTATCGATTGGGTGGTGCTGCAGGACCGCTATACTTTGGTTTTTCTGCTGCTTCTTTTTTGTTTTTCTTACTCTTCTTGATGCTTCGACTCTTGGAAGATTGATTAGCCATAGGATCACCCCATATATCTTTATCCTTCATCGATTGATTGATGTTCTCGTCATCGGCATACCTTGAAAAAGGACGATTCTTCTCTTCTTCCAAACGTCGCAGTTGTTCTTCTTTCTGCTGTCTCTGCATCTTACTTGTCTTTACCAAGACATCTTGTCTTCTCTCTTCCTCCTCGGCTTTTGCTTTCTCTTCTTTCTCTCTATTGATATCGTCGGTGTTCAATCGTTTTCCTCTTGAATCTCTATATACAGTCTGTGCATTCTTGCCCAGCAAAGTTTGATCTGCAACTCTAAACATCTCTTTTTGTTCGTGTAGTTTCTTTTGAATCTGTTCACGTATACTCTCGCCAGAGTGTAATCCAGCTTCTGCACCATATGACATTTTCAATTTTACATTTGCTGGTAAATCGCTTGTTGTCGCTGTTTCTTTTCTATCTCTATTTCTCGGTGATATATCTCTATCTCTGTTTCTAGGTGGTGTCATATCGCCATCTTCGTCTCTGTGCCTAGGTGGTGTTGAATCTCCTCTCTTTCTAGGCGGAGTCATATCCTCACTGTTTCTTTTTCTTGGTAAATCTAGGTCTTGATCTTGATCTCTACTTCTATTTCTTGGTGGTGTCAAATCGTCGTTATCTCTATTTCGTTTCCTAGGCAACTCTAGGTCTTCATCTTGATCTCTACTTCTATTTCTAGGTGGTGTCAAATCGTCGTCTCTCTTTCTAGCTCTGGGTGGAGTCAAATCGTCATCTCTATTTCTCTTTCTTGGCAACTCTAAATCTTCAGCTCTATCTCTTCCTCTGTTTCTTGGTGGTGATATATCTCTATCGCTAACTCTGCTTCTGGGTGGTGATATATCTCTATCTCTTCCTATGTTTCTCGGTGGCGATATATCTCTATCGCTAACTCTGTTTCTAGGTGGTGATATATCTCTACCTCTATTTCTAGGTGGTGTTAAATCGTCGTCTCTCTTTCTATTTCTAGGTGGCGTCAGATCGTTGTCTACCAATCTTGATGTGCTACTATCAACGGTTGTCCAAGTACCTTTTTCATAATCCTTAGCATTTTCTATTACTTCATCATCGAACTCATCTTGATTGACTATAACTGGTTTATATTCTATTTTTAAATGAATAATACTATTATTAATATATATTAAAAATAAAAATGAAAGAAGTTGTAGTTCAACAAACTATGTTACATACCATCAAATATTCTTTGTTTTGATTTACTATTATCAACACCAATTGATATAGATTCAGAATCATCTACATCTTTAATAACTGATCTACTTGTAGTTGAAGTTGAAGTTGATTTAGACTTCTTTTTCTTCTTTGTATCTTTACTTTTATCATCATTATTGTCATTACTATTTGATAAATACTTTTTTAAGTAATCTGGTAATTGTGACATTTATCTATATATAAATATTAAACTATCTTTAATGAATGATCATCAATTATTAATATAACTAATAATAAACTTAATAGAAATTTCTTCAATAAAAAAAAATTAAATTAAAATTAAAAAAAGAAATATTCTTGTGTGGAAAGGACAAAATGAATAAAGGATGGATGGAAATATGATTACTTTTAAAAATAAATTTATTATTACAATGTTTTTTTTCTTTTTTTTTTTATTTGTTTGTTTTTATAAGTAAAAATAAAATAAAAAAGTAATATTATTAATTTCTCCAATATTGATACCATTTATGTACCATTTCAACCATGACTGGGAAAAGTGCGCTAACAGAATCGTTAAGTAATTGTAATAATGAATTGGCAGCTTCTTGATCGTTCAACTCTAGTTGGAATTTCTCTTGTACCTTGAGGATTGATTTCTCACGTTCTTCGCTAATGGTTGGAATATTCGATTCTTCCATCAGTGCGAAAAGATTGATGATCAAATGTGACGATTTTCTCAAGATGTTGTAGGCCTCACAACAATATTGCTTGAACTTTTCATACTGTTTGCTGTTCTCTCCACCCATACCGATGACCATTTCCTTACACAACTTCATTGGTGGTGGGAAGATCTTTGGATCCTTACCCAAGATGTAACCGAAATCGATATGGAAGAGATTTCCATTCGGTGTGAGGAGCAGATTGTCGAGATGACGATCTCCAATACCGAGAATGTAGGTGATGACACAGTAACCTGCACAACTCTTTACAAAGGTATCGAGTACTTCTGGCGCGACACCGAGTGGTGCGTCTGGATCTGGATGATGTCCCTTAAAGTATTTAAGAATCTCACCGTCGTACTTGTTGATTACCGCTGCCATAGCTTCGGATGGCGAGACCATCTCTACGATTCCATCCTCCTCGGCAGTGGCAAGCACATGATAGGGTGTCAGTTTGAGATCTAGATTCTCTTTCTTTAGCAAACGATCCATCAAACTGATCATCTGGATGATGAGTTGATCCTGTCGGAGATCGTCACCCGTCTTGAAGATGATACCGTATTCCGGTCCCTGTTTGGTTCTCAGCTTGAGACCGAGTGGGGTCTTGGCCGACTTGTAGATGGTCGACTTCTCGGGGATGACGCCAATCACCTCGATGTTGGGATTGACAGGCAACGCCAAAGGTGGGAAATCGGAAAGATCTTTGTAGTCGCCGTCGGACAACATCTGTTTGAGTTTCTCAATCTTCTTTTCTCTGAGAATGTTCATTGCCTTGAGCTCAGCCGACAACTCCGATAGCCTATTCACAAAGTGCGCTTGGCGTGTCAGCTTGGTACGCTCGGTAGCCGGCAACTGGCTGATAAGCTCATCGCCCAGCTTCGAATAGAGCTGGCAGTGAGCCGACTTCTTCAGTACGGAATCAACGGTGAGATACCAATAGAATCGATTGGCAAATACAAAGTTGCGGGTGGATCGCTCAATGAGGAAACTGATGAGTGGCGACTCCACCATGTCCTGAGGTTCGTACTTGGTTGCCTGCACCAGCTGTAGCAAATAGTAAAGCAACTCCTCGTCGTCTGCCTTTCGGAGGATATCCACCGCGTACTTTCTGACATTCAAAGTATTCTTGTGATTAAAAGTCGAAGAGAGTAACTCTAGGGCATCTGTCACATCGATCTGCTCCCACTTTGGCAGTATAGAGAGTGCCTCATTCTTTTGATGTGCTTCATTCCACTCGACGCATCTCAAGAACTTTGTCAATGCCTTCTTGTTATTAACCAAATAATATCTAAACTTCCACATTAAAATCGAATCTTTTGCAGAGAATTGTGTATTTGGTGGTGTTTTCAATAGATTCTATAAAGTGATTTTAAAATGTAGTTAGTTAGTAATTGACTTGTTAAAAAGCTGGAGTAATGAGATAACCAATAACTTACAGTAAGATTTCTAAACTCAGATTGATTCGGTTTAAGATCCTTATGATCTTTGTCATCCTTATCGTAAGAGTTGAGACGATAGTATTTTTGTTCGCAAGGATGATCGTTCATCTCTACGTCATTGACCAACACCAATCGTTTCTTCTGTGTCGGAATAGGTTTATAAAAGTGACATGTCTGTTGCTTAAAGAGAATCGGTAGATCCAACTCTGGTAACTCTATAGTCAAATACAATGCATTCTTATTCAACGACTCTGCATTTTTTGTAATCTTATCAATCTCTCGCATCGCATAATAATCCAACCAATCATTATGAGGTATAAGATTTCTATCATATTTCTTTAATAACTAAATATTATAAAAGATAATCATGATTAATATACTTATATATATAAGATATATTATGTTTGTTATTGTTTATGTTGAAATACTACTTACTTTTTCTAATCTATATACTTCTTCTTTACCTTGTATTTGACCTGGTGTTGCAGAGTTAACATCACCGTTACCTTCGACGTCTTGATAGATGATCAACTTGTGTTTACCACGACGTTCTATTCTGTTGCGACCAAAGACAGCAAAGGAAGTACCACCTATGGGTACTCTCTTTGACGGTGCATATATATCCCAAATGGTGAATACTATGAGTGTATCGTGTGGTAAATCCTGATGCTTCAGTGGCATAATCAATGTTTCATCCCACTTGTTATCTCCCGATGCAAAAGGGAAGAACATGGTCTGCTCTGGTGAACACAACGGTTTACCATCTGAATATAATGTACAACAAATATATAAATCTAATGTTTTACTATATAGTTAATTAAAATAGATCGTTAGTTAGTTAGCTTTATATTTGATGATTGATAGATATCTGAATGTTTGTTTGATTGATTTGAATACATACTCTTTATACAATGAAGAATTCTTTAAGAAAGGATCATCTATCCATTTTGTAACTGTTTCTGGTGCACTTTCTTTCTGTCTCTTACCCTTAAGCGAACATCTGTATTATAGTGAAAAGGTAAATCAATCAAAGCAATGTTAGTTTAATATTTAAAAAAAAAGTAATAAAAGAAATCAAACTAATAATTATTACATTTTAATTTTATATTTAATAGATATATCACTACTATAATAGAATTTAAATTCTTTTGGTACTTTCATTTATATTAATAACAAATAAATATATAATTATAACATATTACTTCAAGTTTTCTAGATTTTTAAGTAAAAAAAAAAAAAAAGTTTTTAACAAAAAAAAGAAAAATTAAAAGTTTAATTTTTTGATCATTTTGTTTTTAATTAAAAGTTATATCAAACTATAGATAACAAATGATTCATTAATACTCATAATGAATCACTTAAAATATCTAAAGTTATTATAAGTTAATGTAAGATTGAATTTTTTTGTGGCTGCCAAAATTGTGGAATCAAGTTGGCATATCTAAATATGGTATACAACAAATATCTGGGATTCAGTAAATCATTTGATAGATATTATATGATTTTTAAGTTGATAGGATACCAAAGATTATCTATAAAAAGACTTGGTTTCCAAACATCATTCATCAATAAAATCAAATCAATTAAATCAAATAAAATTTTAACAAAACAAATATATAATTCTACAACTAATTAATTCTTTTATAATTTTTAATAAATAATAATAATGACTTCATTTCAATCAAATATAATTGGAAATTTCACCATTAAAGCAACTCTTCCAGAGAGTAATGCTTTGTGGAATATCTCACCCGATCATAATTTAAATGTAAAACCATTGGTACATGATCTTAAAACAGATCATGTCACCTACACTTACATTGATGATGAAAGTAGAGAGAAACTTTTGAAAATTGCTGAAGAATACAATGCTACTCTAAGAATTGATCTTATTCCATTGGAAAAGTATGAGTTTAAAAAATAATTAATTTAATTAATTTAAAATTTTATTAATAATTATTATTAAATTATATAGTAATAAAAAAGCGAATTTCATTTACCATAGATCTGGTGACCACACTAATCTTAAAGGTGATATTAATGTTATCCTAATAAATCAAAAAGATTCAATTGGAACCTATTTACAATTGGTTTATATTCCACCAGTCATTCATTTCACTCAGGAATAATAAATTAAAATTATTTCTATAATTTTATTTAATAAAATTTAAATAACAATTCTAAAAAAGACAGAGTTAGCTTTATTCTGTATTAAATATTATATTGTTTTATTAATTACATTCTTGAAGTGAAATCATATCCTTTGTAAATTATAATAGTTACTAAAGGAATATTATCTAAGTTTTTTTGATGATGCAATTTGATTTTGAATATAATTATTTTCAATTTCTATATCAAATCCTAAACTTGAACAATCTTGAGTTCGATTACTAATGAAGAAATTAAAGTATTTTCATGTCAAGTTGATTAGTCCATTGTATGCTTTAGAAAGTATGTATTTAAAAAATATTAAATAATTGTTTATTAGTAAGTTAATTTAAAAATAATAATTTTATTTTTAGCAATAAAACAGCTGACAATGTTAATCTTAAAGGTGATATTAATGTTATTCTCATCTATCAAAAAGATTCAATTGGAACCTATTTACAATTGGTTTATATTCCACCAGTCATTCATTTAATTCAACAATAATACAATTTCTTTATTTCTTTTAAGAATTTATTGATTGAATAAAAGTATTCAAACTTAGTAGTATTCGATTTTTAATTTAACCTGTTTATTATAATAAACTTTATATTGATTTAATAATTGCAATCTTGAAGTGAAATCATAGTCTTCTGATCTCTAAATATCGAAGAGATGTTTAAGATCTGAGTGTACTTGATTTCTAACTGGATAAAAGAATTTAACTCTTTGAATATCATCACTTTTAATTGCTAAATCCATTCCTACGCTTGAACAACCTTCGGTTCGATTATTAAGAAAAAATTCAAGTATTTCCATGCAAATGGTTTTATTTATTGAAGAGACAGTGCATTTAACCCCAAGGGTGTGGAGATACTTTACAAGATCAAACTCGTCGTATGGCAGCTGCCATATCGAGAGCATTCGTTGGGATTGGAAGTGTTGTTTTTGTTGTAAGTTACTTACCAGTGAATACCAATACATTATCAGATTTAATATCTAGTGCAACTCTCTGTGGTGATACTCTTGAACGATATGCTAAGATTCAATATATAACTCTTTAACATTTTGATTGTTCAAATATCGTTGTAATATGAATACGTTCTTTATTATTATTATTATTGATGTTATCTCTTATTATACTATTGAATATCTCTTTATAGTATATGTTTATATCTTTGTATTTGATCAATTGATCTGGGAAACAACCGAGATCATACTCAATCAAATTTCATTTTACGTTGACCAATCAATATAAGTAATGAATTGATCTCTTTCATTGCTTTGAATATCTTGTTCCTCAAATCTATTGAATTCATTATTCTATCCAGTAGAATGCTTTTATCCATTGATATATTTATGAGTTAATAATCAAAATTATTCATACAAAAAAATAATGCAAAAATTCTATGATAAAAAGTTTTATTTTTTTTTTTTTTTTGATGAGAAATATTCTTTGTATTTTGAAATCTAAAAGATCTTTAATTATTTGATGAAGTGTCATGTGTCATGTCAGAATAAACAACAAAGTACAAATGTAACTAGTCGCAATAACCAGCAGTGAAGTTGCATGTTTGACAAGGATACATTCGAATAAGATAAATGATTTGATTAATTATTTTATTTTTATTGTGGTTGTGTGATTTCAAACCCCAGCACTTCGATATCTTTATCAGTATTTAGTAAATTAGATGTTTCCATATCCCAATTAAGTTTGGGAAATCACACGAATAAAAAAAATTAAGATCCTTTGATGAGTTGAAAAAAACCTTTGGAATAGAGTAAATGCAAAGAACCCATTGCAAAAGAGTGCTTTGTCAATGGGGGTTTTAGATGACTTGCATCAACCATATAAATACTCGAAATTTCCTCCAGTGTAATAAAATAAATTGAGTGTTGTAAAATGTGTGTGGTGGAAGCATCAAGAGACTTAAAAAAAATCGAACGTTACAAGTAACTTACTGTGGTACTATGGTAGATCATCAATTTAAGTGCTTGAAAATGGAAATTGTGGTGTTTTTATCAAAAAAATCGTCACTGGTTGGTTTTTTGAATTATGCCAAAAAAATTTAGGGCATGATGAATTATAGCACCACAACCATTTTTCGAACAACCAAATCAAAAAAAAATTGAATTAATTTATAAATTGTTTTTTTTGAAAATTTTGTCATATATGATCACTGTTTTTACACCAAAAAATAAAAATCAAAAAAATCAAAAAATATATTTAATAAAATTCAAAAAAAATTAAAAAAAATTAAATTAATTGTGTGTGTATTGTTAAGCACTGCTTTGTTTGGTGTGCAACGGTGTCCAGCTATTCCTTATATTATTGAGACAACGCACTTAGCTTCAGTCGTGCCCATTGTTATTGCTCCAAATTGTAAGTTTATTTATTTGTATAAATTCATTTACAACAAAATCATAAATAATCATAAATCAAAATCGAAATCGAAAGTTATAAACTTTTTCAAATATTTGATAAATAATAATCATTCAAAAATATATTTATATTTTAAAGTTTTATATTTATTTATTAAATTAAATTAAATTATTATTTTATTTTATTTTTTTTAAAAAACTTAATATTACTTTCTTCCCTTTTTTAAAAAATATATTTATTGCTTTTGCTTCAAAGGTAAATAAATAAACCATTAATATATAAATAGTTTAGGATATAAAAGTAAATAATTGGATCAATTGGTTTTTGGGTTATAATCAAAAGATAAATAGTTTTAAACATATAAATATTTAAAACACATTCGCTCACAGATAAAAGATAGATAGACAGAGACAATTAAGCAAAATTATATCATCAATAATAATTATCATAACATTGTTATGTAGTGTCAGTTAAGATATTTGATTCATCGTTTTTCATCATTAGTCATTCTCTTTGACTGATCACCACACATACACACACAAAAAACCACACACAAACAGTAACCCATACCCAAAAACAAAGACTGCACTCAATTTTTTTTTTTATGTTTTTAATTTTTTTAATTTTTTTCTTTTTAAAGATTGGTCTTAAAATGTCGCAAAATAATATTGTGTATATCACATATAATGCAAATAATATCAATAAATTAAAATTTATCTACATTTTTATATTTAATAAATAAATTAATTAAATATTAAACTAATAATATTAATTTTTATTATATTTAGATAACAAAACAAAAAAATAATAAAAAATGTCAGCTCAAATGTATGAAAATTTCAAGGTGAACAGTTCAAAGGTTCAATACACAGATGAGGAAATCATCTCAAACTACACATATAGTACATCAAAGACCTCGGTTGTCAATGGAGAGTTGATCGTTGAGCCAGTCAACACCAACTACGTCTTCAAGACCGACCGTAAGGTTCCAAAGTTGGGTTGTATGATCGTTGGTTTGGGTGGTAACAATGGTACTACAGTTGTTGCTGGTGTCATCGCCAACAGAGAAGGTTTGTGCTGGAAGACCAAAACCGGTCTCCAAAAGCCAAACTACTACGGTTCCGTCGTCATGGCATCGACCATCAAGTTGGGTAGTGACGCCGAGGGTCGTGACTCCTACGTACCATTGAAGAGCTTGCTCCCAATGGTACATCCAAACGACATTGTTTTCGGTGGTTGGGACATCAACAACGCCGATCTCGCCGAAGCCATGGAGCGTGCTCAAGTCTTGGAACACGACCTCCAACGTCAGTTGGTTCCACACATGAAGGAGATCCGTCCATTGCCATCGATCTACTTCCCAGACTTTATTGCCGCCAACCAAAAGGACCGTGCCAACAACGTCCTCACCGGAACCAAGAAGGAGCAGATGGAGCAAATCCGTCGTGATATTCGTGAGTTCAAGGAATCCAACAAGTTGGACAAGGTCATCGTTTTGTGGTCTGCCAACACCGAGCGTTTCTCCAGCATCTTGCCAGGTGCCAACGATACCTGGGAGAATCTCCAACAATCGATCGAGCGTGGTGACGATGAGATCTCACCATCGACTTTGTTCGCCGTCGCCTGTATCTTGGAGAATACCATCTACATCAACGGTTCACCACAAAACACCTTTGTACCGGGTGTCCTCGATTTGGCCATCCAAAAGAACGTCCCAATCGCCGGTGACGACTTCAAGACCGGTCAAACCAAGATCAAGTCCGTCTTGACTGACTTCCTCGTCTCTGCTGGTATCAAGCCAACCTCTATCGTTTCATACAACCATCTCGGTAACAACGACGGTAAGAACTTGTCTGCCCCACAACAATTCCGTTCCAAGGAGATCACCAAATCCAATGTCGTCGACGACATGATTGCCTCCAACTCGATCTTGTACAAGGAGGGTGAGCACCCAGACCACGTCATCGTCATCAAGTACGTCCCATACGTCGGTGACTCCAAGCGTGCCATGGACGAGTACACCTCACAGATCTTCATGGGTGGTCACAACACCATCGTCATCCACAACACTTGCGAAGACTCATTGCTCGCCGCACCAATCATTTTGGATTTGGTCATCTTGGCAGAGATGTGCGATCGTATCAGCTTGCGTCTCGACACCGCCAACGAATTCATCACTTTCCATCCAGTTTTCTCATTGCTCTCCTATTTGCTCAAGGCCCCATTAGTCCCAGAGAAGGCCAACGTTGTCAACGCCCTATTTAAACAAAGAGCTGCTATTGAAAATATTTTTAAGGCCTGTGTTGGTCTCCCACCCGACAACAACATGTTGTTAGAACAAAGAATCTAAACGTCGTATTACTATAGTGAAATTATTTAATTAGTACATCATCATTTTTTTTCATAACACAATCACCCACCAAAAAATAGCCCATCAAAACTAAAACAACAACAACAACCTTAAAAATTAAAGAAAGAAATCATTTATTTTTTGTAATAAAATCTAAAATATAAGATTAAATGAGAAAAAAAAAACCAGTAATTAAATAGTAGTGTTCTTTCAAAAGTTTATTTGTAAAAAGTAGATATACAATTGTTTATTTGCAAAAAGTAAATAGATATTGATTTACAGGTTTAAATTTTCCAAGATTAATTAAATTCCTGTCAATATGATTTTGGGAGACTATCGGTATTCTTTTAGATTTGATGTGAAAATATAATTTTACATGTCGAATCGATTGGTATTCTGGGTGAGATAATATTGTAAACATTGTATATATATGTTGAAGTTGAAGGAAAGTTTCAAATTCTTTGATTGAAATTTTGAAATTAGTTTTATTATCTTTGTGTTTAATGAAATCAAATCTATCAACATCCAAACTACCTGCAAATTTCACCTCATCTTTTATCAGCTCTAGGTCCTTAGTGTCATAAAATGTAATATTCTCGAGATTTTTTGCATTGACAACATTGATATAAGAATGACCAAGTCTGAGGTTCTTCTGGGGATTGCAAAGTACTGAATATATGATTCCAAATTGTCTATACACGATTGTTTAAATTCATTTGGTATGAATTTGAATTCATAGGATTTCAAATGTAGAGGTGTATTCTTGAATAGAGATAATTCCTATCCAATATTGATGACACTCTTGATTGATAGAGATTCGATTGCATAGCCCGATAATATGAAGAGCAACATCTGTGAAATTGCTTTGAAGTTGTTTATAGGTTGGTAGCGAAGAGAATTGGGTTATTGTAAAATGTTAAATATTCTTTGCTTCTATCAGTTTCATGTAGCAAAGTTGATATAGAAATTACGAATATCACTAAGATCACATACTAGCTTTAAATGATTGATTGATGTATCGCTACAGCTTGGCTTGATATCTTTAAACAATTGAATCAATGTTTGTTTAAGTTTGTTGTAGAGGTCATTGTCAAAAGTCTTCAAAAACTAAAATAATTCAATAGATAATAATATATCTGTAAGTATATATGTATAACATTTATAACAAATTAGAGTACTAATGGTATACAATACTGTAACAACAAACTCTAATATATTAGAGTAATTAAAGATAGTTCATCATCTTTTAAAACAGGTAATATTTCTTTGACTTTTGATATAAAGTCAAAATATAATATTTGATAATACATCATACAAAAGTCAAGTTATATTAATGATAGTTATCAAACCACCCTACAAAATTATTAAAGATCACCAAAAAAAAAACAGTTTAAAGTTAAACTTTGATGATTTAAATCTGCAAAAAAAGATTTGTGAATTTCAAATTACTTGAAATTGAATATCTATCTTTTTTGTTTTCTAGAACAAATAATGAATGTTGTAATTATAATACTAAAAATAATAAATACAAATAAAAATTAAAAAAAATTAAAAATGAAAAACTAAAAAATAGAGATCTTTGAAAAAAAAAAAACTAAAAAAGTATTAAAAAATTTTGTGTGTGGATACACAAGGAGAATCAACATTACCACCAATTTCACACTTCTTGATGTCCAATTTTTAATTAATTAAATTAACGACATTAATGTGACTCTGAGTATTTATTTTTTATACACAGTTACAGTTATACAATTAGAATTTATTAAATTCAAAAAGTAGTTAGCAGGAACTTGAAAAGAAGCGAACAAGTGATTGGTTTTTACATAGTTCACGCACTATCATAGAATTACTACACATTGTCTCTTCAATTGTGAATGTGGTAGATTGCTTTGATTTTCAATACACACACCCTCTCAATCTAATACAAGAGTAAGTAGTATATTATAAATAAACTCTATTAGCATAATAAATATATGTGTTTTTTATTTATTTTTTTTTGGTGGTAATTAATGTTTTGGTTGTCCGTTTGCATGTTGTATTATTATATTCTTTTATATTTTAATTTAATTTATATCATGTTGTGTTGTGTTGTTGTTGTTGGTGGTAGTGTCTGTCTAGTGTTTTTTTTATATTTTTTGTGTTTTTGTCACCGGTATCAAGACATGACTGTCAAAAAATGGTCGACCATTAGAATCTAGAATGATGAATGAATGAATGATATCTGAATAGAATGAAGCTACAACAACCAAACAAAACAATAACAAAGATTAGTAGATAGGCCCGATTGAATTGAACAATGAACGCACAGGGTTTTGCTATATTTATATTTGTTTATATTTGGAGCATTTTTTGATTCAGAAAATCATTTGCAACAACAACAACAAACAAATCAACCAACCAACATTCGAAATCACTAAAAACAAAACAATATATTAATACAATTAATCACCAGAGAGAAGAGACTGTCAACAACATTTGTTGAAATCTCCTAAAAACTCTTTGCTTATTTCTATATATATATATATTGTCTTGGGATTCTCCAGTCATAGTATTCCCTTTTTCTTTTTCTTTTTTTGGTGAATGTTATGTTATTGTTTTTGCTAAACATTGTCAATGTTGTTCATTTCTACTAATATTACTTTTGCAAACATTACACTACTACTACTTTTATAAAAATACATATATAAACTTAACAAACAAAACATTTTATAACATTTCTATATTTATATTTTGTTTTGTTATTTGCAGCATTACTTAGTTGTTTTTGTTGTAGCTATTATCATTACTATTTTTATTACATTCTTTGCTTTAATTTCCTTTTTAAGAAAAAAACAAATATCTAAACTAATTATCAATTTTGTACTATCATTGAACACCTACCCACGCATCCAGTGGACAAAATGAGAAATCTACAACATATTCAATTGAAAGAGGTTGAATCGTTCGATGATGACGAACAAAACTTTGAATTGGATGATCACCCAAAGAAGAAATTCTATCACCCCAAAGATGCGTCAGCCATCGACAAACTTAGATATCTATTGAAAGACGGATTTGCTTACATCACCGCCACCAACACCAGAAAGGCAATCCTTCTTACAGCTATATTTTTAATTTTCCTAACTCTTACTCTAACCGTTTCATTTTCCACGAGATCATCAAGTAAGTTTTTTATTTAAATCAATCAATTAATATTCAAATTATTAATAATATTAAAAATTATTATTATTATTATCATTTTAAAAGAACCAAAGATACCAGGTTTAATTTATTCAGATTTGAAATTACCATCTTGGATTAAACCCGTTCATTACTTGGCACATGTAACCACATTCATGAGTAATGATACATTCAGCGGTGACATTGTTATTACCTTGAACATCACCACCAGCAACAATGAAGATTACATTGTCGTTCATGGTGATGAATTCGTATTGGATTCAGCACGTTTAGAAGTTCTAAAATCAGTGTCCACTTCCTACCCAGACAGTTACACCGCTCCACAATCTTCAATCTCTGCAGATAAAATAACATTTGATAAGAATAACACATATTATATTATTCAATTTGATAAATTATCAAAATATTTAAGTGTAAGTAAAAGTTAAAACAAACAACAAATTTATAATAATTAATTGATTGTTATTAACATTTTTTTTTATTTTGTTTAAAAACAAATATAGGATGGAAATCAATATTTTAAATTATATATTTCATATCATTCGAATTTGACTGATTCTCTCAAAGGTTATTATATTTCAAAGTATGATGAGATTGGTAATACCAAGAAGAAGTTGGCTATGACACAGTTTGAACCGACCGATGCACGTTTGACCTTCCCTTGCTTCGACGAACCAGCTTTCAAAGCAAACTGGACCATCTGGATGGATATAGACGGTGACTACAATGCACTCTCCAATATGGAGTCAATTGAAACCAAAGTAAATGGCGACAGAAAGTTGGTCAAGTTTGGTACAACACCAAAGATGTCAACCTATCTGGTGTGTATCATCACACATCAATACACTCAAATCAATGATACTGTTGATCTCGGTAAGGGTAGATCGATCATCGTTCGTATCTGGTCATCCCTGCTCCAGAGCAACCAGACTGCATACCCACTAGAGGCAGCATCACTCTCCATAAAATTCTATACCGAATATTTCGAAATTGACTATCCACTATCAAAGATGGATATTATTGGTGTATCAGAGTATGTTTTTATTGTTAAATAATAATATCTATTTAAATTTAATTAATTAACCAAAAACAAAATTACTATTTTTCTAAATAATTAATATAGTTTTGCAGCTGGTGCAATGGAGAATTGGGGTCTAATTACATTTAGAAATACAGATGTTTTCTATTCAAATTTAACAGCATCGGTTGAATCCAAACAAAGAGTATCGGAAGTTATTGCACATGAGATTGCACATCAATGGTTTGGTGATTTGGTTACTATGAAATGGTGGAATGATTTATGGTTGAACGAAGGTTTTGCTACATTTATGTCATACAAATGTTTGAGTGCTGCATTCCCAGATTTCAATGTATGTATTAACTTATCAAACTAATCCCTTACCCTTTTTATCTTTCCTAACCAAATACAATGTTTTATCATCAAATGTAGAGTCAAAGTGACTTTTTAAATCTTATTAAAATATCTGGTTTAACTATGGATTCAAGTAATAACACTCATCCAATTTCAAATAACTTTGTTAAAGTAATTGATATTGAAGCTTCATTTGATTCGGTATGTATACATATCAAAACAAGTTTAAATATCGAAAGGAATTATATTAATATGCTAACTTGTTATAATTATATAGATTACTTATGATAAAGGTGCAAGTGTATTGAATATGTTGGATACTTTAATGAAATCAGGTGGTGTCGATCAATTCCAAATTGGTATTCGTAACTATTTGAATAAACACCAGTACTCGAATGCCGAGACTGCTGATCTCTGGCAAGAGTTGACCAAGGCATCGAATCCAACTATTCAAGTCGATGAAATTATGAAGAATTGGGTCACCGCTCCAGGTCTACCATACATCAATGTCACCTCTATCAAAGGTGGCAAAGCACTGGCTCTCTCTCAACATAGATATCTCGGTAATATCGACTCGGTCGCCAAAGACACCACCATTTGGAACATCCCAATCTCTGTGGCAACCAACTGCTCCATCAGCAAATCCAATATGGATGGCGCCACCACTGAGATTGCAATCGACTTGAACGAGTGTAAATATGCACTGTTCAATAACCACGCCAATTCATTCGTTAGATACAAGTATGACACCGAGACACTCAATGCAATCATCCACCAGATGTCGAGAGACATCAACTCGCTCGATCCACTCGGTGTCGTTGAGTTCCTTGACGACCAATTCAGCTTTGTGAAAGCCGGTTTGTTGCAGCCATCGAGTGCATTCGAGATGGCATCGTTCCTCGGCAACAACACCAACATTCCCGCAACCATCTTGTCGGCCACTCTCAACGGAATCGCCACTATCGGAAGCAGTATTACCGAGCAGGAATGCTATCCACAATTCCGTCAACTCCAACAATCCTACTTCCGTAATGTATTGGCCGATTTCAACTACTCGGCAACTCCGACTACCTACCTGGACAAAGTCAGATTCAAGACTATCATCGGCCTGTCAAACAGTGCCGGAATTACTCAGACCGTTGAATTCCTCAACAAGACATGGCACGACTTGAAATCGACACCGGAGAAGATCAACCCAGACTACCGTCGTTCGATGTACGCATCGATCATCGTCAACGGTGGCAACAACGAGTACAACTGGGTACGCGAGCGATTCCTCCACGGCAACAACAATGAGAAGACCGAATCACTGTTGGCACTCGGTCAAGCCAGACAACCATACCTCGTCAAGCGATCGCTCGACATGTTCATGAATGGCACCGTAAGAATTCAGGACTACATCTATCTCATTCGTAGTCTGTCGCTCAACTCCAACGGTATCGACGCAGCGTGGCGTTACTTCCGTGAGAACTACGAGTTCTTTGAGAAGAATCTCAACGCACAATCACTCGGACAATTCACCAATACCATCGGTGGTCAATTCAACAGCAAGATACTCCTCCAGGAATTCAACGAGTTTGTTCAAGGCAAATCAAAGATTCCAGAATACTTTATTAAATCAACACAAGAAATTATTGAAGTAAGTACTATTTAGTTTTGCTCACATATTAATAATTTACCAAACCTATGGTTATTAACCCAACTCTTTTTCTTTTTCTTTTTCAGAATAATATTAAATGGCTAGATAGATATGCTACTCCACTTTGTAGTTATCTTCATGAAAGATTCCCAGATGACATAAATAAATAATAAATAATAAATAATAATAATAATAATCCCCTCTTCCCTTTTAAATAATATATTTAACCTTTTATTAAATTATAACTATAGTTGTACAACAAATAAAAACCAACTATAAATCAAACATTCAAATTCAATTAAAATGATAATTTTGTACAAATAAAAAATAATGAAATTGTACAATTTATTATTTATTATTAGCATTCGCGGTTTTTTCGAAAATTTGAATTAAATTAAAATTAAATTAACAGTTTTTTTTTTTTTCACTCTTTGCAAATTTTTTTTTTCCCCCACACAAAAATAATTCCAAAAAAAAATTTTATCTGTTTATTTATTTTTTATTATTATTCAAACTAAGAAACTAAAAATAATACAGTAAATTATTATTTATATCTATTTAGATTTTAGATTGTATTAATATATATTTTTATAACATTAATCATCACCAAAAAAAAAACATTAATTCTTTAAAATAAATTGCAATTTATTCGTTCGTGTCATCAAATCAAATACTTTTAAACAAAAAAAAAAAAAAAGGGTTCTGTTATAAATCAATTATTATTACAACATACACTTCACTTTCATTGTTTTTTTTTTATACATTTTAATTTTTTTATACTTTGCAATTATACAATATAAAAAAAAACCATACATAGCATATTAACTTAACTTCACAATAATAAGAAATTTCGTATTTTTTTAAAACAAACTTTTTTTTTTAATTTTTTAATTTTTAATATTTTTGCTCTTTTAAAAGTTCTCATCATATCAATAACAAGAAAGAAACGATTCTTTCTAATCTCTTTACCTATAAATAGTAAATATTTAATTATAAAATATTTCTATAAATCTAATCAAACAATTACTTTTAAAAAAGTAAAATACAATAAAAATATACATATATTACAATACAATAATAAACAGCAACAACGTTCGAACGAGTATAAATCTTTGTAATAATGGGAAAATGGACAGAAGCTAAATATGAAACAGAGTTTATAAGCAAAGTTAGATCAATCTTTGATGTAAATATTAATATATAAATGAACGATTATATAACCAAATGAAACTAACATTGATCATTTCTTTTTTTTTTTTTTTTTTTTTGAACTTTTTAGGAAATAAGTGATAGAAAAATAAAAGAAGTAAATATCAATTTCAAATTACATATTAATCCCTTGTTTGTTTATATTAATTTTTATCTTCTTTTTTTTATTAGGGTGAAAAATATGTTACTTTTGAAGAATTTGTTGACAAGTTTGATGTAAATAATAAATCAACTAGAATTTACTTTGAGGAAATAATAAAGGAAACCTGTGGTGTTTCGAGCTCGGGAATGACTCACCAACATACTTCAGGATTAAGACGATATCGTGAACCCTATTCCTATGTTCCACGTGAGAATCCAAGAAATTTCTACTTTTTACCGGGATCTTCTCAGGGTATGATGGACGTTCCACACTACAGTCCATTCCTTGGCAACCCCAACCCCAACAACCTCAATGGTAACCACTACAGCATCAACCCTAACAACAACAGCGGCAATAACAACACTTCTACAGCGATCAACCACCAGCAGCATTTCGATCAATTGAATCAGCAGACCCAACAGGTTCTCCAACACGTTCGTTCACAGATGGCATCGTCATTGTCATCATCTCTCAACACCAATCTACCAAACAACAACAACAACAGTAACCAACAACAGACTGCCACCGCCAGTCTCTTGATTCCATTTTCTATGCATTCGTCGTCGTCGTCGAGTGGTGCAACTACCTCCTCGTCAAACTCACAGTCGTCATCGACTTCATCGTCGACCACCAGCAACAATCCACTGCTTCCCATCCCAATGCCACCTTTCAATAGCTCTTCATCGTCATCATCTTCGTCACCGTCAAACTCCACCTCCACACCTGTATCACCATCACTCCAACCGTTTGAATTTGCACCACCCCGATTGTTGCGACTTCCAATCACCAGAAATCTCCACTTAAACTCATCAATTATAAATTCTCCACCATCTTCACCACCGACCTCCAACCACAACCTTCCTACAACCACATCATTTTTCTCATCACCATACCATAACAATCTCTAGTTTAGTTTTAAAATTTATCATACAACAGTTTGTTTGTTTTTTTCCGTATCATAACCAACCCTCCATATATTTATATATTCTCACACCTATTTATATATACTTACTCACACACTGCTCCTCCTACTATTGATTATGATTGGGTGTTTAGATAAAACCAAAGTTATAAATATGCATACCAACACTCCCACACACCCTATGTTGTTGTTTTTTTTTTTTTTCTGTTGCTTTTAAAGTAGATCACTTCAAAGAGTATGATAACTAAGGTGAAAAAAACAACATTTATATCTTATCATCCTTCTTAAGAGTGATCAGAGAGAGAGAGAAAGAGAATTTAACAATAATAATTTTATGTACACCCAACTTTTTTTTTTTATTTTTTTTTATTTTTTTATTTTTTTTATTTTTTAGATTAATCGAACAATATTTACCAACTACAAAAACAAAACAATGTATATAATAGTAATAATTTTATATTCAAATTGAAACATTAAATAAACAATTGGTATTAGTTTACTTTTTTTTTTTAAAGAGTAAAATGTAAAATACCATATTAATATCTGAAAATTTTAGCTTTTCTCTTTTCTTCTATTACTTGATCATTAATTATTTTCGATTGTACAATTACAATTAGCACTTTATAAAAGAGGAAGATATGATTGTTGCTTATGCAAATCAAATTATCTTGTTTTGTTTTTTTTGAAAATAAAATCTGCAAACCAAAAAAAATTCATCGATGATAAAGACAAAAGGAGTGAAATTTTTTTTTAAAAAAGTGTGATTTTACTTGAAAAATTGGCTTTCTTTTTGATGGTTCGACAATGATTTTTATTTTTATTTTTATTTTTGTTGGAGTAAACATTGATAATCTTAATTGACTCATTCTTTTTTATTTACTATCAAATCTGATTTAGTTAGTTAAGCTTTTCCCCCAATAAATCTGTACTTCTTTAATTTATTTCTCTTTATTATAAGATCATCAAATTAGTCAATCCATCCAAAACCCACTTTTAAACAAGATCACAAACACTACACACCACCAACACACAACACTAAAAACACTATTACTTTTTCATACAATCAAATCATTTCATTTAAAAACATTTATAAATAATTATTTATTGTTGTTCTGCTCTACTCTCGATCAAATCTATTGTTGTTTATGAACTTAACTTAACTTAACACCTCACTTTTATTTTTCAATTTAGTTGTAGTTAGTTAGTATGTTAATGTTCAATCACTGAAAAAAAAATTATAATCTTATTTATTATTATTTATTTCAATATCAAAATCAATTCAAAATCATTTATTATTATACCTATAAACACTTATTTATTATTATTTATTTACTGTAATTTAATTAAATCTTATTATTTATTATCTTGTTTGTTTTGTCATTACCAACACAACACACACAATAGAAAATGTATAAAAAAGGAGAAGGTGTTCCAGATTTCGTACTTTTGAACCAAATCACAGAGAATGCATTCATTGAGAATCTTATTACCAGACACAAGTCCGATCAAATCTACACCTACATCGGAGATGTAGTCATTTCATCCAATCCATTCAAAAAGATGAACATCTACAATGAAAGTGATATCAAATCTTACAATGGTAGATATAAATATGAAATGCCACCACATATGTAAGTTCAGTTCACAGTTCACTCTAAAACTCTGAGTTTGGAAATACTAATAATCAATATATATTTTCCTTTTCCTTTTCTTTTTCTCTATTATTTTACTTTTACTTTGTTTAACTTACTAGTTATGCTTTGGCAAATGATGCTTATCGTTCAATGAGACAGAATCAAGAGAAGCAATGTGTAATTATCAGTGGTGAGTCTGGTGCCGGTAAGACTGAGGCCAGCAAAAAGATTATGCAATTCTTGGCCTACGTATCCAATAAGGCCACATTGGAGGGTGACAAGATCACAAAGATGTTGCTCGAGTCCAATCCATTGTTAGAGGCATTCGGTAATGCCAAAACACTGAGAAACGACAACTCTTCGCGTTTCGGTAAATACATGGAGATGCAATTCAGTCCATCCGGTGTACCAACTGGTGGAAAGATTACAAATTGTAAGTGGTTTGTTTGTCTGCTCCGACATATATTCTTTCAATATGATACTAACTGTGTAATTACAATCTATTAGATTTGTTGGAGAAATCAAGAGTTGTAGGAAGAGCAAGTGGCGAGAGAAGTTTCCATATTTTCTACCAAATGCTAAAGGGACTTTCTCAGGCAAAGTTGACAGAACTCGGTTTGACATCGGCTGCCCAAACCTATCAATATCTAAAGAGTAGCAATTGTGTTGATGTAGCGACCATTGATGATGTTGCCGATTTCAAGGCTGTTGTTGTATGTAACTAAATTTCAATATTCCTAAAAAGAATTAATCTAACTATTTTTTTTTTGAATTTAAAAAGAGAGCAATGGAAACACTTGGATTGAAGGAAAATGAACAATCATCGATTTGGAGAATATTAGGTGCAATTCTACACATTGGTAATATTACATTCGAAGAGTTGCCAGAGCAAAAGGTTGGACAGGTATCAGTTGGAATCAAAGATCCAAAGGCTTTGGCTGCCGCTGCCAATTGTCTAAAGGTTGAACCAACTCAATTGACTCGTGCTCTCACCTACAGATCTATCAATACTGGTGTCGGTCGTAGAATGTCCGTCATTGCAGTGCCACTCGATAATGTCCAAGCCATCTTCTCAAGAGATGCACTTGCCAAGGCACTCTATGAGCGTCTCTTCCAATGGCTAGTGACAAGAATCAATCATGAAATCAATGCCAATGAGAAAGGTCTTGTAATTGGTATTCTAGATATTTATGGTTTCGAAGTATTCGATGTAAGTAGCAGTAGAAATAGTAGTAGAAGTAGTAGTAGTTATTCTTATTTCTCTAATTTCTCTTTAACTTTAATATAATATTATAGAGAAATAGCTTTGAACAATTGAATATCAATTATTGTAATGAAAAGTTACAACAATTATTCATTGAGTTGACTTTGAAGAGTGAACAAGAGGAGTATATAAGAGAAGGTATCGAATGGAAGAATATCGATTATTTCAACAACAAACCAATTTGTGAATTGATCGAGAAGAAACCAATGGGTTTGATTTCCTTGTTGGATGAATCTTGTTTAATTGCCAAGTCCACAGATCAAACATTCTTAGGTCAAATTACAAAGTAAGTAATAAGTAAATCAACAATCCAACATATATATATATATATATTAATGTATATATTTATTATTTTATAAAATTCAGTACATTTGATAAGAATCAACATTTCCAAAGTTATCAATCAACAAAAGATAGAAGTATTGGTGAGAATTGTTTTAGATTGAAACACTATGCCGGTGATGTTACTTATGATGTCTCTGGATTCTTGGACAAGAATAAGGATACATTGTTTGTTGATTTGATCAATTCCATGCAATTGTCTGCAGATCCATTGATTCGTAGTATCTTCCCCTCACCCAAGCCAGAGGATTCCAAGAGACGTCCAGAGACAGCGGGTTCACAATTCAGAACTGCTATCAATGCGTTGATTACAACACTGTTGGCATGCTCTCCACACTACGTTCGTTGTATAAAGAGTAACGATAACAAGCAGGCCGGTGTCATTGATGAGGAGCGTGTTCGTCATCAAGTGAGATACCTCGGTCTTCTCGAGAACGTGCGTGTAAGAAGAGCTGGTTTCGCCAATCGTCAGACCTACGAACGTTTCTCACAGCGTTACAAAATGACATGCAAACAAACTTGGCCAACTTTCAGAGGCAGTCCCAAGCAGGCAGTCGAGGCGATCATTGCCGCGCACGGCATCGCCAAGGACGAATTCCGTCTCGGAAAAACAAAGATCTTCATTCGTAATCCAACTACACTGTTCTACTTTGAGGAGAAGCGTGAAGAGGAGTTGCCAAGAATCGCCACTCTCATCCAGAAAACATGGCGTGGATACCGCGCGCGTTCCAGATGGAACCAGAGAAAGGCTGCCATCAAAATCCAGCTGTTCTACCGTAACTACAGATTCAGACGTTGGTTCCGCGATCTCAATAGAGCAATGGCTGACGTCGTCAATGCTTTCAGCTACGGCAAGCAAATTGCATGGCCAAAGCATCCGTCGACAATTAATCGCGCCGTCGAGTTGCTCCACAAGATTCACAACACGTGGCGTGCCGAAAAGATGGTAATGAAGCTCGGAGCAGGTGCACCGGCAATGCGACAAAAGGTACTTGCTCTCGACATCTTCCGTGGCAACAAACCCTGGAAGTGTGGACGTATCTTTGACGCCGACTACCTCGAGAAGCCAACGAATCCGTTCCAACCAAAATATGTCGCCGCCATGCAGAATCTGTTTTCCACCTACGGTGACACCGAAGTGTTGTTTGCTGACTACGTTATCAAAGTCAATCCTAAAGGTGTTCCACAGAAGCGTGGTATAGTAGTGACCAACGCCAACATCTACAAACACGACCCAAAGAATTACAAAGTGAAAAAGTGGGGAACCCCGCTTGCGGATATAACCTCGATCTCTGCATCGCCCAATCAAGACACCTTCCTTGTGTTGCACTGTAAGCCACCACAACGTGATTTGGTACTCGATCTCGGAATCAACGGATACGAAGCACTCTCTGAGATCACCACAGTCATTGTACAACAAGTTCAGAAACTCACAGGTATTCGCTTGAAAGTTCAATTCTCACAGCAGATCACCTATAACAATGCTCGTCCAAAGGGAGCAGACACTCATCTTTCATTCCAAGTGACAAACGATCCAAAAGTCACCGGATCATCATTCAAAAAAGGAAAAGATCATCAAGCAACCATTTTATATAAATAAATTAATAAAAAAAAATAACAAATAATAATAATAATTGATTTTTTGATTAAATTAAACAAAATTGATTACCAATAACTAATATATGCATTTTTTATATAACATGAACATATCATAATTAATAGTGCAACAAAAAAAAAGATGATGGAAATTCAACCCTCGTTTTTCAAAAAAAATTCAATTATTATTGCCAATGAAAAATTAAAGACATTGTACAATAATAAGTTCTAACAATATTGTTAGATAAAGATAATCAATAAAATATAGTATTCTTTTTTTTCACTATATTAACTTTAAAATAAAGGTATGAATTTAATGATCTTTTACATAATCTTTAATGTTTATTAACTAATAAACAATAATATTATTATAGATTAATAGTTTATTTAATCAATCAGATAAATGATTTGTAAATAGTAAAATAGTTATATAAATAACAAAAATAAGGTAATGAATATAAATATACTTTAAACTTTTATAATTTAGATTGTTTATTAATGTTAAGTTGTTTGTTTAGATAAACCATTGGATAAATAATGAATAATAATAACAATATCAACAATAATAATAATGTTATTGTGGTAAATAATAATTTAATTTGTAAACTGAATGAGGTTGGTTTAACTCATTTGTTTATGGGTTCCAAACTGTTTGGAAAGTGGGGAGAAGCAGATGTCAAAGCGGAATTGGAGATTATTCAGTTGTTTCAAAAGTTTTTAGAGCAACCATTGGCTCGTAATTTCAATATAAAGATCAAATCATCACAATTATCAGATGTAGTTGCTGATTTAGTGCAATGCGTTGTTTCACCACACTCTGAAGCGATGCTGCTTCAACTCTTACAGGAGCGTCTACAACCTGACGCAGAACGCTCGAAACCATTGGCACTCTACATTTCCAATCTCAATTGCATATTGTTGTTCTATATGCAGTCGGCGGAGAAAGCACGTATCGATGTCATCAAGATCTATCCCGATTGGAATGAATACACTGCCAAGACAACGAAGCTGCGGATTGCCACTCCGCTGCAATCGTTCAGTGTGCCGGCAAAGTCGCTGCTCGACACAAACTTCCTTCACTACCTGACGGTGCTCAGGGATAACTATGATCTATCGTTGCGATATAGGAACATCTGGAATTCAGAGTTTATCAATGAGGAAGGTAGACTTGGTTTGCTGACGTCTTGGCTGTTGCCTTCACTGGCGGGCTGTGAATCGGTACGGGTGGTCGAATATCTCATTCATTCACAACACCAACCGACAATCATCTACAAATCTATTCGACCGGAACAGATTATCACCAAAGAAACATCGACTACCGCTCCCGTCAAGGGAAACACACCCAACACAGCATCTCCAGTCAGAGGGAATACACCAAGAGTGAGTGTGAATACACATAAACGTAGTACACCTAGTAAAGCTCGATCACCTTTCCTATTGGCTCCGAGGGAGGAACCAGATGTAGCTGACTATCGCGAAATGGAGGACTGCCACACCATTGAGGAAATAACTAAACAATACGAAATAAGGAGGTTGCTTCGCAATCAAAGACGTGAGCAAGCTGCCGATGACGATGACGATGGTGATGGCGGTGATATTATTGGTGATGGCCTCGCTCTACCAAATAAAATCGGTGGCGATATCTTGAAACCTTGGAAACGATCACCGCTTTGGGTTGGACTAAAGTCGTTGATGCACTATTTGTTTGTTCATTTTCTCGAGGTTGCTCAAGATCGGAAGTATTCAACTGTCATTTACAAGTCGATGATGACCACCTTCTATTCATTGGTGTTGTCAAAGTCGAAACTCTCCAGTCGTCACTCAGAGTGGTTTCCAAAGTTGATTCATCGTTGTGAGAAGCTACAGGAGTTGTGTGATGTTACCAAGCGCGAGCTAGAGGTTGATACATTGCCCGTTCAAATAATGTTGATGCTCAAGAGTACAGTGGATCTCACAAACACAACCGTTCAGGCAATAAGCGAGCAACTCCAATCGAATTGGCAGAATTATTGCGCCACACAAGAAACAGAGTCCGATATCTCTGCCACCATTACATCGGTGGTCGATGGACTGTCCGATACAGGTAACCTATCGACTGTGTTTGACTTTCAGCCACTCATGGAATTCCCCTTTGAGAATCTCGAGCAGTCCACCAGCGCCACCAAACAAAAGGGTTCGATGGCAGAGCTCAAAGAGGAGCCGCTTCCTATCAAGATGTCGGGAACTATTTTGACAACGATCGAAGAGCTCAACGAACGAGTTGCAAAGTTCAAAAGTAGAGAATATCATCGCTTGTTGTTGGCCGATCAGCTTGAGGAATACGTATTTGCACTGTCGACGAGCGAGGATCGTTTGAAAGATGTTACATCACGGCAACTGCTCGAATTGATGCGAACCTATTATAATATGGTTGAGAAGTTCAATGGCGATCCATTCTCACTGAGTAGAAGTATCTTGGTATTCTATTTGCTGACGTCACTGATTGACCAATGCACCGCTGACAAATGTGGAGATCGTCTGTTGTTCTTAGAGTATCAGCCATACGTAGAATTAAAGACACTGTCCAACATTTTCGTTACGAACGGTGTCGAGTATCGGGCACTGCGATCGGTAGAACAACATTTCTCAACGAGAATACGTAATGCTAAACACGAAAATATCTTTGATTTGTCGGAGAACGGGCTGGCGTATCGCTGGGCAGCCAAGCACATGATTCAAAAGCACAAAGTGTGGCTGCAAAAAGTGACTACTCAAAACCAAGAAGCCATTGCCAGCTTCCGAGCGATAAAGCTGGCACACAAAGCAGAGCTCGATAAGCTACAGGCTGAGCTGGCCAAACACACGCCCGAAAATGTTAGAACCAAAGACCAGATCATGAGAGATCACAAGAAGCTGGAGAACAGAGCAACGCCAACACACGTCAATTTGCTACCAAAGGAGAAAACACTGGAGCGTGTCATTGTCTTTGAAGACAACGTCCCGCCTGAGATCAAAGTGGTGAGAACAGCCTATGCTTTGTTGAATCAAGCGATACAAAAATCGGTAAAAGAATCGCACCATCACCATTCCTCTTATGCCAGTTCTGATTTGAGGTTATCGAGATTTATAACTGGTCAGGTATCAAAGATGATTCGTTTGGTGACCGAAGAAACCTTCCTCAGTTTCTCGAGAACCTACAATACGGTTGACTATAAACAGCCGATCAGAGAGTTTGTAGATATCTCTGGTAAATGTATGCTTAAACTTCCACCTACTCCTGGACTGAAAGATCATCCATTCCAAAGCTACTGTGAAGGCAGAGAGAATGAGAATGAAGTTTTGGTTTCCCAGCGTGACACTCCTTCCTCGATGTCGAAGCTGAACTTTCTCAATTTCGCGACACTTCGTTCGGAGAAATCGATTCAGATGCTCAATCTTTTGCGATATCTCGAGGAGAAAAACAGTATCAACAACATCGAATCGTTTGTCATGTTGAACCACTTGATTTACGAAGCTGGTTCGGTGTCGACGCGAATCGACCGTGAAGTGTTTGACCAACCTACGTTTGTCGAATTTGCATGCGATATTGTCAGTAGTTATCTACCGACACTCAATGTCGAAGATCAGTATTCACTGTTGTTCATCATCCAGTTCCTCATTATGATGTTTAACTCTACAAAGAATGCAGTTCTTCGAACCCTCTTGAAGACAAACATTATGCAGTGTCGAAAGATTGGAGTCAAGTGGTTGGATGAAATCTCTGAGCATCTCTCACGTCTGATGCTAACCGACAATCAAAATGAAAGTGCAATCGATCTCTACATTCAAAAGTTACTCTTCAGTGCAATCTCTATCATCTTCACCTACGACCAAATGCCATTCACAAAGAAGCTGCGTTCACATCAATTGTTCTCGCTGGAGAGCAGTCTCAAGATGGATGCCAACGATATCCCCAACAATGATTTGTTCATTTTGATTCGAGCAAATTCTATACTCTCTGAGAACTCTGGTATTGCATCCAAGATGCCGGATACATCTCTCTCCAAATATCTCATGTTCCAATCATATGTCATTTCCTTCCGACTGGCTTCGAGAATGAGAAAATACGTTGGAAGACAACCACAACTACTCTCCATGTTCCTCTGTAGTTACTGGCGACTTCCAATGGAACATATGAATCAATTCTCACAGTGGACACACACACCTGAAACCAATTTCTACTCATGTACATTCCAAGAGGAAACCAGTATTCAACTAAATATACTTGACGGTAGAGTATTGGTCAATGGAGATCCAAATCATCAGCTTCCATCTTCCATTCAATTGAATGAAAGTTATAAATCTGTATTTGGTAAATTAAAGTTTACTGTTAATAGTATTGGTAAAAATAGATGGTAAATATATATTATTCAAATACTATTTTATCCATTCAATTTATTTGACAGGAAATATTAATTGTTTCTTTTAAAAACTTACTTCCTTTCTAGGAAAATATCCAATAAGTTGGGTAATAGAGATTATGAATTCTCGTTATCAAAGAGTGGTCAGATGTCTATCAAGGAAACTCATGACAATGGCGATTATTTCTATTTGATACCAAAGTCACTTCTCCAGAATCTACCCTTTGCTATGGTAAATGACTATTCTCACTGGCTGAAGCATGACGATTCTATTGAATTCCGTCCAAAGGAAATAGGTCATTTCCTCAACAAATACGAACCAAAGTACTATGGAAATCTAGATGGTTCCATTTGTCAATACGGCTCGAACAATGTGCTTGTCAATTTGAAAGAGTCACCCAATCTCATTCCTCACATTCACAAGTTGTTCAACTTGGAACTGTCGCAACACATCTACGTATGGATATCGTCTGACACTCTCAAAGTAACAATTCAACTACATCAATATAAGGATCTGGTGTTTGACATCAACAAGAGAATCGAAGATGACGGCACTGAAGCAAAGTCAGTCGATCATTCCACCTATAGTATATGTGGAAATCAATACTTTGGAACGCTGATTGGTCTCTCCAACTATCTGTTGCTGGAGGACAAGAAAACCAATGAGAAGATTCTCTTTGTTCCTCATTCAAAGTTGATGCTTGAGAGTGTTGCCAAAACAGAGTATCACACGTGCAAGCCAGATTTGGAACATCTACAACATCCGCCTTATTTCCGATATCAAATAAACCATGAACTCAAAGTGCTGGGTCCACAGGAGATCAGTTCCAATCTCTTCCTTGCCTATCTGCACTTGATGACTTCGACAGCAAACACTGATCCATTCCTTGGCCAGACTGGATTCGAAATGGCGATCACTCTGCTTCAGAGATTCCAGACCAATCGTCTGTTCACTCCACAGTCACTGAATATCCTCAATCTCATCAAGACTATCTCACCGACTCGTAATCCCTACAGAAGAAAGAAGGCAACTGCCAACGAAAACAACAGTACCATTCAAGATGTTAGCTATCATCATCCACTGCTTTCAGGCGTGGCTTGTCACGATCTAACTCTACTGCTCGTCAACAAAATCCTCTCACAGAATCAAGAATGTAAATTCCTCTATGATACCAACGAGCAAAGTCAAACCACCATCAATATCTATGAAAATGCAATTAATATTGCGAGTTGTTGGCGTAATCGAAGAGTTCTTTCATATCAGATCACCGCAGATCTCTTTATTAGCATTGTTCCAGAGACTTTCATCGTTGCCAACGAAGTTGTCATAGGTATACGCACGCCCACTGAGAGATCGGCCTACACCTACAGAGTTTCCGAGTTTCTTAGCAATCCAGCAGCAAAATTGAACAAACTGGATCTTTCATTCAACCCATCCTGTGTCAGTTCCAATCGGATGAATTTTTTCAATGGTGAAAAACAGTCGCTGGAAAATATATTGGAGCTGGATGAACTTAGCTTTAGCACTCACTATATTTCTCTCTATCAGTTGGCCAAGTCGATCAGGAAGAATACTGATCACAAATCAAAGCTGGCGCTATTGTTGTCCTTTATGAACTTGTTATCCTCGAAACCTGTTGAGAACCACAAGTTGTTTGACCATATAATTTACTTGGCAACGCTCGCTCCTGAGCTAGATGCAGAGTTGGAAAAGTGCCAAGAGCCCGATCTCCGACAGTTCAGTAATCCTTGGGTAACCTATGATTCCAGCTATATCAAGAATATCATTGCGCCAACAGTTGGATCGAGGGTGGCATCAAAGAAAAAGGAAGAGCCCGATCAGCTATTCCAAAATATCGAAAAGCTAAAGCTCTGGCAGGAGATGTGGGTCTCTGACGAGAAGACAATCATTGGAAAGGCACCGAATCTACAGTTTATTCGTTCGATTACATTCAAGGGTTATGCCAACGATTTTATTGTGCAGTTGACACGACAATATAATGAATGGCGACATAACTACAGGTTGTTGTTGTTCCTACGCAATATTTCCAGAATTACTTATATGCCAAACAACAATGTCAGTGCTCCTGCCGATGTGTACCCAGCCATCCGCGACAATACACCGGGTATCGATAATATCATAAGATATACCTACGATTGGAAGACAATGGTGAACTGGAGAGATAGCCAGACGATCAGACATATTAACATAGACACGCGATGGTCGAATATGTTTAATCTTGGTTATGATATGAACTTTGAAGATGAATTCATGGCGTGTCTCGTCGAGAAAGATGCTCACTTCCCATTTGCCGAGGAGATCAATCTACTTTTCGAAGATCATGAGGAAACCACAAAGATTGGTGCCGATTACCACGATGCACTCGAGAATAGTAAAGAACATCTGAGAACGCAGATCGAGTCGACACCATTGTACGAACTGGCAGATATCCAACTGGTTCAAGATATCCTGAGCAAGATGTACCATGAGATCAACGAAGCCAAAGGTTTGATTTGGGCATTCATTGAATCATTCTACAATTCCAATTGGAAGAAACGATCTGCGTTTATCAAATGTGGTCTTTGGAAGAAATGTATTCCTGTCAATGTTTATAAAGATTTCATTGATTTCAAATATAAATCAAACGTTGATCAAACAAAGATTCCACTTAAACTCTTTGAATTGATTGGAATTCACATTCTTCTTGTCACCTATCTTCAAAAGGTGGAACGTGCCATCACTGAATCAACCGATCGTGATGCATTGGTCAAGATTCTCTCGCAAAGCAGAAAGACAAGAAAGTGGAGCGTTACAGATCATCCTCATTGGGCACTGTTTGAATTGGAGAGAAACATTTGGATCTATGATATTCAAGTGGAAATAGCAATGGTACTCTTAAACTCTACAGAAAACAACCGTTGTATTCAACTTCAAATGGGTCAAGGTAAAACATCGGTGATCATTCCGATCATGTGTTTGGCATTGAAAGATCGTATTGCCAGAATCAATGTGTTACCATCGCTCTTGGAAACATCGATTGAAGACATGCTCTTGACAATGGGATCATCTATTTTCAATCGTCCAATTCACATCTATCCATTCAGAAGAGATATTGTCTCTCAGCTGAATAGCTCTCAACTTCAGCGAATACTTGGCAATCTCGAGCTTTGCAAAGCGAAGCAAGGAATCATCATTTCGACACCTGACCATTGGCTTTCATTCAAACTCTCTGGAAAGCTGCTCAACAAATCAAAGAACCAAATCTCTGCGATCATTCAATGGTCAAACAATAATTTGTTTAACATTCTCGATGAATGTGACGAGTTACTCTCCACCAAATACCAACTCATTTTCCCATATGGCAACAAGACAAATCTCGACGAGTGTAAAGATAGATGTACAACATTCCAGGATATCTTCTTGACACTCAAAGAGCTGATCGGTAAACTGGACTTTGCAGCATCGGATATCGAAATCATTCACAAAGACAGACCGAGTGTATTCCCAATGATTACAATTCACAATGAAGAGGCAGGAATGAGACTTATGCAAAGTCTTTTAGATCAGTTATTGCTAAAGTTTATATATAGAAGTCCACGTATCAGGGATATGTTACCGGTTTTCTGTGGTTACACAACTGCAGACAATATTGGAACGGATGCTCTGAAAAACAATCCTAGATATACTGTCCTCTTAATATATCGTGCATTGTTTAAATATGGAATTCTTCAGCATTGTCTCAGTAAGATCTGGTCAAAGGATTATGGCTCACGTTCAAGCAGCGACTCTTTGATTCATACGACTGGAAAGAGAAAAGCAGTTAAGGGTGGATTCTTTACACAACTGGCTGTCCCCTATCGTGCCAAAGATGTGCCTGCAGAGAGAGCTGTACTCAGCCATCCAGATGCAGTGCTTGGATTCACTCATCTCACCTACTACCACCAGGGTCTTTCACTCTCACAGTTTAGAGATGCTCTCACCAGATTGATATCGGTTTGCAATCAACAAAAGTTTGAAGTCTACAACTCTTGGATTCAATTTGACAGCACCATTCCAGTGGAGTTTCATAGTCTCAACAGTGTGGTACTCTCCAATGATATATTCATCAATGATTTGTATCAGCATCTCAAGTACAACATGCTTGTCATTCATTTCTGGTTGAATGAACTGGTATTCCCATTCGAAACTAAACAACATCCAAAGAAGATATTTGCCTCTTCATGGGATATTGTTACTGGCAATCACATTGCAGGATTCTCTGGGACCAACGACACATCGATTCTCTTCCCACTCTCTATCAAACAAGAAGATCTTCCATCGTTGTTATACACCAATACCGAGGTATTTAACTATATTCTCAATCAAGAGGATAATCAAGTGCACTTTATTCCTCAGAATTGCAATATTCTCGATCATGTCACAAAGACTGATACATTTGCAAGAGTATTCATTGATTCCGGTGCATTGATGATCGGAATGACCAATTTCCAAGTTGCCAAATCATTCTTGGAGAAAACCGATCCCAGTAAAGCCGATGCAGTTCTTTACTTTGAGAATGGTAATCTCATTTCAATGGATAGAGATGATAAGAAACTTTTGTTCCACCAATCACCCTACGCCAAAAGATTGAACCGTGTTATTGTCTATCTTGACGATTATCATACAAGAGGTGTTGATATTAAATTCGAGAAGGACACACACGCAATCGTTACAGTCGGACCAAGAATGACCAAAGACAAGTTGATGCAAGCATGCATGAGAATGAGAAAACTTGGATTTGGACAAACAGTTTCATTCATGGTTCCAGACCACTTGGGAATTGGTGAGAACGTTATCGATATCTTTAGATGGACAATCAACAATACAATACGTGGAATCGAAAAGTCACTTCACATTTGGATGACACAGGGACTTCATTTCTATCGATCACACTGTGCATCTGTACTTCAAAATAGTGAGCCTTTCGAAAAGGAATTCCTTCAACTCTCGTCACTCCCTGAGACAACCACCCTCAAGGCGATGTATGAACCTTCATTTATCAAACAAGACATCAAAGTCGTTGCAAACCATCTCAAGATTGCAATGGTTACTTCATTCAAACAGGATATCGATAGTATAAGAGAAATGGATAAGGTCATTGCCAAGGCTGCCAAGTCAGGAAACAAGAAGATGTCGAATCAGCTTGAGAATAGGATCAAAGATATTGGTGACAACATTTCCATTTTCTCATCGACCAACCAAGATGGTGAAGAAGAGCGTGAAAACGAACTGGAAGAAGAAAAAGAAGATGAATCTCTCACAGAGAATATCGTTTCATACGAACCGACATTCGAGCTTACCCTTAAGCTAGTGGTCAAAGGTGAAAGTCCATTCCTAATGGTTCCAACATCCGAAGGCAATGAGAATTACCTAAGCATTGCCAGGCGTATCAGTTCGGTTGGCAATGAGAGGAAGTTCTGTAAACAACCATTTTTGCCCGTCTCTGCTATCTATATCAACACACCTATTGGTTCACTCCTCACAAGGAACGGCAAGATCATCAACGTTTTCGATAGTAACATTTTGACGACTCTAGACTTTGTACGTGTCCACGAACCAAACAGAAGCATCAAGAATACAATGGAGTTTTGTCGTTTGATCAACTATGTGTTGGTGCTGTGGGAACCAACGCCCGTGTTCATCTTGTTGTCACAGCACGAAGCAAGCAAGGTCTATAGCTTAATTCAAGCAGATTTGAGATCGAATCGTGTGGTCAAGGTATCACTTCACCAAACAAGACCTCACATCCTTCCAAATCAAAGAGAATATATGGAAGCAATTCACACTCCACTCCCACCAGGAGCCTCATTTGACTCTATCAAACATCTGATTGTCCAACTAAACATCATCAATGGTTCTAAATATTTCAATGATAATCTTGATGCCACAATTAAATTTTTAGGTTTAAGTATCAGAAATAACAACAACAACAATAACAATGACAAAAAAGATGACAATAACAATGACATTGAAAACAATAACGATAACATTGATGGTAACAATAACAATAACAATGAAATTGATGGTAACAAATACAATGACAATGAAATTGATGGTTACAATGACATTGAAAACAATAACGATAACATTGATGGTAACAATAACAATGACATTGATTGTAACAAAAATGATGGACAACCAGTAGTTAAGAAAGAATTAGATGAAAAAGTTAAATTCGAAACGGATCCTAATGTTGATCACGATGGATTCTTAAAGAATGAAAAAACTAGATTCAATGACAAACCTCTGCAATTCTTAGAGTTAAACTACACATTTAATAGAGTATCTACTGTGTTTGGTAGTGATATGGAAAAGATTGTACCAAATATCTCAATTAAATAAATTTAGTACTAAATTTTAATTTTCAAGATTTTATTTTTTATTTTTTTTTATTGATTTTATAGTTTACTAAACTTAATTGGTGGGCCACTCTACAGTGGTACGACTCTAGCGATCGCTAGGTAGTTCACAATATATTATAAAAATTAATAAACATACCTTTTTCTTTATAATTTGTATCTCTATTTCAACCAAATTCTTTCAACTAATAATTCATCAACACCTCCAAACCCACTCATTTCCCCAAATGTTCATAAAGTTGAGGTGATGATGTTGTTGGATTAGTGGTAGTGGAATGACTTTTACTAAATCTGCCCTGGTCAAGTAATTTAACATTTATGAGTGTTTGGATTCAACAAAATTTCTATTTCAATAAAAATTTAATCTACCTTTATAATTATAACTTTTGATCTTATTTTATCGATTTATGAAACTGATGGTAACTGAGTAGTTGAGCAGATCGAAATTGAGAGTGGCATGTTCATCGATAACTGAGTTATGGAGTTGATGATAATTGAGTGTAGAGTTGATCAAAGCTAAGATATGTAGTTGAGGTAACTAAGTTATGGAGTCAACAGTGTCTGAATTGTGGAGTTGATGGAAACTCTGGCTTCCAGGGCAATGGAGTCAACTGAGACAACTAACGAGAGTAAACCGGCATAACTACGAGGGGCAACCTGCATAATGACGAGAGGAAACCGGCATAACGACGAGAGGAAACCGGTATAACTACGAGAGGAAACCGGCATAACCACGAGAGGAAACCAGCATAGTGACGAGGAAACAGGCATAATGACGAGAGGAAACCAGCATAGTGACGAGAGGAAACCGTCATAGTGACGAGAGGCAACCGGCATAACAACTAGAGGCAACTGGCATAACGACGGGAGGAAATCGGCATAGTAATGAGAGGAAACCGGAATAGCAACGAGGCATCACTCATAGTAAGGAAGCAACAGGCATGGTAACAAGGACTTGGAAAAGAAGAAAGAGATAAAAAAGAGATAAGTTAGTAAAACATAAATATAAATAAGTTAGAGTTATAATTGTTAGATATTACTTACAAAATTATTTGTATTTGAAAAATAATGAAAAATGACATTGTGAATGAAATTATAGGTTTAAATAGTTTTAAATTTGATTCGTTAACTTACAGTTTGAACTCAAAAATGGCGGTAACTGTTTAGCGCCAATTAAAAGTATGAATTAATATTCAAATTTGAAATATAAATATTAAAATTAATTAAATAATTCATTTTATTATAATATTCAAAAATAAAAAAAACAGGCGATCATTACCAATGAAGAAACAACAAGCATAATTTTCAATTTTATTAAATTTATTGAATTTGCAACACCCCACTTTTATTTGACAAGTTCATCTTTTTTTGTTGCAAAAGTAAAAAAATGTTGTTTTTTTTTTTTGATTAAAATAATTGAAGAAATATTATTATTGTAAAGATATTAACAATTTAATAAATCAAATGGATTTGATGAATAATAAATAGGTGTTTTGTGGTCTGTTAATCTTTTTGATAAGTTGTATAGTTGATGATAGATTGAAAGATGATTTAATTTCTATCTTTAATTTATTCATTTGCAATTTAAATATTGATATTCTTGATATTTAATTTGATTTTATCTATCACTTTACAATTTTCACAATGAGAGAGAAAATATAGTTGGTTCAAACTTATATAAAAATAAAAAATAAAATGTTATATAGAATACAAGGTATTGAAACTATAATTATTTATTTAAATTTTAAGAAGTTTATATTTTGTAGGATACTTTTTCAAATTCAATTTTAATTTCATTTTGTTGTTGCAATTGCCTCTGTTGTTGTGGTGAAGGTTGTTTTTGATCTGTAGTAATCCTCATGAATATTTTGTTTTTTAATGTTTAAAAGATATCTTGAAAATCTATATTGGTTAAAAACATTTTCTAATCTGTATTTCTTTTATTATGATTATCAAATTATTGTATCTTTTTAACCTTTTAAATATATTATTTATAAATAAATTGATTATAAAATAAAGAATTTAAAAAGCTTTAAATCAAAATTTTTAGCTCAACATAAAAGGATTATTACATATTATTTAAATAATTGAAATTTTAAAATAAAAAAAAGAATAGAAACTTTATTTTTGATTCACTTTTAAATAAACAATCAAATTAATCTTTAAAAGTGAATCTCAATTTAATTGATTTGATTCACGATTTATTGGAATTGAATGACAATGTCAAGTGTGGTGGGTTCTGCAAAAAAACATCTACCAAACACTTTTAAAAATTTTAAATTTAAATTAAGACATCTATTTATTTAAATATAATGGTGTGTAATATTCTTGAGTATATTTATTTAAATTTTTTTTTCTATTAATATATTTAGTAAATACTTTTAATATCGAAATTTTGTTTTTTCATTATAAGCAATATTCATATTAATTTGTTATTTATAAGTAAGATTTATTAATATCACAATATTTTCAATAAAAATATTGATCTAAACTAAAATATTTCTTTCAAAATTCAAACAAATATAGTTTTAGATAGTGATCGTTGATAATAATAAAGAGATATTTGATTTCTCATTTACTCTCTTCTTTTAAAAATAAGAAATAAATTAATTTTAATTTTATTTAAGAAATTATCTTTTTTTTATTTACTTTTTCATTTTATTATTGATAGTTTTCAATTATTGTCATAAAATTGTTGTTTTGCAACTTCGCAATATTATATACACGAGTAATGAAGGAATTCGATGAACAACAGCAGCAACACAAACAACAACAACCACAACAAGATAATAATAAAGTTAATTATAAGTCGCTGGAGGAAGTTATCCAAAGCTTTCCAGGAGGAAACAACAGCAACAGCAACAACAGCAACAACAGCAACAACAGCAACAACATAGTAAAATAGAATAGAATATTAATAACAACAATTTAACTCCCAACATTGATTACATTAATAACATCAAATACTACATTCACAACTATAAAATAAAAATCAATAATAAATCAAAGCCAAACCAAAACACCTTCCAATTTAGAAGACCAACAACAACAAAATAATCAATATCAACACCAACATTGACCACATTGACAACACTTCCAAATACATTAATAACTTTATTAATCAACTCAAAAACAAACAAAATAATAATACATATCAATTCAGAATACCTAGCAATAAAAAGTAAATAATAATAACAGGATGGAGTGGTGGTCTCTGTTATTGGAATGGTAATTGCTGTTCTTGTTGAATTTGTTGTTGCTGTTGTTGCTGTTGTTGCTGTTGTTGCTGTTGCTGTTGTTTCCTCTCGTTTCGATGCCGGTTGCCTCTCCTCACTATGCCTGTTTCCTCTCATCACTATGCCGGTTTCCTCTCATCACTATGCGGGTTACCTCTCATCACTATGCGGGTTACCTCTCGTCACTATGCCGGTTGCCTCTCGTCACTATGCCTGTTTCCTCTCGCTACTATACTGGTTGTCACTCGTGTATACAACAACAAATAATAATCAAAGTTAAAGACATAATTTAATAAAATTAAATACTTGATATTATAATTCTTAAATTGTTTTGATTTTTATTTAAATTATTAAAGTTATGATTGTTCTAATTCATATTGAATTGTTGTTAGTTAACAGCACTCAATATTTAGCATTGAATTGATAGAGTTGATGATGTTGTTAATGTTGATCCTTTGATTAGAGATAAAGGATCAACATTTATTTGTTTACCTTATTGTAATTGTTACTGTTGTGTAGTATTGCACTATTGTTATTGATGTTGTTGGTTTGAGTGTTGGTAGTTTGGTTATTAATTACTATCGGGTGGTGACGCTAGAATAACATCCAAAATCGATGAATCAAATAAAACTACTAATTCTAGTTTGTTGTTGTTACTGTTGTTGATCTTATTGTTGTGTATCATTAGCGGTACCTGTAGTATTAGAGGTGACAATTGTAAAGTATGGAGCAGTAGATTCGTGCTTGCCTGGTCGAAGTGTACTTGGACATCAATATTCCCGATACTATGTAGACACCATTGAAGAATACTATACTACCTGTAGTCTTCTCAATGCACTTCGTCAGCTGATCTAATGACTCGAAGTTATCAGCAGGTAATCAAATTAAAGCCTAATCTATAAGAATATAATAATATAGATAGATATGATAAACCGTTTAGTAAATTAAATATAATATGATACTTTATTATAATACCTTCTTTCAGTACCGTACGATAATATCTCTCTAGTGGTTCCACTAACTAACTGCACGTGCTGCTATTCTCTTTAAAGTGGTTGGATTAACAAACTTCTTCTTCCTTATTAGACAATCATGCAAAGTTTCAGTCAGGAAATAGATCGAATGACCAGTTACCGACTAACCAACTACAGAAGCTCCCAAACCAAGAAAAGCTACAGTAAATCGGGGAATGGTGGACATTCATAGATTCTCTCAGTCATTTCGATTGCCATACCACCATTACCACTGAAATAATCTAATCTATCCAATAGAGATATTCCATTTCCAATATAAACAGTCTTTTCTTTATAGAATTGATCAACAAATCCTTTTTTTCCATCACCTATCAAATCTACAAAAATATATAAACTTTTTCACCTTTTACAACTTTTAATTAAAATTATTTTAAAAACAATTAGTTTTAACTAAATAATTTCGATTTTTAATTAATTATTTCTTACTTACTTGTTTTATACGATCCAATTACACCTGGCTATATATTAAGTAGTAAAAAATATTTTTAATTTGATTGATTACAAGAAAACATCATTTGATACTTGTAGCTTAGTTCTGAGAGGTGATTTCTTTTAGAATTTATATAAATAAATAATAATAATATAATAAATAAATAATATGTGTAGTGTTTGATTTAAAGTGATACTTGAGATAAATCTAATTTAAAACAAATTAACAATATTAAGCGTATGAAAGAGAATACACAAATTTTCTTCATTGATCAATAAATTTTTAAACTCAAAAATAATGATAAATAATATTAATAATATTTTAAACAAGTATAATGATACAACGCATCTATATATTAGCTTGGTATGTGTTAACTCTTACTATCATATATAATAATAAAATACTTTGTTTTGTTGTTGCATTGCAGTGTGCTTTCTTGCTTTATAGAATGCAGTGACAAAACACGATGCACAATCGATCAAGATAATACACCACTATTTCGAAATAAAATATAATATATATTGATTTTTTGTTGTATGAATGGAGGATAGAATAAAAAAAGGCATTGAATGAACTCGATAGTGCAACTGTCATTCAAACATTGTCAATACCTTCACAGCAGACAAGAGAGTTGAAAGCGCAACAAGAGCAATTGCAGTACCAACAGCAACAGGATTATCAGCACAGACCGTGGAGTACCGATGATTACTACTTTCGTGTCAACACCTACAGTATTGGCAAATGGTTTACTAAGCCATCGTTGATAGACCCTCTTCAGTGTTCAAGATTCGGTTGGATCAATTGTGAACCCGATATGCTAGAGTGCCTATCATGTAACAAACGACTCTATTTTAAGTTACCGGATTCACTGTCACAGCAACAACGTACGTACATATATCAATGTCACAATAAATTATTTAATTTAAAAGAGGAAATACATCTAATATTTCAATTGGAATTACTTTACTTCTATAGGTGATAAAAGAATACAGGCCCTACGCAAGACATCCATTGTCTTTCCATGGGCATGTATCAATCATTCCATCGTTGATACAAATCGAAAGTTTTCAAAAGAGAGAACAAAATATCTAGAATCATTTATCCAATAGTATATTACCATTGTTAGATATCGAGTTTTGGGTTTGTATTTTATTATTATTTATAATTGACTGATAAAGATTTAGGTTTATATATATATTAATTATAGTCTGTTTGTGATTGTTTTCATTTATATCACTAAATATAGTCAAATGTACAGAAAAAAGATAAAAGAAACCTTTTGAAGCATTGTTATCGTCGTCAAAGATTACAAGTGATAGCGGTTAAAAGCAAGAATCTCTGTTATTCTGGCGTTATGTGGTTGGATTATTATAGTAACAACAGTAACGGCAATGCTTCTGATGGCAGTGACCACAGAGATGACAACAACCACCATATCAATATTCATTGTTCATATTGTCAGAGAATGTTGGGTTTGTGGAACTTTAAATCAATGAACAATAATAATAGTGACATCAGTATTGTTACTATAGATGATCCTTTCATTCAACTATACCCCAATTTACAAACACAAACAACATCAACATCACATAATAATAATAATTATTCATCATCAACGTCACTAAATGTTAACAATTCACTTTCAAGTCATACAATTGGTGGTAGATCTAATACGGTATCTACTTTGTCATTGAAAAGAGGTAGAGAATCAACATTAGATATTCAACAACAACAACAACAACAAGAAGAAGAAGAAGAAGAAGCAACAGTCGAAGATAGAAAGAAAGTAGTTTTTGAGAGTTTATTAAGTAGATCTATATCATCTTGGAGTGGCAGTAATAGTTTCATTAGTTTTAAAAATCTAATTAATCCACAGTCAACAACAAACACAACCACCAACACAAAAACAAACACAACACCATCATTATCGACTGTTATTTTACAATGGTAATAATATCATATTATAATATACATATTTGAAATCGTGTCCATAAACTGTTTGAATTGTGATAGTTGAATTCTTAATAAATTATTGAAGTGTCAGTTGATTTGATTATTATAATTCTAAAATGTTAATTTTAGAACATCGACATCGACATCAACATCTAATATACAACCAGTTTCTTCGTCATCAACAATTGTTGATGCACAATCAAATAATAATGTAGACGAAAGCACACACTACAACAACAAGAAAAACAAAAGAAAGAAAAGGAAAAAGAGATACAATTGAAACTACAACAACAATTACAATCGGAACAACAAAGAAAGTGTGATGTAGGATGGAGTTGGGGTCATAGATTTGTATATCATCCAACTGTGTCTTTTAACAACCAAACTAAACTAATATCTTTTATTGGAAATTAAATCAATCTTGATTGCGATTGCAGTGAAATAAAAAAGTATAAAACTAATATTCTTAACAGTTGATTATGAAATTGAGCTCAGATAAATAATGCTTTTATTTATTAATATTAAAAAGTATTTATAATGAATTTATTTACAAGAGTTATTATAATATATATATTCGTTTGAAACAGGTAGTAACCAGCAACAAGAAAACCTTTTCTGGTTGTACCTGGAGAAAGGAATGGCAGACAGAGATATCGTGATGAGGATGGAGTGGTGGTCGAAATAAAGGAAATGGACTGGCATAGAAACGAGAGACAAACGGCATAACTACGAGAGGAAACCGGCATAACTACGAGAGGAAACCGGCATAACGACGAGAGGAAACCGGCATAGTGATGAGAGGAAACCGGCATAACTACGAGAGTAAACCGGCATAGTGACGAGAGGAAACCGGTATAGTGACGAGAGGAAACCAGCATAGTGATGAGAGGAAACCAGCATAGTGACGAGAGGCAACCGGCATAGTGACGAGAGGCAACCGGTATAGTGATGAGAGGAAACCAGCATAGTGACGAGAGGAAACTGGCATAACTACGAGAGGCAACCGGCATAGTGATGAGAGGAAACCAGCATAGTGATGAGAGGAAACCAGCATAGTGACGAGAGGCAACCGGCATAGTGACGAGAGGAAACCGGTATAGTGATGAGAGGAAACCAGCATAGTGACGAGAGGAAACTGGCATAACTACGAGAGGCAACCGGCATAGTGATGAGAGGAAACCAGCATAGTGATGAGAGGAAACCAGCATAACTACGAGAGGAAACCGGCATAACTACGAGAGGAAACCGGCATAACTACGAAAGGAAACCAGCATAGTGATGAGAGGCAACCGGCATAACTACGAGAGGAAACCGGCATAACTACGAGAGGAAACCAGCATAGTGACGAGAGGCAACCGGCATAACCACGAGAGGAAACCGGCATAGTGATGAGAGGAAACCAGCATAGTGACGAGAGGAAACCAGCATAGTGACGAGAGGAAACCAGCATAGTGACGAGAGGCAACCGGCATAACCACGAGAGGAAACCAGCATAGTGATGAGAGGAAACCGGCATAACCACGAGAGGAAACCGGCATAACTACGAGAGTAAACCGGCATAGTGACGAGAGGAAACCGGCATAACTACGAGAGTCAACTAGCATAACAACGAGAGGAAACCGGCATAACGACGAGAGGCAACCGGCATAGTAACGAGAAAACCGGCATAACCACGAGAGGCAACCGGCATAACAACGAGAGGCAGCCGGCATAACTACGAGAGACAACCGGCATAGAAGAGGCGTCACTCATAGTAAGGAAGCAACAGGCATGGTAACAAGGACTTGGAAAAGAAGAAAGAGATAAAAAAGAGATAAGTTAGTAAAACATAAATATAAATAAGTTAGAGTTATAATTGTTAGATATTACTTACAAAATTATTTGTATTTGAAAAATAATGAAAAATGACATTGTGAATGAAATTATAGGTTTAAATAGTTTTAAATTTGATTCGTTAACTTACAGTTTGAACTCAAAAATGGCGGTAACTGTTTAGCGCCAATTAAAAGTATGAATTAATATTCAAATTTGAAATATAAATATTAAAATTAATTAAATAATTCATTTTATTATAATATAATATTCAAAAATAAAAAAAACAGGTGATCATTACCAATGAAGAAACAACAAGCATAATTTTCAATTTTATTAATTTATTGAATTTGCAACACCCCACTTTTATTTGACAAGTTCATCTTTTTTTTTTGTTGGTGCTTCAAAAAAAAATGTTGTTTTTTTAAATTAGAATAATTAATTAAAAATTTAATTTTTGAAAGATATTATTAATAACAAAGATACAATAAGTAATAAATTAAATAGATATTAATAATTTGAAATCAGATAATAGTTGAAATTTTAGATCAAAATTTAATAGTATTAAGATACTAATCATATTTGTAAAAAATGATTATTTTGAATTAAATATTTTAAAAAATAAAAAAATAAATAAAAGTAATGATAATCGATCAAATCAATTTTTGTAAAGTAAGTTAGAATACTACCACACAAATATCAATAATATATACTATTTTAAGAGAAGTGAGGTGATTTACAATAGACCAATATTGCAAGAAGATTATAAAGAATTAAGAGAAACTCATTAAATAATAAATTTAAATCTTTTTATAGGTTGAATGGTTTCACTTCACTGTTATAATTAAATTAAATCAGTTGCTTCCGAATTAAGTTCTTAATTACTCAGAGATCAAATAAAATTATCAAAGATTTTATATAAACATTTAGACAATAAAATACAACTACCAACTGAACCACAACTGACAACAACCACAACATCAAATAATTCATCAACACCTCCAAACCCACTCATTTCCAGAAATATTTCATAAAGTTGATGTTGATGATGTTGTTAGATTAGTGATAGTGGAATGACATTTGCTACTTCTGCTCCTGGTCAAGTAATTCAACATTTATAAGTATTTGGATTCAACAAATTTACTCTTTAAATAAAAATTTAAACTACCTTTATAATTATATCTTTTGATTTTATTTTATCGATTTGTGAAACTGATGGTAAGGAGTAGTTGAGCAGATGGAAATTGAGAGTGATGTGTTCATCGGTAACCGAGTTATGGAGTTGATGGTAAATGAGTTGTAGAGTTGATCGAAACTAAGATATGTAGTTGAGGTAAGTATCTACAGTATCTGAGTTGTGGAGTTGACTGAAACTCTGGCTTCGGGGGCAACTAAGTATGGCAATTGAGTCTGTATAGTTACTCAGTTCGGTTTCTAAATCAGTCCGGTATCTAACTCAGTCAGGTAACTCATAACTCAGTCGGTAACTGAGTCAACTTAGTCCAGTAACTATCTGAGTCCGGTAACTGAGTCAACTGAGTTCAGTAACTAACTGAGTCCAGTAACTAACTGAGTCCAGTAACTGAGTCAACTAAGTCATCAACTGAGTCAGGTAACTAACTGAGTCAGGTAACTCAGTCTGGTAACTCAGTCCGGTAACTACTCAGTCAGGTAACTGAGACCGGTAACTACTCAGTCAGGTAACTGAGTCAGGTAACTACTCAGTCAGGTAACTCAGTCCGGTAACTAACTGAGTCCGACAACTAAGTCATCAACTGAGTACGGTAACTGAGTCTGGTAACTGAGTCTGGTAACTCAGTCCGGTAACTACTCAGTCCAGTAACTCAGTCTGGTAACTGAGTGGAATCAACTGAGTCCGATAACTAAGTCATCAACTAAGTCCGGTAACTAACTGAGTCCGGTAACTGAGTCTGGTAACTCAGTCCGGTAACTACTCAGTCCAGTAACTCAGTCTGGTAACTGAGTGGAATCAACTGAGTCCGGTAACTCAGTCCGGTAACTAAGTCCGGTACTGAGTCCGGCAACTCAGTGGAATCAACTCAGTTAATAAAAGAAAAAATTATAAAGAATTTGAAAGTTATCAACATTATTTATTTAAAATTTGATTGAAATCAGTTAAGACGACGAATGAATCATTGGCAGAGAACAACAAGTCTGGTGAGAGAATGGTATCTGTCGTTTCCTCCACTATTAGCAGTATCATGTGTTGTTTGGTGATGTTGTGAAGATGCTGAAGCTGAAGACGAAGAAATTCTAGTGTTGTTGTTGTCATCGTCTGCGAAACTAAAGTGATTTATATTGTTGTTGCTGGATTGATATTTCTAATAAAATCGTCAAATGATATCTTTAACTACTACGAAATAATAATAATAATTAAATATTAGTATGTTGTCGGTGCTGTTGTTGTTGTTGATCTGGTGGTCCTGTAACTACAAAGATCATAGTGAATTTGAAGTACTACTACTACTAAGATTGTTCAATAACCTAACTTATTGATAAAATAATAATTATAAAAAAGAATATTAATATCTTTTCAAAGATTAATAAAATAATAATAATAAATAATAAGAATATCAATATCTCTTTCCTAAAGATTAATAATAATTATAAATAAATAAATAAACTTGCAATTGAAACAGTACAAATAAGAGTTAACAAAGTAACTTGTTTTAAAAATAAAAAAACACAAAAATGCAATACAATCTACAACATTTTAAATATCTGTAGAGTATATAAGCAACTTGTTAATAAGAAGTAAAAAAAAAATACAAAAATAAAAAAAATGAATAAATAAATTGTTATTCTTTATATCTATTATAATAAATGCGATAAATAAATTCAAATTTGTTGGTGTGCTAATTAATTAGAAATATATATAAATATGAATAAATGTTATAATAAATAGATTGATAGTTGCTTGATCAATTCGAATTACTTTAATTAAATAATTAATTATGTGTGGTGTTTGACTTTGGTGGCAAAAAAAATGAAAAAAAAAAGTGAAAAAAAATTTTGAGTTGAGCTGTGATGTGGTAAGTGTGGGTGTGAGTATGAGTGTGGTGCGTGAAGTGTGGGTGATCCAAGATCACTGTTAATATCGATCGATCGAAAGCTGCAAAGATTAAAATTTAGACTCTCTCAGCCTCATGGATCGATAAGAAAATATTTTTTAATTTTAAACATATTTTACTATATAAAAAAAAAAAAAAATTTTTTAAATCTTGTCGATCCATGAGTTTCCGGTGCCAACCACGTGGAGGTGGAGTCTACTGGCACCTAGAGACCCCGATGGATTTATTGCCACAAACCATCGGCAGCATCTTTAATTGTTGTTGTTCCTAATCGACAGCGGAGTTAGAAGCCGAAGCAAATAAAACAACTTCGAAGAGGCAACAAAGAAAGTGATAGCTGTGGCGTTGCCTTCTGTACAGAGAATGTCGCCTCCATCTGCTCTGTGTCGCCACACCCGAAGATGCGACAGACTAGCAGCGTATGTATCACCTGCTTTCAGACTATATGAAGCCGTAACATGTGTTGGAGGTTTCCCTACCCTTGACCCAGTGCCATGCATCCTGTAGATCAACACAGAGGTTACCATGTGCAAGACCACCTGCAAGCAAGTGCGCTCATCCCAACTTCGTCCGTCCACAGGCAACCGCTCACAACAATCTCCCCAACTGGCGGGTCGGGTGTACAGGTCGCCAGGTTTCTCTAATAACTAGGCTCTCATCAGTGGGTTCACTGATCGAGACATGCCGTCACGCTTGATAAGAGAGGCAAGGATCACAAGCAATGACACCCAGTTATCCCAGACCCTGGAAAGAAAAAAAAAAGGACGAACCCATTGAAATGGATCACTTGGAATAGCTTGATTGTTATTGTTCTAAAATTAACATTTTAGAATTATAATAATCAAATCAACTGACACTTCAATAATTTATTAAGAACTCAACTATCACAATTCAAACAGTTCATGGACACGATTTCAAATAACTTAAATTAATAATTCAACTGTTTAGCAATAATCAAATATATTCGAATAATATC